GATGGAGGGGAACAAAAGAACAAGAAAATTTCTTTGACCAGGACTTTTGCAGGTAGATATGCGCCTGAGTCTAGACCCTGTGTCTTTGGCAGGTTGGCTTGTGCTTTCACCCTACCGATACACAACCGCCTCTTTTCTATTCGCCATTGAGGCGATGATATCGACGACAACAAGATCCTTCCAAAAATAAAATCGAAATACACTACGCAAGGCCCTTGTCAACAGTCCTTCCCTCCGTCACTTCCCCCAACAGCCCAGCCTACTGCTGCAGAATTGGAGACGCGCTATAGCAGCCTATAATAACTTGCCCGCCCTCCCCTAGTTTGACGTCTCTCTCACCGACTCTTTCGAGAGAGGAAAAACTGTGCCTGTTGCTCGGATGCGTACCGTTGATGGGATGCACCATCGCGGGGCCTTCTGGAGACGGGCCGCTCTCATAGAAGCACAGCGCTTGAAAGCACTATCCTGAATAGGCCACGAGACTCGAGTAGCGGACCCTTGCCTGCGACTCCCCGAGCTTTGGGTCACGACGTGGACGCCAAACGGTCAAGGCTGAAGGTATACAAGGACCCAAAGCTGGCCGCATAGTGACGTATGCAGGATCCTGTAGATGCATCTCGGCTTTCAGTGAAACGGTGTTGGAGAGCTTCGGTAAAATATTGTGCTTACTACTGTAGAAAGATTCTACTTCCTGCATTCTCATGGCGTGCAGTAGATGCTAGTGTCTCAACTGCCAAAGATATCTACATACATTTACATACACATATACATATACATACATATACAGACAGGATTTCAAATGTAACCTTGGACTAATACAAGAGCAGGTCAAGCGCCGGCGATCCAACACACCGCAGAACACCGCCGTTTTAAAGATCGTGGAACTAGAATGCAGTGTCCGCTATAGCGTCGTCCTCTAATTGACAGGGGCGGTGATCAAGATTCAAATTTGCTTTTTCGCACAAACTAATGGGAAAATTCTCATCAGCAATGCATGAGAGCGCTTAAGTTGAGGTGTGTGTCGGTGATGCGAGACCATTAGGGCAAAGACACGCAGCTGCATGCATATTTCGAGAGCAAAAGAGGGTCTTTTGACATGTCGGTATAGTAAGACTAGGGACAAATGTCTGTTGGAGCGACAACATGCTGCATCACGATGGAGTATCTTAGTTAAACTAATGTACGCCTTTAGCATCTGCATTTCGCGCGTGTCGGTGACGAAAGAGAAGGCTGGAATAGTCTAATCCCGGTAGTCCCGTGGGCAAGAACAAAAGAAGAAGAATGAGAAGAAGAAGAGTCATAAATGAGCCCCTCCAGTTCAAGGCTCAGTATGCGTTCATGCCCAGCGTTTGGCGGCCCTGTGGTGGTGTTGTCTGCGTTGTCCATACCGCTCGAGATGGATGCTCGGGTCCGGCCGTAGAACAAATCAGATCCGGAGCTTACGGCCAATGAGGGTGTAAGGAAGCATTTTACAATGTCTAGAGTGTACAAATAGAAACTAGAGCCATCTGCACGTCGGGAACCAGAACCACCATGTTCCCGCTTCCCACGTCACATCTCAGGTTAAGCATGGCCCGGTTGCAATGAACTGCAGGCGCAACCAATTGCGATATTCGATGGGAATTAGGGCATGGTACGGATAGACGAGAGGACAAGGGGCGGACGCACGTTGAAGCCCTGGTGTTGATGAGACTGCACGGTTCAGTAACCCTAGACCACAAGAAATAATATTCGCAAAGATTACAATGAAGCGAACAATGCAGGACTGGAGTGTCGGTGTAAGTGGTATTGTTCAGTAGTTCGTGATACTCGTTATGATAACATCACACATGATATCGCGTGTGTAAAAAGTGGTCTGCTGCCAAGTTACCAACTCAGCGCTTACCCATCAGTTGCCCAGCAGAATTTAAACAGCAGGCCTCAAAATGCATTTTCCTTTCACCATTTCACCCCCTGTCCCTCCAATCCGTGTCAGCCTATTACCGAAAGGAACAGACGACATGCATGACCCCTGTTTAACACAAGAGGGAAAAAAAACATGACGGTGTTCTGAGCCACGTGGGGCATACATATGTGGCGGTGCCTTACACTCACCAGCCACAACCACTCGGCCGGGTCCGCCACCGGTGCAGGAGGACGGGGGTCCGATTCGGGCATGGCCCGCGCACGGCAGGTGATCGGGCCCTGCAGGAGACTCCCGTGTTCCCGGTTTTCTGGGTCCCGTCATGCGGCCCCATCGGGCTGACAACTCTAAGTCCCGACTCCCCCCAAGTGAAGTGACGTAGGATGAGAAATCGGCTTTGATATCATTTCGGGGGGACCCTTCTTTTCTGCCATCAACTTCTTTCACCGTCTGTGCAACAAAATAAAACTGACCCTGTCCCTTGCTGCCTGGACCCTATATCCATTCTGTGTCATTTCCCTTCTGCTATGCAAGAGGGTCCCCCGCCTCCATTTTTATTTTCATGCTTGGATTAGGCATCTTCTGCCCCCCATTAAACATGGCCTTACCGTCGACCGTACTCCAAAAGCCTACGCCCTCACATTTCTTTCTCACCTGAAATTGACTATTAATTTGACAGGGCTACGGAAGATGACTCACATTCTTCTCATAAACGGGTCGTGAAATCTGAACAGTTGGCTAAGATTCCATGCCAACCCTGGCACCGCCACACCGATGCGCCGGGCACAGACATCAAATCAACCATCATACTCCTCACTTGCGGTGCAAGTCATATGAGCACAGTCCTATATCCTGTCAGGGGCAATGGATAGGCAGCAGTGCAAGAGCGAGCTCACGATGACGCGGGTATGGCAATCTGAGATTCTGACACGCGAATAGTGTCGTCGCGCCAGGCGGCAATCTCGCGCGAGGCGAGTGCTTCACATGTCAGAAGCCAATAACCAAACCGCGGGGACGAGTTAAGGCGCAGCCCTTTTGATGAAGTGTCATTCACGGTGCTTATGTATGGTGGCGATACCCTCCGTCAGCCAGGGGGGGCTTTGCCATCGGAAAACCGGATTGGCATCCGTTAATACCAACACACCCAGCAAGATGCGATATCCAATATTTGAAGAGGCTGGGAAACTAACGGCGAGATATTTTGTACTGGGTTGATATGATGAGCTGGTTTGATGGCGAAGAAAGTTGTTGCTGGTCATGGGATAAAAGCGTTGAGTATCAGACCGCGAATGGAATCACGGGACTTCAAGGCATGGAGGATGAGTCTTGGCGGCGTGGTACGTGCAGGAAAAGTCCGCGGACGTCTAAGTGATCAGTCATTCTCACGTCTTGAATACTTGAGTTTGTCGTATCTTATGCCTCGAAGCTGTTCTGTAGCCTAGGACATTTAATAATTCCATTGGTTGGTAAGCGTAGAGAGCGTCGAAGAATTGCGTCGCTATGGGATGAGGTGGCTGTTAGCCTCGACATCGAAATAGATCACAGGCAACCGAGTATATACATTGACTTAGTAACCGACTAAGATACAGGTGTGACTAATACTCATGATTCAACCATGCTGGCACCTGTCTAAAGATAGGCAATCGTTCAGAAGAACGGCAACGCATGCAGTCGCAGACGGACATTCATGACAAAGACACTGATGCACCCTTCAGACAATTGTGCATATGTATTCGTAGAATATGACTGCCCGACACATGCTATACCGCATTGTTTTACCATCTGATGCTAAATCCGGCCCGATGTACAGCATGTGCAACACGAGCTGTGATTGTTGGACAGCGACTTTTCTCATATGCCATGAACCGAGCTGCCTTTCCGTCATCATAATTGACTCAAGTTTTATCTACCAGTTTAAACTGTCCCGACTGGCAATGATAATAGTGCAGCACATTTGTAGACCCGAACTGTGCTAGAAACGGAGGCTCTCAAGAAGCTCAAAACCAGGAACGGGGGTATGGACTTACAGTCTACATTCTCAACACCTTCAATATATGATGTTATAACATAATTAATAGAGTCCTCATTGTTTTTGTAGAATCAATGATTCCAATCACGTAGTCGGAGCTTGATGTCTTCTTTCCCAATGTTTTGTCCCAAACGGTTAGCCCTTTTACTTTACCATTCCTCACTGTGTCCAGGTCAAATACCTAGGAATTTCACCAATAAAGGAGAGAACAGTAATAATATTGAAAAATGACTGTCATGAGATAGAAAATGTGAGCAATGCGATTCGGCATGTTAACAAATGAATAAGTGTCCCATCGCCTAGGGTAGGGCAGAAGAACGGGATACGTATCTTAGCCTTGACCCAATTCCAGGCCAAACAACACAAAAAGAGCGACTACCAAAATCATAGATATCCAAATACAGCATTTAGTCCTACAGAGGGGTTTTAGTTGCCATTGAGTGAGTATTGTGCTGGTAATTGTGTTTTCCACGTGATTGTTTTCCCGTTCAACACAAATGTACTGCTGGACTTTAATTCCGCTTTCTCGATTCGCCCCTTCTCAACTATCAACCCAGTTCAAGGTATGAGCAAGTAAAAATAATAAATCCCCAGCCTTTTTTTGTCCTGTATCAAGATAAATAAAATAAAGACCCTACCTTTTGGCTTTCATATGAAAGAGTCGAACGATAGATATATCACCACCTTAACATCCCACGGACGCTTTATATGGACCCCTGCTCCCTTAGCTGTTCCCCGCAGCCCGTAGCCGCCCGAAGCCTCTAATCCGGGACATCAGATCAGATCATTCGGCATCAAACAACACGCTGCCGAGGGCCCGTTCGAGGAACACGCATTTGGTCTGGAAAACTGACGTGTTGGCAGTAGCAAAGGGAAAAGGTGCCAAGTCTTACTTTTAGGGTCTGTTGAAGACTTTAAAGGCACGGGGGACCCCCACTGTTACACACCTGCTTGTCCAACGTCAAGTCAGCTCAACTCAGCTCAGGAACAAACATAATCTCCAAATCAAGACGTAACATAACAAAAGAGCAAAGCAAAACCACTTGCAGACAGCAAGTCACCAAAATCATGTGCATCGTACTCCTCACTACTGCGCATCCCGATTATGCATTGATCGCCATTGATAATCGGGACGAGTTCATTCTCCGCCCAACATCACGGCCGCACTGGTGGACTCATAGCGCATCTGGCCGACCAGTCTTGTCGTCACGGGACCTTCAGCGTGCAGAGAAAGGAACTTGGATGGGAATCAGCAAAGATGGGCTCATGGCGGTACTCACAAATTACCGCGAGACTGATATCAAAGATCAGAACCACCCCATCCATGCCGCCAAAAGCCGAGGCGGTATGGTCACCGCCTGGTTGGGAACACCACCCGAGGAGGGCCTCAAAGACAGCGTCCACAACTTGGTCAAGGATGACGGCGTCAAGGGCGTCGGCGGCTTCTCCATGGTTTGTGGGAAGCTAAGGAAGAAGAGTCAAGGTATTGCCATTATCAGCAACCGGGCGGGCAATGTCAACGAAGTGCCCATCATTGCCAAAGAGCGCGGCGAGATCTGGGGCTTGAGCAACACAGCATTCGATGCGGCAGTAAAGGAGGATGAATGGCCCAAGATCTCTATGGGTAAGAAGCTCTTCCGTGAAGCCATCGACAATTCGGTATCGAAACAGTCAAGCCCAGATGATATAATTTCCGACCTGTTCTCCGTCCTCAGCCACGACACACTGCCAAGGAACGAAAGCGCTAGTCTGGTTGAGTATATCAGCGAGCTCAAGAAGAGCATCTTCGTTCCGTTGATTGGCGACGAGAAGCACCGCAAGTCGATGCAGGAGGCGATGGCGAAAGGACCTGGTGAATGGGCGGAAGATGATCAGGCGGCAGCTGAAGAGCTCATGTCCGAGGGCCGACCCGATCCAAGCACAACCCCAATCATGGGCTTCGAGACCGGCATGTATGGAACGCAGCGGCAGACGGTGGTTATGGTCGATTGGGAGGGTAACGTCACCATGGTAGAGAGGGCACTCTGGGACGGCAACGGCAACGCAGTACCCCAAGGAGAGGGCGATTTCAAGTTCGAGTTTGCCATCAGCGGATGGAACGACGAATTATCCGAGGACAAGGCGCATGGGGTAAACGGCGAGAGCAATGGGCATTTGTAGATGGGCGTGGAGGAATGGCCATGATAAGAAAGCGTGAAGATGGCAATGAAGCAATGACATTGGTCAGCCTTGGCCGGTGACGAGACACTTAGAAGTAGATAAATGTTGTTAGAGAATAAAGAGACAAGAAGATTCAGCATCCTTCCTTCCGTAGTGCTTAGTTGTGGTGGCAGTTGCTTGGGAGTGTCAGGCAGCTGGCAAACCTCGCACTGCCATCACCATAACAAACCACGCCTCGACAAAAACATTTCACACCAACAATAACAAATCCCATCGACGCGTCTCTGACTCTGTCTCTTTCACAAACACTCTCTTACTATAGCCCCAGGCTTCCATCGCCCACCAAATCCCTCTTTACTGCTGCACGCGGCGTCATGTTTCATTCGCTCATTGTTCTGTTCACCCACCTTTCCTGTCTCGTTGTCGTTCTGCGCGCTATCCAGTTCTTCAATCACCAAGCGGAGAGATAGAACTTACTTCGTCGAACACACTTCAACCTTAGGATCTTCATACTACGGCGTATTACCCTTATCAACGTCGGCTTTGTCATTCTACTGTTTGGTAGAGTTATTCTGCTTCTCTTAGGTTTAGTTCCTTGTCACTTCCCTCTCTGGGCCTTTGGAGGAATTGTCTTTACCTTCATCACAGTCGTGGTTGCTCACTTTTTCTTGTCACTACCTTCTTGTTTCGATTTCCTTAACTCATTCGAGGACCGCTGCTAAGCTACAACTTCGTTACAACATTGTTCCCTTGGTTCGTTCATTAGTATACAATCACAACAATGGACGCCCTTCGAGCCGGCTTCGAGAACAGAGCTTCCTCTCGATTACGAATGCCTACACCCGCCAATGTTTTCTCCAGAGGCAGACGGAAGCGTCCTGTCATCTCAGCACCCATGGGACCCATAAAGAACTCTCGAGGTCCAGACTTGACACGGAGTGAGACCTTTATCATTGTACCAACCATCAAAGACTGCGTATCCGACGAGTCATTGTCCGACAAAGAAAACAACGAAGCTAAAAAGACAACCAGACGTATTTCTGCCAGCTTCTCGACCCACGGATCACTTGCTAGTCCTCCTACAGTGGCTAAATCCAGTATCATTGCGACAACCTCCTACCAATCTCTCACAAAGGCGGCCCCAATAAAGTCTCTACCAACTACAAGCTCTTTCCAGAGCGTATCTGATGCATCAGTAGCCAAAAGTTATAGCTACGGTGTTTACCCGAGTCTCGAATCCATCATCCAGGACGAGAATGTCCCCCCTCCTGATCATAAAGAGTCAGCCCCCCAAGTATCCGCTTCTGAACCCATGAGCAAAAGCCGTCTTCCAAAATCTCGAACACTGAGCGTTTTGAGCGACATCAAAACCTCCATCTCCCGATCTTCGCTGAACGCGAAGCAATCCACCTCTCGCACTCTTGCTGATCCGTCTCGCAAGATATCTGGATCTTCAACAAGTAGTCTATTCGCATCTAGTACTTCACGACTGCGCCTGCCGAGGGCTTCTTTAACTTCCATTCCTCGATCTAGTAGTTCAAGCACCACGGCGACCGAGGTGCAGCCAGATCCCAATCAAATCACCACATCACAACCCTCAGCATATTGGTCAGGCCGCTTTGTTTCTCTCCACGATCGTTTCCTATCAGAAGAATTCAGCAATGAGAAAACTGTCACGTCTGGCTCTTCCTTTGGAAATTCTTTCGAGCCTCATGCCATGACAACTGATCGGGTGGCCGTCAACTCTCGTCCGACCCATCTCTCCCATTCTACCACAACCTCAGCTCTTACTAGTCTGACTATCACTAAGCCACGCAGCTCACCGAGCACTAAGGATGCTCGATGTAAGCGAATTTTTGAACATCTTGAAGGTCTTTGTGCCACGAGCGAAGCCCGTCGCTCGCTGTTTGCTTGGCAGCAGACGTATGCCCGACGTATGGGAAAACCACAGCTTCTTCCCCAGGGAGGTCGAATGGAGAACAACAGCCTCATGGGGAAAATCTTTGGCGCAGGGCCTCGCACAGGGGGAAGGCGAAGTTTACCGGTGATGGGTGAGTCCTCGGCTGTACCGACCGCGAAGAAGACAAAGCCCCGTCTTGCTATTGGAGGACATGGAAAGCGGCTCTCCACTAACTGATCGGTCTTTGTTGAAGCAAGGGGACAAAGGGAAGCCTGATTGAGCAACATTCTTGGTTGTATGGATGTGCTTGTCACTCATAACTGGTTGGATCATGTTGAAGTGTATGAGAGTTGAAAAAGAACATGTTTCAGCCAACAGACGACAAGTAACAGGTGGCATTGTGGTATATTTCTTTATTAGCGCTTTGTTTGTGTACGAGTAGCAAGTGTGGCAGCATGCATAGGGTGGTTGTATTAGCGATTGGTTTTTGTTAGAGTTAGAGAATGCAATAAAGGTTCAAAAATATTACAGTCTCGCAATCCTCTGACAATATAGTCCATATCACACTTCAAGCAATATAGCAGCTCTCATCAGAGGGATGACTCTCCCAATAACACCCTTCTCATTTCAGAGTATTCTTGAAGTCAAAGGGATGGTTCAGCTTAACTCTACACAGAAGTCAGTACCAAGGCAATAGTGTAATAAGTGACGATGGAGATTACATGTAAATTTATCGATTCAGTTGAATGGCAAGTACCCCAGAATCATGTTGAAGCCAGCTCATAATATGTATACAACAACGCCAACCGTACCTTGGCCCCCCGTTCGATTATAAAAGACTAACTTAGAGAGTTCATTCCAGAAATCCCTCCAACGCCTTTAACTCCAATGGTGCATGCCCCTTTCCCTTCCCGCCTCCTTTCCCGTCCGTTCCGTGCGAATTTTTACTCAGTCTTCTTGCGAATGCGCAAATAGTCACGGATCTGCTCATGCTTGCTTGCAAAGAACATACCTTTCACGTCGTTCCGCCACACCAAAACGCCCACTTCTTCGGCGAACCCTGCAACGGCCATGTACTCCTTATGATCCTCAAAGTCCTTGAACAGAAAGCCGCCGGTTGTTTTCATGCGTTCGTTTTCGAGCTGCCATAGACGGATTTGATCGACTACTGTGGGTGGGAGCACGGGTTTGTTGTTCAGTGCGGCGGTGCGGTGCATTTGGTCGTGGGCGTGGGCAGAGAGGTATGAGATGATTTGCTCGGCTGTAATGCCAAAGTTGATAGCTTGGCGGATGGATTGACGAGATACACGACCGGCGACCATGTCGGGGAAGCGCATCACGAGTTTGGTGAACAAGGCGAGAACGGCAATCTGTAGCGTGGATTGTGTATATGCGTAGATTCGATAGTTGGTTTCGATAATGACACTGCCGCGCTGCTCGTTGCCGGTGGCCGCTACGCTGCTGCCAGGTGCGCCTGACTGACCCGGCTGAAGGGCGGCTGCTGTGGCGGCTGCTACACCGTCGCTGATGCTGCGAAGACTGTTGCCGCTTGATGTAAGTGTTGTGGCGAGTCGTGTCGGAAAGAACATAGATCGTTTATGATTAGGGATGTAAATTAGGCCAAAGTCAACCAGTGAGGGAAGCATGTTCTTGCGCTGTTCGGTCAGCGCATTCGTGTCGTATGCTCGACCGAGCTCCATGCTGGCGAGGACGAAGAGGAACGAGAGCATATCTGTAGCTTCCAGGCCAGCCATTTTGTTAACATCCATGGCCTCGAGCCAGAGCAGCAGCAGCGTCCAGACTTGAGCATTGGCCTCTTGTAGCAAAAAGGTAAAGCCGGCTTGCGTAATGCCGATGCTACCACTAGGTCTGCGATCAACAAGACGACCCGCGACGAGGAGTTCTTTCACGCTCTTATTCGGTCCAGAAGATTCGCCGGCGCTCTTATAGCCTACGCTAGAAACAACAAAGTGCAGGATATCCTCCCATTTCTTTCGGGCGTAGCGATCGAGGAAAGCGATGTCGATTTCGGAGGGGATTTGAAGGTTCGACGGCACACCGAAGGAGTTATGGGTGCCTCCGCCGGACAGCGCAAGTCGGAGTGAGATTTTGAAGTTGGTAGTTAGTTGCATTTCCTGGGGTCGTTCCTTTGACGGAGTCGATATTGAGACGATGTGAAGAACGCGCAGGATAGACAAGGCCTGGTCCTTTTGCCGCTTGTGACTGGGCTTGACCCAGTCATCGAGGTCGCTGAGAAGAATCGGCTTCGGTAAGTAGAGGATGCGCATGACAAAGGTCTTTGCTAAAACATGAGCGTTAGAGAATGTCGCAGCCTGGGAAGAGGTGGCGATGACGACGAACCCAGATGCGGCAGCATGCGCCGAAAGATAGCAAACGCGGTCGAGGGTTGCTGGTAGAGTTTCCTGAAGGTCGTACCAGGGAGCTTCTCGAGATACTCCGCGAGCTGGAGCGACGGCGCTGGGCTGACTGACATGTTGGGCGACAGGGAGGAGCGCGCAGTCAGTCAGAGTCGAAAAGGGTGCTATCTCATGGTCGATCGACGTTGAAGCGGGAGAGAACGTCTCACGGGATGAATCGACGGGAGAAAGAGTAATGTGTTTGGTGTGCGCCTGGAGAAGATCTATGCGGGTGTGCGAAAGGCGTTCGAATATATGTTGAGTGCGAAATATGTGGAAGAACAAAGATTTGACTGTCCTTTGAAACTTCACGAAGCTATTGAGCACAAGCTCCAGGCACGATCAATTATTTTCGGCTTAGCGTGATTGGGTCGTGAGTTTAGCGGGAAAAGCCCGGATAACTACGTCATACACATAACCCCAGAAGACGATCCACGATCATCATCTCTATACATTTCGATCATAAGGCTGAATTATCTTGGCTGACATTCTGGTAGCTAAGAGCGGATATAAAATTCGTCGGTACGAGACCAAAGTTGGTTATTGAGTAGGAAGTTTGTCAAGGGTGGTACAATCTTCGACCCTTCTGCTGTTGCTCGCCATGTTTCAACAAGCCGTCCTAGCATTCATCAAGTCAACTGGAATATGTATGAGAAAAGGAGGTCAAGCTTTATTCTTTAATGATTTATCGTCTAGATTTAAGACACTATGGAAAGGATAGTATCCTAGACTGCATCATGCCGCAACCGTGGAACTAAAAGTTCGCAATAGTAGTTCCCACGTTGCGCTTTCTAGCAAGTTCAAGAATAGCATGACCAGCAGCAAGATCAGTAACACTGATGCCTATGTTCTTGAACACGACGAAACCCTCGCTGATCCACGTCTTAAGATTCTCGATACCCCCTTCAGGCTTCCTCTCAGATTTCTCATCAAGCCAGTCCAGAATCTCGCCTACTTGAACCAAGCGTTCTGCTTTCAAACCACTCTGTATCACCTCCCCTGACTTGACCAAAGCCTCCTCGAGATCATCGACAAGAACACTGCCCTTCTCCCCAATAGGGCTGTATGAATCATTTCGCTCAGCTGCATGACGAAGTATCTCGGGGTCCAGTTCGATCATATCAGGTTGCCATGAACCCACCGCGCTGATGAAGGGCAATCTGCTTCTTGTGCCGTCGCCCAAGATCTTCTTGAGTGGGAACAAGGGGCTTGTTGAACCAACAGTGCAGAAGATTGCGTCGGCTGAGAATAGGAGTGACTCTAATGTTTGATCGTAGTCGGACTGAGCAGGGTCCAAGACATCCAAAGTGGCGGATGATTTCCAGTATTTTTGGTTTTCCTCCGTCACCTGCTTGACCAAATCCTTGGCTCGACCCACAGACCGATTAACGATGGTGATTTTCTTAATCTCTGAACCTCTGAGAGCCAGCGCAAGGCGCGTATGCCACAGGCCTTGCTTCCCGGCCCCAAAGACGACAATATTCTCAGTATTGCGTCTCCAAGTCCAAGGAATCAAAGCGGCCATCGTAGTGCGATACCCAGTAGGTTCAGCAGCATTGAGTATGCCAATTGGAATACCATCTGCGTCACATAGAGAAATAAGACCTCCAAGGGGGCGGTTTATCGGTTTGCCATCAGCGTCCTTGAGAGGTGCGGGGGTGACCACGATCTTGGTTCCGACGCCTTCAGAAGATGTAAAAGCGCGGAAGAGGGTCTTTTGTCCATTTGGTCGATTGACAAAGTCTGGAGTTGGCTGATATTCTCCCTCGCCACCGACTGCGAAGTCGATGAGTACTTTCTCAAGAGCTTGTTTGAACTCAAGAACCTCGTCTTTGGAGAGACCGATGAGGAGGCCGTGAATCTCGGCGTCTCCAAGTACAACGAGGCCGCTAGACATGTTGGTTGTCAAAAACAAAAGAATTAGACTGAGAGACTTTTAGATGGATATAGTTGAGATCTGTTTTTATAGATGTGAAACGGTGAAGTGATCCGGAGCTGGCTTCCTATTGCGAGCTCGGCTTAGAGTTCCTGATCCTTCCGGCCTTTCTCGGCTTGGTCGAGATAAGCTTGAGTACCCGCAAATGTCTCAATTCCTGGATGATGATAAGTACTATCCTTTAACTCTAACAGGATTGCTGAATGTCAATACTGGGATTCTAAGTTCAAAGTCTTATACATTACTTGCTATCAAAGTGCATAAGTTCTATATGATATTTATCATCATGGCATTGATACTACAGTTCCATGCAAAAGTCCCGACAATGAGCCAACGAGAGATATACAATAGAATAGACATATAAAATTAAATATTATTTCAAGAGTTATTATGTGATATTTGGATAACATTGTATAAGGCTATATCTGTAGATTAAAAGAGTCTATCATAGTTTAGGGTAATTCTATTTAAAATCTGGAATAGAGGAAGTTGCCGGAACTTTTACACGCCCACTGTACTTTGTCGCGGTCGGAGCCCGTTGCCGGGGCCGATTACTCCACATTCCCTGGTATGCTCATCCGACTACGGATCGGGCCCCGACAAACTCACCCCAGGTTTCTACTTTCTAGATTAGACCCCGCATCATAGCTCTTATTTGTCCGAGACATGACCTGAGAGAGTATCGAGATATGCTATACAGTTTATGTATAAGTTGGACAGAATCGATAGAGCGACCATGCAGCACCGTTAGGACGTTTCTTCAGCTCGACCCCGTGGCCGAAGGAGTACATACGTAGTAAAGAGGCTCACAATACTCTGGTTTGAAGTTCACTGCAAATTACTTCCAACATGAATACACAGTATCACAAGCATCATATCTCTAACATTCTCACGAGTGTGCGTTGTTCCTGGACCGTTGCATTTCTTCAACGGTCGGCGACAAGCAGGACTGTCTCCGGGCGGCCCACAAATCCGGCGAGCAAAGACCGGAGGTTACCTCACTGCTCCTGCCACAGCGTGTGCTAAGAATGATCCAGGAGTTTCTCTATTACGGTAGTGGAGAGTCTATGTTAAAAGGCCTGGAACAGATACCTCAAAACGGGACCTCAAAGATCGCGTTGGGTTATCTACAGCTCATGATATTGTCTGCAAGGACAACGAAAGTCCACATCCTATCGACAGAAGTATACCGAATTAACGTAGAAGTTTCCAGAGACTGTTTGAATCACCTATCTATTGCGGAGTCTAACATCTGTAACCGTATCCTCAAGGCTGAAAACCACTGGTAAGATCTTCAACCTGTCACATGCCCTCACCCTCCCAGCCCATCCAACAATCTTCCCCAGACCAACGTGACTCTCCCCATCTAACCTATCAAACACGTCTAAAAGACACAATACTTACCTCATCAAGACGCAATGTTTCACCATTTAGCACAAACAGAAGCACTTTAATGCTCGTCGCGTGAGTGACGTCACATGCACATCGCACCTACACCACCTCCCAAAAGTGAGCATGACGACGTCACGACCAAATCCAGGAACAAGAAATTGCGGGTTTGCTTTCCATTACCTACCGTTTGTAGAAGCAGGATCTCAGCGATTCAAAAAGGGCAGTTAAGAAGGCCACCTTTCTTTTTTCCCTCCGACGTATCTTTGCTCCAACACTCTCTACACAACTTTACTCGCATCACATCAACAAGACAAAATGGCCATCACCAGCGCTGTCAACGACCTTTTCGCCTCCATCTATGAGCTCTTTGCCTCAGTCTTCAACACAATCTACACCGTTATCCACGCTATCTTCTCCGCCATCCTGGGTTTCATCCAGGGTTTCTTCAACCTCATCACCGATGTTCTCTCTGGCCTCGTTGACGTCACAGGCGGAGTTGGCAAATTCGTGGCCAGTAAGTTTTCACACCTCTCTCCTCCTTCTCATTACTCTACCAGATTACTAACAGTAGATGAATCTAGGCAACGCTGCCATTCTGGCTGTCGGAGCCCTTGCTGCTTTCGCCTATGTGAGATACACTGCGCAAGGAAAGGCTGTTGCGAACAAGAAGACCCAGTAAGGGGATGTTCTTAGTTTGAGATACCTGAATTTGGTACGGCTATATACTCTTTACTAGGACATATTGCTGCTTGGCGCGATGGAGGATATACACGATACCCTGGCGATGAACGACGATAGGATCCTAGCTTTAGGAGGGAAAGGGGTTGCTTTCTTTGCTTACTTCTAGCTTAATCGATCAAATTGAAGTGATAATTCCATCTGCCTCTGCGACTTGCTCTTATATCCCCGACTTACAGCCTTTTAAAGTTCACATGCAGGTCAATGACGATCGCTTAGCTCTGCAGATCAACCGCACGGTCGTATGCTGATTAGGTAGCAATCTTGTCAGTTACCGTCTTGGCTCTGTTGCATGTAATCAGCACTGGTGACCAGGCCATGGCGAATATCTGAGCAGTTTCCTAAATTCAGTTGTCCAGACATCACGAAACAGTCAAGGCGCACATCCATCTCATCTCAGGATTGGTCAAAGTTCAATATCGTAAATTCGTTAATGTTATGGTGGTTTTCCAATAAGTACTCCCATGGCCAAACTTGTCTAAATCCTTCGAACCTTTGTAGTATTCCCATCAATATACACACTGTAATCTTTGTCCCAAATATTGACAAACAAATTCGAAATATACCAATGCCCGTGCGAAGCCATCTAGGCCCCTTCCATATCGTTTTCCAGTAAAATTCATTCACCTCAGTTTTCGCTTTGCGTAGTCTTGTCCCACAGGTTGGCGACAAGCCGTTCAGGTCAGAGTAGCAAACATGGCCCGCATGAGCTTAGGGGGAGGTCCTGTGGAGCCCAGTCAGCCAGACGCTCTCAAGAAGATGTATGACAACGTAAAGGCGCACCTTCAACGGTACTTAGGTACGCTAATGGCCATCCTACCTTTCTTGTCCTTCTCAATACGAGGAGGTTTGCGGTGTTCAACCACCTTCTCTAATCTTTCCTCCCTGATAATCAGCTGGCCATCAGGCAAGCGCTCGGCACGAACGATATCGCCGCTTGTGGAACGTCCTCTGGGTCGGTGAGCCAGCTCACGCTCCAGAGCCTTGATTTCCTTTCGAATGTCACGGCCATTTCGGGACTGGGAGCGGGCTCGAACGATAAGCTCCTCTGGCTGCTGGTGGTGGTGATGATAAGAATCCCGGTGGTAAGAGTCATAGCTCGTCATGGTAGTGCTGGATCGAGATGGCGAAACTTCGCGAATAACGGTCTCCTCATAATCATAGGCTGTTTGTGGAGGAGGTGGGCCTGGCTGATAGAACGTAGGAGGAGGGCCAGGCTGGGCCATGGGAGGCATAGGAGTTTGCATCGGAGGGGGCTGCATGTGCATCGGAGGGGGCTGCATATACATCGGTGGTGGAGGAGCCGGGGTTGGCATCATCTGGGGAGGCATGGGAGGTGGTGGCGCTTGTTGCATGGGGGGCAGCTGGACGGGAGGTGCTTGAACGGGAGGAGGTGCTTGCTGAACAGGAGGAGGAGGCGGTGGAGGAGTCTTTGCTGGTGGTGGCTCAGGAGTAGGCTCCCTTTCCGTAGGTGGTGGTGGCAAAGCAGCAGTAGGCGCCTTGGGCGCTCTTGAAGCGGCGATTTCAGCCTCGACTATGTCGCATTAGCAGAGTACGTGGCTCACTACACGGCAGACTTACCCTTCTTGTAATCCTCGCTAACCTTGAGCAGCTCATCGATGTTGTCCTGGCCCAAAGCCTTCTGCACGATAATCGTGTTGCCCTGTAATTATGTTAAAAGCTGCAATAACAATATCTTGCAAGTCACATACCTCTTCAAAGAATGGGTATCCAAGATCAATCAGAGCACGCTTGGAAACAAGTTTGGCAGGAATGCGAGTCTTGCCCTTCTTGGGATATTCGCTCTTGACTGTGGTACCTCCGCTGCTGCTGGAGGAACGGCTGGAAGAAGAGACAGATTCGCTACGAACTGAGCGAGTACGGGTAGAGCGAGAATCTCGGCTACGGCCACGGCTCTTGCGAGATCGAGTGTACTCCTTTTCACGGACACGTTCAGGCATAGAACGGTAATCTTCATCTCCGTAGTAATCAGGCTCGGCGATTTTGATATCGTCATAGTGCTCGTCGCCGTATTTGCGAGGTGGGGGAAGTCCTCGGCTCTTAGGCAGAGGGATGGGCATATAAGGAGGAGGACGGTAGTCATCTCGAGGGTCTCGATGATCTCGAGGACGGACATCCTCGCGGCGAGCAGGAGCTGGGTATTCCTCACGATGATGTAGGAAGCCTGGTCGGCGGTCAAAGGTATCAAGGGATGATTGTCGGCGAAGGAAGCCCGGCCGGCGAGGGGGAGAAGCACGGCGAGGATAATCTCGCTCCCTCTCCCTCTCTAGGACATCAGTACGGCGAGCCCATGGAGGAGGGGCATCTCGCTCTCGCTCTCGCTCCCTTTCTGGCTGGGGATGGCGAGGCTCATCGCCGTAGTAGCGGCGGTCACGGACCATGTCGTCTTCGTCGTAGTAACCGCGGCCAGGTCGGCGGTCGTGTCGCTCATCAGAATGGTCGCGGCCTCGTGTGCTGCGTGTGTACGAGCGATCATCGTCGAAGCGACTACTGGATTGTTCACCGCGGGCTCGCTCGAAGCGATCGCGATCCCAGCGTTCGGCCATTGTGGGGGTTTGTTGTGTGGATAAGGCTGCTTGCTACAAAGCAGTCGGAAACGTAAAGAAAGACTGGTGCTCTGAAATAAGTGTTTCCAGTCGATGTCAGCGGTAGAGGCGTCGAGGCGCCCTTAGCGAAAGGGTATTAAATGAGCTTGAAGGTTAGAGTGGTGATGGAGAAGGAAAGGGAAAGAGGAGAGAAACGGACGAGATGTACTGGAGGGTGGGGGATACTTGTGAGGAGAGAGAGGGAGGTAAAGAACCAAGGATTAGTCCGTAGTGGTATGAATATCCAGCTGGGATTGGATGAGCGAGATGGAGGGTGAGGGTGTGAGGACGACCGATGACGTTGACTGCCCGTGGGTTCAGAGTTCAGACCCCGCTTGTCGCTTCCATTCCAGGGCCGGTCCAGTGGACCCCACCGCTTGTGACTCCCGCTACAGGGGCTGGGCGGTACAATTGCAAGAGGGGAGAGCCCTGGAGTTTTTATTGCTCAGCTGATGACGACTTCTGATGAGACTCTGGGTAATCTGTGAAACAGGGAGACACCTGATACTGGTCATATCGAGGACACAAGAGTTGTATTACTTGAATAACTCGAATCTCGGTGTCCAAGTCCAATATGGCACAGTTGAAACGTTACGTTTTTGCGTTTCTGTACCCGACACAAAGAAAAAGTCTACTAATTAAGCCCTCTGGCTGCTGCTTCGATAGATGGCTTGTGCTTGGGCGTCGAGACCAAGTGGGCCGGCTTTGGCAAAAGCCGGATTATGGCACATTGATGCAGGGACTGGGGTGCGTTGAGGCTGTGGGCATTTGACGGAAGGATAGTTGATAGTTTGAGATGGATAGGTAATACGGTTTGGTCTTTGTAAATGAATGGATTTTGCAACGGTAACCACGAATTTACGAACAAATTCGATATACCACGTCGTGGTATAATGTGTTTTCCAAGGCAGATGATCAACCGCGTGGGTCACCTTCAAACCCACGCTTCTAAAAATGGTACCTCTTACCATTCTCCATCTTCATGATAACAGAGCAGAGCAAAGCCCACATGGAACAAAGTTTCTTGACCTGCAGGGTCCCCCCTTGAAGGGAACTAATCGAGCCTCAAGCATTTCCATTTTCATTCTCATTCTCGTCTTTACCGAGCTTATGTCCACCACAGATAGCATTGGCCTTGTACGCCCTCTTTGATCATATATGATGCTTCTCGTAACCGAAGGAATGATATGGGTATCTTGCATGACATCTTTGCACGACACATCCATGTCTAGATGCTGGCCAATACCTAAACAACTGACCGGCAGGAGCTTGAAAACGCCAATCTCCAACTGCCGCGATGAGGCCAGTGCCACCACTTCATTGTTCCCATCCGGCTTACACTACTAGTCTTGGTGTCCTTTTCTTTGAGTGCAAAATAATTAACAAACTTGTTCCGGGGAGCTCGGAAGATGTCAGCTTTGACTTGTCTGATCCAGAATAACTTCTCATCACGAACAAGACCCATCCTTGACCGAAGCTCTCGTGAGACGCAAGGACCTCATCTCAGGGTTTTACATGCTGTGCAATGACGTCGGTCGATCCAAGTACGACGTTTCTCGTCTCCGCTAAAACAATCCATCTCCGAACCAATCAAACATCTTTATCTGCTTGGGCACTCACACGTGAAACCTGGAGCTGCTGGATCTTGGCAATTCCCCAGAAGTGATCATCGCGAGTGCTTCGGCTTGATCCGACATGACACTACATTACATTACATTACATTGGGCACGGCAACCTTCATCTCGGTACCCGATCAACCTTTCTGGGCCTCTAAGAGATCGAACTTGTTGATCTGCTCCATAGCTTATCTTTTAATCCTCCGACATGATGGACCCCTGCTTGCCCTACGCCTTTGTGCCTTGGTCCATGACTGCATGTTATAAGCCTCCGCCCTCCGCCCTGCAGCAGCTCATTCGTTTTGTTTCCACCTTTTCCTTCATCTCGCTATAGCGGCGTCTTTGAGCTAGTGCTTTCTCACGGTCCGGGTTGGGTCAGATGTTGTTCGCCGAAGTCTTTGACTAGTGTCAAGTGTCAACGTGGATGTCCTTGGCTTTGCTTTCAACGCGACTCCACTTGTTGCGAATTGGGCCTTTCCTTGTCCAGGGTGGCCTCACTTAGACGTCTGCACAGACTCATCATTGATTTAGCAAACTCTGCACCGTCTCGCTAATACAGCGGATATAACATATGGCGTTGGCCTGTAACGTTACAAGTAGTATCCGTATCAGTTTACCGCTTCTTATACAAGCAGTGGAGACCCAAGTTCAAGCCAAGTATCCTGGCGAATTGCATGTTCAACTTCTACTTTCGAATTACTGCCGTTCATTGTGTATCCTAAATAACCCGACAAATAATACAAAAACCCAAGCATACCCCCCGCACAATTGCACCTGTCGTGCTACCCTTGGCATCAGGCACTTAACATCCCAGAGCAACAGCGTTAGCAAACAGAGCGTAGGTGTCAGCGTGGTTGATGTTCTGCTCGGCAGTCAAGCTACGGAGGAAGTTGTATCCGTAACCACCAAAGTCGGAGGTACCCTTGATCTGGTTGAGATGGGTCATCTCGTGCAAGTTGGTGTTTCCCTGATCCTGTCCGTGGCAGGTCGTCGTGGTGGCTTGAAGACGGTCGAAGTACAGGTCGCAGTAGGCCATGTAGCTTCCTCCGGGAAGGGTGTACGCAAGAACACCGTTCTGGCATGAGTTGTACACGTCTGAGCAGTAGTAACGCGAGTCTCCGGCGTTGGTAGATCCACACTCGGCAGCAATTTTGGAGAAGACGTCGGCTACGGTTGATCGAGTAGCAGCGTCAGATGCCTTGAAGTACTCCTCCATCTTCTCAGCAGGGCCGTTGGAGGCAGCTTGCTGAGCTTGAGAAGCCTGGCTGGCACAGTTCGCCAGAGCAGCCTGTGTGGCTGCGAGTTTGTTGCCGGAGCAGTCACTCTGGACATTGGTTCGCTTCTGGTGGAAGGCGGTGCGGACGGAGAAGGCCTGGGGGCCGTCGACCTCGGCGTCGAGCCGGTTGGAGTAAAAGGGCACAGAGCCGACCAACTCAGTCGAGTTCCCTGTGGCGAAAGATAGAGCGCCGGACGAAAGAACGCTGAACTTGCCACCAGCGGAAAGATCATGGTATTCGGCAATGTCGAAGCTCACTTCGTATGATTCACCAGAGGGGATGCTCTGGAAGGCGGTGTCATCGAGCACCGAGGTGTCGAGGGAAATTCGAACACCATCAAAGGGAACAGTCTTTTCTGCGCAATTGTTAGTAAGTGTATAAGTGTGATAAGTTTCGATGTGATAGCAGTCTCGGGAGTCTTCGGCGAAATGTGTCTGTTCTATTTCGCTGCAAGTCGCCCGAGTCTCAAGCTTTACCATGAACTCGATGCGCAGCGAACACAAACAGACTCATATCCAACCCAGTTGACAGTTTCGCCACGATTCTCCTTTCACGTCAAATCCAGAATCTCTTACCGGCAGAAAAGACCTGAGCCCTCTCAACAGGAGCCGTATCAAGGAATGTTCCAACCTTGAGCAGCTTCAAGTTGCTCTTCCCGTTGTTGGTGATAACAGCCTTGACCTTGGAGTTACCCATCATCTGAAGTTCAACATTCAGAGGAGTAGGAGCGCGCTTGTCCACCAGGGGAGCGGCAACAGCCATCGAGGCGAGAGCAAGACCTGCAAGCAACTTCATATTGAACGATAAACCAGATCGAACGAATGTGAGGCGAAAAAGAGTGTAGTTAGTTAATGATTGGAGAGAAAGAAGAATAAAAAGAAACGAATGAATGAATGAACGAAAGAATAGGGAACGTCGATAGTGAAAGAAGAATGGAACATGTTGAAAATGCTTGCGAGATCGCGAGGCCTTATATGATGTAACCTGAAACCTTGAGACTCGTCTGAACATGCGAGCCAGGGGCATGCGACGATTGTGATGGATCAGATGCTACGGTCTAGATGTGGACCGTGATCAGGGTTTATTTCGGAGATGGCTTGCAGATGTTCATATGTTTGATACAAGCGGTTTCCAGGGCTGTTTGGCGGTGGTAATATAAACAACTAGTAATTCTCCGATGGCTGCTATGTTTCGTGAGACGTGGTACTATCGAGGGCCTGATCTCCCAACTACAACTCAATGCTATGAGGATTGCCATTTTGCACGTATTCCCATAAGCCGGCTTTTCAATTAGGATATTCGTCAACATGTTAACTATTTACCTATAATCAACCAACATCGCCTTCAAAATCCATCTTCAAATTCGAGATTAAAAAAGGATCAAAGTGAGGTCCGGGCGTCATGCCAAAATATCTGTCTCAGCCAGGTTCCCGAAACACAGCTCGTAACATCGCCACTAGGATGAGCCCCCTGACACTTTAACTCCTTAGCCAAAAGCATAAGCAAAAGAAAGACGATAATCAGATCGGAATCAGCAAAATGAGATCGTCGTAACATAACAAGGTTTATTTTTTGAGCTTCGGCGCTAACTGCGGAATATTCTAGGGAGTTTGTATGTTTGTTTGCAGTATATTACTGCCACTTGTCAATATGAGGCGGCGTTTGGCCGGTTGGAGAAGGTGATGTTTAATTTTTAGTAATACGGAAGGCCGTTCAAGTGCTTCTATGGATTGTTATTTTAACATGTGGCCGTCCTAGAACTATGCCATCCTATGTCAGGGCGTTGTGTCAGGTGGCCAACAAGATGAGTGGCCTAGAGACACTCTCCAAGTCTGCTACAGCTCCCTAATGAATATAAACTCCTACTTCTAGGAACAAACTAATCACTCAATAGGCCTCTCTTACTATGGTATTTACAGTCACATGGGAGAGTCTACAACATATTATTCAACCCTGATACTCGTTACAAGATCCTTCACAGCTCGTATACTTGATCCACTTCCCTTTGTCTCCCGTCAAACAACACTTAATTACCTTCCCGTCTTTTGCACAAGAAGCAATCCATGTCCTTGCTCGATACCTCATAAATAACTCTGAAGTACGAGGATCGGCATAATATTGCCTGCTTAGGACCTTTCGAGAAGGTGCTGATATAGATCAAACAAGTCAGCATGGATCAGTTTGAGAACCCAACATGCGCACCTTCTCCAGATACTTCTATTGGTAAGATCACTCCGTCTTCTGGAACAAACATAGGAAATCCCTCACTCAACACATGGTTCTTGCTTGTTGATAGCTTGTGGGTAATGGTATGTGAGCCGGTTGCGTGAGTAACTTCTTGGCTACTACGTGCATACTCGTTATCCAACCGAATGCTCTACGGACTGGTGATTTTTCTCGTTTTAGAGTAAGGCCCTTTGGAAGTTTTCCAGGAGATATGGTCTCAGACACATTAGCCTTAGAGCAGCCTTTACATGGTGGGCATCCTCTGCTGTGGTACTCGTTTGCTCTGCCGCAACGATGAGTCGTAAACTTCCGCCGGGACATAGAAAACCTCTAGTCCGGAGCATGTAGAAGTCCCTAACATGCTTTTACGTACAGGAAGACGACTCGGATATGTTCGAGATGCTTGTGACATATAACGTATAGGCACCGAGACTTCCTCCTGATGCATGTTAGTTAGGATATCAGCGTGCAGAGTGATAACATATTACTTACAAACTACTGTATTGTCGTTGCTGAGAGAATATTAGTCTTCGATATAGTCATTGATCCAAGCTATAATGATGGAGCCCGCTGTCTATACCTGTACCATAACGCTCCATGGGTACAGCATACCTTCAATCTGGAACACGACCTGTGTATACGAAGCATATCTGTTACTCACCAATAGCTTCACCGTAACTTCCACCTAGGCCCATCACTGAAATTGTGTCTGTAGCAGTTCGTCTATAAGTGGTTCTCGCCGACTCTATGCGAAGCATTTGCTCTACAATAGAGGCTGGGAAGCATAAAAGTAACTGCAATATTATCGAAGATGAGTAATCGAGGAGTGGCACTCGAGACCCGGAGCAAGGTGGGCAGCGCTCTTCTCCTTCGGGGTTTACAAGATATCAATCGTGCTCGCGTTGCTGGTTTGAAGATCAGTATTCAGTGATACAAATCTCTCTCATAGAAGTAGCCAGCACATGAATGCAGATGAGTGAGGGTGCTAGTCTTGAAACGAATACTACTTCAAACAAAAATAATCAATAAGATTACAATATCGATGACAGGTGATACGCAAATGAGAACTATTACAATGGTAAATAGCAAACAAAAATGTCAATCGAATTGGCAAAAGGAATGATCACGCTGGGGATCGAACCCAGAATCTTCTGATTCGTAGTCAGACGCCTTGCCATTGGGCCACGCGACCTGTTCTTGTTATTGACTTAGCACCCGGATTCTCGGTATACGGACTCGGCTATCGATAGTGCATTCAGCCCACTCGACCCGAGGGGAGCTGAAAGGTCAAGGGGGTGGACCTTTGTTGATCAGTGCGCATTCAATAGTCTGATAACAGGATATTGAGTCATAGCTGATGAGGTGAGGAATTTGCCATATTGGAAGCGAGAGATATCCTTCATATGATATGCATCAATAACCCAACCGTACACTGGAACTATATTGTAAATAAAGTCAGTCCATCACTCCTTTATAAGGGAGAGTAATCCTCTTTCTTGGCTAGCGGCACAGCACAAAGAATGCACGTGAGATAATTGTGCCCCTGGATCCTGCGTTAGGCTCAATTAATCATTAATCTACAGGTCTCGACCTCCCTTGAAAACGGCTGGACCCGCCATGTTAAGTTATTTTAATGGGGACTGGCAGGTAGACGTTGACCTTTATTTCCCTGGTGGCCCTTTTCCTTTTCGTAGAGGAACTTAAGACTTCGACTGTCCTCTATGCCTTTTATATATTTGAGACGGGGACTGAAACAATCCCTTGTTCCTTTGACGTCAACTTCTTTGGGGTCGTGCACGTCAATTCCACTCATTTTTTGTTATTATTCGTATATCTAGGAGACTTCTCCTCAAAAACCCCACGCCATGGCCATCTTCGCGTCTTCAGCCCTGCGACTTCTCATCGGTCTAACCATCGCACTCAGCTTCATTGCATTTTTCACACCAACAGACTCAGTCTCTGCAGTAGCAGCCTCGTTCAGAATGCCTGTAGCACTGCGCAACCTGGAGGTTACCATTGAGCAGATGGAGAAGGACCCCGTGCTGCTTCGCACCTCTGTCAAAAACAACAACGACGTCCCTGTCACCATCCTCAGCTACGGCTCACCCCTGGATGCGCTAGCCATTCAACTCGGCACGCTCTACATCACCCCCAAAGACGAGAGCGCACCTCTTGAGATTCTACAGATTGAAGCTTCAAGACTGTGGCCTCCGGCTGACGACGCTCTGATTGAGATTGCCCCCGGCGGCACTGCCTTTTGGGAATCCACCCTGCAGGAGCCCGTCGTTCCCATGGACAGGGTATTCAAGGGCGCGACGGTGCAGCTCAAGGGTACCTGGAGCTCGGTGTGGACGAAGGAGAAGAAGGATATCGATTACAGCTCTCTCGAGGAAGGGAGTCGAGCAAACGAGACTTTGACGGGCCCTTACAGGTCGAATGTTCTTCAAATTGAGGTTGCTTAAAGTCCAAAGTAGACATAATTGGGTTTTGTATTGGCGTTTAGGGTATAATTAATGGGCTCACTTGCCCCCAACAGCACGATTGTTTGAGGGGCAGAATTGTTGAGGGTATAATGGACAGTGGCTTATCGAGGAACGCAAGGGGCGGAACGGTTTTTACAGTACATACAATCCAAGCATTCTTCGTCTCCCTGTATTGTCAGACAACCACGCATACCCTGTAGCAGTAATGAAACCAACAGATGAATTCAAGCCACGACGTCCAAGACACGGAACACAGGATATATGAAAAGGTATTTCAGAGGTTTTAGACAAAAAGCTTAAAACAGTATAATTGATCTTGATCAATTCAGATATTTGGGTTAAGGACCTTCTTAAGACAGCTTTCCCTCAATTTAAGAACTCTCTATTCGGTAAACGTCGAAGATGATCTTGGGAATGTTGTGAAAGGTAGACGAGACGATCACCACGAAATTAGGTCTGGAAGGAATTAACCATGGAATATTTTATCCCAGTACTACAAAGCCATCTAGCTATCAACTGTATCTCTTTTCAACCTCGACCAATTATTCATCCTCAGCAACTCGCTACTCCCGAACAAACAACCCAGCCATACCCATCCCCGTTCCGATACACATACTCACAACACCAACCTCACCACCATCCCTCTTTAGCCCATGCAGCAACGTGCTCGTCATGCGTGCACCTGTCGCACCAAGAGGATGTCCCAGCGCAATAGCGCCTCCGTCAGGGTTAACCTTCTCCTTCGTCCACGCATCCTCGAGACCTAGCTCCCGCACGCAGTGCAGCGCCTGGCTCGCAAACGCCTCGTTGATCTCCCACCGCGAAACATCCTCCTTCTGCAGACCGACCTGGTCGAGGAGCTTGGGGATCGCGAGCGCAGGGCCGATGCCCATCTCGTCTGGGTCGCAGCCGACTGTCACTGCGGAGACGAACTTGCCGATGATGCGGTCTTGTAGACCCAGGGCTGTGGCGGTGCTTCGGCGCATGAGCAGTGTTGCGGCTGCGCCGTCGGAGACCTGGCTTGAGTTTCCGGCTGTGGAGGCGCCGTCGGCCTTGAAGGCGGGTTTGAGCTTGGTCAATGCCTCGACGGTGACGCCCTCGCGGATGCCGTCGTCTGCGGTGACGGTGATGCGCTGCTCCTCGCCGACCTTGTTGCCTTGCTTATCAACCTCCTGGAACCGTGTCTCAACAGGCACAATCTCCTCTGCAAAGCGACCCTCGCTTCTCGCACGGGCAGCTCGTCGGTGGGACTCAACAGCCATAGCATCTTGATCCGCTCTCGAGACTCCATAACGCTCCGCGACGTTCTCCGACGTCAAGCCCATAGGCATAATACAATCCCGCGCATGATGGTTAGGCGACTCCTTGAGTTCAGGCCACACATCCACAGGAATGGCTCTTGATCCGTAATTTCTCGTCATACTCTCCATACCCGCCGCAATACCCGTATCAATCATGCCCGTCTGAATCTGTCCCGACACCGCAGCAATAGCCTGCAGCGAACTCGAACAGGCGCGATTCACGGTGTACAAACTGGTAGTGTTCTTGAACCCAACGTGGTTGAGCGCCATGCGCGCCGCCTTTGAACCGCCGAGCTCGGAGAGCACAACTCCGACAGCGACATCGTCAACTGGGGCCTCTGGGTGTGCTTTGAGAGTAGCCTTGAGGACACTGGCTAGCAGCTCCTCAGGGTAAGCATCCTTAAGACGACCGCGGTAAGAGCGGCAGATAGGTGTGCGAACCGACGAGAGAATGACCGTGTCGGATGGGGATTTGGCGAGGACGCCTGAGAGGCCTTTGTGGAGACGTGCCGACATTATGAAGCTATTTTCTGGGGTAATATGAAGGTCAAGAAAGATGCTCTTGAAGGATTCACACCTATTGATAAGATGAAAAGAAGGAAAAGGGATTAGGAGCTCACAATGAGAACTTGAGAAGCAGGAGAGGATGTTACTGAGGCCGGGTAAGTATATATCCTCATTCAATTGCCCTCCACCCCCGCCGAAAGCCGGAAGTTCGGATCACCCCCGTGGAGACGAGCCGGAAGTGGGTCCTCGACTCGGCTCCAGACATCGGCTATTGTGTCGGCAGGTCGGGTAGTAGCCCGACCGACACTACGACGTGCATTTAATTCCACCCACAAAACATCGTGATAAAGCTTCACAAAGAATATGCATGTCTCTTTGCAGCTTTTGCATTTATACATTGACTATGGCATTCTTCCTTCGACCAAAAATAGCCAGCTAGCAACAAGCCAGCAATGTAAACCATCAACGCCCTCTTGCTCTATGCCGTCATAATAATCGTTTAGTATACACCCTTTCCAAACTCCATATTTGCAATCTGCTTCTTGGATGTGCTGAACATGCTACTCCTTGTATTGAATCCCTAGCCCTAGCTTCTTATGACCATCGGTCAACTGCTCAACCACTCTAGACTTTTTCGCTGGACTCTCCTGATCACGTCGTGCTTCCCCTGTTGGCGTGTAATTTTCACTGAACTTGCGCTTATCCCCGTCCCCGTTGCGATGGGACAGCAACCTCTCTTGCATACGGACTGACTTCTCCATTGCACCTGGCATGTTCTTACGTGATTCGGCCACTTCGAAGCTCTGCCGCGGATCTCGCCGCAGCATTTCTGTAGCAGCTTGGCTGGCCTGGCTGTCATAGATCTCCTGGTCCTGGCTATTGCGGTTCCGGGAGTGTGATGTATGTGACGCCTGTGATGTGAACGACTGAGCAGCAGCAACCGACTCCAGCGCTTGCCTGGCTAGCTCTTCGTTGTCGTCGACTGATATAGTGCTCTCTCGGCTCCGGCGGCGCCGTTCACTGTGTGAAGTTGGGGTTGTGGGAATGAATTGTCTCTGTGAGTATCGGTGAGGTTCTGTGTGAGGCACCAGGTCAGCGGATGGAAGGAGCCCAACATGTGCGCCCACGGGCCGGTTCATAGGCGTCGTGGGGAGGGACGACATGGATTGGGCGTTGCGGCTGTGTTTTCCAACATGTCGTGGCGTCGGCCTGTGGGGATGCATGGGAGTCGACGGTGCGCTGTTGTTATCCTGGCTCATAGCCTGCAACAAAGCTGACAGGCCATGCTCGCCTTGTCTATCTCGTACCTGTGATCTTGACGCCGGTTGCTGAGAGGTGCGGTGACCCTGTGAATTCGAAACAACAGCGGCTTTCTGTTTGGGCGTCAGAGCTCCGTGGAATATCCCTCCTGGTTTGCAGAGCATCTGCATGTGTTCTCTGTTCTCCCGTATTCTGTTCAATAACATATCTCGCTCCTCAACAAGAGCAATGCATTCGTCCTCGCTTTGCTTGATAACCTTCTTAGCAGTCGTAACGCGGCGCTGGAGAATCTCGTTTTCTTGTTTCGTGGCCTCGTACCACGTCTTCATCTGCAGATACTTTACTTGCACAGTCTCGGATGCCGAACTCAAGTCCTTTCTGGCTTGTCGACTGTGCTCTGCATTGCGTAGCGCGTCCACTTCGCGACGCATCATTTCATGTTCCACCGCGGCGCGCTTGGCATCGTCGTCAGCCTGGAGAGACAATAAACTGTACTGCAGCTTGTGATGAGCTGTCTCCATCTTGAGCTTCTGCTGTTCTGCAACAGCCGATTGGAGCATGGCGCGCAGCTCGTCGGCGGACGCCTCAAGAACCAGTTGCGGAGGAGGGGGAAGAAATTCCGATATCGAAGCACGATCGCGAACATTGTTGGGAACGGTGGCTGGCGGAGAGAAGAGTGTTGACTGCTGAGAGCCAGAGAACTTTCGTTTAGAAGGAGCCGGCTGACTGGCGATGTGACTGCTGTTGACCTGAGTCGAGGGAGGTGGTGTAAGTGACGAAGGAATAACAGTGAGAGCCGGACGCTCTTCGTTGACTTCGGTGGTAAAAGATTCGCCTGGATCGATGGGTGAGTTCGGGATCTCGGTCGATGGTAGCGTCGTTTGGGGCGGATCTTGAGGTCCAATCTCTTGAGTCGCTGGAGCCTGCATTGATTTTGTGATAAGGTGGTGCTTAACAACAATTGTATCGCCCGTCGGTGACTGAGCCGGGATTGTCTCAGGAAGAGAAGCCATGTTGAAGCGGTCGGAGGTAGCTGTCGATTGAATCCTCCAGGATTCACGGCGCGTCGACACCGATATATCGTCAATTCGATCCACAGGGCAGTACAGACAGATCTCCGTCAGCGGTAAACAAATATCGCCAAATCTCCCGCTCTGCACATGGGTTTGTTTTGTCCTTGCGCGCGTCGTCCAATCCAAGGTTAAGCTTTTTTTCGAATGATGCGTCTGCAGCCAAAGCAATACGCACGCACACACACAAAGCGCGCCGCGAAACGAAGCTGGGGATCCACAAAAACAACGATTGTGTTTACGAAACAACAATCAACCGCGAAGATCCAATGGGTAGCGAAACAATGAGTAACCAAACGTATTGAGTGGGTAGAAAATAAGGCAGAAGCGATAAGAGCTTCGGCCTGTGACGCTGTCGTTTGTGGTTGCTTCAACTGGAGCTCTGGATGAAAGATGAATGCCTAGGAACAAGGGTTTTTCCGTCACGCGTGCCTTGCTTGTGACTTGGTCTGCCACTAAACCTCCACTGGAGAAGTACAGTACCTAGTACCTAGAGACCTAGCTCCTTGGTACCTATCACAACCTCAATAAACTTGGCCATTTTATGTTAGGAACCAAAATACTGGGACTATTTTAATTCTACTGAGAGATCCATTTGTTGTACTTCTCATGCTCAGTCAGCTAGGTGGACTGACTTTTGCTCTATAGGCGAGCACGGCCTGTACTCCGTCCAGCTGCACTTGATCCACAGACGTTATCTGTCACCAAGACAAATGAAACAAAGGTCGTCTATTCAAGCGGAGAAACTGCTCGATATAGTATTGAAACAAATGAATCAAACAAATAGCCAAAAACGACTATTATCGAAATAAAACATCAACAATTCCCCAACACCTAACTTTTATCCCACAACTCCAAAAACCCAGCACCAAACGCCCCCAGCTTGTAATCCCTCCCTCAAACAATAACATCAGCCATCTGCTTCTCCTTCTTCGACTCTCTCCACTTCGTAAAGCGCTTCTTAATAGCTCTCCCCGTGACACCAAAGAGAACATACACCCAGATGATGGGCCAGAACAGAAAAACGCAGATCCACCATGCCAACACACCCAGCCTGGCCCATCCCTTGCTGTGGTGGTCGCGATACCAATCCGGCACCCACCGCCCGGCTTTGCTACGTCCGTTGAGGCAGATGATACTGATGAGACCGAAGACGAACCAGCCGACCGTCCACATGGCTGCGACGATTTTGATTGTGTTGCGCGGGCCGAGCGAAGCGCTTTTGAGGACGTCGTCGTTAACCGCTAACGTTACCTCGCGGGGCAGGAGCGCGAGAGCCTCGATGAAGTCTGAAGATAGTTTGACAGTCATGGTTTACTGATTGGTTGTTGTAGATGTTGTGTGTCTTGTATTGTGTGATGATATCGTGAGGTGTGGCGTGCGCTGTGTTTTTGTGATCGACTTATAGCTTTCGCGCGGAGGATTCAAAGTGATTGAGAGATACTCGAACAATGTTCCACATATGAAAAGAGAAGTGATGAAGATATGTCCATTTGGGTGACAGGATGCTGGGTTTTATACTTGACGGCTAAAGTTTGTCGTGATATAGAGTTGAGTGATGACCGAGTCAAAGTTCAGGGCCGACCTTCCCCCTGAGGATGAACGCCAATCCCCGTTGCCACAAATGCCATCAGGAAATAAAGGCGCACCTTCCTCAGAAGTACAGTATATCAAAGCTCTATAAGTGCTGCTCAACACAGTGATTCAGAGGTGGTGAGGGCAGATAGTTCCGAATAACCTCCTTGATAAAGATGATAGAAAGTCTAAAGAGAAATAACACCGAAAAGATCAATGCGAGAAGGCAGAAATAGACAGATAGGCTCGGTTTGAGTGATATCAAGAACTTTGCGAGAGAAAAACGCATTAGAGCTGTCTTTACATTGTGAGTCACTCCAAGCTGGGGGTACAGACATGTGTCTTCGCAAAGATCAACTATCAGAGTGTGTCTTTGTCCTGAGAAGAGAGCTTCGGGCTTGAAGAAACATTCTCAGTGACCTCCATGCAAAGGGTTCCTCAAGTGACCACCAAACATCATCACAAGCATTGCATGAACAAGAACAATTAATGTGCCGAATAGCTTGGATCTTGACCAAAGTATATTTACAAGAACGTAAGATGGTATAGTTCCCCAAAGTAATAAAAGTAACTAAGCGCAGCAAAATATGTACTAAGAATAGAATAACCACCCATACCAAGCGCAATAACATCGCCCTCGATAATACAGCTCCACGCCTTCATAACACCGTGCTTCGCCGTTCAATCCACGTCAGGCTCATTGTCGTCGCCCTGCCAAGCGCCCATCTCAGCGACAGGAACACGCCCCCTGAGCCATCTCAGAGTAGCATCTGTGCCTCGCTCAATCACGTTCCATCGAGGAACCCTGAATCGGTTGCCTGCTACTTCAAATCTCTCAAGACCACCAAGGCCCCCAAGAAGGCCGATGCGTGGGTTTAAGTGAGCAATGTCGTTGTTGCTCAAGTCCACAATTTTCAGGCCCTTGATCATTTCTGGCTCAAGATCCGTGATGTGATTGTTGCTCGCCAGGAGGACATTCAGGCTAGGGAAAGCCTCCTTAAGATCTGTCGGGAGAGAGTTGAGTCTGTTCATGGTAATATCGATCTTCTCCAGACTTGGCGCATGTAGGAACTCCGTGAGCGCTTTGAGACCAGTGATGTGGTTCGATGCCAGGTTAAGTTCCCTCAATGCTGGTAGGTCCAGTTCCTCAGTCAGATAAGCCTCGCCTACCAGTTGATTGTGAGACAAGGACAGGGCTGTCAATGTCTCGGCAAAAAAGCTAAGCGAGTTCGGCAGAGTAGCGAAAAGGTTGTTCTGAAGGAAGATTTGGCGAACCCGATGTTCGGCCGCAACCTTTGAGCATACGACAGGGTGGAGTGATGATGACTCGGTTTGAGATCGGTCCAAGATACCACCAGGCTTTACCGGCCATGACTGGTTCGATAGAGTGTGCGATCGAGAGCGACGGCTCGATACTGTATGCGAACGAGAGCGATTAGGACTCTGTGGAGGGGTGGCAAAGTTATCATCAGACCGATAATCTTCATCTTCTGATCGCGCCGTGCCAGCGCTGGAGCCACCAACCTTTGCATCGCCTAGAACATCCGCAAGTCCATCCTCAGATTCAGGCTCTTGATACGGAGGTGGCGGTTCCAAGCGTCCAGAAAGAACAATCTTGAGCTCCTCGGTAGTGATGGAAAGGAACTTCTTGTCACGCAGGGGGTTTCCGCTTAGTCGGATCATGGACAAGTTATCCATTCTCGAAACCTCGGGAGGAATCACCCTGATATCGTTACTAGAGAAATCAGCATGACGGAGTCTATCCAGGCTCGTGAAGCTATTAGGAATGCCCGAGATGCTGTTCTCCTCAACCGATAGCGTCAACAAGTTCGACCAGGTCGTCATGTCTGGTAGTCCCTGCAGTCGGTTCATAGACAAGGAGAGAGAATGCAAAACCGGCAAGTCAATTGCAGAGCCCAACGGCACCAGTCTTTCCAACTGGTTTGCCGAGGCATCCAGTGTATGCAGCTGGGGCAGACAGCCAATTGGTTCCTCGATAAGAGTGCCCTTTAGCTTGTTCTTCCTGATGTTCAGCTCAGTGATAGGAAGCGTAGCAAGGCTATCGAAAGGCAGAGATTCGAAGCTGTTTTCGCTCAAGTTAAGAATGCGAAGACGAGACATGTTCTCAATCTTGTGAGGGAGCGCAGAGATGTTGTTACCATGCACGTCAAGTATTTCCAGCTCACTCAGACTTGCGAGAATGGGATTGAGAGGACCGTAGAAGAGATTGTTTCCAAGCTTTAAGTCGCGCAAAGAGGTGACTTGCGCGATCGTGTCCAGGCAGTTGTTCGTGAGGCGGTTGGAAGACTGGTAGGAGTTAGCGAGTGATGTGATCCAAATCGTAGGAGATTACGTACCAAGTTCAATGAAGTCAGGCAAGACAACCGACGCAGTCCTAGAGGGACATTGACGAGAAGGTTGCCATGCATGTCGAGAGTTTCCAGTCCAGCAAAGATGTTCCCTTGGCTAGCCTGCTCTTCATCAAATGATGCGGGATGTGTGTCAGGAAACACAAAGTCATCAAGCTCTTCAAACTCGTTGTCCGCAGCGACAAATCTGGTCAAATCCACGCTTTCTGCCCAGCTTCCATCACCAATGCTCTCCAGATCATACATCTTTAGCACCTCCACCGGAATCTCCTTCAAGTGCAGGGCAGCAATGTTAAGTCTTCCCGTTGTCCTTGCGGTACTAACACGGTTTTGCAGAACCTTCTTCTTGGGATCTTCTCCTCGGCGTAGGTTGAACGGATCGTCCTGGCTCATGCCAAAGTCGAAACCAGTATCCTGGGGAACTATTGATGTCTCGCCGCCGACATGTTCTACTTCATTCTCGGCCACTTGCTTCATCTGAGCCCTCTTCGCAGCTTTTGCCTTGGCGATCTGTTCACGGAGCGCAGCGGAGGATTTGCGAGCTGAAGGGGGTGTTCCAGGCTCGGCTGAGTCGCCAGTCATGGAGGTGTTGTGAGATGAAGCGCTGGAAGGAATCGTACCGTCCCAGGATCCAGTTGACGCCGAGTTCACGGAAACACGCCGGTCAGAAGCCCCGCGCAACGAAGCCTTGTTCAGCGCAGGCAATGACGGCTTCTTGAACAGACCCTGCACAGGAGCCCTCGTCTTCGCAGGCCGTAGGGCCATGGACTTGGAGCCTGACTTTGGAGTCGGTATAGTCGTCTTTCCTGGGCTCGGGCTTCTTGCTTCAGCGAACGGTGGCGGCATTCCCGGCAGTTTGCCCGGTGTCGTCCTCACAACAGTCGAAGACCGCTTGCGGGGCGTTCCCTCGATGGGTGTCAACGGCTTTCTCTGGACACTTGCTGAAGCCCGAAAGTTGTTGAAGCCAAGGTCAGACTGTCCTGAACTAGAACCTGGTCGACTTCCTGCCTTCGAAGACTGTCTTGTTGATCCATCTGAAGCGTAGCTAGATCCTGGTCTAGAAGCGCCACTACCTGCTCTTGAACGAGGACTGCTACCAACTCGTGGTCCCTGGTCATAGAAGTTTGAAGTCTTCCTCAAAGCAGGGGAAGAGGGAATATTTGCAAGAGTCTCGGCTGTCCTTTCTGACAGAGAAGGTCTAGGCTTGAGAGATCGAGCCCCAAGTGTATCGGATCGATCATCGTCATCGGTCGAGGCCGTCTGTGGCCTGGCTGAATAGTTGGGATCAAATATGTTGTTGGGCGGATCGTAAAGTGGTGAAACTGCAAAACTCTCCGAAGGCCTCCTTGTAAGAGTTAATTGGCGAGGGAAGATGTTTCCGTCAAACTGTACACCAATGGCTTCACCGGGAGGCTCGTACGGAGGTGTGGTAGATTGCTCCTCGATGATATCAGCCTGTCGCTCTATCGATCGATGAGGTGTGGAAGGAATTCGCTGGGCAAAGGGCTTTGCGGGTGATAGTTGGGCAGGTTTTGATATGAGTGCTGAGGTGCGTCTTGTCCCAGCGTTGAGGTTGAGATTATCTCTGGATACTGCAGGTCGCAGTCGCTGAGCTCTTTGTTGAAGATCTGGTTGACCAGTTCGCAGTTGGTCTCTTGACATAGAGGGTCGAAGCCTAGGATTCCGTAGCTCGCCGCCGCCCAAGCTCTCCCTTGAGGGCGAAGGACGAATAACTGATGTAGGTCTTGGTAGAGCTGAAGCTGACTTTGGAATTCCTGACGTCGGCCGAGGTAGAGGGAGCTTTGACAATCGCGGAATAGCGCTCGAGCGCCTCTGGGTAGAATCCTCCATGACGAACGAAAATGCGGAAATATCGTAGTATGTTAGTGTCGCAGAGAAGAAGTCCAGCTAACGGTGCTGTCTTTTAAAAGGAATGAATGTTGTCTGGGTAAGACAGGACGAGACAAAAGAAGGACAGATAGGACAGGACCTGTCTTTTTCTTAGGTAGTCTAAGGGGTCCCTGGGGGACTGTTTTTGGGGGAAGTCCTAGCGTTGGCGGGTGGACAACGTACCCGGCACGGATGGCTGCGGGAGCTAGCTAATAACTAACGATAACGATGAGGCGAACGTGCGTGTCCAAGACGAGTCAGTGTATTACAGCAGAGTCAGACAAAAGAGTATTGACGTTTAAAACAAACAAGATCAAGAAATCGTTTCTTTTCTTGTGCAGCGTTTTATCACCGTAACAGTGACAGCTTCGCTTAAGCCAAGAGCTAATGTAAAGAAGAAATGATATCTCCAGGGGTTCACGCAGGTACCGTTGCTCTGGAGAAGATCCCGGTCTAACCTGGTGGGTGGGTTACAGTAAAAATCGGACGCTTGTGGTTTTACTTGAATCGGGCACTGAACAGATTGGGCTTTAAGCTTTGGAAGGTTGTTTGCTGAGCTCACTAAATTGTGCACAGATGTATTGATCGACTGACGATGTTTGATCAACGTCTGTTTCTCTAACCCAATGTTTATTGAGATCGTCTTGTTGCATCATCTGGCTGAATGATGCAGATTTTATGAGCAGTAACCTTCAGGTTCCTGCAGCCTGCAGCCTACGCAACCCGCATGCGCTAAGTTGTTGATGATCTTTAGCCTGCTTCTTAGAACCAGGGGTAGCCTGGGGCCGAACCACCCGCCTCATACGGCTTAATTCTACCCTGGACGTTGTGGTTCTTCCGGGAATTCATGTCTGGGACCTTTTGTACGACAACCCTCCAGTGGTGGTTACCTTCCCCCGTTGTTTATCTTTAAACATGAGAGTAAACATTGACTAAGTTTGTTGTCCCTGTCTCGTGGCTGTATTATACATGTTGGTGGCTAAAGTATCCAATCCATCCCGTCTTTAAACTCGCCCTAACTCAGGCCTGTGTCATAGCACGGGTGGACCCTTTCCACCGATTCCAGGAGGGCTAGTCCCTGTTAAGATGTTCCCCTGATGCTCTACCTGTTGCGTTACGACGGTTACGTTAGCTGAAAGCCTCATTCTCTCTTTTTCGAAGTAAACAAAGGCGTCAATATTCTCAGGTGACTCTTTGTTGACCGCAGCCCCCGTGTGACGAGTTCCCACCTCATCTCCAGCAAACATATAGGTGGCTTGTTATACATTGTTTTGTTCTTCCCTTTCTGCATTGGATCGGAACAGGGGTCTGAGGCAACCCCTGGACTTATTCGACGGCAGATTTGAGATATTCCGTTGCGGTATGCAATTGTCCAGCTCGCGTTTTGCATTTCAAGCTATGCACGGTGCACGGAATATGATAGCAGCCAGTGGTATATATGTTGTATTCTCCGACTTTGAAGATCTTGGGGAGATCTTATGGTCAACGGAGAGCTTAATAGGACACTCAAATAATACTGCCATATAAAGATACTGTGCTAGTAGTCGCCCTACTGCTAGAAGAGCATGTATTTATTGATATATTGTTTCTGGTTACTCAATAATCTTGTCGCCTCTAACACCAGCTTTTGTAAGCTAAAGCGGAGGCTATCCCAGGCTTACGATCTTATACAAGAAGGACGTCTCCACAGCATCTCCTCTAGCACGTCAGTCTACTATTCCTTCATCAATCACATGTAGGTCATGCAGAGCCCTTAGATTCTTGTATGAAGGTACTCATGGCTTGCCCCCGAAGAACCTCGCCTGACAAGTCAAGATGCTCCTCGTCAACCTTTGAGGCCCCAAGTGATTTGATTGAGCTTTGCCGTTGGAGGAAGCGGATGTGCCAGTCTTTACCCAAAGGGGTATGATCTCCTTGCTCTCGGAGTAACCTCGCAGCGAGCGCACGAACTTGCGCGTATGTCGGCGCTAGTCCTAGAGCATCTTGGGCCTTGATCCAGTCGGCCAAACGATTTTCCTGGCTGACTGACAGCCTTTGCATAGCCTCATGACTTGTGCGGCAGTCACCGCCACCTTTGCGGCGGTGGCGGAGCGTTGATATCGGAATGTTGTAACGGCGGGAGGCTTCTCTCTGGCTAATCTCCCCGGAGCACATTTTTGACAATGCGGTCTCAAGAGTCTCCTTTGTGTATTTGGCCATGATTGAGTGAATTGAAGAATAAAAGGAGGTTGATGTACCGGGTTGCGACTACTCTTGAGAACGGGATCTTATTTAAGTTGAAGAAGGGGGATTTGGGCACCCCCTGGATCTAGGCCCCCCTTTAGCAATTCTGACCAATTAACGACTTATATGATTTGATTAAAACGGAGCACACGTGGTGACAAGATGTGAGCCCCCCTCTTCTACTCAGAGTGGCACGTGCTTGAAGTGATCGAGCCAATCAAGTTGATTTGTAAGACCCCTGATCCCCTTTGCAAGGGGGCCATTTACCCCTTCGGTGACATATTCGATCGATCAACGAATGGAAGGAGGCAATATACAGAAAGCATAGATCTCCCGCCAGGGCGAAATATAATGGCATGTCTGCATTCCCAAAGCGAACTTTTCACCTCTTGATCGAGACCCTAGCGTGGACCCAATATGTTAAAGTAAAGATCGGACACTTGGGTTTACTTGAATAGTGCACTAAATAAAGGATTATATTCTCCTTCGGGGACATGAGAAATAACAGTCCAAGGGGTTTTCCTCAGATGAGAAAGACATTCTAGCTAATAAATTAAGTTAATGAAAGAAAATTATGAAATATAAATGTTTTTAATTTTAAAAGAATTACATCTAATATATACTTAAGTTTAATAAATTCTATATAAATTCGACATAAATTCTATATAAGTTCGACATAAACTCTACATAAACTCTACATAAACTCTACATAAATTATATGTAATATTTTAGAAGGGGCCGACCTTTGAGGTTGTAAATAGACGAACCCAACTCTCTCGTTCACTCTTTATGCGTTCAGCAAGTGTGTTTGCATGCGCTTTGATAACTTGGCTGAGTTGTGTCCAGGAATTAAACTCATCCTCGAACTTCTTCATTACACGGGAACTGGTACTGCTTTGCCATGGGAGACTGGAATTTATATTAGACTATACAGCCCTAAGTTCTGCCGTCATAGCGATTTGATCCTGCTTCATTTTGACCAAGTCCAAATAACCTGTCCAGTATGTAACATCCATAGAAACTTGACGCTTGAGCTTCTTGTTTGTGTAAAGAATTTGTTTAGCGATTTCTATCAGAGCTGCCCCCAAAGTTTCTTGGCTTTCATTTTTGTATTTGCTCTCCTAGGGAACTTTTCTTTTGCTGCTTGTTCTCTCTGGTGGGGTTGGAGCTTTGTCGTTCTCATTCTCAGGTAGATGTTTCTCACGCTTCGATAATGTTCGGGCAGGAACAGGAAAGCGCTTGGTAGGAGAACTTGAAGGTGATGCAACATGTCCATCATCATTGTCTGTCGGCGAAACTTCGTCTGAAAGGGACGTGGATTTCGAAAGATCGTCATTGTGACATTGATTCGACATTGTCGAAAGATAAAAACGAAAATGGTAGACTAGATATCGACGGATGGAAGATGAGGCAGGGTATGAAACTTGGAGAAGTTAGAACAAATAAGTAGGTACGAAACATAGCTGTTAGGTGGGAAGAGAACTTTTCATAATCGTCAACTACATACAACTAAGAGAGAAAGCTTACTTGTTTTTAGGCAAGCAAGAGCGAGGCTTACCATCAATAAAATAAAGCAAGGAAGGTATAGGTTCTGGCTTTGTCTCTTTAAAATAAGGCTATTCCAATTCAACGACTTGATCTTTATAACCACTAGAGCAATCGAGCACAAGTCAGGTATACATATATCCTCCTCTCAGGCGATGGCTTGGGTTACCTTCCGCTAAAGGAACCCCCCCCCCCCCCCCCCGGACGTTAGTCACCAAATATTCCCCTTGAAGATCGAAGAAATCTCGGGACGAAGCCTTACAGGCAGAGGCAGACACCTTAAAAGATGACCTATACACAAGCAGCGGCTTTACTTTACCCAGGGTAACAGAGTCAGCGTTAGGGTATTACAGCTGACCACTTGAACCAACAAACACAGTCCCTGATGTTAGGTCTGCATCCTTAAAGGGCTCTTCACCCCTCTCGATCCGCCATCGATTAGTCGCCTCCAACGGCCCCGACAGTCCCTTGAACAACCATCCCCATTTCCTCACAAACCCCTCCGACATCTCCCATCCTGAGATGTCCCACGGCGGCGACCAAGCAATCATACCACGCCGTTCCATCTCATCATCCGGATAGCCTTCATACAGACCCCCAATGCAGTCGTCCCACAGCTCATCCTCGTCGAATGTCCCAGCAGCACGGATAAGGTTATCACGTCCTTCAGCACAGGGGAACATATCGACCCAATCGCCGTGCGGGATTGTCTGCTGCAGGATCGTCGGTAGAAGTGCCGAGGGGACTGAGTCTGGGTTGGCAGGGTAGGGAACCACGTGGAAACTCTCCACGTCGCAGTCAAGAGGTGTGGTGAGGATGCCAGAGATGAGGGTGCGGTTGACGGCTAGTGCACGGAGGGCGTTGTATTGGAGGAGGGTGATGAGGTGGTCTGGGGAAAGAGGGAAGACAAAGTTGAATTGGGCCCTCTTGGAACGGATTGGTAACACGGGAGTTCTTTTACTGTATAATTGTGTGGCACGGGATGCTGAGATGGTGCTCATGGATTCTTGCTTGATATCCCAGCACTCAATCAGTGGTTCTGATTTGATCACGGCGTCACTGAGTGCTTCAGCCTTCCTTTCCTGAGCCTTGCGTTTCCCTGCATATGTTAGTTTCATCGAACGATATACTCGTTAAGCTACGAACGGTAGGCTCTCATGTTGAGTCTCGTCTGCGCCCGTCTCCGCGCTACGGCATCTTTGGTGCCCGTCCAGTCGTCTCGCGCGCTTAACGCCTATAGCCGGGTGAGTGTCTAAGTCAAACCACATCATCGTGTAAGTACATACCTCCGCCAGCTGTGGCATGGCAGTGAGCTGGATGCATGACGCTTGTGCCTGAAACGTAGCCATGTCGTCGATAGCGGGTTTACCAAGAAGAGGGGACGGTGATGAATGCAAATTGCTCACAATTGGGAATCTGACATTCGGGGCTTCGGTCATTGGGGCAATACGTTCAGGGATGTCTTCACGGGTTTAGCGTAGGATCGTTGGTTATCATTCTCACTATCTACAGTTGGTCTAGCGTCATGCAAGCTGCTCACAGACAAGGGAGTGTTTGCCCAAGCTTTAATTGAAGCCGGAGACATAAAGGTTTGGTCAGATTTGTACTCTTTTAATCGGTCTAGATACTGCCATATTTCTGTCATTTTCAAGGATATATGCAGGTCACTGTCGACCTTGTATATCTTTATTTCCGGATCTTTGACTTGAGTAGAATCATTTATGATTGGCTGTAGTTTCATGCAGGTTGCTCACAGTTTGAGGTCCAGTGCAACTTGCTCACATCTCATGCACATTGCTCACACACAACTTGAGAAACGAGCTGGAAGACGCATCGTCGACATGGAACGGCAAAATGAATATAAAAGCACCAGATTTCTCGCCTTCTTTCCGAAATCCCCAGAACATCAACAGCTTCAAACAATCAACACTCTTCACCTCGACAAACCAACTCTTCCCACTTTACCAATTACTTCTTAGTTCCAATACTTCTCCTCAAGATGACTTTCCACCCCGACAACCTCCCTCAGCTTAACGGCAAGGTCTTCATCGTCACAGGTGGCAACTCTGGAATGTGAGCTTCACCCCATTCCTCCATTAGAAGTTATAAATCGCTAACATTTTAAACAGAGGCTACTACACTGTCTCTCATCTCGCACAACATGGTGCCCACGTCTACATGGGCGTACGATCACTAGAGAAGGGCAACGCAGCCATTGCTGAGATCAAGAAAGAGCATCCTTCAGTCCAAATCGATCTTCTTCAGATGGATCTCATGAACCTCGCCAGTGTCGTCGAGGCTGCTAAGCACTTCCTCACTCTCGAGACAGCTCTGCACGGTCTTGTCAACAATGCTGGCATCATGGCTACACCCTTTGAGATGACAAAGGATAGCCATGAGGCTCAGTGGCAAACCAACTACCTCTCTCATTGGGTTCTCACAGAGCATCTTCTCCCTCTCATGCAGCAGACAGCCAAGATACTTCCCGCCGGTAGCGTGCGCATCGTCAACCTTACTTCATCTGGTCACATGGGCGCACCCAAGACAGGCATCAACTTCGATGACTTGGCACTCAAGGACCAAGGTGTCTGGGAGCGATATGGCCAGAGCAAGCTCGCCAACATTCTCCACAGCAACACTCTCAACGAGAAGTACGGCCCCGGCTCTGAGAACAAGGACGGCGAGATCTGGATCACATCTGTTCATCCTGGCCTCGTTGAGACAAATCTCGCCACAACAGTCGACTCAGGAGAGAAGGGCATGTTGAATCTTCTCTCAGCACTTCGCTGCCTCCGACTTCTGTGGAGTGCCGACAAGGGCTCATGGAATAGTCTGTTCTGCGCTGCGGGCCAGGACATGAAGGCGGAGCAAAGTGGCAAGTACATCGAATTGTACCACCGATTCGGAGAGCCTTGGTGGCAAAGCGGTCATTCCAAGGACGGAGAGCTTGCGAAGAAGTTGGATGAGTGGACAAGGGAGACCATGATCAAAGAAGGATGGGTTCAATAGTGGTGCCTGCATATGTTTGACTGTTTCCTTTGTTTATTATTAGATTTTGCAGTTTTCCAGTGACCAGGGAAGGAAATTATAGATTTAATTATGTGTTACACTACATTATTCACCTCTCGCATTCTTCGGCGTGCTGTTTAACAATTCTTCCATCGGCACAACCGATAGTGTTTGTTTGCATTAATTTGGCAATCCATATCACCAGCAACTTTTGTCAATATAGTGATATTCTTGGTAAGTGGATGGCGGTAAGACAAAGGATACCCATTGAAGTAGACGTAATATCCAGTATGTAGGATAGAGCCATGTATTACTATACTTGCGTTCGGGTAACTATATATGGTTACGGTTTAAACGGCGTAATCCCCAGCTCAAAAGGTGAAACCATGTAAACAAACAAGGCGATTTCAAAGGATTACCAGTTCCGAAAAAATTGGGATTTTCATAGCCATGGTTCAATATTGAGCCAGCAATGTTCAATATGATCACTGTGAGTTCCACTTCAAAGCGAGATGTTAAAATGATAGAAGCTAGTTAATTTAAATTTACTTATTTGTCTCCTGACGTGCCACAATCCTTGGGTAATTGCCGACTGTCATGTTTCTCAAAGCTCATCTCCATGCGCCATGTGCGCGAAGCAAATTACGAACCAAATATTCCTTCAGCCGCTTACCCATTCGTCCCATACTGGCGTCGTCCCAACGCATTCATGCTCGATCCCAAGGTCGAGGCCGTCGAACGTTCTGATTTGTAACCCTATGTTTAGATCAGACTGCTGTTATTCTCATCGCTTACGAGGTTATCGTTCGACAGAGGCTCATCTTCCTCCATACTGTCATTGCTCTCATCCCCCTCATCCTCCGAGGAAGGAATATCCTCAATGACGGGCTCTGGAACACTGGTGGGGATGCTGAGATCCGTATCCAGAATGTGCTCATCATAGCCTCCTTCTTCAGCCCATCCCAGCTCCCAAGATTCGATATGAACGCGAACACCATCTTGCACTTGAGTTTTCATAGCATTCATCATAGGGTCGTCTGAATAGCTCTCGGCAAGATTGTTGACCAGGAAGGACAACTGTTGTTTGAGGTTGTGCGTTCCTCCTGCTGCAGCTTTCTCCAGCTCAGCTGGCACCTCGGCTTTCTTCGCCGCAAGACCAGCTTCAAGAAGTGTGAAGATCTCACGGCACATGGACTCGACATCAGTTTTCACCTTCTCCTGTACGGTATTCTTTCGTCTCTGGTGACATCCAGTTCCAGCTAGACAATGCAGTCAGTCATACTCGTTCAAATGTGTGTTGATGTGCTGAAGAATACTACTTACTGTCTGTTAAGGCAGCGCGGAAGGTGGGTGTCATTTCGTCAGTCAAGTATGTAACAGCTTCGAAAGCGACGGTAGCAGCCTTTTGGGACAGCTTGTCAAGCACATTGCCAATATCAGTCTCGGTAGCACGTTGGGAGTTGTCAAGAATTGGTCGCATCCCATTGAAGATGACTTCAAGTGCTGGAACATGCTTAGTGATAAGACGCTGGATCTCGTTCAAGTATTCCGTGAAGACCTCTGTATAGCCAGCCATCATGGGTTTTTTGATGAGGGGCAGCTTTCTGTTCATCTTCTTGTCCCAGTCTTTGCTAATGGTCTTCAAGATGGGTGCGGCTCTGCGAAACTTGTTAATCAAACCTTATTTAAGAAGAATAAGAGTTACTGACAGGTTTTCCATCCATGTGTACGTGACACGTGGAGTCGAGAAGCTAGTGTACTTCGCACCTTTGCGTCTGAGGTTTGCGGCATATGTGCAGAAGTGCATCTTTTCGACGTCGTTCTCAATTTCGGGATATTTGTACCCCCATCTTAAAACAATGCGATAGCTGTCAGCGAGAAACCTTTTCATGGCTTGTGGCTTGCGTTCGAGGGGATTCAGCTTCTGAATCAAGTCGCAGGCCTCTTTGAGCTTAGAGCTAAGTTTCTGAACGGAGCTGGTCAATAATTGGGTATGTGTAATTGAGAGCTGTGAACTTACTCCCTGATAAATATCATGGGTTTCAGCCAGGGCTTCCTCAACCTGAGATCTGGTAAAGCCGAAATCGCCGTCTTGGCCATTTGTCTGCGAGTAAATACGCATCATCGTCATGAGATTCTGATATTCATCCAGCACCCCATCAAGATGCTTCTCCCGTTTACTTGCCGTCGCTTGATGCAGCCATTGTTCAGCCGCCGGAACACCTGTGAACATTTGGTTGGGGAATCCTGTCATGGGGACGTCGTTGTTTTCCAACTGCCAAAAGGCTCTCGTCGAGACAGGAAGGATGGGAAGCACATACTGGTGCTCACTCTGAGACATTGCAGGAGCGTCGCTATCGTCATGCCTGTCATGTCTACCGGCGAAGTCAGCGCGAAGGCGGCCCATGACGCGAGTATTTCGGGTCTGGATAGCTCGATGGTAAAGCCAATCCCGCAAGTACGACATCTCAACTTGAATCTGCGATTGTCGAATATCATACTGATCAAGAGCCTTGTCAGCTTCCTCAAATGCATGAGCCAGTTCATCCTTCTGTGCCTGGAGAGTGATTATGTGCTCTTCACTTGCTTGAGGGTTCTCTGGGATACACTGTTAGCATTGGAAGTCAAAGTCTGGATCCACGTACTTTGCAACTTAATAGCTTGTTTCTTTACGGCACTGTCGTACGATCTCTGCGCCTTCTTCTTCTGACTTTCTGCTTTTCTCTTCGCGTTTTTAAGCGTCACATGCTCGGACTTGAGGTCGAATGTTTCTCTCTTGAGGTTTTCAAGCTCCAACTGTTTCGAACAACTTCCTTGTTGCCAGATAAGTCGGGACATCCCGCAATGTAGGAGTCGACCTTCATATCATCCATCTTTGAGATGACGACACAGAACCCATGGCCATCTAGCCTTCCACGAATTCTCATTTGAGCTTCATCGAACCCGTTTCGCATAAGAGCCTGTCCTTGTTTCTCATCCGTAGCACGAATGATGGGACTGACAACCATGCGCACATCTAGACGATGCGCAAACCTTTCTGCGACTTCAGAGCGACTTTCGACAGCATCGCCACAGCCAGGAAGATCAACAAGGGTGATACCAGATTTCAGAATGTCAGATTTGGCGTAGATATGCACACCTTTCACCAGTGGCCATGCAGCAAACTGTTTTCGTCCTCCGTGTGTCTCGGAACTCGAATCCAAAAAGGGCTTGATCAAGTCTGACAAGGCTTCTGCTGAGCTTGCGCTGAAGATAGTACTGCCTTGAACAAGGAACTGGTGAGCCTCGTGATTCGTCCTCAAAATCTTTTGGACCATTTGGCTGTACGCTAGCACCTTCGGACATTTGCTTGCCTTTGCTGTCAGAGTGCTTTCATCAAGGCCCCAGACAGCCTTGACTTTGGGAAGATGATGGTCAATCATGTTTCTTGAAATGGCTTTGTTATCAGCTTGTTCGGTACCATCATCCTCGTCATCAAGTTTGCCGGCCATGAGGGATGCCAAGTGATTCAGTTCTCGCAAGAGAGACTCGAGATCATTCTCAATTTCAGACTTTTCCCGAAAGCTGACTCTCGCTATGAACTCGCGACCAGGCGTATCATCCCAGTTCCAGGAAACTTTGCCGATGACCGCAGTGGCTGCAGACTCTTGACCGGATGGGAACAGCTCTGGAATTTTGAGAAGAGACCCTAAGAAGGATGATTTGCCTGCTCCGGTAGGGCCCTCGACTCCCACTAGGATTTCAAGTTTCCGGTGCTTGTAACGAATATCATCTACGAACGCATTAGTATGGGAGCTAAACCAATATTAGGAAGACAAGAAACACTTACCGTGCACTTGGCACCACTGTTTGATGATTCTCTGTCCCATCATGATGGCTTCCGGGCTGTTGGGCGCGATATCTTGAAGAACAGGCATGAGCGCCGCTCTTACCCTCTGGCAATAATCCTCGGCGCGCTTGACAGCTCGCTCCTTGATCTTCAGTCGTTCGACGTATCCTAAACTTTGGCAAGTTCTCCAAGGAAACACTACCGGAGCACGGATCACGCCTGATGTCTCATCGGACTGGCGTTTGCTTCCCGGAGTGTCCAGATCCAGCTCAGGGCTCGGAGATCTCTCACGCTTTACTGGCGTCGAAGGTGCCGGAGCACCGTCGCCCTCCATGATGTAGAAAGTAGTAGAGAGATACCTAAGAAGCAAACAAGGTTAGGAGTTGCTGCAAACGGTGTAGAAATAGGACGAAAGAATCCTGAATATCTCGAGTGTACAGCGAGCAAGACGTTGCTGTTGAGAAAGGAACAGAGTGAAAGGGATAAAAAGAGGAGGAGCAGCGACGGAGTTGGCTTTAGTTGAGAATCGGGGAGTTGAATAAAAAGGCAGGTGCGCGGAGTGTTTGTGGACGAAATGTGCAAGAACGATAAAGGAGAGAGGCCGGGGACCACGAAATAGAAGCAAAGAAAATGAACTCACCTGTTGCGAGGATTATCGCCTAACTTGATCTTTTCAAATGGCACCGTGATAGAGATAGGTTGCTTTGGGAAGGCCGAAGTTGAGGAAGGAGGAATGTTGGCGATCTTGCACCGGCGTAAACAGATGAAGAGGTGTTGATGCAAAACGAAGAAGGTGCGCTAACATTCTCGAGAAAAGAAAGAAGGAGAAAGGCAAAGCGGGGTATTGAATCACTGTTAATTCCAAGCCTCTATTATAAACGAAGGGGTTTAGGCTGCCGTTTGAATCAACAGTGTCAATGGCTCTGCACAGGCTGAGATCAAACCCTGAGCGAAGCCTGGGTCACAAGAGGGATTCACCAATTCACTAGTACATGGCTGTTTCATTATCCTACTGCCTTTCAATTTGAACGCTGCCTTTGCATAACAGGCACTTCTGCGTGCATACAATTTCCATCCATGGATCCTCATCTGAAGCCGTGAAAGCCAGGGCTTCAAACAAGCCAACAAAGAGATTCATAGGCCCCTTGGATGATTTAGATGTGATTTATGCTAGACCATAGAATCGTCCATACTGATCAATTTCTTGCCACTGCTGAGAATCTGATGCAGCATGCACCTACGGGGAGTATATGGAATAACAGCCGCTCGTTTCCGTAAAGGGAACACAATATCGCTCTGAGGCTTATTATAAGGGAACTATTGCTACTTAGCTGAGGCAGGGTGCTCCAAAGATAGGTGTGTATGATCCAGGACAACCTGCTTGAAGCTTGTGATCCAGGCTTGGCCTTCAACGGGAGGAAGAATGCGGGATATCTATTCACCAGCTTTAGTTGCTCCCTCCGAATGACCAATAAATTCAGTCCCAGTGATACCACGATGGTACAAGTTCTCGTCCCCTTTCAACTCACCTTTGGCATGGTGGACTCCCAATCGGGCACATGTGCCTGTTCTGCCGGCACTCCTGTCCAAGTGCACATCGGAACCAATAACCGTAGTAGGATATCTTATCTCAGTGCGAACCTCAACACTTATCTAATTAGACGCATTCTACTTCTAGATATGCCTTATAGCAAATTTCTCTACATATTCTCAACCTAACTCAGCTACTGTCAATTGACACTTGCTGGAGGGGCTAGTTTAGAAGAGACTACCTCGGACTCACTCGGACTCAAGTCTGTTCTTAGACCACCTATCATAGTGCGCTCACTTATAGGGTTGTTTGACTGCATATTGGGGGCAATGTACGGAGTAGCACACTTGTACTTGTGCGAAAACAAGCTGTTACCGGTTCTTCATTTACTTCATAGCTAACACTGATACTCCGGCCAATCTCGAGTCTCTCCATGTCTCGACAACAACAAGGTGAGGCTAGTCAGCTGTCAGCTTGATTTGCATGTATTCATATAGTCGATCGAGTACTAAGCTTTTGTAAACTGCCTCCAGGACCTGTTGTCGAACTGAAAGACAACTGCTTCATCCCGAGCATCAATAACCTTGAGCTGTGACTCTTCCCAATCGGTCTTTACTGTTGTTTTAGCCCATGTCGTTTATGCTTGAAAAAACGGTTGATAAATAAGCTTTCCGTCCATCTGAACACCAACAACTCACTAACGTTAAACGTGGACCCCAACCCATAGAAGTCGTTTCATTTCAAGGCAGGATGATATACCTCGATATTAAATGTAACTAAAATGATCCTTCGGGCTGTGACAAGCCACTGTTCATGACTGACTAATGTCGATGAGGATTTAGCACCAATAACACTACACTCCGTCGACTAATAAAATCCATTGCGCCCTACAATGTAAGCATTGTTTCTTTCTTTAGCAATTTGTCTGATCCGCATGCTTGATTCCGCAAATCATATTAGGCATGGAGGAAGAAGGATTCGTGTGGCGCAACGGATTTTGCGAGCCGATAACGGCATTTGGCTTGATCCTTGGTCTCTAACTTAATAGTTGAGAGTGCTTGTAGGCTGTGTTTCATGATTGCTTGGATCCATTCTCTTTTAACACAACCTGCCCGTCGAATTTTAATCTTCATCCCGACTTCTCTCTACAGGAGCCATAAACCGTGGTTCTGCAGCATTTTCACGGCGGATTTTGCCTTCACGGTTGGGAAGAATGGCAAATGTTCCAGCTCATGAAGGGTTGGAGGTATACCCTGTCGACAACGCCGCGAATGCACCAGAGCTCAACCCTCATGCTCTTCCATATCAAGGCTCCAAAGATCCAATTTCGGGATATAATCATATTGTCGAACCACAGAAGAGACCTTTTGGTTTGAGCTTGTGGAGTCTTTGCACAGTTGTCGCTGTTATCACTGCTCTGATCGTTGGGGCTGGTCTTGGAGGTGGTCTTGGAGCAGCCTTGGCTGAGTGTAAGAGGTAAGACTTGATCTTCTGTTTCAGCGCTGCAAATATTTACTTCTATAGCTCCAACGAACACAACTCTTCATCAGCCCAAGCTGTATCCTCCGCATGCCCGACAAATACCGCAAGCGAGAGTAAAGAAACAAGCAGCCCGAAGTTCTACAAGCCTGAATCACCAGACCAAGTCGCAAACCTGACCCTTCCCGATGCATGTTCCAAAGAAGACGGCAGAGACGATTTCACCACCACCAACGGCTACGTCTTCACATTTACCTGCGGATGGGATTTTCCAGGGAACGACATTGCGCCTCTAATAGCATATACTGCATACGACTGCATGTCCGCCTGTGCGATGTATACAGAGGTCAATTCCGGCCGAGAGAATGTGACGCTCTGCGATAGTATCTCTTTTATCCAGGAAATGTCCACTGCTATCGAAGCGCATGGAGCTAACTGTTGGCTGAAAAGCGGGACAAGAGATCGTTTTCCCAAGAATGAACGATTACCACAGTTTCTGTACGCGAAGAGGAATACCTAACGGTGTTGGTTTTCGCATTGACGATTTATGCATAAAGAGTATTATTGGATAACTTAGATGGAGATTTTATAACCAATTTAAGCTTAATTTTACCTTTGTCATTTTCGCACTAAATTGGTGACTCCAACACGGACAGATGTGATGATTGAATGTATCGAAATGTTATCTTCTCACAACGCTCAGCAATAGACCACCGCCATTGAAGTCCAGGACTGCATGACTGTATGCATGACTATGGACCTGGCCCACCAGAATTACAATCACAAACACTAACACCAAAAGGCTGTGAAGGCTGTGAAGGGAAAGTTGCACAGCCCTAGACGCTCTCTGTTGTTTGCTATTGGTTTACATAAACACTCACTCATGCTCATGTTAAGCGATGACCAGATCGGCCATTTCCCTTTTGAGCGAGGAACTCTGCGCCAGCATCACATCGTATTCTCTGACTACGAATATTGTGGATATGACGCTTAACCTTAAACCATAACTTGAAGAGCCCTACCCGTACTCCATACGGAGGGAATTCAACGGCTTTATCATTAACTAGACTACCTTTCCCCGAATAGTACTGACTTGATGGAATAAATCACCATCTTGAGTTATTTTCTGGCTCCCCAGCCTCAAGGCAATCGGGAGCTCATATTGCATGTTACAAGCCCACCTTGAAGATTAACGACAAAATCACAAAGAACCTCAACTGTCTATGAGACAAAATGGCGGCTGTAACCAAATCACAAAACCCGGATCTCATCGCAACCAATCGAAGAGTTGTAGAAACACCCCAAGAGGCAGTGCTATTGAGATGAGCAGGGGTTCCTGCTTCTAATGTGACATGGACAGGCCTTGGCTTTCGTTTCCCTGCTGACGATTGCTTCCAATGTCCAAATCACTTCATTGTCGTTCTCGGATGTTGACTAAACGGGAGTGAAAGAAGAGGCCTCACGAGAGGTCATAGAGACGCCTTGTATTAATAGTGGTATTGTGGTGCTCTCTGTATTTCTGGCTTCATCAACTTTGTCTACTTTCATTGTACTATCTATCTGACAGTAGCCTTTTACTATCTATCACAACACGATCTATTCACCAGGCTCTCTGTACATATACACTTCTTTTCAACGGAATTCCTGCACCGGACGTCTTCTCTTGTAAAACTGTACATACAGTCAAAAGACATCCTCTATTAGTCAACTCGCCCCAGAGTCCCAAGACAGGATGCTCTACCCGGTGGAGAAATATCAGATCGCCCACACGGCCATGGTCGTTGTCGGCGCATGGATACCTTCTCTCGTCCTCTTCATTTGCAGTCTTCGCTTCGTACGTAGCCAAAAGGATCCTGCGAGATCTGGCTTCACTTACTTCAAATGGGCCCTTTTTATGTTCTCCGGGTACGTACATGCTTGGCTGTATTAGACATTTCACGAACCGATGACGGCTAATCACATATCTATAGCACGGCTTTCTTCGATGTATGCTCATATGCGCTCCAGATCGCCCTCAACCAGATTTGGTTCCATATAATCGATGACGAATCTGATTATTTGGGCTCTGCACTACAAGGTCTCGGCATCTCCCTGCAGAGTATCCAGATCGTGTTCCATTTCTTCGACATGGTTACTGACATCCTCGTGATGATCATGCTTCTCCATTTATGCACCGGCATTCTCATTGCGAAGTCCGACCGCACCAACACTGTCGGCAAGAAGCTACGCCTCGTATCGTATGGTGCCGCCTTTGTTCTAGGTGTTATTACATTGACTGTACTTGGTCTCCGGATCCGATATATCTGCGAAGCCCTTTATGGCGACTACGAAATTGCTCAGGACTGCGCCCTACAAAACCGTCAGATTCGCTTCACTTTCAACGTCCTTATATTTCTCGTCTCTCTTGCTATCGTTGCCTGCGCCCCCTTGATAAAGAGACAATCAAAGGCCGACAAGTCTCTCTCCTGGTGCTCGACCATGCTCGTTGTAGCATCTGTCGTATGGCTCCTGCGCACGACGTTCAACATGGCCATCTTTGCTGCCTCGGCCAACTTGAGTGATATCTACGGCGACCCCGAGTATAAACTCCCCTACATCATTCTGGAAGTTGTTTTTGGTATCTGGCCACAGTTTATCGTCCTTTGTATTATCTTTGCTATTGGGCTCGCAAAGGAGAAGGGTATTTGGTCTAGACAGCAGCCTTTGAAGGATTTCGAGCGCAACCAGCAGCCCGTTTAAGAGATTCCCTCCGGGGTCGGAAGTTCAGCAGATTCAGGAACACAGTATCTATACCCCAGAGCAACGGCATTTGCATAATGGTCTTTGTCGCCTGTCTGCAGGACTAGATTTCTCTCCCCACATATTGCCTCAACCTTCTTTCGAGAAGCACGATTGAAACGCCACCTAGAGATCATGATAGAGCAACTTGAGGTTATGATGACGATAACGAAAGAAGGATAACCTGTCGACGAATTTGATAGTCTAAATAGTTTTATGTAATCTAGTATAGAATCTCATGTCTAGCGTAACCTTCTCTGGTCGAACTATTGATAGCCCATGTTCATGTTAATGGTTTTGTCTAATCCACATCCGAAAACTCCGCGGGGGCGACATAAGGTCCCGCCTCACCCATTGTTCCCGTCACATACCTACAGCGATTAGTATACAGGGCTCTCTCGGATACTAGTTGAACTCACTTTGTGTGACTTCCCCTCGCAGCAAGCTGTCCCTTGCTGTTGGTAAAGGTCACCTGGGTGAAAGCAAGTGTTTTGCCGATCTTGTCGAGAGTGGCAGTGCCCTTTAGAACATCGCCTGTGCGGCCTCCCGGACTCAGATACGTCACTAGCAAGTCAGTCATGGAGTACCCGGAAAGGAGGAGACTCCTTACCGTTCAGGTCAGTTGACACGCCAGTTGCAAACCGGCCCGTTGAAGCGACAGCGAGTGAGCCACCAAGATCGACGAGACTGGCAAGGGTACCGCCGTGAATGGTCTGCAGACGGTTCTGAATCATGCCTTAGTAAAGATTCTTGAACAAAGGGGGGGTAAGACGAACGGTGTGGTCTTTTTGGATGTCAAGCTCAAACTCGACTTTGCCTTCAGTGGCGCTTAGAACACGGAACTATAGCAATGTCAGCTTACTTCAATTTGGAGCCATAACAGAACCGTACATGTTTTCCAAGAAGTCTGAAGTAATCGAGGTTAGCGATGAAGTTCCAGTGTACAGTGGTTGGTCAAACTCTCAAGCAACATACCGAGGTTCTAGACCCGAGTCTTTCATGAAAGAGCGCATGACCTAAAGCATGACTCAGAGTTAGTTTGTCACTTCTGAGAGAATACTCGAGCAGGAGTGCCCCAATTAAGCTGCATGGCTCGATATATGATGAGGAAGACGAACCGCTTTTGTGAATTGTGTAGGGTTGAGCTTCTTGGCCATTATGACGAGTAGGAGGTTCAATTGCTGAAGTATATGTTCCTATGTCCTTGGCTTAATATCGAAGGCTTGGGAATTGATATCACTCTTTATCGCGTGGTGGGAAAGATTGAAGATATGCACCTCAAAGATATGAAGACGGAGGTTGAGCTCTGATAGCCGAGATCCGGGGTAACTCCCCGCGAACAGTCCGGCCCCACATCGACTCTGACGTAATCAGACTTCGAGAAAGGTAGTCTCATGGAGCGTTGACACGAGCATTTTTGAGGGCGGAAAGCAAAGGCAACATTTCTTATAAGTTGTCTAGGTAGATAAGTATACAAACATCATGTATACGCAGTCCAAAAAGACAATCAGCATGATCAAAAACATACAACACCAGGTATTCGCTGGTCGTCACCGACCCAACTACTAATCCGGCGCTTCGCGGCTTGACTCTGGGGGAGCGGACGGGACCCCGTATTCTCCACGAGCTGTGGTCGTATGTACAAGTCTCGCAGTTATCGCGATACATATACTTTATAAAATCATGGTGTTGAGAGCTAAGGGCCAGGAGGATGTGTCGTACAAGTGGGGCGCTTACCTAACTCACTACTGCCCCACCTTAGTCATCCAGAATTTCCACTCCTTCGCGACCCCTGACAACATATACACGTCTCCTCAAGATCGATATCATCGCCCTCACAATTGACCCTTCCCCGCGCACGTCGACACCACGCTCCTTATACAAACCGCAACCATGACTCGAGCCCAGCAGACCATTTCTCTCGCTCTCCTCGTCTCCTCCGTACGCTTCAACGCACCATGATCTCCAGAACGATTGACTGACCAGCGTATAGCTCTACCTTGCTCTCTTCCTTGAGCTCATCCCTCTCCCCCCTAAGATTCAGGAGCAGGTTGTCCCTGTGGTACGTCAACCTCCACACGATATTCACCAAATTTTATACAAACAGTCGTCTAATTCTTGGCTCTGTAGCTTCCCTTCTGGGCCCTCGTCTCATTCGGCGCATACCTCCTTTTCCGTCTCGGCTTCGGCATCCTCACCTTCAACGACGTCCCTTACGCGCATAAGGAGCTCACCGCAGAGATCGAGCAGGCCAAGACTGAGCTCCGACAGCTTGGTGTCACTGTCGACTAGTGGTCACTCAGGCACGATGATTCACTACTAGATGGGTATAGATGCAAAAGGGGGCCGGTTTACGGTGGTTGTAGTTGAGGCCGCCACATTAATTACAATAATCTGGATCCTGCTCGTATTCTAATGCGACCTGCGCGAAAAATGACCCCTTAACGCCATTTGGCTATGCATTCGTAATCTCTGCCATGTCTAAACTCCGTCATGATTGCTCTCCGGCAATTAGTGCTACAATTGTTCTTACAGCCGATTCTGTTTCCCCCTGACCATGTACAAGTTCATCGAAAAGTGCAGGGATCTTGCCAAGCGATCCTCGTTCGTCTGTCTGATGCCCTGCGTATTGTCAGTATCGAGTTCAGAGGTAGCTGGATGGGTACTCACATTTCCCTGGGGCGCCGACCAGGACGGAAAGTTTGTTTTGCGCTTCTCCAGTCCAGTCAAATTCGGTCTTCCAAGCTAAGCGTATTGTTGCGCCTGATTCTTCTGTATCGTTATTGGGAATTGATATGTCAAAGTGTTGTCGGCCCAAATAGCGTAAAAGGTCTTTTTTCGTGACAGATTCCACTTGTGTCGGCTCATCTTCATCGTCGTCTTCGTCGGCGTCTTTTCTTCTTCTCAACTTTCTAGTGCGTATCTGGATTGCAGCATCTAACACACCGTCCTTGGATCCTAGGCTTTGCTCCAGTTGACACCAAAAACCTGCTCTTTCAACGGCGATTCGAAGCCACTCCCCCATTGCCCAGGAGAGAATACCAACATTACGCTGCATGGAGCGATTACAATCACCTGTGCAGATCTTCTGAACAAACGGACCGAGCTCAGGTTTTGAAGCTGGCTCTAACGCGGTAACATCAAGGTCGAGAACAGTGAGCTCCATCGCATTGACCGTCATGTTCACCTTGGCTGTGAATATGCCTGGAATCTCGCGGGATCGGAACGTGATAGAATGAAGCTGTCTCAGTGGCTCTCCAGCAGTCTCTGGCAGAACGGAAATGTTTGAGGATATAGAGAATGGCGTAAAGAGCTCCAGATATGGCAGTTCTTCTTCTGCTGTAAGCGCAACAGGGTGGTGTGATTTAATTTCGTTCTGCTTTTCTTCAACAGGCTTTGGTGGTGCTTGGATTATCGGTTTGCCAAATGGTAACAAGGCAGCAGGGTTTAATGCTGTTTGCAATAATTGCTGGGATGACGTTTGACTTGGTCCTGCTCCCGTAGATAGAAGGTGTCGTTGAATGAGGTCAATAACCTCGTCTTGATTCGACGGTGCAAGAACCCGGCCAGACTGTTGCATCAAGCGGATACGCTCGTTCTCTTTTCGCGCAATCTCCAGATCCTTCTGCAAAGCTTCGATTTCTTTCTGGACCTTCTCCCTCTCCCTCTTTTTGTCTGCATCTGGGTCAAATGCACGAGGCTGTCTTGGACCAGGCGCACTAACTTCTGTAGGTTTCGTCTCTTTAAAAGTGGTCGCAGCAGGGTTGAAGCTCTTTCTCGGCTTCTCCTGAAATCTGGATGGTGGTTTGGCCAAGGGTGAGTCGCGTTGCTGTGATAGGCCACGGATTCTAACAGGGCTATTTTGGAAGCTTTTGCGTGGTCCCTTGTCGAGCGCTGGGAATCGGGGCATTGGCTGTGATGCCGAGGGAGCTGCATCCTGAGAGTTCGGTTGGACTAGAGGTGGTATGGCTGGTGGTGGCATGGAAGCCGGCGGAGGTGAGGGTGAGAAAGCTGGTAGAGGTGGCGGTGGGCTTGGAGAATCCCGTTCTGGCTCAGCTTCAGCTTCCGGCTCCGGCCGAGACTCTTGTTCTGCTTCCAAATCTTGTTCTAGTTGTGGCTCCAACTCTGACTCAGGCTCCTGCTCCTGCTGTTCCGCTGGCTCAGGTTCCACAGCCACTGAGGACTCCGCTGGCAAAGGTGACACAATCGGAGACGAAGACCGAGCTGGAATCTCCATCTCGAACGAGGAGAACGATCGAGCTGGAGATGGACTTCGCGCAGGCGAGGTGAACTTTACTGGTGAAGTTTCTTCCCGAGGCGCAGGCTCCTCAGATGGCACTGGGGTGTTGTCCCCAGGTTGCACAGCAGATTCGTCCACAGCAGGCTCGTCCACGGGAGGGGCGGGTTGAGGGTCCGGCATAGAAGCGGGCGGCGCAGGAGGTGAAGATGCTTCGATTGGTGGCGGTAGTTCAGGCTCAGGCATTGAAGCAGAGGGGGCATCCGTGTCCATCTCATCATCCACGTCTAGAGATCGTCGCAACACTTTACCGCGGAAGGGATTGAAGTTGTCATCCTCCGCCGAAGCAGACCTCCTCAGAACTTTGCCACGAAATGGATCAGCACTGTCATCATCCAACTCCATAGATCTCCTCAAGACCTTGCCGCGAAATGGATTAAAATCATCCTGCTCTGGCGCAGGGGCAGCCCCTGGACGCGGACCTCCCCTCGAGGGAGTTCGTTTGGCACCTGAGGCCATACCGCCTCCCACGCGCCTCGGCGGTCTCCCTGAGCCTGGCGTCCCTTCATCGGGGCGCGTTGGTGTCGGAGCATCACTAACAATCCGACTTGTGGCCAGCCGCGCCGCGAGAACTTCAGAGGGACTGTCAAAAGTAAATTGTGCCGAAGGTCGAGCGCTGGGTAATTTCTCTGGAGATCTTGATCTTCGTCGCTCAAAAGCCTCAGGATTGTTTCGTGAGAGACTTGCTTTTGTTGGTGATGCATAAGATGGACGTCTTCTTTGTGGTGACGCGGGTGCTTCAGTTCCGCCAATGTCAAGTGAAGTGCCGGGCGAGGTGCGACGCCGCTTTGGCGCAGACTCCTCCATTTTATGATTGAAAATTTGATATAGTCGCCTTTCAATTAAATCATTTCTCAAATTTGAGATTGTCGCAATTAATGTCTTGTTGATAAATGGTGCTGTCGCATTGGCTCGTGTTTACTTCAACAGGCCCCGTCGCGTCTCTCGAAGTGGGCTTCACCGCCTACTGAAATAGGTAAAGCGGCTTCGTGACTGTCAAAAGCGGCCCTTAACGAGAAGAAGTAAAGTTGTGGTATAGAAGGTTATGAGGCGCCGAATCATAAGACAAAAGAGGCCTTTGTAATCGCGTCTATACGGCGGCAAGTCAAGGTAAGGCAGAATAAACACAAAGCTTGAACGCGAGAGCATGTGACGCTGGAGGCAGATGCAAGCTGGCTGACTAAGGTCGAAGTTAAGCCAATCAGGTGATCCTTGATAGATACTTTGGTCAAAAGTTTGGAAGATCTGATGGACGAATAAGTCAAAGTGCTGATTCTGGAAAAAATACATGATCTTTCCAAACCGAATATTTTAGGCAAATAATCTTCTCACCAAAGTTACATAGAAAGGGCATCTCTTTTTAAATAACTATTATACATAGTTCCAAAGTGTATAACTACTCCATTTCTCTCCCTACACACCCTAGATTTCTCCAACCCCACCCCCGCCGATGACGTCCGAGGCAAATGACGGATTTCCGACAATTGCGAGCACAACACCAAGTTTGCCGGCTCCGTCGATTCGCATTACCAACCCAACTTCCTCACTTTAACCATTTGCCTCTACTGCGCACAACGCTCGCCAAATCTCCTCGAACCATCCGCTCCTGTATCAATTGACAGCGCCCAATTCGCATAATGTCGTTATCATCTAGATTACTACCGAGGTTACGACCACTAGTATCCTCTGCGACTTCACGAACCATCGTCAGCGCTGCACCGAGACGAACCACAGAAGAATGGCCTCAGCGCTGTTCACTAGGTCCATACTACGAAGTCATCCTGAATAGTCCCTCATATACACCCATCGATAAGCCAGAAGTACCACCGAAGTCCGCAGACGCAGCCGTTCAGCAAGAATTTCCTACAAAGCAAGCCACACAATCACCACAAGACAAGGCCCGATTAGTCTTTGGATCGCGTGTACTAGACCAGATCAAGAAGGACGAAAGAGTAGCCGCGCGCAAGGCGAAGGCTACGAATATCGCGGGTGTGCTTGTGCCGCCGAAGCCCACAGAACCGGATAACTGCTGCATGAGCGGCTGTGTGAACTGCGTATACGATCTGTACCGCGACGAGTTAGAAGAGTGGCAACTGAAGAATGCCGAAGCGCAGGCTGCTTTGAGCAAGGTTGAGGCATCTGTGGATTCAGATGGTGGAGGCTCCGAGTCAAATTGGTCTGCGCCTCCAGTCGCAGAGGCAAAGATCGCAAAGGACTTTTGGGACGAAGAGTTATATGCGAACATACCCGTTGGTATCCGGGAGTTTATGAAGACGGAGAAGCAACTGAAGTTGAAACACAAGAGCGACGGCACGAGTGAGAGCTGAGAAGGCAGACCCGGACGTGGATTGGCAAACTATTATTAGAAAAGGTGTGTATGGTGTAGAGTAAGGGTTCCAAAAGTATATACCCCGAGGGATTTCTTTTGGGTTTGGGATTATAGAGTCATGATTAAATGATAGATGCTGACTACGTGTCTGTATATCAGACTTTGCTAAATGCCCTCAAAATCTTCATGAGCATGAACTCTATACTGAAGGGTATAAAGCCAAGTAGCCCTCACCATCCCCATCCTTTGCATTTCTCCGTCCTTATCCTCACATTCGTCTGTTCCCCTTTTCCTCAAGGCCCCTTTTAAACTTTCATTGACCAGCTCCTTTTTTATCCCAAATCACAATATGTCAGAGCAACCAACGCCTGTCATGGGTGACCAACCTGTCCTACAACTACCTAGCTCGTTGGGGGTCTTCCGTAGAAGACCCTTCCTCTTGGCAGTTGCACAGAATCAAACCGACGCGCACTGGTATTCAGCTCGCGACGATTTTCACACGAATTATTTGTTCTTCTCGAACAATGAAATTTACGCCTGTGATCGCTGTAGGTCGGATCGTATCGCTGTCCGACGTCCCGAGATCTCAACCCGTAATCCTCAGCACCAGCAGTCAGAGAAGCGCCAAGAGTCAGAGAAGCATCAAGAGTCAGAGGAGCACCAGGGGCCAGAGAAACATGGGTTTGAAATGGAGTGGTTGGCTCCCGAAACCGAATCACTCATGTGTATGCTTGAAAGGAGAAACAGGACTTGGACTGTCAAATTGAGAAAGGTCCTGTATGATGCGAGGAAGGAAATCCGCAATCATATCTATGTTAGCGAGAACATGAGTCGCTTCTGGTACAATGCGACGGAGCATTTCAAAACTGAAGCCCGCGCAAGCGGAGATAAAGGATATAAGTCGCTGCCAAGCCCTCGTATTCCAAGACTTGAAAAGAACCCTATTGCCTACCGGTGTTGCGACCATGGCTTCTTGCCAGCAGGCTTGGTGATGGAGCACATCCCTCCCGTCCTTCCAGACCACGCGCGCGCTCTCGTCAACAGCTATATCGCTCCGAGCGTTCGCAACTCCGTCAAGGACGATCCCAATATGGAAAACGTCAGATTCCTGGTGCGATTTGGAGAACAGCTTCCCCCTTACGAGGCGCTGAATACAAACCTGTTATCACGCCCCGTCTATCTTGATCAGCTCAAACGTCAAAACAGACATGATGTGAAGAACTGGATTGACGGGATGGGTGCGTCACTTGCAATCCTCCACTGGGTATGCCGGTTTGACGGAGCTGGCGTGGAATTCCACCTCGCGCCCAAACCCAACAGGAAGAATCCACGGCTTTGGATGACGCACTTTGGCGACTGCGATACTATTAAAGGGCCAGACGACACGACCGCGATGGCAAAGGCTTTCTGCAACAATCCGGCATGGCCACAACCTCAATCCATTTCCAAGGAGTGTTCAGACAAAATGTGGCGTTGGCGTGAGGATACATTCAAGCGCTTTAAATACGCGTATTCTTCTACAAGTGATTATCTCTTAGCAGAGTCTCCGTCACAGCAACACTTGCCCCGCCGTTTCCTCAAAAAGGTTGAATGCATGAAGCTGGACGACCAAGGCATAGAATATGAAACATCGGAAGGCTTCACAGTCTAAGTCAACACGATAGGATGTTATTCGGTATATGGAGCAGTGTTTATATGCAAGATGCTTAAGAAGCTGTTACGGGTTGATTTGGGTATATTTTCAGTTTGTCATAGTGAAAGAAGATGGAGCATTGTCGATGTGTAAGATGCTTAAGAAGATGCTGCGGGTTAATTTGGGTATATTTTCAGTTTGCAATAGGACAAAAGAATATTGTCATCAAGTTTCAAACCGTTCAGTATTCTCATTCATCATGTTTATGATACCTCGTGTAAATCTATGCGCCATTTTTTCCCAACTCCAAATTCTCATAAAACACTTAGTTGCTCTTGGTCTGCAGGCTGGCGTTCCTGTCGTGCTCGTCGATGTCCATAGCCTCCCAGGGGTAGTTGATCCAAACGTCCTTGACGGTCTCAGCAGCAGAGTAACGGGTGCTGAGCATGTCGTGGGGGAGCGTGCCCTTCTTGGGCTTGTCCTTGTTCTGTGAAACTGTTAGTGATTGTTTGCACCTCTGTTATTGTTACACATACGTGGAGGACAAAGATGCTGAACTCAGTCTTAGGAGCGGGGGCACCGTCGCCCATGCGCTGGCGGGCAGTCTCAACATCCTTCTCGAGCTCCTTGACGGCGTACTCAAGGGTTGTTCGAGTGTCGTCAACCTCGTCGACGATGAGGATTCGCTTTCCGACGAGGTTTTCCATCTCGCCGAGAGCGGTCAGGTCGAGCCACTGTGTTCGGGTGACCTTGGTACCAGGGGCCTCGACTTCATCGTTGCCAAGAGACTCGTAGAGGGAGAGACCGATAGCTTGGATGGGGATGTTGGGAGCGCCGCCCTTCTTGAGGAAAGATCGGAGGATTCGAGCAGGGACGTAGCCACCACCGCCGATGGCGATCAGGAGCTGGGGCTGGAAGTCGGCGAGAAGCTTCTCAGCGGACTTCTGGCACATCTTGTGCACCTGGAGGAGGACATGTCAGCGGCAGAGCTTCCAGTAGCTATTTTGCCAAAGTTCAAAGCCAGTGTTCCAAGCATTTGAGGGACTATGCGACAAAAAGCGCAGTATATCCCCTCAACGCTAGTGGTTCTGTCGCAAAGTTTGACACTTTTCATGATGCGCTTTCACGGCCCTCATCATCAAGGCGGGGTGGTGTGGCGGGGTAGGTAGTCCTTACATCGTTGTATGTGACGTAGAGCTTCTCGACCATTTTTGCGGTATTGACGGTGATAAATAGAGCGTCGCGAAGAAGAAACGATGCTGTACTTGAGTATATAGAAGGATATAGGAAAATGCGACGGGGACGGATGAAGAGATATTAATGCCCAAGGACAAGAGGGAAAAAAGAGAGGGAAAGAAAAAATAAAAACAGGGCCGAGGCAACCGCGACTGGGGGAATTTGGGATCTTCAGGCAATTTTTTTCTTAGCTTGATCTGGAGGTCCCCGCAGTGGTAAATAGATCCACTAAAATGTCGGAAGTCGCCGACACAGGCCAAAGACTGGGAAGTTAACATCTCACAAATGTATATTGAAGGGCTTCAAGTTGCTTTGTATCCAGATGTTACCAAGACTTGCTGTTCGCCCTGGTGTCGTGATCAATAAAATACACTTGCGAATGTATGGTGAAAGCCTCTAATGTTGGACTGTTCAGGGTAGGTTATATATTTCTACATGGTATCTGTCGCTCAATGACTCAGACAGGAAAGATGTGATCACGAATGAAAAGCTGATCAGTTCAAACTCTGGAAACTATTATTAGTCTATGTGAGAATAACAATGGCCATCATGCATGATGCTAAGATGTGCATGGACGGAAATCAGTCATTCATATTCCCAACTGAACTTGAGATCATGAAGGTGAATTGAGGTGAACAGCAATAAGTTGAAGATTGGAACTAATGGGAAGACGCACGTTTAATCCATAAAATCTCATTCTAAATACCACTTTGTCTTGCTTGATGGCTCGTACCACGCGAGCATGTTGAAAGTAGCTAAGAAGGAAAGGAACTAACAAATGGAATGGGACCCATGAAATATTATCGGATATTGGATACTTTCGAATTTAGCTCCGGTTTAGGAAAAGACCTCGACACTTATGGTATATGATAGTATCAGAAGATGTCTAGCTTGAGATCGAACAATATGAAACTCCTTCATATGATGTCTAGTAGTCGTCTTTCTGACAGGTGGTGAGCAGTTGCAACAAGTCCTGTAGGACAAAGGAAGCAAGCACTAGACAACTTTCTCAACCCCACCATATGCCTTGTTGCTCTCATATACTACTATATAGTAATAATCGTCAGAAATGGAGAATTCTGTTAGCAGTGGTGCCCTGCTCCTGATCAAGTAAAAGGAGGTGGGATGTTGTCCAAGTTGATGGCTCAGCCTCCTTGAGGCGTTACATTAGTGCGATACCCCGCAACGCTGGTGACTGCCTTGCAGTCCGCCATGTGGTCTGCCACGAAAGCCAAGGAACCACTAATAGAGACTGTCTTGACGAAATTAAAGTATAGACCAGCTTATCTTGCCACAATCTATGCGATCAAACTATAATGTTGTGATCTCATGTTGTGATGGACTGCCTTCCTGTCTGCCTTGGATGGATCGGTCCTCCGCCAAGAAACAAATCTGACAGCCCATCTACACCAGCAATGAAACAAGCCAACATCAATCACGGATGCCTGTTTCACACCATTACCGACTACTCGGGATTTTAATTCATAGCGTCTTAAGGCAGACAGATCGATGCCCCTCTCCGTCCAGATGCGGCAACCTACATACCACCACCCATTCCGCCTTGGCAGACAAATTGGCAGAAAGGTAAATACAGTGGACGCGCAATGGCTTGGAGGATTGTGCTTCTATGGGACAGAGGTCATTGCGGCGCACAGCCCTGTCGTACCGACTGTTTAGGCGGACATGGATATGCTGAGTTAGTTTGCTGATCGGTAAGACTCACCCATCGTTTGGCTTGGTAGGACTTTTTACTGGTTGGAGCTTCTTTGGCATTTAAAGAATGTCTTTCGCTCTCTTTTCTGTCAGCTTACATTCGATAATCTCATCTCAATTACTTCTGAGTCTCTGTGAGATCTTTTGTTGCAAGTATCCGTTTGACACGGAATTAATAGCCCATCATGGTGGTGAGTACATCGACTTCCACCTCTTACATCTCAGAACTAAATGCATCGCAGAGATTACCTATTTTCCAGAGCCTCGTCAGTAGCTCGAGAAGCAACGCCAAAGAAGAACAAAGCAAAGATCCTTCCGAAAAGATCGAGAGTAAACCCGTTCCTGTCGGCAGTATCTCAGATCAAGATGCAGTCCTTCGTTTAGAGCCCGTACCAAACCGGAACGGGCTCTTGGTCAAGATAGAACCTCCCAAGGAGCCATCCATCAAGATCCCCCATATCCCCTGCGATATTGTCCTGGTAATCGACGTCTCGGGCAGTATGGTAGCCGCTGCGCCAGTCCCTGGTGAGAGTGAGGAGAGCAACGGGTTGTCTGTCCTCGATTTGACCAAGCATGCGGCCCGTACAATCATCGAGTCAATGAATGAGAACGATCGTCTTAGTATTGTCACTTTTGCATCAAAGGCAAAGGTTCTGCAACCTCTCCTTCCGATGAATAAGGACAACAAGGATCTTTCTTTAAAGAATATTAAGAGCATGGTGCCTCTGGATGCTACCAACCTCTGGCAGGGTATGCTTGAGGGCATCAAGGTCTTTAAGGATGGAGGATCATCGACCAATGTTCCTGCAATTATGATCCTTACTGACGGGATGCCAAACCACATGTAAGTGATTGTAATAACCCCCCAAATACGTAATGCTCACTTCTATAGGAACCCTGCTGCCGGTTTCGTCCCCAAGATTCGCGCTATGGGCCCTCTTCCAGCATCCATCCACACCTTCGGCTTCGGCTACAGTCTGCGATCCGGCCTTCTCAAGTCAATTGCTGAGATTGGCGGCGGTAATTACGCTTTCATCCCAGACGCCGGTATGATCGGAACTGTGTTTGTTCACGCTGTCGCAAACCTACAGAGCACGTTCGCCACTCGCGCTGTCCTCAAGCTCACTTACACCAAGCCTTTGGAGCTGCAGGAAACCACTGGACCTTCCGTGGTGCAGAAGGCTCCTGAGTTTGCCGATAAGTCTGAAGACAGTGCTGTGGAATTGACGTTGATGCTGGGAAACCTGCAATATGGCCAGTCTCGCGACATATTCCTCCGCATCAATAATGTTAAACAACTCGAGTTTCTGAGCGAAAGCGACTCTACTCGCTCTGTTGTTCAAGCTCATTTAACATATGTCAAGCCTGGAGATTGTCTCAAGAGCCGCAAAGTCCTCGAAGCCATGCTAGCTAAAGACGCTGACTTCATTCCCATGGCGAGTGCTCAGCGCAGTGTCCTTGAGTACAGCGACTTACCCGCATCGGAAATTGCTTACCACGAATCAAGATCCCTCATCTGCAACTTCATCTCAACCATGTTCCCTATGAAAAGAGATGAAGAACGTGAAGTCGCAAAGGGTATGAAAGAAAAGGGCAGCGAATTGCGAACTTGGATCGAGACTCTCCCCGCCAAGGACTTTGACGATGAGAAGAACAAGTCCCTCATGCAGGACATATCTGTCGAAGAGCCCAAGGGCCAGGTTTGCATGGCTATCGAGAGCAAGGAATATTTCCAGAAATGGGGATGCCACTTCCTCCCCTCTTTGCTAAATGCACACACTCGTCAAGTCTGCAACTCCTTTAAAGATCCCGGGCCGCTTCAGTATAGCACGGGTAGCCCCCTGTTTATATCATGCCGGGACGCACTAGATCAGATCTTTGACAACCTTCCCGCCCCTGAACCCTCACGAAATCAGCGTGGTCATCGAAGCCACGGCAGTCATTCATCCAGTCGATTCACCTCCGTCAGCATGAGCAAATACCGCAACAGCAGCGGCGTCTGCTTTGCTGCGTCGACCGACGTAACACTGGCTTCTGGTCGAATCGTCCAGATCAGAAAACTTCGTCGAGGCATGAAGGTCCACACACCTAGAGGCACCCGACGTGTCGCCATGGTTCTCAAAACACCCGTCGAGCGTGAGTTACTCTGCCGCGTGGGTAAAGTCCTCGTTACACCGTGGCATCCTGTATCATGCGACGGAAAGCGCTGGGATTTCCCTGCGAATAGAGCCGACGCTGCTGTGGCGTACACGGGGTGTATCTACTCAGTACTTCTGGAGCGCGATGCTAGTCCAGCTGCTCATTCCATCCGCGTTGGCGATATGTGGGGTGTCACTCTTGGGCATGGGTTGACTGCCGGTACTGATTTACGTGCACATACGTTCTTTGGAGACTACAATGCTGTCGGTAAAGGTCTCCTGGGTCTTCAGCGCCGTGGAAACGGTGTTGTTATTGGAGGTGGTGTTGAGAGGGACGAAGAGACTGGATTGGTCACTGGGTTCAGTCACTTCAAGAAGCAAAGCACATTTTAAGCAAATTTAGTTACTTGAGAATAATTCATGTTGTCCACTTCAGATAGGTGCCTAGTGTAATTGGGTATCATTCTGTCCGACCATTTCTATCCCGCCTTGACCTTTTTCCAATCTCTTCCGTGATATATCCCCAAAATTGTTCCTATTCAAAAACGCCTTCCCAATAAGCAAGTGATCTAGATCGTACGGTTTCTCTTAGCCAGGACCTCCTCTTCCCCACCGGTTGTTACATCCAGCTCACTCCATCGCCTCTTAAGCTTCGAGACCGTCTCGAATGGAATGAACTCGAAGTTGTGCTCCTCTACAGGGGCTTCGACACGAAGGTACTGGAGGACAGCTAGCTCTTCTTTCATCGCAGACTCATGTCCACCCACATTCCAGTCTACCTCGAACTCATCATTAAATGGGTTCCCAGGCATGTCGTCTGCAAAGGTGATGTCCAACGGGGACACATCAATCTCCATTGCTGCCTCGGTGGGTGCCTGGGTATAGGCACGCGGGCTTACCAGGGGTGAAATAATGAGTGTGGTTGGGCCATCCCATGAGATTTCTTTCCAGTTCATTTCAGGTTCCTGACCGTAGGGAATTACCCACTCAGGAGCATCCTTGCCGGAGGAAGACACCGTTACTTCATCCTGGCCAAAGGGTGCATTCTCTTGCTCAGCGACTCGAGACAGAATATGAGCCCATTCTCCAGGATAGGGATCATTCGGATTCTCGACCTGACGCTTCCCCTCAGAATACAACCGCTGAGGCGGAGCAGGAGACCGCCACAAATGGTCAGCGCGCGAAGGCTGAGGACGAGGAACGTGATATTGCGAAAACTGAGGATGTCGGCGAAGAATCTCATCCCGACGCTCGATGTTCTCCAGCCACGAGAAAGGAATACCGGGGAACTGCGGAAAGCCTACTTGCTTGTTGAGACACTCCTGAAAGACTTCGCTCCAAGGGTGAGCGCTGAGGAGCTGCGCCGGGCAGACCTCCATACAACCCACACTGGCGAGAATCTCCCAGCTCTCCGTCTCCTCAGCCAGCTCTTCACGGGCCATAATCCACTCGTTGAATAGATCTCCGTGTTCTTCAACCATGTCGGCCTCTTCTGCAGCGGAGTAGGTCTCAGTTGAGAGGAGATAGTCGACGATGAAAGTAGCTCGCTTGGCAACTGCATACATGTGAGCGCCGAGGTCGAAGAATGTATCACGGATACCCTCCTCGTAGGTGTACAAATCCGAGTTCATCTCAAGTTCCTCCCAGTTAGGGATGAATTGCATCACAGAGAAAAGACCGCTGGAGTACATGTAGCCCGGGTTGATGATCTCGTGATACGTCTGCCAGCCGCGGCAAACATCCTTGGGACCTTTGACGTTGCAGACGTGAATCTGGCCGGGTGTGCAGCATGCGCCGTGGTAAGGACATTCGGCGTCGAGATACTGGTCATGATGCTCGCAAGGGGCCGGAGGCTCGAGGGGGTGGTAGATGGTGTTACCGGTGGCAATGTTAATGATAGCCAGACGACGAGTGTCGCAACGAGTGAAGTGGATGACTCTGATGTAGCACATTTTGGAGATTTGCGGTGATGAAATTGTAAGTGGTGTGTAGTAGTTGGTCTTCTAGAGACAGTGAATTGGAGCTGATATGGGTAGAGTCGACGCCATTGTGAAGAGTATTTATCACATTCATCAACGAGTTCTTTTCGTAAAGCATAGGTATGTTCGTAGAGTATGTTATTGTTCGGCTGGGTGGAACAAAGCGGCAAGATGGAACTTTACATAGTGCTTTGATGGGGAGTGAATGTCAAAGAGGTTTGTTCATTGTTAACGGAACAGATGGCCTATGAGACTGGTGAACAACTGTTTTATAAACAAGGCTGAACCGAGTTGTTCTGTTCAGAGACTCTTCATATAAAATTGCATGAGTAAGTGTTCCTTAGCCAAAGGCAAGACTAAGCATGATACTGATTCGAGTATCTATACGTATAAAACTCCTTTATTGTGAATATTGTAACAGAACAACTGAAACCGAACACTCAAACATACCTAGCCTGACTCATTCGCTCATCTCCTCTTCCTCTGAATAACCACCAAAGGATCCTCACCCTTCCTCAAAGCCGTCATCAGAAGCTGCATCCTGCCATCAACCCTCTCATCCAGCTTCTCACACGCCTGCTCGACCGTCAGTCCCTCCTCCTCGCACATCTCCTCCACCTTCCGCACGATCTTCTGCCGCACGCCAACATAGTTACTCGCGTACTTGCGCTCCTGCAGCGTGCCCATGCGCCACGCTGTGTTGTACTTCTTCTCGAGGGCTTCGATCGCCGGGTTGCCGTGGCTGCCGTGCTTCCACTCCTGCCACACCAGTGCTACCGTCTTGGGCATGCGGTGGTATTTGAAGCGCCGGCCGGAAGGACCCGCGGCGTGGCGGTAGCCCACGGAGCGGGGGACTGAGTACCGGGGTTTGGCGCTGTCCAAGTCAAAGTCGTCGTCTGACACTGACGGCGATGGCGACGGTGATGCTTGTTCTGAAGCTGGAGTACCATCAGGTTCTTGTTCTTCATCCTCTTCAAGATCAGGAGTGTAGTCTAGATCACCATTCTCTCCGACATGTTCATCTCCCGAATCTGCGGACAACTGCGTACAGCTCTGGGCATTAATAGGCGTCCACGAAGCTGCTTCGCGAAGTTTGACGCTTAACACATTTGCCCTTGTCCTCCGCTTCACCGCGCGATATAGCATCGTAGGTGGATTCTTCCGTTTAGGCGCGCGTCGGCCGGTACTCCGCACCGGAGCTGATTCCACGTCTGGTGTTGGCGGCAGCTGGTCAAAAGCATTAACCTCGAGGGGACTATCATCTTGCGTGGGCTGCGTTACTTCATGTGAATCGTCCTCAGGCTCAGAAGGCATCTGCAGACTGAGATCCACCTGTTCCACGCTTTGATGTACAGGTGCGCAGTTTGACACAAGACCTCTGACTTCCTCGAGATGCTCTCCTCCAAATGCCTGTGCAATCTCAAGTTCGGCACTACCAGCCCCAGCGAAATTCCCCTCTTTAGCCTCCCTCATGAAATTGACGAAGCCGTCCATAAGAATGACATGCATCTGTAGTCTCTTCTCCATGATTCCCATTCTCGTCATCATTTCCTCATTTTGCGTTGCCAGGTCCTCGGTTCTTTGTCTTTCAGCTTCGAGCTCTGAGGCGTAGTATTCCTGCATGTTGACTACCACTCGGGCAAGGTTGAAAGGGACTTGTTCAACAGCTTCCTCGATTGACTCTTGTCGAGATATTGAGAGTTGTTCTTTCTGGCTTGTCTTTTTGAGCGATTGATGAGGCTCCGATGCTAGCCTCCGGTGTAGACCTTCGGAGACGGAGCGGCCCACGGCGGAAGGTGTCGGCGATTGATTCGGTGAGAGGAGCATCGCTGGTGTATGTGCGGGTGAAGACATGTCTTGAAACAATTATCGGTTCTTTCTCGAGATTTTTGAGTTTCACAACGAGTACATGAAGCAAGAAACTCGACCGTCAATTACCTGGGCTACGCTGTCATTATCAGCTGGGGCTTAGCTCAGTACCCGCGCCCGGTCCAAGCTATTGATCCCGTGAATAGAGGCGAGAACAAAGAAAACATCACCTCACCAAGTCACCCAACGACACCAAATGTTTGTTCTAGGAAGTCAATCTTTCTTACTTAAACAATACTAACTATGGTATAAATAGCAATGTAATAATCCTATGTCTGTTTTAAAATGAGGGGTACAGCAACCCAAACAATAAAATAATAAAAACAGAAAAGATAATACTTCCTCACCGTCAGAATAGAAGGCATGCAACGTCAATAAACATGGTCCATCTCTCATCTAAATTCGTACTTGTCTTCTCTGCCTACGCTTTCCAAATGCTTTCAAATCATTATCCTTTGTATCATGCAATATTCTCGGTCTGTGTAAGTGGGAGGGGGCAAAATTAACTCGAAAGAAGAAGTAAACCAACGGGTATATAACGCCAACGATGATGCTTTGTTCGATCTGCAATGCAATAATGGTAGGGAGGCCGGGTTTCGAGAGGGGGCTTTTCTTTTTCTTTGTTTAAATACCCCTGGTGGTAGTTTGGTGATTGGTGGTTGGTGGGAGAGAGAATTAGATGTAGGCCGTGGGTTGAGCCTCGGCCTTCTGGCGCCGCCAGAAACGCCATCCCTTGCGTCGGCGCCCTGACTTGTTCGCGCCCGCCATTGTCTTCTCGGGGTGGTGGTCATCCTCGAGCTCGAGCCTGTAGCGACGTACACTCCCAGAGTCGTCGTCAAAGGGGACATGACGGTGGTCGTGCGAGACAAAGCAGTCTGGAACAAGATGTCTCCGGACCCAGCCCTTCACGCCGCGCGTGGCAGCGTCGATGGCAGCGTACTCGAGACGGCGGGTGCGGTCGCTCGTCCAGTAGTGCGTCGTCTGCGGCGGCGGAGACGGGATGGGCGTTGGCTGGACGCGGCGGTCGGGCACGCTGTCGGCGAGGTGGATTGGGTCGGGAGTTGGGAAGTGGAAGAAGGCGGCGGACTTCTTGGGCTGTGTCTGGGGTTGAGTAGCGGTGTTGGTGCGCGCGAGGTTGAGGGAGTTGTTGCTCGTGCGCGTGGGCTGCACGGGTTGAGTCTTTGCTGCTCGACGTAGTGACGGACGCCGATCACGGAAGCGAGTCCTAACACCCGATCCATTGCTGCTTCCACTGCTGTCCTTTGAAGAGCCATTAGAGGACCGACGACCAACTAGGAGGTGGTGAGAGTTGCTGAAAGTAGACCCGCCATGAGAAGTATTCGAGGTAGAGGTACGGCGCGGGGGCGTATTAGACTCATAGCCTGAGTCCTGTCGCTGCATCTTTGCCGCCGCGGGTCGACGCTCCCTCACCCAGTCCTTGCTGGAAGCCTCACGCTGCTGACGCTGTAGCTCATGTTGAAGATGCTCGAGGTGCTGAAGGCTGGTTGTGTCGTGGGTAACAGGAGGTCGAGGGGGTGACACGGGCTCAAAGAGCTCTGTATCGGCAAAGCTGTGAAATGTCGTTCCGGAAGCTCGCGACTCAGACCTGTCCTCCATGGTGAACATACATCCGACGATTGTCAAGCCTGCGGGTGTGTTGATAATAGTGTTAAGAGGTTAGGGTGAAGTTATAAGATTAATTGTTCCGTGCGTCGTGTGTCGTCGAAGTATAAAGAAAGAACGAAGGTAGTGGTGGTGGTGGTTGAATAATAAGAGGGTATTCGTCAGTTCTATAACAGCACCTCCATTCCCTTTTACCTCTCCCTAAATAAACGACCGACTGCAATCTCCGAGAAACCCAGTCCAGCCAAGTTCAGGAGCAGTTGGGGTATTAAAAAGACCCAACAACTAAGAAGAAAGAGAGAGCCGAGAAGAGATAGCTCTTTCTGATCCGCGGTGAAGCGAAGCGAAGCGAGAAAGGCACCTTGGTTGCGGGAGAAACACAACAAGATAGGGAGGGGGGGATGAAAAGTTGCGGTCTGCAGGGCCCCTTCTTGTATTTAGAAGCTTCTCTTTCTTGTTCTTCTTTTAATTTTGGGCCCTTTCAGTTGCAGCGCGAATTGCCAAGTTTGAGTTGCAGTCGCCCTAGCAGGGGCTTTAAGCGGGAAGCTGGGACTAGGGGGTTTGGGATTGGGCGGTGAAGATATGCACGACGGCGGATGTGGATGGGGGGACACGGAGTAGCTGTGGTGTGATGTAGCCTAGGCAAAATAGCGTTGTGAGGGGGGCAATAGGTGTGATCGATGGTGGATAAAGGTCATGGGAAGTCGGTTGGCGGTGGTAATGCCGGGTATTTGCGTAGATGGGTGATGGTGTTGACAGATGACGGTTGACAGGTGAGGGTTTAGGTCAGAGGCGAGATTCCGTAATACCACCGATAAGCTTGGACAGATTGATAGAGTTCATGAAACCCTCGAATATACTTATCCACAAATGTATATCTGTCATAAACTGACGTCTTGTCCTCTCGAACGATGTTGACGATCTCTAGCGGTGCGGTGTTTTAGTCACTCGGCCAATTTCTTTACAAACCCATCTTGTTAGTCTCGATCGCCAATGGACGGACGGCAAATCACCTTACCCAACACACGTTGAGAAGACACTAAAGAAAACGGTGGAGCTTGTTTTTTCCCTCACCATTCGTCGGTGGCGAGACGGGGGCGGCGCTTCTTGACGATCGGCTACGGGGACCGGAAGAGAAATGGGCGGAGAAGGAATAGAATGGGGTCCACGCAGAAATAGGTTCCGAAAAAAATAAGCGAAAAATGGGACAGTAGGGGGAACTTGGGAGGGTGAGTATGTGCTCTAATATGCATTTCTTGGTGAATGTAAGGAAGTCATATGACGGTTATAGCTTGTGTCTTCTGTACCTAGGTAGGAGACCGTTGTACGCCCAGAGATGTCAGTCAATCTTCACATGTCATGTTCACTTGCTCATTCGTGAGAGAAGCAAAGAGAGACAAGGGCATGTATCACAGCTCTCTATCTCTCTCCGTCTGGTCTGGTCTGTGTGCCCGGGGGCGGCCCGAGTTGAACACACTACATACAATGTGGACCTCCTCTCTCTCTTCCTCACCTCTTTGTCTCTGTTTTTTCATCCAGACTCTTCATCTTCTCAGCTCAGGAACAGCAGAGAATCGGCGGGTTACGGAAGAGACGTACCGAAGCGTGGAATAAGCAGTCTATCGATCGCCTCTGCAGGGTCTAACCACTGAAGCTACTGCAACCTTGAACAGGGGTCGCACAACGTCACGCAGCGGAATGGTAGGATCTGGTTGGATTTTGGGAGCTTTGGGGCTTTTTTAGACGCGGCCCGCTTTGGTGCTGCGCCTTTTTTCTCTTATTTTCTTTTTTTCTCTTTGGCTGGTACGATTCTGCTGCTGTGTCGGGCCGTCCGTGCGTGGTCTGTTAAGTATCGGTCAGTGATGGGAGCTGAAATCGTGTGCTCAGGTGCACGACTCTCGGAATGTCCAGCTACACTATCAGGCTCATCTCTCAATGCCATCTTCAACTATAAACTCTTCACGATCAAAGCCTCAAGTTTGTTTATCCTCCACGGTACCCACGTGTCGAGCGTCAAGTGGGACGAATGCACAACCATGCATGCTGCATATATCCCGTCCATAACTGGACCCCAATATGCAAATCATGTCGGGTTTACGAGCTGAATCACTTGGTCAACAACAGACAACTCATCTTTAGCTGACTTGTTCCCGCACTGATCACCTCTGTGTCCTCGCTCCGGGAGAGAGATTCCTCCCCCATGACGAAGCGTTTCGGACGGCGTCATTCTTGTGACTTAAGCGCCTGTGAGTGCACCCGCAAAAACGCGCATCTCATCGCGGGGTTATCCTTGGCTGTCTGAGACATAGCTCCAAGGTCATAGCGTGTCAAGCTTCACGGTCTATGATTACGGGAGATACCGCTGATGGAATGCCAAGTAAGGTGTATAGTAGTAGTTTGAGGGGTAATTGTCGTGTTCTGGGGAAATCTGCCATGTTCAAATGGCAGGTGTTGTATCCGTAAGAGACTGGTCATTTTTTGGAATGTCTTGGCAATCTTGGGGAACTTTGCTTCTGACTGTTATAGGGCATGGGGTCCTGGATTGGCAACTCATCCGGTGCCTGAATGAAAATAAAGGCATTAAATTAGTCCTCACGAGTCTAGATTACAGCATGTGAAATCAATCTAACCAGCCGAGGATCTCATCAACCCTCAAATTAGATTAGATAGCTGCACCATCTGACGAATAAAGCGACAACACCCTCCTGCATGACCCTTTACAGCCACCTGACAGCATTTAGACTAACATTACGTGCCACGCCCAGGCACGACAAAAGCAGCCACCTACGAGCCGCGCCTCACATCCGCTGCAAGGTTATCTTTATACCGACCTTTTGCACAAATGCATGTCGCGGGCTGTCGTTTCTTTTTATAAACGCCTATCTACAGCGAAAAGCCATTAACGATGCGTGCTTTGAGACAGGACGATGCGACGATCGCGATGCTGAGGATAGGCCAGTGGAGTCGTATCGATTGCGAAAACTAATCTTCACATGTTTTCTGCATGCGACGCTGGATATGCAGCGCGACGATCAGTGGCTTGGTCATGTGTGTGAGGTGGCCGATTACGGACGTTGATCAGGCATTGGTGCTTGAAGAGTAGCTTTGGACTGAGACGTGAAGACAAGTCATACAGAGTAGTTTGTTGGTGCCACTATTGCGCTATGTTTTGTCCTGTGTAGCAGCACGAAACTTGGCCGAATGAGGATGCCGTGGACGGGTTTCAGGGTCTATCTTAATCGCCGACAATAATTCATTGCTAACATGGCTCGTATTGACGAATTGCATTACTCTCTGCTTTTGCTGCTCAGTGATTGTTATACTATGCTCATTTGCCATTCTGCTGCTTGGGAGTTAGGATGTAACTACATGTGGGCGTCGATGTTGATGTCGTGTAGCTCACGTCAATTATTGGTCTACCTATGTCGCGTGGAACTCCAGCCAAGGCGCCTCTGCCATAAAATAGCGTAAACCATAACAGATCAATTATAGTAGACGCATTACGCTAGAGACGGTAGCTAAATAACCCGACTTCGCGTCTTCTTGCATGATAATCGAAAGTTCTGATGAGCTGAGAGTAGTGGTATAGGGTGAGTAACTCTTAAAATAGTACCATAACACAAGTCAAGATTGAGTTCACGCAACCTGGGGTTGGGAAAGCAACTCTGCCAATCAAGTCAAGCATAGATAATCAATTGTGGTCGATGCCTGTCTCGACCTTCGGTGGCTGAGCCCATTTGAGCAAGATTCCTTCATCCATCTCATCCTGGCCAATTGAGATCCGGCTTCTCCGGACGATCTTGTATAACGTAATCTCGAGCTTGACCCTGTTGGACAAGCTAGCATTCCAACACGAGGCATCTTACTTCCTCACTGCCTCTCAATAGTTGCGCTTCTCCTCATTTTGTTTTTGTATCTCTTGATGTCGTGTCGCGGACTTTGTTATGGACTTGCTCAAAAGACACGGCGGACACGGACATGGCCATGAGGAAGAAGAGCATGGCCACGGCCACGGTCATCAGAGCGAGGATGGATTGAGACAGCACTTTCTCGCATGCCTTTACTGGTATGTCTTGGCGACGGTATTGATAGCTGGATCTGTCTCACGGTTGGTCTCGGCATTTGTCGCCAAACGAAGGTAGGTGGGACAAAACAATGCTAAGAGGAGAAAGCTGAGACAGTGGCAGAATAAAGAGGCGAGATATGGGGGCGAGTTCAGATACATCAATCTCCACGGTGGAGAGATTGCTTGATGCGCCCAAGACCCTCGTGTCAAGATTAATCCCGAGACCAGTTCGGTTTGCGACGCTGCCGGTGCGCAAAACAATCGTCGTTGTCGCATATACTGCCTTCGTTTCGCTACTCGTTACTTACAAGTCCATCAAGCACGACGCCAACTTCCACGAGCGCATCGCATTCCGCGCAGCATGGATCACAGCAACACAGACCTCACTGCCCTTCCTGCTGGCCGTCCGCGTCAACCCAATCGGCCTGCTGCTGGGCACTTCGTCCGAGCGGATCAACTGGTTCCACCGATGGGCGTCGCGAGTCTTCTTCGCCAGTGCAACCGTCCACGGAGGCTTCTTCACGTACGAGTGGCTCGCAGCCAGCTTCTTCTGGACCGAGGTCAAGACAGTCAAGATGGTTCTGCCGGGTATTGGAGCGTGGTTCATACTAGCCTGGACGGTCGTATCCACGATACCCTTCTTTCGACGCATCAAGTACGAGCTTTTTGTTGTGCAACACATCATCTCAGTGGTGCTACTTCTAGTATTCCTGGTCCTTCACGTTCCAGACCATCACCTGTTCAGCATCTGGTGCGCCGTTGGCGTCTTTGCATATGATGTTGTGACACGTTCGGCGAATCCGATCTGGCGGAACCTTCGGCTGCGGGTTTCGGCGAACCCTTCTGTGCGATACGCGCACGACGCCAATGTCGAGGCTGTTGATGATGAGTTGACGGTCATGACGATTCGAAATGTTGGGTTTAGTTGGGTTCCGGGCCAACACGTTCTTATTTGGTCGGCAACTTTCCGATGGGAGACACCGCATCCGTTTACTATCGTCAACAGCCCGAGTGCTGAAGCGAAGACACAGGATGTCCAACTAACCATGAAGACGAAGACGGGATTAACTAGGGATCTGAACGATTGGGCACGAAGGACTGGGCTGAGAGGAGATAATGGGAGCATGCGTGTGCTTGTAACGGGACCCTTTGGAACAGTCCCCAACTGGAAGCAGTACGAGAACATTGTTCTCGTCGCAGCGTCCACGGGAGGATCGTTCACCACGCCTATCCTCGAAGACCTACTTACATCCCAATCACCCGGCTGCGTCCGCAAGATCAGCGCCCTTTATATCGTGCGTCACAAAACCCACGCCGAGCCATATCTCCAACGAATAGCCCGAGTACTCTCCCGGGCCAAAGAGATGGGTATATCAGCAAATATCCAAGTCGCCGTCACAAGAGGCTCAGGAACAGTCTCCGGGGCCGTTCTACACGATGATGCCAACGCCAGCCGCGAGAGGCTAATCGAGCCTGAAACCACGCGAGGAGCTAGTGTGGAACTGGAGCGTTTCTCCCTGGACTCTGCGAGATCGTCGGAGAGCGGGAGAGAGGAGCAGCTGTTGAAGGAGGAGGTAGATCTTGGCTTGGATGGCGTTTATGCGTCGTCCGTTGAACACACTGAGGGACGGCCTGAGATCGCTAAGTTTATGAGAATGGCGGTGGGGAGTATTCCTGGGAATGTTGCTGTGGCGGTCTGTGGAGGTGAGACGATTGAGAAGGTTGTCAAGACGAGCGTTGCTTCTATACGGACAGAAAGGAATAGGGATGGGATGGGAACGAGTGATATTTACTTGCATGTTGAGCGGTCGGATATGTAATTGCTTATTGTAATGTTAATGCTGTATAATGATTCGGCACATGTCCCAATTCTTCTGGTCTTGAAAGGTGTTGCTTTGGACTATTGCTAGATGCCTCGTCGCCGTCAAGAAACATCCGCAACTGATATATCACTGACTCTGAGGATACCAGTTACTCCGTCCATGTATACAAGATTGAATGTCAGGTGGAACACTGACCATAGATCTTATATGTAAAAGCCCAGGTCCATTGTTGAAATGCGACAAGAAAAGCCCCAGGACCACTGTTTGAGTAACATAGGCTCTACAACTGATGGTACGGATATCGCTTGGGAGGCTAATCCATGAGTCGAGACCAAGTGTTCGATACACATCAAGATTGCACAGAAACAAACAGGCTCAGTGAACGCATCTTCCTTACTCTGAATATGGGCTACGTGAATAAGACGTAGCTAATAAGTGTTGTCTGTTGCCGATGATGTACACAACATCCAGGTGATTGACTGCTGTGATAGCACAACAACGTACTTCACCTACCACTGAGTCACGTTCTGAATAGGCCAACGCAATGAATCAAGATGCACTTTCTATCACATATTTGGTCACCGTCTGGACAGTGTCTAGTATAAAGTAATGATGATCACCGTAGCACAGCCAAACCACATCACCAACCACAACAGCTCAAGAACAACAGATTAACAGTAACACCAAGAATCTAACCATGTCTAACCAAGTTCCCTACCCCTACAACACCGAACTCTATGTCCCTATAGACAAGCTGAGCCGCACTCCAAGCGGACGAGTTTACGACCCTGCTGGAGGTCCTCTTCGTAAGAGAGCCAAAGCTTCCGGGAGCTCTAAATCTCGAAAGTCTCGGGGCGAGAGCAGCCGCAGCCAAGAAGCCCCAACCCAAGAAGACCAGACCGTTGGGCAATCACCCCGTCAATTTCACCCCAGGGTCAACGACAACTTCATCGCGAACGTGAGACGTGTGCTAGGCGAGGACTATGTCAGCCTCTGGAACAGCTTGGAGGAGATGATAGCGCACATGGTGGATGATTTCACAACTAGAGGCGGTCGAGTCCATCTGGGCCGAGCCTGGACTCCGGAAGAGCTCGAAAAGTCTGCTAGGTTGCAGGTCTGGCAGGTGCCCGATGAAGTCGTCGAGAACATACTCGGCTGGCCGCACCAACGTCTGACTGAGGAACAGAAGCAGCTGGCCCAAGCCTATATCCGGGATGAGATGGCTCGTTTGATGTAAATGGAAGGGGGATGCACTGCCTGGTTCTCATCGTGATGTAGTGGCTTATCAAAATGCGAGGGAGGATGCGCCGATACTCTATAAAGGATGGGTTAGACTTAAGGCAGTAGAGCTAATAGAATAGACTATAAAGCATCATAGAATCCCCAACTCAATGAGTTCAGAGCTTTTACCCGTTGCAATATTTCGTGAATATTCTGGCTCCTGCACGTCAGGTGCAAAGGCACCAGCGACTGCCGCAGGGAAGCAACTGTTATCTTGGCTCACCAGGTCATCCCCTACCGCAAGAAAACGCCCATCGGTTACGAGTGAGGAGAAGACAGCATATCAAGTATCAATTCAATAATTAATTATGCAACCCAACAGTTCTCCGAAACCCACAGAAGATGCAGGGCCCAGCCCCCAGTCTCATACAAGCCTGCGTTTCGCTTCCATCGAACGACCTGTGACTCCTCCCGCGAGTCTCGCCAAAGAGAAAGATAGTACTCCGGATGACACTGGGACTGAAGAAGCCAGGGAACCTGTCCCGGACGAAGCTGCGGTGTCCCCAGTTGACAACTCTCGCGTGAGCTCGCCCACGAACTCTTCAGCTAGACAACCTCGCACTCGCCTTCGACGGCCCCTACCTGGCCCTCGCCCTCAATGGCCCCTACCCAATAATCCGATCAGACGACGAGGTCCTCGACCTCGGAATAGTCAAATTAGAAGACGCGGCGCTTCTTTGAAGCAGCGAAATGGTCACTCCTCGAACGAGCGCCAAAACACTTCTGTTAGTCGGCAAATTCTTCCCCACCCCGACATAATAAACCCCGTCAGCCAGAGGCCTGGTGACCTCAGCAGACAGACTGAACCCCTTATAGTCAAGGAGCCAGCTCTTTTCCTTGTCTACCCAATTCACTCCATAACATCACTGGATGGTCAAAATCCTGATACCATGCCACAACTCTTCCCGTTCCATTCTATCGACGTCCCGACTCCTCCTACAGTTCGAGGCGGACCTAAAGGAGCTTTGCAGCTCATCGTGAGAAACTCACCATATGAACCCGAATTTATGCCAGACTGGCGTGTCAACACCTTCTGGAAAGACAACGTAGAGCGCGTGCTCGGCCGAGAGACCAGGGACAACTGGCCCAACATGATGGCATTGATACAGGAGGCCGAAGCTTCGTTTCTAGAAAAAGGGATTCCTCTGATTCTGAGGCCTTGGAATCTTGCAGAGATCGAGATCGCTGCGAGACTGAAGGCTTGGCGTATGCCTGACTTTGTTGTTGGGTATCTAATTGGCACACCTCCGCCTTACCTCGGGATAATAAATGCAGAACAGTTTGGGTTATGGAATCTTGATGAGATGAACAGAATCGATGAAGTGCATGGTATGGGGGGGGGTTTGGGAATGATCAGTAAAAGAAGGAGGTTGCAGACGGATCCGATCAGGTGGGCGAGGAGAGAGAAGTGAAGACAGACAAGGAAGAGGAGGTGGACGAGGAAAAGAAGAAGGCGAGGAAGAGGAGGTGGGTGAGAAAATGGAGGCGGACGAAGAGAAATGAATAGAGGTGGAGGAAGAGCCTGATGTTGACGATTTGCAAGTCTGTATCCGTAGCATGAATAGGTAGGTAGTGCAACAGTCTGCCTGGGCTTGTCTTGCTGGACAATTTCGCACCATTGCAATTTGATGTAACATACAGAGCAAAGTGACTCAATATCCTCTCTAGGACTACTCTAGTCTATCCTAGATGTCGAATCCTTGTCCTAACAAACCTTTAATCTGAGGGCGGTACTCTGTGTCCGTAATTCGAGAAGCAGCCGACTAAAAGTCCGGGGTATCGATAAACGCCACCGAGACGCTAGACCCCGGGACTAAAATCTACCGCCGGGGAGATCGAGACCATTTCTGGAGCTTGGATGAGACATGCATCTCTATAACCGAGTGATGCCGATATTGGTCTGTGCTCATCTCGGCCGGGCGGAAGATGAGGGGAGTCCTTTTTTTGGAGAAGCTGGCGGGGGATCCACTTTACCGGCTCGGAGGTGATGACGGGGGCGGAAGTGCCGGCGAGAAATGGAGATGGACAGTGTTGAAAGGGTATTGAGTCGGGGGGTTTAGTTAGCTAGTATAAATAATACTGATTTATCTGTTAATTGTTCTGTATTTGGAGCAGTTTAGAAGGATATAGGCCCTGTTTGCTCCAGGATGTAGGGAATCAGGCCATCATGGTTGGTCGCCCTTTGCCGGATTCATTGCCTAATAGTGTCATGGCCGATGCAGTCTCTGCTCGGCAACATTAGTAGTAGATCTTTGAATCGTACGGTGAGCTACTGTGTAGCGAACAGCAACCTATGCCTCCTTGACAAGCTAAACTGTCATTAAAGTACTCCGCGTAATGCTCTGAACGGAACTCTAGACCCGGAGCTGTCATCGCAGTTCGTGCGGGGCTTGGCAAGATTTCCCTTGTCCCCGCGGTCTCGTTGTACCTGTTAAGTGAGGCGACAGGCGGAATGGTACCTGGATCGACCCATCTGTGGAATTTGGAGAAGGGAAACAAAGCACACCTCGAGTGTCCACTATAACCGACCCTTGAGCCACTGGAATTGCAGCATCCCCGCCTATATAGTGGGTTTCGAGCGATCCACCTCGTCACCGTCACCCCGACGAACTCGAACTAGCTCCAGCTTCTTCTTCTTCTTCTTCTTCCTTTCCATCCCACCTTTAACCCTCTATTTATCCTTCCCTCCTCCCGCAACCTTCTTCCGACACTCTGTGTTTGGTCAATCTCCCCTCTTCCTTTCTTTCTTTCTTGGTTTCTCCATTGCTCTGAGCATCCCATCATCATGGCTTCTCCTGTTGCTTCTGCCGCCCTTAAGGCGCGCGTGCGCAATCCTGCTCTTCTCAAGAAGCTCGCGCGACCTCAGGATCTGATGCACCACTTCCCTAACGGTTCTTATATCGGTTGGTCTGGCTTTACCGCCGTTGGATACCCCAAGTAAGTTTTCTCTTCTCGTTGCGAATTGAGTTCGCATTGAGTGCCAGAGTTTGAGAAGCCGTTGTCGTTTTGGAAACCCCCCACCGGCTATTATGATGCTTTCTCATTACCCGAGCTTGGCGCAAAACAAACCGTAGAACAATGCGCTGACCAGGTCAATTTCCACAACGATAGGATGGTTCCTTCTGCTATGGCCGATTATGTTGAGCAGAACAACCTCCAGAGCCAGATGAAGTACTCTCTCTTTGTCGGTGCATCGGCTGGTTCCGAGACCGAGAACAGATGGGCTTCTCTCGACATGATCAACCGACGAAGTCCTCATCAGGTCGGCAAGGATATTGCCAAGGGTATCAACTCTGGCCGCATCAATTTCTTCGACAAGCACTTGTCCATGTTCCCCTCCGACCTCGTCTATGTACGTGAAGAATTTACCCCATTGCGGCCCCACCAGTTGACGCTTCGGCCTCGCTTCAATCTCCCACCGAGCTTTGCGGCTCCGATCAAGGAGCATTTCGGCTAATATCTCGACACAGGGCTTCTACACCAAGGACCGTGCCAACAGCAACCTCGATGTTACCGTCGTCGAGGCTACCGACATCCTCGAGGATGGCAGCTTCGTCCCCGGTGCCTCCGTTGGTGCCACTCCCGAGCTGATCCAAATGGCCGACAAGGTACGTCACTGCCAAGCCCTTCCAAGACGAGGGGAAGAGAAACTGACAATTGCGCTGGGCAGATCATCATTGAGGTCAACACCTCTATCCCCTCCTTCAAGGGTCTCCACGATATTACCTTCACCGATGTTCCTCCCCACCGTACACCTTACAACATTACCGCTGTTGAGGATCGCATTGGCTCCCCTTCGGTCAAGGTTGACCCCTCCAAGGTTGTCGCCATTGTCGAGGCCGACTACTGGGACAAGACCGGCCCTAATGCCGACATGGACGACACCTCTCGCCAGATCGCTGGTCACTTGATTGAGTTCTTCGAGCATGAGGTCGCTCACGGCCGCATGCCCGCCAACCTCTTGCCTCTGCAGTCCGGTATTGGAAACGTCGCCAACGCCATTGTCGGTGGTCTTAATGATTCTAAGTTCAAGAACCTCAAGGTTTGGACCGAGGTTATTCAGGACACTTTCCTCGACCTCTTCGACTCTGGAAAGCTCGACTACGCCACTGCCACCTCCATCCGCTTCTCTCCCGATGGCTTCAAGCGCTTCTACGACAACTGGGATGCCTACGCCGACAAGGTTCTTCTCCGAAGTCAGGCTGTTTCCAACGCCCCCGAGATCATCAAGCGTCTCGGTGTCATTGGCATGAACACCCCCGTGGAGGTTGACATCTACGCCCACGCCAACTCTACCTGCGTCAGCGGAACCCGCATGCTCAACGGTCTTGGAGGCTCAGCCGATTTCCTCCGCAACTCCAAGTACTCCATCATGCACACTCCCTCCAGCCGACCTTCCAAGACCGACCCCCACGGTGTTTCTTGTATTGTCCCCATGTGCACCCACATCGACCAGACCGAGCACGATCTCGACGTTATCGTCACCGAGCAGGGTCTCGCCGACGTCCGCGGCCTGTCCCCCCGCGAGCGCGCCCGCGTTATCATCAACAAGTGCGCCCACCCCAAGTACCAGCCCATCCTCACCCACTACTACGAGAAGGCCGAGAGCGAGGGTCTCAAGAAGGGCATGGGTCACGAGCCCCACCTGCTCTTCAACGCCTTCGACCTGCACAAGGCCCTGGCCGAGGAGGGAAGCATGCTCAAGGTTAAGCCCTGGTAAGAGGTACGATGCAATCTGTATATAATGAAAGAGGCGGAAAAGAACAAGCGGTTGTAGAGATGAATTTTTCGTACCTATTTTTGGGACATTGCATTGGATATTTTTGTTGGTCACATAGATGTTTGGATGATTATTCCCCAGCAATTGAGCATTGAAACCTTGACCGTTCGAGTTCGAAAGTTTAAGTGATGGCGTTAAATGCTTATTCGAGTGACAGTTTGAGGAATGGTAATTGGCTGTGTGAGGTCATGTACGGGATGTTTGTGTTGGTTGGTGTTGGGACTTCGGATTCACTTTTGGAGCCGATGCTGATGATGGATTGAGATTGATGGCTAACCCGGAAGTTATTTGCATTGGGTCTAAGGCGATGGATGACTTGGTTTCCGTCACCCGTCCAACGCCATCATATTAAGCTTTATGCTCATTCGTCTGTCATGATCTCAACGTGAAGCCTTTTTGATTGGTTGCAACCACGAGTCCTTGAAGGGCCTTGCCGGTGCAAGCAACTCTTCAAACTCGAAGCTAATCATGGTCCACGAGGGCCCTTCCGAATTGTGCTGAGGTAGTCCTTCTATAGCTAATCTCTCGACGAGAACTTGAAGCTTAGATTGTTATCTTGAAGAAATCATGGGATAGAGTAGTTCCCTCTTTCATCAAGCTGTGAGTGGTCTTGATCTTATGTAAGGTTTGTATGCTACACTAAAGGAGTCTTTGGATGTATGTGAAATTTGAACTATGATTACCTATGATATCGAGTCAGCTAGCCAGAAAAGTTTGGATTGTGTGGTAGATAACCAAAGTCTCCTTCTAAACCTCGATGCTACCGGAGAGAATTGTTGATGAAGTTGAATTTGATAATCAGGTTTACCTAACGGCCTGTATCGTCTTACATGAATCAAGTTGATACGCAAGTTATGAACTTCGTTTAGTTGCTCCGGTCATCTTGGGTGAGCTTAGAGAGTAGAGTTATAAGATATCATGCACATGGAGTCAACATGCGATGTGAACGTCCGGTATCCTGTAGTGATTGAGTCTATGGTAAAGCATCCAGACTTTCACAAAATTGCAAAGTCGATACGGTAATTAAGGTGACATCCCGATGCAGATCTCCACTACTGCATTCTATTCGCCTTCTAACCCACCCTACCGTAACTCCCCATACTCCCCGCGCTTCAACCACGTGGATTCGGCGTGAACCATTGCGGACGGTTATATACCCATGCAGAGATTACAAGGATGAGCTAATGAATTGCCGATAATGTCTTTTATAGAGAGGTTGGCAAAGGGCCGATCAGCGTACATTGACGACAAGGTTTTAAATGACCTGCTTTCGTTCAGTATTCCCATTAGCTCGGGGATTAAAAAGCGTGACATTTCTATTTAGGCGACCTGGTAATCATGTGAATCTCTGAATTTGACAAGTTGTTACTTTTATGGTAAGATTGTTGCTGACTGAATAGCGATGCGAGGTCCCCGATTGCAACACCAACTCATCTCAATAGAACCCCCAATTATCCCGGTTAATATACCGACCGCTAGTCGGTAAGCACTATGAAGAAGTGCTTACTTATATTCGGTCCTGAAAATGCAGACCCTTTGCTTTTCTCTATCGTCTGGCGAGTCTTCGCCTAAGGGTCGGCCGCCATTCTTCGTGTAATCCTTGAAGTGTATGTAGGCCTAAGCCAATAGAAGACTTTTCAGACCCCAAAATCCGAAACATCCCTGATATGCACTAGGTAGATGATGTAAAGATGCCGATGGGCCGTTTGATCGTACGCGGGAAATTAAGAGTCATGTTGTTTTGCTATGTAGCGTCGTCTGACTATCGGAAGGATCTGATTATCTAACCCGATATAGTACCCTGCAGGGCTATCAAGGTATGGCAAATCGGGGGTGAAGGCCTCAAATATCTTGTGATTCTTAAGTAGCTGAATGTTCTATAGTGGGCACAGTTGAGACGCAGGTATACTAGGACAAATAACTGGTGACTTCAGCATTGTAATTCTTGGTTTTAGTCGCGGGTTTGCGTCTTTGTAAATTGAGTTGCGAAATACTACTACAAACATACCAGGACTGAAAGGGAAGCTCGTAAGGCAGTGGCAACTCATTGCCAAAAGAGATACTAGTAAGATTGGAGGGGTTTACACTTGCTTTTCAACCCAATGGTCTACGCTGATTGGCAGAAATACCTCAGATCTTCCCGCTCCCCATACTCAATGATGGCATGATGTGATACGAAGGGCCGAATAGACTAGTTCTGCAGTTCAGCCTCAGCTCATGCGGTAGGAAGTCCGCTTACGGGCCCCATATGGAGGTGCGTGTGATCGTATTTCCGGGTTGCATCACAGCCTGCTTTAATGAAACTAAAGTGCATATGCCGGCTTAGCAATCCCTAGGGTATTGGCTTAGTGAGAGACTGCTGTAGGTAAGCCGCATAAGCCAATGACAATTGGCGCTGAGGCATATATATATGAGAGCCTCGCCTCTCCTTAACTTCGAATGTGCTCCATAGGCAACTAGTCTTTCCTACCATTCTGTCTTTGTCCTCACTAGACTTTCATCATGGTACAGTATTCTGCATTGCTGCCCTTACTCATTGGGTCTGCTTCGGCATGGCTCCCACAAGAGCGCGAATTGGCCGCATTCAACCAGACAGCTCGCTTCGAGCAACTTGGCAAGCGATTTGAACCACACTTGGCCAGCGGCATCACCAAAATTCGCGGCGTCAACTTCGGAGGTAATATTCCCAATACTCCAACGAAAGAGGCTATTTTACTGACACACAACAGGATGGCTCGTAGGTGAGAAATGGATGCAGGAGAAAGAATGGGCCAACGTGCTCCAATGCGGCAATTCAGCATCCGAGTTTGACTGCATGAATGACCACTACAAGGGATCAAACCGTGAGACAGGAAACCAGAGATTTGAACAACACTGGAAAACCTGGATCAACGCCGATAGTGTTCAGTCTGTCCACGATGTTGGACTGAACACCATCAGAATCCCAATTGGATACTGGTCCTACACGGATATCGTGGACAAGGCCAGTGAACCCTTCGCCGACGGCAACCGCATGCTGCCTTATCTCGACGCTGTTGTCAAGAAGGCTGCTGACCTTGGTATTTACGTCATCATCGATCTTCACGGTGCTCCTGGCGGTCAGCAGGAAGATGTCTTCACGGGCCAGAACAACAAGCCGGCTGGATTCTTCAACGATTACAATTTTGGCCGTGCGGAGAAGTGGCTCGCCTGGATGACAGACCGTATTCACAACAACCCCGCGTACTCCTCAGTGGGAATGATCGAGGTCCTCAACGAACCAGTCTCCAAGCACGACGGCGGTAACCGCTATCCTGCTCCCGGCCAGGACCCAGGATTGATCCAGAAGTACTACCCTGGCGCCCTAAAAGCCGTCCGCGACACTGAGAGCAGACTCAACGTCCCCAACGACAAGAAGCTGCATGTCCAGTTTATGTCTAGCAAATGGGACTCTGGCAACCCTCGCTCCGTCTCCGCTGTAGCCAACGACGGCCTCACCGCCTTCGACGACCACAACTACATTGGCTTCGCGCTGCAGGGCGACAGTAGAGGTGACGCATACTCGCTCATGCACAGCGCTTGCACCGATCACCGCACCGTCAGCGGCCAGGACTTCACCTTTACTGGCGAATGGAGCATGACGTCCAACTACGACTGGAAGGACAAGGAGTTCTTCAACAAGTTCTTCACGGCTCAGCAGCAGCTGTACGAGGAGCCTGGTATGGCTGGGTGGGTGTACTGGACGTGGAAGACGGAGACGGATGATCCCAGATGGACCTATTCTTATGCTACGTATCTGGGATACATTCCTACTGACGCTGCTGGGTTGCAGAAGAATGTTTATCGGGATGTTTGTGCGGGCTATAGATAATGTCTTAAGGCGGTTTGAGGAGTGTTTGGCCGACGTATTCTTTGTATTAAAGTCTGCTAGTTACCCTTTCAGTCTGAGACGATACATCACCGCACCTCAGGTACCTTGACACCAATTCAATAATACATTGTTACTAAACAATGCTCCCTTCCTTACCTGATAATTGCACGTGGATAACTGGTACTCGACCCTGTAGTTAGCTTGCTGATGACATGGCAGGCTATATACGCTAAAGCTGGACACTGGATATAAGAACTAGATTCTTTCACTTCTCTCAGCCGGCTCCTTCTTGTCGTCATCTCTGTGCATAACATCCTCCTCCACAGCATCCTGCTTGGCAGTCTCCGGATCCAGACCCCAAGCCACGATATCTGGATACTTTCGTACATAGAACCAAATTCCCATAATAGCGAGAATACTCCCAACACTAAACGCAGCAGCCATTGGGAAGCCAACTGGATATCTGGGAGAGTCGCTCACACGCCACGCACGAAGAGGAATTGACGCGTGGCCGACATAGACAAGCGTGACGGCTAGAGCGACAAGAATAGAGCGAACTTCAGGCTCCTTGCGCAGAATCTCACCAATCCAGGCAAGAAGAGCATAACCCCAAGCAGCCGTAGCGAAAGTTAGGAAATAGAAACCCATGATAGTATGCCAAGAGTCAGGCCACCCAGCCAGGACGGAGGTTGCAATGAGTTGCACAGTGGCGGCGCCAACACTGACCTGCCACCGCCACGCTTTCCAATCACTGATGGCGTTGAGACCAATATTGCAGACTATGCTGATGGCGTACCCGCCGAGCGGGATAAGATTGACGGTGTATACCGAGTAGCGAGGTGTTCCGTCCGCCTTTTCAAGACCCTTGAGAAATAGCAGGAAATACGAGTTGGCGCGCTGACTCCATGCGAACTGCAGATAGGCCGCGAGGAAGAGATACGAGAGCGGGCTTGACGCCAGTAGCTTCATCTTGTGAACGAGCGTCTTGAATGGTATGATTCTGGCGGTCTGGACTCCGCTGTCGCTCATGCGCAGGCGGCAGAGTTCTCGCTCCTTTTCGGAAAGCCAAAGGGCTCGAGTAATCGCAGGCGAGTCGGGGATAACTAGAAGACCAACAAAGCCCCAGAAGATGGTCATTATACCGCTGACGATAAATAGCCACTGCCAGCCAGCGAGGCCAGAGACGCCATTGAGGTTCTTGTAGAGAGCAGCCTGGACGATGCCGAGGAACATGTTTCCGGCAACACCGCTGACGCCAAAAATTGCTAGACGCTTTCCCAGCTCTTCGGGGCGATACCTAGAGATTATTTAGTTTCGAATATGACTTTGCGCACATCACGGCAACCTCTTACCAATTGAAAATCAAGTTCACGATACCTGGCCATGATGTAGACTCAAAGACACCGAGGAAGAATCGTAGCGCAAATATGGTCTTGGCATTTGGAGCTCTGTAAGTGAACAGAGTGAACAGACCCCAGACGATCTCACAGATGGGCAGGAATAGCGATGGTCGAACGCGAGTCTGGATGAGTTGTGACGGGACGATGAATAGCGCGTAGCCGATTGAAAAATAGGTTGTGAACTCGACAAGCTCGTTACCGAAGAGGGACAGGTCCTCTTTCATCCCTGAGACATACGCAGCAGTTGTCGCAGATTGATCCATGTCCTGGAGAGTGTCAGCATCACATTAGCAATCCCATTTCGTGATGGGAAATACCTTGAACAAGCCTGCGATGAATGCCCACACGAGCAGCAAGCAATCCAGCTTGAGCACCAAGACATGACCAGGGTCCTTAAAATACGGATGCACCTTTGCCAACCACGACGTCGACTGCACTGTCGCATGCTCCCCAGGCGCAGAGCCGTCACGCAGACTCGCCGGCGAAGACATAATGGGTCGTGAGCGATGAGAAGAGAAAGAAAGAAAAAAGTTGGGTGAAGTGAGTTGCAAAGTGATCGACAGAAATTCGGAAGACCGGTTTATTTAAGATTTCTCCGCGCCCGCCAAGTTCTGGGCTAGGTAAGCCTACAACACAAGCTCCAAAGCTTCTGTGAAGGCTCCGGCAATTCTGTTTGGTCTGTGCTGTAGATTCTGTCTTCCTGAAGGGGACTAGACAAGACCGATCGGAAGGGTTCGATGGGTTTGTGTCGATTCGTCATGGAACTACCGTGAATCTACCGTTGATCTAGAAGACACAACCAACGGGATTACCCGACCTGAATTCTTAGATAGAGAAAACCGGAGGATACTAATTGGCTACATGGAAGGCGGGTACAGTTACCCGATCACGTCTTCAGCCCTGTAGATGAAGTCTTGAAGATAGGTGAATTCCCCGCAAACTTGTGTCTAGAATTACCTCTTCCGGAAGAATCCATCGGCGAAGCCCCGAGACAGACGGGAGGCACTATCCGAAGACGGAGATATCTTAAGTGATGAGCCGCTCGAATTCACCAGCACCTCTCCCAGTACCACTGCCTGTCAAGCATTACGCTGATTGATTACAGTGCACCCACCATGTCCTCCGAACCGCTGTATCCCGCCTATCTCCCCACGCGCACAGACGGCTACATCGCGCCCATAGCGGTCCCCGCCTTTGACGCCGACGAGCCTGGCCTGCGGGCAGATCCCTCTAAAGCAAGTCTCCTCAGGAGCGCTACCGTTGAGAACATCACACCGCGTATAGGCACTGAGATCCGGGGCGTGCAGATCAGCAGTTTGAGTAAAGAGGGTCTTGATGAGTTGGCTCTGTTGGCTGCTGAGCGGGGCGTTGTGGTTTTTGTAAGTGCTTTATCGTCTGTTTCATTGTGATTGTAAGCGTGTATGTATGGTTGCTGATTGGGCACTATATAGAGAGACCAGGATTTTGCAGACGTGGGCTTTGAGAGGCAGAAGGAGATTGTTAAGCATTATGGGCCGCTACACCAGCATCCTACCATGGGATATCCTAAGGGTACTGGACCAGAGTTCCATGTCGTTTATGCTGATGAGAAGTCGTGAGTTACCCACCTGAGTCCTCTACGACGATTCACACTAACACGCTATACAGTGGAAACTTAAGAAAGCTCCTGGGACCTCGCACGACATACGATCTGTGGCATATCGACCAAACATTTACTCCCAATGTTCCGTCAACCACATTCTTCTGGGTCCTTGAAATTCCCAAATCCGGCGGCGGCGACACTGCATTCACCTCCCTCACCGCCGCCTACGAAGCTCTCTCCCCTGCCTTCAGAGAGACCCTAAGCGGCCTCAAACTGCACCACACGTCCGCCTCAGAAGGCGAAGTTCGACGAGTAGGTCAAGAGCGAGCCCTAGCAGAAGCCATCAACGCCACGCATCCTCTCGTCATAAAACACCCCGTCACCGGAAAGCCGTCACTATTTGTCAATCCGACTATTGCTCGTCAAGTAGAGGGTTTTCTGCCTGAGGAGTCTGACCATCTGCTGTCGTTTCTTAAGAATCATATTCGTAGCTTGGATTTTAATTGCAGGGTGAAATGGGAGAAGGGTACGGTTGTGGTGTGGGATCAGAGATGTTCTGCGCATTCGGCGGTGCCTGATTTTCAGGATAATGAGAGGAGGCATATGGTTAGGATTATTCCGTACGGGTCGCAGCCTGAACCTTACTCTAAGTAGATGAAATAGAATGTTGCATACTGGAATAGTCACTGTGTAAGTAGCAGATACACGAGGATAGCGACTAGTGATATTCATAGTCCTGTAATAGTACACATGCTCAATGGTATAGTCCTGCTACAGTCATGTACAATACAAGCTCTTTTCTCCAAGGTCGAATCTAAACTCTGTTGCAAGTTGTCTAGCGGTACACTAGATCGGCCAAGTGTTTTTCGACCATAACGACAGACACACTGCCTAGTATTGACGTACTAGCCATAGAGTCGACTAACCGACGGTCGCCACTTCGCTCACTCACCACCCCGCTATATCTCCTAGTAGCGAGAGAATAAAGCAGGGAGCTGAAAGAGAAACGGCGTTTAGAGTTTAAGAACTAGAGGTGTGTTAGTTGGTAATGATGGAATAGTTATGGAATGATGCTTACTGAGGAGCCATTTTGTAAGTTTGTAGTAGGATTTAAGAGGCAGACCCATTGGTGTGACAGTAGGGATGGTACTTGCGGAGGTTTGGTTTGTTTTTGTTTATTAAAAATGTTCAGACTCAATGTTCTACACCTCAAACCTGTATTATAGTAGCACCTGCCATGATGATTAGTCCCCTTCATAGAAACCTCCATATCAACCACCAGCATCCCCAATTTGAAGGATTTCTAGTTCTATAATTTCATCCTGTCCATTAATTCCCCCAATGCCGCTTAGAATCTTATCGTGAACCTGGTCAAACTGGAATTATCTTGAAAGCATCTCCTTCATCGCCACGATAAACTCGTCCACCTTTGCCACCAAACTCAAGTGACTATCCCCCTCCATCACCCGTAATTCCGCATTTGGCATCATCTCTATAGCCTTCTGAGAACCACTCAGCGGGACATTAACATCCTGATCTCCATGCCAGAGTATCATCTCCCCCTTTGCAGCTTTGACATCCTCCAATTTGAAGCCCCAATCCGTTCCATACAGTTTTGCTTCCCACGCCGTCGCATAACCGCCCTGTTTCATAGATTCCCGAGTAGAACGAACAATAGCCAGTTTGAGATCTGGGTGGTTCATCCAAGCTTCCTTGTCACTGGCCGATCGTGATCCTATGTCTTTGTCCATCATCTCCACTAGCCTCTCTGGGTGTTCGATGTCCCGTGCCACGCTGCCCAACAGTCTGTATGCCACCCATCCCAACGCCCCTGTGGCATACGGCGCAACAGCAAGCATAACGCGTGACATGGTCAGCATGCCTTGTGTTGAGAATGATATCGGCATCACTCCGGCGACGGTGCCGACACCAACCAAACGATCGCGAGGGAGATCTTTGAGACAGGCAATGGTATAAGGGCCGCCGCCAGATACACCCAAGACGACAAACCGGCGCACAGATAACAAATCTGCCAGCTCGAGGATATCCTTCTGGTAGTCGAGAATTGCTCTATTCTCTTGAAACGTCGAGTCGCCGAAGCCAGGTCGCGTCGGTGCAATGACGCGCATGCCGTGTTTGAGAGCCGCGCTGTTAGTCACGTACCCTTCGTGGTGAGAGCCGGGGAAGCCGTGGAGGTAAAACACTGTAGGTGCGTCGTCATCTTGCGCGCCGTAGATTGCATATGATACTTTTCTTCCATCGGCCAATGTGGCGATCTTATCTGTGAACTTATCCATGGCTCTGAGAGATTTGGTTTGGTTTGGGTCGCGCACACTGTTACACCAGGCTTTGCGCGGTTCACAATGATGGTGCAGTTTTTGTTCGTGAGGAAATTTGATGATTATTTCTGAGCTAGCTTTGACCGGGGGATATTGATGCCACGTAAGACTTGAAATCACTATAAGACAATCACGTGTTGTAGGATTTCTATAATCGTAGGATCAGGATTTAATTTTATTGAGCTTTTTGCGTCAATTTGGCCCATGTGACTCTTGCAAGATCTGGGACAATGCTTGTGTATTTTCAAATAAGTAACGAACCGCTATTTTCTTAAACACTGCTCGCGGCTAATCTCACTGATGTTTGAGTATAACTGATTTGGTCAGCAGACCGCGTACGGATAGATCGGGAGAGAAAACTTTTGACTTTAATCGGAAACGTAGGGATTAATATACATGAGTTTTAGCCAAAGTCAAAATTTGCTCCGGTAGTTCCTCGACTAAAATCCTGGCTGTGCGGGTTTAGGGTAAATGATTGAGAAGTTGACCGTGGCATTTCTGGATACTTTGGCGGGGGAAACTAGGTTTTAGGCTAATTGAACCTCACATCCGTTTTATGCAGCCTCACCTTAAATATGGGACGAACTGCTTAATCCCCGACAGACATTGAGACATGCCGGACCGACGCAGTTATGCATGTAAAATACTACTATACGCCATTACTGGACTGTTATTATCATGCCCAGTCAATTCGGCCCGTTAGGAAATGCGGGAAACATGTAGCTCAACGCCTGCTTCTCTAGGCAGGTAATGTCCTTTTGAACTCCGAAGTCCACCATCAGCGGAATATCGCCGCAATTCTTTTTGAACTCTCTAATGTGAGTTCTCTAGTATGTTTTGGAGAAATTGGTTCAGTCTTGTTTCATCGAGTGACAAGAGACGGACGAGGATCTCGCATGAATAACCTCACCAATCTATCACTTATCACTCTCAGGCACAAACTCTAAATTCCATTAAGTTGCGACGAACATGGTCGGAAGTGTCAGGTCATTCAACCCTTGTCTAGTATAATACCACATAAACAGCTAAACACAGCTCCCTTCGGTTGGACTTACCGGCCTCCTCCTCCAGCCCCAGACCAATCGGACAAGATCCTCATGGAAACGATCTGCATCATCAGTTATTCATTGGACGTTTGTGGAGTCTGTCAAGTCTCGGCTGAGCGCATGGAACGCACGATGTATACCTAATGGATCTCGCTTCCGCAGAAAGTGCCCATCGATGCAGGGCAGAAGGACTAACCGGTTCACATGATAATACCACTCGGTCGGAACAGTTCACGACGACCCGATGGTTGGTAAACCGCCAAGTAGACCGCGCAGTACCGCATATAATTGGTAGGTGGGAAAATCTGGATAAATATCCACATGAACCATTGCGACAGGGTTCTGAAACGCTGGGAACATAATATAATAAATAAGCTATATATCCCAGACGGCTTGTCGGCCCGGACCACTCAACAATCCCCTTCCCCACAGTCTTTCCCGGCCGGGGTCTTGTCCCCAAGCGAATTGGATCTCGGTAGTTGTTTCTTCATTCGATGTCTCGGCATGACCCTTTTTCCGAAACAGGACACCGGAGAGCGCGGAGATATCAGGGTCGTGATTGGGTTCTTGTTTGATCTTGTCGGGGTTGACGGGGACGAAATCCGAGTATTCGAAGCGATACTCTGGATCTTCATTCATCGTTCCTCACAAGCTTGAGTTTCGGATGTAGACCTAAAATGGACGACCCCTATCCGTTGATTGCTTGGAGGGTCAGGAGTAGATATAAACCAAGTTCCGATGGTCCTGAAGACATAACCAGGCTCCTCATCCGGTCATTCCTTCTACAAACAGCACTCCTTGCTTGAATCTTTATACATCAGTCCATCATGAAGTATCTTTCACTCCTCTCCTCAGTCCTCCTCCTTCAGGGCGCCGTAGCCCAAACGGCCGACAAGACCAAGGAGAATCACCCCAAGCTGGAGACTTACCGCTGCACGAAGGCCAAAGGCTGCAAGAAGCACACCAACTACATCGTAGCCGACGCCAGCTCACACAACATCCGCCAAAAGGGCACAAACTTGAACTGCGGCGACTGGGGCTCCAAGCCCAACAGCACCGCCTGCCCTGATGAAGCTTCGTGCGCCAAGAACTGTATCCTCGAGGGCATGTCTGACTATGCATCCTTCGGTGTCACCACCTCTGGCAACAAGCTCCGTCTCCAGCACCTTATTGACGGCAAGGTGGTCTCCCCCCGAGTTTACCTCTTGGAGGAGAACAAGAAGAAGTATGAGATGCTGAAGCTCACCGGCTCTGAGTTCGCTTTCGATGTCGAGACTGAGAAGCTCCCCTGTGGTATGAACGGTGCTCTGTACCTTTCCGAGATGCCTCAGGATGGTGGCAAGAGCACAAGTAAGAACAGCAAGACTGGTGCTTACTACGGCTCTGGATACTGTGATGCCCAGTGCTATGTCACTCCTTTCATCAACGGAGTTGTAAGTTGAAACCTTTGATGGAAATTGTATAGCATACTAACATTTTACAGGGCAACATCAAGGGCGAGGGAGTCTGCTGTAACGAGATGGATATCTGGGAGGCGAACTCTCGATCTACCCACATCGCCCCTCACCCCTGCACCAAGCCCGGTCTCGTCGGATGCACTGGCGAGGACTGCACCAAGTCTGGCATCTGCGACAAGTCCGGCTGCGGATGGAACCACTACCGCAACAACGTGACAAGCTTCTACGGCCGCGGCAAGCAGTTCAAGGTCGACACCACCCGCAAGTTCACCGTCGTGTCGCAGTTCGTGACCGACAAGAGCGGCACGCTCACTGAGATGCACCGCCACTACGTCCAGGACAACAAGCTCATCGAGAGCGCCGTGGTCAACATCCAGGGCCCTCCCAAGATCAACTTCATCAACGACGAGTACTGCAAGGCTACCTACGCCGACGACTACATGCGCATCGGTGGCACCAGCGTGATGGGCGATGCCATGACTCGCGGCATGGTTCTCGCCATGAGCATCTGGTGGAGCGAGGGCGACTTCATGAAGTGGCTCGATGGAGGCGAGGCCGGTCCCTGCAGCGCGACCGAGGGCGACCCCAAGAACGTTGTCAAGGTGCAGCCCAACCCTGAAGTGACCTTCAGCAACATCAGAATTGGAGAGATCAACTCGACCTTCTCGGTCAAGACTCCCGCGTACCCAGGCCCTCACCGCCTGTAATATCTTTTGACAACACCAACTACCAATATCAGTATGGATCCGGTCGCCAGGTGTCCACTTGCTGGGAATCCATTGGAGCCGAGATCGCCAGTATATGCAAAACAGTTGTCACCGACTTGACACGTGTGTCGGGCCGGAAAATGAAAAAGGAGCAGGAAAAAAAAAGACAGCTCTTTGGGAGTTGGGTATTGGGGAGAGATGTATATATATAGGCGATGTTTTTTTTCCAGAGTATATATATACACAAATTTACATACTTTGTTCACGAATAGCAACACCAGAAATTGTCGGTGAACTACCCTCACACTGACAAATCACAAGTCACGAGCAGCCTGCATTAGTGGATTTTATCTCCAACATCCATGTACGTCATTATCTCGGGTGGCTGAACCTCGCTGATGGCGAAAAAAAAGAAACAAGAACAAAAACGTCATGGGTCTTCGTGTGCAGAAATCTCCAAACTCTCAACAGCATCTTCATCTCAGCCACTTGGAATCCCACATCAAGATGCCTCGCTCATTATCCGCCGTCTCCTCGCTAGAGATCCGCGATCTGAACCGCGATCAGGTCCGCTTCTACCATCCAGGCTATCTCAAGCCGTTGAATCTGCTCTTCTGCTTGCCACGCGTCGACTACAGTCCCGCAGAGGGGACGTGGGGAGTACACTACTTGACTGCCCTCACAGCATGCCAGATCATCGCCAACAATGCATTCGGGAAGGGAAAACTAGCGCGAGATGAAAAGGGAAAGGATATAGTATCCGGCGACGAGAAGATTCTGCTCCAGCGAGACTACTGGTTCTTCGTTGAGGGTGATGGTAAATGACATGTTTCTATCGACACGGCATAGTACTGACACAGTCCAGAACGATATCCAGTTGTGCCAAGCTTCAAAGACTGGCAGTTTCCCCATGACAAGTTACCTGAGTGGTGGGTCTCACCGTCATCCGCCACAACACTTCACAGCAAGCGATGCGCCGTCACAAATACCAGCTACGCCTTCACATGGGCGCATCTGATTCCCAGAGAAGAGCAGCAGTGGTTTAGCAAGAACGGCATGGGCCTTTACGGCGGAGGATCACACACCATCGATGACCCACACAACATCCTACCACTCAAAGCAGATCTCTATGTGTGCTTCGACCAAAGCGTGTTTGCTCTTATACCAAAGGTCAGCGGCTCATCCAACGGCGTCGAGGCAAGCAGCCAGTATGTGCTGCACGTACTCGACGGCCGAGAAGCAGAATTCACAGCCCTGTATCAAAACCGCCCCGTGGAGACGCTGGTAGAAGGTAGCAGGGAGTATCTCTTCGCTCGTTTCGCCTGGTCCATCTTTTCCTTCCTCAAGCCCTTCCTGACATCCGGTGTCGGACGCCGAGTCGTCAGATTCCGCCTCCGAGCTGCTGACGAAGAAGATGAGGAGGAGCATCTTGTGTCTGAGATGCAGAATGTCTTTCTCGATTCTAGGAAGCTAGACTCCTTGTATGGAGGCGGACCGAGAAAGAGAGCTGTTTCGTTGGAGAGTTCTTATGTTGATGTTGAGGATGAGTGGGATGATGAGCACCCAGGACGAACTGAGATGGAAGGATGATTGATTTTCTATTCAAGCACAAGGACATGTATTTTGGGAAAGGATCTATATGCTGCTTAATCATGGCGATGGAATTATGATAACACGATACGACAACGGAAAAACAATTACGGCTTATCAGGGACAGTGTTTTTGGAATTTTCTTTACGAAGTTTGATTATTTAGTAACTCTACTCGCCGTTCAGGATACTTTTATGACTGAGAACATGCAACAAACCCACTCTTTCTCGTCTTCGATATGCGTGCTATCCCAATGCTATCCAGTTTCTGTCGTCACGAATCCAACTGGATCTTAATCTCAAATTTAGGAATTGGTAGAAACTCACATTTAGCCAAGATCTCTATCCCACCTGCATACACCCACTGAGAATGAACCTCCCATCTTCTACAATAACTCACATTCTATCACATTCTCCACGTTAGAGACTCCGCACTTCCAAAACTTAACAATCTTTAGCCCGAGACCGCTCCCCTCAATCAGCCGATACCAATTATCCTCCGTACGTTCAAGAGCCGACAGCTGGGTCATCATCAGTATATCACCAGCAGTTGCTTCCCAGTAGGCTCCAGTTCGCGGTATCACACATTCGAAAATGAGAAGCTTGCTATACCCAGGCTTCATCGCCTCGGCTAAACGAGCTAAGATCTGTTGGCAAACGTCGTCTGGCCAGTCGTGGAGGACAGAGTGCATGAAATATACCCTGGCGCCTTTGATGGGTTGCTCGGTTAAGAAATCATGCGCCATTAACTGAATGGACGGGTCGATGGCTTTGACGTCTTGGATCACGACTGGGAGATCTTGGAGGACCAGTTTCTTGGGAATGCTGTTAGCCGGGTGTAAGATCTGAATCAATTTGGGCAACTTACTCCTGGGTGATTGGGATATAAGTTCTTGAACTCTTGTATATCATGGCCTAGACCGCCTGCAACATCAACTATAAGTGTCGCATCTGTGGAGCGTTCCATGCCAGGGAATAGTTGATCCTCAACAGGATATAGCGAAGGATGCATCCATGGTAGGCGACCCTGCCTGTATCCTCCCACTATACTGTGATTTAGCGTATGTTAAGTCATCCAAATTACATGAGGCACTGACTATGATGATTAGTATGAGGTCCAAGTCCAATAGATCTTAGATACTCGAAGCAGTTTGGCAGATCTGTATTGTATGAAGCATGCATAGCTGTGCGAGTTGCATCGGTGGGATTCTTCCAATTGGTCTGACGGAGGAACTTGTAAAATTCAATGGGACTGCGACCAATGCCACCGAGACTTTTGAGTATCAGTTAGTTGGTTATCTTCAAGGTTTCTGGCCAATATCGCTTACAGAGCAAGGTAACCATCGCCAATCACGTCGAGGCTCAGTGACTTGGAGAAGCTTGTGAGCTTGTATTCATCTTGGCCTACCTCTTCCAGGTGACCCATCGCAGCAGCATGGCGTAGAAGGCGGCCTGGAATTAAGAAAGTTTAGCAGATATCTCTCAACTTAACTTCGTAGAACCCACCGAGTAGAACAGGATCCACATTGAGGGATTGGGAAAGATCGTTAACTCTTTGCGGCTTATCTGCACCATTCTTCACCATAAGCTTCCAAAGTCCAATGTCAACTCCCGTGATAAGCACTGCATTCAAGCTGGGCTAGTATTTCTCAGTATGTATCAGACAGATTGCCATGTGATTGACCTACGTCGGCCCACGTATGCTGTATCATGATCTCGCGGGGCGTTTGAAGAGAATGAATTAGGGTTCGTGCCTTGACCAACATGTCATGCCTCGTGTTTTCGCCGCCACTTTCAAGGCTCTTCTGCAGTTGGCTCAATTCTTGAATCAAGCCAGTGACAGCATTGATGTCGCCGGGCTGCGTCGCAAGCGAGAGATCAACCGGGTCAGCCATATTGTTGATAATACAAGAATGCACAGGAAAAAGAAGTCAACGTAGGAGATGCCAGGTATCAGCTCAAGGTTTGCAGCAAGGAGTCTACTTCTATAGAGCCGAGTTTGAGAAAATTAATTAACTCATATTGCAACTAACCCACATATTCAGCATGTTGGTTCTGATCCAAGCAATGCAGTGTGGTTGATCCGGACGCCATTGGCGGGTTTATTCCAGTAACAAGGGTGGTGTTTGTTGGTTGGGCTTTTAACATACGATAACTCACAAAAGGGTGTTGCAATTTGTGGGGATCTTCATTGTCTGCTCGAGTCCCGCCAGCCGACAAGGAAGGCACAAAAGAACGTTGGTTGACACTACGCTGAGCATTATCATTAGTACCCATACCAACTACCTTGCAACGGCAAAGGGAGGGAGAAGCGTTACCCAAGCTCTATATCCCATGGTAAGATCACTGAGTGACAAAGTACAACATCGGTTTGGAGGATATATGATGGTGAGGGGAAAATGGGAACTCCTCTGAGCGACACTATCCCGTGACTGATTTTAGATGCATGATAGCATATGTGATGGTCCTATATCCCTGCTTGTATATTTTGTACCGTTTCTTTCTCTGGAAGGGATCTCGCGAGAGAAATGATTCAAACCTTGCACGGCCCCTGTCTCAATTTCCCGTTGGTTGTTGGAAGCCTACATACCTAGGAACCAACAACTGGCAAACAAATCCCTGGGGTACCTCTATGCGAACATGTGATTAAGTTGAGATTTTCTCTTTCAAAAACGAGAGCAAAACTCATTCTTTGAAAGATCATTCTGTTGCTACCAAACCATTCCATTTCGTCCCCCAATCTGGCCAGCAATATGGAAGACAAAGGCCCAATGATACTTGCGGTATGCTGGACTTTCACAACCTTAGCTCTTCTTTTCGTGATTGCTCGTCTTTTTGTCCGCGTAGCAGTCCATCGTGCTTTATTTATTGACGACTATTTCATAATCTTCTCAATTGTAGGTTCATCCCCATTCGTCTCTATTGTCTTGTCGGTGTAATATCGTTCACCAACTGATTGCAAAGATTTCCGCCATCCTCTCCAACGTTTTCGTCACTATCTCGGTATACTGGGGCAACGGAAAACATTTTGAGTCACTCGATTTGCAACAGAAGCAAAACACAATCAAGTGGATGATGGCAGCATATGTCCCCGGAATCGAAACCCTTGGCCTTCCCAAACTGGCAGTCATCGCCCTCCTCGCGAGGCTTCTGATGCCCAACAGGGTACATCTTTGGATACTCTGGTGTATGGGAATCATATGCTGCCTGTCTCTCACGGCTATGGTCACCACGCTACTTCTCCAGTGCAGTCCCCCAAGAGCTTTGTGGACTTTAACAATGCCCAGAGATTGTCTTGATCCGTCAACGCTCGAAGGTCTAGCATTTTGGGCCAGCTGTTGGTACACCTTATCTCATTATTATCCGCGGAATATAACATTTCTCAGCGGCTTCAGCGTTTCTAGACTTTTATCTTGCTGTGTACTCGGCGATCACACTCTGGAAGCTTCTCATGCCTCTCAGGAAAAAGCTAGTATTGAGTCTTGCCCTTGGAATGGGTATTATGTAAGTGGAAGTGCGCTCCAAGATTAACTCGCTCATGACTAACAAGAACAGTTGCGGGGCAATTGGAATTATTAAAGCCAGCGGAGTCCCGACTCTGGCGAGTCAAGATGTCAGCTGTAAGTTGGTAGTCCTAGTTGATGGTTTCGATGACTTTCGATGTTGCTAACCGACATTAGACGACTTGTGTGATCCTCTGTACTGGACTTCGTAAGTCTAGATTGACCCTTCACACCTACTAGCCGACTGACAAACCTCTAGCGTGGAAGGCAATCTGATTATTATCGCTGCGTGCATCCCAGTCCTTCAACCAATTCTGGAAATGTTCAAGGGGCACAAAATCTGGAGCACTAAGAAAAGCTCTAGAAGTGGCCAGTACGCAGGCCAGAGTGAGGAGAATGCGCAGAAGCAACAGGGCATTGAACTCGAAGATAAGCCAAGAAAGAAGGTGGATGCATATGGGTTCACAATTCAAGAAAGGGATGGGAGTGAGGACAACATTGTTGACTCTGATAGGCTGTCCGAAACTATGGCCCTGAGCACACATAGCACTACGAATAGTGCTGAAGATGTCATGATGAGAACTCAAGAAGTGGATGTTGAACCTGACCATTAAAGAGGTGGACAAATGATTATAGCCCCAGGATGAATATTGTCTAAGCACTATAGAAGCAGGTCCAGAGAGAAATCAAATGTTTCAAGTCGTAAAACATACACAAATCTTCTCCATCGTGCTCTTGTCAGTAATTCTTCCACTGCATTACATATGTCCAGATTTGTGTTATGCAGTTGAAATTGACAGCGGATATATCATAGAGAGTAGTCCTGAATCGATCCTGGAGTTTGAAGCCCCAAAGCTGTAGATTCCCAGGATAGAGTCCCAATAGCGCTCAAGCTAGAAGAAACGACCACGACACGTTAAAGTTAAATTAGCAGCCTAACTATAGTTTTCCATTAGTGTTGAGCTTTTTCAACTAATGGATATTACTGTTGTCATTAAGTAGGTCCGTGATTACACACCCAAGACCGCCTTCAGGCATTCAGATGTTAGAGTTACCTCTATTATCGTCCTCCATATTCAGCTAGTCATCTGAGATAGAAGGCTGGAAAGCCGATCTTAGCCTTTTCGTCCGGCACTCTCATATACTGCTAATTACTGCATTGGAAGAATCAGGATGCTTACCGTGGTGAACTCGCAGTGTGTAAACGCAGGAATACCAATCTGGTCGGTGGCGAGAGAAATACCCTCGAGTATCTTGCCAGTGAAGAGATCAATTGCTCCCACGTGAACCTCAGATAGGCTTGTTCTGCCAGGCTTCGAGCTAGACACTACCACAGTCTTACTGGGTCGGCTTTTTATAATAATATGCGCTCTTTATGAGAGCTGAAAACACTCTTCGATATTGCAATCAACCCACATATCTAACATGTTGGTCCAGACCCAAGCAAGACCGTGTGGTTGGTCTAGTTAGATACTATTGGTGGGGTTGTACCAGTAACACGGGTGGCTTTGTTAGTTAAGATCTAAACATATGATAACTCACAAAAGAGCGTTTGCGCTACCATCGGTGTTGCGATTTGTGGAGATCTATTGTTTCTTCGAGTCCAGCCCGTCGAGTCGAGGCAGCCCTCGGGAGGAAATAAAACACCGGATATGAAGCCTCTCATATGTTAGACTTTCTGGCCAGAATTTTTACAATAATTTTATGTAAAGAATATAAAAATTAGAAGATCTTAGAACAAGCTTTAGTGATAGCTGTAGTATATTATATTAAAACGATTAATTTAATATTAGTATACTTAGTTAAAGATATCTCCTGACAGAGTCGTTGCTGGTGTTTTATTTCTCCCACTTGGCAGCCAACTAGGGACGCACAGAGCAACGTTGGTTGACACCACGCTGAACATATTCACTAGCATCCATGCTGACTGCCATATGAAGGGATAGAGAAGCGTTACTCAAGCTCCATATTGCTATCTAAACATATGATTCAGTTAAGACCTGAATTCATTTATCAAAACGAGATACTAATGAGAAGAGAAGCTAATTCTAAGGTAAGAAGAAAGAATTGCTTTAGTAGAAGAAGAGACTCCATGGATTTCTCGGATTGCCGTCCTTCTATTGTTTTACAGATAAATAGCTTGGGTTTATGCTACTGCCAGTCTCAGCTGTGCCAAATACCACTTTTGCAATAGTGGCTGGCATATTTAGTTTTTCACTCGTTGTCAAATTAACTGGATAATATTCGGTTTAATGGTGATGTCTCCAATATAATCGCACTGACCCTATGACGTCGGCGTATGCGTGGTTATTCTAGTGGTGAATATGTGAGGCCTAACTTGATTGCCGAGACTATCTGTGCTCTGCGGGCATTAGTGGCTGCTCATTATCTGAAATCCCTTTATCTTAAGTCGCTCTTCACTTCAGTTTTGCTATCATTTGACTTTGACCTTTCGAGGAGCTAACCCTAAAGAATCATGATCGCCGCCGAAAAGCCGTCTTAGCGTAGAATACCTTATCCGGGTATCAAGTTTCCCTAGCTTCCCCAGATCGTGAAGTTAGTTGATCAACATTGGGGTATTTGATTGCCGAATTTAGTCTACGAACTTGCTAATACAATCCGGGTTTCAGTTATCCGGACTGCTAACAAGAACAGTAACGTGTATTCGCGAATCATTCAGAAGGTATTCCTAGTATATAAACTCACAAATATCCAGTTCCCTACTGATAGAAACTATTTACTATTATTCAATTGTTATTCTACTACTTACCAACGACATGCTTCGTCCACGCTTTTCCTCTGCTCACCACTTTACCCTCGCCATCTTTGGATGTCAATACCATGGCGACATTCCAAGCGCCAGCAAAGTCGAGCTTATCGAGCAATTTGACAATCTTATCAAAGATGCGGGTGTTCCTGTTGAGCGCCTAGAGCAAAATAATCTCCCCTCCAGGGTCTGGATGACCCACTGGAAGTCACCTCAAACTTTCAAAGCTTGGTGGGAAAGCGACTCCACAGGAAGCTTTTGGAAGTCACTTCCAGATGACGCTGGCTTTTGGAGGGAGACACTCTGTCTCCCAGCCACTAGATCTATGCACGAGTCAACTGGAAAGGATCCAGTAGGGTTTGGTTACTGCGGAGATCTTGTGCCTCTTACTGAGAAGACTGGATATTGGGGAGCGTATCGTTCTCGCATGACGCCTGATTTCGAAGGTGACACTTTCAACACTTCTATGACCTCCTTAGAGCCTGCGAAGCTCGAGACTGATAAGATTCGTCGAGGAAGAGTTCAAATCGCCAAGTTTCCCGATAATCTTTGCGTCGTCATTGAAGGCCAGGACTACAGCGCCATGAAAGAGAAAGAGCGGGAGTACTGGGACGAGAACTTCGATGGCCTGACAAAACAGTGGGTTACCAATGTGGTTACAGCAGGGCTAGAAAACGGTATGGTATCCGCAAGGGCATGCCATGCATTCGCAGGAAAGAAGTCACTGGGAGCAACAAACGGTACAACCTCCAACGGCACAACCAATGGTGGCATATTCCCAGGCCTTGATTACATTCGACAAGCTCAGATTCTCTACTGGACCGACCTTTCCAAAATGGAACACATGGGCAGATGGGATAAAGGCCACGTCAAGTTAAGACGCAGCTTCATGACAGCATACGGGCCCGGCGGCGCGATGGAAGGCGGTGATATTCTCCTCTGGGTTGATCTAGGAATCATAAAGGGAAACGAGATTGATGCGGAGTACATTGGCTGTTACGAGGGAACAGGGTTCCTCGCATTTGACAAGAGCGGGGATTTCGCGAGCGAGATTGTCGCTGCGGCTGAGCTACCCGAGATTTTCGATAAGCCAATTGCTTGTAAGCCAATAGAATGGTAGATCTGCAGATAATAACATGATTTTTAATGCGGTGAAAGAAGTGTGCGTGAACTCAAACGGGTGTTCACCTTACTCCGCAAGCCCCGTTTACGATTCGGTATTGCCCCGTTCATGCGGATCGTGTCAGGTAAAGACTTGTGAATCCTTCCGAAATCCGAAATAGTGGGTCTCCACTCATCATCTGTCCAATTGAACGACTGTAGGAGCCCGTATAGCTATTACCGTGCAGGGGTAGTAGTGGCATGTTAGGTATGTCGCATACTAATGGATCTGTTAAACAGATTCAGCAACCAAACATGCAACGCACCATTCACCTGCCAAATAGGTCCCCTGACCCGCTGAGCTTTAATTGCCACCCACTGAAGGATTCACATACAACGTTGTACTCGTATTTAGCCCGAGTTATGGATCCTGGCTCAAAAATATATATATAAGGAGCAGACGATGCGCTTTCAAAACCTCAGAGTCAATTTTCACAGCCACTGACTGTGCAGCAGTGAACATAGTTAACTATGCTATTTTCACGTCTCTTCCGAGGCCTTTGCCTTGCTGCTTTAGGCAGCAAGGCTGTCGAGGGCGCTTCTGTCAACAAGCCACACCTCGCCGAGAGAGCTTCCTCAAGCGATCGTCTTGTCTTTGCCCACTTTATGGTGCGCCGACATTTTCCGCTTCTGTCTATTATCAGCTAACATCGTCAGATTGGAATTGTCGGCAACAGACAAAGCTCAGCCGAATATGACGATGATATGAAGCGAGCCAAAGACGCTGGTATTGATGCCTTTGCTCTCAACATTGGCGTTGATGACTACACGGACACCCAGCTTGACTATGCATACGACTCTGCCAATCGCAATGGCATGAAGGTTTTTATCTCATTCGACTTCCACTTCTGGCCCGTCGGCAATGCAAACGCTGTCGGACAGAAAGTGAAGAAGTACGGCGACAAGCCGGCTCAGCTACGCGTTGACGACAGGGTTTTTGTCTCCAGTTTCGCGGGAGACGGGCTTGATGCAAACGCTGTTAGAAGTGCTTCTGGTTCTAATATCTTCTTCGTTCCCAACTTTACTCCTTGGGGAGGAAAGACTGATGGAATTGATGGCGCATTGAACTGGATGGGGTGGCCGAATGACGGTAACAACAAGGCGCCTAAGGATGGCAAGAGTGTTAGTGTTGCAGATGGCGACAATAACTACGTGAAGTTTCTCGGTAACAAGAAATACATGGCCCGTGAGTATTTGTCTCCCTAAGCTTTCGCAGGCTACTAACATATAGCCAGCTGTCTCGCCCTGGTTCTTCACCCACTATGGCCCCGAGGTTGACTGGGCCAAGGCAAGTAATCCCACAATGAAACAATGCGCTCAGCTAACACCGTGTAGAACTGGGTCTTTCCAAGTGGTTCTCTCATCTTCGACCGCTGGAATGAAGTGCTCCAAAAGGGTTTCCCCATGGTCGAAATCCTCACCTGGAACGACTACGGCGAGTCTCACTACATCGGCCCTCTCAAGAATAAGCATACCGACGACGGAGCATCCAAATGGTCCAATGACATGCCCCATAACGGCTGGCTCGATCTTTCAAAGCCCTTTATTGCCGCGTACAAGAACAAGGATACCAATGTCGCCAAGTACATACAGAAGGATCAGCTTGTCTATTGGTACCGCCGCACCCTCAAGGGTCTTAACTGTGATGCTACCGACACGACTTCTGGTCGAGCGCCTCCCAACCCTAGCGAGAACTATTTCCAGGGTCGTCCTGACGGATGGCAGTCGATGGAGGATGCCGTCTACGTTGTCAGCTTGCTCAAGTCCGCTGGTACCGTGGTTATCAAGTCAGGAGGCAACACTGTTACCAAGGAGGTTCCTGCTGGAGCTACTCTGATCAAGGTCGACGCAGCCGTTGGCAAGCAGACATTCACCCTCAAGCGCGGTAGCACCGAGGTTCTCTCAGACACTTCCCTGATGGATATCACTAATGTCTGTCCTTGCGGATTATACAACTTCAACGCTTACGTCGGTACCGTTGCTGCTGGCTTCTCCGATCCTATGGACAGTGCTGGTCTCGCGTCCCTCACTGTCGGTCTACGCGTCTCGACTTGCCAGCCCAAGCCATCTCTCGGAACAAACCCTGCCTCGCCAACACAGGCAAGCGACCCGCCCACTGTGACAAACCCTGGCAGCGGCAACGGCAACGCATGTATTGAGGGTACTTTTGCTGACGGTCAAAGTGAAAATTACACGGGTCTCTGTTCGTACACTTGTGGTTATAACTATTGCCCTCCCGGTCCCTGCAAGTGCACCAAGTACGGTTCAGCTGTGTCACCTCCGGCGACGAACGGTCGTGCGGGATGTCCTGCTACTGGCCTTGATGATTCCTACAAGGGACTGTGTGATTATACTTGTAACCATGGATACTGTCCTCCTGGTGCTTGTAGATATTGCTAAATGCAGTCTTTCAGATGAGATAGTAATTGTTATAACTATCTTCAGAGCCTAGGTTGAAGTTACACTGAGTAAAAAGCTAGGAATAAAATCTGAACCTTACTGATTTTGTTAGAAAATTTTGAAATTCCATACTGTTATAATGACATGTAATATAAGGAGTAAATAATGTTGTCGTTGTACATATTAGTTAAGATATATGTTATTGTAGAATTCATAAACAAAGCTTCATCTTAGTATGTTTAGATTACATTATATATCCTCTCAATTATGTAGTAGTAAAGCAAAAGAAAAGCCATTGAGGTATAGGTATGTAGAGATATAACTGGATGTGGCTGACTGTAGATAGGCGTGGGTTAAATCTTGGGCCGTCCTGACTAAGCGTTATTCGGATCTAAGCTTGAATTTTTCAAAACGCCCTTCATGTCATTACATAACATCTCTGGTTAAACAGCTAGCTATCCACGGGAGCCCATAAATGGTACAGCCATTAAGGGTCCTACGTAGTAATATTAAGCTAGGGCGGGGTAGATAGGCCCCTGGAAATGGACTGCTATTGCTTTTGGTTATATGATTGGCTCAAGTGGCAAGATAAATACCTGACTCGATATGCAAGGGACCATCCCCCCTGCCCTGACGTAAACAAAGCTTACACGAAGATCGCTTGGCGCTCTAGCGGGATCTTAACGACTTCAGATGCTAAGAAAGTAAAGATTATCATGTTTAAGGGCACAGATGCTAGCACCTTGGGATAGAAAGGCATTTTATGAAAGGGGCTTGTTGGACCGAAGAGTCTTGTCGAAGTTGATTGGGACAGCGGGAGTTAAGTTAGCTGGAAAGAGATGCTTTCAGGTATTTCTCAAACCAAGCATCTTCCCCATGCCATCTAACATCTGCGATGAATCCGACTCAATCTTTGCCTCATTTTCGACTCCTTCGTATAAACAAACACCTTTTCACAAAGCTTCGAGTTCAATTCATTCAGTTGCATACCCAAACCCTGTAGCAAGTCAGGCCTCTTTATTACAGCATCCTTGGAATCATTCCAAATCTAGGCACGGAAGACGAGCTCTTAGTGACGTAAGGCTGAGCACTGGCCGTAACCAGCCTGTCGGTGACAGCGGTCAGCAATTGGTTGGTTGATGTTGTTGAGAAGGCCAGGGTGACGGCATTCTCCGACAAGGAGGCGTCTATCCAATCTAAGATTTGTTACTGTACTACGTAAGAATACGAACCCAGATGACATACCACGCGTGAGGTCTTTGTGGAAGCCCTGTAGTGGCGCGAGAATGATCACGCTGTCCAATTGCGGCATTGCTGGTGGAATTCTAGAAAGGCAAAAACACTCCGGCGTGCTAGGTCGATATGACACATGCGACCAAACATGCGGCTGATCCGGACCGTTCCTTTAACTTCTTTCCGCAAGGAATGGTCGACCATCATGAAGACCACGTTTCGGACGACAAAGAGGTTTGGCCAGACTTTCCGACGCCCATTTCTCTCCATAACCCAGTGGTTCAGAGGCCATGATCTTTGTTTGCGAATTTAGTACTCTGCAGAAGCCAGGAAGACGGGAGTTGGGAATGGTCGGCATTGGCAATGCTCCGTAGTCCGACGGTAACCCCTTTCTCAGACAGGTGGCGTCTTCCAAATCCCTGCTCCCAGCCACCCGCCTTTTGTCCTTATTGTATCAGATTAATGATCAAAAGCAGCTGGTAAGGTATCTTTTGCAGCAAATGGCCCCTGCCTTCTTTTCTGGTGAAAAGCTCGTATTGTACTCTGTATGTCGGCAAAGATGAGAACCTGGTGAATGGGTACCGCGTTGCGGCCACAGGGAATAGTGCAATTTTCTACTGAATTGGTTGCTTTGTCTCTCACCCTGGTCCAACAACTGAAGTGTCAATAGCACAGGGAACTATCAAGCATTATCCCAGCAGCCAGACTGTAGGGCTGGCCACATTTCTTTGAAGAACCGCGAGATTGGGTCCACGCTAAGCCGCGGGACAGGGTTCATGGCAAGTCGCTCAATTGATATGAGCAAATATAATGGCTAGCTGTCACATCACAGGCCCTACAGGCATACGGGTTTCTAACCCAGCAAGAATTCTAACAAGGAACTGAGACCGGTGCCTCAGCCACGTCGAAGCCTCAGACCATTAGACGTTCAAGGCTTGGAGATGGTTCGCCTGAACTTCTACAAGATACAAAGATGTCCAATCCCAACATAGCAGGGATAGGCAAGCTAAGCTAACGGTTGATCAAAGAACATTCATCTGTTTCAGCACACAAGGTTTTCAGCAAGCAACTTCAAACCTCATCCTCAATTTGAAGCTAACATGTCCTTAGCAGGGGCGTTTACCTCTTTGTTCTTTACCATGTGCAACTAAGACAAGGTACCTACTGAGTCGTTGTCAAGCGGCGAGTTCGAAAGGGCGTTCTTGGAACCACGTGTTATAAGATACGTTGAGATCTCCCATAAGCTATTGGTTTGGTCAAACTCTTCACATACGTTCTCATATCTTCAAACAACTTTCCACAAACTTTCCAAGATCTTATTAACTCTTCACAAACTTTCCAGAACCTTCAGCCGACATCAAAATGCCAGACCCCGATCAGCAAAGTGACCGCGATTTGAGCTATGCTATCCCACCAGCACCCGGCAAATGCCCCGTTTGTGGCCGGGGTAACAAGATAGGGGTTAAAAGGTGCGAAGGATACGTACAGAGGAGCAATGGAGCTATTACTCGCTGTCGACGGCCAATTAATGGGCCACGAGGACTGGACTTCGAGGATTTTATGTCGACTTACAACGCCGGGCTCAACGGAGGCCAAGCCTCCGGAGAGGCAGTCGACACGGGTGATCAAGAGGTCAAAGCGGATATCACAGCTTATGTCCTCCTAGTTCTCATTGCTTGCTTTATTTTCTACTTGGGCCAAGCCTCCGGAAACACGGGCCAAATCTCCAGAGAGGCAGTCGATACGGGCGATCAAGAGGCCGAAGCGGACATCACAGCCTAAGCTCTCCTCATTTTGGTTGCTTTCTGTATCGCCAGCTCAGGCATGATGATTTGATTCTCGTCCGCTTCGGTCTGGTGATTTTAGGGGGAAGGGATATCTTGTGGTGGAGGATTTACGAATCAATTTGAAGTCGAGTCTAGAAGCTCTGTTAGTACCTAGAGCATACAATACAAGTCTAGACCTTCAATGCCATCTCTCCGTGATCACCCTTGAAGCACCCAAACCCCTCTAAACAGTTGGAGGTTGAAGACGATTGGCTTCCTCCTGCTTCTGCCTCCGATTTTTCTCCCCCCTCCATCTACATTCGTTCAACCAAAACTCTTTGAAGCCCTTATCCTTCAGGGCACTCTCAATCTTGTCTCCGAAATCGTCGATGTCTGATTCAGACCACGAAGACTTGACCGCCTGCCAAGACTGGGTAAACGAGTTCGCTCGTGTCATTGTACGGATCCAGTCCCTGGGGAGGAAACCGGCCATCTCCCACCTGCAAATACCCACTAACCCTTGGACTTCATCAACCGTAAAGGAGAGTGGCATCATGTAGTTGTGGGCGAAGACTAGTTCAGAGCAGTCGAGTCCCATCTCCTCGCAGTTCGCTCGAAGCACTTCTGGGTTGTACGAGCCTGGGACAGATGGAGTAGTTGAACTGAGCCAAAAACATTGCAGGTTGCCGCCATCAACGGCGCAGATGCGATCGCCACGCCACTTGGATAGTTCGTGATAGGCCTCGGCAATTTGCTGCGTCCACCTAGTCCTCGCGGCTTGGTTGGCCGTTGGCCATGCTTTAATAAGTGGATTGCCCGGCAGATCACTGAAGACGATGGAATATGAGTTCCCAAGGTGTTTGTGGTAGTAAACCTGGGGGATTTGAAAGCCGAGAGACCTCTTCGCCAGGGTCTCCAAAGTGACATGCTCTGACGTTCCTAAATTGTTGAAATCGATACGGAGGTGGGCGAGACCGATTTTCCAGGTAAGACTGCCAGGAAATTGATTGCCAGCATCACTGATGGGACAGACATGCGAAGGTGGCCGAGTGGGCGGTGTAAGAGTAGGGGCGTCGTCGATTGAGAAGAAGCCCCCCTCACCATCTGGCCAGCAAGGCTGGATCCGCTTGTGTTGATGGCGGGTTACCATGAGATGGTCGATGATCCAACAATTGTCATTGACCTCCAGGAAGCGAGCTGTCTCGGGGGTGGGAGGCGCGTTGGGCATGGTGAAATTGCAGTTTGAAATCGTTTGATGTTGGATGGAATGGTGTTTGTTATTCTTGACTTGTTGTTGTTGTTGTTGTTGTTGTTGTTTGTGATGGGATATCAGTCAATTGCATGCGGACAGGAGGGATAGTTATACTTGTGCCAGTCTCCAACCGAGCTGGCTTGTCAGCGCAGGGAAAGCACTCGACTCGACCACCAGCCTTTGACAACCCTGTCCGTGATGACGTGTTTCGTTTCCTATTGTCGTCGTTTTGCCAAACCATGATTTTGACGGAAACGGAAAAAGAGACAGCGTGTGAGCCCAGATCTCTTTGTTCAATAATTCTGATGGTTTGTAGGGTCAAACGCTGTTCAGCATCAGAATGGGTCATGCGTTGAATGATGCCGCCATGTTTGCTTCGGATGCCTTATTTGACGAAGAGAGTGGGTTTCTAGTGCGTTCTGTGGTCATCAAACATCCTTTGTTCACACAACCAACCACCTCGAGCACAAGCAAGCCACAATATCTGGGGCTTCCATCCCATGGCTTGCTTGTTTCTTAGCACAATAAACATGTGGTTAGCCATCGGGCTCTCTGAAACCAATAGTTCCTAATATTGTATCGCACTGACCCTGGAGTTGAGGCCTCAACTGCGTTGCTCAAAGACGGGTTTGGGCTGGTGACTGACAGACGTTTGTCTCCGATTTATGGCGCAAGAAGAGGGCCCCCACTCCTCGATGCCCTCGAGCAGTTGGTTGACTCGTGAAATCCTTGCAGTCAACTCCCAGCCACCTATTGTCGCAAAGAAAGTTAAATCACCGAGTCTCAACCAAATCCTTGACAAACACCGTGTAGTCGAGCTCAAACTCTTTGTGTACCAGATGCTCTGTCGTGGTAGGGTAGGGCAGGGCAGGTAGTCAATCCACGAGAAGTGATTGACGTTCATTTGAACCAGGGCTACCTGGGTGGAGACCTGGCACTAGGCTTGGTAACGTTAAGCGTAAGAGGTCTCGAAACATGTTTCTTTGGTGAGGTGAAGTAAATGGTCGGCGGGCAAAGGAAACCAGTCCGAGTGGCGCTAGGAAGATAAGGAATTAGATTGGCGCCGATTGTGACATTGGCACTCCCAACATCGATTACAGTTTAGGTAAACTACGTAGTACTTTTCACGTCGTGTCACAGTCAACAAAGTCGAGCTAGAAAACATGATGTACTTGGCATTCTAATTGAGTCCTCCCGAAGTTCCAGGTAGAGCATGAGGGACCACCTACTTGGCAGGCTAAGTTTGTGTGTATCTCCAAACGTGGTCCTCTCCTAAATAGTACACTGGGATGCTTTAGAGTAGATGCCATTATAGATCGGGTAAAGTCATATTCGGATGTGGTCATCCAAGTAGTAGTAGTAACTCGCGACAGAGAGAAAGTTTCACCATATGCAGGCAATTAACAGGGTAGGAAAGCGCTGCAATCAATTCAATCCGCCTACTCTTAGAGAGCGGGTCGCCAAGTTACCCATTCACTAACCACGTTCATAGAAATATGTATCGATACCTTCTACACCCCCTGAAAGGCAAGCAAGTTATCGCCAAAAGTCTAGCCACTGCAAATACCGCTGAAGCTGAGATGCTGTTTTGATCTCCCTTGTTAGTTCAACCCAAAGCACCAAATTGACTCCAAGTAATCATTTCCGCTTCCATCCATGTTGAATGTAATCGTCTCAAACAATGAGCACAGAGTGGAAGATGTAAATGTCCCCATAGATCAGAAAAAGTGGCTGGTGCGGAAGCTAAGCATTAAAGACTTTCTGATTTCCCCATGCTGGCATCGAATTGATGTTGTGCATGAATGTATCTACAAATGGCAAGGTTCTAAAAAGATGGATCACCAAGCTGCCAAAGAAGACATACATATCCAGGGATACTGGCATCGAACAAATTGGCGACGCCCATTGAACTTCCTATTGCCATCAGCTAGAGCAGTTTATCAATCGTATTCGTAGGGAGTAATGGTCGGATTGTGAGCTGACTAGTGGGTACCATAGGAAGTGTTCCCTCTGTTGATTTCTGACCAGAACCTCTATTATTTCTAAAATGTATAATAAAATAGGAAAAAGTACCAGCGAAAGAAAGCAATTTACACAAAGTTTTATGAAAAGAGTGGATGAGATGGAATTTTAAGAATAGTACTACGAAGAAAATTAAACTTATGAGTCTTATATAGCACATTCTTTATCCTTTAAAACACGGTATCTTACTTGTATTTCTATAAGCAGTAATTGAATAGGATATGCCTAAAGTGGTCCATTTCCTGTGATATCCTGATGGCTGAGACCATGGTCGAGGCGTCTGAGAAGTTGGGCCAGCCGCTGCGGCCTACGAGTAAATTCAGACTTGAGAGCTTTGGAGGATATGTTGTATCGTGGCAGCTCACGGTTAAGGTTTTTTGAACGAGAAGATTGACGTAGTTGGAGACCAAGTTCCTGCGTAGTCATCACTATTTTTTGTCGCGCACCAAACCAGTTCTGTGGCTTATTCCATATAAACATGACATTTTGCCGAGTCAATGGGGTTTAATTTCCTGGACAGTGTGCAACATGCGAAGTTGACGGTCCCTATTTCGCCCATTTGGCCTGTCCCTCACCGTCGAGACGAGAGAAGACGTTGTTAAGGCGCGAAACTATTGTTGGTGACGAGATTGAGAGTGACATTCTCGCCAAGCCTTTAGGGTAAAGTGCTCGGCACATACCGATGGATGTTTTAGGGCATGTGCAATGTAACAGGAAAGTATCAATGGCGCTCAGCCCAACTGTCAAACGTGAGACAAATCTCCAATGCCAAGCCTTCGGTAACGACGTCACAGCGTAAGGATAGCAAAAAGGATAAAGTCTGGGGCGCACGGGCGAAGCCGAGACCCCTGGACCCTGACAGAAGTCCCCACACCAGTAAACGGAGACTGGCTGCTTCGATCATTCATTCGTATTGGGATGTCCGTATTAGCAAGATGTTGGGGATTTTTACTCACCGTTTCTACGTGTCTACCCAATGTTCCCAATTACAGTATGTTAGCCTGAAATGCTGCTTAATTCTTTGTAATGCTATCCTAACCTTACCTAAAACTGCTTCTCCTCATGGAGCTTTTCTGTCAGCCCACTAGGCAAAATGCCGACCAGCCGAAATAAACGATATGTGGCGTTACTAATTGGAACGTGGTATTCCACTCGCACCCAAATATAGCCCCAGCAGCTGAAGGATATCGACGCATTCGGAATGACCCATTCGATAACCCGCGGCCGATGGAATGATCGGTGAAATGCTTCAACAGCTATACGAACATCAAGCGCAGATTTAACCTGTGCGCAGGATCGTCTGCAAGGGTACTAACTGTTAGGGGTCTTGGCCAAAAATATCTCCCGCTCTGACTGGTTGCGCCAATGGTAATACGAGATGTGTCTAACTGCATGTGGATGCATCAGCCTATTTCGTGGTAGAAAGCTCGTCCACGTGAATGTTTATGCTGGGGATTAGCGTGGTGGCCCGGGGACAGTTATGCGGTCATGGCTGTAATCGACTCTTCGAGATTCCCGTGTTTGATGTGTGCCTCAGTAAGGCCGTGGGCTAAGAAACGTCGAGCTCGTATAGTTTGGTAGTTCGTACAGAATCGAGTGACGATCTAGTGTCATGAGCTCTATGCAAAAAATCTATATAAGACGCCTTGGGCCACGGCCTTTAGTCTTCTCTATCAGCTACAACTCCATCACTTACAATCACTTCTTCAATCAACTCTTACAAACTCTTTCACTTTTACTTCACCAGTAAAGTAAACACATCCATCAAGCCTCCAACAATTCCCAGCTAACATCTTCCAGAAACCAAACAACAACCATCACCATGCAGTTCTCTCTCGCCTTCCTCGCCGCCGTCCTCTCGGCCACCAGCGTCAGCGCTGCCCCCGCCGACACCGTCAGCATGATGGCCGCCTCACCTCAGTGGACCATCGAGAACATGCAGCGCTCATGCGCCAAGGACAATTCGGCCTGCACCTGGAACTTCAAGATCAACACCCACAAGGCCGCCGCCACCGGCTGCAAGTACGTCGTCAAGGGCAGCAACGCCTCTCAGCGCAACGGCGGACCCGTCAAGTGCGGTGACTACACCATCACCTCTGGCTGGAGCGGCCAGTTCGGCCCCGGAAACGGCTTCACTACTTTCTCTGTTGTTTCGTCCAAGCGACAGATCGTCTGGCCCGCTTACACCGACAAGCAGGTCTCCAGCGGAAAGGTTGTTAAGCCTAACCAGTCTTACACCCCTGCCAACCTTCCCAAGTAAATTGGTGCTTACAGGAGAGTTGATCTAAGCATTTGCATATAGAGAGACGGTAGACGAGACTTTGGCTATTGCACTGTGGATTCTTTTGATAGTTTAAGTTTATTGAGTTATGATCTTAATTGATAATACACGAATAGTTTCATAAATGTTTGATATTATGCTGAAGGTTGTACCAGTCTGTGTTAATATGTGATTGGCTGTTGTATCTTGAGGTATTTCCCAAGTTCGACCACTCCTCATCCATTCCTCGGTGTCATTGTCCTATTAAATGATATTTCATAATTTCATTATCGGATAGAGAAAACTGTCCTTTTATTTATTTATATATATGTGTAATGTTGATCTATCACGCCGAGATATTCAGTAAGATTACTCAATAAAATTATCCTAAAGGATAACACAAAAGCCACAACTACATAGTATAAGCTCTGTCTCGCCCTCATCCGGCGCCCGTCTGAATTGTATCCGCACTTTATCCCAGATCCTCAACCACGATACAATAATGATTAGTTTACACTCCTCGCTCAACTCATCCACAGCCTGGATATCCATGAACTCAAACCGCGTTGGCTTATCAGATCCCATATTCAACGCACCCGTCGCCAACACTTCTGGCTTCGAGTGAACATACAACTTCCACCCCTCGCCATCGCCGATGTTCCTCCACTCAAACAGCATCCGTTGTGGTAGGTTCACGCTAAATGAATACATAGCGTTTCGGTCACCGATGAGTTGGTAGTACATGTCGATGTGCTTGGGAGGTATGGTGTTGATAAATTCCAGCTCTGCGCTGTTTCTGGTGTACTTCACCGTCGCTAGCGGAGGCGCATTTTCGTCGGTGCCAGACTGAAGATTGACTCTTGCTTCGAAATCATCTTCTGTACTTTTGTATGTGCACGAAATTGATAGCGACGAGCTACCTGCGTTTCCTCGCAGTTTGAATTTAGTCTCCGAGTCGCCTTGTTGGTGGATAGTGAATGAGTTAGGTAAAATCAAATCCCTAATACCCGGTGCAGCTTGCCCTGTCATATCATCCAAAACGATGTTATCTTGGCCCATTGCGCGCGGTTGAGTGTTGTCTGTTGGTGGCAAGGAAATTGGATAAGTAAGTTGTTGCTTCTCTATGCATTGAATGAGGGCCCTTCACTTAAATATCTATAAGCCAAACCGGAATTTTGTGTCAGAAGGTCACACATGTTTCTATCTGCGCCACTATTAATCTCCCAACGTCATGGTAGCCACGTGCCCGATTTACCTTATCCTGTAGGCTGCCTGTTCCTAGGATCCCTGGCTAGGCTTTCAGGTCCGAAAAGCCCCGCTACAAGGCGGAATGTTGGCGCATGTTTTGCTAAGAGCGATATCATTTCGCCAAACTGCGGAAATTGGATATACAAGTCTGATATCAAGGCACTGTGCATATCTCTCCATTCTGTAAAACCTGTCTTACTTTGAAACTCTGTAAAATCGCGTTCCTCATTACCATAGCCGTCCAGATATTCATCATCGTCTCACACCCTTAATTACTCTTGCCTAGAGATACGACTTGACAACAACGCTCCCTACGGACGTAGCAATCCAGACAAACGTGAGGGTGTCCAAAGAAGGAAGACAGAACCTATGATCAGTCAGCTTTTGAACATCTATCGGTTTTGTGTGATACTTACTCTTCCATACTCAAGCAGATATATCCAATCCAAAACAACCATTGAGCAAGCCAGAGAAGAGGTAGACCCGTAGACATGATGACGTATAGAAGCATCAGGGGTCTTGGCTGCGTCTGGTTACATTCTTCCACGACAGGTATGGCACCGTAGTTGCAACCATGGCCCGCCCTGTCCGGTAACCCAGGTGACCCGAGCAAGCTCTCGCGAATACCAGACTCATCGTTCTTATCCGCGTTGCATTTCAACCCATCGAAGCCTCTTGGATGCTGATAAGGATTAAAAATCCTGTGCATTGTCTGGATCAAAGGAATACTCATTGCAGCAACAACAAGCAGCCAGAAGAGCGCTCCAAAATACATAAAGTAAGCAAAAAATTCACCTTCCGCGAGCGCCAGACCACCCAGGTAGAAACTATTCTCACGGCCGTAGTTGACAGTCATAACCATATAAAAAAGCGCGAATCCTTGAATTATAACCTCCGCGAATAGTGCAGATGTTGCTGAACCCAGATGCTTCACACTAGGGGGTACCACGCCGGACGAGAAAATTGTGAGCCAGCTTACCCGGGGTAGGGTACACCAGAGTAGAAATAGTTGGAGGGTTGGGACTTGTTCATATCCTGGGGTGTTCTGCACGACGGAGGCGCTAGCAAAGATTCCCAATAATTGGATACTGGCAATTATGCACCCTGCCAACATCCACGGCGGCGATGACGACTCTAGCATAGGGTCTCTGGTAGGTTCACGGTGGCTCGTTTTGGTACCAAGAAGTACAGCCACCAGGGTAGCTAGGTTGACAAGAGCGATGCTTCCAAGCTTCTGCAAGTTGGAAGGACAGTTCCCTGGCTGTCTTGTAAACCTAGGTTTGACAGTCCAGTCCCATGGGATCATATCGTGGAAATTAGGGATGAATAACGCCGGCCAATCATCAGGAAGACCATGCCAGTCTTTTGTATCACCACAAAGGTCATGCAGCCACTCCACGTACAATTTCCTGTTCGGCAGTGTTTGGCAAGGGCCTTGACAAACGTCGTAATTGGCTTTGCGGCAGAAACAATTCCTGTCTATCGCAGGCACAACTTGGCAATAGCCATCCGAGTCGATCTTACAAGTATCGGTTGTACATTGTTGGGTGAAGTCCACAATCTCTTCCGGGAAGTTTGTTGTAGGGATTGGTAGATACCAGTCTCTGACAGGGATATATGAGGAGCCGACAACTTTGAGCGATTGAGCCCAGTCGGCAGGTAGATATGCCAATCCACAAGTCACCCTGAGCCAGAGCAATTCTTTCGTCAACTCAAGCTGGTTCGACATAGCACATGGCCCATGTTGGTGGTCAACAGCAAAAGTGCCACATAAACAGCTCTTATCGAAATACTGCCCGGGCGGGATGTGTCGCTTTGTGAGATCGTAACCAACAGTATCAAAACTGAGAGCTACCATAGACTTCCTGGACGTACTGTACTCCCAAGGACGACCTGCGTTTCCGGTATGGAGCGTTGTGCTCGTGAAACCACACGATCCCACCACATGCTGGAATGATTCTTTGGAGCCAGAAGAAAGCGAACTTTTCAGGCACACCGGCGCCTTATCGACATTGTGAGCAGTTCCATAGCCTAGAACCAGGCTGGACGGCCAGAGGTTCCGTAGCCCGTTTGTATCACCGACATGAACAAGCCACGTCCGGCCGGTCACCTGCTGTATCCAGCGGTGGAGTTGCGCTTTGGCGAGCACTGATCTGCTGCAGTACGACACATATCTTTCGATAGTCTTTGGTGAGAACTCAATACTGAGGCAGCTTAGTTCAGTGAGCCACTGATAATGCGTGCAAATGATTCCGAAGTGCGAAGTACATTTGTGCTGAGTACATTTGGTCATGGCGCTTAACCAAGCGGACTGATCTTGCTGAGCGATACATTGCGGCATAGGCATAAGATCTTCCGGGTTCACCCAGCCGCCATGGTTATTCTGGATACTTGGTCCGGTCGAGTCGATGTCTCGTGCAGTATCTGTCAGGTGGTAAGCGCCGATGCTGGCAAGGATTTAGCTGTGGGGAAAGTGAGCGCAACGAACCGGCAAAGGCTTCCCCGGAAACCACCGTGACGAGCAGCACGGGCAGTATAGCACGTAGTCTCATTCTGAAGCCGTCATGGACGCTTTTTGTGTAGAATGAGAGTGTTTAGTCGTGGTTTGAAGATGGCGGATGCCTAAATTCATGGTGAGGGGGGGAGGCCGACCAAAGTGATGTATCACGCTCATTACTGCATTTGGAGTAACACAGCACGTGCTCACATGCAGCTGGCCCAATACTATGGAACAGGTGAGACAAAATAATGTTAAGAGGTCGTACCAGCCAAATAATATCATTTCTATAAGATGAAAAAGTAACGCTCTGATTATGCTAATCCGAATTATTTATCGTAAGCACGGATATGTTTTATGACTGACTATGCACCCCTCTTCGCAAAAAGCCAGTAACGTCATGTAATGGCATATACCCAAACATCTTCTCAAACCTTCTCATGCACTTATTCCTTTTCTTAAGGTGTCCAGTCTTCGAGCTGATGCCTGTCCGCGCAGCCTGACGGTCCATGTTGCCTTTTCCAAACACCAGAAGGGGTCCCTCACACGTCAACATGCTCTGGACGAAGTTGAGCGCAATATCCTCGCAGTTAAACACCTCGTCCACCAACTCCCGCACGCTCGTCATGAGCTCATCCTCCGAGTGATAGTACTCCAGGAACGAGACGTGCGTAAAAGCCATGCCCGTGAGAATCATGCTGTAAGAGGCAGTGCGGTCGCAGCGGACACGGTATGTGGGGGTGCCGGTCACACTGTTGCGGCCGTAGCAGCGCGCAAAGGCTCCTGTGAGACGGTTCATGCCCGCGCGTCGCCACTGCTGGAAGACGTACTCAATATCATCTGGCGCCTTGTAGTTCCAGTCGTCGTCCGAGAGGAGGATGCCCTGGGTTCGGTATCTGGGGTCGGGGAGGAACTTCTGGTTCAGGCTGTTCTTTTCGGATCGACGGTAACGGACGAGGACGCCGTGCTCGGTCATGTAATCGGCTGGTGGTTCAACGTCTACTTCATTCCATACGATGACGATTTCGTAGAGTGATGGGACTTTGTGCGCGGTGAGATGCGCGATGGTCTTATTTAGTTGTTTGGGTCGCTTGTAGGTCTGGATAGCAATGCTATGACATGTTAGCGGGTGCTTGTCAAATAGCCAGTCATTTGATAACTTACGTGAACATGTCCTCTACCAGGTCGCTGGTCTTATTAACCACGTCGTTCCAGATAGTCATATTGGCAACCTGATCGCGCTTCCCACAAGTCTTTTCTTCCGTGTATGTGGAAAGGTTGCGAACATCGGCCCACTCTGGTGTCGCAACGATCTCTTCCTCCTTCACCTCGTCATAGTCACGGCCGTAAATAGACGCAAATCTCATGCAGAAGACGAAACCGATAGCGGAGAAGATGAGGATCATCCACTTCTTGTTGAGGTTGAGACTGAGGTTAAGGTTGCGTGGCGCATAGGCTCGTAGAGGTGAAGTTGGAGAATATGTCTCCATGGGCATCGGCTTTAGCTCATCCCCGATACTTGATCGGGAAGTAAAGCTCGATCCATCTTCGCTGCCTGATCTCGTCATCGTGTGTTGTTGCTAAGGAGCGCCGGTAGTTGAAGGGCGACTGGCAGATTTGGTGGGGTAATGAGTGTGATGTGCCGATAAACAGCAAATAGTTATAAGTCAGAATGACGCATATAAATGAGAAAACAAATTATTTATTGTTGAGAGTAAGCTCGAAAGGCAACAACAAATGGCGGGGGATAGAGAAGAAAAAGAGGAGAGGGACAGGAGGGGGGAGTGCTAGCTGTCAGTAGGTAAAATAATCAATCATTTCCGCACTAACGTAACTTCTCAGCTGGCGCCGGGAATGGCGATGGATTCAAAGATGGAAGAAAGGGGGTCACGGCATCTTCTTTCTCGCTTGCGTCGGAGCAATGGCGCGTCCATTCCACTAGTTGGTGGGAATGTACGGAGTACGTCGACTCATGAGCGCCGACTCATTTCATTAATAGCTACGAATAGATTAGTGGAAGTTAGTGAAGACCTCAGCTCCCAACTTGTGCGCCCAGCTAACGACAATTTTCCACGTCAATAAAAGCCAACCGTAGCCAAAAAGCAAACATCGTGCCGCAGCTTAGTCTAACTCCACTAGTAAGGGGCTGCCTCCTACTGGATCGGCAAAGGTGCCGGTTTGTCTGACAACCGCGAGGTGTCTTAAATCGGCAGCATTTCTTGTAGGTGACGTGGATATCTGAGACAGACTATAAAAAGGAATTTTGTCATCGGCATACGCAATCACATCGCGATTGATTCAACCATGAACAGAACAATTGAGTCCAGCAGGGTCTGCATACCCCTGAAGTCATTCCGAATTAACGATTGACGGACCAGTAGCTAAAATAAATAGTGGCAGTTTCACTGAAGCGCTATTGACTAGCTCGGCCCAGCTGTGGAGGCCCCCCCAGCGCTATTGGAATTCATCAAGCTAGTCAACATGGTAAAACGAAACTTTTTCTTTCATCTCTCTATTTCCATGCTTCTTTTAATCATTGCCCCTTAACTAAGCAATCCACCATTAGAATTAGCTCCATGGCCCGCAAACGTCTAGAACTAGAGCTCGATCCAGGGGGGGGAACAAACACAAAGTGGTTGCTACTTGACCACACCTGCATCTCCTTCATGCTTCCTCGTGTGAACCCTTTTTTTCTGGAGTTTCATTTTCATTGGCGACGTATGTCCGTGTCAACACAAGCTTTGCGGTTGTCAGAGCACCCCTGAGGGTTAGAGTTAAGATTCTCGCTTAGGCTCAAGCCATTCATTGGATTTGTGCTTCGTCATCGAAACTCTCTGCTCTGCTACCTGACTTCTGTTTCTTGCTCTCTTTTCAATTCTCTTAATTAGTACACATTCGTTCGCAGTACCCCTGGGCTAGACACTATTCCCAATGGCGGCCTACACACAACTTCCCGTGTCATCGACGGGTGTCGTGCAACCTGACAGACCATCTTCTCTCAAGGTCGGACTATACATGGTGTAGGGAACTTCAATCCCAACAGAAATACAGACTGACTAATTCTGTTAGCGCGTGGATTGTTTCTTCAAATATCACCATTCTGTTCAATAAGTGGCTGCTTGACACAGCTGGATTCAGTATGTCCACACAAGTCTACATCCGGAAGTTATCAGGCTAACATGATCCGCAGAGTACCGTATGATACCCAACACTCTCTAACACTAGGAACTGGATTTGCTAACCATATCACTTCACAGCCATTTTGCTAGTAACATGGCATCTCGTCTTTGCCACCGTCGTCACACAAATCCTCGCCCGCACGACAAGTTACCTCGACAGCCGCCATAATCTCCCAAACACCTGGGACTTCTTCCTTACCACGGTCCTGCCCATCGGAATCGTGTCATCTGGTTCTCTGGTCGCCTCCAACTTCGTCTACCTCTACCTCTCTGTGGCCGTTATCCAAATGCTAAAGGCAGCCTCGCCTGTCTCAGTCCTCCTCGTGTCGTGGTTATTCGGCGTCGTCGACCCCACAGTCGGAAAGGTCGTCAACATTCTTGTCATCGCGCTGGGTGTCGCAGTTGCAAGCGCTGGCATGATCGAGTTCTCCCTCATTGGTTTCGTTTTTCAGATGTGTGGTCTCGCGTTTGAGGCTGTCAGGGTTGTCATGACGCAGATCATGCTTAACAGCGAGGGCTTGAAGATGGACGCCATGGTCGGCCTCTACTACTACGCCCCTGTAGTCGCCATTTTGAACCTTCTCGTGGCCAGCTTTATCGAAATTCCTCACTTCGATATGAAGGATCTGCACCGAGTTGGTTTCTCAACGCTATTTTTGAACGCTGCTGTTGCATTCACCCTCAACTTCACCAGCATGGTTCTGGTGAGTACTACTCGAGTGAAACAGGAACATCACTAACTTTACACAGATTGGCAAAACATCCGGCCTCGTCATGTCTTTATCGGGTATCTTCAAAAATATTCTACTTGTCATCTGCTCGGTCTTGATCTGGCACGTAACAATCACACCTATTCAACTTCTTGGATACACCGTCACACTCTGTGCGCTCATCTACTACTCAGTTGGCCGCGAGAAATTGTTAGAAGGTTTGGAGGCTTCCGTCAACTGGGTATCAGGGGTAACCAGAGGAGTGGTTTCTAGAAATGGCGGCTCTATCAAGTCTCGGAAAGGCTTGTGGATCGCCCTGGGGGCTATGGTGGTATGTCTAACCGGCCTAACGCTTGGAATCGGTTACCATACTGGGATTTACCACTCTATAAAAGAAACCCTGTTTTGAAAGCTGGGTCTAGTTGTATCAAAATCGAAACCATTGAAATATCCTTCTCGATGGAAATCATTGTCCTCGAATCGGTAGGATCCAAATGATGCACTAGCCCTCACAAAGATCAACGTGATGATTGTGGGGCAATTTATCGCTGTGTTTCAAATTTCTAGGAAAACCAAAGGAAAGCTCACAAGAGAACTCGGTAAAGCCTTGTTGGATACAAAGCCTCGTTTTGTCATTTAAAACCTAGATACACCCCACCGAGAAGTGATCCAAAATAAGCCCGACATAATATGGTTTCATCTAGAAACCTTGAAAATACTGCCCTCACAGAAACTCCCTTTTCCTCAAACCTTATGGGAGGGTCTTTGCCCTCAGAATTCAAGCCACAATAGGCCAGACAAGCTTCCAGGAAGAGTGTAAATATCTACCTGGCCCATAATCAAGGCCAGATTACCAGAACCTTTCCATACAATCATTCTTCATCGCACTAGTCACACTACAGACCTCTACAATGACACACATCGCAAATCTAAGCCCGGAAATAATCCTTGAGATTATGAAGCTCTTAGACTTACATGACATTTATACTCTCATCAAAACATCTCCTCTATTTCTACGACATTTTGTTGCCCACCGGCACCAGCTTCTCAACTCAACCGGTAACGACCTCAGAGATCGCTTTCTTGGCTACAAATCGCCAATGTGCCTATCAGCACTACGGCTCCGCTACAGACAGCCCATAAATACTCCATCGACAATTTCAGAGGTACGTAAAGCAGAACAGACCAGTCTACGCCTTTATCGTCACCGGAATTCCGGACTTGAGCTCTCCAAAACGACCGCTCTCTCACTCCTATGCAACGCACGCCAGCTCCTTATCGAGTTGGAGTGGATTGTGGAAAGCTATGCGCCGCAAGCTTGGTCCGAAATGCAAGACTCCGAGATACGCAGACCTGAGACACAAGCCCTAGTTCTATCTGATACCGAAAGAAGACGGTTCATCCAGGCTGCGATCCATTTTGAGACCTATTGCCAGATGTTTTTTCTACATGAGAAGATCTTGTTCAAGAGGAACGCATCAGTACGTCAGGCATTCTTTAATGCCTCGTATAAAGATGGCATTAAAGAAGGGGCTTTTTACTCTATCGCTTATTATATCTTTGATCAATATCTATCAATGATAAGTAATACCTCTGCTAATCCTTCGACCATGATCCCTCCGATGTCTTCAATCCAGGATCATTCCAGGCAGAAAAGCCGTTGGGGGAGACAAACAAGACTCGAAATGCCAAACTTTGCACATTTTCTCACAAGTCAGGGGATTGGTCTGATATACAAACTGCAATGTATGGACATATCAGCACAAACAGAATTTATGTTGTAATGGTTCTACAAGGTGTCCCAAAGCCAGGATGATCCATTGGTACTTATGGTCGGCAAAATCGACCTTCATCGCAAGGGGACTGTGGAGACTCGTCCCTGGCAGCCATGGGAAGGCATTGTGGGTGAATCTTTTCGGACTATGGCGCCTTGGCGATGCGGCGCCTTTTTTTGGGATAGGGAGCGTATAGAGAGCCTCGGGCAACATCCCTTTGTATGGTCTACTAATTGAAAACAAGAGACTAGATGAAGATGGGGGCATCAAAGATTCTCAAGTTTCGAGAGGATTCTGCAACCAGCACGTCTTTCACAAGATACAATTATATCACATAGGTGAGAGGACGTATCGAGATACCCACTCTTTTGTCTACCTGGAATTACATATAACATTATCCTCAAGCTTGCCAAGTATAGTTTAGGAAGCTTTATAATTGGGAATATTTAGATAGGAGGTAATTATAGTATTGCCCAATTACTAAAGTAATATTAATCGAAAAGGCCCATAAAAGAAACCATCTTACAAATGCTAGACCTAATTGTATTCCACTCCAATAGGCTACGTTATTATTTCTTGAAAGAAATTGTCTTATTCAAGTCCATTTTTCTTTAGATTGGAGTGTCGCACATCGAAACCACTTTCCAAGATTTAATACTTCAATCGTTGTGATACATGTCGAAAATTTCAAAAGCGTAGTTAGTCATTGTTGACATAGCTTACCTCAACCTGAAATGAAGCGTTCCAGCTATTCTATGAACGACCTAACATGATATAGACAATACTACTTGCTAAGCAGGCTCTTGGGGTCACCTGGCCTAGTCGTCATTATTAGGTATTATCTGCTGACCAAGTGAATTGGAAAAACGGGGAGTTAGTCCATGGGACCCCTCACAATTTCCAGTCAAAACGTCTATGAGTATATGTTGAACCAGCTAAGACCGTCCGCCACGGGTCAATATCTTAGTCCACGATGCCTTCTAGGGCGCCTAGCTGATGAGACCAGGTTGCCATTACTCTCAGGTCTAACTCTTGTATGCAAAGCATATTTATAAATCAGAGAGAGCTCTATTGTAGTTTGTGCAGATTTCTTTCTCGGTTTTCGACAGGAGTTATTGGCGAAGACTTGCACAAAACACGAAACCTATACATACCACCCACCATGGATATGTCTTGGCAAAATCAACAACCGGCCTTTCCCATCTATATTTTTACTACACCTCTGAAGAAGCCAGAGGAAGCTCTTCAAGAAGCCTGTCGATGTCATCGGCCACTGGGCTGTATGCATCAACGGGTTGTGCTATGAGCTGACAAGAGCTTCCGATCCTGAGAAGAAAAAGAACAAACTCAAGGGCAACTATTGGATCAGAACTCTGTCTCTTGGCGACTGGAAGGCTATCAAAGACCTTGAGAAGAGAGGTGTTAGCGAACCAAAACTGATTGGATATACGGCTAGGCCTTGGCCCCATAACATTATCAAGAAGATTGGTATGAACTCGACTAAATTTATGATTTATAGCTTAGCTAACACACCTTATAGCTGATCTCATCTGGCAAACCTCCCTCCAAGAGGAATACGTCTACGAGGAGAATGGCTGCCAGGTTTTCATCCGTCTCCTTAATGACCTAGTCGGAGACGCAGACGTGAAAGCCAAGTTCCCAAAACTCTTCAGCGAAGAAGTCAAAAAAGCCGACATCCCTCGAGACTCGACGTTCCTCATCGAAACCGCTGGTATGGCGACTGTGGCTGCAGGAACGAGTCTGATGTTTGCCCCCGTCGATCCAAGCGGAGCATCTGCCGCAGGCTTCTTTATCGCCGCTTCGATGGCCCTCAGGTCAAGTCAACTACGGCACTCTGGACAGCGAGGATTAATAAGGAGGAGTTTATCAAGAAGGCCCAGGCGGGGTTGAGGCAGAGACTTATTAGTGAGCAGATCCTTGTGTAATAGGAGGACGGTGGGGGACTGATAAGTAGAAATGAGGTTCCGGCGAATAGATACTTTTTCTGACAGTGCGCATGGGTAGTAACAAACCACACATTTGGCCGATCACAAACGTTCGCAGCTAACTATTGAACTCATAATGAATTAGAATATACATTTAAAAGAGCAGCACTAAAACCACTGTTTCTCAAAATATGCCTTGCGATTCAATTATCCAATCAGGGAGGCGCGAGGGGTCGCTGTGTTGGTGGCTGCTGCACGTGAGACCAAAGGTCGATTCTCATTTGCCTTCCCAATTCCCCTCATTCATCCTCAGAACATCATCATTGAGCCACATTATTCCTGAGCCATGAGCTCCTCTCAGCTCTCAAACTCGCAGCTTGTTGGCACGAGACCCGGTGCCACTCTGACTACTACCCAGGCTCAATCCATCAGCGGTGTCAAAGAGCTGGAAAGCACCATCGCCGGGTTCCAGGCCATCTTGTCTGATGATGAGCGCAAACAGCTGCAACAGCTAAAAAAGACATCGCATGATGCTCAATCAATCATAACATTCACAGCTGAGCTCGATAGGCTGGATGGAAAAAGAAGGGGAAGGAGTGTTGCCTCGAGGCTAGCTTCTTTCTTGCAGACGGTCGAGCAATTCATGCCTATTATCGACACCTACATTCAGTCCAATCCTGAGATTGCAGCCCTTATATGGGGCAGCATAAAGTTGACATTCATGGTACGAATCTCTCTGAACAATTGACTGCTCCCTCAATATTCACCATGCTCATTTCAGTTCCTCGCCAATTTTACATCCTACTTTCAATCATTTGTGGAGCTTTTGAATGGATTTGGCACATTGTGCACACGTTTTGCCAATTATCAAGTGGTTTTCAAGGACTCCTCCCGGCTTAGAACCTCTGTTTGCCAATTTCATACAGCTGTCGTTACTTGCTGTCAAAAGATTATCATGACAGCTCGACAATCCCGTGGGTATGCCCTTACTCACCATAGTCGCAAGATTTAGACTGACATTTACGCAGTAACATCGAAGCTTCTGAAAGCCCTCACTAACTCGTTCCAAACCGAACTCCGAGGTTACGTAGAGAACATTAGAACGAAAGCTGAGGACGTGCAAGCTGAGATCAGTTTAACCAAGGCTCAGTACGATCGTGAGGAGCAACAACTTCAGACGAGAGAGCGCCAAGATGCTGCGACCTATCGAAAGCGGCTACTTGCATGGACCTCCAAATCAAACAATGAGATGGAAGAACTACAAACCCAAAGAAGAAGGAACGCTGCAGGTAAGTAAGATCAATGAGTCATGACTAGTGCGTGACTATTAACCAATGCAGAACAAAAACGACTTCGCCTTCTCCGGGACCTTTCGTCTTACGACTTTACTTCAGCACTCAATCGGACTCGGAACAAGCGCCATCTCGGGACGGCAGAGTGGGTGTTCAAACCCCCAGAATACCAGGAATGGGCCGATAGCAATCATTCGTCTGTCCTTCATCTGACGGGCAAGAGTGAGTTGCACAATCTTACCAAGCGTGGCTTGACATGTATCCTTTACTGACGATAACCCCAAGTCGGCTCCGGAAAGACGGTACTAACGTGAGTTCTTGTGCTATAGCCACTAACGTACTACCTTACTCATGGCAATTTCTTTTTTAGGTCCTCAATTGTAGAGAAGCTTTCCCAGGCTAGACCTCCCAATCAGTTCGTTTCGTTCTTCTTTCTTCAATTCAATGACTCAGTGAGCCTTGACACGGAGACGATCATAAGGTCTTGCGTCCAACAAATCTTATCGACAGCATCGATTGGCGACTCGGATCCTGAGAGTATTTCTGAACTGGATGAACGTGTTCAAGAAGCAAAGTCATCGATGTTTTCTCGAGAGCAGCTATTGGAGCTCTACTCTACTGCATCAACACTTGTCAAGGATTGGTTCATTGTAATCGATGGATTAGACGAGTTCAGCAACAGCCAACAGTTGAGTCTCCTGAAATTCTTCAAAGATGTCGAGAGTCTTGGTGAATCTCGTTGCATCAAGATGCTTTTTTCGTCTCGAGAAGCCTGCTCCAAGGTTATCAGCCAGATATTTCCTGCTTCGACCCGACTGGTGACTGGACGACAGGAAACCAGCTCAGATATCGGCGTCTATGTTGAGGACATTATTATCGACAAGGTCTCGACTGGGGAACTGGCTGTGCATGATCCAGGACTGATTGATGAAATTGCCAACACTATTGCTTCTAAAGAGCACGGGATGTAAGCAGAAACCTGACCATCGTCGCAATACATTGGCTAATAAGGTTTATCACACTACAGGTTTCTCTGGGCTTTTTTGACAATTGAGGACTTGTGTTCTGCAAAGAATGATAAAGAGATCCGCCAAGCGCTCCAAGAAGTTCCGACCGAGCTTCCTGGCACTTTCGACCGTGCGCTGAGACGCATCGTACAGCGACGTAACCAAGAGATTGCGAAAAAGATCTTTTCATGGACGAAAGCGGTACTACGACCCTTGACTTTGTTCCAACTACGCGAAGTTCTTTCCATTGAGATTGGGCAACGCACACTAGATCATGATAGCCTCATCAACGGTATAGACAGGCTGCCTAACTGGTGCGAGAGTCTCATATACGTGGAGGAAACGGACAATACCGTCCGTTTCAGTCACATCTCTGTCCAGGAGTATCTTCTGAAAGAGGTTTCAGGCGAATTCCAAAATATCCATATCGAGGCGCAGAAGTGTGATCTGCTCGTGGGTGAAATTTGCATAACTTATGTCAACCTTCACAACTTTCACACTGCGATCGTAGAAAGAGACAATAATGTGCGGGAATCTCCTTCGTCAAGTCTCGACATGGGCCAGCTTGCCGGGAGAACGATACAGTCCGTTATCAAAGGAGAGGTCGGTACTCGCATGGGTCGGTTAGCCCAGCGCATTGTGAAGCCTTCTAGTTCAAGCAAAACCTCGACAAATGATGCATTGGCCACTTTTGCTCCAGCATCTGCGCACTCAAAAAAGAAGGCTGAATATCCTTTTCTGGAATACGCTACAGACCACTGGTTTAAGCATACCACGCATCTTTCATCAAAGCGAAATGCAACTACCTGGGCACTCCTTGACCAGACTATCCGGAAGCCCCCGAACCTTTCTTGGGGCGGAACGCATGATTGGACCATGATGACCGATGTCGTTATGGATACTGACTCTGGTACCAAGATTCGGTATTTGGATGATGTGAAAGAACATTTACGAGCTTTGCCGTCAACATCAAGATGTCGAATCGCAGCAAATGCTTTCTTGTATGCGCATTCCGCTCACAATTGGGGTCTCGCCTGTCGGGCTTTCCAACTATTTGCAGAAGCCCATAGGAACAGCCAGAAAATAGAGGGCTCTACTTTCCAATCGAGTACGCAACCCATTCTTTACATAATAGCGGCAAATAAGAACCACGAAAGTTGTATTAATGAATGTCTAACTTTTGTTGGAAAAGATCTGCATCATGAGGGTTTTGTGGGCGAGACTATCAAGGCCATCGCCCGCGGCATTTCATACATTCCTCCCCTAGTGAATCATGAGACAACAAGACAATGCGAGTGTGCGGAGAAGCCATATCATGTGCTACAACAAGACTTTTGTAGTCTTTTGGCTACGGGATATAAGCGGGAACAAGAACGACATCTACAGGCATTCGCAATTCTAGCCTCTGGTCTTACATTCGACACTCCTATAACATTGAAAAAGTTATGTGAAACCTGTCAGCTTGAGGACCATGTTCTACTCGATGCAATGACTGGTTCTGGTAAATTCTTGTTGGATGTCCTGGTCCGGACATTGATGTCTGACTGGACTGCCTTCGCAAAACAGCAAGTGCCAGGATTCGTCCTAACACTATTGGGGAGCCATATTGCATTATTTTTCGACCTCAAGTTTACAGAGAAGGTTAACTACAAGCTTCGATCAACTCAAGATCAATTGGATGATGGTTTGTTGATCATTAACACTGCCTCAGATTTGGCTGAAGAACGACTTTCAATCTTCTTCCATACTATGGGTCACGTCCCATTAAGCAAAGGCATCATCAGGGAGATATTTCTCATCGACCTGATCCCCAACGCTAGTAATTTGCAGGACTCTACTCTCGATGAGATTACAGAGCTCTTTCTTTTGCAATCTCTGGAGCCAGGACTTGACGAGATTTTTTATGAAATCTTTAGAAGTTCTCTGATGGCATATTGCTGGAACCTCACTGCGGCTCTGTTAGGTGATGGGCCTGGTTTGTCAAAATTTGGATTCTACGATTTGAGCAACATTAAACATGCTCTACGCTGTCAGAAATGCCGGAACCTAAACCGGGTAAATCGCAGTCAAGCAGCCCCGCCTAAAGTTCACTGTGTTTACAATCTTTGCGCAGTCCATATTGACGCGCTAGACATTGTTTCTCTCCCAGCAGCTTTCGCGGTCAAGAACAAGTCTTTATGGTTCATTCTAGGGCAAACTCTGAAATGATTAGCTTTCCTCCCTAGCATCCTGAACCTCCTTCGTCCTCTCAGAATCTTGCTGGTCACCCGTATTCACAGTACCCTCCTTCTCAATCATCATAATTACCGCATTCTCCGCCACAGGCTTATGCGTAACGCCCTTGGGCACAACATACATATCCCCCTCCTTCATAACCACGGGTTCCTCCCCTTGAATCTCCATTGTCAACTTTCCTGATAGCAGGTAGAAGAGCTCTTCTGAGTCCGGATGCGCGTGCCAGATGAATTCGCCGTCGATCTTGGCGACTTTGACGTGGTGGTCGTTAATAGCGGCGACGAGGCGTGGGGACCATTTCTCGGTGAAGGAGGAGAGGACTCCTGGGACTGAAGTTGTTTGTGACATTTTGATTTTTGGGGTGATTGATTAAGATGATTGATTGAGTTGACTGGCTTATTCTGATAGGTTATTGGTGAATATTCGTTATGATGTCTGTTGTGATTGTTGTGAACTTATGACTTTCTGTTCTTATATGAATGAGTCCCATGTAAGATTGTTGGAAGAGGCTCCACTTTGTCACTTTGTCGATGACAAGGCGTAGTCCAAGGGCGCGAGATGATTTGCAGGCTAGTCCGAATTTCACTTTCGCTTACAAAAGGCTCGATGCTATTGGTTTGGTAATGCAAAAAGCGGCTCCCTTTGTTTTACTACTATCTAGGCACAGATTCGCAGTTGACTATTATTCTGTTGTGGTCGATAACATTGTGCGGAGTTCAATAATATCCTGGTCTATTACTCACCGCTTAGCTCCTAGAATTATCCTTGGATTTGCTTCACCTATGGAGAGAAAACACTTGCATTGTTTAAAATGGTTAATCGAAGAAACTTCATGATCCCATACCCTATAGTGGCAGTAAGAACTTCTTATTATTTTGTAAAACACACCGTGACGAATCGTTACTCTGCACACAGTCTGATTTAATAAGAATCTCAATTCGAAGCAGGCTTTAATTTACATAGCGGACTCGACAATTGATGTCAACCTCATCATCGAATCGCGCATGTTGATACCCAACATTGTTCAGTAGACGATATGTTCTGTTCAGGATTGTTCCCGGTGCAAACTCCTACATTAGTTACACATTCTTCATGAATCTTCTGTAGTTACACAAACCGGCCCTAAGGCTGTTTCGTGACATCATGAACCACATCAGACTACCTATGTCCCAGTAAGGGAATTTCCTATTACAGGCAAGTTACACTGGGTGTGCAATGTTCTCATAAATTCCTCTCATCTGAAACATACAAAAAATAATAGACTTTGCAAATTTATTTAATCTTATGTAATCTTGGGATAGATTTATACGTAAAAACTCGAAATACTAGATAACTTTTTTCTATATTAATATATATATGACTGTGTGGCTTGTCGTCGGAAGTTTTGCCCGCATAGATACCTAAGACTTCTACTACGTAGAAAAGTTGGAACAGAATAAAACCTCCTTGTCTAACGGCTGCGTTCCCGGCACGGCTTCAAAAACTCCCGAGCCGAAGTGCAAGCCCCCTCAGCCATTTCGAATGTGAAGTCTTCCTATCTTTTTAGCTGAAATTCAAATGCGCCACGCAATCTGAGAGATAAGGGGCTAAGCGCGTAGTATTCCATAGTCAAGGTGGCGTTAAGTAGCGTTTGCGAAAATAAAGAAAACGCCGCGCTAAGCGAGGCACCAAATTGATAGTTCCCTCCTAGTTCCACGGTTTATATGCACATTGTAATTTCCCCTGAAAAGCCGCGTTTATAGTGTTGTTGATCGCGATGAGATCGGCTTTCTTTTCCTTTCCTCAGTGCTCAGCTGCAAGGAAAAGGGCTATGGTTGTATGACGCATGGTAAACATTTGCCTTGATATATAACGTACCGGTGCCTCCTCGATTTGCATCTCGCCGTTTGCTGTTATCATTGAAGCTCGCTCAACTCGTCACTCGTTCAAACCTCTGATATCTCCAATATCGCCACATTCGTTCAAATGATCATCCCCAACTTCATCGCCGGCGTTATCGCCCTCTCCGTCGGCGTCAACGCTGGGCCCTGCCGTCCCACCACCTCGCCTGCTACCTCCGGCACCACAACCGTGGAGACATCGGCCACAAACGACGAGACCTCTTTCGCCACATCCACCATCCTCAGCACCTCCGGTCTCGATTTCACCACCGACTTGACAACCTTCCTCACCCTGAGTGAAACCGGTACCACCAGCGCCGCCACCTCCACCATGTCTGCTTTTGTCCCTGCGGATCTCTTCCCCTGCGTGGTTGCGGAAGACTGCCTGGTATACACCCGGTTGTGCGATGCTGTCCGCTGCGGCTGCGTCCAGGCACAGTGTGTGCAGATCATTGATACGACCACTGCTACTTCTGAGGCTACTTCCACTACCGAGGACACCACTACCGCTGACGTTGCTACCACAACTGAGGCTGCGCCCTAATTGATATTGCGGAGACTATGGATAAATGGCGATTGTGCCTCTATAATCGAGACCTGCAGATCATTCTGGGTGTGAGAGGGACGGCGGCTGGATTCCCATTCAACAGCCTCTGCTGATCTAGGCAGATGTAAATATTTATTCTCTGTTCATATTAAACAAACTTCATTCTGTTGGCAGCCAGCATAGTGCCGTCTTATAAATGGTATATATTTGTTCTTATGCACTGCATTTTGCAGCTTGGCAGCGCTTGGAGGCCTAATCTGTGTGTCATTTAGCAAACGACCCTTTGAATCTAGTCATGTTAAAGCTTTCTATAACTAGGCGTCTCGCAATAATTTACAAATAAGCTTCCTTTATAGCTTAACATTGCGTATATATCAGTCCATATTACATCCAAGAATCCATCAGCTTACTTCAATCATTAGACATCACTTCTTGCATACCATAGAGCAGGATCAGTAGATGTTGTCACATGATACTTCCGAATGTATACACTTGAAGCTCTTAATAAGGATTAAATACTCTTCATCGCATCTAATTCTCAGAACCACTCTTAGCGTCCGACACAGCATCTGTTTCGTCCTCCGATTCATTATCCTCTGTTTCTGTCTCGCTAGCCTGTTGATGAGAGATGCCCGCTGGACTACCAGTCCGGACACTAGCCCTGCTACCTTCAACAACAGACCCCTCGCTTTGTACGCTTTCAGCATCCGCAGGGACACACTCGATGAACTCATGATCTGGGTTGTGCATAGTTGTGCGCTGCGGATAGCACTTGAAGCACAGATTGAATGCTCTAAAACATGTATCACACAGGTAGCGTTTACCTCGGATAGGCTGATACACCAGGGCTTGTTAGTAAGTGCAATCGAGGAATAAAGGGCAGTGACCTACGATGAAACAACTGCTGCAGGGAATTCGGTTATGGTAATCCCCGGGCCCAGTAACGTGGAATTCAGGATCCCAAGTCTCCTTGACTCCATCGGGCCCGATACGCTCCCTCTCACTTTCAGGCGGCTGCAGATACTCGTAAGAATCCACTCCCAATTGTGTGAGATGAGCTAACTTGAGAGCAGACCATTGACCATCATTACTCTTGGCCCAAATATCGGCACCGAGCCTTATCAGCCTCGTTACCATAGAGAAGTTAGTGCGGTCTAATTTGCAAGCCCACATTAGTGGCGTCCATCCATCTGCGTCTCGCACATTCAGGTCCAGCGCCGGAACATGTCTGAGAAACCACCCAAGGTCGCCCAAAAACCCGAAGGCGGCTGTAATATGCAAGGGAGTTCGCCCGTAATTATCGGGGGCCAGAAAGTCCTCGCTGGATTCTCTAAAGATGCGAAATCTTTGACGGTTTCCCGGGAACAAGGGAATTGCATGATGTATAGCATGACGTCCCATGTTATCGACTAATTTGACGTTGGCACCATGACGGATCAAGTATCTAAATAGTCCGATGTCATGCTTCTCAGAAGCGGCATGGATTGGGTGCAGTTGAGATCCTTCCGCTGGGTTGATATGAATATCAGTTTTCTCAATGAGATAGTGCACCAGCTTGTGTCGATCTCGTCCTTTCAGTGTATCGATCACTGTGTGGAGTAAACTTGGACGATAAGGCTCAGACCCTAGTACATTGGGGTCACATCCGGCGTTGATGAGAAACTTGATCATTCTGATGATATTAGTCGGATCCGCCACTGTGCTGTTGCAAGCCACGTGCAGGAGACTGCCATATATTGGGCTAGACAAGGTTACTCGAGCATTATTCAAGATCAAACGCGTAGCAGCCTTGATGTTGCAATGCTTTACAGCGATGCATAATGGTGTCACGCCATCCGTGTTTGCGCTATTGACTGGAACACCAGCGTCGATGAGGATCTGTATCACTGTCGTCGTTGTGGATGAAGTGATGTTGTGAAGATAGGTGTTTCCAGACTCGTCCTTCCCATCGAGCTTCACTCCCCGAATTAAACAAGCCTGCGTGAATCTGGCCATTTCATCAATCTGGTTGCTCTCAATACCTATGTACGTCAAGTACAGGGTATTGGTGGGCTGATTGTTAAGCTTAGCACCCGATTGAAGTAGAAAGTTGGCGCAATCAAAGTTTCCGTTCAATACAGCGAAATTAAGCGCCGTGTAGCCACTATGAGTGTTGTCCTCCCAGCTGTATGTGGTGTCAAGGTCAGGTCGTGGATCTTCGTGTGCAACAATAGCCCTTAAGGTCTCTATGAACCCCCATCTCGCTGCCATCATCAGCACTGTTCCGTCTTCAGTCTGTTTCTCAACATCTGCACCATGTTTGAGAAATAGGGCCACGAGTGCTGGAGAATCGTAGGCAGCTTGCAAAGGAGTCCACCCGTCAGGCCGTTTGGAATCGAATGTTGCCCCTCGTTCTAGAAGTAACTCGGCCTTTCTTGAGTCTTCACCTCCCTCCAAGGCAACCTCTAGAAGTGCAGAATCAATACCGTCAGGGCAATAGTTTGGCGAGGCTCCATTATCAAGCAAAAGCTTCATAACCTCATAGGAGGCAAAGCGAGCCGCATAAGTCAATGGTGTCTTGCGGACTGCCCCGTCCCAGTCATCGAAAGAATCTGGGATTGCTCCAGCGTTCAGAAATAACTCGGTGAGCTCCTTATCGTCCTTTTCCAAAGCACGAATAAAGGTCATCGACTTGTCCCCATATTTCTTGTTGGGGTCGGCTCCGTTCTCTAGCAGAAGTCGGCAAGTGGCGACCTGGTTAGCAAACTTACAGACAAGATAGAGAAGACTCCCACCCTCTGACTCGGTAAGAGGGTCCGCACCGCTATCTATTAGAATACGAAGACAGCCAGGTCTACCGTAATCGGCGGCGTGTATGATTGGGCGGTTGGTATCACAATCAAGACGGAAATCGCCAGATTCGAAATCCGCCCCCGCGGCAATGAGAAGCTTCAGGGATTCCTTGTCGCCTGATTCAACAGCATTATTCACCACTGTCATTCCGAAATCATCTTTATCTTCCAAGCTAGCACCCATTTCGAGCATGAGCTGTGTCATTTCCGATCGGCACATAATGACTGCCCAAAGGAAGTCACTCACACCATAATTGCCTTTTGATTTGTAATCGGCACCGGCATCTAAGACAAGTTTTGCTACTGCTGGTTGATTCCAGAGCGTGGCCGTATATAGAGCTGACATGTTGGTCTGACTGTTCTTGTAATTTGTATTCAATCCCGATCCGATGAGTGCAGCGACGAGCACTGTGCTGCCGGCAAATGCGGCGCGGGCGTAGAGATCCCCGGGCCACTCGAAGCCATTTTTTGAACTAGCTTTATTGACCAGAAGACTTAAGACTTCTTCATTGTTGGGCAATGTTGACCAGAAGATTGTGTCCTGCAAGCAGCGCTGGTCCTCAGCGCTATCTCCGAGTACCTGCAAGCGACCCATTAGTGAAGAGAGTATGGTTAAGTGGCCATGTCGTGCCGCCTCTGTAATGGCAAGCCAAACGTCCGTACGCAACCGTTTAGGATCTTCCTCGAGATCGAGTTGATGCTCGACTAGGTCTTCCAGGCCGAGTGCAGCCATCAGCGGTATGGAAGAGAAGTAGCTTCTTTGCAAGCGCGTAAACGGATTTGATAGTAAATAAAATGCTTCGGCCCATTTTCTTCTGGTCTGAAGATTGTTGAGAAATTCTAGTGCAAGTGCAAAAGGGCGTTGAGATCCAGCAAGGCGGTAATGCTTTGGCCAGTATTGAATAGCGTATTCCAAGAGGCTCTCTCGAGGAAGGAACAGGGGACGGATTGACGGATCGCTACTGTAGTTTCCAACGGTGAGGTTGCGATACCCTGTCTCTACTTGGCTATGCATGAGGTATTCGAGGCAAATTCGGGCAATCTCTCCATGCGCAACTGATGGCTCCTCGCCATGTAAACCGCCTAAGCATGTGAGCGACGTATCTTGGAAGGGCGCATATGAGAATTTGATATATCGGCCATCCATGACAAGAACACCCGCGAAGTTGGCTTGAATCTCAGCTTCGAACTGCGTGTAGTCGATATCAGCGAGTGTCACGTCTTCCGAAAGTGTCGATAGTGCAAGAGCATGAGCGAGAGCCTCGACTGTCAAGGGTTCTATGGTGAATTTCACCCATTGGTAAACCAGGGCTGCCCAGTCACATTTTCCTCCTGAGAGACTACCGATAAATGTATTGAGAACATTATCTGGCGTGACAGGGCGTAGCTCCTCGATCTTTGCGGCGATTTTATCAATTGAATTTCCTCTTCCAAAATTACTCAGCCAGTTGAGGATCAGGAAGCCAAGTTGAGGTGAAGAGTGGCACTCTCCTATCAATGCCTCCAAAGCGTGCTGGACACTGTTCAAAGCTGGGCGCCGATCAAGTAAGGCTTGAAGAGATGATGCGAGCCCGCGGGCATGAACAGCCATCTCATCGACGGCAAACCCTCTAGGTTCCTCCTGAAAATCCTTTTTACTCAAGATCTGTACATCTGGGACCAAGTCCAAGGCAGAGGTATCGGGGTCGCTGGCTGTGATGACAAGATGATATGTCTGATCGATACGGCCATGTTCATCCAGCACTTCCTTGAGGAACCAAGCCCGTTCATCCTCGACACAGTCGTCAAAACACGCCAAGAATATCACTGTATTCTTTCTGGATCTCACAGTTCTTAGACACTGGAACATCTTGAACAGGACAGGGAGCGACCAGCAGCCATAGTATTCCAGGCTCGCAAACATCCATTCGACAGTACCAACACCGGTATGTTGGCTCCCATCGCGCCATGACATTTCGTTGAGGTAAGTCAACAACATGGAACATATTGTATTGCGTCTTTTGTCCAGTTTATCGAACTCGAAGTAGAACATAGATCCCCCGTAATCCATCGATGCCTCGCCTCTTCTTTTTGAATCAAAGACTTGCCAATATTGGGAAAGCATGGCCGTACGGGTAGAATCCCCAAGTCCACAAATGTACGTGAACTGCGGACCTATAGGATAATTGGAAGACCGGAGTTTGTTTTCTGCAAGAAACGAGGGTATGCTGGAAGAGGGTATGAACTCTCCTGGAGGTATATGCACATTTGCCTGTTTGCGAGGAGGAGCCATGGACAGCAAACCGGCCTGTTCGCTGATAATGCTGCCCCGGACTTTCAAGGCTGCTAGCCATTAGTTCAATTCAGTAAAGTTCGGTATGATATGTACTCACGGTATATACCCTGAGACAACCGATTGGAGAGATTTTCTATCCAGCTGTCATCCTCGCCCACGTCCTCGTCACCTCGGACAAGGTCTGCGTGGGTGATGACACTTTGCCGATACCGGCTATCGGCTTCCATCCAATTACTGGTGGTCAAAGTGTACCAGCTGAAAGGCGACGCCGGCACTGTTGGAAGCTCTGGTATGGCCTCAGAAAGATGTTCGGCAGGGAGAGAATCGAGTTCCATTTCTGTTTCGCCTCCCTTGGCGTATGGGCCTTTTGCGAGGCGAGGGAGATAAAAGACATTGATGTTGACGATTCGCGAGAATAGACTTCCTTCCAGAGCACGAGTATTGACATTGTTTACTTGAAATGCCAGGTCTCTGATCTTTCCTGTGATTCCCTTCCTGACATCTGGCCCTGGTAAGCCCACCAGATTGTGCAACTCGTCTTCAAGAACATCTATTGTTTCCATTCGGTGAGGACAGCCCAAGAAGATCTGTACGAGAAGCGTGTGTTAGCAAAAAGGGATAAAAGATCATGCAGGAGAGGCTTCGCACTATGGCAGTGGAAAATATTGAAATCTTCCTGTGGATTTCCTTCATGACCTCCCAGGTTTCGGCGTCTTCATAATCTTCAGCGAACATAGGCAGTGCAGCCTCAATAAGAACCTGTCAAGTGTTAGCCAGAGTTCATAAGGTACATATAATAGTTCACCTGTTTGACAATTGCACCACCAACATCGTGACAAATCCAAATAATTGGTCGATCAACCTCAAGCTTTGAAAAGTGTCAGTACTGGATGAGTTTCGTGACGCTGTCATATGACTTGCAGTTTCAAGATCACGCCGATTTTCGTTATATAGCCGCAATAAATTTTGCGCCTCGGCCCTCACTCCGCCTGGCCGGAAAATCCGGGCGGACTCATCAGTGGCATATGAGTAGTCTAACTGTCGGATGGAAAGTGTCTTGAATAGATTATCGCGCAGCCACGGCTTTCCACTCTTGGATTTCCAACAGGTGCTGCGATCGTCGCGCAATCCGTGGACAGTGATGACACTTTGAGCATTAGCTGGGTATCGTGCAGTATCGTTCGAACTATGTTTACCTACTCGTAGTCATCATAGTCAGACAAACCCCATGGCCTGTTCAGTCCCAGAGGAGGAGGACCTTCTTCAGTAGTCTCTGGTGATGCTGGACGGAGAAGTTCAAGGAGATCCAAAGTAGACGCATCGGAGAGGTCTGTTGAAAGTGAAGAGCTTGCATCGTCGTCTTGGCTTAGGGCAACAGAGCCACTGGATCTAGAGTTGACTTGTGATCTCGTTTCGCTTGGGTCTTTATCGTCAGTATCCGAGGGAATTGACGTGACAAGAGGAGGTGGATTATTGACAGAGTCAGAGTCTGACATTTTGTCTGAAGGTGCGGCTCATTCAAGCCGCCGTGAGTATTTTCTGGCAAGAACGAGTCGTTGTCTGCTCGGGGGCAAAATAGGCAGGAACTACCACAGGCCAAGGGAAAGAACTCACATTCTCAGATTTCTGGTCGATACTCCAGGGTACTTACAAACCCCTGCAAGATACATCGTGGCTAGCATGAACTGACTCTCCAGCAGAGCCCGACGACTGCAGCATGCACATGCAGGGCTGAGCCGCGTAATATTCCAGTGTCATAACCAATGATCAACAGATCCGAGTTAGGCAGAAGCCGCAACCCGGAGCATTACCCAGGATTGGGGCAGTCTTAGCATTTCTAACAGCGGCTAATCCCGTCTTTGAAGACCCTGGTTTACTGAGTGGATGCATGATTGTGCCCAACTGTTTTCTAGCCTATCTGAGTCTTACATGCGCTGCAGATCTCCATAAATAGCGGAAGTACGGAACGTTAGCGGGTTATAAAGTCATACTTCGTACAAGAGGGCTATCTCAGCCAACCATTTCCGGCCCCCAACTATTATTTCACAGTATCCAGGATCATTTTGGTGAATGTCACATCGCTAAGCTCCTGCAAGTCAATCCTACCAAGCTCCTCAGCATCGTAACCCCTCAGCGTCTTGGTTGCTTCCATGTCCGGCTTCAGCAGTATAGGATCGTCCTCTGGAACCCTTCCAAAGAACGATCGCATTTCCGTCCATTTGTCCGCCGTACACGTGAGTTTCGGCACACAAGTGAAGATCGCTTCGTCTCGCCGTTGAATCCTGATGGCCACCTTGACAGAAGCGGGGACGCCTGTTTTCAAGCTTGGGTTTTCCAAAAGCGTCCATTTAGCAATGCGGTTTGGTGGTATGTTGTTGACAACAAGCTTGCTGCCGCTGATGGTAGTGGCGTGTGAGGTCTCTCGTGTGACTGTTTTCTCGTACTTGAGTGAGGTATTGGCTTGGGCTCCGAAGCTGGTACCAATTCCTCCTTCAGCGCCCGTGGTCATAGACTCTGATTGCTTGCTGGGTAGGAAGCTATAGTGGCCGTCGAATGATACTGCTTCTACCTCGGGGACATCGTTGTTGACGTCGGTAACATCAAATGTGAGTTCGATTGTCGCTCTGGTAATGCGGCGCGCTTTCTTCTGAGGGTCAAATCTGAATTCAAGAACAAGTAAAGTCGCCCAGTAATCACTGTCTGCTGACATGGCACCGTGGATGACGCCGACGAGGCTGCATCTAATATCGACGCCATGGCCTGTCCGCTGAATGACCTCCGAGCGTTGATATGGGGCTTTGGGGTTGTTCTTCGTATGAAGGAGACCGCCTCCTTCTTCGAACATGCCAACGTCAAATACGTCGACATCGTCTTCCAGTTCAAGACCCTCGAGATGTGGATCCGGGGTTGTGTTTATGTCGGTGGTCATAGTGGTTGTATCAACGAGTTTAGACTGTGGTGAATATTAGGTTTGAGGTAACAGTAAGAAATGTCGTAGCTGGAGCTCAGAACTTGGGGTTTAATAAAGAGCCTCATCATATTGTGAATATTGGTACTTCACCGGAGTCCTGCACGATTCTAATCAAAGAGCAAGGGTTCAGCTTAGCCTCGGAGTGCTAAGCAAAAACCTGTGGGGCGGAATCACAACCCCCAAGGCCACCAATTGACAGCTTTGGATCAGCTCTTCATACAGGACGCATGCAGCTGTCCTTCCAGCACATGCATGTATGTCAGACTCGTCACAGCAATGCGCGAATTTACGTGGTGGACCGAGTCGCTGCTTTCCCATACAAATGTTGACATGGTTGTACTCTCAAGCTTTGAAGCGAGACTTGGCCAAATAGGATGATGGCGACTAGCGACAGCCTTACCCCTGTCAGGTCTTCCCGTGATCAACCTACAGAAAGCAGACAACGGTAGTCCCCGAGCACAGAACCGAAACCCAATCCCAAGAACAGCAAATCATCGATCAAGTCTTTGAAAAGGCATTTTTTAACATTCCAGCTATGTCTGATCTAGAAGACAGAAATTCGGGGCGTGAATTTGGAGAGCACGATGATGAAGATTCCGATGAGGAGGAATCTGACGAGGAAGACGACCTTACGAGAAAGACAAAGTTGGCCACCGACCAGATGATGAGAGTTTTTAACGGAAAGGCCACGGAAGAAGACGTCGACAAATTTTTCCATGAGCATCAGCGGGTTCTCACACAAGAAGCCGGTGGGCACGGCACTTTTGTTCACAAAATCATCCAATTGGTATACGACAAAGCCGTCAAAGCCTCGGATGTGAAGCCTCTGATCAAGAAACTGATGGAAAGTTCTCCAGACTTGATCCGGACCAAGAACGACGACAAGCGAAACCCACTCTATCACGCAATTCATCTAAAGAAGTACACCTGGAAGTTGGTTGAGTACATGCTAAAGAGCTGCCCTGATCCCATCGCCATTGCAGATGCACTGGAGGTGCCTTGTGGCGAGGACAGGTCGGCCAAGACCTGTCTAACATTGGCATTCGAGAAGGGCCTCCGGGAGGAAGTACTCAAAAATCTTGTCAGCCATGCTAGTCAGAAAGCGTTAGAACTGAGGGATGGATCGGGCAGAACGCCCTTCCACTACGCGGTGCAGTATGACCAATGCAGTGATGAACGAGTGGATGTTGTCAAGCTTTTCCTGCAGAAGGACGGAGATCTTGTGAAGCAACACAAAGCTTCCGGAACATCCAAGCCCTTAGAGACCTTCCTGGACTTCAAGTACAAGCGAAGAGAGGACAAGACCGAATACTCCGTGTATGGGGAGCACAAAAGAACAGCCAAAGCTCACCACCAACACATGGAAGAAGTGGCCAAATTGGAAAGAGAAGCAAAGCTACGTGATCCTGATCCGGAGCGAGTCGACGCCAAGATCGCAAATCTTACACTTCTTATGAAGGACAAGGAAATATTGAAGGGTGGCGTTGATAAGGGTCCTAAGAGTCGAGCTCCTGAAGATCGGGAGCGCAAAGTTAAGAACCCAGATCGTGAGCGTGATAGCTTAAAGAAGGAGGTGCAATACATGGATGAGAATGAGAAACGTCGACAAGAGTTGAAAGAACAAGAAAGGGCAGTACTCGAACAGAGGGGAAAGGAAGACAAAAGACATCCGAAAGAGAAAGACCCCAAAGAGCGTGTCAGGCAGGCCAAGGACCCAAAAGCCACCATCGGTGGTTCAACATTGATCACTCCCAAAGGTTCGTCCGAGCACGCGCCAAATACGCCCTTGAAAAGAGTCATTACGCAGACCTTTGACGGCAACACTGATGACGAGAGGAAACGGAAGAGCAAAGCGGCATCCTCCAAGAAATCCTCGGCCAAGGGACAAGATTCAAAGGTTCTTGCAAGGAATTCAATAAAGATTCTTACTCTGCTCAAGCTGCATTATATGAGGACCAGAAGCATCAAGATGGCGACTTCTTTCCTACACGGGAAGAAGTTTCATCAAGGTTAGTAATGCACTCCAACACGTCTTCCGCCTTAGGCTAACGCTTCGCCAAAATGTAGAATTTCAGATATTCTTCGACTACAGAGGACTCCCAGCTGAAATCACAGACTCGGTGTTTAACGAGCGATTCGGAGAGGGTCCCAACCACGGCATGCGGTTCGACGAAGTCTTGATGTACGTCAGATTCCCCAACGTGACTGTGATCCGGTCCGGGCGAAAAGCGCCCAAACCTCGTGAACCAGACCGACCCGCCGTTCGGCAGGACATGGAGTTCTTCTTCAAATGGCTCTACGCGAAGGGCGTCCGACGGATCCTGAGAGTCGAAGTGGAAGAAAGCGAAAAAAGGTACCACAGCGACGAGTCGATTCAGACTTCGCTGGAGAAATTCGTGGTTGAGCATCTCGATTGGCAGAAGACGGATCTGGACCCGAGGGTGATTTGTCAACTCGGCAGTAAGGCTCATCATCCTAGTTATGAAGATGGCGAGGGAAGCAGGTCAAATGGGCCGAGAAACCAGCTGAGAGAAGTTACCTTGAAATGGAGTGGTAATAATGCGGTTCTCAGAGGTTGGAGTGAATCTGAGGGTTTGCCTCTGCTGGAGAAACTCGAGACTGTCAATCTGAATATCCCACCAAAATCCGAAGTAAGATTGGCCATCTCAACACCCCAAAACAATATCTCTCTCATCTACAACATACTAAAAATATCGTTTAGATGTTCGACACGACACCATGGATTGCTACAAACCTCGAGGAGTTTCGCGTGCGCCTAAACCGTAACTCTAATATCCACGCCCACAAGGCCATCGATATTGCGAGTTCAAAGCAGCTCGATAACACAGAGCAAACGTCGCAACCAAACGGCAACAAGAAAGCTACAACACCTCGACCGGAGCGCAACATTGATGTCCGACATCGACAGGGCAAGAAAGGAGCAGAAGTTTCCGTATCGGCCACTGGTGCAGCCAAAGCATCAGGACGTTTGAATCTGATGACCGAACACGAGTGGATCAAGTGCATGGAGGGATTTGCGACATGCATGAGCGACCTTTGGACAAAGACGGATAAGGCATCTCGAAGCAAACTCGGACATACCCCAAATGCAACCATCGACGAACGAGCCAAGAATGATCTCGAAAGCCTAGTAAAGCCCGTTGTTGTTGCACTTATTGACGACGGTGTTGATAGCTGTGATCCAGCGTTTGCGGGACGTGCCATCGAGGGTGTCACGTTTGATTATGAAGACCGAGCTGTGGGGCAATACTACATATCAGGAAAGGGACACGGTACCGAAATGGCGAGGATGATATGCAAGGTGTGCCCTATGGCGAGTATCTACTCTATTCGCCTCAAGATGCATAGCAGTCCGGATAAAGGAGTCTCGACAATTGACGCATTTTCAGCGGCGTTGGTAAGTTCTGACTCTGCTCTACTACATGCCTTTGATTATCGATGGAATATGAGCCCAAGTTCTGACTAAGAAATACAAAGGCTATCGAAGCAGCTTTGGAAAAGAACGCAACAATAATATCAATGTCATGGACATTACCGGTCCCTGCTGAAGGAAGCGACGAGAAAAAACTGCTCGACTCAGTGTTAGAAAGGGCCTGCAAACAAAAGGTTCTCATGTTCTGCTCCTCATCCGATCTGATTAGCGATACCGACCACTACCCCTCAGCCTTTAGACGAAATCGCTTCTTCGTCATCGGCGCTGCCCACGACGACGGCAGCGCATATGGTCACGCTGGAAAAGACAACGACTTTATCTTCCCCGGCGTTAATGTCAATACCTCGAGCGGTAGGAACCTGCATCTCTACCTCGCCGACAAGACCTCCGCAACCGAAGAATCAACAGGGTCCAGCATCGCCACTGCTCTGGCGGCCGGTCTAGCAGCCATGATTACCTACTGTTTCAAGGCCAGTGCGCTGTATACCGTGATGACACGGATGCAGCAGGGCAATGAATACATGATCCGACCAGAGCTCGTCAAGCGCGCTGACGTGGAGAGAATTACGGAGCATGATGTGCTGAAGGCGGCTTTTAGCAGGATAGGAAAGGTCGAGAGTGGGCAGTTCATACAGGTCTGGGATAGGTTTGGGCCTGCGAGTAAATTCTTGGAAGATGAGAGTAAAAGTGAAGAGGAGAAGCTTGGACATATCATGAATTTGTGCTCGAATCTCATTGAGCGGTAGGATGATCTGGATTTGGCTCGGTTCATAGTGTATGCACCATGGCGGCTTGATCATTTGAATTATTCAACTTAGTAAAAGTCCTATGATGTACATACTCTTATGATTACTCTAGTAACAACTAGGGGATAACCTGGTATATGAGAAGTTCTATGTAATAGTGTAGGTGTCTACGATCGAAGATCCATCATTTGAATGCAATGAACAATAATGTTTGAGTGTTGAGATTACATCCAGCCAACATTCCCCAGGTACGGAAAAGGATAAACCCGCCTGACTTGAACGCTCCAATTCTGTCAGTCCAAAAGCGAGAAGAACTACTACAAGAAAAATGTAAGCTCAGCCCTATCGGCCTTCTAAAAATGTCCATAACTTGCGAACATTAGGGTCGTGCAGAAGTTGGGCTGTGAGCCGGTGAGAAGTCCAGTGTTACACTATCAAGGCTGTTGATTCGCTCCCAAAAGCCTCCTTGGTCATATCACTCTAATTACTGACTCTCATCATGCAGTCATCCATTCCAGAAATCCAATCGTTTAGCTATATCAGCCCTACTCCGCACCGTTGCATGTGTCCGCGACATTGATAGCATATATTGCGTGGCAACCTTTGGGGGCTGTGATTACACACCACTTTTCCACCTTGATTTGTCGACTTCATCCTCATTGACTATGGTTCAATAAATAACGACGCATATGAATAACTGCACTTTCAGGAGCCTACTAATTTGGCAGCTTTTTATACACGAGGCTGTGCATGTTTTTGCGCTCTCAGCCCCAAAGCCTACCTTAGGTTCGCAACTCCACACCTCGTATGAGCCAATATCACGGTATAGCATGCGCCACTACGGCTTCCGGTATGATGTGATACAAATGCTGTAATTTTAAGAATATGTGCTACCAGTTACCGAGTGATCTCGGACATTTTACTGAGCCAAGAGCTGCTGTGCTCCGCCACGTCAGCCGTTCGCCATGCCTTTCTGGCTTTGCCTTTCATTCCACCCGATTCTTAAAACACTCAGGATTCCTCGGAAAGCCCAGGCCTTCTTTGTCTCAGTTCCTCGGCAATCTCTTCGGATACCATGTCACTCAACACACCAGCAGCGGGCCAATCCGCCCCTGTCAACAACCCCGAGGCTGTTTCGTACACGAACCGCGATCCGTTATACAACTACTCCACAGGTACTGTGGATGTGCCCCAAGGCTACAAGTACCGCCAGTTGCGAATTTTCGGATACACCTTGCCCTGGTATGCCTCACCCAAGGTTCAATTGGGCATGGTGGCCTTTGTGTGTTTCATGTGTCCGGGCATGTTCAACGCCCTCAATGGGATGGGTGCCGGGGGGAGGACGGATGCAAAACTCGTGAATGACATGGTGAGCATCTAGAATAAGCTTTGGGCGGTGTGTTTACTGATGTTGCAGAACACGGCCTTGTACAGCACTTTTGCCGTTGTCGGCTTCTTTGGTGGTACCGTAGTCAACAGACTTGGGGTGAAGCTCACCTTGGCTTTTGGTGGAATTGGCTATGGCATTTACACTATCAGCATCCTGTTGGAAGTCCACTTCAAAAACGATGTACATGCCTTCAACATCATTGCAGGCGTACTCCTTGGTGTTTGCGCGGCTATGCTATGGACAGCACAAGGAACCATCATGATCTCGTATCCACATGAGCACCAGAAGGGACATTACTTTGCTTGGTTCTGGGGAATTTTCAATATGGGAGCCGTGATTGGAAGTTTGGTGAGTACATCCGTCAACCGATTCCAAGCTTAGTCCTTGAATTCCAGTCCAAAGGTATTTGCCGAGAAAGAAAAGCTCACCATTTATTGCAGATTCCCTTGGGCGACAACATTGACGCCAATTCCAAACGCGACGTGAGCGACGGCACTTACATCGGCTTCACTATCCTAATGTTCTTCGGTGCCGCCTTAGCCCTTCTACTCTGCAACGCAAATGACGTGGTTCGAAAAGACGGATCCTATGTTATTCTGATGAAGAATCCGACATGGCAGAGCGAATTCTGGGGACTTTACGAAACCATCCGATTCGAACCCTTTGTGGTTTTTCTATTTCCAATGTTCTTCTCATCCAATTGGTTCTATGTGTATCAGCAGAACATCGTCAACGGTGCATATTTCTCCACGAGAACCAGAGCCCTCAACAGCCTCCTCTACTGGCTTGCTCAAATCGCCGCTGCTGCCATCTGGGGCTACCTTCTAGACTTGGATCATATTCGTCGGTCCGTGCGAGCCAAAATTGCTCTTGTTGTTCTCTTCGTTTTAACCTTTGTTGTTTGGGGTGGGGGTTATGTGCATCAGAGAACCTACACTCGAGACATGACCGATGCTGAAGGCTTTCACTCCAAGGACTGGAAAGACTCGGGTTACATCGGACCAATGTTTCTCTACCTCTTCTATGGCTTTTACGATGCCGCCTGGCAGGCTACAGTCTACTGGTTTGTCCCCTTTCCATACATCACTGCCTTTCTAACGACTTAAGGTTCATGGGCGCCCTGTCCAACTCAGGTCGTCGTGCGGCTAACTACATCGGCTTCTACAAAGGCATACAATCCGCTGGGGCCGCCATTTCGAACAACCTGGACGCCAGAAAAGTGTCTTTTCATGCACAATTCATAAGCAACTGGGTATTGTTAGCTGCTTCACTCGTCATTGCCGCGCCAGTCATTTTCCTCAAGATCCAGGATCACGTCAATGTGGAACAGGATCTAGAAGGGACGGATGAAACCCTCGCGGATGTTGCGCCGTCGCATGTTCTTATGACCTCGGGTCGTGCTGGGGATGACTTTGAACGTAAGGAATCGCGACACAGAGGCCCAGGGTTTACTGCAGTCTAATTGTCTCGTAGTCGACTTTGACGAGTTTGATACGACAGCGAAGCTTTTGCGACGCTATTGACTAAGTAAACGAATTGTGGAAAGCAGGCATTTCTGTGTATTTGGAATGAAGTGATTGGGTTATTCGTCTATGGTACCATATCGTTGAACATAGCGTAGGTCGAGCGGTAAAGTGAGACATCCTGTGTGGATTTAGAGTAGCATTTTGTCCCAATCATCCATCAAATAGATATGTGACTGCACACCAGTGAATTCTTTTCGTCTGCATTTGACGCATCCCATAATCAAATACTCCGTCTTGTCTTAGTATCTATACTCTTACAGAAATGGAGCGGACCCATATTTTGTCGTTATGCTTACACCCCATGGATGTCTCGCTTTTCGCGCCGCGACAACCCGCGAGAGGTCGATCAATTTCCTGAAGTTATGCTTACAACTTTACGAATCTGAAGGAAATCGGAGCCCGACGACAATACTCCCTGTAAATCTTCCCCATTTCGGTATATTGTTATTAGTAGCATAGACAGAATCGGGATTCGTTGCTTGTTGTAAGCGTCATGTTGCCTGGCCGCGTATGCAGACGTGAGATATAAATACTATCTACAAGTCACTTCAGGTGTACTCCTGCAAGAGTTTCTTCAGTTCGACAGACATCATTACATACCCTTCTTATCATCTAACTCAAAATGAAACTCACAAGCTTGCTCCTCTCCATTCTTCCTTTGACCTCAGCGGCAAAGAGTATTCCCCATCCTCGAGCGGACTACACTCCCGTACCTGTCACATCCACAGAATGCTGTCCTTTCACCTACAAGCAAACATGCACCAAGAACCTCGAGAAAATGTATCATATCCAGCTATTCTACAATCGCAAGGAAGGCGTAACGTCCGAGGAGTTCAACAGTTACTGGGCCAACAACCACGTCAAGACCGCTGGAGACTTCCATTTGCGGATGGGTGTGTATAAGTACTCCCAGGTATATTCCCCCTCGCGATGATCACTGGAGTTTATCTGACATTGATGTCGTAGTATCACTCCACCCCCGAATACCGCGATTTGGTTCGTGTTCCAGGTGCCGCTCAAGTCCTCGAATTCGACGGCGCTGCGGAGTTTTGGGTACAGAACATGGAGACGTTTCAGACTATGGGTATGGATCCGCATTATGTGAATGTTATTCGGCCTGATGAGGCCAACTTCATTGATGCCAAGTCAATGAGATTGATCGTGGGTGTTGATTATATCGTTATTGAGAACCAGAATGCCGTTACGGAACACGGCCGGACATTCAGTTGATCTTTGAGACAACGCCATATATTGATGAACTTCTCCATAGGCTTCACGGTCCCGATTGGAAGAGACCCCCGCTGAAGCCTAACATAGAACTCAATTTTACTCCTTAAGGTTACTGATTTGGCAAGGCTAGCTAATAATTCGCTAATTCATAACCGTATAGACCGATGTAACTATTCAAGCTTGATCTCGAACTTTTCAGATGGTGCAGGGTTGGAGAGAGCCCATTTAATTCCGTTCTCCATCACAGCATCCCATCTCTTGCTCTCAGTCAGTTGATCTCCGAACCGGCGGAACCCATGAGGGAGACCACTGAAGACATGAACATCCGTAGGTACCCTGTGATATATGTCAGTTGATATCATTGGATACTGCAAGCAAAACTCTTACCTTGTCTCAACAAGCTTCATGCCGTAAAGAAGACTCTCATCTCTCAAGGGATCCAAACCAGCGATTCCGAGTACCGTAGGCGGAAGGCCCTTCACCTGCTCATTAGTCGCAAGGCCGATATTCAATTGAACATCTTTAGGATCTGGGTTCTCGACCTTCAGTAAGCTTGAGAACTTCTCTAGTGCTGCCTTGTTGATCATAGGAGCATCTGCATTCTGTACATATGATGAAAGTGATGGGTCCTTCATCTGAGCAAGTACGTGGTCGTAGCACTTGGGATGAACCAATGGAGGAATCATCAAGACTTGGCCAGCAAGCTTAGGTCGTGAGAGCCCATCCGGCGAGATATTTTGCCTCAGCGTCAGAGCAGCTGCGAGCTGAGCACCAGCAGATATACCGCCAATGACCACTTGACTGGGGACTCCCAAAATGTCATCGATGTGGTCGTGCACCCAGTGAAAAGCATCTTCGGTATCCTCCCAGGCTGTGGGGTAGGCGTAGTCGGGCGCGTGTCGGTAGTTCAGATTAACGACGATGACATTGGCTCCTACGGCGATGGCAGTGCAAATGGCATCCTCGCTCGCAATGTTACCAAAAACGTAACCGCCGCCGTGGAGGTGGATGTAAATCGGCAGACGAGCCTTGTCAGTTGCTGAAACAGGCCTGTAAGTTCGTACCTCGAGAGCGAATCCGTCTCTTGCAGTGACGGTGTAGTCTTTCATATGCGCAAGAGGGCCAGTTAGTTTCTGCAACTCACTCTGAGCCAACTGTTCTCTGTACATGTTGGTCAGGCGCTGCATTTCTTTGAGATCTAGCGTGGAAGGGATAGCGGGCCTGCTATCTTTCACGGCAAGCCATTCTTGCGCAACAGCGCCATATTCGGTGAAGTCTGCCATGATTAGGGAGATACGATAAATGACCTGAGTAATGTATTGGGGACGGTAGTTGGATTATGATTAAAGTAAAAGATCAAAGCGTTGATGAAGCCATCGTGGGAACTGCCGAGGATGTCGGCCTTAGATGCTCCGCGGCCCAGGACCCCTCAAGTTCGCCGATGTCGGTATAATTCAAGTACCGAAGTATCCACATCGGAGTCTACTTGTAGCAACGAATTTGGAAACAAGTGAATTACAGCAATCAGAATCCTCAAGGCTCAAGATAACCTTATTAAACAATCAAAGAGGCTGCCTCGAGATCTCTATATCAATACAGCGACTTTTGAGTTTGGCATGTTGATTGAGTAAGTGGTTCTGGTTGACGTCAGAAACAAAACATTGAAGGTGCCTCTTGCGCGCCAATCACGATAGCTTCACAACTCCAATGATCCAGATTCCAATGTCCTACGTCACCGTCATCCCCATATTCCACCAGTCCACCATGCAAAAGGCCCGAGAAACATCATCAACGTTACATAAAACCAAGGTCGATCGTCTCACCAGTGCTACTTCCCCCGCATTTTAGACCAATCTGGAGAAAGATCAACAGGTCATTTCGGATCACGTCGGATAAGATTTAAACTTTTGCTTCGTAGATTTCACCGTATAAATCAAACTCCCCTTTTCCAGAGCGTCCATTGAACCTGCAATCCATCAAAGATTGTGCCAAGACAAATGATGTTTTACTCTTATTCCCGACAGGCGCTTGGAATCGCCATTGGTGTTCTGGCACTCCTCCAAGGCGCTGATGCCGCGACCTGGAAGGACTACAAGCCTCAAAGCCGCACGCCAAGTTCATGTCCTGATTATGTCGATTATTCGCAGAAACCCCATGCTCCGTTATCATCAGGAAAGCTCAAGCTGCCGTTCATGAGACCTAGTGAGAAGTGCAGAACTTTCACGAGTCCCGCCGTCGAAGTATGTTGCGAAGTGACCATTTTACAAAGGTAATCGCTGAAGATGTGCAGAAAGTTATAACCGATATCAAGAAGCGCGTCAAAAACCCTGACCTAGCGCGTCTTTTCGAAAATACCTTTCCGTCCACGCTCGACACGACGGTCAAGTACTTTGATGCGAAAAAGAACCTTGCTTTTATTGTGACTGGCGACATTACTGCTCAATGGCTGCGTGATACAGGCAATCAGTTTGCTCACTTGTACAAGCTGCTGCCTCAAGACAAGAACCTTCAAGCGCTTATCAAGGCCATCATCAACACGGAGGCGAGGTACATCTCTGAATACCCATATTGTGGTATGTTAGATGTGTGAGGTGCTGACATGCCACATACTAAGCTGATGTTTGCAGGTGCTTTTCAGCCGCCACCTGAGAGTGGCTTGAGTCCCTCTGTGAACGTATGTTGTGTCCAGTCAAGGCTTAACATCAATTGATTATCGGTGAATTGAGGTTTGCTGACAGAATTGTTTAGGACTATGCCCAGCTCGTTACCGTCAATCCGTAAGTCCCATCCGACACCCTAGCAAATGCGTCGAGTTACCATGCTAACTTTATCGATTCTAGTCCTGTCAATAATCAGACCGTCTTTGAGTGTAAAGTAATTACACCCTCACAGCCTCGCCAAATCCCTCTCTGACTAGGTCTTAGTACGAACTCGACTCCCTTGCGGGCTTCCTAAAGATCGCCCGCTCCTACTATGACAACACACATGACTCCTCCTTCATCAATGACAACTGTAGGTCAACATGCGCTACAACAATCCGAATCTCGCACTGACTGACAAACCCCACCAGTCAAGGATGCAATGAAGCAAATCCTCCGAGTCATCGACGAACAGTCCCAAAGCACATGGGCTAATGACTGGGACTACATCAGCTACTACAACTGGACAGGACAGGCAGGTTCACTCTCACCACCAGTACCAAACAGCGGAAATGGCGAGCCAAAGCTAGCCAACGGCCTTGTAGCGTGCAGTCACCGCCCTTCTGATGACTTGAGTGTTTTCAACTACATCACCTCCGACAATGCCATGATGTCTGTGGAGCTTGACAACGTAGCCACCGTACTAGGCAAAGTCGGCAACCAGAAGAGTCTCTCTGGCACACTGCGTCGCCACGCGAAGACAATTCGTCAAGCAGTGTGGAACCACACTATTACTTCTAATGGCATTTTCGCATACGAGACTAATGGCTATGGCGGGCAGTACATCATGGACGATGCAAACGTTCCCAGTCTAGTCTCACTCCCCTACCTAGGCTTTCTCAAACAGGACAATCCAACATACAAAAAGACAAAGTCTGCACTTTTCTCACGCGCAAACCCATACTACGCAGTCGGGAAGACCTTCAGTGGTATTGGCGGACCGCACGCCAACGCCACAAACCCATGGCCAATGGCACACGTCTCGGCCATTTATGGCTCAGACAACGATAAGGAAATCACCGAGCGACTGAATATTATTCTGGAGAACACCTCTGGGCTGGGCCTTATCCATGAGAGCGTTAATATCTACAACTCGACTGTTTTCACAAGACCGTGGTTTGCCTGGGCGAATAGCTATTTCGCTGAGATGGTGCTTGACTTGGCAGAGAGGAAACCTGGCTTGATTTTCAAGGACGATAAGCCATATGTTATTGGAAAGTGAGGTGGTACTTATTTGAGACGCGGGGCACTTTTAGTCGTCTTGTAGAGTATCGGTGTCACAATCAGTACGTTGTGGCGCGTTTCAGGAGAACACATATAACCTTATTTCACAATAGTACTGAGTCTGCGCTGTGCTATCTCAAATGGTGATGAACAAACCGCTTGACCAAGTGATCGATAAGACATTTCCCTCTTTCCCCGTCTCAAGGCCATAAAAGCTGCTTCTCCCACTGCTGTCCCGCAGAATCACGCCTGTACTGCAGCCTCTGGTGAAGTCGGTCCTTAGATCCCTGCCAGAACTCTACTGAGTTTGGAAGAACTGCATAGACCTTCCAGTCTGGCAAAACCATATGCGCGTTGCCCTCAAATTCCTGTCGAGCAGACTCCATATTCCTCTCGATTTCATCCACATCCTGCAGCACCTGACTCTGCTTCGACCCCAACGCCGCAATCTTGGACGACGATGGTCGATCTGCAAAGTCCTGCTCACATTCATCATCCGGCAACGCAACCGCCTTTCCCCGAATACGGATCTGTCGCCCTTGGTCAGGCCAGTAAAACGTCAGCGCAGCATTCGGGTTAGCAGCGAGCTGTACGCCCTTGGGGCTATTGCCCTTGATCGCAAAGTGCCATCCGCGTGCATCAACGTTCTTCAGAATGAGAACTCGAGCATCTGGGCAGCCATCCTCGTCGACAGTGGAAATTGTCATTGCGTGCGGTTCTTTGACACCGGCTTCGATGGCTTCTTTCAACCATTTTCGAAATGACTCATCTGGTGTGGAAGGAAAAGTGCTGAAGTCGCATTTTTCCGCCGGTCCTTCGAGGACCTTGAGATTGCGGAGTTCGCTTCGAATGGTGCCGTGTTCGCTCATGTTTATGAGTTGTGTTATCGAGCACGTAAATGAAAGGTGTTGAGTTGGTAAGTGCACTGCCCCAGTGGCACAGGTCTCGAAGTGAGACGTGTTTGACCTTTTGAAAAGATGGATGTTACAGAGTTAGGTTCGTAGCAGGGTCTTTCTTGCAAACGAGGCGTCTTTTGTTGATCTATCTACATTGTAAGAATGACTCACGAGGATTTCTGCCAATCGGATCCAATTCGCCAGTGAAGATATGGGCATTGGATTTATGACACGCTTTGACGGCTAGAGGGGCAGGAGACTATACGGAAATAACACATTTCTCTAACATCGTGGCAAGTCATGATAGACGACTACCCTAAACCTATCAATTGAACAAAATGGTATCAATATCAATAATATTAATAAAGTCATAGGTTACCGTAGTCTAAGCATATTTTCCTGTGTTTTCTATTACCGCCTCTTTTGAAAACGGCATTGCTTGAAAATTATGTATCATTAATACGTAGAGGTGTCACATCTGTTGTGTCGTTGAATCACTGATCCTTCGACGAAGGTATTGTTTCAAGAGCAGTGGGGAAAATGGTGTATTATATCTCTAGCAAAATTTGATCGTTCAGGCTCTATATCCTTTAGACTCCCATAGCCTCTCTATTTAACAGCTCTCTCGTCCCTCAAGCCACATAAGCCTTTACAAACGCGGGCTCAGGTTCATACACGATATCCACTGTCTCCCACGGCTTCACAGTCTTACCCTCCTGATAATCGCCGCCAGCCGGCCTCCACATCTGCCTAAATGTCATAGTTCCCAACTCTTCCTTAACCTTATTCCATTCTTTCCCTGGGTTCTCTTTCGTCGGTTGGATAGTGTTGACATTGACGACAGTGAAACCGTGCCTCTCATAAACAGGCACACCTTGCTCAGTCGCGTCGAGCCAAAGTTCAACGCCCATCTCGTCGGCCTTTTGCTTGCTCCAGTTCATGATCACGTTTGCTACACCTTGGCGACGGTGATCTGGGTGTGTGAAGACAATATTAACGTCTATTGCAGGTCAGTATCAGTACAGTATATAACTGGCGAATAAAACCTCGACTACTACATACAAACCTGGGGTCTGGCACCCATTCTCGCTCGGGGGGCATCAAACTGCTTCAAAGCTTGGGAGATAAACTCCCTTCTTTCCCCTTCAGGCTGCCAATAGGCACATGCATGATCGTCCTCCGTGTCAAATGGATTTGTTGGGCAAACCTTCCACAAACAGCCGCCGACAATTTTGCCATCGTCGTTCACCACCTTCCCCCAGTAGCTCGTCGGGTCCTCGTTGTGCCATTTCAATTGTAGTTCTACCGACTCCTTGAGGGAATCTGCATGTGCTGATGGACCTTCACCAAGTAGGGGACAAAACATGCGAAAGAATGGCTGAAGGGGATTTTCGTAAGAAGCCCATTGACACGCTATGAGCTCCTCAAAATCAGTAGCAGTGTCTACTTTTACTAATTTGAGCGTCATTGTTGGTATAGGGGATGGCGTTTGAGAATGGTCGTCGCAAGAGAACAAGTGATTGAATTAAGTTGTATTGAGTGGCTAATGGGGTGCTAAAGCACCCAAGCAATGAGCTAATTAGTGCATGTTGATAACGATAAGGCGGGCAGGGTTGCGCAGGCTGAATGTGTCAATCAGGCCATTGCTTTCCCAACAACATTGGCATGTTTTGCTTTTGTTATGCAAACGATTTATTCACCCTGGAGCAGGTTCAGTTCCAGGAAGACGGAAGCTCGATGCCTCTTTGGGTCGACAATAAAGCCACCTACCCACAGACACTCGCAAGGAATAATCAGAACCGAGGCATCCTCGCAGGAAAACCGATCCATCTCGGCCGTGAAGAGTCGTAAACCCTCCGTGTCCCTACTACATTCCCGGATCCCTCGGCCGGTGCGGAAATAAAAACAGGGATGCATGGGCATGGCAGGGGACAACCAACACCACACCTGCGTCCTTCCATGCAGGAGAAAGGAAACGTAAGAATGCCCACCTGTTTGCAGGAGAAATTAGAATAATCGAACCAGGGGCCACAAGATGACAGTTATACGATTGTAAGCGGAGAAAATCCGCGGCATGCGATGATTAACAAGGAAGGTCGATTTTAACACGCTCCGCCGCCTGGGATCCGATCTTCGTTCGGCTCAGTCCCATTGGGCTTAACGTCGCGTATCAGCGGGACCTTTGGATTTTATTCCAGGGGAGCACGGACTTTTCTGGGTGAATAGAATCAAGCGACTCTTTCACATGGTAACAGAAATGGGAAAAAAGACGCCACCTGTCGTTCTTCAAGGGGCGTGCATCGTTTGAGATTTTTGAATCTAGCCCTAGCGGAAGACGGAAGGTCTGTGGTCTTGAAGATTGGCGCACAGCCCAGCTCTATTCAAAAGATGCTAGATATTGCGATCTACGCTTGCAAAACAACTTGTGTGACGGCTAAACAGCATCAATAGACAAACAAACCCAATGAGAGTGAAATTCACTGGACCAAAAAACTCTGTTTTTCTGATTGCTCACAGTGTGGTCGCTGAGCCACCCGGCTGCATAAATCTCCGGTCAATAACATCTCATCAAACCACAATAGAAGTGCAAATATGGGCCACTAGGGGGGCGCCAATTGAGCAACCCTTGCTGTTTGTCACTCAGCCATTTGCTTTTTTCCACCAAAATGGATGACGGCGCTACAGTCCAAGTACCGCGGTGCGTAATGGTGAAGAAGGAAAGGGACTGCATTCCTTGCAGACCTATTGGTCGTCACGTCTCGTTTCAAGAGAAAAGCGTGCCAAACTGCTTTTGGGGTTCAATACCGTTTACCTTGACCGTTTCCGGGCCGCCATCATCCAACCAAGTTCGAGCCCATCCTTCTTGTGCCTGGTGCCTGTGAGATTGCTTTTCACGCCCATGATGCATGTGTGTACACTTTAACTCACGCTGCAAGCTGTAGGTAGCTGTCCTTAATCTGGGGGCCTCGATGCGCTCCACCGTCAGCTGTGACTTAGCTGAGCTTGTATGGTCATGCCTCAGCTGCATCTTGCCTCGAGGGGACTGGCTCGTTGCTTGCCTCTTATATCGTTTATGTCCTGTGCGCCGCGGCCGCAAGATCCGTGATCTTTCCTTTTCTATTTTCCGTAAAATCCTCTCGCTCGTTTCTTTCATATCTTACCTGTTACGAAGAGAATGCCAGTATCGCCGCGGCGATCGCTGCACCGCCCAATATGAGTTCAAGTCAGAGAATTATCACCGACAACAACAAGTCCCCGCTCGTTCAGGTCCTGTCATTAATGTTTCTTGTCATCGCAATCCTTTCATGTCTTGTAAGAACGGGGACCAAGCTTTTCATGATCAAGACCCTGAGGGTCGACGATGTCCTTATTATTGTCGCAACTGTAAGACATGTTTGCTTGTCTCACACACACGTTAATTTACTTACGCTTGTACACACAGGTCCTTGCAGCTTGTCAGACAGCCACCATCTTCAATGCATGTGAGCATGGACTTGGCCAACATTTCGAAGTTTTGAGTACCAACGACCGCAACGTCTTCTTCAAGGTAACACCACAACAAATACCAACAACTAAACTTGTTTCTAATTTATCACAACAGAGTCAATATGCGACAAACACAATGTTCATCGCCTCCCTCCTCTGCTGCAAATTATCCGGCACAATGAGTCTCCGCATCATGGCCCAGAAGAGCCAAAAATGGATCATCATCATCTGTGAAGCCATCGTCGGCATCTGGGGCGCTACGGCACTCATCGTCAACTTCTTTCAATGCCAACCACCGACACCATGGATGTACGGCGATAACGACAAATGCATCAACCTCAAGGCCTTTTGGACGTGCTACTCCACCGCCAATATCATCACCGACATCATAATCGTTGTCGTCATGGCGGAGAACGTCCTCAAGATCCAGACATCCTGGTCCAAGAAGATCCTCGTCATGAGTGTTTTTGGCAGCAGAATCTTGTAAGTGATTGATCCTCTATTTTTCTTCACCCAGCCGAGAGAAGATTATCGGGGCTAATTAAGCGATTAAGTGTAACGCCCGCGATTGCAGCGCAGATCCATTACTCCAACAAGGCATTCGCTTCCGCCGATCACTCGTTCGCGATCTGGCCCGCCTCCATCGCGATCCAACTAGTGCAATGTCTCGCAATCCTTACCGTATGCCTGCCCAACTTCAAACCCTTCCTCGACAGTCTGGAATCGGGCCAGATCCGCGTTGACGATCTCCGACGGCAGGGTAAGTCGAGCAGCAACGGCTACCCAACAAACAAACCAGGCTATGGAAAGTACAAGACCAAGACGGGCCAGAGCAACAAGTCGCACGCGTTTGTGTCTTCACACGAACACGGGGCTTCAAGAACACAGCGCAGCGAGATTCACGAGATGGAGGATTTTGGCAAAAAGCCAAGACACGACCATGAGGCGAGCTGGGATGGCCAAAGCCGGTCAAGCCATTCAAGTCAGAAGATTCTGATCCATCAGACGTGGCAGGTAGACATAGAGAGCACGCACGACGCGACACCTAGACAAACATGAGGCAGGCCCATTTTTTCTTTTTCTGTCACTATTTTATCATGTTTGTCCCTCTGAGGGGTTACAGCGCGGTTTTGGATTTCATGCAAATGTACGGATACGGAGTAGGAAATATGGTTGACCACTAAATAGACCTGTAACAAAAGCTTTACTGTAAGCACTATAGAAAAAAGCAAAGCATTCTGTTTGACCTAGCACTTGCATAAATCTCTCTGACCAACCAACCGCGGTGTCAGACTGGACAGAAAGGGCAAAGAGACAACTAAGCACCGTACTCTGACATACATGGGTAGGGGGTGAGATGGTTACCCTGAGCCTCCAAAGTGAATTCCGCTCGGTAGCAAGCATATGATACATCAACCATCAAGATTACCCTTGACGAATGGAGCAGGTCGTATGATCGGCGTGTGTTGAGAAACGTAACAGCTGTTGGACCCTTGTAGATCCGAGCTACCCAAGATTCTGGAAGGAGGCAAGTAAGCCGAGCCTATTATGATCAAGCCAGATCAAGCTCTCTTTTCTCTTACCGAGCCTCTCTCTTACAGGAACGTATCTATCTCTGCACACCCTCTCTCCCGCTGCCGAGGCCCTATTTGTCGAAGCGCGTGTGTGGCGTCGTTCGTGCCTCTCACCCGCATCTGCAATACCGATTGCTTCGTAAATAGAACTCTAAAACAAACTCACGATGATCACTCTCAACCCAGGAACGGGGTACGCCTGAGACAAATCCTTCAATGCTGAGGTTTCTTTGCCGGGTGTTGCAAACTGACAGACGAGAAAAAGAAAAGCGAGAAGAATGCCGAAGGCTTGTGTCAGAGAAAATTCGACCCCGTCGACCAACAGGTACGCTAGGGTGCTGTAGAAACAGGGACCCTTGCTTCACAACCCCTGCAAGGACGGCGACGGGGGCATCGGGGCATTCTGCCGGATCAGCACCCGGAACTTTAGGGATGCACACATAGCATGTCTCTATAGCAAAGTCCAATTAAGCAGCTGATAACTAAAGCCTGCAAACCATGCTCTTATTCAAAACAGCACTATTTCCGGCCCTCGGTTGGTGGCGCACAAACATCAATCCAACGACCTTACCCCCAGGCGAGACCCGGATATTTGGTCCAGGGGTGAGCATCTGGCATTCCTGTACCTAACCTTACCTTATTCTTCCTTCTTCAGTACCTTTTTAACTTTCTTCCCTCCTCGATTCCCAGCTGTTTCTTTCTTTTCTTATTCCCCTCAGACCCCTTTCCTCTGTGTCTCTGTTTTCACCCGCTGCTTATTCCCGGCTTACCCGCATCATCCACCATGGGCAGCAGCACCAGTCCCAGCTTCGAGATGGGCAACAATGCCACCGTCAAGGCAGCCAACGATGTCAAAGTCTCAACTGCGGCAGAACCAGATTCTGGGAGGAGTTCGACGAATAACTATCATGATAAGGATCAATTGGAGCGTATGGGAAAGAAGCAGGTTCTTCGAGTATGTCACTACTACCTTGGCAAAGCCATATCTTAGGCGATCGCTGCAGATGACTGACAAACTCGCAGCGTAACTTTGGTTTCTTGTCTATTCTTGGCTTCAGCTGCACTATCCTCATCACCTGGGAAGCAGTCTTAGTTCTTTTCGCCCAAGGTCTCAACAACGGTGGCACAGCTGGTGTCATCTACAGTTTCATCGTCGTATGGATTGGTAACTTCAGTGTTTTCGCTACCATGTGCGAGCTGGTCTCTATGGCACCGACGTCCGGAGGACAGTACCACTGGTAAGCCGCACAAACCCACACTTTACGCATCCGCAGCTGACATCTTGTAGGGTGGCCATGATGGCGCCGCGGTCGTGTTCGAAATTCCTCAGCCATCTCACAGGCATGCTCACGGTCGGCGGCTGGCAAGGCTCTGTATCATCCAGTGCTCTTCTCACGGGCAACATGATCTTGGGAATGGCAACATTGAACCACGATGGGTTCCAGCCAGAGCTTTGGCAAGGAACCTTGCTGTTCTGGGCCATCTTCCTCTTTGCTGTCTTCATCAACACCCTCGTCAGTTCAGTGTTGCCCAAGTTTGAGGGATTGATCTTGATCCTTCATATTCTGGGTTTCTTCGCCATCCTTATCCCGCTTGTCACACTTGGACCTCATGCCAGTGCATCAGACGTCTTTACTGTCTTTGTCAACAATGGAGGCTGGTCCAGCCAGGGTGTGTCGTTCATGGTCGGTATGATGGGCAATGCCTTTGCTTTTGTCGGCACCGACGCTGCTTTCCATGTAAGTCCTCCATCTTCAAGCCTCTATGTAAATACCACTAACAACAGCACCAGATGTCCGAAGAAACCATCAACCCCTCCGTCGTCGTCCCCACTTCCATCCTCCTCAGCCTGTGTATCAATGGCTGCTGTGGTTTCGCCATGCTCATCGCCATGGTCTTCTGCATGGGCAACTTCGACGATGCCATGGCTTCGGGCCCCGGCATGCTCGGCTTCCCCTTCATGTACATCTTCGAACAGGCGACCAACTCCAAAGCCGGCGCCACCGTCATGGCAGCCATTATCGTCATCCTCGCCGGTTGCGCCACCGTCGGCATGCTCGCTTCAACGTCTCGCGTCTTCTGGTCTTTCGCCCGTGACCGTGGCCTCCCTGGCTGGCGTACATTGTCTAAGGTCAGCGACCGAACCACTGTCCCTGTCTACGCTGTACTTTGCACCGCCGTCATCTCCATCTTGCTGTCTCTCATCAACATCGGATCCCCCGTGGCATTCCAGAATGTCACATCTCTCTCTATCTCTTGCTTGTACTCCTCATATCTCATCGCCGCCGGCCTTCTCCTGTATCGCCGAACTACCAAGGGCTTCACCCTCCCTGGCTCCGCCGACCTGCCAGCTTTGGCCAACACCACCGGGGCTGAGCTTGTCTGGGGGCCATTCCACATCAAGGGTGCTCTTGGTATCGCCAACAACGTTTTCGCCATGTGCTACCTTGTTGTTGTCGGATTCTTCAGTTTCTTTCCTCCCATGGTGGACCCTTCTGTTGACATGATGAACTACAGCGTTGTGGTCACTGGTGGCCTTGTAATCTTCAGCGTTATTTACTACTTCGTCTGGGCGAGGAAGGAGTACAACGGTCCTATTGTTGAGAACTAAATGGGCGAGTTTGGGAAATAGGCGCAGATTCTTAAAAGTGTACTCAGTTCAAGACACATAAAGGCGGTTGGTGTTTTCAAAAGTATGGACCAGAGTCAAAAATATCTCTTATAAATACCGAGTGCATACCACCACAATAATAATTTCTCATTTGCTTCCTTCTGTTCAGTACTTTCTTCCCTTTGTCGGCCACCAACATCAAGCCATGTGCAGTATTTCTTTCATATTTCATGCCAAGCGCTTCAACCATTCACCTACTCACTGAATCCTTTTCTTGCCATCCTGCTGCCTCAACTGCCACGCGGCAGAGGCATCGTCAGGCGTGTAGCTAGACCGAACAGGCTGAATACCCACAATCCTTCCCACCAAACAAGCTATGAAGAGAACAATATGCGAGACAACCCAGTCAACAATTTTCAGAAGGCTTTGAAGTCTGGCGTCTGAAACTTTGAAGAAATCAGGCGCATTCAAGAACACGGGAATATTATCCAAGCTTCAAAAGATAACAAAGAGGTTCAACGGGATCCAGAAATCAAGAAATGGCCCTTGCAGTCCTGCCGGCAATCGCGAGGCGAAAGAAGAGTCATCACTCAGTATCTTGGGCGCGTTGAGAATGACCCCGTTAAGGTTCCAGAAGAAGATAGACTTGTCGTTGTCATCCGGCTCCGTCCTCTCCACAACAACAACCTCTTCACCATCGGGGCCCGCTCGTTGCCATTCATGCCAAACATAGCGCGCGACCTTGATCTCTGGCTGGTTCCCCTCAGCAGCTCTAATGACCTGCGTAGAATCGCCTAAACGAACCCTTATGGTACCTTGGACAACTTTCAAATACTCGTCATGGGTTTCGTGCCAGTGCAGTCCACTTGACCAGGTTGATGTTGTTGGAAGTGTGATACGTACTTGTCCAGCTGTGGACATGTCATAGATTACTCCGTTTGGTAGAGCACGCTCGATGATTCTGGGAACTTTTTGGTCGTCCATGTTGTCGATGGTGATTGTTCCTGAGATGATGAGGATGTAAGGAGTTTTAAGTCCAATGTTGCAACATGAGACATTACATTTGTCACCTCTCGCTTTGTCAGCTACCTCATGTATTTTGGTCGTCCACCATGTCGTCATCGCATCTTAACTCATACTATAGCCACACTGGATATTATGTACGCCCTAAACGTTAAAGCACTCGTAGAATGAAAATAGAACCTGTACGGAGTGCATTTTAAAATTGAAGTATCCTTAGATCGATTTAAAATTTAATCATAATTACTTAACGTACTACTTGTTAGTTTAAGTGCTAAAACACCTTTTTTACACCGTATTTTCAACAAGTTAATTCGAGAACCTGTCGCAAAGAAGTTTACAATAAATAAAACCTCACAACATAACATTTATTTATTAGCATAAAAATATCTTATTTTTGAATAACAACTACTAATAATAGCCTTAGAACTTTTAGACTTACTAAATAAGAACATTTTAAGAGTCTTTCACCGCGGATATAATCCAGGGTAGGCTAGTTAACTCCAGCCATAGTATCTCTACATAAGGCAAACAACTGTTACCGAAGAATAGGAGTCGCAGATTTGATACAAGGCCTAGCGCTGAGTTCCGAGACTAGTAATTATCTTGCCAAAAGTATATTTTGTGTGATTTGATATTTTCAGCTGCTTCTTATGTCGCACGTATATTGCCATGCCAAGCCAATTGAGCTTGGATCACATGTTCATGTGGCTGTGAAATATACATTGATGAGAAAGTCTGCTGTAACTTATTTCTTCCTTTATAAGCTAAGCAAGAAGTACAAGATCGCGGATTCTACATGCATGCTGGAATGCTAGATCCGCACGGACTAGCAACAGCAAGACAAACACAAATGTTGGCTGGTACTTTAACATCATCATTTCCTTACCAGCCTGCTTTTTAATATTTTAGAACAATTAAGCTTATAGGTCTAATCGAAACCTTATTGAAACCATAGAACTGAATCAAAGTCTCAGTCATTTGAGGTCCCTAATATGGTAAGAAAAGCGAGATGGGTAGCAAGGCGTCTAGGTTAGGAAATCCGCCACAACTGGGCTGAAGTTGGAGTTGGTGAAGTCGCATGCTGCTCTCTACCCTCTATATTCGATTTGGTTAGTCGGTCAGTCGTCAATAGTAGATCGTGTATTTAGGTGTCATTTGAAACTGTTGACGGAGACAAGCCAATGGCTCTGCAACTCCTTAATGGTGGGCGATTGGAGAGAATACGTTGACTTGCCGCTACGCCGCAACTAGCTCGAAAACAGATATCCTCCAAGAGAAGAAACTATTGCGAGCGTGCCGAGCTGAAACTACGCTCACATGGAATCTTCACTGGAAGCGCCTCCTCCAAGGCTGTGATTGACCATAGGTTTTGTTCCGAGTTTCAGCACAAAAGAAACGAGCTAGGCAACGCCGATCAAAAACAAAAAGTGAATCCCCGGTCTTATCCGATATAGAGCATGTGACACAAAAGCCTGTATTAATAACTCTCGGCAGCCGGCTGTCAACCATCCCGCGCACAGCTATTCAGGTGGGCGTCTAAGCCCCATACACTCGACAATCTGCGAGGCCAATCGCAATCACCAAAATAGCCAAGAATTCTCCGAAATGTGGGAGATCGCGTTTCGAAATCGTTGTGAATCAGTTGTGGTGTAACGTAAAACCCCCAGGGGGTCTGAGCGAAACGTGAAACACCACAACGCCCACCAAAATTTCGAAACTGGGCGGGACTTGAGACTCTAAAAACTCTTAGGAGAAATGTGGCGATGCAGATATTGAGACACACAGAAACATCGACCTGAAGCTGATGCCTGTAGATTCTTGGTGTGGCTCAAAGCGGTTGATCTTGAGATGTTTGGAACATTGAAGCGAGGAATTATTTGAGAAATTGTATTAACGAATTCTGTATATAAGAGTGTTAAGATCGCAAGACTTAGACAATGATTCAACAGCAACAACAAGCCTATCTTCTCATCTACTCTTCTCTTCTTTTCTCCTTGATACCCAAGTAAACCCTGGTGGTTACTCTTCAACAACTTACTTGCCTATAATCTTTATCTTTTCAACAATTTCAAAATGCATTTCCTCGCTATCCTTCCTGCTCTCGTCTCCGTCGTCTCTGCTCATGGAGTCGTCCTCTCTGTCGAGGGTGCCAATGGTGTCTCTATGCCAGGTCTCAGCAGTAAGTTGCCTCATCTCTATCCATAACCAACAAGTCTAATGCTTTCGCAGTCGCCGACGGAACTCCTCGTGATTGCTCAAGCAACCGATGCGGCTCTCAGGCTGACACCTCCATCATCCGCGACCGCGAGATTCGCAGCGGAGAGGCCAGCGCCCTGGGCAGGACCCAGGGTAACGGACCTGTCGATGCATCTGTCATGATCTCCAACTTCCTCGGCGGTGGCAATGGCGCTGCCAATGTCCCTACCAACAACGGCACCGCCGCCGGCGTTGGTGTTGAGGATGACCTCTCCAACATCCCAGCTGGTCGTAACAACAACAACAACAACAACAACAACAAGGAAAAGAAGCGCCAGCTCGGTGGTTTCTTGGGTGGCCTCTTTGGAGGCGGTCGCGGTGGTGCTGGTGGCGGCGACAAGAATGAGAAGGCTGAAGAGACCAGCGTTGCTGCGACAGCAGGAGAGGGTGCCAACTCTGGCTTACCAACCGCCTCAGACAATGGCGAGGTCACGTTGACTTACAGACAGGTAAGTCTTATTCTTAACAACTTATCTGATGCCCGCTAACACCTATCAAAGGTCAACCAAGATGGCGCCGGTCCCATGACAGCTGACATCGACGCAACTTCAGGCGGCACTGACCCCGATGCCTTCCAGACCGCCGAGGTCACTCAGGATGTCCCCGGTCTCGGCATCCAGGGACTCTCTCTCGCTACCAACACAGACTTCCCTCTCAAGGTCAAGATGCCCCAAGGCATGACATGCGAGGGTACTGTAGGCGGTGCCAACAACGTGTGCATCGTCCGCGTGCGCAACGGAGCTGCCGCTGGTCCCTTTGGTGGCTCTGGAGCTTTCACTCAGTCTACTGCTGCCCGCAAGCGCGCTATTGCTTTCCGCCTCAAGAAGCGCATGCAGATTGTCCGTAACTACTAAGAGCTTGACGATATCGATGGAAGGGCACGACAGGGATCTAAGGTAGCGAGATGGTCTTTGATCCTTTTCACTACATCCATTGAATGTTGCCCATCCTTGGACTGAACAGATAGTCTTGGAAGAGAAGGGATGGAAAGGGAACGAAGAATAGAATATCACGGTTATATGAGAATCAATTCAATAGACTAAAACAACTGCATTTTAAACTCAATAGACCTAGTGCTAAATTATGTGAGAAAACAAGGTCAATGAGTAGTATTTTGGCATCGCTCGTCCGGGTTCCTTATACAAAACCCATAACGTCACCGTTCTGCGAAAACTCAAAACCCTCTCCAGTCCAGTTGAAGCCATCCTCGTTTCCTGCCTTGCCACAAGGGATCTCGAAGTACCTTAGTCTTTAATGAAACATCGCTTGAAGTCCAAACGTGGTGTAGGTAAGCATCACTATGTTAATTGAGGGTCGGGCTCCTGCCTAAATTGAGTTGCTAGACAGCACCAAGGTAGTCGCCTGGGTTTGACACCGAGATATCGCTGCCGATATCAGGAAAGATGCCACTGATTTCCACTTCCAGCTATACTTGGACTGGTGCAATATCATTTCGCCCTTCTCTTTTGAGTGGAGGTCGTGATAAGTCCAAATTATCACCGCGTAAAGTGGTGCTCCAGGGCCCTAGGCATCGACCAATGAAGATTTCAGCGTACAATTCATAATATCTAAGATCGCAACTTACAAAATCATTTAGTCTTTGTATGCTGCTATGAGGGTCAGTCAAGCCTTGATGAAAGACCGAGCAACGACCCCTGTAAAAGTGCAAGCGTCAGCAAAGACCGAACGGAATCACGTCATCACCCTTTTCCAGTCCGATCAACATTCAATAACTATTTCGAATTCATCGCGACAAACTTTTTGAGCCTCACTCATACATCGAGATTCGAAATGGAGCTAGAGAAGTTTTATCCACAGCGCTGGAATATTCAGCCATTTAAACATTTGTTCATGCTGGTGATCTTTTTACCCTCCCAATACTGAGTAGACGAGGCATTATATCTAGGTAAGGGTTAATATTGTTTCACAGAATCGTTGGAAGTCTCAAGGTCTTCTATTGACTACCTATTATCCATCTGAGTAATTCAAGCTCCAATTTATGAATAAGACAATACCAAACAGTTTCAGCAACGAGAGGTGGGACCTGCTTCCGGTAGAGACAAACCTTGAGTGAAGGACAGAATGTTTTTAGTATTTTATAGTGGATCAATACTCGTCATATTCTTGAGGCAGTGAATGCCAACATGTGATCAAAGCTGTACCTGCATGAGTGTCCCGTAAACGAGCGCTGATTCGTTCCTCGGTCTTTTCCTCGTTTACCAGTTACCACCCCTCGTATCTCGTTCTTGTTGCGGTGCCACGTTCCTAAGCACAGCCCTTTTAGCTCCCGCATTCTCTCGCGCCATGCGTTTTGGAACCACTAGGGTCTTTTTGACAGTTCCACATACTTTAACTAACCAAAAGCCTCGGTCTTTTAGTACTGATTCTGCGCGTTAAACGAAGACCGAAAATTGGCTGTGGGTGGCTTACGTCGAAGTTGGGGGCTCCGCCACGCCTTACGCACCACTGGTGTAAGGAAGACCGACCGTGTTGTTAGTCCGGCCGTGTTAGACCGTGTGTCTTATTATCAGTGTATGTACATACTGTAGCTTCGCAGATTGTTTATAAACCTGTCCTTTCCCAGTAGACTTTTGGGTTGGGCTCTGCATCCATTGACCGATAACCATGACTGACAAAAAGCACACAATCCCTCGGCGTGCGCTCCCTGGCAGCGAGCTCCCAGCACCAGCACCCCCTTACTCAACCTCCATCAACGAATCTAACGTGGGCGATTCACAGAATCAATCGGTAGTTCCCAATGAAAACGTGGACGCAGAATCCCTTTCCGGTTTATTCGACAGCGCGAATGCAAACAACGTCACAGTTCGAGGTATGCGCCTCTTCCAATTGAACCTCTAGAGATCTTATCTTACTGATCAATGTCACAGACGATGCCCGCATCGAAATCGATTGCGATTCGAAATTGGTACGCGCTCTTACAAGACTTTACAAGAGCCCCGCGCTGCCCGATGAACCAACCCCAGAGTACTCAGAGATCGATCCGAGAAGCCCACGATGGGACACGAAACTAAATATTGTTATCCAAGTAGTCGGCAGCCGAGGAGACGTACAACCCTTCATCGCGCTCGGTAACGAGCTCCAGAGATACGGCCACCGCGTCCGTCTAGCGACACACGACACATTCGAGAATTTCGTAAAAGGCTCAGGTCTCGAATTTTACCCTATTGGCGGCGATCCCGCGGAGCTCATGGCATACATGGTCAAGAACCCAGGTCTCATACCAAGCATGCAGAGCTTAGCTGCTGGAGAGATCCAGAAAAAACGCGTTATGATGGAAGAAATGCTTGAAAAGTTCTGGCACTCATGCATCACACCTGATCCCTCCACGGGCAGTCCGTTTGTCGCCGACGCTATAATAGCCAATCCTCCGAGTTTCGCACATATCCACTGCGCCCAGGCGCTCGGCATTCCTGTGCATCTAATGTTCACTATGCCTTGGAGCAGCACCAGGGCGTTTCCACATCCGCTTGCGAATATGAAGAATGTGGGCAGTGACCCTCGACTGAAAAACTACATGTCATACACAGTGGTCGAGTGGTTGACTTGGCAAGGGTAAGTTGTTCTTGCTTTGAATTTAGGTGGTATGCTGACAATCGGTGGGAAGGCTAGGCGACATCATCAACAAATGGCGGAGATCGATCGACCTAGAAGAAGTGGCCATGTTTGACGCTCCTTTACTAGTACACACGCTGAAAATACCCTTCACGTATTGTTGGTCGCCAGCTTTGGTCCCGAAGCCCACAGATTGGCCTGCACACATAGGTACGGGTGTCCCAGACCAATGCGACCACGAATACCTCTAACAGCGACACAGACGTTTGCGGATTCTTCTTTCGAGACCCTCCCACATACTCTCCACCACAAGATCTGCTCCAGTTCCTCCAAGCCGGTCCTCCTCCCGTTTACATTGGATTTGGCAGCATTGTTCTCGACAATCCTGAGAAAATGGTCAACACAATCCTCGATGCTGTTCACGGCACTGGTGCTCGGGCCATCATCTCTAAAGGCTGGTCTGAACTGGGCGGTGTTGAGCATGAGAATGTCTTTTGGATAGGTGACTGTCCCCACGAGTGGCTTTTCCAACATGTTGCGGCAGTGATTCATCATGGCGGTGCAGGGACCACGGCTTGTGGGTTGAAGAATGGAAGACCAACGACTATTGTTCCTTTCTTTGGCGAGTAAGTTTATTACCTGTGTCTTTCGGTGATTGATGCTAATTGAGTCCTCTAGCCAACCATTCTGGGGTGACATGGTGGCCAAAGCTGGTGCAGGGCCAAGTCCAATTCCACATTCCCAATTGACTGTTGAGAATCTCTCCCAAGCCATTCGCTACTGTCTATCCGAAGAGGCATCGCAGGCAGCCATGGCGATCTCAGTCAAGATGGAACGTGAAGAAGGTGTCAGGGCTGCTGTACAATCATTTCACAGACAGTTACCTTTGGATCTGATGCGGTGTGATTTGGTACCAAACGAGCCAGCCGTATGGCAGTATGACAAGTCGAAGCATCCCATCAATCTTTCCAAGGTTGCGGCAGAGATGCTGCTATCTGAGAAGCTTATTGAGGTTAAACACCTGAAGCTGTACGTAACTCACCTCTCCCATCGGTCCCCATACTTATCAGCTAATAACTGTCAGCTATCAAAGCAAACCTATTGTAACGGAAACCACAAGATGGGATCCCGTGTCGGGTGGCGCTTCAGCAGTCATAGGAATAGCAGCTGATGTGGCAGGTTCGTTTACCGGTATAGTGACCAAACCAGTCGAGGAATATCGGGAGGAACACAAGCGGCGTGTTGGAGAATTGAAAGGACCTCAATCACAGAATGACTTGCATGAAACAAGTTCACTTTCGCCGGACAGTCTTTCGGTCGCCTCAACACAACCGAGAAGCGGAAGTTCTGGTGCGCTAGCTGGTAAAATGGCAGTGGCATCAGCTAAAAGCGTGGGTAAGATAGCCCAAACCGCAACGAAAGGGATGCTGGTCGATTTTCCACTCGCCCTGACAGAGGGCTTACGATCAGTCCCACGGCTATATGGCGAGGAAGTCAGGGACTTTGGCCCAGTCACGGACGCCAAGAGCGGAGTGATAGTAGCAGGCAAAAACTTCGCCTGGGGACTCGCTGAAGGAATATCCGATATTGTGGTGCAACCATACAAGGGTGCTAAGAAGGAGGGTACTTTGGGAGCCGCCAAAGGCCTTGGGAAGGGGGCGGTCCAGCTCGTTACTAAGAGCGGTTCAGGCCTCTATGGCTTGGTTGGATATACGAGTGCGGGGATTGCAAAGAGCTTGAGGACGGCTGTGTATAGTTCAACACGGAAAGGGATTGCGCAGGAGTGTCACAAAGAGGGTGTGTGGCTGTTGGAGAATGGCGCTGGGGCGAAGGTGGATTTGAGAGAAGTTGTTAGCAATTTTGTGAGATTGAAAAGCGGCAAATAGATCAGCTGGAGACTATCAGTAATATGACTGATAATTATCTTTCCAGAGGTACATGAATCTGCCCAGCCCATGCTAAGTTTGAATTTGAACTACTAGCGTGGAGCCCCGCAAGGTGATCTCAATCAACCTCGTTCCTCCTTTGGATACAGGCTTCAACTCGTTCGCACGTCGCTGTTTCTGAACTCCATACATCACACTGACCTAACCGGTTTGTTGAATACTGTGATGACTATTGCCTCGCCAAGGTTCGCATTTTCTACCCCACAATCGTGCTTATTGTCTTATAATGACACTTCATGTCTTTTGTGTCCTGACCCGTCTGCCTTAGTTTATCGGGGGACTGTAGGCTCCAGCATTGAGAACGCCTGAAGTGCAGAAGGCGTATTTTGGGAGGAGGGGTATGTTTCAGGCTTGGATAGTCGTGGTCCAATGTTTCCCGTTGTGTTGGTCAGAATATGCAGCCACGTCTCGCTTCCTCTGCCCTTTATGCGCCCGTGCAACCAACAACTACATTCTGACGAAGCACAGCGCTCGCTCGTTACGCGCCGAATACTCAAAACCACAAATCACAAAATTGGAAAATGCCTTATCACAGCCTTGCCAGCAACGTGAAATGACTCCGCCACCATAATCCATATGGCTCGCTGGATACAAAAGCACGAAAGATGCCTCACTTCTCTCCATAACCAACTAAATGCAGGTATTGTCACATATCCTAGCTCTATGCCCCTTAACTGCCGCCGCCACCTTTTATCTTGTTCAAAGAAAAAAGCATTCATACTTTGCCTATAGCACATCATGTAGCTCATCAACACTCATACCCTGACATTGGAGGAGTTTGTCGGTCCGGACCGACCTCCTTACGTGATTCTTTCACATACTTGGGGCAAGGGAGAGGTCACTTTCCAGGAGTTTCGGAGTGGGTTGGAGTCCTACGAATGGAAGCCAGGAGCACAGAAAATCCTGAAAACCTGTGACTTAGCGAGGAGCAGAGGATTTGACTACGCATGGATAGACACATGCTGCATTGATAAAACCAGCAGCGTTGTATTAGCCGAGGCCATCAATTCTATGTTCGAGTGGTATGCGTCAGCAGCAGAATGCTACGTATATCTGCAGGACCTTGCCCCGGACGCAGACACTCATACCCTCAAAAGCTCAAGATGGTTCTCTCGAGGATGGACACTGCAAGAGCTATTAGCGCCTGACGACCTGACCTTTTTCGACCGAGATTGGCATCAGCGCGGTACTAAGCATGAGCTCGCGGCCTTCATTGAAGAGGCTACCGGAATCAGCCAAGAAATCCTTCGAGACAAGCATCTACTGTCGCAAGTCCCAGTCTCCCATAAAATGTCATGGGCAGCATCTCGTCAAACTACACGACCCGAGGACATCGCATATTGCTTAATCGGTCTTTTCGACGTGAAAATGATTTTTATTTATGGAGAGGGCCGCAAGAATGCATTTTTCAGACTTCAAGAAGAAATTATGCGCCAAACAAATGACATGAGTATTTTTGCATGGCAATCACTTTCAACTGACGAGAAGTACCGCGGAGTTTTGGCTTCTGGGCCTGAAGAGTTCGTCAACGGTTCTCTTTATCAACAGGCGCGCACTGCTCTGGACACACCCGAGTTCACAATGACCAATAAAGGCGTCCGGATACACTCTGGTCTAGAGTACACTGACGACGGAGTCATTATTCTTTGTCTGCATCACTCCGACAGACAAAATAAACATGGCTTACTCGGAATCTACTTGAGAGCATACGGCGGCGGAACCTATGCCAGGATGAGGCCTTACGAGTTGGCAACTATTGCAAAGCCTGTCGAGGGGCGAGTTGAACAGAGATATCTTAGCCCAAGAATCTCCAAAGCCACGGAAAGAAAGCTAGAAACGGCTCTAGAAAACGCTATACTCTTCAACTACTCGCTGGAAACCACGTTGTGGCAATACGAGTCCACCACTCCGACCACCTGGTGGGACCATGACACTCAATTGTACCTAGGGGATGGAAATAAGTCATTCACGGCTTTCCATCTATTTCGAAGTGACTGGCACAATATCGGTACGCCTCTCAAATTCATTGTTGCTTTCGGAATAACTGAGAATAACGTGGCCTGGGCTCAAATCGACGCTGGCAAGTTGTACGACGTTGCTGTCAGTGGCCAGATGCATTTGGTAGAAGCGTATAGACGCTGGAACAATAGCTCTCAAGTTGCCACTTATCACCAGAGCATGCCGCACCTGATATCAAATTGTGCGCACAAGGGCAAGCATGAAGTTTGTAAGCCCTACCTTCAACAAATTATTTTGCCATATCATCTAAAAGTGTCAATCGCAACGGCTCTGATACATGGTTATTCAACCTTCGTTATCAACATGACTGCGGAACCGCCGATTCATTTTGATTTTCATATCTGGGAAGTGTTACTCACATGTCTGGTGGCATTAGTTCTTTTGTTCATATGTTTGAGGTAGGAGGTCAGGACGAGGGCTAATACAATCAATGTATGTCGATAAACCAGAATGTATGAGGGCAGAGACGGTTGGGGGCGAGTACCGAAGGTGGGTGGACAACTGAACCTTACTATACAAGCTATACTCCTTTGATAATCCGACCTGGCCCTTGAACTTTAGTCCCTGGTTATTATGTCTCCGTTTCACTTCTGTATTCCACGCTATTAAGATGCACCAAACCTTGGCAGCTGATGAGTAACATCAAGTGGCAGCTAGACTGGTAGGCTGCATGGATATGAATGTATTAATGTTGAGGTCATATATTTCCGACGGACAGTCGCCACAGTTGTTATCATTTAGATACTGTTTAAAGTACACAAGACGATTATATCTCCCAGTGATCACATACATAGCTTTACCACGCATCAGACCCGTCTAATCTGGCTAATGACAATCTGATCATGACCAGCAACCACAAAGCTAGTTCCATTCACGACTCTTCCGTTGACCTTGATCACGCTCTCTTCCGCAGGAACAAGCAATGGCCGAGGAAGGCGAACAGTACCAAGAGTTCCCTTATCACCAAGCGCATGAACTTTCATGTGCAAGAGATTGGACACAAACTTCCATTCCACCTCAAGCGTGCCTTGCTCAGTGGGAACGCGACCTTTTGCCCAGCCAAGACCAAGAGTCATGGGCTCAACTTTCCACTCTGCGAAACCGGGCTTGACAGGCTTGACGCCAAGTACGTGCTTGCTCAGCTCTGCAGTGGGTCCAGCAGCCCATCCGTGACACAAGGAAGTTGTGATGCCAAGTCCAGGTGTTCCATCAGGATCCAAGGTCTCCCAGAAACAATTGGTGTAGTTGGTGTGTTTATGGTCTGCCATGGGCGCCCAAAGAGTCTTGAGGAGCAGCCTGGCCGCATGGTCATCCCTGGATTCAAAGGCTGCGCGGAGGTGGTAAGCTGAGGAGAAAGGACTGATCTTCTGAGCAAAGCCAGCTTCGATTGTTCCGTTGCTGAAAGCGAGCGGTCCAGCGGGGAGTTGGAGGTCTTCTTCCATAGTGTTCAGAAGAGACCTAGCGGAAACATTATTGCTCTGAGGAATATCGGCCAAGATAGCGATTGCATTCGCGTCTTGAGAGAATCCGGTAGTGATCTCGTTGCTGAGAACATAAGCACCGAGCGTCTTGTTCCATAACTGGGAGTGGACATCTTTGCGAAGCTTGCTCAGCCGATCTTGGTAGACACCAGTGTCGATCCTTCAGTAGCTGATTTGTTTGTTGCAGGGAGTAGGCATATAGGGCATTGAACTTTGTGCTTGCACCTGTCTGCGGTGGGTCATAGTAATTCCAATCTCCTGCAAACGAAGCATCATCGATGGTAAAGAGACCCTTGACTAGACGCGAATGAGCCCAGTCAAGCATCTTTGCAGCACGAGGTGCCCACTCCTCCGCGAAGGAAACGTTTCCGAGGACTTCGTAGTTAGTGGCAAGGCCGTTCATCAAATTGAACGAGTAGCCGATGAGGCCGGTGATGTTGACATCGAGAGGTTCGGGGAGAGGATCTTGCTGAATTTTGGCGTTGGGAATGAAGAATCCGGCTGTTGTCTGGTAAGATCCAACCAAGTCCAAAGATCCTTCGACGAAGGACTTGCCATATGTGCTCGCAAAGGTTGAAGAGATTGCAATATCTAAATCGCCGGCATAGGCAATTCTATCACGTCGCGAGCCATCGACAATGATGTCAAGGGGGTTACTGCCCATGAAGAAGTCTTTGAGAAAAGACTTGTCTTTCAGGGTGGAAGAGTAAATTTCGTCACCTTCAAGCGTTGCTGCTTTGAGGTTACGGTAGTATGCAGAGTGGCCGAGTGGTGCGCCAAGACCGAAGGAACCAAAGAATTTCGATGTCTGTATGAATTCCAGAACAGTTTGGTTGTTGATAGATATCGCAATCTCTGTCATATTCACCAAGGCATGGACGGATAACCATTTTCCAACTTCGACCTTGGCAGTACTGGGAATCTTACCAGATGCAGAGGTGCTGGAGGAGACCACGCCCGTATCAACATTGACCGAGATGATAATCCCGTCGTTGAGTGTATCAGACAGAACCGAGAAGACAAACTCGCCTGTCACAGGCTTCACCTCGAAGTTGAGTTGGTAAGTGAGCAACTGGGCAGCTGTGGCGCCCCCAAGAGCTTGAGGCACTGCACTTTCGACCAGAGCTCCCTGGTCAGTTACCTGCCAAAAGTCAGGGACGGTATCCTTGGGTATCTCGGTCAACTGCGCTGTCCTCGCACCGGTGTGCCAGATTCGAGTTAAGTCTTCGTCGGAGCATTCGAACGCGCCCGGGAGTTCAGTGAGAGGTGTGATGTGAACTGTTGGCTTGACTCCTATGGACTTGAGTTTAAGCTCACCGGCAGAGGATAGATTCAGCTTCTCGTAGCGAAAGCCACCTTGGATCAGCCGGTTAGTGGTGATGCCTAGCTTGGAAATGTTGTACCGGTTGACACGGTAAGATTCCATGGCTGCTGCAAGGCCGATTGGCCCATCGCTCTTGACATCATATTAGCAAAGTTAAGGTTGAGTTTCTTCGGTTCTTACCATGTAGTCATCAAGCGCGGCTTTAGATTCGGCAAATGTGAGTTCAAACCCAGAGGTATCTCCTGAACTAGAAAAGACTTCGAATGTAGGGTGACCCTCGTAGTTCTGGCCGTAATCAAGAACCACAACATCAGCCTTGACGCCATCCGAGGATAGGGTGATTGTTTCATTTGTTCCATATATAGTCTTTGCCGCTTTCGCATAACTGGACTCGATTGCGGAAAGCCCGAGGCCTGGCTGGAGAAGCAGCGCCGCTAGGCTTAACCGAATCATTGATATGAATGAGTGATGGAACAAAAGTAAATAGAATGGAAGGACTTTCCAATACTTAATCATTACTGAAATGCATCTCGTATATAAGTTCTCTCAGAACTGGCTTCAAGATTGATTGAGTGGGTATAGTTTGGAAGACGCGGCCTCGATACTTGGGCTTGGCGCTATTGAACGAAGCTAAACGAGGTTGAATGAGCATGAACGAACTTGAACGAACTGGCTAGAGGCGCGAAGTGACGAAACATGAGCCAAGGTTTATGCACCGAAATTAGAGGCTCAGCAAGTAACGTTTAATCCCTGTGGTCTAGCAGAACTTTCGAGGCTGTAGTGAGAACGTCATGCTCAAGAGATGGAAATTACATCATGTCAATTAAACTACTAGGTATTTACAAATGACGAAGTCTCCGGCTTCCAGGCACCAGAAGCTACAGAAATAACGGAGTTGAATTAGTATCTAGAAAATCCGGAACTGACCGCCACTTCAGGCTCAATTTCTCATGCCGGTTCAGCAGCGTCCCACGTTTTGCGGGAACCATTCCGTCGGGATTTCATTGCGCGCCTTGCCAGATACCCCAGACCCTGTACCGTTCGCCCCTGAAATTCCTTATCGTCATCATAATTTGAGTGATGCTTCCTCAAATCCCTCCTGTTCGATGCTCGAAACCATTCAGAAATATCGTTGACCTTCCAGGCGAGTAATATGGTAGGGAAGGAGATAACAGCTGAGGCGCCGACTAATTATGTATCAGCATTAAATTCCTTCGGACACTGAGAATAACTCACAGAGGATTGGGAATAGCCACCATCCTGGGTACTTAAGGCTGCCAGACTCGTGTGGGAAGCTTGAGACATCCAAAGCGAACAACGATGATAGAAATGAAAGAGGGAGCTACGTTTGTCCAACAGCTATTAGTAGGGCCTTTGCAAGAAATGTCGATATGACAGTCGTCATTACTCACGAAAACAATTGTAATGACGGTAAATACAAATATGGTATTAGACTGCTTCGCTGTGTCGTTGGCTTGACTGATACTGGCCTGCTTTTGTCGAAGGTCAAGAAGAGTGTTGATCTGTGTTACTGTCAGCTTGGTGCAGCCAATTCTGATCGAAGAAGTCTCACGGAATTGTTAATTGTCTCTACCTCATTCAACATATCGTCTAGATCTTTCCGAACATCTTCCGGTGTGCAAGGCTGATAATACTGAGAAAACTCTTCCGCTGCTCGATCTTTAAATGCCTGTCTCCAGACAAGCTCTTGCTCCTCAACAAGGGACTTCAGCATATGCAGCTCGTCTCGAATGTCACGTATAGTGTCGAGGACCTTGGCTTCAGGAGAGATGCTGTATGGGTCCGATGAAGAGCTCAAGGGGTGTGACGGCATATCCTCAATGAGGTGCTTGCTAGTGGATTCATCCTGCCGTAGGTCTTGTCTTTTTTGCCCGTTCAGTTCTCGTAAGAACGTTTGATAGAGGAAGATTTCCTGGTCGGCCTAATTATGTTAGCTGATTGAAGCACACGGGATCCGTGGCATTTTCAACGTACGGCGTGTCGTAGCGACTCTCGGAAGACTTCTAGTGGTGTTTTGAAAACCCTCCTTGGACTATCTGGCAAGGGCACGAACTTCCTTGCAAAGAAGCCAGTGGCAACACCAAGGATTAAATCCATCATGGAGTGCACAGACGTAGGGTGTTCAAAAGTACCCCTTTTCTCTCCATATATGATGCTATCTAAGACGGTCTGAAGCAAGCTGGCTTTGGAATTCTCATTGCCATCTTCGGCCTCGGTTGAGGCTGTTATGATTGTTTCTGTCGATTTGTCAGCCAATCGTCTTGATGGTATTGAGGGGTTAATCTTAGACCCGTACTCTCATCAACTATCCATATCCAAATCTGGTCAACCTTAAGAATGCTTATCGGGTGGTCTTTTGCGTTGTGATCTGTACGATCTGAGATATTGCTGGTCGTCGTTTGCCTTTTTCTTTCCAGAGTCTTCCATTCTAGGTATTTTGATAGTACTTGATCTTTATCTCTCGAATCTGTGTCAGTCAGGGTCGGGTAATAGTACTGGTCAAGGGTCATCGGGGTGTGGGCAGCTGATCTTGATTTATGATCGGCGGCTGAGCCCCCATAGTCTCTGGCACCACAATCATTGTCTCTCCAAGGTGTGGCACATCTGGTGGGAGGCTCATAATGTCCCAAAACCAGATATGGCATCTATGTTGAATCAGTCAGCACTGTACACTTCTTAGCATAGTCGAACTTACGTAGAGCGCCATGAACGGGCTGTGTCTCTAGGACATTATGGGAGTCTTTGTTCCAGGAAGTATTGCCACCCTTCTAATTGTATGTCAATACCTCATAGCATAATCGAACTATAGGAGGTTATACGTACCACGCACTGCGGCTTCATATACCGCTGCCCTCCACCAGCTGCTAGATCGGTCCAGCTTCGATTGAAGTGCCGCATCAGGGCTTGGTGATCCTTCGCAGAGCGTTTGGACTCACATGACAGTCTAGAGACGAGATCCTTGATGGTAGAGGTCAGAAACCAGGAACACAGACGATGGACAGTCTACTTACTTGCATGAATTGTAGCTATTTGGCCATGGGCTGTTAGCTAATCTTGATCTTGAGTATCAGTACATAGTTCGTGGTCCTTACCTTGGTGACCGGGAGATGTATCCAACGAAGCTGCAGTTGTCTATCAAGGCGACTAAAGGCTCTTGGGCCACCGCCACTAGAGCACAGATGATTGCTAGAAAGCGAGGTATCAAACAGATTCCTAGTAGAGTGGGAGACATCTTTACAAGTTCTGATTCACCTTTTCAAGGCATTCAAATACCAATAGTCCAAATCCGTAGCCTCTTTCATGATCCTTTCAGGCCCAGAATCATAAATGATATCACCTATTGTTGGAGCCGGATCTTGTTTACTCTTGATCGTGCCGTCTGAGTAAATCTCAACAATAGTACCTGGTGACATTATCGCAGGATCATTGATGCCTGTAATCTGCGGCAATTCGAGTAATGGGTCGTCATTTGGATTGGCAATGTTGCCCAGAACTGGCAATGGATGTTGCAGTAATTCGCCTATGATGTTCCGAATCCCGACATCCTCCAAGCACTGTACGAGCGAGCGGGCGTTTTTCGTGGCTTCATCCGATGAGTAACCCTCTTTGGATAGTAACCACCAGACAGCAACTGGCTGGGAGCAGTATACAGCCCAATCGAGTGGCGTAATCAAACGTTCTGCTTTCTGGGGTTCTGTCAGGGTTGGGTTTGTGCACCATTGCTCCAGGAGATGCTTCAGTGTTTTCTCATTCCCGGGCTTTTCGTACTGCGCGAGTGTTTCGAGAATAAAAACTGCGTAACTGGGATAGATTTGCATGAAGGTTGTCTCAAGACTCCCAAACTTTCGAATTTCCTCCCAGAAGATCTCAGTAACGTTGCTATGCTTACGACGGATGGATATAGTGAGTGGCGAAGCCCCTTGACCATCATAGCTCAAGATTGCCTTGACCTTGACTGTTTCGGCAGATTGATGTTTAGCCTGTCTTCCGATTTGCTCCAGCAAGCACGACACAGTTTCACGACTTCCACTAACAGCCGCAAGTTGTAGAGGTGTCACATCACCTGAAGCCTTCTTGGATGCGTCGAGATTGAAACACAACTCGGTGATGAGTTTTGGTTGTGCGCATTGAGCAGCCACGTGAAGCCAATTCGCCCCCTCCCGCTCCCATTTCAGGACTTTTGAGTTGACAAAAACACATTTTTTGGCCAAGTTGATCCGACCATGAGCAATAGCCCAATACATCATCACATCGAGCGATGCCGATAGTCCAGAGAGACTCTCTCCCATCGCTTTCAGTAGATGTTCTTCTACTTCACTATCATGAGGGCCGTTCATCATGAATAGTGCCTGGTCCGTCGGACCTGTTACATCCGCTGGGTACTGAGGATAATACCGCTTAGATGCTAGTATTCGAAGTGTGATATCCGTTTCCCCATGCCTAGCTGCAGCACACAACGGTCTGTGACCATCTCGGTTGCGAACTGCAACATCAGCACCCTTCTTCATGAGAGTCTCAACATGTTCAAGGCGACCTTTCACACAAGCCAGAGCTAAGGCAGTCAGGCCGTGCGGATTGACAGGAGTCATATCAGCTCCTCTGCGAAGGAGGATTTCTACTGGCTCCTCTGATGGACTGCAGCAAGCTTCCATGAGAGGGGTGAGTTGGTTGTCGGTAGTCTTTTGGTTTATGTCTGCGCCAAGATCCAAAAGAATGTTGATCTGTTCAATGTCGCTATCCCGGCAGGCAAGAAAGAAGGCTGAGTAACCAAATATGTCACGTTTGTTGATATTAACACCCAACCCAATCAATAGGTTAAGAACCTTCTTGTGATTCTCGCTAAATGGCTTAGAACCAAGAATCACCGCATGAAAGCCATTGCGGCCGTGCATGTTCAAATGAGACACCGATGCACCTTCATTACGCAGGAAGTTGAAAATATCTGGTTGCGGGTTCCAGCATACCATCAGCAATGGTGTGTTCGAGAAGGCGTCCAAAGCATGTATATCAGCTTTATGGGAAAACAGGAGCTTCACCATTTCGAGTGACTTGTACTGACAAGCATAGTGCAGCGGTGTCTTCTTATCTTCACCCCCGTATGATGTGTCTGCGCCTTTTTCCAGTAACCACTGGACGACGTCGAGCCGGTCGTTTATGACTGCCAAGTGTAGGGCCTGATTGGAGTGCGAGTTTACGTCCGACATCTGGCTCTTTGGACCTTTTTTACAGAGCAGTTTCAGAACCTCTAGTTGGCCATACATGCAAGCAATGTGGAAAGGAGTGCATCCTTCAGCCTGCCGAGCATCTAATCTTGCCCCTGCATTTATAAGGAATGCAGCAGCTTTAACGTGGCCATATCGACAGGCCAAGTGTAGCGCTTTCATTCCTTCGTTGTCGTGCCCGTCGCGTTCTGGATTGAGACCTATGAGTAGGTTGAAGTCGCCGAAATCGACGGCGGCGGCATTTTGCAGCGCTGTCCATCCTTCGGCAGTGCCCGTGTCATCGACAAACGCTTCTATGACCTGAAATAATTTCGGATCCGAGATCGACGTTGCTGCGAGGTTTGAAATGTCGCTTTCTCGAATCGCTGTCCTGAATTTTTGATAGACCTTCTCGCAGTGTTTGACTGGCACGTCCGTAGCTGGAGCGGATGCGGCACAGGAACATTGAGCAAGGTTTGGATCAGTGTCTGCTGGGGGATTATGATTGCTAGTTGTCGTATCGGAGGACTCCATGGTGATGGAAGTCATTGACGAAAGAAAAGGAAATGGAAAAGTTTAATTCTGTGAGATAGGCCAGGAAGAAAACTATAGAGAGGTAAAAAAAAAATGCAGCTGATATTTAATTTGGACCTACGTAGGCTATCCTGGTAGGTCGGCAACGACAAAATATGATGATCGTCGCCATTTTTTTTCAGCTCATGCAACATTCAGGCAGGCCAGGTCAGACTTGCATAGGCGAGCTTTGGCCCACTGGGATACACCGAGTGCATTGGCCCCCTTTGATACCTGGGAAACCTTATCCTCGAAGATATAAAAACTTGACAGACGAATGACAGGTTTGACAGGGGACGATAAGACCAGGCATCGATATTAAAATTTGACCAGTTTTGATTGACTGCCTGGGAAGCATCTTTTGGTAAAATCCTATTTTTTCTTTTCAAATACCTTCATCAATGGCTAAAATAAATTCACCAACAATTTGTATCGATGTATGAATTGCCATATTCTTCCAGTTTTGTCTTTTCCTGGTTAATAGCCTATGACGGTTGGAAGAGTAATCTCTGGGAATTGGTAGATATCACAACTCAAACTCCATCTCTTCGCGGGTTGAGATTTGGTTTATTTGGGTTACTAGCACTCAGCAGAATGGATGGAGTAACTAAAAAGAAAATAAACAGCAAAACTGAAGCTAAAAATTATGTACCGAGATTATAGACTTCGTCAGTAATAGTCTTCCATCCAGATGGTTTATCTGGACTCTTAACGATAAAGGCAAAATAGAGAGGTCCGAATATCTCGACGATCAAGAGTTAATATACCCTACGAATATCCGTTCCTTCACGTCCCCACACTTCTTGTAGGGCTGTAGGGTGGCTTGCCCAGACTGGAATGCTTTCTATGGGAGCTACTCTGTAGTGTAGCTGTGTAACCGTAAAGGCGGGTTTAAAATTGGTGTGGTGAGCTTATCACTGAGCCTGGAATTTCAACTATTTATAGCTGGGGTCTCAGGTTAGGTCTCACACTAGCTCCTCACAACCTAAGGCTTATGGGGGCGCAATCGCCGTAGATGATGACCGCATCGACCACTGAACGTCTTCAACTGTTATCACGACATCAAGTAAATCAAAGCTATAGCTTGCTATTTCAGCGATTCTGAATTTAGATGGCTTCTCGGCACTAACGATAGACGGCCTGCCTTTCAGCGTTTTGTACTTGAATATTGGGTTCGATAAATCGGAGGGAATTTCATAAAATGATCCGAGATGTGTCTTAGTCTTTTTGAAAAGCACGCTTATTAGGGTCTCGATTTCTTTATCGTAGAGTACTTGCTTCATTTCTTCTTATCCGGCGACCGATTCTCGGAGCGACTGTCTTCATTGATGTGGCATATAATTATACCACAGCTTATAAGAAATGGAAAGTTCCCATACGTCCTGCAAGAAAGAGCGCAGATCGAAATTGGAGCAAAACACTCTTAGATCACCAAATGTTATAACCCTGTAGATCAACCACGCTACGGATAGTCACTGGGGCTAATCCATTCGCGAATCGTGTAATCACCCAATGAACTATGGAAACGCGTCTCATTTGGCCCCCAACGCACGATTTCCTATCATTTTTCGACCCCACCTTCACATTGCCACTCATCACAGCCCCCGTTATTGTAGACTAGGCTGAGCAGCAGCGTAAAAGAATAAGATGTAGGCATTCCCCTGAGAAAAGCCCTCAATCAGTTCAGCCCAATCTACTACCAGAGTAAGCTCAGCCTTCACCATGCACAACTCTTATTTCTCCTACAATCTAAGTAGACCGTACCCATACGTATGGTTTACACCGGTCGTTATCGTCGGAGGCTTGATTGCAACTGCGCTCATCGCCTTCCTTAGTGTGGCAACTCAAGGTTACGAGACGATTTCCATGCCAACATCGAACCCCAATACAACCAGCCAGAACCGAAATCCCTTCTCCGACTGGCCATCCTTTTTGACAGCGAACACCAAGTCCGTCTGTTCTGCCGCCACGATCCCGATTAATACTGAGTTCTACACGAACAACACGGCTCTCAAGTACACTGTTACCAAGATATGGCAAGGCGAAGACCCTAGGTCTCCAGACGAATTGCTAGGTTCGCTGCCCTACCTCAGCAACCCGCTTCAGAATTGCTCAGTGAATGGCATAACTATCGAATTTGAAGGCATCGATCGCAGTGCCTCACAGATTGCTGTTCAGCAATGGGGCGCCAAGCTACGAGCATCGGTAGCTTGTCGGGTCACTACGCCTACTGGCACGACAACGATGAACATGACTACAAACTACGACTACAACGGAGTGAGCAACGACGCTGGCTCATCATTTCCGGGTCGAAATGCCACCAAGAAAGCCAGCTTGTGGTGGGGAGAGTCACTGCTGGCGTGGTATTCCATAGCTCTTACCAATGACATACACATCGCCAACGATAAGTTCTCAAAGGGTGATAATGTTCTCCCTATCTACAAAGGACAAGCCTCATTCAGCAAGAGAAAGACCGTTGTGCCGACTGTCGATGACATCAAGTCTCTCGAATTTCTTAGCGTCAGCTGTTTCTTCGTACCGTGGAGTAACAACGGAGTTACCCCCAATGTGTACTACTGCGACCATGCGAAGATGAATAACACGAATTTGATCGAGAAGCTATCCAACGCGGACGATACCGATACACATATGCCGTTGCCGGGTATTTGGCTTTCGGCTAACAACCTAGCCAAGGCCTTTTATTTTACCATCTTGGCTGACCTTGGCCAGACCGATTCGGGGCCAAACATCCTCGAAAATGCTGACTTGTTGGCTTTCTCGACAAAAGGATACGAGGCGATTCGTGACAGGAAGGAGATCTGGGGTGATAATTTGAGAGTGAATAGTACAACTGGCCTCGCTCAGCGTGCTTTCACATCCAAAGACGTATCAAAGGATAATCTTGGTATAGAGACTTCCGTCATCTCGACCACTTTTCTTTGTCAGATACCTCGCCTCAAGAGTACACCCTCACTTGTTGTATCAGTTATTATCAACAGTATGGTTATACTGTCAGGACTGTGGACGCTGTATCGCTTTAGCATCGATGCTTTTGTATCCAGCAGACACCCAGAACTTATGTACTGCACTGGGTGTGCGGCGAGTATACACAAGGAGGCTGAGATTGAGACTGCGTATGCTTCCGAACAAGGGACGGAGATTATGGAGTTGCGAGACAGAGTCAAGGATAACTACACTTCCGTCAGACAAGAGGAGGAGCGTTGACCGCAGCAGTTAGATCTTACAGTTGGATGGAGATTTTGAGGTTTTATGATGTCACGGTCAATGATTAGAGTGGCGTTTTTGAAACACTTGCACGCAGCATTTAGATTGAAGAAGATGATTTATCTTCTGACGGCTATATCAATTTATGTGGTGTCTATGAGATACTAATTTATCAAATGAACCCTCTCCGTCCAAACATTTCTTCGTTATGTCGCATTGATAAAAAGAGTCATCGTGGTTCCCCTAATCCTTCGGTCAATAACCACATAACAATAGCAACAGAGTTATATTAAATAACGAACCAGTACTGTTAACTTTCGGATAAACATAGAGAGTTGCAAATTTAGCAGCCACGGATGCAAGCACCGTTGCAGCATCGGATACCCTGGACACAAGCAGAGCAGCCAACCTGGCGGATAGCAAGCTCAAACTCGTCGCGGCTGACAAGCTTGCCGGGAATCTCGGGCTCGGGGACGGCAGCGCCCATGGCAGCAGAGGCCGAGACGATGGCGAAGACAACAGAGAAGAACTTCATGATGAAAGTGGTATTGGGATGATTGGATGAGGTGATGATGAGGATAGTGATGATAGCTTAAATCAAAGGGATATATGGTACCTTTTATAGACAGAATATTAGATATACATTGGTGGCAACGCGGCAAACTTCCTCGAATCTGATAATCTACCGAAAGGATCAGATAAGTGGCACTTCCCACGGCCCCAGACTGACCCTTGTCTAAGCAACAGCCAAGCTCCAATCGGGTTCGAGGATCATATCAATCAGTGGGGTGATATGTCATATAAGCTCATCTCTGACGGATTCACCTCTCTAGGTCTCACTGCCAAGGCCTCAAGCGATGATATTGGTTAAGCGTGAGCGCTTTACTTCCTTGGACCGATTGGTGCTTTCGGATCCTTCTTTCGGTTGAGTACAGACCGAGGAGCTCTCTTGGAAGGGTGAACGAAAGAAACTGAAAACGTAAAGAGTTTGGATGATATTTTGTATGAGTAGGATACTAAGGCTGAGATAGAAGTATCTTGGACAAGCTTTAGAGTCCTGAACAGTGTCATGGCAATGCCTGCGACAATTAGAGTTGACGGAAAAGCTTCTCCCTGCTTGCCCCGCTGAAGGATGCGGCGCAGAGGTCATAATCCTGGTGGCAACCTAAGCCACGAAGGAATAAGCTTCGGAAAGTCTTGCAGATTGATATCGGTCCCTCGGCTTACAGTACTTTGGTGGTAGGCTGACATTGGCGAGTAGCGAGGTTCCTCCAGTGTCAACATGCGAAAAGTGTGTGGGAATTATTCACCTGCCGAACTAGGATAAGCATCATGTCAGTGGGTATGGTCTTGACTCGGTGCAGGATAAGCTGCAAATAGCAATGTAGGATTCTTTTATGTCATAGTGAAACTACACGCGTTGTAGCTGTATGGTCAAATCGCAAGCAGGGGTTTGATGAAGGGCTGCATTCCCCAGTTTCTGTGCCTCGCCATAAATCATTGGAGCATATTCATCATCTGTTCAGCCTATTTTACCTATCTTAACAATGCAAGTTCGATTGCTAAAGCGAACAATGCCTATTTGTTCCGCGTTTCTTCGTAACCTTAGAGAAATAATTTATATTGTTAGACGCCAGTTCCAATACAGGCCACATGGAGTCTGCACTACTTCTCTTCCAAGAGTTTAGGATGAACCAGAGTCATACATTCACATCATCTAGGCAGAACATATCCCTTCTATTCATGATTGTAAAGTCAAACCGGCCGTGCATGATGACTCTAAAGAACATGCGCCTAGTGCGAAATTGATCCGTTATTCGTTCTAGAACCTGCAAGTGGAAGAAGCCGTACTCGGTTTTATATGCTAACACAATGAGAAAGAACATATGGCCTTTCCACAATGTTCACTGTCTATGAAAGAATATCAAAGAAATACCCAAGATCAGACTTACACTGGTGTCTAGCACAGCAGGTTGGTTAAAGAACATTGAGTTCGTAATCTCCCAGCTCCCCAGCATATAAACACCATTTCCTCCTTACCCGGCTACCACAAACTCTTTCGCCACAGAATCTCCAAACCGAAGCCTTACTCTCTCAAGACATATCACAGATATATCAGCATCAACTTCTCAAACTAACACCCAAAACACAACAGCAGTCATGTGCACCGAAACCCGTACCATCTCTAACTGCGTCGAATGCGGTGACAACATCGGGCAGAAGCGCGATATCAAGATGTGCAGCAAGGGGCGTAAGGACAATGAGTGGGGTGCTTGCGGACATGGCACCGTGGAGCAGCGCATCGTGAAGAAGAAACTCTGCGCAGTGTGTGAGGCTAGGAAGAGGCCTTCGTACTACTAAATGTAGTGTGAACTACACGCGGTCAACTGTTGGTGCTTGTATGATTAGGATGCATGGTGCTGGGTATGGTAAGTCTGTTCTTGGTTAAACGGGCTCTTCTTTTTGTTTGCTGTATTTTTGTTTTTGTTCTTTCATGGGTTGGACTCGGCGAGCTAAGGGCAAGGTAACTAGGAAAATGCTTGGTGAACAAATTCTGCTTTTTGAAATTGAACTCTAAAATTCGATCTATGTGCAACATGTGTCGCAACGTGACAAGTCAAACTTGCTTGCTGAATCTCTATAGCAATCATATCTTTCTATAATTGGTACACTCAAGCCGCCTTCTGCCTTTCCTAGTCAATGCGAGAAGCTCTCTCCTCATCAACAAGCGGCTTGGGCTCTGTGGGCGTCTTCTTCTGCAAAGTGACCCAAACAGCAGATCCAATAATCAGAGCACTGCCAACGAAGCTCGCCAGTGGTGGTGTAGTTCCCCAGACGACGCGCTCGATGATAACGGCGAAGACCATCTGAACGTACTGGCCTCCGTGTTAGTGGTAATCACAAAGACAAGATTGGACAACTTACGATAAGGTTGGTCGCTCTACCCGCCTTTTCTCTTTGTAGACCCTCTGTTAAAAGGAGTTGGAACATAAAGCCTGAAACTCCAATTGAAAGAAGCAGGATCCTAGATAAATCAGCCATCGTGCCACACAGAGAAGAAGAGTTTGGTACATACCATTCGGCACCACTACTAGGGATCTCAAAGTGAAGCTTGGGGTGGATCGTGATAATAACGAAAGAACTGATAGTAGCCAATGTGGCAAAATAGTTGACACTCACGAGAGAATGAGCTCGCTTGCCAATTACACGGATAGTCGAGTATGCCGTCGCTGCTGCAATGGAACCAAAGATGGAACAGAAGATAGCGATGGTACGTTCCTGGGGTGTCGCCTTTACTGGTGGGAGAATACCTCCATTGGAGTGGGCTGGAGATTCGGATACTGGTGATGCTGGTTCGTTATGGGAGAACAGAAATGCTGGGCGGGCAACACAGAGTACACCAGCGAAGGCGATGAAGCCCGCTGTTGCCTCTTTGACTGTGAAAGGTTCCTATCATTAAGTTAGCGGCTACCATCGTTCTCATATAGAGCTTAACTTACGCGGAGGGCAACCCAGGCAATGAAAGCAGTAAGAGTGGGAACAAGAAACGTAATGATTGTTGCATCGCAAACATCAAGATACGATAATGAGTCTGCACAAATGTGTCAGTATTCTTTTCTTCTGCACGGGATGTCAACCGGGTTCTTACAGTATAGGCCAAAAAGACCAGCAGAGCCAGCCATGCCCCTCAAGATCAACAACCCCCGAACTTCACGTGGGCCAAAAGGGAAGTCGGGGACGTTCCCATGCCACATGTAGGAAGAGCAGATAAGAGCGGTGGCCAGCATGCGAACGAAGATGATCTGCAGAGCGTGGAACTTTGTCTCGAACCCAGTTTCCAATAGACGTGTTGTCATGGACATCTGGCTTTGTTAGCGGATGGGTTTGTACTTCCAATTGGGGAGTTCTTACAATAGAAGCGAATAACTGAGCGAGAAGAACGTAGAACAGTCCAATGTTCTTGGAATAGAAATCTTGGAACTTCCCCCATGAGGTACCAGAAGGTGACTCGTTTGTCTCAGTAGGCATATCATTTCCAGCAGGCTCAGCCAAAAGAGGCGCCCGTTCAGACTCTTCATTCTCATTGGCCTGAGAGTATTCCGTTTCGCGAGACATGTTGGCAGCTATTCGATTCTACGGCCAGCGTAGTTTCGTGGAAAGTACAAAAGATACGACCGTTTAGACAATTAAAGCAGCTCTGCCGCACTGAATAGAGCCGTTGAAGAAAATTAAGAGTGTTGATAATTTTTCAACCACTCAAGGTCACGCGGGCCTAAATACTAGGCTTAATTTAGATACAAGCTGGGTCAGTGTGGACCCCGTAACAGGAGATCCATTACTTTCTCCACCAATCGCTGACAAGCATCGTTAGTACTGACAATTTCGGCGCAAGGTTATTTCCTGGTCTTAGCATTCTGTTTGTTACCTGTATAGAATATTATGACTTAGGTCTTCCTTTCTTGAGGTTGTGGTTCTTCCTTGGTTCTCAGGAATTTCTTTTCCGAAATCTCGTGGTTTGATTAAGAGTGTTGGTTTGACTTTCGGGACGATGTTTAGTAGGCAGGGCGAACTTGAAACGGCGTATTTTGAGCTTACACCCGCTTTGACGACGCTTTGGTTGCACAACCGGCGTGGCAAAACACAAAGTGAACAATCAAATTAAGTCCAAGTCGTTAAAGGCTTTTAATATTAGAGCGAATATGCAATTTGACTGATAAGACTGTTATTACCTATATGTATATATATAGTGTAGTGGGGGTGCAACGGCTCTGGGTATTCCACTTCTTGTTACAGCCTTTGCACAGGATTTTATACGACAACCAGATCCATTCTTTCTCGACTGTGCAGTGAAACACTCGCTTGCACCGCTCTCCCTGAAAGAAATTCAAATTAGGCCACAAACACCTCTCCAGAACAAGGATAGGTTACTCTAACCCTTAGGAGATAATCCAAAGCAAAGAAAATCCTGCGAATCCCACCATCATCATCTCGTGGACTCCATCGACTGAGCCAGCATTGTCACTTTGACTCTCTCCGGGAGCAGAAGCAGTGGTACTGGATGTACTCTGCGCCGTAGCCGTGACACCCTGATCATCAGCCGTTGGCTCATCTTGCGCCGTGGTATCCTCGCTGTCAGCCGTGCTGGTAGCTTCAGCAGGAGAGAACGACAAGGCACACTCAGCATCAAGAGCTAGTACGTCTCCGACATCGTTCGTAACCTCCATCTCCGGGCAAGAAAAGGTTCCGTCTTCGCCCTGGATCGTAACAGTGCGTGTACCAGTTTCGGTAGATGTTTCGGTTTCCCAGACTGTCCGTGTGAATGTTGTGTAAGGCGTGCAGGACGCTTGTCTGGCTAACAGGCCGAGCCCTGCGTTTCGGTCTGCTGGGGCAGTCTCAGCGTCCCGACGGAGACGAGCAGCGGCTTCTTCGGTTGATGTAGCTTCAGGTGGCGCATAGTGAAGAACACAGCCGTCGTCAAGCTCAAGGGTGGCACCCTCGTCGTTGGTCGCAGTCATTGGTACACATGTAAATTCGGGAGCGTTTCCAGTATCCGGTTCGATGTCTGTTGTAACCCGCACGGTCTTCATCGACGTGGTTGTTACCGTATCTGTGGACGTAATGCTTCTAGTCGCAGCAGGGCATATCTTGCAGTAGCCATCAGAAGCACAATAGCCATTCGAGCGGCAGCACTCCTTCTCGCAACACGTTGTGCCCTTCAGACACGAGCCGTTCGCACAACACTTTTGAGTTGAAGGGCTGGCGCATGATCCGCTCGAACAACACTCGTCACCCCTCGAACACGCCCAGACAGTTCCAGGTCCGGTGCAGCAGGTCGTTGTTCGAGGGTTGTAGCATTTACTGTTACCGCAGCGCTTCTGGCCGGATGGACAGCACCCACCACCTTCCATGCAGTCATACCCTTTGGGGCAATTTCTTCCAGTGCCTCCACAGCAAACTGAAGTTTCTGGGTCGTAGCAACCAGAAGTACCGCACTTGATTTCCCCGCTGCTGCAGCAGCCTCCATTGACGCAATTTTGTCCCTTGAGACAGGCGTACCCGGAACTGCAGCAGATTTGTGAAGAGGGCTCGTAGCATTTGGATGATCCGCATTGTTTGGAGTTGCCGGGGCAGCAGCCGTTAGAAACGCATGTGTTGCCCTCGGGGCAACATCCAAGACCGCTTGAACATGGATCTATACCGTGTATGAGTGATATGCCAAAGTTTGAACTTTCAGCGAAGAGACATACAATATCCTGTATTAACACATTGGAGTTGCCTTGGGCGTAGGCCGGAAGCTGCGAGTTCATTACTCTCTCCGATCCATTCTGTGAAATTGGCTACAGTGTCTGGGAGTAGAATATCCCTCGCTGCAGCATCACTCAAGGATACCATATCTGGTCCCTTGTTCAGCTGGAAGTCCTCGCCACCAAACGCCACACATTTTGCTACCCAGAGGGCAATCAACAAAGTATGAGACTGCAACATGATTGAAGTGTTGTGACAACTCAGCAATTACAGGGACTGTAAAAATAACTGCGAAATTTAGAGCCCGAATGCGCCACAGGCAACGAACGGCCTGGCACAACAAGAGGAATTTATAATGTCTACGCCAACACACCATTTGTTTACCCCTCTTCTCTAATTCAGCCTTGTGCTGTCATGGTGTCCTGCTGTTCGAGGATATCCCTGGTTCAGAAGCATGCCAAGGAAACTAGACTGTGATTAAAGAGGTTGCAGGCTACTTTTCTCTGCCTTATGAGCGGTGGAAAGGAGACTAAATTATGGTTGGGCGGAGGAAGAAGCTCAGATGAGGGGAATGGCCGGGCTTGCATTAGTGGTTTTACACAACAAATTGGTGGCTTCCAGTCAGTGTGAGAGGCATCACAGTCAGCTCAACACTAGCGGATTTGTTAAGGCGTGCAGAGACACCGTTATCTGCCATTGTTTACTGAGTACTTATTTGATGTTACTCTTGTCCTGGTACCTTTCCAAAATCGCATATAGTAGAGACAACTTAACAAACTGTTTGCTTTTCCTTGGCAGAATGATCGTCTTGCGATCAAGGGCATTGGCTCCTCAGCCGCACCATGCACAGACCCTAAGAGGCAAAGTCATCGACCAGGGGGCAAGAGCTCTTAAGCATCCTTTGGACTTGGTGCTTACGCCCGATTGCAGTTGTTGCTCGGGATTGCGGTCCGTATCAACAGTCTTTTCGCCAATCGCAGATAAGGTCTTCCAACTCAAAGTCTCTCACGGTGAGTAGCGGGAGTTGCTAACCCTTCGCCAGAGACGTAACGCGATACTCTTTGGTCTGTAGTCGTAGGGCTTGTGAGGGACGCAACTGAGCGATTATTGTTTGTGGGTGGCAACGTTCCTGTATCTGAGGTTGAACTTGGCATCGGACCCTGGTAGTCAACTAACGTGTCATCACTAACAAGTGACATCTCATTTCACATGCAGGTCAATTATGCTAAGCTTCAGCAAGGATCTGAGCTAATTCGCAGTGGATTCCGCATCTGGCTTTCGAGCACATGGATGGTATCGGCAAATGGATGAGGTCAATACGCGATGATAAGAAGATTTGCTGTCGCATGTTTGGTGGAAGATATGTGCGCCGAATACCCATTAGGCTATATATTCATTTTTCTCTATACCTCGTGCTCGGAACCTGAGATTATCTTCGATGGTCGTAAAGCTCTTCATCCGTGTTACATCTCGACCGGACCCTTGGTCGGGATATTGATCCTCCCTCCAAACCTCGCATACAACCATATCATTTAATCCACCGAATCAGATAATCCTAACGTCTTCCTTCTTCAACTTCAACAGGTGCATCCTCTTTAGCCTCCTTCTGCTTAATAGCCCAAGCAAGCTCCTCATCTGCCTGCGCCGCCCTCTTCTCATCCTCAGCGTCGAGCTTTACGTTGCGAACAAGATAGACAAGCACCAAAAGCACACCTGAAACGCACACAGATCCGATGGCCAGGGTTTGCTGAGTCTGACGGTAGCACTCATCGATGGCATTTCTCTCGGCGCTGCCGACTTCATATTCCCGCGCAACCACAATTGATCCAAAGATCTTGCGGCCGTCTTCTTCCCCGAAAAAGGCAACGAGCTTTCGAGGGAGAAGAGAGTTCCAGATGGCACCGCTGATGGTAACGCCGAGGTTGGAGCCGAGTCCGACGGAGGAGAGGTAGACGGCGGTGGCGATGGCGACTTGCTCATATTCCATCACAGCTTGGAGCGAGACTTGTAGCGATACCTGTGCGAAACCACGACCGACTCCGAGGAGTGACTTGGAGGTGATGAAAGCTGGCTCACTGGCGATGTGAGTACCGGAAACGTTGGTCAAATAAATGGGAAGTCCAGAAGCTAGGATGATCAAGACTACTCCAAGCATGATGGTGGGTTTCGTGTTTTTGACAAACTTGAGGGTAACTCCACAGACCAATGCACCGATGTTGTATGCCACGCGCTGGGCATTGTCCACTCGTGTTGCCGCCCCGGGCGAGTAATGGCCTGCGACTTGGAGGAAACTTGAGAGGAACGGTCGGTAAATACTGTCCGACATGGCAATGGTGATAACTGACGCGCAGGCGATGATGACATTGCGCTCGCGGATGGTTCGATAAGGAATAATCGGGTTAGACGCGAATTTGCCATCCCAGACTAGAAAGGCGACGAACGTAAGGACACCAATGATGATGAGCACGATGCTAGAGGGTCTACTCCATCTGTCGGTGTTGTTCCGTCCGGCAATTGTCATTGGGAGTAGGGTCATGGCCAAACCGCCGATGAGGAGTAATGCGCCGATCAGATCAAGCTTTGTAGCGACATGCTTAAACTTGCCGACAGGCCCAGACGAAGCCCCATGCATGAAAGATACTTTCTCGTTGGCTAGTCCAACATGTTTGGCTCGACGGTTCATCCAGATCATGATTCCGATGGTGGGTATAGCTGTTACTGGCAGAACGATTGCCCACATGCCATAACCCCACCTCCAAGACGATGTAGTGAGGATATGCTCGCCAAGGTATGTTCCACCGTATAAAGTCGGAATGGCCGAAAGGGATTCAGGAAGGGTGAAGAGAATACCGCGGTTGACGAGGGAGGTAATGTCGGCGACGAAGATCTGCTGCACGATGTTCCACCATGAATCGCCAAAAGCGTCAAAAATCGTTCCCGCCAGAAAGGTATCGACGTTGCGACACGACGCATACATGGCGTTGCCAATGGCCATTGATACGGCAGCTCCAGCGAATCCTTGCGGTCGGCCAAAATGCTACAAAACAATCCTGTCAGTAAATTTAACGCTCGTGATTGTAGGAATCTTACATTGGCCAGCTTAGCCAAGAGCGGGTAAGACACGATTCGAACGATTCCAGCAATGATGGACCCGGTTGTCAGAAGAGAATGGCCATTGAAGTGGCTAGTCGCGTATGGCTCGTAGACATTCTGCGTGTATACTGTCAAGTTCATGAAGAAGTTCATGAGTAGGAGACTGCAGCTGTTAGCCTAGCCCAAGTTAATAATGGGCATTACAAACCATCCGATGGCGATGCCGAGGGTCTGAGTCGTCCATAGCTTCCGAAGCGCTTCGTTTGCTGCTCGCGGTCTCGTCTCCTCCTCCACTGCGGTCTCATTTTTCGTTGAATCTGCCATCTTGATCCGCTGCAATTTGGAGAACAATCACTACCCAAAAGTCCCTCAAAAAAGATGGGATGCCGCGCTTTATCTGTCAAAACTCTGCCAACGGCACTTATGCCTAAAGCGATGTCCCGCGCACGACTGCTGCATGGTATGACGATGATCATTGCTACGTAAAGTCAAGACGATAGTCAAGAGCTGATTGATAGCTTGTCTTGGCGCTGAACCCTTCGTTGATAACCCTGCGAAAGCATGCATTGAAGAGTGATTTTTATACCGCCAAGGCACTAAATACGTAAGATTGTGTTTGAGTTCGTGGGTTAGTCTCTTTGCGGACTCTCCGCCGCGGACTCGGGGAACTGCTGTTGGCGAGATTGTAGGCGAAGAGATTATCAGTTGTCAAATCTTATCTGATCGTGTCAGCAGTTATAACTTATCCGTACCAATGAAGGAATAATAGCCTCAGCCCCCACATTGTGTCGTATGATAATTTGAGCCGAGCTTAACTTTTTTTTTACGGAGTAAAGACGGACTGTATCCACACGATTAACTTTTCGTGGCTATTATACTAACACTGAAACGCCCAAGAGGCCGTTAGACGTTGCATTGTGCCTGAGCGGAGCCAGTTCCGCGTCCACGTTGTAAAACACTTCACTTGCGCGACGCTGTACTCCGAGGCCGGAATTGGTTTGATAGAATAGGTAGTAGCGTCGCATTGAAGAGTGCAGCGCATAATATTCCAGAAGTATTATTTGATCAATTATAGGGCTGAAGTCATGGCGTCGGCAGCAGCCGGATATAAAGATTCCATTTGTGTCTTGGATGACATCCAGCTGCCTAGTCTCAACATAAGGAAAGAAGTGCAGTAACCATTCCGCAATGCCCTCATAATTTATAACGAATCCCTAATGCAATTTAGATAACCATTCCAGCCACCACAACATCCAACTCAGTACAACACCCTACCCCTTGGCAATTTTCTCAGCTTCCTCCTCCGCCTCATTCACGATATCCTCAGCCTCATCCTTGGAAAAGGTCTCCGTGAACTTGACCCAAGACCCATGAGCAAGCCCCGTCCCAGCTCCTATAAGCAGCCCCAGACCAGCCGTGGGAATCGCCACAACACCAGTCAGCAGCACACCAACACCCATCCCAAGCCCGCTCGCAACACCAGCGCCTATACCCGTCCCCATCGCTCCGCCCTGCAGCCAGCCTTTCTCTAACCGCTCGGCGGTCTTCATGAGCTTGGCAGCTTTCTTGTCGATTTCGCGCGCTTCCTGCCGTATCTTGTCCGCCTCCTCCTCGTCCTCCTCCTCGTCTGCTTGTTCGTGGAGTTTTATGGATTTCTCCTGCAGGCCCTTTGCTTCCTCGACGCGCGTTTGGATTTCCTTCACGATGCGCTCTTTCGTGGCGGACATGTTTTCGCTTGGGGCTTCGACATTGTTGTCGTCGCCCTTGTCCTTGTTTCCGCCCATGAGTTGGCTGGGTATTGCTCCAGCGAATATAGATCCTAGTGCTTGGTTCATGGACACGGGTGATTTTGCGTGTGTTGTGATAGACTAGGAAAGATAAGATTGAATTTCAGATGTGGCTTGAGTGACGGGGATATTTGGCTTGGAAACCTGGTTATTTTATGAAGATGACAGGTGGGGGTGGCGGATGACGTAGTATCGTGATCCACGTGCTGATGCAGGATAAGAGGGCTATGATGCTATAATTCTATCGTCTTGGCCGTCTTTGGGTGTGTAGCTGTAGGGGTGTCACAGCATAAGAAAAGTCGAGTTTTTATTATCGTTACGTGAAACAAGGGCAAATGCCTTGTTTTACGGGTGAGGCATTAGACTTTGTTGCCAGACGTTTAGCGGCATCAGCAACGTTCAGTTGCTCATGACCGGGTTCCGCATACTCGCGAATGATCTTACGGTACAACAAAGATTCCAACCTGCACACAATAGACATTATCTTTTCTATAGCAGGAAATTTAAGCAATGCGATCTTATAGTAGCCCAATTATTCAACCGCACGCCTTTTTAGAAACGAGTGTGGCCTTTAATGTATTATTTCTTTCCTATCAAGCTACCCTACACCAACTTAGAGTTGAATCCTGCTTATCTAAGATGTATCGGTTGTACAAACACCATCCTTGATTGGCCAAGATCAGCAGTCATCCCTTTACAATCTCTCAGCCAAGAATCCTAGCTGCACATAAACCTGTCCTCAGTCTACCACCTCCAATCTCCCACAGGCTGATAGATATCCATTCGCTTTACACTCAATTAACGCGAAGCTCAATCGCAAGATGTCCACTATAGGCCGGGGCCGTCTGGGCTCCACTTCCCCAGACCCAGGCGCGTCATCACACGACCAACACGCTCTTCTTGACCTCGTAGACGGGGAAGAGTCCGATACGCGTGGCAGAAGCCATGCCGATGGGAAAGGAAGTGCTGCGGCGGATTTAATGCGCAGACTTGGAGTCTCACCGGAACGACGTATCAAAGTCACGCCTGAAGATGATGCTCGGGTGCTAAGGCGGATTGATATGGTTGTTCTGCCTCTTATGCTGGCTGTTTACTTCCTCCAAGGTAAAACGCCCATCTTGTTACAAATTCCACTACAAGGCTAATTCTGTTCAGGTCTTGATAAAGCGACAATTGCATACGCCTCCATCTTCGGCCTTATCGAAGACACAGGCCTCGAGGGCAACCAATTCTCCTGGCTCAGCTCCATCGTCTACGTCGCACAGCTCATTGCGCAATTCCCTCTAGCCTGGCTTCTCGTGAAGCTTCCCATTGGCAAATTCACCAGCTGCATGGTCACCCTGTGGGGTCTCACGCTGACATTCATGGCTGCGGCGCATACGTTTCGCAGTCTGCTTTTTGCTCGGTTCTGGCTCGGCGCTTTCGAGGCTAGTATTGCGCCCAGTTTCGTGGCTATTACCCAGATGTTTTGGCGGAGGAGGGAGCAGCCTCTTCGTATGTCGTATTGGTATGCGATGAATGGTTTTACCGGTGTGGTATGTTGAGTGCTCAAGATGAGGAGTAGGACTGACGTGATTTAGTTTGGAAGTTTGGCTACATGGTGGCTTGCGCAGCTGCCATTGGGACTCAAGCCATATCAGGTGAGCCGCTTGATCCTCGCATTCATCAACAATTTTATTGACCACTGTAGACAATCTTCGTCGTCTTCGGAATTATCACAGTTTGCTTCTCCACGGTTCTATTCTCCCTCATGCCCGACTCCCCAGCAGAAGCGAAGTTCCTCAATAAGCATGACAAGCTTATTGCCATTGAGCGATTGAGAATGAACCAAACAGGTGTCATGTCACGTCAATGGCGATGGGATCATTTTTGGGAGACGGTTCGAGATGTGAAGACCTGGCTATGGTTCGCTCTCATCTTCAGTATCTCGTATGTGAATCGTGTCACTATTCTCAATCACATACTAACTAGCTTGACTTTTCAGGGTTCCCTCGGGTGGCGTAGGCTCTTTCGGTCCTCTTCTCATCAAGTCCTTCGGCTTTGACTCCTTCCAGGCCATTCTCTTCAACGCACCATTCGGCATTGTCCAGACTATTTCTACCATTGGAGGGTCCTATGTTGCGACCAGATACCACAAGAAAGGGCCTGTGATTGTATTCCTGGCTTTATTCCCCATTCTAGGCTGCATGGTCATGCTATCGACGCCGCATACGCCCGAAGGCAGGAATACATTATTGAGCGGGTACTACATGATTTCTGTTTTTCCAGGAATAAGTATGCCTCTCTATTCCTCCACCAGTTGCATATACTTACAATGATAGTTCCGTTGATTTACTCATGGTCATCCTCCAACACTGCCGGTGACACCAAGAGCAAATGTAACTCATCTGCACTTTTCATCGGCCAATCCCTCGGAAACATTGTTGGTCCACTACTATACAAACCATCCGAGGCACCCGAATATCACCGGGGCCTATACTGGAACTTGTTACTATACTGCTCCATCGTTGGACTTGTTGTCGTGACGAGCATGTACCTCTCATATCTCAACCGCGACCACAGTCGTCGACGCGTGTTAGCAGGGAAGGATGCCGTTATTACTGACTATAGCTTATATTCACCTGAAGAAGCGGATCGGTTGCGCAGGGCGAGAGCGATAGACGGGCAGCAGGTGGAAAATGCGAGGGACGGGACGGTTGGGGATCATGCGTTTGACGATTTGACTGATTTGATGAACGATGAGTTTGTCTTTGTCTTCTGAGGTAAAACATGGCAAGGTACCCAATTGACTATTCGTTTTACGATTGAAGCTTTGGATATGGTTCTCGTATCAACACAGGTGTGTAGGCTCTTGGCCATGAATCCATCAATAAACCATCGACACCGACCACAACGTCATGCAAACTCTTCACCAGTAGGATCTACAAACCTCTCACGATAATATCTCAAATCCACCCGAGTCCAAACAGACAACTGCAGATCCCCCAAAGCCAACAGTCGGGCTTAGATGTAGCACCCGAGCACCCTACAAAGTGGAAACAAATCTCCAACTATCCGCAGGTTGAAACGACGCATGCCACGAATCTTGAATAATCCAACGCGACTTGTCTCAATGGGGCTCGATCTGCACGTCAGCCAAGAATCCCCCGCCTCTCACGTCGTGACAGTTGTTGTCGGCAAATACTCCCCCGAAGCACCGGCGGGGTAAGGTAAATCCTGAACAGCATCATCTGAGTAATCCGCCATCGGCTTGCCTTTTGGAGTATTTAGTTCCCACAGTCTGTCTTCCTAGAAAGAGTTGGAACCCATTCATCATACCTCCCAGCACCCTTCATCATGTCTTCAGAATCAGCTCAATTCAAACGCTATGTCATCGTTGGCATGGGCGTTCGCTCAGCCATGTACTACCAAGCTATCATCCAAGACTTCAAGGATGTAGCCAAGCTGGTCGGCATCTGCGACACAAACCAGACTCGTATGGATGTGGCCAACGACCATATCGTCGAGCTTGGGGGTGAGAAAGTTCCGACTTATAAGGACACCGACTTTGAAAAGATGGTGCAAGAGCAAAAGGCAAATGTTGTCATCGTAACAACAATTGATCTGTTCCACCATCATTACTGCATTCGCGCTATGGAATTGGGCTGCGATGCTATCACGGAGAAGCCAATGACCATTGATGAGCATAAACTCCAGGCCATGATCGACGCAGAGAAGAAGACCGGCAAGCAAGTCCGCGTGCTCTTCAACTACCGCTATGCTCCACACCACACCAAAGTGCGAGAGCTTATCGACTCTGGCGTCATCGGCGAGATCTCAACAGTGCACATGGACTGGATCCTCGACTGCGCCCACGGAGCAGATTTTATGCGCCGCTGGCATCGCCACAAGGAGACCAGCGGCGGTATCCAGATGCACAAGTCAATCCACCATTTCGACCTCGTGCACTTCTGGCTCAACACCGAACCCGAGCTGGTCTACTGCCTCGGCGATCTCCGCTTCTACGGCAAAGAGAATGCTGAACGACGCGGCGAGAAGAACCTCGGCGAGAGATATCAGAACAACGACAATGCCAAGAACGACCCTTTTGCGTTCCAGCTTGACGACAACGAGCGCATGAAGAAGCTGTACCTCGACGCGGAGCACGAAGATGGCTACATCCGCGACAGGAACTGCTTCGCGGAGGGCATCACCATCGAGGACAACCTCTCCATGATAATCAAGTACACGAACCGCGCGGTCATGACATACAACACATACGCCTACGCGCCCTGGGAGGGCTACCGGTGTGTCTTCAACGGCAGCAAGGGCCGCATCGAAGTCAACGTCGTCGAGAGCGGGTACAACCCCCTCGGCGACCCAGTGACGAAGGACTCCGAGGGCGAGGATGAGAACTACATCCAGGGCGGAGTTGAGCAGACCAAGATTGTTGTCTATCCTTTGTTTGACAAGCCTTATGTTGTGGATGTTGTCAAGGGGGAGGGCGGCCATGGCGGTGGAGATCCGGTTTTGTTGAAGGATGTTATCCTGGGTAATCAGTCGGATGACTTTAAGCGGGCTGCGTATATTCGTGATGGAGGAAATGCGGTTTTGGTTGGTGTTGGGGCGAATCATTCGATGAAATCTGGAATGCCTGTCAAGGTGCAGGATTTGGTGAAATGGTAATTGATCTTTGAGAATCGAGATAGTCAAATTACAAACCAGGGCCACATCGACTAATTACTATCACGCTCTGAAAGTCAAACTTGTGATAACAAAACAAACGCTTTTATGGTGTTTTACACGAATAACCAACGTGATACCAACTCAGAAAGAGTCCATATTGACGCCGATGTCACCCTCTTTCGACCGCCCATCATAACCAGTCTTGCCACTCATATCATCCATAACGCCCGTAAACAAAACATCATTCATGCCAAGCTCCTCTACCTGCCCAATAGTATCAGGCGGTGAACCGAGTAGCTCATAAGGCCAGAAAGGCACACCACCGAAGTCGTTGAAGTGCGTTGAATCCAGCAACGGCATGTCACTAAAGTCCAATGGCGGAATATTGGTGATTTCGCAAAGAGCTGCTGTCAAGTCTGCAGGGAAAGCCTGTTTGTTGTTGAAAAAAGACTCTTGGTCCACGTCTTGCATCGGTATTTGCTGTATCTCAGCTGAGACGCTGCTGCTTTGGTTGACGAGATCCATCAAGTTACTGGGTATGAGATCTTTGTTCAGTGCCGAAAAGCGCTTCCTTGATTGTTCATCAACGTTCGATATAGAGCCAACTTGAGATCGTGAGTTTAAGCCTCGACCGGCTTTTCTCAACGATGGTGGGAAATCGCATTCATCAGGCAGCCGGCCGTTGCTGATGCTCATGTCCAAAGTCATAACCAGACGTAGATAGTAGCTGGGTCGGTTCTTCAGCATGTCGAGATAACTGCTAGGTGTAGGGGAGTCCTCTTCGGTGTTGAACGGCGTTGGGGATCTTTGTCTGGCGAGCTCGACGACGTGGCATATGGCGCGCATAACCCAATCGGTTATGTAGTACTTGTTCTTGTAGCTCTTCATCTGTTTCAATATGTTGTCCACATGTCGCTGTTTCTCTGTTAGTGCGACACCTTGAGGTGCTGTGGTTTGTTGTTTGGGTCTAAGAAGCTCGACGTCGATCATCTGGAGAGCCAGTGGAAATGCGGTACATCCAATACTTGAAGACTGGTCAGCTTGATATAAAACATAGTATTGGCGGTTTACATACGCAGTCATTGGTAACCAGCGTGAAAGACCTCGACGATCAAACTCAAGAAGACACTCAGTCACGCGCGAAGCAGAGCCTTGAAGGTCTTCACTTTGCCGACGGAGCTGAACATCCGATTCCGATGGTGGTAGTAGACTGGATCGGAGGATGTTATAATGGCAAACCGACAGACGCGCAGAGCTGGTAGGGTTAGTTGAAGCCAATATAGGATGAGTCGGAAGAACTCACTGATAGTACATCTCGATGAGATTCTTGAACAGAATAATAGACTCTGCCGAAGATCCCTCATCGGCCATCCTCTCATCCAAAGTAGCCTTGGTTTCATTCCACGCATTATACCATCTCCGAAGCTCAATTTGACAGAGGCCAGCATCCTTAGCAACTTCCATCCTGCCGGATAGCATCCAAGATGGATTGTTGTAGAGAACAGAAGTCACGGTCAATACATCTGTAAGCACCACACAAAGATCGACTAGTTTTGACAAGAGCTCAGAATGAAGGGTTTTTGTCGTCGAGTCGTAAACATCAGAATTATACAGCTCATCGCATAAGTCCGCACTTCCAAGAACAGAACACCCAGAGAAACTAAAGTTCGCAGGCGTAATCTTGATGCTCTGTCGTGACGTGAGCGGGAGCAATCTATCGCAGATAATGCAGCACCACCACAGACGCTTGAGTGTATTTCGAAGTTTCTGCACCTTTGCTACTTCGAGATCGTTGCTTGGGCGGAGAGATGAGTAGCAATGTGCTTTGGCGACGCGCGCGTAGGATATGGCGATACCGAGCCAGATTGAGCCGAGGGGCTTGTTGCCAGCGATGCAGCGTGGGATTAGGTGGGTGTGTGCGAGAAGGAGTGAGGCTTGGGCGATGGCGATGCAGGACTTTTCGCAGCTGAAGTCGTAGAGGAGCTGTTTAAGGTGAGTGACGGGTTGTGTGAGAAGATGGGGCGGCGTACCTTTGATCGTCTGTAGAATGCTAGTTTGGCTTGGTGGACGTCTTCAAAGCCGAGCATTTTGATTGTCTCTGACGACACAAACTGGCAGCGGTTAGCTGAGTCACTGGCCCCATTGAAGAGTATCTTACCCCGGATGAAATGAACAATAGGCCCTGTAGCACTAGCATGGGCATTTGGTACTCAACATCAGAGTCCACAGAGTTGTATGAAAGCCAGAAGTCCTTTTCGTTCAGTATTGGAAGCATCGGATGCACATGGAGAAAATACTGTCGCAAGAAATCATCCAGCGCTGCTCGTTGGGGGACGATAAAACATCCTTGGCTGACTAGAAAAGCGGCATCTTGAGGTAGAAGGTCTTTGGTGTCGGGGACTTGGAGGAAGGCATAATCAGGGTGACATGATGGCCTGGGCAATTGAGTGATTTGAGGTGGAGAGCTGTTGGGAGGCTCAGGTAGTGATGCTGAGGATGAGATTGAGGCTGCGCTTTGTATGTATGCTGGACTTGTTGGTGATAGCCTCTGATTAGGTTGCTCTGTGTGACGTTCGATGACAGAACCTTCAATTGAGGGAGGCGTCAGAGGGCTATTGGGTAGTATACGAGGTGTTGTTGATCTAAAACAATGAGTATCGAGTAACATAACTGCGCATGCAAGGCAATATACTCACACTATGCCATGTCGTCGCTTAAACGTGCAAACCTTGTCGTTGTGTCTGCAATTGACACAAGGATCCGACGGGTTTTCAATGATGCAGCGCACCTTTCGCATCCGACAGAGGTTACACGCCCTGGAGGCTCTCTTCCGTTTCGTCTTTGTCGCCTGGATATCCATGATTGCAGAATGTGGGTTTATGTTCCGGGGTAAGAGGTCGAACAATCCGAATATCACGGTAACGTAACGGCAGTGTTATGTCAGGTTTGAGTTGATCTACTCACAGGGATCGGATTGAAAAGCAGCTCGTGCTAACCCCAGACCCGAACCCATTTGCCGACGGTTCCCCATAATCCCCCACAATATTTGGACGCGCTATGTGGGATGGGCTAGGCGGTTTGCGGTTAACACACCGCCTTCGCACCATGGGGTTGGGGAGACAAGGAATTAGAAAGGCCCAAGCAGAAGTGAGGGAACCAATCTTGTAGGGCATCAGTCATTTGTGGTATTTTGTTCGTTGCAGACGAGAGACTGTGTTGACGTTGACGTAGGAAGGGTTTATTAGCACCGGGAGAGAAGCCGACTGTGAAGCTGCATAATTTGTCAAATGACGAAATATCAACAACTCACACGTTTTATCAGCTTCGCTCTACCAAGAGAAATTACACATTGGCTTTACCGACGTGTTCATCTTAACTTTTACGAAAATATGTATAGCTTCATGCCTTGTAACATCATAAATGTTCTAGAGCTCAATAAACATCTTGCTCCACCAAACTAGCAGCTCTCTACCACAGCGAAAGTCAGCAGCGGGGTACAACAACGCGCAGCACAATGATGACATTAACCTCTATTTATCCGCCTATCACGCAATTTCTGCCTTAATCTCAGCTTATTCTCGTTCTTTTGCTCTCTTCTTAATCTCACTCTCATCAATCTATCTTACGATACTACCACAATTACAATGTCGTCTAAAGAACTTCCCGCCCGACTCAAAGAGTCCATCGAGGCCTCCAAATGCGAGTATCGCAATCTGGGTAAATCCGGTCTACGCATCTCCGTGCCTGTGTTTGGGTGTATGAGCTTTGGAGATAAGAGAACGCTGCCTTGGGTCATTGGCGAAGATGAGGTGCGATGCCCCGTACTACGGCGTGATGAATTCGCTAACACTCTACCTACAGGCTCTGGAGCTCCTCAAAGCTGCCTACGACCGTGGCCTCAACACATGGGATACAGCCAACACTTACAGCAATGGGGCGTCCGAGGAAATCGTTGGGAAAGCATTGAAAAAGTTCAACATTCCTCGCCACAAGGTCCTCATCCTTAGCAAATGCCGCTGGGCTGTTGGAGAAGAACCAGGTTCGCAATCTAAACAACCTTCATGAACCCTGCTGACATGTCGCCCAGAGGCTCGCCATATCAACTACAGGCCCGAATTCGAGACTTCAAAAGATTACCAGAACCAGTACGGTCTTTCCCGCGCTGCCATCTTCAACCAAGTCGAGGCATCTCTGAAGCGACTCGACACAGATTACATCGATCTGCTCCAAATCCATCGATATGATGAACTCACACCTCTTGAAGAAACCATGAAAGCGCTCCACGACCTCGTCCAGCTAGGCAAAGTGCGCTACATCGGAGCAAGCAGCATGTGGGCTACCCAATTCGCCCGGATGCAATTCGTCGCCGAGAAGAACGGCTGGACGCAGTTCATCAGCATGCAGAACCACTACAATCTCCTCTACCGCGAGGAAGAGCGCGAGATGATCCGCTACTGCAACGACACGGGCGTTGGTGTCATCCCCTGGGCACCGCTTTGCAGAGGACATCTGGCCAGGCCGCCCGCCGAGTTTGGTTCCACCGATAGAAGCAAAGGTGAGAAGGAGAGTTCAGGGGAGTTATCTGCAGTAGATCAGAAGATCATAGGGCGCGTTGTTGAGCTGGCGGAGAAGCATGAGTGGCCTATGGCGCATGTTGCGCTGGCTTGGATTAATCAGCGTATCACGAGTCCGATTATTGGATTTAGTAGTGTTGAGAGAATTGAGCAGGCTATTGGTGCAAGGGGGAAGACTTTGACGAATGAGGAGGTTAAGTACCTGGAGGAGCTTTATGAGGCCAAGCCAATTGCTGGACATTCCTAGGGAGAGGTAGCATCCTTACTTTCGAGCTCAGAGAATCAATCCAAGAGAAATTAGAAGCGCGGCTTCTTCGTTATCAAAGATTTGCATAACGGTCTTACTGCCCATCAATTGGATCGAAATCTTGGGCAGACAATTTCACCATTCAATACCCGGCATTTGTATCGGCAAGCTGACCGGAACGGCACTTGGCTCGGCTGCTGAACCCGCTAAATCGACAGCACCCAGGCCTGAACCGACATTTACAGTGGCTCTTAAACCCGCCCAAGCCCGGACATGCCGCTTACTCGGCGGATCAGCAAAAACATCTCAACATGAGCTCTTCAATTCCATCGGTCCAGACTGCGGCATTAATTGAAAACCCAGGCAATGACGCACAGATTGTCTTTCGGTCGGATATTCCAGTTGGAAATCCTGGCGTGAATGAGATTCTCGTCAAGTTGGCTTTTACTGGTGTCTGGTAAGTTCACCTGGCTTCTTTCAGCGCCGTAGGCTAACCCCATGCAGTGGCTCAGAGATTCGGGCGCTCTCAGGATGGGGTCCGTATAACTCTATTGTTGGACACGAAGGCGTGGGAACTGTCGTCAAGCTTGGTGAGGGCGTCGACACAAGCATGCTCAATAAGAGAGTTGGCGTGAGATGGCTCTACAGCGCCTGCGGAGCTTGCAATGCTTGTAAAAGAGGATATCCCAACAACTGCCCGAAACAACTCAACACTGGACGCCATGTTGCTGGAACACTACAGGAATACATGATCGCCGACGCGAGATACGTGACAGAGATTGCAGAAGGTCTGCCTGGTGAGGTGGCAGCTCCGTTACTTTGTGCTGGTCTTACCATGGCCGGTGCTGTATCAAAGCTCACTGGATACGCTGTGAGGGGTGACTGGATAGTCATTTCTGGATCGGGGGGTGGACTTGGCCATCTTGGTGTCCAAATTGCTGCAAGACTACACGGACTGCGAGTCATTGCTATTGACACTGGAGAAGCCAGGCGCAAGCTGAGCTTGGACAGTGGTGCAGAACACTTCATCGACTTTGCAGTGGAGGATGCTGAAGCAAGGGTGAAAGAAATCACAAGCGAGGGAGCATCAGCAGTGCTGGTAGTTACAGGTTCACAAGAAGCCTTTGTCCAAGCCCCCAGCCTGGTGCGAAACATGGGGATCATCGTCAACATTGGTCTTCCAAGGAATGATTTTAATATTCCTCTTTCTGCTACAATCTGCTCAGCCCGATGTAAGTAGCACTCCGCAGCTGAACCCGGAGTGGCTCGCTAACTTGACTCTTAGCACTTACCGTCACTGGGGTTGCCGTAGGTACAGAGGAGCAGATGAAGGAGCTTCTGCAACATGCTCTGGAAGGAAAGATAGTTCCGAAAGTGAAGATCCTCGAGTTTGGAGAGGTAGGAAATGTTATTGGAGATCTTCAACGACAGCAAGTCACTGGAAGAGTGGTTGTTAGAATACCTTGAGTGGATATGAGCTCCTAAAGCTGTGTGGTCGCCGAGCTACTATTCCGACGCAACGCGCAACATTATCCCATGCTGGCGTGATGCGATGAAAGTCTCTTGAACATAATTGACTATAAACTATATTCCAAGGCGGCGATGCAGTGTGCCCCTCAGTTGTTAAAGACCTTATCGTTAATCGCAACAACCAAAGCCACATAATCCTGACTATCCAAATAATCGATATACACCACATTGGGAAACGACTTATCACCAACCTCAGGCAAAAGCCGCGTGAAGAGCTCCTTGTTGCAACTACGAGCAAGATGCTTAATCGGCTTGAGCGACCGTGGAGCTGTCTTTACAAAATTCTTGACATCTCCATCCCAGTTCGGCGCCTGTTGGGTTAGTGTCCAGGAGAGGAGGAACAACCGCTTTTCCTTGGCGGTCATGTGGCCTTTCATCTTCTCAATCTGGTCGTTCACCATCACCCCCGTGTCATCCTTGTTGGAGTACTCGTTGCGGATGTTGAGTTGCGATAATTTGTAGAAGCCCTTGTGAGCGTACTCGCCAATGTCGAGATCCCACTGCTCCATGACGCAGATTACAGCTGCTTTGCCGTTGCCAATGAAATCATCCAGCTTCAAGAGGCTGAGGTCGTTGGCCTTGGACTTATCCTGGACGATGTACAGGTGCTCCAACTTGAGAAGCTCCTTCATCAGCGCGTGCCACTCCTTTTTGTTGAACTCTCGCCAGTCGTCGGTGTCGCTCTGTAGAGAGTGGGAGAAGTTGATAATGATCAGCTCAGCATTTTTCTTGGTGAATTCGTTGACAGCAGAAATGATACTGGAAATCGATTCACCCCGACCGCCAACCTTGCCGGTGTAATGCCCTGTCCAGAGCTCTCCGCCCGAGTACTGGGGTCTGATGTCAAAGTATCGCGCGCCATGAGCAAGCTGTCCCTGCACACCAGTCGATTGGCAAAGCACATATGGGTCGATGACGCCACCAGGGATATCACAGTGCGAGATAGTCGACATGCCCGAGTCGTGGGTGCCCAGAATGCAGATCTGCGACAGAGGCCGCTGGCCAAGCGTCTTTCTGTTCTGCTGCATCCAATCCATTGGCGGGTTAGACGTGTGGAAGTCCCCCTTCTTTCCGGAGAGCACAAACGTGACGCAGCCGTCGTGGTGCCATCCGAGCTCGATCTTTGAACCGCGGGAATTGTTAATGGATTCAAGACCGTCAAGCTGGATCCAAAGCCTTTCTGGCTTGTCGGCGACGTGGACTGTGAAGGAAGCGTCTGTGCCTTCGAGCTTGTACGTGGCTGTGCCGCTGGTGTCCTGACGTTTCTTGAGAAGGTCCTGGTTGAACTCCACATACACGGATGGCACGACTCCTGTGGCGGGGTCAGTTGTCGATGCCTGTGGTGGATTGATGGGGGTGGGATTTACCTGCGTTGATGGACTCTGGGAATTCCCACCCGTCCATTTGATAGCTGGCCTTGCCCGTTCGCTTCCAACGGTACGGCGTGCCGTTGACGAGGTTGATATAGCCACCTTCACCCATTGCGTCAGATAATGAGATAAGCGTTTAAAGAGTATGAGTGGTGATCCAATGGATATCTTAATGCTGGTTGAAGGGGAGTAAGCTTCAATTTATGCTTGCGTCAAAATCAGAGCCACCATCAGCCGCATTGACCCTTGTTGTTATGCAACACTAGCCTGCAGCTGAAAATCTGGGCGTCTGAGAGGACAGCTGTCCATTGGGCGATGCGACGACTTGAGGAATTCGCTGCGCCCTGTGGATCAAAAGAGTTGTTTTGATTTGTGCAAAAGCGTTCTAGAAAGGCTTGTTTTAAATGCTACGAATCATAGGCTCTTGACTGGCCAAAAAGGATCCATGAGGCGCATCGAATTGCAAAGTATTGGTAGCTGAAACCTAGATCGATCTAGATGTTGACCCCGCACCATTCGTAAGCTTCAACTTAAAACAGTAAAGGCGCCGAGAGCCCAAGAGGACAGTGGCTCGGTATCATCTTGGCAATTGAAACAAGGCAAAGACGATTATGACAGGATATCATGTTGCAAATTCATAACTAAGATTTCAATTCCATGCGCCAATTTTTACATGCAGTATACCATACAAACTATGGCCCTTATCGTCGAGCCAGTCCAACATCCAATCCCATAGGCTTTCGCAGGAACCCTTCCCTCGTCTCCATAATATCCTGTCTCAGAACAACATTGTATCTCTTGATCCAGGTAGTAGCAATCAGTCTCATCTGCATCTCTGCCAGATTTCGTCCCACGCAAGATCGCGGACCGTAGCTAAAGGGGATAAATGCGATCTTCTGCTTGTCCGTCAGGGTCTCCCAGCGTTCAGGTCGGAATTCGTCCGCGTCAGGACCCCAGATCTCTTTAGAGTGGTGGATGGTATATGTAGGTACGCTGAGGACCGTTCCGGGGCCGAAGTAGCGTCCGTGGAGAGTGACGCCCTTGTGGTGGGCGGGGATCTCGCGAGGTAGACCGATGCCAGAGGGGGAGTGGATTCGGAGGGTTTCGTTGATGCAGTGGCCGAGGTAGGGAAGATGTTTGACAGATTCGTAGTCGGGAATAGCGACGTCTTCAGGGACAACGGCGGATAATTCTTCAAAGAGCTTCTCCATCACTCCAGGTGTCCTAACAACGTGGTATAGCAGTGCACAGGATGAGTTAGAGGTAGTATCGCTTCCGGCAATCAACTGAGTAAGAGCCTCAGCGGTAAGCTCATCCCGACCAAGAGGTTCACCCTTTTCATCACGACCCTGCATAAGACGAGCCAGAAGGTCCTTTCGTGTGGAATCTCCGCCGCGCTCCAGTCTCTCACTGACTCTGGCAATAGCGATACCCGCAAGGTTCTCAACGGCCTGGAGGCCCTTGCTGAAGAATGGATCAGGAAGATACTTGGCGTAGGGCTTGAGCTGGGGGAGACATCCGAGAGTAGCGGAGACTTCTCCGCGACGGTTCATGATCTCGACTGCGGGTGCGTAGATGGTGGGACTTGTGGGGGAAGCCTTCACTTCAGCGATATCCTCTCCAGAGGTAAGCATGCCTAAATAAAGTTAGCATACATGTCACAACATCTGTCCAGCGTGGAGGAACTCACCGAATGGTTTACCAAAGGCTAGGTCGGCAATGATGTCAAAAGCAAGAAAGTTGAACCAATTGAGGCAGTCAACGCTTCCATATCCATCAGCTTCCTTCTTGCTCGAGATGCTATCCCACTGGTTGATGAAAACCTGGAGGTTCTGACGGATGTATGGCTCAAACTCCAAAACGCTCTTGGGGGCAAAAGTATGCGACACGAGCTTTCTCTTGCGGGAGTGCTCAGCTCTGTCGCGTGTGTTGAAAAGACCGCGACGGATGGATACAAAGGTATCGTAAAAGTCACTACCCGATGTTAGTTTCGTCAACAAATCGTAGGCGACATAAAACATACGCCTTGAGGAAGCCATTTCCATGTCCATAGATAGTGTTGATAGCATCAGCGTCCGCGACACTAACGTGGTTAGGCGCAATGCGAACAAGAACACCCAGCTTCTTGTGGACCTGATCAACAACCTCGTAACGCTTTCCACGCCGACATGTCGATAGTAGCCAAAGATTGCTGAACTGCGCTGGGAAAGGAGCTGGGATGCCGCGGAGTTCTTTGTTGCTGACCCAGGGGAGGATGTACCAGGCGACGAAAGCAACGACGAGAGCTACGGGGGCCCAAGGGGAGATTAGGAGTTCGGTGAGAGCCATTGTGAGTGATAGTGAAGACCGGGGATGAGAGGTTAGAGGAGTTGTTTCTTGGATGGGTGGAAAGCGTATATTTGTATTTTATGCTATGGATATGACTTGATGATCACTGGGGCTAAGACGGCCCCGGATTACTTACCCCAGATGTGTGCAGCCATAGCTTCCGAGGAATGATTTCTCCATATTTTCGCGTCGGCACTTGACGAGTAGATGATGTGATTGGTCAATTGGCAAGGTCATGATCTATCTGCACATCAGTTTTTAGTACGAAATAAAGCTATCTTGATCGAGAAAGTTCATGGTGTATTGGTCGTGTTATTCACCACCCGTATAACAAAGCAGTATCATAAACATTCCTTAGAGCCGTATAAATTTCAACAATATGATTATTGACTTCGCATTGAAGGAATTCACAACGGGAAATGTCATTACATCACTGACCCAACTCTGATATGTCGCGCATCCGATTGGCTGCAGTTCCGCGGAACTTCGGCAGACGCACACGGATGTTGCTAGCGACCAGAACCCAGGCCTGTAACGCTAAGGCCTGACTGTAGATCATTGGAGAGATGGTCAGTACCTATGGTTGAGCATCATTGGGTCTTACGTACGCATTTGAATTTGAGGAAATATGGCTGGTCCATTGGCTGATATTCTGGCGTCTCGGTTTTACTACACCATTCCTCAGTGAGAGAAAACATTGAATGACTAATAAGTAGGAGACCAGGACAGTCATTAATTTTTCCAACTTATATACTTCTGGAAAATCGACAAAGAAGTTAATCCAAGTTCAAAACTGTATGTGGATGAGTAACTACATCAGGGCTTATTTGTCATGAGGTTTCTAAAGATAATACTCAGTATGATAACAGGACTCATATGTAAAATTCGTGGTACTTTGAACTTTTGTCAAATCTGACCTTGTGAATTTTCGGGGTCTATTCCAGTCTGGAAGGATATATTAAAGGTGGCTTCGAATTAACCCTTAATATAAACTCTTTGAAGGTCCTGCATTCATAAGCTTTTAGGAAAAACGAAGCTTCCAGAAATACGCACTGTAAACTCTAACCAGAGCCAGCAGAAGAATCACGTGCAGATTCTTTCTCTGCACTGTGCCTTGGCCAAAGAGGGGTTAGTGGATTATCCACCCAGAACCTCTTTTCTTCAAACCTAGCATGTTAACACGCCATTCTCAACACAAAGCACGTTCTAAGTCAAATAAATCCTCTACATCACGAAAGAAAACCACCTCTTCTCTCAACAATTAAACAACAAAAATGCCTCTCATCAACGCCAACACACCGCCCACCACAACCACGGACACCCATTACGTGGTCTACTTCGCTTCTGGCGAGCCTTCCTGGTGCCCAGACTGCCGTGATGCGCTTCCCGCGCTGAACGCAGTCTTTGGAGACAAGTCCGCTCCCACGGCGCACCTGGTACGCGTGGGATCCCGCGAGGAGTGGAGGTCGACTCCCCCCAACAAGTACCGTCTTGCGCCTTACAATGTCACCGGCGTTCCTACTGTTGTCAAGATCAAGTTTGTGAGTTTTTATCGTTGATGTTGTTATATATAAAGTAATTGCTAATCGGTACCTTCAGGGCAAGGAAGTTGGACGTCTGGGCGATGTTGAGAGTCAGAATGAGTCTGACCTCCGCAAGCTTGTCAAGTTATAGGCTGTGATAGCGAGAACGACAAGGCTCCGATCGGCAATGACAGAGTTCAGAAGAAAGGGGATGAGTCACTCGTATGCGCTATGAAATGGTCCTCGGATTGTAAGCTAGCTGGTTCGGGGATAGAAATGTAAAGGGACAGACAACAAGTCGTTCAAAAGGCTCATCTAAAAGATAGAATGAGAAGAAAAACAGTCCGATCACAACCAATTAATTACAAAAGTTCTTTTCAGTGTTGAACTGTAGTTTTTCGTGGGAGGTAGCATGAGCTCAGCCCTAGATTTGAGTTGGCGATAAGAGTGATTGAATAACCTTATTTGATGTCTCGGCGAAATAGGTCCCGGTCACACAAATAACAAGACGGGCCTGATTCATATTAGACACGTGGCAACTGAAGGCAAAACACTTGATCTGCTCGCGCTGATATCGGAGCTTTGTGTGAGTCACACAGACAGAGTTGTATGACCATAGCCTAAGACTTCTCATCACCACCGCAACTCCTTAACATTTCAGCATATACAATGACCTCTGAAAATATCCTGAAGCTAAGCAACTGCGTGGTACGGGCTTACCACAGCGGAGACATCGAATCCCTTGCTAAAGCAGCAGACAATCCACGAATAGCACGATGGATGCAAAATGGATTCCCGCACCCATATACCGTCAAGGATGCCGAGGAATGGATCCCCATCGCCAACACCCCATCGCCACTTCGGGACTTTGCTATCTGCCAGCCTGATGGTAACACAGTCATCGGTGGAGTTGGACTCAAAGCCCGCGAGGACGTTCACCACCGCACCATGGAGATTGGCTATTGGATAGCCGAGGACTACTGGCATCAGGGTATCGCCACCGAAGTCATCACCGCATTCTCCAGCTGGGCTTTCGACAATTTCACAAATTTGGTGCGACTGGAAGCTGAGGTCTTTGAAGGAAACACGGCAAGCTGTCGTGTCCTTGAGAAATGCGGCTTTGAATTTGAGGGAAGGCAGAAAGCGGCTGTGGAAAAGCTGGGAGTCATTCTTGACACCTACACATATGTCAAATTGAGGCTCGAAAGGTAGAGGGATTGGTCTGCTATTCACGTTACAAGTAATCTTACAGATGACAGCTACATACCTCTCCTCTTCTTTTCATAAACACAGAATCGGCGTCTATCAGGTTGAATAATGTGCCTCACTAACCTCCCTGTTTAATGAAGAAGGCTCCTGGGATCCCTGGCAAAGCAGATCACAAGGTGGCAGTTGTGGTCTCTGACTCTGGCATGGTAAACAATTCACTATTTCTTGGCTAACCCGACATCGTATGGTTATGGTAAAAGCTAGGAGCCCTTTTTGTGAAAGACAGTGGAAACCTTCTTCTTGATTTCCATGCTCGTATCTTAGCCTCAGGCGCGTACTTTGGATATTATAAACAGAACAGATTAATAAGAGAAAAAAGAATCTCTACTGTAGTAACTATAATAATAATAGTTATGAAAATTAGAACAATAGTGGTAATTAATTAAAGCCTTAGTAGCGTCTACGGCTTTGTATGTTTGTCATCTATCAAGACTGGCCATTATTATGGAGTTTAGGAACATCTTAGGCCTTCTTGACCACAAGCCATCCAGAGGGCTAGAATAACAATTGATAAAGAAGCCTGTGTCTGGTGTTCCGATTTCCAACGTGTTCTCTAGATTTGTAGAAAAGATTTCTTACGATTTCCACAGTATCCCGATACGAGGATAACTCCCAAAACATAATGCAGTTAAGACTGCCAGTAATTTGAATACGGATGTTGTGAAATATATCCGCGGAGCATGAGAGGGTAATAAGAGAGACACAACATAACGCTCTGGGCAGTAAAATTACTAGGTCAAGTCTAATAACTCCTCTTAGAAGAATAATATACATGATAACAGAAGGTTTTGTAATGATCAAATATCGTGACTATTTACTAACCACGCTTCTATGAAGGACCCTCTGATGTAGTTGGTCTTATTGTCTTTATGGCCTGCTTCTTCCTGAGATATCTCACATGGTCTACTAAGTCGTTTCCGCTACCCTCCCAGCCCGTTTGTTTCAGATCTACGCCTTGCTTTATTATAAACTTTACTGACTTGACGTTTGTTCCATATACCGCGGCTTCTAGAGCCTCGCTAATCATCTCAGTCCGACGAGGTTCATTGAGACCAGAACCGTGCTTGAAAAGGAACCTGACCATCCTGGTATCGCCAAAGAGCGCTGCTGCTTCTAGTGCACTGTATTTTCCCATGTACGGCTGTATGTCCACGTCTGCGCCTTGCCTCACAAGAAACTTCACGATCGACGTTTTACCAGACGCGGCTGCCGCGGCCAATGTATTACCGTAGTATCCAGCAGTCAACTGTAAGTTCACATCTGAGCCTTGTTGGATAAGCAACTTGATAGCTCTGATTCTCCCTCTGTGCGCTGCTTCAGCTAAAGCGCTGCCGCAGCTACTGCTGTAGCTCGTAGTCCTTAGCCGCAGATTGACGTCTGCGCCATGTTTGATTAGTAGGCGGATGCTCTCCACACTTCCCTCGCCGGCTGCTGCTATCAGGGCAATGCCACAGTAGTGAGCGCATGTGTGCATGCTGATAGCTCGAATTCGCTCGATCAAGAATTCCATAGCTTTGGTTTTGCCTGCTATGGCTGCCGTTATCAGAGCATCACCGCAATGGTCATTTGAAAAATTTGTATTCGCGTCGTGGTCAACAAGGACTCTGATGATATCATCGGACCCACACATAGCTGCAGCCTCGAGAACGCTGCCATAGTACGGGCTTCGTTGTTGAACAATTGCACCATTATCCAGGAGCAACATCACGATGCCAATAAACCCTGATTCTGCTGCGGCGACAAGAGCACTACGCCGATGTTTGATTTGTCGGTTCACGTCTGCACCATTGGCCAGGAGAAGTTCGACAGTATCGATTCTCCCATGTGCGGCTGCTGCTACGAGAGCACTACCGTAATACCCAGCCTCGAGGTTGACATCCGCACCTTGTGCTAAAAGGTACTTGACAACATTGAGGTATCCCTCAGAGGCCGCAGCTATAAGACAGTGGCCATAGTGACCAAGTCTCGTTGATCTCAATCCTTTCTGTTCAGCGATCTCTTTGCTATGACCAATGCGAATACTTGCGGTCGCTGAAGGAGGATAAGAATGGAAACTGGTGTACGGTTCATCCTGTGGATTGATAGAAAAGCCACGGCCTAGAAGTATTTTGCATGTAGTCGTAGAGCCCGAGAGCGCAGCGACTGTGAGGAGATCGTTGTTAAGGATATTCGTTAGTGAGAGTGGAATTTCTGCACTGTCTAGCCACTCCCCTAGAAAACCAATTAACGATAAACGCAACACTGCGAAAAGACTAACGCTCGGTGGTGATATTTCTATCAAAAGAGATCTAGAGAAAGTATGATATAATCCTCGTTTCAAGTCGTTTTTGACCTCAAAGAACCACTGCTGGTAGTGAATGCTGCTCGTCTTCGGCGATCCTAAGAAGAGTTCCAACAGGGCAACTACCTGAAGATTAGGCTGTTCTCCTCCCTGAGCTCGAGTATGAGAGTGCCAGAAATTTCGGCAATAAAACTGGAAGGGGTGCTTCGGATGGAAAATTTCCTTAGGTCCGTCGATTCTAGATTCCTCATACCCGCCAGTGAGGAGTCTGAGACAGACAATAGCCGCATAGCAGTGGGCCTGGCGAAGATCGTAGTGGTGTTCCTCAAGGTATTCCATTACTGAGATATGAGAGAACCTCCATACCTTTTCTTGCTTATCAAGGACGAGAAGGTTGTTACAAATGTCTAGCAGGAGATCCTCGTCAACTCTCTCGAACATGTGAAGGACAAGTGGGTCTGAATCCAAGCGAATGGAACTCAGGAGCTCGACACTATTCAATGACTTGAAACTACACATCACTAGCATGAAAGCACGATCTGCAAGGACCCTGTCATGTCTATTGCGAGCCCTGATGTTGCCGTACATTTCATCATAGGTGGTTTTCAGATCGGAGGGCAGTCTTCCCAACCGATCCATGATAGCTGCTTCTGTCAAGAGCTCCAGTAGCTGCTTGACTTGAAGAGAGGCCCATTGAAACCTATGCACGAGTAAGCGACGAACTCTGAGCTGTTTAGGTCTGACCCACATTCCATTGCTGTTTCCAATAATAGTCTGCAAAATGTGCTCCTTTAGTGAGGGGGACATGTTTCTCCAGCGACGGTGCGATGTGATTTCCCTTTTGACAAATCTCCCGATGTCATCTTGATTATTAGTGGCCTGTATCTCGATGTATGGCCGAGATTGAAATCGTTCTCTGATGTCTCCATCGGGTCGGCTTGAAACAAAAACTTTGAGGGAGTTCCTGGAGTGAGTAAGAAGGAACTCTATGACCTCAATAAGTTGTCCGCGCGAGTTTGAATCGCACTCATCTAAAGCGTCCAATATAAGACTGGTCCTCGAGTGCAGATGTACTAACTCAAGTAAATACTCTTTGCAGATTTGAAGACTTAGGTCCGAGGCTTCCTTCATCGCCTGATGGTACATACCTCGAAGCTTCGTAGGTATCTGCTCGGTGCTTCCTGTGGCAGTCGACAATTGCCGGATCCAGCTTCGAAGTGCAGCGACTGGTCTGCGTTGGTCGTCTTCATTTCGGTTACAGTAGAAGAACGCTAAACCCTCTCGGTTTGGAGAGTTTCTGGTTGCAAGATTGATATGGTCAACGATCTTGGAGGTCAGGAATGTTTTCCCAGTTCCAGCTGCAAATAATTCATTAGTAAGAAGTTCCCTGGAGGTATAATAGTGGCATATTGAAAGAAAGAAAAGTGAATACGAACGAGAGCCTTGGAGCCATAGGAGCATCGACATATTGCAATGTTCCCAATCTTGGCACCTTCTATCTTGTAGAATCCATTCACAAGTACCCGGCGTTCGCGCTTCTTTAATTGTGTTGTGGTGTTTGCCATGTGGAACGGACGAAATCCAGTTTAGAATTTTAACACCTTCATTCGCTTCAACCTGTTCGAAACTTTGCAGAATAAGTGCCCTATAGAGATGATATTAGCGGTTGGATCTTGATGAGAAAGAAGTAAACTACTTACGTCTGATCGATGTTAAGACAAACAGAGAGCGCATCGCGGAATTTGCATAGGTTGAGCGTGATCCTGTCGATATCCTCGCTCTCGAATGGCCACTTCATGCGTAAATGCAATTTTCCTGCGATGGTACCCGGTTTCATCGGATCTAGCCGCTCTTCCAATTTTGCGGCCAGGTCTTCAAGCTGGGCTGTACAAGGGAGAAGCATACTGCGAAGTCTTTTAGTAGTACCGAGCCTGGTCCCCTTTGGGCCTTCCAGAAGCATTTTTGCTCCCTCAAAAATTAACCCCAGTCTTGTGAGTTCCCCCTGCAAACGTTGGATATCATATATCGCATGCTTAGCGGAAGCAAGGTATTGAGAGCAGAGCGACACGATTATCTGTATTGCCTGGACTACAGCTATAACACTCGCAGCTGTTGAGAGTCCATCCATGACTGCAGCGATGTAGATAGGGATATGATAGAGAGAAATTAGCAGATAGCATCTGTTTAGATATGTATAAAGGGTGTGGTTTGGTCTGAGGTTAGGCCCTAGACGGCTCGTTTATAGCCTTTATAGTAATCGTAAAGGCGCCTAGTAAAGCCGGGCAGTAATTAACAACATTCATCCATGGTTCAGTTGCGTAGGTGCACAAGGCAGTATGGCAATGGCAGGGTGTTTCCTGGATCCAAAAGAGATTAAGACCCAGACCGGCGAATTTTGGTGCAAACAAAGCTCAAGTTTTGTTAAACCCCTGACGCGTTGGGGTAAGCACTAAGCAGTACTCCGGAAGCCTCCTGGCATTAACTAGTGGCTTTTCAACCGCCCTGATTGGTATATGTTCTACTCCTATTGTGGGACATACTCTCGGTAAAGATGTGGCTTGTAAGATCCTTGCAAGGTCATTTAGTTGCTCAGATATCATTTATCAATGTCCGTACAGCCTTCTTGTACATAGCACTTTGAATTGCAAGCATTTTTAATAGCCTAGTGGCTACGCGTTGTGCCCCGAACGATTGTGGCAACACTGCACAGGTCATTTTCTACTATTTACGCCCGCAATATAGTACCAGGGATGAACAGACATCTCCCTAAAGCACTACACTGAAGGCCGAGTGGTAAGCCCGTGTTTTGAAATGTTATGTTTGAGTTGGTGAAAGCTGTCCTGCTTTACGTCTGGCCTAGCCACTTATGCGCAAGGCAGATTATTATCAGTATTCTATCTACCTAGCCGAGGAATGCGGAGTCGAAAGCAGAAACCGATAAGGCTGTCTTTCCTACAGTATCTTGTTAAACCGTGAATTATATATCTCGATCTCTCATCTCTCTGACCTTTTCTCATTTACTTAGGTAAATAATCTACATTATTCATGTTCAAGAACCATCTAATTAGGTAATTCTTCATATCCCAGCTGTTTTCCATGAGTCATTTACTCAGTATATTTAATACTGCTTCAAGAGTAACATTCTCTGTAAACACATTGAATCCTCTCTCAATAAGTGGTTCGGCTTAGCTGACGCTGTTCAAGCGGGAGTAGGGAATAGCGCTTGTGGAATGTAGTTCTTCTGACAAACCCTCGATTACTTGAAGAGTGGTATATCACGGTTTGTGTCAAGATATTGACTTGAACACACCTCCTTTTAGCCAAGTACATCTTTGAATCGTTTCTTTTGACGTCACATCTCAGGCAAAAGTGACTGATTCAAAGGACTCGATAGGACGTGTCTTGGCAATTTAGTACATTGGCCAGTCATTTTCGCTGTCAGCACAGCCCTGACGTAGGGAAACAGGGAAATTGCAGAGGCACAGCCTGTGCATTTTGAGAACGATCGTTGCCTGGTCTTGTGCCAGTGTAGTGCCAAGCAGAGCTCACTGCTTATTTATATAATCAATGGTGTCAGACAGAGCCTTGTTTTTGTCAATTGCTTATTCCCAACTTATTCCTCACGGCATTTGGCCTTCGTTTGCTAGCCTGACGCCTTCAAGCTGGCTATGTCGAATTGAGGAACAGCAATTTTGCGAAACGACTGAAGCGACGAAATGGCGTGCCACAAATTGACCCTCATTCTGATGACAGGCAGTCTCCTATCAGGAGTAGTGCTCTCCATCGGCCATCATTTGTTCTACGATTATCTAAACAATCGAATCGTTCAAAGTCAAAACCAGCAAGAATGGTTTTTGCGCATCGGTACCGGGATGGCCTTTTTAACTAGAGCATTGCTGTCAGCAGCTGTAGGAATTGCATACACACAGATTCTTTGGCGGACATTGAGATCCAAATCTATTACTATTAACGGCATAAACTCGATGTTTGGAGTTCCGCATAATGCCTGGGATTTCACCACTTCGGAGTTGTGGACTGCTGCGCCGGCTCTTACAATTATAGCTGCGATAGCTTGGTACGTAGGATCTGCCAAGTAAACAAGATTAGCTGCTAACGTCTAGCAAGGGCTCTTCCGCTAATCGCAGTTATCACACCCGCTACTCTGAGCATAGAGATATCCTCGGAGCCAAATATCACATTAATCGACAGTCCTATTCGCAATATCGATTACGATCAAACTCTTGGTTTGGTGAATGGGTAGAGAACAGAACCGTTGTCCACTCGGCCCATATCTCCAGACTACTCTTACCAGTCGCAACACTAGGCTCTATTTTAAACATACCCGCTCCCTTCCCCAACTCTTCATATTCAGTCGACTTTTACGGTCCTTCAATCTTATGCGACACTCCCAACAACGCTGTATTTATAGACCGTATCAGTAAGATCATCGCGAATCATTCAAACTCGGCGGGGAACGTGACATACGTCGGTTTTGTCCCGACTCTTCCGCAATCTGATTCCACTTCTCCTTTCGAGATCAAAACATGGGAAGACTATGCTATCGAGGGGCTTTACAGAGCATTGAATTATACCCTAGTCTACACGGCACCAACTCTTGATACAACTGCTTTTGAAATGGATCGAGGATTGGGTGAAAACAACCCGCTACATTCTACGTTGTTACACCAGGTGCACGGGGTCGGCAAGCCAAGAACACACTCAAATGTCAGCTCTATAACTCGTCATACGCGATCAACTTCACATTCGACAATGGTCTACAGGACATCACATACAAAACTGAAAGACTGAACGGGGTAACAGCCTTAGCCGCTGATGACTGTCGCTTCGGAAGGCGATTGCATCACTGCAATCCTGTTACAGCTTACTTCTCGCTCATGAATGCCATGGGGGAATTGCTTGTAGGAGCTCAATGGCATTCTGGCAAAGGGGTCTACCCAACACAGCGAACAGATATAGGACTAACAACTCTTGTCGAGTCTCCGGATATAAATTATTTCCATTATGAGAGACCGAAATCTTGGATTAAGAACGTGTCCATGGCTGATGCACTGAAAGAGCTTTTTACTAATGTAACGATAAGTCTCTTTAGCGAGTCTGAGTTCCTGTAAGTAAAGAGATTATGATCTGATCAGACCTTCATTTAACAAGATTTCTTATGCAAAACGATACCGCAGCATCTCACCATCCTATCACATGCTATTCAGCACAGAACGCATTTTCATACAAATCTCGCAACCTCTTTATTGCGTACGGTATAGGCATACTCTTTTCTTTAATCATTGTTATCTATGGACTATTATGCATCAAATCTGCCTCAGCATCGTACGCAAATTCCTTTTCGACTATTTTGCGAACGACGAGGAATTCTGACATTGATGTTGTTATCCCTGTTGCGGAAACGTCAGGTGCGGAGCCTTTGTCCAAGAATCTTGGAAAGGTCCGGCTTGTGTTGCGACGGCAAGGAAACGGCTTGGAAGGTGGCGGTGATGAAGCTACGTTCTTCGCTAACGACCCGAAGCCGGATGATGGGAAGACAACGGGCGAAGTAGCTCCTACTGAGTCGTTGCTGAAGCAGAACAGAGAAAGTCAACATTCAGATATGGTTGAGACATCGAATACGTAGGAGGGTTTGGATGTCAAGCTTAAAAACGGCACTCAAGGCCCCCTACCCACAGCTGAAGGCAAAAGCACATTGACTTAAGGCAAACTTTCTCTGTTGATTCAAGTTGGACATAGTTGTTGAAGTAGTAGAATAGCTGATATCATTATAAGGTCATAGACTTGCTCTTGTCGGATTCTTTCCGTTAGCTACTGTTAATGAATAGTGATATCCACAAGTTCATGCTCCGACCCTGAAACCTCTCCATACATAACGCCATGTGTATAACACTCTCCGATAAGCTTCCATTCCTTCCCGATCTCTCTGAGTATCATTGGAGTGTTGCAACCTCGTAAGATCACGATCCGATCACCTACCTCCGCGGCACAACTTCCCATACCCATTCTCCCATCTTCAGTCGCAAATATTCGTCGCCATGCCATCGCGTTGATTGCCCACGAGACGGCCTCGCGCTGCGCTTCCGTTGGGTTGTAATAGTTATCTCCAACTATCATCTTCAACCTTGAAACCATCTTGTTGCAGCCAAAGATGAGCTCTTCCAAAGTATAACCACAGAGACGAAGGTTCCGATTTCGCATCATGAAATTGTGTAGTCCGAAGCCATATGTCCACACCCCAGCGACACCTCTCTGCCATAGCTTTGGACTGAGTAACCATGAATAGTATTCTGGTGCCTCGTCTCCGCCCTCGGAAATGGTGTCCCCAACTATCGTCCTCCAAAGGGCATGCTTTGTTTCTTCGAAATCTCCGTAAATGCTAATCGAAGACAGAGTAGCATCGTCGCTGTTGAGTGGGTAACTGGCATCTGCTTCGCTCTGGTTACATGCACTCAGGGAGATGATAGTATCCAATACAAGACCTTTCACCGTAATTCTTGATCTCCCAGCTGAAAATGCTGGCAATGAATGGCCGATGTTCCGATCGGAATGATATAAACCGCCAAGCTGAGCTGTTGGGGCAGGGGCACATGTCCAACAGACAGCCCAGGAGGGAAGTTCGTGACGACAGGGTGTACCGATGGGAGTTTTCTCCCGTACTGGAGAAATTCCATCCAGGAGCGGTAGCAATAATGGAGCTACAAATTGGTTTTGTAAAAAAGAAGGCAGGCTGTCCAACTTCCAACTTGTTGTAACAAACCCACCCTGACCGGAAGCAAGGCGAAGAACGTTGAGATCGCCCTTCGATATGAGCTCAGACATAAAGCTTGTGTAGATCTCTGACTGAGAGATCTTATAATTCGGTGTAGTCTGAACTCTCTGGGAAATGGCCTTGATACCCAAGATGCCATAGACCCTATCCTTTTCATCCGTGACCAGTGAGTCCTGTGCCAGACTTAGTGCTCGAACAAGCCCTTGCCACTCATCTGAGCCAGAATCAGCTTTCTGAACTTCCTGGATCCGCATCATAGTTTGCTGTATCCTCCACATTCTCTCTGGTGCCCACGTCCTTCCTTGGATCACTCTACCTCGTGCGACCTCAAATGACCATGTTGAAAGTATCTGTGGTCGAACGCTGTCAAGAATTTCTCGACCAAGTCTCGACTCATCAGCAGCAATGATCTCCACAGCTTTATACACATCCTCCCAGGCAATACATCTGTCGCCACAGATCACAGGTGACTGAGGGTTGCCCATAGCTACTTCTTGTACCACCCACATCCGACGCCAATAAGGCCGGGTAAAGAAGTGGAACAATGCTTTGTAAACCTTCTTCTTCATTGGGCTATAGTATCTTGGCCACATTATGAACAAAGGCTTCAAGTCGAGAGAGAACCCCTCGTGATAGAAGCTCCCCATGGGTTCCGGCCGTTCTGACTCGCGAGCGAGCCAGTATAGAGCAGACAAAGCCAATGCGCTGTCTTGTTCATCAGGCCCCAGCCATATGACCACTTGCCATGCCAACTGGTAGATATCGCACATGCGCGCAATTTGCTGGCCTTTTTCCTCTGTGTTTTCCTGATCGATGCAAATGGCATCAGTCCAGAGCTTGAATCCTTGCCGTACTCTACAGCTCTGGCTAAGTTGTGCTAGAGCATAGTACAAGTTCGGAGTAACCTCAACAGGGCAGCCATCAACTGTGATAGAATGACAGGGTTCTCCTTCAGGCAATTCAGGATAGCCCCACACATAAGACAATGCAAGGAAGTCACCCCATTCATATTTCCACGGCAGATCTGCATCGACGGCCAGCGCGTCTTGCACAGTGCCTTTCGGCTCTTTTCCATAATGGTCGTCTTGTGCTCTTGGATCGCGAGTATCCTTGAACAAAGCTTTAGTATCATGAGTGGCTGAAAACTCAGGCCACGTTCTACCTCGTCCCTTGAACTGTTGGTAGGAGTCGTTCTTTGATGCGGGTGGCAAGCAAACATGTTCGAGCGAGCACGATATTGGTCGGCGCTTGGTAGTATTGTTCATATCTTCAACATTTGCAACCTCTTCAATCCTCAAAACACGAATTTCATTCCCTACCAACGGGCGATATTGGAGCTTTGGAACCATTTGAATGTTACGTTAAAGACTCGCTTATGTGACAGAACAACCGAACTCCTCTTCATCACGCATTCAAGCTGTTGGGCCGTAGCGTAGCTCCAGCGCTTAAAATGGGGCCAGAATAGCGAATCGGAAGAGCATCCTAACCCCTGCCAATGCATGTCATATTTAACATTTTTGCTGCTCGTTTATTATGCACAATCAGACCAGGCACAATATGGTCGAGTCATATTTGTTGCTTACACTATTGAAGTCTAGACCCATTACTGCTTTCGTTCTGCTGGGGGAACTATGCAAATGAAGCAAATCATAAGAATTAATATTCAAGTCCCCGCTACTATATGGATTAAGAAGGATGCAATGCTTTTGAGAAACTCTGTGAATCAATCATAGGGTTTGAGTGCTTGCGGTCATCTCCCATTCATCCATGGACCGCATTACAAGCGGGATATCAACAATTTCCAAAAGAGTAGACTCCAAACAAACACGCAATCAGTTTCTGTCAATAAATGAACGCCATTTCAGCTCCTGTGCTTCCCTGTGGACGTCAAGCAATCGGTGTGTGACTCGCATTCGCATAATTTGACGGGCACGCTCAGTTAAATCACCTTCATTGATACAAATAGCGCCAATCCACAATTTGAATCCCTGTCTGATTCGTTAGCAGCAACGAAGTTGTACAAGCATGATATAGGTTTTCTGTAATTTCAGCGATATTTTAATTGGCTAAGAATACCAAGAAACATCAAGGTTCAAGCTGAAATATGCAAGAAGGCCATTCCAACCCTCTAATGTATACTGAGCTCACACTGTGAAGTCATAAAGCTGCTGGTCCGTTTTCATGATGATCCCTACCACAGTACGTACTAATACCGCCCGCGACAAATTGAAGGCATCCCCTCCCTCGCGTAAAGCTATAGCATTTGCCTCTTCAGCGATACCTGCTGCTCTCGCTGCAACGTCCAAGATGGATCCAAAGCGGCCTAAAAATGAGAGCAATGGCGAGGCTCCAATAAAGAACGAACGCGACAGGCCTATGGACGAGCAGACCCGAAACTCCCAAACAATCAGCCAACCCTATCGCAGGACGATTAGCAATGAACCAACATCCGCTCACGCGTCTCGTCTTCAGACCATGCTCGACTCAGGATACGGAAGTATCACAGCAGGAGATGGAGCTCTTGATATGACTATGCTACCCGATCTACCGCTGCTTCCGCCAGACGGCAGTGGTATTGGCGCCCATTCTCCCGCTCAAGGTACTTCAATTGACCAGCTTTTGTATGAAGGGCACGGAGCAGTTCTCGGACGGTCTGCTGACAGGGCCATTCAACTTTTGACGGCCCTACAAGAGATCAATACCAGTTGGAGTGTGTTCTATCCCACGTCTGACGGAGCTCAAGGCGATCCAAAGACGCCCAATCCACGCACGAACCTTGTGTACACCCAATCGGCGACCTTGCCTGATACTACGACAATGCACCGAGAATCCCCTCGAATGATACGCCGATGCGATACTTTCTATCAAGACGATGCGAACTTCTTTATTATTATTTAAATTATATTCTATAATGCTATTAATATAAACCTAGAATGGTCTAATTTATCCCTTAAGAAACCTAACTATTATAGAAATATAAAAAGTTATTATTAATTATAGTAGAATATCATAGCTTGGACGAGTAAGGTGTTTATAGTTTCCCTCACCCAATTATTTAATACTACAGATTAATAACATATATAATAATAAATATATATTAGATTAGGCAGTAGCCCTTTATTTTAGCTATTTATCATATAAATAGGCTGGCAATTTCACCTCATACATACGACTTGGTGCTTACAAGTAGTCACCACGAACATATATAGAATGTAAATATGGATTACTCAGTTAGTAATGGCTAGCCATAGGTACCTACCCTCTAAGAGCAAATCTCATAACCGAGATAGTATTACCGAAATGCAGACATGGATATTATAATAAGGCTGAGTGCGGAAACTAATCATCGGGTGAGTGTCCTGGACTTTCCCGCTGCTATTAAGCCAAACAACCCTGTTAATCGCATGCCGGACGGCCGAAGCCTGCTAAGGTATTCAACACTCGGATGCTAGCCGGAAAGATAATTACAGTAAAATCTATATAGAGAGAAACTAAATACAGTTAAAGAGATTATATTTAGTTATTAATATTTAATTATCGAGCGATTTTACTATTTCTATGGCTTAAATAGCGTAAATCTCTTAAAACAGAATATATATAGCCTGAACTATAAGCGCGCTTAATCCCTCCAACGGATTGGTAGCCCCACATGTTATGGTTGTGCGGGGTTTGACAATTCAAGGCGCATGGACTTATTTCATTTATTTCATCCTTATTCTTGAGTCATTTCCGCACGATACTGGATGGCATCACTTAGAGACGCGTGAAAGATAACTAAAATACAGGGAACAAGAGTTCCGCAGCCCTAACACGGAATGCAAGACCATGAACCATCCGACATTGTGGAGGAGACAGAGCGTCCTTTCAATATGGAGAGTCTCTGGGCTAAAGCCTACAAGATAATCCAAAACGACGAAAATCATTCTCAACTGCTCGACAAGTTCGAAGCGTATCTGCAAAAGACAGGGGATGGTATGTACCCAAGAGTTTTAATTACCATGAGGAGTCTAACCGATGATAGAGGGAAGAGAAGAGATCTCTAGTAGTTCTCAGAGTGTTCAAAGAGTCAAAGACATCCAAAAGATGGCTGAAAACAAGCTCGAAAAGCTGCCAGAAAGTCGCACCTCTTTGTCAATTGGCGGAAAGCGAGTCATTGTCCGAGAATCTGTTCAAAAAGCCATCCGAACGATTACACAATTCAAACCTCTGATTAGTGGAGCAATCTCAGCTGAACCTCATGCGGCTTTGGCATGGGCTTGTATCCTAGGCGTTTTACCCGTGAGTTCTAGGCAGTTCTACTGCTGGGTTCGGGCCTCGATGAAGATACTTAATACTAAATGGGCCTTGGTAGATTCTAGAGAGCATATTTCAACAAGACGAAGCCGCAGCAGACGGACTCGGTAAAATTGTGTTTTTGCTTGTCCGGTACCAAAACATCCAGGATACAATCTTGTCTCGTAACTCTGGATACGGAGGGTAAGCTTCAAATTCTGTCCAGATCGCAGCTGAATCTTAGACCAAGCTCTAATTTTTCAAGGCAAATCGAGACCACACAGCAACTATATGATAACATCGAAAGCAAACTTGTCAGCATTTATGCAAATGTCTATATGTACCAAATTCAATTTGTATTGCAATATGGACGCAGTAAATGGCGCCGTAATCTAGGGGGTATTTTCAAGCCTGAAGACTGGAAACAGAAGTGGAACGAAATTGATTCTGCCCGGCAGCTTGTCGATCAAGGTATTCAGGACCAAGTTGGTGCTAGAATATTGGACACATGGGAAGCTGTAAAGAAGATCGAAATAGAAACTACGGAAACCTTGAAAGTGGTTCAGGGTATCAACGCGAGGTCCGAGGAGATTCAAAACGCGCAGAATTCTACCATAGAGGTAAGCAATCATGATCTCAACACACTGTCTCTATGCTGACGTTTGAACCGTCTGACTGACAGAGAGATTTACTGCTTTCATTACCTATTGCTGCAAATGCCACTTTTGATTCAACCGAGGTTCTGGGAGCCGAGAACCCTTGTCTGGAAGGCACCCAACAGACCATTCTCGCCGAGATCCAAGAATGGGCCGAGGATCCCACAGGAGAGATGATATTTTGGCTTCATGGTTTGGCCGGAACTGGAAAGTCGACCATTGCCCTGACTGTTGCGGATGCCTTGAAACAGAGGAGGCCATTTACAACGGGTATTGACCCACCTGAAAGAGCATTCCTCGGTGCTAGCTTTTTCTTTAAGCAAGGTGATGCGTCCAGAAACCATATTCAGACCTTTTTTACTACTCTAGCTATGTGTCTGGCAGAAGTGTTTCTGGACTTCAAATCCCTAATCGCTCGAGCGATCGACAAGAATCTAACAATTGGAACGAAAGCCCCGCAGCAGCAGCTTGAGAATCTCATTGCCAAACCTTTCTCGACCCTGAATGAGCAATCACTCGTGGCCCTGCGGTTGGTAATCGTAGTTGACGCTCTGGACGAGTGTCTCCTTCGAACCGAAGCCGAGAGTCTGATAATTATGCTAGTTGGGCAGCTTAAAGATCTCCAACATGTGCAACTCCGTTTCCTCATTACCAGCAGGAGTGAGAGACACATTATGGGTAGATTCGAGCAGTTGTCTAAAGACCTCTATCGCTCGGTGTTTCTCGAAAAGATCAAACAATTGGAGCAAGGAGATGACACGAAAGACGACATCACATTATATCTTGCGTGCACCCTTGCTAAAGTCGCCAACAAGCGCGGTGTCCCGGTAAGCTCTATTACTGAAAGCACGATCAAGGAATTGAGCAACAAGTCTGACGGTCTTTTCATCTATGCGGCAACTGCATGTCGCTTTTTAGATGCCGAAGACTTTGATGACGAGGAAGCTAGACAAGAGCGTCTGGATTTGATTTTGGAAAGCAACTCTGACAGTGATGAGTCTGGAATAGATGACTCGGACATAGATGACTGGGAAGCCGGCTCCCCTCAAAACAAGATTGACGAGATCTATCGCAAAGTCTTGTCATTTCCAGACCGCGAAAGAATGTCTCCTAGGACGAAGCAAAAGATATACAACGGTCTGGGTATGGTACTTGGCTTTCTTGTAGTATTCTTCAAACCTGTCTCTACGCTTGTTCTCAAGAAATTCCTGCCCTCCTTGGCTGAAAGCATGGATCAACTGTTGAAGAAGCTTCATGCCTTGGTTTCCGTCCCACAGGACGAAAAGACTCCGCTGGAAGTGGTGCATACTTCATTCCGAGATTTCATTCTCAGCAAGAGGCGATCAACACAGCTCAGGTTTCAAGTTCAGGAAAACAAAATGCACAAAGAAGCTTTGGTTCGTTGTCTTGATATCATGTCTTCCGAGCTTCACGAAGACATCTGCGAGTTACTTTGGCCAGGAATCACTCATTCAGAGATACCACAGGATCGAGTCGAAAAGATGATTCAGCGACATTTAAGATATGCATGTCGATACTGGGTTGACCATCTTTCAAACCTAAGCAATGAGGACCGAAGGAGTGTCGGGCTTGTAGATGGTGGAAGTGTCCATACGTTTCTTGAAAGTCATTTCTTACATTGGCTCGAGGCCATGATCCTGATCAAGGAAACCGCATCGACTGTTCTTATACTCAATAAGCTACAGATCTTAGTCCAGGTAAGTGCTCCTTGAAGAAGTTCCAGTGTAGTTGTTTATGGAGACCCAGCACTCGGATTGTCCAGATTTGTTTTCTTCAATCTCCTATATGAAACAGTTCATACTCAGCAACGTATGGATTGCCGACAAATTACCATTGCAGATATATGTATCCGCAACGACTTTTAGCCTCAAGGATAGCAAGGCACGGTCACTCTTCGAGGCTCACACACCTCGTTGGATTTCACAACTGCCAAAGGTTGAAGAACAGTGGACTTCGAAACGTTGCGTTCTAGGGGGGCATACTGAGAAAATAACATGCACAGCTTTCTCTCCGGCTTTTGATCTTGTCCTCACTGTATCACTTGACCGAACAGCTAGGCTGTGGGACTCGGTCACAGGAACTCAGCGATTTATTTTTGAAAAGACAGATCCAGATGCATATACTTGCGGTGCCTTCTCGTCAGATGGGAAGGCCATCGGACTGGGCACCCGTTCCGGAAGGGTCGAGGTCAAAGAGTTCTTAAATAAGAGATCAATTCAATTAGGGGGTCACGAAAAAGGCGTTGAAGATTTGACCTTTTCACCGAAAAGCAGCAACGTATTTGCGTCTACATCTAAGAGCGGGGACCTCAAAATATGGAGCATTGATGGAAGGTGCACGGATCGTGTCTTTAGTATCCGCAAGCCTTATGGGACTGACGAGCCCCCTTCTTCTGGTGACACTGATCCTGCAAAGCTTCTTTGTCAGTTCACACCCAATGGAAAGTTTCTGATAGTTGGAGGGACTTCGGTCAGTATGGGTATGTGGGATGTGGAAAGCGGGGAGTGCATCAAAGTATTTGCCAGTGCCGACACAACTTTCATCATGGATCTCAAAGTTTCTCCAAGTGGAAACTATGCAATAATCCTTCAAACACCTGAGATCCGGAGGCTCGACGGTGACAACAACACTGGTAATGACAAAAGCAGTATAAGACGCGATGGTGACGACGACTTCCGGTGCTTCAAACGCATCGAAAATTACATGAGCATGTGCACTGTCACCATCATCAACCTTGCGACAGAAGAAATCGAATTTTACTGCGACGAAAACAAACAGGTTCGATGGATTTCGATGTTACCACAAAACGAGAATCACATCATGGTGGGAAGCTATGACACCATCGAATTACTTGACACCAAGACTTTGTCAAAAGTCATGCTACTCGACACGTTTAGTTCGGGGCATTATTTTACACATTCTCGGGACGGCAGGATTTTAGCTACACGGGAGTATTGTGACCTTGTACTCTGGGACATGCCACTAGATGCAGCCGCAAACCGACCTTCTGACACATGTGTTCAACATGTCAATCCGATGGATCCTTCTGCAAATAACAAGCTTGGGCGCATCCCCCGACTTGAGGAAGACGGATACGAGATTCATGACTCAACTAGGAGCCGAAAGGCTCTTCCAATCAATGCAGTAGAGTCAATATACTTTGCGCATGATGGGAGGTATATTGCGTTGGGATTTGGCAAGGGGGTATACCAGCTCTGGAATAAGAGCATGACTACACGAATATTCCCTTTCAAGGAATTGCAAAAGATCATCTTCTCACCCAATGTTAAGTCCATTGCCCTGGTTTCGACGAAAATTGGGATAGAGGTAGTCGATAGCACGACCTTGGAGGTGATAATGATGTGTGAAAAGACACTCGACCTAGATGTTTGTGATATTGAGCTTTCACCTGATGGTCGGACTATCTGCATCTCATATGTCGACTCCGAGGCTGGAAACTGTTCAATCGAGTTGTGGAGTGTGATATCTGCGGAGTGCGTTTGGTGGAAATGTTCTCCAATGGCTATCGATTCGCTGAGTTTCAAATTCTCACCAGATAGCAAGTTCTTGGCTTTTTGTTGGGGTGCTTGCACAACCCACGATCCTGGCTTATGGATCATTATGGACCTTTCGACATCTAAGGAAATATTGGAAGACTACTATGTCCAATTAGTCTTTCATCCTAAAGCTCAGCTCTTCGCGGTTATGACCTTTACGGAGGATGCCGACGGATACATCGAGATTAGGCGAATTTCTTCCATGAGCTTGGTATGGAGAGTTGAGTGTGATGTTGATGAAGGCGTCCTATGGATGGCTTTTACACCTAGCGGGATCGTTGTCGTATCAGAAGATGGATATGAAGGCTCAGTGGCGATAGTCCGGATGTGGGACATTGAAAAAGGAACTGAGATTGGAAGTTATACTATTGATGGAAAGATCGGTCCTTTCTGGATCTCAGACGATGGACATTTGAGATGCTCAAATGGTCGACTTCCTCTGCCCTCATCCTTTCTTAATCAAGGCGACAAAGACCCGGCGAAGACACGAGAAGATGAACAGGATCTTCTCTATTTGGGACACCGATGGATATATCGTGGACTGGAGGAGATCATGTGGCTTCCTCCTGCTTTTCGATCTACGGATTCAGTTTTGAATGGTGATACGCTTGCCATGGCTTACAAAGAGCGCGATCTGAGACTTATGAAGTTTGACCTGGCTAAAATGCCAGTTCGATGGGTTGGCTACACGTAAATATGCAGCGGTGTTAGATAGGTTCCAGTGACACACTGAAGCGTTTATTGATACTTCAAGTTGAGGACGTCGAGCCACGTGATCCCTAGGTAAAGATCCTAGATAACGAGAAACCACTACTCGTTGTCGCACTTTTGTATCTACGCTCGACTCTTAACAATCTATAAGGATTGCAAGTAGGGCCAGGGTTGGTAGAATCGTGAATGTGTCTGTCGAATTCAAGCGGCGACAGGAAGATAACAATTAAGAGCCGCCAAAAATGAACGATAATGGACAAGAATATAAAAGGAAATACAACCGTAGTCTAAGGCGTAATCGAATAGCTACCAAGTATCAAATCCATTTTACTCTTAATTCGCGCCTTTTATCTTCTTTTCTCCGCCACATTCCATCATCAGTCCAGTGCGAGACTCAGGCCTGTCAAAAAGCTGCTTACGAAATAACGTTACACCCTACTCAGGAATTCGCCAGAAACGCATTCAACTCAGAATGGCGCGTCAGCCTCGCTGAACTACTAGAAGCATCCTTTCTTACGAAAGATGATGTGTCAGATGAGATAAGAGGCGGGGATCGAAAAGCAATACGCGCCGGATCGGTAAAAACCTTTGTTGTGCAGCGTACAAGGTGATAAACATGAGGCTGCATCGTTGCAGCTCCTGCCGCCAACGTCTGCCTAGGAAGAACTTGAGAAGGAAAGTTTCATCGTGATATTCAGAGAGTTTCCCTCAAAGACGCCCCCAGTGACAGCAAAAGCATCTTGGACGACAGCCGCTCCGAAGGGTCTGGAGATGACAGCACTCCTAACGGTGATGACGATGATACCAATGACGATCCTAAGGGTAAAGGTAAAGATGTCGAAAGTATTCGAGACTTTGATAAGCTGGAGGAGTCGTTGCGCAGGTTCACTTTGGATAAGAGGGCTCGATCCAAACTGGCTCCAGCAAAACACTACTTGCTCAACATGTTGAACGACATCAGTATCCTTGCAGCGGTAAATTGTGAAATTGCCCAATTGTAGCTTGACAAGGGTATCCAGGCCCTTCAGGAGCTGGAACCTCAGCTCGAGAATATGAAAGAGGCCATCCTAGAGGTTGACAAAAAGACCGAGGATATCATCGAAACACTGCACGCGGAGGTTTACAACAGCACGCGGGCGACTCTTACCGAGGTTATAACCCATGCTGGTGATCGAATCGACCACCTTGACATCATGTATCCGGGTCTGCTAAGCGTGATGAGCTATTCTGAGGACATCAAAGATGCAATCTTGACAGATATTTCTGACTCTGTTGTAAAATGCGAAGACCATGCTCGGACCAGCGCAGTCAAGGGGGTCCGACGTGATTAAGCAACTTGGACTTCTTCATCTTGGTGACGAGTACCAGAATCTCACCTTTCACCCAGCTGCTATGTTCCGTCGTAAGCGAGATGAACTGGCAAAACAAATCCATATCTCTACGGCATTCTCAGACTTCGTTGAGTGGCCACTACTATTTGAAGGCGACAACCTCACCAGCGTCGACGCCGTGCTCAAGATTGCCACAGCTGTTGGTGGAGGTTGGATTGATATTCAAACTTGGATGGATCAGGCTTTCATGGCAGCAAGAGTGGCGGCCAACGTCAATCTTCGCCGGGCTGTGCTCTCTGGCATTATCTGCACCGGTTAGTTCAAGACTTTTTTCAACTGCACGGAATCTAAATGATAGCTTTTAGGACTCTTCACTGTGGCTTGTATCATCTGGAGGATACCTACAGTCCATCCCCGTCGCATTTCCGCCAAGATTTCTGCCAAGCTTGCCGAAATCGACTACGTGCATGCCAACGCAACTCGTATTTCGGGCAGTGTGCGCAAGGTTCTTCGTATCCCCTACAATAATATGCGGGTAGAGCTTGATCGTGCCTTGAAGGATGTGGGAGAGCGTCGGGATGAGAACTTGCGTGTCAAGACCGAGAGTAGTATTGCCCTGAGCTACCTGCGTAACTTGGTTCAAGACAGTGCCAAACAAAGGACTGCGATTGAGGGCCTCGAGTTGGAGGCACATCCACAGACTTGATGGTCTAGTGGTGTTTCAATGATATAAGGTCAGTCTTCTTCTACCCAATCTGGAATCAAGGCCCTTTTGCTGACGACTTTAGCGACAATTACTTTGACATTGCTTCGGTAATTGTTGGGAAGACTCTCTACTTATTTGTACAATATTGTGATTATTAGCGAAAATGGTGATTATGAAAATGAGGCCACGGATAATGGATGGTTAATACTACCCTACTTTGATATATAAATGCAGCCTTCTTATTCTCTTTACAGTCCATACAATCCTATAAGTTCTTTCCAAGAACGATCTTCTAGGAACTGCGTCGCAGTAGGTCGGTGCTCGGGAAGATACGAAAGGCCCCGGCTCAGGACAGATAAGACAAGCTCAAGCTCTCTTGCGCTGATATCAGGTCGAAGAGAACGTATATCGATCCGAAGAACCATCTCGGGATCTGGATGTCTATCTTGGTCATACCATGCGAGGTCGTTTTGTCCATCAGCATAATAAGATCCGACCCACGAGAGAGGGAGGGGTCCTAAGATATTGACCATACGTTCGGTCACTAACGCGTGACTAAAGCCGGGAAACAGGCAACGCTTCGTATACAACTCGTAGAAAAGACACATGTAGCTCCACATGTCAGAGGCATAGCTCGGGTTACGGTCGTGTAATCTTTCAGGAGCACAGTACGTAGCGGGCAGCTGTAGCTTCTGTGCCACTGGAGTACCGGCTTTGACTGCCAGGCCAAAGTCACCAAGCCGGATCGTGTCTCCCAATAGGCTCTCTTGGGGTTTCATCGGCATAACGAGCTCGCCATCTTTCCATTGCTCGGTAAACAGTCGCATCTTTCGAGGCCGTCCAACCTGGGCATACTTTTCAGTTATGCTGCAGTTGTCTAAAGCATGAAGACTGTATAGTATATTGGCCCTGTTTAAATCTACAAGTGGCATTAGTCCTGCTGGCCTCCTCCAACGGTAAATAGATTGAGGGAACAGTAATTAGCTGTTGGGTAGGCTTACCTCCGTGCACGATTTCGCCATCGTGAAGGTTTTTCAAAGCTTGCAGCAGTTGTACTGCAAAGGACATACGGGTAGCAGGTGGTTCTTTGGGCGGATGTTCTCGGAGGGTTGGGCCTAGCAAAGGGAAGACTAGAACTCGATGACGACCGTGGGGGCTGTCTAGGAGAAAAGTGCTTCGGTAGACCACAAGATATGTGGTGTCTCGTACAGCACGGACAATCTCGCGCTGCATATGATATTCGCGATCTTCCGAGTCCCCTAACATTAAGGTTTTGAGAGCGACGTCCTTCTCTTCAGTCATGTCATATGCCATCCAGACAGTTGAGAAACTTCCGTAACCGAGTTTGTGAATGATGCGATACCGACCGGCCAAAACCTCACCAATCCGGATAGGGTAGCACATACCCGTGGGGTAGAGATTAACATCCTCAGAGACTGCCTCTATGTCAAACTCGTCCTCAGAGTCTACAAAATCGCCCCAATCGTTAAAGTTGTCGCTGTTGTGAGTAGATTCTGCGTCAGACAGCGATATCGTATCACGGGATGGCAGATCTGCACTTAGAACCGACGTGCGATCCATGATCAGGTGGTTAATGGTGTTGATGGACTAGCAGCCATGCACTAAGTAGTCGTTGGATTGGTTGTAATGCGGCGTTGGTGGGAGAAAGGTGGGAGGAAGCATAGTAGACTGTAAATCAAAAAGATTGTTGAGATGTCAGAGATATCGCGCGGGCAAAAGGAAAAACACCGGTTCAACTTACCTCATCCCACCGTACCTAAATATAGGTAACCTTAAGCATAGTATCTGGCAGTAATCAAATTATTGTAATCGGACGATACTGTGATCGGCCAAGGCAAGTAGATCATGCAACCTTATTGACCCTGGTGGTCACGGCCTAGGTCGAAGCAAGCGCCAACAACAAAGCTTGCTAGAATAGGGAAGCCTGCTGGTCCTTATGGTTATATACTAAGGATTTTGGGCATTAAGATGTGGATGGTTAAACAAGTTAAGAGAATATTCGAGACATGTATCTAAACATCCTTCATACTTTTGAAAAGTCTGTAAAATAAGGCATCACTCTCGCCTCTATTTTTCGAAAACAAACCATTGTTTCCAATCATCTCAGTGATGCGATAGAAGAAGTGAAGGATAGAGACTCTTGTGGCGTAGATGAGTTTCAACATAAGTCCTTGCTTCTGGGTTGGAGACGGGAACAGAGTATGGTAGCGCCATATCTGCACTTCTACTTTGCTCGCGACCTGCTTGCCAAACATAAAAGCAGATTACAATCTCAGAAAGAACACATCAACCTCCTCCTTGGATACTTGTCCAACGAATTTGGCTCTGAGTTCAAGGAAGCCGAGGATCTTTTCTCCAGAGGACTTGTGACCAGAAAGCATTTTCACAAGTTATTTGGGCCAAGAGAGGTCCTGGCCACCATGAACGGAGCAGGCCATCAGATTGCTATGGTTTCCAGATATCCTCCCTTGCCAGGCTCGGACCCCATTAGAGTTGAATGCGAGATAATGGACTTTAACGGCAGCTTTGTAAAGTACAAAAGGACTGTCACCATACCTTGGCCAAAGAACCTCTCGGAATCAGATGCGGCCTCAATCGGATCTCTCGGTGCCTTCCCTATAAGATATGATACACCCCTTAAGGACAGGCTAAGGAAGGGAGGGGAGCTCTTCTGGGAGTTATGAAAACGCAAATTGATTCAGTACACTGCCCCAGACCAATTCCTCGAGTACCGGATGATAATTAGAACCCCAGTTTTTATAACTAACAGTTGCTAAAACTATCGGACAGAAAAACGGCCGCTACATGGTCGACGTCGAAACTTATCACCGTTCTTGTGGAGAAAGCAAATCTGAAGATCCCAACACAGATGAATTCGTTGCACAACTCCGTATAACAGACTTTGACCAGTTCACTCCCCCGCCTACTGAAGAGTTTGTTCTCTTAATGCCACCAACCATCTATGGCTTTGGCTTTCATGATAAGCAGTGGAGTCCGTACCTTGAAACTGATAGTATTATACCACAGGCACTGATCACCTTTTAGGAAAGCTCGATGTCAGATTCACAGCAGAGATCCTTTGGAACGATCGTGTATTTGAGATGCTGGTCCTCCTCCAAGAAGAGAAGGACATACTCAGTGCCTCAGTTCTGAAATCTACATCATCACATGAACTCGAGATCGTGAGTGGTCGAGGGCCCAGCGTGGTGATACTATTACATGGTGAACACGGAACAGGCAAGACGTTCGCAGCGGAAGCCCTAGCTGAACTATCAAGACGGCCATTATACCGATTAACCTCTAGTGATATTGGTATTGAACTCAAAGAAGTCGAGCGGAACCTCAGTGAGGCTTTCTATCTTGGCGGTATCTGGGATGCAAGTAGGTGTCGGAGCCGTAGTTTCAAACAGTATGCTAAGCTAATCATTACTTCTTATTTAGTTATGCTAATAGACGACTGCGATGTCTACTTGGAAAGAAGAGGGGAATCCGACTTTTCGCGCAACGCAGTCGTATCCTTCGTTCTTCAAGCATTAGACTACCACCAAGGTATTATCATTTTAACATCAAAAGGTCAGTAACAAAAAGCAAAAGAAAGAGAACCCGGAGCTAAATTATTAACAGGATCTTTTCTGGACCCTGCTCTCCGGCCTCGAGTTCATGTATCCTGTGACTTCAATCGTGATGACGATTAGGGAAAAGAAGTGTGGCAGAGCGCTATGAAAGCCTTCAATTTACACACAAATGAGCACGGAGGTCTCAACATCACCGATAATATCCTAAAGTCTATTCTAAAGCACAATTCCTTGATGTTGTCTGTTGGTGAAATTCGGAACGTCATTCAGACAGCAACGAATCTGGCAACAAAGGAAAATAGGCGTGCAAACGCTTCTGGCATCGGAATGGCAATGAAAATCATACAAAAGAATCGGCCTTATTATTAGATATTGGATGTAGACAATAGTTAGTCAAATAGACTTAGAATCTGTATAATGATTAACACCTGTTATAGATGCATAGCCTTGATGACTCGACTTCTCGCAAGACAACGTTTCGCGATATGCAATACTTCGTCGGCAGCCCCCGCCACCGAAATAAGTCATATAAACCCCGCATTGCCCACTTCAGTCAGACTCGTCAACAGATTGAAGTTGTTTGCTTCCTTCCAGAGCCCATTTAATGTGTTATCTCCATGTAACTATCTTTTCCTTTACGAAGCAATGAGACTTATCAACACTGACACGTTGTCTTTCGAGGAATTTTATGGCAATCTTCCCAAATATGCAATCCTGTCACATACTTGGGGCTCAGAAGAGGTCACCTTCCAAGACTGGGCTGACTCGAGCTCCATAAAGCATAGGTCAGGGTATACGAAAATCGTTGAAGCTTGCAAACAAGCGAAAAGCGATGGATATTTGTACGCTTGGGTGGACACCAATTGCATCGATAAGACAAGCTCAGCTGAGCTCACAGAGGCTATCAATTCCATGTTTGCGTGGTACAACCAGGCCGGTATTTGCTACGCCTACCTTTCAGATGTGCCGACTTTCAAACCGATCTCGTTCGCCGAAGGATTCTGTCGCAGTCGCTGGTTCAAGAGAGGATGGACACTGCAAGAACTCCTCGCCCCTGAAGAAGTTGTGTTTTACGCTGCCGACTGGTCGCGCATCGGAACCAAGGCAACTCTCGTACGCGAAATCGCCGAAGCTACTGGCATAGATATCAAGTATCTCTGCCCAGAAAAGAGAACTGCAGCTGCCACGAAAGATGATTGGACTAAGAACCTCGACATTACCTGCCATGAGGCCTCTGTTGCTGAGAGAATGTCGTGGTTGGCGCGTCGCGAAACAACAAGGATCGAAGATATGGCCTACTGTATGTTGGGGATATTTGGAATCTCTATGCCCCTTCTCTATGGTGAAGGACAGGGGGCGTTCTTACGACTCCAAGAGGAGATTATCAAGGCATCAGATGACCACTCCCTCTTCTGCTGGTCATGGACTATGGATGAGGACCAGACGAGCTTGCTATCCCCACGACCCCATAGCTTCCTCGAAGCTGCGCATTATCAGCGTCGAAGGTCAAACGCACAACCATCACCGTACTCTATGACTAATGCCGGTCTCTCGATTCGTCTTCCTGTAATAAGATGCTGGTCTTCTCACATCGTCATCCTGAACGTTCAGATCCCGGATACCAACGAATACGTCGGGATCGCCATATCAGGAAACTTTTCCTCACGTGTCTTTTCGAGATGCTCCTCCCCAGGTTCACCCATCCCTCTTCATATCCCGAGGGGCTATGATCTACTAGATGTGAATGATGATCCGAATCCAAGGGATATGTTTTTTCAAACACGACAAGCTGTCCCGAAGTCAATAAAACATCCTTCTCTCAGAGTCAGCAATCACTACAAAGCTGGGGCATTATTATCTTTTAGCCCACGAGCCAATTTTCTCGCCATCGAAACTTTTCCTCCCGATCGCTTCTCTGAGAGCGACAGCATACTAGGCATATGCCCAGCTGATGATACCGCTGATTCAGACTGGGTCCGGGGTTGGACTCAACCAGATACTGCCTTCGTTGGAGCCACCATAGTCAGGTTCTCTCCCAAATATGGATTTGGAGAAATGGTTCTTTTCGCCATAACGAGCGAAAAGGCTGGCTCTTATCTTATGCCCCAGTGGCACTGCTTTAACCTTGCACCCTTCTTTCCTCCGAATCATATCGATTCACTTGATTTAGAAAAAGTTGCCTCTCAATATTCGAGAGTCTTAGAAGGACTTGTTCGGACTCCAGGACATACTGATGATTCAAGTGATGATTCAAGTGATGATTCAAGTGATGATTCAAGTGATGATTCAAGTGATGATTCAAGTGATGATTCAAGTGATGATTCACGCGGGATATCATGCGGTATAGCTGCCAGCGGGTTTACGACCACTGCCGCCTCAGTATTAAAGCATATTCATATCAGCTATATATGCCCAGACACTTCGTGCTGATTGATGTGTGTATCTACAGCATTCGTTAGTGACCTCAAAAGGGAGATTAATTTATTTCACGTCGCTTGCATTCATAGTACTTCGGTCGTTTAACTCGGCCTTCACGTATATATTTGTGAAAGGACTAAACAAAACAGACACTAGACAAGATTACAATTAGTTAAAATTGCAATCACTCTTAATCAACCTAGCAAATAGCTACTGAGATACGAGGATAGGTTTTCCAATACACGCTGACCGCTAAACAGCTGTCTTCGCGAAGCTAAAGGGCGAATTTGATAACGAAGAAGCCAAGATGATTGGCCTGGTACGCAATTCTCCTCATAGCTCCAGATGTCAATGCTAACTTCCATCTGTCTAGTGCCAATGATCTGAGCTCTCACGACAAGTAGGTAGACGACATCATCGAAGTCTCGAACACAAACCCCCAATTCCCCATCATCGCCGACGCCGAATGCAAGGTAGCCTTCCTCTACAACATGATTGACAAAAAAGACCTGGACAACATCGCAGAAAAGGGCATTGCTTTCACAATTCGCTGTGCTTTTGTCATCGACCCGGTAAAGAAGATCAGATTGACGATTATGTACCCTGCATCAACAGGACGAAACTCAGCTGAGGTTCATCGAGTGATTGATTCACTTCAGATGGGAGACAAAAAGGGCGTTGTTGCACCTGTTGATTGGTTGGTTGGTGATGATGGCATTGTTCCCTCTTCTGTCTCGACGGAGGACACGGGGCAGAAGTTTGGTGATGTTAGAGAGGTAAAGCTCTACTTGAGATTTACCAAGGTTTCGATGTAGGTATAATTCCCCGATCCAATGCCATCGAGGACATGCTCCCTAGGATAACTCTTTTATACATTTATGAAAAGTATTATGAACACTGATGGTGCTCTAATAAACTGTCCTAGATCGACAAGACCAATATTGATCTTAGTACCTCCCAGTACCTGTGTCTGTATCATGTACCGACCTATCCTAAACTTCGTGTTGAACAACATCTGCGCTGTCATCGCCACTTCATGGCTTGCTGGTCTCACAAATGCGGGGAACCTTAGCCAGCTGTGCTATGGAGATCCCCCGTCCCGTCCCGTAGGACTACCGATGTCGTCATGGATATTGCTAAGGACGACGTTGAGTCATTGGTTTCAGGGTCGATCCAGTGGCTCATAACTTGTGAAGAATTGACTTTCAGGGTGTTTCAATTCCAAGACCAACAGGTTGCGACAATGACAGACGAAAAGAGTCCTCTCATCTCGGAGCCGCAGCGGCGTGTTACACGATCTATGACCAACAGACCCTCAATCGACACAAAGGTGGTAGTCAAAGTTGAGAAATACAAGAAGAAGACACACAAAGTTCCTGCAGGAGTAGTACTATCGGCATCTCGAATACCCCCAATCCACAAAGGCCGATTCGGCCTTATCCAAGAAAGCGTCGCGACAGATCTCTACGCCCTTCTCGTCGCGGCCGTCCTCTGGAACCGCACCCGAGGATCCCAAGCCCGTCCAGTCTTCCTCAAACTCATCTCAAAATACCCGACACCGCACGACCTCGCCGACGCAGCGTTCTCAGACCTCGCAGACCTCATCCGTCCTATCGGGCTGTACAATTCCCGCGCGGCTCGGTTCCTCGCATTTGCCAAGACGTGGGTTGAGAGTCCGCCGTGTAAAACGATGCGGTACAGAAAGCTGCATTACCCCTTGAAAGGCGATGGGCTGGATATCGGCAAGGATGAGGTTTTGGATGAAGCTGATGAGAGACACGGCTGGGAGGTGGCGCATCTACCGTCCCTTGGACCGTACGCCATTGATAGCTATCGAATCTTTCACCGAGATATGTTGAGGGGGTTGGCAAAGAATTGGGATGGGTTAGATGCAGCGCCTGATTTTGAGCCCGAGTGGAAGAGAGTTGTGCCCCTTGATAAAGAGTTGAGGGCGTATCTTCGATGGATGTGGCTCAAGGAGGGCTGGATTTGGGATCCTGAAACTGGAGATAGAGTGAAGGCCTCAAATGACAGGATGGACCGGGAGCGTGTAAGGTCAAGGAGTTTATCCCCTGAGGGCTTTCGGGTGATACGGCGTTAGAACCATGCAGGTATCCGGTACTTCACAGGGAATTGGAATTGAGTGGTGAACTGCAGCCCTCGGCGTCTTGGTGATAATATGACACTTCGGAATCTGCAATTAAACACATTTCATTTCATTCTGCATCTTCCCGCAGCCTCTGAACAGTTCGGGGATCATCACCAACATCAAGCTTTAGGTCATACTACGTAGGTATCCAGGTCTCGCCTGTTGCACTGGAACATTTGGGTAGCTGGCTACAGCTTTGACTTAACCCTGCGCATTCCGGGTCGTTGCAGCTTCGACCGACGGCCCGTCGGATTGATAATTGTGAGATTATTCTAAACCTTGTAACACCTCTTCGGGCAGGGCTTACGTGGTAAATATCGTTCCTGATCCCCGCCATCCGAGACATTTGCGAGCCGTGTCTTAGATCCCGTTAGTCTCTTTGACTGATGGCTTTGGCTAATTGGCTGATTGTTGAAACATGAAGTCCTCTGCTTCAATGTAAGCCTAGCTTAGCCAAGTAAGGGGACTGAATCAAAGGGAGAATCGTGCATGAAGCACTGGCATCTCTACGGGTCTTGGTTGGTACCATACATACAGACAGACTAGGAAGTGCCACCGGAGACAATTGGAACGGGATGTTGCCATATCCCGTCCTAACCGACGATCCGCTCGTAATCATGTCTTACGATCAGCAGGGACTGCCAACAGTCTGTTTGAGTATGTAGATCTTGACTTGATTGAGGGGAATGCCTCCGCCGCCATCGTGAAGAAGGCCTGGTAGGACAAATCATGCACAGAGGTGTTACTCAACCCTGCGACTGTTTGATTTCGTATGATGTGAAGATCGAGGGGTTTTGAGATTTATCATATCACTGTTTCCGATACTCGTCGGACTATCGGTACCCGAGTGAAATCTATAAAGTCTGTGGACCAGTCTGCATATGTTCAAACCATCCCCATCACACAACATCACAATCAACATCATCCAACACCAACCAACTCTATTCACCATGAAGTTCTCCATCGTCGCCACCGCTCTCCTTGCCCAGGGCATTGCCGCCATGCCCTGGACCTCCGTCAAGAGCCAGTCCAACGGCGAAGAGATTACGTATGCTTTGTTCCAACAATCACAAGACTCCCATCTTCACTATATCATTTCATGTTTATCGTGCAGTTACTGACAAGACACAGCCTGCGAATCCAGGTCTCCGGAGCCGGCTCCGAATCCAAGTACACCCCCGAGCCCAAGGGCGCCATCGACCTCAAGAACGCCGACGTCTGCCTCAAGGTTTGCTGGCCGGACAAGCCCCAGTGCCCCGAGGGCTGGGTAAGTAAAACCCAACTTATGGTGTTTGCCACATCGCTAACTTGTACTATAGAACGCAAAGAAATTTGTACAGTTCTCAAAGTGTAAAGGTCCTAGTTCGTTATGGCTAACAAATCCTAGGGAGACAACGATTACCCTTGCTGGACTTGCTGCAAGACCTACAATGAGGGCGACCTTTAGATGCCTATCAAGCATTCTGTCCGGAAGAGGATATATGTTCTGATGTGAGAGGTTGGAATTGAAGATCGAGAGGAAGGGTTGGCTTGAGTAGAAACTATGGACACTCGTTACTTATACACACCTATAAAACCGATATACAATTTTCTCGTGATTGTAACCTCGAGCTAGACCTGTCCGCTTGCGATTTGCCGAGTATGACCGATAGCTCGTTGAACCATGTCTCGTGAACCATTCAAAACCTTGTAACACCTCCTCGACTTGTTTGGTGGGAAATATTTCGTGGTCTCCCCTTTCGACTCCTGGCACACTCAAGGTGGTTCGTGTCTTGGACTTGCATACTCTCCATCATCAATTTCATCTGCTTAAATAATCCCTCGGATATCTATTATAAACTATGCCTCCACAAATTGTAGAAATGAACAAAAGGAGCTTCATACATGGAGTATAATAATATGTTGGTCAGCTTGATTACAATGCATGAAGACGTTCCACGAACTGCCCTCGGGGCTCTTGAAAAAGAACGTCGCGAGAATGAGCTGCCCCTGTTTGTATCTTCCCTCAATGATGAAATACGCCAAGTGTATTGGAGTGAAAAGGTCCCATCGTCCGAGTCCAAGGCGGGGTATACTGGGCCCTTCACGGAAAGATGCATAAGTGGGTTGGACAAAGAGTACACCGAGAAGCACCGGAGTGTTGCTCAGTTCTGCAACTGTCTGCTTGTGTATAATTAGGATACAGAGTTACTTCGAGACCTGTGGTGAGTGTGACCAGGTGTTAATCGCGATCCTGACTTGCGAGTGAAGTGATGGAAGTCTATAAAATCCAAGTGCCGGCCCACGCTTTCTCTCGACCTAAAATCCTCATCACCACCATAATCACCATCACAATCAACACTATCCAACACCTTTCAACCCTTTTTCAATATGAAATTCTCCACCGTCTCTGCCATTCTTTTTGCCCAGGGCATCGCCGCCATGCCTTGGTCAACTGTGAAGACCACCCAGTCCAACAGTGGGGAGATCACGTATGTTCTCCCATTATCCAAGCCCCAAACCTTCTGAATCATTCCATTACGCATTTTACTCACATCGACCAACCCAGTCTCCGAATCCAAGTTGCTGGAGCTTCCTCCCCCAGACTTGGTCACTTCGCCAAGCCCAAGGGTTCCATCGACCCCAAGCACTACCCCATCTGCCTAGCTGTTTGCTGGAGCGATGAGAACCGATGCCCTGAAGGCTGGGTAAGTATCTTAAAATCATGATTCTTTGGACATATTGCTAACTGGCTCTGTAGCGCGCTGTCAATAATGTATTGCCTTCTAGTTGAAACTTGATAACGAACGATGAGCTAACAAATTGTAGGGTAATGACCAGGACCCTTGCTGGACTTGCTGTCATAATGGCGAGGACAATGATCTTTAAATGCCGATCAAATGCCGTGCTTAGGGAAGACATGCTTCCTAGCAATGCGAGGGTGCGGTGTAGAGACACTCAGTGGGGGGCTTTCGGCCAGGATAGATACTATGGACACTCGTTGCTAATAAACGCTTATAAAACGCATATTCAATGTATGGCGATTTTTATCCAAGTCTCAATGGAGATCTGTCCGGCCTTTTGATGTGTTTCCGACTTCACCACCATGACATGGGATGAATGGCTAACGGGTAGATGATTGGGTTAAATCACAGAACACAAAATCTATCATCTTCGCGGTGCTGGCACTGCAGTGTTGCAATCGATTTAATAGGATGATTTTCTTACAACTGAGAACCAGCAGCTCTAAAAGCAGTATTAAGAATGGACATGGTTTCGAACTGTAGTCTCGACAACGCGAAGGGGCTTCATCACGTTCCCGATGTCTAGAATGTTTGGGGGGTCTTGGCACAATATCAATCTCGATCCTTTTCAGCCAGCGCCACATCACACTGAAGAGCTTGGTAAACTCCACCTACCTGCTTTCCATATGTGGCTTGAAAAGATTCTTCATTTTGTATATAAAGCAGTCAACCGCCCTTCACCACACTCTCCCACGGCCCAGCATCTCTATCCCAAGCCCCAGCAAAATGCACACACTCCAGACTCCATACAAAGTTCTCGACCGAATGATCTCCAAAGCCAAGTCTCCATTCTGTGTATGGAGTTCTTCTAGCTCCCCCGTAAACCCTTGCCCCTTCGGCTCCGCTCAATCGCATGATAATGCCCAGATTCTGCCAAGCTCCGTTCCTTGCATCGCCGTGATCGGCGGCGCGCTCCACTAGTCGTAGACTCATTTTGTGATTGGTTCGTGGACTTTGACTTTTCTGCGCTAGAAATCTTTGTCGTTCTAGAAATGAGCTAGAAATATCGGCGGGAAAAGGTTTGCTGGCTTCCCGGAATGAGGCTGAAAATTGTTCTGCCAAGCGTGAAGCAAGCGCGCGGCTACAATGAGGCTCTTCGCAAGCATCAACGACAATGTCTTCAATCGGCACTGATTTCGTATTCATTTTATCTGGGGAATACCCCTTCTCGCCCTTTGTGGAGAAATGAGTCTGGAGCAAAGAGGATCAAAAGCTCAAGACTTCCCAGGCCCTTAGTGGAGACGATAACGTAAAAGTTAGCAAATTCTATTAAACCTCACGATCTGGGCCATTGCTTAATTATCATCCTTGGCCGATCTCGCATACAATTGACCGCAAACATGTCATGGTCTAATGCTAATACAACAGCTTCGATTTGCCCGAGTTCGGTGCGCGCCGGACATGCCATAGCCCATCTTCCCCATCTCCAATGTTTGTGGGCCGACTTAACTCGGAACTAAAACGACTTTTTTTTCTAGACCGTAGTCGGCGAATTTCTGTTAGCTTGTCGCCCCCAGAGGTGAGATTAAAGTGGTTTTTATTTAAACAATGCCACTGCCGTACTCTTCAAGTGTTTGTTTCGTTCATCGTTTGACTCAATTGGCATTTACTTGTACTCTCTCTCTTTGAGCCTCCCTCTCTTTCAACACTCGATATCCCCTTCAACAATATCGATCTACCATGAGCCACGCCGACCCTACAAGCGCTGCGGCGCATCCCGAGGACCGGGAAAAGGGCGTCACTGATGCTCCTCCTGCATTTTCTCCTGCGACAAAAAATGAAGACGCTGTTCTCGCTCATGAGGATGCGGAACTCATCGACTACAAGACATTGACGTGGTGGTACGTTTAAGCACCAATTGCGCTACTATCGCAATGCTAATTATCCACAGGCAAGGCGGCATTGTCCTCATCGCCGAAACCGTCTCCCTCGGCATTCTTTCTCTTCCCTCAGTCCTGGCCGCCGTCGGTCTCGTCCCCGGTATCATCCTGATTCTGGTCATGGGCTTCCTCTCAACATACTCAGGTCTCGTGCTGGCTGAGTTCCGCGCCGAGTACCCCTTCGTGCAAAACTTTGGTGACGCCGTCGAAGTCATCGGAAAGTCCATCGGAATGGGCCGTGTCTTCCAGGAGGTCTTTGGTTGGGCACAGGTCATTTTCCAGGTTTTTGTCATGGGCAGCCATCTTCTGACGTGGACTATCTGCATCAACACCCTCACTGGCGGATCTACTTGCACCATCGTTTGGGCCGTGGTTGGATTAGCCATCTTCTGGGTTCTCAACCTGCCCCGAACCCTCAAGTACACCAGCTACATGTCCATGGCGTCTTGCATTTCCATCACTGTTGCTGTTCTCATCACCGTCGGCGACGTCGCCCACGAGCGACCCATTGGCAGTGCCAGTATCGAGATTGCCCGTGAGCTTGGATTCACTGGCGCATTCCTGGCTGTCACCAACATTGCCATCTCATTCTCCAGCCACTCTTGCTTCTTCAGCGTCATCTCCGAGTTCAAGAAGCCCGAGGACTGGCCCAAGGCCCTGGCTTTCCTCCAGATCGTCGACACCGTCCTCTACATCCTCGCCGCCGTTGTCATCTACGTCTTTGTCGGCCCCGATGTTCCCTCGCCTGCTCTTTCTGCTGCTGGTTCTCCCTTGATGCGCAAGATCATCTGGGGAATTGCCATCCCCACGATTGTCATTGCTGGTGTTATCTACGGCCATGTCGCCTCATCCTATATCTTCCAGCGCATCTTCCGTAACACCAAGCACATGGTCCGCCGAACCAAGCTATCCACCTTTGTCTGGTTCGCCGTCACCTTTGGCACCTGGGCGCTCTCCATGGTTATCGCCGAGTCCATCCCCGTTTTCAACAACCTCCTGGGTCTAATCTGTGCCCTCTTCGCTTCCTGGTTTTCTTACGGCCTTCCTGGTATCTTCTGGCTCTGGATGCATTACGGAAACTGGTTCAAGGATGGAAAGCAGACTTGCCGCTTCGTCGCCAATGTAATTCTCTTCCTTACCGGATTTTTAATCTGCGTCCTTGGACTGTGGGCTTCCATTGAGGCTATTGCTCAGGGAGGAAGCAAACAGCCTTGGTCTTGTGCAAGCAACGCTGCGGAATAGATTGTTTTCGTTTGAAATGATGATGATTAGATTAATATGAATAATACCCTTTTTCGTTTTTACTATTCCTTGCGCGTATCATGAAATTGACCCCAGTATTGATGTTTCATTGGTGAAAATTAAGGCTAAATTTTCCCGCGGTGAATAAGCTTACCTTCGACCTTGTTATCCAGGATCTAACATGCTAAAAGCTTAAACTATAGGACTAGCCACTTTTATTCACCATTATCTGCTCGAACTCGTCTGGGGTGTTTGAGCTATAGGTGGCAACGAGGTCTTTAACAGACCTCCAGATGCTCCAGGGATTACGGTGGGTTGTCTTTCGATTTGGGGTGGCCGCTAGGTTCAGTCTCAAATCTTCCGACTTCTTTGCTGTTGGATATCTAATAAATCTCAACTAGTTTGCCACTGTAGTTTCGTACATAGGCTCTGGGACACTGTAACGTTACTAGCTGTTTAAACACGTGCAAGTGATTTCCATTCCAAGTACATTCTTATACGAACCGCTTCACAAGATACTCTGAATTGTACAGTCACAAATGACTAACGACTGACTGAGTTCTTTCCCTTCATTTCTGCCTATCATTTGTTTCAAACCTGCCCACAGGCTACATGGTATAATCCTCCCCCAATCCACAATGACCAATCCATAATCACTTCAGAAGCTTCCACGAAGCAGTCTCGGCCCAAATTCGCGCATACCACTGATGCAGCTCCTCAATATGTCCCGGCATAGGACCCTTGGGACCAGGCACCTTGCCCTCGCTTGAGAACAAAACGCTCTTGAGCCTCAACTCAACCTCCTCACGCGTCTTGTCGATGGTGGCGCTGATCTGGAAAAGACCGTCGGAGGGACGCAGAGCACTGTTGCGTGGTGTGTCGCCGCAGCGCACGGTGATGGAGTTTGAGGTCTTTTCGACTACCTCGAAGTGGTCCGTGATGACGGTTCCCCTGTCGTAGGTGCTGGTGGCGAGCTGCTCGTTGTCCCAGAGTTGGTTCTCAGTCTCGGGACCGCGATACTTGAAGTCGAGATATCTGCGCTGAATAGCGTAGCCTGGGCACGTGAGCGATAAGTTTCACTGAAATTGAAATTAGAAGCTACTTACCCCATCCACTCCAAAGACCGCGACAGAATTCAAGACTCAAATCATTCTCCTTCTTGAGCAGTTCTGGGCGAATCTTGCTGAAGGGAATGCGCTTGATGCAGACATCGTTTGTGGCGGGGTTGCCGTTAGGATTGGCCCTTCTGAAGAGCCTTGAGCTCCAAATGGGATCGTTGGCTGGGAGCGGGGAGACGACGGGGTTCTGAGAGGCGAGGTAGGCAGCGGCCGTGGAGGCGCCTAGAAGGCCTGGGAAGATAGTTTTTCGCACTATACGGAAGACAACCATTTTGAGAATTTGCTGTGAGTGGTTTTGTGAGGGTTGAGACGAGGTTGAGGCTTGAGAGATAAGAAGCTTGTGCTTGTCGGTGTCTGTGTCGGCATTTTTCGGCCAAACAAGGTCGGTGGATAAATGTTGGTCCTCTCCACTTTTTGATTGGCTGGTTTGAGCTGCATCATGCGACTGATAAGTGTGGCTGGGAATAGCATCAGATCACGATCAACCATGCATTATTAGCGTCACTTTTGGTAATCTACCGCTATCACGTTACTTCAGCCAAATTTATTCTCTTTCAATGTTCCACCCAATACTATCTAAGATTCTGGTGTTCCTGATAGAAATCCCCTTAATGACTTTGGTAGTGGCCACGCTTGGCAATCCTTAAACATCTTCACTGTCATCCTCAGGGCCTCCCTTTCCCACGGGTCAGTGAAATAACTACCGTACATCTGTATAACCAACATGGCGCTCACAAGACCCGGTTGCGTATCCGGGTGTTGTATTGCTGTACCACAAACCTCGAGTAACAACTTCTTCACCTCCCCTTCAGCAATGCGATACGCAGAGCGGACATCTTCCGATCGGCTATACAGGTCAGTACGTTGGATAACAGAAGTCCTGGGGAGCTTACGAGAGAAACGGTGACTCGCCGACCAGAATCATCTTTGCTATCATCATGTGCTGCATCCCGGTGAGGGCAATGGGCGATGCATACCACATTGTCGGGAACACTTCGCCTGAGACTCGATCTGGAGGTCGAAAGAGGATCGGTGTGAAACGGCCGCAGACATGCTGATCAAGATACTCCTCCTGCTCCTTGAGCTTCTCTGTATGTTCAATGCTTAGCTATCCACTTCCTAAGACCAGATCAAGTGTACTTACGCCATCCGCTCTCAGATTTGTCTTCAAATAGCCACTTGGTCACTTGACGTGTATGTAACACAAGTTTGTTTGCCGGGGAAATATCAGCCCATTCCGCTGGCGGTTCGACCATCTGTGGTGGAAATCCTTTTCTCAGGGCAAAGTAGACTTCCTGCCGCAAAGCAACCCAGAACGAAGCACTCAAAAGTTCTCGACGGCGAACCAGATCATCTGATGTCAGACTCCGAAGAACAGCGTTCAAGATTGCTAGAAAATTGACTCCCCCATCTAAGCGAGTTTCAATAGATGAATCTTCTTCTTCCTCGTCATCCAGCTCCTCAAAGTGGCGAAGAATCACCGCTGTGGTGACGATCAGCTCTCTAATCTCTCCATCTCGAGTAGTGTGAAAGTCCTTCAAGACAGGAATGCACTTGAGCATGTATTCAACTGCAGAACCGGGACTGAGATTAGGTAAGTGTTGACCTCGATAAACAATTCCTTGAGGTGTTCTGTATTTCTCACAACGGCATAGATGTCGCGTTGACATTGCGAGGATGGCGTTGAGAAGTGGAGGGTAACGTCGAGCTCGTTCGGGAACAACTAGCTGGTATAGTCTCTGTGGATCCGTCAAGTCGAACTTGATATTCAGTATCTGCATTTTCTTCAAGGTCCTGGTCAGCTTACCCAAGGAGAGAGCTCTTCGATGAAGTAGCGTAGTAAACAGGCTTCTTGAACCGAGTCCAATGGCACGTCTCTCCGCTCTGGAGGCTCGACTGCGTGTAGTATGCCACCCCATGAAGGATCCCTTTGAGAAAGCGCCAGGTGTTGCTGGGAAGAGTGGGTTTGATAAGATGCGGGAGCTAATACATGAAGTTGCTCGTTCTCCTGGGGTGATGTACTACTTGATATTACCTGACCAACATAAGACGAGTTGGTTAGTCCTGGCTCAGCAGGCTGACCTGAGAGCGGTGAAGAGTGGTCAGGTAAATGGTCGCCACGCCTGTTTATCGGGTTGTTAGAATGGCCACTCGAATCTTCTTGTGTGATAGGGTCTGTAGCAATGGCATCATCTGCCAAAGGGATTCTTTGTGTAGCTCGTCGAGGGCCTGTCTGTAAGCGGACTATCTCAGAAGTCAGAGTGTCTCTTCATATTACTGGCTGGAACTGATACTCACACTCTTTGACACTACTATTCACCCAGCTTTGTGTTCCTGAAAACTGGCCGTCGTACTTGGCCGAGGAGCCATTCCTAAATCGACGGCTTGGCCCCAATCGGACACATTCTAGCCCCCTGTTACGACACCGTGTGCATTGGGGAGCCTCATCGTCGCCTAACAAAGACGTCAATTATACGTGTCCCATGCAGGTATGGTTGTTGGACATACGGACATTTGAGATGCTTGCCTGAGGTTCAATCATTATTAGTCACTGGACACCTCTTTAATTCATTTCGTATACTTTTGCATTCTGAACAAGGCCTCTTCAAGGCTCGCATACTGTGTCACTGGGGGTTGACTTCTATTGTCAACCTTAAACCCGTTCCTTGTGAAAGAAACGGGAAAGAATCGCCCGATGGCTGCCGTCCCTGGTCGGCGATTTTAGCCAAGGCTCATAATAAATTCAATCTCGAAACACTCTTTTCCGGAATTAATCAAGTTGGCTTCGGATTTGATTGAGGGAGGCAAGAGACAGAATTCAAATAGTTAATCTAACTTAAATTAGACTTGGCTAGTTCAAGATGGAGATAAGATAAGATAAGGTAAGATAAGGAATATCTTCTTGGTTTCTGTAAAGGGTAAGTTCATTCCTCCTTACAACCTTCCAGTTTCAAGTGAAAGATTTATTTGATTTATGTTCAGAAATCTCTGGTTTAAATTTACTTGATTTCAAGTTTTTAACTATTCTTGAGCTTTCAAGCTTATTGGAAAACTGCCCGGATCGTAAATAATAACAATGTGGCTCAGGCCTTCGCACCCCTCTTTATGGGAGGAGTTGCACATTCTAAAATAGCCGAGAGTAGTTTCTCTGGTTGTGGCTAAGTAATCGAAGGTAAGGTAGATGTGATAAAGGACTGTGCCATTAAATAAATGTCGACAGAAACTTGCAAGCTGGTGAGTGGCTGTCTTCCTCACAGACAATTTTACGCAGTTCAATGACCACTGATATTACATAGAGTTATGCTATGTCGCAGAGCATCATCTGGCCCGCTGTTGGCAGTCCATAGATAAGTCTGGCTATCAGACTGAGGCGCACCACTCGAGCCACTAACCAAAGGCTACAGGTGATTGTGAGTTTGTTTGGAAAGTGTGTCTGATATCACATATGCAAGTTGATAGCCCGTTGATGGTTCGATGAAACATGCCATCGAAGTAGGCTTCGTCAGCGCTAATTTCTGGCACATGTGAGTGAAACAGATAGATCGAAGGGCCTCAACGTAAAGTGCACATTCGTAGGCTCATAATTTGCCATATCGACTTGGCATTTCAGTGAGCACCTAACTTCAGATTTATGCGGGTTGACGGGTACTCCTCATTGGAACCAATGGGACGCAGACACGCCATCTTGAGCCCCCACATCAGCTTGAAACTTGCCAATTGTCAGACTCGGAAGTAGAAAACGTTGTTAACTTTACTCCAACATCATACTTACTCATAATAACGAATGAAAGCTACCAACAGCGCAAGTGAGCCGGATCTGAGAACGAGGCGGATTCATGTCTTCTAACGACAACAATTCACTATGTCCGGACTGTCGAGAGATAGACTGGAACGATGTCGTTAAGAGACCGCTACGCCATGAGAAAGGTTGGAGTCATTCCACACCGCGGACTGTCAAGACCATGGAAAAAAGTCAAGAGATGATGGAAGTTTCAAAGTGTGGAATTTGCCAAATTCTCTCCACCATCAAAAATAAAGATCACATGGTCAGTTGGACTAACGGCGACTGGACACACCCCACACTTGAAGTCACGAGCCTTGACCTCGAAGGGAACGTTGATCGCTCCGAGTCCCGCCATGGCAGTGTCGCACTTCTCAAGCCATCTAACCAGGGATGTTGGTTGCAGCCATATGTTGCGTTGTTGGGCCCTGGGATAGACCCCGAAAACTCCAAGATTCCCCCGCTCATCAAGGACTTCGCTTGGATGCGGAACGCCATCTCGGGATGTCGCCAACAGCATAAGGACTGTGTCAATGCGGCCCCGTCCTTACCTGGACTTCTAGTGATTGACTGCTTGGCTAGTTCTTGCACTGTTTCTGTCGTTTCAGTACACGATGCATGCCAGTATGCTGCCCTGTCATACGTATGGGGAGGCGTTCTTGCGACAGCCACAGAAATCCCGGCCGTTGTCAAAGACGCTATCAAGGTGACCCTGGAACTAGGTCTAAAATATCTTTGGGTAGATCAATATGTACGAACGCAGCCAATACTTTACATGCTACGAGACTAAGCCCTGAGAATAGTGTATTCCGCAAAACGATGACGCACAGAAACACCGCCTGATCCGTGCCATGGATCAAATCTATAGTGCGGCTTGTGTAACCATTGTTGCAGCCGCAGGAAAGACATCTGCCGATGGACTACCTGGAGTAAGCACTGTTCTTCGACTAGACCAAATGAAAATTCAAATCGACGGCTGTACTCTCCTTGAGCTCCCGGCTGCCCTCGGCTCTGCCCTCAAGTCAACCTGGGTGAGTAGAGGCTGGACTTATCAGGAAGGTTTATTATCAACAAGGTGTCTTGTTTTTACCGACAGAGGAGTCCTATATAACTGTAAAGAAAGATTCGTCGATGAAAATTTACAGCACCTTGTTTCCTCCGAAGCAGCGGTATCGATGGAGGAGGACTACTTTCTACCCACCGTGTTCGCAACTACGAAAGCTGAGTTTGACCAGCTCTGCAAAAGGATTGTTCATTACACCGGGAGGCGGTTATCCTACCCCCAAGACTCCCTTAATGCTTTTCTTGGTATCTTTGCAGACTACGAACAACAGCAAGCAGGTCCAGTCTTATCACGGCGACCTAGGCCTGAAGTACCGTCAGTGCTCAGCTCGCCTTTGGACATTGCTCCGCAGCCGAGTCACATCTGGGGGTTGCCTCTTCAACTAGGAGCTCGAATGCTGTTGTGGGAACACTCTTCACCACCAAAAGAACGGAGGTCAGATTTCCCTAGCTGGTCTTGGACTGGATGGGATGGTGGTGTTGAGCTTGGGTCTTGGAGCACCCTCTGGACCACACATAGCTCCAAAGACCCAACATTTGCGCCAACATCCATCGAGATGACAAACCAGTTAAACTGTCCGTACGACCGCAGGGTTAAGGATCTGTATATAACGGGAGCAACAATAGAGCTAAAGTTCGCAACTCGGGACCAAACACAGCGTATAATTGACGGTGTGAAGCGACCATCTGATACTAGGTATTTCCCCAACTTCGATGTCGAGGCTCCGTATCACCATCGTTTGCTTGAGGCCTCCCCAGGGGTATTCGTTGCGGTTCAATCAACAATGTCCGCCTCGCCTGCACCTCAAGGCCAGACTATCGGTCTCCTTGTCACTACCGACACCGACAACTGTTTCTGTGCCTCCGGCATGATAGTCCTCCAGCGACTTGGCCAGAACTTCACAAGGATGGGTTTCATAAATGCAGGAGATTTATGGGAGCACAAGTCCATCAACAACAACAAAAGTGCCGTATCCGCGAGGAGACTGCTGAACTCTTCTATCCTTCCAACATACAAGTTTGTAAATATTGATGGCGAATTTGTTGATAAAGAAATGCTGCCCTCGTCTTTTTTCGATGGGCTTTCTTTTGGCCAAGACTTTGTACGGCAACGTATCTGCCTCGAGTGAAGAATGCCCCGACTAAGTATCATTCCGTATTGTTGGTATTTATGTTGGGTTTATTGAGATAATTAGATCTCTTACTCAAATGTGTCACCAGACTTAATATCAATATATCTTTCCGTGCATCAAAGCTCAAAGAAAAGAAATCTCTATTGCGTCTAATAGTTGTATGTTACCACTGGAAGCTCTCTTCAAAATACTCTATCCGCACCACCCCATTCCGCAATAAATCAGCCACCGTCTTCCTAGCATCATCCGCCATCTGCGCAGGTCCACACGCAACAACCGCCAGGCTTTCACCAGTAGCCTTCTCACTACTATTTCGCACCACTGAAGAGGCGTCTATTCGACCACGGCGTAACGTGACTTGTGATGGCCAATCACTCAGCTCATCTTGGGGAGTATGCGTTGTGAGATGGATGTCTATACTAAGATTCGCACTTCCCAATGCGTCGGCGATATCTGTTTTTAGGACGTCTAGTGCGAAGGCGGGTTCGCGAACTGCCCAGTGTATTCTTACAGATCGTGGAGCTGTTGAGCCTGTGAGAACCTGGAGATATGATAGTGGCACGACTATGCCACTGCCTCCGACGACGAAAACAACGTTGTCGAAGAGATGTAGAGGCTGGGTGTGTCCATATGGCCCATCGACAAGGACTCGCTGCGGAACGTTCTTGGGCCACTCTGCTGAAGCTGCATCTCGAAGTCTCGAAGTAAAACCATCATAAGGTCGAATCAAGAATGTCATTGTGCGAGAGTCCGTGCAGATTTCCTGGGGTTCAAGAGGATTTAAGCTTTGCTCGGATGAATTGTTTTCAAGCAGAGGGACTTGTTCTCCCAACAGCTTGGAGCCATGCTGACCCTCTTCTGTGACTGCGGCAACAGTGAACGGATGGCTTTCCCAGCACCGAGGTCCATTTAGAACGTGAATATAGTAATAGGTTCCCGGAGCGGGTTTGTACAGACTGCTCGACCAGGGAATGACAAGCCTGACGATGTTCGAAGAAGGGTGATACACGGACGTGGCCCATGTATCCCACAGCTTTGGGTTGAAAGCTGCAATTCGAAGTGCTCGGATGACACGATCGCCGACCCAGATGAAGCAAGGAACCCAGAAAAACACATCGTACTCGCCCTCAAAGATGGAAACGTGGCTAGATTGTGTTAGCTCATGCTTTTAGATATGGAGAGGTGAACTTACGCGAGCATGGTAATCAAGACAATGATTGACATAATAATGTGCACGACCAAGAATAGTTCGTACTGTTGACGTCGGATCCAGTAAAACGAAGCTCCTACAAGAAGCGACATGACGATGGTTGCCTAACATTGTCAGTAAGGAATAATAATACAGAAGACAAAGCACATACAATTTCGCCAACCCACCAAAACATGTAGGACCACCAGAACACGTAATAATCCCAACCACCCTCTAAGATCCAATCAGCATGATGTCTCCAAGAATCGGAAGTAGTGACGAACCTCTGAATATCAAAAGCGTATAGCCAATTGAATGGATAATTGCCTGAGCAGTAGAAATGCGAGCAACCCAACGATGGAAGTTATTATAAGTTCCAAAGTCCCAACCAGTCAACCACATAAGGAGATTATTCCTCATGCCAAAAAGCCAAATCAGTGGAAAGTTGGCGAATGAGATTACACCTGTGCGATCTGAGACGTATCGAAGAATTTGCTTCTCTGTAGATGGGAAACTACGATGATGTTAGTTGACTGGTTCCATCAACACACAAAAGATGCTAGCACTCACTACATGTTAACAGGAACAATCTTATATCCGTGGATGCTCAGAACAATGTTGAGGAAAAGGAAAGCAAAGAGCGTAAGAGACTGCAATCGAGGGGGTACTGTCCCCCATCCAACCTTCTGTGCGCAACGGTTTCCAAACGTAGCTGGGACTGTGAGGCGGCTTATGGCTGAAGAGTAGAGGTTCCAAAGACGTCCACCGGACTTTGAAGAGTGGTTACGAACCACTTGTAGGTTGGCGATTCGAGAAATGGCATGGTTGAGGACCCCGATAGCAATTACCACCACCCAGAAGATGATCATGACGCGACTGTTCACTTTTAGCAACAATTTCATAGATCCACAAGGGTGCTCCTACCCGTATAGATCATGATGCGTATATGTATATGCGACTGAGTCCTAAATTCATGATCAGTATTATGATCATGTCCAAGATCCACACTTGAAGTCGCTTACCAAAGTGTCCCACCAAATGCCAAACCAGGTCTCAGAGGGTATGACAACTTCTGAAAACAAGATCGCTCCCTCAGTCTCATTCTGCTCAACGCGGTGTATTGTCTTGATATCCTCTGCAGTATAATTTGAAATCACATCAAATGGCGGAAGAACAATATGAGCCTGCTCCCGGCACGTGTCGTTGAATGGCGTCAGACCGGCATCTCTCGCCCCAGGCATACAATAAACATCCAAGCATAAGTAAAGAGACAAAATCGCTTTCGGGCTGTAGCATAGCGTTGTTAGGAAGTTGGTGTGGTTGCGCAGCGTATCATCGAATTGGACCGGCTTTAGACACGTAAAACACGAATCATAGCATACTCTCTCCGGGGATCTATCTTCGGCTTGAGTTGAAGATGTCCATAATGAGAGAATTATGAGCAAAGAGCCCAAGGAAGACGGAGGCTTCATGGCGCCGCTGTTGGCCGAGAGGACGCGTTCGGCACGGTCGGTTTCGCGGGCAGGGGGGGTTTGAGATATTTTTTATCTGATCATCTGATAAACAACGGCTCGAGATCGGCTAAATATCACGTGTCGACAGCGGCAAAGACTAAGCCGTTTTTCCGTTCTCCACACTTGGGCTATAATTAGATCGACTTTAGAATTCATTAAAGAACATTATGCATACGTAATTATGATATAAACACAATCTTGTTCACTCAACTTGAAACAACGGCAATATGAACTGAATCTTGTTTACTCGAGATGAAAGAAATACACGCTGCTATTTAATGATTATGTCCACGACTATACTTTGCTCAACCTAAGAAGTGGTGTAGACACAGCTGGTACCCTTCTTGAGCACATCAGTGCGAGCAGAGAAGCCAAGGCACTCCTTCTCGCTGAAACCGGGGCGGTCGAGGCCAGTGTAAATCCAGACGTTCCAAGACTTGTCGGGACCGTTGGGGCAGGCGATGAAACTTGCGTTGTCCTTGCCGAAGACGAGGTTGCCAGACTTGTCGATCTTCCAGCCCTGAGACTCGCCGTTCTTAGAGACGTTGCCATCGCTGCTGTATTGGAGAACGCCCTGGCCTGATATTGTGTTAGCTTTTGTTGCATTTAAATCTTGTATGTCAAACTTACCCATGCCGGAACGGTCGGTGTAGACCTTCTGCTGCTTCTTGTCGGTGCTGTAGAGGTACAGCTCGCCATCCTTCAGGCGGAAGTTGGCGATACCATGGACGTTGCCCTTGCAGGTCGCCTTCTGCTTGTCTTCGGGAAGACCCAGCTGGAAGCCGCCCAAGGAGGCGCTGAATCTGGAGAAGTGGATGTCACTGCCAGAGCGAAGCGCAACGAGGTCGAAGACCTTCTCGTCGCAAGATTTTGTCTTCTCTGCAGGGGCGGCGAGAGCGAGGCCGCTGAGGAGGGAAGCTGTGAAGAGAGTCTTGAACTGCATGTTGACGGATTGAGATGTGTTTGGTGACGTGTGGTTGAAAGAGTTGAGGTGTTGAAGTGTTTGAGTGTTAAAATGTGATTGAATGTGTTGATAATGAGTTTGATTGAGGGACGCAGTGTAGGTGTTTATATAAGTTTGAATACGAGCTCTGCGTTGATCTTTATCAAAATCAATGGCAGTTGACATCATGCCAAGGGAATGGGCTCCAGTGCGGGTTCACAGGGTAGCATTCATTCCTAGTGGCTCGCCTAGCCACAGCTGAACTGGACGGCATTTGTGTAGCGCATTGCCACTCCCTTCTCCAGGGCTAAGGGAGTCTAGAATGGCAAATGCACAGCCGCTCCCGACACGGCTACGCCCCGATTGAGAATACGAGATCCAGAAAGTCTACACGTGGTCGATTTCCAATACGATTTACCTGCCGAATTCCGAGGATCGTCTGGGAATACTTTGGATTGGCTATAAATACCCACTGACGTAGGCCGAGCGTCCGTGCGATTGATGGGCGGGGGGTTGCCGAGACCCGATCCAAGGGATTTAATTCTCCTAAGAAGGTTGGGTATGGCTGGGCTAGCTGGGCACCTAGGCTCCCTAGCATAAATGTTTTAGCGAGGCGGAGGAGATATTCTAGAAGTCTGCTACGTAGCATCGACTCGGGGTCTCGCGCAGCCCCGTTCCGTCAATAAAGCCAGCCACTGGTGCCATTGGAACATTGATTCAACCCGCACAGTCCTATTGGATAGCGTCATGACGTGGCTGCCGGTACAACAGACACAAGTTTAAAAATAGAACTGCCATACTCTGTATATTGCACTAGTCTCAACAGAACTCATTCTATCGGATCTATTCAGACTTTGTCTGCTTGGCAAACTCCTCAATGGTTTTCTCGAAAGACTCGGGCTCGCGTCCAAGAATCTCCTTCATTGTTGAGGTCACAGGAGCAGTTTCTCCAGCACGAATAGCTTCCCATGCAGTAGCCCAAGTCCTTGCCTTTTCCTCGGATCCGAAATACCCCTTGATCTGCGGAAGATCCACGTATTCGTCCACGCTAATTTCCTGAATCTGGAACCCCTTGCCTGCGGTTCGTGAAAGAACCTCAATGGTCTCTGCCAATGTCCACGATTTGTAGCCGGTCAGTGTGACGATCTCGTTAGTGTACTTGAATGACGATGGCGACTTCGTATACGAGGCGATCAGACGTGCAGTGGCTTCACCCAGTTCGTCTCTTTTGACCCAGCTGACACCCGGGCCGCTTCCGTCATGCGGGATGAGGATCCTCGATGGGGGATTCTTGAGGTCGAGGAAAGATGTGTAGATGGGAAAAGACTCGCTGTAAAGGCCCTCGCGGATACTAGTCCAGGAAAACCCGGGGTGAGTACGAGCAAGCTCCTTCACGTACGCCTCGCTGTCCAGATGGGCACCCATGACTTCCGCCTTTGTAGAATCCTTGTTGATAGATGCAAAGCCCAACGAGGAGTAGAAAACGTGCTTGGCTCCAGCTTTTACCGCCGCATCAAGTGCCTTGGTCTGGACTTTAGTCCGGTACTGGTGGACATGGCTGGGGTATGATATCAGAAAAAGGATATCAACCCCAGCAAAAGCGGCCTCAAGTTCTTCGGAGGTCGACTCGTATGAGGCCTGACGAACAGTAGTGCCGTTTTCGACGTATTTTTCAGGAACCTTTTCAGGATAGCGATTGATGAGCGTGACCTGGTCGTTAGGGACCTGAGACAAAAGATGGGTGTAGGTGCTCGTGCCCAGAGCGCCAGAAGCGGGGAAGATTCCAATTTGCGTCATGTTTGCTGTTCAGTGCGACTGTTTTTTTTGTCGTATTGCAATTAATGATAATTTAGTTATAATGTCGAGTTTATGAAAGACTATTGCCGGTAATTTATCTTGATACCGTCGCAGTCTGTGACAAGTCCGTGGAGTTGCCCTGACTAATCCACTTGCTCAATATGACGTCTGAGATCTTATCCACTCCGAGAACTCCATCGGTCCATTTTCTTGCAACTCCGGAGCCTCCATCAGTTTCTCATTGGATGATATTCCATTTATCCTATGGTAAATGTGTCTAAGCCTTCTTGTCGGTTCTCTTAAGCCTAAGATAAGTCCACCAAATCTGAGCTTTGAAATCCGCGAACTTTGTCACAAATTCCTCCACGGAGATTTTGAGGAAGTCTTCTAGAAACGCATCGCCCCCGTCCCAATCTGCGCCCCTCGATTTCTTCAGGATGTCGATCCAGAACCACCCAGACGCTGCAATCAGATTTTCCATTACAGCACGGGCATACTTCTTGAGTGCTTCATCCTTCTTAGTGTCGCCGGCCTGGACTGTATCCTGATAAACCTCCCATGCCGGCTGCACAATTAGCTTTGACTCCATAACCTCAACTTCCCACAGTGGTGCTACAGTCTCATCTTCTAACGCAGCTCGCACTTCATCTGGAGTGCGCTCATGGCTAGGGAACAAGGCAAACTGCATCAACTCAGGAATTGACAGCTTGCCTTCACCAACCATGCGCATCGTGCCAGCTTGGATCACTTGCGCTCCCGGGTTCGAAGGCGCGGTCTCCCCTTCAGGCTTTTGCCCACCAATCGCAGTGATGAAGTACCCTCCTTCGCGGATCTCCTTAGCTCTAAGCTTGAGAAGTTTGATCAAGTCAGTGTGACCCGCTGATGCAAGTGCCTTGTGGCGAGCGGCGGCGAAGTCAGCTGGGGAGGCTGTTGCGTCTAAGCTGACCGTGGGAGTCTTCTCGAGATAGTTGAGAGAGGACCAAGAAAATCCAACATCAGCGTAGCTGGACGGAACGACCTGCTGGTAGAAGCCTCGAGGCACGAGACTAGGTGCGACAAAAACCTTCGAGTCCGTGTCGGCAAAGTGATGTGCGACTGTCTTTGCCAGACTGCCAAAGTCGTTGAAGGGCGTATCTTCGAATACGAGAGAAGCACTAGCACCATCTGGCAAAGTAGAGATGGCCTTTTTCATAGGCTCAATGCTTGCATGGTGTTAACCGTTGGAGTCTGAGTGTAAGAAGAAACTTACGAGTTGGCACCTTGAGCACATCCATAGTCGACCACAGTCAGGCTGTCTCCTATTCATTCTAGTGTTAAACCACGGCAATACCGATGTCTCTATGACATTGAGACTTACTTCCCGAGAAGTCCGGAATCAAGTACAGCCCGGCTTTCACTGCCGCATGTTGAATCTCGCAGTTCTCATTGTAATGCTTCTCGCGCATAGCAATGCGGACTTCACCCTGGTTCGATGACATGATGCAGATCTGTAGGGAGTTATTGATTGAACTAGATGTCTGTGTTTTGGGTAAATTGCTGCAGAGATGCGCCTGTCATCTTATACTCGCTCTTACTCGTATACAGTTCACACTAAGGGTTCGAAGGAATCAGGCTGTAAGCACTAATATACAGGTGCCTATCAAAACAAACCTATTGGCGATTGTAGCCCAATTGCTTACTGGTCTTGCGGGGTGATCGGATGACTGGCCATCTTATGTTCTGCTTTAATGAATCCTTTCTCTATTTCCATATTTCTTTATACCCAGGACGCTTATCCTTCTACACGAATTAAGCATTTGCGCAATTCACAACCACCATCGCGCTTGGGGCTTACTTTGTAATTCTTTAGCTTCCATACCCTATGTCCCCTAGATTACTCTTATGTTATCCAGTTACATGTCTTGAATTTTCTATGTTATACATAAAACCTTTAAGAATTCTTCACGCCGAGAGTTCTATACTATTCTCATGTGCCGATTCTTCGCAGAGCACTGCATCCATAATACGCTTCTAGGAACACTCCTGGCCAAAATCTTTGCCAGTAGATCGATCTTCGTGGGTCGCTAATGTGTGTACGAGCGCTTTGTCTGTTAGAAAATCGCAATTTGCCAGACTTTGAAAATAAGGAACAAATAGCACGAAAGCATCGAGGCTCGTGCGCCATCTACTAATTAGTCACAGCTGAGAAAATAGTGTATTTCGAGAAGTGGACACACATAGCTAAGGATATCTTAAACAAGATTTCGAATGTGGGTGACTCCAGGTCTTTGGACGGAGCAGAAGCCTAGCAGAATCAAACAGCTCGGCCGAGTCTGCCTTGTCTTACAGTGAACGCCCCAAAGTTTAATAAGGATAAGCTTGCTTGACTAGTATTCCGCTGTTCTCATACGGAAGGAATTACAATCTCAATGATACTCGGGGTTTGTAAATACACCGGCCGTTGCACGTGTATCACCGGCCATCGTTGAATGGCTGCATAAAAGCGGGTTGACAGGGTACACGATCTGACGCCGCTTCCATCACCGAGATGAAACGATCAGCCTCGCAAGACATTAGTATTACTCGTCTGATTGCATTGTAATTAATGTTCTGAGTATTGAAATCATTCTTGGGTGTGAGAAAGGCGTTTCTTAGGACGTGAAACTCTTTGGCTGTTGTTTGCCTGTTTGTTTCTTCCAAGAAGCTTGGTTCTAAGAGCACAAATATGGCAGTTCTACATTATGATTTGATTGAAATGAGACCCTTCGGACATAAGAGTACCATGCAGGTACGGAATGAAAAGCTGGGACCCTTGCTTTGATGATCGAGGTTTCTGCAGCTGCATGTCAAAGCCCCTTCCTCTCCTTTCCTTTGTGCGGAATCCCGGTCGGCCTTACAGAGTTATCCTGTCGGAAGTCTTTGTTTCCCGTTCAAATACGCACGGATACAGGCCTGTTGTCATAATAGTCAAGGAAGGACTGACAATCAGATACGTACCAACGATCCAAGGTTGACTGCTCGGCATTAAGCTTGCTATCGATCCCTAGTAGACCGTAGACCCACAAGCCGTTTTTACGCTACCAAATATCTATTTTCTGAGCCGTCCCGCAGAATACATGCTTAGTATATGGATACCTGTGGGATTTCCTTAGCAAGGTTCTGCTCCTCCCCGTGGCTGTGAGCACTACAGCTACTACCTTTCGAGTTGCCCGTGGCATGATGGACTATTTTCTATGGTCTGTATATGGCATATTCGGTCAGTGGAGGAGTTGAAGGAAGCTCTGCCCTGCACGCGATTCATTTCCCATCAAAGAATTCTTGAGGTTACACACTTGGTTGTATACTGGAAGTATCTTGAGAGGCATCGTTCACATGATGATGTTCTTGAAGATACCCAGCATGTACTTTCACTGCAACAGACTGAAAAGACTCAATACTTAGACCATTATATCTGTTGGACAGTATAAAGTGTCCTGAATATCCTCTGTCTTAAGATCCAGATCTCACACACAGACTCAACACTCCAGCCACCTCTACCACACTCACTTTCACTCTCCTATCTTCTCCGCCACATTCTTTAATACTATCAAAACTCCTTCTTGAACAATATTCTTCAACATGCGTTCCAATCTCATCACCGTCCTTGCCTGCCTCGGCCTCGTCTCCGCCATGCCTGCCAAGCGCGAGCCTATGGACGAACACGCCGTGAGGGCTGTTCTCAAGGAACTCGAAGTCCGCGGTGAGACAGTAGACCAGCTTATCAAGCGCGTCCCTGCCAAGGTCTACCGTGACGCCATCCCCGACTGCAACGACTCAGCCAACGATCCCAGCTACATGATTCCCAAACAGACCGGCTACAGTGTCGACCAGGGTATCAAGCTCCCCAAGAGTGGCAATGATGATGCTTGCACCACCGGCCATAACTCTGACCATTGCTGGACCGAGTACTACTTTGTCGAGTCTGCTGTTGAGTACTCTTCGTGGCAGAACTCGGGCGCTGCTATTGACTGCAGAACCACGTCGAGCTGTAACTCAGACTCCAGCATCGCTTCGCAGAGCTGCACTGCTCATACAAAGTCTTGGAGCAACGGTATGGACTGGCAGATTGTCGAGGCCAAGCTTGAGATGGTTATCCCGGATACTACCAACAAGGTCTCAATCGGTAGCAACGTCAAGTACCAGCACAGTGATGCTCAGGCTGATACCACGACTATCTGCACCACTGACTCTACCACCAAGTACGATCCCTATCCACCTTGACATAACGCGATGTGGTCTAACTGTGAGACTTAGCCGTTGCACCTGGAATGACCAAGGTTGCCATCAAGTCTGGTACGCTGACCGCACCAAGCGTATCTGGGGACACATGTCTCGTGTCTGCGTTGGCAAGACCGACGGCGGTAAGTCTCTGCTCTACCCAAGTCCACCCTTGATAGTAAGGCATTGCAAACTAATCACGGTGTTTGGATACAGAGGTCCAGCAGCAGACCCAGAACAAGAACGGACGCTGGGTCCGTGGCCAGGCTGAGTTTAGCATTGCTCTTCCCGTCAACCGCATCGTCGGCTGCAACGCCAAGTGTGAGGATCTCGTCTACAATGAGCCCCTCCCCAACGAGGGCATTCAGCGTACTCCTTTCGATGTGACCTTTGACTAGATGGCTGTGGTGGCTCGGGGGATGCTTGGGGTGATCTTTGGATACTGACTTTCTTCTTCTTTGGATGTTCTCCAGTGGCCATGAGGGACAGAACACGCCTTCTTTTACTGTTCCAGTTTCTTATGTCGTTTTTGTATGATTTTGCTCTTTAGATTCTCTATAGAAATATGCTGCACGGTTTTAGACAGATCATTTGGCGTCTCATGCCAACCTCTTTTCTGTTTTTGCCCTGGCCGAATTTGATGCCTTGAGATGTACCTGGCCCTATTTTCTGATGGTAAGTGCTGTCTTTCCAAAAGAAAAAAACAGAAACTAACCAATCGTACCATCGTGTGATGTTTTGCTAGCTTTAGCAACCACTTGACTAGAGTAGCAGGTATCCAGGGCCAATTCCCGGTATCAATCGTTGGAAAGTCATGTCTTCTCTTCCAATTGAATCTCAGAATCTTACCACCTTCTTAAAAGACGATACCAACAGACCTGTACCCAACACGCTTGTCAGAATCTCACGATCCTACAAAATCCTTCCTCTCATCCCCGTCACAAACCCCCGCAAGCATCGACTTTAGCCGCAACAAACACTAACTTATCGTTTCCCCGCTCCCATGACAAACATAAAAAACAAGCTTAATGGCATTAACCTCGCGGAAGCTTCGGGCTGAGGTAAAGTTTCTCTATTCCCCCGCTTCGCTGTTTCTTCTTTTCGTCTAGGTCCAGTACGACGCTGCGCGGATCGCACCCCAAGTTGGAAGGTCAAACGAAGGAACTCGATGCGCCAAGCTTCGTCTAAACGTATGACGCAACGTCTTATCGTTGCTCGTGGGCTGCATCTTGGACTTCACATTCCTCTTTTGGAGGTCTTTGTAGGGCGGTGTAAGCGCTAGCTTATCATGTTTGTTGCTTGTATGCTGAGTTTTGTCAATTCCCCGCATGAATTTGTGTGACTTATGACGAGGATGGGCAGGCCAAGACTGATATTCGGGAGTGGTAGATTAGTATAAATAGCATATAGTGCTCTCAAACGAAAAAGTCTCGTCACGGCTGTTTTGACGTTTGGGTCTTTGTTGCTTTTGCCACCATGTCCAAAACTCTGTCAGCTTGTCTCGTCGCTGCGGCTTGCGTCTTCGCTTGTCTGCCAGACAAAGATGAACTCGCCCATCTCCGAGCCAGACGTCACGCAAGAGAGCCCCGTAGTCGTCATCTCAAGCGCGACGTCGTAGAATATCCTCCCGTTCTCACCGACACCGAGAGCATTCTCGTGAACTCGTTCGATAACAACTCTGTTTCTGACTGGTCGCTTTACTACTCCTCGGGATACCGTCTCGCTGGGCATAACAGGTCTCAGGCGGAGTGGACGCAGCAGAAATGGATCGACCTAGGATGGGAATCTTGGATTGATGAATATTGGATTTGGTACACGGAGCCGATTGAGAGTACCCTCAAGTTGAACCGTCCTGATGGTTCATCTCACCAAGTTCAAAGACTTGAAGATGCTCTGGATGTTGATCCACAAACGAACAATCCTCATGAACAGCCAGCCTATCATGCTCTTTCTGGGAGTGGAAGGGTGACTGCGGAATACATCTACGTGGGGTGAGTAGCACAGCTACCAAAGACCCGTTCTCTGCTAACTATGTGGTAAAGCCGCGGTTCTCGGGACGACTTCAAGAAGCTTAAGGACCTCGGTGTTGAGCTGGAGGGTAAGATTGCCCTTGCGCAGTACGGCGGTTCGAATCGTGGAGTAAAGATCAAGAACGCTGAGGTAAGTGCAATTGATCTCTCAAATGGGAGTGGTACTAACGGCATTTCTAGGCGCATGGCATGATTGGAACCATCCTATACACAGATCCCCTGGAGGACGGTGAGATAACCGAGGCAAACGGCTACCTTCCCTACCCAGGTTAGTAAAATCGACACTATCTGCAACAAGTCTTTGTACTGACACACCTCCAACCCAGACGGTCCTGCTCGACACCCCTCATCTATTCAAAGAGGTAGTACACGTTGGGGCTCCCTCTCATTCGGCGACCCCTCAACCATTGGCTACGCATCAACCAAGGATGCTCCCCGAAGCGACATCTCTCCATACGGACCCAAGATCCCTTCTATTCCCATCAGCCCCAGAGACGGTCTCCAGCTTCTTCACGCCCTCGACGGACATGGCCTCTCCGCCGAGAAGGTCAACAGAACCAACTACAAGGGCGCGTTCTCCAACGTGACCTACCACAGCGGTCCTGCCCCTGGTGCTACGCTCAACTTGGTCAACATCATGGATGCCAGACTTGAGCCTGCTTATGATGTGCTGGCTTCTATCAATGGAACTAACCCCGACGAGTATGTCATTATTGGAAACCATCGTGATGGATGGACTGGAGGCGGTGCGGCCGATGCTGTCTCCGGTGGCTCACTTCTCATCGAAATGGCAAAGGCTTTCGGAAAACTCGTTGATCAAGGCTGGAAGCCCCGCCGAACCATGTAAGTCTATTCAAGTCCAGGCTTGATTTGAGATTCTAATACCAGTATAGTATCCTAGCTTCCTGGGACGCCGAGGAATTTGGACTTATGGGCAGTACTGAATGGGTTGAGGACCATCTGCCAGAACTTATCGACAAGACTGTTGCGTACATCAACCTCGACACAGCGGTATCTGGACCTCGGGCTGAGATCGTCGGCTCCGGAGAGATTCAGACTATTGCCATTGAGACTATGAAGAAGATCCTCTTCCCCGAGGGATATGGTGCTGGCCCGACGCTATACGATGCGTGGTTCAATGCGACGGAGGGAGTTTTGCCTGCTATGGGTAGCGGTAGTGACTATGCTGCTTTCTACCACAACGGCATTGCCTCTGTAAGTATACACCGTGGTTTGATATTCTTGAAGACAAGCTGACATCCTGTAATAGCTCGATATTGCTGGAGGTCCTGGACCTAAGGACCCCGTCTACGCCTATCACAGGTAAGTACTTCCAATCATCAGCTACATCATCGTCTAACACATCTTAGTCTTTATGATACCCACCGATGGATGACCGAGTTTGCAGACCCAGGCTTCCATCTTCACGTCGCCATGGGCCAGTTCGTCACTCTTCTCACATACCACATCGCCGACGACCCCCTCATCCCATGGGATATGGACCACGCCGGCTCTGCACTCCGCGACATCTTCGAAGATCTCGAAGAGAAGCTCGAAGATAGATTCTCCGATTTTGACATTGACCTGGGTCCTCTCGACGACGCCGTGGCTGCTTTCGAAGCCGCGGGTAAGAAGATCGGTACTCTCGCGAAGCAAGCTCTGGCGCTCAACGATACTGTTCTTCTCGGTGCTATCAATGCCAAGTACCGTGACTTTAGCCGCGGGTTTGCGAGTGCTGGTCTGCTGCCGGGTCGGTTCTCGTTCTACAATGTTGTGAGCGCGCCGGGATTGGACAGCGGGTATGGAGCGGATGTCTTCCCTGCTATTCAGGATAGTCTGGATCAGGGTAACTTGACGCAGGCTGAGGAGTGGGTGGAGAGGAGTGCTAAGGCTGTTTTGCGAGCAGCTGAGATTCTGCGTGTCGGGAAGTAGGGCAGCGTTTTGCTGTCTGGTCTAGATGCGGATATATAGGTCGACTCTTGATACATGGGGTCAGCTCAATCAATGCATTGTCTAGATACGCCTAAACATGACGTTTGCCAAGCATCAGTGGACTAGATTAACGAGGTGTCATGGCCCTCAATCGAGGGGTAAAAGCTACAAGCTGAACGACAGCCCACCAGCACAGCCTCCCCGAGACGCCCAACCCGTGTTGCGAACCGTAGGGCTGACCCGGCCTAGACTCGACAGCATCAGACAACCATAAAAAGAAAAGATCAGTTTCCAGTTTCTGGTGCCTGGAAATGGAAAACCAAACAGCACAGCCCATGCAACAGCGGCCGCCACGAGCGAATCAGAGCATCTCAAAACCACCCTCGTCAGGGATCACGACCAGGCTTGACCACTTTGATAACAAGCGCGGTGGGTTAGGAGTCTAGGACTAGACAGCCTGGCCAGTCAGAAGCTGAGATGCGTTCAGGATGGCAGACTTCCCAGGACGAGGCAACCTGTGCGAGGGAGGGAGGGAAGTGAGATGAGGTGACCAGATGTGAAACGGATGTCCGACTCTGTCAATCTTTCTCCCTTTTTTAATTGCCTGCCCTGCTATAACATAGCGTCTGCTCTGCTGACACTCTTTTTTTGCCTTCCTTTTCTTTTAATAGTTTCAGACATCTTCTTATCAATTCTCGTTATTACTGACCTCGTCGGGGCTTTCCTTTCACTCCTTCAAACACCATTGTACACGCTCTTTAACCCTGGTGCGATTATCATCCCATCACCCTGCAAGTGCACTGTTTCCTTCTGTTTCAATTTAATTGAACCACCCAAACGCTTTTTTTTGCATAATTATCTCACTTAGTCGCGTCCCTGTAAGTTAATGGACTGTATCCGAAACGCCATGGCGTTCAGCATCAGATGTCGTCCACAATGCGAAGGTTCAGCTAACTTACGCCTCTAGAATAAATTCCCCTCCATTCTAAGCATCGCGAACGCCATGTCAGATAATAACCAGATTGGCGAAGCTGGTCTTCACCATCTGCCTCTGCGCTTGAGAGACGGGCGACACAGCGATGCGCCACTATCAAAATTCCCTGTTCTAGGCCAGCGCAAAGGGAAAAGGGTCCCTGAGAGTCTCCATTTCAACCCTGGCGCATTCCGTCTTCGATCACCTACCGAGTCGTCCATGAGCAGTATTTCTTCAGCCAACGTCCCAGACTCAGCGACCACGCATTCCCTTTCAACTTTGGCCAGCCCTATCAGTACCACCTATGCCAGCTCTATCCAGGAACAATTTGCAGCTGCGACACTCGACAGCTCAAGGCCGGCCAGTCGCATCTGCCATCGCCACAATCCTTCCAGTGGAACTTGCTCAACGTTTGTGAATGAAGACGACGATGCCATCATCACGGGTTATCCGGAGTTTGACCTCAAGATCCGCAATGTTCATGATGCACAGCGCCGACCTGCTGTTCAAGAGCTTTGCCTTGCAAGGTAAGCCTGCTGACTTCCTTTGCGCGATCAAGTCGCTTACTGTCAGCCCCAGCACAGAGTCTTTCATCAAAGAAGAGAGAGTTCATACGCCTACAGAATCTCACCACACAGAAGACATCCCTTCCGGTGATGCCGATGAAGAAGATTCAGAAGATGTCTCACCAGACGATGCAAACCTGGTGCTCAACTACGCTCTTCAAATCATTTACGGCGTTGACATGAATGATGTTTCAATCTCTCAAGACAAAGTACAAAGTCTTATATCCAACTTCACCCAAGAGATAGACCAGCACATCTGGCAATCTGCCTCAGACGGCCAACTCTCACACACAATGTCAACGTCAAGCTCATCGTCATCGCCCTCCCAGGACGCCCCCGGCAACGACCGACGGGGTGGAAAGCGGAAGAAGCAGGGAAGACGCGAAGATGACGGTGATGAATTCAGCGACGGCGAGGGCTCGGGCTATCTGCAGACAAAGCGCATACGGCCCAACCCCAAAGGAGATGAGAATCTTCGACTCAGCTGCCCGTTCCGGAAGCGAAATCCCCATCGCTTCAATGTGAGAGATCATCATAGCTGCGCAATGACTTATTTCCCCAAATTTGCAGAACTCAGGTACGTCAAGCCTTTCCTTGCACGAACTATGCTGACTTTGTACATTAGACAACACATTGTAAAGCAGCATAAACGCGACGATCCGTCTGCGTATGTCTGCGACCGATGCAGTCGTGACTTTCCCACACGCAAGGAACTGCGCGATCATCAACGTCTCCCGAAGGAGTATATGTGCGATATCGCCGACGCAGATGCTGAAAGTGGGATTGACCCTCAGACTGCGACCAAGTTGTTGAGCAGGAAGCGAGCGAGTGGTACATCGCCCGAAGTTCAGTGGAAGGAGATTTGGAATATTGTCTTCCCTGACGATGACGACAGTGATGTCCGGCCCTATGGTAAGTATCTATCACTCACGTACTGAGTAAAAAGCTAACGAGATCAGAATATACTCCTGTTATTGAGCATTTCGAAGTCGCTGCCAAGTATCAAGAAGCTTTTGAACAGCTAAAACTCTCTCTTCTGGACAAGATTTCCAACCCCGCGACTCTGGAAACTCTCTCCACGAAATTCTACCAATGCTTCATCGAGACACTAGACCATTGTATCAACGATGCCCAGAGTATGCCTTATACAAACCGCAGCAACAAAAAGAACGACATCGTCCGATCTCAAGCACCGCAGAGTATCGTCCAGCGTAAGGGTCGTGATATCATGCCCCGTCCTGACTCTGGTGTTGTGATGGACGATGGCTCTGAAGAGAGCGGCAGTGTAATGGGGACGGGTCTTGGCCATAGGGATAGTCTAAGGACTGTTCGTAGTGCCACGAACCGAGGGAGTCAAGTCCCTGAAACAGTCCGCGAGATCGTTCCACCAACGTCGATGGGCACTGGCTTTGATATGATGCAGCAGCCTATGCTTAGCATGTCCAATGGCCAGATTGGTCCGGCCGATGTACAAGCCTGGAACAACGGCGTGTTATATCCTCAGTTGGTGGCAGATCAACTCATACCAGCTGGTGGAATGACGCCGCAGACTGAGTATGTGAACTGGGGACAGATATATCCTGGGTTTGATTCTTTGGGCAATGTCCAGGGTGGCTTTACAGGTTTTAATGGACAGCAGTGATAATGAAAGGGAGTAAATGCTTTACTGGGCTGTGCCTAGTTGTATGAATAGTAATAATACCTGCTCATCTATGCAAATTTAATAACTTCAAGGTTAACAATAATATAAATAGAGTTTCCTGCTCTGAGCATTATAGAATAAGTATTACAAGTAGTAGATATAGCATTATTTAATCTCAGTACTGTAATACCTCAGCTCAGTATCTCTACACTTTCCTAATCGCTATATTATTACCGTATCAACTGAGCAAATTCAACACGCCCGGTGGATACCAATGTGGATACTGACGCTAGCTGGATAAAATTCCTACTGATTCGCTTGGATATAACATGGGTATAAGAGATAAATCCTACTGAGTTAAGCCACCTTCTTCACTTTTTTAACCACTTAGAGCTACAGCTAGCTAGTCTTATATCCACAGTGGTATCCACCGGGCGTGTTGAATTTGCTCAGTCGATACGGTATTTATATTCTAAATACTTAGTAGGAATTTATACAGAGTATATTATAAGTTATATTAGCAAAATATTATAAATGCTTCATACTATATTAATGTAATATGTAATATTTCTTTAATATCTTACTAGTAAATTACTTTATACTTAATTAATAAGGATAAAATCCTTTGATACTATTAAGTCTAGTTTATACTAACAGCCTAAATATATAACTTAAAGGTTACTCATAGTTTTAAAGTATATTAGTAAAATACTACATATACCTTATAGTATATTAAGGTAATATATAATATTTTTTAAATATCCTACTAGTAAACTACCTTATACTTCATTTTCTTACATAAACTCTTTTAGTGCTATTAAATTTACTTCATATTAGTAGTTTTTACTTATAAGTAAAAGGTTTTATATAGTTTTAAATTATATTAGTAAAATACTATACATACCTTTTATTATATTCAGGTAATATATAGTATTTCTCTAATATACCAGTAGTAAAATACCTTATGCTTTATTAATATGTATGAAGTCTTGTTATACTACTAAATCTATTTTATATTAGTAACTCATATGTATAAGTAAAGGTTAATTTACTTTTTTAAATAATAAAAGTAAAATATTATAATAAACTAACATTATATTAGAATAATACCAATTATATTTCTTCTTAAATACATTTAAAATATAATGCTTATGTTGAATTAATAGAATTGCGTTGCTAAATGTTTGAAATGCATTAGACTATACTAACAAACCCTATACATATCCTAAAATGGCAATAAGTTAAACACTAAGTGACACACAATTTACTCTGTGTGTCTCGTAAGTCCTAATACATCATTAACCAAGAAGTTTAATGCTGGGATGAACGGTTAAGTAGTATGTCTCTCGTATAACAGTTTCGCACAAACATATAACTATACATCAGCCAATATGAGCCAGACTGATGATGCAAGCTCGAAGCCTATGTACATCGAATACATCCTGGTGCGTAAGCGTGCTAAAGGGACATGGTAAGTAAAAGTGCGAACCAACGGATCTGATATTCCGATATTGACCTTCTCAGCTAAGAGGGCTTGATTAACAGTGCCAATATTCTAGTGTGCTGTGAGTTTCTAAGTCAACACTCGTAGCTCTCAGCCAGACTGCTAGCACAAGAAGTTAGGTATTCCCTGAATACAATATTAAAGGTCGACAAGTTGAAAACTAAATAATCACACTTTTTCGATGCAGCAAAAGATGTGAAGTATCGTCAGACTACAATTCTAAACATATATATCCAATATACAGCGTCTAATATATTTACAAAAGTTTACATGCTCTCCCACTCCTCATAAGTCTCAAAACAAGTCTCTAATATCCCGAACCGTACGCCTTGACCTGCAAACCTATTAGAACGTGCTCATCAATGTCGCTGCCGCGACAAGTGCGAAGCCGAGCACTCCAAAACGCCCCATCTCACCGGCGGCGTTTCGATCGCCCTCACCTGTGGCCTTCTTCTGCGCGGGTTGGCGTACCTTTGTCAAAGTGACGTTGAAAGCAGGACTTTTGACGGACTCGCTGACGCCATCCTCGCCCTCGGTGAAGACGAAGAGGTCCAGGGGGAGGTAGTCGTACACCATGCGGTCCTGCTGGAACCACGTCTGACACGTGCCGTCCTTGAAGAACAGGGTGCTTTCGTAGGCGGCGTTCTCGGCCGAGTTGGTCTTGTCGAAGACGGCGCGCCATGCGGTTTGGCCCTTCTTGGCTAGGTTGCTGGGGTACATGCGGGCGTCGATGTAGGGGGTCTTTGTGGAGGCGCCGGACTCGAGGGCGTTGAAGTTGAAGTTGCCGATGTTGTTGAGGACGTCGAAGCCGCGGACCTGCCAGCTCTTGATCTTGAGACCGGGGCCGCTGTCGGACTGGAATGAGATGCTGGAGTTGGTCTCCTTGTCCTCGTAGTCACCGGCGAAAGCAACCTTGGCATCGTCACGGCCGACCTTTTCAATGGCGGGGAGGAGGTTCTGGATAACAGCGCTGAGGACCTGGCCGGTAACGTATGGGTTGGCAGACGCCTCAAGACCACCAGACATGATGGAGATGACAATATCGTAGTCGGGGATCAGGACAGTCTGGGTGTGGTAGAGACCGAGATCACCACTCTTGGTGTAGATGTCGATGAGACGACCGTCAGAAGTGATGTTGTCGGTCTTGAGAATCTCCCAGGGACCGCCAACCTGGTAGCCCCAGGAAGCGGTGTTAGCCTCGGGCTTCATCCACTTGCGAGTTTGGACTGGTGTGAGGAACTTGTGGCTAAGAATACCGTCGGCAAGGAGAAGCATATCAGAGACGGAAGAGAAGATACCACCGGCACTAGAAACAGTTAGATAGAACAGTTGTATTGGCGTGTTGTACTTACGCATCGAACACTGCAAGCGTGGAGTTCCATGTGGGTTCCTTGTTGGGGATGAAGAGATCCTTAGTAGGGGGTGTCTTGTCGACGTATGTGTGCTTCATGCCGACAACGTCAAGAATGTCGCGCTTGATGACGTCCTCGTAGGGCATGTCCTCGGCGGCCTCGATGACAAGACCGAGGAGAGCATGGCCGACGTTGGAGTAAATGGGGTTGGTGAAAGGTCCGTAGACAGGAGGTCGAAGGTTGACCTGCTCGAGAAGATCCTTTCTTGTGCAGGGAATGGTACCTGGAAGACCAGAGCAGTTGGGTCCCTTACCCTTGGGGATGTTGGGGAGACCAAATGCCTTCCAAGGCTCTGATCCAACAATTGCCAGATCTTGCGCCACTGTTTTGAGTCAGTATAGTATCAGACATTTTAGGTTGGTTAGAGCTTACTATCGACACCAACACCTGACAGATGGCTGGCAAGCGACTTGACAGTGATGTCCTCCCATTTGAGTGAGAAGATATCATCATCGCCGGCCGTCTTGTTCAGCTCAGGGAGATACTTCAGGACGGAGGCATCAATGTCAATCTTATCACTAATAAGGGCAGCCAGAGCTGTGAATAGCTTAGAGCCACTAGCAATGCGGAAGACTGTATCTTCGTCGATCTCGGTAGTGCCCTCGCCAGGGTTGGGAGGGGTGAAGTGGTAAGTGAAGAGGGGCTCATCCTCGTGGATGGACTTGACGCCAATGGCGAGACCAGAGTTGTTGAACTGAGCAGCGATAGTGGCATCGAGACCTGCCTTGACGGCGGCTGCAGCCTTTTGCACCAGAGGACTCTCGCTGGGGGTGAGGGGAGCTGGGAAGACGGCGCCGAGAGGAGGGCATGCTTTGGCGTCGGCAAAGGCAAAGGCACCTGCAGCAACGACTGCAAGCTTGGAGAGAGAAGGCATGGCGAGATTATACAACGAATGAATTAACTAGTTGTAGCGGATGGAGGAAGATGTGTTTGTGAGTGATGAATGGCTATAGACTGCAATGGATTGTCTGTTATATACTTAATCTTTCACCCAGCTTCAAGGATCAACAATTAAACAACACTAAAACTATAATACAGCACAGCCTTAGTTCATCTCGCATTCCAGCATGCAAATCCTCGCAGTACTCCAAGCCTCAAGGCTGAAACTTGCGAAATCCCACTTTCTGGATACCACAGAAACGTTTTGATGGATACGCAGCCCTATGACAGCTGTGAGCTTAACACTAAGTTAAGTTAGCGGCTGGCTTTAATCTCGGACCGTGGGAGTGCGAGCTGCCGCGACATGCACAAACGGTGTCAATGCGGAGATAGCGCAGACGTCGAAGGATTTGGTGCTTACTGCGCATTGTTTTTTAGGTTACAGTGAGTGGTTGCGAGCTTGAAGAGTCCGAGTCGAGTCCGAGCGTGCCAATTGGATGCGTTTGGGGGATGAGGAAGGATTTACGTGTAAGCGACGATGTACACTTTTACAGCATCTACAGCAGGGGCATGGAAGGAAAGTGGCGAGATATTATCAAGTATCTTGAGATCTGCACAACATTTCCCCTTGTTCCAGTCTGGGGAGAAATGATTTGCTTTGCATTGTCCTTGGGCAGTGACTTGGACATTGATTCTGTCTGCCTTGAGTCTCAATACCAAAAGCATGGTAGAATGAATGGTGGGCATAACACATGAAGCATTGTAGGTTGAGATGCAAAGAGCTATATCGTCTCCGCGGTATTGATAGCCGTTGGCATTATTTTCTTTTAATTACAAGTCTCAACGTTTTGATCTTGTTTCTAATGAGCTTAATCATCCCAGGGGACCTTGCTGACAGACATTCATCCTTCAAGCCTATCCACTATTTACAACAGCTGTTGAATAACCTCGAGTTAAGTAAAAATACGTCTTTAATATTTCATCATGTTGTCTATATCACCAGCTGGAGACAAAGCCTTGGTTTTACCGTGAATCATCACTACATCGCAACGTGATACGCAGCTCAACTTCATCCAAATGACGGATAAAGCCATCTAAAAGCTCCGCCTCCACATTAGATACTTGTCCAGCTGCTGCGCCTCCAACCCGTTACTTAGGCATCTCGTCATAGTTAAGCGAATAGCAAGTCCACAGCGCCTCTGCAGCGAATTAACTGCCTGCACTCGTCTATACGCCCCGCGGCTGTGTAAGAAGCCCTTGGTTCTAATTCCAGACGGGCCCGGTTAAGATGCCAGATACAGGGAATGTGGACGGCTTCCCGTGTGGGGAGGGGGATGGCGACCCCTACAACTACAGCGATAAAACCACACAATGATCCTCCAACGTCAGCCCCTCATTTCATTTCTTTGGCTCGGACTCTCAACCTCGGACTTTGATCTTGGTCGTGATACACTCAATAGTTACTGTACTTTCAGCGCCAGGAACAAAAATCATCAGCCCTAGGGAACAGAGAGTAGCACTGCAGACTGCAGTAGTCAACTACTACTATACGCTAGCTCATGTATTCAGGCCCCCCCCAGACGTCCTCCAAGCCCTCGGGCCGCAAGGGGAGCAAAAAGGTCCGCACTGGCTGCATCACCTGCAAGTCCGTTCTATTCACCTATTAGTTTTTGCTAAGATCCTTTTTGCTGACTGCGATATGAAGAATTCGAAAAGTGAAATGCGATGGTAAACAGCTTCTGCCACTCTTGTACAAATCTCGTCCCAGCTGCTGACAACACCTCCAGAGGCAAAGCCCTACTGTCTGCGATGTATCAAGACAGGTCGTCAATGCGATGGCTATCGTCCATCGCCCAACTCATCGCCAGAGCCCATGTCCCTGAGCCCAACGCCAGGCTTTGAATCTCCCCGTGAAGCTCGCGCGTTCGATCACTACCGTCTGCGCACGGCAAAGGTCCTCTCGGGCGCCATCGACAGTGGCTTTTGGGGCGGTGTGGTCCTCAAGATGAGCACCACCGAGCCTGCAGTGCGGCACGCCATGCTCGCCATCGGCAGCTTGCACGAGGCTGTGAATTCACGCTACAGAAGCGTTGGTGAGATCGATACGCGCTTCGCTTTCCGTGAGTATGGTAACGCTATCACGTCGTTGCGGAACTGGGGCCAGCGCAATGAACCCTCTGTTGTGCCGCTGCTCGTCTGCGTGCTCTTCATCTGCATCGAGTTCCTTATTGATCGCGATATGGCTGCCCAGATGCATATCTGCCAAGGACGGCAGATCCTCTCTACTCTTGGGGATGGACGCTCTCCGGCCTTGGAGATGATTAAACACTCACTTGTGCCCATTTACGCTCGTCTTAGTCTCTCGAGCTTTCTCTTTGGCAGCCGTCCGGCTCCTATTCCCACGCATCTGCGAGGCTGGGCGGAGGTGCCTGTTGTGTTCACGACTATTGAAGACGCCCGATATGCTTTGTATTTGCTACTTGACGAGGCCTTACAGTTTAGCACCAATGCTCGGGGTGTTATCTTCAACCCAAACGCCGATCCTCAGGATATTCGCAACCTTCAGCACGAGCAGCAGCGACTTCTATCACAGTTGAGCCGATGGCATGCCGCCTTTACAGTCCTCACATCGATGAGCACTCAGTCACCTTCTCTGGAAAGTTTGCTGAACGTCCTCCGGATATATCACCAGTCAACGCTCATCTGGATTTCCTCATGTTTGGAGACGTGCGAGACCATGTACGACCGTTTCACCGCCAACTTTGCCAACATCATCTCTTTGGCGTCTTCCGTTATCGGATCGGTTCCGGCAAATGCCAAGTTAGAGCCCTTTAGCTTCGAGACAGAGATCATTCCCCCTGTGTACTGGACCGCCGTCAAATGTCGCCATCCTCTGTTACGGCGCGCAGCCCTTAAACTTTTGACTCGAGACCAAATGCGCAATCGACGGGAGAATCTATGGCACGCTCGCGAAACCGCTGTCATTGCTGCTCGCAGCATCGAGATCGAGGAAGCTGACTTGGACGTTCCTCTGGACCTGGAGCTGGACCTTGATATGAACCCCATGGTCGCATCAAGCCCCAGCAGTTCGAGCGAAGCATCTCTTGACATGTACACATGTAGTCCCAAAAAAATCAAGATCGCAGTCTCGAATCCCCCTTATCTACCACCACCTCCTGTCTCCTTTGCCGACCCATCACTCGAGGATGTCTCGAGCGACTCGCCTTACAGCCTAGGGTCAAGCCCATCGCCCGCTTCCGCACCTGAGCCCGCGTCGCCCGTATCGGCCGCCGTCGATAGCATCCAGCAGCTGGACGTTGTTGCGCTCAAATCGGCATGTCTCGAGTCACCGTTTGGTATTCCTGAGGATCGACGTATGAAGAACGCTATCATTGGGCCGCCGGGTGAGGGAGGGACTTGGGTCACGTTCTTTAGGGATCCGGAGCCGGGTAAAACGGAGTGGAGGGTTACAAGGGAGTTTTTGAGATGTTGAGGGGCAATGGAATCGAAGCGTTATGATTAGAGAGTAAGGTAGTTTGGATATGGTAGATGATGTATAATATACCCCTGGCTGTTGTAATTCATTCCTTGTTATTTTATCCTCAAATACAATGCCTGCGTGCAAAAGGCGTTAATGTCTGACAAGTTTCGATAGAATCTAAGTATGATGATGGCATAAACACTGTTCTCGGAATCTGTGCAATCTCTGTCCTGTCTCACTAATTGGGTCCTTCTTTGCTAACTTCTTAGTGTTAACGACGATTGAATCCCCTGGCTTCGTCGATTACCCTAAACACTTGATCCCAGATGTCGGGATACCCAAACATGCCCGAACAAAAACAGATCTAAACGAAATGTTCACAAAGACATAGTTCAAATATTTACAATAGGGTGCATCACGTAATTGGGTTACTGTACAATGTGTTGAAGTTTTGGGGCTGTTCATCCTTCACGTTCCACGACAACACGACGTATGCGGCCAGCCCAAGAACGCAACTAGCAGCCGCATCATAATCATTTCATGAGCTAAGCGAGAAATCAACATAGTGAGTGCATCGTGCTGATGTGAGTTTTATGTCTCAAAGGGTATCATTTATGTATTGTAGTCCTATTCCTTAACCCCTGGCAGCCTCTCGTCTTGTCGAGTCTGCCACCAGTTTTCTCCTCTTGTTCCTTTCGTCCTGTTCAGCCAAAACCTTTGCCGTTAATGAAGCAGCAAATGAATTGTTTATACCACTGATCCTAGCATCCTCGGGTTTCTTGATCTCCTTCACCCCACTTGTGACCTTATCTTCGTCCTTCACATCGTCGCCCTTGCGCTTCTTCTTCTTCTCGGATTTGTCCTTCTTCAAGGTATGTGTCAGTCCTTGGCTCTTGAGGTCCTCAATCCTCTTCTCCAGCTTCTCCACGTCTTCTTTTGATGCCGCAAGGACAGTGATAATGTTGTCTTGTGTGAACTCAACACCGCACTCGGGGCAAGCCTTTGCTTGAATCTCTCTCATCGCCACATCTGCAAAGACGTGCCCGCAAGGGACTAGGTAGACAGTCTTTACAGCAGGGCCAAGCTCCTTCATGGAGATAGGACACACCAACTTGTCCCCGTTCTTGGACACCTTCAGCTTTACAACATCACGCAGTGACTTGATACCCAAACTCGCAGGGGTGACTTCGACTGGGTCGTCGGAGGGCATGAGACCCTTCAACATCGCTTCGTAGTTGTACAGGCGCCCGCGCCAGTCGGAGACAAGAGTGTCGACGTCGAGGTTGTCGCCACTGAGCGCGCAGTGAGCCCAAGCATGTGCGAGTGATTCGAAGGCAGTGGCCTTTAGTTCGGAAGTTGTAGGAGCGCGCGCCGCATTCTTTACAAGCTCGCGACGCTTGGGGATGGAACCGCCGTCGTTACCCATGATTGCAATGGGATTGGGCCGTGACAGGGGCAACCGTGTAGCCGTGGAGAGGGATCTCGGTAGATTCAATTGTCGTAGTGATATTGGCTTGGCGCAGTTAGGAACACAATTAGGAATGACGGTGCACGTGGATGAACGAAGTTAGGAATTATCAAGGCTGAGGCGATTCCTAAAGCCAGGCAAGTTGCTTATCGATAAGAACCGTTCGACTCCATGCAAGCTTAAAGTAGCTCTACCGTATTGAAACTCTCAAGCACTGTATGAACACCGGTCCGCTAGTGAACAATTCCTAAGTGGGCCGCAATTAGTACTGTACCGACACTTTCGCAGCGCTCCACAGCTATAGCCCGCCATTTCCATACCTCGTTCCCGTTCCTCTAATGACCTCCGCTTGACCCAAGCTCATCAACCTCCAACTCCAACCTTACCCCGGTGCCATGCACCTTTCTTAATATCTCCCTCTGGCGGTGCTTTACTGAAGGAGTTATCTAGCATTGAGCGACTTGCTCTTAGCATACATATTTGGAACACATTGGCCGCTTTTGAAACAAACAACACGTACACGACCGCCGCGATTGGGCGAAGCTCGATTCGATTCGATCCGACTCCCCACTCCAACCTCGAACTCTCTCTTCGCAAACGCCCGCCCACTGACGGGCTCTCGATATTCAGGTACATGCGACCTTGATCGATCGCATACCAGTGCCGCGACGGCATCATGGCACAAGCACAGCAGGTCGCCTTGGAGCGACTGGAGCAAGTCTCTCGAGGCCTACGGTCAAGGTCGGTTCTACGGTGCAATGTTTGCTATGGCAACAAACCTAATACGTTACAGAATCAGCGACGATGTGCGAAAACGATCCGCCGTGCAGCTTCGCGAACTTGTCGTTCTTTGCCATCGAGATCTCAGCCCCGAACAGTTTCTCACTTTCTACAACTCGGTCAACAACAAGATTACACAGCTTATTACACATGGCAGCGACTCATCAGAGCGACTCGGAGGTATCTACGCCCTCGATGCGCTCATCGACTTCGAAGGCGTCGATGTCGCCATCAAATACACGCGTTTCACCCAAAATTTAAAGACGGTCCTCCGTGGGAAGGACATCAACCCTATGCAACCCGCTGCGATCGCGCTTGGAAAACTATGTCGACCTGGTGGATCGATGATATCTGAGGTGGTGGACTCCGAGGTCAACACAGCACTCGAATGGCTCCAAAACGACCGCGTGGAGGAGCGACGATACAGCGCCGTCCTCGTCCTCCGCGAGTTGGCCCGCAGCGCTCCAACACTGATGTATCAGTACATTCCGACAATCTTTGACTGGATCTGGATTGGACTTAGAGACTCCAGACAGCTTATCCGGGCGACGTCGGCCGAGACAGTTAGCGCCTGCTTCCGGATCCTTCGCGAACGAGACCAAGAGATGAAGCAGCTCTGGATGAGCAAGATTTATAATGAGGCGAAGCAGGGGCTCAAGGTCAATACTGTTGAATCTATCCACGGTTCCTTGCTCGTCGTGAAAGAACTTCTCGAGCAGGGAGCCATGTACATGCAGGAGCATTATCAACAGGCATGCGATATTGTTTTCAAGCACAAGGATCATAGAGACCCGACCATTCGAAAGACTGTGGTTCTTCTGATCCCAGATCTAGCCAGCTACTCCCCAGCAGACTTTGCGCATACTTGGTTGCACAAATTCATGGTGTATCTTTCTGGCATGCTAAAGAAGGACAAGGAGCGCAATGATGCTTTCCTTGCAATCGGTAACATTGCCAACTCGGTCAAGAGTGCCATCGCTCCGTATCTTGATGGTGTCTTGATCTACGTGCGAGAAGGCCTCAGCATTCAATCTCGCAAGAGAGGCTCAGTCGATCCTGTATTTGACTGTATCAGCCGTCTTGCTGTGGCTGTCGGACAGACTCTCAGCAAATACATGGAGGCGCTACTGGATCCTATCTTCGCCTGCGACCTTACCCCTAAGCTCACCCAAGCCCTTGTCGATATGGCCTTTTATATCCCCCCAGTCAAGCCGACAATCCAAGAACGACTACTCAATATGCTCAGCGTAGTTCTCTGCGGCGAATCTTTCAAGCCCCTTGGCGCTCCACAACCGAATACTCTCACATCAGTTCCTATTATTCCCAAAGACGCAAAGGATCCTCTGGCTTACGAACACCGAAGGGCTGAGGTCAAACTGGCGCTTAACACTCTCGGTAGTTTTGACTTCTCAGGCCACGTTTTAAACGAGTTCGTTCGCGATGTCGCGATCAAATACGTCGAAGACGAAGATCCAGAAATCCGTGAAGCAGCAGCCTTGACATGCTGCCAACTATACGTCCGCGATCCGATTGTCAACCAGACTAGTTATCATGCGCTTCAAGTCGTTGGCGATGTTATAGAAAAACTCCTCACCGTTGGAGTCTCAGATCCTGAACCGAATATCAGACGGACAGTTCTCGCAGCCCTCGACGAACGATTTGACCGTCACTTGGCCAAGGCTGAGAACATTCGCATTCTTTTCTTCGCCTTGAACGATGAAATTTTCTCCATCAGAGAAGTTGCCATCTCGATCATCGGCCGACTGGCTAGGTACAACCCAGCCTATGTCATTCCCTCGCTCCGAAAGACTCTTATTCAGTTGCTCACCGAACTCGAGTTCTCCGACGTCGCCCGGAATAAAGAGGAGAGTGCCAAGTTGTTGAGTCTCTTGGTCCAGAATGCCCAATCCCTCATCAAGCCATATGTCGAGCCCATGATCTCAGTTCTTCTCCCCAAAGCGAAAGACAGTAACCCTTCAGTCGCCGCAACCATTATGAAGGCCATTGGTGAACTTGCTACCGTGGGTGGCGAGGATATGATGCCGTATAAAGACCGATTGATGCCGCTCATTCTCGATGCGCTACAGGACCAGAGCTCCAACGCAAAGAGAGGGGCTGCTTTACATGCCCTCGGACAACTTGCGAGCAACTCGGGATACGTCATCTTACCATACATCGAGTACCCTCAACTACTCGAAATCCTGCAAAGTATCATCAGGACTGAGGGACAGGGAGTGCCCTTGCGACAGGAAACCATTAAATTGATGGGTATCCTGGGTGCGCTCGATCCTTATAAGCATCAGGTAAGCCTTGCACGATATTGAATGACTTCAAACACTGACACCTGACTAGGCCGAGGAACGAACTCCCGATTCAAGAGGCGGCGAGGCCAACCAGTTGACAGACATTTCCCTAATGATGACTGGACTTACACCCTCCAACAAAGAATACTTCCCGACTGTTGTTATTAATGCTCTACTTCAGATTCTGAAGGATTCGTCCCTGGTTCAGCACCACGCGGCTGTGATTGAAGCGATTATGAACATCTTCCGCACCCTGGGCTTGGAGTGTGTGTCGTTCCTTGATAGAATCATACCGGCATTCCTTCAAGTGATACGGTCGGCTACTTCCACAAGACTGGAGTCTTACTTCAACCAACTGGCAACTCTCGTGAGCATTGTCCGGCAACATATAAGAAATTACCTGCCGTCCATTGTTGAGATCCTTCAAGAATACTGGCACACCTCCCCATCACTGCAGACTACCATTCTGTCTCTTGTGGAGGCCATTTCAAGATCGTTGGAGGGTGAATTCAAGATTTACCTGGCAGGCTTGCTACCCTTGATGCTTGGTGTGCTGGATAAGGACACCTCCGCCAAACGCACACCGTCAGAGAAGGTATTGCATGCTTTCTTGGTCTTCGGCGCCAGCGCTGAGGAATACATGCATCTCATTATTCCTGTTATTGTCCGAACGTTTGAGAAGCAGGGCCAACCTACCTTTATCAGGAAGCAGGCCATTGATACGATCGGAAAGATTTCACGTCAAGTGAACCTCAACGACTACGCTGCTAAGATCATTCATCCTCTTACACGTGTGTTGGATATGGGCGACCCAGTGCTCCGCATTACTGCCCTGGATACTCTCTGTGCGCTTATTCAGCAGCTGGGCAAGGACTACTTACACTTCATGGGAACCGTTAACAAAACGATCAACCAACATCAGATTCAGCACTCCAACTATGAGCTACTTGTCAGTAAGCTCCAGAAGGGAGAAGTCCTGCCACAGGATCTCAGTTCAGGAGCCGGCTTTGGCGATGGAGCAGACGAGCCTGCCTTTGCCGATCAAGGAACAAAGAAGCTGGAGATGAACGCCATTCATCTCAAGGCTGCTTGGGACACAAAGGGCAAGTCTACAAAGGAGGATTGGCAAGAGTGGCTGCGACGTTTCAGTACAATGCTCCTTACCGAATCGCCAAACCATGCCCTCAGAGCTTGTGCCAGCCTCGCCAGTGTGTATCTTCCTCTGGCAAGAGAACTCTTCAACTCGGCGTTTGTCTCTTGCTGGAGCGAGCTGTACGAGCAGTTCCAGGATGAACTCATCCAGAACATTGAGAGCGCGATCAAGTCCGAGAACGTCCCGCCTGATCTGCTAGGCCTCTTACTCAATCTCGCCGAGTTTATGGAGCATGACGACAAGGCTTTGCCGATCGACATCCGGGTTCTCGGTAGGGAAGCTGCTCGCTGTCACGCGTATGCAAAGGCCTTGCACTACAAGGAACTGGAGTTCCTGCAGGACCAGAGCAGTGGCGCAGTCGAGGCCCTGATCGTTATCAACAATCAGCTCCAGCAATCTGATGCCGCTATTGGTATTCTCCGCAAAGCTCAATTGTATAAGGAAGGCATACAGCTGCGAGAAACCTGGTTCGAGAAGCTGGAACGCTGGGAAGAGGCACTTGCGTTTTACAACAAGCGAGAGGAAGAGGTGCCCGAAGACCAAGCGATACCTGTCGATATTGTCATGGGAAAGATGCGCTGTTTGCACGCCCTCGGAGAATGGGAGGCTTTGGCTACTTTGACTGGCAGCACGTGGGCCAACTCTTCTCCCGATGTCCAGAGAATGATTGCCCCTCTTGCTACAGCTGCTGCCTGGGGTCTGAACAAGTGGGATTCCATGGACAACTACCTCTCTTCGCTCAAGAGATACTCACCTGATCGTTCATTCTTTGGTGCCATCTTGGCGCTCCACCGCAATCAGTTCCGCGAGGCGATAGCATGTGTCACGCAGGCTCGTGAAGGTCTGGATACTGAGTTGAGTGCGCTGGTTAGCGAGTCGTACAACCGAGCATACCAAGTCGTTGTTCGAGTGCAGATGCTTGCTGAGCTGGAGGAGCTCATCGTCTACAAGCAATGCGACGAGAAAAAGCAAGCCATAATGAGGCGAACTTGGGAGACTCGATTGAAGGGATGCCAGAGGAACGTCGAGGTCTGGCAGCGCATGCTCAGGTTGCGTGCTATAGTGATCGCACCCACCGAGAACATGCACATGTGGATCAAGTTTGCCAACCTTTGTCGCAAGTCTGGCCGCATGGGTCTCGCCGAGAAGTCTCTCAAGCAACTCATTGGAACCGACGCTCCATTGGAATCCATGATACCCTACTGGAACGATCAACGACAGCCAGGGCCTGGACCCCGAACTGCACCAGCAGCTCAGGTTATCTACGCCGTGCTCAAGTACCAGTGGGAGCTTGGACAACAGCCTGTTTCTAAGAAGACCAATGTTCCTGAGAAGACCCTGTACTGCCTGCGCAAGTTCACCAATGATGCTGCGCACCGCCTGGATGTTGCCAAGGCTCATCTGAATGCCCAAGCCGGCAGCGAAGTCAATATCACGGGTGATTACGGCTTCCAGAACCCCATGGACCCTGCCATCATGAGCCCACAGACCCAGCGAGCGTTGTATGACCAAACGGTTCTGCTGGCCAAGTGCTACTTAAGACAGGGAGAGTGGTTGATTGCGCTCAATAAGGATGACTGGCAATACACTCAAGTGCAAGACATCCTCACCTCGTACTCTCAGGCGACCAAGTACAATCCCCACTGGTACAAGGCTTGGCACGCCTGGGCACTGGCCAACTTCGAGATTGTGCAGACGCTCACAGCTGGAAATGAAGGACACTTGTCACGGACGGATCAAGCAATGGTCATCGACCATGTTGTTCCAGCTGTCAAAGGCTTCTTCAAGTCTATCGCGCTTTCAGAAGGAAGCTCGCTGCAGGATACACTCCGCTTGCTTACACTCTGGTTTACGCATGGAGGTAGCGTGGATGTCACCTCAGCCGTGACAGAAGGCTTTGCTAATGTCAGCGTCGACACATGGCTCGAGGTTATTCCTCAACTGATCGCGCGAATCAACCAGCCCAACAAGCGTGTTCAGCAGTCTGTGCATAACCTTCTTGCTGATGTCGGACGAGCTCACCCTCAGGCTTTGGTCTATCCTCTGACTGTGGCCATGAAGTCCTGGCAGAACACACGCCGATCGCGCTCTGCAGCTCAGATCATGGACAGCATGAGACAGCACAGCGCAAACCTGGTCGCCCAGGCCGACATTGTCAGTCATGAACTGATCCGTGTAGCTGTACTGTGGCACGAACTCTGGCATGAAGGACTGGAAGAAGCATCGCGCCTATACTTTGGCGATCACAACATTGAAGGCATGTTTGCCACCCTTGAGCCCTTACACGAGCTTCTAGAACGCGGCCCTGAGACTCTTCGAGAGATCTCTTTCGCGCAGGCGTTTGGTCGGGATCTCAAGGAGGCCCAAGACTGGTGCCGTCAATACGAGACGAGCCAAGACGTCAACGATTTGAACCAGGCGTGGGACCTGTATTATCAGGTATTCCGCAGAATAAGTAGGCAGCTTCCTCAGGTTACCACCCTGGAGTTGACGTACTGCTCGCCCAAACTGCTCAACGCCAAAAACCTGGACCTGGCTGTTCCAGGAACATACAAGAGCGGACAGCCCATTGTGAAGATCATGTCTTTCGACACGACGTTTAGCGTTATCAACTCTAAGCAGCGTCCACGAAAGCTCAACGTCAACGGCAGCGACGGCAAGTCGTACGCCTTCTTGCTCAAGGGCCACGAGGATATTCGTCAGGACGAACGAGTTATGCAGCTGTTCGGCCTATGCAATACCCTGCTGTCGCACGACCCGGAATGCTTCAAGCGCCATCTTAACATCCAGCGCTATCCTGCAATCCCTCTGTCGCAGAATAGTGGTCTGCTGGGGTGGGTTCCCAACAGCGACACCCTCCACGTTCTTATTAGGGAGTACCGTGAGAGTCGCAAGATCCTGCTCAACATCGAACATCGCATCATGCTGCAGATGGCGCCCGACTACGACAACCTCACCTTGATGCAGAAAGTCGAGGTGTTTGGTTATGCGTTGGACAACACCACAGGTCAAGACTTGTACCGCGTGCTGTGGCTCAAGTCCAAGTCCTCTGAGGCTTGGCTCGAGAGACGAACAAACTACACACGCTCTCTTGGTGTCATGTCTATGGTGGGCTACATCCTTGGATTGGGTGATCGTCATCCTTCCAACCTGATGCTCGACCGTGTCACCGGAAAGATCATCCACATCGATTTCGGTGATTGTTTCGAGGTAGCAATGAAGCGAGAGAAGTACCCCGAACGGGTTCCCTTCCGATTGACTCGCATGTTAACCTATGCTATGGAGGTTAGCAATATTGAGGGTAGCTTTAGAATTACATGCGAGAACGTAATGAGAGTCTTGAGAGACAATAAGGAAAGTGTCATGGCTGTCCTGGAAGCGGTAAGTTCCCACATCTCTCACAAACTGACGCACAATACTGACAATATCCAGTTCATCCATGATCCTCTCCTCACCTGGCGTTTGACCAACGCCGCCTCACCCGCAGGCCCCAACTTCCGCTCCGATAGAGACGCAGCAATGCCCGTGGTACCTGGCGGCGTTCGCGCCCGTCGTCAATCCATCCTGGACAGCGACGTCGCACCCTCAGAACTCCTCAACGCTCCTGAGCCATCCATCCAGACACGCGCACGCGCTCGCACAAACAGCTCCGCAGGCGTGGACGGCAACCCGATCGTTAATGGCGCACCAGAGGTAGAGAGCCAGAATGCGCGGGCCGTCGAGGTGCTGGACCGCGTGCAGCAGAAGCTCACGGGTCGGGACTTCAAGAATAACGAGGAGCTGGACGTGATTAACCAGGTCAACAAGTTGATTATGGAGGCAACTAAGCTGGAGAATCTGTGCCAGCACTATATAGGATGGTGCAGCTTCTGGTAGATTTCATTCTAAGCTGCTGCAAAAGGGAAAGGGAGGATAGATTGAGTGCGATTGTTATTATCTGATTTAGATATGCGTTGCTGGAGTTGGGGGGGCTGGGGATAATGTGATATCAGGAACATTCTTGGACGTGCAAAGCGTATTTATCTGATGTGTATGAGTATGAGTACGGTATAGACATCACTAAATGGTACTTTATGTGAACAGGTGTATTCTACGCAAACTACTTCTAAAATGGCTTTTTGATATCTCAACGTGACACCTGTTTATAGCTCATCCCTGGATCGAGGCTTCTTGGGCTGAGTTCCAACATCCCACTTCGAAAAGTCACAGGCCGCAGGTGTGCCGATCTCCATCTTGTACACACACTTCTCACTTTCACTCACACGCCAAACCTCCTCTGTCTCGGCACAGCCCAGCCAAACATCCGTTCTCCTCTGGGGGCCGTTCCAGCACTGTTGGCCATCTTCATATCGCAGAACCATCCTCTCGCCCTTTCCAAGACTCTTGCCATCAATTCTCTCCTCATCGTCAGCCATCTCGCGGTCGATGCGCTTGAAGTTACCCATGTTGCTCTGTCCATGGCCCTTCTTGGACTTTTGCTTGGTGCGGTCCAGCCAGCATTGCTCGTAGGTATATTCTCCTGCCTCGAGGGAAACGCACTTGCCCTTGAGAGCGCGGAAGATGTCGTCCGGACCGTAGTCGGTAGTGAGATCGGCTTGTTCGACGCTGAGGGTGGATTGCTTGTCGCTGAGGTCGCGGTCGGCGGCGTCAAGGGCTTCGCGAGCGGCGCGGACGAGAGTGGATTCTTTGCCGGGACTTGTGTTGTCGGCGAGGATACCGTTGGTGATGGCCCAGACGCGGAGGGAATTGAGGCTGCTGTGGACAAAATCGCGGACGGGGGGAGGAAGATAAGCCTCGAAGTTGTAGACTTGGTGGGTTAGCAGAGCATCACATCACAGGTGGGAACTTCACTTACGGATATCAGTATCACTTCCCTCACCCTCTTCAAACTCACTCCAATTCACGCCGTTGTCCTCACCGTCTTCCTTAAGAACACTCATGATATCCTCATCAGGAAGAACCTTCTCGCCAAGCTTCTCCGCCTGTCGAGCTGAGTAATCCTCGAATGATCGAATAGCTGCTTTGACACCCTCATCGTTGAAGTTGGGGTTGTAGTCAGTCTTGAACTTGGTAAGAAGCCCCTCGAGCTCACCGACTCTCTCCTTGAGAACATCGCGCTGGTTAACGACATCATCAAGGGTGTCGCGGAGCTCAGTGACGCGTGTCTTTGCCAATCCAACAAGAACACCGAGCTTGCCACCGCCATTGCCGCCCTCGCGAACAACCTTGCCCTTATCTTGCTGTTCGGCTTCACGGTGCTTGCGCGCGAGCTCCTCCTTCTTGGCTTCGAGGGTCGCAATCTCCTTGTTGAGGTCTGCGACCTTCTGCTCAACCTTTTGTCGAAGATTCTTTGCCTCGGCGACCATAGCGCCTCGCTTCTTGGCCGCCTGCTGCATGTTCTTCCTCTTCTCTTCCTCTAGCCTCCTGTGCTCCTTTCCAATCTCTGCACACTTGTTCTCGCACTTGACGCCGTGGACAGTAGAGTACTCCTCTGAGCCATCACAGCAGAGGTCGTAATCACACACGCCGTCATTGACGTAGAGGAACGGCACGTACATCCCAATGTGGCCCTCATTGGCACACCAGAAGCCAGGAAGAGCATTGGTCGTGTTGGTAGTGCCGGAGAGGGAGCCGGCGAGAGGTTGCTCGGGGGAAAGAGGATCGATGTTGGCACAAGCCGCAGTGCCAGGTTCGTCTGAGCCGTCGGGGCAATCGCAGGTGTTATCGTTGATTTGGTCGAGACTTAGCTTAATGGCCGCATTGGTGATGCAAGAGAACTCCTCCTTGCCTTCGTAGTGAGAAACAACTAGACAGCTGTTAGCTTGGGGATAGCTTCACCGAGAAATAGGACTTACATTCAGGGCCAACACCTCTGGGCACGCTGCCCGCAGCTGCCAGAGTAAATACGTATATAGCACTGAGCAGCGCCACAGAATTCGGATGTTGCATTTTGGGCGGTTTTGTGCAATGTGCAAGTAGAAAAAGGACAAGCTCTTGTGTCTCTTCTTCCCAAGAAATAGACGCTTAAAGTTAGAGTTGGCCAGGTCAGCTACAACAGACCGACAAGGGAGCATTCCACTTCCATCAGAGGTCTCCACTGAAACAACTCCCCTGAAGCTACTGATATTCCGGGGCACTCGGCCCCCTGGGCGGTAAATATTCGGAGAATCGTGCGGAATTGGACCCGCGGGGTGAGACAGGGCACTAGAGGTGGGGGAAGAAAAAAAAAGAGCAAGAACCCCTCCAAAAACACCAAGAAATGTGACTGTGACGCATCATCATCTTCACTACACGAACGTTCTTAACGGATAACCCATCATGGCTCCCACCAACGCAGAGGCTCAAAAAGCCCTGGAAACTATCGTCGACACCGCCTCGACACTCCTCGAACAACTTCAATCCATTCTCACTGAGATTCAACGTAACCCAACAGCCCCCTCTGCGTCCGCCTCCGAAACAAAAGACGTCGACGCCCTCGCTCTCGCCCGCGACACCTCCTCACTCATCCGCGCCCACGGCACCAAGATCTCCCTCCTCGTGATAAACGAGCCTTTCACGCCCAGCGCCCTCTCTACCGTCATCCGCGAACTCATCAAGGGCCCTATTCCAGGCCTCGCAACCGCCGCGCAAGCATGCGAAGCAAAGTCCTACACTTCCGTCGTCCGCAAGGAGCTCGCCTACCGCGTGCAGAAGGTCCTCATCGAGCTTTCGAACCTCCTGAAGCGTGTGCCGAAGGATGGCAAGGTTCTCTCTGGTGTGGGCAGGGACAGCGGGAAGGGCAGTTTGGCGCTGACGGGTATGCTGTGGTCGGCTTGTGACGAGGTGGTGGCGTTGGCGAATATGGGTGTGGGAGGGTTCTTTGTGAAAAAGGCTGAGGAGTGGAGAGATACGCTCAAGGATGTCATGGAGGAGTTGAAGGAGTGGGGAGAGGAGGAAGATGAGGATGAAGATGAAGACGATGTGGACGATCTCGCAGATCAACTGAACGACACATCCCTCTCCAAACAAGAAATGCTCGACGACTTCATGAACTCGTCCTCCGCCATCCCGCGCTCCGATCCCGACAAGATCCGCCCGCGTCTCGACTCCTCCCTCAAGCGTCTCCGCATGGTCGTCCTACTCTATCAAGCCCTTTCCAAGCGACGATTCAAGAAGCTGCCCAAGGACACCGCCAAGGATGGCATGCCGGCCAAACTGGACCGCACGGCCAGTGTTCTCGAGACGTTGCCGGACAAGTTTGGAGATCTGGCGGGTGCATTCTATGAGCTAGATGCAGAGGAGATCGATCGGCTGATGGAGGATTGTTTTGAGCAGGCGGTGGGTGTGAGTGAGGTTCTGAAGATGGGGTGGGAGGGGGAAAGTGATGAGTTCACTGAGTGGATGGAGAAGTTCAAGGTTGAGGTCAAGAAGACATAGCTATGTTAGACCTAGAAATAGAAGACAAACAAAAGAATGAATCATGCATAGACATTAACCGATCAGAAGCATTCTAAATAATTCTCGTCATGGTATAAATAATACATGACCGCTATTTGTACGTTACTACACGTAGTGCTTGCTTTATACAAAGTACACATTGCTCGACTCGCTTCCCTCTCGGTCCGTCATATCTTGAAAAGCCTGTCCCAAACTCCCCCTCTTCCGTATCAAACTCTCCATTTAAAACTCTCTCTGCTCTGATGCAGGACGATGCGTTGTTGTCGTCATCTGGGGGAACCCGAGTTGCTTATCCTCGTGTTCCGCATCGTCTACCGGGGCCGGAGTTTCTGGTGTAATCATAACAGCAGGCGCACCTAGAGTACGAGGCACAATTTCCGTCTTAGCGGCAGTGACACCCTCGATATGCTCTGCCTCTGCATCTTCCTTATCATCCTCCTTGACTTGTGAGAGCGGTCGAGCATAGCCAGTACCATCAGGAGACTCTCCATCGTCATCGCGGCGCATTGAGCCGTTCTCCAGATCGGCACCTACCATCTGAGCCAAACTACTAAAATTGAACATTGGCTCAGAACCAGCGCTTCCAGCATCACGTTCTCCATCGTCGCTGTACGCGCCAAGGCTCAGTCCACTAGACCGAGGGCCATCATCGGCGCCCAGATAGTCGGGTCCAGTGTATGTATCACCAGGGCTGTCGTTAAGAGAGGACCCCACTGAAGAAGCATTGCTCATCTGCCTCAAATGCGATCCTCCGCGTGAAGGGCCAGCCGGTAGTGGCAGAGAACTTGATGATGAGGTTGGTCCGGTTTGTGTGTCTGGCGAGCCTCGATCAACACCCTTGCCTTTTCCAGTGCTGTCGTCCTTCGCTTTCGGCTCTGCTGGTGAATCAGGAGTGCTTGGTGCTTGTGAAGCTCTCGATACCGTCGCTTCTACGCGCAGGTTGCTGGCAGTACTATTGCCACGTCGACGGCCCAGCCCCCCTAGAGACAGACTGCTAGCGCTCGCGCCACTTGCACTTCCGCTATAAGGAGTACCGCCCTTCTTGGCTGCTTTCTTCTCCTCCTTCTCTCGTCTCTTGGTCTCCTTGCGTATAGCCTTGTCCTCTTTTCGTTTGCGCTCCTCTTCTGATGCTAGGGAGAGACGGACAGCTTCCATAAACATCATCTCTTCGAGTTCATCCATACGACTTCTGCGTCCTGTTCCGTTTCGTGAAGATCCTCTGGCTCCAGGCTCCGGCCCCTCGGATGCATCGTCTTGTGCGCCATCCTGAGCTGGAGTCTGTACGCCACCACTGGGACTGGCGTTTGAATCGTTGTTCCCAGTATTTCTTCGGCCAAAGCGGCCAGGTCGAAGGATAGACCTTTGTTCGTTTCCTCCCATAAGAAACGCAGCTGTGTGAAGGGCCGTCGCAGCAGCTGCCCTGCGTGCTTGGTGATTTCTCGCCGAGGCAAGTTTCGAAGCCCAATCGGGGCGCACGCGATCCGTAGTAATCACATTCGGCGCGTTCGCGGACAAACTATGTGCGCGTCGGCGGTTTGGTACTGGCGGGGTCTGCAGCGTGCTGTTTAGTGAAGTTTGTGAGGACATGGCCGTGCTGTGCGGTGGGTTGCCCGAGTATGCGAGGCCTCGTCGGAAGGGAGGAGGCTCATAAGTCACGCCAAATTCGGGTTGTTGGCAGTATGGACAAGCTGAAGGCTCTGATATGAGCATTTCCGGTGGATCATCAGCGTTGAGACCTTCGTTGGGGTTGCGAGTTTCACCATTGGGGTGATGCTCGGGGAGATGAGGATCGGTACGCTTGATCTGAACAAAGCATTCGCTGCAAATGGGCTGGTCGCAACATCGAGTATGGTTCAAGTAAGGTGGGTATGTTAGGAAGCAAATAGGACACTCATCAGCATCCTTGTACAGGAAAACCTCAAGAGGCTGGCCATTGACGAAGGGATCGTTAGGTAGAGAGATTTCCTTGGGTGTCAGATCTGTCGAAGATGCATTTCGAGAGCCTCCAGTGAGAGCAGCTGCCAGAGCTTTGGCTCGAGGCTTGAAGGGCGATTTGCTTTGTCCAGTAGTCGACGGGGAAGGAAGGGCAGATCCTGTGTTCGAGCCGCTACGGTCTGATGCGGCAGAAAGAGTCCGGGGTCCCATAGGAACTGTCAGGTTGTGAAGGTTCTGGCTCGAAGAGGAAGGGTGGTCTGAGGGAGGAGGTCGAGGAATTAGCTCTGGATCGGGCGGCGCATCGGCGGGGGGGATAGGAAGACCACGGGCTGCAGCAATAAGTTGATGCTCAGCCCAGCTGCCAGACCAGTCATTAAGACCTCGCCAAAAAGGCGCAAGTTTCCTTTCGATCTGTGTCATGTCAGCTTAGCAAGACGAACAGTCAAGAGCGGGAGAAAGTACCTGAAGCTGTCTCACGACAGGTTTGCTAAAGTCCTCAGTGCCCGTATAGGTGCCCAATGTTACCAGATAACCTCCATCGACATGCTCCTCGCGCATACTCCTCTCACGTTCCTTCTCTCGTGCCACGCGTTCTCTCTCCAGTCTCCTCGCCTCGCGCTCCTGTTTAGTTTCGCGACGCTCAAATGGAGCATCTGGTTGTTCGCGGTTGCGGGAAGAACTCGGGCCCATGCCGAAGATGTTGATCTCGGCTCTGCTCATGCGTCGGTTCTGTCTCGAGTTGCCATCTCGCAGATGTTCGCGAACTGACGGATCGCCCGGTGTTGAATAGCGACGTGAGGCATCGCCTTCCGGACGGGACTCTTTTGTGCTTGAATTACCCATGTTGAGTTGTGAAAGACGATAGCGGCTGGGTGATGTGGCGCGATCGCGCACTTGGGCCTCGTCTTATCTGGTGTCGATGGCGTTGACCAGGGCGGGAGGTGCTGTCGTCAACGATAATCGAAGGAGATACTCCTCAAAATCTCAGAGCTGGAACAGAGAAAGGAGGCAACAGTGAATCAAAGATGAATGACAAGACTGGCCAGGATAAGCTGAGCTGAGTTGAGCGATAATATCAACTCGATATGATTATGAACCTAACGGTACCGAATGTCCCGCGATGCGATGGGTGGAAATGGGGGAGGGGCGTCAGACGACGGGGGTCACCACAGAGAGCATCTCGCTTGGGCGGGAACCTATCGTTTATGGAGAAGGTGGTATTGACGCCCTGGGGTGTAGGGGACGCGGCTGTTGACAGGTGCCAGCAACGCTGAGTTGATTTAACAAAAGTTGAAAGGATGTGGTTGGAAATGATGGAAGATGTTGATAGTTGATAGTGGAGCGATAACGGATGTTGATGGGTTGTTTGATGGTCGGGATAGAATTGGTTGGCAGCAGCTGTGAGAGGTTGGGGAAGGCGGGAACAGGACGTCAGCTACAGTACAGAAGGTGCTCAACTGTAACAGCAGGGGATCTGTAGGTAGGTGCTGGTCGAGTCTGGGTCTGGGCCTGGATTAGCTGAGGTGGGAATGGATCGGATACTGGAGCCCGTGAGCCAGGCGGGCGGGTAAATGCTGTTAGGTACCTTAGCAGATAACAGATAGCGGGGTAGCGCGAAGCTATTCAGTTGTAGGACTGCTGAACAATCGGAGAATACAGGGTGATGCAGAAGAGAAGAATAACCAGGTGCGCATGCAGCTCAGGTTGGAAACGAGAATAGATGACTGAGGAAATCTCCCACAACTTCTTGCATGCAGTTACGTCAAGAAAGCTTAGCAGCATTGGAGAATGCTCCCCCCTACAATGCAAGGCGTCGTAAGCTATGGAGTAGTTTAGCCAAGGCAAGCTATCTTTAGTGCTAAACTTTGACGATAATTCATGCTGGTCCATTAGGTCTTATCTATACGTTATCTAAACCCCGGATCAAATATTCACGTTGACGAGGACAACTCAATTGCTCTTAAGGCTCAACAGCTTTTTGCTGCTCACCTGTGGCATTTTAACTGACCCCGTTTCATACTTGTGCATCGATTTTCCATCCGATCTAACAAAGTTACAAGTCACGGACAGATCTGCAACGTCAATCCTGACTCGCATCCCAATCAACGTCATGAATTGTCACCAAAACAATGTCAAAGAACATGGATACAAAACATCCCTGAACCCAGACTGTAGAAAAACAAGAAAATGTGAATGTATTACTTACTGCCTGTTTCACGTCAATCTATCAAACTTCCTTTCACCGAAACATTCGGTCAATGGCATTTGAAACAGCACGTGCGTGCGTTGTTGTTGAAGGAACATCATGCCATAATCTGACTCCGAAAGATCCGGATGGTCTCTCATAGACTCATCATCGATGTGACTTGGCTGTATGCCGCATGTTCACCGACAGTGTAGAGCTGTGTCAATTCATAGCATGATCAAGCCATGCATTGTATTGTGTTACGAAACCTTGCAGCTTGCTCTAGTGGTATATTGTAAATCCCGTCTAACTCTATGCCCATTCTACCAACACATACCCCAGGGATATATCATAATCTCATCATCGAAAACCCGTTACAACCTTAATCTATAACCCAACGCCTTTATCTTGTTGGCGCCCATGCTTGCAGCCAGTCCCTCATCCTCTCCAAACTCCCCTTCTCTACCTCCGCCGCAGCAATACACCACTCAACCTCCCAAACACCTTCCGCAGCCATCATCTCCGCCAATTTCCGGCTCCTCTGACTCGTCTCGTCCGTACAGAAGTACAAAGGCGCATTCGTATTCGTGATGTCGGCGAGGAGCGGCTTCACCAAGGGTAGGACCTCTCGCGCGCTTGAAGGCTTGGGTTCGAGACCTGCGTTGGCGCGTCCTGTCTTACACCATGTATTTCCGCAGTGAGCTTTCCCACAGCCTGTCATGAGTTGTCCGAGATATCGTCTTTCGATGCGGCGTTTGAGAGCCTTGCCTTCTGGATCGTGCATGCTCACGTACAACGGGCCATAGCAGATGGAGCAAAGACCGACATCGTTTGAAGCTTGTTCGCTGGAAGCCGCTTGGCGGACCTGGCCCCTTGATCCAACTCCAAACATAGTACGTCCGCAGTTGGCGTTGCGACAAATTGGCGGCGTTAGTCGAGATACCTTGTCAAGCTCGTGGTGCTTGAGATGTGTCTCCATGTCTTTCAGTCGGACAATCTTATCGCAGAGATGGCACTCGGTTGTGCGCGTACCATCAGCAAGCTCATGTGCCGTCAACCCAGACAGAACCACCTCTGGGCTTGGGTTAAAGGGGTCTCCCTCTTGGGGCACTTCAAGATGGCAGAAGCGGCAAAGAATTAGTTTTCCTGGGCACACGCTTGTTGAATGCCTTGCCAAATCGGCCAGTGAGTTTGTAGAGAATTCGCAATGGGGACATTGCCGTTCCGTGTGAAATATGTCGTCGTGCTTTACCCTGCTCGTCGCCGAGTTGCCAAAAGCACTGTCTTTGTCGCAATGCCAATGAGCTTCCCATTCTGGAGACCCTTTCTTGAATACAGACTTGCAGCCAGGGCAAACAATATTATTCCTCCGACAAAAGTTCTCGTGTAATACCATTGTTCGCTTGGGAATAAATTGTAAGCAGTTGCTGCATTGCTCTTCTTCAGGAGAATGCTCGTGGTCATTCGTCCCATTCGTTGTCGCGTTCGATTCGGCCTTCGTTGAGTCGGGTAAGTCTACTTTCGCTCGTAATGAGTAACGCAATGTCTTTGCAGACCCTTCTGTGGCATCTGGCTGCTTATAGCCATGCACTGATATCGTGATCTGTTCGGCCCCTTCAAGCTCGACATTGGTGGGGCTTATCACAATCCTCTTTACCCCATTGACCGCTGGTGAAAAGTCGCCAAAGACATGGACAGCCTCTCGCGGTAATGCGCGTTGCCGGGAAGACTTTGGCGTAACGAATAAGTCAAGCGCATCTTCGTCTTCTCCCGTGTGCAGCTCAATAGCAAGAGGTTGGGACTTGTTCCATGACGGAAGCGTGTAATCGACGTATTCACCCTCAAGAACCTGCCCTTCTGCAGGCTTCCATATATCAATCTCGCCGCCTGTAGAACTTCCGTCCGAAGATCCTCGTTGCGCAGACATGATTCGCCGTAGTGTTTCTCGTGCTTGCTCCTCGTCCAGGGCTTCAATATCGACCTCGAGATCCGTATCAACAACGCAAATACCATCTCCTTCAGGCGCGACCTTGTCCACGAGCAGCTTAAACTCCTCACCGCGCGCACCCTTCACTGCCAACATCGAACCTTTGCTAAGCGTTGTAAAATTCTCTCGCAGTTGTCGTTCGAGAAGAGGCTTCCAGTCATCTGGATTGTAGCCTGCTTCTAGTGGTCTAAGTCGTACGTAGGTGCCTTTGGGAAGTTGTCTCGCCTCAACCTTGATATGAATGCCGTCAACGTCCATTTGTTCGCTTTCTTGTTGTGCCGGGTCTTGTCCCACATCTATGGCCTCTTTCGGCGACACAAACTCGTCTTCCTGAATTCCCAACGCTTCTGTTAACCAGGGGCTTAACCCCAAGGTACCCTCTGAGGCAGAGAACTCTCTGATGCCTGCAAAGACCGCATTTTTGTTCTTGGGGTTGACTAATCGGAATATGAGGGGATTCGGAAGTTGCTGTGCGCTATCGACATCGCTATGGGTGGAGGACGTGTAAGACCATGGGTCTGATCGGCCGGTAGTCGTCGAGGAGGGTCGAGATCGCGCCGCGGCTAGGAGTTGCTCGAGAGCAGATTGGGGAAGAAGAATCTTGTCGCCTCGCAGATTCTTGGCTGCTATTATGGAGGGATTCACGACAGGTAGCGCGCTTGACCAGCGCAAGGGAGCAGGTTCTTCCATACTGGACTATGTGTAGGCAGGATTGCGAAGCGATGTGAGGTTTGGTGATGGTTTGGTGGGGTTGATAAGATGCAATTACGTAGTGGGCGAAAAGTCAAGGCATGCGATAAATGCGTCCATGTTACGAGTAAGCTCTTAGAGATGAATTTGCACTACTTTTCTATGAAGGCATATTAGGAACTTAACACAGGCTGAAAGTAATTCTCAAGCGGCAATGCTCAGTCAGCTATTTCGGTGACGTTCTTCCAGCATCGTCCAGAAGCCGCATCAGAATAGAGTTGCCTACGAAATCACCTTACATAAGCGCATCACGGGCTATCATCTCGGGGTAATAAAATTCCGAGGTCAACTCAAACACGAAGCTTGGTTCTAGGGTAAACTTCGAGATAAGAGCTTGTTGGTCGAAGTATTGACGGGATATTGCTAGACATATTTCTCAGTCAGCCACGATATCTCGCTACTGGAAGATCTACACGTTTACTTTTAGCACAAAACACTATTCTACGGTTAATATCATGGTTAAAATTAGACTACAAAACATAGCTGAGACCAATGTCACCATCGTGTAAGTTCCATACAAGCGGGAAGCAATTCCGCTACGCATAGACAGCACCCCAGCAAGGGGATGGGAGCTACCGACTATGTTACAGCTACCTACTACGTTGTACAGTGGCTTGGGCAAGAAATTACACGTAATTCTCGGTCAGATTCGATGACACTACACGTGCAACACGGCAGGTCTACGAGTCGAAGATCTCTATGATGCTCGTGTCGATCGCAACAGCAGGAAACATTGGCAAGTTTCACCGCCATTACAACCTACGAAGCTGTCTCATCCTCCCCAGCATTTCTCGAGTGAAACACACATATCTATTCTGGTTGTGCTGTCAGGGTTGGCCCCCCACAAATGGTTATGCAGCGTAACCATCCATCATGGGCAGAAGGGGTCATGATGGATGGGTCAGCCCCGGCAGTGCATCACCGGGAAAAAACATAGCGCAGAGGCACACCAGTTCTAGCAAAGAGTGCCAGCTCATTGTATGCCCTTGCAAAAGATATTCATCAGCTATGATGAGGCTTAGGGGCTTTGAGACTTGGCGGACTCGGGCCCCGAGCTTGTTGCAACTAGTCATGATCTGCGAAGCCACCCTACAATTGAGTCTGATACGTTGATCGAGACACGTCCAGTGCATACATGGCACGACACATAGATAGACTTCTGTCGATAGTGCTGTCTTCCCCTCATAAGAGGCACGGTTCCATTATTTATCCACGTATTCTGCCGCTGTCCATCAAGTGAGTCAAGTCACAATATAGGTTGTTCAGCGTCAAAAGGGGGGCTACTAGGGCCCTTCATACTTGGCAGGGTACCCAACTTTAGCTCCCGGGCAATTGAATGGTGCGCCTCAAAGATAAGATCCCTAGGCTTGGTGATGCCATTCTGTCAAGATATCCTATCCTCCAGTCGGCCAGACTCTTTTCCCGCTCTTACCTTTATTAGTAGGTGCAGTGCATAATTATCTCAAACGCATCCAATCCCCACCACATATCCTCACACGGGCCGATCTTCCCACCTCTTGACGCAAAACAAAGGCTGTTTCTTTGTGTTTCCGGTTCAGCCGGGAGTTTCTGCTTTTTTTGGTGTTGCTGCTGTACAGTTGTTGAGCAGCACAACCCCCACTCTATCTGCCCATCTGATCTACGCAGTTTAAGGTGGGACTATCATAACTCAAAGTGATCATCAAGCTTCAACTAGCAAGCTTGTGTAATAGGTGAGTTTGACCTGACTCACTCGCTGCCGTAAATCAATATCAACACTTCCCCCTGAGGATAATGATAGGCTAAGCCCAGAGCTGCAACTTGGCTTTGGATCTAACCTCGCCAATCCAATCTCATCTCAGCCCATCTTGTCCCTTTGCCCATCCCACCCAGCGGCCATCTCCATCTTCCCCCAGACCCAAGCATGGCAGCTCGTTCCAGTAAATCATTGCCGCTTTGGCCGCTGGAATGACCACAACCATGACCACAACCATGACATGGGGGCTTGAAGTCTGTCATGTCTCGTCTCGAGCTATACCCAGCTGTAGCTGTATATAGATATATCCTGATGCCAGCCTCCAGTCTTGTCTTTCCGTCTTCATTTCATATTTAATCCGAATTCTATCTATTTTCTATCGTTGTGAAATTACTCATGCCAGCCTGACATGAGCCAAGTTATCGTCCACCACCACACGCGCGCAGAGATCACCGAGATCGAACCAAAGGGCTTGACCCTCTTTGACACTCTATACAATTCTCTCATCCTACGACACACTCTCCCTTACCTCCCCGTCTCTGGTCTACTGAACCTCGCTGCAACCTGTCGTGATATACGCTACCTTCTCCACGAAACCCCCGGTGTCTTTCGTCACCTCGACCTCACACGGGTCAAGACAGCGCACTGCGAAGAGGCCCAGAAAGAGTCGGAGCGCAACCTTGCAGTCTGGCACAATGTCCAACTTTCTGACTACCTGACTGAAGATGAGTGAGTCGATACCCACAGGACACCCTTGTCCAGCCTGCGACCACTTTAGCCGGCCGTTTTAGCTCACAGCTTTGATCCATAGCTTCTATGCCGGGCCCTTGAGGGGCATTTTCTCTACCCTTCGACAACGCGATATCCTTCGCCATGTCCAATCCCTGATCCTCGATGGCCTCTCGGTCACAGCCGAGCTATGCCACGATATCATCAACGACCCGAACTACAGTGTGCGCATGCTCTCGATCCGCGGCGCCAACAATCTCAATCATGGAAAGTTGCGCGCCGCACTAGCATATGCCTGTCGCAGCTCGCGCCCTGAGAACACCCCGCGACTACAAGCTCTATATGTCTTTGGCCCTATGCCTGTTGATTCTTGCCACGAAAATGCGCAGGAATTGAGCACATCTACACAAAATGAGGCTGATGCATGGTGGTCTAGAAAGGGCCGCATGCTCAACTCTTCCGACGACATGGACGAATGGGCGCAGTGTCTACTTGCATGCCAGGGCATCATCTCGTTTGATGCAGTCCTGTGCCAAGGTCCACGACACGCCAATTCACCAGCGTTTGGCAAAGCCCCCATGCGATCGCCTTGCAGCCCTGCTGTGGCCACATTCGCCGTTGGTGGTTGCGCATCCTGTGGCAAGGCGCCTGAGGGTATCATGACGGCTGAGACCCACTGTTCGTCGCTACCATTGCTGGCTCCTCCACCAATCCTATCATCGTCCGTAAAGGCTGCCACGTCGCCCCGACCTGGTCATGAGGACTTTGTACCTCGTTGCGCGGATTGTCTTAGAGATAGGTTTTGTGTGACTTGCAACAAATGGTGGTGCGAGACGTGTTATCAGCCTTTTGGCCATAGCACCATACCTCATGAGCCCGACGCTGTGTTTAGCTGGAGGCAGGATGGTGCAGTGATGGAAAAAGCCAAGGTAGGAAAGACAAGGCACAGTAGCTTGATAGCCAGTGCTTGCTTAACTTTACATGTGCTGACAAGCTTCACAGCGCCACGTCTCTCGAAGCTGCTGGGAATGCGGCATGAACGTACGTTGCATTCGAATCGCATGAGACTCATGTGGCTGACATTTACAGTGTAACGATTGTATTGAGCGCACGCAAAAGTATTGCAAAAAGTGCTGTGGCGGATACTGCCTCATTCACAACGAGGGTTCTTCACCAGCTTTCGTACGTATGTCCTGTCCATTATGCTAAGGAGCTTTTACTGACTACCTTACAGTGCGATTGTATGTGTCAAGAACTCGGGTTCTTCCATTCACTTGCGCATTTACTGACTTGACCTATAGGGTGCTTCTCTCGAGGTCGTAGTCTGAGAAAGCTGTCATAAGCGACGATGGAGGAAACAGATGTGCATCTGTCGCATCGTACCTATGCACAGATCATGATGCATGGTGAACTGGCCTCGGCATGTGGTCCCTGAAATATAGGGTGCTTCACATGTCTTTTGGTAGAGATGAGATGTTGATACATCGGATCTTACGAGGCGTGACGATCTCTCGAATGAGATGCGATTTTATTTGCTGGAATTTCCACTTTTGATGGTTTTTTGTACTTGTTTTGGAGCAAGGGCGTTAAGGATGAAACTCGACTCTTCAGATACATGAATATTCAACTCCAATAATTGGCCAGGCTGGGACTGGATCCCTTGGCTGAAATATCGCACCACTTCCTTGGTATCCGTACATGCGCAAGGCTTCAGAAGTGAAGAAGTTAACATCGTATCGTCTGAGATATGGGGTGATGCCATCTCGGACCCTGGCGCAATATCGAATCTCTATCACGGAGGGATAGAAAATCCGATAACATGGATAGGAACAGAGCGGATATAGACTACCGGTGAAGCTCAATGTTTGGGGGCATGTCAATTGCAATTGGGGGCAGCTCAGGAATAAGTAAACACGCGTTATAATTCCGCGGCCGACGGTGTCTACCTTAATTCAGCTTATCCCAACTTTCTTGTCATACTCACTTTCCCAACCTCATCTCTCATTTCACATCATGCAACGTGCATCACTGACAGGTCAACGCAGCACACGGCACATAGCACAGCCACAAAGCACATAACGGCAAATGGCGCAAGCGAATGCTTAAATTACGCACTCGGCCTAATCTTGCTCATTCAGGTTCGGTCCGTGTCCTTGTCGGACCGTCGGCAGAGAGAAAAAAAGCCTCTCCATCATGATTCATCATAATGCTGCAGACAATAGCCCGCGATCGCGCTTAGTGGCGATAGATCGCTCGATTAAGGGCGAAGGCGACCCTTGAAATCACTGACAGATACAGGGATCCTTGTTCATTTTTTATTATTTTCTCACTCGTCATGATAGATAAGTTATAGCCACGACGAGTAGATTTTGCTTGTGACATTTTTGTCTTCGGCTTGGATCTTTTGTTTCTTTGAAATTCCGTTATCGCCGTCTTGAACCGAGCCCCTCCATTGCATCTTGCATCCCCCACTACTCGAGGGCACCTAAAAATTAACGGACCCTGACGATCTCAAGAGGTCCAGAGTCCAGACTAAAAGTCGAGATCCTCTCGGTCCTTTCGATTCAGTTTCAACCTTCCTCACTCGTTTACTCACTCACTCACGATATCCTCTAAATCACTCAGACCTTGCAATGTCCGCCGTGCGCAAACCTCTCTCCGAGGTCCTCCCTCCTCTGATCCTCGGAACAGCCACTTTCAACCACCAGTACCACCCAGATCCTACTCACATGCCATACACCGACATCGTTGGCCGTGCTCTCGCTCACAACATCCTCGGTTTCGATACTTCGCCCTATTATGGTCCCTCCGAGATTCTGCTCGGCGATGCGCTGCGCAAGCTGACCCCTCCACCTCCCCGAGAGGGTTACTTTCTCATTACAAAGGCTGGCCGTGTCGCAGGAGACGAGTTTGACTACTCACCTGCTTGGATCCGATATAGCGTTTGTCGCAGTCTTGAGCGCCTCGGTACCCCCTACCTCGATCTTGTCTACACACATGACGTCGAGTTTGTATCCCCCGAGGAGGTCCTCACTGCTGTCATGGAGCTCCGACGGTTGAGAAACCAGGGACTTATTCGCTACGTGGGCATCAGTGGATATCCTGTTGAGACGCTCGCCTCGCTGGCCGAGATGATCTTGCGCGAGACAGGAGAACCGCTGGATGCCGTCATGTCGTACAGCAACTTCTGCGTGCAGAATGGACAGTTGGGCGCGAAGAAATTGCTGGATCGGTTCAAGGCTGCAGGTGTTGACTGTGTGCCGAACGCCAGCATGCTGGGAATGGGACTTTTGACGACCCGTGGTATCGATAACAGTCCCATGCGCGCATGGCATCCCGCACCCGAGGAGCTTCGAGATCTATGCATCAAGCTCTCCGATATCGCACAGGAAGAAGGCGAGCATCTCGAGGAGGTGGCTATCCGCTGGGCCCTCGAGAACTGGGCGCGCGTCGGCTCCGAATTCGGTACAAAGCTGAACCCCAGCGACACAGGCCGTCTCGGCGTCAGCGTCATGGGCGTGTCAAGCGTCGACGAGCTGGAGGAGACGTGGGCTCTGTGGACGAGCGTGGTCGGTCTTGTGGGCGACGAGGAGGCGACGCAGCGCAAGGCCAAGATCGAGAGGATCGTAAGGGAGCGTATGTGGCCTGCACTAGGAAGCTGGAAGGACTATGCGTGGGAGAGCGGTGGTCCCGGGTTTGTTAATACACGGAGGGTAGAAGATATGGGGGTTGTGCCGAGGGATGAGACGGCGCTGAAGTGGCAGTTGATACCCGGTGTGCTAGATACACCCAAGATTTGATGGATTTATGAATAAAGATTGTTTGAAGCTGCACTTTAATTGTCTTTGTTGAATATGTGATTATGAGTGTGTGGTGTCAACCTCAAGGCCAAAAGAATATCGTGGATCTTCATATTGCATCTCCCATTCGATCTTGCCTTAGTGCGGCGCGATCTTGCAAGTGCCGTGCAGATCATCTAACTAGATCTCCAGGCCATAGCCTGTGACATCAGATTTAGAGGACCTTTTCGTATTATGGGTTATTTGAAAGGCAATGTGGCCTAGAATGTTTGAATAACATTCTTCTTCTCGCGTTTAATAGTGAAATGGCCTAGTTGATCGAAGGATGTGAGCGTAAGAATATTGTCGCTGTACTTAGATACCATGCCTGAAACTACAAGGTATCATTCTGCTGGAGGCGAAGATCACTGATGGGCGTGAGCATTTCCTGGGTATACTCTGACGCCACTTGAGGGCAACGGCTGGCTTCACTGTGGCGCAATGATCTAGACACCTTTGAGTACTTCCAAGCCAGATTCGTAAGGATAATGTTATAGGGTAAGTATGTTGTGAAGGAGGTACGACATTTGTGGCTAGGCTTTGGTTCAGAAGCGGAACAGAATGTCCAGGAAGTATGGATGAAAAGGATAAGGTGCCTGCGATGGCTCTCTCAAGTCTTGGGCTCATCTTGAAAGTGAGCTGTTTGGTGAAATGTGGATGTAAACTTGTGAACTTGGAAGTATTGGCGAATTTGAGTTACCATCTCCAGGTTTGAGTGCTCAACCTCCAGTCTTGTCAATGTGTGCCTGCGACAATTCACCGAGATCTATGTCATGCGAAAATCTAATGTCTAGAGGGTAAGGAAACCTCAATCATGGCTGCCAAGACAGGACACAAGCCCATCATGAATAGAAATCATGATGGCTTACGTAACTGCACTCCCCACATGAAATCGCGTTTGACCAAACTCCAAGAAACCATCACCACCAATCTACCACCTTGCCAACCCGACAATCGCCATGGCCGGAGGACGCAAAGCCAAACCGGCGGCCCCAAAGGGCCCATCGACCACCCTCGTCCTCGACAACGGCGCCGCGACCATCAAAGCCGGCCTCGTGCGCGATGGAAAAATCGACGAGCCTCGCATCATCCCTAACGTCATCGCCCGCGACCGCGCGCGCAAAGTCTACGTCGCTTCCGAGCTTGAAAAGTGCCGCGATTTCGGGGAGATTCAGTTTCGGCGACCCATGGAGAAGGGCTCTATCGTCAATTGGGAGGCGCAGAAGGAGATTTGGGATCGCGAGCTTTTTGAGAATAAGGCGTACAAGTTTGATCCGGCGGAGACTCGGTTGATACTTGCTGAGGCGCCGAATGGGTTGCCTATTCTTCAGACGAATTGCGACCAGATCGTTTTTGAGGAATACGGATTTACGAGTTATTATCGTGGTATAGGTAGGGCGACTGATCATTCGTATACTTCGTTGCTAACCAGGCACAGGGCCGTCATTTAATGCCTACCACGATATTCAGAACGTCTTCCGAACGCCCCAAGAAAATCCGACCGTTGCGAATACACCCACCGAAGCCCTCATGGTCATAGATTCCGGTTACTCGCATACAACTATCACACCCCTTCTCCGCGGCCAACCTCTACACTCTGCCATCAAACGACTCGATGTCGGCGGCAAGGTTCTCACCAACTACCTGACGCGATTGATCTCTCTCCGCCACTTTGATATGCGTAACGACACATACATCGTCAACGAGATGAAGGAGCTTTCTTGCTACGTCGCAGCCGACTTCAAAACGGACATAGAAAAGACGTGGAAGGGAACCAGAGGAGAACGAAGACCGGATTATCTGTCTGGAGGCGGCATTGCGAAGGACTATATCCTGCCTGACTTCCACACCCGATCCAACGGTACTCTGACCGATTACGAACCCTCGCGACATTCGAAAGCCAAGAAATTGGCCAATCAATCCGAGGAGGATGCCCTGACGCTACGTAACGAGAGATTCGCCGTCCCTGAACTCTTGTTCAGTCCGTCAGATGCTGGTATCAGGCAACCCGGCCTGGCTGACCTAGTTCAGGAGTCTCTCAATGAGCTTCCCATTGGCCTCTGGCCCAGTATGCTGGCAAACATCATCGTCGTGGGCGGTAACACGCACTTTGACAGTTTTATTCAGCGACTGCAGAAGGAGGTCGTGCAGCGTGTCCCTGATGATTGTATAGTAAGGGTTGCAAGACCCGCAGATCCTGTCACTCAAACCTGGTACGGTGGTGCAAATTTGGCGAATCACCCGCATATCGAGAGATTAGCCGTGACGAAGAAGGAGTATGAGGAACACGGCTCTTCGTGGGTTGCTCGTAAGTTTGCTGCTGGCTTGGGGACGTGAGAAATTAGGGAGACTCGAACATCTCTACTTCGGACGGGCTCTGCCTGGTCATTCTCAAACGAACCGGCTTTGGTCCAAGGCGAGACGGCTGCTTCCCTGGTGCAACAATCTTGTGAAGATATCCGACATTGCTCATTTTCTTGGGGATTCGGTCTCCCGGGATATAGCTGTCGCTTGTGCTCCCGATAAAAAGAATGGGCAAGCCATGCATCAAATAGATCGGGTTGCGCGAGATGAGAGTGTAGGCGCAAACGCCATCTCTGCGCCCGCTGTCGGATACAAACTTAGCTCGGCATGTATGATAGAGTCGGACACGCCGCTTCAGCTCCTTACGCCTCAGGGCCTCATCCAAAGGCTTGTTGTACATGGTGTTTGTGTATCAATGCCACATAGGCAGACAAGGAATGAGGCTTGAGAATTACACTTCGCTTCACATCACAATGGCGGGTTGTTGGGACAGCCTGGAACAATGGTCTGACTATAACAACAAAACATTTATCTTTAGTATCATAACTCTACGTCAATACGCGCTCATTCATCCTTGAAATCAAAATTTGGTATCTCATCGCTGTGCAAACCCCTACTCCTCAACCCGAACAATAATCTTGCCTCCACTAGACCCTTTTTTCAAATGCTCAAACGCCTTGTCTGCCTCCTGGAACGAATATGTCGCGGCAATGATAGTCTTAACCTTGCCCTCCACCATCCAATCCCTCAACTGGTCCAGGTCTTTCTGCTTGTTCGCTGTAGCATACGTGACAAACTTGCTCTTGACACCGCCGAGGAACGAAGGGCGCACTAGGTTGGTCGACAGACTCAGAACGCTCTTGGCTGAGATGTGGCCGCCGACGAAGACGAAGTGGCTGCCGGAGAGGAGAAAGCCGTTTGATGATGCGTACAAGTTCGGAGGCGCATTGCCGACGTTGTCGACGCAGAGGCTGAATACTTGGCCGAGCTTCTGGAGCTCGGTGAGGACGTCGCTTGTCTTGTAGTCAATCACACTGTCGGCGCCCAGACTCTTGCACAGATCTGCCTTGCCTGTTGAGCAAGACACTGTGACTTGGCATCCAAGAGCCTTAGCAATCTGGATGCCCCAAAGTCCAACACCTCCAGAACCACCATTGATGAAGACCTGGTCGCCAGCCTTGACATACGGCGCAATGGTCTGATACGCCGTCAATCCCGCTGTTCCAACACCGGCCGCCTGCTCCAGATCAAGCTCCTTGGGGATGACACTGTAACCCTCGCGCTCACACACGGTGAACTGCGCCAGAGATCCAAAAGTCTTCATGGGCGTGGCCCTGGCGAGGATGAGATCGCCTTCTTTGGCATCCGTCACGTCATCTGCGACTGCGACAACGCGGCCGCTGAGATCCATGCCTGGGGTCTTGGGGAACGAGGTGATGAGACGGGCGGCCATGCCCAGCTCGACGATCTTGTAGTCGGCCGGGTTGATGGCGGCGCGGGAGACTTGAACGAGAATTTGGCCTGCCTTGAGGCTTTGCTGCGTGGGTTTGGGGACGGTGTCGCTGAGCTTGAAGACGCTCTCGAAAGAGCCCGGGTTGGCGACTTGCCATGCTTGCATTTGTTGCGCCATTGTGTATGGTAGGTAATGCGATATGTTGAACAAGTGTTGTTTCTTTGTTATCCTTGAATTACTATATGTCGCGGTTGGCAACAGGTGTAAGATTTAACAAACTGAGGTAAAGTAAGGTATGCAGCAACAAAGATTCGTCTATGATGATGTTTCGACAAAGTAAATTGACATGGCATGAAAATGGGGTTAGGAATGAGATAAGGTTACGTCTGAAACATTATCCATTGAATTCTCAATGACGTCTTGCAAAAACCGAGAGGCAAAAAAATGAAAATTGTTAGCGAGTGGATATGCCGAGGCCAGTTTGGTCGGACAAGTCCACAATGTTCTCGAAGCTGTCTATTTTATGGATATGTTTCTATATAAGTAAATTAATGCTATTATTATCAATTAGTCACTAGGATGTATTATTCAGCTGGTTACATCGTGATGGAACCCTGCTGAACATATTTGATGATGTTGTGATTAACTCGTGGGCAAGCTTGTTACGACCCCTCCCGTTCTTCTTTCGGTGTACATTCTTGGGGCTTTATAGAGTACTTCACTCAAATACTTCGTGTCCAATGTCAAACAACACTTCGACATCGAATTGTTGAGCTCCAAGGACATTGACTGATCATACAAACCAGGGCGCTCGCGGGTCTTGGACGCCACAACTTCACAGGTACAAACTCCCAATCAACACACGAGAGATTATCTCGCAGAGCCATGTGGGCATCACCATGATCAATAGACCTTGGCACTTGCCAGCAAACGCCATTGAAGTAATCGCAACCCACGGCTCAGCCCAAATTCTGCTGTCCATGCACACACCCCTCCGAGAGAGAGCCTCAACATGGCTTTCAGTGACTTGGAGAACTGGTATCGGCGCACATGTTTTAAGCGACCAAGGCTTCCCCCATATTGACGGCCAGAGCGAGGCGCCTCTTGGGAGAAGCCACTGCGGTGCTCCCATTGATGGCCATGAACATGCGATAGGCTGAAGCAAGCACCCCTACAGGACTTCGGGGATCTGGGCGATGTCGAAGTCATGATGCTCAAACGGCCGTGGCTCCGGTGACTCGGGCAATTGTCTCTGTGGTGTCGCGCTCGAGAGACTGAAAGAAGTTTGAGGTGGCATTTTCTGAGGTTCGCTGATTCTATAAGCTCTGTAGCCCAGCAGACCTCTGTGCTCCTTACTAGACTGTTCTGCATGCTCGGGATTAGCTTGTGTATCATCGAGATGTGCTGGATGGGGATTTTGGAGAAAAGTAACTGCGAAATGCTGGAGAACGGTCGGTTGTTCAATATCGCAGGCCTAAGCTGGCGGGTAAGGAAGCGTATGGAATACACTATCGGCCTGGATTGCTGCGAATTGGGAATTAGCTGACCATTATGATTTCATTTTGAGCTTTGCTCTGAAGCTGTAGTTCGGCTCGAGTCATATTCTAGAGTACTCATTGATGATGCTTACTCGGGAGGAACCACTAAAAATCAGATCCCCGCGAAAATCAACAAGGCGATCTAGGGTAGCACCATCGCAATGGATTGATCACTTCGCCTCGTGAGCAACGCAATACAATCGCATCCCCAAGGAGAATCGCGAGGATTATCTTGCCCATAACAAGAGTATATTGGCCCATGATGATCCTGTAGTCGTGGGTCGATCCATATGTATGTATGATCATACCATTGCTTAATGCGATCGATGTTGATGATATGATGAATATTCGTGCGGATCTCCCATCATAACAACATCAGGTGGACCGAACATCCAACGTCTAGAACGCCACAAGAGGAAAATATGCGATGCTCCGACGTTTTAGAGGATTCTTATTGCACATTATCGTTTTTACCAGGCCAAAAAGAGGACAAAGTTAACCATCACGAGACCAAAATTTGTTACTTTAAACAGGAAATAGATGTTCACTGCAGCTAAAGCTGAAAGTAGTTGACGATCTTGGCGCCTTGGCAAAGTCTCTTTACAAGTCAAAGTCAATTATGATCTCGAATGATCTTAGGGTACCGGGAAACTTTGCTGCTTTAGCTCAGGAGACAGAAATACGTAGACATTTTACCCTAAACCATAGAGACATTTTACCTAATTTATTTCTTCGCTTTCAGTCAGATGCTCGAGTCTTTCGGTACCCCCTAGATGGAGCCTTGAATGTATAACCCTACATCTACGGACCTGCTGTCTTACTGCATGCATTGTAAAGTCGCATTGGGACGCTGGAATTTCTTGGCCGTCAACCATCGGATTCAACGTTGCTGTTGACTCAGAATGGACGTATCATGTCGCAAACGGTAAAATGGATTGTTGCGGGGAAAGATGGATGGGATGTGGGATGGCAGCGTCGATCAGCAAAGCAAGCGAGTGAGCCAAACGAAAGCTTGAGCTTGAGCTCGGGCTCTCTAGCTCTCTCTCTGAGACAAATGGAGGGTTGTCGGTGTCCTGGACGCTCGAGACTTTGAAAACGATCTAGAACACGAAGATCACGGCGAATACAGTGACGGTGAGACAGAGCAGGAGAAATACTCGTCAGAGGCTTCACAAGCTGAGATTCACTAACGTTAGCTTGGGTGCTTGGGAGTATCTGATGACTTGCTGGAATGGGAGGCTCACAACGCCACCCGTTCATCATCATCAAATTTGACCACTCTTTGACTCAAACCACTGAACTGATTCAACAGCCCAGGAACGGGTCAGTACTGCATTTGGAATCCTCATCCGTTTCAGCACGCGTATTTTCGGAACACGGCTGTTGCGGTTTGTCATCGATCGTTGGGTCTCACGGGATCTCGGCCGAGTTGAGGAAAAAAACGGCTAGTTTCTCACTCCAAACGAGAACTACTATCATGGTGTAAGAGTTTTTCCTGCAAAAAAAGGCCTTGTGTAGTCACGAGGCCCCGGTTTAGGCGTACCGTAATGAGAGCTGGGGAATCTGACACGATGGCTTCAGAGTGAGTCCGGCCGAGGGCTCCACATTGGAATCTTTGGGAACACTGGGACCCAAATGCGGTCCTCTCTCTCCAGGTTCCGGAGCCTCGCGCGGCCAATGATGTGAGCTTCTGGCAGGGTAAGGTAAGGGGAACTGGGGGTGGGCGCCACTGAATCTGGTTTTTGCTGGAGAAAGGTCGGCTAAAGCTCAGGTTACTCTTTTAATGGAGAATGGGGAATGGGGACATATTGATGGAGACGGGTAATGCTTGGTCATAGTTGACAACTTTGTCGATTACTCTATCTCAAATAAATCTGATTCTGCCGCGTGACCACCCCGGATATCCGTATTCCCAGGCCTAATACAATGGATCGTTCCGATACTGTGGTTCGGTCGTGCGTTGCGTGGTCCATTTCCGATGCGAAGGTAACTCTGGGATAGACGAGACAGATAGTTAAAGAAAGAATATATTTTATGTTTTATTTTGGGATATCTACTGATAGAGAATAGGTAACTCAAGATGCGTTTGTTTTGGTGTAACTCCGGTTGGCTTACCCTTGTCTCCGTGCCTTGCACGTTGGTCAGAGTAAAGGAAGGATATTGTAACGTAATTAGCAGCTTGGTCTGGTTACCGCAACGTTCTCACATGGAAAAAAGGATCAGGTTAAAGGGGCTATTGCGGCTACGAAAACGGGCAGAAGAGAACAAGTTGCTTGCTGTATTCGTAATATGCGCTGAAGCTAGGCCGATTGTCGGCATTGTGTGCTCCTGTGTCGTTCTCTCACGAGAATGAGACCAAAAAGTTGTATGTATTGCTCACCCCTACCTACCTGCAGCCCGGTGATTGTGGTGTGGTATGGATGGCGCCCTTGGCTTCTGGGCTGGCTCAATTGCCAGGCCCTTGACGTTTCGGCCCGGAAATTATGCATGACAAGACGATTCGCGGTTCTCGTGACGATGGTGGCTTGGTTTTAATTCTACTGGGCCTTTTATTGCTGCTTGTTGTATGGGCGATATCACGACAAAGGATTCGGATTGCAGCGTTGAGGTTTGGCAGTGGACAAGCGTTCTCGGTCAAATTCAGCGACACTCGGTCTCACTTTTGTTTCTCCCCGCGTTCGTCGCTTCATCGCTTGTGTGGAAAATCCGGAGATTCTGGGGTTGTGCATGCCACTATATGGCATCTCGGTGGCCGACTCGGAGGCACTCTGTTGGCATTTCTCTGGGGGAGGGGGCGCTATGGGGGATGGTGTTGACAGGTGTGGTGATGTGATGAGCGGCCAGGTAGTTCCCCAGAGACCAGATCAGCCGAGGGAGCCCCAAGAGGAAGAAAACGAGGTCTGTGAGAAGGAGACTATTACCCCAAAGATTGGATGGTGATGGAGTAGTCTCGGTCAATTACAACCATCCATGCAGTCGGGGCAGCAGGGGCGTAGCGTCCTCGAGTACCACCGAGAGTTGGCCCATCGGGACCCCTTTTGCTGGGTCTGCGGTCTGCTTGGTCTGTTCCTTGGATTGGGCTGCCACTACGTACCCCGTAAAGTATATTGTATTCTCTTCTGTGTGGTTGTCTTTTATTTCCCCGCGTCGGCGTCTGGAGAGGGTGGTAGTATTGGAAGGCTATAACTGGCTGGGGGATTAGAGTGGTGGGATGGGAGCTTACAGGATAGGAATGGCATTTACCAAATGCCACCAGATCAGCACACCCAATCTTTGACAACCTTTTTACTGCTTCGTTGATCAAGATGATGGGGTCCAGTCGATGGTACGATATTGACTACACAAATCCAAAGCCGACGAACCCACCAGCTTGGTTCGCCTTTGATCCGCCCGTATCCGGGCCTGACTCGAAGAAAAGCACGGAGTTAGAAAAATAGATTTCCGATGCCTCTAGAACTCTGGATAGAAGGTCCCGTGCCGTGCCAAAACCTGAAGTCCGAAGAAAAGGAAATAAACGGCCGGCGACGACTCGGCGCTTCTCTGGGGACGTCTGGACCACCCCCCGGCATAAACCGTTAACGTTATGGGTCAACCGTCAGAGGACCGAAAATGAATGCCCTGTGGCCTGTGCTGTGCTCTCTGCAGACCTGTGCTAGAGAGTGCCCCCCTCCACTATCGTCGGCCTTACCTCGTAGCACCCCTCGAGGAGAGGGCCCGCCAATCCCCACGCGCGGTTCCCCAGATGCAAAGAAAGATATTGGGGCGCGTGAAAGTTTTTCATGATCTTTTTGGAATTGTTTAATTGAATGGGGTGAACTTGATAGGGGGGAACAGATTGACGATGCTACTGTGCCTGTGTGCGTACAATCACTGCTGAAGGAGCGGGAAACACCACATGACTTGGGTCGCACAAATGCAATCTGGTTGTTGAGTCGACAATGGGCATGCGTAAATGCGTGAATCATTTTAATGTTATTTGTTCAATGCCGTTCACTGCTTAATGGAATGCTTCAGGTAAAACGGTGATGCCGCGCTGCACACACTTAGACGTCCATTCTCGACTCCCAACTTTCTCCGTATTTTTGCCATGCTTTATTACCTTCACCCCCAGTTTTCACGCTGCGGCCGCCTCCGCATCTTTGCTGGGGAAGAAGAAATGCTCCAGAGGGCGTGCACACAGTGATCCCATGCCCTTTTTTCCCTTGTCTCCCCCAGCTAGTCCCCCCCTGTCCCCGCTCCCCCCCATTTACCGTGCCCCATGGGCCCCCGGGGCTAAAGTAGTTCCCCTAGCTCGCAGGCGCAAAGCTCCGAGGTCAGTGGACGTCGCGCGTCTGTTTGGCGCGTTCGCTCCCCCAGCTATAGCTGCATCTGGACGCTCGTGAACGGCCGAAGGCTGCTGGAGTTGGGTTACCCGAGTAGATGGGCCTGTAGGAATTGGGAATATTGTACCACTTTCAGTGTCTTTTTGTTTTTTGTGCCCATGGCCCGGGCGTGAGGTCTTGGCCTTGTTTGGGCTAGCTCCAACAGCTGTTGCTGCGATGAGATGCTGGCTGCAGCATGGGAATTAGACCTTGACCTTGCGAGCTAAGGAAAAGCAGAGCAGGAAAGCAAGCACCAGCGGCAATACCTCCATTTCTTCGTTTTCCTCCTCGAGATTAAATAGACCTCGTCTGCCCCTCCTCGTACAACTGTTTCGTCTTGCTCCATCACATCACATCATCACTTCTCTCTTCCTCCTCTCTTCCCCTCTTCTCTCTCTGTTTGTGATTCACTCCTCAACAGCAAATACAAATACAACCTTCCGCCCCCTTCTCTGCCTGGTCAGAAAATCAAACAACAACAGCAACCATGGGCGTTGAAGGCACCCACGACGAGCGACATGGCTCTGTCGCCCTCCAGACTGCCGACAATGTTGAGCAGATCGAGGCTCCCGTCACCTGGAAGGCCTACCTGATGTGCGCCTTCGCCTCCTTTGGTGGTATCTTCTTCGGTTACGATTCCGGATACATCAACGGTGTCAACGGCTCGCTCTACTTCATTCACCAGGTCGAGGGCTCTACCGCTACCAAGCTCAGCGAGAGCAACCAGTCTCTCATCGTCTCTATTCTTTCTTGCGGTACCTTCTTCGGTGCCCTCATCGCTGGTGATCTTGCCGATCGCATGGGTCGCAAGTGGACTGTTATCCTCGGCTGCCTCATCTACGCTATCGGTGTTGTTATTCAGATGATCACTGGTCACGGTGATGCCCTCGCTTGTATCGTTGTCGGTCGTCTTATTGCCGGACTCGGTGTCGGTTTCGAGTCTGCCATTGTTATCCTCTACATGTCCGAGATTGTAAGTTCCAGCTCTTCATCACCGTACCTCTTTTCCCATGCTAACATCTCTCCTCCAGTGCCCCAAGCAGGTCCGTGGTGCTCTCGTTGCCGGTTACCAATTCTGTATCACCATCGGTCTCCTCCTCGCCGCCTGCATCGTCTACGGCACCGAGAAGTACGACAGCATGAAGTCGTACCAGATCCCCATCGGTCTTCAGTTCCCCTGGGCTGTCATCCTTGCTGGTGGTCTCTTCTTCCTCCCCGACTCCCCCCGATACTTCGTCAAGAAGGGTAGAATCGAAGACGCTATCGAGGCTCTTTCCCGTGTACGTGGTCAGCCCAAGGACTCCAAGTACGTCCAGTCTGAGATCGCCGAGATCGTCGCCAACGAGGAGTACGAGCGCCAAATCATTCCCTCCACCTCTTGGTTCGGTAGCTGGGCCAACTGCTTCAAGGGCAGCCTCTGGGATGGCAAGTCTAACCTTCGCCGAACTATCCTTGGTACTTCTATGCAGATGATGCAGCAATGGTAAGATATTTCTACAGCCAACTCTAGAGATCCCTAAACTAACAACCTGCAGGACTGGTGTCAACTTCATCTTCTACTACTCTACTCCCTTCCTCAAGTCCACCGGTGCCATCTCCAACGCTTTCCTCATCTCTCTCATCTTCACCCTCGTCAACGTCTTCTCCACTCCTCTGTCCTTCTGGACCGTTGAGCGATTCGGTCGCCGCAGCATCCTTCTCGTCGGTGCCTTCGGTATGCTTGTCTGCCAGTTCATCGTCGCCATCATCGGTGTTACCATCGGTTTCAACCACACTCACGCCGCTCCTACCGATGCCGACCCCGATGCCAGACTCGCCAACAACATCAGCGCTGTCAACGCCCAGATTGCCTTCATCGCCATCTTCATCTTCTGGTTCGCTTCCACCTGGGGACCTGGTGCCTGGATTGTCATTGGCGAGATCTTCCCCATCCCTATCCGATCTCGTGGTGTTGGTCTGTCCACTGCCTCTAACTGGCTCTGGAACACCATCATTGCTGTCATCACCCCCTACATGGTTGGCGAGAACCGAGGTAACCTCAAGTCCTCCGTCTTCTTCATCTGGGGTGGTCTCTGCACCTGCGCCTTCGTCTACACTTACTTCCTCGTTCCCGAGACCAAGGGTCTGTCTCTCGAGCAGGTCGATAAGATGATGGAGGAGACCACTCCCCGAACCTCCGCCAAGTGGAGGCCCCATGAGACCTTCGCCCGTGCTGGTGACATCAAGGTTGTCCCCAAGACCGAGCACGACGACCACGTCTAAATATGATCTCATACTCAATGTCGCTACTGATGATGAAGGGGGAGATTTGTTTTTCTAATTATACCTGAACTGTTTGGAGATCACAGTGGTGATCTGATCGGAGAGCGGAAGTAAATGAGCCTAATGTGTAAATATCAGAAACAGACTGAATAGTTTATTCAAGTTATTATCTACTACCTCTTTTGCCTTTGTGATGTTGATTATTTGTCTTTGCCTCGACTTCCGACTATGTAACATTCCAACTTGCGTTGTTGATAATTGAGATCTGAGATTTGATCCGTGTATTCTATATTTTTAATATTCCCAACTTTGCATCAACCGATATCGTCCAACACTAACGTCAAGTATCGCCAGCATCACATCAACCAACGCGTCTTATGTTTCCTGGGCACCGAGTAAAGTGGGTTTCGAAACACGTTTAGTAAACAGTAACTTTGCAATCAAGTTCATAAAATTCAAGGGCAATCAATAGACCCTTCTGTTGTAGTTCTCAACACTGGAAATCAATTCTGCAATCATCATCGCTTGATATACTAAAGAGGACTTTCGAAAGGATATATAGTAGGAGTAGGAAATTCATTGGAAAGAGAATTTACACACTTGAGGAATTTACAATTGGAGTATATATTGTCTAGTATTGCAGCCTTCGAAGAACTCTGGCAACGAAATAGTATGAGCAGCCTGGTATTTACTCTTATGCCATTGAATGTATGATTAAAGGAAAGAAGATGTTAAACTCTTGGCCTAGGAAATCTATCTTATGAAAGTCAGATAAGCCTTTAGGTTAGCATATACACGAGCAAGCTTATTCGATAACCCGCAACATATGATTTTCCAGTATAATCCAAGAGTCAAGCGTATGTGCTTCTCATGAGAAACCGACCAGTAACATCTCAAAGCCTGCATGAGGTCTCCCTCCAGATCCTGCAAACTCTCAACAATGGGACTAATTCTAACAATAGTCTAGCCCTTACCACGAATCGAATAGCATAGCTTTTGCACACGCTTCGGCGCCAGCCAAACTAGGAGCATGATTCGGGGCAGCCATTTTGCTTTGGTTCTCTTCAGCCATACGCGGAACACTAGATTGTGGCCATCGGGTATTCGCCTGTCTAGCCAGCTATTACTTGAAAGGAGAATGGTCTAGTGATTTGCCTGTGCGGCTGAGTGTTGTTTCGATTTGGATGATGCTGTCTGGACCAGCCCTATTAACCGACAGGCAATAACTCTCAAAGGAAGCTAAGATTGGTCGTGATATAGATATCAGTATAAACACCATGGCAGCCCTGACGAGAAAGATTGTATGTATCTGGGGTTGCTGCGTTGCTATGTGCCTATCATATATTATTTAAAGGAGACATTTGTGTTTCCCTTGTTATTACTCAAACAGACTCTTCAGTAGAATGAGCCTTTGCCTCCTCTGTATTTCCAACAGGCTCCAAAAAGACTTTGAAGCTCTCTTCCCCCTCATCGCCCTCAATGCTGAACCTCTTGGTTCCCTCTTTTGGGCCACTCTTCTTCATCTTGGCCCACCCAAATAGGTTTGTTCTCATGAAAACACCGGTAAAGAACAGAACTCGTTTCTGGTCAGTCCACTCTGCCCACCCACTGCTCGACTGTCCTCTGACCCATTCTGTTTTTGGACCAACATTTCCAGCACCAGCCATGCCAATTTTGAAGCCGACGGTGGCATCATTACTCTCGCCATTCCACGCACTGAGGTGTATGTCCGTGGACGAATAAGTCCACGTCACTGCATAAAGACCATGTTCCTTAAGCTCTGGGTATTGTTTGAACAACGTCTTGGCATTCTTTTCAAGCCAGGTGATAAAAGGTTGACGGAGATCGAATCCCTCAGACACCACATCGTTCTCGCAAACAAGGACCGCCCCGAATTCGTTGGATGTGCTGTACTTGACAGCGCCACTCACGTCAACGGGGAGTCCCATGGCAGCTGCGCCGACACCCGCTTCAAGGTCGATGCTAGTCTTGGCTGTCTTGTTTGACAGCAGAGGTCCAAAACGGCGAACATCTGGTTCAGCGGGTCGCAGATCGCCCAAGGGAGGATAGCCTGCTCGTTGGACGGCTTCGGAATCTAGAAGATCCAGGATTGGATGCCAGAGATGGTGCTCATCCAGATAGCCGAGCGAGCCGGGTCGGAGACGTGTGAATGGGGCTGGCTCGAAGAGTGCATATCCATACGGGTGATGTTGCATGGACTTAAGGTAGTGCCTTGCGAGACCTCCTGCGCCTGCCATATTGATAAGTTGGCTGGTTTAAATGACGGAGTTGTGGGTTGCCGTTGAGTGGTATAATACTGGTAGTTCAGGTTAATTTCTTAACTGTCTCCTAAAGAGAAAAGGGAAGGGAAAGACCTCTATTTGTATCTGTTTTAACAAGCCACAAACTTTCTCCTAAGCCTTTCAGCTCTAAAACTAAGCATGAATATTGCTCAATAGTACAAACCTAGAGCAAAGGAAAGTCCCGACCTGCCCCTCACTTAGTCTAGAACTGGAAGATCTGCACCTAACCTTAGTTATGGCGATAATCATAGTAAAAAAAGGAATTATTAGACCGTTCCAGACTATGGAAGCTTGGTTTTGCCTCTGGCCTTGGTCTAGAACTCTGGACGATTCCTGCTTCTCGACCTGTCCCCATCTCGGTTTCTTATCATTTACGAGAGAACTAACTATTTGAGGCTGCATGATGTGGCAACAAAGGGCAAAGACAATATATGCCGTCATAGAACAAGCTAGACTAATACTATCGTTGAGCGGCATAAACTTTAGGCCCCCCCCCGCCAATTCATTATCAATCTGCGCAGCGGCGGTAGCTTTTAAATAAGCCTACGTCTTCTGACTGCATTGATATACGCCCGCACTCTACAAAGTTTATATCACTTAGACAGACGAGCATGATAAGTCAATTACCCAGGAGGTAAGCATCAAAAATAAGGTATTAATTTAAGCTTTACTTTGACTTGTGCGAAAGTGTCTATCATGACTCCAAGCTTCTCAACAGCCCCTTCAAATTTAAAACCACATTTTCTAAGAGCACGACTGCTCGCCAAGTTTTCTCTAAAGACCCCAACACAGTACCCTTGGTCACTTTCTCTATATTTGGGTCCAAGTTGCAAACCTGCTTGAGAAATCGTTGCCCATTTCACTTGGGACGATCTCATCCAAAGAATGAGGCACGAATCTGTAACCACACAGTGTCAGGAAACTTCACAAATCACACTGGCCGCGTGGCCTAATGGCTAAGGCGCTAGATTTCGGTCTTCTTCTTCTGAATCCTCTAGAGATTCCAGGTTCGACTCCTGGCGTGGTCGTGAAATGGTCTTTGGATCCTCTCTTTTTGCAGATTTTGCACCCAGGGTGGGCCTATCTCAGTGGTAGCGCTGGAGCCAACCAGACTGGAGAATTTGGGAGGGTGCACAGGGTCGTTTTGCACTTAGGTAGATTCATAGTTGCAAGTAGTCAGATGTGGTGGTCGAATTAGTCTTGGGAGAGATATGTTGAAGAAAGTGGTATTGAAAGGAAACTCCTAAACAAAGACTGAATTGAAAGAACCCGAACTATAGAACATTCTGATCATCCATTTCGCCGCTTACATTCTACTTTGTACCCACAAAGTCCTGCACTGCCTGATCCAAATCGACCGAGTAAAGCCAGTCCAGTTCAAAAGGCTTAGTCTCAGTATCTTTCTCCTTAGGCATCCTCCTCTTGTTAATCTCATTGTTCAGCTCAATGATCTTATCTACACGCCCCTGTCGACCCGACTGCCAACGACCCAAAGCCTCGTTAAGACCCTGTCCTTTGTTATCCTTTAGCTGGCCCAGAACACCAGCGAAGGTGTACACATCTTCGAATGCCTGGTTTACGCCCTGGCCGGCAGTGGGAGGGATGGCATGTGCTGCGTCACCGAGGATGACTACTCGGCCATGCTTGTCGTTGGATGCCCAGGCCTCGAGCTTGGGGAGGATGTAGAAGGGCCAGAGGTTGACTTTATCAGGGGAGATTTCAGAAGTGGCGTTTGAAACAATGGCAGGGAAATCCTCCGCTCCCTCGCGTAGGAAATCAACGCACCATGACTTGTCAGAGCTCATGGCCTTCCAAGCATCACGGCCTGGGTCTTCGCCGGCAAAGATCTTTTGCTTGCCAATGAGAACTTCAGAACCGTCGACTAGTTGGGGTGCAACGACAAAAGCACCGCGCTTGTCGTGCATGAAGGTTGCTGGCAGATGGTACTCGTTGGTATCCATCTTGAGCTGTGCCGTAGGAATAGCAGCAGTGACACCAATCATGTTTGTGAATTTTGGTGCAAGATCAGGGTGCAGGTAGGATCGAACGCGAGAGTGAATTCCATCTGCACCGACGAGAATGCTAGCTGATTCCTCCGAGCCGTCTGTGAACCGCCAGGTCACTGCGTCCTCAGTCTCACTAACGATTTTGTCGAACTTTCTGCCGTACTCGACCTTGAGATCAGCTTCGCGAACAAGGTCAAGCAGGATCTTGATGAGTTCGAAGCGATAGACTCGGATACCGGAGTAGCCGTACTTGGCCTCATTTCCGAATTCAAAGACATCGACAAGCTTGTCATCCTGAGATAGGAAGTTGAGGTCTTTGAACTTGTAACTCCGAGGCAGCATGCGCTCATAGACGCCAAGCTTATCGAGAGCTCGGAGGGAGTTGGGAGAGAGCATGATGGCACCTCCGATGTCGAGAGGGGCGCTCTGTTGCTCGTATGTGATGGTCTCGATGCCTTGTTGGTGGAGGGCTAGTGCTAGTGCTAGGCCTGAGAGACCAGCTCCGATGATGGCAACCTTTGGGGAGGACATGGTAAATCTGAAGAAAATTTGGTGATGATATTGAGGTGAGTGAGAAGTATCTCTGGTATATCAACCTTTGAGTTACTGGGTAGTAGGTGAATGTGGAAGTAGTTGATGCAGTGAGTGCCGATGTGTTAGTGATCGATATGAGGTGGATACTGCTCCTATATATACACAACCACTTCTGACCACCTTCCCAAATCAAAGCTTTAAAATCCTCCAGAAAAACTCATTTGATCCTCCGGTAAATTACTCGGTGTCGGTCATTTGGTCGCTCGCACTCGTGAGAAGAATTCGTAATATCGCGGCCGTTCTTATCCGACCCATCCAATAAGCTTCAGAAACAAAAGCCACAACCCGGCCGAGTCAATCCATCCGGCCGATATATCTCTTACTCGGCCGAGAAAAGGCTACTGGGTATGTTGAAGCATTAATCAGATGCTGGAAAATGCGCCCGCAAAGCTCCGGCCTTTTGTCTAGTGCTGATTGTTAAGTAAGCTGGTATTTGCACAGCCCGTGTATTTTATCCGGCCGAGTATCGGTGCCGAAGATGTCGGCCGATATACTTGGGTTCATATTGAAGGAGGATGCTATATAAAGATGGGGAGTGTTCCATGATCGAATTCATGTTATTCATCAGTTTATATACAGACATAACAACACATTCAAAGTTAACACCTCAATTCTCCATCAACGCCTCGACATTTTCAGTCAACCAACATCTCCGCCACAAAGCACCACTATTTACACACGTTCCCATCCAAAACTCCCCTCAACATGCATTTCCTCGTCATTGGCGGAACTGGACGCAACGGCTCTTTGGCTGTCAAAGAAGCTCTCGCCCGAGGCCACACCGTAACTGCCCTTGTCCGCAACACAACCACCACTAAAATCCCTTCACACACCAACCTCACCCTCGTCCAAGGCACACCTACTTCACAATCAGACATTGCCAAAGCTCTTACAACGCCCCAGCCTCCTCAAGTCATTGTGACAGCACTTGCTCAGGTCCGAGTAACAGAGTCACCGTTTGCGGCTCTACACCCCGATACCACGCCTGACTTCATGGCCGTCAGCATGAGAGCCCTTCTCGCAGCTATCAATCAATCAAGTCTTCCTTCCAAGCCTAAGATCATTGTCAACTCTGCTCAGGGCGCTGGTTCATCATGGCGATCTATGAACCTTCCCGGGAAAATTCTTTTTAGTCACGGTAGCATGGGCATCGGAGTTAAGGACCACAACGAAGTCGATCGACTGGTGAGGGAGAGCGGTCTTCCCTTTGTGCTTGCACGGCCCGTTATGCTTGCAGAGGGTGAGGCTCAAGTGGTCAAGGTTTGGCCCGAAGATGGTAAGGGCTGTGCTTGGATGCCTAAGATTACTAGGGAGAGTCTGGGAAAATGGCTCGTTGACGCAGCTGAGAGCAGTGAGTGGGATGGGAAATCACCTGTACTTACCAACTGAGTTATCTGGGCTTTCTGGGAGGAGTACAAGTTGGGCTACTGGGTTGAAATAATATGAGTGTCTGTAAATAATCTTTTCAATTTTCAATATACTACTAGTAAGGTCATTCTCATGAAGCCTGTCTAACCTAACCTATGCACACCAAGGTCCATGAATCTCAATAACAAGAGACCGATCCGCCGCTTATGAGCTTACCAATCTAGAAACAAAGCTATGTGATAAGGAATCTTGATAAAAGTGCTTGTGTGACATGTGAAACATAACCAGAACGGAATGAGAGGAAGTATCTGTAGGGCAGATGTAGTGGAACACGCGAAGAAAACCAGGCATATCTTGCATGGTAGCAACAAGATAGACACAGCATCGGAATGAGATTACGACGAAAAACCAAGAATACTAGAATCAGGAAAAGCACGAAGCTTGAAAGGGAAGTCGTACTCGGAAGTTTGTGATCTCCATTCTCGACGGGCTTCGGGTCCCGGGCTGCGACGCAACTTATCGTGTATGTGAGAGATAAGCACAGCACCACTGATCTACAGATAATGCAAGATGGAAGCTTGGCCGTGCTGTGTTTGGATGTTGATCTCGCAGCTCTTCGCCATTCTGGGTTGATGATCTGTACTTGTACGACTCAAAGACAAGCCTTCTACCGGCGGAAGAGCATGTGTCCGTGCGAGTATTGTTGGAGATCACTTGGGAATTATACTGCCTTTGGATTGACCAAGATGTGAGGTTTCACTTGTCTGCGGTAAAATCAAGATAAACCATGTTCATTGTAAGTATCGCTACATGAGAGTCTTGTAATCTCTATCTGTAACAACGAATGACTGGTGTTGAAACCAGAGATTCCCCTCACCAATTGAAGCATTGGTCATTGCTCCGACTAATACCAGCGCTGCAGAATACCTAACCTGGCAGTGTGTACCGTGTACTCCAGCACCCCAACACCCAAGTATCCCACCTACACTTTAACAACATCAATAACTGTGAGAAAGCTTCCCTCAGGCTTATTGACCGCATTGATCCTTAGTCTCGGATCCGCGGCCGTCAAAATCTTCTGCCAGCCCTCCAAGTCTCGCTCCAGCGAATTGAAGAGCTGCATCATGACAACATCACGAGAACGCAGCACCCTCTCATGCACGGACGAAATACTACCTGGCTCCGGGAGTAACATGTCCATGATGAGTATATGCGAGTCTTTACTCATAGATGCAGCAGTATTCTCCGTGATTTCAACAGCCTTGTCAAAGTTCCAGTTGTGTAGAATCTGGCGCAGGAGGTAGACTTGCGCACCCTGCACTGGTTGCTTGGTGAAGAAATCGTACTCTCGGAACTTGATGCGTTCTACAAGAGTCGGGTCGTTGGCTTTGACAGTCTTGATGCCCTCTTCCACAATGTGGGGAGTGTCCTCGACGATGAAGTCTAGGTCGTGGAAGGCCTTTGCGAGCTCTACGCAGCTGTGACCGACATTTCCACCAACCTTGACGAAATAAGTCAATTGACGTTTGAATGGGATACCATGTCTAGGTGACTTACATCAACAACTGTAGCCTTTCCAAGACTACCCCAGTCAAAGCCACTAATGAGATGCTTCAAATGGCTCATAGGGCTTTTGGCCACCGCCTGCATAGCAGTGTCAAACATTCTGTAGAGGTCAGGCTGTGTGGCAATGTAATCATACATGCCAAGGTCAGTATCAAAAGCAGCACTGAAAGGAGTCCTGTTGGGCGCAGTATCGTCTGGCCATCTTGCATGAGCTTTCACCATTGACGAAGCTGCAGGACCAGTAACAGCCGTTATCCACAGCCTGAAAGATGCAAGACCCTGGTTTGTCGCCAGAGCTGTAGACGTGGCAGAATGGGCCATGAACCCCTTTTCAGGTTCGGTGAAGAGGGAGCTTGTCATTGCCATCCGGGCAAGACTCTTGAGTCGCTCCTCTGTTACGCCGGCTTTGGCAGCTAGCTCCGAGTAGGAGATTTTGCCGTCGAGAGGAACTAGCTCGAATATTTTAAAGTGGCTCATCCAACGAAGGATTTCCATGTAATGGCCCTGTAGCAAGTTAGCTGGCTGGAACTGGGCATTTTGTAGTTGCGTTGCTAACTCACGCCGATGAGGACATTCTGGATATACTCGGTAGGCCCGCTGACAAGGTTGAAGATATGCAAGGCACTTTCGAGCAACGTCTCTTTGGCAGCCTGAACCTCCGCAGGAAGGTCTCCAGGTACTTTCTCGCTAGCTGGGGCTCTCAAATATTCGGTGAAAAGCTTTGACTGGTTACCCAGGTCTGCAGTTAATGCATCAATCTCCGCGGCTAGATCGATGTCATTGGAGCTGTTGTTCTCACGGTTGGAAGACATATTGAAAAAGTTTGTGTGATATCTTTGTGTGATATCTTTGTGGTAATGATAAAGATGCATGATTTGGGACAGAGATACTGGGTTATGGGACTTTATCTAACATACATTGCAAGCGGCGAGATGGATGGTGTTACAACCACATGGGAGGTCATTGTGACTCCACGAAAAGAGCGTGTTACGCAAAGAATACCTTCACCCGAGGTCACTTCCGAACCGGAGTTGTCGGATCCTTAATTCCCGACTTGGAGTTGAGTGACACGCTCGTCATTCCCAAGAGTCCTAAAAGGAAGGGAACATGTGTCTTGAACACACCTTTTCCCGTTATTATCCAGAACATCACACTTAAACCAGCACATCAATAATCTACCATGGCTAAGCAGCACTCCCAGGTCGTCATCGTTGGAGGCGGAATTGCAGGCATCACTCTGGCACTGATGTGCGAGAAGCTTGGAATCAACTACATCCTCCTTGAAGCACGCGATTCTCTCAATTCTGATAGAGGTGCTGGTATTGGCCTGCAACCCAACGGGCTGCGTATCCTCGACCAGCTCGGCCTTTTCGATGAGATAGAGGAAGCGACTACTCCCATCACCAAGTGTTTCTCCTATGATGGGGATTGTAACTTGAAGTCTATTTCCCACGCCTTGGGGCGTTTTCGTGAACGGTTTGTTGAAGATACTCTATTATCAATCACTGTATAGCTGATCGATGTTAGAATAGGATATCCATTTACCTTTATCGAACGACAGCAGCTCCTTTCTATCATGACCAGCCGCCTTCAGCGGATGGACTGTATTAGAACTTCAGCACGCGTGGTCTCGATTCAGGAGACTGAAAAGAATGTCGTCGTGACAACTACGTCCGATGAAGCCTACACTGGCGATATCGTCATTGGTGCCGATGGTGTGCGTAGTGCCGTCCGCAGACACATCGATGTATCTCTATCCAACAAGCCTTCTGACGAATGTGGGTTCCCTTTACAATACGCCAGTACCTTTGCTAACTGTAGTAGACATCAACGTCGGCTTTTCAACTGTATATGGAATGTCATCACCCACCCACGGCATCTCCCCCGGCGAACGCTTCGCTATCTACAGAAAGAACGAGGCAGTGGTTGGGTTCACCGGAAGAGGCGGAGTCATCTTCTGGTTCGTCTTCGAGAATCTCAACCACTACGTTCCACTCTCCCAAGCCAAGCGATATACGGAAGCAGATGCCGAAGAGCTCTGCAAGAAAGTCTTCAAAGTCCAATGCACGCCTAGTCTTGCCTTTGAAACTATTTACAAAAACCGCATCGTGGCTATGAGAACCCCAGTGGAAGAGGGCATACCAACAACATGGAACACCGATCGCTCGGTTATTGTTGGCGATGCAGCCTGTAAGACGACGCCTGCCGGTGGTCAGGGAGCGAACCAGGCCATGGAGTCGTGTGCGGCCCTGATCAATAAACTCATGGAAGTTTATACATCACAAGACGGGATATCTAACGACTCTTTCAAGGTAGCTCTGGCTAGTTATGCACAAGAGCGAGAGCAGCCTGCCGCCATGACGATGGAAAGATCTCAGATGATCTGCAACTCGTTGTTTTGTTTACAGGACCCAGCCGTGCTCAAGGACATCCTGAATCTCAGTGAAGATGAGTTTCTTCTGCGTGCGTTCATGGGTTTGTCTACTGCGCCTGTTCTCAACAATGTTGAGTTGACGGCAAGAGGGCAATTCTACAGTACGGCGGTTGAGGCTGTGAAACAGGAGATGAAGAAACGGCTTAACGGGAAGGCTTGAAAGACACTTCGGGGTTTAGTGACGCTGCGAGCTTCACTCGTTCATCGTCAGTGGCCACCTGAAAGGAGTGTTGGGCCCCTTGGCCATGGAGATGAGCTATCAGTCACTCTTTTCTGTAGCAAAGATAAGAACATTTGCAGCATAAATTCTACGAGCGAGTAACTAATTCATCCTATGTGTTCTGTACAATGAGCTGTACCGTCAAGCCAGCTTCACTGGGACTGCTACAGTTTTCAACAAATCAACGGTGGTGTAATACAGCTCGTAGATCCAAACCTGATAACAGGATACTACCCCTATCGCCATGCCGCCAATTTCCAAGTAATGTAACACAACATAGTCCTTTTTTGCATCGGGTTGATATCTAAACGATTCACCTACAGATCCTACCAACTAAGCCACCTCTAAGTAGTGAAACGCCGGAAGCAAGAAGCAAGACCAAACTGCAAGTAAGCGGGTATAAGCATCATAGACGATGATCCTATATCTCACAACTCCAGCGCATTGAGCTTATCTTCGCCACTCGTATCTTGATGCTGCCGTACAACTCAACGCACTGCATACATCTCGGTTTCCGATCCCCGATAGATTTCGGACTCGTGGCAGACGATGAGTTGGTGAGAATATCGGGTTGAATCGGAGAGTATCAGGTTCAGACCTGCAGCTTGCATATCCAGTTTGGGAATGAGGCTTAAAGCCTCCTGGCGAGTATCTGTACAAATAGAATAGATGGCTAAATAGGAACGCCTCAAATACGCCTTTAATTGTTAATTATTGATTTTCTGACAACTACCTTGAACATTCAACATGTCTTCTTCAAAAATATACGTGTTTGGTGACCAGAGCATGCCAATTCTCGGGGGTTTGCAATCTCTTCTCCAGATCAAGAACAATGCACTTCTCAAGACCCTTTTCAACGAGGCGTTTGCCGCTATCCAGCGTGAAACCGAGGCGTTACCCTCCATCGATAAAAAGCACATGGTACGGGCTGAAAGTCTCAGCCTCCTTGTTGATGAAGTCAAACGGGGTGTCACCCACCCGGCACTCGAGAGCTGTTTCTTGTGCATCTATGAGATTGGGTACTATATCGAGTGAGTGGAAGGCGTTTTGGTCTATTGAAACACTACTAACTACTGCAGATATCTTGCTCGCTCCAACATCGAGCATGCTCCCTCTCCGACATGTCGGTTTCTGGGGATTTGTACTGGGGGTCTCGCGGCAGCTGCCATAAGCTGCTCACAGAATGTGTTTGAGATTCCTCAACTGGGTGCCCAGGCTGTCACTGTTGCTTTCAGACAGGGTGTGTACATCCAAAGGAGAGCAGAGCTCCTGGGTTACCCGACACCAGTTAGCTGGTCAGTGGTGATACCCTCGGCAGATAAAGGCCGTGTCATGGAGGCTTTGGAAATTCTCTCGAGGAACAAGGTCAGTCTCATTTCTAGAACGATGGACTCTTCACTTACACTTTCTTATAGAATCTACCTATGGGACTAGATCCGTACATCAGTGCTGTTGGCCCAGGCTCCGTCACCATCAGCGGCTCACCTGCTATCATCGAGTCGCTGAAGTCGCAACCTGGTCTTTCTCCCAAGCGAATGCTCCCTGCCCCTATCTATGGCCCCTATCATTGCCCGTCAGCATACTCAGAGATAGACCTGGAGCAGACTGTCAAATGCCTTCTCCAGGATCTCGAATTTTCCGACCACGAGGCTGTTGTCCCTGTGGTTTCCTGTGCTTCGGGATTACATGAATCAGGGTCTACTTTTGAAGCCTTGTTGGAACAAGTCCTCAAAGATGCCCTTTCCGAACAAATCCGGATGGATATTGTCATTGACGCACTGTTCGAGCATGTTTCTGCCAACGACACGACATTCATCCCTATCAACGCCCAAGCCAGCGCAGCCAGTATCGTGGACTCTCTATCTCGACGAGGCGCAACGACCTGCATATCACCAACCTTGAAAGACTCTACCAGTGACCCTAAGCCGTCACAATCAGAGAACACAGATGTGGACAAAATCGCCATTATTGGCTTTAGCGGTCGCTTCCCAGAAGCCGATGACCTTGATGAATTCTGGGATCTCCTCATCAGAGGTCTCGATGTACACAAACTTGTACCCGAAGATCGCTTCGCAAAAGATCATTATGATCCCACCGGCCAGCGCAAGAATACAAGCCAGGTCAAATACGGGTGCTGGTTAAAGACAGCCGGCCACTTTGACACTCAGTTCTTCCACATGTCGCCCAAAGAAGCGTTGCAGACAGATCCAGCGCAGCGATTGGCCCTTCTCACAGCGTATGAGGCTCTTGAAATGTCTGGTTTCGTACCTGATCGGACCCCTTCTACGCAGAGAAGCCGTGTTGGAGTGTACTACGGTGTCACAAGCAATGACTGGGGTGAAGTCAACTCAGCACAGGACATTGATACGTACTTTATTCCTGGGGCTAATCGAGCCTTTATCCCGGGGCGGGTCAATTACTTCTTCAAATTCACTGGTCCCAGTATTGCTATTGACACTGCCTGTTCGTCCAGCCTAGCCGCAATAAATGTCGCTATTACCTCGCTGATCAACCATGACTGCGATACTGCTATTGCCGGCGGAACAAACGTCTTGACCAACCCAGACTTCTTCGCTGGGCTTGATCGTGGACATTTCCTGTCAAGAACAGGCAACTGTAAAACATTCGACGATGGTGCTGATGGATATTGCCGAGCTGATGGCATTGGGACTCTTATCCTCAAACGCCTCCCAGATGCTATCGCAGACGGTGATCCTATCTTTGGCACCATATTGGGTGCATTTACCAATCATTCGGCCGAGTCAGTCTCTATTACTCGACCTCTGACGGAGGCGCAGGAGTACCTCTTCAAGAAGCTTCTGAACCAGAGGGGAATTCATCCTCACGATGTAAGTTACGTTGAGATGCATGGCACTGGAACTCAGGCTGGCGACGCAGTCGAGATGCGCTCCGTTTTGAATACATTTGCCCATGACCACAGTCGCCCCAGAGATAAGACACTGCATCTGGGGTCTATCAAGTCCAACATCGGGCATGCAGAATCAGCTTCTGGTGTTATCGCAGTCATCAAGGTGTTGCTCATGATGCAGAAGAACACCATTCCTCCTCACTGCGGCATCAAGACCAAGATCAACCAGGGCTTTCCTAAAGATCTTGGTCTTCGGGGTGTACATATTGCCCAGAAAGGCCCGAAAGAATGGCCTCGTCCTGCCCAGGGTAAAAGAATGGCTCTCATCAACAACTTTTATGCAGCTGGTGGAAATACATCTCTACTCCTTGAAGATGGGCCCGGCGAAGCAGGACTTGAATTGGATCATGCCAGAGATCCTTGGGCCGAACATGCGATATTAGTCTCGGCACGCTCTACCAAAGCTCTGGAGGAGAATCTCAAGGCTTTGGAAGCCTTTGTTGCGAGCTCGAACCTCACGGAAGGTGAACTACTATCCCAGCTCTCATACACCACCACTGCCCGACGTATGCACCACAGTCGTCGTGTAGCTATAGTCACCAATAGTTTGAGCAACCTGAAGCCGTCTCTGTCCTCAGCAGCAGCCAGTGCTTCTCAGGTGAAAGGCGTTCCGGCCACAGTTCCAAAGGTCGGATTTCTCTTCACCGGACAAGGAGCCCAAGAGACTGCCATGGCAAACGGCTACTACAAGAACTTCTCTTCGTTCAGAGCTGATATCACCGAATTTGATACCATTGCGAGACAACAGGGGTTTCCGTCTATCTTGCCACTGGTCGACGGAACCACTCCGATCGAAGAACTCTCCGCAGTGGTTGTCCAGCTTGGCACATGTATCATCCAGATAGCACTGGCCCGTTTTTGGATCAGCTTGGGTGTCAAGCCCCAGTACGTCATTGGGCACAGCTTGGGTGAATATGCTGCGTTGCAGATCGCTGGTATTCTCAGTGTTAGCGACGCCATCTACCTTTGCGGCCATAGAGCAAAGCTGCTTGAAGAGAAATGTACTGCTTACACCCACGGCATGGTCGCAGTAAAGGCGAAAGCAGAGACTCTGAAAAACCTTGATCTTTTTGGATTGGAGGCTGAAGTTGCTTGCATCAATGGTACAGAGGACATCGTGCTCAGTGGTCCGATTGAAAACATCGACTTGCTCTGTGAGAAGCTTTCACAGATGGGTTATAAGCATCAGAAGCTAGATGTCCCGTTTGCGTTCCACTCATCTCAAGTTGAGCCGATCCTCGACGAGCTTCAAGAATTGGCTTCTCATGTCGAATTTCGCAAGTCGGAGTTGACTATGGTTTCAACGTTGTTGGGTAAGACTCTTACTGCCGACATGATGGGATCTCAATACATCGCCCGTCACTGCCGTGAGACGGTCAACTTCCTTGGTGCTGTACAAACAGCCGAGTCCGAGGGGATCATCAACGCCACAAATATTTGCATTGAGATCGGCGCTCATCCAATTCTCATCCCCAAGGTCAAGTCCATAATTGGTCAAGATTTACGATGCTGCGCATCTTTCCGTCGTGGTGAAGACATGTTCAAAACAATAACAGATTCCGCATGCGCTATGTACTTGGCTGGTCATTCGATCAACTGGGATGAGTACCACCGCGACTTCAAAGCTTCACACAAAGTGCTCTGCCTACCTCGATACAGCTGGCAGCTCTCCAACTATTGGATGCCTTACAAATACAGTTGGTGTCTCACCAAGGGTGACGAACCAACGGAGCATCCCCGAGGCAGTATCCTCGCACCAAGAAAAGTGGTCAGATTGAGCGATTCCATTCACGATGTTGTGGATCAAGTCCACGATGACAAGAAGAGCTATATCGTGGCCGAGTCAGACCTTCATGATCCCGCTCTGTTGACTGTTGTTGAGAACCATCGGGTCAACGGGTTGACTATGGCCCCGTCTGTGAGTCCACTCACGAATAGATCCGTCAATGACATTACTAATGTGGCACCTGTAGACTCTCTTCGCCGACATGGCTTTTACTCTAGCCAAACATCTTATTGACCATCATTGGCCAGAGACCCAGACCTTCATACCCGCTGTCAACGATATGGTTGTTGAGAAAGCTCTCACCTTGGACAGCAATGACTCGCAACCTTTTCGATCTTCCCTGGAAGTTGACTGGATAGAAATGCGAGGCGAATTCAAAATCTATAGCGTCAATACCGCTGGTGAGCAAACGACACTGCACGCGACATGTACGGTAGAGGTCGAAGATGCCGAGACGTACCACCAAGACTGGCGCAGCAAGCTCTACCTCATACAAAGGAGCATCGCCCACCTTAGTTCCGGTGTTGGTGACGGTTCTATCCACACGTTACGTCGAGGGATGCTGTACAAACTGTTTTCCACTTCAGTGCAGTACGGCTCAGTCTATCAAGGCATCCAGCAGGTCTGTTTCGACAGCGATGGCCTCGAAGGCACAGCCAAAGTATTTCTGCCTTCCAACAAGGATGCCTTTGCACTGAATCCCTTCTGCTGCGATAGTCTTGGCCATCTCACAGGCTTTATTATGAACTGCAGTGATAGCTTGGACCTTGCAGAGCATGTCTACGTAAACCATGGTTGGCGTTATCTTCGCCTGACAGAGCCATATCGATTCAATGTGCATTACCAGACATACGTCAAAATGCAAGCTGTTGGGCCTGATGACTCGACGTATATGGGCGATGTGCATGTCCTTCGCGATGGAAAGATTATCAGCGTCTGTGGTGGCGTTATGTTCAAGAAGATCTCTCGCAAGGTGTTAGACATGCTTTTACCTAGGCCTTCAACAGCAAAGGCGAAACCAGTAACAGCCAAGGCGTCCTTGATGAAACAGGTCTCTGACCTTTCGGCCTCTTCATTGGTTACTGGCCCGGATTCGCCACCTGAACAAACAGAGACAGGCACTTCTGCGCCTCTGAGCTTCATCCAAAAGGCCCTTGAGATCGTCGCGGACGAAATTGGAGTGGAACTCGCTCAACTCACCGATTCTGTGGCGTTGGCAGACTTGGGAGTTGATTCTCTCATGTCACTCACCATTCTGGGCAATTTCCGCGAAGAGCTTGACCTGGATATCCCAGCTGCTCAATTCTACGAGTGCACTACGGTGAAAGAATTCAAGGACTTCATCGTTAGTTTTGCTGGGATCACAGAAGAAGTTATTCCAAGTTCTGCGTCGGATACGGAGAGTTCTTTATCTACTTCTGCTTCTACCGCCCCAAGCCCTGATGGAAAGGATCTTGCTATTGCAGATGGATCAACGCTTGATGTCGCTCTACATCCTGAGGTCAAGTCTATCCCTCGCTCGACATCGACAATTCTTCAGGGTACTAAGCATTCCTCCAAAACCATCTTTCTATTCCCTGATGGGGCTGGCTCAGGGACCTCCTACGTTACTTTGCCGCCTATTTCGCCTGATCTACGAGTCATCGGACTCAACAGTCCTTATCTTACTAAACCTCACGAATTTACCTGTGCTCTTCAGGACATCACTGGCTCTTATCTTGACGAAGTTCGACGACGCCAACCTGACGGCCCGTATTATTTCGCAGGTTGGTCTGCAGGAGGTATTTCAGCATTCGAGGCTGCTCGCCAATTCGTGGCAGAAGGGGAAAAGGTCAAAAGTCTTATCTTGATCGACTCACCTAATCCCATCGGCCTTGGGAAGCTTCCAAAACGCATGTACGATTTCCTCACAGAGTCAGGTATCTTTGGAGGTTTCGAAACGGGTGGCAACGCCCAATCCCCTCCCGACTGGCTATTCCAGCACTTTTCCGTCTTCATCGAAGCTCTCGACAAGTACATGCCCCAGCCTTTCGAGCTGGGCTCTGCACCACGGACAACGCTCATCTGGGCTACGGACGGGGTGTGCAAGAATCCTCAAGATAAACGGCCTGAGGAGCGGGATGACGACCCCCGTGGTATGAAGTGGCTTGTAAATAACAGGACTGATTTCGGAGCTAATGGCTGGGATGATTTTATTGGTACTGATAATATTCGTATTCTGACGGTTGAGGATGCTAATCATTTTACCCTGTTGAGGGACCCGGTTGTTTCGTTGGTATGTCGTATGATTCGGGAGGCTTTGGATATTGAGTAGGTAGGGTTTCTGATGGAGTTTGATTGTGGAAACGTTGGACTGATAATAAGACTATGGAATTGTTATTAGACGATGGTCGTGATCTTTATATAGAGTTGTTATCTAATGTAGTGGCAAACTAGAGTCTCAAAGTCTTACTATTTACCAGAGTACCACATGTTCTATATTTTGATAAAATAATTATCTACATTACATTTGTATTTCGCTGAGAGATATCCAGCATGGAGAGTGGCGTTTAGATCGACTAGACGAGGATCAAAGAATGCTACCTTCTGGTTTCAATCAAAACGACGATTGTTGATGGATGGTCAGCAGAAGAACTTATGTAGTTTTCATTTAGACAAATGGATCTATACTGTTTTCGAATAGCTGAGCTGTCTGAAGGATTGCTTGGCAACATAAATTCCATCTATAAACAGCCTGGCCCCCAACCGCCTAGATTAGATGACAAGGTTTCCAAGCAGGCCGACAATTATGTGCCATAGTCTCGATCAGTCGATTACCCGTAAATAATTCGGGTGTGGTTTGGCAAATGCAACATCTTATCTGTCGCAGTACGGCGCTGCGGTTCTCCAGCGACATGGTAATGGCAGATGCAGTTTTGCTTCACCTGCTCGTTTGGGCTTAGGCTGCCTGGAGATATAGCAAAAGTGCCAACTTATCACAGGACCGACTTCCGTAAAGCGTTGGGTGAGGAACTCGATTGGGAACACTGCAGTTTGGGATCTTTTGCTCGGGCTATCGCTGAGGAGGATTGCTGAGGCGGGTGGCGTTGTGTGGATAGTCGGGTGTTAGTCGTGGAGTTGCAAGTATAAAGGCACCATACTCCCATCGTTGGCATTGGTTTTGCTCAAGTCAAACTACAACCAACTCAATCATCTCACCCAATATCATACAAATCACTTCACACTTCCATCCGCCAACATGAAGTTCCTCCCCGTCGCCGTCGCCTTCTTCGCCGCCTTCGCCATCGCCTCCCCATCCGCCGAGGGTGAGCTTGAGCGCCGACAATGCTCGTGCAAGAAGATCGGCGATGAGTGGCTCTGCAGCGGCCCCAAGTGCCCTCGCGATCTCCCTGCCAAGAGAAGCCTTCAGCGTCGACAGTGTTCTTGCAAGAAAGTTGGTGGCGAGTGGATCTGCAGTGGCCAGAAGTGTCCTCGTGATCTTTCTCACATTACCGAGTCTGAGTAAATGTGCAATACAAGATATGAAGAATGATATGGTAGGTCTTCTTGATCAAAGATTAATACTAGTGTTTCTTGTGTACTGATAATCGTATAAAGGTGCCATACGCCAGACGTGCAGTTAGGAATCCGGCATTGGTCGATCTTGAATTGGTGTGGACAAGGGTAGTTTGACAGTGACGACAATGCTTATGAAATAATAAATACATATGAACAGTTCCCTCTGGTATCTGAGCCGTGTTCGAGACGATTTGGCCAAACTTGTGACTTGATGAGTCTTTACTGTGATGATTCTTTATCGGTAGGACTGACAATGTCAAGTATATTCTCTACATCAGTGTATGAAACTCAATACTAAGCTTGTCGACTACAGTAGACAAATAAAGAAGCACTAATCCTTTTTCGACATTACACCACCAGCATAAAATCTAAGTGAACAAAAGGTCCATAAGCCATGTTGTACAGTAGAAGCATACCACATCCCTGTCTCAATAGCTTACGGGCAAGGCTTGCGGCCCGCTGACATGGGAGATTCGTTGGCCGATATCAGATTCCTAATCAAACCCCGCTTACTGAATGATTCATGTGGTTGACATAATCGCTCAAAGTCTCAAAGCAAACTGCTGCCTGTTCCCAACATCTTGAAACCTACGTTGAAAAGAGTTGCATTTGGCTTCAGTCGGTTACTTGCATCATGTCACCAATCATTCACTGTATACGCCACGGCCAAGGCGTCCACAATCTCAGCCATGCGAATCATCACCTGCCTGATCCCGAGTTGACACCCCTGGGAGAAGAACAAGCCCGGAGCCTGTGTGCTAAATACCCCAAACTGGCCAATGTGCAACTGATCGTATCGTCACCGCTGCGACGCACGTTACAGACGGCGTTGTTAGCCTTCCCATCGCAGCTGGAGGGTGGCCTGCAGGTCTTGGCCTTGCCTGAGATGCAGGAGGCTAGCAATCTCATTTGTGACACCGGCAGGGATCTATCTGAGGTCAAAGCCGATTTTGAGCAACTGCCTGTGAATTTTGATGTGGTCGAGACGGGCTGGCATGTCAAGGTATGTGACTCAATTTTCTATGTGTAACCTAACTGAACAAATATGTAGGAGGACAAATGGGCCCCAGTTGCAAGCAGCCTCCTGAAGAGAGCTCAAGTTGCACGCCAATGGTTGAGTGAGAGGCCCGAAGCGGAGATCGTGGTGATTACTCACGGTTGCTTTTTGCATTTCCTCACCGACGATTGGATAAACGCAGTGAATTCTCAAGGTAGGTCATACCAACTCTTACCTCACTCCCTGGGCTTTGACTAACTTACATCATTCACACAGCCACAGATTGGGCAAACGCAGAGGTTCGCTCTTTCACTCTTACGAATGACAAAGATGGAAGGCCGGCTTTTTCTGAGACGGAAGAATCGAGAATAGGACGCGGAATGGAGCCAGTTGGTCTGACTGAAGAACAACAGCTGGAGCTACGGGAGACGTCGTTGAAAACATGGATTGAATGGGGCGTGATACTAGGGTAATAAACTATCAAACTTCAACACGGTGGCCCACGAGGAAATTAGTTGAATGATTGAACCTACGCTTGACGGATCTCTCAAAGAGATAGGTTTGTTTGCTGGAGCATATGCCACGCAATTGCAATGCGGTGGCCCTTTCAGAGTTACACAAGTAGCCAAGCGGAAGCGCGTAGGCGTTTTTCCCTGATAGACTCCCGCTTTCCACGCAAACAACTCATGCTGGCCAATCTACATTGACACTTTCACTCCGACCGCATATACTTGACCGCTATGTGAAATGATGCTCACGTGCTAGGTAAACCAGAATTAGCAACGAGGACCGAATGATAAAAGCATCGCAACCCTCACAACATCAAACTGCCACCACACCCAACAACCTCGACTTGCTTTAGATTTTCTCATCTCTGCCTTCACTACCACTACCACTGTACAGTGTTGGGACTCTCAACAAGATGCTGGAAAGGCTCATCCCATGGGATCCGACCATTTGTGTGGCGGAAGATATCCGTATCGATGATCTCGCAATCACCTTCAAGCGCACCGTTCGTGTGCCTGATAATGATCAGACCGCGGCGCTTCCTCCGGATTTGGGTTCTTTCCCACTGTTCAAGGTAGATGATTACGCCGAAAGTCTCCCTGACAACATGGCAAGAAAGGGGGGTTTGTTTCTACCCATGTACCGTGAGTAGCATTCTTCAGAGTCATGATGTTCGATTACTGACCTCTACTGCTTACTCATGTAGAACGCGAAGCCCTTTGGATCAACTTTAGATCAACCCGCCGTTATGTGATCAAGATCTATGTCGGAGGGATCAATGCTGTCTCTGGAGAGCCATCAGTTCCAAACGCTGCCACTGCTCTTCGTCGCCGCAACCTCCTGAAGAATGGGGGGAGCCTTCAGGACTACATCATTGTCCCTGGACAGCTCTGGCTCGATGGCATAGCTGTTAAGCCTGGAGAAGTCCGACAGTTCGTAGCCATGCCAGTGGGAGCAGGGCATTCTGTTGAGGCTCAAATGACGGGCGAAGAAACGACCGCAGGGATACAGTTCGAAATCACGCAACTTGAAGTCCCGCCTAAAATCCCATCCGCTCGACTTGAAATAGCATTTGCTAGTCCAGGAGAAGTGATTCAGATCATGGTTTGTACCTTGACGGGCAAACGCTTTACGTGCAATGTTGGGTCCGTGTGGACTATCGAGGTACTGAAGGATTTGATTGAAGTGAAAGAAGATATTCCTCCGGATCAACAACGACTTATCTACAACCAAAAACAGTTGGAAGGTAACGACATATCAATAAGGTTAAAGTTCAAGATGCATTCTATTAACACCCAGTAGATGGAAAGACCTTGTTGGATTACAATATTGTCAACGTATGTTTGTCTCCGACCGATTTTCGCACATGTAAATGAAAGGAACCAATAGTTTACAACAATAGAACTCACTCCTGCACCTTGTACTAAGGCTCCGTGGTGGCGGTCCACCGCCAACGGAGCTTAGCATCGCAGCTGGCGGTCGTATCACCCAGAGCATTATCTCTCTCGACCGACGCGAATATCGAAAGACGGTCCCTGTCACATTCAACGTCCAGATTCTGGATAGTGCCAGCTTTGAACAGGTCACTGGAAAGAAACCACCAAAGTCGCCAGTCACTGCCAAGACATACGCTGATTGTGGCTATCCGTTCTTTTCCATGTGGGAAGAACAAACAACTGTCTCTGGAGACTTCTCAAAGGTACGGTCCGTCGCTCAGATTGACAATACCTCCGATCAGTCGCTTTCAAACATCCCTGTTGTCGACGCCAAAACCAGGGAGCTTATCCATGACTGGATTTGTGAGCGCTGTAAGACAAAGAACAATGCCGCTGGACAGCGGTGTGGGGGTTGTCTCATACACCGTCCAGAGCCTGAAGTAGCCGGCAAGGTTGGAATACTCAACCCTGGTGGCCCTCATGAACCGCTCAAACTGGAGTGGGAGATGGAGGACGAAATTCGTCAAATGCGCACTGCGTTCTGATTGATGGGAGAATACCGAGAATCAAGAGAAGGTCATCAATGATTGGGGGACAGGAGTCGGATATCTGAACAGAAGGATCAATTCATCTGATGGACGATTGTCTAGAGATTCGTTGACAGATGTCCCCCCAAAATGAGTATCGTGTAAACATTGATCAGAAGTTTACCTATGTTAGGTAGTATGAAAGAAGCCCAGCCGTTGCTAATAGATCCTCCCAAATTCAACATGTGTATGTTTCTCTTCAAACAGTCTTTTCCCTTGTCCCATCCTCGCCCATAGTAGTAAAGTTCACGCTGGTTACCGCCAAGGATGAGGCGCTCTCATTCTCACTAGGCGGGTACTTCTCTGCAGTATAACGGTCGAGCTGTAACATGTTAATCTAGGCTCCTTTAAACATAACCTGTGACTTACCCAGCGAACAACAAATAGCCAACCGGTCAGAGCAGCACTGACACAAAGCATTGCGATATACCCATTTCGCCAATAAGGAGCATCATCAGCCGGAAACAATGCGATTCCCCAGAACGTCCAGAGAAGTCCGTCACTCGCTGACATGGAAGCCAACGTTACACTGCGCGCAGCGTCATCGGCCGTCCTCGCCAGAATATTGCTTGACCAGCCGTACAACAGTGGGTTAATACCATAGGCTGAGGCGGATAGATACAAGGCGGTGAGGCTGCCTGCTACTGACATCCCTGGAATCAGTAGTACAACAGTGCATGCGACCTGTATCAAACAAAGCAGGAAGCCAAGTGACATGCGTCGATTGTACCGATCCATAAAGAAGGATACGGAAAGTTCGGCCACAATACCGACTGCGTGAGTGGGTATCGGTAGGGTGTTGACTTCAGATTGAGTAAAGCCGTCAATGTCTTTGCGAAACTTGAGGTAAAGAAGCATGAGACCTTGTACGACGTAAGTCTGCAGCGCCGCCGAAAGGATGGAGAAGATGCAGCAAACATAGCTATCCACTTTGTCAGTACTAAGATATCAACAATTAGGAACCGCTCACAGCAAAGGATGTCCCATAACCCTTTTAACAAGACTCCAAGCTTCAATGCTATGACCATCTTCCTTCTTCGGCGGCAAACGATCAAGAGCAAGTTGTCGCTCTTTTTCGTTCAGATAAGGAGCGTCGGTATACTCTGGAACATCGGGGAAGAAAAAGTATCCAAAGACGGCCACAGGCAATGTGATGATGCCATCAAGCAGAAACACCCATTGCCAGCCCTCAAGTCCGGCGTGACCATCCATCGACTCGTGGATAGCTGCCATCATGGCTCCGGCAAACATCTTACCAACCTGTCCTGCGACTGTGAACGTGGCGGTTCGTTTGGCGATCTCATTAGACTTGCTGTTTCATGTGTCAGTGTAACTCTGGTAACAGTTATGCATAACTTACTACCAAGAGCCCATGATGTAGATCGAGCCAGCGTAGGTACTTGCTTCGGCGAGACCCATCAGGAAGCGAACGGCGCAGAGCTGAGCGTAGGTCTTGCAAGCTGCACTGGCCATTGTGAGAGCTGCCCATACGACGACCATGGAGGACATCCATATCCGAGGTCGGATCTTGTGTATGATTATGCTGCTGGGTATTTGGCCTACGAGCATGCTGCATCATATGTTAGTTTACTGAGTCTGGTACATCGTTTCTCAATTTTCACACACCCTGCTGAGGCCATTGAGAGGAGGACATTGTATTGGTTTCCACTGAGGTCAAGGGACTCTTTGAGACCTGCTACCTATCAAGCAGTCAGCCAAGCCTCGGAGGTATCTGCGAAGTCCGACTCACGTATGCATTTGCGAAGGCCTGTCTGTCTGTAGTCCGAAAGTCAGTTCAAGTCTCGAAACTTGTGGTAGATGACTGACCTAAATGATTGAAAAAGAAGCTCAGACAACAAAATGTCTGACCAGTTAGTCTTATGCTCAACCAAAAGCAACTCCTTGCTTACAAGAATAAAGAAATCTGGAACAATTAGTCGCATCCTCAGGAAGAGTTGGGTAACATACCAAGTTTTCGAATCAACTTCTTCTCCTCTTTGCTGGTATCGCCCCAAAGATAATCAACCACTTTCAAACCAAGTCAGCTACAAAGAACGACACAGTCAGATGGTGGGACATACTTCTTTCTCTACCTAATTCAGCCTCTTTTCGACCGTCGGAAAATTGAAAAAATATAATGTGTGTGTTGAATATATGGATAAACTCTTCGCAGATAAATCAACGCAGTTAATAATCCCGCGGGTTCTATTGGTTCCGATTCTTCACTGTGGAGGCGACATCAAGGTTCGCAGCCCGTCGCCTTCGCCTATTCTTGGCAATGCCAAGGCTAAGATTTAGTTGGACCCTGGATATTTCTTGATGGAATTTATAAAGCGGTTGATTCTAGGTTGTCGATAGCCTCCAGTTACTGAAAGAACAAGACAAACAACAAAAGGTCCAGTTAAGTACACATGACTGACCCATCTCAACTTCTTCGAATACGTCCTCGGCAATGTCCCCCTCCCCCTCTCCCTCCCCGTGAATTATTATACTCGAAACACCTAGGACTATAATACGTTTTATCGCCTCCCCTCCTGCGCGGAATCTCAGCGTCAGGGTAGAGTGTACACGAGCCCTCCTCACTGGGCGTCTCAGGAGCCTCGAAGCTTATGAGCTCGCATTTGAAGGACTCATAGTCGTAGCAGCTCTTGGCGCAGTCCTCCAGATAATTACTGGCAATGGTGATTCCCCCGTCTTTTGTGGCGCCGGTTACTCCACAGTCTTCATCTGCTTCCGGGTTGAGAATGTATTCGTCGCAAGTTGGCGCTGGGGCTTCGGATGTGGTGGTGCTTGAGGGTGGGTTGGATGGGTTGCAGGCGCTGGCTTGGGTACCAGACGCTGCCAATGCCACGACGGCGACAGCAATTGTCTTTGTAGATGGCATCTCGACTTGTTTGATGCTTGATAAGCGAGAATTAGAAAATGATCACGTAAGGAATGAGAGCAATTGGAATGGGGAACGGGCATTTATCATCGTAGATGCCCCTGAGCTAGTGTTGATAGTCCGGGACTAACATTACGCCACTATCAATAGTTTCGTATTGTTTAATTAAACCATAGCTTTGCCAACAGGACGGTAAGTTCCAGGTCGCCATGATGTCAGTGCAATTCTATGTGCAGAAACTCAATATCAGCCTGCCACTTAGAGTTGTCCATGTAATAGCCAAACAAACCTTTACTACTCAGTATCCTCCCAGGACCAAGGTCGCATCTCGTGCTCTGTATAAAACCCAACGCCCCTCAAGTATCCTCTCCACATCCCTGCGTGAAGCAGAGTATGCAGTGAGAAAAAGTGTTGTTCTAGAACAACGAGTTTTTCAACAGCTATGAACCGAAGAAAGAGCGTCGAATGTTGAGGACATTCTCACATAACAAGTCTGGAAATATCGTCAGTCGGACGCTATGCAGCGCCATCACATCGCAGCCAGAGGCCAGTAGTCACTGTGAGCGGAGGTTAGTAGCCAAAGTCGAAGGTGATAAATCGTCCAATTCTAGGCCACTGGGCCCGCAATGCTGATGAATGCCGATGCTCGATGCATAGTGAAATGTACGCAGTATGCCAGCCTTTGCGCCATGAACCCAAAGACAACCTCCATCCATGTCATGAAAGCGTTACTATACACATGCAGAAAACGGAACAACATAAGAAGAAGACCACACGTCTTCCTTGCCACCTGGTCGCGTTCAGGACCCTCCGTCTAAATGTCCATGCTTCATAACCACAAAAACTCCAACCTCAAATAACATGCACAACCGATGGGTATCAATGTGAGTGATCAACTCGATCAGTGGGTGGAAGATCAAGAGCAAGGGCCAATGTGTTTCTCATGTACGTGGCGAAGGAAGTCCCTCTGCGCTCGGAAAGACGAGTAGTCACCCTGGAGAATCACTTCAAGAATATTGCCCTTGTTGGGGTCTCGAGCAAGTTCACTCATCCTGTCACGCAAAAGTTTGAACGCTTCATTGAAACGAGCCAAGATGGCCGGCGTGTTGGAGGATCCGCCGGAAATGTCGTTGCTCGAGTTGTTAGGGTCGATGATGGATAGGCGATCGTAGTTCTTGTACGTCAGACTTCGCACCTCGGACTAAGACAGTCAGTAAAGATCCAAACAAGCTGCGATGAAGACTTACCTTTCGAATGTATCCAACCGGCCTGGTCAGAGAGATGGCTGTCTTTTCGTGACGGAAGTCGCGGCCATAGAGATCGAAGAATTCGAGAAGCATTTCGCCGAGGTGATGCTCGGGAACAAGACTTCGGCTTTGGACCTGTGGCATAAGCTGCAACATGCTGACGACCAAGCAAATAACTGAAAAGCCGCCAATTCCACCATTGACAGGTTCGTTCAGGCCGCGCATGAGGAGGAAATGTTTGACGACAGTCACAAGGATTGGCATGGCAGGATATTGATCCTTCCACTGCAAAAAGGTGTCGATAGCTCCGACACCACCCAGGTTCTCAAAAGAGACATCCACCTTGAGGCCAGTTTGCTTATCAACGTATTTGACCAACGGGATTCTGGCGTGGGCAATAACCTCGATAGAGTGCTGGTCAGCCACATGTTGACTGGTGAGGAACTTCTGGAACTTATACAGCCAGCTCTTTGCTGATAGATATGTTGGAGGGCCGCCCCGCATGAAACTAGCTGAGCAGATGACCAGATCCATATCAGCAGTAGGCAGGTAGAGACCGGACATAAAGGAACCAAATGGGTGGACAGAGGCGCTGGCAAAGTTCCTTCCATCGCGTCGCATGGCCTTTCGTAGGTTCTCGACGAGGTTATCACGAATTCGTTGTTCGAAATCACGCGGCTTGACGTAGTCGTAGAAATCGATGATCTCCTTGTGGAGTCTGAGCGCATCGGTTAGCTCTAGGTGATGGGGGGAATATCGGACGACGGAGACATGCGCCGATAAAGCAGGCAGCAGTTGAACAAGCTGGAAGACAAAAACTTACCGGAATGCCATGTTTGTAGTGGCAGTATGATCAACAGTATCCCATGGGCACGGGTCCTCAGTTGCTTTTGGTTGCCAACTGGGCAAAAGCATACCCTTGGCAGGCTTGGTTGTGGCCTTCTTCAGTTGGCCGTAATCCGGAGGCTTAATCTCGTCATCGGCCGTTCGTTTACGGGAGCCCAGAGCATCATTTGTGTTGCGCCGAGACGCGTCCGAAGCTCCGTTGGCAGGTGCTCGCGGTTTGTCGAGATCGGCCTTGGGTCCAGAAGGCGCATTGGGAGGTGGTGGAGGAGGCTGTTCGCGAGGGGGTGGCGGCTCGCGGGGAGGAGGAGGCGGGCCTTCGTCCTCGCTGCTCTCTTCCTCTTCGGTAAGGTCAAAGGAGATGAAGTCTTCGGCTTCAGTCGAAGCAGCCAGCTTGTCTGCTCCATCCTCGAGACGCGCCTTTCTAATGAGCTTGACCATATCCCTCTTCTTGCGTGTGCTTTCGTCAGGGCACGGGAGGGCCGTGTAAGGATCTGGGTTGGACCACTTAGGTGCAGCATCACCAGATTCGTCATCCACGATCCTGGCGCGTTTCTTGGAGGGGCCTTCGGTTTCGGAGGAGGAAGAGATGTCCATGGCAAGCTCGTCATCATCGGATAGCTCATCGACATCGCGAAACTTAACAGTTCCCTCTTCACCTAAGCGCTCCTCTGGTAGGTTTGCCGTGGCTCCAGAAACCAAAGCGCGCTCGGAAGGGTGAGGCGGGGGTTGCCATCGTCTTCCACCTCTGCCCCGACCTCGGCCACGACCTTCGCGGCGCGGACCCCTCCTATCAGACGGACCACGATAATCGGCTGGGAACTCGGGCATTCCAGAAGGCTTGTCTACCCGGAAAGTGAAGTCACCTTGCGGCATGCGCGGACGGTACGAGTCTGACTGGCCATAATCATTATGGCGGGGAGGCGGTCGAGGAGGCAGGTCGTGTCTGTCGCCAGGTCGATAATTGTCGGATTCTGCGCGGTAGGGACGATCTCTGTCGTTATTTCGAGAGCGCATATCGGGACGCGAGTTGCGCGGTCTGTTGCGCGGGGGAGGCATGATGTGCGTTTCTTTGTTGTTGGATGCGGCCTTTGTGTGGTGGATAAAACGATGATGTCGCGAAGAAAAAAAGAACCTTCCTCGCGAACAGTGTTGGCCCGCGCTAAACTCCATTCGAAAAGTGGCGATCGCTAAGATGTGTTAGTCAGCATGTTTGCGTCACTTTGATGCAAGCTACCCTAGATCAAGCAGAATTATGAATGGGAATTTTAGGTTGTCTTCTTTTGTTTGACAAATATCTACTTGCCCTTGATTCCTTCTCTGATGTCCTACTCCGATTGAATCACTACTCTAGTGAATGCCGCCGTGTTTGGTGCGCCATCCGCCACTCGCGACATTTCATGCCTTAGACGCACCCTCAGGATCGTAAGCTGACACCTCAATCTCAACCATCATTTCCGGTACTCCCAATTCCTTGACTCCAAGCTGCGTCCAAATGACTTTATGGTTCGGCATCCACTTCTTGTAATTCTCCGCCATTCTTTGGCCGACCTCAGGTGTGATTGACGTGTGGTACGAGTTGACTCTAAAGACCTGCTCCCAGCCTTTTCCGCCGCCCGATTTGAGAGTCTTGTCAACGTTGTAGAAAGCCTGGTCAATCTGCTCCAGCTGTGTCGAAGGGAAAGCGAGTGTGTCGTTCTCGAACGTCCAGCCACCTGAGAATAATTGTTAATAACTGGCACGATGTAAATTTGTGTAATGTGGTAAATCACCTTGGCCGCTGATCTCGAGTCTGTCGCCGATGCGGACAGTTTGGCTGTAGCCAAGCAAGTTTGTGAGGAACTCGCCAGCGCCTTCGTAGGTGGAATACTTGAGTTGAGACATGATTTGATGATATTTTGGAGAAGATGTGATGGTTCTACTGTGATTTTGCAATTCAGTTCGCTGTGACTGAATTGTTCAATTGATTTCTAGCCTGCTTCCATTTATACCCACGATTGCCTGGGCTTGGAAGCCTCGCTAAGACCGACATGTACGATGAGACCGCAAGAATGGCAGTAAGCATAACGTTAAGCATAACGTTGAAGTAACGTTATTCGGTTTAACATTTGTCCCATGCCTGAAGAATGACCGATCTTATTGCTCAGATTCGAGAATGCGAGGGTTGTCGTCAGATCGTGTATGATAGTTAAACTAGATCCTACAAGGTCCACTACTGCATGCCAAGACGGTCTAACATGGAGACAATCATGACAAATGCTACAGAAAACGGACATATTCAGCGCCCGATCAATACCTTACTAGCCTCCAAGCAAGAATAAGCCAATGTCAAGTACCTGGGGGAAGATGGATCGCCACAACTATGCTTAAAGCCCATGCCATTGCATTTCAGCTTCGCCCTGAGGATTACGCAAGCAACCTTAATTCATCATTATCCTATAGTAAGCGATAATCCCAGCTCCAGGTGCAAAGACCTGTACTACAATTTATCCATCTACTGCGTCTTCTTATTCTTGGCTCTGGCCTTGGCTGCTTCCAGCTCTGCATTCACCTTCTCAATCGCTTCCCTCGCGCCATCCCATTTCTTTCTCTTTCCATCGAATAAGCGCCAAATAAACGGCGTATAAATGCCATCCATTGTCATTTTGTACAGGGCGTGATCATTCCACCAGAATTTCCAGCCTTTCAATCCCCAGCCAAGATGGTCGTAGACCTGCGTCCCTGCTGTCTTGTCGGCCCACGCAAGCCAGTCAGCCTGACGCACCCAACCGGCTGTCGCACTGCCTCTTTCCGCGATGTTGCAGATAAAACCGTGCGAGATATCTGTTGCGTGATTCATTTCCTCAACTGAGGGAAGAGGGGAATTGCCTTTCCATGCTTGCGCTATTGCCATGGAGCAGAGATCGCTGATGGGAAATGCGCTTGTCGCCACGGCTATGTTACCCATGAAGGCAAGAGAATCTGGGTAATCGAGAGAAAAGACGTTTTGGTAAAGACGAGGGAGCGGTTTACCACGAGATCCTTTCGCCGTAGCCCATCTCGGCGTCGTGTTACGTGTGGGATCGACGTTTGGGTCGAGAAGACTGAAGTCTGGTTTGTATCCAGTGCACCAGATGATTGCATCAGCATCGAGACGCGTCCCATCAGTGAGTTCAATCTCTCTGGGCCCGGTGACGCGCTTTAGGCCTGCGACGGAGATGACATCGCCGGACTCGAGTTGGCCAATCAAGGTATCCGAAACCACCGGGAGACTGTGCAGGACAGACGGCGCAGGAGATAGCTTCCACTCAGGTCGTATCTTGAATGCCCTGTCTTGCATCTTCTTACATATGTCATTAAAAACGATCTCGTACAGACGAGGGAACGTGGCTTCAAGGAAGCCCGTCATGGCCATTGTGCGAGCTGTGAGAGTGTGATCAAATGCGATGCCATCCTGCTTTCGTGGGATCTACCACTCGTTAGAACCGTGTATGGGAGGATTGTAATTAAACCACATACTACTAAAGCACCATGACTGTGAGAAATCCAAATTTTGTCTGCTTGACCGTGAAGCGTTGCTGCGGTATCTGCGCCTGTGTTAGAGAGGCCGACTACCAGTACTCGCTTGCCCTTGAAGAGCTCTGGTCTAGATCGTATGGTCAGTCAAATTGCGTAAATAGCGAAGTCTTGTGAGCGTACCTCTTATACGCTCTTGAATGCAATACTTCACCCTCAAACTGCTCCAAACCCTCGAGCTGGGGAATATGAGGGCGCGAATTGATCCCCGTGGCCATAATAACCTTGTCGAAATACTCGGGCCCGGACCCTTGGAGATCTACTACCCAGCGGTTACTCTCGTTCTCGTGCCGCACATTGCTTACTCTCACGCCCAGACGCAACCTGGAGCGAAAGTTGAAGTGCTCTACGTAAGACTCCAGATACTCTTCTACCTGTGCTGAATTACAATGGCTTGGCGTGCCCTCCGGAAATGGGAAGTCTGTGTAGCAGCCCTGGAATTTATGAGTATTTTCATGCAGTCATAGTCGAGGATGGGTAAGAGTAAGTACCCTTTCTGTGGAGATATTGATGACAGTTGCTGTTAAATGTCATGTCAGGGACAAAACCCTTGAAGGTGCAAATTTGGCATACTAACTTGGTAGTACCGATGTTTTGTCTTCATCGGTATAATGCCAGAGGCCCCCAACGTAATTGTTGCGATCGAATCCGGTCACGTCAAAGCCCTCTTCGGTGAGATTCTTGACAGCGACAAGGCCCATAACGCCTGGTGGCATCAATACCAGTTATCACATTGGGGTGCTGCCAATACTTACCAAGGCCTATCACGGCCACTTTCGATGGTTGTTCTTCCATTTTCAGGGTTGAGATATTTAATTTTTGTTACGGTCCATGGCAATCGCCGGGCTCATGGATTTATATACATGACGAGGATGATCTCAGCTGACAGCCATAAGCTCTATCAAGGCCGTCAGCACAGCGGAACCCCCGGGTCAGTTTACAGATGGCGGATAAATCAGTTAGCCAGTACATGGGTGTACCCGATATACATCATGTGTTATCAGATTTTGTGATGGCGCTCATCAGTCGGTAAACTAGAGACCGATTCCGCTGAAAGCTACAACTTTGATTTGATTATACGAAAGTATGTAATAGAACCTTCTCAAATGTCATTGATATGTAATTCCATAATACCGCAATGTGTACAAACACGCCTGTGAATCTTCCGTAGGACTGATAAAAAATGGTGATCATAGGTCACTGGGTCGATCACATAAGAGTTCGAGTGCGGGTATTTGTTTTATGGCTAAATTGCTGTTGCCACTAATATTTATTGTTACCGGTTCTTTTATAATCAGAGCCATCCCAATATGCTTACTTCGCCTCCAGGATGACCCTCCTGTAAGTCACAAGAGGCTGTTCCTTAGTGTCCCGGAGCGCAAGAATGATATGCATCGTCTAACGCTGTCAGTATGTACGCATCCTATCATGGAACGTTGACTTACATCGTTCAGTTTCTTTGCTGTTTCCAGCTTGACAACACTACCATCGGAAGTGACATTTGTAATATTGACATTGGGACTTTGCGGAGTTAGGATAGGCTTCATCCTCAATGAAGGGTCAAAGCCCTCTAGTCCTCTGCCAAAGGCACCAGGCTCGCGATAGTGGAACCAGTCGTAGGTAAGCTCGTCGCCATCGGGATCCCAACTGTCTGATGCGTCAAGAGTAACGCTCTGGCCAGGCTTGTACTTGAGCTTAAGAGGAGCTGGACCACAAGACCCGTTGACAATAGCGACAGGTTGGTGATTGTTCTCCGAGTACTTTGAGTTGACGCTCCACTGCATGCGAGCAGCAAAATCGAACTGGTAATCCTGACGCCAGCGCCAGATAGTAGCAAACTTGCTGGTGAAGCTCTTGCCGTTGGCACCCACAACGTAGTCGCTGGTATCAGCGTACACGCGTGACTGATTCGTCTGGTCGAGCAGAGTATAGCGACCGCCCCAGCTGCCCCAGTCAGGATGGTTAACATCACCCAGACCATTCTGGACGAGAGGCAAAAAGGCTGGCGTGTCGCCCTCCATGATGAAAGTCCAGTTGAGGTAATGCGAGCCCAGAGGGCCAAGACGAATGTTTCTCTCAAGCCAGTCGTTGGAGACAAGGCTAGAGTCGGGACCACCCTGGTCGAAGTTGCGATACTCCTCGCCTGAGATACCGTTCCAGGCTGCGACGGTGTACTCGCTGAAGCCGTGCAGTGAAACAACGTAGAATAGGTGAGGGTAACGAAGGCGAATCCAGATGCCAGTGTCATCTTGGTCAGAGATGGCGTAGACTCGTAACTTCTCCACAAACGCGTCTACGGCGTCTTGCTTTCGAGTGCGGGAAACATGCTGGAGGGCCTCAGCCAATATCGCAGACCCGCCCCAGACGGAGACCGCAAGAGGGTCTTTGGAGCTTGCATTGTCAGCAGCTTTGATGAGCGCTTTAGCACCGCCGCTCAGAGTGAGATTGAGCGATTTTCGTCCATATACAGGGTGCCCTTTATGCAACCGGTCGAGCAGATATTTATGAGATGGATAAGGCGAATGAGACGGGACATTGGCGTTGAGGTTGTTGACAACCTTCTTGTAGCCATCTAGAACGCCCACGACAGACTCATAGTCGATCTTGTCGGGCATCCATGTCGAAGTAGTGACAGAGATGCCCTGGATGTCGATCTCGTTGGCGTATGTCAACAGACGAACCAGACTCATCTGGTCATCAGGCTCATTGCTGATATCCGTGAGCACAAATAGCCTCGGCTTATGCTCAGTGCGTGCAGCTTGACATTGCTTTTCAGTACCAGGAGCTGCTTGCGACAGGATAGGAAATGCAGTGAGGAGGCCAAAAGCCCCAACAAGTTGAGAGAACATATTTGGCATTGTGTAGTTCAAGACACTTGAGGCATTTACATCCATAGCGGTGGAAAAACTTTGTTTTTATATATTCTTGAGATCAGCAAGAGACGATGAACCAGTTCCTTGGTTCTCCAACTTATAGGCGGTTAGGATTGCCATATAGAGAAACTTGGTTAGAGCAATTCACTAGCAATACTACCTGACTCCCCACTACCCCACGAAATATCCTGGTTCCCCGGACTAGACGTCATGGCCGGGATCGGAGATGAATAAACCATGCGAGCAGGCTGCAACGGTTGCAAATGGATGGAATTGGATCTCTATTACCTGACGTTAGGTCTATTGAAATTTGTTTTAATTAGGAGAAAATTAGGAATGAGTTAGATACGGTTGTATGATATCATAAGGGGTTATACTGTTTAATCATTAGCTTAGTGAAATCCGATAGAGCCCTTACTCTGTGCTATGACTACTATACAAACAAGCCAGGGCTGTACTCCGTACTTTCCGGTATATCCCTCTATACCCTGAACCCTGTCTGATGTGAACCTCGGTAGTGATGGCGGGACCAAACGATTAGATGGACGATTCCCCAGATCATTAGGTTAAATTTTATAACCTCGTGCTTCTGAATCAAACCATCAAAATCTACCTATTTATACAAGGACAATGTTGTCCAATAACTAGTAACGCGGTAAACCCGCCAATGATGAGCTTGGGGCAAAGTATAAACTTACATCTATCCAATGCCTGCCCATCCCTAAGACGAAGAGAGAGCGAATGAGATTCAGCATCTCAATTCTTCCTCGACCAATGATGATGGCTTTTCCTTCATCGACATTGAGCCCCGACACTAACACTGCATTTGTTCCACTCGGGGTTCCAGGGACTTTGTTAGCGGTGAAGAGAATTGGAAAAGTGGGTGGAACCTCACTCGTTGATTGCCTGACTTTTTCAACCCAACCACAGTCCAGACCACAGTAAAGAGTCAACTAGTTAGTAGCTGTATCCGCCAGAAGTGGGCGGTCTGAAGGTATTATCATTAGATAGTTTCACATATGTTCCCTTCTTAGTATGATAGGAAGAAGGCTATCGAATGTAAGACACACCAGCTAACTTAATCGGGGCTTGGTCGAAAAGCATTGTCCTCGGAGAAAAGAAGCTGATATCTACCTCAAGGGGCCAGGCGGTTCTTTATTCATTGTGGCGGCAGCCAAAAATGATAGACTAGCCAACTGGTAAAGGTTCAAGCCTAATAAGCAAGCATGATAGAATCCAGTACATTGCTAGAACTAAGTAGCGCCAAGCCCTGGGCGTAATGACATGACTACCTAGAACATTGCTCGGACTTCTTGACTGCAACTGCACTCTTCTTTAAACTATGAGATTCTATCATCTTCTTTCCTTTCTTGGGGTAGCTTCTGCTGCCCCCAGCAAAGCGGACTCACTCTCTATATTCGACAATCCTACCATTCCATGGAATGTAAGTGATGGACTTCCAGTGCCTATCCTGTCACACGTCCGACGCGCCGGATCCAGGATGGCCCTCAATGTTTCCACCTGCGCCGTCACTGTTACAAACGATCCCTATTGGTATCAATCATACACCAAACAGGCAACTCTCTACATCATAAGCCCAATTGACTCACCCGGGACGAAAAATGGCGCAAGCATCTTCGAAATGTTCCTTCGGGTTGGAGATCCTCGGGTTGGCGGCGGTGTCGTATTGGCCACCAACCAATTCGTGATGGACTTCCCTTATAAACCTCTGGATACTAAAATACTGTTCGATGATATTTCGTTGATATGTGATTGCCCGGGTTCTTCGACTTGGAGGCTTTGCTCTCGAGGTCTTTTATACGACGAATGTGTCCTTTTTAATGGTATCATAACAATAGAACAGCCAATCTACTCTCTCATAAATGTCTATGTCCAAGTTCTCCTATTGTAAAAGCCTAGTGTCCTCATCCAAGACACCAAATAGACTGCCAATCTCCTTCCCCACCATCCGTAACTCATCCGCGACCTGTCCTGTCACAAGCGCGTAAGCATACAGCAACGCATAGTCCCTCTCCTCCACGAGTAACTGCTCCGAATCACTACTGCTCCCACTGTCGTCAAACAATAGTCTCCGGGGGTGCGCTTTTCTGAACTCAAATATTTTACTCAGGAGATTCTCGCGTGCTGAAACAATACTCGCAGTTGCATCGGCGAATGGGTACTCGAGCATAGTTGAGCTTGCTACGACCTGGAAGGCTTGGCAGATGTGATCGCAGAGAATAGCTCGTTCGCGGGCTGTATACTCCAGAAGCGCTCTTTCACCCTCAGTGAGATGGCCCTTGCGGCACGCGACGAGACTCATGTTGTAGAAGCCGTCCAGAATACGCATTGTTCCTTTCAAAACACGGCCGTAGACCTCCATCGGAAAGGGCCCGCGTAGCTCAAACTCAGATGCAGCAGAAACTCTCAAACTATCCAGGTTAGCCGCGTATCTCTGTAATGCAGCTTGTTCGCCGGATTTGAGATAGCTCTGAGAGCCCTCACTGCGGAAGAGTACAGTGAGAGGTCCTCGCTTCCAAATGAGACCCATCTGGAGATGAAGTACTGCGAGGCTTTCTTTGAACTTGCGGCGCGCTGAGATGGGCCAGATGACGCGGCAGATGACAAGACCCCAGATAATGCCTGCTGTAACGGCGATCGCACGACGCTTTGCAATCTCCAGGATATCCGGCTGCTGGAAGCCGTCGTCTTCGGTTGGGTCTTTGCCATCCGCCTTTCTTTGGAGTCTGTAGGCATACAGGGTGGAAACATTGTAAGCGAGGAGACTAATGCGTCCGAACGAGGCTTTGCCATGCTGTATGACGAGATAGAAATTGACAAAGCTGGTCAGCCAACCGAGCGGTATTAGAATAAGGGCGTAACCATAGCTAATTTTCCAGTTGATGACTGAGAACAACGCTCCGAATAACGTTCCGATGAATCGAGCCAGACTGACAGTATTCGAAGCTCCAACCGTGAAACTGCAGACGATGATGAACGATAGCAAGCCCCATTCACCACGCCATTGTGTATATAACTCCCTTGTTTCCTTGAGAAAGGCGAGCATGGCCCAAAGAGCTGCACCAATACCGACCTTGAGGCCGAACTGGACTGACGCAAGTTAGTTAAGTCGGGGATCATGACTGGTTTCAAACTCACTATCGTCTCGCGCCATCTTCTTGAAAAGCGCTGAGAGGTTTCTCCAGAACCAAGCCAGTATTTGATTCAGATCTGGCGCATGATACCACGTCCTCAAATCCACAGGAGTGGGAACTGCAGCAGTGCTCTCTGCAACGCTTACAGATCGCTGTCTCGAGCGCATCAACACATCGGCCTCAGCAGATTCAAACAGCCGAATAGCTTTATTGCGGTCTTCCTCGCTACTACCCTTCCACCAGAGCAGCCATCTCCAACTTCTGTTCTTGTGGAGAATCACATATTCTAGATCATCCAGTACGTCGAGATATTGGAGGACGTCTTCTCCGAAGGATTGCAAACTGAATGTGAAGTGTCCACAGGCAGCCGCAACTTCTTCTAGATTTGCACGTGTGGTTTCTGAAGATGAAGCCATCTGTTCGATCTGGTCGTATAGTCCCTCCAGGGCATCTGATCGCGCTGTATCGAACGTGCTTAGCGAATCCATCAGGTTCCGTCGCAGGTCTTCGTCCACGTTGATCTCAAAATTGGGAGGCTGGCCGAACTGTGGCTCGTGCAGGATTCTGCATAGGTTCTGCCGTACACCTGTCATGGACATCGTGATTGATTCATTGAAGTGTTCGAATAACTGACGCGCGGTGTTTATGGTGCTGGTCCCTGTTGTGAGTTGCTTTGGATGTTTCAGTTGCTCGAGCTGAGTATTGGTTGCATTTCTCAATCCACCCAAGGCCTGCGCAAGTGTCTCCATGGACCTTGCGACAGACTTCTCATGTTCGTATATTTCCTCGTGGCCAAGGAAGTAATGCTCAAATTTGGCTTCTCTCATATCCTTCATCATCTGGTTGTAGGATTTTGAGTAGTGGGTAGATGCTGCTATGAACCCATCAGATAAGAGCCCCTCTTCCGAACCGCTGAGGAAGCTGTTTGTTATCATGTATAGCATATCTCCGAGTGGTATCGAAACGCGGTTCATGGTCTCTCGTAACGACGTGCGAGCGCAGGTCCTCCATAGCAACAGGTTCACTGCAGTTGTAGTTGTGATGCCCATGACGAGCATTTTGAAAAGCTGGAGCACCTTCTCGTTGGAAAAGACGTTTGACATGACGTGGTTCTCTTTTGTGACGACACCAATTATAGCCAGTGATGCAAGCGTGGTGCCGACATTGACAAGGGGATTGAGCATCCTCTGCTTGACCCAGCCCATGAAGCCGAACCCGCCGCCGATGAAGACCACAACAACTAGGACGTGCGACACAGTCACCAAGTGCATTTTCGAACCGACAAACACCGATGTGACCATGGAAAGCAGCGAAAGAACCTCAGCGTAAGCGACAGCAACGATGGCGATAAGAATAGCCTCGATCATGGACCCGGCCGATCTCGCCGGGTGGAAATAGACCGTAATGGTAGCGACAACATGTTTACCCTCCGGCTTGCCCAGAAAGTTGGCTAGAAACGGCACAAAGGTCGCGAGACTGGCAATAGTGTAGGCGACGGTGCATTTCAGCACGCCACGGCCGTTGGGCGTGTCAAGCCACCTCTGGCAGCGCACCAAAGAGTCGGAGATGCCATCTTTGACGGTCTCGACAATGCGGGGCATTCTTTATCGGGCGCTGGATGCGGAGTCTGCAGAGAAGAATTATGCGAAGCTCATTGTTGATGACATCGGATGCTTGACATGATATGACGACAAAGGCCTGTAATCCCGTAGCTCCCGGAGGATCAGCTTAGCGCTGAGGGTCATGTGATTGGTCAGATGGGAAATCTAGGTGGTTGGTTCTGAAGTTCTGAAAGCGTCAATTCTATCAATTTCCCACATGCGCGTTGCATCTGGAATACTTTGTATTATGTCAGAATAATTATTCTGAATTACACCTCTTGTTGAGTCATCGTTACAATTGCCGGCTCAAGCCGCTCATATACGACCGGCCCGGTCCTAACATGATGAGGTTCAACTGCTCTCATATTGTGTGATCCACCCAAGTGGACTATTTCTTCTGGCCTAGACCGATCCAAGTGGCTCACTCGGCGAAGAGATTTAAACGCTCTCAGAATAGCTTCCCAAAACGGTAATAGTGAAGAACATGTCCAGAAATAAAGGACAACTCTTACAACACTTTAAGCTTAATTTCTTTTGTGTTCTCAGTATAGCTTCCAGTTGGGACTTGTGGGGTTTGTAAAAGAGTCATTGTGGGAACATTTTTCAGTGGTTCTGGAAAATGAGAGAAACGGTCATGCTGTATAAATATGGAGGATAGTAGCCACGAATAAAACAATATGAACAATCAACAGTCATCGGATCATAAACTTCAGTCAGCTCAACATGACACCTGCTCAATTAGTTGGATCTTCTACTTCTGTACCGTCAGAGAAAACACCAGTTGTTGATGTTGAAAGCGCACCCAGCACTCTATCATCCACTCCAGATGCCGGCCACGACTCAGACGACTCTCTAGAGTCAATTATCAAGGACAATGAGTCTGACTTTGGAGCTTGGTCTTGCGTATTGGGCTCATTACTTTTCCTCATTCCCTCGTTTGGTACGTGTCCAGAACCCCATCGCTAAACCCACCACTAACACATGACAAAGGTTTCATGGCGTCCATCGGCACAGTCCAGTCATACCTCAGTCTGAACCAGCTGAGTGATCACTCTGTCAGTGAAATCGGCTGGATCAGCGGGGTGTACTTATTCCTCTCGCTCGTCCCAAACTTCTTCATCGGCTCTGTGCTAGATCGAAACGGACCTCGAATTCTCAGCCCTATTGGAGGCGTCTTCTCAACTGCCACTTTCATTCTAATGGCTGAATGCAAGACTTACTGGCAATTTATGCTCTGCTTCGGTGTTTTTGGCAGTATCGGTACGAGTATTTGCTGCACCACTGCTATAGGAGTTGTGGGCAAGCTGTTTGTTCGACGACGTGGTCTGGCAATGGGCACTGCAGTTATGGGAACCTCACTCGGTTCCATCATATTCCCTCTTCTCCTGCGATCAACTTTCAAAACCCTTGGCTGGGCCTGGTCTATGAGAATAGTGGCTCTGGTGGTTGGATGTGTGACAGTCCTGGGTGTCATCTGCTTCCTGCCTTTCCAACGACTTGTTAGCTCTGACTTAACCAAGCAGACGGACGCCAAGAATTCAGGGTCTGCACTGGACTTGTCAGCATGGAAGAACCCTGCCTTTGCATCTGTTTCTTGCGGAGTGTTCCTGATTGAGTTTGTTGTCTTTGGCATCGGCGGCCTTCTTCCCACTATCTCGATTGGCGCTGGTTTCTCTGCGGAGGATGGTTATACCCTTCTAGCTATCCTGGGTGCTTGCTCTTGCGTCGGGCGCTTCACCATGGGTCTTTTGGGTGATCGCATTGGAGGAGTCAACTCGATGATCAGCGTGATGGTTCTGATTATCGTCTTCATGTCAACCATCTTCATTCCCTTCAGTACCACATCTGCGCCGCTTCTATACACATTTACAGCTCTATGGGGCTTCTGCTCGGGGTCTTTCTATGTCCTCTCCCCAGTCTGCACAGGAAAGACGTGCGAGCCAAAAGACTATGCAAGATACTATGGTATGCAACCCCGCTTGTTGAAACGAAAAAGATCAGGTAGACTAATAATTCGCAGGATCTTCAAACTTCGCAGTTGGTATTGCACTACTGATTGCCAATCCCGTGAGTGGTATCATGTTGGAGAAGCTAGGCGCCCAGCCTCTAGCATGCTTCTATCTAGCTATTGTTGTTCTTGCTGGTGTTTCTTTCATGGTCGCCCGAGGGCTTCTTCTCGGTAATTTTACTACTTTGAGGACCAAGGTGTAAAGTTTCGTCCCATGGTTCTTTAATTATGTTTAATAGCGAAAGAAAGGGGAGTTTTGGTATGATTTATAATACTGGTGTTTATAGTGAAAAGACTGTACTAGATAATTAAGAAGTCAATGCTCAAATACGCGACAGATACGTTTCCAAAATATCAATGAAGAAACTTTCAACATAACCCAGCTTCTATCTATCCCCGTGTCCTTAAATGCAGAGCCAGTTCATCTAAGCTTTAGGCTTTACAGCAAAGTTGTCAAGCTTCAGCTTGAGCGTCGCAGTCTTGTCACCCGAAGCAGGAGCATAAACATACCACTCCATAGAAACAGTCCAGGTACCAGTCTTCGCATTAGGGAAATCCGCAACAAAGTTTACCCACTGGTCGACATTATACGTCCCTTTCTTGTTCGGCGAGTAGACCTCGCCGCTGAACGTCTTGGTGCTGAAGCTGAATGAGGCCAATTGGTATGCTAGTCCATCAGGTCCTATGAGTTCGACAGCCATTCCTGGGGTCCGAGGTGCAGTGAACTGAGCTCCATTCTTGGGAAGCAGCATGGACCATGACAGTTGGAAGGTCGAAGCTTTGCAGATCTTAAAGGTTTGCTGAAGTTTGTTATAGCTCCCGGGGTCTTGAGCGCCTGAGGTTGCCCCGACTTGGACAGCGTGGTTACTCTTGTAACCTCCGGTTACAACAGCGGCGCTTCCGAGTCTCGCGTATGTAGGTTTGAATACCCAGGAGCCTACATCGTATGAATAACTTTCACCATGTGGTGTAGACTTTTATGGACCTACTCAAACCATTTGACTCGAAACTTGGGTTCTTCAGCGAATTCGCTGGTGTGGTACAGGCTCTCGCATTGAGGGAGCTAATTTCCTCGGCGGTAGGCGCGGCAAAAACAGCAGCAGTAGCTGTCAGCCAGGAGAGAATGGCTAGTTTAACCATTATGTTTTTCTAAAGGGAAGATTTCTTCGCAAAATTTCAAGATTACGACTTTCAGGGAAACGTACGATAACGCAAAAAGTCAATGAAAAATAGGTAGGGTTCCTCTTCTTCTTATAGATACTCAAAAGAAGACGATGCTACATCAATTCGGGTAAATCGGTGCACAATCCCCCTTGCTTGCGCAGCTGAGTCAATAGTCTTTAGGAGGCGTCGATCTAGACCTCTGAGGGACACTCAGCCGCACGACACATCTCTAATAACCTGACCCAGCTTTGACCCCATGTTGAGCTGGCGAGAGTTGAGTACAGGGGTCGAAGTAGCGTGATTTGATCAGATTCTATAGCGCCAAAACTTATTCCACAGAATGAACAGTTTTGAGCGGCGTTGCATCATATTATAATGATATCCTCCAATACATTTTTGTTGTCGTCCGCTAAGAACGTCTCTTGAAATAACTTTCCTACATCGATGTAATAGGAAGCACCAACTACACAAACCACTGATTCTTTCCCAAGCCCTACATTTCGGAATTCGCGGGGGTTTGCCAGTACTTGTGGCAGCAAGGTTGGTCTCATATGTGCTCGTGATCCATTTAATTAGTGCTCTAGCTCTACCGGCTTCTGTTAATATAATTTGTTTACTTTAAAAGAAAATACCTCGAACCTTTTACCTCAAGAACGCGCCTGAATATACCTCGATCTTTTCATTCAGATCTGAACAAATTGCAAGGAGGCATTTTAAAAAAGAGAATGTTGGCATGACCTCACTGGCGTTAATGTGGTGCTTTTTAGAAACTAGAATCATTGAAAAATGTTTTATTTAGTAGGTGCGGCTCAAGTATATGATACCAGAAGTCCTGGCATATTTCAAGATGAAGAGTTGCGTACCATTGATCGGCGTATTCTAGCTGGATCAAACGCCTCGTCTAGATGATGACGAGCACTGAAGATAATATGCACATATCAAGTTTTGTGCTGATACTGAGGCGGCTCAGCCGCACTCTCACAGAGGCTTAGCGCTGCTCTACCTCCTCATCAAGGACCATCCCTTCGTATTTTCTCATTGGTAACAACAACTTCTTACACGTATAGACAGGTAACGCAGGACGGATGGATCCACTATCCATAACGACGGCCTGTATAGGGCTTCTAGCTACCCTTACCAAGACGGCACTGGCCGTTACCAACTTCACACGCGACTGTCGCGAAGCTCGATCCGACCTCACATCCATAACTGGCGAACTGTCCCAGTTGAACCTTGTCCTGGAGTTGCTGAGAGACGAAACGGCTGTTACTGATGATCGAATCATGCCAGAGTCACTACAGATACACATTCTCTCCACGATCAATAGTTGTTCTGCTGCCGTCTCCAAGATCAACACTATCCTCGATAAACACACTGGCAAGACTGGAATGTTAAGATGGGCCACCTTTGGAAAAAATGAGGTCACCGGGCTGCGCACATCACTTGAGGCTTATCGCGGTTCCTTGAGTTTGGTACTGGAGTTGGTTTCTGTATCTTTGTCCAAAGCAATTAGGAACGACACCACGGCCATCAGAACGGATGTTTATGACATCAAACAAGACACCAGTCAAATTTCCCAAATCATGGACGAGTTGGTTAGACTACGGGCTATTGTTGCTTCTGGGGGGATCCCGTCCGCCAGTAGTGGACAGAATTTCATCCTTCAGCAGTATCTTGACGGTCTAACTTCATACGCCGAATCAGTCTGCAATGATGTTGTGTGGGAGACTGACAGCAGCGTCCATGCAGGGTCCCGTGCCTCCAGTCGATCTAGCTTGAGGATTGCGTGCTCAGTGCCAGTTCTTCAAGTAGACAGAAGTATCGACGCCAGTTCTCAAGATGCGACTATACCAGACATTGTCTACGAAAGTAAAGATGGTGTCGCAATTCTAGAACCTACCAGGAGTGCTACTGCCGATGGTGAATCTTCCATGTCAGAAGATTCCAAGTCGCCAGAGGAGCACTATCCTAGATCGTTAAGAAATAGGGACAATAGTCCCATCAACCCCTCGGGCAGTCATATACAAGTCCTACAATCAAAACCCAGCATCTCTACACTACATCTTGATAAATTACCAGACAGCGAGAGCCATATATCCAGTCAAGGGGAAACTGGCTGCGAGCTGCCTGCGATCAAGCCGATATTAGCTACGCCGCAACTTGAGAAGCTACTGATAGATATGAATACCTTCTCGAGTCAGGCTAGTGACTATAACGAGTCAAAAACGGCACCGCAGATTACGAGCTTCCTCCAACAATCGGACAAGCTGTCTACGGAAAATGATAGTGAGGACGTCTTGGTGCCTAATGACAGTAGGTCAGATTTTGGGGACGAGGTTAGGGGTACAGTCTCGGCCAGTTTACCAACACTATCGATCAGAGCATTGAATGGCGATGGATCAGCTGAGGCTCATCATCAAAGCTCAGATATTACGATTCCCCATCCCAGACACCAGGATGTTCTACGTGACACCGATGTAACAACAAATATACATCAAACAGAGGATGTGAAATCTGCAAGAGAATATGATCCTTTCAGATTCGTTCCTGACCTGCGGATCCAGAGGCCAACATCCACTAAAGTCGTCTTATTATCTAATGACACTAGTTCTTCTGATATCCAGAAACGGGAACACTTGGGAATGAGTATTGCTATTCCTCAGCGACCGATTTCTATGCCAGGTAGATGATTTATTCCTTTCTGAGTAACTCTTAAATCGATGCTAATATGGTATGCTGAAGCAGCCTTCGCGCAACCAAAGTCAGCCGCACTTAAGCCACTTGCGCCTCGACCTTCTAGCAGCCGTCCTCGAAGTCCCAAACCTCCAAGTATTAAGCAGTCTGCAAATCTGAGACCATCACATGAAGAGAACATAATCCAGGCTACCAGTTCTCATCAGCCAGCGGATGGGTCAAATTTAGGAAGCCCTCTAACCTCTTCTGTATCAGGGGCATCCCTGGGGCCACAAAGAAACTGTGTCACGCCTACAGATGAAGGTACAGGCACTTCTCAAACTACACCACAGGTAAGAGACAATAACCCAGAACGTAGCGCCATGTTTACGGCCAAGACTCCTAACCTGTTTCTCAATGTAAGGTCAAGAAGAAAATGGTGATTGTTGGAGACACGTATTGTGGAAAAACTGCTCTATATATGTGAGTGCTTTGTTGGACGTTCGGTCAACATGATTTCACTGGAAGATAAATTAACAATTCAACTCCTTATCAGGTTTTTCCTCCATGGCATTTTTACTCTTTATGTAAGTCATGTTCCTGGTCATCATATACAAGCTCGCTCTTACCTTTTAGACTCATCCCACAATGTTCGACAACTATGCTGCCGACATAGAGATTGACGGGAAAACTGTTGAACTCGCACTCTGGGATACTGCGGGCAATGAAAACTGTGACCGCTTGAGGCCGCTCTCGTACCCAGACACAGATGTAATCATGATATGCTTTAACATTGACTCACTCGACTCGCTCGACAACGTGATAGAGAAGGTAAGTTGTATTTAATTGATGACTTGACCTCGCTCATAGACACAGTGGATTCACGAAGTTAAGCATTTCATGCCTAACGTGCCCCGTCTCTTTGTTGGCCTTAAAAAGGACCTGCGTGACGACCCAGAGACTGTTGCAGATCTCAATAAAATCAGTCAACGGCCAGTGAGCTGGGAAGAGGCAAGTTATTTGGCTAGGAAGTAGTGGAAAGGGTATGGCTAACCACGTCCGATAGGGAAACAAAGTCGCGGAATCTATGGGAGCCTTCGGCTATTTTGAATGTTCTGCCAAGACGGGAGAGGGTGTAAATGAGGTCTTTGAGGCAGTTGTCAGACAGACCTTAGTAGAGACTAAGAAGACGTCTAAAGGCCTTCGAAACTTATTCAAGAGGCTGTCTTCTAGGTAAGGTCTGTTTGAGGATCTAAGCATTTGTTTGATTACTGCCATTAATAGAATTTTATGAAGTATGTGTGCAGGTGTGCAAATAAAAGACAGAGGTTAGATAAGTTTCAAGCAGGTGCAACCTTAATACGGGCTTTACTTCTTCTAGCTATGGCATGGTCACCCTCAATACCTGAAAGAGGCATGAGTTAAATTTGGAGTTGTCAAAAGACATATCAGACGCGAATGCTACTGGTCGGAAGGTTGGGAGACCAATTGTTTTCACCCAATTTATGGGTTTTATCGACGACTTCCTGGCAAGGCTACGGTTATGGTTGTCTTGTTTGAGTACCGATCCTGTTCGTATCTTGACAGACATACGTAACTTTCCTGTGTAGCCTACACCGTAGTCCCACAGTCTATAATCGATTGTTATATGATTTATTTATTTTACCCCGCTTTCTAGGGGGTTGACCTGAATTCGTGATTGGTGCTTGGTTATACGTCCAGGCAAGATAATATTTTAGTAGCTTATTAACTTTCCAACTCAGGTTTATGGCATTCATTACGAAAAATAAGTACGCAGCTTTCGGCATAACACTTCAGAACAGGGGTTAATATTCTTTTTATTTACGGTTGCCGCTCAGAAGTCCATGGGAAACCCTAATAAGGGTGGCAAAGCCACCAGTGGCACTTCGGTCGCGAGGGATTTCAACAACGCCTTGCAAGGCACACTCGCGTTCGAAGCGATGCGGTTCACAGCCAACTATGCAAGAATAGCACAGGTAAATCGGCTGCCAAGCTGAGAATGCATTCTCACACTGTGCACAGGCCGAACTTCGAACCTGCGATTATGATGAACTCATGTTGGGGGTCGACAAGGCTGTTAAGCTGTTGCCTGATAGTTTCAATCCAAACAGCGAAGAGTGGCCCGAGAACGCAGAGGAGGTCAATCAGAAGATGGAAGAACTGTTAAAGGACTGCGACAAACTGGCGGGAGGGTTCAAGACGTTTGTTGAGAATGCACGGGCAGCGGGTATGGCTGTTAAGCGGCAACAGTAGAAGCTCCCAGAGTATCCAGAAACAATGTGAAGATGAACTTCAAAGTTATCGCAATACTGTTTTACAATATCTGAGTAGCTGATCTGTCTGCTAGTGACAGCTGGTTGGGCAATATCCCAGCGCTATATTCACAACGGTTCAATTATGCCTAACATCATGCTGCCAACTTTCATCACAGCTGTGGCAGACTTCACTAGAATCCCAACTAGAATCTCTTAGCTGTCATTTTTCTTGTTACCAACAAGACACCAGGGATCAATCAGGCTGTGCTGTGCGGGTCATACTTCTGGCCAACAGCCTTTCAGCCACGGCCTCGAGGCGGCCATTCAGGCCGCATATGCGACCTACACACTCTCTTCTCGCTTCATGTCTCAACATTGGGATATTTATCGTCTATTTTAGAACCAACAGGTGAATGGCCAACACTTGACGTTGCTCTAAGCGCTCTCCTGCGCCGCAACACGTCCTTCAGACCTGGCCTTGTATTTTGTATACTTTCCTAAATTGCCAACAGAAATTGCGTAATGTCTTGTTGGTTCAATCACATAGGTATGTGTGACCTGTGCCATTGTGATTGGGCCCATGATATGCATGCAGTTCTGCCACCTTTATAAAGCTCCTCCCCCGCAAGCTAACAGTAAACATTCTATGGCCATCTTTTTCACACTCGGTTTGATACTCGACACACTTTCTTCTGTCTGTTCGCGCTTCAATATTATTTGAAGGATGAAGATTGAAATTGAAGGACTGCAGCAGAGGTGGGATGCGTGCAAGGCCCATGATGACGAAAAGCACGCTATCATCACGGTAGGCTTCCCAAATAGCTCTCCATGCCGAGGCAGCTTAAGTAATAATCTGGATTCAGGCTCTTCTTGCTCATGTCGACGCCCAATCCAGTCAGTTATCAAAGATCAACTCCGAGCTTGAGGATAAGAATATTGTAATCAAGGCAGTCAAAAAGGACAAGGAAGGCCTTGAAGGACAGGTAGAGACGTTGCAGCAGGAGAGGGTGAGATACCTTGACACCTCACATCCCATATTTGCTAACTTCGTAGGACCGCCACGCTTTTGTTTTCGTGATCATTGATGGTGATTGCATGTTGGTATGACAAGCTTCATATTTCATTGCCTTATCAGTCAGTACTGACAATTTAGTTTCGTGATGAGCTTGTCCAGGCAGGCTTGGAAGGTGGTAAGAAAGCTATGAGCTTGTTGAAGCAAAGCGTTGAGAAGAAGTTGAAGACTCTCAGTGGCAGCGTACCACCTCATCTGCAAATTATTATACGCGTGTACGCCAATTTGCAAGGTCTGTCTCAGTCTTACCAGAATTCTGATCTTCTATCCAATGGCCAGACTTTGGAGGAATTTGTTCGGGGCTTCAACATGGGTGATCCTCTCTGTGATTACGTGGACGCTGGGAACGGAAAGGAATGTGCTGATGAGAAAGTCAAAGGTAAGTTCTCCGACGGCACTGCAAGTGAAACCCCCTGACGTTTTCAGCTTTGTTTCGACATCACCTTGATGATGTGCACTGTCGCCATGTATTTTTCGGTGCATCCGCCGACAACGGATATGCTCGTCTCCTGGGCCCATATGCTCAGGATAACGCTCACAAGCAACGCATTTGCCTCATTGAAGGGCCTCCGTTTGGGAGCGAAATAGCAGATCTAGTGCCGAAGTTTGAACATGTTTCTTTTGATGTCTTCCGAAAGAGTCAGCAACTACCCAACACGAACCGGAGAGTTTCGAGTGCCAGCTCTTCGAACTACGCCAATGCTGCTCGCAAAACGCCTTCACCATCCACGCAGGGTGCAGTCTTATCCTCCCAGGAGCGTGTGCCGACCAAAATCCTCCGGAATAGTAAGGGTGAACGACTTGACTCGAAGCTCAACTATGATCCGCACACTCTTAACTTGTTGAAAGGCCGGAAACTTTGCAACAATTACGCACTTTTGGGGAAGTGTCCCTATGAAACTTCCTTTGGGTCCTGCTACCACGATCACAAACAAGATCTCGGTGAGAGTGAGAAAAGAGCGTTAAGAGCTGTTGCTCGCTTGACTCCTTGTTCAGCTGGGTCAGGTTGCAGCAATGGGCAATGTCTTCTTGGACATGTTTGCACAAAGCCGAAGTGTACAGGGCTGGGCTGCCGATTTCCCGAGGAGTTACACAACATTAATCATGTTGTTGCCTCCGAGCGAATTATTATTTAAGGGCATTCTTGATGGCAGCAATTTACTATGTATGTTTGTTTATGTCAATGTTATTTTATGAATATCTTCTTTCTCGACTCACTCCCTGTGATGCACTCAAATGATAGATCAATATGAGTAGCATATCTTTCTTTTGAAATCCAGACAAAATAACACATTAAAGACACCTGAATCTCCAGGTTGCCGTCACTGATACGATGCTGGTGTGGCGTTCCTTCAGCACAGCCACACCAACGTCAACCACCAGCCTCACCCCTGCCAAAGCTCATCACTCCAATCCTCCAAGCTGTCCTCAAGACCGCCTAACTAAAATCGACAAACCACCAACACCTCCCTCCCTCCTCCCTCCCACAACCGATCTCACAAGGCTCGCCCACAATGTCAAACTACTACTCCTCGCAACAACCGCAATACCCGCCCGGCGCCGCCCCCAACGCCGCGCAAAACCTGCAGTTCTTCCCCTCGCAATACACCACCCCCGGCGCCGCGACACCGCAGCAGCAGCCCGCCGCCTACGGATATGGAAACCAGGGCGGCTATGGCGTTGGCGCTCCCCCTGCACAGGGCTTTGCGTCGCCTGGGTTTGCCGCGCAGGGCGTCTCGGGCAGGATGGGGGAGCAGGGCGGTTTGAGGACTGGGTGGGTTGCTGCGTTTTCGTCAGAGGGCTATGATGGCGAGCCGCCTTTGTTGGAGGAGCTGGGCGTTAACTTTGGACATATCCAGGCAAAGGTAAGGCTTTTTGTATGTGGGTGAAGTCTCTTGGCTGATCAATTGTAGACGCTTGCTGTGTTGAACCCCTTCCGTCGAATCGACTCTCACATTATGGACGACTCCGACCTCGCAGGTCCGCTCATCTTCTTCCTCCTCTTCGGCTTCATCCTACTCTTCTCAGGCCAAGTCCACTTCGGCTACATTTACGGCCTGGCCGCCCTGGGATCCATCACCCTGCACGTCATCCTCTCGCTGATGTCGCCCTCAGACGCCGGCGCACCACAGGTCAACAGCTACCCACAGTACAGCAGCGATCCCTCCACACCAGGGCAACCGGACGGACAGCACGGCGGCCACTTCTCCGCGACATTGACATACCCCCGAAGCGCGAGCGTGTTGGGATACTGCCTGCTGCCACTCGTAGCGACCAGCTTGTTCGGAATCGTCATGCGAATGGATACACCCATCGGCATTGTCTCTACAACTGCTGCCATTCTCTGGTGCACGTATAGCGCGAGCGGCATGTTCTGCGCAGTAGGACAGATGAAGCGCATGCGTGGACTGGTTGCGTATCCCCTGGCGCTGTTCTACGTTGGCTTTGGCATCATGGGTATTTTCAGCAGCCGAGGAAGCGGTACGCTGTCCAACGTCGCTGCTAAGCTCAACACCTAAACGGTTTTGATTCGGATCCTATAAAATGTAGTCACAGTGGACTTCAAAACTCGACGATGCAGTACATGAATACGCCCCAGTGGCAAAAATATGACGGATGTCAAGGAGCAGGATAAGAGGGGCATGGCGTTTCAGACGATATCGAGATGGGATACGCAAGCTACATGGTTTACAGCGTATTCTCTTTGTACTAGAATAATTACTTTTTGTACGTCATGATTAAAAGAATGAGGAACGATGTATCGTTGAGAGATTCAGATACTCCCAGAAAATAAGCTTCAAGTATGCAAAGACATCGTAACCATCTATATATACCACAGCAAAAGCATCAAACAATGTGCATCCCCCTTAGTCGTCAAAGCCATTTTTATCACAGCAAGAATCCGCCCATGTGGAATCTGTGAATCCATGCATCCGCCATGCCTGGCGGTTAAAATACAAGTGTAGAAAGCTGCCTGCAGCAGCGAAATTAAGTAGGGCTCGCATGATAATTGCGCAAAACCAGTCATCCCATAATCGCAAATTCCATCACATATCCGACGTGGCATTCGTTTGCTCGTTTAAGCCTTCTCGTGAACGCCATTGGTCTTGGCGCCATTCGTCGCGGGGGTATCCTCAGCCTCGCCGAAGAGGACGGAGTATTGGCCACCAGCGCCTGCTCCGATGATCTTCTTGCCGCGGATGGCGGTGTTATCAATAACGGTGGGAGTGTGGATGTCGTCGATGGTGCCTTGGCCGGTCTGGTAGTTGCTGGAGAAGCCCCAGGAGAAGACCTTGCCTTCGGAGTCGACGGCGAAGTTGTTGTCAGTGCCGGCGGCGACAGCAACAATGTTCTTGGTATCTGGAACGCGTAAATTAGCTTATGCAAAGTGTATCAACTATTGTGCGGAACATACCAGGCTGAATAGTGGGCTTGAACAGGATACGAGCATTGCCTCTCTCGTCGTAAATGGCGTTATCCTCACTCAGCTTATCAAACTCGAAACCGACCTGGTAACCATCGACACGGCCCCATGTAAGAAGATCGCCCTTGTCAGAGCAAGCGAGAGAGTGGTGCTCACCACCGTCAATCTCGGTGATGGTGTAGTCGTCGAGGTAAGTAAGCTTGGCAGGGCGGAGGATAACAGCATCGTCCTCGCCGGCGTTGGACTCGACACCGATCTCGCCGAAGTTGTTGAGACCCCAGCCGTAGACCTGACCCTCCTTGTCAATAGCGAAGCTGTGGTAAGAACCGCAGGCAACCTTGGCGATCTTGCCTCGAGGCAGACCGACACCCTGGGGAATGAGAGATGACATCTTGTTGCGCTCGATGATTCGTCGGCCGAGCTGGTTCTGCTGTCCGCAACCCCAAGCGACGACGTTACCCTTGTGGTCGAGAGCGAGAATGTGGTTGGAGCCGGCGGCGAGGGACTTAATGTTCTTGAGATCGCGGATCAAGGCGGGTGTTGACTGGATCTTGACGGTCTCAGAGAAGCCGAGAATACCATCACTGGATCGGAAAGTTCCCCAGCCGTAGACTCGACCATCCTCAGTAAGAGCGAAACTGGCGCTGTCGCTGGCAACGACCTGAACGAACTTGGTGTCAGGCGCGAAGAACTCGTCGGAGACGGGAAGTGGTGTGCTCTCCTTAGGGTTGACACCAGAGTCATCCTCATCCTCCGAGTCAGAATCCTCCTCCTTGTCCATGTCGCGGAGGCCACCCTCCCAGTTGCTGTCTCTGCCGAGAGCGCCCTGATCGTTGACGCCCCATGTGAGGATCTTGTTATCGTGTGTCAAGACGATGGCGTGCATGCCACCGCATGAGATCTGAACAACGCCGACCTTGGCGGCGGAGAGGTTATCATTGAGTCGGGGACGCTTGACGTCGATGGGCTTCTTGCCGTTGATTCGCTTGCTGCCGAGGCCAAGCTCACCGGACGAACCCTCGCCAAAAACGTAAACATCGAGAATCTGGGTGGGTGCATCATTGATCTTCTTTCCGATGTTGGGAAAGTCGGACTTCTTCTTGGGCTCAGCCTTCTTCGTAGCAGGACGACCGGGCTTTTTGGCAGCAGGCTTCTCCTCGTCAGGCTCCTCAGTCTTGGCCCTTCTTGTGGTAGTCTTAGCCTTTGTGGCAGCAGGTTTCGCGGCGGTCTTGGTCTTTGCTGAAGGCTTCACAGCAGGCTTGACGACGCGTTCTGTGGTCTTGGTCTTCTTGGGCTTGGGGACATCCTCCTCCTCAGACTCGGGCTCAGACTCTTCGTCGCGAGTGCGCTTCTTGGAGGCGCCGTTTGTGGCAGCTTCAGCCTTCTTGGCGGCAGCTTTTGTGGGCTTTGCGTCCTTCTTAGCAGCGGCGGCGGTTGTTGCCTTCTTAGTCGCGGGCGCCTTAGCGACAGCGGCAGCTTTGGCTCGAGGTGCCATCGCGTGAGGTTATGTTGTGTTGTGTGTGGTGTGGTTTGTGATGATTTGTGTGTGACGCGCGATCACGAGCGGGAGAGAGTTTTCGCCTAGTAAAGCAGAAACGAAGCTTCACCGGATGATCAACACGCAAATTGTGGTTGTGAAATGGATGATGTGATGATGTTGATGATAGGAACAAGCTGTTGTCGAAGCGCGACAAATCGAAAGTGGATGGGATTTTTTCTTAGCAAAAAAAGTGATCTGACCGCGCTGGGCAGTGATCATTTGCGGGCTGACAGGGGATGATGCCTGGTTGCGGTTTCACCGCCCGGAAGCTCTGGCTGCTTTCCGAGGATTTGTCCGGCAGGAAAAACGTTAGCGCAATTGAATTCGAATTTGATTCGAGCTTGGCAGGCGGTGAATCGAAGCTGTCATTTCATCTCCTTCAACGATACGCGATTCACTGTTGGCGCGTTTGTTGGTCCCAGACTAAGCGCACGTTGCTTATTGTTAAGCACAGACAACAGCCCCCTTTGTGTGCAGCCGTGGGTACTTAGCTAGTACTTGTTGAGTGTTCGTCTTCAAACGAGTCACGCAGGCGGATCAGAAAACAATAGAGAATCCAAGCTCTTGTCAAAACAGGAGACATAAAAGCTCGATCAGATCTGTATGCCTAAAGATAGTCCAAGCATTCCAGTATTTTAGTCATCTTCATCAAAATTCACCATCATGTTTTAACCCACCTGTCACAGTCCCGACAGTGGGTCGCCGTTTGCATAGCAGTCAGTGCTCATTCTTCAACTGTGATCCCCTGTTTACAAACGCCACGAGTTGCGAAATGCGTCAATGTTTCACAAGTGCCGTATTGAACATGAGTTTGTCGCTAAAGGATATGTTGTGAAAAACGTTCAATTCTCTGTATCTCTGGTATCGATTATCTCGCCGTCCCAAAACCCATGACCAATCCCCAACGCCATTTCCGTAGTCATTAATGCCAGTATTTTTGTTTACATCCCCCAACTAAACCAGTGTCGCGAAAGTGGGATGTTTACTTCTGGGTAGTAAAGTCAATCTCGTTGGCAGGGTTGAAGCCACCATCGGCAGCCTTCTCGCAAGTGCAGCCACCTAATCATAACTCGTTAGCAACAGTTGACGCAACAATCCAAGACAGGGTTCTCCATACCAGAAGGTCGAGATCCACAAGCGCATGTAGCACCGTTGGGGGTAGCGTTCTCAGTAGCAGCTCGGTCGCAGGTGCACTCGCCGGCAGGACGGGCTCGGCATGAGCATCGGGGGCCGTTGACGGTGTTCTCGGCGGGGGCCTTGGCGCATGTGCATTGAAGGGCGGACTTCTGACCGCACGAGCAAGTGGCCTTCTGGGCTGTTGAAGTGTTAGATGGTTGTTTGGGGAGATCTGGGGAGATGATGTCACATACCACAAGCGCACTCGACGTTGTCGCCGGAGCGGCAGCAGGTAGCGGGAGTGTTGACAACCATAGTGAAGATTTGGTGGGTGGTGAAGTTGTTGTTGAGGTTGAAGGCGAGTTTATAGAGTTGAAATGATGAAAGCGTAGTGAATTGTACTGGAAGATGCTTGTTTGGTATATTAATCTTTGGAAGCGGTTGCCTGTCTTATTTGTACCTGATGGCTTTCACAGAGTTTGACCCACTTCTGCAAGAGCCTCGAAGATGCGGATCTGAGCAGTGGTAATCGCAGTGGTTTCCATTGGTCGGACAAGAATGACTAAGCTTTTTGAACCAATCAACGATTGCTTATTCTTTCTTTCCCATCTTTCGCCTCCCAGAACATGCGATGCTGATACCAACCTTGTCATATGTCTGTCAGCGATTGAGCTAGAACACACTAACGAGTCTCAGCAGCATCGCTTTGTCCGTCATTGGTTCTCCAGCTTTGTGATGTCTCAAGTCTGAAGAGAATAGATGCTTTCACCGCTGCTTCAAGGATTTGTGAAGGCAGATGGTATGGGGTTGAAGATAATTGTCGGTCTAATGCACAGCTTTTTGTAACTTGCAATATCATTTCGCTTCCTCTGGTGGTCAATTACAAAGGGACATTGATTGACTATCACTTACATCTAAACTTCAAAAATGGAGGACATCTTAGCAATGGGACACCATCCAAAACCATGAGCGAATTCATTGAGCACAATAGAACTGAGAACTCAAAAATCCCAAACACAAAACAAAACAAATTTCCCGTCAAGTAGGAAATGGCATTTATTGATCAGGCATCATTTTTTCAAAGTATCTGCACGTACGGCTCTGTATCAGTAGTTACTTTCACCAAAGTTCAAATTGATGTCTCCAGGGTATCGCAATCTGGCTGCCACCACGCTTCTTGCCGTATTTCCTGTAGCCAATTAGCAAGGGCTTAGTCATCGAATACGACGGTCCTATAGTTTAGTGGTAATGACGTTGGATTTTGATATCATCAAAAACTTTCCGAAGACCCCGGTTCGAACCCGGGTAGGACCTCATTTTTGTCCGTTCCAACTAGGTCCATCTCTCGACACTAACTAATACTGACACTTTGGTTGATGCTCAAGTTCGCGTATCACGTTTGTGACCTTCCCCGTGATCCCATCTAAGATATTAATTTCTCGTGTTAGCTTGTTGTCGGAACTTTTGCACGGAACTGTAAAAGGAAGACATCAGATTTGCTTGCCCCAATCCGACAAGACATGATTTGGCAGTGCCCGATCTCGGAGGTCGATCATGCATTTAATGCAAGCTCAATCCGGCGTAGAATCATCGCGCCTGTATACATAGCACTTAAGACTCATATATACTTAATTAATATCACATATTCAACATTTATAAGTTATCACTAAACACCTGTTATACGACAATTGGACCCTGTGACTTTGCCCAACTGCGCCATTTTTACTGAGAAGCGAGGCCTGATCCGATGCAACACAACCACTTGGAACCAAATTTACTCATCAACTACAACGCCTGGTGCCCCAAAGCATTCAAGTAGGAACAATGTCCTCACCTAAGACGCCCGAAGTTGCCGAGTCCACGATCGTGGTTATCGGGTATGTACTGGCCTAGGCTCTGTGAAGCCCGAAACTAACATTCATTCCCCTAGTGCTGGGATCATCGGCTTGACCAGCGCCCTCAAGATCCAACAACTCGTTGCCGAATCTCCATCAACTCAATCAACATCTGTCCTCCTTGTCGCCAAAGAATGGCCAACTTCAATTCCTGGAGCTCCGATCACTCACTCGGCCGATTATGCTTCCATGTGGGCTGGCGCTCACGTCCGCCCCATCCCCGCATCAACGCCCCAGCTCCGCCGTGAAGCCAAGTGGCTGAGGCATACAGTCGCTGAACTTGAGGAGCATCTCCAGAGCGAACCTGGATGCGGTATCAGACGCCTTCCGGGTATCGAGTACCTGGAGGACCCACCCGTTGAGTATGTGCAACAAGATGCCCAGAGCTTCGCCGATGAGACTGGTTTGCCAGGTTATCGAAAGTACGAAGCTCACGAGCTCCCGAATGGTGCGAAACTTGGATATGAGTATGAGACATATTGCATCAATGCTCCATTGTATAGCGCCAGTTTGCTTCGCAAGTTCATTGTCCAAGGTGGAAAGACAGTGCAAAGGGATCTCAAGAGCGAATGGGAGGCCTTCATCTTGGCACCCAACGTCAAGCTTGTGGTGAATGCGAGCGGCATGGGATTTGGAGACGAGAAGTGTTTCCCTATCCGAGGTTCGTCCCGACCTTTGTTCATAGCGACTGCAACTAACATTGAATAGGCCAGACGGTTTTAACCAACCTCACCGCCGCGGAGAAAACCATCACGACGCAAAAGAAGGATGGAACATGGAGCTTTATCATCCCTCGATCTTTCAACGGAGGAACAGTCATCGGCGGGACAAAAGAGATGGGCAACTGGGAACTCGAAGCTTCTCAAGAGACACGCACTCGTCTATTGGAAGCCGCACAGTCGATGATCCCTCAAGCCTGTGGCCAGAACGAAAGATCTGGGTCATTGAAGGTTATCAAAGATGTTGTCGGACGAAGGCCAGCTCGTGAGGACGGCATGAGAGTGGAGACAGAAGCCAAGGATACCACCTGGGGTGTCAAGCACGTTGTTCACGCCTATGGAGCTGGCGGACGTGGATATGAACTATCTTGGGGTGTTGCAAGTGAAGTGGCGGACCTTACAAGAAAAGTTCTTTACTTGAAGGACACTATTCAACCGAAGTTGTAGTAATTTGGCTTCGGATGTGAGTGCATGGGGACGAAAATGGTGGATGTGACGAGCTCTAACTCAGACACTACTAAGAAGCAAAGCAGCGTCGCGATTCGATATCTGGCCATAAGTATAAGTATGCAAAATATCTTTCTTACTCTCTATAAATAGCACAAAAACATAAAAAGAAACATACAACACCGGGGATTCGCTGGTCGTCACCGACCCAACTACTAATCCGGCGCTTCGAAGCTTGACTCTGGGGGAGCGGACGGGACCCCGTATTCTCTTCGAGCTTTGGTCGTATGTATCAGACGAAGCGAAGAATTTGTCCTAAGAGCATGGAATCATGCTCAGGTATACTTCAAAGACCATCTGTCTTCAAGAACCCCTGTAGAGCATCATCCAACGTCTTGCTCTCCCTCAGCGGGACTGCAGTGCCCTTCTTGTTTAATCCGATCTTGTTATGCCAAACAACTTTCATACCAGCACGAGTTGCACCCTCAACATCTCCTGCACTTCCTGCCACAAACAGGACATCTTGAGCTTCCACGCCTAATTGAGGTAGCAGGCTGTGGTAGGCTTCCTTGACAGGCTTGTAGAAGCCGCTTTCTTCTGCCGTGATGGCCGCGTCAAAAGTGAAAGGCTTGTCGAAGCCAACACTCGCTTGTCTCTCAACACCGTGAATTGCGATGTAGCCCATATGTTTCGAACAATTGGTGATGACGCTGAGCTTGTATCCCTGAGCTCTCAAACCCTGGAGTACTGAAGGAACTTCGTCCCATGCTTTGATGTCCGGCCAATTCTTGAGCAGAGCTTCTGGAGCCGATTCGGGTAGACCAACTTCGGAGGCAGCCTGCTTGACCAAGTCTTCATAAGGTTTGTAGGTTCCTGTGCCAAAAGTAATTTCAAGGTAACGTTGACGCCAACGTTTACCTTCTTCGTGGCTTTTGGAGGGAGTTGACGCATCCCATATCTCCCATGAGTTTAGAAGAGCTGTGAGAAGATCAAAGATAATGGCTTTAGGCTGCCAGCTTTGTTCGATGGAGGGATTCATTTCGAATTATGGAGGTCAATGGGAATGGAATCTGGGAGAACGAGATTGTGAGTGAATGTGGACGAATATTCGTTTTAAGAACGTTCGCCAAGATCATCCCCCGCTTACACAAGGGCGCGGTTGACACATCCTAGTTTGATGATGCACCCACGGCCAAAGGATCATGTGACTTCAGCAGGCAAGAGAAGTATATACTGCTAGTTGAATGCCTGGGAATTTCAATGTAGTTCCGAGGATTGACAATTGCGCCCGTCACCTTGGCCAAGAGGCTGAACGAGCTCAAGCCAAAGCCGCGGCTTTTTGTCACTGGCTGCCTTCCCAGCCTTACCCCATACTTGACGAGAAGAGAAGAAAACACGTGTTAGATAAGAACCGTAAGGAAGAATCTGGGCCCACCCGTGACTTTCATGTACTTTCCACCGCAGGTCCCCGTGCCTTATGCTTGGTCATTTCGTAGAGATAAGCGTTTTGTTGACTGAAAGCTGGCCAGTATCAGAGCCTCTAAGGTAATTGACTGACGCTGGAAGCTGATCTAACTTTTCTGCCACCTCTACATCGCCTACCATCCCGTCATATATGCTTGTGTGGCTGATTGATGAGATTTAAAGCAGTAGGTTTTACCAATCGACTAATTTAGCCTTTTCCACGTTCGCGTCCCCTTTTATTTGCCCAAAACTGGGCCGATTATCCAATCGGGTTATGTGACGAAGATATGGATGATGATTGCGTAGCCTCATTCAAAATCTCGGGATTTAATAAGGATTTAGGTTCCCATGGAGGGGGTGAGTGTCTTTGAGTTACCTTTGTGGGTATAAAGCTTTGCAGGCATTCCTTGTAAGAGGTCGGGTTCGTCAACCAAGATTTTAGAGAATACATAAGCAGAAGCTCATTGCTTATTGCCCAAGTGTGACATTTCGGCATGACAGATCAAATTTGAAACCATCAAAGTTAAGGACGAACCTTCTTTCCCAACATCGGAGCAATGTAGGTCATGCCCTCAAATAAACTTCATCTTTTTATCTATAAATACAGCCTTGCTGACCCCAGACACCATGAACCAGAAACATTCACTCTTGAACATTCTACAAATGTTGATAGAAAGGATAGCCAGCCAAAAATGGCTTCAACACACGACATTCATCCGTCCCTCGACGAGTCGATGCTCAAGTTGCATATCGACGATCGTTCAACAGACCTAGTCCCACGGCCGAGTTTGACAGAAGCAGTAGACACTTTCCGCCAAGCTGTTATATCTCTGGGAGATGACTATAGTCATGATATTTCCAGCCTCTTGGATCACTTTGAGGAAGCTATAAAGCAGATCGTCAAAACCAATTTCGAGGAAAAGTACAGCCATGGCTTTGTCTCCATTCCAGACATTGCAATGGAGTGTCTCAAGGAAACTGCCAGCCTCGGCAAACTGGACCCTCAGAGCTACTGTCTCAAGTGTCAGAGTGAAGATCCCAACTGGGCTTTTGGGTTCAACTCTATCAAACCCGGAATGCGTTCTGCGGAGGGCTCCACAGAGTCGGACAGATGGGAGTACATGCGCGCTCGAACCTTGAACATGGATACCAAATGGACAGCCTTCTGGCGGCAGGTAGTGCGAAGACTTCCCCTCTCACCAACGCTGTTTGCCATACAGGAGAACACAGAGAGCAAATGGAACTACCGGGACCTTCCACGCTATCTATTTCGGGTTTACGACATCAACAGCTCTGGTATCAACACGCCGAGGGTTTTAGCATCACCCCAAAGCCAGTATGGTAACCCCGAAGACTCCGCCACTGACATTCTATCACTGCCAGGAGGAAAAGCGACACGGATGCTCTACAACCATCTTGCAAAGGTTTCTAGAGCTCAGGCTCTCCAGTCCATTGATAACTTCATGTCCTGGAGCAGCTCCCTGATGTTTGTGATTCAGTACGCCATGTGGAGATCTGAAACTCTACATACGCCTGCCTCTGATTTGCAGATCTGTATGGTAGACACAAGAGACTTCCCCCGTGGGCAGTTTGCGAGAGACATGTGGCTGATCCGACACTACCGCCCTTCAGTGCTCACGGAACCACAACAAGAATTTTTCCATTCTCGCCTGGAGAGCCCTGATCATGACAACGGAGAGTTCCTGTCTCAAGGTATGGTCAATCTTCGCAACAAAGCATGCTTTTTCTCTTTGCAAGACCTGATGTCCGCTGGGATCGACACTCTGCATCCAATGTTCAAGGGAGGTCCCTATTACGGGGTGCAGTGGACAGATCGCATGCTTGATCTCCGCTCATTCTGCAACTGGGAAACTTACCTAGAGGAAAAGGAGTTTTGGAAAGCCCAAGAAATTGCGAAGAAGATTTTCTCGAAGTTTGATGTGATGGATATCACATTGTTGCTTCTGAGCTTCCGCAACTACAAATTCAAATGGGAAAGTAAGTGACATAATCCTTTGACACCTTACCTTTGCGATAAAGCGCAAGACTAACGCATTCTTTAGTTCCGGATAGACATATCTGGGCAGGTGAAGGTGTTGTCGAACCGGCCGATGTCCATCGCTACAAGAGGTGGACCGCAATATGGGAGGCTTCTCGTGAAAGCTTGAAGCAGCCTGAATCCCTCAGAGAGTTCTTCATGTGGAATGAGGACTACGATATCACGAAACAAGACATCTGGTAAGCTAGGAGACCTTGAGGACAAAGCAGTGGGGAACCTGTTTGGTACAGAGAAGCTGTTATGCTGGACGAAGGTGATCAAACAGGGGTGTAAAAAGGAGAGGGAGAAGAAAGACAGCTGATCGTCACCTGGGCGTTATCAAGACAAACAAAAGCGGAATCGACAAGATTGGGATAGACAAAAGCTCAGGAAGAGCGAGAAAAGAAAAAAGGAAAAAAAAGCACATAATCAATCACTACTGCGGCTTGCGAATCTCGGGTGGATTGGCCTTAACCCGCCTAAAGATTTCTTCCTTCAACTCCTCATCACTCCACTGCCTGATCCCCAAGAACTCATTATCAGTCTTCGGAAAGAATCCGTTACCCAATCCATAACTAGCCCGTATGACAAAGTCTCGCAGTGAAATACGGTCCCTTTTACCCTCATGGTACCGCTTCCACGCCGCCTCGACTAGTACTGCGGTATCGACATGTTCCACAACAAACTCTGCATCCGGGGCAGCTTCACGAGCGTAGCCTAGAACCTGGTTCTGCGTCATCACCACTGTGTGGATGTAGCATATCTTGTTTACCGTCTCTTCTGGCTTCAAGAGTACAGCGACGATCGCTTTGCCAATGTCGTCGAGGGTGGTAGAAGACATTGGAATATCACCGCCGTCTGCGACGCGCGTGGGTAGTTTTCCTGACAGACCAACGAAGATGTCTTCATCGAGGACCCAGTCAAGGAACATACCGGTATTGATACCCGTGTAGGTGATATCGCCCCTGGCGCCCTTTTCCAACACGTCGTTATAAACGGGGAGCTTGGAATTCATGAATGGCATATTGGCTATCTCAGGGTTATCCAGCGACACACCGAAGAACGAAGGAATGGCTCGGTAAATGCCAGCATTGACAGCGGCTTGCATCGCCACGACAGATGCATCGTAAGCAAGTCGATTTAGAATAATGACTATAGCATCGAAACCTCGCCCCAAAAGACTCGGCGTCAGCGTTTCGGCCGAAGTATAGTCTGCGCTGATGGCTTCGACATCAGGGGGTAGATTCGCCGATGACGGATTACGCGTCAGCACACTGACTTTGAAGCCATTTTGGAGTAAGTGCTTGATGGTTGATGGGCCGAGGCGGCCAGTGGCCTGAAGAGGACAGGAGTCAGCATAAAAGCGTGCTTTTGTTCTAGAGAATATATGCTTACTCCGGCGATGACAACATTAGAGATAGTGGCTGGGGGCATTTTAGATTGTTTGCCAAGAGATGCTGTATGTAAGATTTGATGATTGGGGTTGGCGATGCTGATGGTAGGCAACCTGATCTTAATTAGTTGAGCTCCGCTTACGGTACTATTTGCCTAAATTGAGCCTCGATTGTTGCTAGCAAGGCGACGTCAGCTGATATATTATATTATTATCCTTTGTATATTTTGTATATGAATTATGCCCTGATACGTGTACCGAGGGGCCGTTGGGACTAAGAACAGATATTTCGCACTGTGATTCGCATGCACCATGTCAGATAACTGCTCTTAACTTTCCACACAGCTAGGCCATCGATAACAAAGAGAGAGAGAGTTCCTTGAAAGATTTCCATTTAGAAAGATTTCCATTTTATTACCAGCGATAGTTCCTCGATATTAAAACTTATTACCTACGTATGTCGTCAATCCTCATACAAGCTCACGTGACCTCGTGTCAGGAGATAGCCTAGTCCTACCGCTATTCCCCCTAAGAACAACGCGAATTTTCCTTTGGTAAATGATGCCAAGACCAACCATCGCAATGGCCGCAGCCAACCAGGATGACCACGGCGAATTGCCAAGAAGCAGCCAAGACCAAGTCAATGACCCGCTATCTTTATCTGCACCTGTAAGACCTCAATCAGAGCCGCAACATTCTCCTTCGACTGCAGGGTATAGTGCATCGCTGTTTCGTCGCTGCAAATCCGCTTTGATCAAGTTCTTCTCTTTCATTGGCCCTGGTTTCATGATTGCTGTCGCTTATAGTGAGTCTCTTCTGTACTTACTCTGTTATGGGATTGTGACTTACACTTCGCCTGCCAGTTGACCCCGGAAACTACGCGACAGATATCGCTGCCGGCGCGTCTTATCGCTTCAAATTGCTCTTCATTGTCCTTCTGTCTAACCTCTTTGCCATATTCTTGCAAAGTCTTGCTATCAAACTGGGCACTGTCAGTGGACTTAATTTGGCTGAGGCTTGTCGAGCATTCTTGCCTCGGTGGCTTAACCTTATTCTCTATGTCTTCGCTGAAATCGCGATCATAGCTACAGACATTGCCGAGGTGTGTTGAGCCCTTTGTGAATATTGATCTGTTCTTGTTAACTAATAAAACTCGTTAGGTGATTGGCTTTGCGATAGCACTCAACCTCCTCTTCCCAAAGGTCCCTTTAGTGGCAGGATGTGCCATCTCCATTGCAGATGTTATGGTGATCCTTCTTTTCTACAACCCTGACAAATCGATGAAAGGTCTTAGAATATTTGAATTCTTTATCCTATTCTTAGTCATGGGTGTAGTAATCTGCTTCTGCATTCAGTTGTCTATGATAGAGAACACCTCAGTCGGAGAGGTATTCAAGGGCTACTTGCCGTCGAGCAGTATAGTCGAGCAACAAGGGTAAGCCTTCCAGCACATCTAGCAGTTACCGTTACTGACCCTACCAAGATTATACCAGGCATGTGGTATCCTCGGTGCTACTGTTATGCCGCACAGTCTCTACCTAGGTTCAGGCATAGTCCAACCTCGTCTGCGTGAGTACGATGTGAAGCGAGGCTTAGTCCCCGCCCAGCCGTCTTCGGACAGGGCATCGGGCAACCGAATTGATGAAAAGACTTATTATATCCCCTCACTGGCGGCTATTCGGTCCTCACTCAAGACCTCAATCGCTGAACTTGTAATTGCGCTCTTTACCTTTGCTCTATTCGTCAATTCGGCCATCCTCATCGTTGCAGGTGCATCTCTGTACAACAACCCTGATGCTATCGATGCCGACATATTCAGCATCCACGATTTGCTCGCGTCATCTATATCGCCTGCAGCAGGAGTATTGTTCGCGCTCGCGTTGCTCTTATCTGGCGTCACAGCTGGAATTGTCTGTACAATCGCCGGTCAAATGGTCAGCGAGGGCGCTCTGAATGTCCAGATGCGTCCCTGGCTACGCCGTCTCATGACAAGAAGCATCAGCATCACGCCGAGCATCATCATCGCTGGTTCAGTGGGAAAGTCTGGATTGAGTGCTGCTCTCAATGGTACGCAGGTTGCGCTTAGTATCATTCTGCCTTTCGTCACAGCTCCTCTGATTTATTTCACGAGTCGGAATAAGTACATGACGGTGAGATCTGGTCCTGCCCGCTTTCATATCGAAGGTAGTGGGGATGACATGACTATGGCCCAACAGAGACAGGTGACGATGGGACAAGGAGATGAGGAAGCTGAAGTTAAAATGGGCAACGCATGGTATACAACCATCCTTGCGGTGCTGATATGGCTTTTGATTGCTATTATGAATGTGGCTAATCTGGTTCTCCTTGGCAAGGGTCAGTAGATAGAGATTCGTATAATACTTCATCCAAAAGCATAGATAATAAAGGGACTCTTGTCAAAGCATAATTCTGGGTCAGTGCCGAACTCAGACGAGATGCCATCTTTTGTGAGGCTCCGATGACACAATTATCCCGCTTTTGGTTGGGACATGGCTTTTGGGTTCGCTAGCCTAGGTCCAGACCACTGCAAGGAATGTGAGACTCAGGGTATAAAAAAGCGATAAAGGTCCCATAATGAAAAGGTCAAGATTCGTCGTCATTAAAGGAACTTACCTGGCTATAAGATGTCTATTGAATATCTCACAGCTACTTTATACTGACTGTATCACTCCTTCTGGTGGATTAAGATCCAGCTCATGATAAACATCCTGCTTCGGCTGTCCTTCTAGTTATTCTCTTGGTTCTCCCCAGGCCCAGATCCTCACTCAAGATGCAGGAAACGACTGCAGACCAAGGCAATTTACCGGGCATTGGTAGCAAAGACGGTAGGCCCCGGTTCGAAAACGTCGAGTGGCAGCAGAAATCTGTTGATGATGGTCAAAACCAACAGCCCACCATTGCTAGCCTTTGAACTTGAGTTCCCACGCAGTACCACGAGCGGAAAAGGGTGGTTGAATTATAACTAACAGAATTCGTAGAGATCGCAGGTGACGAGATCATTCACATACGATTCACAGGTTAGTCCACGGCTGTTATAGCCCCCAACAAATGAAAGAAGCCAATCACTACTTGTAGAGAACGGTCGGAGGTCGTTGACTGTAGTGCAGAATTTACCTCTGGAGCTTAGCGGGGCGAATGTTTTGATGGAAATGAAAAGAAAATTCGGTAGGCCAATATATATTTACTTCAAATGCTTCTTGTCTAACGGATGTCAAGGTTGCAACGGTGCTTTTGTGCAGGACCCAACCTGGGGGCGGGTAATTCATCTCCAAGGTGACCAGCGCCGCAAGGTTGGCGAGTACTTGCAGCAAGCGGATATCGCATCGAGAGACGTGAAGATGAATTTCTTTTAGGTTATTGAGGAATAGGTCCAGCTGTTCTCGATGGGAACGGGTTTATATTGGATGTTCTGTTGCAAAGTCTGATTTTAGCTGTTAACTTGTGACTTTGGGCTTTGAGACTACGTTTTATGTTGCCAATGGCACTGCCTGCCTTCAATCTCTTTATCTTTGAAGAGTCGCAACATCAATCTCACCTGATTCACAATTAGCGGATTATGGCTCTTGCAGTACATTATAGCACTGTGACGATACAATAGGAGACGTTATTCGAACAGAATCCTTCTTTGGTAATAGAAGCGGGTACACGAGATTAAGCTGTGTATAGAATATATACATATATCTAACTTGTTGTTTTTACATGTAGTTATTTGGTTTGCGAATTTTCATGCCGTGCTTTGATTGATTCCCAACCTCTCTCTAACTAACTGGCCCTAAATCAGTAAGATTTAAGCGCGAATGTAAGGTGTCCAAGATAGCCAATGAGATCGACTCGGCTGTTAATCTTTCAGATGGGGACCTGAGCTAGCCCCTTAAACCTACGCGCCCCGGACTTCTGTCAGTCCGTGCCTCTTAAGAGTTGATAGACGGACCAACAGCAGGGTCGAACTGGGGCTGAGAATCATAAATATCATAAAACAGGTGGCCACTAAAACTGCCGCCCCCTCCCTTGACAATTCTTACCGCCATCCCCACATCCCATCTTTTCAACTCGTAGAGCGCGACAGTAGCTCGGACTGGGAGACTCACGATGATCCTGGATAGTCTTTCTTGGTCCACTTCTTTCATAGTCGTAGCTTTGACGGGATTGTTGCTGCTTTTACAGCGCTATGTCTCGCCTAGTCTCGACCCACTGGAGCCTCCGCTTCTGAAACCGCGGGTTCCACTGGTGGGACATATCATCTCCATGTTCCAAGAGGGAAGCGGCTTCTATACCCGGCTTTTGTAATTCTATCAAATCAGGTTAACGTTGATACTCCCATGATACTGACCAAAAAATAGCAAAGAGCATCCCCTGCCCATCTCTACCCTCCCCGTCTTGAACGGGAAGCTCTACGTCATCAACTCCCCGGATCTCATTCATTCAGCGCTGCGCAACAATGATATTTCTTTTGACCCATTTCTTCTGGAGTTCTCTGTCAGTATGTGGGGAATCAGCAAGAATGCAGTAAAATGTATCAAGAACAGAGACAACATGAATGGAGGATTGATCATCATCCATGCAAACACCATGGGTGAGCCGGTGCATCGACTCAACCTTGGTTCTCTCACGAGACTCATGTCCTATCTCAACCGTATAAAGCCCCAGGAGAACTTCGACGTACCAGATGTATCTATCTGGCTTCGAGATATGGTGACTGATGCGACTGCGACGGCTTTATATGGGGAGGAGAACCCTTTGACAATGGAAAAATCGGAATTGCTTTGGTGAGCTTTTCAACCCGGTGCAATTATCAGCTGCTAAATACAATAGGACATTTGACAAACATTCCATGGCGGCAGCATTTGGAGTTCCGGACTTCTTCATCAAGAAGGCCACCAACGCGAGGCGCGAGCTGAACAAAATGCTGCTCAATTATTACCAAACCAGGGGTGATCAAGGACAAGGTGTTTCCGAACTCATCAAAAAGAGAACTGTATTTCTTCGAAGCAGTGGATTTACTGACGAGGACCTTTCCACAATGGAGTTGATGCTGCTTTGGGTTGGTGTCACTAATACTGCACCAGCCCTGTTCTGGCTCTTCGCACATGTCCTCACTAATCCTGACTACACATCTCGCGTACAAGCCGAAGTAAGCGCAATCACGATAATTACAAATGGACCAGGTGGAAGAACTGCAACGGTTGACATTAAGCAACTGGAGAAATCCTGCCCGTTTTTCAACGCTTGTCTCCAGGAAACTTTTAGGCTGTATCTCCATTCGGTTGGCAACAGACGGGTGATGCAGGACACCAAAATCCAAGACGCAGACGGCCGTAAGTACCTCTTGAAGAAAGGCTATAATATCCAATGGCCGCCATCCGTTACGCATTTCACCAGCGACGTCTGGGGCTCGGACGTCAATACTTTCAGACCGGAGCGTGTCCTGGAAGCCACGGCGCAGGACGAAAAGAACAGAAGGAGCTCGATGCTTTCTTTCGGAGGCGGCAAAAATCTCTGCCCGGGTCGCAAATTTGCGCAGACCGAGATGCTGGGCTTTGTAGGAGTTGTGGCGCTGGGCTTTGAGGTTGAGGGGTTGAAGCTACCCAAGTGGAAGGATGTTGGGGTGGGTGCTGGGCCGAGAGCGCCTGATTGGGGATCTATGGATTCTGGGGCTCGTATTAGGAAGAGGCCAGGCTGGGAGGATGTCACATGGTCTTTTGAGGGCTAGGCACTGTCAGAGTTGAGGCAATAGGTGCATGTTAGTGGTAGAGTTGGTGGGTATAAAATCATTGGAAGGCTAGTCTTTGTGCCGTGTCAGATATTTTGTACTTCTCTTCCGCCCGTAATCCTGCTCGTATGATTCGAGCAAAGCCAATTTCTCCTGCTCCTGGCGTTCCTCTTCATTCAACTCAGGCACGACCTCCTGCTTTGGCTCCCTCAACTTAAGAGGATCCATTGACTTTGAAGAACTTCCCACCCTCTGACTTGGCCCCTGCTGCATTGAAATATACTCATCAAGGTCCTCCTTGCCCACTCTGCTAAGTGATTTTGCAGTCTTGGTGACATTCAAATCACAGCCAAGATAGCCTTCCCCTTCTCGAGTCCGGTTCCAGGCCTCAAAGCCCAAGATGTACAGGAACCTGTCCATGAAAATACCCTCCCAGTCGATGGGGTCAAAACCGCCCTTTGTACACCATGCTTGAGCCGCTCTCATAGCTGCGGTACAGTGATTCATCTGCCTGCGTACTGCGTCTGGAGAATCGGGGATGTTTCCTCCAAGGGCGTTGATGTACCGACGGAACGGGCTATTTTCAATCCAAAATGCCACCGGGACCCAGTGTTTGGGAACGAATTCCTTCGGAAACGCATCCAGGAGGCCGAGGAATAAGAAAATAGCCATGATATCTGGCAAAATGGTGTCCCATTCACCCTTGAGTGACAAGCACCATAAAGACCTGGATTTTGCTTTTTCTTGTCGGATTTCAGGCAATGCAGCTAATCGGAGCAAAGGCTCGGCTTCTCCACAAGTTATCAAAGCCTGGACTCCCTCAAGGCGACCACATCTGTGACCATCTCCGAATTTGTTTGACGACCTGGTGTTTGATGTCCACCAGGCCATCTGCATCATATCAGGCGTCATCAGCTTCGAACCACAGATCGCTCGGCAAAGCGGTCGCGCATGTGACTCATCAAGGACCCGGTTTGAGAAGAGCTTTGTTTCCGAAGGCCGTTCTTTGGCGCTTGGTTCTTTGCCAGCGATTTCTAGTTCGTTGACGAGAAGAGCCGCGAACCGACGTACATGGGGAACCCATTCCTCTCTAGAGTCGCGTGGCACAACGATCAACGGTTTGTGATCACCATGCTCCGCTACGAATGATTGGTACGAGCGTTTGTACCACTGGTCCTGGCGTTGGGAGTGGGTAGCTACGACTTGGAAATGCTGCAGCAAAAGACTGCGTAACTCGTTGTTTATGCTGTCAAGACTCTCCATGGCTAATTTGACTGCTGGGCTGATTCTATGAAAGATTGGAATGAGTGAAAGAGGAAGAAGGTTTATGCTTACTGGGGTTCTATCTTATAAGGCGCTGCTCAGAACAACCGCTAAGCCACACCGTTTGAGTCATCCTCGTGAAAGCGGATCAGCTGAGACGTTAGACATACACATCTTTGAACTTTTGAAACTTTGCCACCTGAGATTGGTTTACGACTTTGCGCGATGGATGGACATGCTCAAAGAAATGGTTGCCTTCAAAGTGCTCTAAATTAATTTTGGAAGTCTATTGATCAGCGCGTATAGATGACCCGCTCTACCCGACATTGCCGCTTCTCCGCTTTTGCCATAAAGCGCCCCATCCGTTAGAGCATCAGCTAGAGTAACTACAACTCACCAGGACTCTGCAATAAGTACCATTTTGATCATTTTCCCCCGAGTAAGAGAGCCAACTGCATATTGTATCAGCTCGAGATATAATGTCCAGCAAAATCCGAGTCGCCGCATGCCATGTCTCGCCCATCTTTCTCTCCGCCAAGGAAACAACCTCGAAAGCCATTGATTATATCAAGCAGGCAGCGCGGAATAAGGCGAATCTAGTCATATTTCCCGAAACATACATCTCAGCCTTTCCAATATGGAGCTCCTTACGACCTCCTACAGATAATCACGATCTCTTTAAGCGAATGGCAAAAGAGTCTATCTTTGCCGATGGGGACGAGATACGTGCTATTCGGAGCACGGCAAAACAGGAAAATATCATGGTCAGCATTGGGTTTTCTGAAAAGACCCGTTTTAGCAGCGCCACGCTGTACAACTCGAATTTATTCATCGGAGAGACGGGTGACGTATTGATACATCACCGGAAGCTGATGCCGACCTTCTTTGAAAAGCTCACGTGGGCACCTGGAGATGGCCATGGCCTGCGCGTTGCGGATACAGCTTACGGGAAGATTGGAAATCTCATCTGTGGAGAGAATACCAATCCGTTGGCGCGGTATACGCTGATGGCTCAAGGGGAGAATATTCACATTTCCACATGGCCACCGATTTGGCCAACTCGTGTTCCTTCAGCCGAGGGATCTGCAGAAATATCAAGCGACACACAGGGAAAACCAAATTACGACAATGTCACGGCCAACAGAACCCGAGCTGCTGCCCATTGCTTTGAAGCCAAATGCTTTGGAGTTCTCTGCTCAGGCGTTCTAGGCAACGATGCTATTCAGACCATTGCGGAAGGGTCATCGTTCTTGACTCAGGTGCTGAAGCAATCTCAGCGTGGTGCGACGCAGTTCCTCGATCCAACTGGAGCTCCACTTCAGGGGTTTACTGTCAACGAGCAGACTGGGGAGTCTGTAACCACTGAATTTCTTCAAAAGGATGAGGGCATTTTGTATGCTGATCTTGATATCGAAGATTGTATCGAGGGGAAACAGTACCATGATGTTGTGGGCGGGTATCAGCGGCTGGATGTCTTTGATCTCAAAGTGAACCGTACTCGTCGAGAGCCCATTACCTTTGCTGAGGACGTCAAGGAAGGTTGCTCGAAAGAGTGGGAGGCGCTTCCTTAGCTTTCTTTTTGACTAGTTCCGTCAAAGTCTTTGCAACGGATTGCGGGTGTTCAGGTTGTCATATAATTCTATAATCTACATAAGCTTGTGACTGATATAGCCAATAAGGAGCAGAAAAGAGTCATCTTCTAGACTATCATCTATAGTAAGGACCATTCCTGGTCCTAAGATTTCATCACATACCCGAAAACCGAAAAGGGAACCATCTGCCCTGGATCTCCTCCACGCATAGAAGGATAAGACATGATCGGGGTGCACCAGGACAGAAACCCAATCACCCAAAGATATCCCACCGCGCGACGTACGGACTTTGACACAGGGAGATGCGCAGTCGCTGCCTGTACAGTATCTTCAAACATGATCCCAAAGGCCTGCATGGCATAGAACTTCTCGACAGCGAACGAGTCCTCAGCTGCGAACCGATAGATATATTGCATGCAGTGATGTATCACGCCAGAAGTAAGGAATGCTAGAAGTAGGCGCGTGTATCGCGAGAGAAGTGTGCCGCGGCGAAGACGCAGGACCTTGTCGGGGATGAAGTCTCCCCAGCCAGTCACCATTTTACGAAAGAGTTGATGCCAGAATGTTCTGTGACGTTAGTACTGCAACTCATATGATTTCATGTGATATCACTTACCCCCAGAATCCACGGACGGTGCAACAGGCGCTTACCGGCCCGTTGAGATGTGGCCAATCCTCCGGCTCACTCAAGCCAAGCGAGAGCCATAGCACAGCTGCGCAGCCATGGTTCAGTCGATTGCAGACGTAGGTGACAACCCAGTATCCGATGGTACCAAAGCAGCGAAAGGCCACGTCCTCCAGTGACAAGTTTGAGAATCTAGACAGAGTCTGCTTCTCTCGCGCGAATAAATGTCCGTCCGGCAGTGGTCCACTCATCGCCGCGTCCATAATCAGGTATACAATAAGCACCTCGATTATCTTAGCACGGAGAAGCTGACCCCGTCGCGGACCGTCCCGACGCCTCATTGTAATCTCACCGCGGAGGCCAACACGCCGTAGGTTAAAGTACATACGCACCGCGCGCAACAAAAGCGTTGCAGTGCCAACATGGCCACCGCCGTTCTTATCTGGCTTCCCGCGGAGGTCCTCGACATTGTAGCGCGACAGAAGAATTTGCTCGGCCCCGTTGATGAAGAAACCCCAACTAAGGAGGCAAATGTTGGATATCTGCGCACGAGTCAAGGATGTACCTAGGACAGCCGTGTAGAAGGTGTACTGCATGCAGCCCAGCGCCACCGTGGAACCAACACGGACGAGGGTGGCACCCTTTGGGACGAAGACGACTGTGGCTGCATAGCTGAGTAACAGAGCGCAGCCAACGCTGAGACTGTGGAGGGCCGAACCCGGTATTGGTTGGTCCATTGTGATAGTATAAGTTGGGTTTGGTTTGCTTCTGAATGGTTTGATGAGGAGGTGAGGTTAGGTAGAAAATGTCGCAGCAATTGATTAGGACTTTCAGCGGGGCTGGTAGATTGCGGAGGATTTTGAGAATCAGCGCTTGTCTTAGCGAGCTTACTATTTAGAGGAATAGGTTTAGGTTTATAGACTTTCACTTTATTTTAAAGATTGTAATTTCTTCAAAAGCTGTATTATATAAAAAAATGTCTCCTTTATACTTTCAATTTTGCTCTCTAACTGATCTAGCTTAATATTTAACAGAAAAGGTCTTACAATAAATTACGCAAAAGCTTAGTTTTGTCGTATTAGACGCGGGGTGAAATCATGCTTCTCGATAATCAGTCACTATGCAACCACCAGCATCAAAGGCTGGGTTCCCCACCCTGCTCCCCCATGTATGGGAACATCATTGGAGCATCATTTTCCAAGATCCCGTCCATGTAAGCTGTTATTAACGGATCCATACCGGATTCCGATGCTCGTTCCAGCCACGACTTCATTTCAAGCTCCTGGAACTCGACATCGTACAAACTGCTCAGATGCTCGCGCAGCTTATCAGCGGGGACTTTGACACCGCCTGAATGGTGTTTGTATTGAACCAAGGCCTTGGTGTCAGATCTAGAAGACTGGCCTTGGGCGAGCTTGACTGCTGTTTCCGATAGCTCGGCGACAACGTTCTCAAGCGGTGCGAGATCTAGGTAGCCCCTCACTCTGTCAAGGCGAGGGACACAGCGCATCGAGACGGAGAATCTCAAGATTGCATTGAGGGCATCCGAGTTGGGCGCTCGATCACTTATCACGACTGAAGGACGATGAATGGAAACTGTCCATTGCTCGTCCTTGGTCGAAGTACTGCGGACGTGCTCAACCAAGTTCTCCAAGAAAACCTCACTTGCCCAACGGCTCATCATATGACCCTCGAGTCCATCAGTCGAAGGATGGAATTGCGACATTGATGTAGGAGGTGGCGATTCGTTGCCAGAAAGTAGAACCACACGGTTGGATGAGAGGAAGAGAAGTGGGATTGAGTTTGAAGCTGACATGAAGGCCAGGAATTGTGTTGAGTGCACATTGGGGACACGCAGAGAGGCGTAGGTATTGAGACAGTGTCCACTCGCGCCGGCGTGGATAATGACGTCCACAGACCTGCCGAGATCCTCGCGCTGATCCGTAGTCAGTCCCAGGGTAGGGGACAGGAGACTTCCGGTGTAGCAGACCACCTTGTCGTCTTGTGGTAGAAGACTCTGTCCATCGGCCAGAACGGCAATGCAGTGTACCTTGGTAACGACATCCGAAACCATGAGTGATCGAAGGAGGTGTCCGCCAAGGAAACCAGTGGCGCCTGTCATCATCACCTCAATACCCTTCTTGTTGGGTATCTTGGGGCGTTGAGAAGAGGTCGCTTCATTGAGTTGCTTGACAAGCCATCTTGGAATTGCGGTCTCCGCCGCCCAGTCAATGTCATGCTCAGCATCAACAACAGACTGCTCCTGACGAAGCTGGTCAATGACTTGGGCCATGTCTCGCAACGTGCTCGCTTGATAAAGCACACGCGTCGAAGCCTTGACCATCATGGTCTCCCTGATTGCAGCTTGAAGCTTCATGAGCAGTATCGAGTTGCCACCGAAGGAAAAGAAATCTGATGATGGCACAATAAGACCAGAAGTGCCGGCCGCAGGGAGAACGCGCTCCCAGAGGAGGCGAAGCTCACCCTCGCGAACGGTCATTTTCTCCCGAGACGCGGACCGGGAGGCTGGTGTAGACATAGTGCTCGGGACCGCTGCAATTGCTTTCCGATCGACCTTGCCGTTGGAAGTGGTAGGGAATACTGACATGACAGTTATCGAGGCAGGGATGAAGTATTGTGGCAACTTGATGTGAGCAAGGATCTTGAACAGATCAGCATCGTCCACTGCACCATTGCCTGTAGCCAGCGTTACATGTGCAACAAGGACATCGCCGTTGACAGATACCACAGCGCCGGAGAAGAGACCCTCTGATGCTTCCATTACAGCTTTCTCAACCTCTTCCAGCTCAACACGCAGACCACGAAGCTTGACTTGAGTATCTCCATCGAGGCGACCGAGGTACAAGAGCGTGCCGTCTGTGAGAAGACGACCCTTATCACCAGTGATATACAGTCGCTCCCCGTCATCGGCAGTGATGAACTTGTGAATCGTCTCAACAGGAAGGTCGAGGTATCCTGTCGCAACACCAGCACCACCAATGCAGATCTCGCCAGTGTGCCCAACAGGTTGTGGGAAACCAGATGTGTCGAGAATGCGGATAGAGTAATTTGGCAGGGCTTTGCCAACGGAAAGGTCGCGACTGTAGTCGCCACTATCGTCCGTGACATTCATTGGAATGGTCTGGAAGGTCGCCGCAGCGGTGATTTCGGTCGGTCCGTAGCAGTTGGTGAGCTCAAGTTCTGGATGGCCGAGACGAAGGAACTCGGCTTTCAGTTGGGAAGAGACCTTCTCGCCACCCATACACGCGTGACGCCAGCCTTTGTTCTCTACGAGGGACGATGCCCCGTACCGATGCCAGGCGAGATACTCTGAGGGTGTGGCGATAGTCAACGTTACTTGCTCTCTGCTGATAAGCTTGGGTAGCTCCACGGGGTCACGTCTCAAGTCAGAGGGTGCGATGATGAGACGACCGCCATTCGCCAGGGCGCAGAAGGTCTGAATGAGAGACATGTCAAAGCCGAGGGAGCTCTGCTGGAGGACGGTTTCCTGATTGAGGCGCAGGAGATCAGCCTTGAGGGCCAAATGATTGACGAAGTTGGCCTGTGTCAGAATGATACCCTTTGGGTTTCCTGTCGAGCCACTGGTAAAAAGAAGAACAGCGGGCGCATCGGGAGTGGCTACGCAAGGGATATGGACTCCATCGTCGTTACTGATAGAGTCAACCAGTACTTCTTGGAACTGCATACCGATCTCCTTGTAAAGATCGCGAACGCGTTCTTCTGTCGCGGAGTGACAGAGTAAGATTAATGGTTGGCAACTCTTGACCATGGATGCATGCCTGGACGCAGGAAGACTGACATCCAGAGGCATATATACCGCACCAACATGAAGAATCGCCAACATGGAAACAATGAAGTCAATTGAAGGCTCGCAGAGAACCGCAATATAGGAACCCGCGGTGCATCCCCGTCGCAAAAGGGTTTCTGCCACCTGCTGAAGCCGGGCATTGAGCTCGGTGTACGTGATCTGTGTGGCCATGTCCTTCAAGGCAACTTCATTGGGGCAGAGCGAGATTATGTGCTGTAGTCGTTGGGAGAGTGTTGGGGCCCAGTCATATTTGACAGCCAAGCCATTTCCCAGCTCCATCGCCTTAGCTACCTGAGTATTGTCATGTACCGCGATGCAGTCTATACTGGAGTTTGGGCTCTCAGAGAAAAAGTCCAACAGACGTATATATGATTCGAGAATGGTACTGCAGCCTTCCTGGCTGTACAGCGACGACAAGCTGTAGAGTTCAACAACACACCCAGAAGGTGTCTCAGCAATACCGAGGCTCAGGTCGAATGGATTGTTCGCGTCCTTGACGTCGCAAATTTCCATCTTGGCGTCTCCCAGAGGCATTTCCCATATCGACCCTAAGCGGTAGTTCAACGCCGCCTGGAACAAAGGCGTGGTTCCGGCTGATCGTGGCACCTTCAGCTGGTCGAGGAGGATGTCGAACGGCACTGCTGCTTCGTTGAGGACAGTGAGGGTCTTCCGAGATGCCGTCTTGGCCATGTTGGAAAAGGTAGCTTTCTGGGACACCTGAGCGCGAACAGGAAGCATGTTGATGAAGTATCCCACTGTCTGCGCGAACTTGGGATCAGAGCGGTTGGCATCGACGATACCCACGCAAATATCCTCGGCTCCAGTATACTTGGTAAGAAGAACCTGCAGAAGTGCCAGATGGAAGTGGAATTGGCTGACACTCAGGCGCTTGCATGCTGTCTTGAGAGCTTGAAATTGCTTAAGCTTGAGTTGGCGATATTGGTGGTGGCAGTGGCTGTTCGAGTTGGCGGGACGGCTTATCACACTGGCCATGGGGAGTAAAGGTAGTGTTTCAGGAATGGTGGAAAACTCTGACTTCCAAAAAGCGATTCGTTGGCCAAAGTCTGAGCTGTTCTGGTTGTCGAGCTGGGCGGAGGAATAGTCGAGGTACGATGCAATGTTACGGTCGAGAAGCTTCATCTGGTAGGCCAGGTTGAGGTCGCGAAGGATGATGCCGAGACCAACAACATCCATCAGAATGTGGTGGTACGCAAAGAAAAGGTCATGTTCCTGTGTACCGTGGCTAATGAGTACGAGCTCGAATGTTTTGCCTTGGTGGAGATCCCAGTGACGTGTGGCAAGACGCTTCATCTCGCTGTCGACCTGCTCCTTGTCCCCCGTCTGGACATGCTTTAGTTGAACAGGCGAAGAAGCTACTATACCTTGCATAGGTTGCCCATCGCCGAGGCGGGCGAAGAAACAAGTGCGGAGCGCTTCGTGGTGATGGACCGTGGTAGAAAGCGCATGGCGGAGGCGAGTAAGGCTTACCGGGCCCTTCACCTTGTAGCGGAATACCATGTTGTAAGCGGCCAGGTCATCACTGTGCTTTGACATGAACCACATTCGAGCCTGAGCGGGTGACATGGGCTGCTCTCGGAGGAGCTCGGGAGGTGCACTTTCACCGTGAGACAGGTCTGTCTCGCCCGAGTGTTCGGATTCAACATCAATTCCTGTCACCTGTCAACAAATCAATAGCAATACTTTGGACTGGGGTTGCGTGACTTACCTCCTTGGCTCACGCTCTCTTTGTCAGAGGAGCTCGCGCTATCCGAGTCGAGGGCTAGAGCTGTGACAATCGTGCTGGACTTGGAGTCGTCCTTGACGGTATCGATCACGATTGTAGGTTGATCCGATTGAGGTAGAGCAGTTGCCTCGATAACCACCAAGGGTGAGTGAGGTCGTGAACCTCCAGGAGTGGGAGGAAACGATGACGTCGCGGATTGTGCAGAAACAGATGGATCAGCCAACGCTGGCGTAGGGGTGCGAGTGATTGCTGGAATAGACCTTTTGGCTTTGGCCTCGTCCTGCGGCTGAAGAGCTTTGGTCTCCATAATCTTGGCCATCAGCTTCTTGGTCGCAAGAGTCGATATTTGCTCAACGGTATCACCGCCAAGGATCTTGACGACGGGAATATCAGCGCCGAGCTCCTTGAGGAACCAAGTGCGGATCTCAACAGCAACCAGAGAGTCAATTCCCAGGTCAATGATAGGACGAGAGACGTTGACGCTGTCAGCGGCTAGCTGTAGCATGGTCGTGAGCTTTCCACAGAAAGCATTCATGACAGCAGCGACGGCTTCCTCATGGTTGTTAGCCTCTTCGACACACTGCCTGATGTTTCCAGCACCGCCGGACCCATCGCGCTCTTGTTGAGAATGGACCGAGGTAGGAGGGGCAAAGTGGGCGAAGCGAGGATCCTTCATCCAAAGAGGCTGCTGATCAAGAGGCATAGGCTCGTACAGGGGCTCGATGCCCATGATGATCTCGTGGCTCCCTGTTTCGGTGCCTATCTTGCCACCCCGAATGGCCTCCATGAAGGCATGATGGACGTCTGTCTCGGACGTGGGCATTAGGCGGACCTTGCGGAAGTGAGAGTCGAGCTGCCGATCGCGCTCTTGTCGAGTGACGTATCCGACATCAGTGACGTAGGCAATATGGATGATGGAAGCCGCGAGACCACGAGCGCGACGCTGTTGAATCAGGCTGGCCATGAAGAGGTTGGCGGCGTGGTAGTTGGACTGTCCAACATTACCGATGACCGAAGCGACAGAGCCAAGACAAATGAAAAAGTCGAGCTTGGAGTCGCCAAAGACACTATCGAGATGTTCAGAGCCGAGGACCTTGGCGGCTAGGGTGTTGTTCAACTGCTCGGCATCCATATCGACGAAGAATCCGTCCTCGAGCACCATGGCCGCATTGCAGACACCAGCAATAGGAGGCATGGTGGCTTCAACCTCTCGCACCACAGCTTTAACAGACTCTTCCTTGGTCAAGTCCATGGGCATGACCTTAACGTTGGCGCCGACACGACGAGCTTCCTCGAGGGTGGCTTCTTGAAGCTTGGGGTTGCGACTGGTGATGATTATGTTCTTGGCTCCGTTGCGGATCATCCATTCACAGATAGACAGGCCGAGACCACCAGCCATGCCGGCCATGAAGTAACTCACATCAGGCTTGAACAGAGTTTGAGGTTCCAGGGGCTTGACAGTGAGAGTGATGGCATCGCGCTTGGTCCAGTCGGTGACGAAGTGCTTAGTAGCAAGGGTAGTGGCATTAGCGCCCGCAAGATCGGAAGCAGAGAGAATCTCGGGCTCAAGGATCTGGCCAGTGCAAGTTGCTTTGGCACACTCTTGAATGAATGTAGCGTAGCTCAGATTGGAGTCGCTAAGAGCAGCAGAAACGAGCCCAGCACCAAGCTGATAAGACCTGCAGTCTTTTGGAACCGATGCTTTCAACGTCGAAGCCAGAGCCGAGACACCGTTGGAGCAATCCACAAAGACAGCAGCGTCACGAGGTATGGCTCTCTCGATTGAACGCCTAGACGCCAGGGAATGAAATTTGATCCAGTCTTCGGGTGCAGATGTTCTCGAGGTAGCGAATTGAGCCCTGATGTTCTTCTTCTCGAGCTCGGCGGCGGCGACACGTGCAAATGCCTCCTCCGCCTCGTAGAAGAGAACAGATTCTCCAGCAGCTGTAACCGCAGCGATTGAGCGAGCTAATAACGTGATGGCCAGAGACGCAAGATTCTTAGATGTACCAGACTCCTCAGTCACGATGACGATGTCTTCCGAGTCAAGGTATACGACGGAGCTGTTGGTGTGCGACAATGCCAGAACCCAGGAAGCTTCCATCTTGCCGAACGTCAAGTAAATGCTGCTCGAGTCGAAACCAGGGATATGTAGAGTGGAATGAACGTCAATCTGGACACGGCTGACTGTATCGGTGGGCTTGTCAATAGATTGAAGTGTCATCTTGCCATGGATAATTGCAGCTTCCACAGCAATATCCTTCGCATTTACAGTCTTGCTGATGGAACGCTTCGAAGCATTGTACATCTCATTCAGCTCAGCGTCCGGGATGACACGAGGAATGATGGTCTGACCGTCGGCGGATATCTCCAGTTCCGGCTCCTGAGCCCAGAGGATCTCGCGACTCATCGACGCCTCCTCCATCTGGATCAAGCGCAGGAAAGCCTCCACGGTGTGCATAGCGGCAACAGCCGGGCCATGCTCGGTAGAAAGGCCGAGCAACTGCACATTGAGATGCGGCAGTTCGGCTGGGACTACACGAGTGATACCCTGGATGAGACTGGCGCGAGGAGCGTGAGACTTGCCCGCTGTGGTGACCCAGAGCATGTTCCTGGAATTTATCAACAGGCTCTGCAGGCTGTTCAATCGACTCTGGGTCAGGGTAGTGGCAAAAGCAGACTCGTCGGCATCCTGGAGGATGATTGTGTCTATGCGAGGTGGCAGCTTGCTTGGATCGATCTTGTCAATGCTCTCAACAATCTGAAGCTGTCGCTGCCAAGATCTGGGAAGAAGCTTCTTAACCTCAGAAATAACCTTGTTGGTCCAGAACTTCTTCCCGCCGATAATTAAGAGAGGTTCAGAGGGAGGCGAGAAATCGGACTTGTATGACAACGGCTCACGGAGGCGAAGGAAGTCATCATCAACGACCTGGCTGACAATGAGCGAAGTGCAGTGCTTTCTCTCGTCCGGGAGATCGTAGACGACTGTATCAGCGCCCGAGAAGCCAGTCTCCTGAAGAACGCTGTCCCACTCCACGGCGGTAACGAGGGGTGTGAGGCGGCGACCGTCATCTCCACCAAGCCACCAACCCTCAAGACCGCCCATGATGAAGGTAGCACGGACACTGGTGATGCCAGTCAGCTCCAAAAGCACGAGATAACCGCCGGGCTTCAGCAGTTTGCGAGTGTTGCGCAGTGTTCTCTTGAGGTCGTGCGTTGCGTGGAGGACCAAAGCGGCCACGACGATATCGTATGAACCCTCCTCAAAGCCTTGGTCGGCAGGCTCGTTCTCCACGTTGAGAACCTTGAAGGCCATTTTATGCGCAAAGTCTGAGAATTTCTCTGCGGCATTGGGAAAGAAACCAGACGATATATCGGTGTATGTGTATGAGTCGTACGCATCTTGGATGGCGTTGAGGATACTCCATGAAGTTCCACCTGTTCCGGCACCGATCTCGATGATCTTGGCACGAGGGAACTTGAAGGTGAGCTGCTTCATGACGTCGCTAACAAATCCATTGGTCGGAATACTGGCGTATCCTTCCATGTAAAAGCGGTTGAGCATGTCGTCCTTGGTCATGACCTCGAGAAGCTGCTCGTTTCCACGGACCACCTCGGCGAGGTGACCGCCAACGGCGTGGAGAAGCTTGATGTCGATCTCGTCACCGTAGTTGGCGTCGATCTCTTCCAGGACAGAAGGCTCATCGTTGAGCCACTCAGGCTTTATGATGGGATGCTCCCCGGCGGCAACAACGCGAATGTGCTCCTCGAATGCCTCGAACATGCGCTGGTGATACCAGATAAAATCGAGGCGCTCCGAGGAGGGGATTTGGTCAACGATGCGCTTGACGTAGAACATGGCCAAACGCTCAACTGCGTCAGCCATCTTCATACCCCTTGCGTCCTGGACCTCGTTGCGCTCAGGATCGACGAGACCGAGCGATGCATCGTTGCCCCAGATAGTCTTGGAGAACATGGATCGGTCACTGGTAGCTTGAGAAGCACCAACCATGTTGACGGCCAGACCCTCCACCTGCAGAAAGGTCGAACCAGATGCGGCGTCGTAGATGTTCAAGTCACCACGGAGGGATGTAGCCGTCTGTGACACGGCCCACGTCTCGATCTCAGCCTTGGAGGGCGTTCCGGAGCGAGATTGGACGATCTGAACAGATGGATCGACGCGTACACGATCGATGTGAGAGGGCAGCAGAGCAGAGGTAATCTGTTTGCTAGCAGGGTGAGCTTTTGCGACGAACAAGGTCTGGAAAGCAACATCAAGAATCGCAGGGTGCAGCATGTACTCGTCGCTGAGGGAGTCGTCTTCCCAAGTACCCGTAGTGCTGGCATAGTTCAGGCAGCGGCTGATCTCGGTGATGCTTTTGAAGGCGCCAGTGTAGTTGAGGCCGATGCCCTTGAACAGAGAGTAGACCTGCTCGGTGTTGATCTTGGCAAGATTGGGAGGCGTCTGATCCTTGGCTGGTAGAATGTCGCCCTCCACAGCGTCGTTGACCTTGATGTGAACTGTCAGATCGCCCTTGCATGTCTGGAGCATAGATCCGACTGTCTCGTCAGGACAAACGTAATACGAGAACTGAGCCCTGATGGCACCCTTTGCCCTCTCAACCAGATTAGCAGTAAACAGAGTTTCAACACCGACATTATTGTCAGGTACAACAACAGGACGAAGAATCTGGATGTTCTCAACCTCCACAAGACTCATAATCTTGCCAGCATCAGCAGCGAGATGTTTGCCAGCTTCGACAGCAATTGAGACATACGAAGCACCCGGGAGCAAAACCTCCTCCAGGACTTCGTGGCCGCGTAGCCACGGCATCTCACTGAGCTTGAGGACGTTGCGCCAGCGCATCTCAAACTCGTTGTCATCGAGAGTGCGGCGGCCTAGAAGCTCGTGGCTTCTATCCTTGCCCAGACGGAAACGGCGAGACAGGCGACCTTCACGCCAGTAGACCTTGTCATGGTCCCAGGAGTATGTAGGCAGATCCTTGATCATCTTGACCACCGGAGCTTTGCCGGACTCATAGAAGGCATTGCGGTAGCCAGTAAAGTCGACGAAGCTGGGCCCGAGCTGAGCCCAAGCAAGACCAATAGCGGCAGAGAATGAAACATCGCCCGTCTTGTTTCGGTCTAGCACGCCAGTATAGATCGGAACGGAACCATAAGAAGCCTTCATGGTCTGCTCGGTAGGGCCCTTGAGAGCAGGGTGAGGACCGACCTCCACAATGAGGTCGTAGGGGCCGCCGTGCCAAATAGAAGACTCAATAGCCTGCGAGAAAAGCACGGTACGTACCATGTTGTCCACCCAGTATTGGCCCTTGAGACTGCTGAGGTCGCCACGCAGGAGCTGCGTATCGCCGCGGACACTGGAGTTCCAGACACACTGACCTCTCTGAGGCTGCTTGACCTCGATGTCACAGGCTAGCAGGTCCTTCAGGTAAGGCTCAGCGCAAGGCAACATGTGGTGTGAGTGATAGGCCGTATCAACCCTGAGCTGACGAGCAAAGACATTGTCCTTGTCAAGCTCCTCCTTCGCCGCGGTGATAGCATCCAAGTCACCAGATAATGTCACGGTGCGAGGAGCATTGCATGCAGCGACACTGATACGTCCCTTGAACTCTGGACGTGCAATGAACTCTCTCGCTTGCAGTAGAGACATACCAGCAGCCATCATGCCACCAAGCTTACCCTCACTACCGCAGGCAAGTTTAGCATGGAGTCCACGGTAGTAGGAGATCTGCATCGCGCCCTTGAGTGTTAGTATCCCGGCGGCATAGGTCGCGCCAATCTCGCCCGAGGAGTGGCCAACGACGGCATCAAACTTGATACCAGCCTCAGTGAGCAGGTTGACCAGAGCCAACTGAACAGCCGTACAGAGTGGCTGGGAAATAACGGCCTCGGCGATGCGGGAGGTAGAGGCGTCGGCGGTGAGTTCCTTGACGAGAGACCATTCGGGACGGTCCTTCTCGGGCAGTTCGGTGAGTACAGTTTCGCACTCGTGGATTGTGCGTCGGAAGACGGGGGAGCTCTGAATAAGTTCACGGCCCATAGACGGCCATTGAGCACCCTGACCAGTGAAGACAGCCAAGATGCCCGATCTCTCGCGAGAGTTTACCAGCTTTGGGACATGGCCGATGTTGTCCCCGGTGGCTTTTGCGTGCTTGTCGAGGAAGTCAGCCATGTCAGCCAAGATAGCCTCTCGAGATGTGCCGGAGAAGTGGGCACGGACACGATGTGTCGAACGTTTGCTCTGCAAGACGGAGCTCAAAGCAGCAATATCGATGGAAGCGTTTGCTTGGATGTGGTCCATGTAATCTTTGACTGTCTGCATTAGGGAGCGACCTGACTTTGCGGACAAGACAAGAGGACCCAGAATGCCCTCATCGGCGCCATACTGAGGTTTCTCGGTGGAAGCATCCTCGTAACTCTCGATGATGGCATGGGCGTTGGTACCACCGAAACCAAAGCTGTTCACACTCGCACGAGCTGGAACACCGGCTGGAATATCAGGCCACGGGATGGCAGTGGTTGGGATCTGTAGAGGCCCATAGAAGGGAGCAACGGAAGGGTTGAGCTCGTTGAAGAGCAGATTGGGAGGGATGACGCGGTACTTGATGGCTAGCAATACCTTGATCAGACCAGCAATACCTGCGCCTCCCTCAAGATGTCCAATGATGGTCTTGACGGACCCAACATAGAGAGGATTCTCGGGAGAAAGGTCACCGCCAGTGAAGGCATCGCTGATTGCACGCGCCTCGACAGGGTCACCAGCGGGAGTACCTGTACCATGGCACTCAAAGTATTGAGGAGGGTCCTTCTTAGGATCTAGTCCTGCTCGGGCATATGTCTTGCGAATGAGGGCAGTCTGGGCGGGAGCAAAAGGCATGGTGATGCCTGGACTCTGACCGTCAGAGTTGACACCTGTACTGCGGATTACAGCCTCAATATGATCGCCGTCCTTGAGAGCCTTGCTCAAAGTCTTGAGCAGCACAGCACCTGCGCCCTCACCACGGGCATAGCCGTTAGCGTCCTTGTCCCACATGCGGGATCGCGAGTCTGGCGACAGCATGTGAAGCTTGGATTCGTTGATATAAGGGGCTGGGTCGAGAATAAGATTGACACCGGCTACAACCGCGCTCTCACAATCGCCGTTTAGAAGTCCCAGAGCCGCGTTGTGGACAGCAACAAGGGAGCTTGAGCAGGCTGTATCGATGGTCTCGGAAGGACCTTTGAGGTCAAATACGTAAGAAATACGGTTTGACATGATACTGTTGGCGGAGCCAGTAGCGTTGTACTTTGCCGTAGTCTCTGTGTCGCGGGCTTGAATGTTGGCCCAGTCAGAAGTCATTACACCAACGTGTACAGACGTGAGTGAACCCCTAAGCTGCTCCAGAGTCATGCCAGCAGACTCGAACGCTTCGTATGTTGTCTCAAGCAGAATACGCTGCTGCGGGTCCATGCCCGTAGCTTCCAAAGGGCTGATGCCAAAAAAGGCGGCATCAAAGAGCCTGGTGTCTTCCTCTAGCAGGTAAGACTTGTTGGCCACATCAGTGGAACCATGTGTGTCGCCATCCTTGTGGTAGAACCTTTCAAGGTTGAGCCTTTCGGCATCAAAGTCCTTCACCACATCACGAGGCTGGCGGAGGAGCTCCCATAGCTTGGAGGGAGAGCTAGAGGTGCCTGGAAATCTGCACGCTGAGCCAACGATTGCAATTGGCTCTCGGAACTGACACTCTTCTTGGGTGTTGGTGGAGGACATAATAGGTGATGAATGCGAGTGCAGAAGAAAATGACAGACAAGTGTTGAATCAGGCTTGAGGAGACAGTTGATGTGTCAAGAAAGGGGCTTTTAGGTGATGTGATGTGGATGTTGGGTAGTATTAAATGAGTAAGAAATAAGTCATAACTCTTCTCATTCTACCAATTTGCATTCAAAGTTTAAGAGGGTTCCGAGAGGCAATTGTTGACCAAAGTTCCCATGGTTGATCTACCTTGGTATCGTAATCCCTGACCCTACATGTGAGTCTAGCATGTTCACGATCAACAGTCACACTTGATTAACAGGTTCGGAGTTCAGCCGCGGCCTAGATCAGTCTCCGATGCTCGATTGCAGGTATGAGCTATCGGTGCCGAGGCCCCGTCAGCAGCCACTATCTCCCAATTCCAAGTAATATCAATTGAGATTTCGTATCATAGCCGGATATCCTGTTCTGCAGGGATTTTCGGTAATCTGAGAACGCCGCGCTGGGTCGAAGCTTGCACCCCTCTGCATCTCAGTTCCCCTTGCGTGGCAAGGCGAACCATCGTCCTCCAATGTTATCAGAAACTCTCACCCATGGCGGTGCCACTAACGTACTATGCATATTCCGAGATGCGACATAAGGGAATCTGCATGGCGTGGGGTGGATGAAAATATGCCTAGAAGGGGTCTATCAGTGTGATACCACGTTGTCAAATGCCGTACCGCTAAGCTCGTATAGGCAGGCAAAATGGATACGGGCTCTGTGTGAGACCCCAGATCCACCACGCCCCCTCCATGACAAGATGACAAGATCCATAACAGGGGGCAGAAGGATTCTCCGAAATCAAAATAGCGCCCATGCCCGCTAGTTCGAGGCTGGTCTGTGACATGGCCAAGTGCTGACAGGGATAAGCACTCGGTACCTCGATTCTCATCCTGGACATGGCAGATGGTCAATAGGATATCTGACGCGACTTAGGAGCATCGACTAGACGGGTAATTATCGTCAAGAATTATCCAAATTAATGACTGGGAAAATTCGAAATCTACAGGTTTACATGTAGCTCACCCGACTCAGCTTCCATTCCGTCAAGATCAAAGATTAAGCCCAAGTCCAACTTCTTGACTCATCTATTGCGCGTTCGTCCGCAGCACATCACCATCTGTCTCCCCAATTTCCGTTCCTAATCATCACTTTTGTCATGGCTGTCGTAAACTCCCTCCCTACTTGCCAAAGCGCTCTCAAGATTCAAGGCCCCAACGCTCTAGCAGTCGTTTCAGATGCTCCACTACCCAACATAGAGCCAAACGACGTGCTCGTCCGCGTGGTTGCTGTGTCTATCAACCCTGTGGATGGCAAGGCCGCTGACATGTCACCCCAAGTCGGTGCTACCAGCGGAACCGACTTCTCTGGTGTCATTGTAGCTCTGGGTTCAGATGTCACAGCTGACTCGTGGAGGGTTGAAAGTGGAATGAAGCCCGTCAATGTTGGCGATCGCGTTTTTGGTGGTACTTTTGGGAACAATCCTCTGAGACCTCATAATGGTGCTTTTGCCGACTATGTTGCCGTCCCAGCTCGTCTCATCTGGCATGTGCCAGACGGTATGGATCTTCCCACGGCTGCTACTCTTGGTGCTGCTTTGGCTACCGTTGGTCTGTCGCTTTTCAATTATCTTGAACTGCCTCTGCCCTACAGTAAAGACTCGAGCAAGAAGCCCACTGTTTTGGTCTACGGCGGTGGTACCGCAACTGGGGCTATGGCTTTGCAAGTTCTGAAAGAAGCTGGTATTGATGCCATCACTACTTGCTCCCCCAACGCCGCTCCCAATGCCACCCGTCTTGGGGCAAAGGCATGGTTCAACTACAAGTCACCCACTTGCGGTGCTGATATTCGCGAGCACACCAACGACAGCCTCGCCTACGCACTGGATTGTATCACCGACACTTCTTCCATGGCCATCTGTTACGAGGCTCTTGGGTCTTCGGGTGGCAGATATGTTGCCCTAGATGCCTTTCCTGTGCGTGGACATACTCGACGTAGCGTTGTCCCTGAGTGGGTATGCACCCCTACTCAATTCGGCCATGCAATCCAGTGGACGGCTCCTTATGACCTTGAGGCGCGTCCTCGAGATCTTGAGTGTGCGCAGGAGTGGTATGTTGTCGCCCAACAACTTGTTGATGGTGGACATATTGAACCACCAGAGGTAGAAGAACGAGATGGGGGTCTGGCTGCCGTGTCAGAGGGTGTGGAGGAAGTTCGAAGGGGGTTGATCAAGGGACGCAGACTCGTGTATCCTATCACATCTAGTATTACTGTGTAATATCCTCGGGGAGAGCATGCGGTTAAACGATGAATTGTGATCTCTTAGTATTTACGAGGCCGTGATGATTTTAGACCAAGATGATTTATTTTATAAATAAACCTCACATCTAATACCATGGGAACTGCTCCTTCGGCACTCATAAACTAACAGCCTTAATTACCAACATTTCAACCGTAACGTCTTTGAGTATCACCGTATCGGCGGTAAATGCAAAGTATGAACTTTCCCCTTCTGTGTTCTTTCTAGCCAAAAGCTCTCCAAGGCACATTCCTCGAATTTGCCGAATATTGAGACCATCAACGAGTAGTGCATCTTCCCGGATTGGGAAATAGAGTAGCTTTTCAGTTAGATTATATCCTCCAGGCAATCGCTTTTATCACTAGCCAATCTGTTTTTCGCCCTCTTAGAATCCTCTTCCTGCTTCGTCGTAGTCAAGTGCATGGTATATCAGATAACTTCGAGGACCCCTGGATACAATATTTTGACTGTGCAAGCATACCACAGTCATCTAATCAGGACAACTACCCCGGGGGTGACAAATAAAGTCAGCTTGAAAGTCTTTGTATAATCACTCAGTGACACGGACTATCATCACAAAGGTCTCTAATCCCCTAGTGATTAGCATGGGACCATTATCCGGGCTGACTATGACTTATCACATTATCATAGGTCTCTCTGGGAAGCGATCAAAAGCTAATTCCACAATACTACCCTTTTTATCTTGTCTCCCCTACACCTCTTACAGATGGAGTTAAAATAAGCTCTTCTCATGATCCACAAACGGAGTCCTTTTACAGGACGGATTATTCAGTATCAAGACTAGACACCACCTTGCATCGGAGAACTCACCTTTTACTAAACCCGGACTCCATACCAACACCTCACGATGTCCCCGCATCACACATACCGTCCCTGTCGTTTCCCACCTCATTCACAGCTGTGGTCTTGATCACGCGACTTTGGGTAGTGATATCCGAGCCCTAGTGTGGACTGCGCGGTTTTGGGTCGGCCGCCCGGATTGCGGGTGTGTGCACAGGATGCCTTTCCTGGTTTCATGCTACGCCTTCGCCTACAGTGGTGCTAACATGTATCAATTGGCTGGAATCCTACGGTTGGTAATGTTGGCTCGGACTTTGACGTAAAGTAAGCTGTGTGGGGCTTTCAAAGTCCGATGTCCGTCGCTTAAAATCCCGGATGATCAAAATCTTGCACTCTACTGCGTGTATTTATGCTCTATCTCCCCTCCACCCGTATCCTTCGGTCTCGACTTCTAAGAGTCGCCTTACCTGCAGGTACATACTCATCTAAAAATGCTCTACTACAATACAGGCATAATTCGTTATGGGTCATCCCATCCTCCACGTTTGACGCTCCAACTTTATCTACCTTCAAGGACTTCAAAGCACACGCTAGTTACACCGTCTACGGCTCGAGCGATCGTCTCGTCAACATCCTGTGGCAAAATATCATCAAGTACAGCATTGATATAAGCTTCAGCAGCTGCCAGAAACAATAATTCCCTCCTCCCATGAGCGGCCGATGATACCCTCACTCGACGCTCGTACACCAAGATGCTATCATAAATGACACTATGGATCGCCTTCCAAGAAGCGCCGTTGCTGGCACAGAACGCTCCATCTTCTAGCTCGCTGATAAGATCCGAACACAATGACACCGCTGCTTGTTTCTGAACTCGACTAAGATATCCACGGCCATGGACCCGAAGCGACACGCAAGCATCGGCATGATTCTCCACCAGAGCCAACCGTGGTCCTTCATCTTCATTAGTGGTTGCTAGTGCCAGGCTGGGGGGCCAGCGGAGGACTTGTACAGCAGCTTCCATGCGAAATTTGCGTGAATAGTGGAAGGAATGGCAGGTAGCCTGTTCGGCAAACGGTGAATGAAGCGCGCGGACAAATTGCCAGGTGTAGATTTGGAGCAGTTGAAGTTGAAATTCGGAGGGTCTTGTGTCCATACGACGTAGAGCCTTTATGTTTGCAGTCTGGGACGAGTTGAGCTCAGAAGCAAGACAATGGCTATTATCGAATGACTTGGATGCTCCAGGTGAGTTGACGAGGTGCAGACACTGAAGACGCAAGTGTTGGGTCCGCGATAGGAGGACCAAGATCGTGGAAGCCGTTAGGCCTTGAAGCTCTTGCCGCGAAGCTCCCGGTGTATTATCGCTTTCAAGCTCTTCGTCGGTTATATCCGAGGGTGGCTTGCAATCAAAACTCCCCGGCGACAGCGAAGACGGTAGCCCTTCATCGAGACTGTGTTGCAGTGATAACTCTACCATCGTCGCCCACAGACGACGGCGCGTTTCAACTTCACACATGCGCATTCCTGGTGTCCGGATGAGAGGGTCACGATGGAAGCCCATTTGCATACCTATCCTGGCAAGGTCGAAATCACCAGGGTGTACCAGTACGCCTTTCGAACGCTCAACGTCGTCGTGTACATGGCGTATAAGCGCTAGCAAACAGAGCACCTGAGCGGTACTGGAATCTGTGCGCTGGGCCATGCCAAGGCGACGTGTGAGCCATCGTTTACCGTATGAGATCCAAGTGAGGGACTGTTTTTGAAGATATGCGACGTCTTCGGTCGGATTGGCAGATGATGGGGTGAACGCGTCACCAGGGCTGACAACGACGGTAGAGCCAAGAGCAAGTATCACGACAAGTTTGCATAGTAGCGGCTCATCCGTCTCAGTAGCCCGAAACATCATAGGCTGTCGCCAGAAGTGCTCGTATTCGCGAACAAAAGATGGCACATGCAAGATACGAAACACCGTCTCAAAGGTGTTGATGTAAGCGTCGACAAGCACGTCGCAGGTCGACCGAGCTGGAAGAATGTTACGAGCAGCCCCAAGCGCGTATGCCGCGGATGAGATTTCGTCTCTCTTCTGTATTTGGTGCTGCTCTAGCTCACGAAAGCGCTCCATCTGCAGCCTAAACCTCTCCTGCTCAGGTCGGAAGGCATCAACGCCTCCAAAGCCATAAGCCAGGAACTGAAGCTTTTGTTGTTTTTGCACAGCCTGCAGCCAGTAGTCTTGGTCCTCGTCTGACATTGGACAAAATAGTAAGTCCGTTCTTGGAGGTTCAAGACCCGATACTAAGGACAAGCAGGATTCAGATCCAAAAGAAGGGGAGTGGCCACCTCGACTCGATGCAGATCGGGAGTATGTGCTTCCACCAGAAGACACTGAGGTGCCATGAGTCAAGGCGGGTGATTCTATGAATACAGTGGGTAGAGGATGCCCCGTGATCATAGGCATATCGGGAATAGGAAAGTATGAGGCCAGGTTGCTTTCAATAGCATGATGATAGTCAGCGAACTGTTGCGGGGCAGCATCCACACCAAACAGTTCGAGACCATGGGCATAATCGTTGGGGGTCGTCTTAAACAACGATTGGTTGGTCTCCTGCTGAGAAAAAGACTCAGACGGCTGTGGAGGTTTCGGCCGGCTCTCGAAGAACGGGGTTGGGCTGTATTCGCACTGACGGGTCGGAGGTCTGCTACAAGGTCCACACGGAACGGCACCATCACAGCGAACTTTCCGGCTCCGACATTGATTGCAAGCCGTAGCAGGCCTTCGTCTCCTCCATGGTGGACCGAGATCCATACTTTGCAGCCTTTTCGGGTGCGGTGTTATTGTGAAGGGTTGAGGGACACGGAGAATTGGTGTGGCCACTGCGTGGTGTTGCAGTCCAGTCCGCTAACAAACCAGGACTATGGGCCGCGTTGAAACCTCAGCGGCCAAGATGCACAATCAACCTAAGCCGGAGTTCATGCTGTAGAGGCGGGGTCTTTAAACCAGAGGTCCCGACGAAGAGTACTGTGGAGATCCGCGCGTAAATGATGGTACTCGTATGTTTTCTTTTGCCGCTGCTAGGAAGGAATAAGAAGGTTGAAGGGTCGTTTATTATGGAGATAACTCTAACGGCTAGTAGATACGGCAGTGCCATTTCTGAAGTGGTATGGGAGCACTGAATTGGGAAAATCGTATAGAATGTTTAGGGAGATTGGCCATGCAGTATCTAGCGAAAACCAGCATAAAGTTCTGACATCTGCGCGGGCAAGGCTCTCATCAAACAAACCATGCCGAAAATACTCCACAAGGCGTGATGAATCCCAGTCGAAATAGTAGTCCACTTGGTATACTACATTGATCTCCTGGGAAGACGGGGTTTCTAAATTCCAATCCACACCCTTCCTTATTCAATTGGCGGAGAGGCCTCGTCAATTGACTTTACGGCTTACTTAAAGAGGCAACTTCTAGGGTTACTATTTATACAAAAGTCCCGTCATACTATATTGATGAGTCTACAAGTAGTAAGACGTATAAAAGTTATGTCTGTATTCTGCTAGTCTGATGCGAAGGATCAGAAACTTAAGTGGCTGAGAACTCAGATGGCTTGGCTACTGCATTGACTCATGCATATGTGTGCGCCATGTGTTACCTGAGTCGATATGATGTTTGAGGAATGCTGATTATTATAATACCACCCAAACGTATGTATGATAGGTACTGCTAATAATGCAACTGAATCCTTCGAAAGCAAGCCAAGTGCTGCCTTGAACACGTGCAAGCGCTGATCGGTTCTTGCTATGTGACAGCCAATCAATGAGATTAAGAATGTTTCCAATGAGATTGGCAGAGGGGCATGTCTGAGATACCCATGAGAAGGCTGCTCAGCTATATTAATATGGTTAGACTAAAATCATCCTGTTTTCTAAATGGCTAGAATTCGAGCGAGCAGCCCCATTACTTACCCCGCCAAGCTAATTTATGGCCAATCAATCACTCGTCATTTTATACCTCCGTTCTAGGACAAGACCTGAGACCTGAAGGATTCGCTGTCACTTGGCTAACTTGACGCAGCAAGAACTGCATACAAATGCATGGGGTGATACAGAAGGATGAGATAATGCCGAGACTAAACCAGCTGCAGCCCGCTGTGGACCTGTGGCCGGGGGGATCGGTGTGAAGTCCCCCTACCCGTTATCACTGAGATCCAAGTTGGGGCCCAAAACTGCCTGCATGTTGACGCAAGCTCGCGGCTGAGGCATCCCTGTGGCCCGGAGAGCTTGGTTGAGCTCGGTCCCGATAGGACGGTTGATCCCAACAGGGCGATTAACGAAATGAGTCGATTGAGTAGGCGCAATATTTCTCGCGCACAGGGGTCGACAGGGAGGCTCGCATTCGTGAGTCGGCGAAGGCCGGCATTTGCTACGAAAATGTCAGTTGCAATATTCGCTAGGGCCAGGACGATCTGGTGAGTTCGGGACAATGATGTGTTGTCTGGATCAGTTGTTGAAACGTAAGTAATTAGCTATAGGGGCATAGTAGTGATTAAAATAACGGATTAGCATTCTTAGTTAGTACGAGTAGTATTCCCTTTGAATGACATACCTATGTCATGAGAATAAAATAACTAGTGTCTCGGAAAATTTGTAGCTGAGATGTATTATTGAGCCGGAGCTACCCTACATATACGAGGAGTAACACAGACATCCTGACTAGATGAACTTCGGATAAAACTTGTAGAATCAGCTAATAAAATAAGCCTTAAATAAGAGTAGCGTACAGCATTAAAAAGAAGGGAGAGTTGAAAGAGGAGGGAGAGACCACACAAAATCAACCAATCCATACAATCAACAAACTCAGTAAAAGCTACGGAACATTTCACGCGCCGGTTTAATGACATTTGTGGTTCAAATCAATCTCAGTTATTAAATGATCCCTGAGTATTTTAAATGTAGTTTGACATTCTTTCTCCAGTAGACTAGATCTCCACAACTTCCCGTTATTGTTCTTGTCCTACTTATACAACGCGATCTTAGTGCCAGTCTTATTAGATGGCCCAATACGCATAACAGGCGTATAAGGCGCTGAGTCGCGCGACTCAATACGGCTAAACTTCTGCGCCATGCGATACAGCATATAGCCAGCCTCGGTCTGAACCATCATCTGCGCTGGGCAGCGACGAGGACCACCACCAAAGGGCAGGAAGTCCCATGTTCCACGCAGACCATCGTGTCGCTCAGGGTGGAACTCATCAGCGTCCGGGCCCCAGATGTCAGGGTCACGATACATGACTGTCTTTGTGACGGAGACGAGATCGCCCTTGCGCACCTGCATAGGTAGCTTACCATGGGGACCGCCTCCCACAGGGAGGGTGGAGTCGTTAAGGGCGGCGCGGACCTGAACAACGTTGTTGGGGGTAAGGCGGTGAGCTAGATTGTCAGTGTGTGCTTGTGTAATAACTCAGCCGGGAAGACTTACTCTCGTTCATCACACCGTTGAGATAAGTCATGCGGCGGAGTGACTCAAAAGTCGGCTGCTCTGTACCGCAGGAAGCCACTTCCTCGCGGAGCTTCTTCCATGCCTCGGGATGACGGGCCAAGTGCCACAAGCAGTTGCTAATAAAGATGGAAGTGGTGTCATTGTTAGGAACAAACACAAGGCAAAGCTGCGACCTGAGCTCCTCTTCCTCGGGCACATTCGATGCCATAAACCACAGCAGATCAGTACGCTCAGGACCGACCTCCTTACCCTCGGCGACGAGTGTTTTACGCTCCTCAATCTCGGCGTAGGTGCTGCGGATGTGCACATTGACAAAGTCGTGTACCTTGTACACGGCTTCGAGCCACCAGTTCCAATTGAAGGCCCAGAGGAAGCGGTAAAATTGGATGCGGAGACGGCCGCCGCGGAGGACTGTGAGCATAGACCAGGTGATGTCTGCGCGATCAGGGTGGTCCATGGAATTCATGGACTCGCCGAATATGAATTCACTGGTAAGATCAAGGAACTAAGCATGTTAAAAAGAGATCTTGTGGGATGCCGATGAGAGACTTACCCATCGTTGGATTAGAGGCTGCGCATCGAACTCGACGCCGTCTTCCTCAGGAAGCAGCGCCATAAACCTGTCAACGTAAGGGCGGACGCGATCAATACTGGCGTAGACCTCACGGTAGAAGAAGGGTTTGACGAGGAAGCGTGCAAACTCCCAGTTCTTGCCATCAGTGGTACTAATGCCTTTATCCGCGAAGGGCATAGCACCCTTTGTCTTACGTCGCATCGGCTCCAGGCCGAAATCCTTGAAATTGGTTGCCTGAATGGCCTTTAGGTTCTCACTTTCAATGGTGCATATCTGACGAATACCAAAGAAGTTGATTGAGAAGGTCTTTGGCCTGTTGCGGTGGAGGCGACGCAGCCAGTCGAGGTAGTAGTCATTCTTGAGGGCTTTGACTTGACCGTAGACCATGTCAAGACCATAGAAGGGGTCCCATTGAAAGACACGGGACGTAGATACGCCTTTCTTTGCAGCCTCTTCAGAATTAAGACCACTGTTGAACAAGAGGCGATTGATGAGGGTAATGAGGATGATGCTGGCGACGGCTGTAACGGGCACCTTGTGCGCCGTGGCGAGCTCGATGAGGTGGTCGAGAGATATCATGACTTCGACTCATATGACGCCAACAACTCAAGAGATTGGAACAGGTGAGCTGGGAGATGAATTTGTAGGCCAAGAAGGTAATTGATAATGAGGCTCTATCCAGCCTCTCGTAAAAACCCCGACCCAAGGGTGGGCAGATGTCAGACTCATCCTTGCGATATCTTTGAGATCTAGATGACGGTTCACTGGATTTCTGCGGGATATGCACTGTGAAATCTCACACCCCTGCTAGCATTGTTGCATGCAGCTGCACCTGCAGAAGGATTTCCCGACGAGGACTCTAGATCTGGACGTTGCAGGACAATATCGTGTGTACTGTACGCGTCCCTTCCCCTCAAAGTTGCCCTAGCGCCCTAGCTGACTCTATGTGCTAGTCTGCATTGAGACACGAGTCGCTGGTGGGCGAAGGATCAAGCTGCGTGGCCCCCTGGTGTTTTCCGAGTGGAGGCCGCTCACCTCACCTTTAGCCCTGTTGGCATCAGGGCGTTTGTGGCAGGACGGGCCGCATCTTAAGTCGCCAAAATCTAGCGCGACAAAAGAAGTGCCGCTCACTATGGATTATGGGCTGTGAGTGCCTGTACCATGTCTGTGTGTGTGCCGATATGCACACACATCGTTGCGCCATTTCCCGCGCACACCCTCAGACGCATGAGCCCCAATCCTACGCCAAGAGAATACCTACTGTACGCTGCAAGGTAACTGTGGTCACTATTGACCACGCCAGTACTGGGTGTTCTTCAAGCTGTGCTATAGGTAAGAAAATTGTTGATTCGGTTATCAAGTGATCATCCGTCTTCACGTCAATTCATTGTCAAACCAAAAGGATAGCAAAAAGATACACGGCAAAGTGAACATGTCGGCACCATCAGACACCCAGATAGCTGCCGCCAAGAAAGACCAATCGATTCAGGACAACAGCGAGCTAAAGAATTACTATGAATCATGGGATTCACGCATCGTTTACCAGGTCATCATGGGAGGCACGCAGCACTTTGGATACTGGGACGAGGACACATACTGGCCGTTCCCGTTGACGCCACAGCTGCGCCGGTAAGCATCATGAACAGCACATACTATTGCCCTTAAGCCAGCTAACCTGAGTCTTTATGTTGTACAGAATGGAGGAGAAGCTATTTGAGATTATTGATCTTCCACAAGGGTCGCAGATCCTCGATGCTGGGTGTGGTGTTGGGCATGTTACTCGCTACTTCGCTCAGCGCGGTATGCGCATGCTCGGCATCGACATCATTGACTGGCAAATTGAAGAGGCTCGCAGTGTCGCCAGCAAAGCCAAACTCAGCACAAGCCAAATGCGCATTGAAAAGATGGACTACCATCACCTCCAATCCATCCATGACGCTTCCCTCGATGGTGTCTACACTATGCAGTCAATCAGCCATGCCTACGACCCAAAGAGGGCCATAGCCGAGTTCTTTCGCGTTACTCGTCATGGAGGCCGCATCGCCATGGTTGAAGTCGAGCGTAAAGTCTCCAACACCAAAGATGACCCTAATGACCGCCTTACACAGGTTATGAAGATGGTGAATGAATACACCGTGATGCCGACTAATGAGGCCGCACACTTGGGGTATTTCGAGGACCTGCTCAAGGAAGCGGGGTTCGTAGATATCCAAGTGCGAGACTGGCAACCCAATATCATGCCTATTATTCGCATGTTCTACGCCCTCGTGGCGGTGCCGTATCACTTGCTCAGCTCGTTTGGTATTGAGAAGAATTTTATCAACATGATATGTGCTGCTAGTGCGTTCCTGGGGCAGGATCGCTGGCGGTTTATTGCTATCACAGCGACGAAGCCGGGGGCAACGATTGAGAGCGCCAAAACGAAGTGAGGTTTGGACTATTTGGGTTGCATGCTCGGGTGCTTGATTGCGGTTAAATGAGGTTCTTAACACAAATTTACCTCGATCTTATTTACTTGTCAAATTGCATAACTGTTTGTTTTCTTCCCCAATCTTGAGGCTCTGTACTTATCGTTGCTTTGTGTGGTTATCAATCCATATGGTGTAATCTTGTTCTAGGCTAGTATAGGAACGGTTTAATCTTGTCTTCCTAACGTCACCGTTACTAGGCGGGGATACGACAATGAGATCCTCAGCCTGCACTAGCGTTCTCGTATGACATGAAACAAAGGCAAACGTAATGTCAGCATGATTATTAGGGTTCATCGACTATCCCAATTTATTAGCCTTTGTAATCTGTAAAAAGTATCCCGAATTTAGACATTCGTAAATCGTCTGGGCATGTCAATGTAGCTACACGCCCTTGCCTACCCGCACACCATAATCCGATCGCATGTGGCCCACTCGGCATTCTCTTAGCACGACCCATGCAGTCCTACCAGTGGGTGTCTTGGCGACTCCAGGGCTGACGAACTGGATTGCCTAATCAGGAAGGCAAACCCCCAGAGACTTCTCCGGTACTACGCCCTGATGGTTATCGTCGAGCTGCCCAGGAAACCCAGGAAACCCAAGCAACTGATGCAGGATGAATTGAGACACTTGGGGACCTTGGAACACCAATCGTCCTGAAGTGTCAGCTTGTTCAAAGTAGGACTAGTCTCGGTATAATGACTTTTTGGGATGGAATTTCGCACCGTGGACCAAAGAGAGAGTGTCCAGTTATCATGGCTGTCAAAACTCGCTCTACAGTGCTAGGAAGCTGCCGCGAAGGAAAAGAAAAGAACGAAAGGCTACGACGCACCAAGCGAATAAAGAGAAAAGTAGTATTCTCTCGGCCCTGTCAATTACCAGCTACGATTTGGAAAAACCAACAATGAAAGAACTCATCAGCGGGACACCTCTCACGCTGCGGTGCGGCTTGACGCTGCCAAATCGTCTCGTGAAGGCATCCATGTCTGAAAACATTCATACCCTTCAATCACTACCAAATGCAAAGATTGGCAATGTTTATCGCCAGTGGGCTAAAGGTGGATGGGGTATGTTGATCACGGGTATGTTCTATGCTCATCAGAGTATCTTCTCATCACTTTACCAAATCCCCAGGTACTGACTTACATCTCTTCAAAAAGGCAATGTCCAAGTTGATGATCGGTATCTCGGCACATCCACAGATTTGGCCCTTGACTCATCACTGAGCGATGATGCCATCACTGCCTCATGGTCTACCTGGGCCCGTGAATGCAATCAGTATGGGACACCGGCGATTATGCAGCTGAACCACCCAGGAAGACAGTGTCCCATCGGCGCCGGCAAGCATAGAGTTTTGGAAAAGAATCTCGCCCCAAGCCCCGTTGGTCTCCAGATGGGGCCAGGACTACTGGCCACAGCAGTCTCTAAGCTAGCCTTTGGTATACCACGCGAAATAAGTGAGCAAGAGATTGAAGTCATCACCGAGAAGTTTGCCCAGGCGGCTGCGTTGGCGGCAAAGAGTGGCTTTGCGGGTGTCGAGATACATGCTTCACATGGATATCTGCTGGACCAATTCCTCTCCAACCAAACGAACCATAGGAGCGACAGCTATGGAGGTGACGCGGTTGGCAGGGCGAAGCTAATAACAGACATTATCCTTGCTATTCGTAAGTCTCTACCTGCTGAGTGCTGTATTGGCGTTTTGGTCAGTGGGGCGGAAGGTGAGGAGGACATGTCGGCGGCCAAGGATCGTCTCGATCAGCTGGACGCAATGGTGAACGCTGGGGTTGACTATTTACATGTCAGCGGCGGGACTTTCGAGAAACCAGCAGTGAGTCTACCCTGTTGTGAGGCACAAGTGTCTACACATGGCCCATGTTGCTTGTGTTACTGATAAGAACAACATAGATGTTTCTAGGCGCCGCCCTAGGCCATGACGAAGACAAGACAGGGAAAATGCAACCTTATTTCAAGAGCTTCTCTCGAATTGTCAAGTCTCGCTTCCCAAATGTGCCAGTCATTGTAACTGGAGGTTTCCGTGACAGAGCAAGCATTGAGACGGCTTTGTCGTCAGAGGAGAGCGATATGGTTGGCATTGCAAGGCCGGCTGCTGTCGATCCGCGCCTCCCACAGGCAATAATCTTGAACCATGTGGTTAATGACCAAGACGCTACATTCCATCATCCCAAGGTTGAGGCACCATGGATCATGCGCCAGGTGGGAGTGACAGCTCTTAATGTCCATATGGATAACGTGAGTATTATAACCCAGTAGCATAACTTCAGCTTATACATAGCAGGCCTGGTATCTCAGTCATTTGCGCAAAATGTCACAGGTCGATAAATGATGGAGTTGATTCAGCAGATTATTTTTATGTTAGTTTAGGGACAGAACTGAAAGAAACCCCTTGTCTTGAAATGTCTCATGTTGAACCAATGAGCCCTGAATCGACCTTTTAGGCATCATAGCTCGCATAGATCAGTACTTGGATATCTAAAGTGTATTGCATACATAACCTACATCTGGTTAACCAGAACGATCTACATAACCTGTTTTTAACCCAGCACTGATCAGGATTCGAGGCTTGTAACGTCGACCACGACATACCAAACTAGCCATAAAGGCTAAATGAGGTCTTTATTCTTGTGAGTTCCATGATCAATACCTAGGACCTAGGGAATAGTACTGACAAAACCATGAAGCACCCACTGATTTCAACATCTCTATGGTTATCGCTACTTATCAGTTGCTGGAATCAAGAATGATATCCATCCATACATAACCTTTAATTGACGCATAGTAGTATGGAACATGTCCAAATTTATCTTCCGCCGCCTTGTCTGCTCCAGACTCTAAGAGCATCTGCACAATCCTGAGTTTATCATTCTGTGCCGCTAGATGTAGTGGGGTCCATCTAGACTTGCCCCATCCTTTATTAACACCCGTTTTCGTGGTATCTTTCAACAGTTCTTGGACCTTGGCTTCCTCGCCGAGGAGGACAGCGAGATGAAGTGATTTTCCATGTTTCCGAAAGAGTTCGTTTGCTCCATCTTCAGAGAGGCGCTCAAGTCGCACGAGTAATTTTTCCCTCTGTTGACGTGCCAATCTCGTCTCCAATCCGTTTTCTGAGTCCAATTGGCTGGCAATCTCTTCGAACGCTCCAAGCAGGAATCTGGAACCTAGGAATACTGGTAAAGAGTTGTATCGCCTCTTCAAGTCCGCACTGATGTGGCCCCATGCGGTTTGAAGAATGGTAAAGCTGCTCGGTCTATTAGAGGACATGCAAGCTTCGAGTAATGAGTTCAGTTCCGTAGACCGTGTCACAATATCAAGATTGTCAAACGTTGCTAATCCCGTTATGTCAGCATGGCAACTAGAATGTTAAATATGTTGTCTCATACCTCCAAATGAATAAATATCACTTTTGACCGTCCAATCATTGTCCTATAGGAGTAATAAGCTTTGTGGGTAACAAACCCTTGGGTAGATACCACGTACAGGTGGTGCGTATCCTCTCGTCGCCGCCATTTTCGTGCGGGTGTCCACTATCAGTTCCTTGGACAATCCCAAGTCGCAGAGTTTCGGGATTCTAGTTCCATCACTCTGGATTTGCAGTGCAACTATTTATTATGGTTAATCAAGATACAAAGAAAGAAAACAATTGTGTTCCTCTTACTGTTCTGGGGCTTGATGTCTCGATGGAGAATACCGGGCCAGTTGTGCTCAAAGCTAAACTCAACCTCATCGAGATTTATGACGGGCTTCATCGTAAGCCCATGGTGACAATAGGCTATTGCAGCTGCCAAGAGGAAAATGAATGACCAAACTTCGCTTTCTTGTAGAGCTGCATCTTCAACCTCGGAGGCAGATCCCTCTTCAGATGTGCCCCCTAGTTCATTTGGAATGTCACCTTGTGGATAGGAGACCTCCGCATGCCCATTGCCCACCTTCTCATAATCGGACAAGTCGCTAGCATTGCAAAACTCCAGATAAAGAGTGTAGGTTTTGGCTTCTGTGTTCTCGTCGTATCCGAGATACGAGACAATATTCGGATGATTGATCTTTTGTAGTAAGTCGTGTTCTCGAAGCAGGCACGTCTGAATTCTCTTGCGCAACAACTCCACCTGCTGCATCCTTTTCTTACTTTTCATGTTTTTAACTTCTGGTATGGTGATTGTCTTTCGAAAGATCAACTATGGTGTAGTGTTAGCATGTGCTGTTGGGTATCAAAGTTAGGAGGAAAGGGTATGGGTTAAGATTACCTCAGGTCCATCTGGAGAATCATTGATATTGCGAAGAACTGCGACCTCAGAATTGCCCGCCTCGCTCAAGTTTCCCGTAAGTTCTTCGTCTTCTTCGTACAAGGACCAATCGAGACGTTTCCGATCCCATGCCAGCTGAGCTGAACTTTTGTTCTGCGCATTTCTCAAATTAACGTCTGCACCCAGCTTGATCAGCAAACTTTGCAAATCTTGATGTTGCATCTCTGTAGCATAGTGGAGCGGAGTAGACTGAGCTTTATCCCGAGCATTGAGCTCCGCACCGGCTTCGTACAAGCTGTGAACCACATCGAGATAGCCCTGGCTGTCCAAATAGTGATCATCCTGACCTTCATCGTCAAGGTCCATGTAAAAGTCAACACCGTTATCGATTAGACTCTGGCGACGTGCTGCTTCGCAACCTCCAACAACTACCCAGTGGAGAGGCGTCCGTCCATATTCGCTGTCTACTGAGTCAGGTTTGGCCCCAAGCTCTAACAAGGCCTTAGCTGCTAAGGCATGACCATACATTGTCGCGAAAGATAGTGGTGTTCGGCCATCTTTTTCGCGGGCATCGAGACTTGCCCCGGAGACAGCCCCAAATAGCCTTAACACAGTGGCTTTCCCATTTCTGGCTGCTAAGTGAACAGGCGTGGCTCCAGAGTTCGTTGGGAAATTAATGGTAGCTCCGCGAGCCAGCAGAAGCTCTATAATCATGTCATGACCATTTGTTGCGGCCCCCGCTAGGGGTATTCTCCCCACATTGTCTGTGACATCGATAACAGCACCTCGGTCAATCAGAATCCTTACTGTTTTTATGTGTCCATTTCTAGCTGCCCAGTGCAACGCAGTACTGCCCGTTGTATCTCTTTTGTCGATGTTAAAAGCGACCGTGGGCTGGTCTTTCTCCACGAGCCAGTTCAACAGGGGATCAAGACCCAACAGGCCGGCGACATGAAGTGCGGTAAACCCAGGAGGATCATCAAATGGTCTTTTGAATGCCCAGTATATCTGTACCCAGGCATTGAGTGACTGTGTATTCTCTCCAAAGAAATCGTACTCCCATTCACGGGTAGCAAGTTTCGAGGTTGCTGCACGTGCATGTGCAGGCCACTGGCGAGCCGCATATTCAAGAAAGGGATGCGCGAGAAGATGATCCTGAAGCGCTGCTACCCGATTGACTGGTCTAGAATATTTGCGGTGCACACATGTTGGAGAGAATTTGAATGCTTCTCTGCTGAGGTATCTCAAACAAGTGTCCAAAATGTGTAGATGCGTTGCATCGTAGCTTATAGAATATTTTGATTCTGGCGGCTCCAGAAAGAAGTCCTCCAAGGACTTATGTAAGAGATACACGGTTTTTTCGACAGTGTCGACAAGGATCAGAGATCGGTAAGACATCAGGAAACTCTCCAGCTCTTTAACCACATCTGCTGGCGGTGTAGTACCCGTTTCGTGTTCGTCCCAAGTCATTGTAAGCGCTATAGCGAGCTCATTGACTTTCAATGATCTTTGTGCACACACAATCCATTGGAAGATGGATAGAGGGTCATGACCGTCTTTGAAGTTGATGTCTTCCAATATCTCGGTGTACAAACTGTGCAAATCTCGCGGTAAATGGTCGAGTTTCCTCTCCACAGCATGCGCAGGTAGACCTGAGAACTGGTTCAGAAGAAGAGATATCCAAAGAAGGTTATGTTTAGATCCCGAAAAATAGTGACGTAAACGGCTTTTAAGATCAACAGGCAAGTGTTCATGTTTTGAGAGATCTTCCAGTTTCCAATCAATAAACCGGCTCACATCATTCTTGATCATGGCATCAAAGCGCAAATGCCTACCTACATCTCCGAGGACGAACTCGGCATCTGTGCTGGGTCGATATGTTACGAGAAGCTTCACGGTGGCGTTTCCACTCGATTCCAAGCGAAGGAATAGATCTCGAAGAGCAGAGAAAAACTCGCCCCCTCCCTGACATTCGTCGAGGCCGTCAAGAACAAAAAAGACCTTACCCAACCTAGGATCTTCCACAATATGGCATAGTATCTTCCATAGTGTCCAGAAGTCGCCAAAAAGATTTGCTCTTTGAGTATCAAAGTGTTGTTCGATGAATTTGAAAGTTTGCGGTTCATCCTTCAACAATTGAAACAGGAGTCCACGGACTGTTTCAACCGGGGGCCTGATGTGACAAGCATGATATATTAGTGTTGTCGATTCGGCAAACGAATCACCTTTTCTCCTCGATTCAAAGTTTTCGATAAGGAACCAAAACATCGTTGTCTTTCCCGTACCCGGGCTTCCAACAATTTGAAGAAGTTTGGATGCGTCACCTTCTAGCCAGTCTCTATATTCGCTTCGCGCAAGTACCCATTCGCAAGTTCCTTGAACACGAGGTTTCTGAGCGCGGGCCACTTCGCCCCAAGCATCTGGCACGAACAAGTTGCGAAGACATTCTTGATATTTTTGCTCTCTTTCTATCATTCCACGTATCAGCATATAATCATACTTTCCGAAATGGCTTCTATGTCGCACCTGAAATACTTTGGTTGTTTGGAACTTGTGCATGCACTGACCGTACGCTGATCCTGTATTCGCCGCCGGTGGCATTGGAACGATCGGCCAGGTCCGAGCGCTCCATGCCGAAGTGATGGCTGGTGACGTTTCGCTGACGATTTCTTGATTTCTTCAGAGAGGAGAATTTATGAAGATTGCTCAAGATTATCACTGGAGAGTCTAGTGAAGAGTGAGGCGGGGAAGTTAAGAATGCTCAGCAGACTTTTATGGTACCAAAGACCTATCTCCTGGCGTGCTAGGATTGGGTAGTATGAAACGCATCAATCTCCCCATATGCATGTGCCTACGTGTTGAGGGGTAACCACCGCGGCGAAACATTACAGCCAATCGATTTCGAATTAAATACAGCCGACTTTGACACGTCATGGAATCCCAAGCTATTCTTAAACACATGCAGTTCAGCCGCACGGGGAAACCTGATATCTAACCAATCGACAAATGTGAAAGGGTCAGATATGCAGGATTCTGACACAGCATCTCCTTGAGGCTTGGCCATTTATCAGTTGTGGCATGCATGGTCGGGGCCAGTGTCGCGGAAATAAATACAAGCTTGGGCCCAATACTTAGGTGCTCAGCCTGATACTTTGAACCTGTTCTAAGCTCTGTTTGTTCCTGTCAAAACGAAATTTCCTTCTCTACCGAACATGGACATCTTTGGCACTGCAGTCACAGCCATCCATGAGATCTACACAATCACTGTTTTTATCAAGGGTGTCGTGTCGGATGCGAAGAATTATGACGCCGATAAGGCAAACATTTTAGCCAAGGTTGACCATGAATTCCTGTTCCTCGAATCATTCAAAGCCCTCTTCTTTGACGATGATGGGGCGTTAATGGCTAACGAGCAACTTCCGATTAATTTAAAGCGGGATGTGAGCAATATCTTACACGCGTTGAAGAGTTGTCTTGCTGAGTATGGCTTGTTGGCGGCGAAGCATAACATACTGTTAGATGATAGTGAAGTTCCAGAATGCGAGGATATATCCACTACCACGGCTGCAAAGATTACGTCAAAGTCAGAGTGGTTCAAAAGCAAGATGTTGGAGCTAAAGGACCTGAAGAAGAGATCGTTGGATTGGGCCTTATTCGACAAAGACAAGCTCCTCAACATATTGGTGAAATACAATCAATGGACTGAGAGACTCCGGCAGACTATGTCTCTTATGCTTTTGGTCTCTGCCGTCTTCGGAAACACGAAGCTAAAGACGTTCTCAGACAGCAAAGCTGCAAGGGATTTAGGTCTCCAAAGAGTGGCTAAGCGCCAATTGTTAGCTAAAGCCAGCCCACCCGATACTTTCAAGGCTCTAAATGGACAAATCATCGAAGCAACCGACTCAATGACAGATTCAAGCCTACAGGTTGCGGACTACATGGATGAATGGGAGAGCACCACCAGAATGATTGTTGAATACCGCGAGTATAGTTCTTCGTTGGTGCAAGCAACGGAAATGAACAATACGAAGGCTCTTCAGGAACTGAAGGCTCCTATCCATAACTTGGCCTGGCTGCTTCGGAGCTCCTTTCTCTCTGATGCTAACGCTGGGAGTTTAAATGATGGTACAAATCAGAGCATGTTCACGTTGGAATGCGTAGGCTACATTGATCAACCTGATGAGCACCAAACAATCTTTCTCTACCAGCCTCCCCGCTCCGTCGCCAGCCAAAACCAGACATTAGAGATCATCACTCTTCACGATCTCATCAGGAGCGGAAATCGTCAATTCTATTTGGGACACAGGTTCTTTATGGCCTATGCCCTCGCCACGACAATTTTGTATGTCCATGGATCCGGTTGGGTACACAAAAATATTTCTAGTCACGGTGTGACCGTCTTTCCTGTCAGAAAACTAGTTGTTTCAGGTTCTAATGGTAGAGATTTCGACCATATTCCATACCTCACTGGTTGGGGTTTCGCAAGACCAGAACTCGGAGGGACAGAACTACTGCAAGACTTTGAAGTGGAACCCAACTTCTACCGGCACCCTGCTCGACAGGGTAATCCAGGCTCTGCTTTTACAAAGGAACACGACATTTACGCATTAGGTGTCGTTCTGTTGGAAATCGGCCTTTGGAAGACCATCTCTGAGCTCTTCGCCAAACAGATCAGGATAGCAGAAGACAGGCAGGAACTACCACCGAAGAAAACTATCCGAAAATGGCTACTTGATTTGGCGAATGCGAGCCTAGCAGAGCGGATGGGCAAAACGTATACCAGTGCAGTTTTGGCATGCTTGAGTGGGGACTTTGGCGTGGAAAGCGATGATGAACACAAGACAGGCCTTTCGGTGGCTTTTCGTGAGAAGATTATAGATGCAATCCGAATCGGCATGGCACTTTGACGATTACTTGGATCCAATATACTTCGTTCTATAGATGAGAATAATAAATGATGTGAAATGCCATCACATAGAACCGTCAAGTGGGATAGCAGTGAAAGTATATTAGGCTAAATCCTTTTGAACTGTTAGTTGACACGGAGTTCACTGTTACTTAGGAAGCCAAACTCCAGAACTGTTGTAGTCGTAGGTGTAACAACTTTGGGCTATGTGGCAACTATATATATCAGACTCTGCCAACATAAGACACTACTGGATCTACACTATGGAGTTAATAAAATGAGGTAAGAATACGCCCCTTGACCGTATTAAACAAATGCTGGATCGTTTGGCAGTGATCAACAGGTGAACAAAGTGAAACTCGGAAGTCCTGCTTCTTTCCATTACCTTTGCTTATATATGGCTGGACTAGTACTAGTCAATATCATTAACATAAGCCTTGGTGGAGAAGCATCTTCTACAAAGCTTAGCACACAATGTTTTACTTAACCTTGTCCTTGGCACCGGGCTTTACACCATAATCGTATTGGCTTAGCTATAACCCCATCTAGCTACCGTCCATCCTCACAAGCATCAATCCCATTTCCATACTCAATTTCTCGCTAATCTGCCTTCCACCATGACAAAATTTCCTCTCGCAATCGGCGAGTTGCAAGTGACTTCCCAAAGCACTCTTGTGCCCTGTCCATACTAGCATCCGAGAGCTAAACTCTGATCAACCGGGATATACTCCCTCATAGCATCACCGCATGAACATCAACTCCAGTATATCCGCACAAGTTAAACAAGCTGGGGAAGTCAACATCACCCATAAACTCTCATCCAAGCTTCTGGATTTGCCCAAGAAGGAACTGAGGAGCTGGGATGGCAGCATCCACACCGTAGAGAAAATGGGCTGGAAGAACAAACAAGGCGCCATCGCAGACAATGTCAGTAGGTAAGCAAAATACTCTGGTTCGATCGATAGGGAAGTTTGGGATACGGCCTCCCAACTGCTTATTTTTGGTATAGCCAAAGAGTGCAGTGCCGACAACTTGCTTCTGAGTGGCGCCATCCAGTTTAGATAAGGCATAGCCAACGACAACCGCACCCTGACTATAAGAGTAACATTCAGTATGGTAATATTGTATGTATTGTCGGATGGAACTAACCTGTATCCAGCAGTGACAACCGGGGTATCAGGGCACTTGGCGTGGCTCATTTGGAAGAGCCTCTTTGCTTCGTTGATCGATGCAGCATTAGTCCCCTCGGGAAGGAAGTTTGCCAGGAGGTCAGCCGTATATGGGCCACCAACACCTTGGATCCAGATGTCTGGAATAGCAAGTTGCATGGCTGCAACAAGAACCGGTCCTACAGTTATGCCCTGTTTTTCCATGGTTAGTTCTCCAACCCCAAGATGTCATCCGCGAAGGTTACAAACAATATTTCCAGGTTCAGTACTGCCACGGGCATAGATCAAGATGGCCTTGGGACACTTAGACGAGTCTCCATCCTCAAGATCAGTGCGAGTGACTAGCCCCAGAGCATTGACGTCTCTAGTCTCGTGAACGACTACGTCTGTGGGCCTGTCCGGGATGATAGGTTTGGCAGTGGCTGCAAGAGCCAGAAAGAAATGGATGAGAGTGGTGGCGTGCATATTGTATGAGGTCGGTGCTAGAGCAGAGAGTGTTGATATGAGCAGAGAGTGATATGGGCTTTCAGGTTGCTGTTCAGTGAATAGAAGTTAATGGCACGAGGTTGAGGGCTTCCTTTATAGTTTCAGCGGCATCTCAGACTACGTACATCAACTTCAGAGCTTACACCATCTTCAACAAGAAGACGTCGTACAATTTCCGTCTGATACAGGAGGCGTATTCGACTTTCTGTTTTTTGTTTAGTGGACATGGCAGACGTCGAACAAACCATGGGTTGCATGTAGTTCACATGCTACTGTCGAGGGACAAATTTCTAGTAGTTCAACGACCACAGTCATACTTCATCTCTTCATGGCACAGAGGCATTCCCAGCACTAACCTAGCTATTTGCAAAACGATGAGTGCCATTTTCTCCAAGAATTCATCCCAACGTTGTCTAACATTCCTCCTGCCAGTTGAAGCCTCCATAATACCTTAGTGTTGCCATCTTGAAGGATCCATCCCGGCGCATTCAAGTTCTTACACACTTTGGCTTACAGGATTCAGGGAAAATGTTGAATCGAAGGAGGTTAGACGCGGTAATTGTTGAAAATCCGAGACTTGCATTGGCAACCAATGTCCAATGGATAAGTGGAGATGCCGAGGAAGTCATCGTTGCTTTGAGATTTCAGCTGCATGTTCAAAGTGTGGGGTAATAGGCAATGTGCACTGCTACATGGACAGCTGCTGTAAATCTGGGGTTGCATGTGGGTTGGGAATCTAGACTTAATTGTTCTAACTTTCCATGTGTTCCCTCAGACCGTATGCGCAATCTTTCCATTTTTTGAGTTCACCGTCGGAGTATTCATGTGCAACTAAAGGCAAATTGTTCCAATCAATTCATATTAGCAGGGAATGTATCAGCTTGTAGAAGTTCTGGGTTAGTAAGAATGGCATTAATATGCCCTTCGCCGTGGACTATCTCTCCGATAGATATCCTGGGGTACAAATCTGCCTCACATGTTGACTTTCGTTCTACTCCCAAATCATTTATAGCCGAGGAATCTTGCTTACATCCTTTCGAGTCTGCATGAATGTGGATGAAAAGACCTAGAAATAACATGTGCATACCTAAAGCGAAAAGGGGGTCTCAAGAGGACCTTCACTGTAGATCAAAACTGGTCTTTTTCTTTCTTTCTGTTTAGTTTTTATCGGTCCCTGTATACGCTAACAACCTCAATAGAAAGTATAGAATGAGCTCCAACCAAGCACCTGAGTCGAGATAAACACTCAATCAGTGCTGGGACGTATATTTCACACTTAACTAGCTACTTCACTACAAGCACCAAAGGTTCTATTAACCACACCCCATAAGCAACGTCTAGCTGAACTGGAGATGCCCCTGCTATAGAGAGGTCTCATTACAATTAAGGGGAAGTGAAGTGAGCTAATGGGGTTATGAAGATCGAAAACCAGTGGCCCCAGTTCCCGCACTTTAACCCTTCCTATGTATATACGACCCAGCGAAAACATTTTATCCCTCCCCTGATAAACATTTACCCCTACAGACTTGCCCCTGCATTTAAAGAACACGCGACTTGTCCGTGAAGATATTAGCTAACAACTCTTGTGCAGCGATATCACCTGTTTGGTTCATTATAGCACACCGGGGCCCTCACCGCCAAAATTCATCACTATGAGATAGGTCACATGCGCTACTACACTGAAGCAACACCCCCACGGCTACTACTGGTATATTTTCTATTCACAGTCAGGAAGGATGTACTTGACTGCTGCCTCCACGAAAGACGTGGTTTTGCCCCATTCTCAGTGTGACTCTTGGTACTATTCGAAAATTCGAAAAAGCGTTGCCAAGCCTCTACATCGCTGACCTAAGGCGGGTCATTTGGCTGAGTCACTGCGTTTCCGACTATAACGGAAGCTCGGTTGTGACAACAGCTAGTTTTTGCGGCCGATCCCAGCTTTTGCATTGGCCTGGGCATATTGCTACCTCGTATTTATGTAATAATGCTGTAGGACTTGGCAGCGTTGACGATATGATTTAGTGAGCGTTGGGGGCGGTTCTCTTGTGGAGGCGGGCCATTGACGCGTATATAAGGCCGCATGGTCTTGCGACATTATATCTTTTCCAGAGCCATTAGCCATCCCAACACTTCACGCTCAACAACCTCTCAATCCAGGCTTTCGCTCCTCAACTTCGCAACATGCGTTTTGACACTATCATCCTCACCCTTCTCCCTGCCCTCGCAGCGGCAGACTTCCACATCGACAAGCTCAGCAACACCGCCATCTCCAGCGGTAGTAGCCAGACCAGATGGACCTCAACCGTGGCGTGCCCCTCCAACTACTGGAACTGCAAGTGCCTCACCCAGAGTGACCGCACCGGCAAAGTTGAGGGGTCGCTTGGCGATGATGTCTTCGCAGTGCGAAACCTGTGTGGCATGAAGAAGCTCAACTTTTACAAGAGCGGTAGCAACTATCAGATGTACGAGGATAGTGGCAACGGAAAGGTCATTGGAAATTGCTACCGCAATGATGGAGATGTTGGGAAGCAGTGTGGTATTACGGGTGGGAACTCTATTGTTACACAGGGCTATGTGTGCTACTCGTATGTTTGCAACTAGGTACGAGTCTAGCTGAATTTGTCTTGAGCTGCTCCGGCGGAGTGAGAGACAAGGTGGATTGCTGTTGCAAAACGAATTAGTATTCTTGGGCTACTGTCACAGGGCTTTTATGGTAGACTGGTGGATGAAAATTGAAATCAGGATACTTTCCATCGCTTGCTCAGGCGTGGCTCCAATTATGCATTCCCATGCAGGATAACGCTTCTGTTAACATTCATGGTACTTGAAAGGTTTAAACCATAGAGATCGGCATAATTTACGAAGATTAGGCAAATAATACCTAATAGTGCACTTGTGTTCATTGATGCTCGTACAGTAGCCCGAAACTTCACCAAGGTCTATTTATACGCCGATTTCCCTTCGCGACCAATTTTAAAACCTGCCTGCCCTGTCATCAACAAATCTGTAACTTTTACACCGTGTCGATGGGATCATTTACAGGATCAACACCCTCCGGCAACCCAATACGAGCCTCAAACCAAAACCGCAGCCTCTCAACCAAAGCCCGATCTTCCATAAACCGCGCGAACTCAGCTGGGTTGGTAGCAGTCTCATTCCAAAGATCAGGAAATCCTTCCGGCGCCGGGATATCTCGACGAACAGACCATGTCCCTGAATTAGACTGGTACTCAGGACTGAGGATGAAGTTGTGCAGCAGTTTCGCTCCCTCTGGATGAGGGGCATCCTTGAGAATGCCAGCGTATTGTGCCCATGATACGTATTTTCCTTTCTTGGGCTTTGAGAACTTCATAGACTTGGAAGTGCCGAATCCTCCGGCTGCTGCAAAGTAGGCGGCTTCGGTAAAGTTTTGGTTCCGGGCGATTGCTTCTGTATTCGCTATGCCACGAACCCATCGGGGGTTCTGCTCTAGCAGGGCCTCGAACCAAGAGAGCCCATTCTCTTGCAGACTGTCGAGTCATCAGCGCTTGTGCAATTCGATGTTAGAATTGACTTACATGAGATAGAAAGCAAACAGAACGGCATCATCGTCATTGGGATATGTCAGAACAAGCTTATTCTTAAACTCTGGGCGAAGCCAGTCGTCGTATTCCACAGGCTCTTTGATTCCAGGAAGCTTCTCTGTATTCCACGCATTCGACCAGAACAGAACATACACACCATACCAATACGCATCACTGTCCTTGAAAGCGTGGTCAATCTCGTCGAATCCTTTGGGCGCGTAGTCAAGTAACGCCCCCTCCTGGGCCCACCGAGAATAATCATGCAAGGTCTGCAGGATGATGCTATCCACATAGACAGATTTCCCACCAGCAGCTAATTGTTCATCCAGCCTAACGTTATGGTACTTGGATGGATCGACTGTGAGATTGAGCGTGATATCAGGGAAGCGATTTTCGAAAGCTTGCTTCAGTCGATCTTGTTGATTTGTGGCATCTCCGCCGTGCCAGAGAGTGACGGTATCGCCCTCCTTCAATGCTGCCTTGTAAATCTCGTCCAGAGACCTGGTCTCCCTTTGAATTTTGCCGTTAAAGCCAAGAACCTGGTCATAACTCACGACAAAGCCGGCCAGGACGGCGATGGAGAGTAAGGATCTCAACATCATGTTGGTGACAAGTGTGAGGTCTTCAGCCCACCGATTATCGAAGACCGATCTTTTGGGAGCGTGCAGGGACATATGTAAGACAATTATCTCGGCAAAGTTTACGGCCAGATTCAGATTAAGGTTTGAAGGGACTCCTACGCATAACGCCTTTATTACCAGGCCCAATCATAGTTCCGCGTGACTACGAAGGCGCACGGGAAGACGTAGAGTGGAATATAAGTTATTCCAATGAATCTATTTCCTATACATATTTTCCTATGTATGATGCTTCGATGTCGTTTCATACTGGAAGGTTACTGGATGCTGTACTATACTTACAGCTGTGACTATTTCACTTTCACATGCGATGATCTTATTTTATAGTATAATTGATCTTAACTATTCATTATTTAGTTCTAATGCAGCTGCATATGTCAAACTGTAGCGGCATTACTTCCAGGCATTATCTTATCATTTAAGCGTGTGTCCTCTCAGCCTTCTCAATGATAGGAGCGGGTCGCTCGATGTTCTTTCGCAGGATGTAGCGCTTGAACAAGTAAGGCAGCCAGACCTGGGTCTCGTGAGAAAGGAATTTTGAGGTTGGAACGGAGAAGACCTCTGTGATATTTATTAGCAACTGAAATCAACGACATGTTTTGGACATGAGAAACTTACGATCCAATTCCTCAAGGGTCATCTGCTTGGTCTCACGGACGAAGCAGAAAATCATGCCCCAAGCGATAAGGTTGAGTCCAGCGTAGAAGCCGAAAGCTCCTGTGGGAGTCATGACATTCTTCATTCGGGGGAAGGTCAAGCCAAGAACACCAGCGAAGGTGTTGTTGATGCAGACGGCCCAAGCCATACCCTGCTCTCGCTGGATGGTAGGGAAGACCTCAGCAGAGTACTGGAAGGCGACTGGCCCTTCTCCGAGACAGTAAGCGATTGTGAAGAGGTAGACGAATAGCACAACAGGACCGATGTTTGCAGCGCGATTGTCGCTGTTGTTGAGAAGAGACAGGCCACCAGCCAAGAGGAAGATACACATGAATGGGAAAGTAGCAAGTGTCAAAAATCTTCGTCCCTTGGTATCGATCAAGAAGAGAGTAGGAATGGTAAAGACAACCTGAATTGCACCGTAGCCCAAAGAGGCATACAGGGCTTCGTCTTGGGAGTATCCAGCATCACGGAAGATACTGGAACTGTAGAAAGAGATGATGTTGATACCGCACATCTGCTGGGCCAGCATGACAGTGCTGGCACCGTAGTTGGCTCTTCGGATTCTGGGAACAGAGAAGCAGTCCCACAGTCGGCGGAAGTAGCCAGCGCCGGCATTCTCTTGGAGCTCCACCTGGTAGATCACGTAGGAGTAGTAGAAGTCACGAGCACCGATGATGGGATGGGCTCGGAGCTTGGACATGGAGACGAATCCCTCTGCGAGTCGGCCATGCTTCATCAGCCATCGAGGAGACTCGGGACAGAAGTAGATGCCGACGGCGAGGAAGAAGGCGGGGATAAAAGCAGAACCGAGTTCGAGTCTCCAGGCGATGTCACCGACATCCTTGACGATGACATTGGCGCAGAAACCGAGGAAGATACCTAATTCCAGTTAGTTTTTTGTGTAGGCGAGTCGGATTCAGATGCGGCTTACCAATGACGACCCATAACTGCCAGAACATGACGAGAGCACCTCGAATGCGAGCAGGAGCCATTTCAGCAGAATAAATAGGCACGGTGGCATTCTTGGCTCCAATACCAATTCCCATGACAAAACGGATGGCGAAAAGCTCCTGCCAGTTCCTAGCGAAACCAGAGGCAATAGGTGTAGCAACCAAGCAACAGGCTGTAATGAAGATCTCTCCACGTCGGCCAAAGTAGTGGTTAAGAGGATCGACAATAAAGGCACCACTAAATAAATGCGTTAGTTAATGAGCAATCCGAGAATTAGAGTCAGGAACTAGCTTACATCAAACCAGCAGTGAGGAAGATGATGGAGTTGATGATACCAACAATCCAATCATCTCGCGCCGTCTTGTCAATGCCGAACTCCTTGGGGAACGACAGGTTAGCACCATTGGCACCTGTCTGATCCCAGCCCTGGGTAGCAGCGCCGACGGCACAGAGACCAATTGAGTACCACAGCATCTTGGAGCCGTGCCACTTGTGGTCCCGCTCGTAGATGAGGGCGGCGCGTTCGTCGTCGAGAAGATCGACAGACTCGAAGTTGTCCATGTCGCGGGCGACGAGAGCTGCTCTGCCGAAGAGATCGACATGTTCGGACATGCCATTGCTCTCGGCGAAGAGGCGCGCGTCGGCAACGACCTCGTCTGGGGATTTGTTCTGCGCAATGCCGTTAGCGGAGTTTTTGGTGCAGAGAGGAACAACGGCATACCTGGAGAGGGTTCTTGACGAGGTTCAATGCAGTTGAGCCGCGGCGGTCTTTGCCAGCGTGCTCTAGTGCCTCGACGCCGCCCTTCTCGGGAGTGAAGCCAGCGGTCTTGTCATCGTAGCCGGGGGAGATCTCTTTGTCCTCCATGGTGAATGTACCGAATGTAGTCAATCGGGTAATAGTAAGATAGAAGGAGGAGAGAACAGACTGGTGATACAACAAAGATCTTCAGAAGAAAAACAGGTTGTGGACATATATATAAGCTTAAATTTAAAGCCGGCAGTTTTGGCAACCCTCTGGCGTTGAACTGGGCAAGCCGAGCCCTCCATCTCTGCCAAGCCTAGGCAGCAAGTTAACAGGCTTGGCCGGCATGATATCACCCTCACGCCAAGACCGCACTACGTAGTGTTGCGGTGCTACCCCATGGGAACCCGACGCGGAGAAGTGAAGTGCGGGATGATTGGTGGTGGGGGGTGGGCCACTGCAGCATTTTGCTGATTGTAAGATTAATTGAATGACGATCATTGCCATTTTTCAAGACATCAAACAGCTCCTTCAATTGCTGTTGAATCCTACAGCTGTTTAACTTGCTTCATGATGAGTAACTCGCCCAATTGCTATGAGGCATATCTATAATCAACATGAGATGAGATTCAACCCATCCCCCCGAACTAGACCAGATCTCCATGCGGAGAAAAAGGTGGGTTTAGGCAACGAAATTCAAGAATCCATCGTCCCAAAACCAAGCTTTTTTTCTCCTCTCCCCATCCCCCGCTTACCCCACATCTCCAGCCAAGGAATCCTGGCGAAAATAACCGTCGAGTCTTGGCTCATCCGTCGATTCTCCACCACAACAGAACCATCCAATCGTTTGCATGTTTATTTCACTGCCTGTTGCTTAGATCAGGAATTTACGTCCGAGCTTTGGAACGGGGCAACAAAAGCGGGCGTTGGGGTTGACTTTGGGGCGTTCATGTGAGTGAAGGAACAATTGAATTGACTTAAAGTAGGGGATGGGATTGGCCCAGGCGAATAAGAGAAAACTTTTTTCTTTGTTGCGGCTCCGTTGGTCGGCTATCTCGGGCAACTGGTATGGTCATGCCATCAATTGCGGTGACCGGAGTTTGCAAACAGCGTCAACACGCCGATGCTGATACATCTTTGATCACCTCAGCGCTAAGGGCATGTGCCCGTTTAAGAGTGCCAGACCCAAATACCTTATTTCCAAGGTTAAAGGTTAAAACACAACCTCTATTTTTGTGGTATTCGAAGAGGAACCCCAGCAGGAAAACATTGCATCTTTCACCACGACAACCTGCACAAGATTACAAAGTAGAGCCGAGTCGTCGGTATTTGCAGTCTCGGAATATTCCACGACAGTCAAAGCTCGTCGGAGAGATGGCTTTCAGCTCCAACTCACTAGCCAGAAGTAAACTAGCTCGATTGCGGCTCAATTGATCAGTCAATGCTGTGGTAATATTACACATAGATTTTACCGAAATTATGACATTTCGTGAAAGCGCAGAGAAAGCGGTGCGTGTTTCTCCCTTAGGTGGGTGGTAGTTTTGATGGATCACTTTCTCAAGCATCGCTGGCCTCACATTTGACCTGGGCAAAGGATCCGGATGAAGGATTTAAAAAAGTTACATTGTGCACATGTCGGGAGTATCGGAGATTATCTCCAAGCGACGGAAACACATGTGCAGGTAAGGAAGGTCATTTGGCTTGTGGTGCCAAGTTTGTGACTCTTATATGCAGAGAAAACACATTTAAGCATTACAGAGGATTTGTCTCTCAAGGGTGTCCTGTTAGGTAACACAACTGATCTCAATCATTCCTGATCGAGTAGAATTATTGAAGGGTTGATAATCCGTGTCGACGATGCACCTGCCAACGGTGCCTTTCTAATGTCTTGGCAGGCGTGGGGAAGAAACGCAACCGTCTTTGTTGTCTCACACGACAAGCAATGTATTGAGCTGCGAATCTGGGGTTGTGGTTCCCAGTGAAACAGACCTGGGCAGGGATGGAATAAGGATGGATTCGGTCCTTTAACTTGTTCATCGCTGATCGCGGTCGATTGTGCTTCATACGGATGACATGCCTGCACCTGAGCAAACAAGAAAAATCGTGGTCGACAAAAATACCCTAGACCATCTCAGTGACTGGATGTGGCCTGAGGCACTGGTGCATAAACGAGCGACCGGGTTACCCCAAATGGCAGATCGGGCGTCGATCTTAGCACCAAGCTTACATCCATGCATAAAGTAAATGCATAAAGCAGAAACATCTGTAGCTGCATAAACACAGCCACAGTGTGACGTCAATAATCGAAAGAACAGGATCTCGCGTATCTGACGCGTTGTGAATTAGTGGAGACTGGGGAGATGCAGAAAGGTCGATGAGGGCAAAAACCAGATTTGTCAAGACATTTCCTGACGTTTCCGGAAATACACGAGGCAAGACATACTGGTAGGTGGCTGGATTTTGGCGTAAGTTTGCCTAGGAGAGAGATCGCTATCCGTGATCATAAGAGCTCACACAGTGAATTGTCATACACTCCAATCAACGTTCCAATTAGATAGCTACGAATCGTCTTTGAAGACGCGCTTTATATTTTCCAATTCAACCAATAGCCTCTATACTGAATCCTGTCGCTAATAAGATAGACAAATCTTAGACAAATGCAGGATCACAATATTCACGTTCGACCCGTCTTCTTGAGGCTAGTGGAAATGACTAATCAGCACTCTCGACGTCCATGATCAGACATGTTGTGGTGTAAAGTGCCGATAGTAATGCCAGTTGAAACGATGAACCATGTTGGATCGAGGCACAAGCGAGATCTCAAGACCTCTGTCCTATAATAGATGCCGTCTTGACACGAGGCAACCTTCACATATTTAGAGAAATATGTCATTTGCACCTGCATCTGAGTAAGAATATGCAGTAACGTTTCATCCTCTGCGCTTTATAGAGAGGATCACATCGGTTTTAATTCAACCGATTGGGCCTGGTGACATATGGAAGAGTTTTAGAATGTGATATGAAATCTGTGGGGAAACGGCATTTTCTAAATGTTGGGCTTAACTATAATTTAAATGAACACTTAAACAGGAACTTCGGAACAGGCTTGCCGACGGAAATATTGCTTCAAAACGTGCATATCTTCACTTGAGCCAAAATGAATAATGGGGCATGTCTTGAAGAAGTTACTAGATAGTATGAGATGTGGTAGATCTGATAAATTGTTTCCTCGAGCACGAAATCTCGACTCGTTGTCGACGTAGCTAAAAGTATATGCTACTTAAACAGCCATGGAACGCACGGCACAATCGTGTTTGAGAAGACTAGATATACTCATCTTCAAGTCCAAAACCCAAGTTATTATATTCACATTTTATTCTTCTCATCATTTCCTTGTGACTGGTCTTCGTCGACCTTGGCCTGTCCACTATGAGTCTCAGTAGGCACGCGATCGTATGGATTTATAGCTGTTCATACAGGGAAAGACTGTTTTTTTGTATTATCAAGTGGTCTTGATTCATTGAGTCCATTGGCCGATTGAGGCTTATTTTATACATTTGTTGCTCGTCCATATCCCTCCTCAATGCTAAGTAAAGCTCACAGCCTTCCACTCACCTTCCAAATGAGGAACAAAATACGGTGATCCCTGTGCGTGGAGCGTAGTATTTTCTGGGCTCCTGCCTAGACAGGAATAAAACTTTAAAAGCCCAGCCTGCTTACCCCTCTTACAGAACTTTTGGTAAGCGTGACGATGTAAGAAATTGGAACAGTCAATCCCGCTACTAATTAAGCTTAAATCTTTTCCTAAGTCAATTGCTACCGTTTCAGCTTTGATACATGAATTGAGACAAGGAATGTTCTCAATTGGGCTGTGGAGCTTATTCACAGGTTTCTGAAGATTAATGGCTCTGGTTAATAATATTTCAAAACGCGGGGAAAGTCTCGAGTGCCCAGTGTCCCTTGCATTATCCATAACCTTATCCTGCATGTTTATCTCATCCTCAATGTGATTTTCCACTAATTATCAAAGATGCACCTATCCCCTGTCTTGGCAGATACTCAAAAAGCCTCTTGAGCTTCCCAAAGTGGAGTAGCCACTGTTACCCAAGAGCTTGGCAGTCGGTACAACTGACGAATCTTCTCTCAAAAGGCCTTTCCAGACGATCAGGAACAGCGGTCTGGCCAGCCACCTGGGAATTGGCGAGGTTCGGTTACATCTGGAGGCTGAGCAGTCGGATACATCGGGGTAATCTGCATGTAAGGCTGCGCCTATATAAAGACGATCATGTCCATGCGTTTGGGGTGACCCTCGACGTTCATCCTGTCTTCACTTGGTCGACCTTGAATAATATCTTATAAACTTCACCATGCGTTACTCACTTCCTATCATGGCGGCACTCGCCGCCACAGCTGCTGCCAATGGACCAGTTGTCGAGAAGCGCGCCGAGAAGATGTACACGCTGGAGCTCGGCCCTGGAGAGACCGTCGAGGTTACCGAGGATGAGAAATTCCAGATGATCGACGTATGTGAGCCCAAGACATAGGAGTGTCGTAGGTCATGAATGCTAACCATCTTCTAGGACCACGTTCACTTCTTCGACATCACTGAATGGAAGGATCACGGCCCAGCACCATCCGCCCGCCTGGCCTCCACAACAAGCAAATTCCCCGACAAGCTCATCTTCCAATCCAATGTCGACAATATCATCAAGAACGTCAACAAGAAGACCATTGAGAAGGGGCTCAAGAAGTTCTCTTCATTCCACAACCGTTACTTCAACTCTGCATATGGCGTGGAAGCGGCCGAATGGCTGCACAAGGAGGTCCAGAAGGTTATTAAGAAGAGCAAGCACCCTCTAGCCTCAGTCCGTCTCATCCAGCACCAGGCTTGGTCGCAGCCCTCTATCATTGTGTCCATTCCCGGAAAGGTCCGCCTCAAGACTATTATTACTGGATCTCATCTTGATTCGGTTATTTCTAACGATCGTGGTGCCGGGCGAGCCCCAGGAGCTGACGATAACGGCTCTGGGTCTCTGATGCTTCTCAACCTCCTCGGAGCTTTCCTCGAGGATCCTCGTATTTCCAAGGGCGATCACCTCAACACTGTGGAGTTCCACTGGTACTCTGCTGAGGAGACAGGTCTTCTCGGATCTCAAGATATCTTCAACAGCTACGCCCGACTTGGAATCCAGGTCGAGGGTATGCTCAACCAAGACATGGTTGGCTACAAGGGCCGTGATGGCATTGAGCGCTTCGGTCTTGTCACCGATAACACGAGTCCCACGCAAAACGACTTCCTCAAGCTTCTCATCGAGGAATACGCCGACATCCCATATGAGGAGTCCACATGTGGCTATGCCTGCTCTGATCACTCTTCAGCCACCCGTAACGGATTTCCTTCTTCTTTCCTCTTCGAGACTCCGTTCGGAAACCACAACCCATACATCCACACACCTAACGATACGATTGAGCATGTCGACTTTGATCATGTTATGCAGCATGCAAAGGTCACTGCTGGCTTTGTTTACGAGCTGGCTCACCGAAACTTCACGGTTTGAGTGGAGCGACGAAAAGAAGATATTAGGACGCCTAGGTAGTCCGTAATAAATAGATATTACTGAGTTAATAATACCCTAGTACCATGTGTTGAGCTTGTTGAAGTGCTGGCTTCTTGAGTGGATTAGATGTTCATATTCACAACCTACAACAAGGTGCAACTTGGTATCTTCACGATGTCGATACTATAACCGTCATTATACACTTGGAAAGTATTAGTAATCTGAGACACTCCGAGGTTAGTTTCATCATTTCGAAGTCATTCAAACCTGACCCACTCGTTGAACTCTGAATCCCTGGACCCGCATCAAGCAATATCAATGACGTCTTCACTGGAGTTGTCCCCATCATTAACTGTGTTTACTGCCGTCATCACGAATTTAAACCTCCACCGTTGAATTTGTATCCTAGCATCAATTCTTCATGTTTGCCCTTTCACTATTGAAGAACTTTTCAGCACCATACATCCGTCCTTCAACCTTATCAGTAATTCTAAAGAACACATCACAAACCCGACGGTTCACTACAGCCACAATGGCAACCCGTAAGTCAAGCTCAATCACGACTCCCTGCTTCTACAAACATTAATACCCAACCAGATAAGGCACAGAACCATGACCTCTCGGCAAGCGCACTATTCGGCGTGTCGCACATCACAGCCGTTGTTACAGGCGGTGCAACAGGCATCGGTCTGATGATCACTCAAGCTCTTCAAGCTAACGGCGCCAAAGTGTACATCACTGGCCGTCGCAAGGAGGTTCTTGAGAAGACTCAGAAGATGTATAGCACAGGCCCTGGAAGTATCCACATTCTTCCTGGAGACGTGAGCCAGAAGGACGAGGCCGTCCGTTTGGCTGAGGAGATAAGCCAGAAGGAGCCCAATGGCATTCATCTGCTTGTGAACAATGCCGGTATCGCCAGGGACGATGACACAAAGTTCTGTAAGTTTGAACAAGGATCAAAGCGAATAAATGCTGACTGAGGTTGTTATGTAGCCACAGTTGGAGAGCCCGACATGACTGACCCGAAGGCCATCTCTGATCACTTCCTGAGGACCAAGCCCGAACAGTGGACAGAAACTCTACAGACAAACTTAACTGGTCCTTACTACATGTCCATGGCATTCCTGCCACTGCTGGCTAAGGGTCGTGAAGTGACACCAGGCTACACATCCCAGATCGTCAACGTCTCATCCATCTCAGGAGCAATGAAGGGCTCCAGCATGGGACAGCCCATCTACGCAACATCCAAGGCAGCCCTCACACATCTCAGCCGCATACTCGCTACTCTCTGCAAAGATGTAAAGGTCCGCGTCAACGTCATTGCGCCGGGACTGTTCCCTAGTGAGATGACGACTGGTGAATCCGATGAAGGCAACAAGAGCAACATCACTAGGAAGGTGTCTAACGCAGCTGGACGACCTGGCAACGACACCGATATGGCCGCCACGATCTTGTTCCTGGCTGGAAACGGTGGTCTGTTCTATAATGGCCAGATTGTATACCCCGATGGAGGTAAGCTCTTTTGATGAATATTGTGTGATAGAGATACTGAATCATTACAACAGGATCTACTCTTATCCAGCCGGCTACAGCGAACTAGAGAATATTTTTTGAATAGTCACTGATGGAATGACTCATGTTCAATGTCTTGGCGAGAGATTAAGGTTACACAGATAACGAACATGGTTTTCTTTTACACATTAGGATATTGTATAAGATAGGTATCCTCAGAAAGCTTTCTCCTTCGATAAGTATAGTGAATTGAATTTGAATCACGACCTTACGCCGTCTCCGGACGAGACAGTACATGCTCACCAATGGGGATAGTCATGAAATATTCCCTAATGAATGATACACCTCGCAGCTATATCTCATAAGGGACTAGCCTGGGTAGATTCACTTCGATAGATCTATTCGGTATGCAAGTAGCTACATCTGTCCTCCGCCTCAGTCCGAAAGCCTGAACAGTCAGAATCCGTCGTGTTAAATGTCACGGGAAGTAAGACCTTTAAACAGTGCAAAAGAGCAAGCATACAGTTCCTTACAAAGCTTACAACAAGAAGCCAATAAGAGGTATGTATATTAATATAAATTGTATTAAATATATGATAATTAGCGGACTTTATAAATAATCTTGGGATAAAATCATTTAAAGTTATGTAAATTAAGAAAAGCTTATAATACTTTATAAAATCTTATCTTAAATCTGGACTACAGTAAATTATAGAAACCTTTGCACGCTCACTATAGGTGTCCTTAGTATGTCAGTATATGAAACTGCCTACTGTCCTTAGAGGCTTCTCAGCTACACTATCTACAGAGTCATCATGTCCTGCATCTCCGCAACAGGGCCCATGGAAGGATGATATGTTGTCGGCCTACCCCGCATCACCTTGTACCACAGAGGACTCTTTTCCTTAGCCTTTGCCCATCGCTGTAGCTCTGGGGGAACCAAACCATTTCCAACTTCCATGCAGCGCAGAGCAAAAGGAAGAATATGGCTGTCGAGAATGGTCGGCCCGACTTCCGCACCAAAAGTCCATTCGTCGTCCTGGCTGATAGTACCACTCTTCCTGCGATGTTCCACAACTTCCTCAAAGATTCTCTGGACATCTGCCCGGTTTTCAGCTACCACGTCGGGGTGGAAGGCCACGCCATTGTATTTGTTATGACTAAAGAATTATTGAGTTATTGATTACGATGTGCTCTGGTATATGATGACTTACAATGCAAGCTTGGCCTCAAGAGCTTTGCGATACTCAGCGCTGATATCATCCCTTTCGAGGATCTTTTCCACCGGCGAAGGATTATGCTTGATCATTTCGGGGGTTGGGTTATTGTTGCTAATCGACAAACCATACACAGCATGAAGCCTTTCGAAAAGATCCCTGACGACATCCTCATGCGAACCACCAAGCATGGCTGAGTAATGCTTCTCCGCCAGATGAAGCGAAATGGAATAGCTATCCGTAAGGGTATGATCAAGAAGACTGCCAGTCATGGATGGAACCTGCCCTTTTGGGTTGACCTTCAGGTACACCTCGCTTAGATTCTCGTGAGCTTTGTGGTTGACGAAGCTCAACGCGATACTCTTGGGTGGCATTGCGTTGTGTGTCGTGGGGCCAAGCTGGACCGTGTGACGAGCCATCATGGAGTAGAGGGAGAATGGTGACGAGTAGAGCGTGTACTCTGCATCTGTCCAGTCTGTCATTTTGCAGTTGTGTTAAATCTCAGTAGGACTTGTAGATATTGAAGATGGTCACTAACGTCTCCAAGGGCGGAATTACAGAGGGATATAAGAGAATGTCTAGGCTCAATATCAGCCCACCCGTGAGTAACAGTCCCACAGGACGTTGGATACTGTGCTGGTTTGAAAAGGTGATTACCCCGCAGCATTTCCCTGCAGGATCTTTGGCAAACAAGAAAGGACCAACATATTTGTTCCCTGATAACCAACAGTCTGAGAATTGTTGGTTCCCGTGTCTTTGACGTTGTCAATCATTTCCATATTTAATGGGTAGAGATGCCGACTTAACCGAGAGTTGAGAGTCGACACGATAAGGATGCATCGCAAGCTGTCGATGTAAAAACCGGATGATACTGCGATACATTCAATGACGTAGAAGCATCTATCACACTATTCACTTACTGTAAAGAGGCCTGGTAAGTCTACCATCGTGAAATGCTTGACTCATACAAACATATTAGTTATACAATGTTGTTTTAATGAGCCGCGTTGACCAGGACAAACACCTGTGGGTATCATCAAATATAACATGTCATTTCTTAAGAGGCATTGAAGTCCAACATCTTCATTTATATGCTCAACAGTCTATCCAAGGAATAGCCCTATTCAATGCCAGTAATTGTTCACCTTACCCTTCGTAATCAACCAAGCCTTATCAAGAGCGTCAACCACATCATCAGGCAAAGGCTCCTTCTCCAAAAGCCTCAGATTCTCCTCCAGCTGTTTCTTGCTGCTGGCGCCAATAATTACAGCGTCACCGCGTGCAACATCCAGCTTGGAATGGTGCGCGATCCACCGAAAAGCGCAGTCCATCTCAGTGAGGTTATGCTTTCCCGCAGCTTCTCTGATTACATCCAACGCATCGAACACGGCGTCGTTCCAGAAGCGTCGTCGGTACTTGCGGCCTTGGAAGGTGTTTGGGTCGAAGCGCGACATGGACTCGATGGTATTGTCCTGGGTGTCGCGCTTGTATCGCCCTGTGAGCTGACTGCCGGCGAGTGGGCTGAATGCATAAAATGTGATGCCGTAGTGCTTGAGGCATGGGAAAAGCTCCATTTCGACAGTTCGATGAATAGCGTTGTATACGCCCTGGTAGACTGTGGGACGAATCCATCCTTCACGGATGCACAGTTCGCTCATATATGCCACTTCCCATGCCATATAGTTACTTACACCGAGTCTATTGAACTTTCCCTCTTTGTGTAGCTCATTGCAAGCCCGGAGAGTTTCCTCAAAGGGTGTATCACGATCTGGGCCATGGAGATACCAAAGGTCAATGTTGTCCGTTTTGAGTGCCTTGAGAGACTCTTCAAGATGCTTTCGCAGGTCTGAGGCAGAGTGAGTGATCTTCCCAGTCCCATCGTGAATGTTGGGGTAGAGCTTCGTGTCAACTCTGAGACCACGGCCTTTGCAGTCCAGCTGTCCCAGATACTCTTCCGAAGAACCCTGAGCGTAAACGCGGGCGGTGTCGACTATAGTGCCACCGTGTTCTCGGAAGAGATCCAGCATTTCACCCGCTTCCTTGAGATCATGGATGCGCGCCTGTTCAACACCTAGAATCGTTAGCCAAGCTCGTCGCGGTTGGTAGGAACAGACGTACCTTCTCTGCCAAAGGTCATGGCACCGAAAATAACGGGCACTCTCGAATTCTTATCATCGCCCATGATGTGTAGAAGCGGCTGTTGTGATGTGAAATGATAAGGAGAAAATTGAAAGTATTTTTTACAAGATTGCAGGCAAAGACATAGGATCCTGAGATGAGTGAACACTTTATAGATCTTTTCGTGGGAATCGGGGAACTCCAGTGGCTGAATGCCGGGCTCAATTTCAGCGAATCGGCCGCTATGAAGACGTAGCAAAGGCCCTGGTGGAATCCTGTAACGTACATATGATAATAACCCACACTGTGGTGCCCGGTAGCACCAACAGATGCTGTATAATATTGCGTGATTTTGTCTCTGCACGCCTGATCGAATGTGACAACGCGAGGTAGCCTAACCGCGGCATACACAATCGACTCCCATGATAACCTATCTGATTCTTCTGAACACTTAAACTTCAAAGAATGATCTTGTCGTCCCTGTGACACTACATAGTATCATTTAGGAAGCAATGTTGTATGTGATGAACTAAATTGAGACCCTATCTGGCATACGTTATTATGAGAACTACAATCCTATTCCGCCCACGTCACACGATTACGTTAAGATAAACATTTATGATGACCTTATTGCAGTCTTTCCCAGGCTCGGAAGTAACCCCCTATAGCCCGCTGGTCTCTAGCTACTTAATCTCTAGGTAAAATGAGACACAAATTGATCCCTTAGTTCATAAGGATGCTCCGAAGGACGAGGCAAATCCTTTGAGACATCTTGATTAACAACAACCACAATCAATGTGCTCTTCTCAGCCCACTCAAACGCCTGGATGAGACCCTCAGCACTATCCACAAAGAACTTCTGCTTGTAGGGCAAGCTTCCAGCCAAGGCAAGCAAGTTGGCAGTGTTGATGGGAATTGGCTGGTTGCCTGTAGAGCAATGAATGCCGTTGTGAATCACCACATGGATGAGCTTGTCTGAAGCTTGGGCGGCTAGAACAGCGACGTTGCCAACGTGCATCATGAATGAGCCGTCGCCTTCGACGCAGACGACGCGGCCTTTGGAATGTCCGATTTGGACGCCAAAGGCTAGTGGGTATGTGTGGCCCATGGCGCCGATGGATAAGAACGCACGAGAGAGATCTTCCTTCTGTTCTTTGCGGACCATGTAGATCTCGCGAGAATTTCCACCAACGGATGAGACAGTGACATCTGCTGGGTAAAGGCGTTTGAGAACAACGCGGATAGCATGCTCTCTTGAAAGATTCAGTGTCCCTTCAGAAGAGCGCCAGTCTTCCACTCTGGCGGTGTGCTTGGCAATGTTTGTGACAGCTGGGTGCCAGCTCCCATTGCTCTGACCATGTTCAGGGGTGTAGGCGCCAAATCTATGGTTCGGAACCACAAGAGCAACAGGCGTATTGCCCTCCCTGGCAGCTTTGATGAGCCGCGCAATAGCACTCGTGGTTTCCTCCAGCGTATCTGGCAGAATCTCATAAGGAAAGCCCTGCGAGTCTAGAGTATCCAGAGTACGAGGCCCAGCCAGAAGATGTTCCGGCTCATCATGCTCTCCCGGCCTTCCCCGCCAACCGACCACAAGCAGTAGAGGAATGCCAAACACCTCCTTGGCAGCCAGCGACTGAAGAGGGTTGAGAGAGTTTGCAAGACCAGAGTTCTGCATGTACGCAACTGCGAGGTTCTTGGTGGCAAGATAGTAGCCAGCGGCTAAGCCGACGGCTGCGCCCTCGCTGGCTGTGACGATGTGCTCTGGGGATTTCTTGGTGGCGTACATGTAGGCCAAGAAGCCCTTAAGGCACGAGTCTGGGACGCCAAAGGCGTGGGTAATGCCATTGCCGACGAGGGCTTGCTCGTAGAATAGACGGGGGTCAAGGGCAGCCATGATTGTTTGATAGTGATGGGGAGTAAAGAATGGATTGGACTTGGGGAGTTCTCACTAGGGAAGTATTTGGTATAACACGTATTAAACAAGGTCACAATAAATACCATCAATATGAAAGTCACTGGCTAGTAGTATTTACATCCCTTTTCGAATAACAATCCTTATCAAGCATCCGGCGACCACCGGCCACAGTACGTCGGAAAGCGTGGATATTGAATCGTCACGCATCATTACCAAGTATCCCGCGTCACGCGAGGTGTTGCCTTGTTTGGGAACATCTCACAGGAAGTTTCCTCCAAGTCTTCAGTTCTGATAAGCTTCAGCCGTTCGATGCAATGCAACTATGATACATGCCGAGATGACGTGTCTTGGTCCCCGACAGTGTTCTTACTACAGATCAGGTATGTCGATGCATATCTGCACATATATGCTCATGTACTCCACTGATCAACCTTCATCACATCTCAATTTCGCTTCTTTGGACACAAAGGTTCCCTTCCAAGGGTCGCGTACCCAGCTTCCTTTGTCATTGTCACATCGGCTAGGACGGCAGTTGCTGAGATGCAACTCGACTCCTCTTGCACCGCATCATGTTCAAATCTTGATGTTTGATAATAGATTTGCAAAGTATTAGTGATAAGGGCTGTGAGCAATACGCCTCGTGGGTGCTTACACCGATTACCCGGATCAGAAATACTTCCAAGATCGACAGCATTTCCCTGGTATCAAGGCGGATGCATCAACCCCAGTCAGTCACTCTTATGCTGGCTAAATGCATAAAGCTTATGTGATCTGAAACCTGCCAAACGCTTTAGCATGTTCGCACGGTTTGTCTCACCCCTGCAGTAGGACTTTTGCAAAACTCCGTTCCCCATGTCAGATCATGGCCTATCTTATGCTTCTTCTCTTGCCGCCGCTAGATGTGTCTGTGCCGACTTATCCGGCCGATCGCAGATTTGACTCCCCCCACTGTGTATTTCATATTCTCACACCTGACAGGGGAGATATGGTGCAAGCGGCGAAGTTTATTTCTCTTGTCTCCATGACCAGGGTTATGCATCCTTTCTGTATGGAGCAGTATGGGGTGGGTTCTTGTTTGCGATTACGCGCTCGGCAGATCTAACTGTCCTCTTTGTTAGGTGAGCTTGCGGACCAGAAGCGACCGGTCATTGATTCTCTTGGAGTGTAGAATGAACTAGGTCTTCGAGGGTAGGTCTTGGGCATTTCAGAAGCAGCCAGCGGCCGCGTAGTTTTGATGCAAGTCTGACCTCCAGTCTATGCAGAACTTTCCCATTAGGTGCTCATCTCATCTTTGTCGCGGTGACTGACTCTCTCAGCAACACTCTCTATGAGAAATCGTCTTGCGTTACACATTATTGATCGAGCTATTGTCTCATGAGACCTAAGAATGTTGCCGTTCAAGTATCTCATTTTGTTGACAGCTTCAATAATCAGTATTCAAGGTCGGTCGAACCTTTTCTGTTGTATCTACGTAGAGGCACTAATTAATACAGGCGAACCATCTTTGACCTCCGTGATACAGGCTAATACACCCTCGCCCGAGATAGGCGCTGCTCCTAGCCTTACACCAACATTTCGGGACCCTAAGGCACCTAGCCCACAAGATTGTCCAGGCTATAAGGCTACCAATGTCAAACGAGACCTGAAAGGAGTTACGGCTGACCTGACTATTGCTGGTCCAAACTGCCAAGCCTTGTATGTCCCTTGACATCACCAGAGAACCCATCACTGACTATAAATAGTGGCAATGATATTCGTGACCTCGTTCTTGAAGTACAGTATCAGGCAAAAGAACGGCTCAATGTAAAGATTTATCCCAAGCATTTGTCTGAGCAAAATAGAACCCAATATGTCCTCCCAGATTCAATCGTCATGGAACCTGGTCGAGATGATAAAACGACAATCTCCAACAGCGACCTGAGGTTTGAGTTCAGGTATGAGCATTGGTCAATAATTCAAAGTTCCTGCTAACTCAGTGCGTTAGCAACTCCCCGAGCTTTCAGTTCAAGATTACTCGTAGCTGTACCAGGGAGATCCTCTTCTCAACATATGGGCATGTGCTTGTATTTGAAGACCAATTCATCGAGGTCGTGACAAACATGGTACCAGACCACAACGTCTATGGTCTGGGTAAGAAGCTTTCCTCGCCGAGATTGGTCCAAGCTAACATCGCTCATAGCCGAGAACATACACGACTTTCATCTTGGACAGAACTTCACTCAGACCTTCTGGACCAATGACGCCGGGATAGAGCATGGCAATCCTATAGATGGGAACATCTATGGTGTTCATCCCTTTTACCAGGAGACTAGGTATCATAAAGGCAGAAATACTACCTCCCATGGAGTATATGCTCGCAACGCCCATGGCCAAGAGTGGCTCTTGAGACCCAAGACATTGACATACAGGACCATTGGTGGTAGTATCGATCTATACTTCCTTAGTGGACAGAACAAACAAGGAGGGTCAACTGCCATTGAGACCATGAGGCAATATCATGCCGGTTGCGTGGGCTTACCTGCCATGCAAATGTTCTGGACTCTCGGTCTTCATCAGTGTCGCTTGGGATATGACACCCTAGAAAAGATCGAGGCCGTTGTTGAGAACTACAGAGCTGCCAATATTCCTCTTGAAGCCATTTGGTCAGACTTTGACATGTTCGATGGCTATCGCAGCTTTGCCAATAATCCAGTCACATTTCCACCCGATGAGATGGCAAAGTGGGTAAATTGGCTTCATGAGAATGAGCAATACTACGTCCCGCTTGTCTGGGCAAACATATACCGCCCAAACCCCAACAATCCAAATGATACCTATGGCCCTTATGAGAGAGGTGCTGAGATCCAGGGTTTCATTCGAGATCCAGTATCTGGTGATTTCTACACCGGGAACAACTGGCCCGGCTTTGTTGTATGGGGAGATTTCATGCTTCCAGAGGTGCACGAGTGGTGGGCCAAGGAGCTGAAGATCTGGTATGACAGCGTTCCTTTCGATGGAATGCTAAGCGACCTCACAGAACCTGCTTCATACTGCGTAGGTCCTTGCGGAAATGACCATCTTGATATGAATCCAGTCCACGTACCCTTCCTTATACCCGGCGAGAAGTTGAACATGTTTTATGGCTATCCGGCCGGTTTCAGCGTTACCAACGCTTCAGAAGCTGCCGAGGCAAAAGAGGCTGCTGCTAATCAGTCAGTGGCCTTGGCGGCTACTCATGTCTTTCAAGTTCCGAGTACAACAGCACTAGGACGGACTGAACCAACGCCCGGTGTCAGGAACTTGACTTACCCACCTTATGTCTTGAACAAGTGAGTTCACCACCACAGTATCAGTCATCAAAGCTAATAGTCTCAGTCTGCAGCCTGGCCACGCCATCGTGAGGATGACCATCTCCCCTGACGCAACCCACAATGATCCCCTCAACACTACGGAGTATGAGATGCACAACCTCTTCGGCAATCAGATATCCAACGCCACGTATTACGGCCTCCTTGATCTATTCCCCGGCCGTCGCCCATTCAATATCGCCCGCGGCAACTTTGCAGGCATTGGCCGATATGCAACTCGCTGGGGCGGTGACAACTCATCTAAATGGGGAAGCATGTTTCTATCCATCTCGCATGCTTTGACACATATGATGGCCGGTATTCCAATGTTTGGAGTCGATGTATGTGGCTATGCACACAACGCCAGCTTCGATCTCTGTGCACGCTGGATGGAGCTGGGTGCTTTCATGCCCTTCTATCGTAACCACAACATGGGCGGTACGATTTCCCAGGAAGCCTATGTCTGGTCCTCTGTTGCTGAGGCGTCACGCCGCGCTATAGCTGTGCGATACAGTCTTCTCAACTACATCTATACTTTGTTCTACTACGCAAATACCAGAGGCGATCTTGTGATGCGGGCTCTGGCATGGGAGTTTCCAAACGATGAGAGTCTTAAGGCTACATATTCCCAATTCCTACTGGGGCCTTCCATCTTGGTCACTCCCGTGCTTACTCCCAACTCCAACACTGTTCGGGGTGTTTTCCCTGGTATTGGAGAGGGAGCTCGTTGGTATGATTGGTACACACTGGATGAAGTTCATGCCAAGCCGCAGGAGAATGTCACCCTTGATGCACCACTGGAGCATATCAACATTCACGTGAGAGGAGGTTCGGTGCTTACGCTTCAGAAGCCAGGCAATACCACAGCAGCGACCAAACGAAATCCGTTCTCGCTGCTTGTGGCGCTTGATGACAATGAATATGCAGAGGGAAGCGTGTACCTGGATGACGGAGTCAGCCTAGAACCTGAAGCCACAAAGATTGTCTCTGTAAGTCAAATCCAGCATCTATGATCGTATCTCAGTACTAACAGCCATAGTACACTTTCCGAAAAGGGGTGCTTGTGGCAAAGACTAATGGTACTTATCACTCTGACTCTCCACTTGCTAACATAACGATTGCTGGACTGAGTAAAGAGCCGAGGGTTGTAGAATTTCGCCACAATGAGGAGTCTCTCAAGAGCGCCCCGCATTTGGTAAAATTTGTCAATGGCACTGCATACATCACTGGTTTGGAACAGTATACACGGGACGGGACCTTTAAGCATGGCTTCCAGCTATCATTGAAGAAGTAGATAGACAAGCAAGACATCTTTTTGTGATTTTAAGTCTGCCTCATATGTCGCTGAATTTGTGTAGCAAGGCATTCTATCAAAATGTATAACATATTCATGCAATCTCTTGTAAATGCTCCTTTGAAAGGCTAACTTTGCCAGTGTAGGTACAAAATGTCCGATGGAGTCTAGATCATGTATCTACTGGCCAGTTCTACAACCATTGTCTATCTGTGACGCCCAAGTGACCATGTTTCAGGCCACCAACTCCAAATTACCACCCAACCGCCCGCCAGAGACGTAAGTCCCGTGAACAGGATAAGAGGTCCGTAGCTGCTGCCAAACCCCCAATGCTGGCAATCAGATATGGTTCCAGCGTTTATCAACCAAACACTCGCTGCGCCTCCAACAAGATACCCTACTCCTCTGATACCGTTGATCAATCCATAGATCAGCCCTGCATCTATCGCCTCTCCCCTGCCTGCAGAGTCATTCTCCATCTGTTTCAAGATGCCTCCCCAGGTTGCACTGTAGCCACTAGAGAAGAAGCCAAAGGTAATGGAGAAGATGACTAGCAGGAAAAGACCACCCTGGGTAGTGTTTCCCCAGAAGAGAAACACGGCTGATCCACTGGCAAGACATGGAATCGCTGACACTACCTGTGCTGAAAGAACAATGTGCTTGTTATCGCTTAACCATCCGAAAAAGGCGGAAGCAAGAATTCCCACGGCGTTTTGCGATGCCAGAACTGTGGTGCCTATCGTTTCGGAAAACAAGCCAAAGTCTTGAGCATATGTGCCGAGGTACGTCTGCGGGAGGCCATAACCAGCACCCTGGAAGAAAATAGCAATACCGTAAAAGTACATATCTGGGTGTTTGAGAAAGTGCCAGGGAATGTGTCTCTCTGGTGTTTTGTGCATCACCATTCTTGACGGCGGCACAGGAACAAGGCTGATGCTGAGGAGGCTTGCCGCACCGACAAACACCGACCACCCGATCATCGTAACGCGGAAGCCCCAGCTATCAAGCGAGGCACGCAAAAGAAATGGACCCAGCGTTCCAACGATATTCTTGCAGGAAAGTACCAGCCCGTAGGCTATAGACCGGTTGCTGGTGGTATACCATTCACCAAGGGAGAGCGTGATGGGGCTGTAGATAAGTGCGCAGCCAAACGCCGAGGTGATGCCCTGCGTGAGGACGAGATGCCAGACATTGGTGCTGAAGGTTGATAGGAAAAAACTGACGGATGCTATCAGCGCACCACAGACCGCGGCGTATTGACGCATGTATGCCCAGCGTCTGGTGAAGAGGGCGAAAAGGAAGGGCATGGAGAGGTACATGATGCCATTTGCGGTGGTACCAATTGCACCTGTTATGTCTTTATTACCGCTCAAATTCCAGTTGTTGAAGTAATATTCCTCCAGGACCCCGTAGCTGATGGCAAAGCCTGGACACATGTTAAAAAGTGTGCGTTGAAGCTGATGGTTTGACTTACCCCAGATTGGGATCTGGATGACCCCATTGGCCGCGAGGACGCGAATAAGCGTTTTTCTAGATATGTTGTCTTGTTTGACTTCCGTGTTTAGAATTTCGCTGGTGTTGAGCTCTAAATCCGAGTCGTATGCCTCATCGCCATGTTGACTTCCTGTCTCCATGAGAGGAATCTCATCGATATGGCCCTTAGCCACTGGTTGATATTGAGGTCTGGTCAATGTCATGGTTAGTCTAAACAGCCCTTCGAGTGGTAGAGATGGCTCTTACCCCGTCATGGTTTGTATTTCTCGAGTAGTTTGACTACAATTAAATTGAGTGTTCTACGCCTTTGTTCCAAGTGTTCTGCTTGTAGCTGTCTGCGTGCTCGTGTGCTCTCACTCTCAATATGGTCAAGAGAGAAAACTAGTGAGATGGCGGGAGCAGCCCTGTACAGGGCCAGCTTCGGAACAAACGGCAATGTTGATGCAGCCGATGACTGATGAGGCGTATGCAGACGTCCACTTCTGTTTATCAATACCAGGATCATACTGTGCGTGGGGTGCCCATGCATGGACAACGACGGCATTTGGGCTGTGAGATCACTAGGGCGTGTGGCTATCAATTTTCACGGTGTAGATCACGTCTGGGGTTCCTTATCGGGGAATATGTTACATCCCTGCATGATTCATGACACCATCGCAGCCGTTTCCCCGAAAGGACAGCAAGATTCTACTTCGCTTTAAGAAGTTAGTCGCGTGACCAGGTTTTATCACTTTCCGCCCACCCATTAAGCTTTCCGCTGGCGTAGGAGCGGACTTGTTTTGTGTAACAGGAAATCTTGCCGCATTTACGACGGAGACTCCGCCGCGGCAACAGTAGAATGAGGCCATTCTGCATCGGCAGGTCTTCTAGTTCCAGTAATTACCAATAGCAAGACGCAGTGATATTAGGAGGATTCGTGAAAAGAAAGCTAATGCAGAAGATTTATTGCACCATTGACGGCAGATGTATTGTTAAGCGTTGACAACTACCCTTGCACTGACATGTAACGATCGAATACCACCTCAAAATCTCCCCGCGTATCCTTCCCTGCACTTACGGATCTTTCGTACGGGCCGATAGCGCCCGCAAAACAAGCTTTCGCTAACCAAACCCCGTGCTATCTTCACTTCAATCCGCGTGAAGCACCACCTTGTGCGGGCGGTCATCCACCTGAACACCACCCCTGCGCCTCCAATCAGAGTCGTGATAGGGCAATTTCCAACCCCCTTCGCTCTCGGGCGTGGACAGCCACAGCCGCAAAAGGTGACGGCGCGGAGCCGGCGGCTCGTGGTCCTTGTACGACGTACGAGAGTGGTAGAGATGGTTGTTTGTCATGAAGTGGACGTCTCCGATCTCAAGCACATTGCGGATTGACTCGCGGAGGCATGTCTGGTCGAAGAACTCAATTGCCTCGGCTTGGGCATCTGACATTGGAGGGATGACGCCTTTGTCTGAGAAGCGCTTGAGGGATCGGACATAGTTGGGATCGAACCTGGAAGATGTAAGTCACAGATCTACAATAGGAAAGTCGCGTAAAAGAGGCCTTACTTGGAATAGACACGGCCATTGCCCTTCTCGATGTAGTAAATGGCACATCGAATGTAATCCTCCTGTCCCGTGCTTACTTCCCCCTTGCGGTCAAAGTACCAAATGGGTTGGGTGAGCAGTTCAGCAATATCGGGACGTTCCTCCTGCATAACATTCCAGACTTGATGCCCCGAGACAATATCGTTCTCGCCCCCTTCATGAGGGGTATTGAGGCAGAGCAAGCCAACAATGTCCGCAGGATCAGCGTGAAACGTCTGCCTGAGCCAAAGTCAGTGTCGATCCTAATCCCTGAATATATACGCGCCGCTTACCTGGCCGTGGTTCGGTAGAGTCGAACTTTGTGAAAATCTGCCGGGTTCTCGCCCAGGTCTTTGATATGGCCCAAAACATGGCCTTTGCCATTCTGGCTCACAATATGGCCAAAATGAGCCCCCATGCCCATGTAAGCGGTGGAGGACTTGCGCATTCCCCATTCTTTGACGGGCATGCCTTGGAATAGAATGAAGCCGTAGCCATTGATCATATCATCCCGAACCTTTTCAAGATACTTGCCCATTTTTGGAAGGGGAAAGAGATCCTGATAGTCAGTCAGTGGAATATCCCTTCATCGAAGTCATTATGCTCAGTGCAGTGGTTTATACGTACCTTGCGCATTTCGTTCAGATCTCGTCCGCTCGAGATGTAGTTATCGGCAGCGGTGCCCAGATCCTCAAGCTCTTCCGCAGTGAAAGGATGCTTCCAGAGAGCCTCCTTCTCAGGAGAGCCTGACAAGTCATCCTTGGTCCATGCCGTGATTCCAGTTATCTTCTTAGGAAAATCTGAATACGGGTGGATTGCCTCATAGAGGGGAGGCTGCTGTCCTGTAGTCTTGTAGCCATCAGGAAAAAGAGCAGACTTGGGCTTCACCTCAAGTTTGGTACGGTACTCAGTCTTTGGGAGCTGAGAGAAGTCCGTAGGTGGCTCAACTAAACCGGGAACCATTTTGATGGACTATGGGAAGAAACGTGGGCTCAATGGTAAGTAATTTTGTTGTAGATGCTGGGTTTTAGAACACTCGATATCTTAATCCTGACTACACCAAGGTTGTTTCTACGTTAAGAAGGCATCTTATATCTTCACCCATACCCTAGATAGGCCGGATCAAGAAGCTTGATGTCACGCGTCAACCGTCCCTCGTAGCCGTATTAGTCGTTGACATGTTCCTTTGACCTGTTGGTTTGTCATGCCATTCTGCAGATGCATGGAAATCTGGAGGGTGTCTACTTAAAACCTGATGGTGAACTTGGTGCCGCGATATCTAGTAAGCGGCTAACAAAAGGTGGCAATCTTACTCCATAGAGGAAATACGACGCAAGATGGCATGACGTGTCGCGGGAACGATGCAACGCTATGTGCCATATTCATGCAAGATTGAGAACGCTGCTTATCAGATGGGGTAAAACCAGGTTAATCCCCTCCAGTACAAAGTTCATACGGTAGGTATACTTAGCTAGCTGCATGATATCAAACATGACTAAATACAGGGCTTGACGTGTCAGCATCACAACCTTCGATGTTATCACTTGTATCTGCTTCTACTTTGGGTTAAACGGAAGGATTCATGTAAATGATAACTCAATTGACTAACTGAAAACAAGAGATAAGAACTACTATACTACCCCTCAAAAGAAATCTGCCTGGCCAACAAGATCTGCCACAGAGACAACCTGCTTCGCATTGATCGACAACAACTCCTTCACAGTGATAATCCTTGCATCAGCTTCACATCCCGCCAAGTCACCCTCCAGCAGATCAAGAACCGTAGCCTGAATACTCTCAGACGCAGTAGCCTCGGCAACAATCCTGTACATCCTGGCCTCATTGCTCTCATCTCCCCAGACGCTGTTGCTCTTGAGCTTCCGCAGAAGGCATCCGTAGTTACGCGCCTTGATCATGGCTCGCGCCTCATCGTCATTGTAGAACAGATCCGTGTTCTTGGAGAGGATCTTGTCAGAGATGGATCCCACGGCGTTGATCTTGGCGCGCATCAGGTGGTTGGCGTAGATGATCACGTTGGCGCCAGCTTCGTAGAGGTCGACCTTGGGGGTCTTGGAGTAGGCAGTGGGAACGACGACAAGAGGCGTGCTGTGGTCGAACTCGCGGTATTCGCGCAAGAACCGGAGAACTTCATCTGGGGATTTGCTCTTGGAGTGAATCATGATGGCATCGACTCCCGCCTCGTGGTACACCTTTGCTCGCATTATGGCATCCTGGTGGGAGGCTTCATAAGACCTCTTCTCCTCTTCTGGGTCAGACTTTGCGACTCTGCAGCAGAATGACTCGATACGCGCAGTGACCATGGGGCTACTCTTGGTAGTGACGGCCTTGAAGGCGCGAATCACTTCAGCGAATTCGTCAGGGTCCGCCAGAGCCTGGGAGGCAGATGTCGTGGCAAGAGAGTTGACTTTCTGGCCAGGAGCTGAAACGGCCTTGTCTTCGATGACAATCATGCCAACTCCCACAAGGTTAAGTAGTGCAACCAAAGCGGGAATCTCAGCAATATCGCCACCACTGTCTGCGTCAAACGCAGCGCAAAGTGAGCGATTGCTTGTTTTGCGCTTCAACTCTCCATCCAGAGCAAGCAGTGACGCCCTCTGCAGAGGTGAGACGGTCTCGCTGTCTGGGATGCCGAGGTAGGTAGTCTGGCAGAGACCACTGTACCAGATGCCATCGAAGCGCTGGCCTTTCTTGCCGACGGCACTTCTGATGATCTCGGTTGAGTTGCCATCGTGAGATTCACAGAGGGTGATTCGGCCTTGGTTTTGAGCCAGCTTTGTCCGCACTGAGGAGAATGCAGGTGAAAGACCGTTTTCTTTGTGTAGAGATCCCATTTTATGATGGTATATGGGGAAATTGGTAGTTTCTGTGCGTGTTTACGCCTGATTTGGCAGTGAAACGGGACGTGATAGTAATAGAATGTTTGCGAGTCTTGGGAATAGAAGATAGTTCTATGTCCCAATGTTGGCGTAGTCGGGTTTTGTTCCTTGATATACTTTTCACACTTATCAATTCATACCTCGATTTGCAATAATGTACAAACATTCCGCCTACTACACGCAATTCACATAGCTAGTCGCTCCCTACCTACTGGAGTCTGTATGTGGCTAGCAACGATCCCCGGGCTGTCCTCTTATCACCTCTCTCGGCCGATCGAGCAGGTAAGCGGATTACAACCTACCTGGAAGATATCCAATGTTAACGACAATAGTCAGGTTCCGTTTCAATATTACACGCCCTCATCTTATTCTCACGTAGATAATTAGATAACAGATTTGTGTCAGATGGGTGCGAACCATGGTTGACCCTGAAAGTTCTACTCCAAGTTCAACATTGGTGTCGATAACCCCACGCGATCAACTTCCTGAAACGGTACCATGGAGATTCTCTGTCCTATTCCATGTCTTCTTTGGTCCCCGCGAGTAAGGCATAATCCGACAGGTCGACATGCATATTCCTTGATCACCGAAAGTTGATCACGTCTTCGTTTTGCCAGATGGTGCGAGTAGAGTTACATATTGCTCACCTACTCAGATAGGAAGCATTGCATCTGATGTCATGTTCAAATATGAATGGGATCGTCAAGAACCACCTTCAATATCTGAGACAGGAGGAGATTGTATTCCTGGATGGTACTGTTCCATCTCCAGGTTGCAGATCCTGCAGGAGCTGATCCTAATAAGCATGCAGCAGCGCGGCACAGACCTTAACGTGCCGATAAGCGTATTGCGGGGGACACGAGCTGCGGTGTATCAGATCATTAGAGGTTTGTATATTCACTTAAACATGTTTACTGTGTGGAGACCGGCAGATTAGGTGCCGCCGGAGACTCCGTTTTAGTTCCGCACTATCCTATATCCCGGCGGCCCGGCCCGAATCGCCAAGTTTTGACTATCTTGCAAGGATCCTGCCAAGGCATTTAATCTCAGGCACGAGAGCTATCTATCATCCGCATGTATACGGAGTAGTAGCTTCTTACAAGTGTCGGGATGCATGGATCGACAGTCTGACTGAGTCATGCAGACAGTCACGGAAAACTCGGCACAAGGCAATGTACAGGGGGTTGCTTTTAAGCGAAAGGTTCATGCCGGAGTGGCAGCTACCAGAAACCAAGCTGAACAGCCAGAGATGGATCTGAGATAAGACCGGTATCTGATACAGGGATGATAACCGAAATGTGTCGCTCCGACGAGTACCCAATACCTTACTTTCCACCTTTGGCGCCCTCTGCGAGATGGATGTTTGTGCACACCTGAGATGTACCCCTCCTATCATCTTACTCAAGGGTTTGAGGTAATGGGAAAAGGGGAAAGTGGTCTTGTGAGGATAAGCGGCTTCTGGAAACGAGGTTACATCTGGAGTGCTAACGGTGTCAAGGTGTTTATCGTAAGAGAATTCGTAATCGCCTTCCGTAGGCATTTGTTTGGACGCATGTCTACACCGCACTGAAAGTAGAGTACCTACGAGAACACTCTTCTTCATCTCTGCTACCCAATCTGGTATATAAACCGGTTTGACAGTTGGACGAGGCTGTACCGTCATTCACATGCAGCCGTAAGCATACCACAATGTATCGTCTCTCTGTTCTTTGTGCCCTCCTCGCCTCAGCTTATGCCGAGGATGTGCCTCCACAGTTCGACGACGGTCAACTCACCGGTAACGGCTTTGGCATTCCTGGTATCAACGCTACCTACGATTATGTAATTGTTGGTGGTGGGACTGCAGGAGCTCTCGCAGCAGCTCGTTTGACTGAGCATACCAACGCCACTGTCGCTTTGGTTGAGGCGGGAGGCTTCTATGAGCTGAGTAACGGCAATGTCAGCCAACTGCCCTTTAGTATGTCAAGAACATCGACTTCTTATTCAGCATCTGGATTAACTAACACATTATAGGAATTAATGATTGGAAAGGTTCCGGTGGCGCAAATAGCTGGCAACCACTCATTGACTGGGGCTACTTCACTGAACCGCAGAATGTGAGTCTCAACACACCACCAAGGAAGAGCAATGCTAATTGTCTACAGAATGGAAAGAAAATACACTATGCACAAGGGCGAACCTTTGGTGGCAGCAGCGCCAGAAATCTGATGATGCTCAACCGTCCGACAAAAGGCGCTTACCAACACTGGGCTGAGAAAGTCGGCGACGATGCTTTCACCTGGGACAATATGCTAGAGTTTAACCAACGGACTATCAAGTTCTCAGAAAATACCCATCGCCGACCCGCAAACTCCACGCCACTATCTGACTTCTCTGCATTCTCTGATAAGGGAGGCCCATTGCATCTCACCTATCCAAGTTACGTATTTCCAGTCTCATGGGACGCTATCAAGGCGTTCGAGGCGCTGGGGTTCAAGCAAATCCCAAGCTTTACTTCTGGTGTCTTGCAAGGTTGGGGATGGTGGCAATTCTCTATCAACCCCGAGACTGGTCTTCGAGACTCTTCTGAGAGTTCGTTCCTTCAACAATCTCTTGGAAAACGTGGTTTGACTACATACATCAATACCATGGCTCGCAAGGTTCTGTTTTCTGGTACCAAGGCTGTTGGTGTCACTGTCGACAACTACGGCCAGCAGCCGTTCAACCTGACGGCCAGGAAGGAAGTCATCGTTGCCGCTGGGCTCTGGAGTACGCCTCAGCTTCTGATGGTATCTGGAATTGGACCTAAAGAGACACTAAAGAAGTTCGATATCCCTGTCTTGTCAAATCTTGAGGGCGTAGGTCAAGGAACACATGATTCGGCTGCCGTTCATGGGCCAATCTGGGAGATTGAAGGCCTCTCAATCGGAGGCTGGAAACAGCCAGAGAAATTCCAAGAAGCGGTCACCGAGTTCAATCGGTTCAAGAAAGGACCATTGACCAACGGAGGTGTTGACGTTGGCGCGTTCGAGAAGATCCCCCTCGCGAATCTGAGCAAGAAAGCCCAGGAAGATCTCGCCCAGTACCCCGACGACTGGCCGGAAGTCGAGTACATTATGCAAATGGTTGATACTCCATCTGGTGCAACTGGCAAGAACTATGCTGCTATGACCATTAGAATGGTTGGGACTGTGAGTCGTGGAAACATGACCATTGCGTCGGCGAGCAACCTAGATGCTCCCATCATCAATCCGAACTGGCTGCTTGCAGACACGGATAAAGAAGTAGCGCTATACGCACTGCGAAGAGCTCGAGAGTTGTGGAAGCACATTCCTTCTCGCATTGGAGAGGAAGTCTATCCAGGTGCTAATATTACGAGTGACGCGCATCTGTTGGACTTGACATATGACAATCTAGACCCAACCCATCACGGCACCGCATCTTGTGAGTAGAACCACCATTTATCTTGGAATCTAATAGTAATATTCACAGGCGCAATGGGTAAAGCTGACGATCCTTTGGCCGTAGTCGACTCCAAGGGCCGCGTCTTTGGCGTCAAGAACTTGCGCTTGGTCGACTCTTCTACCATGCCGCTTACACCACCTGGCCATACCATGGGTCCAACTTATGCCAATGCGGAGAAGTTGATTCAAGACATCATCGATGCGTATGAAGCTTCGCTGTGAGTGAGGTTACTGGGCATTTTTTGGCGCTGTTGTGCAAAAGTGTGAGGTGATTGGCAAATTTGTCGGAGGGCTAGTGCTTTGTCCTCCGGGGTAATCCCGTACATATCTATTGTGCTTATCCTGGCTGTTCTATTCGTAGAATTATACAAGCCATTCCTAGCTTACTACGGAATAGAAGGACTTATAAATATGATACTGAGCACTAAATGAACTTGCTATATGATAAAATGTGGCTGGCAGGTGAGGCATGTCTGTGAGATAGCGATAACGTGCAGAGGTTAAAAGACCTCTCGATCCCTTGCCACATATTTTCGGATGGTCCTGGTCCTTCTTCAGACCTGATATTTACGACTCCGATTTCGGCATTAGATACGTCAAGATAAGGGCTCACCATCTGTCTCACCCCTGTAATAGAAAATCGGTTGTGATAAACAGCAAACCAGACGCTCATTTGAGGGCCTCGCAGTGCTACGTAAGAGGCAGACCGCTAATTCGCATACGTAGCTTCTTACTCCACAGTGCAGAAAGGTGTGTGCGTGACCTGTATGGGTGTGGTATGATCCATTCCTGTAGTGGAAGTGGCTGGTATTTGTGCTGATCAAAACCGCCCACCGTACTGTCTCACCTCCCCAACGTCAGTGCTGGACCTCTTTATCTGTGAAAACTTATCTTTCTTTACACCAGCACAAACCTATGGTAGTTTTTACAGTAAAACATCACTACCGAAGATCGAAACAGTTTTTGAAGTCATCTTCCCAGCGTGGTATGCAGTCATTATTCTTTTCACCCAACACGGACTAATAGCTTTGCCAGCGCCATCATGGCAGACCCAGAAAAGAAAGAGGAACCCCAAAGTGGCCCAATGCTATCTGAAAACTTCCAGGAAAGCATGGATACAGCAGACCAATCTTCTCACACTAGCGATCACACTAGCGATCACACCAACGATCAAGGCGGTCTGACCCCAGAGCAAGAAGATAGGAAGAGGCTTTACGTCCTCTGCGGTTCAGCACTGATGCAACTCCCCCTCTGGGGTAAGTATTAATCATGTTCGACAATTGGACCAGCGCTAACACACACAGGCTTTTGCTTGAGCTATGGTGTTATTGAAGAATACTGGACCAAGGACTGGACCCTCCAAGGAGACAAAGCCATCACTGGTATTGTGGGCACCACATCCAACGGTGTCATTTACATCTCCATGCCGTTTCTGTTTGCCATCTTTACTCGGTATTGGGCCCGTTATCGTATCTGGGCAGAGCTTGTCGGCATCGCCATTGCGTTCCTTGGGTTTATCCTGTCTTCGTTCAGTACTCAGGTTTGGCACCTACTGGTAACCCAAGGTATACTGGCTGCATTCGGGTGTACGCTCGTATATAGTCCGGCGACATGTTCCCTCGGAGAATGGTACGCCAATCGTAACCGAGCTGTAGCATACGGCATTATTCTCTCCTGCAGAAACATTGTCGGATCTACCTGTCCGTTCCTTATGCGATACCTTCTTGACCAGTATGGCTTCCGGTGGACAATTCGAATCTGGGCTTTCATCGTGGCCGGCTCTGGTCTGCTCTCCATTTGTCTTGTGCCAGTACACCCTTCCAAGATGACGCCCCGCAGTGAGAAACCCCCTCGTATACCGTGGACCTTTCTTAAGCACCGTGGTATATACATATATTTCGTTGCAGTTACCCTTCAAAGCGCAGGGTATTGTCTCCCGCAGACCTATCTTCCGACCTTCGCTAGCGAATTCAACAACTCTAGCCAAGCTATCTCGACCCTTCTTCTCACCTTACACAACATCCCAGGCATTTTCTCGTGCTTCTTCTTTGGCTGGCTTACGGACAACAAGTATCACCAATTCTCCGCTGCAAGCACGACCTGCCTATCCGCATTCGCCTCATCTGCGTCAGTCTTGTTGTTCTGGGGCTTAGCTATCCAGGATAGCGTTGCCATGGTTCTTGTTTTCGCAATCTTCTTTGGCTTCTTTGCTGGCGGTTACAGTGCAACGTGGGGAGGCGTCGTGAAAGAGCTTGAGGCCGAAGCGGAAGACCATGGCGAGACTATCGACTCCAGCCTGACTTATGGACTGCTCAATGGAGCGCGAGGTATTGGGTTTGTGAGTGGTGGCCTTGTAAGCATCCCATTACTGGACTCGGGACATCCTGGCTGGGGCGGGAGATTTGGCTACGGAACAAAGTATGGTCCCCTTATGGTATTTACCGGAATTGCTGTAGCGTTTGGTGGCTTGGGGATGCTGCGGACGTTCAGGTTCCATCGCCAGAAGACTGCTTCTTCGGCCTAGGGGATTGCAGAACGTTGCTATCAGTCTGACATGTTTGGCGATCAGTGTAATTGTCTCCTAGACTAAAAGTCCTCTTCTTTTGACTGCTACAAAATCTCTTCTTATGTTTACTTTCGTTCCGTACTCTATCGGTCTTATTAAAGGTTTTCTTTGTGGAATTCCTTTCTCAGCCGAAGGATCTAAGCTTATACTGAGATTAGGCATAAGATATTTACACCTTCGAAAGAATAACATATTAAGGACACGGTCAACTTGAGTGAATTTGATATACCAACGATAAATGTCGACCTATGGTAAGGAATGAATATAGAAAATGAAATAAGTACAGTTGATGAGCAGAAAAGTGAATGGTGTCCATATGTTTTTGGTCTAGTGGGTGCCACCTCGTGCGGAATCCCCAATCTTACGAAGAATATTGATACATAGATCCGTAAACTCCGATGACATTAAGGGGACTTTAATCGCACCAATCAGGTCGAATTCGGCCATGGTGCTCGCACCAGTCCTCGAGAAATCCACCAACCGCCGTTCAACTTCTTTCAGGCTCTTCATGAAAGCCTCTTCCTCTTCCTCAGCTGGAGCAAACAATTCCCGGATAGTACGTATGACAGGCAGATAATAAAGACTGATACCTTTTCCTACGGCGTTCTTAGTAGTCTCAGGTGGTTCCCGAATCTTGGTCTGACAAAAGTGATCCATCCTTGAAATAACATCCTTGGTGGTGCCATCCACGTAAGATTCATGGATTATACTGCCGAAAAAGTGCGCCAGATGCATATCATGTGTCTCCAGGGTATTTTCAGCTGTTTTAAACATCTTTCCAAAGTTCTCATACCACTCCAAACTGTGCTTCAAGGAACTACCTATCCTCAAGGATCTTTTGTCATAAATCTCTGAGTCAAAAAGAGACAACTCTAGAATAAAAATTATGTATTCTGCTTGCTGTTTCCAGAAATCAGACCACGCTGGGATTTTGTCGGTGACTATTTTCAAATAGCAGAGGAGTGATTGTCGAATGGGATGCCTTTGTGAGAGATCCACCGATTGTGTTCCCTCAGTTTCTTCGTCTGCGAATTTCTATATACACAGTTAGCTTTATACTTCAATACCTTCTGTAGTACGATATCAAATAAGGCTTACCAAATTGGCAAGCTCCTTTCCAAGTAGTATTACTCTTAGAATTAGTGCTGCCGTATGTTTCAGCTGGCTAAATGATAGTGTGTTGAGTTTGTTGACATAGCCTTGCAGCTGTTGAAATAGCTTCTGCTCCAGCCGGCGTTTAGTGATCCAGATTAGGATATGTAGAGTTTTGCAACCAACATCTGTAGCTTCCTCATTGGAAACGTCAGACATTGGGTTCTTCCAAGATTTGAACTCAAAATCTGGGAAAGCACAAAATAATAAATATAGCTATTACCCTACATTAGAAAGCATCTTATTTCAAGACAGTAGACTTACCATATCTTCCCCCTTCTCTCGATACCGAGGTGGATTAATGAGAATCGGATGTTGATGCCAGGAAGATGGCTCTAGTTGAACGTCTGCGATTTGGGATAGATGATCAGACATGGGCGCGTCATTATCAGCAGCCTTTTCAAGCATAGATTTCAGAACATTTGCGGCTGCAATCCAGTTTACCAGAGCGTAAGTCTTGAATGGCGGATTCAACGTCTGAGACTGGATCTTTCCGTTTGCACCGCTTTGGCCAAGGTCACACACCAGAAGTCCGGCTTTCACTACTGTGGCTTTGTCTAGATTCTCGAGGGCTTTCTTCTGAGCTGTAGAGTCTATTGACTCAATAAAAACATTAGCAACTGATTGTTCACCAAGGGTATAGGATGACGGACCCAGAAAGTAAGGCTGTTGCTTCACAAGGTCGAAGAAGTTTGCCACGGCACAGGGAGAGATCCAGAGGGTCGCTTTTGACAGATGAAGGCAAGATTCGCAAGGAAGACCGCCATTGCACTGTATAGACATCATCAGCATTCGACCTTATTTGGGGTTAAATCTTTTCGCCGGCAGTACCCTCTGTTTCAGTCTACGACACCTGATGCAAACCCCTCGTCGCCGCATTTGTTTGCGGGCATGTCTTTCCTCAGCTGAAAGGGGGCCCTTCGTGCCACCTCTGCGGAGTGGTGGTAGCGTAACTGGCCGAACTGGACCGAGAGTGCCCATCGGTAGGGCCGCCGTCGCAATCGGTAGATGCATTTCTGCTCTCGGAGTGACTAATAAAGGCTCATTATGCGGGTGCAATTCCTGGGTTGGAGCTCCAGAAGGGACAGATAGGATTGACTGAGCACTCTTTCCATCAAAGCTTGGTACATTCTGATGAGATAAGGTGCCATGCGAGATCTGGGCCCCCAAATTAGTAGATGCATGAGAGGAGGCATCGAAAATGTCCAGGAGGTCTGATGGCCAGACCGCATCATTTGAGAGATGCGTGCTATCTGCAGTTATTTCTCCGATAGTGATGTTCTGATCTGTATTGTTGAAGTCTGTTGACCAATCGAGCGAAGGGCTCCAAACCTGATTGAGAGAAGTGTTTAGCCATTCAAATTGACCGGTTTCTGCACTCGAGGATGCTCCCATTTCAATGCAATCGCCGAGGGCCTGATCACATATCGGTCCCTCGATTGGCCACATGTCACTCAAGAATGTATCAAGATTGACGGTCTCAATACTTTCGCTCTGAGGCATGGTTGTGAAGGGCTGAAGTGAGAGCTCGAAGTTGGGGTCGAAGGCATCCAAAGGCCAGGTGCCATTGGCATTGGTCTCTTCCTGCTGGATGTTAAGGTCGAGCTGACTCATGCTGTCCATAGCGTTGCTTTGCGACCAATCGACCTCAAATCCAACATCTTCATTCGACAAGTCGAAGTCAATCTCAGCAAGAGGAAAATCAGCCAGCATGGACGTGGGCAGCAAGGGCATGTTGTGGGTATCGCAACCAAAGTCAACAGGTGCCTGGCCTGGTTTGCAAGTGAGAAGGATGTCATAATCGATAGTAAGAGAGGATAGCGCTTAGCTTGTGAGAACTTACTGTTAATTTCCTGCAGAAATCCAAGTCCTGCTTCTTCATTGATAAGAGCATCAGGCAGGAGTGTTTCCGTGATTTCAGGGTTGAGGGTCAGCTCGGCCAGCTCAGAAGATTCTTCCGAAGGAAGATCCATGTTGCAACTGTGTAGATCGTTGAGAATTGCTACACTCTTAATTATACCATCTTGGTTGAAGGGACCATACGCTGGTCTTATATGTCGTAGAGACGCTTCTGACTTGTAGCTATGCTTGGCAACCTAGCCCACTTTTCCACAGTCTTTAGCCAATGTTAATGGGAACCGGGTAGTTGAAAATCAGCTTAGCCCCGTCGATCAATAACCGTCCAATAACAAGGTGAGCCGGCGAGAGCGCCAAGACAGACAAAGGCTGGGGCTAGCATACTACCAATCACAAGTCGGACCGGCTGCGAGTTTGTGCTTGTGGACGTTGATAAGTCCTCTAACTGGAAAAGGAATAGCACGAGTCGGTGCGGATGCTGTGTGAGATTCTGATTTCCGTCTTGCTACTCATTGACCATTCTCTTCATATTTTCTAGTTCATATGTACCACTTCAACGAATTAGCGTTCTTTCAGGTTATCAAATAAGGCCGGGCTGGATCGTTCAAGTTATCCAGTTCTCCCTATTCCTTTGATAGCAGCTGTTGTATTATACAGTCTCATGCAAAAATTCCAATCAAGCTTAATTAGACTACAGATTATAATAGATGTCTACTTTAGATACGTAATAATTAAAGTACTTTGTATATCATATCATCCTAAGATTATACAACCATATGTAAAATAAAAGATTTTAATATAATCTAATACTATTTTGTAAACTTTGATCACTCTCATAGACACTGAGCAATATTACGTGAGTCTTAGGGTTGAATATAAGGCTTTCTCTTGTCTAATATCATACGCGTGTTAACCAAATTTAAGAAAATAAAATAGCAAAGTTGATGTTTTTTAACTAATTCTCAATACTTCAAACGATATACGGACGCCAAATTGGGTTGTTGGTCCAGTCGTGTAGGATCCACGGGCAACTCACTTCCCTCAAATCAGAAACCTGGAATGCTTCTTTCTCCTTGATAAATACAAACTATTCCACCTCTCACTCAGTAGCTGCAAAGCTAGCCGCAACATATCGACACATGGCCTCAGCCACCTCTGGCAATCCCTCATGGGCTCACCCGCTTCGCTTCTGTAAGTTTGACTTGCAGGGCTCTCTTATCCCAGAGCAGAAATACTCTTTGATCTAGCCAGCCCTTACTTTCTGGCAACAACTCGAGATCGAACTTCCAGAGTAGGCGGGTTAACAAGAGGCGCATCTCAGTGTATGCCAAACTGTTGATGAGAGTTAGCGGTTAGTTCTATCACTCCTGTAGTGAGAAACTTACTTTTTACCAATGCAATCTCTGGAGCCAGCAGAGAAAGGATGAAGAACGGCCTTGGAATCATTTGCATATGCCGGATCACCCAACCATCTTTCTGGGGTGAACTGCTTGGAATCTTTGAAGTTGAACTCTGATGTAAATGCTGGCCAGTGAGGCACAACAACCGTAGTCTAGCGTTCATACCAGGTTAAACATCTCCTCACATACTTGACGTAATTCTTGTCACTTACATTACCAGGTACCCAGTAACCTTCCATAAACTCGCCTTCGGTTGGAGTAAACCTCGAGAACCCAGCTGGTGCAGGTGGGTCTAAGACGCTCAATGTTAGAACATGCGCGCATCATAAACAAACAAGGCTGAGGAGTTGGTAGACGGCTTACACATGCGGAGGGTTTCCTGGAATACTGCCACCAAGTACTTGAGTTGGTCACAGCGACCGACTGTGATTTCTTCCTCGGAGTTGAAAGCGGAGCGGATCTCTTTCGTGAGTTTATCGTACTTGTCGCGGTTTGTCAAAAGTAAATAACTAGCACCACTGAGAGCTGTAGCAGTTGTTTCGCTACCAGCCGTGATGAGTAAAGACGAATTCTCAATGATCTCATCTCTGGACATCCCCCTCTCATCGTTAAAACGAAGGACATATGACATGAAGTCATGGCTCTTGGTGTCATTGGAATCAAGACGAGCGAGCGCTGTATGCTCTGCGAACTGTAAGGTCTCGTGATACGCCGCCTTGAACTTTGACGGAACGAAGCAAGGCATCAAACTCTTTAGGCCCAAGCGAACAACGGACTGGGAGATAGGAATGACCCTGACGCTGTTGAATATGTTGCTGACCCAAGGGTGATAATTACCACTCTCCAGACACCCGAAAGATTGGCCGAGGGTTAGATGGCCGATCAGGTCAAAGGTAGCGAAGTTGTACCAAGCTACGAGATTGACATCAATCCCCTGATGAGCTCTTTCAGTAAGCTGAGTCATGAAGAGATCTACATAGTGTCTCATGATCCCCTCCTGGCTATGCAGAGCCTTCTGGGAGAACGCATGAGAGAGCAGTCGTCGCATACGCTTGTGATCTGGCTGGTTGGCAGTGATGAGATTCGTAACGGGACGGCCTTGTCGGTAGTTGCGCAAGTCCTTTGGAAAGTCTTTCCCTCCGGATGACTTGTGACCGTAGATAGTCTTGAATGCGCCGGCGGTGATGAATGACACATCTTCAGGGCCTACTCTGACGACAGGTCCGTATTGATCATGCAGCTTTGCAAGATGAGACATCCAGTCACCTTTGACAAGGTGGTACAGGTGGGGTAGTTGAGTTGCTCCGTACAATTTACGCCCCGGGACCTTGGCAAGTGGGTGGAGGAAGGCAAAGTATATGGCTTGAGCGATGAGATAGAGAGGCTAAAGTAGTATTAGAGACGTCATTGGTGGTAAGTGATACAGCAACTTACCACGAGCAGGAACAAGACAGCTACAACACTACTCAGGGAAAGCCTGGCAGCTGCTTCGGGGACTAAGATAGCCATGTCTCCGTTAGAACCTCAAGAAAAGAAACGGTGAGTAGATTCAGCACTTTGAATGATGTAGTCGAGATGTCTTGGGCGAGTTGAGTTGAGAAAATGGAAGGTTCTTTGGCTTTTTAAGCTCCAGCACTTAGATTCGGCTCGGATGGTACGAGTGATGATCTTCCCGCCTTGGCCATGCAGAGGCGGCAGGGGAACCTGTGGGCTTCGCCGCGTGGCCAATAGAAGTCTACGTATTGTCTAAGATTGGTTGCATCGGTTGAGGGTCATCCAAAAGTCCTTGCTGTAACTGGCTCAGACGGAACGAGATGTTTGGATGCATGTGCACCTCGGGGCCACGGAGCTTCAAGCTCAACGAAGCCCGCGGGGTCTCGAGTTAATAGATGCCCGCGGAGTATTCGTCTTAACATTCTTGATGTCATCTTTGCTCCCCTGGACGGGGGTTGAATTGCCGAGGTATTAATAGCTGATACTAAGTGCCGATTGATCACTCGAATCCACTAGGCTCAGTTGTGCAGAGTGGAAAGTGACTTGATACGAAAAAGAGGCTTGGTTTACAAACCAACTTTGTCTCATTTGACATTGTTTCCGTGATCATATCAGGTCTTTCTCGTGTGTGTTTTTGTCAATATCTGGGGTAAAATGGTGACAATGTTTTTGGTGTGGTCTGCGCAATGACGCTAAACCCCGCACTAATGCAGGGCAGATACGATATTTGTTAATGTTCCGGCAGTGAGAGTGAGTAGTAAGCCGGAATAAAACTATCAAATAGAATCAATGATTTCATAGTGCCCGCCTTTAAAATTAGACATTAGACTGCTGACACCGTTAAACAAGCTTATCGCTGGTTATCTTGTACGCTGAGCGAATTTCGGAGTGGCTCTAGAATTGAGCCCGGAGTGCCAAACGAGCTTACTATTTGCGTTAGACCGCTGTAGATCCCTCCGAATGAAGGACGGTTAATAAGTCTCACCTCCTCTTTTGCTATCTTTCCTCTTTCCTCTTCTCTCGTCGTGGGATTATCGCTCAACTCTCAAAGATCAATCATGCGATCAATTTCATCTGTGGCCTTGAGCTTCTCTCTGGTGTCTGGCGCCTGTTCTCTGGCTGTCGCACCGAGACCTCATCTCGCTCTGCGAAGCGATGGGTCTGATGAACCCCAGCTCAAGATTCCTGGTCTGCCTTTGCCCAACGCCACCAAGTCTTACTGGCAGGATCCTCCTCACAAAATCGCAAACCTGCGCACCACCAAGGAATTAACAACATCAGACACTTTCGATTATGTGATCATCGGGTCGGGTATTTCAGGTGCCGCAACAGCCCATAAGCTGCTGGACCGTGATCCAAGCTTGTCAATCTTGATGCTCGAGGCGCGTACGGCCGCTTCAGGTGCCAGCGGCCGCAACGGTGGCCACTGCAAGGCTGGTAATTACAATGGTGTCAAGGCCTGGGTAGACACTTACGGCGAGGACGATGCCCTTCGTCTCAGCAATATGGAGCAGGATTGCGTGGACGATGTTCGTCAATTTGTGCGCTCACATAACGTCTCGAGCGACTTCACCGACGTCGAAACGGCGAGTTTGTATTGGACAAAAGACTCTTTCGACAAGGCTGTTGAGTCGATTGAGTTTCAGCACAAACTGGAGAAGCGCAGACCCAACGATGTCCCGAACAACAAGAGGACTATTATGAAAGGACAGAAGGCTCGTGATTACTGGAAATGGCCCGAGATTGTTGGTGCCGTGACCTTCAAAGCCCACACTCAAAATCCCTACCTCACTGTTTGTGCCATGCTAGAGCACAGTTTGGACAAAGGCCTCAACCTGCAGACCAACACCATGGCTCTCAATCTCAATCAGCTCGGAAAGAAGGGCAAAGATGGAGCCAAGTGGGAGGTCAAGACCAATCGAGGCACCGTCAAAAGCAAGAATGTTGTACTCGCCACCAACGGCTTCACCAACGCCCTGCATCCTGGCATTGCCAGCACTAACTTCACCATGCCTGTCAGAAACCAAGTTGCCGCCGTTACACCCAATGCTACAACATCAGGAAATCGCGTCTTTGAGCGAAGCAACAGCGTGCCTGATTTACACAGCGGTAACGTCTACATCGCCGCTCGACCTCCGGGCTCAAAGGATGAGGGTACCGTCGTCATCGGTGGTTCCACACAAATGTCGCCTACAAGGGAGAGATTTATCACAGATGATACATCGATCAACGACCAGATCGCCTACGTTTTGCACGGCGCAGCACGTACGGTATACGGATACAAGAACTGGGGCGAGTCATCAACCGTCATTCAGGACTGGACGGGCATCGTCTGCGAAACTCCTGATGAGTTCCCTCTGGTCGGTGAAGTTCCGGCTGAGGATGGCTTGTGGGCAATTGTTTGTATGAATGGGCACGGTATGGCATGGGCTTATCGAAGTGCTGAGGCATTGGTCGATATGATGACGACTGGAAAGACGCCGAAATGGTTCCCTGAGCAGTTTAGAGCACAACGGGCTTGGAAAGTCAAGGGCAACGACGAGCTATGAGCTTGTAGTTTAGAGTAGAAAGAGAATTTTAGCAACCACGTGTATATTGCTCCATCTTTGCAACCTCCAGTGAGTTCTTGATGTTAGGGAACTTTAACACAATACAGATAGAGCTGATAGACCCGCAATTACTCGAATGAAACTGTACCCCGTCCAGTAGGGCCACTCCACAAAACCACGCTCTAGTAAAAGATACGGTCGGTATTTGAAGATGGTGTATACGGCCATGTAATCGCACACGAGTTCACCAGTGAAATGTATAGTGGGGAAACATTCACAAGATTAGATCCGTGCTTGATATCCGACGTATATCTATTTGGCCACTGATAGGGTATAAGAAAGGATTCTGACAGCTTTGAGATAGCTCGAAATGATAGGTTCCAACGACCTACCGTCTACCACCTAGCAGCTTTTAGTCACCAGTTACGACGAAATCGACAAATACGTCAACTGGCGAATATCGTCCGCCCAAATTATCAACACCAACCGCCAGATAGCTCTCACCGTCCTCCGCAGTATCGATGTAGAATTGTCCGTTCCAGTCAGCACCAGGTTCGGTGACCTCGGTACATGCCTGACCAGATGGTCCTCTCGGAACACAATCTAGCCTCACCGTGCTGCATCGAAGAGTGCTTCCTGGAGTATCCGATTGTCCGCAGGTCAAGTATGACGTGCCATAGTAATAGTTTTCGGGGTCGCATAGGGTGATCGTTGCTACGTTCTTTTCATAATAACCAAAGTTGGCACAGAGGGAAATGCCGTTTCGTTCGACTCTTCCGGTACTGTCGTCGAGGACGAATCGACGGGGCTCCCAGGCATCACCGCGGTTGGCATTGAACATGATAGGAGTGCCAACAATTTCGCTCGTTTCTAGCTTCTTGCCAAGAGCAGCGCCCGGTCCTGCTACGATAAAGAAACCCGTAGGTCCTGCTGTCGCTTCGGATGTAGCAGTTGTTGTCTCTGCTGTAGTTGTCTCTGACAGAGTCAGAGTCGCGGTGAGCACAGTTGTATCAGCTGAAGTTTCGGTTGTGAGAGGTGTGGTTGCATCAGCCGAGGTTGCGGTGGTAGATAGCGTTGACGATAAATCGGTGGTGGTTGCAGCGACGACGGTTGAGGTCACTGTCTCACTCACTGAAGATTCAGTCGCAGTGGAAGCCTCGGTAGCAATAGAATCAATGGTCGATGAGATGGAAACCTCAGTGGCACTCGATGAGAGAGAGTATGCTGTGTGATTTAGTTAGAAAGGAGATCACCTGCCAATATTTCCAACACAATACTTACCAGAGGACAGAGGCTTGCATGGACCGGCAACCACACTGTTGATCCCAACAAGTCCCACAGCCAACGACAAGAAAATATTAAAAGGCATTTTAACGAAAGACTAGAAATGAATCAGAACAAAGCTAGAACCTGAGACAATTTACAAACGACGTTGTCTTTGTCTTTTAAAAGCGTCGAGGCTTGGCACTTGTGCTGTCAGCTGTGAACTATTGAGCGCTAGCATCTTGGCAGTCGCTAAGGGACCCTGAATTGACACAGACAAGACAGACTATTGATAGAAAAACAGGGGAAAATCGTTAGCGTCTCGATAGCGTTAAATTAGTTTGATTAATACTTCTTTCAAGTGCGGTTGATTCCACCAGATTAAAATTCTCTCCTGTTCTTTAACTTTGAAAGCCGCGCTTTCAATAAATTAAAGCTCAAATCAATTTTTTAGGAAATGAATTTTTAGGGGCTTCAGAACTGATTAGAAGCGTGAGAATTAACTTAATTCATTAATATTTGAGGGGGTTTGATCTACTGGGAGCGCTACTTTAAAGGCAGATAATCTTGCATTTTAACCCATAGCTACATTCTCTAGAAACCCCAAATGTGGAGGTGTACAGACCGTAAAAAATAGTATTGTGTGCCATTGCTGTTGATAGTTGGTACAGCAGGGTCTTGAAATTGTTGAAGTAAAAAAAGTTAATTGTGCTGTTGTTTATTCTAAGTTGTATGTGTCTGAGAAAAGTACAGCTTCTCGTTTATTCGTATCCACATCCTGTACCTCTAGTCACCGGCAGATCGGGCCACCTAGCCACACTGTCTCAACAAAAAGAGTAGCTCTCTATAAAGCTAACTATAGTATTAGATTAGGTCCTCCTTGAGGTACTTATCGCCTCCTTAGTTAGAAGCTTTGAAGAAATGAGGTTTTGGGAAACTCACCTTAGCTAGTCTCTCTCCTGTACTTTGTACATCAGCTTCACCTTGAGTTGTGAACAACTGACCTATAACAGCAGACTTAGCCTGCTGCACATCAACTAGATACTAATAGTAACTATTTAGCATTTGCTCTTTAGAGGAGGAGAACGGGTAGAGTATACCTCTTCGATAGTTTTATTGACAATATATCGCGTTACGATAACATCTTGTGTCTGACCCATTCTGTTCACGCGATCAAAGGCTTGTTTCTCCGCCATGGGAGTCCATTGAGGTTCCAGTAGATGGACACGAGAAGCAACTGTCAAATCAAGCCTGGATCACCATATTAGTAGATCACGTGGTGGAACCGAAGATGGAGCATTACCCAACCCCTGCAGTGCCGATGGAGGCGAGCAGAAGGTTACAATCCTTGTTGGACCGAAATCTTTCGATAGCTGATCGTCTGTTAGTTTCAGACTTACTGCCATCTATCCGTACAAAGTCAAACCCCTCTCTACGTAGAGCGGTCTGGACCAAGTCCAGCATAGAGGTCCATGTGGAAAACACGACACTATCATTCTGTCAGAAACGTTTTCTCAAGAATGGAAACGAAACGCCTGCCTTTTAATAGGGTGTAATGACGCTTGGTCACGATCAACACTTAAGTTGCGTAGTAAAGCCAGCACTTTGGACGATGGTTTGTAGTCCCGAAACTCCATATTTTGTTGTTTAATTTGCGTAGCACAGGCTATACATTCGCCATCTGGCTCAATGGTGTTGGACTCGACTTTTTTCTTCTCGCAGCTGAGACACATAACGTGACCACAGTCCCTAAGGAATAGATCTCCGTACTCAGCTTTCTGGCCAAGGCCTTTATAACAAGCTGCGCAGTACTCGATTCGGTTGCTGGAGCACTCCGCGTAGGCCTTTGGGTCAGCTGACGTCTTGAGAAGCTCTCGTACGTCATCAGGCAACATGTCCAGTCCATGATCGCAAAATTGTCGCAATCGTAGCATAGTAAGAAAGATCCTCGTGGTCGAGCCTACTGCCGTTTTGGCATCAGTACCAGTGCTCAGAATGGCGGCGTAGCTTTTCTTGAGTGCCTCATAGTCTTGGCGCTCTGTTGTGCTTAGCTCAACTCGACAAAGCGCTTTGTGGAAATTTGGAAGTTGCAGGTCATGGCTGATGGCATCCTTAGTTCTCCTTAGGCACACGCCTTGAACTAATTTCTGGAGAGTTTCGAGTCCTTGGGTAGTGCGATTCTTGACTGGTATGCTTATGCGCGAGTTGAAGGTTGCTGCCTTTTCGAATGGATACACGCCTAGAAAGCCTACCAAAGACCCGAAATCTTCCAGTACGTTGTAAATCGGGGTGCCTGTCAAGCACCAGCGATATTGGGCCCTCAACGTGGAAATTTCTCTGTACCGTTTTGTTCGGCGATTTCGAATGTTATGGGCTGTTCGTAATCAGAGACAATGTTTTGAACACTATGGGCAGACAATATCTTACCTTCATCAAGCACAATGCGATACCATTCCATGGAGTGGATTGTCGTCACCTCTGGAAATTTACAAGATTTAGACGCCTCCGAGACTACTGTGTCATATGTGGTCAGGACCACATCGTACCTGCACAGTGTTGACGCGTTTTCTTTTGAAGTGCCGTGAAATATCTTGTATGACATTTGACCGGGATGGACATGCCTATGTTCGTGTTAGCGAGACACTGTAAGAAAACGGCATACCAACTGTGAGATCTGTTTCTCCCACTCTTGCAAAACTAAAAATGCATTAGATAGAGGGCAAAGGATATCTGGGGGTGTCGACTTACGGATTGGAGTGCAGATAATCAAAGTCGATCGATTATTGAGTCCGTCGTTAGGAACCTTTGGCATGGTGTCTAGCGACGATGCAATCAACGCAATGGCAGATAGAGTTTTCCCCAACCCCATGTCCTATCGTCGGTCAGGCTGATCGTTCTTATAAATGAATGATGGGGCAGAGTCGGCGCCTCTCACATCTGCAAGGACCCCTCCACGACAAATCTGGGGTTTGTTTACTTGGACTGATCCAGTCACGAGATTCTTGTACCTATCCTCCGTCAGCTTGCATCGCGAATCGGCGCCCATATGAGTCTTCGTATTACCTGATATCGCCTTTTTTCGACTTCATAGTGGTCCACACAGAACCGAATTCGTTCTGCTCTAACCTCCCGCTCTCCTTCTCCCTCATCATCGACAGTGCCTTTAACTGATGCCTTGTATCCTCATCAGTAAAGTCTTTCACTAGAAGCCCTAATCATTTCCTTCCATTCTACTCACTTTTTAAGAACTGTCCTCAAACGCGGACTTGAAGTTGCCGATGAGAAGCTTTCAGGCCCCTGTGCGGAATCAATAACCTCTAAAAGTTGGTTCTTGTGAGGGTCCGAATCATCGAGCACTTTGGACGCTTTTGAAGGAACCGTGTTGCTAAATGCAGAGCTGATCTCTTCACCGAAGTCTGTCTGCGTATTTGGATTGCGAAGGTAATGTGGATTCCAGTACGGAGCAGATAAATCTTGGAAATGTGGATGTTGGAGGAATAGACCAGCTGAATCCAGCAATTTGCTGAAGCAGTCGCTTTGCGATTGCATACCATACAAAATCACATAAAGTTCGTAAGCAGCAATCTTCCTGCTCTTGGTCTCTTTTGGTAGCAGATAAGCTTCGAAGCTTGCCCCGTGCTGATGGTAGAGCTTTTTGAGCGTTTTGGAACATAGAGTATTGCGACCTAAAAGCCCCCCATACTTCAGGGATGTCACATTTCTTATGGTGATAATGTCGTCATCAACCCTCAGTACCACTTCACCAGTCGTATTGTAGCTATCCAATAGCGCTGATAACCTTAGATGGCTCGTTTGTACGTGGATCTACTGTCAATTAGTGAAAGCTGAACCAGGTCGACATTTATACTGACCATTCCAAAACACGTATCGAATTCACGGGCAGTATCATCTTGACTCTCAGAAGCTGACAGCCCACCGCCATGAGTTCCCCGTCCACCTGTTACTGCTATGATTTAGTTAGATTATGGTTAGGTCTATCACACATATTGCTCACAGTCTTCACTATCTTTGCCCAAATTAGAAATTAATATTGGCTGAGCAGCATCGGTAGGATCTTGTTTATGAGCATCAGCTGAAGCATCGTCAATGCAGGGCCGCTTAGTGGAGTTGTGTCCAGAAGTGCAGCTATTGGATTGGCTGCCCTGTTTCCGCTTGTAGTGATGATTCATCGTACACGTTTGAGCATGAGGGACGTGGAAAGGATTACGCTGGTTTAGGCGATGTGCCGACTGATAAAGCAGGGGATTTTAATGTAATGTTTGCCTGCCTTTTACTAGGCTGGGACTTGCAGAGCCGAATTCTAAAAGGAGAAGTTCAGAAACTGCCGTGGCAGTGCTAAGTTGGCACTGCCAACCAATGTCTTAGAGGAGGGGCCCAACAGGTTGAAACTGTGCTGAGTGGCTGTAACTGCCAAGAAGATAAGGCGGTCGGGCTGACTCAAGGCAGAAGTGCAACAATAGAACCCAGGGTCGACATTTAATCATTCTTTTCACTCAATTGATGAATTTCCATGACTGTTCCAACTTAGTGCGCGATGAATACAGAGACATGGAGGGCATCGCGACGCGCAGTTCTTTATTCTGCTACTATGCTAAATTTCTAAACTGAGCGAGAACATATAGTACTTCACCTGTAATGGTTGCTCCAAGTGGCAAGTGACCATCGCCACATCGAGCTGAAGGGCCAAGTCACCTAAAAGGCGTATAGGCCAGGCAGAGTTGGGCAAAGTCAGCCGGATCTCGGTCGTCATCATCTGCACGGCCCCCGTTGTCACCAGTAAGACAGCCGGGAGAGGAATACGTGTTAGACATCGTACGGCACGCAAAAGTGAGGCGAGTCCCTTGTGTAGAATGAGGAGGCGGGTAATTGGTGACTTGTGATAGGTCAACCAAGGCAAATATTTGGCCATCACAACGCCCATATGCCGCTCGCTGGGTGGCTTTTGTCAACCCTGTCCGTAGTGAGATTCCCCGCAGCTTGCTTTTTTAGTCGATTCATGTAGTTGCGAGGAGGACCAGCGAATCTTTTTCATGGCAATGTACGCTTCTTCTTCTTACTTGCTCGCAAAGGCAGCAACCAGAAATGGCTTCTGTATCAGTACTTGATGCTTTTGAATCTGCAAAGAGAGACTTTCTTTTGAAATACCCTAACGGCAACACATACGACTTTACCTCATTTCCAACTGTCGACCATGTGTACCAAGCAGCTCAGCAAATCCAAGAGCAACAAGCGAAAACCAGATCGATGCGTAATTTGAACAAAATCCGACCTCTTCTTGAAACCCTAAAGCATTACGGTAATGTTGTTGATACATTCGTCCAAGTAAAACCCGACGTACTTGCTCTAATATGGGTATGTCACATCGTGTGGTCTTTGATTTATCGCGAATATTGCTAACGCTTGCGCAGGGGCCTATCAAGTTCCTGTTACTGGTACATGATCCTCTTTGAATATTCCTGTCCCATGCTAGTCAAGATAATAACACAATCAGATTTCTAGCACCTTTGATTCCATATTTGACAAGATTGTTGATGCAATGGAGCAAATCGGAATCTCTTTACCAGCTTTCCAACAATACACGCAGCTGTTCCCCAACAACAACAAAATTCATCAAGCGCTCTGCCTGTTTTATCAAGACATCCTCGATTTCTATGCCTCCATGCTTGAAGCCTTCAAGCACAACAGTACGCAGATTCTGCGCTTGTCTACCAGGTCACTGATGCAGTATAGAGTGGAGCACTTTATTTAAATCCTTGTGGCCTCGATACCTGGGCCGAATACAGGTCATTCAGCGCAACATGTCACAGCACCGAAATCTCATGAATGATGAAGCCACGCTAGCACACCTAGTACAGGCGCAAGCAGACCGTGAGAGAGCTTTAGAGGAATATGAACACCAATTTGAATTTAGGCAACTCCAGGAGTTCGACATGGTGAGGAGCTCGCTCAATGCCCGTCTATACGACCAAGACTTGGAGTCTTTAAAGGCAAGAGCTAGTCGCGGTTCAGGAAATTGGCTGGAGGACCATGTTGCATATAGGAAGTGGATCGATGTCCAAGACAAATCATCAAGATTGCTCTGGCTTCAAGGAATTCCCGGCGCGGGTTGAGTCCTACCCCAGTTGTTACACTCAAGATCTCACACGCTCACATCATATCAGGCAAAACATACTTGTCATCTTTCGTTATACAGAATGCGCAAGCAAGAAGTCTTCCGGTTGCATTCATCTTCCTCGATTACCGGTTTCGTCAAGAAGCGTCTACGCTCAAAATACTCCACTCTGTCACTACACAGTTTATCCTTGATAACAAGCGTTTACGGCACCTCATGATTTCGGCACATCATGATAATTATCGTCAATTCAACTGCTCAATTGATTTCATGAAAGGTTTACTCAAAAACACCCTCGACTGCTTATCGAACCCCTTCATTGTGATCGATGGCCTAGATGAGATGGATGAACAAGAGAGAACTGTCCTCTTACAAACCATACATACAATTGTCGAGCAGAATAAGGAGTTGAGGATCCTTCTAAGCAGCAGACCCGAAGACGATGTTGTACGGTTTATGGAAGCACGGCAGACTTCATCCATCCGTGTTCATCACGTAAATCACCTCGACATCGAGACATATGTTGATAGTCGAGCCCTACAGTTGATTTCTGAACTTTCGACTAGCTCGACTCAATCTGACATGATCAGAAAGCTCATGCAGAAAGTAGCTCTTAACGCACAAGGTATTACTTGGGCTTGCTAAGTCTAATATTGTACTAACAGCTGCAAAGGCATGTTCTTATATGCTCGGCTTCTTTGTGATATGCTCGTCCGAAATGGGGATATAGCCGACCTAAAAGTAGCCGTTGATAATCTCCCTGAAGGATTGAATGAAGCGTTCGTATAAGCAATGATGGTAATTATTATGTATCAGCTAACACTCGCCAGATACGGTAGGGTTTTGGACGCAATTGAAAAACTAACCGAGCGAGAACGGCATGAGTCAAGACAAATATTGTCATTGATTGCAAGCAGTGCAGGTCCGCTCACAGGTAATGAGATTCAACTTGCAGTGTTTACCGCTCGTACCGGAGATGCATGTCGGGGTATTGAGAGTTTATTCTTGAACATTATGCGCAGGTGTGGCCCGATTGTGGAGGAGCGGAGCGGCTACGTACAGTTTGTCCACTTTACGGTCTATGAGTAAGTAAGAAGAAGCGCTGAACAGAAGGTGATGGCTCACTATCAGATACCTCCTAGGATCACAAAGCGACTACTACCTAGAGAGCCCTCAGACGCATGCTCTGATCTCAGAAATGTCAATGACGTATCTCAAGTCAACTTGTTTCGACCCGAATATCTCTGATGATGCCCTGAAACAGCACGTTTTATCTGGGGCATATGTACTGGAGAACTATGTGTGCATAAATTGGCTTGATCATCTGAAGAATGCCGAGAGTGTGTTTTCTGTCGACCAGGTTGAGCTTTCTAACTCTCTGATTATGGAAAGATCGAACCCAATGTATTCAGGAGAGCACGCCTCGGATGCTGTGCAGTCTCAATTTCTTTTCTTAGGTGACTGTTCTGCGGACTTTGCAAATGCATTTGAGTTTTCCCGAAAAAGAAAGAGAGACATTTGCTTTATTGAAGGTGAGCTATACCTGTTCAGATCGAGATGTTTGCAATTCAAGCAAGGCTTACACCTGCCAGACCAAGACAAATTTATCCAGAACCTAGACCCCTTCACTTTCACAATAACCCAATTGCGAGTTCGCAGCACGCTCGAGTCCGTGCTTTGCAATACAGCTCGCCATCAAGAAAACTGTAGTTGCTCGACGCTGAAGGGCTTTTATGGTGAAGGCATTTACAAATGTGGCAGGCCTGGGTGTCCCTACTTCAGAATTGGGTTCGCAACGAAAGGGCTTCGAAAAAGGCATATGCAGGCGCATTCTCGACCTTTTAAATGCGACATTTCAAATTGCGACTTTTCTGATCTCGGATTTGCGACTCAGGCTCTTCTGACCACACATTATGTCCAGTTTCACAGTCAACCTTCGGTCAAATCTGGATCACAACGGCGAATGAGAACCAAAAAGCAGGAACTTAAGTTGATATTGATAGATATGGTCAAGGAAGATGATGTTCAAACCCTCTTGGACATGTGGGACGTTGCGAAGACTTTCAGTTCAAAGTTGCTATTGACAGCTATCCAAGAACAGTCATCCCATGAGATGCTCACATTCCTGATTGAACGGGTTCCCTACGGTAAGAGTTATGTTCCAAGTTCTTTGCATTAAATCTTCTATTGCAGTACAGGAGTCATACTAACGTCAAAAAAGCACGGTTTCCAATTCAATTGGATGACACGCCTCGGTTGGTCAAACACAAGCCAGGCGCACTTAAGCGTATTTTCTTAGCTGCACTGAACGCTGGCAACTGTGAGGTATTTCGTACGTTCAACATCCAGCAATTTTGCCATTCGTTCAGTGGCGAAAAGGTCATGTCAAATGTCATAGCCGAAGTTGCGGCCAAACGAAACCCAGAAATCGTGGAAATTGTTTCACGTCAGCTCACACCTTTTCACATTGAGGAATTATTCTCACGAATAATCCCATTTCGGCCTAACGCTGTTGAAGAGATGTCAGCCTTGAAGTGTCTAGAAAGAATCGCCCCTCAAATGAGACGCTTTAAAATGGCCGACGCCGCCTTGAGAGAAACGGCATCGAGATGCTGCTCCCTTTTGCTGGCACAATTCCTCATCAAAGAAGGGGCGAAACCAAACGGGGATACATCTTTCAATGGACATACACCAATCTTTGCTGCGTCAGGGAAGTCAACTAGAGAAGCTGCAGAGTTCATCAAGTATCTTTTCGATAAAGGAGCTAATATGAACGCCCAGTATCAGAAACAGAAATCATCAGACCGTCCAGCGGCAAAGACATTTGAAAAGTGGATCGGAGTTACCTGGGATGACCTTGCAGTTACTCAGATGCCTTCCCCTCCGCGTATGGCTGACGATGGGGGCCCATCAACCGTTGGTAATGGCAGCATGGGCTTAGCATAAATAGATAGAATGATAGCTAGATATTAAATAACTCTTAAATTGTAAGATAACTAGAGACTTTCCATAACCAAGTTAAAAATAGTAATGATAGTATTACTATATGCACTTCATAAATCTAATGATATGATATCTACGGAGTAGCCAGATCATTACTAGCTTAGAATGATGTTAGAGATTTATTTTATTCCTGTCTTCATCTTTTTGTTTTGCGTGCATTGTGGCATAGACTTTTATCTAATTTCAGATGTACTTGGAATGAAGATCAAATTTATTTGGTTAGCTAGTGAACGGATATCTTTCCGATTAGTGATAACTAAGTGGTTCATGACGTTTGTAGCCATGACTAATTTACTTGATTAATGATCAAGTCCGCACCAAATAACGTTAACGGCATTCTCCACTTCCAAAGTCCGCAGGCAAAGGCTTTATCCATCTTGTATCATGATTAATACTAAATTATTTGCGGGATTCATTTCAGGCGTGATGTCTAGTATATAGCCCAACATGGTGGCCCAGGAAATTCCATGTTCATCATACTCAGAGACTTCTTACAATCTTAATACACTATCATTCCTTGCAATTTTTCAATCAAAACTTCAATCGCCTTCACCCAAAAATGTCCAAAACAAAGGCTGTACAACTAGTCTATCACGAAGATGGCAAATCGAGTCCTGAGCTCGTGGAGAAATCTCTTCGAAGCCTGGGTCGACATGATGTGATGATTCGCGTAGAGGCAGCTTCGCTAAACTACAGCGATATGGCATTGCTCAGGGGCGAGTATCCTATGGCGACCAAGGAGCGTGTCGTTCCCCTGTCCGATGGAGCCGGCGAAGTCATCGCGGTGGGTCAAGACGTCAAACGCGTCAAGGCTGGTGACCGTGTCGCAGTGGCTTGCACCACGGATTGGATTGGCGGTCAATTCGTGGAAGAGTACAGGCACAGCAGTGTTGGCTTCAATGTGGATGGGTTGCTGTCCCAGCATGCAATCTTCCCCGACATTGCACTTGTTCATATTCCGGATTACTTGTCTTATATCGAAGCGGCCTCGCTCCCGTGCGCAGCTGTCACCGCTTGGAACTGTCTGAATAAGATCGAGCCTCTTCAACCAGGCCAGACTATTTTGATCCAGGGTACCGGCGGAGTTTCTTTATTTGCACTCCAGTTTGCCAAGATCTTCAATGTTCGTGTTCTGGCCATCACATCGTCCGACGAGAAAGCCGCAAAACTCAAGGAATTGGGTGCTGATGCTGTCATCAACTACAGTACCCATCCCGATTGGGATCGCGAAGTCATGGCTCTGACAGATGGAAAAGGAATTGACAGGGTCCTTGACATTGCTGGAGAGAAGACCATTGTAAAATCTGCAGCATCGACAAAGGTGACTGGCGTGGTGGTCATAATTGGGTTTGCGAGTGGTTTTGGTGGAGGTCTCCCACCAATTGACATTCTTTCTCGATCTCTCACAGTGACGGGCTCGACCATCGGTCCTCGGACTGATTTCGAAGCCATGCTCAAGGCAATGGCGCAGTCGAAGGTCAAGCCTGTTATTGATCAAGTTTTCCCTTTCGCGGATTATCGCAAGGCTTACGAGAGGCTTGAGAGTGGAAAGCACGTTGGTAAGGTGGTAATCAAGATCTCCGATTAGCTGCTGTTTTCTATGACGTCGAGTCTGGAAAACTTGTACAAAGGCCATGTAGCTTTGATGCATACATATCAGAGTCAAGAATTAAAAGTTTGAAATAAATTGATTGGTTATTTGCCCGTAAGCATCACTCGATTCTAGCCAGTAGCTGTATGATCGACGTCAAGGGTAAGCTGAGTTCGCTTTTCGTTCCTCGTTCCTCGCTTAGTACCCACTTATTTTGCCTCTGTGTGATCCCCACCTAGCGACGTTTCACACGTCTCATCGGCGGAGAAGGGTGATAATTCAGCCTAGTGCTGTGTTGGGAGGCTCAGCAGAAGCTAACTTCTATCCAGTGAGGTCAATGCCGTCATTTGCTGACCGACATGTTTGTTCCACCAAGACATTTCCTGGAAGGATCACCAGAGGGCTGTGAAGGTTAAAGCCTCAGTATGCACAAAATATGTGCTGATATCTGGAGATAGGGATTGAATAGCTACGCCGTAGCAACTTATCGACTCAATATTTAATGTAATTTTGGGAGAATATTTCAATTACATCACAGTCAATTACTATCTCACATAGTGAGCAACACAGGAAACTATTACAATTCAATGCAGTCGCATCTCTAGACAATCGATATACTTAGAGGACGTTAAATGAGGCCTCTTTGATTTATTGCTAAACGAAAATTCCAAAAGGTCAAGTTAGAAAGCTCAGACTGTCATAGCGGCTATAGGGATCTGCAGCCTTGAATGTGGCTCCCTCGCTATCGTTTTGCATTGCGATTGGTCGACACACACCTGTTCAAGAAGGCTTCACATTTTACCCTCCCAAAGTGCACGTCAACTTCTATATAATGAGAGCCATCCTCCCTGATCTTTCACTTACATATCTAACTTTAAAGCAACTCAAAAGCTCACAACACTTTACCACAATTGTATTTACCTGTTCCAATCATAACTAAGCAACACATCTCCCACCATGTCCTCTCTCACAACCGCCGAACTCGCCATCTACGCCGTACTGGTTCTGCCGACACTTTTTGTTTTGTTCAAGCACGGCAAGCCAGGACTGATAGGTTGGGGGTTTCTATTCGTCTTCTGCTCTCTCCGCGTCATCGGAGGTGCTTTGTTTCTCACAGACAGCTCGGCCGCTGTGACCGTCTCGAATATTGGCCTGTCTCCTTTGCTCATCTGCACTGCCGGATTATTACACGAAGCGTAAGTGCTCCAAAATTTCCTCCCGAGGCATAGGACTTTATCTGACGCAGATGCTATAGGCAATACTACCGAGAAAAGCCCAGCAGAGCCGAGAAAGTCAAGATCGTTCTATTTCACCTGCTCGTTGGTGCAGGAGTTGCCCTTATGATAGTTGGACTCTCCGGAGTACAGTCAAAGTCCCCAACTCCAGATGATCAAAAGAAGGTCAAGATTGGTCTGGGAATCTTGACAGCTTCTTGGGGTTTTCTCGTGTTGCAGGCTATCCGTGCTGCATTTGAGAAGGGGTACTCTTCAAGAGATAATGTGTTTATCACACGAGTAAGCTATACCAATGCGGTGCCATGTCCAAGCTAACGTAGTGATAGCTTTTGATCGCCGTGGCTATCGGACTTGTCTTCGTTGGAATCAGAGTCATCTACACGCTAGTCGCCCTCACTTCAAACGATGCGGATTTGAACCCGATCACCGGTACTTTAGCCGTTCGAGTAGTTCTGTCATTCTTGCCGGAGCTTATTGCCGTACTCGTTCACCTGGTCGCGGGTCTTTTGACACGTGACATCCGTGCCTTGTCCGAAAGGGAAGATAAGACACGGGACAGTCTCGACTCAGTGGCGTGATGGGAGGGAGACAGCAGCGCAGGGAGTGGAGCGCGCTGGATCGCCTGAGACATTAGAGAATATGGTATAGGCAGCATTCGTTGCAGCGGACAGTCCTGTAAAATAGTATTGTTATCGCCTTTCGGGGTCTGTCTTTAGAAATCATATGTGTTTATTACTTAGTAAAGTTGGAAATTGACTAATAACCCGGCGATTCCTCTGACGCATTTCCGATCTCTTCCTGACCCCGAAAAGGCTGTCTGGTAAGCTGTTCCAGCGGCCACGATAAAGACTCCTGCCACTCAGCTCCCAAGTGACTCTTGATCGCTTTGATCTCTCTGCTGGGAGACCTGCCGATCCACCAAAAGTTATCAACCCAGCTCGCTAGTCCGAAGAAATAAGCCAGGAGTACTAAGGCTCGTGGTCTCTGTAGTTGCAGTAACTCGACGTATCGTCCCGGAGCAAGAACCCAGAACGATGTCAGCCTCCTAGTGATCATCCTTGGATTCTCTCCCGCCCTTCGAGCTTGAATAACAGAACCTATGAAGAATGCGACTTTCTCGTATGCTTCTGCGTCTTCATCATCTTGAAATTCGGACTCATTAAATGCCACTAAATGCTCCAGACCTCGGAGATTTGACCTGTCAAACACAACGCTTTGATGCACGTAAGACCTATCTGCGAGCAAAGGTCGCATCTTTGCATGAGCGTCGTTACGCAAGAGGGACGTTGCTTCTCGGAAGACACCACCGAGGCCTCGTGACATTTGCAGCCAGTGAAATGGCGGTTCATATGGCGAGAGCGGGCGAATCATGAGATTTGCAAATGAATCCACGGCAAGTAGTACTGAGACAAAGCATGCCGTGTCGGCATTATCAGTTGTCATGCCTGACAGGTTTGTTTGGTGTGCTTCAATGGCGGCTCCGAGATAATTTGCACGAGCTATTTGAAGCTCTGGGTCTGGGTCCTTACCCTCCGCGATCAGGTAAAAGCAAGACAACGCCAAAATGGAGTTCAACAGCGGCTCATTTTCCAGAGCCAGCTTCGGTACGTCTTTGCTCCATAAGGCTTCAAGGGCTGGTAGATGTGTACCTGGAAGCTGTGGGCATATCTCTGACATATAAACATGTAGCAGACGCAGCTCAAGATATCGGCGCTGAGAACTCTCTGCTGGACCATGACCGGAAGATGCAATGCTGTCGTGATCTGGTGATGATGCTGATGCGGAGTTGACATTGGTGACATGTGAAGTTCGCGCTGGTGCCAATATCCTTGGTGGTGCCGATGCTGCTGCTGGTGCTACTCGATCATAATGGCAACGTACTTGATGTTTGCTGCATCCACCCTAGACATGCATCTTAACACACCTTGCGCAATACAACATTACTCATAAACTTACGCACACAGGCCGGACTTCATCGCACTACAATACTGTTAACTATGCGAGATTTAAGTGATTATATAGTTGTTACCTTGACTCGGCGTGTCCTACACCGTGCACATCCAGTCTTGGACTTTGAGTGATAGAGACGTGGCATTTGTATATTTTGTCGTTACTCTAGTTGTTCAAGAGGCCACATGTGGTGAGTGTGGATATGGTGGTGAAAAAAACTATCGATCGGCTGGTCACGTGGTCAACTCCCAATATACTGCCATGACAAACCAGGCTAACGATCTTTTAGTAATCATGGTATAACGGCGTATGAACATGAACTACTTAGATCCGAGGGGGAGTACATAGGTACATGGCAAGATTGCCGACATAAGAAAAGATTACTCAATGATCTATCACAATACCATCTGTTAAGAATTCGACCCTGTACGGGAATTACCCCGGAGTATCCTGTATAACTACTAAGGGTCGGAAAATTAACTACGAAATGCCAGGTCTGTCTGACCCTGCACTTACAAAAGACAGTTAGTCCTAACAGTGGGGATCTTCATTTTCAAAACTGTATACTACATCGCACTAAGTATCCACCAGTGCTATTGTCTTTTCCCGCTCCTCGATATGTAAAGTGGTTACCTTGTTATAAGCCTGCCTAGCCCATTATTCAAAGTCCGCTCATTTCTTGAAATAGTACTACACTCCCCTATGCTCTCCTGATTTTGGCCGAGGATGGAACCAAACGACATCCGTCCCGAATCGCATTCAACCATCGGGAGAGGTCGAGACTCTTCGGAAAGTGTTACCGGAAGGCCATGGTATCATACGAGCAGCTTTCCAGTATCCACCTACGGGAATCAGTTAGACCGAAAGACTTTCAATGCAGTTTTAATATACCTGTATCTTGCGGCTTCAAATCATCCCGCCGAGCAAAACCAGACACAGACACCATGTTGATTGCGGGAGGATTAAGTTCGTCATCGGCCACTTTCAACTGTTTCTCTTCGTTCGTGTTTGCACCACATCTTCTCCCAAAGTTGGCAAGGAGATGAGACCTTCTTGTCTGCTCCCCCGCAGTATGATCTTGCGAGATGGTATAGTGCCCGCTAGTCGAAAAAACGTTTGACAGCTCCTCAAACGTCTTTTCTTTTCTAATACCCATTTGTACTCCACGACGCCCATATCCTTGGACTGCACTGATATTAGAAAGCGAGGCTTGATATCGTTGCCGTAGATGCGTGCTGTTGAGTTGGTCGAAGGACATCGGATTCGGATTGCCTGTAGGTGCGTTGGAAGCCTGAGTTTGTTGTATCGGATCAAGATTTGGCCTGCTGCGTCGACGATCCCAAAAGCGCCGCACAGAGTTGCGCTTATTGTGAGGCTGATCAACGGCGGTGCTATGGTCGGCGGTATGCAAAGTTGGATTCAACTTTAGCGATGTATCCGTGAGTCGCTGATCCTGAGTTACCGCGCCATCGTCCTTTTGACCATTGTCCATCGATTCATCATGGTTTATTGCTATAGTACGGACAAACCCTGTTGGTGGCGTATGAAAGTCATAGACGAAGGCTGCCGTTTCGAGCAAAGCTTTCTTGTCAATTGTAGGGTAGATCTTGTTGTAGATGGGCTTAGCCCCAGTTTGCGAGGTTTTCGCTACGTAATGGGAAGTATGAGTTAATCCATGTCTAGCTTGACGCTGAATATGACCATTGATGGATTGAGTATCTGACAAACGTCGCAATAAATTCTCTGTGCTTCTAAAACTTGTACGGTCAAGCTTCGTAGTGCCAATGCCATTAGGAGCAGTGGTATCATTTTCAGCCTGAGCGACAGACTTGTGAGTTCCGAGTGTCTTGATCAGAGTCTCCTAATCATACGTAAGTTTGTTAGTGGTTTTGTGCTTTGTGTTGGTATTTGCAATAATAAGTACCTCGTTGAGATCAGCAAACTTTAGCTGGGCATCATATTCACTCCTTGTCATCTGGGATGTAGAGTTCGCGAATGACAGACTCGTCCTATGGATATTTTTCCGCATGTGACGTTGGCCAGAGATGGCTTCGTTGATGTCGAGTTCCTTGTTTCCACCCCTAGACACGCTTGCTTTACTGCGAGATGGCCCGGTAAAGATGGAAGGTCCGCCCGTCCGAAGGTGTACCCGGCCTTGATTGTGATACTGTCGTAGCTTTCGATCCTCAAGTAGCATGGTGTCCTAGTCAAGTCCACTTATAACTTTGTCTGAGAACCTGCCGAATCTCTGAAATATTAATCAATGCCCTTCCTTGATTTATGGAATGTCTGGATGTATTCTTCGCAAGTGAGGGGAAAAAGCTGGAAGGCGCCTGAAAATTTCTGACAAGGCTGAAAACACCTTGCCAAGCTGCCAGGGTGCATTGCATAGGTAAGTTGTGATAGGCGATTGAGCCAGCGCTTAAATCTGCCTTGCGACTGGTTGGCGGTCGTGAACCGTGTAGAATGCCTTAAAAGGAATGGTGAAAAGCGCCTGGGTGGCTTAGATGCTGCCAGTTGGCAGCCTGCCTGGCGTTTGTCCATCTTACATCTCTATTGCGGCTGAAAATAATATAACCATTCCCATGTACTTTCTCCGCTTTTCATCTTAAGATCTCAAAATAAATGGCTTCACGCATCCCAAATCACGCATCGGTATTCAGAATATGGCGCAAATTTCTAACGAGATCACTGAGACTGTTCCAGAGCGGATCGTCGCTATGCCTTCAAAATTCATAGACGAAGAAACCGCCGACGATCAATCTGGTACGTTAGGTCTTGGATGAGATGCCTGTTTGCTAACATGAACAGAGCTCGAATTTCAACAGAATGGAACCAGAACGCGTCGGCCTCTTCCTATGATGGTAGATTGGCGCCGTGAGGTTTGTAACTTTCTGGACATGTCTGATACATGCAGCGACCACGATATCAGAGAGCAGCTCGAGTTAGCATCCGAGCGTTTGAGTGAATACGAATCATTGAAACGTTTGGCATTTGCAAAACAAGGACCCCCCAGAGTCCAAGTAATCAATCAAGTCGAGTGTCAGCGCAATAAGGCTGAGCGAGGTCTTTATCTTGACACACCTTGGGTGGTTGAGAGTGGCCCTCAACAAGCACACCTACGTTGCAGTAGAGTAATTGATAACTTGGAATTATATCTCGAAAGAAACAAGGAGATCACATGCATTATCTACCGCGACTACAGTTGCTGTGGTCCTTTGCCCTTGGTTCGAAACTCTGACCATCCGGAAGCTATTCATGGAGTAGTCGCATCATCTCTACGTGTCAGCGAGCATGTTTCCATAGTCTCAGATGAGCTAAGAGAGGCTTGGGAAACACTTATCGCCAACGACGTCGACCCAACGGAAGACATCACTCACCCCGAGAAAAAGCAACACGATAACCAGGATACTCGACACCCATATCTCTGGTGGTTCCACCACCGCCAGGACGTCAAATTATGGAGTTCAGTACTTGATCGAGAATCCCAGAAACAGATTCGGGTGTTCCAATCTTATCTGGAAGAATCATTGGGCGATGAATGGGCTAGGGTTGATGAGCTTTCGGACCGCGCCAAGATCACCACACAATACCTGGACTACGTTTTTGTAAGTTACTCTCATTCGTAAAAAGGTCGATGACTTACAGTTTAGGCTCCTGGGCAGATTGTGATATCGAGGTTGGGAGGTCCGACGGTCGCCCAGTCGAAATCATACACCGCAACAAGCTGGCCCAGATTTAGAACAGTCGACGTCAGTCATTGGAAGTTTGACGGCAACTTCCAGCGTTTCTTCGGTAGTATTGAGATATCTCCGCCCTCTTCCACGACTGGCGAGTACCCAATCAACTCCATGTCTGTTTACCCGATGCAATACGCCACCGAAGATGTCGTCCTGGCTCTTCGAGAGCGCGGTAAGACGTTTTGGAAATGCCGCCGTCGTAACTACGTTTGCGTTCTTGGCACCTCTGACGACCATATTTATGATGTGGTAAGTGCTTCCCCTATTGAAGAACGGAGAAAGAGCTCACATATGGATAGTATTCCGGCTCGAGATTCATGATTGATACTGCAACTTACAAGCAGATGCACCCTCCTGGGAATAACCAACTACCTCTACTGCCATATCATGATGAGCTCGGGCCCGAGGTAATGTCTCAAGATGACCCACCCATAGATCTAGGAGATTCATTTATTATGTGCTTGCCTACATCTCTCAACGGCTTCAACATGCAGAAAAAGGAATGGGGTAGGTGGCGCCAATCTCGTCAAACTGGACTGCTCTGACTATAATATTTTCAGTCAAACTAGAAGTTGCCTACTTTCGGGACGTAGCATGGAACGAAGAAGCTTTTGATCTTTTGGTAATGGAACCCAAGACAAAGGAGCTCGTCGAAGCTGTAGTCACGAACCATATCGATGATGATAGAAAAACTGATGTCATCCATGGAAAGGGAAATGGACTTTTTATTTTACTACATGGGTAAGATCAGGCATTGGACTACACGGGTAGCAGAACTGAAAATCACTTTAGTGGTCCGGGAACTGGCAAGACATTGACCGCGGAAAGGTTGATGATTCTTCACACGACATAAAATACTTGCTAACCACGACGTAGTGTCGCTGAGATTACAAAGAAGCCTCTTTACAGAGTTACGTGCGGAGATATTGGCACGAAGGCTGAAGAGGTAGAAAGAGTAAGGTATAATACCTCTAAGAGAGAAGGAAAATCTAACATAGTCCAGTATCTCGAGGTTGTTCTACTTCTCGGAAAGACATGGGGTTGCGGTAAGCAGATTTCCTTGCTTTAAAACAATGTGCTTACAAGGGTCAAGTTGTTCTTCTCGATGAAGCCGACGTATTCCTGGAACAGCGCAAACTTGATAATCTAGATCGCAATGCTTTGGTTTCTGGTAATCATCAAGTCTGATTCTCACAAATTAGGAAAGCATATTAACCGATAGTTTATAGTGTTTCTTAGGGTTTTGGAGTACTATGATGGTATGTAGAATTTCGTATTGAAGCGATTTTGCCCAGGTCCGAAAAGAGTTATTGACACATTTCTAGGGATCCTGATCCTCACGAGCAACAGAGTTGGAATTTTCGATGAAGCTTTCAAATCTCGTATACAACTCAATCTGCGCTACGAGAACCTTGGCCAGCCTCAGAGGCGCCAAATCTGGGATAACTTCATTAATCGCCTGGAAAGACTTGAGTCTGAGCGTCTTAGGCAAGTTGAAAACCACACACTGACAGGCGTGATAGGGGGACCGCAGTCAGCTCCAAGGTTTGGGGTGGACATCGCAAGTATACGTCAACAGATCGATGAGCTTTCAAAGCCAGCCTTGAACGGCCGCGAGATCCGGAACACAATCTCAACGGCAAGACAGCTGGCTACCTTTCGCAAACAGAAGTTGGCGTATGAGCATTTGGAGGCTTGTATTGCCGAGTCGCACAAATTTGAGCAGTATATCAAGTCTTTGAAGAGAGGCTTTTCAGCGGATCAAATCAAGAGTGACCAGCAGGAGAGATGAAGCGCTACTTCGATATATACTAGATTTGTTTGACCGGCATAAACCCGGTTAGGAATTTACTGTATTAAGTCGGCAGAATCCTGTTTATAATAAATAGATACCATAAATCTACTATATTTGGAATATCTTTCAAGGTATCAAACGGATGGCGACTGACTAACTTACCCCGCTCAGGTTAGAACCAGTAAGGTCGGCAGCCTGATATTGCCTGTACGTACATTCCCATGTAAAAGTTCCGACAATAAGGTAACTAGATATAATATGGTTAATAAGCAAGTGGGCCAGATAAGTAAATAGGCTACCTTCCTTAGCCTTTTTATTAAAAATTATAATAAAAATACCATAAACTATCTAATTAATTAAAACTACTTACTATACTCTTACCTAGACGACTTTAGAACTATCTAACAGGTCCTTACATTATACCCGGTCTTACCGTATATACCATAACGCTAAATACCTAGTCTGACTGACCTTCCTTAACTACCACTTCTTAATAATTTAATAACTACCTATATATTAATATCTATCTAATTAATTACTTATAATATATTCTATATAGTTATTATACCTTTTTTCTATAGTCTAGTCCTTTTTACTTTTTATTACCGGCTTAGTATTTTATTTATATCTTAAAGATTTTAAACCTTATTTCTTAATAAAATAACCTTATATATAATTATTTTTATTACTTTAATAGATAAATTTAAAGTTTTAATTATTAACTTTAGGGAGTTATTAAAATATTTCTTAATTTAATTTTTAAGGAAGTTAAATTAAGATTAGGCCTTATTTATTATTATTAAGGTCTTTAAAGTCTAAAGGGTTAATAATTTAATACCTTCCTTAGGAGGCGTTAAAGTCTATAATTATATATTAAGCTTTAAGATTATATTTTTTAGGTTAAAAGGAGTAAGCCTAGTTTCTTTAAAACCCCCTTAAATATTACTTTTTATAAAGGTAGTCTTAAAAGTAATATAAAAAGTAAAAAAAAACTTAATCTTTAAGATATAGGTTATATAGTATTTAATTAAATACTTTATTTCTTAATTATATACCTTTTTTAGTATTATAAAATACCTAATATTAAGAGGTTAAAGTAAATAAAAGGTATAAGTAGGTATATAAAGTATAATAATCTTATATTACTTATAGTATTTTTTAAAATTAATAGAATAATAGCTTTTATAACTATTGAAAATTAAAAGATAATAAAGACTAGTTAATTAGTTAGTTATAGCCTAATTAAAATACTTTAATTACTTAAGGCCTAGCTTATTATTTATTTAGCTATTTTAGCTTATTATAATAACCTAATTACCTAGGAGGTTATATTTTTAATATTAATTAGTAAGGTAATATTAGCCTATATTAATAATAAACGGTTTAATTAATTGGCCTTTTATATTAATTTCTTAGATTATAATAATCTATTTTTAATTTCTAGGCTATATTAATTTTAATTTTTCTTTTCTTTTTAAACCTATAATAACTATTCTAAATATAATAAGGCCTATTATAAAGCCTATTTTATTAAAGTTCTAAATATTATTTAATTAAATATTATACTTTATAATTATATTCTACATAAACCTAAACTAGCTATAAATAATAATTAGATCTTTATATTTAGCTTTTTAATAATTATATTTTTAAAATAAATATATCTTTAACTCTAGTTATTACTTAATAAAGTTATAAGCCTAATACTTATCAATAGGTAATATATTATAGTTTATAAATAGAGAATTAGCTATTTCTTTTATAAAATATAGTTATAAGGGAAATCTTTATATATTTAGGTTAAGAATAAATTAGACTATTATTTATTCCTTTAGATTAAATAGTTTCTATAACTTTAGGATAGAATTATATTATAATTAAATACTATAATAACGACGACCTAAAGTATTCCTAGGGACCTGATAGATATCTATAATATGTCGCAGACTTAGTTTTAGGTTATTTTAAAGGGCCTAAAGGGTAAGAAGGATTCTAGCTTTATTTAAAGACTGTGGCATGTTAGGTGGTTAAAAACTAATTAATCAAATAGTTAAGATATAAAGTAAGGGATTTTTAGCCTACTCGCTTATCTGGCCTACTTACTTATTAACCACGTTATGTATATATATAAGAATATAAATATTAAAAGTTTATAATAATTAGAATACTTTATTTAATATAATATCTTAAGATTATATAATTTTATGTAGAATAGAATAGTTTATTATTATTTATACCATTTTGTATAAACTGTAAAACAGAGGAAGTATTGCACACCCACTGTACAAGTTATAGAGCGTACAGCCGTTTTGGGGGATAATAAGGCATAATCAGCCTTGAAGTTGGCCAAGTCACGTTTCCTATGTCGTAAGACTCCGCCTCGTCACCGCCACTCCACCGAGACTTCCACCATTTTTCATCCCAATTCCAGCCTTGAGCCTACATCCGTGTTATCCTTTCTTGGGAACTCTCGCAGGTCCTATTTACGGGTTGCGATTATTTATCTTTCTCGCATCTTCAGCGTCCCTTTTAACGACAGGGATATATGGAGTCAAGACGAGCGCAGCAAGAGTCCAGTCAGTATCAGAATGCAGCTCAAGTCAGATTTCCGGCTCGACAAGGACGATAGCTTCAGCCTGCAGAGCCAATCAACGTCCCTCCCATCAACCAGAATGACAAGTCCAGACACAGTATGGCTAGACGATTTGACAACTATCGCCGAGGCCGTACTCCGATATCCCAAAGGCTATCTCTCCAGTGTTAAGCTGGCCACGGAACTTAAGCGCAAACATTCATCATCGGATATCAGAAATACAACCTTCCCTAGCGACCAGCCTACCCCCTTCAAGACCAAAATACACTATACAATCACTCAAGACTGCACTGCTGGCGTTGAGGTTCGTGAGATGCAATTGCTTGCGAACTTCGGAAAGAAATGCCAAGGAGAAAAAAACTATTTCGGGCACTTGGGAAATATGTGCTTAGGGCCAGATGTTAGCCACCGACGGACGGACTCAACTGAAAAGAAAGTCTCACAAGTCGCCAATCCAGGCGCCGCTGGGTCCTATAGCCCGAGCCTTGTGGTACATCCTAAAACTATACAGGCCCAGCAGCCCTCTCAAAAGATAGTCTACTACCCGAGGTCTCTAAATGATGATATTTATATGCCGAACAGGATGAGGAATGCAGAATCGTCATCTTCAAAGGAGGGGAGGGATATAGGCAAGCCCTGCAGAATTTGCGCTTTTGCCCCCCAGTCCGGTACTCTGCATTTCGAAATCTATATGGCAGAGCATATGATGTTGCTACACCCGGGAAACTTTCTTCGTTGCCCATATCCAGGATGTAGAAGCCAGTTTAGGATACTGGATAATATGCAAAGCCATCAGCGAAGAATGAGTCATTATGTTGGGGACGAAAATCTGGGAATATAAAGGAGGCAAAGGGTCAGGTAGTTCATAGTGGTGTTCATACATATTGACTAGAGCGGCGACCTTAAGAGACCTAACTAGCTTACGGAAATAAAACTTAGAACTATACATAACAAGAGAATAATCTCGAGATATGAGCGACTCATCGTCGCCATCTTTCCAGAAATGCCTTCATGCAAGCCGCAGCCGTAGCGGCAGCAAATCCCTGCCATCTCTTGTCCTTATGGCTATCGGCATAGTCGCTAACACCTTTTATAATAACACATGGCATGTTATCCCATACTCCTGCGCCCTCCATCTCGAAAGCTATAATGCTTTCACTACGAGCAATCGCGTCTCGATCCTCGCCGGATTTCATTACTTTATCACCAGATGCAAACCGTCCAATATGGATGACTGGACAATAGCTGCCTTGTTGATCCTGACTATTCCGCAACATATCCTTTTGACGTTGGCGGGTTATTAAATGTGCAGAGTCGCACTTGACATCCTCGCAGGATAACGCACGAGATTGTTCACAGACCATTCCTAATGGCGTTTCAGATAGCGAACACTCCGCACACGCTGATGAATGGTGCTTGTGACGATATTTCGAGTCAAAAAGTATATCTTTACTGGCACCGGGATACACGGCTAGAGTGCCGAGTTCCCTTCTCAGTGTTCCCATGTGGACTTGGGTCCTCTCATTAAGGGTTCTCTGCCCATTGCGACCCTTGAGCTTGGCCAAAAATCCTAGAATCTCAGCTGGTGGCTTCCTCGCACTCTCAAGAGTACTGTTCTTTCTCACAAACCCGTCAGGATATTGTCTTCCAAAATCGTAGATGACGAGCCCTTCGCTGATTGCCACATCTCCAAGGAGGACTTCGGCGCCATTGTTGAGAAATGGGACTCCCCCGCATATTCCCACAATTAGTACAAGACATATCTTTGGGAATGTCGCTCTGCAGTGTGTAGCCACGGGCCCTGCGTGGCGCGTACCCATACCAGGCATATGGACAAGTACAACGTGATGGTGATCAATGATACCAAGTGTGTATGAATTTGTATCCCCCTCTGCGCGATTGTACTGCCCACTTAACTGATCATCGAAAAGAGCCTCTACGGCATCGGCCTCAAGAGGCAGCGCACAGAGAATTGCTATATCAACCTGGTGTTGGGTGGTTGACTGAGGAAATGACTGGGCCGCTTGTGTGTATGGTTCCTTCGGTCTCTGGACTCGATCGTTTTGTGCTTGCTGCATTCCGTTTACTTGAGAGGATCGGGATACCCATTGACTGGGAATATTTTTACCCACAAGGTGAAGCGGTAGATCAGGGCCAGTTAGCGCCTCAGCCCGTTGTCCTATACCAGACAGGTCGGGATCAGGTGCTGCGCCAACAAACAACAGCGGCTGCGAGTTAAGATCAGACCAGATTGGTAACGTCGATATGAGCAAAATTCGCAAGCAAATTCCATGAGTAGTTTGTAGTCGGGACATAATTTCCCCAAACTGCGTTGGCCACGTTTTTGCAATTTCAACTTGCGCACTAAGCACGCGAACATTGATAACAAGGAACATGCCGGAGGTATCTTCAAGTATTCTTTCTAGAACACTGAACCAGTCGTTTAGAGTCGATGCTTTCATGAAACATGGGACTATTTTCGTCAAGAATTTGACTGGATCTTGCACTTCAACCTTCCGTAACGCCATGATTGCCAGCTGTCGCAGAATCTCTTCTTCTCCAGAGGTTTCAATAAGCTCTGTGGTATAGGGTGAAGGAAATATAAAAGCTGTTGGTTGGGTGTCCGATATGACCTTGCATATTTCAGCAGAGAACCTCTCCGTTCGATAGATTGAGCCGTAGGAACATTGCATCAACAGCATGGATGACTCCTTTGCAGTAGCCCAATCACGTAGACGTGGGTTTTTCCATATGTCACTGGTGTACAACTCTTGATGGCTATGTTTGCTTACTTTTTGAAGGTCCATGAGCTTCTCTAAGAGATGCGACGGATCCAGTAGCACGGATTCCTGTCGAGAGAAAGCTGGGAGGGCCCAGACACAGGTTTTGAAAGCAAGTTGCTTGTCCTCGATTGAGCATTCCCGATAGCCAACACCTTCACCTAGGTAGGGGTTTATCCAGTGAAGACTGTTTAATGCTTGGGGTCAGGATACCTTGTAGTAGTCGTTTTAAGACAGTAAGCTCATTCTTGTAGCTCTCACCGAGGTGACCCAATCTTATCAACCCGGTATCATCTGGTTCATAGCGAGGGATGTAGCTTAGCTGCCTCTCAATCTGCTGAAGAAGTAGTGACTTATTATCTTCCATCGAACAGGTTGTGCCTTCTGCGTTGCATTTAACAGCTTCTTAACTGGAAGATATGCTGCTGTGAGCATTTATGTTGACTCGTGTGATGCATTTGTTGGTTCCCAGTATTGAGTGCGGCTGAAAAGCACTAGGTACTCACGTAGCTGAGTGATCCAATTAGACCTCACACGTGACGTGATCATGCACCAGTGAGCCTGCGATTCCATATGGTAGAACAGTTCCATTGGCAATACACTACCAGATTTAAGCTTCAGGGCTCCGAATGATGAACTTCAGGTTGACAAAGACTTTTGACCTTGGTAGAGATGATAATCCTTTCAGTATTTCAATATCATTTCCAATTTAGTGAAGTCAGACTCTGAATCTGCATCTCTCGTAATTAAGGCTGGGGCTTTATATCTGACAAGTCATAGAGCAGTATTAAGCGCCAGCCACGTAACCCCTCATTTTCAACCCCGTCCCGAGATCAGCGAGAAGGCTTAAGGACGGGCCATAAAAAACACAATATAGTGGGACAACGAGCTCAGACGGCATCATGGCCGGAATAACTGAGAGAGTCAGGAAAGGACTAGGAGAGCCAGTTCAAAGCACGAGCCAAAATGATTTCCAGAGCCTCCGCCAGAAGAGTTCAGCGAGCGTCATCTTAGGCAAACGAACATACAGCCAACTCAACAATACGAAGGAAGAGGGGCGAGAGGCCTAGTACCCATGAACTTAGCTTCGGTGCCCATCGCTTGGGGGACAAGATACGCCGAACCAGTTCATGCATCCCTGACAAACCCTCTATTTCGATAGAGCAGTCTGGGAGTGAACGCGCTACGAAGGTTGGGCTACTAGCCAGAAAGATTCAACGCGGCAACAAAGATATTTGCCATACGCTGCGTGATAATGCTTACACGGATCACCAGCTATTGGGTAATCGTGAAGGCTATCACAGACAACTGCATCACGACGATGGATCAATATTTTCAAAACCACCCGTATTCTCAACTGTTGGGCACTATACTATCTCGAAAGACTACACCGGAGGTGAAGAAATGCGTAGGTCTCGTTTACTTGAAACATATGGAAGAAAGTGTGGTACAAAACGGGGCAGCCATGTATTTGTAAAACAGCTAGAGGAAGAAACACAAAAGAATCAGATGGATCCTGCAAAGGGCGAGTCAATCATTCCAGCGGAGACGAAGGAGACTCAGCAGCAAGAGCGAGTGCACAGTGTTCTGCAAAGAGCGCAAGTATACCTTAACTGAATAAAGAGGCCGTTTTGTGCTAACTACTTTCTTCATTAGCTCATCAGAACGCAAACAGAACACCCGCTTTGACGTCCCAGAGGGTCGAAACCTTGGTAACATTGACCATCTTATTGCCCAATGCACAGATGAAAGAGAAATAAAGGAGTTTAAGCAACAAAAGCGCGTACTTCGCAGCGGACAAGCAGCGTTAGTGCCCTCCACCAAATTTGTGTGGACGAGTAAAAGATTTGATACTAACAGCTGATAGCCTTGAATCGAGAGATCGTAAAAAGCAGCAGACTGAGCGTCTGGAAGATGAGAAGAAGCAATATACTGCCCTCATTAGTGACATGGAGGAAGAATTGTCCCAACTCAGTCGGAGGAATGAGCAGCTACTTTTTGAAAAAGAGGCTCACACCATTGAGACTGGCGAGCTTAGGAAGAAGGTAGCTGTTCTTACTGAGCATATGGAACGACTTCAAAATGCTCTTGCCGAGAATAATATCACATCTCAATCCATGGATAAGTTTGGAAACTTCGAGAGACTCGGCTCTTACATCTGGCCATGAGTTACAGAACTACTCGGAATCAAGCATCAGGGATTATCATCTTAGCAAAGGCCCGTGCTGTCGTTTTGGGGTATTGATAATGTCAGCCATGAGTCCGTCCCTGTACGGAGGCAGTGCTTAAAAGTTCTTACCCAAGAGAACTATAGCTAAATTACTTACTAGCCACAGATACAAGGAATACTTTATTATCGAAATAAACCGCTAATCATCATCTCGCTACAAAGACACAACCACTATAATATACTGGCTGGCTTCCTCTAAAGCCTCTAAGCTATAGGGACTACAGAGGGGCACCTATCTATAAGTCGTTTGAAGCTTCTTATATCTCGAAGTATCTAACAAGGGTAGTAGTTATGGCGTAAGTGCTTATGAGCAAGAACTTTCAAGCGCTGCCTCCGTAAACACTAGCCTTTTGCATCAACGAGACAGTACCACATCTTTAGTTGGCTTCCTATTTGGCACTGGTTATCATTAGCAGCCTCCTAATATCATGGTATTGAAGGAGAAGTATCAAGTGGGCAGTTACTTTCAGTTAGTCAGCTGTGGCTTTGAAACTTATCTGCATTACTCAAATCAGGCTTCTTACGGCTACTATCATTGCCACCTTGCTGGGGAACCTCTCGTAGTTATACCAGAGTACCCCCCGTGGCGACAGCTGCCCCTCTTTGACGTTGTGTGAGATCCTTCTGGCTTCTGGTAGGGATGTCTTCGACAAAACTTGGAGCTGTATTCTCTCCATTACCAGAATTGCTTCGTTTCTCGTCTGACAGTTTTCATCTCTGGCATTATTTGAGACCCAAAGACGTTCGCGCCAACGGACCTCAGGCTTGGTTGTAGTTTTTAAGTCGTCTTATCTGGGTGGATCAAGACGTCCAAGACTGGGCCCTATTCCACTAAATATTCACCAGTGCTCTCGCCTTTTCCTGCTCCTGGCGATATATACTCTGCACTTTATTATAAACCTGTCGTATCTCATTACTCAGGTTTCTAACTTTCCCGACCATTTGGTCCCAGTCAATAATTTCTTTGCTCTGCATGCCATTCTTTAGCTCGCCAAGGATCTGGTCATTAAAACCCTTTTCTAACTCCAGAAGTGACTTCTTGGCTGTACCTGTCATGTGCCCGTTATTATTAGCGCTGAACTGCAGCTGACGCTAAGGGGGAAGAAAAGAGAGAAAGAAATATAATTCATACGAAGAGCTTTCTGAAATCGTTCTCCTTTGAGTATACGGTCTTGCTTCTCCCGACTTTCTTCGCCCCAGTCGCCTTGGATCAGTTCATCTCCTTTTCTCAAGACTTTGTCCAATTCGATCAGCTGCATGTCAACGGCGCGTGCGTCCAGGGAAAGCTTCACCAGCCCCACGGAAAATAAAGATCGCTGGAGCCGGGCGGTTTCAAAAAGAACGCAGCGTGCAAGATGAGAATCTTTGCGCATGGTGGACAATACGTCCGAGATGGTCAGCAATACCCAGTTTGCAGGGGAGAAGAATTGAGGGACTTCGTTGTTGGGTCGGTATGTCGGTAGGTGAAAGTTGCCAGCGAGGAACCCATTCGCAGGAGCGAGCGCAGTGTCGTCTATGTCGGAACCGATATCGGTGCTACGACGCTGAGGGGAGGCTCTGATATGTTCAAGATTTATGACTTCAGTGGTAGCTTGGGGATCGGCTTGCTGAGCAGGCTCCTCGATGGCCTGCTTGCGTTTCTGCCCACAGCATTGAAGGGAAAAGAGAGACATTCACAGCGACGTATGGAACAGCCAGGCTGGACCAAATTAAACGAGGAGAGTCGCTGCTAGATTGGGGTGAAGTTGGTAAGTATCTGCCCGTTGCGTACACAAAGAAGACGTTCGAGAGCACTTCAACCTGGGCGCTTCAGCAACGATTTGGGCTGCTTACTGAGGGGTAATGCGGACTAATGCTGATCCGCAAGACCTCAGCTGCCTCCCTCTTAGATGGCGTTAACTAACGGTAGACACAGTCTTTCAGCGTTAGATAGCCACAACCGGGTATGGAACACTCAATCAATCAAACAAACACCGGCAAAATAGTTCTAATATTATTCCTCGGGCTGCTGCGTTTATAATGGAGCCAAACACGCCTGAGCCTCAATGCGACAGTCAAAGCGACCAGGGCGAGTCATACGGGGAGCAGCTATTTAAATACACATTCGATGAAGGGCGACAAGAACCCCGTTTTCTCATTTTCCGAGGCCTCCAACTCATGAATATCTTCAATATGCAAAACGACCTGGCAAAGCTAAAACACGACATCATGACAGCAAAGTCCGCAGAATCGCACCAAACTGAATCCCTCACCAAAGTCATGCACAACTACAGTACCTCCACACCCAATTCCAATCACATCCTCCGCATACAAATTAATACTAATCACCTCAGCTCAGCAAATGCAATCCGCGACTATGAGTACTTAACCCGTCTTACTCCCATCACCGGCTCTCAAGCCCGCCGCGGCCGTCTTGATCTGGAACGCGTCTTCGGAGACGATTCTTACCAGTTCATCGACGAAGGCTCCGGCTACCGCCGTTTCGCTGACGGTTCCCTCCTCCCCAGCGATAACCTTCGGGAAATACTGAAGCGCCATCTCCCCCGCTCAGTAAGCTACACGAAATATGACATTCGTAATCGCACCGACGAATATTTCAGCAACGAACCACCTGAGCAGATATCTCCGTTCGTGGATAGACTAGCAAGGTTTTTGGTGGCATTTCTAGGGGGCGCGATGTTGGTTGTGCCGATGATGATTATGCGGTTGCCAGAGGTTACGGTTGTAAAGAGCTTAGTAACGGTGAGTATCTCAGTTTTGGCGTTTGCGGGAGCATTGTCTGTTTTCTTCAAGGCGAGTAATACGGATACAATGGTGGCTACGGCGACATATGCGGCGGTTTTGGTGGTTTTCATAGGGGTTTCGGGGTAAGGAATAGAGTCCGAGTTTTTGATGAGAGTATACATGATAATCCAGCTGAGATTCGGTCTTATGAATATTGTTTCTTTCCTAGACCCAATTAGCCCCGCATATAATTGAAAAGGCGACTGGCATAGTATTCTGTGCTCTTCTTAGCCCCTCTCTGTAGTAGTATTTCCCTAATGTCTTCCAATCCCCTCGTTGTAGCCAGCATTAGTGCTGTTGTCCCGTGAATATCTTCGGCCTCAATATTAGCACTATTATCTAGCAGTATTTTTACCATCTTGTCGAGACAAAAGTCGACTGCAATAATAAGCGGTGTGTTACCAGCGTTATCCTTTGCCTCGATGTTGGCCCCTTGGTCCAGCAGAAGACTCACTACGGCTTCATGGCCATATTTAACAGCAAGTATAAGTGGCGTAGCACCAGTTCCATCTTTTGCCTCGACCTTGGCACCTCTTCTCAGCAGTAGCCTTACCATGTCAAAGTCGCCTAACCATGCAGCACACCTAAGGGGAGTAGAATATCCCGGGATGCCTCGGCCCACCTTAGCACCATTGTCGAGGAGAAGCCGAGCAACACGACGATGGCGGTTCCGTACCGCGTGATACAGCGGCGTCGTATGCTGATCATCCAACTCATGAAGATCTGCGCCTGCTACAATCAACATCTTTGTTAATGCGACGTCGCCCTTGATGGCAGCCCACATCATCGGCGTATGGGCTTTGCCATCTATGACGAATTGTTCTGGACCTTTGTTGAGCAATTTAGTTAGTTCTGCTACATGGCCGTTTGGGAAGGGCAATAACATCGAGTTGCTGCCATGTCCGTAGTAAACTGTGCCGAACGCTTTGGCGCCACTGTCATGGGCGGAAGCTGCGAATTGATTCGAGGCATCGTCTGCCTGATCCGAGACAGAGGGTTCAGTCTTATGTGACCAGTCGTCAGGCTCTAGATGACCATCCTTCGTTTCGGACATAATTGTTATTGTATCATTATTGCCAGGCTGGGATATCTGGTGCTCTGACTGCCTGGCAATACGAAAGTCTTCGGAAGTCGATCGAGTAGCCAGGGTAGATAGCTCAGTCGTGAGCCCCTTTCCATCATTGAAGGAGCTTCTCCTAGAGGATATGGTTGAAGGTCTATGTTGGTCAGATAAGGTGCTAGATAAGTGGAAAGAAATTAAACTTACCGGCTGTCAACACCCGGAGCTTGGATGCTTGGTAGTAGGCTTTCAATCCAAACATGACTCATGGCTTCATTAAGTTCCAATCTGCCTTCGGGCCGAGGCGTTATCGCCTGACGGATAAATCCTTGGCCATCTGGGCTTACTTGACAACCATCCAAAGGCGCGTGAGGAAATGGTTCACCTTGGTTCTTCGCGTAGGTCATGGTAGACATCTTATCTTGAAACGGAACAGTGTTTGTCAAGAGGAAGAAGATGGTTATACCAAGTGCCCAAATATCTGCCGCCCGATAGTCATTTGTTGAACAGCTAGCATGATCGGATCGACATAGCTCAGGGGCCATGTATGCTGCTGTACCGATGGATATGATAGTGAGATCTGTATCCGTGTCCCATCTCTTACTAATGCCGAAATCGGCGAGCTTCACCCACCAAGCACCTGAGGGTATACCCCTTGGATGCTGGTGGATCAGAACATTCTGATAAGAGGAATTAGATATCCTTTGCATTTGGTCAACCCAGCGTCTCGTGATGTACTTACTTGGGGCTTGATATCACGATGCGAGAACCCTTCCGAATGCATAAGAGAGAGGCCTGATAGAAGCTGGCTTGCAATCTGACGGCCATCGTCCTCGGGAAGGTGTTGATACTTTTGAACGTAGTTGTATAGGTCCCCTGCAGGGAAGTACTCCATCGCTATGTATAGTTTGCTTGACGACGCAAACCACCCTAGGGACTTGACAAAGTACTTCGAGTACTGGTCAGGCAAATAACAGTCAGCTACCTCTAATCGCAGTATGCAAGATTTGATAAGGTCTGGGAATCCCCACCATTAGGACATACCTTGTCATGAGAAAACTTGACCATTGTTGCGAGTTCTCGCTGGTAACGTCGTTTACTATCATTGTTGTGGAACCGGATCTTCTTTACAGCTCGCTCAGTAAAGCTTCGGCTACCATCGATACATGCTTCCAGCACAATCTCCCCTTGGCCTCCATGCCCAATGGTACGAACTTTCTTCCAACGCTCCTGCCGCGGTGGGGATAAGGGAGGTGCGTTAGGATCATTGTGTTCGTGGATAGTGACGGCTCCGTCGTACCACGTCTTCAGTTTGTAGTCACGAACAACATCCGGAAGATCGTCGTCCATCTTGGCTACCTACTTGCGTATCCAGCCTGCACTGAGCCAACAATCGGCGATTTGAAAAATAGTACAAGTGATGTTGTGTGACAGGATGGCAATCAGATGCGTAAGGCAAGGGAGGAGGATAAGCCAAGTAGTGTCTCGGAGCCGATATATTGTTTTTCCGTCATGCAATGTAATGGTCTGGACTCCCCGAGGGCTGAAGCCAGGTGATATTGCTGGTCCAATCAGCGAGTCATAATGATCAACCTATCACTATAATCGAAGCACCGGGTGGCTGCTGATGGATGGTCAAGCTGAAAGATTGACCTCACTGCCTCATTAGTATGCCTCAGTGCGGGGTACCGGCTGGGATAACTTCCATACTACCCCGTTGGATTGTGCACCTGTTGGCATTCTCCCAGGAAGCTGCGACTCAGGCCGTCATCTATATTATGGCTGATTTGGGTTTTGGCATTGCCGGCCTCGTCGGCACTATTGATGCGTGTATCAAGTGAGTTGATATGTTTCATATATTTATCTTCGTGGCTTAACTGTTCATTCCAGGGTCGGCCAATTTCTGGTTCAAGCCTATAAAGACTACAACCAGGCTGACAGTAAGGTTAACGAACTCTCAGTTCGGATTCAGATCTGCTGGTCACGCATCGTCAGCCAGTTAGAGATTATAAAAAAGCTAGAGAGTGGAATGACCGAAGAACAGCGAGATCTTCAGTCAAGATTTCTACGCATCCTACAATCCAAGTTGGACGCCGCAATGGTTGTGATATCAAAACCTGACGGACATGCAGACTCAAAAAGAACCAAGGCACTGCATTTCTTGAATCTTCGTGAGAGTCTTGAAAGTACCGTTTCTGAACTTGAATCATGGCAGCGGCGCTTTGAACCTTCATGGTTCGAGGTCATCAAGACAGGTCCTTCCGCTATTGATGGAGTGTTACACGACGCAGCTCGGAGCAGAGCCCATGACGTTGATCAGCCAGCTCGAGAAGCACGGAGATTCCGCCGAGCTTTCAACGAAAGTCAGTCCGTTATGCTAGGGGAAAAATCACTCGACACCCTGAAGAGAGCGTCGATACCCTTCTGCAAAGCGGAAGTAGCCGTCGAAGAAAAGGAAGGCAAACACTACATTATCGATACAATCTCTCAGGATATAGTCAAGCTAAAGCATGCTCGTGAACTAGCCATAAGGCTCCGAGACTCTAATCCCTTTACGTTCGGTACTCTAAAGTATAAAGGGATTGTGCGAAAGCAAGAGCAGTCGTCTCTTATTATTGTTTTCCGAGTCCCTGATGGGTACTCTAGGGTTTAAAGCTGTAGAGAACTTCTTCTTTCTGGTTATATACCTGACTTACTTACGAGGCGCCTTAACATTGCTTGACAGCTCGCTACCGTAGTATACTATACTTACCTCTATGATTTCGTTCATAAGGACATTACACCAGAAACGATATTGACGTTAGAGCCTGTAAAGGAGGCATGCGAAGAAACGGTCATATGTTTGGTGGGATTTCAACTTATACGCTTTGCAGACGTACAAACGTATACGCTTAAGACAGATCGGAAGGACGTCATCTATTAACACCCTTCACGCACAAGCAACACGACGGTCAAATTTGCTATGCAACATGATATTTACATCCTTGGTGTTTGTCTTCTGGAAATTGGATTATGGCAATCGCTCGTCCAGTATGATGATGACAACAATTCACAGTTTTCTGACATGCTGCAAGCTGGGCAGGTTGACTCGGGGACGATCAAAGCCCATCTAACTCATCTAAGTCGTACAGAGCTTAGGGTTACAATGGGCGATGTTTATAGTAAGGTCGTTGAGACTTGCTTGACCTGTCTGGACGAGGGCAATGTAGAATTCGGTGACCCGAGGGACTTTGAAGATGAGGATGGAGTGACAGTTGGATCCCGCTATGTCAAGAGAATTTTAGATACGATAAGTACCATTAATTACTAGTACGAGCTATAATGTATACAATGAGCAATAAGATAGTGTGAGAAAGTTCTGATAATTACTTATACTGTATGTATTTTCCTTGATTGCATTTAAACTCAACATATCTTTATTACATGTATTTTACCTTATATCGTAGTTTGTTTCAAACCTGGTATAGTATACTGTTGAAAGACATAGAATATATACCTTTAGATATTTGTATGAGAAATAATTATCATCTTATAGTATAGTCTAGTCTAAGAATGGTATCATTTTAGTCTATGCACCTTTATGATGCAAATAGTGTGCCATCCTGACTGCATGCGTTTTGAGTTTATTCTTTACGTATGCCGCCCAATATCATTACCAATGCCACTTTGGGTGCTCTGGTAGGACTGATATCCGCAACAAATACCAACATACACTTAAACTACATTCGATATATCAATCCGGGCTTAACGAAGACATTGAACCCCCAAACTTTAACTAGACCCCCACTGACTGCCTTAAACTTGGCCGAGCTTAATAGATGTTAAAGAAGGTTAATATTTATGTGGAGTCAGATGATGATTTTTTGGAAACTGTTGGATTGACGAAGCCCAAGGTTACCGTTTTGAAGCCTGAGGTTATCGCTTTTCAACTTCACATTTACGTTTTTATTCACGCACAAAATAATTGATTATAGATTTAACCTTTAAACCAAAGCATGCTCTCCCCTGACCACCAACCTTGTTATTCAGCATCGCAGTATAAAATGCGCACCTTTCCAGTCGCTTGGACACCTGCTCTCTTTATTCTTCCACCTTCATCAATCTACCAAGCCAAGCCACACAAGACTCCACAGCCAACGACAGGCATCATGGTAACTACTTCTCCTTTCGAAAAGCTTCCACTCGAGCTGACTACAATGATATTCAATGACTTCGAGTCCCCTAGGGACATTCAGGCCGTCATTTGCGCTAATTCTCACATGTTGCGCCATTTCACTGCCAACCGGCGTCGTTTTCTTCGGCGTTTCCAAGACATCCTAAAGGACGGCTTCATCGGCACCAACATTTCTATCGCGCTCAAAGCCTGCCGACTGCGACGTTTTGAGAAGACCTTTCCTGGTCTCGATCGAGTTCAAATCTCGCGGCGGGTTGAGTCAGCGTTGAGTTCGCCCCAAGACCGAAGAGAAGGACGACGCCCAGTATGGCAGCTGAGCCTGGAGACTATCTCTCAGCTCTTGGAGCTACTGTCTGAGTCCGACCTGCTTGTGGACAACTATTCTTCAGAAGCCTGGGACCATTTCCAAGAATTGACGCATATTGACGTCGATCACGAGATCACATTGAACTGTCATCATCCAATGCCTCGTGTCCCTTTGCTTCTCTCCGGATCAGAAGAATTCCGAATTCAGAGAGCGTATCTGCTTTTCGATGCATTCCGACACACTCTTTGGTTTGACATCTCTGTTCTACGGAATACTAAGGTCATTCAAGTGTCTGTTTGTGACAACTCTGAGGCCCGTTGGAAGGATAGCGACTGGGGTACACGGGCCTTCCAGTCGGTCTACCGCTTCATCTTCCAACGATATAAACGTCTTATGTATCGAGCATGTTCGACTCAGCAATTCAGATCCAGCTTGCAGAGAGATGTCTATGAGAATTTCCATTGGGTCGCCTATCTAAGCTCTCAACGGCACTCAATCCACCTGTGCCTTCTTGGCAATGATGAAGCGTGCCTGAAGCAGTACATGTCCCTTGTACGGCAGTCAAGATATGACACAAGTCTAAGCATCCGGTCCGCCATCGTGGGTAATGATTTGGAACTTTCTCTCGTGAGCAACGATGTAGAAGAATCTTCTAAATTGAATTACCACGATCGTGGTTATTTGCGAGATTTCTGGATCAGTGGCAGGTATCTTTGGGATAAAGAACGGATTCAAAACCTTTTACATGAGTGGCGGGAATTCGATAGAGCTGAGCACCGCAAATATCATGCCAGACTGGCTGCTTTTGCTTTTGGGACAAGTCAGTCAAGATTTAGGATTACTCGGCCTGCTATGTAATACGAGCATTCATGAATATAGTTAGTTATTTGAGCAGTTCTCTTACAACATGAGAATTATTATGAATGTTAATCTATAAATTTATCTAATCCCCACAGCCTTGGCGCAATCACCTCTGCACAAGAGACAGGTATCGGAAACAATAAAGATGGTTCGTTCACAAAGCGGCGGTTCGGTTGGAAAGATCTTAGACTGGTCAACACGTAAACTCAGTTGTCTTTTCTGATTCTGTAAGCCAAACAACTCAGTTGCGACACATTTAATAAGCACTTTTCGCTGCTAGGCTAGCATGATCTGTTCCGCTCAACCATGTGGACTACAGCCCTAGAATGTGATGTGGATGAAATTTCTTGTAGACGCTCGCCGATAACCCACCGTGATTTGTTTCCCCGCACTCTACGTCTCCCGTTAAAAGTCTAGGCGGCACTTATCTACACGTCTCCATCAACATCATAGCTAAATCATCTATAATCTCAGTACCTTTCCAACTCGACTTGACTTGACTTGGTGCATCTTCTCCACAACCTGAACGCTTCTAAGCAAGGAATACTGCACTATCTAGTAATTTTTATCGGACTTGGCCTCAGACACCTCACAGAACAACATATCAGACAACGTGGTATACGCTGGCTAATATGCTCATCACGTAACGTTAATGTTCACAGGATTTGTTAAGCCGGCCAGACAGGAATAAGTGAAGGGTGGCCATCGCCGACATCTTCGCTGTGATTTAGTCAGTTTTGTCACTTGATGGTCTACCAGATTCACTTGCGTCTAGGCAGGTTGCTTGATTGGTATGCTTTTATCTTGATGTCCTTTTTACGAAACCTTCAGTCTTCATTGTTGGGGCGACTAGCTTGGGATGGTGGATTGAAGACGGAAACTAGACGAGGAAATGATCTGCAAGACTACTACAAGCCTTTGATCCGCTACATTTCTATGTGGTAATTTGGATAAAGTTGGTTGAGTTGATGTAGGGTTAAGGACGTTTCTGATAGGCTGCTGTTGAATTAAAGGTCTGTGGAAGAGACCCCCGTTGTTTGTATTACTGCGCTCAGGATAGCTAAAATCCGCCTTGGAGTTTAAATTCTGCCACTAAAAAGAAGAACATACAGCATCATGATTCTCCTTTTACCGTAACCCTCCTACCATCCTAGCGACACTGAGGGCAGGGCGCATTGATCTGAAGGTTCATGTGGTTTTGCGGTGCAGGTACGGAGCAAAATCCACTTCTTCCTGATTGAGTGACCTTTTGACCGCAATGGAGAGGATGTCTTTGGAATAAATGGTTGCAGATCGCGCTATAGAATAGGTACCATCCACAGTAGCACCCTATGGGCCCATTAGGGTTCTGAACTTGATTTGCGATGGCGGCTCGACCGACATCTCGTGGTGTGATGACATTCTGAGCCATTCCTGTAAAAAATGTAAAGAAGTTCTAAGGCTCGTCAGTGATTGAAGTTGGAGATATCTAGGAACTGGGAATAGCCTGTACATTATGTGGTGTCAGGTATGTTCAAGTAGAAGGAGGCTTGATAGATTACGTTGAACCACGGGAGAAAAGGGATGAGTTGTTAGATGTGGTTGAAAGCAAGAATACAATGCTTTTTAACGAGTAAGACAATGAAGAGGCTTAGTACTCAGGTGTGGAAGGTAACAATATGAACGTGATAAATAACAATAGGGGAAATATGCAATCTTTATATAGAAGTCAAGACGGAACTCCGGATGGGCATATGTTAGACTTACTGGTTATAACATTTCCAGTGAAGCTACTACATGCTGAGGCGCCTCCTACTCTAATGCATCAGTTCATGTCTCAGGTTCAGGATCATTCAGCCATTCAGAGATGCAGCGCGTAGCACAGCGGTTAAGGTCAAGAAGGACCTAGCATGTAAATGGATCTATTCATAGTCATAGCGTTTAAGGTGAAAAAGAAACGAGTTAACTTGCCACATAAATGTCAGGATGTTGGACAACTTATATGATTGGCGGATGGAGCCAGCAACGCAAAGTCTAAGGATATCCAAAAACTAGGGTCGGCAGGTTCTGTTCGCTCACTTGGCCGGCGACTGGAGATGAGCGAATCACGTCGATTTTCGACCAACCAGAGTGGAAATAGGGGCGCTTTGTGGGCGGCAAGCTGCTGTGGAGGCCAACTGATCCACTGTTGTTTAGCGACTGATAGGTGGAGCTCCCTGCAGATGATGCGCTACGATTGGCCCTAAATTTCTTACCTTACGGCGTTTAGGCGCCTACCGAGCAGTCACCGTTTTCCCCCGCAGTCTGCTTTTTCCGCCTTGGAAAGCGAGGCGGCAGTCATCTACGCATCTCCATCAACATCACACCCAAATCATCTGTGATCTTCGCACCTTTCCACCGCGACCTGGTTGGACTTCCCATCAGAATATCATCAGCAAGCACGCCATGCTCAAGCCGGAAGACAGATTCTTCGCCCTAGAGGGCAGTATCTACCCAGGCGGCCCAAGCACTTGGTACGTAATGGATTGGGACCAGCGTCGCCTTATCTCAGTGACTATGGACGAGGAACTTGAATCAGCAGACCCAGCAATCGAGCAACTCTCAAAACATGTAGACGATCTGGAACCGGATGTTTTTGAACTTCGTGTTTCATCTCACGGCGACTTGATATCAACATCTACAAACCCAGAAGACGACAACACTTTTTGCCCATTCTACCCCCCCCTTGAGGCAACCGGAAAGGCAGATATTCAAACCATTCCCAGGTCAAAACTGGAAGAACTGGATAGACTGGGGCCCCTGGTGGATCTTGTCACAGATCTCCAATCCTCCAAGCCCAGCGAAAAGGTCAGTGAGTGGTTATCTACAGCACAAAGGTTAAACCACTGACTTGAACATAGCTTGTATTCAAGTACTACTTCGTCTATCAACGCATGTCTCGTGTATGGAACGAGATGAACCTGTGGATGCGTTTGCCCAAACATCCAAATATCGTGTCTTTCGACAAGATAGTCGTGGATGAGCTGGAAGGTCGCTGCATTGGGTTTACAACCAAATATATCGCTGGAGGAACACTCGATGAAAACAAATCTCGAATTTTTAAGCTCAAGTGGCTTCATCAATTAATCGCTGTTATCGATGAGCTAAACTTGAATCTCGGGATTGCTCATCAAGACGTCGCACTTCGTAACCTGGTTATCGACGATCTGACGGATTCCTTGATGATTTTTGACTTTAATTTCTCAGCTCGCATTGGAGATATGGGATTTAGTCAGGCTCGGAATGATGTTGATGGGGTTATATTTACGATATATGAACTCATCACTGGGCACGACGAGCTACGCTCCGTAGAGCATGAAAAACAAAACGTCTCAGACATCGAGGGGATGAAGTGGATCAAGCACCCTGATGTTCAGCTCGACCACCCCGTTGCGGAGTTCCGCAAGCTTCTCGATCAATGGTCTACAGGGCGGCGAAAAGATGCCAACCGCATCAATATATATAAAGACGCTCCGAACTACATCGAATGGCCAGGAATACCCCGGCCACCACCTTCTGAAATTGGGACTAATTATATAACCGGTCCTATGATAGAATCCCACGGCTTGTGGAGTATGGGGAGAAGAGATATGCTAGAACAAGGAAAAGCAGTTTTGAACTGGCAACGTCCTGCTCAAACAAGGCTCAAGCCTGGTGAAAGAATTTTGGAAACTGGTAAATATATTTAGAATACTAAAAACTACAAAGTTTAGTAGCCCGAGTTGAAGAGATAAAGCCGGTTTATAAATGGGAACATAAGTGGATGTTTATACTATTAGCCTAACTATGGAATTTAAGGAATTGTTGCTGATGTATAACCAGTTGGTGAGCTAAGGTTCTATACGATAAAAGGACTTAGTGACTAATTAAATACAATACCATTAGACTACCAGTAGAATTTTAATAGCGATGACAAAATAAATAATAGCTTTGGAAATAATTATGCTCCTGCGATGGTGAGAAGCTACGGTTCCGTACAAAAGGTTCTGATAATTAGTTAATTAGAGACAGTAATCTTAGAATAGATCACAAAAATTAAAATATGAGTGGGAGATTTTGTACTTATTGTTGGGATAATACTTTATATAGTCTTACAAATGACGAAAAGTGTGAGATAATTTACTTACTTTTATCAAGAATCAACAACATAGGAAACTATTGAAGATCTTACACGTCCAATATACATTGTAATCAAACGCCTTTGGCATTACGTGTTAACTCGCTCTAATTCTTTTCAGACCTCGCATCCTCCGTGCCATCTTCCACTGTCATTACAAAAGCCAAGTACTGACTGAGGCTTTCCAAACGTGGTCGGGTCGGAATTGTGGTTTATATCTTGTGCTATATATGAACCGAGGCCGGTCTGCCCACATGCTCTTTTGTCCGCTCAGAGGCGCGAAGAGATTTCAACCAGCTATAAGGTAATCGTCACAACAACAGTCCGGGACGTTTTGTAAGATACAGGGTAACTTCGCATAGTGAGCACCCTGGTAATCAGGGCAGAATATTAGTGGATCTCCAGGTTTTGGACTAACGAATGTGGCGGCGACTACTGAATCATTTAAGACATTGCCAGTCCCCCACAAGACAGAACCCACTGTCTCATCAAGCTGTCTGTCTTTCGTTAAGTTCTGTTCAGCCTCGATATACCTTCATTATGCGTGTCTTATCTTTCGCCTTGGCCTTCTTCGCGGCCGATATCGTTGTTGAAGCTGGAGTGTGCAAACCTGCCCGTAAGTGACTATGTGTGCGACAACTGTTTCACACTGACATAGATTGGTCCAGGAACAACTACTGCTCAGTCCGTCCTCACTTCAAGTGTGGAATCATCTGCCACCGCGGTATCCACTGCCGTGACTGAAACATCTGTGGTCTCCGCCGAATCTCTTACCTCTGCAACTGAGACAGTGATCCCTACCTCATCGATCGAAACGTTGACCTCTTCTATTACGCTGGCTGGAACGACAACGACCGAACTTCTTTCCACTGCTACCACCGAAGAGGCATCCACTACGACTACCGAACAGACTGCCACTACCACTACTGCAGACGCAGGTCCAGTTGTGACGTCTGGCTCTATCATCGGTACTGGGCCGTTCGCTGACCTCACCCTCAAGGGCAACGGCCAACGATTCACCCCCCTATCCTTTGCACCATCCGACTCAACTCAGACCTTGATCTTCAGCCTCGTCAATAATCAGCTTTCGGCAGGCAACAACAACTATCTATGCTTGACCTACAAAGACGTAGGTGTTCTCGGGCCGCTAGTACTGTGTCCGTTCGACAATTTCTCTTCGGCTCCCTTGAAATGCTCGCAGACATCTAGCGGCACGCTGTCTTGCACTGCGCCAAACGGATCTTGCAATGCGAGCGGGACGTGCAGGAGACCTAACAATGCTGCCCTATTTTATTAATTCTATGTCGACGATGCTCAGGCAGGCTATTTCGGCCCCCCAGGAACCTTCGATGGTTTCACCGCTCTTTCCCTGGTTCTCGCTCAATAACCATGGGGTTGGACCATAGTGGCGATTGGAATACATGCAGAAGAGGTGGAAGTGTGCTTCGAGACATTGACTCCAAAGGAGGAAACATCTTTATCGTTCCAACATCAATCTCTAGATACACTACCTTCCAAGAGATCTTATCAATAACTTCTTTCTTATTGCCTTTACCACCCACTATATTTGTGAGTTATAGCTGACAGACGCGCTGATGGCTGTTCGTTCGGTCCAGTGGCTCATGTGATGTCAGGTGGCCTTCAAAGTCAGAGTTGCGGGACACACACTCCTGAAAAACCCTGATCTAAGTGCTCCAAGCCTTGTAACTCAATGAAATCTGAGACATCCAAAAGTTGCGCAGGTAGTCACCAAACAACAATTTGAGGGCGCTGATATCGATGCTGGGAAAGAAACCTCCTGCGAACTGTAGAGCCGCGTGTCACAGCCTCAACTTCAGGCGTTCAACGAAGCGCTCCTAAGAGGAGTTGATGTTGAAGATGCGCAATAGAGTGTTTTTGCTAGCGTATATGGTAGGCCTTGTTCTTATTGTTATGGTAAGCTAGCCAGCGCCTGGTCTTCTCCTTGTTCTGGCCGCACTGTAAGGAATCATCCACAATGACGGTCAGATTGTCTCCAGGTGCCTTCTTGCTCTTCAGGCTGTTAAGGGAGCTTTTCTAAATAAAGATCACAATTCCTGGCCTCTTGATATACCGGAGCCAGTAGATTCGCTAGAGATGAGAGTGAAGGATGTATTAGACCTAACTATAATCCCGAAAACGATTTAGTACTAGAAGGAGATATTATAAGGAGTTCGTAAAGAATTAAGGTCGAGATTATAGGAGACATTGTAATATAAAGGTTTTAGAATACTAAAGTAAAGGCTATTTATAGATTGCTGCTAAGAAAGAATAGAAGAGAAACTATAAGATGCAATTTAAATTAAGTTTAACCTTAGAGAATAAATAAAAAGCTAAGAATATTACTATTAACACTATACTGTTATTCTAAGTTAAGATAAGTAATAACTTGTTTTTAAGTCTATATAATTATCTAGTTAAAGTAAACCCTAGGTTTTTATAAAGATATAAAATATATCGATATAGTAACCTAGACTTTAACCTCTCTATATCTTTATTAGCTTGTAATTATAGTAGGGAAGGATTAAAAAGAAAACCTAGAGGGTCAAAGATATAACTACAAGGGCGTGAAAACTATATAGTATAAAGTAGGTATTCCAGTTAATAATATTATTAATATTATTATGCATTGCATTAAGAAGGTATAGTAGGATTTTAATAAGCGTTATATAATCTGTAATTTCTCGGCGTAAAGGGCTGAAATACATATTCCTCCTAGTAACTAATTTTAACCTTTAATATTCTTACCTGTCCTAGCCATTAGCGCCCTATACACAAATGCTCTTTACGGGTTATCTATATTTCTTAAGGTCGTAATTACCTATTTAACTTACCTTTTTAAGTAATTATATTAAAGCGTATCTAACCTTGGATTGAGGGTGAGGTTAGTAAATTGAAAGACAGTGTATTGTCTGCTGTCTGTGATAACTACTCACGAGGTGTATATTAAACGAGAGCGGGCTTATAGAAGGGTGAAGTTGAGACTGATCTATAGCAATCTCGTGGCAAGTCAACCTATATTGAGTGTTATCAGACCCTTAGACTTATAGGTCCCAGGTGAAGTAACTATACAGTGGCAAGAAAATATACTTGATCAACTCTCAAGTATGAAAATTAACATGTTTCCAAATACATTTCAACCCAATTCGCTTATCTCATAATTCCCAGGCGCCAGTCTAATACCTGAATTGCCTCCCCTGACCTAGTATAGGCCACTCCTATTCCAATGTACTCTCCCAATTTATCAAAACCTTCCAGAACCCCTTCCACCGGTACCCGAAAAATTCTGACCCCTGACTAAACCTGGCTCGGCGTTTGTGGGATACGTAGAGGTTTCTCTAGGATGCCCCCCCACCTTTGAGTGGGATAAGTATCCCCAGATCGGCAGATCCATGTGGGAGAATGGTTTGTCATCAAACACAAACTAGAGTTTGCATGACATGAAGCACTAATACGCATTGATAGTGTTGATCAAGCTTCAAACTGATGACTAAATCGTTTGAGTTGGGCGGGATAGATATGGTTAGAAATCAAGATGTATGCCAAGTGTCTTGACCAATGGGATTTAAAAACCAAGCCTCATCCGGCATGGTTTCGACCAGCTCTCAAAAGAAAACATCACAGTATCTTCACGACACTGGACTCCGCAACAATTTGAAATCACTTCAGCTACCATGTCTACTACCATCAAGAATGTTACCGTTGCTGGTGCCTCTGGCAGCATTGGGGCTGCCATCCTACACGCTCTCAATGCTTCAGGTCACTTCAGCCTCACTGTTCTCAAACGCCACGGATCAGACTTCAACCCGCCAGAGGGAGTGCGGATCGTCAGTGCCGACTACTCCTCCCAGAAGTCTTTGACCACAGCCTTGATTGGACAGGATGCCATTATCTCCGCACTTGGACATGCGGCACTTCTTGACCAAATCACCCTGGCAGATGCAGCTGTAAAGGCTGGAGTTACCCGCTTTATTCCGTCCGAGTATGGCTGCAACCTCAGCAATGAATTGGCACGGAAACTTCCCTCCTTCGCGGACAAGATCAAGACACAGGAGCACCTCTTCCAACTTTCCCAATCCACTCGTCTCTCATATACTATTATTTACTGCACGGCTTTGTTAGACTGGGGTTTGGAATATGATTTTATCCTCCGTATCTCTGATTGCAAGCCAAAATTGTATAACGGCGGCGAACAGCCCTTCAGCGCCACGTATCTTTCCACGGTTGGTCAAGCTGTGGCAAGCATCCTAGCCCAGCCCGAACAGACCAAGAACACCATAGTTCGTGTTCATGACATGGTGATATCTCAGAAGCGCCTTCTACAACTCGCTCAGGAAGTGGCACCACACAAAAGCTGGGAACCACAGAATGTTTCACTGGACGAAATAACTGCAGCCGCCGATGAAAGAAGGGAAAAGGGATTGTTTGATATGGAAACAATGATGCCTTACCTGTTTCGTGGTATTATGGATCCGAAGTATGGGGGTCAACTGGCCGACGTTGACAATGAGCTTCTGGGAATAGTTCCCAAGACTGAAGAGGACGTTCGTCAAACCTTAAGGAAATTAATTGGGTAGGATAACATGTATGTACATACCATCAGCCATGCATAATATGCGCAATAGACATATGATAAAGAGAGAATAGCAACATCAACACAAGAAAGAGTAGCATGTCGTTAGAACATAGTCGAAGACACTACATAACCTGTCTGGAGGTAGGTTGTCCTGAGGAATAAACAGTGTGTATTTATACCTTTACGAAGAGGGTTATAATTAAGTTAGTTAGACCTATAATTACTTCCTACTCTATGATTTATATGGTAATAGACTTAACCCTGATGAGTTATAATTATAATATGATAATATATTTATGTAAAGTCTGGTAGTACCCTGAAAAAGGAGATCTAGCTATCCTAATCAAATTTATATAGATATTGATAATAGAGGTCTCTACACAGACCAAACAGCTTTACTGTCCTAAATTCAATAATCTTACCCACTATATAAGCCACCGTAGCTCTATTTATTATGCTGAAGGTTAAAAAGTCCTGAAAGGACAAAAGGAGGCCATGAGAAGCTGTGATTAACTGACTAAGATCACGTGACTCGCTGAACTTTACAGTGAGATGATAAGATAAGCAAAGTAACTGACAGTACGGAGTAATTCAACAGTAATGCAATCAAGATTTTAATTTAATAAAGAATCAAGGCTTACTTAATCCCTGGTTGTTTCCAATCTAGATAAGTGGCTTTCAGAGTTAACGAACGAGAGGAATTACTAGTAATTAACAGTCTATGCCAAGCTTTGAGTTCTGGGTTTTGACCAGTTAACGAGAGATTTACAAAGCGTGTAGGATAGTGAACAATACAGGCATTATGTATTTCCTTCTGTATCAAAACTAGCCCACCCAGGCTATGCAGGACCACTGAGAACTCGATAAGATGTCTTCACTGCCGGCGACAGTGCTTTAAGGGCACTACAAAGTTCCTCGGCAGATTTAAGAAGCTCTTCGTCTGACAGTGGCTTAAGAGCATCCAGAATAAAGAGGACACGGGTAGTCTCGTCCGTTAGCGCAGTGCGTGGACCTTGTCGCCAATTCCATCTACGACAAGTAATGCCAGTACTATCACACCAGATAGGTTCCCCAGGGGCTACTACCTCTGTCGAGGGCTGTCCACCAGCCGAAGTGTGAAATTCTTCCTTGCCAGTGGCGCGGATCAAGAAGGGCGCTCCATCATACTTGTCCAGATCCTCGCCACCAAAAGGGATCTGATGCTTGACAGAAATGGCGTTGTAAATATCCGTCAATCGGTTAACGCGCGGTAGGCCGCCCTTGTCGACACGAAGTGTCAGGGCTTCCAGGCTATTGCGGGTGCGCTGGGGCTTGGCGCCGAAAGCCTTGTAAGCTTCTCGCCAAGCTGCGATATGGGGAAGCTCAATGACAGATTTGGTTGACGTGAGGGTCTTGACGTGTTCCTCTGCTTCCCTCAACATGGCCTCACTGACCGCATCGCTGGGCCCTGGAGGGATGCCCTCGGCTTGTACTAGGAGGGCTCGATAATCTGGGCGCAGCTCGAATATTTCTGGCGCTATATGTGCAGTGTCCAGAACACTCTGTGTTTTGATTGGTTCACTCATGGCTTGATGGAGACGTAATGAACAACAGTGTTGCAGAGAAACAATAGAGAGAATGGCCGGGCTTCGAATAGAATAGCGAATTTTAGAACCGAGTGATGTTTTGTGCAGGGCAGAATTCATGGGCATAAATCTGATGGACACGGAAACAAAGAAGAAAAGTTGTATTCAGCTACTTGAGCTCTGAGAGATAAAATATACGTAAACACAACAGGTGGTACGTACTCAACTAAACCATCTCACGTTAGAGTTCTAATCCAAATCAGTGGCTTGCTTTAGAGATTATAAGCGGCGACTTGCTATTGCGCCGTGGGTCGCAAACATCCTCAGGCAGGTCGATACGCCGGAAATCAAACTCCAACAGCGAAAGAGGTTAGTCAAAGAGCGCAACCGATGCTAGCTCCAATCCAAGCTTAACCCACATGAGCGAGCAAAGCCTTGTTTCCAATTTGGGTTTAGGGCTGAAATTGCCCAAAACAAAAGGCAGGTCGATGCGCACCAGTCTCTTCGATAGTCCAATATGTGTGGACTTTGATCTGTCGGTCCCATTAAAATTGCAAAAGTAATGTCGAGATAGTTTTTCCTCTCTCTTACCAATCGGAATGATCGGCCTACTAAGACTCGACACCAGGCCAACGAAGAGCAGGATAGATGGCAAGGTCTGTAAGTAGGTAGGTATCGGTTTCAATGCTAGAATCGGCTTTTTATACTCTCTTCGGAAAGGAAAAAGAAAATGAAATTCGATTAGTTTTGCATATCTTATTACGATTGATTTAGCTAGATCAAGCGTTCACATAAGCGACAGCATCCAACCAAGGCATCGGATAGCTTCGTGCCAAGGGACTCCCGATACTCTACCCCCCCTTGGGTACCCATTAATCCACTTCAAATCCTGCTGTTTCCAAACCATCATCGTCGCCTCCATCGTACTAGACACATTGCTGAGTGAGCGGCACCCCTTGAGCTCTTCAAACCAGTCTAACACCTGCATTCTTTTGTGCTCGGGGGCAAGACAAGCTGCAATGAATAGAGCCCACATCGGGTACGGCACCGACCCGATAAGAGCATCCCGCCGTTCGTGAACTCGGCGTATCGCTTCAAAAAGCTTTGGCATTAGGCTTTTCTGCACCTCTTCCGCATCACGCCCATACTGAGCCACTCGAAGGTATACCCAGGCTGCAGCCTCGAATGCCGCCGCGTTGATATAAATCAGACTTTCCATATCAGAGTCTTCAGACCACTGCTGTAGTTCACTGAGTTGGTTCTCTACGGCTTGCAACTCCGCACGCATGATGGCCGCACTTTTCCTTTCTGAACCTGCTGCCGAATGACGCTGGATAGTTGAAGTTATCAAAACGATGTTTTGGATAAGCTCCGATGATAGCCCTGTGTACGGGTTGATTTGTGAGCGGCCATGCACTGATCTCAATATCGGGAACATGGACTTTCGCTGTGGTATTAGCCAGCCATCTAGATTTTCAATCTCAAGCTCAGTCCCTGTCGTAGCAAGAAAGGCTTCGAAAAGCGAGAAGTGATCGGTAACAAAACGATAAACCTCTGGACTAAATGGCTCGTGCCCATATCGTTTTACCATGGACAGCCCCCCAAGGGTATGTACAGCCCATTCGCTGGTACTGTTCGTGGCGATTTCCATCAGACTATGCAGCATAACAGCCATCAAAAGTCCGTCCCTCTCGCATTCACTTGTGGAGTCATCGGTGTCGTCCAGGCCCTTGCTGCTGCACAAAAGTTGCCGCACGTCCTGAAGTGAACGCAGTTTGTGATAAAGCATTGAGGAATAGAGTTTCTGACGTTGATGCTGTTGGTCCGTATGAGTTCGGTTAAGTAGATCGTGAGCTGATAGGCTGATGATTATATGTAAGAGGGGGCTGAATTGAAGTGCTCGAGGTAATATCAATCGTTGGAACGGATTTTCCAATTTTTTTGAAAGGACTCGATGAGTAGACCATTCTTGTGTATCTACCATTTTGTTAATCGAGATTAGTATCGACGATTTTGGTGCTTACAATATTGCAGTAATATGCCATCGTTATGCTCTAGACTTGGAAGAACACTCAATGACGGCGGTACTGAGAGTTCGAGCATCGCTAAGGGCCGGCCAGGCAGTCCATCAGCTCTCCTACTTACACCCCCGTATGGAAATCGTCGCATCTCATCTTCCGTTATGTGTATCCACCGGAACCTACCTCGCGGAACCGGCAGTAAGTAATATGTTGTCTCTGGCGTGCGGTTGTGTAGTGCCGCTCTCCCGAATGCAATTCCAGCACATCTTGTCTCGTCTTCCCATTGGAGTCGAAGGCCATAACTACAGGCTAGTCCTCGCCGGATACACCGACTACAGGAGGGGCGTTCTTCTACCAAGTCGTCTTAGGTGGGTGACTAATGAAAAGAATTTTGGAGGGGGGCAGGTTGATCCGCGAGTCGCTTACCGACACATCTTCTCTTTTGACCTATGACATCAGATTAGCCAGCATCCCGATACCTGCAGTAGTCGAGACATTACTTTTGCAATTCCAACATCCAGTACGATTACGTCGAATAGAACGGGGTTGAAAGATCGAATCCATACCCGGAGGGTTCCTTTTATGGGGAGAGGTGCGCATCAACCTGCCTCTTCGTTTGACTGTTTTCTGTTGGGGCGAAGTGCAGGGAGAATTCAGGCCTGGCCGGAGATATGTGGCTGGGGGGGGAGAACATACGTACTTTGAAAAGCCCACCAGCCCCACACAACCTTGTCGGCCCCGCATATGTTATCTTTTCCTTATCACCTATCCGTACCTATTACCAGCTAGAATCTTGGCATATATACCTACCCTATAATATTCACGCGCATGGTCTTGGGCTATGGTGACGCGGACTATTTTGCCTTTAAACAAGTGTATTTCTACAGTCTCTTTTGTACTATCGACGAAGACAGAACTCTTATGGACCATTTTCGTCTTCCTGCAAACTTCGTTCTCCCATTCTTGAGTGCTCAGCCTCTTATGACCTACAACGGAGGATTTGGCAAATTCACCAAGGTTGCCAGTAAGCTATCATACTTATGATTTCAAAGAAGTCACATAAGCCTACAATGTTTCGCCATTGAGGCCGTTCAGCAAATTTTAACAAACCGAAATTATCCTAGTGAGGCGGAATCTCTAGCAAGACGGGTCTTAATAGAACACGTGTCAGACCGGGAATGAAAGCGAGATTCAAACCATTATATAGGTGCTTCCAATAATGGCAATAGTAATGGCACAAATTTACATCTTGGGTAACCAGGAGGTATGTAAACTACAAATCTCAATGGAAGGAAATGCTTTTACGGAATCATTAGCGAGGTCTTCAATAGTTAATTTGATATTTACTCTTGTAAGACGGATATGACCTGGTAATGAACACCTTTTAACGCAAGTTGCGAATGTTGACTCCAATACCACGGCCTGGGATAACTAGCGCCTGAGACAGTAAGAACCAGCGCTTCCAATAAATCATATCTTAAATCGATTATTCGGATTTATTTTGAAGCCTTCAGATTTGATTTAACAGGTCCAGATTAATTTGAGTTAAATCATTTGATTTATGATTTGATTTGAATTAATTGTGAATCTGATCTTATCGATACAGTTATCGATTAGATTTAGGTCAAGTAAAAGATTAGATAAGATTTCTCTCTTTCCTCCTTGTAAAGAGAAAAAAAGATTACCCTATATACCTCGACATCAAGAATCTATCTTTAATACCCTACAATTGAGTTAAATCAAATAAGTAAGGGCATGAATTTGAATTGATCTGATTTGATTTACTGGGAGCGCTGGCAATAACACGTCTATGGATACTAATAACCTTGGCGTTCAGCTTTAGCACCACGCGTTCAATCCATTTCCTCTTTCACTTGTTGCTTGCAATTTCAGCTGGCCACAGTCATCACATCGTGGTGACACTTCGCCCGTCCCCGATGTACCTAAACGACCGGTGAGCATACGTTATTGACGCATGGTTTGGATCCTCTTCTCTGCAGAAAAGAGGAAAGAGAATTGATGGAAAGCCTACTGACCCCACGCTTGAGACTTTTGTGGTGAAGCCCAATATTGGTGGATAGCAAAACCCCGTGTCGTTTCCGGGTGGGCTTTGGGGTGAGCTGCATCCTGCCGCAGCGGGTATATTACTGGCCGACAACAGGTCACAATTCGATTGCCGCCAATAATTCGTGTTTGATCACTGCGGGACAGATAGGGGCTGGGACGTTGGACAATTCTCTGCCAGCTGTAGTGACCGCGCACCTACAACCAATCACCTTCTCCGACATGCATGTAACATACTCCATCGATATGCATAGGTGCCCAAAAAGGCAAACATTAGGATGTTCTGGTCTGAGTGGCGGGTATAATTGCTTTTGTTTTCAGCTACCTAACCAACTTGGTGAATTGCTACAGATCGACCGTGCGGCCGTGCTTTGGTAGGAGAAAAAGACCGCGCCTCAGTTTTTAAAGCTAATCTTGCATCGTACCTTCATCTGTGATTCCGATTCTTCCCAGAACCGCCCATGAGACTCATGAAGCAGCACGAAATAAGTTGCACAGCCACAAACTTCATCTATCTTTTGTTGAGGATCTATCCGACGCCCTTACTCTTACTCCACCGTTAGCATCATGGCCAATTGGATGCCCTGCATTGTGGGTTGGCTATTCATTGCCACGCTCTTCATAGGCTGTATGGCCGCCGATGACGGGGATGACTTCTCTAATAATTTGTTCTCGGACCTGGCACCGTAAGCCCTCTGATATCTTTACAGATAATATTTTTCTAATACAATCCCTAATCAGGTTATTGGCACTTTTTGGAGAACGGGTGACAATGCAGTTTATGAGTCAGTCTATGGGGTGGGCAGATAATATTATCTTAGCTATGGCACCGTTTGGAATTATCACTGCTATTGTTGGTGCTATTCGCGTTGGTGGACCCCCCTCGCTCAAGGCAGTCATTGGAAGAGCTAGGGAGAATCTTGCAGTCTCTGAAACTGAGTTGATGTCGTCTACTTCAAAGGAAGTCTGTGAGGTTTGGAACGGTCGGGAGGTGGTTAGATGCATGGGTTTGGCCCCAGTGGTGGAATTCATATGCCTACTCCATTGCACTGACGGCATACAGTCCAATCATCAAGCAGCTCCTACAATAGAAGTGTTGAAGCTAGATCAAGCGATCGACAAAGGGTATATTACAGACTGTGGTAAGTGAAAAACATCTATATCCTACACCAGGCACCATTCTGGATACTTGACTGAACAAACCTTACAATAGATGGTACTAAAGAGTCGAAAAAGGCTACCACAGCTGGAACGACTACTGGGTCGGCGCAAGACGCAGAGACTAAGGAGAACATCACACAACCTAGTGGTTCGAGAAACCCTATAGGTGACGAAGAACAAGCAAACTCAAGACGCAATCCCAACCCCGAGATTCATCCACAAGCATCATCCCCCAGCACCGAGGGACCTGTTCCCAGTGTCTCAAATTCAACTAGGAAGCCCCAAAAGATTTGTATCATACGAGACGTGTCTGGAGATTCACCAAACATCTTGCTGAACTGCCATCCACCGGCGAATGAAAGGGAGCTATGGGCATTTGCAGCTATCGGCACTTGTCTTCAGCTGGGAGTCCTCATATACTCTGGGCTGGCCACGTACCATCCGGCATTGCAATTCAAAAAGGATGACAAACCCGTTGAAGCCTATGCATACCCTTGTACTGCGGTTGGGACACTGGTTTTAGTACTTGGGATGTTATTGTGCGGTCACGTCGTGGAAAGCAGTACAGACGAAAAGAGATACGAGCCAGCCAAGGAATGGACGGCTCGAATGATCTGGCTGCAGCAGACCAAAACTGTCAGTGACCAGGTTTTTGACTCCCACATGGTGTATGCCCAGGACGATCGGCAGACTATTATCACATCGAGGCGATCCGAGAGACACGGCAATCGCCAGTCCACAGCCGGTACCACTGGCGGTCACTCGGCTGAGGACGATGACCCTTCTGCAGCTCTTCAATTTATCACGATATGTGGCGCGGCAGTCGCACTATGTGGATTCGTGGTGCAGTTCGTTGGCCTTCGAGGCATGCACTGGTCGGCGTCAATAGCTCAGCTAGGAGCGGTGCTGGTGATGGTGTGTATCAAGGCGTGGGTCCGTCGTGGACTTGCGAGATCGCCCGCATGCAAACCTTTGGCGTCTGGGTTTGAGCTCGACTGGTTTGCGAAGCAGCTGGGAAGCATCCACCAGGAGACCTGGAGTCGTACGCAAAGTAAGAGGAGTGACTTGGTCGACATCAAGACGTCAGGCAGCGCAAGCAGCCTCGACAACAAATGGACCGTTGTGACTGGTGGAAAGTCATCATTAGGGCCACCTGAGCAAATGCAAGCGCATACCCCGGCGTTGGGTGATAACAGCATTTTCGACGCGCAGACAGTCTTAGATGCAAGGAAACAGCTTGCTCGCCTAGCTGATTGGCGCGGTCCTGCTTCCAGAGAGGCAGTCTGTCTCGCGAGAGCCATTGAATGTACAATGAACGCCCTGAGTATATGTTTGCCAAAAGAATCTAAGAGCTTCATCTGGAATATCGAAACCCGCTACATTGGGTCACAGGAGCAACCAATCAGCATTCGCCTATCACAGCAGGCAGGGGTATGGAAGGTGGACGCGACTGATATGGAAGCAACACTTTCGTTATGGTTATCTTCAGTTGACGAGGAGGAGAATTTGACACAACCTGAGCCTCTGAATAGCGGTGTGTCTGACTTCGATGATGGAAAAAGCCACTCGGAGCCAAAGATTGGAGATGACCAGTGGTTGCGTACGAAGGGCACAACGGCGAAGCAAAGCCTGCGGCTTTTAGGCAAACAGACCCCGAGCATGAGTCGAGATCTCCAATGGTGGATTGCGAGAGATCTTCTCAGTATACTTCAAGTGCGAGAAGACGAAGTTGCTTCGCTACGTACTACGCTACGTGTGGGTAAGCACAGAGTTGTTGGCTATGATCAGTACGAAGAGGGATCCACCAACCAGCTATCTGTCCTTCAATACTTGGATGTCAGTAACAGTGGTTTTGACAATGATGACTATAACGGAAATACCAACGATGGCTACGAGATCGAAGGGGACTGCAACACCGACGATCCAGACGATGACAATGGTGACAGCGGCGATAAACATCCCGCTGATTATTACGATGGCAAAAGTGTCTCTGATTTTGAGAACGAGGACGTTGTTGACGACGCCAAAAATGACGACAATGACAATCAGGCCGAAAATTTAGGTTTATTGGGAAGCGAGTCACACCAGCCTTTAATGGCGCTATTTGCTATGGACTTATATTCGACATTTATGCGGGCCATGGCCAAGGCGATGACCATTCCTATTCCAGGAGGGGCCGACGAAATCCAGGCCGATAGCAATACTAATGGTACGAGCTGGAAGACCTTTACGCTCCGGAACAGCCATCTGTCAAAGATGATCCAGGATGTTCACAGTACTGGTCTTGGGAGTCTCGATCAGATCTACCTTAGCGTTATCACCCCGCTAAGTCAAGAGAAGAAGCTCCCCAAAGTAGATGCGGTCGTTAATTTGGCAGTAAAGAATTCTCGGCGAAACGAAGAGTCGCAGAAATGGCAAGAGGCTGGCGACGATTTGATATGGCTTTTCAGGCTAGCAAATAGGACGTTCCCAAAAGAAAGCGATGTGGTTGCAAAGGCAACAGCAAATCTGATGGAATACCAGAGACTAGCTAACTTGGTCCTTCGATTGGCAACGGGACGTGAATTGATGTCTCTGGGTATATTCGATGATGGGAATGACACTATCGTTCTCAAGATGTTGAAATCAAATCTTCAGCGAGAGCTCAAGGACGTTGATCCTACTGTGGAACGCCAGCTCTTGAAAAAGTACAAGATTCTGGGGCCGAGTAAATTCCTTGGGTGTACTTATGCACACAAAGAAGCAGAGAGCCTCCTCCACAAAGCCACCACCATACGAAACGATCCTAGAGATATCCTTGAGCGAACGGCGACACATTATGCTGGAGTTTGCGGTAGCGTGACTGACTTTGAAAACTACGTGACAGGCCAGTATGACATCGGTGCTCAGGATCTCCTCGGGCGGACAGCATTGCATTACGCTTGTTTTTGTAGTCGTGGGAGACTGAAAGTAGTTCAATCGTTAATTGGACGCGGTGCAGAGCTTGATACAAGGGCGCGAGATGGAGCAACGCCGTTACACTATGCCGCGATGAAAGGATACAAAGGCAAAGCAAAGTTATTGATTGAATCAGGAGCCACGATTGATATCTGGGACTTGGCAGGTCGTTCGCCACTTCACACTGCTGCAGTTCATGGGCGAGTGACAGTAGTAGAATACCTATGGGACAAGGCAAAACAAGAATTACGAGACCGGTCAGGTTGGACTGTTTTACATCTAGCAGCAATGTCAGGAAGTGAATTAGTGGTGCAGTTTCTTGTCAATCTGGAGATCGATAAGGAGGCCAAGGACCGCAATGGGAGGACTGCGTTACAGCTAGCGGCGATGGCGGGAAAGAAAGACGTGGTGAAACTTCTCATTGATCACGGAGCTGATACGAAAGCCAAAGACAACCGAGACAGGGATACGTTGCATCTAGCGGCAATGGCGGGAGAGAAAGACGTGGTCAAATTTCTCATCGATCGTGGGTTTGACAAGGAAGTCATGGACGCTTATGCTATGAGGCCGCTTGACCAAGCCGCTTGTTTTAAGCACAAGGCTGTCGTGCGACTATTAAGTTAGTTCCTGACAGTGCCGACTACATCTGGAAAAACGGCTCGTCTCAGAATCTACTTCACATGGCCTCTCAGGGACCGAACAACGAGACCCTAATTCAGTTTTTTCTTGATAAAGGACTTGACATTAATTCGACAAGTGACTGGGGCGGATCGCCACTAATCTATGCTGTGATGAAGGGGCGAATATCGAATGTCGAATTTCTTCTCAAAAACGGCGCAAATACTGAGCAAACTGATTGGAAGGGAGAGACAACATTATGGGACGCGGCATTGTATAAGAGAGTGCACCTGGTTCAGCTGCTACTTGACACTGGCGCCTCGACTAAGGTAACATCGACCGATCCCAGGACTCAAACGCTTTGGTCAATGGTGAAGGAACAGGGAAACAAAAAGATCATTGATCTAATATGAGGTCACCTAGAGACCTCCGATGTCGATGTACAGGACGTGTCCCAGACGTCTGAATGACCTTGATCAAATGTCTCCGAGAGAGAAGTGCTGACTGACGAGGAAGGTTTATGGGGGGTTATTATCTATACAGTTGTCTTACACGACTTGTGTAAGGTCTCTATATTGCTGGCAGGTCTAGGGCCAGGGATCATAAATACCGGGAGGGCTCTTACCTCAATGATATACTGCTGTTATATATTATACTTTATCTTTCTCTTTTTGCTATAAGCTTTAACTTTATCATGCCCAGGCTTTCCAAATCTCTCATTGATATTAACAATAAAAATCCCCCTCATACTTTATACATAGCTTTCCTTATTTCTAACTATGTAGCCTGGTATAGTGACCGGACTCTAATATCAACATTTTCCGGAATCGCCTGAACCACTGACTTTGAATTGTTTATTTTACCACTTAACCCGGTTTTGCACCGGAACTTTCGTCGGGAACATTATTTAATTCTGTGGACTAAACTCGGAATAATTGTTACCACCAACTTAGAAATTGAATTATCATCGCCTCGATCTATGTCTCCAGAACCCCCACACACATTGACCATCGCCTAGCTGTCCCCCTCACCATGGAATACCTGTAGCATACCTTTAGCAGCATGCTCCCCAAGCACATCAAGACTGCCCATCCCCATCATCTCAAGCACACTAATGTCAAATTGGAAAACAGTTTTCCACCATTGACGAACCTCAATCGCTACCAGTGAATCCATCCCCAAGTCAGACAGTGATGACGTTGTCTGTAGATCTTCTACAGGCTTGAGAAGAAATCCAAACACCTTTTTGCCAATCTCCACAGCGAGCAGGCGAGATGACTCTGGATGCTTGAGGAGGGAGGGATCCTGCTTAGCCTTTGCGATGAATGACTTAAGCTCGTCGTTGGTAGCGCCCCCAGAGGTGTTTGTGGCGTCTCCGTTGTTGTGGAACACGGCCATGCGCATGTCTTTCTTCCAGAGGGATCGATTTGAAGGGTCACTGAGGGACACGTTCGAGCGCAGGCCAAGGCAGAAGCTGCTGGATTTCTTGGTCATGGCAGCGCCCAGAGCCTCAAGCAGCTCCTGCTCGGATGCTGTGCCATCTGAACCACCAGAAGCCTTGAGTTTTTGCATGATTGACTGGTGCTCAGCCATGTATCCCACCTCCTCGACTGCTCCAATCTCTATGGAACACGTTGGTAGGCCTAGGCCTGTTCGGTACTGCGCAAAGGCGTCGAGGAAGGTATTTGCTCCAGCATAGTTTGCCTGTCCACGCTGTCCAATGATGCCTGAAAGAGAGCTGAAGAGGACGAAAAAATCCAGATCCGCATTGGCGGCAAGAGAGGCATTGTGTAGATTCCAGGTGCCTTTGATCTTGGGGTCAACCGCAGTGTTCCACTCGTCTATTGTCATGTTCGAGAAGCCCTGGTCGCACAGAACCATGGACATTTGCAATATTCCCTTGAGGTGACCATTAGCTCGAGCAACTGCGTCAGTCACATCTTCAAGGCTGGTAATGCTACCTTGAACAAAGTCCACGTGGCAGCCCAGACTGCCGAGTTCTCGAGCCAGATCGAGATGCTTCTCTTGCGTTCCTGCGCTGCGGGAGAGATAGATGAGATGGCGCGCTCCACGCTGGACCATCCACGTCGAGATGGAACGACCAAGGCCTCCAAGTCCACCAGCAAGCAGATAGGCACCCGAGCTATCAAAGCTAACAGTCTCACTTCGGGGCTTGACTTCCAACTCGGAGATGGAAGTTGCACCCATCGATACAACAATCTTGCCAAGGTGTACACCTTGCTGCATGTACCTGAAGCTATCAAGGATGTCCTGTGGACCAAAGACCTTGATAGGTCGGATGGGTTGAATCTGACGACCTTCGTACAGTCGGACAATGTCTTTGAGTAGTCTGATGATATTGTTAGCTTTTGTGAAATGCCAAATACGGTATATCACTTACTCTTTTGCGATGGTCCCTCGTTGGAAACAAAGCTGATCCAAGTCGACGCAGGAGTAGGTGCGATTGTCCTCGAAAATGCTCATGTCAAGCTTCCCTGACCCGATCAAATCTCGTTTACCGATCTCAACCATCTTGCCAAATGGCGCAATGCACTTCCAAGTAGCATGAAGAAGCTCTCCCGACAATGAGTTGAGCGCCAAGTCAACGCCCTGGCCATTGGTTTTAGACATGACGCCCTCGACAAATGAGTCATTGCGAGAGTTGAAAATACAGCTGCGATCTAGACCAAAGGTGTCTTCGAGATATTTGATCTTCTCCTCGCTACTGACTGTTGCGTAGATAGTCGCGCCAGCCATCTGAGCAAGCTGAATAGTAGAGATTCCGACGCCACCACAGGCACTGTGAACGAGTATCGACTGGAAATGGTTAGTATAGTTTATGCAAGAACTGGCAGGAAACTCACTTGTCCTTTCTTGAGATTGCCGATATTGAAGATGGAGTAGTACGACGTGGCGAACACGCAGGGCATAGTCGCTGCATCTTCAAAACTGAGTTCGTCAGGAATTCTCTCGCAGAGGTTCTCCGAGACGACAACATGCGTCGAAAATGCAGAGTGGGATATGAACATGACTCTGTCTCCAGCCTTGAGTCCCTCGACATTAGGTCCGATGCGGCTTACGATACCAGCGCCCTCAAGCCCAAAGCCATTTGCGCCCTCGACGATGCCCATGGCGCACAAAACGTCCTGTAAAGCGGTTAGTGATATGAACCTAGAAAGAATGGAGTTGCATACCTTGAAGTTCAAACCAGCAGCTTGGACATTGATCTCGACATCATCGTTCTGAAGTGCAGGGGCCTCGTAGCTGGCCCAGTGCAAAGCATCTAGCTTTCCAGGCTTGCTTGTCCGAAGCGCAATAGGGTCGTTCTGACTAGGCAAAAACAGATTACTCTGGGCGGAAAATGGATAGATTCGCCCGACTTGGATGGTGTTGTCGACAATAGCATACTCGTAGTCGGGCTTCAGAACATCATCCTCTTGGCGCACCTGAAATCGTTCAAAAACGTCAACGATCCTTTCCGAAGACAAGGCCACATCTTCGACTTCGCAGATTCCAAAGTCTAGGAGTAATTCAGACCGAAGGGTCCTGGATATTCCCAGAACCTGACCGAACCGAGGGTCGGAGCAGCCAACCTGGGATAGATGCGTGATCCAAAGAATGCCGGCGTCTTTGAGATTGGTTGTGAAGTTCTTAAAAGACTCAAACCTTTCTTGATCGATATTCTCAAAGAACGGTTCATCTTCATCCAGTAGAGCCAGTACGTCTTGTCCATGGGGAATAGACAAGTCGGCGATCCCTGCACGATGGATAGAATATCCTCTTGATTCCAGACTCTGACGCAGTTTTGCTTGACCTTTACTCTCAGCATCCGAAAGAGTCAGAATTGTCACATGCTTCTTAACACTTTCGGTGATAGCTGGCCTAGCGACAATCATTGCATTGAGCTGATTTGGCTCGGCTGAGTCAAGGACTGCTGCATCTGGGACACGGAATCCAGCAGCCTGCAACTCTCTAGTCCAACGATCAATGCTGATGTAGGGCTCATCGGGTCTACCATCACTGTCGCCATACCACCATCCTGCAAGTGTGCCCCAGACATAGTTCACCCATTTCGAAGTGGGGGTCAGTTCGTGGAGCAAGAATCTGCCATCACGGCTCAGCAACTTTCGCACGTTGGTCAGACTTTCGTTCAGTGACTTGGTCGCGTGGATAACATTCGTAGCCAAGATGAGGTCGTATTGCCGTCCCTCAAAGCCCTGCTCGGACAGGTCTTGGCTGATATCCAGCGTTGCAAACTCCATGTTGGGAGACGTCTTGAAGCGTTCCTTTGCACCGACAAAGAATCCAGACGAGATATCGGTAAAGGTATAGTTGGAGTACAGCACCCTTCCAGCTGGGGTCAGATGCTCCAGAAGTTGAGCGGTTGAGCCACCAGTTCCGGCACCGATCTCGAGGACACGTAGATTCGGCTTGCTATGGGCCAGATGAGTCAAGAATTGCGATTCGTCGCACTGATCCATGAAGATGTAGAGTTTGTTGAGAGTATCGTCGGACAACAAAACTTCAAGGGCCTCTGTCTCGCCTGTGAAGATACTGCCGACGTTGGCGAATATCTTCTGAATGGCAACTGCAGCGTCTACGGCCGAGGTTTGCTTCAGCTCCTCAGCCAGCTCATCAATCTTCTGCTCTAGCTCGGCGTCGTCCAGTGCGTCAAGAGACTTGAGGTCGTCTATTTCAATTCGTTCATTTATCCATGATCGGTACTTATGCATATGCGGGATCGTGGTTTCCAACTTTGCAATCACCCGCTTACTATGCACCATGCACAGGTGCGACAGTGTCGTTAGAGCAGGCATGTGTTGGCTTCGGTCTATAGAAGACTTGATGAGAGTGTTTGCATCCAAGAAGTCGATATGAGGAGCCCATTCTGCGTGGGCACTCGGCTCAACCTGCTTATCCCCACTCTGCCCTTCAACGATGGAGAGTTTGATGCCCGTGCTTCGAAGAACAAGTTGACCTTGGGCGTCAACAGCTTGGCCACTGCCTGCAATGGAACCGCTAGCAGTATAGGATGCAGTCGCTCCAACTTCAACATCACCAACTGTTGCAGAGCGGTAGATGCACATTTCATCGATGTGAGTTGGCACCATGGTCTTGTCCGAAGGATTGGCAAAACCCTTAGATGCAGCAACACTAAGAAGTTGAAGAGATGCATCGATGATGGTAGGGTGGAGGTGGTAATCGACATCGTCTCCAGGCTTACCAGTGACTCGTGACGCAGCCTTTTGATCAAGTGTATCAGCGCGAATGTGATCGAGCCGTTGGAACTCAGGCCCAAAGTTCAACCCTGACCTGGCCATGGATTCATAACAGCGACGCGAGTCGACCTTGCGCAGGAAAGGGGCCTGAACATCTGCATCGCCAAGCCCTTCGCTAAACGACCTGGCTTCGCCAGAGCAGTGTTTTGTCCATAGAGTCCCGTTGTATGAAGCGATGGTGAACTCCCACCATTCGCTATCGAGGGAGTTGGTCAAGCGCCTACGGCGAAGCGTCGTCATAATCTCGACGGGCTTGCCTTCGTTCAGAACAAGAGCCGTGCTGACAACAACATTTCGCAGCTTAAAGGCCTCATCCACATGGGTTACCTGTCGCACTGCCTCGCCAATCATACCTGCGTATCCAGCGAAAGGGAAGACGATATCGTCACCAACTTTATGGTCTCGGATCCATGGTGCGTTGTCAAGATGGAATAAGTTGCGGAAGAGTATGTCGAAGTCGAGACTTTCTGGGACGCGAACGCCCAAAAGGTCATGGTATTTGTACTCTCGCAGCCGCCATTCTTTGCTGAGTCTTGACTCATACCAGTACCTCTCAGAGTGATTCCAAGGGTATCGTGGTAGGTCAGGCAGAGCTAAGCCTTGAGGAATGACCTTGGTCAGGTCGACACCAGCGTTGAGGTTATGTAGGTTACCTACACATGTCAAGAACGATTCCACGTCGTTCTGGTGACGGGTGAGGGCAGATATATAGGGCGAAGAAGTGGAATGGTGGGCTTGGATCTGACGTAATGGTCCAGCAAGGGCTGAATGGGGACCAACTTCTAAGAAGACTGCGTCTTTGGCAATCTCGTGGTTGATGATAGCCGAAACAGCAGTATTGAAGAGAACCTGAGACTCCATATTGGTCTGCCAATAACGAGGACCAAATTCAGCGGCTTCAGTTAGCAACTCTCCTTTGACACTGCTGAAGAAGAGTTTCGTGGGCATCTTGGGCGAAATCTTGTCCTTCATGAGAGCGTAGTATTCGCTGCCAATCTCTTCCATGTGGTGGGAGTGATACGCCATATCGACCTGGAGGAGCCGCGCCGCAACATCAGGCCGGGACTCCTTGATGATCTGGACCACCATCTTCTCTACTGCCTCAGTATCGCCGGCAATGGTAACACTACGCGGCGAGTTTTCGCAGGCCACAACAACTCCAGGCTGTAGGTACTCCTGGATCTCCTCAGCGCCCATTCCAATCGCAGCCATAGAGCCTGGCTTCGTCTGTAGCTTGGTAACTAGGCCACGGTAGAATGCAATGGTGATGGCTTCCTCGGCAGTAATGGCACCTGCGGCATATGCACCGCAAACTTCGCCGCTGGAGTGGCCTACCACAGCTGCAGGCTGGATACCGATATAAGCGAGCGTGTCGACGAGGGCGACTTGTATAGCAGTACACAGAGGCTGTGACAGCTCGGCTGAGCTGAGTCTGCTTGTTTTGATGGACTTTTGAAGCTCTCTCTCAATACTCCATTCTGGTGCGTCGTCCAGAGACTGCAAATGGGCATCCAATGCCTGAATGGTCTGCTTGAAGACAGGAAATTGAGAATTCTGAATCAAGGCTCTGCCCATCCGAGGCCATTGAGCGCCCTGGCCGGTGAATACCATAACAACGTTTGGTTTTCCACTTGCTTTGGAGATGAGAGAGGTTGTCAGGGAGCCAAGAGGGCTCGCCACAGCAAAAGCCCGATGTGGCAGGTGCTCGCGTTTGCGACCTAGTGTATAGGCAAGGTCGTTGACTCTATCAGGGTTCTTCTCGATATAATCTTGGTAGTTTTCTATCATAGTTCGAAGAGAGTCTCCTCCATTTGCGGAAAATACCAACAACTGGGGTGATGTGGTGGCTCGTTTTGCAGGCGGAGAGAGGTCGAAGCTGTGAGCAGAGTCGAGAATGACATGAGCATTGGTCCCGCCAATGCCAAAGGAGTTGACGCTGACACGCTCATGCTTGGAATCCGGCCACGCTGTGGGCTCTGTGGGAACAGATAGTCCACAATACCACGGGATGTCAGGGTTAGGCTGGTTGAATTTGATGTTGGGAGGAATGGTGCGGTTCTCCAAGGCCAACGCCGCCTTGATAAGCGATGTGAGACCCGAGGCTCCCTCTGAATGTCCAAGATTGGGCTTGACAGAGCCTATAAGCACACCTCCAGAGGGACCAAACACTCTCCCAACGGCTCTAGTTTCGATAGGATCTCCAATTGATGTTCCAGTTCCATGACACTCAACAAACGCCGTTTGGGAGTAGTCGTTGATGCCAGCGATTGCATATGCTTGTCTAATCATGGCTTCTTGAGCGACATCATTGGGTACTTGAATACCTCCCGCAGTACCCTTACCGTCGCTGTTAGAGGCTGTGGAACGGATGACTGCTCGAACGGGGTTGCCGTCACGGATGGCATCGCGGAGGGGCTTGATGAAGATGGCTGAGACTGCCTCACCTCGGGCATAGCCGTTGGCGTCGGCGGAAAAGGTCTTGCATGAACCATCAGGCGCTAGTACACCTTGTTCTGTCATAGCCATGGTCATTCCAGGGGCCATTATCAAGTTGGCGCCGCCGACGATGGCACCTTCACAGTCACCGCGAGAGACTGCAAGACAGGCTTCGTGGAGTGCAACAAGAGCTGCAGAGCATCCAGTACGAACCACCATGCTGTCGAGTTCTTGTCAGTACCTAGATAAATACTCTGTTGTCCACGGGCTACACATACCTAGGGCCCATGAGGTCTAGCTCATATGAGACACGGTTGGGTAGCATAAAGTCTCCGTATCCTGTGACACGGTAAAGACCGTACTGCTGAGCCTCCTTGGCAAACATCTCAGTCCAATCCTCACCAAAGCTACCCATGTAGCAGCCAATGGCCCGACCTTTCCAGTCAAACTCGCCTGCATCCTCCAGGCACTCCCTTGCAACCTCAAGCATCTGACGCTGCTGTGGATCAGCGCGCTCTACCTCAGCCTTGCGCATTGTAAAGAAAGAGGTATCCACGCTTGCAATGTCTATACTCTCGTCGAGAAAGTAACCCTGCTGGGTCTTGACTGTGCCAGGCTTGGTAGTTTCGGACCAGAAGGAGGAAGCCTTGTATCTCGACTCGGGCACAGGGCCACGAGCGTCGCCTTTGTTGACTAGAAAGTCCCAGAGATCTTGTGGTGAGTGCAAACCGCCTGGGAGACGAACTGACATGCCACAGATGGCGATTGGCTCGGCGGTGGAAGAGTCGGAAGAGCTCACGCTGGGTGTGTAACCATTGTTGTGGCTATTTGTGTGGCCATTGGTGTGCCCGTTTCCACTTACTCCATTGTTGTTGGTATGGGAGCCGTTGGTGGAAGCATAGCCGTTAGTGGAAGTCTGGCCATTGGTGGGAGCATGGCCGTTGACGCCATTAGAGGCACCGTTGATGTCGTTCAACATAGCTGTTGGAGTCTGAAAGTTGAACAAGTGGTATATACGGCGGGAACAGTAGGTGAGAAGGAAATTTGATATACTTGTTTTGGTATCTCTTGTTGTTCTGGACGTGATACGAGTGGTATTTCTTGATATAACATCTTGAAAAGTGAGCACTATCACCATTGCTTGCCACCTTCACCATGGTTACAACTCCATTTGAGGCCACTTTCGGCTGACGGATCCCGGACATATGTGCCCATTGGATAAATCAGAGCATCTTAACCCGCTTCGTAGGGTAACTGTGAGACGGATTCCGTTTTCTGACCATTCTATCAAAAGGATCGAGTGAAAAGGATCCAATATTACTCTTCGGGGAGACGACCGGTCCAGCCTTGCCGAGGCGAATCTAAAAAAGGCATCTGGTTTATCATGATTACTGTGTCAGTAATCAGCCTCGCGCCATTCTATGGTATCACATAGCGTCTTGACGCTTCCAATGTAAGCCGGAACCCGTTCGCCATGCGTGGCAAGGATTAAAAGCCTCAAAGTTAGGGCTTATTCCCGGCTCATAGACGCGAGAATAACTCAGGCTGCAGAGAGAGTCCAGACCAACTTGATGGTGACCAACAAGATCTCTCATGCGGTTATGGTATTCTACTAGGTAGATACTCTACAAGTTAGAGAGCTGGAGTCGCAAGCACAAAACCATCACGTCAGCCTTGTTATCGTGCGTTGAGTCGATCGTCTACATACAACATTACATTTAATTGCACCTCAAAATCTCTACCGAGTCAAAATGACTAGCAATGGAAGAAGGAAAGACCTGAACCAGATCCAAAAATGGCTCCAAGGCCAGAAACCCAAAGCCCACACTATGAAGGATGTCTCTCCTTTCCTTCGCAATCTAGAGATTGCCCTGGATCAGCGTCGCGCCGACCACAGTCTCTTGACACTACACAAGTTTGAGCACGAGGTGGATTTCTCTTCCAACGACTTCCTTTCACTTGCCACATCGGGCCTACTCCGAGAGGCCTTCTTGGAGGAATTGGAGCGCAATCCAGACTTTGCTGTTGGGAGCACAGCATCGCGAATTTCGGATGGTAATAACAATTACTTGGAATCTACGGAGCAACAGATTGCCGAGTTTCACGGTGCCCAAGCTGCTCTTCTTGTGGGATCTGGATATGACGCCAACTGCGCTATATTCTCAGCTGTGCCCCGCCCTGGAGATGCTGTTGTTTACGATGAGTTGATCCACGCAAGTGTCCATGATGGCCTCAAGTCCAGCTTGGCATCAACACAGCTACCATTCAAGCACAACAGCGCTGAAGGCTTGCGAGAAGTACTCGTCCATCTCAAAAAGTCACAGCCGTTGATTCGGGATGGCTCACGCTGCGTTCTTGTGGCCGTCGAGTCAGTCTACAGCATGGACGGTGATGTCACGCCGCTTGTCGAGATTGTTGAAGTTGTCAAGGATGTTTTCCCAGCTGGCAATGCTCAGGTCATCATTGACGAAGCGCACAGCACGGGGTTGCTTGGGAAGAAGGGGCGTGGCCTTGTTTGCGAGTTGGGATTGGAGAAAGAAGTTGCCATACGTCTGCACACTTATGGCAAAGGATTGGGAGCCACTGGGGGTAGGTTCTTTTGTCCGGGCCTCAAGTACTTGAGCTTGTTTGTTCCCTGCTAATACTGTAACTTCCAGCGGCCATCCTTGCCAGTCCGAGCGTGCTCGATACGCTCCTCAACTTCGCCAGGCCTGTCATCTTTACAACAGCGCCCTCTTTCCCCATGGTAGCAGCGATCCGGGCGGGATATGAGCTCATGGTGAGCGGCAAAACTATAAAGGTGAGTGAGATCAAGATGCCAATTGCAACCCCACAGCCACAGAGTTTCAGCGCGGTTGTATCCCGAGTGGATCAGCCTGACTGCTACCCTGTTCGGTAGCGGATGACGCTGACTTATCTGTACCTCAGCTCCAAGAACGTGTTCAGTACCTTGTGAGAATGTTTTGCGACATAATCATGGAAGATGACGTGTGGCAGGATGCTGTTGATGCCGGCATATGCAGTATACCAGTAAGCGAAGGCGTCGAGTCTCGGCCTTTTGTCACGCAATTCCTTCCTGTGTGGACGCGGCAGGGCCAGAATTACTTTCTTACCATGCATCTGCACCGAGATGGCTTCAATGCGACTCCGATAGATCCGCCCGTCGTGCCAAGAGGAACAGGGCGAGTGAGGCTGATTGTCCATGCGGGAAACACGGAGGAACAGGTGCAGGGCCTCGCGGCATCTGTGATCCAATGGGCTCGGGAGATGCTTGAGATCCAGGGTGGTGAGACTGAGACGGCCCGTAATGTGGTCCCGAGTGCCATGAAGGAGGTGTACCAGCTTGCTCAGGCGGCAGATGTTAAGGAGTTGGACCCCCACAGAATGGCAGTCAACACTTTTGAGTAAGAATAGTCCTACGGCAGAGGATTGGGATACATGGGATCAGCCAACCACTACGGATAGCGCTGCTTACACTGTGTGTGCTTACCCCTGGCTAACGGTAGGTGGGTTAGTGGGATCATCCTGCTCGGGAGAGCGGCAGCTAGTCCACGTAGTGCTTACTTGACGGTGGTAATATTGAAACTGTTGGTGCGGATTCTGTACCCGTGCCGTGCCGTGCCGAGTCTTATCTAACATAATCCCCGTAGACGCTGGTTCCTGATTTAGATTTAGGCTATGCAGCTATCAGTCGATATATCCTCACAGTCCATTGCATTCTTCTCTCTCGCTTTCGTGTAAGACGTGATGTAATACCTAGGACAGATAGAGCTTCAAGGCGCGGTCAAATTACAAAGGCGGATTGATTGATAGATTGGTTGCAAAGCCCGCTGAGTATCCGTAGAGTGTGGGAGGTAATCTCGAGTACCTATTCTGAGCTGAGTCATTGATACGAGTGTCCTATTCAGTCGAGGCCCGTAGATATATGTACGTGAATATGCTCGCTGCTCGCTCCACGGCAACAAGCACGTGCCGGCCTTGAAGAGCACAGTGTCCAAGTGCTCATTTCCATGCCGGGCTGAATATACCCGCTTCTAATCTACAAGTCAACATGTCAAGTCCGAGGTTTCACGACTCGACTGACCCGACAGAGGGGAATACCAATAGTGCCAAGGAATATCCAGGTAACGTATTTCCGTGACTGGCAAAAGTTAATTGATCACGGTCCTAATGGTGCCGATTTGTAGTATGCGATCAATGTCGCATCAAGAAAGTCCGTTGCGGCAGGGAGCGACCCAACTGCTCCAACTGCACCCGCCTCGGCATTGAATGCGAATGGTCGGGTTATGGGAAAAGGCCAAGCCAGACCGTGATGCTGTATGCAAAGCCTTCGGTTCTTTTGCATGATTGTTCTACGATACTGACCTGCGCTTCAATACAGCAATAATGTTGTCGTTGGGCTTGAAGGCCGCATCGACCAGCTGGAAAAGAACATGTCCGATATCAAAGAGATTCTAACAAAATTGGATTCTAAAGTTGGTGATACCTCATTCTTCACCCCAGCAACTTGGCTTGCAGAGTCAACTGCACCAGACCTGTCAACGCATACCTCTGTCTCATCATCTTCGACACCTTCATCGCACTCTCGCCGCGCGGCCATGCGACCTGGCCGATTCCGTCTTATCCACCGCGCTGATGGCTCGCAGCAATATGTTGGACCAACTTCATTGGACTCATTGATTAATGAGTTTACTTGGTCCGTAGTGACGCCGCTATGCCAATCCCATCTTCAGCATAGTCTATCTCAGGATCAGCTCATTTTTGCGCGGGATAGGCTTTTTGCAGTTGTTGGCTTGACAGAATCGTATCAGTCTGTCAAGGACTTGTCTGCAACCGCAATCCCACCCTTGGGAATCCTTGAGCCAATGATTGATCCGTACTTTGATAACATCAACCAACTTCTACCTATCTGGTCAAAAGATCGGTTTAGAGAGTTCATTGCGAGTTCGCAACTCGAAATCACAGGTCTACCACGCACAGCCCACATGACATGCTTCAACAGCCTTGTCATCTTGATTCTCACCACCAAGTTGGCGTCAGTCTCAAGACAATCCGAAACATCAATGCCCGGTTGGGGATCCACTAACCTAGATCTTGTCAAATACTTTTTGAAAAACGCAATGCGAGCTGTCGACAACATTTACGAGCTCATGACACTACACCTGAGTAACGTCCAAGCCCTGCTCTACCTGGTGCGTTGCAATTGGAATATTCCCAACCTGAGTATGAACTGATTTGGCACAGCATTTGGTTGCACAAATCCATTGGGGCCCGGAACGTGCGAGTCTGTTTCTCAACTTAGCATCCGCAGGAGCCAAGCAGTTGGGACTATACCAATGGGACTCTTCGCAGGGATATACCCTCCAAGAAGCTTCAGAACGGCAGAGGGTATTCCTATGCCTATATACTCTGGATAAATCGCGATGCTGGGTCGACGGGCATCCACCACACGTGCCATTGTGGCGCCCAGATGCTTGCTTGTCCCTCCAAGCTATCGACCCTGTCCTAGTAGCTCGGGCCAGGCTAAGTCAGATTGAGGAAAAGATCTTCATGAAGCTCTACTCGGATACTTCCGGAGATCAGACGACCAAGCAAACGGAGCAACTTGTTGCTAGTCTCTCTCAAGAACTGCGGAAGTTTGAAACTGACCATGCATTCAATGATTCTGTGGACCAGAAGTTGTCCTTTGTGGAGGTGGAGCTGAAGATTGTGGCATGCGCACTTGGAGGCTTTTTGTATTGGAAAGTCGGTGCGGAAGATGCGTTGATGACCACTTCAACACGATGCATATCTTTATTTATTACACTCTGGGAACAGGATGCTGAGTTCGGCAATCATCTCACCGTCATCCGGTACGTTACACGTTACACTACTCCGCCCTCTGCTTTGCAAATATGTGTCTCTGACAGCGTGTTACACAGGCTTTTAGTGGGCTATGCCTCTTTGAGCTTCTTCCAGCTCTGCTCTTTTGTCTTACTCAACCATACTGCGGGCTCCGCGGACCCCGCGATCAAGGTCTTGGCTTCATTCCTCGCCATGTTACAATCCATCTCTCATATAGCCGACACAAACATACCGATCAAGAAGCTGACTGAGACCGGAGAGATTGTCCTGGGTCTTTGCTCTAGCCAATCTGCCATAAGAGTAGAGGAGTGGTCTGAGCTGTTGCACGGCGATCATATTGTTCCGAGTCACGGCTCACTGCTCCGAATGGACCAATCTCTCAATGATATGGACCCATTATCCATGACACTGACGTCGGCACCTATGATAAGCACGATTGCCGGCATGTCCGCCCCGACGCACAGTTTCGGATTTGAGAATTCTCCGAGTTTGCTTCCTTATTTGGATGCGAGAATGTTTACAATGAGTGACAGCTCGGACAGCAGCTTCGCAGATTTGGACTTGCAGAGATGGGCTTCAGAATTACAAGGTAGTGGGAAGGGCAAATTGTAAATAACGTCGGCTGGTTTAAGTGTTACGTGACAAACTAGATAGAAAGAATAGCGAGAGAGTCATATGAAATGTGTTCAGAAATATCCCTTGCTTAGATGCAACTGAACATTCTTCTCTATCTGGTTGCCGTAATGACGATACTACAGCCTACTTTTCATGAAGCGTGACAGGATCAAGTTGTTCTTCTGGCTCATGGCTTCTCCCATACAGATGGCCGGATGGAAAAAGGCAAGTGAGTACACCGCAGCCGCTATCAACACCGGCTCCATGCCCATGAACAGATACTGCTTGAATGTGATGGGCCCAGTCCAGCCCTGGTTGAGCTCAGCCACTCTGTACGCGCAGCGCCATAGAACCAGCACGATAGCTAGAGCTAGAGCGACAGTGAAGCCTCTGAATTGCCACGAGTCGCGGATGCGTGTCAGAGCTGGGTCCTGTGGTAGTACAGCAGCTGCACCAAGCTGACGCTTCCTGCGGCGCAAACGCAGCATAAAATCGGCGCACAGGCTGATAAATACAACCAGAGTGAACACTTGAAATGCCAAGCCGGCGATCATGATGTTGTCGCCTGTCGTGAGCGACTCGTTGTCTTGAAGAGCGATGGACGCGATAATCCCGCCGGCAGCTTGCAGGACTAACGACAGAATATCACAAGGGATAAACTAATCAGCCGACTTAGTATATGCCTTGATTGAAATGAATGATCAAGCTGTACTCACCAGCCTTGTGTACCACCTCGCTGGTACTCGCGAGTTCTCTTCCCCATAGATGGTGACAATCCGCCCTAGGCATAGATACATGCCCGCGGACAAGAATGCTGGACCGATGGTTATACAGACGATCTGTGCGAGAAACGCGTCCTGGTTCCACTGATTCTTCCAGGATATTACGCGCGCAGCATAGCCGATAATCTCTGTGAGGATACCCAGTTCCATGGCAAACATGAACCAGAAGCCACGTCGCGTGTATATCCAAACTCCGAGGAACCAGATCAGAGCCAGAGAGAAAAGGCCAACGAAGGCCGAATTTGCCGCAACATCGATTCGGTAGTTATAGTAGGACGTCGACAGCGGGCACGTCGAGACGGTGCAGTTTGCGAATAACGAGGGGTTGACAGAGCCGGACATGGTGATGGGATCGAAATTTGACAACTTCAGCAAAGGATGGAAGATGCATGCAGTCGGGAAGATGTGTTGAGTGAGTGAAACTTTGATGTTGGTAATCCGTCACGTTTGCTCCATGAGTAAGAGCAGAATATGACGGGTAATCTGTGTTGGTCCCAACGCAATGTCGGTCTAAAACAGGCAGATTGAGACACTACCAATGATCTACTAGTGCTACAATATCTCCTCGGATTGTGACAAAGCACCGGGACAATTAATGCCCTGGACTTACGGGTTCCTTGCGAATGATCCATTTCTGAGTCTGGAGTCTGGACCAAAACCTTGTTATGCTTCATCGGCCATGTTCAAGATAATGCTCATCCCTTTACCGCGATATTCATGCATCAATAACGGAACTTGTGTTTTCTTCTCATTTCCTCACCTCCTTGAGGGTTCCGAGCCCCGAGACAAGCGGGCATTCGGACCCGTAGAGCCGTTTGAGGTGGTCAGACAAGCCGCAATCAAAGCCGTCGGGCCAATCACGCAATTCTTCAATGCAGGGTCAACCAACAATACTGCAGTCAGCGGAAATCATTCGACGGCCCGGGTATAACGGCATCCTCCAAGGGAAAGTCACTTTACAGCAGCCATGTAATCCGTTAGACGATTGATCGACGCATTCTATGTCTCAGCCTCAACTGCCGGCTTATCACCACAGACAATGTAATTTACTGCTTCTATATCATCTCCTCAAAATGTCTTTTGGATACTGCTTTGCGGATAAATATGTTAATCACTTCAAATAGCCTTACGACTACAGGGTCATGAGCGACCTCACTGGAAAGGTGGTACAATAGTAACAACTGGCTTGTGTCAATAACTAACACTAAGCTTGGCAGACGGTTTTTATCGCCGGCGGATCGACGGGACTAGGGAAGGAATTAGCGTTGGCCTTAGCCAGACGAGGTTTGTAAACATATACTCCACGGAAACATTCTGCCAAGTTCTAACTAGCAATCAGGCTCTCATGTGACGATATTCGCCCGGAGACAGCAGCAGCTTGATGAGACGAGAGATGAAGTTCTCTCTGCAAGAAAGTCCGAGAGTCAAGAAATAACAACGCAGTCGCTCGACTTGACTGATCCATCTAAGGTCTCGATCTCATAAGTAGTACGGCCTTTACTAATAGCCTATAGATACAATCTGCTTTTGCGGCACAGCCCAGACTACCAGACATATTGTACTGCGTGGCTGGAGGTACTACCAACGAACTTGGATTCTTAGTTGACCTTGAACCTGCGGATGTCCAGAGATGTATGACGAATAATTACCTTACGAGCGCATACCCAGCACAAGCAATGTTGAAACTCTGGATAGAAGATGACAAGACATCAAAGCCAGTCACTAGTCACAAGAGTAGTTGTAGACGCAGGCAGCTGGTCTTTGTCAGCAGCGCCGCAGCTCTTGTCGCCTTCCCTGGCTATGTCGCCTATACGCGTGAGTCGTAATCCTTACAAATTGGACTATGCATCTTGACCCCTTCTCTAGCCGCCAAATGCGCTGTGCGCGCTCTTGCAGATACTCTCCGCTGCGAGCTGAAGAGATACTCGGGCCCTGCGACAAGATACTCAGTACATATAAGTTTCCCATCCAACTTTATATCACCGTCATTCATGGATGAGATCAAGAACAAGCCCGAGTTGACAAAGCAACTTGAAGGGACTAGTGCGCCGATGAGTGAATTGATGCAGAAGCTTCATTCGTCCAAGCAGGTCGCCAATTACATCATTAAAAAGGTTGACAAGGGTGACTTTGTCATCTGTAGCGAGTACGAGGCGAAGCTCCTTTTTGCAGGCATGACAGGTCCATCGCCTAAGAGGGGAATTGGTTTTATTGATTCGTGTGTTTCTACGGTTTCTGTGGCCGCTGGACCTATTCTCAGACGCTGGCTAGATGCGAAGGTTGTGAAGGATTCAATTGCATCTCGGTAGTAAATAAGACTTCTCTTCTACACATGATAATGCCAAATACAGGTTGAACCAGCGTAAGAAATTATTTCTATCTTCTCTATTGATAATCTTGAACTATCCGCTACATTCAATAGATGCCCGATGTGCAAGGTGACTTTATTTACTTGTTCAACTGCTTCCTAGTTTCATGGTAAAACGTAATATATTCTAAAATAAGATGTTACTATCAATTCGGCCTTTCATTAAACCAAGCTTTCAAGTCAATAATTAACATCAACTTAATAATGTACATGGTAAGTACCCCTCTATATATCCCATTCATCGACTTGGAACTCAATACACAAAAGCCAGTTTAGCCTCTATCTCCAATATTCGTTAAATAACCACAAGGACCATTAGAGAATTCATAACTTTGTGCAAAGACAGAGTTGGTGTAATAATCTGACCAGTTGACTTGGCCGTTAGAGCAGGAAGTAGAGGCAGAAGACGACAGATAGTTATAACAGCTACCAGAGCGCATATCTCTGTAAGCGAAAAGGCACGAAGATTGCTGAATGCAGGAGAGACAGCAGTCATAAGACGAGCTCTTAAGACCAGCGCTGGATGTCAAGTACGGAATACCCTTTGTAACCAGATTTTGAACAGCGTGGCCTCCATTGGCAGTTCGCAATTGGTTGTTACTACCGCACGCTTCGTAGTAGGTCGCGGGTACAACCGTCTGGACGGTAACTTAAGAATGATCATTAGCGTGATGGTCTCCCTTGATTTGGGAATAGACTTACCTGTTTCAGTGGCAACAGTCTGGACAGTGATGTCGTCAAATTCAGTGACAGTAGGCGATACTGTCACTTTGGTAGTGACAGTAACGTCTTTGGGGTAAATGGTCTCGACAACCGTCTCGGTAGATAAAGTAGTCTTGGTCTTGGTCTGAGGCTTGAGGGTCTTACGGGGTCCTTAAATCGTCGTAGACACAGTTTTAATAATGGTGGTGGGAACCTTCTTGGTGCAGTCAACCCGCTGAGGATACTGTTTGGCAGGTGCAGCAAGAACATTGACAACAGGACCAGAATCAGCTCTGGCCTTGATCTTGGCACGGTAATCGGGAGCGTTAAGCAGGGCAGTGAAACCAGCAGGTGCACTAATGGTGCTGGTGCTGGTGCTAGTAGAGATAGTGATAGAAGTTGTGACTGAAGTTATGGTGATAAATCGAGTCACGATGTCGGTTTGTTCGTCTATGTATGTTAGGACTATAGTTTAACAATAATCGATAATATTTGGTTACCTGTTACTACCTCAGTTGCAATCTTAACACTGGGGTCGGCTTCTGTAGTAGTGGTTGTCTTGGTGGTATCTGTTTATGTTGTAGTGCGAGGTCGAGGAATGACAATAACATTGACCTTTCGGACATATCGCTTAACAATCGTAATCTTCTCTGATACAGTCGTGGTGGCCCTGGGAATCTTGTTGGAGGCAATGCTAGAACTCCCGAGCTTAGTTAAGCAGGCCACACCAGAAGTAGTGGTCGCAAGAGCCTCAGTGCCGAGGGCGAGGAAAACAAGAAGAGATTTCACAGCAACCATTGTGATAGACTGCAAGACAATAACAGAAATATCGGGCACGATCTGCGTGGGGAAAATGAAAGAGACAAGAGCTATTTAACAGCAAATTCAAGCTGAATTAATCGTATTGCCTAAAAGAAGAGTGATTTAAATAAAATCAATAGACTGGCAGTAATGCCTGTTAGTCAAACACTAGTCAAAGCTATGGACTAGGTTCGGAACTCAGATTAACCAATAGAAATAAAAGCTTTTCGCTTAAGATTAGAGACTACTCACAGGTATGTACTAAAGAGGACTAAGCCGTACCCTGAGGCCAGCACCCGATGTAGCTGAGACTAGGGTCCCATGATATATTGTGGATCAGAACTTGACTACGAAGTTCTAGACTAACAAGCCACGCCGTATTTGCAAATGTCGGTGATCCCATGCACGGTACAAATCGATAGTTCTATGCATTACTGCTCCGCAGCCAGTCTGACATTATGGCATTCTCGTATCTCCATTAAAGAAGCTCAGGAGGTGAAGCGCATATCATAGATGAACCACAATGAGAATAACTCACTTACGTTCCCTTTTTAATGCATGTTTGGTTACTGTCGCCTTCCTCTTGAAGTTATCCCAAATTTGATTTTCGCTCTTAATCTAAGTCTCATTTACTTCTATACTACTTCATTAATTATCTTGCTGCCTCGATATCCTGTAGAGAGGATAGATACAATGTCCAACCATCTTAGCAGCATACTGGAAAGATACTCAGTAGGGGACATAGCACGGAGATAAAGCCCAGTGAAAGGATGCTAAAGACGATAAGCTCATCCGAGGTGGATGAGGCTAAATGCCTCCCCAAGAGGACAACCACCTAAGGAAATATAATAGATAATTAGCTAATATCAGGGTATCTATATAGATTACATGTGGTGGTTAGATATTATAAGGGAGGTCGGTCTTCCCCTTAGTTAACTTACCCTAGACCTACCGCCAATTATTCTTAGTAAATTCGATTTAGGTTACACTGCTATAAGCCTTGTTAATTTGTTTTGGTTTAATAGATCAGTGATAGTAAGAAGGTTATATTTAGTAAAAATTTTCTTTTGCTTTAACCTTTAACTTCATCAAGCCCAGGTTCTTAAGTCTATTCATAATATTAACAAAAAGATTTTCTTTTTTTTACAAAGTGAAGTATAGAGAGGGAAAAGTGCCCTTAGTAGTGGTTCTTATAGGGGTTTTTATATTATTAAGAAATAGAGTTGTGGCTGATATAGTAAGTACCGTTATTAGATTTGAGATGTTATTGCTTTTCGGTCTGTGTAGAGACCTCTATTATTATTAATATTTATGTAGATTTAATTGGGATAGCTAGACCTCTTTTTCAAAGGTATTACTAGACTTAATGTAAATAACCCTTTAGTACTAATATTCCTATAAATTTAATCAAAATAGTTAGACTTCTTTCTCAAAGGTATTACTAAACTTAATATAACTAAATAAATTTAAATAATTTAAAAAGCCTAGGTAATAGTTAAAGTAAAAAAGAAAATAAATGTAGTATAGTCTTATTGAGTATATACCTAAAAGTGTTAGCCAGTAATATTTAATCATTATTATCGTTTTCGCTCCACTGTCGTTGTAGAGATTCTACCAGCGCCGAGGTTTCCCAACCAGAGCGCTGACGCCACTTTTCCAGAAAGTCAAGCACAGCAGCTTGGTCGGTTGGGTGGTATATGTAAGCCCCCCAGACTGCCAAGCAGTGTCTTGCAGTAAACCAGGTGTTTTCCGCCCTCTCATTCGACATAGCCAGACCTAATACCAGGAACAGATGATGCCGAATTTTCCGTGCAGTCGCTCTGCTGTCGGCCAGAGATTTATATGTGTGTATTATCTCTTGGGGTCCTATTGCGCTCAGAACAATCTGCGCTATGTGATAATACTGTAATCCAACAACATGGTAGGGAAGCAGCATCCAGACCTCGGGAAAACATGAGTCTTTCTCTCGGGATCGGGCTTTAAAGTAGATGGGTTTGTAGGATGTTGGTCTGGATACCTCCCACTTTGAGATCTGGGCTTCAGCATGGGCCATGTCTGAAGCATTCTTCGGCTTACAGAAAGCACTCTGGAGCAGCAAGGCGAGATTGAGAATTGATTGACTAGCCCAGGAATAATCGTCGTTGCGGAGGATGGATGCAGATTTGGGAAAGCAATCAAGCACAGTCTTGATCGGTGTTTGCGTCGTTAACGAGACGTAAATATCTTCCCGGAGGCATAGCCAGCACGCGGCTTCGGCAACTCCTCCCATAGTCGAATATTCCGGAATCATATTAAGAATACGAGAAATACCTTCTAAATGGAAGCGATTGTCGTCCTCTAGCAACAATTAGTGCCCGTCTGGCAATGACTGGCTCATGGCAAATTCGATACTAACCGTCCATTTCCTCATTTTGTCTTAGTAGAGCAACAGCTGTTAAAATATTCTCGGTAATTTGATAGTCGCCAGTCATGGATGGTATAAGTAGGCTCAGACATCGATTCTGGTAGTCCAAGGCTTGACTGTCACCGTCCTCATCACCGCGACATCGATGAAAATGGCGGGCCGAAAAGGCACATATGGCATATCGAATTGTAAGATCTGTAAAGGCCAGCTGCGACACACGGGTCTCAAAAGTCCGGAAGGGATCCGCAATATCGGTCCATTGAGCCATGTGGTCGGTGAAGTTGCGGATAAGGAGTGCCTCGGCCGGACTTAGTGGCATGATGTCATGATCCAAGTTCTCGATCACGGATGTGCCTTCTTCTGCCAGGTTTGTTAAAGTTGAGGCTTCGTCGGGTAGGTGCTCCCAGAATATCGTATCTTCGTTGGGCTGAGAAGCTACATCGCTGTCGGTCACGCTGTCTCGCGCTGCAATTTCTGCTGACATGCTTCGACTTAAGGATCGTCGAGGCGGCGAAAGTCGCTGTGTTCTCTCATGTTCAGACAGAACGGGGGTCTCATCTCTGTACATGTCGCGTAACTCAGGCGTCTCATCGTAAAACTCTGTTGGCCCACGTGGTAGCGGACACGGACGCCACAGTTTTGAAGAGGCGCGGGATAAGACCTTCTGCTTTGGATGGAAGCGAAACTTGAGCGATGCCTGGCGCACGCATCTGATGCTGGCGCTTCTGCACTGTCGACATTCGTCTTGGTCCCAGTCGCACTTCCGATGGCGGGATCTGCAGGCCTGGCAAGGTTGGCGTGGTTTCTTAGCTGGCGAGTTTTCGTTGTCTTGCATACTTGCGAGGGACTGCCGTCAGGGGACTTGAGAGTGAGGAAAGGGCCATGCAGCGAACGACGTCCTCCTATTGTGCCAGTGTAAGCTTATTCCTAGGAACAGAATATTCATAGTATTTCGGTGGTTGATGCCTATGCCGATCCAGTGCTACTCAGGCATGCGGGGTCTAGGGACTAACGTTAGTCGAGCTAAAATGGATGGATTAGAGTTCTTCCGTTTATTGCTCATGGTGTACCGGTTTTATATTGGCTTATACGAAACCCAGCCAATTAAGCCTCTACTCGCTGTTAAATTAACTCAAAAAGATGATCCTCTGTTACATAACATACACTATCTCGACGAACTTGGTCGCAGGGATATATAATGGGGTAACATGCTGACCCTAGATTAATAATAAAGTCCTTAATTCTGACCTGTGTAAGACAGAACTTGTCAGCACGCTTAGCAGAATGCATCTACTATTGGGTTTTAGTTTTCACTGATGAAACGATGTTCATTTACCTCAAATGGGACAATTTTCAAAGACTAAAGAACCTTTAATAGTACAGGTCCATATGCAAAGGGTTTGACTAGGCACTAAATAAGATATAAATCGATTTATTTCAACGTTTTCTACATCTTTCTAGACACCCTTCTTCAATCCATTTGTCTGCAGAGGCTCAAGAATTGCTTGGCCCTCCTCGTCGAAGTAAACAGGCTCACCAAGCCTGAATGAGTGCTGCAAAGCGCAGGCGATCTTTCCTGCCTCCAAGGCATCGTCAGGTGAGCAAGACAGAGGCAGGTCCTCTAGGACAGATGTGGCAAACTCTGCAATGTCGTTGATGAACGTCTCGTCATAGAGAGCGAAAGCATCTGGAGTCGAGGTGGTGCGTACACCATATTCATCACGGATTTCGATACGGTTGAGAGTCGAGTTGCCGTTAATGACCGAATGTCCCTTGGTGCCGCAAACACGCGTAGAGGCCTCAAAGCCGTTGGTGATGGTGCGACTCAGACGCGTTTGAAGGACCTTGCCGTTGGCAAATTCAACCAAGCCCCACGCGTTGTCGGCATCGCCATACTGGGCGAGCGCGCCGTAGACAGCTTGTTGGCCAAATGCAACTACGCGGTTGACTTGCTTTTTGGGGTTTGGAATATTCAGGTCAACGTCTAGGAAATACCGACCAGCATCGATCTGCGCCTGAGTTAGCGAGAATTGACCAATGAGTCTTCCTCAAGTACGAACCAGGTGAATACCGGCATCTACAAAGATACCTCCTGATTGTTCAGAGAATGTGACATAAAAGGCTGTGAAGTCATCAGACATAGACCCTCATAGTACAGTGCTTTTGCCAGGATAATTACCATTCTTATCCTGGGGATCAAGGCACGAAGCTTCTACCGCGTGGATGTCTCCCAGCTGACCATCCTGAATCATTTGTTTTGTGACACGATACGATCTATCATCTGTAATGACTTAGCTCTATTGTAAAATATGTTCAGTCTACAAGTTGAACTCACACCGGCGCGAGAATGGGAGTAAGAACTTGAGGTGAGGCTTGGAAGCAGCCCTAGCGACAACGTCTTGGGTAGTGAGGATATCCACCGAGATGGGCTTCTCACACATAACATGCTACAATTATTATCAGCATCTCTGCTGCATCGAATTTAGTTCATGAACATACTAGTCCCAAGTCGAGAGCGAGACAGATCAGAGGGGCGTGGGTGGCAGTCGCTGTGGAGATTAGAACAGCTGAGGCACCGCTGTTCTTCATGCATTCCTCGGGAGTAGGGAAGAATTGGACTGAGGATGGCAGGTTGGCGGCAGCCCATTCATCTGCACCTGGCTTAGTGTCGCACACTGCTACAAGCTCGATTCGCGGTTGCTGAAAGGCCAGGATCTTGGCACGGAGAGCTCCAAGACGGCCGAGACCGATAAGGCAGAGCTTGAGGCGAGGTTGGGCGACCATGGTTGGAGTTGCGACTAGGAGGAGATAACAATGATTATGAAAGATGAAAGATAAAAGGAAGATATCCTTTGAAAAGCATCTCTGGAAACATGTCGGCCAATTCAATGATTTGTAGTTTCATGGAGTTGTCTAACGTAGAGCCTAATGGTGGCTGATGCGGAGTGGATTACTGTATCTGGGAGTTGTCTTAGTGGATATAGCTTTGGCGCGGGGCAATTCTCCCCATAGAGACTTTTCACGTGGTAATTTTCGCCGCACTAATCCTCCCTGCGAACTTCTTCCCCACAAAGTACTCCCACCAAGGTGTAAAGGCCCACTCGACGATGTACTCTCGTCTCTTCACAATGCTCGATTGGATATTTCAAACTCATACCGCTCACCCAGAATTGAAATTGACGTAGTGCACCCCGCCAGAGCGGCTCTCGAACACGCGGCTTATTGTCTCCCTGCCTGAGACCATTTACCGACGGCGTAATTAGTGATATAACCCCGATGTATCTCCCCCATCGCCTATTTCTTTCTTTGCAACATCATTTTCCTTTATCCTATCACACACTATTACCGTCGATGTTGCATACACACATCTATTATGTCGCCACCAACTTCATTCAAGCTTAACACTGGGGCGGAGATTCCCGCCGTTGGTCTTGGTTAGTGACTTATTATAAATATTGATGAGACATCGTTAATCTGAGCAACAGGAACATGGAGATCAGAGCCTGGTGAGGTGCGCCAGGCAGTTGCGTACGCCTTGAAGGATGGCTACCGCCACATCGATGCGGCTCTGTAAGCGTGTTGTGACAATTAGTCGGGTGCATCTTGCTAACGGATTATAGAATCTACGGTAACGAGAACGAGGTCGGACAGGGGATTAAAGATAGTGGCGTGCCGCGTGAAGATATCTTCATTACTAGCAAATTGTGGAACACAGATCATCCCAATGCCAAGGAGGGGCTTCAGAAGACACTCGATGCTCTCGGCACTGATTATCTTGATCTCTACGTAAGATACTAGACTTCAGATAAGGTTTTAAAAACACCGACTAATACGATATTAGCTCATCCACTGGCCTGTCCGTCTTGTACCTGTAAGTGACTATTTATTTCTTCCTCCTCAAGCCGTGGCTAACATCATCATAGAATGAGTCTAGCAAACTTCTTCCCGTAAATCCTGACGGAACCCGGTCTGTGGATAGATCCTGGCAACAGAGCGAGACCTGGCGACAGATGGAAGAGATTTACTCTTCCGGCAAGGTTAAGGCGATCGGCGTTGCTAACTGGTCGATTGCCTACCTGGAAGAGCTCCGCAAGACATGGAGAGTCGTACCCGCAGTCAATCAAGTTGAATTGCACCCCTACCTACCCCAGCATGAACTGAGGGAGTACTGCGATAAGCACGGCATCTTGTTGGAGGCGTACTCGCCGCTCGGTTCGACCGGTAAATATCACCCAGCAGAGCTAAGCCATAGACCAACGAGCTAACTCTTCTAGGTGCGCCCATCATGTCTGATTCCGAGATCCAGCAAATCGCGGATAAGCATAATGTCTCAGCTGCTACTGTTCTTATCAGCTACCATGCCTGCAAGGGCGTTGTTGCGCTCCCCAAGTCGGTCAGCGAGAAGCGGATTACAAGCAACAGGCAAGTAGTTGTGCTTTTGGAGGATGAATTAAAGCTGTTGGACGGCCTTGCTGCCAACGGAAGAGCGAAGCGTATTAATACGCCTGTATGGGGATTCGATCTCGGCTTTGCCGACTGGTACGGTCCTGTCTCAAACAAATAGGGTTTTGAAATGAGGTTCAAGATAGAATCAGGATAAAGAAACATGTTTTTACAATATGTCAATTTCTTATAATTTACCTAGAAGTGTTATAGTTACCTAACTAAGCTTTTTAGTCTTGGCAACATTCCTACAAGTAAGCGTTAAGTCTTATCCTATAATAAGTAAACTAGAAATTGTATTGTTTAACAGTACAGACTTTTTATTAATCATTATTAAATTCATTACATAAACAGTAGTTTACTATCAAGTTATTAACCTATATATGAGCATAAAAAGTACCAGCCTATTTTATATACCTTTCTATTTAAGGGTTAACATATTCTCTTTTGCTACCAAGTAAGAAAGTATCTTAATAAGAAGTCTATAATTTACTTAGTTATTAAATAGCCAATATCTAAGAGATTATTATAACTACTCTGGCTTACCAGTTTAGCCAATATATATCACGCATCTAATTGCGAACCAACAATAAATTCTTAGTTAAAATAGGTGAGGGATTTTTAATACTACCTTAAGACTTAATTTATAACCTTCAGAGTAATACAGACCGCCAGGGCAGGTAAACAATACATAAACACTTATTGTAATTCCTAGTCTAAATGCAAACCAAGACTTTATATCTATGCTTTATAGGGAGGAGGCGAGATCCCTTCGCTTAGTGCCTTTAATCGAAGCGCAAGCAGCCTTGATTGGAACCGAGTCATGGGCAGAAATCCAACCATAATCCAAAGGTTAGGCACTCCAGTCTCCCTAAAGGCATTCCTATACTCGCCCTCTTCATCAATGCCCCAAACAGGTCCAACCTGATTTGCAATTTTGGGACCAAGTGTGTCGCGAATTGAGTCGATCAAGTTAGAGAATCCGGTTGCAAAGACGACAAGATCAAACTCACGCTCCCGTCCGCCGTTCAGGATGACCTTATCCTCAGTAAAGCGCTCAATATATCCTGGCTCAACCTTGATCTTGCCATTGATAATATGTTCACAGGCGCCAGCATCAAAGTAGAAGCCTCCATTCCTCGTCTGGCCGAGAGTGCTGTTACCCGTGTTCCTTTGCCCACGCCATGTCCTCAGACCACGAGCATTAAGCCCATCGAGTAGGGGTTTATCAAGGTCCTCCAGAACCTTGGCGGCGCGTCGTGAGAGCTCTTCGCCGGGTCCAACAGGGGTGGAAAAGAAGAGGCGATCGTGCTCCTCGGGGTCACGACGGTGACCCTTCTCGTCGGGCGCATAACCCCCAAGAATTCGGGGGACAGAATGTGTAAGTGACATGACATATGTCGGTGATCGTTGCAGAAGGGTAACGTCAATATCGCGACGAGAACAATCAAAGGCAGTGTCAAAGCCCGATGAGGATGTGCCAACTACACAAACACGCTTGCCAGCAAAGTCGCGAGAGCTGTCGTGGGCAGATGAATGACGGATTTTGCCGCCCCTGAACTCGTCCATTCCAGGAATGCTGGGCATGTACGGCACACCGCAGAGCGAGGTAGCCATGATGACCTGTTTTGGGTGAAGTGTTCTGGTCTCTTTCCCCCCCTTGTCGATGGTGACAGTCCAACCGCCTTGACCATCTTGCTCGGCCTCGATAACAGTTGATCGAGTCCAGATGTTCAATTCCATGGCAGAAGCATACCAACCCATGTAAAGGCCTTGTTTCTGTGCTGGTGTATATGTAGGCCACTGTTTGGGATAACGGAAGAAGGGCAGATCGTCCGCCCAGTGGGGGAAGTGTAGAGACAAGTATTCATATCTCTTCTTCCACACGTCTCCAATCTCCTCACCGCGCTCGATGATAAGGCTGTTGAGTTCCAGGGCTTTACACCAGGCTCCAAGAGCTAGACCGCTGTTTACTGTCAGATCACGCTTGAGACTTTGCCTGTCTTGGAGGAACTTACTTTTGTCCACCACCAATAATCAAAACCTCAGGGTCGGCAGCATCGACTTCCATCGCGCGCTGTGACTCCCAGCTAACTGTTCCCGTCATGTGACCATCAGAAGGATGACGCTCTGGGAATTGCTTAAGTTGTTCGGCAACGGTGTGCAGAGTGTAGATTCTCCACCCCTCCTTGGTCAGGACGGCTTTAATGACTGCCGAAGCAATAACGAGCTCTGTCTCGAACGACAGAACAAATTGTAACTGGGCAAAGTCGTCGTAAGGTCTGTCAACCACAGGGGCAGGCTTGAGGAAAGCAAAGTTGAAGGCTTTGGTTGTTGGAAGAAGATCTTGAGCAGCTTTCACAATTGCAGGGCGGAAGTTGAAAGTTCTTTGGTCCCATGTGAAGGAAAGCTTGTCACGCCATACGCCTATATCACCTGTTAGAGGGTGAGGGACTAGAATGATGGGCTTTGTGTATTGATCGTACCATACTCGAGGAAGGTATTAGCAAAAGCCTCGGCATCTCCTGCGCCTAAGACCTCGGATAGACGCTCGACGATGCCCTCTGCTTCAGCCTGTGCATCACAGTCCTCCGGAATCTGGACTCCAAGAACGTCGGTGGTCGGAAGATGGTGATTAAACTTGAAGTCGTACATGTAATCGTCACTGACTGGAGGACACTCAACAGTGTTATTAATCTCTGCCCATTTGGAAGCGGCTTTGTCGTTCAAGGCAGCGACATCGGCACCGTTGGTATGCGCCTCACTCTGGTCGATAACAGTAGAAGGAGACATCGTACAATACAGAAAGGTAAAAGATTGCTGTTGAACCGACTTGAGCAGTTCCTAACAACGTGGGGTCCGCTTGCTTTCATACTTCTTCACGCCGCCACGAAATGCGTATAGATTTTCAAATCGTTCTGCGTCGAAACCTCTTGGCTAGAGTAACAAAAGTCAAATGGTTGTTTTTACCTCTGCGTTTTCAATGGGGAGAATTTCCCCGCTACAGTTAGTCTCTAGGGAAGAAATTACCAGGTTTAGTGTGAAGATGGAAGAGAGTGTGGGGTTAGGAAGCTAGGGGGCTAACGGTACTGCTTTAAAATAGGGCAATTTACCCCGGCCTGAAACACTATTATCAGCCACTTCCTTTACTCCAGAACTACGGAGTAGATTCGCAAGAGACGGAGAAAAGACGGGGAAGTGGAGCGGACGATATCGTGGAGTGTACAATAGTCTTTAGTAGATTCGCTCGCAATCGGATATAAAAGAGTGACTAACCCTAATTCATCCTTCTAGTTACTAGTCATGGAGGAACAAGTTCGCCCTTTTCCAGCTTTCAATTGACCGCTTCTCCGATGACGATGGAAATAGCTTCGAGGACAAGGAGAGAGCCTCGTAGATTTAGGGGCGCAATCTCTAAGATATACAAAGGTGCGCCAATTGCTAGGGTACCGACACCGACGCCACCGATAGTGCGTCCTGCCACGAGAGTGCCGTAGTTGTGTGCCGCGGTTTGAACAATAGCGCCAACGCAGGAGAAGACTGTGGCAACAGCAAGGTCATACTTGCGGGAGTAGCGGTCGGCAAGGAGAGGGAAGAATAGGCAACCAAAAAAGGCGCCAAACTCAAGCATTCCAGTCATGAAACCAGTGTTGAAGCCGTAGCGAGAGTGGCCTGGGGCGATCTCAGGAAAGGTTTCCTGGAACTGGGGCATTGTAAGGATGATGGAGATGACACCCTGATCGTAACCGAAAGAGATTCCACCGAAAGAGGCAAGAAGTGCAGCACCGAAGACGTAGGGTGATCGAAGAATACCCGATATGCCGTTGTTATCGTAGCTGATCTTGGTATTGAGCCGCTATTTTCGAGGTGTTCGGGGCCATCAGAAATAGCGGCCTTGTCATGGCTGCCATTGCTAATTTCAGCGAGACTCTTGTCTTCCGCCATATTGAATACCACACAAAAATGACTAGGATAATAACCAAGAGATGAAACAAGACGTGTTTTTTTGATGATGAGAATACCGAGATGGGAATGAATGCGGATGAAGATAAGACAGGAAAGGGGAAAAAAAGGATGTTGAAGCTCAGGTTGATCGAGAGTTATCTATGCCTCGAGAACGATAAAATCGCCTAGACAAAATGACCCATCCACCTGGACGTGTGGGGCCCATGGGGAACAAGATTTGAGGCTGTTAGTCTAATCTGGGGAATTTGGAATACCCCGGATCGGACATAATCAGCCTGGACTAGATCGCACCTCCATCGGACTTATTCAAAGTCAGAGCGTCTGAGATAATAGCTTGCGGCTAGCTTGGAGGCAGTATAGAAATGTATTGAGAAGATAACAAGAAGATGTAAGTATTGGATGATATCAACGCCATCCTCTTGATTGAAGACGCGATCCAGTACCTTGAGGTATTTGGCCAAGACGTGATTGGAGACAAAAGAGCCTTGGGGAGTGGCGTCGTTGTCACTAGTGAGTGGCACTATCGCTACGACAATATACGCCCTGAATATATGTCCTAGGCCGTTTGAAATCTTATCCTGATAGGCTGCGTCATCTGTGGCGGTGATGGCTGCGATTCTAGACTTGAATTTGTCCACGGGAAGTCGTGGAAAACGAAAACAGACAACTTTCAGATATGTCTCTAAAGCCTTGTTCGCTTCTTCTAGAGGTATATGAAGGCGGTAATTTTGCGAAGTTGCCATCGAAAGCATATCTTGCAAGAAAGGATTAGCAGTCGAACTGCTGTCCGGTTTGATTACGAACCGTTCTGAAATTGTTACTTGATAAGGGGGCTAACTTCCGTCGCTATAATGATTACCGGAGCTACTTTGAAGTGGGGATAAGAAAGGGGCACTGTGTATCGTTGATTTGCTAATAGAAAGGGGGCCAAAAAGGACCGGGCATACTATTGTGATATAAGGAGAGAAATCTCCTATAAATTAAATTTGGGTGGGATAGTCTATAGAATTTCTTCTAATAATCGTCTACTTAATAGTATAATTAGATACCCCGTTTTATAATGGATAGGAGACATATCAAATTGGAGTGCAGTAGTGAAACAAGACCATCTTTGATGGACAATATGCAAGGTTCTCTAGGAAATTCCAATATCACTGAGCCGTATCATCACTACTCTCCCTGACAAACAACCGATAGAAATCAATGAATCATGAATGATCCAACAACGCGGACGTACCGAGACTGGCAGCCAGAGAACCTTATCTCCACGCCAGGTAATCCATTGAGTATCTCGACTGATAGCGAACCCAGCAGCAACAGTGTCTTGGGATGAGCAAGAGCGTTCATCAATTGAGGAGCTCTGTTCTATCGAGATAGCCCCAGCTTCGCAGAATATTGTCTTCCCTTCCGAGTCAAACTTGATATCACAAGCTCCAACTCTCGGTAATTTATGGCATCTCAAAAGGTCACCATCCTCAGTGTTCCATAGTTGTATAATGTCATTCGCGGCGACTGCCGCGAGGATCAATGTGTTGGGTGAAAATGCTAGCGACTTTACCGTCTCTCGCATCGTTAGTAATCTCATGCATGTTCCATTACCGACACTCCATAGACGAACTGCTTTGTCTAGTGATGCTGTGGCAAGTTGCAGCGAGCCAGGTGAAAATGCAATCGAGGTAATCCCTTTACTGTGTCCAGTAAGCTCATTTACACATAGATTGCGATTCAGTTCCCATAATCGCACAATACCCACGCTATCACCAGATGCCGCAAGCATAGTGTCAGGCGACATCGAGACCACTTCTATAGTGCCTTCATGGCCTGGAAGATCCTTGATAAGTTTTGTGGAAACTTCAAAACGTCGAAGGACTCCATCCTCGCACCCGATGATCAGATCCCTCGAGTCTATCGAAAAGGTGGCAGTGCAAAACCCCCAGTCGTAGACAGTGAAGTCATGAACGCATGCCCTCTCCTCAACGTCCCACAGCCAAGCTTCTCCGCTGAACGCAACGGACAGAAGAAGCCTCCCGTCATGCGAGAACTTGAGCTCAGTGATATGAAGGTAGTTCTGATCCTCGACCTTGAGGTGATAGATAAGGGTGCCGTCAATGGTGTTCCAGAATTTGATTGATCCATCAATAGCGGCTGATGCCAGGATACTGAAGTCAGGCGACATCTCTATAGCATCAACTGAGCTTTGAGCCTCTTCAGGGCTGAGACATGCCGATTGATCAGACAATGACCAGGTCCGAACTGAGGAGTCGCCAGAGGCTGATACCAGGAGTTTTGAATCACGTGAAAACGAAACAGAGGAAATGCTATCAACGTGACCCTGTAGTCTCGCCCGATTCAACCCTCCTGGCGGCGGGAACTGAGGATGGTGTTATTCGAATATGGCAAATCAAAGACTGCAAGTGTCTTTACACACTCAAGGGACACGAAGAACCAGTTTATTCGGTGGACTTCGCACCCGACACCGTGCATATTGCATCAAGCTCCTCAGATGGTACCACTCGTGTCTGGCAATTCGCTGAGGAGATCTGTATACAAGAGTACGACAGCGGGACCTTTATGAGTTCGATATCTGTTTCGAATGATTCAACTCTTGTTGCGACAGCTTCCTCAACGGGGGAGATACAAATATGGAACGTCGACACTGGATCTTGCGACTATCGAATGCGACCGAGTAAACTGCACCCCAGTGACCTTGCAGCTCGTATAAGTAATGATGTTTATCCACAGACCATATCCAGACTTTTCCAGAACCATCATAGCCATCGATATATGAAGCGAATGCAATCAGAGAGGAGTCTGGCGAGACCGCTACCTCATGTATAGCGTTGTTGTGCCCTTTCAATGTATGTAGACATTTGCCATCCTCAATTGACCAAAGCTTGACTGTTTTGTCAGGTGAGCCAGAAACAACCATATTTCCACTGGGGAAGAAGGCGACAGAGTACACAGTGTCTTTGTGTCCTACAAGCTTGTGGATGCATTTCCCGTCACTGACTCGCCATATCCGAACCGTAGAATCGTCTGAAGCCGAGGCTATGAGTGACGAGTCGGACGAGAGTACAGCTGCAGTCACTGCTTCTTGGTGACCTTCCATGATCTGTCGACAGTCACTCCATGCTGTTTCTCGTTCTGGTCGAAGAGAAATCCACTCCACGATCTCGCGGTTGAAGGAGTTTGCTACCACACTCTGTCGCGGGGCGAATATTAGGACTGAGGAGTAAAGTTGCAAAGGATAGCCATCAATTATTGACATATAGTTGCGTAGTAATTGCTGGGCATCTTGAAGAAATTCTGACAGAGCCTTGCTCCCCGAGGTTGAGTCCTATGCCCGGTCAGCGCAACTGATCGTACCCATTTTGATACAGAGTGGCTCACCATTGACAATCTTCGCAAAGTCTCAACTGTGGATATACTGTCTGATGCCCTTCCGATAAGGGCTAGTACCTCAACCCAGTGAAGAAAGTGGTCATTCAGAAACTGAAGAATGGTTTCCTCATAACTGTCCACCCAGCCCATTTGTTCAATGTGCGAAGCCCAGAAGCGACAAGAGTATTTCAACTCTTCAGAAATGCAGCTATTGATCTTCTGAATCTCAACGGTTGACCGAGGTATTCCTGGCGATTTCAAACCACACATGTTGGGTCGTAAATGGCTTTTCATCAACCGTATACAGTCTGTGTATTTCTGGCGGTGGCCCGCGGTTTCTAAACCACAAGACATCCTATCGGCCTCATGTAGAATCTTTGATCTTACTGCTTCAATATCAGCACATAGTCTTTAGTGATTGGTTCGCAAGACTCACCGTACCACGGCAGCAACAATTTGCACACTTATTTGAGAACTAGGACGAGGAAGAAGTATAAAGAAGTGCAGATCGTTACGTAACAAGGTTGAAGCAGAGTTACGCAATGAAATTGACACGAGAGAATAAACCCTGATTCAAGAGCGATAGAGAACGGTTGATCTGAGGGAAATACTCGATTGTCAGCATGCGTCGAATGAGGGGCATGTTGTTGGTACAAGGTCTTTGATTTGGCTGCTATTCTTGGCGCTCTTGCGCTGACCAGTCAGACGCAACAGTCATAGTAAGCAAGGCAGCAATGCACATCCGTTGTATTTTGCCCTGTTGATAACACTTGATGATAAATGGGCGCGTTAGTATATCGACCGTTGGACGAACACCTCCATCGCGATGGCTATGCTTGAGGACACAATCCAGAAACAAGTCTAGCAGGCTCTGCTTGCAGCTCCATCTGAAGATAACGATCGGCCGATTTATCTGAGTCGTCTTGCACAGCAACTGCACAGAAAGTATGCAGCATCCAAAGCAACAGCCTATCTCGATCAAAGCATCAAGCTGCTGCAGCAAGCTATTGAGACAGCACCATTGGATCATGTCAACAGGCCTCGCATTCTACATATTCTTGCATTCCAGCTTCATGAGAGATACTTGAGAACAAAAGACTTTCCCGACCTTGAAAATGCTGTACTAATAGCAAGGGATGCGATTGATAGTGTCTCAGACGATGATCCACTGCTTGCGACCATGTTTTCTACCCTGGGGATCACGCTCAAGGATCGATACTCTGCGAAAGGCATCAAGTGGGATCTTGATGAAGCGATCGATTGCAGTCGACGGGCAGTAGCAGCGATAGCTGACGATGATCCAGCACGAGCCAGATATCTCGATACCCTTGGTATCCATCTTGGGTATCTGCATTGGAGAGGGGGGATTGGGTCAAACCCAGAACTGAAATCCTCTCTTGAAGAAGCCATCGCCGTGAGTCACGAAGCGGTACGGCTTACCCCGGACGGCCACCCAGAGTCAGCAGGTCGATGGAAGAACCTTGGAACACACCTTGGTCATAGGTATCATTCTGGACAGACTGCAGACGGATTGGAGGAGTCCATCCAGTGCCATATCTCAGCTCTTCGTTCAGAGTACTCTGCGCCACTTCGACGAATCCAGGCCGCACGAGATGTTCTTCCCCACTTTGCAGATAGTTCAGACTGGTGTAGGGCATTGGTGACGGTCGAGGAAGCAATTTCTCTTGTTCCAAAAATGATATTCAGATCATCGCAGCACTCAGACAAGCTGTATGTGCTGTCTCAACTATCCGGCTTGGCGTCTGACGCAGCAGCCGTTGCATTAAATGCAGGCAAGGACTTATCTACTGCCCTTCATCTTCTAGAAATGGGTCGCGGAGTGTTGACGCAGTCCATGGAAGAGATGCGGACCGACCGTGCAAGTTTGCAAGTTCAGCACCCAGAACTGGCAAAGAGTCTGTTCCAGATCCGGAGTGCCCTTGACGATCCGCTACAATATGATAAAATATCAGAAGATCCGGAATCTTCTTGGCTAGAACACTCGAGACGGCAAAAGCAGGCAGATGAACAACTCGAAAATCTACTCGGCGAGATCCGGAAGCAGCCTGGGTTTGAAGATTACTTGACCCCTCCGTCTGAAGCAGATATGAAAGAAGCCGCCAAGAAAGGACCTGTTGTTGTTATCAATGTGAGCCAATTTCGGTGCGACGCTATTATTGTCGAACCACATCAGTTCCGTCTTCTGCCATTGCCCAAGCTCAGTCTGGCAGACGTTGAAGACCTTTACTCATTAAGCGCCAGCGGCCCAATGCCTGTTGGTACAAAAGGACCTGTTGACGATAGCTTCAACATTTGGGAGGCTGTTGTGGCGAGTCATGAATGGGATGATACGTCCAACAGACGAGGATGGGGATATCTGAGCAAAGAGCCACAGGTTGCTCTCGGCTCGCCCAAGGTCCTGAAATGGCTGTGGGAAGCTGTTGCTAAGCCAGTCATGGATGGTCTTGGATTGACTCATAAACCCATGGATGATAACTGGCCCCATGTCTGGTGGATACCAACTGGAAGTCTCAGTAAATTTTCAATCCATGCTGCGGGGAACTATTATCCTGGCACCGACGAGACTGTCTTGGATAGATGTGTGTCTTCGTACAGCTCATCCATTAAGTCTCTTCTCAAAGGCCGGCTTCGCCAACTTTTGGTCTCCGGAACACCACAAGCGCTACTTGTCGGTATGGAAACTACCCAAGGGCTTCACTCGCCTTTGCCCTTTGCCCGCCGAGAAGTGGAATTAGTAAAGACTGTTTGCAGGTCAATGGGAGTGACTCCGATTGAGCCCCAACGGCGGAAGCAAGCCGTTATATCGAATCTTGCCAAGTGCACCATCTTTCATTTTGCTGGTCACGGTGAGAGTAAAACCAAAGACCCTCTCAACAGCCAATTGTTACTCAACGACTGGAAGAGTGACCCGTTTACCGTCACTTCCCTTCTAGACACCAAGCTGCACGATAGCTCACCCTTCCTGGCCTATCTCTCTGCTTGTGGTACCGGTCGTATCGACGAAGAGAGATATTCCGATGAGAGCATTCACTTGATTAGTGCATGTCAGCTAGCCGGCTTCCGCCACGTCGTCGGTACCTTATGGGAGGTCAACGATGAATCATGTGTTGATGTGGCTAGGATTACATATGAGATGATGAGAGATGAGGGATTGAAGGATGAATCTGTGAGTCGTGGGTTACATGCTGCGTCGCTATACCTGCGAGATAAGTGGTCTCAACGGTTGTCAAATAACAGAACAAGCCGCAAAGGTGCTGCGTCAAGAATATCAGATCGTTTGTTTACGAGTAGGAAGTTCAATGGACAGGACAGCGAGAAGGATGTTGGGAGGGATGTTGTCTCTTGCGACGATGATGATGATAATGATGAGAACGACAATTTGGGGCCACTTTATTGGGTACCTTACGTTCACTTTGGTGTATGACTTTTAGCAACAGTGAAAGAAGCGGCCGACATATCCTTGCAGTGTCTCTCATACGGGCAGGATCAGTGGTGTGAAAAACAAATCCCAAATAATGGTTTTACTAAATAGTTTATCCTAACCATACAGTCTACCAAGGAAGAAGTTATTTTTATGGTTGATATCATTGACAGATTTTGAAAGCCTGTGCTTGATAAAGTTGAAGGTTGAATCAAAGAAGAAAAACAGTCTACCAATATCCCGATCCTGCAAGATCATAGTAAGACCGTACTATGGGTTAGTCCTATCCTATCCTACTAGAGACCGACTACCTGATAAGGCAAAACACCCTAAGTAGTAGGATATCCTAAGCAGATTGCATGCTGCTGTAGATGCTCTTGAAAAACTCGATGGCTTTGGCAATGAGTGAGTTAAAATCAATGGATGTAACGAAACGGCCAATAATTGCAACGAAACTCTGAGCCTGCGTGTTCAGGTTGACCTTGGCAACCATGGTCTTCACAACACTAAGAAAAGACACCATGATGGAGGCACCAGGGATGTTCTGGAGGTATGTCAGTACACAACTAAGCAGTTTGATTCATAAGCACTGTTACTCACAGAATTAGAAGAAATCTTGTCGGACACCCATTCAATACCCTCTTTTGAAAGAGCATTGAAGTCGACTGAAGCAACATACTTGGCAGTGACATTGAAGCCACGGCCGACCAGCTGGTTGAAATCCGGAGTGTCCTCGGTTATGTAAGTTAAGGTATCGGAGGTAAGAGAAGGCATGGAGACTTACAGGGCCGATCACATCAACCACGCTTCCCAAAAAGCTGTTGAGAACATTGCGCTTTTCCAAAGTTTCTGCGGCATCATTGCCATCAGTGGCAGCATGCTTCAATTCAATGAAAAAGGCATCGAGAGGATTGGCTGGGCCGTTCTTATCATAATTAGCAGTATTCGCAGACAGGTGAAGATTAAAGACTTACCTGAGAGTCGTGGGTGTCGGACTTCTCCTCGGCTCTGGCTTGCAGACCGGCGTCTCGGCTGACAAGCTCAGTGGAGCCTTGCGACAGACCAACAGCTGTGTAATGTCAGAAGAGACTTTGAAAACTAGTGAGAAGTCATACCTGTGTTTCCACGGGGAACGTATGCAGCAAGAGCAGAACCTGAGACCAACAGGGCAGAGAAAACAGTGAAGAACTTCATCTTGACGAAGGTTTTTGTAAAGCTTGAGAAAGAAGAGACAATTAAGTCGTGTAATGTAGTAAGAGAATGTAATGAAAGAGAGAATGAAGAGAAAAAATGAATTTGAGAATATCAGAAGTGGTTGAAAGAGTGAAGTGAATGAATGGCTTGCAGTGATGAGGATAGTTGAAGTGATGCAGAGGACTGGGCTCTTATACTCCAGACTCTGGAGAGAAGCCACTGAGCTACGACGGAGATTCCGTTTGCCATCCCTCACATGCGAGACTAAGGTTTTCATGTGAAACGGAGATCATAGCGATCTGCTGGGCATTTTGGTCAGTGCACATAACACTAGTCAAGGTGATCGACGCAGCGCTTTGGCTAATATGCGGGACTAGTCACTGGCTATCCTGGTTTGAAACGGGCATCAAAGCGATTTTCGCACCGCTCGGGCTAATACAATCTATATAAATCAGTAGGATCAAATAATGAAATGACTTGAGGTTCTACATTTGTTTACTAATTTCCCTCAGCGCAGTATGCTCTCTACCGTTTATTTTACATGGATCTTGGCAATCAAACCAACACTGCTGGTTAAGGTTACGGCCAATACTGCAGCACTAAGTATAACCGTTTACTTTTGGCAATAGAGGTAGTTTGTGGCATTATTGTTCTCCTGTACTTGTCAGGTAGTGGTAAAGATCCCAGATGTGTTTTAATTAAACCAAGATGGGTCAGGATCACTCTGTGCCACATGCTTTACCCTGCAGCCTTATGCGGGGAAAGGTTTAACATCCTGATGGTCCTTGCATTTAAGCCTTGGGTAGACAGTTATCAAAATTGCATAAACACATGATATACTCCGTGCCCTCATTAACTTGAGGTTTTCATATGCGCTAGCTTATTACTTTGAAGTTCCACCTCCACTGAACAAATTGCATTGTTTAACTATTGAGATCCTGTCTACCTTTTGAAACCTGATTCGTCCCGTACTAAAGCCTGGACTGCTCTGGACCTTTGGGGTGAAGCATTAGTAAAGACCGCGAGTCTGATTTAAATCTGAAGCATGAGTAACTGCCCTGCGTACAACCAACCTATGGATAATACCGTATGAAATACATGTACTTGCCTTTCACTTAGAAGGTATTCTCTTCATGGAGTTGTAAGCATGAGTACTATTTCTCATAACTTACAATTACATTAAAGAGGTCAGCAGCAACTAATGGAAACCCGTATAAATCGTCACTGTAGAACCCCTTTCATTTTTTTACTGAACCACTGTTGTGGTTCGTGCGGTCTGTACTCCGGGGTTATAAAGTACCAAATTGTGGCCGGGGTATTACTGTTTAGCCCGAGGACAGAGCGTTACAGCCAATTTGCGACCATCGATTGCGTTCTGTCTTTCCAAAAGATTCCTTAAACTGATTTCACATCAGTCACGTACTAAGCGAAGAAAATGCCCTCGACATCCAGGGCTTCTATGGCAGTGGCTATGAGGCTCGGGCTGATATTCTCGATATACAGGAGTCGTGTTGTGGCCAGAGGAGTTGTGGTAAGCAAGCCGGCAAGGTCATCCTCTGTGATGATAAGCGGATTGGGCTCAGCATTACCTGTTACGTCGATCGGATAGTTGAGAAAAACAATCCGACTCTCAACTAGAGGTTTTCTATTTAAGATCCGGGATAGGCTCGCAACATGACGAAATCTTGAAAGGCGGGGGAAGACATCTGGGGATAGATAAGGAACAGGAAAGGGCAGACTTGTCAGTTCACTCCACCCTTTTAATCTGCCACATTGTCATATTGGGTCGAAATTGCAATTGTGTAGGAGCATTACATGAAGCCTTTGTTTTGTGGTTATTATTGGTAGCCTGATTCCCAATTTTCTGTGCCACGTAGCACCGCCACCGTCTATGCTTACTCTGGGCTGAGTAAGGCAGACTCTCATAACCTTACATAAGTGAATCCGAGCGGGGAGTTTTGTTGATTTCCTCTTTCTTTCCTCAAAATCCCTCCTCAAGCAAGCTTAGCGGCACGACACGCCGCGCCGATGCCGCTTCTCTCACATTTTGCACTCTTTCTAAATATATTTACTCTCTCTGCACGAGCCATCTGTGCCTGGAGATGAAATGGATACCAACTCGTCGTCAGAGGCCAGCGGCACCTATCCAGAGGAGAAGTTACAGGAAAAGATTCGTCGGTTATGTGAAGCGCCCCAGAACGGTCGGCTGAAGAGGGTTTTTATAGAAAACGTCTGGCCAGAATTGGAAGAGACCTATAGTATGATGGCTAGAGCCCTAGTCGATTACTGGAAGCGCCGACTCGTTATATATAGGATCCCAGCCATGGTCGAGGGGCGACAAAAGTCCGCCGAATCCATTAGGAAATCCATGGACCGCCGGGAACAGGCCCGGATCAACCAGAGATCAGCGGGGCCGTACAAAAGCCTCGAGGAGATATTCTACGACGTCCATGACCTCGCAGGCATTCGAATTGTCGTGGATTTTACACCGCACGTCGAGGAGGTTGTCAAGCGCATCAAGCAAAGCTTTAAGCCAACAAAAGCCCCCAGCATCTGGCCCCCTGGTCGCCCAGTCGGGCAACTCTGGAGCGCCTTGTTTGGAGCCTATCAAGGCTCTAATCATCCCGTGAAGCTCGACTCTGATATAGACGAGACTCTACAACGATACAGCGACGTCACAGTAGAGATTCAGGTCACGTCCCTAGCGGAGAGCCTGTACAACCGTCTGGCTCATCCTTTGCTGTATAAGAAAGTTTCAGGGACCCTTTCGCGTAAAGAAGAGATGGTGATCGACCTATCACATGGGCTGTCTCTATGCTACTCTATCTGCCTTCTCCTCATGCAAGACAAGCTAGAGCAACCGCCGCAGAGCGCGGAGCAACCAGCAATGCTGTGGGGTGCCATCAGAGGGGCTGCAATCACACCTGGAGAGGGGGAGCAGGACAAACACCTTGCTGCGTTGGCGGATCAGATGCCTGGCCCGGTACCTCACGATTCAAGCCACCAAATAGCAAATGAGGGTGGGTCTCAGCCCTCCGCTAACCCGGTCCTCCCTGTGGCTACGTGCTTGAACATGCTCCATCATGCAAGGGCAAAGGAACCATCGCCAGATCAGCTTTGGGAATGGATGACTATCAGCTTGAAGTAAGTTGTGCCCCAATTTCACAACAATCGAATGCTAAACATGCCCGCTTAAGAAATGCAGTTCAGGAGGCTGCGAAGCCCCCAATACTGCTTCCGACCTGGGAAGAGGCTCGTTTTGATAGTGAAGACGTTCAGAGCCGCTCAAAATGCTACGAAGGTACCCAGAATGATGCAAGATCTCGCATAAAGGCGTGGGTAAAGGATTCTCAGGCACCGACCCTGTTTTGGTTGCATGCTCCTGTCGGTACAGGCAAATCGACATTGGCACGGACGATTATCGATGATCTTTCCAAGGACGGGAACCTCGCCGCTGGCTATTTCTTTAGACGTGGAGATGTGGATCGAAACAACATATCTCGAATCTTCCCTACCATCGCCATTCAGCTCCTGGAAACTCTGCCTGCCTTTGAACCATTGCTTCGGAAGTCTACGAATGCCCATTCTAGCGAAGCCATCCTGAGCACGTCTCTGGAAAATCAATTCGAGATGCTCCTCAAAACACCACTGTCGGGAATGCCTCCAGTCAGTCAAGATAAACCAGCCATGGCTATCATCATTGACGGGTTGGACGAATCTAATCGGAACAAGAGCCCGAGCCGGCTTCTCCGACTTCTCCGCCTACTCGCATCTCTGGAGGCCATGGAATGTCTACGGCTCTGTGTGCTCATTACTAGCAGAAAATCACATGCGATCCCCGATGCCTTTGAGAATCTCGAAAAAGAGGGCCAATCCTACTGTGAGCTTGCGCTAGATGAGGAGTATAAGATTCAGATGACGGCCGACATACGGCAGTACCTGAAAAGCGAATTCAGAGCAATCAAGCAGAGAAAAGGAATACAGGTCGACCCTTGGCCAACACTAAAGGATTTCGACCTCCTTGTCTCCGAGGCTACCACACCTTCACCTCTATTCATCTACGCCTCGATCCTCATTGGCTTCGTTGATCAAACGAAGCTAGGATGCGAACCTACTGCTCAGCTACAGAATTGGGTAGATGGGTGCTATCGAAAAGAATCTCGACTGGATGAAATGTATACCCAGATCCTCAGCGACATTACAGAATGCGACCATGAAGCCGAATCAAAGTTGCTAGACATCGTGGGCTCTATCGCCTCACTCGAGAGGCCATTATCTATGAAAGCACTCGCGGCACTTCTTGATATTTCCGAAGGCGTAATGAACGAGTTGCTGAAAAGTCTTCAGGCGGTTCTATACCTCCCGGGTGACAAGGAAGAACCTGTCAGATTGGCTCACGATTCTTTCAGGAGCTTCCTATTCCGGACTCAGCTGCCGGGAAAGACTTCTTCTTTTCGTATCAGCAAGCCAGAGGCACATCGCACATTGGCAACTAAATGTCGAAAGCGAATGGTACGGCTTCAGGGAGGGCTTCGAAAGGACCTCTGCGGCTTCTCCAACTTGGGCCATTGAATGGAACGACATTCCGCCGGGTGTGGTTGGCGACCGTATCCCCATAGATTTGCAGTATGCTTGCCTCTACTGGGCACATCATCTCGGGGCCGGGGGGCATGTCGACCAAGACGAAACCTATGACTTTTTAGCTCATTACTTTCTTCCCTGGGTAGAGACCCTATCTCTTCTTGGCAGTGTGGGCGAGGTTCAAACGGCTATCAAACAGCTTAAGAGTTTAGTCAAGGTATTCAGCCCAGCATTCACGATGGCTAGTCAGCTAAGGTTTTATAGCAGCCACGTCTATCCTTCCAAACCAGTAGCAACCTTTCTTCATTCATTGAGGATGCCAAGGCTTTTGTTGATAAGAATGTAGCCGTGATCGAAACAATGCCGCTGCAGGTTTATGGCAGCACGCTTGTATTCAGCCCACCTGGGAGTAAGGTTCGCCAGCTCTTCTACGACGGACGTCTAATGCATATTCATGATATAAAGAGCGGCTTCGTTAAATGGGATACCTTATCACAGAGTGTTTTTTATTCAATCGAAGTTCATCCGCCACCACAGGACGCCAAGACTAACGCAGACGATTCGCCTGGCTCCGCTCCACAACGTTTTATGGCTATCCGAATTGGTGGTAGTAGCATACCTGGATTGGCCAGTAGATAGCTATCTTAAACTTGAGTAAATTGAGCTTTATGATTTCAAGCTCTGGACAGCTTGTGATGAGAGACTCTTGGTGTTGGAAATAGTCACGTAGCCCACCTATTTTATCCCCGGCCTCCACTATTACGATTTGACCAGGGTCTTATCACTTGTCCTTGTCCCTTATCACAACTCCACTAATCCTAAGAGACCAAACAAGACCGCGCCTGAATCCATATGAACTCTCCACTAACAACGCGCTCGAAAGCGAGCAGAATGCAAAGACTGGCGTTAGTCCCTAACCAGACCTGCAAACTCCATGCTATAACTCAACATCAATGCCTGGACGACTAACATTCCCGTCATAATGGAAGAATAAGACCGGGGCTAGCCACAGATCCTTTACAGGGGTGAGTAAGAAACTAACTTGGTTGGTAGGTGGCTGACCTTCAGGGCCTAGACTGTGAGCTCATTTGCGACTTGAGAGAGTTTGAGCAAGAATATTGATGGGAAGGTATTGGCTAGAATCTGAGAATACTCCCAGTCACTCTCTAATACTACGTTTCTTGTTCACATTGAATTGCGCAACGGTAAAGTAGGGGCCTTTTAACCCTTGATTGCCACTTTCTTCCATTGGGCCCTGGAAGTCTTTCAAGATAATACGTCTGGCGCGTCCTTTCCTCTCATCTGCTTTTCTTGTACCTCCATACACACTCTCCCAGGTCCCCCTAACATTTGCGGTTCCTTTCCTTGGTAGTACGTTTCTCGTCACCTTAAACCTGTTTCAAATCAGACAATATTCGATCAATTATTGACAAGAGACTTCGACGCAGCTTTCGATTCTCTCGCTCCAATCATGCCGCCTCCGATCCCGATCGATGCCAACACAAAAACACTACATCAAGTACACGAACACTCCCACGATGAGCCCGACAAAGACATCGAAGATCGTGGAAATGATACTGTAGTAGACAGCAACTTCCAGCACGGTGTGCAGAACATCGAAGCTGTTACTATCTCGTGGTCCAAGACCTCACTTATCATCGCCTTCGTCTTGATATGGCTCGTCTACTTCGTTCAGGGCCTGGTGGCAGGAATCAGCGGTGCCTTGATCCCATATGTCACTTCTGACTTTGCCATGCATTCTCTCACGGCCACCACTAGCGTTATGAGCTCTATCATCGGAGGCGTCACCAACTTGAGTATTGCAAAGACTTTGGATGTCTTTGGTCGACCCCAGGGGTTTCTGTTCTGCGCTACTCTTGCCACCGTCGGACTCATCATGTCGGCTGCGTGTAACAATGTCGAAGCCTACGCCGCGTCACAGGTCTTTTACACAGTTGGGATCAATGGTATTGGATACAGTCTCAGCGTCTTTATCGCCGATACTACCTCTCTTCGATATCGGGGTCTTATCCAGTCCATTTGTGGCTCACCCACCATCATTACAGCGTGGCTTGGGGGTCCCATTTCAGCTGCCTTCTTAAACGGGCCCGGCTGGAGGTGGGCTTTCGGTATGGAATCAATCCTTGTGCCTACTTTTACGATTCCTTTGTTCGGCCTGTTTATGTACCACTATTTCAGGGCCAAGAGGCAAGGTCTCATTCCCAATCGAGATTCCAAGGGTACATTCTTTGGTGCAGCTAGGTACTACGCTCGCGAATTCGATGTCGTTGGTCTTCTCAGCTTATCTGCAGGCGTCGCCCTCTTCCTCCTACCCTTCAACCTGTTTGCCCTTCAAGCCAAGAAGTTTGGCTCTCCCATGATCATTTGCTTTTTTGTCTTTGGCATCCTGCTGCTTATCTTCTTTGGTGTTTGGGAGAAGTACTTTGCCAAGGTGTCTCTTATTCCTTGGAGATTCCTCCGGGACCGCACTGCTGCCGGCGCTTGTATACTCTCCTTCACACTCTTCTTCAGCGGCATGTGTTGGAACATGTACTTCAGTTCCATCCTTCAGGTTGTCAATGGCCTAAGTATCGAGAACGCCAGTTATGTCATGTCTGTATACTCTGTCGGTGGCTTTCTGTTCGCCATATTCATCGGCTGGTTCATGTCTTTCACTGGGAACTTCAAGGCCGTCACACTTTACTTTGCAATCCCCTTATCCATTCTCGGGACTGGTCTTATGGTCCATTTCCGTCAGCCTGAACAGAGTATTGGCTATACTGTCATGTCACAATTATTCCTTGCTTTCGGGGGTGGTGCAATCATGATCACAGCCGAGATTGCCATCCTGGCTGCTGTCAATGAGCAGCAACATTTTGCAGTTGCCATCGCGCTAGTTTCCATGTGTTCAAGCATTGGACAAGCCGTTGGTCTGACGGTCTCTTCTGCCATCTGGCAAGATGTCCTCCCCAAAAAGCTTGCCGAATACCTTCCAGCTGAAGAGTTGCCTAACTTGCCTATTATTGCAATGGACATTGTAACTCAACTGTCATACCCTGTTGGATCTCCTACACGGACAGCAATCCAGCATGCCTATGGGGACACGCACAAGATGTTGTTCATCGCAGGTACTGCAGCCTGGGTTCTAGGCATTGTTGGAACTGTTATGTGGAGGAACATTGATATCAGAAACGTCAAGCAGACTAAGGGACGCGTTTTCTGAGACCAAATCTGGTACCAAGGAAGTAGCAGCGAAGGCTATATAATCTTGCTCTCGGATGTGTATAGATGAACGACAACGGAATATTGATTGCAAAATTAATTAGCAGGTAGTTTCATGTTGTATGGTCTGTAAAGCTTGATTCTATGAACTGGAGCACTGGAATCTGGCGCGTATGAGACCGTTGAGAATAAATCCTGGATACCTAATTACATGTAGATTTAATTATTGACTTGCTATCTGGAATGAATTGAATTGCTGCTCTTGATATTGAAGAAGGCCTAACGCTTCCCTTAGATATTCTAGACCCTGTCTCGGTTGACCATGTCTCAAGATCGCCAAGCCACCTTGAATGTGTGTATGTACGTGATTTTGGACTCTTCCCGTTTTTGCGTTGTCCGCTGGTATAGGGGTTTGTTGCAGGAACTCTACAGTGACGAAGATAATGGCTCCAATTACTGCTTGATAGGAGCCGTTCGCTGATGTTCCTAGTATTCCATTCAACATGATGATGGCTTGACTATAACAGACCATTGCATACTCGAACGGTGAAGCAGCTAAAAGGTTCACTTCTCCCGGCGTGTAGTGACTTCTTGTGAGCGTACTGATGGATAGAGCGGCTTTGAGGGCCCAGGGTTCGCTGTATACTATTTGAAGGATGAGGCCCTCCCAGATGTTAGACTGGTAGTACAGTGAGAATTCGGGTGCGCACACAGCTTGGAAGTAGTCAAATAAGCCTGCTTGGAGCCAATTGAGATTTCTCAAATGGGATGGTAGTGTAGACATGACCCTAGCAAAGTCGCCATGGGCTAACTCTTCCCATGGTGACGCGACACGATGCTGTGGGCTGAGAGAATTGGATGCCTCTACTGTGTCTAACATGGTGGTATATCTCGTGGTATACTCCTGCGAGAGTATGAAGAGAAAGTCACATTTCCAACCGGCTTGTATACAACGGGAACAAGCGGGCTTCTTCTCGTCGCATTTCTTACGCCGAGTTCTGTGCTCTTTGTCAGTCATCCAGACTTCCTCAGGGCCGAATCCGCGTCTAGAGCAGCTCACCTGCATGTTTTGCAACCGCTTTTGACTTTCGGAACCCCACGGGCACCTTGACGCATCTTAGTAGCTTTCCCTCCTGGTTTATCCATTGCCTTGGTGGACGCGGGCGATACTTGGTGCGACCCCGAAGTTCCCATATCATTCGCTCTTGGTATCTCAAGGTGGAAGTTGTCATTTGCTGACAGTTGTGATGCGAGAGTAAGCTTGGTGGATCTGACCTGCGAATGTGATTGGCGAGGGCGTAATTTCAGACAACATGGTAAGCCACTATCCAATCGTCAGTAGGCTATTGGTCCGGGTGAGATCATCTCTGTCTTGGCTGCCTTTGGACTTGTAAGGACCGTCATTTAAAGATTTGCGTATAAGAGAGAAGTCGCTCATCAACACAGCAAAAAATGATATCCATTCCACATCTTCTTCATTGACAATCATACTCTGTGGAAAAGAAAATCTGCCCCTCAAAATCCATCTTGAGTCTTGTTCAGTAATTTCTCAACCATCATGGCCTCCATCAAGTCTTACAAGATAAACATTTCTAGCTATAGGCTAGAGCGCCTCATGCAAAAGTTGGCTCTTGCCGATTTCCCTGACCAGGAGGACGAACTAGAGAATCACTCTTGGATCAAAGGTCCACCCGTTGGTGAGATCAAAAGGTTGGTAGAAGTATGGAAAACTGTCTACAACTGGCGCGATGTTGAAACTCTGCTTAATCAGCTTCCTCAATTCATGACGTCTATAAACATCACTGGCTTTGAAGCACTCGACATTCACTTTGTCCACAAGAAGAGTACTGAAGAAGATGCAATCCCCCTTCTATTTCTCCATGGTTGGCCAGGAAGCGTCTATGAGGTTTCTAAGATCATTGATCCACTGGTTCAAGGCGATGACAACACCGGACCAAGCTTCCATGTTGTGGCGCCAAGTTTGGTTGACTTCGGCTTCTCGTCCGCCAGCAAGGTAAACATGTCTACTCTTCGGTTTAGTCCAATCTTGACATCAGTGCTAACGATTAGTAGGTGGGATTCGGCCTTGAGCACCATGCGGAGGTATACGATAAACTTATGCAAGACCTTGGCTATCACCATTATGGTATGTCTTTGAACTACGTACTAGGCACTGCGTAAACCAACTAAAGAGTGCAGTCATTCAAGGCGGAGACGTCGGAGGTCTTATCTCACGGTACATGGCCAAGCTGTTTGGTCCGTCACGCTGCCTGGCGCATCACACCAACACACCGTTACCAAGCCAGCCGACCGAAGAAACCCACCCGGAGCTACACGCGCAATGCCTTTCAACACCACTCACTGAGGTTGAGCAGAAAGGACTTGTCCGAGCAGCAGGCTTCGACAAAGAAGGTAGCGGTTACTACAAGATTCAATCCACGAAACCAACGACAGTAGGCTATTCTCTACGAGACAGTCCCGTCGGCCTCCTGGCCTGGATTTATGAGAAACTGCACGACTGGAGCGATGACTACCCCTGGACCGATGAGGAAATCTTGACCTGGGTAAGTATTTACTATTTCTCCACGCCCGGCCCCGATGCCTCTAGCAAGGTCTATTACACGTTTGAGCACTGTGACCCACCAGCCTTTGCTGCAGCTGGGGCTTACGCGGATGTACCACTGGGTATCTCCAGATTTTTGAACGACCTGGTTCTGCTTCCTAAGTCTTGGAACCGGACTCTTGGTCCAATTGTTTACGAGGCTGAGCACGAGAAGGGAGGGCATTTTGCTGCATGGGAACGGCCCGGTGCGATTATTGGAGATTTGAGACTTATGTTTGGTGAATCGGTAATCGGCTCCAAGATCCAGGAAAGTCTCCGACTTCGTTTTAAGGAATAGATTTAGTCATTTGATACTATTTCAACGATGCGAATTATGTATCTTGAGGCGATCGCTACGCGATTGACGACAACGGGCTGGCCCTAGCTCTACCACAACTATAGGCCCTTTTTGACTTAGTTCTTTGCTCCAATTTTGATATGATGTGATTGCACATAGGAACGCGTCGCGTTGAAATTAATGGACGATTTAAAGAGGGGAGAAAGATAATCCGCTGGCAGTTAGTCAGCCTGCAGCTGAAACATCCCCTCACAATGAGAACACACAATCTTAACTCGAATCTCTACAATGAAACAAGCACACACAAAACGGGTTGAATATGGCGCCCATCTTGCCACAATGTCAGGTAGGGAAAGACATAAATCAATTGCCCTGTTGTAAACACTGACCAACCGTCATGTCAGGCGCTGTGGTTGGCGGATAAACAGCAATGTACAGAAGACGCCACGCACGCAAATGAGCTCTTCTGCCACTATCATGCCAAACAAGCTCACGGCATGTACATTGGTTATAAGAAGCGCAATGCCAAGCTTGATACCCTGGATTATAATCCTCCATCACATATCGCAGATGCCACGACGCCTCTCGCCAACGATGACTTTAGCGCCATCACTGATCCAAAAATCATCGATGAGGTCATCAGCTATCTGTTCGACAAATGGAATACTCTTGATCGTGTGATTGAGGCACGCAAGTGGCACCACGAGCACTTTTATTCCATGAACTATGACTATGGGCACCAGGCATATATCGATAAACTCGTTAGCCACAGACACATCGCATCCTTGGCTTTGGGTAGAGCGAGAAAGCGGTACATCACTCTTCTTTATGAGAAGGAGCAGTGGTACTCTTGGGTTCGACACGCACAAGATGAAGAAGAGGCGGATCGCGAAAAGGAGCAGAAGAAGATCAGGCAAGAAGCCGCCCTGTTCAAACGCCATATGAAGCAGCTGGAGACTAGACTTGCTGTTGTGCGGGAGAAGGAGCAGCAGAAACTACAAGACACGTTCCTTGAAGATGCGTATAGAGAGCGCATGGCAATGAAGGATGACTCTGATGATGAGGCTTGGGATCCTATTGAGGACTTGGAGGACGACAAGCGAAATCGATACATCGATTTGATAAAACACTTCCTTTGGATGGAAGTCATGGGAGATGCCAAGGAGAAGCCAGCAGCTGAAGCATCCTCGAGCAACCCGACAAAGGAACCTGCACAGCCTGAAGAGAGTATGGCACACGCCAAAAAGGCGAAAGTCAAGAAGAGGAATAGAGGCAAAGGCAAAGCCAATACCGACGCAAAGGTGTGAGTGGCAGTTCTGCAAGTCCAGACGATAAAGTCTTGGTGGGGCAGATCAAACTTCTTGCCATGCAACAAAGGGGAGAATATGAGTCTGAGCCTGGTTTGAGTGAACCTGACAAGAACAACATCGAGACCGAAGAAGAGATGAGAAAACGACTTAGTCAGGGAGTTAAGAAGAACTTGGACAACGTAGTTGGTATGCAGCTTGTTGGCACTCTTGAGAACCCCCACGAGACTTGGGACAAGACAGCACCGATGGATGATGATGAGATTGACTCTCTGATGCGGGACATCCGAGAGATCAAGCTTCTTTTGTTCTGCCGGCTTGTCCTTGTACAAGCCTCTCTCCTTCCAGCTGCTCTACGAGCCAGCAGCGTCGATGAGTTTCTCAATGACACCTCAGTTGCTGAGTCTAACCTGCGGGATTTATGCTTGAAGGTTGCGGAGCCTACCCTTCAGGACATCCGAGACGCATGTGCCGATTTTGCCCGCGGGGACAAAGAAGATGAGACGCCTCCAGTCAAGGACGACGACGATGATGAAGACGAATCTTTGGAAGACCTACTCAAGGGTGATTCCAGGTACCAGCATCTCCACACCAACGACTGGTTCAAGGAAAGGCTCCTAAAACAGGCTGAGAGTTCTGGGAAGAAAAAGAAGATCAAGAAGTCCCGACGCTTAAAGGCTAGGACAAAGGTCACCATCTGTGGAAAGGGTATCTGGAACCACTCGAGTGAAGATGCAATGTCTCGCGATGGTTGGCTTCAGTTCTCCGTCATGGCCAAGGATTGTGATCTCAAGCATGCCATCCAACTGTGCAGAAACTGGTCCGAATTCTCCGACCTGAACCTTCTTGCCCTATGGCAATATTTCCCAGCGTCAAACTGGACCTCCTGGTCTTGCGACAAGTTCATGCAGCAGCTTCAGCAGCTGGGTTTCTTCCCATACTTTACTGATCTGGATGCCGATCGCAACACCTATGTCCGGGAGGTGGGCGGTCGAAGCCAAGCACGACGACAACACGAGATTTTAGAGTCAAGAAACGTTCTGATTGGAAACATGAAGAGGAATGACCCTGTAACTCGTCGCTTCATCCAGTATCTTCTGATGCGCACGGGGGAAATATTGGTCATGGTGCGAGATGGTAGAACCGGTCGTGTTATTACTGCACCCAGAGATGACCACCTTTGGACATGCCGCAAGACGGAAGGACTCGAAAAGGCTTCTAAGAATGAATGGGACAGCGTCTTGTCTATGGGCCCTGACTTCATGAAGCTGACAGACATGTTGCGAGAGTGGCGATTCGGATTCTCCGACTACTATGATGTCTTCATCTGGGACTTTGTGCCTGGCAAGTCGTTTATTAACATGTACAATACCACCGTTATGGTATGTTTTTGGCTTGTTATAGAGACTTTGAAACTTGGCTGATGAGATGACAATGTCTAGGAACTCAGCAACGCGTGGCGCATCAACCAACCTGGCGAAATGTACTGCTCCATGGAACCTCTTCTACGAAGTCTCCATAGAAACGAAGAGACAATGCGCACTCGTCAGATCAAACCCGGCGAAAATGTTGAGAGTCTCTGGGAGACTGTCATGGGCGAAAGCTCAGAGTTCCGTTTTCTCAAAATCGGCGGTCATAAGATGACGTGTAGCACCGAAGCTGACATTGCTGGGTTGCCGTATATGTTCTACAACCGGGTAAATGCTCTTGAAGATGCCATTCTTTTCCCAGATGAGCTTGACTCTACAAGACCCTCAGTGGCGTTCCGGGAGATCAAAAATGGTGTTTCAGACATTGAGTGGTATACTCTGCCCAGCGAAGCTAGGTACGTTGCCAAGGGGTTGGCTGCTACCAACAAGGAAAGGGATCCCAAGAATGATATGCGCTTGGCAAATGAGCAGCAAGACGAACACATTTGGGGTCTACCAAAGGTTTGGGAGACTGGTCTCCGGCAAGCTCGTCAAGAAAAACCTACCAAAGCCCAGCAGGCTCTCCTTGAACGGACTGGACTGCTCAATTCTCATAAATCTTTGTCGTTTGAGCAGAGACTTGATGTCTCTGATCCTGAGGAGTTGATGGACAGAGACCGTGGTTTTAGTAAGTATGTCGTCTGTGATATCGATCAAGACTAACATCCATCAGGCTTCAAGGAGTCCCTACATGCTGGCGATCTTGAGCCGGGTTACAATGTCAAATACGAACAATTACAAGAACGACTCCGTGCTATGCTTGGATCTCCCCGCGCTGGCTCAACGGATGGGATTTGGTACATGGCCGAGATTCTCGACTGGCTTGAAATTCGAGGCGACTACGACGATTATGCGAAGGATCCCTTTGCACCATGGCCACATTCCTTCATTGTGCAGGACCTAGTACATGCCTTTGCTATGATGGCTATGTTCTTCCCAGACTCGCACGTCACAACTTTTGTAACCATGTTCATAAATTCCAGTCAGTGCGACGAGTTTAGAAAGTCTGGCTTGTTCGATCCTAAAGAACGAAGCAAAACTCGTCCAGATCGACGAACAGGAACCAGCTTTCAGTTTCGTGACAAGGGCTTCTGGAAGAAATGGGAGGCCTTCTACGACAGTGAGACCAACAGTTCTTATGCTGATGTGTATCCCATGGAATGGAGTCTTACAGTCCGACCCATCATTGCCCACCGTCCGTTTATCCTTGAACCTTGTCTATAGTGAGATAGCTGACATATTACAGTGTACCGCTCCGGTGTTATCGCTCCATCATATGCCCAAAACAATTCCGAGGTCGTTTTTGGCATGGCCACTGCAAACAAGGAACCCCATCGCCCAGGCGAGTTGGACCTTTTCATCAGTTACAAGGATCAATACGGCAAATTCCCCATGAATTTCCCGCCCATCTATCCCCACCCGTCCAAGTGGCCACAAGTAATTCCTTGCGTCCAAGACTTCTCCAAGAAACACGACAACGCCCGATTCGCACTCCTCAGAATTTGGTCAGCACCGCATTACTACCCGATCATGGTCGGCCAATCCAATCGCCCGTCTACCAGTTTCCTCGACAGCCTTTGCCGATCGTGGGAGTGGAAGTTTGTGCCTAAAGACATGCCGGGTAGCGAGTACACCCTACATCTCGCAACGAGCATGAGATTGGAGACGCTAAAGCACAAATTTGGAGATCGTGTGATGAGCCGCGGCGATCTGATCGTCGTGATGGGCGAGGACGCGGATGATCTTCTCAAATTCTGCACAGCTGTTACGTTGGCTGTACAGACAAGGCCTTGGTATCGGGAGGTGGACCTGTGGAAGAGCTTTATCAACGTGGACTTGGAATTCATCGAGGGCTTGGAATCTTACTGGCTCGATTAAGCCTGAGTCAGCTAAAGACAAGTAGGAACAGAGCACTTTTAGAAGGGCCAAAACCTTAAATTTCAAAGTTTAAACATGATATTCTCGCTCATCAATCTATTGGAGGTCGATTGTCGAACAAACCTTTCCCGTTCGAGTTGTGAGAGGCATCTATGTTTATTGGTAGCAACGAGAGAGAACAGCACGAGTGATTTAACCAAATGAATTGACTACGTAGGCCCTAAGAAGGTCCAACCAATATCTTGTCCCACCCAAACTCCTTAGACAAGGGACTGTACTCTACATCGAGGACTAGACCTTTCATGTTGATGCCTGACCCAAACCCCTATTTCCAACACTGGTCGTGGTTTGGCGATTTGTCGCTGGAGGAGAAATATTAGTATCTCGTAGGTAGTAAAGAGTAGGTTATATGACTCACATACTTTACGCTGCGGCCGTGGCGAGGGTTGGATACACGGGGCCAGATGGAATCACCTAGTCAGGTAGATAGACGCATCTGGCTGATTTAAGAACGTACGGCTTCGTGGTTTCCTAGGGACGAAGTCCTTTTCGTTGTAGGGAGGCTTGGGAGCCGTCACCTTTCGCCACCTCTCGGGATCGTACATGCGGTCGACATCTGCCCTGGTCATGCGCTTCTTTGGCTCAGGCTTGGGCTTGCTGGAACCACAACCCATCTTGATAGATGTATTGATAGGTGAGAGGTGAGTGGAGGATGGGTGGATGATTGGAAGAGAAAGTGTTCCAAGGATGGAGTGAGAGATAATGTGGTGTGTGATAGGAAAGGGAAGAGATGAAAACCAAAGGACAGCCCGGGGGTTTCTGCATTTTATATGTTGGACCTGGAGACTGAGTTCAGAAAAGAATCTGCCATCTCATAAAGATTTGAGAAGTTGAGGGCTTTGAAAGAGTTATCGTTGAAAGGTCCGAACTAGATTTGTGAAACTTCGAGGACACAGCATTCGGCGTCTACAATTACGGTGTCCGCAGCCTGTGGTCACCCCATATAGCCTTTTGGATAAACCTTGAATATCTGTCCAAGAGAAAGAACTCGCTAGTTTCTTGCTCAGTTCAGACTTGAGGGACAAACATTTGAGCACGCAGTTCCATGGAGATGCCATTATGACCACAAGTGAGTTAGGTGTTCAAATATCTCTCTATTCCCCTCATCTGATCTTCAGGTAATATTCTGTCTCCCTCCCGGGCTAAATTATTCGCAGGACTACTCTCCAGCAACACAGAGAGAAATAAACCCGAATGCAGTTTAAGATTAAGCGTAAGGTTTGTAAAAAGGCAAACTAGAAATTACCGATCCACATAACCCTGCTGCAATAGAAAATCACTCAAGCTGCCTTCCATTCAGAGTTTTACTCTTGAGGGTTTTTGCAAGTTAGCTATTTTAGCTCTCGGGCCCTCGGCAAGAGTCACGCTCATTCGTGCCATTTGTACAGCTTTCAGCCAGTCGGTGCTGAACGCATCTTTACTATTGCTGCCGTCACGGCTTCCAATTTATCCCGCAGACAACTTTATCTTATCTTCCGAAGGTCCAGTACAGAGCGTGGCCTGCAACATGTTCATTTCACGGCCTACGCAGTGATTGTTCGGTGAGGTTGAGGGGTTAGAACGTAAGTAGTTTATTCGGCCGAGGTAAAAGTAGCCAGTTGTATTGCTTTTGTATCAGCACCTCAGTGACAAAGATGGATTAAGTTTCTTATTTTACTCACTTTGGCCCCAGTAGTATACTTTCACCGACAAGATCACTCAATAATAACATCATTCTTCCGGGACTTGGGCAGAACAGTGAGCTTGTTCATCTTGCCAGCCTTGACAGTCCCCTCGACTGTCGTATTATGCGGCGCCCAGACCTTGAAGCGTGCGTCCCATGTCTTGGGCCAAGCAGCAAGCAGCCGAATATCGTTCCCAACAAAGGTTTGAATGAGCTGTTCCTGAAGACCGATAGCTGCCGAACCGTAGTGATTGAGATCCGGAGTCCAGTCAAAGTGCGGGCCTTTGAAAGTCGGGAACTTGCACACCTTGCTGGGAGCATAACGCTCCTCTGTCATAGCAGTGGCGTTGGCAGTGAGGCCCATGCGTGCAAGCCATATGGCATCTTGCTTCCAGCCAGTGTTGCCGTGGTACTCAAAGGTCTCAGTGTCGTAGAGATAAGTGTTAGTGGCATGAGTCAGGTTAGGAAGACCAAGACCGTACTCCGGCCAAGGGAACACGGTATATAGCTGGGGAACCTCACTGTTCTGAACACGCGTGTATGCTTCGGCGGGAGCAATGCAGGTGTGCCCTTGTTGTTGACGAAGTGTGTTTGCTGGGATTTTGGCAAGGTACTTGGTGTAATAGGTCTTGTTCTGGAGCGTGAACTCGTCAATGATGAGGAGATCCTTGATTACCTGACGTAGGCCAGCGAGAGTAGAGACTGCGTTGTAAGACTCCTTGTAGGTCTCTGCACCAGAACCAGGATAAATCACTAGGGACTTATTTCTAGCTATAATAGTTAAGGGCCAGGGGTTACGCTTCAGCATCTCCCTGGTGTAGAACTTGTCGAACTAGGCGAGCTGATGCTCGATGAACTCTAGATAGGGCTTTATATCATAGCCGGGGTAAATGTTGGCTTGCAAGATCATGTCGGCAAACTCGCTACACATAAACCCTGTCAGCATTGCACATCACAGTAGTCCTGGGCACTAGTCTTTCGACATCATTGCTAGCAGCGACTAAATTGAACAGTGCTTACTTCGCAGTGTCTTGCATATGATTGAGCCAGACATCCCACAGTTCACCATCCGGGAAGAAGTCGGGCCGCGGGGTATTGGCATTGTCGTTGTACCACTGAGCATTATACCCAAACACATTTGATAAGCCAGTATTGTCGATTTTCTCCAGAAAGAACGCAGCATCAATGTCTTGGTAGACCTTTCCGCGAAGCACCGCATTGGGAGTGATGCGCTCGTAAAAGTCAAACTGTTGTGCCATAATGTCAAAGTCGCCAGAGCGCAGGAGAGGCCAGTAAAGGAGACGCTGGTTTTGAGCTGTAAAGGTGCCGCCGCCCCAACGTCGATAATCGGGTGTGTAGGGACGCCAGATATTGACGTAGATAGGATCAAATGTCCAGAGGCCGCCGTTGAACTTAGTCGGCCATTCTCCCTTTGCATTGCATCCCATGAGGTAACGCCAGATCTGGTAGTTCTTACCGACCTGGAAGCCTGCATCCTTCTCTCCCTTGTCCTCGTTGATAATGATGTAGGACCGGGCCCAATATTCATGCCACCAGCTTAGAGTAGCGTCGTGCTCATTTTTGACTGCGGACTTGATAACTGCCTTGAGCCCCTTGTACCACTCGTCGTGGCTCTTGGTTTGTGCCTGGTACATGGAAAGGGCGATATTGTAAGACTCGCAACTGGTCTTGGACTCGAGGTTCCACGCCTTCTAAGTCGTGTTGATATAATGCCCATCAGTGATGGCACCAGGCTTGAGTTGTTCTGAGTGAACAAACATGCCAAACTCATTGTTATGCATAGTGTTATACATCTTGTCTGAGTGTTCTTCGAGGCCTTGCTACTTCATCTGGAAGTTCCAGAGGGCAAGCTTCTCGTTACGATGGCTCATAAGTACACCGTTCTCATGAAAGGCAATCTTATCAGCGTAGGCGGTACCATTTGCAATTTTGGAGTTGAAGATGCCCCAAGAGCCCTGGCTGCGCTCCTCGTTGATAATGGGGCGGTCTTTTTGACGCCAACTCTCGTAAGCTACCTGGACATCAATCTTTTCCGGGCTATCGATCACGATGTGGACCATGGGGTTGAAGACGTCTACCCGAATCTTGGCAGTAGCGTTGTCCTCACCAGTGTATTTGACGTGGCCATCGTTGAGTAGTAGTCTCTGCTCGAAAGACTTGCTATCAAGCGGATTCGGGTCGAAAGACAGTCTGACGCGTCCAAGTTTCAGCAGGGAATTGTTCTCGTCGAAGGTACCGCTCTTGGCGATGTACATGAGAATTGTGCCTATAGTTTCAAAGATTATGAGTAAAAGGAGAGATCTGACTGAGCATTGTGTGTATGAATGGCGCTCTATCAAGGGCCTATCTTACCATTCTCGTACCAGGTGTTCAGGCCGACATCACCACCGCCAAGAGGCATGGAATCAGCCGAGCCATCAACACCTGGCTTGTCCCATACGACATCGTATGAAGAGGGGAGTGTTACTAAAACAGCATTCCAGCAGAAGCAGAACACCAGCAGAGACCTGCTAAGGTACTTCATGGTGAGACAACTACAGAACCTGACAAAGGCGATAAAGAGGTGCCAGTACAAGCATGGGATACTACGTGAGAGGCCTGACTACAATGCGGAAGGCAAGTAACTTCAGAGGCCCACCTGTATCCTATGGTAGTTTAAATACTTTTTTTCCTTTCTATGGGTTGCCCAGCTCTATTCACCTCGCTAAGCAATTGCCTGGAAAATAGCCCTGTCATGGCGTAGGCGAAGTCAAGATGTTGATTAAACCCGACGGTTCCCCGGGTATTACCAGGCAAACCCCGGCGATTTGACAGAATGCGGGGGAGAAAAAGCAAAATCTCCCCGTAAACTCTATCGTTATCAGCCAATCATTATTATAGTCTTTAAACTGCGTTGAATCGGCCAGATTAAGTTACCAGTTTAGGATAGCGTGATGAAATTGTCAGGATATAGTAACGGGAAACATCGGGGAACTATGCCGGGGTCTCTAGGGTCTTTCTGAATATGAAGGATGTTTTGTAAGAGTATTAATGCCTGCTAAGATCGAATAGATGACTCTACCAAATCTAGGTAGACTAATTCCAAAACACTAACTGTCCCAGATCCGGCCCAGATCATTATCATGAATGTTAGTAGCCTCCTTGATCTATGCAAATAGGGAAGGTGCTTCCGTTTTACAAGAGAAATGAAAGAATGGTAATTGTTAAAGGAATTTGATTGACATTTATATTTCTGACAAGTTACATTGGTATTTACTGAGTTGAAATTGACAACTTGAAATAAGCGGTAGCTTTATAAACATACCTATAACAATTGATTACTTAAACACTCAAGGTCTGTTAGCCATAGGATTAAGCTTTGCCTAGCTGCTTGAGGACAAAGTTTGTTCCAAGGTCTTGGGTGGACGCGTCATTGGGATATTGCAGATGCGGTCCATTGATACCGGAACCATGCGTAGTATCGCAAACACCATCGCCCTAATTTTGTTAGTCAGGTTGATCCCAAGGTTGACAGAGGTAGAATATGCTTACATAGATACAGACATCGAGTGTTCGTGAGATCCAGGCCTGGGGAATACCAGCACTTCCAAAGGCGGAGATGCCATTGACGTTCTTGGTGGTGGTACCGCCTCTGTTGTCCACATTGCACGCCAGCCCACTCTTGTGGAGGGGATCACCAATGAGGAAAACGCCCTTGACGGCGCTGGAGGAGCTACCGGTCAACTGCGAAAGAGCATTGACAGTGGCTGCGGCGCCCTGAGAGTAGCCCTCAAGAATGACACACTCATTGGGATTAGACGCCACAATGCTGTTGACCTTCCTGACAATGTCTCGGGTTCCAGCAGCAGAGTTCTGACTGAAATCAGCAGTGTAAACGGTGTTGTACACATTTCCCCCGGATGCCTTAGACAGAACCCTAGAGTTCATTGTCCTGAAGCCAGCCGAGGCGCCCTGAGCCTCTCCTGTGCCTCTGGTGTTGATGATGGTGTATGAGCTGCAGCCAGCTGCAGAAGCTTGAGGAGCAGCTGCTGCGCAGCCTGCGAGGGCAAGGACTGGGATGACTTGGAAGCGCATGGCTAATGAGTATTTGAGAGTATGGAGTAGAGTTGTAGTTGTTTAAAAGGGTGAGATGTGTTGGTGAGTGTATATGTTCGAACCGAAACACTTCCTTTCACGATGATATATATACAATATTAGCTGTGGATCTGTTTGCAATGAGTGAGGAGCTGCCCACCACTTCCAAGTATCCACCACTCGCAAGATTGTCCCAAGATAGTATTAGCATCAGTTGATCTACCGTGCACCGACAAGTTCAAACACCAGTTCACGCGTGGCGATCCACTAGTCATGACACAAGTCCCGAGAAATGAACCATGGCGATCCTTCGGCATGTGAGGTCAGTTGTTCTTTTCCCACCGTTACCTGACTCATGCTAGCCGAACCTTTAATATCCGCGCAGCCTTACTGGGACGGTGTGTCTTGCCCGGCGAACTACTCCACAACCAAGACCGCTTTGACCTCTTGCTCCTTCGCATCCATTGGAGCATTTGAATGCCAGAGCATAGTGAGTGGGTGGCAGTGGTGATCATGATCCACAGACAACATATGGTGGACTAGTGAAATTACAGTGTTTTTGCGGAGTACTGAGTGTTTCCACTAAAAGAATATCGGAACATACCGAAGCTAGAGTAGAGTCTGGACCTGACAGTCAGGTCCTGACTGCTATATCAATTATGGGTCAAGTCCGTTCAGAGCGTAAAACGAAACATAAAACGAAACTAGCTGGAGATCGGCGCATGGCAAAGGCAAGCTAGTCTCATTTTCTACCCAATACCGAGAGTAGTGCATGGCGGCTCATGACTCGTGTATTGGTGTACTATGGGGTAAGCGTTCCATTCCTGCCATTCCAGTGTCGTGATTGGACGTAAAAACATGTTACATTGAGGCTTTCACAGGTATTTTCCAAAGGTGGTTTTGACATTGTCCTTTTCGAGATACATGAACACTTGGCAATGTGCTCGATCGTCGACAGGCGTTCAACATTACATAAGTTGCCACCCTGGGGGACAAATGGATCCCACAAACACAGCCTATTAAGTTAAGGTCCGAGAGCACGGAAATACACGTTAAGTGCTATCCGTGCCTGTTCCGTCATGAGGAACGCAATTGGTGGATGGGGTTCTTGGAGCGCCTTGCCGTTCACTAGCCCGTTTCCAAGACAATCCCTAATCCGGCTTTAACTGGTAGTTGATAGACGTCCGAACAGAAAAGGGGAATGAGTGTCCATATCTGATCGCTTCAAGGAAGAGGCAAACCCCACCATCGTATTAACGTCCAATGAGAGAGTGACTCTGTGATCTTATCCGAAGCTAGCCTTGTCAATAGTCTGTGCACTTGATCAGTACCTGGATATCCAAGGACCGGGTTCCGCCCATGCGTTGTCTTTCGCATGGAAACTGACAGGCCAAATAATTAGTGATAGCTGGAGGGGATTATCAGGCAAGCCTGATTTGGATTATGGAGTTCCGTTGGCTGTCGATATGTGAAAGCTACCCTGGACCATCGTTAGCCAGACTAATAGCAGCAGTGTGTAGTCCGAAACCGGAGCATAATTGTTTTCACCCCTACCATGGAAGTAATTAGTGCGAGCTATTCAAGAAGTATTTAAGAGGTTTCTAAGGCATGGAGAACTGTTCAGTGAAGTAAAAGCGACAGTGCCATGAAGAAAGTAGCTAAGCACCCCCCTTTTATTCATCTGCCATTCACTAAATACCCTTGTAATTTGGATCTCTTCTGCGTGCATAACGCACCTAAAATCATGCCTTTCACTGGTCTAGCTTCCGGACATAGGCCACTGGGCCTTTGTAACGGTGAGTTCCACGGAAAACATAATAAACCAAGGAAAAGATTGCAACAGCTCCATAGATCAGAATACTCCAGTTCATCTCAGCCGCTGTGGGGTTCGGATTGCCAGGCATGAAAGCGAGAACGAAGATAACAACAAGGAAAGCCTCGGAGGCAATATTTATAGCCAGACCCCATTTACCCAAGCTGAACTTGGACTGAAGGAGTGGGCTGTTGGTGCAGCGACGCCAGATCATGCAACCAATAGACACCATGTAGCTCGAAAGAAGCGCTGATGTTGCCAGGGATGTGATGGAGTTTAGTGCGACAGCCGATCCAATATTGATGAGGGAAAGAAGACTTGAGAATAGGAAGGTTGTTAGAATGGCATTAATAGGGACATCCCATCCTGCTGGGACACTAGAGAACCAGGGACTGAAAGGAACAGCATGGTCGCGGGCGAATGCAAAGAGCTGGCGCGAAGATGTGGCGACCATCGTGAGATTGGAGAAAGCAGTCATGGCGACAATAAAAAAAGCCATGGCAGTAGCACTGCTTACCGACTGGGTCGAGTTGTAGAACACCTGCATAAAGGGTTGGCCTGTTGGAGACATGATCACCTCTTCGAGATTGCCGATGCAGAAGCAGTAAGTGATAACCATTATCCACCCAAAAGCTCCGTTGAAGACGGTTGTCATGATCATGGAGCGAGGCAGGGTACGGCTGGCGTCGCGCAGCTCTTCTGACATGTGGACGGCGGCATCTGCCCCGAGAAGTGGCAAAACACCTGCAAGAATACCGACTAGTGTTGAGCCACCAAGGCTGTTCCAACCACCGCCGTCGCTGAAGGTCGTGAAGACAGCGTGAGCATCAGCTCTGGGTGAAAGAACCCACAGAGTGACTAGAATGCCGAAGAATGCAAATATGTGAATGATTAGGACGATAGCTTCGATCAATGGCAGCTTCCTGGCTAGGAGAGTGTTGAAAAGAACCGAAAAGGCAGCCACTGCGATAGTGAGAAGTGTTCCATGCCATGGTTCGGGGACGTAGTTCGGGTTGTTGAGCACAATAAGGCCCTGTATCTGGGTTCCCGCGATGAAGGCCGAAGAAGCGCATGACGTCTGCCAACCGAGGACACACATCCATCCCATGAGATAGCTTATGAACTTCTGGTACTGGGGTGGTGCGAATTCAGAAACCCAATGATATTGTCCTCCGCTCGTGGGTGCCCTGTTAAATGTTCACGTTAGCAGTGTGGCCATTTATTTATGGCGAGATGGCGCGACCTACATTGAAGCCATCTCGGCCATCGAAGTGTTGACCAGTATGAACCCCATCCAACATATAAAGAACATCCATATCAAACCGGCAGTGCCACCATTAAGGAGCCCTATGGTTGAGACACTGCAAGTAACGAGCTTCATTAGCCAACCGATCATCATCCTTTTAGGAATAGCTTACCTCAAAGAAAATTCCCATGATGCCATCAAAATCATGGAAAACCCAAAGATGGACAAAAATCGGAAATTCCTCTATCATCCCTCATCAGCATATCTCCAAAAGGATGGAATGATACGGAATTAGTGCGAACCTTCATTTCTTGAGTTTTACCCATACGGTACATATCTGCCCGATCGGCGGCGGTTCCTTTCTTCTCATTGACATGACAATCATTGTCAATGCCTACCGCATCGGTTTGGACATCGTGCGATTCTTTGCCATTGGATGACATCTTGGCTTTGTTGGTGACGTTCGTAAGAGTACTTCCACGCAGCGCGAGGCAGTGAGAAAGTAGGAGCAGAACATAAGAGCAGAACAAAAAAAAAGAAGAACAAAAAAGTACAAGAGGGTCAATCACGAGGACACATCTGCAGCCTCGAGCAACACAGCTGCAAGAGTGCGGCGTAACTATGAAGCCGAGTGGAACAATGCGACACAATTTGCCAAATTATCTGAACCAACAGCTCTTGTTGGTGTTGCACGGCATGATCATCCTGGTGCGACTTCTGCAAATGTGCTGTTGGTCCTTTACAGGCACCGTTTTCTGCAGGGGTTTATGCCCGTGGCCTGCACGGCAAAGGGAGTGTTGTGTCAAAATCCGGATGCCAAGGGACATGGGCTGTGATGGGCCGCTTCACATGCTCAGAGTTGTTGCGGATCCTTTTCAGAGCACGATAAAAAAAGCGAGGGTTATTTGACGGTGCATTCCCATCTGTTCTATGTATGTGTATGTTGCCACTACTGGTCTATCTATTTACGTGATTTGGACTGTAATATGCCTGGAACCATGCAGCGAGCTCTGCAGCAGTAAGTACTCCGTTCGCCGGAAATTAGGGGCCAGGTAGCTGTGCCATCACCTTACAGCATTACAAGTTCTGTACATGCTCGTCGACCAACACCTTTGAACCAACAAACTTTTTGGAGCTGCGACCCAAGAATTCCGAAAACCTAGAATCAACCCTGTGAGTCGTTCGACTTATCGCCCTGTAGAAATTTCTGCTTCCCATCTCCTCGACGATGCCATACCTCACTCCTCACCTCTCCCACATCCGACCAGCAGGCGCTAAGCTATGGAACCAAGTGCATCAATCGACAACTCCAGACGCTTTTCTGTAGTCACATCTAGCGACCATGCGGGGCAGTTATGGATAGTGACGATTCTGTCACTGATCTACACTGGACTTGTGGCTCTGGCACGGGCTTATATCAAGTACAGGATGTATGGCTTCGACGATTTTTTGTTCGCTTTGGCGACGGTAAGAGTTCCACCCGATATGTATAGTACTCCGAAAATATACTGAGAATATGATTTCAACCTAGGTCTGCCATTTAGCTCAATCGATTGCCATTTTTATTGGCCTGGGAGGTGGCCTAGCGAAGTTCAACTCAATCACCACATCGGCACAAAGGGCAACATCATCGAAAGTGAGATTCTCACGTTACTGGATAATCGTCTACTGACACACTGATCAGAAGTCCACTATTGCTGCCAACATCCTTTATGCTGTATCCCTCAGCCTAGCGAAACTCTCAATCCTCGCCCTCATCCTGCGGATCATCGGATCCAAGGCTGGAATGAGCAGACGGCTGTGTTTCGGACTGATGATAGTTACAGCAGTTTGGTGTGCTTGTGCCAGTTTGGCAAGGCTCGTCAACTGTCGCATCGACGGTCTGTTGACTGTAGATAACATCGATCAATGCCCAGGCCAGGTATGAAGATCTTTGGTAGCTATTGGATCTTGTAAAAAGATAACTAACCTAAGTTCTGATGCTAGACCACTCGTTGGAGTTTCATCACAGCGATTGATATATTTACCGAGATCTTTACCTGGCTGCTGGTAGTACAACTGTCTTGGTCCATTCAAGCCCCGTTTGCCCGCAAGTGCCAAATCGTCATGGCCTTTTCATTCCGCCTTCCGCTCATCGCCCTCTCGGCCGTCCATCTTGCCTATTGCAAAAAGTACCCATCCGCTTCCGAACCACAGTTCGCCATTACGAATGCTTTGATGTGGCAGCAGGTCATCGTTGCTTGGTCTATCATTTCTGCCACTGTACCAAATCTCAAGAACTTCCTCAAGTCCTTCTCAATAGGAATGGGGTTTCCCGTGGCCTTCGACCTGACTATGTCTGGAAATACCGACACGTATGCACTTCAGTCCCTGGGAAGAAGTCGTTCCGTCACCACTTCGGCGGCAGAGATTGCTGTGAAATACACCACGCGCAGAGCATCGCGCGGTCAATCAAGTAGCTGGAATACAGACAGGGTATCGAACAAAAAGACGACGGTATATGATCGGGGTGATATGGATATGTCACGAGAAGGGCAAAGTTCCCGGGCTGGAAGTCAAGAGATGATCATCAAGAAAGAGGTGGCTTGGGATATCACGTACGAAGATCGCGAATAGCTAAACCCGTAATACTCACCACAAGCTGTCTTCTCAGCTGGGGCAAGAAAGTCGCTACCAAGCTTGGCTTTCTTGTTGCTTTTTCAGTCACTTCTTACTGGGGGGCTGGTCAAGTTCTTTCACTATACTTGGTAGCTTTGTCTAATGGAAGAATGAGTGCTCGCCCGATTCAGCAACTGAATAATTGTTGTTGGCAGCTTAAGACAAAATTAAATCTAAAGCATTCGACAGATGCCCCACTGTGTTGGTTAGAAATTTACTCAGTTGGTTGGCCTTGCATACAGAGCGGGAAGGTCAACATCCTTGCCACATCCAGGTCGGGGAAGACTTCCCGGCCGTTCAACCCTTGACACAGTTGGCTCATGCAAGTTGCTGCAACAGGTCCACCAATCAAACCCCCATCCTAGTTCATTACGCCTTTGATGATGGTGCCACAAACGAAGAACTGCGTTGGCGAGGCGTTGGTACTCCAGACGCTCCAGTGAAATGCAAAATATCCTACCCCGCTACCAAAAAGGACAACAATCCTAGCATCTTTGCATCGGTATTCCTTTATCCCATTCATAATCGATCAGCGTGGTATAAGGTGTCGATAACACAAGATTTTCAATTTTGCCTTTACATCGCGACTATTTACTACCGACCCACAACCCACAACGATCAGCCAAGGGCCATTAGCATGTCTAAAACTAATGTCACGTCTGAAGTTGTGTTACGCGATGCGCGATATAACGAGCTTCCTGAAATTGCACATATTATGACAAAGGCATTTTGGGAGGACAACTTGTTTGGCGATCTCATACACCCTCATCGCAAGACGTATCCTGACGATACATACTTATACTGGTTGAGACGAGCACGCGTTAACTTTTGGGATTATCGGTGGAAGTGGCTCGCTGCTGTGAGCAAAGATGAGAGTGGTAGAGAAACCATCGCCGGGATTGCGCAGTGGGCACGATTGGGAGAGGGCGGCCGAAAGCTTGAATGCTCGTATTTGGATCCTCGTGAGTACTTATTCTTTTACCGCTTTCAACTGTGCTGACACGCTGTATAGGGAACTTACTCAAGCCTTTGTCTTCGGTCGCTATGAAAGTCCATAGTTGGGCCTGGCCAAATCGTGCAACTGATCCAGGAGTGGAAGATGTTATAGAACGGGCATATCCTTGTTTCGACCATATATGGAGTGGAGAACGAGCTGAGTCCTGGTATCTCGAGTGCCTAGCAGTACACCCTGAGTTTCAGGGAAGAGGCATAGGAAAGGAATTAGTACAATGGGGGCTGGACAAGGCTCAGGCTGAAGGCGTTTGTGCTTCAGTTGTGAGTGCCTTGGGTAAAGATGGATTCTACGCCAAATGTGGGTTTGACGAGCAATATGGAAGCGCAAGACAGGGCGAGGGCAACCCGTTGGCTGACGTGGAGGGTTCTAGTATTTACTGGAAATGGCCAAATCGTGGAAAGTAGGATTCCGGCAGACTACAAACTAGTAAAGTGGTAGGTTCCAAAAGTATATGGCATGGTACAAAACTGGATGAATTTATGCACTCTACAGAATGAGCCTCATGCAAACGCCTTGCCTTGGTGTAGCAATGAGGTGCTTCATTGTTGATTTGGCTGACAGTCCAGGCCTTGAAAGTGAGCGGTAAGGTAGGAATTATGCACATGTAATCGGCAGTCTTGCTAAGAATAAGTGTGAGCGCAGTGCATAAGATGGGGAATGTGACCGTACTTGGCTCGGATCAACATTATAAGACACACGTATATGCTCTAGATCGCCAAAGTTCACTTCGCCCGGGTATTCTAAGATCGCCGTCCCATTAACTGCCTAAGCAGCCTTTGGTCCCACAATTCCAGTCTTGTGTAACCCTTTCCGTAAGCAATGCTTATATCCTTCACAGTGTATATCAGCTGAGGTTGAACCCGTCATCCCATCAGTAAGGCCAGCCTGTTGACTAGATTCAGCGGTGGTACCTAGTACGATGTTCCCAATACTCACACCAGCCGTTCAGTATTAACACAATCAGTTTCCAGGCATTATCCACACGAAGAAGTCTTGTACAACGGTTCTGGATGTAGTTGAGTTATGAGGGTAAAGTGAGTAAGTAGACTCGGTTTCCCTTGGGTCCCACAGAATTAGAAAGAAAACCGATAACTTTAATAAACTTCCTATATAACTATACAGGTCTAGAGATATAGCCATCAATCTTTGAGTGGGTGTTTTGCTTGATTGAAAATATAAATAGGTCTTGTCTTTTCTTTTAGCCACGGTGTTAGCCCATCTAGTGCAAAAAGAAATTATCCGGAGCCTGATTGCCAAGACTAAGGGTTTGATGGTTGGTGGCTTAGCTTTTCAGCTGGGCAACCATTATGCCGTCTGACAGCAGGCTATATTGCCTACATCGATCAGCCATTACCCACCAAACCTACTCTGTGTCGCTCATCTTCGAGTTCCAAACTTCTACTCATTTTCACAAAACCACATTTGCTCGCGATGGCGAACTATGACACCATTCATGACCTCGATGAGGTTTCTCCTCCGGGGACTCCCTCACCTGCGCTTAGTCGATCAGTATCAATCACTACCAACGGCACTCAGGACGAACATGTTGATGAGACTAGTACGCAGCCGGATTCGTCAGAACTAAAGATGCCTAGCGTTCGTGTCACATCTGACTCGATTGCTTCGGAACCCCAGCTCAAACTCCCTCGTTCAAGTCAAAAGTGGTGGGGTAGATTTGGTAACACTGGCCTGCTTATTCTTGTTGCTGGCACTGTTTGTATTCTCATTTCATGCTCGATCCTCATATTTCTTTGGGCAGGAGCCGGCCAGGCCAGAAGACATGAGCATCGGCCTCAGCTATGGAACTTTATCATCTTCTCGGGGTGGTCCATATCCACAGTCACCATCTGCTCGGCTGTTCTCCGCGTTTCTCTGGGCTTTCAAACTGGTATCATCGCTGCAGCTGTATCGTCCGTGGTACTTGAAACCTCTGGTGTTAGGTTCTCTGACATCGCTATGTTCTCTATCCATAGGAGTTCGTATTCTGGGCCTCTGACTATTCTGCCAGCAACCATCAGGCAGTGCTTTACCAACAAGCGGTCGGGGCATCTTTGTTGTTTAGTCCTGTCTATCGCATTTATGACTACCCTGGGGTCCACATTTACATCGACAGTCCTTCTATCTGACTTTTCAGTATATAAAATCGCTGCATCGAATACGACAAGAAACATAACAATTGCATCCAGTACTGCGGGGCATATCCGTGGCCTCAAAGGAATATAATTCTGGCATTCGCCTCCTCTGGCACACTGGCGATTTGCGGAAGCAGAGCCTGGAAAGCCGGTGTCAGTAGAAGGTGTTATAGATACTGGTGATGTTTATCGAGCTACAATACCTTTCTCGGAGGAAACTGACAGAGCTTCATTGGAGTATTAACTTGGTCCAGCTATGGTAACTAACTCCCGCACGGCTTGTGTGGGTCCGGCCTTTGAGTCTGTGAAGATCGACTATTCCCCCCCAAGCAATTCGACGCCGCCTGGACTACTACTTAGGGCCAAGTTTGAAGCGCATATCAACGAAATATCGAATATCGGCCGGTACAAATATTCTTCAATGACCGTCGAGTGCAAATTGCAGAACGATTGGGAAGGGCCAACTTCGACTTGGCCGTTGACGATGTGCAGGGTGTTGACTGAAGGGTCTGAGCAAATATTCTACGACTTCCACCCGAGGCTTTTGGTAAATTCAAGTGAGCCACTCAACAAAGTTGGCATCGTTACCGACTGGGATTATCACAGCGACGATTATTCTGAGTATCTTGATCAATATCGTACAAGGTTTCAGAACCTAACGACAAAACAGGAAGGTCCTTGGACCAAGGCCTTCAATTCCAACAACTCAGAAGTTTTCCAGGCCACTGTTTGCTTCAGTCGCCAGATACCGGAATTTATTCACAATGTCACTATCATAGGACGAGCTATTCCATCTGAGCCTGACGTCAACGGACAAAGTAATAAGAACAACGCCAGTCTCATAAGCCAATTCGGCGTTGGCTCATCACCTGGTAGTATAGAGGAACGCGGTATACTGAAGCTTATCATTCATGATATATATGGAAACTATCTCGATGTTGGCTATGACCCCTACGGTTTTGCAGTTATTCTCAATAGCATTGAATTGGGCGGATGGAGTCTCAAAATCGATGGTGTCGGTGAAAGGACTCCACGATTACCGACAAACTGGTTTTTGCATCCAGAGCACATGCTTTGATTCAAACAATCCTGCAACAGACGGAAAACCCGGCCAAAGCTCTTCAAGAGTTGACTTATCGGATCTATCAGATGTATTTCTACTACCGACAGCCAAGTTGCGACATCGTTAAACAGGCCACCACAGTCAACGTCGTTGATATGCAGCTCCCAGACCGATGGACCGGTCTTATCGCAATCTTGGCTCTAATAGGTCTTCATTTCACCACTCTCATACTCGCGGGAGCTCTCTTTGCACTTCGAACAACCTCCTCGTCGCTGGGACAGGCTTGGCAATCAGTGTCTCATGTTGTTTCGCCCCAGACACAAGACATTATTAGGGAAGCGGGTAGGGACGGTGTGAAAGATTGGCATGTGAAAGGGTGGGCAGAGTCAACAGGCCTTGATTTAGGGTTATATAGTCTGTCTCGGCGTACTTGTATTGAGGAGGTAGCAATTGGTAGTCATTAGGGCGATACGGATTAGATACATATCATTGATTATAGGCCAACGGTTGATAGGATATAGTTTATAAAATATTGTCTCCTACTTGAGTTTAGAAATTAATACTCCTGTTAGATCTTGATGCCCTACTTAATCTGCCCGTAAGTGATGTCTCTAGTCTACTCCGCGTTTAATGAACCCAGCCCCTCGGCTTCAATTATACGCTGGATAGATGCTCATGTAAGCCCACCGATAAGTTCAAGCTTTTGATTCTTACTTAGCCGTGATCATCTCAGAATTGGCAAACCCATGATTGTACTCTTGCGCTTTCTGTGTGATTTCCAGCTGTCTTTCAACTTCAATTAGAAGTACGCGTACTTTTGTACGCATTTTTAACTCTTCGTTAAGTTGCGAATCAAAGATTCGCTGGGCGAGCCAAAGATACGTTTGAAAATTGACACGTCATTGCCTAGACACAAATCAGGCTGTGACTTTTCAGCTTAGGGCAGCAGTTGCTCTACGATCCCTCTTACTTACACGCATTAGGCCCCGTATCTCCTCCTTATATTCGGCATTTAAACTGAGAGCTGCCGTTCATAATGGGTCTTGTTCATACTATGTCGTTTGGGTGACATAAATAGAGGTGGTGAACGAAGGTGGGAAATCATTCATTTCCTGGTCGTCGTGCCAGCCGGAAGCACACAAAAGGTGGGCGGGCCGTAGCATATAGTACATACCCGCGACAACCTGGTCTCCTGCTGCATGAAGTTGATAAGCATCTGGTTTTATTGAACTATTTACCAGCCGAGTGAAAATGCTGAGCGAGAAGAATTAGGGACTAAAGGGCTAGTGGCATGGAGGTGCCGGGAACCGAGCCCCAGATATAAATACGTAGTACTCCGTAGGTAGTCTTATCTGGACCGCTGCTTCGGCCCTTCGGGGCCCCTCGCTTCGGTGTGTAGTGCTCTGCGTCGGGGCATCGGCGCTATGGATTGCCGCGATGTACTATTTATAGCCGCCATACGAGCCTCCTCGACCAGACGGAACAGCATCACCACCTGGAGCACGACGACTGGCTGTCCATTTGGGGAGTCAAATTCTCCATGGACGGCGGCATCGAGGCAGGTGCCACAAAGGAACCATACGAGGGTCGGCCGGATGAGGGCTGCTGCGGGTCCACTGACTTCTGCGGCACGCTTATCTGGGACCCTGACGAGATACTCGAGGCCATGGATGCCGTGCTTAGACGGGGCTGGAGGATCGGCACCCATGCGTATGGTGACCGGGCCGTCGACGTCCTAATAGACGTTTACGGGCGCCTCCAACAGAGGCACCCTCACCTTGCTGTTGAACCCTCGTCATGGAGCACGGCGGTTTCGCCGACCCGGGGGTCCAGGCCCGAACCGTTGAAATGGGCATCCCCGTGACTATCCAACAGCCTCTCCTCCACGACGTTGCCCCCATTCAGTCGCTCTACTTCGGTAAGGATCGCACCGCGCGCATCTTCCCGGCTCACTCCTGGCTAGACGCCGGGGCCCTTATCGGCGGCGGATCAGACTACCCGGTGGGAAGATTTGGCGCGATGCGCTCCGTCTGGGGCATGACCACACGCGAGACGGTCGCCGGCGTCATGGGCCTCGAGCATGCTATTACATCAGACGAGGCCGTAGCCCTGCACACTACCATGGCCGCAAAGCTACTCCACGAGAACCATGTCCGCGGAGACATCGCGCCTGGCAAGTTTGCCGACTTAACCATTTGAACGCGGGATCCCCTGTCGGAGAAGCACCTGCATAATCTACGCGACCTCGAACCGACGTACACCATTATTGGCGGGCATGTACAGCATAAACCTAAGGCAGTTAAGTAGGTATTATTAGGTTATATAATAGATTACTTAGTTATATAATAGTGTATTATACTCTTTTACTAATAGGACTTTTTCAGATTAGTAACAAGTAAGAAACTCTATTTTCTATATAGAATATTCGGTTTTACTTATAAATTATCTATTGAGTCTTAAATTATCTACAAGAAAGAAGTTTTTTTGTTTTTATTCTTACATAATACTTAACAAGAAAAAGGCTAATTGAAGGAACGTATTAAGGAGAATAAGTAGGTAAACAGGTTTGAAGTTGTAAAAAGCCTAGAAAATAGGCTTATTAGTTGATTGAACACTTTGTAATCTCCTGGATAATGGGCCAATAAGAGACAAACACGAAGCGCTTACTACCCTCAATACTGTTATTGCTGTTATTACTTCTCGTGCTTATGTTCCTCTTACCCCTCCTCAATATTTTCCGCTATTAGCATATCCATACTCGACCTATTTTTGGTACGAAGATGAGTCTTTGCGACGCTTGTCGAAAAGCCTTGCCATACATTCCAGCTCCAGAGCGTAACCAAGACTCGATCGCAGCTATACTGTCAGAACTTGGAGATTGGCACAGATCGCTATATACAGACTCTGGGGAGAATTGGTGTCTGGAAGAACCTTTCCTTCTGCACACATCGTGGGAATCGCTGGTAACATCACTAGACCATGACTGCCCTATTTGTTGGACCCTTTGGCGGAACATCCGATCTTCCCCGATCGCATCCCTAAATGATGAAATAATAGCGGGATTTAGAGCCGAAATCATTGATATTTACTATTATTCCGACAGGCATCGATATCATGTAGACATGCATCTGATGAGTCACCAGCTAGAGATAAAAGAGTTCGAGTTCTCTATATGGAGAACAACAGAAAAGTACTACCTCGGTAAGCAACTAACTAAACCTTTAAGCCATTTATCCTTTACGCTGACAAACGCTCAATCAGAGACCGAAGCACAGGCTCCGCTTGCAGTGCAACATACACCTAAGTCGGCTGCGAACGTCGCAAATCGTTGGATCAAGACTTGCGAAGCAAAGCATTCCCAGTGTACGAAGCAAGCTGCTCCACCAGAAGATGCAAAAATGCCAACTAGGCTTTTGGATTTGGGTGCCGCCAATTCAAAGGTTTGGCGTATCTATGAGGATCCAGAACATGTTCCATATGCTGCGCTTTCTCATCGATGGTCTTCTGACACACCTGAACTGCATACCAGCAATTACAAGAATTATTGCAATTCCCAGCCGGATAGCGCCCTCCCACAGAACTATCAAGACATTATCTTCATCTGCCGTGCTATTCCTATCCAATATCTTTGGATTGATTCGCTCTGCATCATACAGGATGACAGTGGCGATGAATACCGTAGGGAGGCTCCATTGATGATGGATATTTATCAACATGCATTCCTTACGCTATCGATCTGCTGGGACTTCCCAGGTCTTTCTTTATTTCGCAAGTGTCGGCCTCGCAGTATCCCTCGATCTCGGCCCTTTGCTCATCACGGAGAAAATGGTCTATCGGAGTCAGATGAGTGGGTATTTGCTGAGGAGATGATACATCCAGAAATGGACATTTCTGTGAATGGAGCACCCATCAACCAACGGGCGTGGGTCCTATAGGAACGAAGCCTTTCGAGACGACTCCTCTACCTTGGAAACGACTAATTGTACTGGGAATGTAACGGATGCACCGGGAGTGAAGTCTCTCCTGGCGGTATTTACCAACACGGGGGACGCGAGTCAATTCTGAACCTTACTGGGTGTGAGAAAGATGAGGCCTGGAGTGAGATACTTACAACGTATACTGGAAGCGATCTAACATTCGAAAAAGATAGGCTCATTGCCATAGCTGGCCTCGCAAAGGTAGTCGCAAGCAAGACTGGCGGTACATATCTTGCTGGTATTTGGCTGGACTCTTGGATGCAAGATCTTTTATGGGAGCCAGTAAAGGAAAGAGCTCGAGGCTCGAAACTGAAACCAGAAGGACTCACTATGGTGCCACCTTCATGGTCTTGGTTGGGATTTTCCGGGACGGTGGAATACGGTATTGTGTTATCTGTAGAGGGACCGAGGATCTCAATCATGACTCCCAACTTATTCGAGTCAGCTACGTACCAACCATTTGCTCTATTAAGCCAAGCTGGAGTCATTCCACCCACAGGCGACCCTTTCTCTTCATTCGAACGAGCAATTTTGAAGATTCGATGCCTGATTTTGCCGGTAACATTCGCCGGTATTACCCATCAGGGCGAGCAACCACGGTCCTTCCGTCACGAGGGTAATATCGAATTGTCTTCAGTTGGGCTGGATTGTTTTCGACTCCAAGCTTGTGAACCCTTGTATGGTTCTTACATGACATTTAGATTCCGGTTTAGCAAGCCTGTTGACAGTTCTTTACCATATTTCCTTGTTCCATTATGTCGTCGCCAAGATCATGTACGCAAGCGTCTACGGCACGGTGTCTATGGACTTGTTTTACAGAAAAGTCTTAGCGGTGGCAACCAAGAATTCATCAGGGTTGGAACATGGCAAGAGGATTTCCGTCATGCATCCCAGCTCAACCCTATAATCAGCAACACAATCGTCAAACTAAGTGTTGGGGAGAACTCCACCTTGAGCGATGAAAACCTTACAGAAAATGAGCGCATTTTTGACTCAAAGCTTCGTGATTATGCAGCGGGTCATGTTGCTTCGAAAGTCCAATTTCCTCTCAAGATCGTTAACAAATTGATGGAGAATCAGCCAGATGTCGAGAAAGTTGGCGATAAGGCCGGTACTCTCGGATCTGGGGCTACTGAACAGAAGGGCATTGAAACAGATGGAGACCTTCCTAAAAGCCTCTTCAATAGCGATGAAGAGGTCGAATGTTCGTTACTACCGCATTTTACTACTGCAGAATGGGCTACTATTTCCTTAGTATAGCAGTCTTACTAGTATTAATCGGAAATTGAAATTGCAATTAAGGGCTTTTACATATAGGTATTTTATATATTCAGTATGAAAGCTCTCCTGGCTCCCGATAGATGGCTTACCCAGTGACTCCTACGGCGCGCGCTCTAGATCGGCTATGGGGTCAAGTGGAGAAGTGAAATTCATAGCTATCTGGAGCAGCAGTAGTCGCCTCTTCTCTGGCCTAGACTACTTCTTCCCAATCCCGAGTGTACCATATTGTATGAAACGGGAACGGAAGGTATTTCTAACCTCGTGTAGCTAAATGATGGGACTATTTTCACACATCGGTGCCAAGTCGATAATTTTATGAGCCCTGCCAATGCATTCATTTTTGCTAGCCATATCTACAGATTGGTGCCGTGCCTTAGTGCCATCTATTGTTGACCGATTCAAATATTAGGGATGTCAGTCAAATATTTAAAAACTCCACTGCTTTCTTTTCACTGCGATTATAAGTAACCTTGGATCTCTAGGACTAGTCGTAAAATCATCTGCAAGGGCTATAAGATCAATGATAGACTAAAACATTATACCAGGCGCAAACAGAGGTGTAACTTAATTTCGTAATTGACGTTATGCCTTTACTTTTATTATAACAACAAATGACCACAACATGTCTCCAGTTTACTTGCCTCGCTTCTATTATTTGCGCTGTTCATGATTTCAATTATGCACTTACGTGACATTATGCACTAATAAAGCCAGGATGTCAGCTTATCAGAACCAGGATCTTAGCTGATGCATTTTCGGTGTCTGCCTAAACCCTCTTTTATATTAATTCAGCTTCTCTTCGACCTATCATTATTCGCGAAGCCTTCTGGTGATCGTAATGCGACTTCTTAGTGTAAACGATGGCGAATTCAGCCTGACTGAGTTCGTTGGCGATAACATTCCCCCATATACAATCCTTTCGCACACTTGGGGGAAGGATATTGAAGAGGTTACCTTCCACGACATGATAGAGGGAATAGGGAAGAGCAAGCTTGGCTATGAGAAGCTTCGATTCTGCGAAAGGCAAAGCGCAAAAGACAACATCGACTTTTTTTGGGTGGATACGTGCTGTATCGACAAATCAAGCAGTGCGGAGCTATCTGAGGCAATTAACTCCATGTTCCGATGGTACCACAATGCTGCCAAATGCTACGTGTACCTCCCAGACGTGTCACTCAGAGACATCTCGTCTTCTCAACAAACATGGCAAACAACGTTTAGACAGAGTCGATGGTTTACTCGAGGCTGGACGCTCCAAGAGCTTGTTGCCCCCACATGTGTCGAATTCTTCTCCCTTGAAGGCGAGCGACTTGGGGACAGGGACATGATGGTGCAAGCAATCCAAGAGATCACAAACGTCAGTATGGATGCTCTGCAGGGAAGCCCTCTTTCTCGGTTTGGCTTTGAGGAGCGTATGTCTTGGGCCAGAGGGCGTGAGACAAAACGCGAAGAAGACGCTGCGTACTCTTTGCTGGGTATTTTCGGCGTACATATGCCGCTCGTGTATGGAGAGGGTCGCAGGAATGCATTTATTCGGCTTCAAAGAGAGGTTCATGAGTCTTCAAGGAGCTATGGAAACGAAGTCTTTGAATTTGTGTTTCAGGAAGGCACACCATTGCACGAGATTGACGATACCTTCACGTGTCTGATGGGCGATATAAACAGGGACGGCTGGCCTGACTTAACCGCCGTCAAGTCTAGCGGCACTAGCAGCAACAACATCGAAGTTTGCATCCTTTCTGGGGCCTCAAGATTCAAGACATTTATTACCCCAATCGGAACCGAAGCTGGCGTGCTCGCAACACCGAATGCACAGTATGACTTTGCCCTCACGGACTGGAACGGCAATAGGTCATTGGATCTCGTCGTTATTAAGAAAAGCTACACGGATACCAAGAGCACTGAAGTCTGTATCCTCTCCGGAGCCTCCAAATTCCAGACAGTCATCCTCAAAACTGGGACCGTACTGCACGAAACTGACGAGACCTGGGACTTCGCTATGGGGAGATGGAGCGCGGGCAAAAGACCGGACTTATTCGCCATCAAGAAATCCAACACGGGCACCAGCAGCACTGAAGTACACGTCCTATCGGGCGCGGCGCTCTTCCAGAAATTCATTCTGCAAACAGGCACTGGCTTGCATGAAACTGATAAGACCTGGGACTTTGCCGTCGCGGACTGGAATGCTGATGGATGTCCGGATCTTGTCGCTGTTAAAATGTCCGGTAACGAGAACGCCTTCTCTTCAGTGCATGTCCTTTCCGGGGCGTCAAATTACCACCATTTCATTCTACATTCAGAGATACCACTATACAACACACTCGGGATGTTTGAGTTTATGGTCGCTGAGTGGACACGCAATGGGAGATTGGATTTAGTTGGGATTAGGAAGAGCAAGACTGGGACGAATAGCACTGAAGTGCATATTATGGCTGGACGAGGGTAACTAGTCAGTAGTTAAGAAGGACCGAGTATTTTCTATGAGTTCGCAAGTGCTATTTCAATATGGGATGATGTCTCCGAGGATGAGTTCTGGAAACCTTGCTCTGGTTCCGGTACTCTCAAGCAGGTTGCCGAAGCTCGGGCTCAGTCGCATCTAGCTCCAAGTTTTGAAATCAACTGCATAAACAACCTGGCTCTTCTATAGCCAGGTCTGGTTGAATCCAACTTCCTCCAGTCTTATAGTAGCAGTAAGCTCTGCAGCATATGTTGAGTGGACATTTGATCTTGCGATGTACTGTTGGGAATGCACACCTTGTTGGTTGACTGAACAATATCTACCCCTGATCCCTGCAGTGCCCAGACGGCGCATGCTGTCTATTTAAGAAGCTTACTGGTCCCGGTCTCAGCGCAGTTGCCACTCATCCTTCTATCCTTCCCCTCTCTTCCATCCAAACCCGTGCACATGCTCTTTCGCCATGGCTGTCACAATTAGCACTCTCCCTACCGAGATCTTCCACGAGGTACTTCATTATGCCGTCGAGGACTCAAGCCCTGCTATTATCTCTTGCCTGTTAGTTAATAAGCAATGGCAAGACGCCACCCTACAGATAATCCATAGAGACTTGGTATTATCTTGTGGCCAATCACTAGATCGCTTCATGACATGCCACAACAAGCAGGCTCTCACCCTAACACAATCCTTTACCTTATACCTCAACCATGATGATCACTCAGATAGGCTGGACAAAGCGAAATGGGACAAAGCGGAACTACGTATCCCACAGTTGACAAATGTTATCCCGTCTATGACTAATCTTAAGTCATTCTCTCTCATGCGCCATCATCGCACTATGAAAAGTCCTCTCGAACCTTGGTCGGATTATGAACTATACAAGGCCACAAGATCAACCTTATCATCTTTACTGAATAGCCTCCCTGAAAGCTGCATCAATCTAGAGCTTGCGGTGGGAGACATAAATGGCAGCGGCCCCGACCCAAACCGCACGCATGTATGCGAGGATCTGCGGCGCTTGCTACCGCGCATGAAACACGTTCACATCATTTTGAACCCCACTTGCGATGCAATGCTAGGCACGTGGGATAGAGACAAAACCTTCCACCCTATTAGTCTACCGTACCTACAACGTTTCCACTTGGACTACGTCGAGAAGGAGAAACGGGAAGATTTGCACCAGCCCCGGCCTTTAACAACCTGGTCCTCGCTGGCCCATGGGCTTCAGAAGGTAGCTATGCTGCCAGAGACACCAAACTCGGCCAGGATTACAGTTTTGGGAGTCACACCATCGGGTGGCGAGTGCGACTACTCCATACATCGGACTTTCTTGCGCTGCAACATAAGCGACAAGGGCCGCGACGCCAAGACATGGGCATTTCCAATTACAGGGCTAGCAGGCCTGAATCACAGGCAGGCCTACTATATCCGGATGGGGGATGAAGAGGCATTTGTAGTTCTCGACAAAAGAGACTTTATCAGTGTGGCGGGGGGACAGTCATGGAAAACATTAGCCACAGGCACAAGATTACCTGCAGCTTGGACTAACGGCAAAGCATTGATGCCAGACTATGGCATATTTGAATACGCAGAGTGGTCCAAAATGTATCCCAAAAAGCATCCTATGCTGATCCGTAATGAACGGCTAGCTGGACAGTGTCTTATACGCGCAGAGGAACGTGAGGGATATCAGAACACGACAAGCTTAGTGGAACAAACACCGGAAGGTTTTGTACGGTATGGCGGAGATGTGTCACGGAACTGGCGGCTTTACAGAGTGGATGAAGAAGGTCCAGAGGACTGGGACCCTGATGCACCAAACGGACCTGTGGGTTGAATTCACATTTTTGTGTGTTAGATGGAGTGATAGGCTATCAATTTTCTCTGCTGAACGTGTCTACAGAAAATAACATAGCATTCTGCTGTTGTATCCACACTCCGGATAAGCAATTCCTATAAGCGACGTTACCTCTAAACATGTAGATTTCCCCCGTGCCATAGTCTCCATCATTGTCAAATTGAATTGGGCTCAAGGCCCTTTGTTTGCGGTTTTAGTTTTATTCTTCTCCCAAGATGCAGTTGAAAAAGGAATCCCTCGTCAATTCAAGAATGTGACAGTCCCCCAGAAACAGCCAATCAAGCTGATGGGTCTATCGCACAAGTATCCAACGCATCAAGATACTTTCAAGTACTGTAGCTACTGGTACGACAATGATAGCTCATTGGCTTGCCAGAATATGCTCGAACCATTCATGATTACCATGGACCAATTACTTCGCTGGGTATGTCAACGTATCTATTCTGACGGCTATGATACTAATATATCAGAACCCTGGACTTGGTCCTGGCTGTAGTAACTTCCTCACTGGATGGTCTTACTGTGTAGAGGCTATTGACGAGCCAGTCGTCACAAACAGCCCAACCAAGACAACATCAGGTGGAAGCAGCCCTACCAAGGGTATCCAGACCCCCACTCCCACGCAATCAGAAATAGTGACCAACTGCGATGCATTTGACTTTGTTGGAAAGGGCATCTCGTGTTCTGACATCCTCTCAAAGAACGGCATCACTCTGGAGCAACTCGCGGCTTGGAACCCGTCCATCAATGATGACTGCAGCGGCTTGTGGTCCAATGTCTGGGTCTGCGTTAGTATCGTGGGGCATGATCCCAAGAGTAGCACTACTTTGAAGCCAACCACGACAACTACCTCAAAGACAAGTCCCACCAATGGAATCGAGACACCATCACCAACACAACCCAAAATGGTCGAGAACTGCAACAAGTTCGATTTCGTTGAAAAGGGACAGAACTGTGACACAGTCGCGAAAGCCAATGGAATCACGCCCGCAGATATTTACAAATGGAACCCATCCGTTAACGCAGACTGTGGAGGCCTCTGGGCTAATGTCTGGATCTGTGTATCAGTCATCGGACATAAACCATCACCTACCAACCCTACGCCAACAAACGGGATCGAGACTCCTTCTCCAATTCAGGAAGGCATGGTTAAAAACTGCGTCAAATTCCATCTTGTACAAACGACAACAACGTGTAACTCTATTGAGAATTACTATAAGATGTCCCTGGCCAAGTTCCTTGAATGGAATCCTGAGGTTGGCGTAAATTGTCAGTCATTATTAGCACGTTACTGGGTGTGCATCATGACAGACGACTACGAGCCTGCGCCATCACCAACGTCACCAAGCAATGGTATTAAGACCCCCTCGCCAATCCAGGATAATATTCACAAAAACTGCAACAAGTTTCACCAGGTACAAAAGACAACGACATGTGCCTCAATCAATAACTACTATAACCTACCTCTAAAGGACTTTTACTCATAGAACCCTAGTGTGGGCACCAATTGTCAATCTCTACTAGTCGGTTATTGGGTCTGCGTTTCTATTATTGGCTGGAGCCCTCCTAAGCCGTCCCCCACCACTCCTAGCAAGGGTGTCAAAACGCCATCGCCAATTCAAGCAGGGATGGTCACGAACTGCAACAAATTCCATGAGGTACAGAAGACAACTACCTGCGCATCTATCCAAACCTACTACAAAATTACCATGGAGCAGCTGGCCAAATGGAACCCTAAAGTAGGCTCTCAGTGTAATGCTTTACTGGTGGGTTACTATATATGTGTCGGTGTTATCGGACAGGCGCCCACCAAGCCTCCTAACCAAGACCCTAATCCCACGCCTCTCATACCAGGGATGATTAAAAATTGTAAGAAGTTTCACCTTGTGAAATCTACCACGACTTGCGACTCTATTCAGAAGTACTACAAGATCACGATGGCTCAGATTGTGAAGTGGAACCCCAAGGTTGGTGAGAAATGTACAGGCTTGTGGAAGGATTACTGGGCCTGCGTGGGGGTATAGGTTGCATACTGGTGGTCAGAGGTATGGGGTTTTGATGGAATAAAAACATTGCCTAAATATTAACTATTAACTGGCGATAAAAAGTGACTTCATTAATTGAAATTTGTTATTATGTCATAAGCAAGAATCTAGGAAGGGCACTGATAAGGCTAATAGGGGCCAAGCAATAGGCAATGACTACTGGCGATTATATCTGTAACTATGTCGTTAAAGAACAAACGCAGGAGAAAAGCAAGGGTTGTGGACAAGGCTTATAATAACTATGACTATCTGACTTGCAGGTTCGTTAGCGGTCAGCTTGCTTATATGGATTCTAAAGATTGGGGTGCTTATAATGGAGAAACCCTGTAGGCTACTAATCTCGAATCCAGTGAACGTACTCCGTAGAGATACATGACTCACACTTGTGTTATATTTTTCCCCCACATGTCTAACCTTCTTTGTAGGAGCTAGGAAGCATCTCATTGGTTAAATCAAATACAGCCGATCTCGGGGAGAGATATTCTGGGTAAAGAATTATACTTTCTGCTCGTTCAGTTATCTCAATTCTGCAATTTACAGTTCTTCAAATAATCTTTTATCTTTCTGGCGATATTAGACTATCGGCCCTGATTGCCTTACGTTTCAATCTGTTGTAACATTGACATAACCGGCAATCGCATAGCTAACCTGTCTAAAATCTACGGCCTTTATGAACAGACAAAATGGCGGATCAACGGCTCACCAATGACGAAAGGGCTCTGCACGACCAAATCAACATTCTTCCACGCCGTCAATTGTTTATCGCCCTCAGCACACTTTGTGCCTCACTCCTTCTCGCCATAATTGATCAGAATGGTATATCAGTTGCTCTTCCCACTATCGCCCATGACCTCAACGCTGAGAGCACCATCTCGTGGGCCGGTACAGCCAGTCTAGTCGCCAACACATGTTTCCAGATGCTCTATGGCAGGTTATCGGATGTGTTTGGTCGCAAGGTCGTGTTTATCTCTGCGGCTCTACTCCTCGGCCTCGCGGATTTGCTATGCTCGCTCAGCCGTAATGCAATCATGTTTTACGTCTTCAGGGCCGTTGCAGGTATTGGGGGTGGCGGTGTGTTGAATCTTAGTAATATTATCATCTCAGATGTTGTCACTCTCGAGCAGAGAGGCAAGATTCAAGGTGTTATCGGGGCTACGATTGGGCTTGGCAATGTCGTTGGTCCGTTTATTGCGGCAGGGATGATAAGCCAAACATCGTGGAGAGGGTTCTTCTGGCTCCTATCACCGTTGTCGCTCTGCACAGCGGCACTCTCTTATTTCTTTCTTCCATCTAAGCCTGCTACTATTGGGTTTTGGGAGGGGGTTGGCAAGATTGATTGGACGGGCGCGGTGATGTCAGGTGCTGGGATCGTTCTTCTTCTAATTCCTATTTCTGGCGGTGAGTCATTCCCGGTCCTTTTGTCTCGTTCTGTATCTCAATTTGCTTTCCAGGAGGTTCTTACTTTTCCTGGGACTCCCCTCTCTCGATCAGTATGCTCAGTGTTGGCGGCGCATTATTCATAGCCTTTATCGTATGGGAATGGAAATGGGCAAAGCTTCCTATGATGCCAGGTCAGTTTCTCCTGCCTAACCATTAAATCTACGCCTTACTAATACAGCGTGTCTTGTGCAGTGAACATCTATAAAAACACAACCCTCTCCATTATGTTAGCTCAAAACTTCCTGTTTGGTGCTGTCTACCAGTCTTATCTCTATTACGTTCCTCTCTACCTCCAGAACCCACACCGTTACAGCGCGACTATATCTGCGGCACTCTACACCCCTCTGGTGTGTGCTCAGATGCTCGCTTCTATCGTCTCAGGACAGTACATCAGTCGTTTTTTGAGATACGGCGAAGTTCTCAAAACTGGCTTTGCGTTATGGACTCTGTGAGCATTCAAAACTTCTCACCTTTCCAGTACAATTTCTGATCAATTCTTCACAACAGAGGAGCGGGCCTTGCCCTAATCTTTAATCGCCATACTAGCCCAGCTGTCATCGCAGTCATTTTAACTGTCGTGGGATCAGGAGCTGGATGTGTCTTCCAACCCACCCTGATTGCTCTTCAAGCACACTCGCCAAAGAGCCGTCGCGCTGTCATCATCTCTAACCGAAACTTCTATCGCTGTATGGGCGGTGCATGTGGCCTTACCTTCTCAGCTGCAGTACTCCAGGCTCGTCTAAGTGCAACACTGCCAGCCGAGTATAAAGATCTTGCCAGCTCAACCTACGTTCTACCAGACTCGATGCGTGAGGTACCTGGTGTTCTAGATGCCTACATGTCTGCGAGTCATAGTGTGTTCATACTGCAAGTACCTCTGATTGGAGCGTGTCTGCTCGCTACTGTCTTTATCAAGGATCGTGGTCTAGATCCGGTCAAAGATAGTTGAATTCACCATAGCTAACATCGAGGCACACAAAGAAAGGGAGAAGATGAAACTTAGCAGATCATACTATTCATAGCATAAACCCAAGGAGAACAAATCGGACTTTCATAGTAGGATAGAAGTACTGAAGGTGGGCGGGAAGTGGGCCAGAAGGACCAAGCTGCTACTTATGAGAATGTGATTCGGCTGGTGCAAATAAAAGATTTTGAAAGTATTTTAAATGGTGAGGAGACAGCAGCTGGGGGTACACATCAAGACCGTTTAGCTGTACTCGATTCCATTTTCGATAGAATATTCTAAGGGTATTTTTATTTATTAGATTCCTGATAATCTTCTAGCTTCTCGCTCCTACTTGCTGCCACCATTATAAGCAATACGTTCAGGACTGTCAAAAGCAGACCCAACTCCACTAGTATCGGCCGCCGCGATGATGCGTTTAGTTACAGCCGCAGAACCTCGAAGTCCCTCTTTTGCAATGAAGTATGCAGCAAGCCCAGCAACATGCGGTGCAGCCATGCTTGTGCCTGACTTGTATGCACTGCTAGAGTCGCTAAGATGCCCTGCGCTGAGGATATCACTACCAGGCGCAAAGATGTCAATCAAGGCACCGTAGTTTGACCATATACTACGGTAGCCGGCACCATCGATGGAGCCAACAGTGATAGCCGATGGAGCAGAAGCAGGTGAGTAGTTGGCAACATCATCCCCTTGATTACCGGCTGAAACAACACAAGTGATACCAGAATCAGTGGCAGCCTTGACAGCATCATTGCCGATCTTGGTATAAGGGCCACCAAGTGATGCGTTAATAATGCTCTTTCTAGCAGTACCACGAGACTTGGCATGATTGACAGCCCATTGTAGGCCTTGGAGGATGCCTGACATGGAGCCGACGCCATCCTTATCAATCACCTTGACGGCATAGATCCGGCAGGCTTTAGCTACGCCGTAGGTCTTGCCACCAATTATACCAGCAACATGTGTGCCGTGGCCAAACTCATCTGTATCAGGAGAGCCGCTGATGAAATTGGCACCCCAGAAGGCGCGGCCTCCAAACTCCCTGTGTGTTGTTCGAATACCTGAATCGAGGACATAAACAGCTGTCCCATTCCCGGCTGAAGTGTCGTACGTATAACGAGTGCTGTCAACATCCTGCGAGATAAGGGAGAGACCCCAGGGGGCATTTCTCTGCGTGACAAATCCACGCTTCGTATGCAGTCCCAAGCTTGGGGCAGCGACAGCAGAGATGTTCACAATAGTATCCTTCTCGACGTAGTCAACCTAATCACCTAAGTCAGCGCCTTGCTCGCCTTAGCTAATGTTGGAACACTCACCAGATCAGAATCAGTAATGGCCTTGAGCTCTGATGAAGGAATCTCGGCGACATAGCCCTTGAACCCATCGAGGTCGATGCTATCCACGATGCCCTCCTTTCCCTTACTTCTCGCCTTCTCGTGGATGATCTCTTCATGCTTTGCCTTTCTGCTAGAGGAAACGCCGGGTTTGTATTTTATGATGTAGCTATTTGGGACGACGAGTTCGGGCTCAACGTTGACATTCTGGACTTTTTCCTGGGCAAGGGACAAATCAACGAGTTCGGCAAGAAGGAAAAGATGTATAAAGAACTTCATAGTGACTGGGGCTATAAACAAGGTGAAAGGAGTGAATTAGTGAAATGACTGATAATGTGTTACAAATTTCGAAGAGTTCGAATCACATGAGGGGACTTCCGCTGTAATATCTCATTATCCATGGTGCGCATCATTACGTGCTTTCATTCCGTTAACGGCTGAATCTTTAGAGAGGATGTGGCGAAGCCTTAGAAATGTGGAAACTGGGCCCAGACTAGGGTCTTCGGGTCTCTGGTTGAAAACGGCATTTAGGTTTGAACCACAATACCTTTGACCAGGGTTTCGCCTCCCATCGTCTAGCAATCATTTGAAATACTGCAAGACTTAATCAGTCTTTAAAAAACAACCGTAGTAAATCCTTATGAACTGAATAGTTACCTGCTTCGCAAGATTTTGAATACCGACCCTAGAGTCCCAATTAAATTAATAACACTTGTAAGAAATTCACTCCCTTCTGAAATACCCCTAATTTTCTAGGTTTAACCCTGAATACCTAAGGTATGTTTCTATCATCATTCATTTAGAGCAAGTAAGGTTTACATTCTTCCACTCCAATCAGTGGAAGTGGAAGCGCATAACAGGTGTAAATGTCAAAGCTCTGCTCTCCAGCACTTAATCGTGGCAAGTGGCGAGATTTGAAACAGACATTCTAGATTGGTAATGCAACCCATCTAGTTATTAAATTAGATGTTTAAACGATTACTTTTTTCTTTTGACTTTGGACTTGCCTCGTCTCTGAAACTGATGGTATGGGTGAAAAATACCCTAGAGCGCGTCCTTTTAAAGGGAAAAGTAATACGTTTCTTGTTCTCCCCGGGAATTTGCCCAAGTTTCTTGGAGACAGCATTTCGAAAGTTGAGGTTGAGCAATTATAACCAATGCACAGGTTCATGGAGATATAATAGAAATTATTCCACAGACCGGGTTACTTTAAGCTTGTCCTTAAAAGTTGGCCCCTTGCATGATTTTCGATTAGGAGGGATAGACTGTCGATCATTTATGGAGTAGAGCGCTTACTACTTTAGGCAGCCCGCTAATCCATGAACTGTTACGTCAATGCGGGGGCTCTCCGTTTGTGTTCGGACCAGAAGCACAATTTTACGGAAAGGCAGAACAATCGTCCCGACGGAATTTACAATTTACGAAGAGGTTGGGGTAACGTAGCATATGCATTCCGAAGCAACGTAGCACAACAGATATATGGAATTGGGATAATGGACTCGGGGGCAATTCTCCGTCTTTTGCTCCGTAGAGATTGATCAATTGCTTACTTCAATTGTCTCCTTAAGCATACCAGTCGTTGAATGCGGTCAATTGGTAGTCCAAATGATATTCACCGTCTTTCTACTCCTCTTCGCCACGGCTGGCGCCACTACTCGCCACAAACCACTAGCCACTGTCCCTGGGCAACAGGATAGCATACCCAACTGGGATTTTCAGCCAGTGCCAGGAGTCTCCAAAAACACGGCATCACTCTCTCTACCAAACGTCGATGTTTCTTCGTGGCATCATGCACCTGTTTCTAGGTGTACGCTAATGGCCTGCCTCCTGGCCGAAGGCACGTTCGGCTTAGAAGGTCGCGATGGGCTCTGGTATTCTAACAACCTTGAGAATTTTGACCAAAGCTTATTTTCAATCCCTTGGGTGTACCGTAATCAATTCAATTTGGAACCTGGAAAAAACCGCCACTACTTTCTGCAAACCAATGGAATCACACCCGCTGCAGACCTGTTCTTCAATGGCAAGCAAATCGCCGATAACATCACGCAAGCTGGTTCCTATGGCGGCCATACGTTCGATATCACGGATCTTGCTAGGGAGAAAAATGCACTGGTGGCAAAAGTCTACCCTACGGATTATCAGCATGATTTCGCGGTAGGATTCGTCGACTGGAACCCTTACCCGCCCGACAATGGCACTGGACCATGGAGAGACATTACTGTCAAACAGACAGGCGATGTCTTTATGGGCCCATTGTCCGTGCTTGTGAAGATGGATGCTCCCATTGAAGATACCAAAAAACACCAAGCGGCTGTCACTATCAGGGCCAAGGCTCGGAATTTGAGTAAACAGCCAATCAAGTTTGTCGCTACAGCAAACGTCAAAACTCCAAAGGGTAAACATCTCACGACGCTGAACAAGACTGTCCGCATCGGACCAGAGGAGTCAGTCACAATTGAGCTTCCTATGAAGGTTCAGAGTCCCGAGGTATGGTGGCCAGCGGCTTGGGGTCAGCAGCCTCTATATTCCACCCAACTAACCTACTCCATCGGGAACGATGTTTCAGACGTGAGCCCTGTGTCTAAATTTGGCATGCGAACCGTCACCTCAGAGCTTAATGCGCACAACGATACCATGTTTAAGGTCAATGGCTATCCGATCCAGATCACAGGCGGTGGCTATACCTCCGATATGTTTCTACGCTGGGATCCGGAACGCTTCGAGAATATAGCGCGCTACGTTCTAGATATGGGCATGAATACTATCCGACTCGAAGGGAAAATGGAGCAGCCTGAATTGTACGATATCGCCGACAGACTCGGGGTTATGCTCATGGCTGGCTGGGAGTGCTGCGATCGATGGGAGAGTTGGCCCTACAATCACGACTTGGCCGAAGATCCTCCCCCTCGATGGTACAAGGCTGATTATGAAACCGTCAACGCATCAATAAGGCATGAGGCGGCTATGATGCAAACACACGCAAGCGTGGTTGCTTTCTTGGTGGGGAGCGACTACTGGCCTGACGACAGAGCCACAAAGATATACCTTGACGGCTTGCACGACGCTGGATGGCAAGTTCCTATCATCGCTTCAGCTTCCAAGCGTGGTTATCCCAAGCTTCTTGGACCCTCTGGAATGAAAATGGAGGGACCTTATGATTGGGTTCCGCCCGTATATTGGTTTGACCGAGAACCTACAACCAAACGGTTTGGATCATCTTTTGGCTTTGCATCCGAGTTGGGTGCGGGGGTTGGAACGCCTACCAAGGGAAGCCTGGTCAAGTTTCTAACAGATGAAGACATGCAGGATTTGTGGAAGAAGCCGAACAAGGGCCTATATCACATGTCACAGAACACGTCTCAGTTCCACGATCGGTCGATCTACAACAAGGCGTTGTTTACGCGGTACGGCAAGCCGACGTCGTTGGACGACTATCTGATGAGCGCGCAAATGATGGACTATGAAGCAACTCGATCCCAATTCGAAGGTTATAGAAGTCAATGGAGTGCTTCACGCCCGGCCACGGGTTTGATCTACTGGATGTTAAACAATGCCTGGCCCAGTCTTCATTGGAACCAGTTCGACTATTATCTTCATCCAGCTGGATCATATTTCGGTACCAAGATCGCCAGTCGAGTGGAACATGTCGCCTTTGATTACTTCAATAACTTCATCTGGCTGGTTAAGCATTCTCTCAAACAATCTGGTCCACGGTCTGTTCACATGGAACTAGTCGATCTGGATGGAAAACGTATCTCTCATCAGAAAATTCACTTCACCACAGAAATCAACAAGTCTCGCAAGATTGGCAATATCAGCAGCTCGATCAAGAAGATTAAGGACGTCGGGATTCTTCGTCTTCTTTTGGTTAATGATAGCGACAACAAGGTACTTAGCCGCAACGCCTACTGGCTGTCCAAGCAAAACGACGTAGTGAACTGGGCCAACACCACATGGTACTGGTCTGATGTCAAACAATCGGCCAATTTTACCGCGTTGAGCGAGATGGACAAAGCGACCGTTACTGTTAAAGCATCCAAAGGCAAGACTTCTGGCGAGTGGGAACTCCAGGTCATCAACAATGCTTCAGTCCCTGCCGTCTTCGTCCAGCTCAATCTCAAAGATGAGAAGGGTGACGATGTAACTCCTTTGACCTGGTCGGATAATTATTTCACGTTACTTCCCCACGAGGCAGTTAAAGTTCTGCTTACTACCTGGTCGACTGAAGGTACTCTAGTAGAAGTAATGGGGAAGAATGTTGATCTTTCTCATATTCAACTGCGCTGAAAATGACGGGGAGACTAGGTAACAGTGGGAGATAAGGTCCTAGCTTTAGTTACTAGCCTTAATCTAAACATTTCCTCAAATATTGTCCTAAGTACCCTGAAGCCGTGTATTGCTCCAAGAGTAGCTTTCTATATTGTCATACCGAACCTCTGTGGTATGTCGCGGCATACAGCACTACTGCAAGGCTTAAGAGTATTACAGTATCTGCAAGGTCTTTACACTGGCAACCCTTGCCTTATCCACAAGTAAGAACAGGAAATTCACCTTATCTGCTCACATATATCTACCTTCTTAAAGAGGTTTCAGAGTGACGACAGAAAAGGGCAATAGTTCACACAGACCCAGTCTATCTAAACAGCGGGTATATGGGTCTATGCATAGTTATCCTTTTACCCCTGCTACCTTCTTTCTAAGGTTGCGTTCCGTGCCGCCTGTGGACCTTTTTAAGCTCCGTCCTCCCACATCCCGAAAATCCGAACAAGGGGCAACGTATACCGCAGCGAATTAGGAAGGGTTATTTACTAAGATCATGACGAGATAATCACACCTTCAACAGGATCAACATGTGAAATTGATCCTCCTGCCAAGTAGGGCAGTCAACGCATAACGGAACTTTATCGATGTGACATTGCCAAGACGGCGTAAAATCTAGATGAAACCTGAGGAACTCAAGAACCCATTGTGATAGTCGGTCTGAAAACACATAAAAGGAACCGGATTTTTCAGATCTGAGGATTAATCCATCAACCTCTCAACTTCTCTCGCCCTTCTTCTTTTGTTCTGTGCTGTCATCATGCGTCTTACTGCCTCAATCATCGTAGCTTTGGCTAGCTTGGCCGCCGCTCACCCCGGTGAAGACCACCACGATGAGCTTCAGCAGCGTCGATCATTCGAAGCCAATGCTGAGCGACTGTCCCTTCGTCACTGTGCCGAGCAACTCAAGGCTCGAGGTGTGACCGATCGTAACATGAAGCGTCGTTCTGCCTTGATTAAGGAACACCGACAGAAGCGTAAGTAATGCCCACTATTTCCCTTGTGCCTTTCTAACTTGGTTCTAGGTGGCATCAAGAAGCGCGATCTTGAGGATGTTCTCAACACCGACCACAACAAGACCGACCTCGGGTATACACCCAACACCCCGGGCGACATTCTCTTTGCAGGACAGAATTCGTGCGTGCTGACCCCCGAGGTCACTATCGGTCCATACTGTGAGTTATCCCTGACTATGATGAGGACATACACTAACTATTCCAAGATGTTAGTGGCGAGTCTGTTCGTCGCGATCTCAAGGAGGACCAGGAGGGTGTTGATCTTATCCTCGACTACCAAGTCATCAACGTAGAGACCTGCGAGCCTGTGCCAGATCTGTATCTCGAGATTTGGCATTGTAACTCAACTGGTGTTTATGGTGGCGTGAACAACCAGGGTAACGGAAACATCAACGACAAGGCCAACATCAACAGCACCTTTGGCCGTGGTATCCAACCAACCGATGATGATGGTGTTGTGCAGTTTGAGACCCTCTTCCCGGGCCACTACACAGGTCGCACAACCCACATTCATCTTTTGGCTCATGCGAACGCTACTCTGTTCGCGAACAAGACTCTTGGCAACGATATCTACAGCAGCCACGTTGGACAGACCTACTTTGACCAGGACTTGATTCATGACGTTGAGACTCTTGCTCCTTACAACACCAACACACAGCAGCTGACCACCAACGCTCGCGACGGTATCCTAGCTGGCGCTGCCAACCAGGACTATGACCCAGTTGTCGAGTGGACCCTCCTTGGCGACAGCGTTGCCGAGGGTGTTTTCGGCTGGTTGGCTTATGGCGTCAATATCACTGCCACCAACAAGGTCACCCCTGCTGTTTTCAGATATGAGGATGGTGGGCATACCAACCCTGACTTTGGAATGGGTGGTGGTCCCGGTGGCCCTGGCGGACCTCCGCCACCAGGTGCAAGCCAGACAGATGCTGCCACAAGCGACGCTGCTTAGACCTTGATTACTACATAAGCTGCTACAACGTCGGCGCATGCAGATTTGTCAATAAGCAGGGAAGCTGCGATTCTGGGGTAATTCGTTATCTTGTATGGCTCTTTGCAGTGTGTGTTTAGCTGCCAACGAGATAGCTTGTGGGTGGACAGGACTGTGCGGGGAGAGTGTTCTTACTATTTGGCTAGATATCTTATAGTTTAAGAAAGTCTAGAAGTAAGAGACTATATTGGACTCAGTACAAATATCTTAAACTACATCCTGGGCATGTACGCATTTTGTAGATGCCAAATGTTTCCCCTTTCTTGCGTCTGTAGTGGCAGGTTTGTCCAAGCAAAGAGGGAGAGCTTATCCGGACACATTTGAACCCTGATCAATAACTCTTAGTGAGAGCTGGGAACACCTTCCATGCCACCGAGTTCCTCGCCAAGCAATTGACCACCCACAACCACCGGAGTCGCATCTAGCAGAACGTATAGCATCCGCGCCCAGGTCTTTCCATGATTGATCCACTGATGCATGGTGCCTCTCTGCACCAGCGTATCACCAGCCTTGAGAAGCCTGCTCTCACCAGAATCTAACAAGCACTCCATTTCACCGACAAGAACAACAGCGAAATCGCAGCTGACAGTCCGATGCATCGGCGACGATGCCAGTGGTGGATAGTCGACGTAGCGGAGCACGGAACCGTTCTGTTTGACAAGGCCGCTCTTCTTGCGATCGTTGTAAAGGTGGGCGAAATCGGCGAGATCTTCGTCGTCCGCCAGCCGAACAGGCATCGAGCTTGTAGCGTATCCTAAACCGAAACCCGCAGGGTCGACCTTAGGTCCAACAGGCCAGAATGACACATTGTCAGTTGCACCTTTAAGGTAGACGGCTCTGCCAGCTTCATCATGCGTCGTGATGAATCGTTGAGGCTGGGGCAATGTAGTTCTTTGGAAGTGGTCCGTTGCGGTCATAGTATTTTGTTGTATTGAAATATTGATGCATAGTAAAAAAGGATAGAATGGACTGGAAGGACCACTTGAGACTGTGTTTAGTTGTTACAGCTGGCGTCCCAGAAACATGGAGCACGGGCAGGTCGTCCTCGGCAATTGAGTATGGGTACGTACGTTCGGCCCGAACAGGAACGTGACCGACCTCCGCTAAGACCGAGTCAAATATACCGGGATTACGTCAATAGGGAGAAGATAGAGTCGGGCCGTACCTCCAGCTATTCGTATTATTGGCTTGTACTGTCTGGTCTTCGGCTTTCTGACTTGCTAAAACTGAACCCGAGTTTGTTGCTTGCATGACCTCAGTATTTAGTGTCTTATGGTAACCCACGACATAAAATGAATCAGCTCAGCGCCCTTTAGGGGACTATACTGCCACTCGTTCGTTTGTATGAGCCTGTGTATTCCGACACCAAAGCTGTTACGTCAAATCGATAGAACAAAGTAGGGTTACTACTTCACTAACATAAACGGAATTACCACCACGACCCATTTAACAATCACAAAACATGGTATCCTGGCCGATTGAAGTCTCGCCCGATAGTCCCTTTCCTCTAAACAATATCCCCTTTGGAATATTCACAACACCACAAGAGGTAAGTGGGGGGAGTGATATGTGTGTCGGTGTTCGGGATTAACACTATTGCCTTGTAGGTTCAGAGACGCGCCGGGGTAGCTATTGGCGACTTCATCGTTGACCTTTCTAGCCTTGAGCGAACCCTCTTGGATGACAAGTGCTTTGACAGGTTGAGGCATGTCAACGGAGCTCCTGTGTTCCAGGATGGAGATCTAGGCAAGTTTGCGAGTCGACCTGTCGTAACTAGGAGTGCCTTTCGTCACACCTTAATTGAATGGCTGAGCGACGAGATTTCGCCCTTGTCTGATAACGCCTCGAGGACTGCAAGTATCTTTATACCCATGGCGGATGCTACCATGCATCTGCCATTCAAAATTCCAGCGTTTACAGACTTTATGTGCTCGGATGTCCACGTTGAGAACGTAAGTAGCAATCGACGGCCTTCACAAATCTGCTATTATTGTTCAGGCGACCTAACTTTGGCTTAGTGCAGTAGACTAGCTGGAGCCTCAACACCTCCCAGTCATTACGCAATGCCTTTGGGTTACAACGGCAGAGCCTCCTCTGTCATCACCGACGGTGAGCCTATCTATCGACCGCAGGGAATTATCAAGAATCCACAAGATTTGTCAATTTCGTTCCAACCCAGCAGGCGGATGGACTACGAGGCTGAGTTGGGTGTCTTTTTATCTCAGCCACTTCCACACAATGCCTACATTGGTGCCGATGAAGCCGACGATTACATATTTGGATTCGTCGTACTGAACGACTGGTCAGCGAGAGATATCCAGTTTACGGAAATGAATCCTCTTGGACCGATCAATGGCAAATCCTTTGCCACCAGCATCTCACCATGGGTCGTCACCCTGGACGCCCTTGAGGGGGCACGATGTGTTTCCTCAGTCAAAGACCTTTGTGATGGAGGCTTCACTGGCGCGAGGCATCTACGCCATAAGGACGAAAGATCTACGTGGGAGCTGGAACTGGAGGTATCCGTCTTTAGTAAGTATCTAGCGAACCAAAAACACGACTGAAAGAACCTAACATCCATAGGACCCAAGTCCAAGAGCTCAGCACCCATCATGACTTCACGTTCAAACCTCCGTCATCTTCGCTGGTCGCCCGGTCAAATGCTTGCACATCTTGCGTCTTCTGGTTGTGGCCTGCAAACGGGTGAGCTTTTTGGAACCGGCACAATATCGTCTCCTGTATGCAATACCCTCAAGACTCTTCCTTCTTACGTTGCTAATCTTCGTATCTCATCTATAGAATGATAAGCCGTCTTCCCGAACCTTGGGGTGCTTGCTTGAGTTGACTGAAGGCGGAAAGAAACCTGCCAATCAGGGAGCAGACGATGCCGATGCCCTCGTATTCCTCGAAGATGGCGATGAGGTAGTCATAAGTGCATGGGCAAAAGTGTGTTCTTTGGGTTTGGGCAGTGTAGGCGGCCAGCTTCTTGCGCCCCGTGAAGATAGATGATGTGGCGGAGTATGGAAGCAATATGCATGGGCTCTTAAGTGTAAGGTATGAGTTATTCAAGCCCTCAACGATTAAAACACAGAGCTAGAGTGTTGCGATAACAGTACTATATAAGTTTTATTCTACTGATTCAATTGAATAGCCTCAGAAAGAATAGGTACTGGTCTTTCAGTTTGGACCTTAGAGTGTAGTTATCCACTCGGTTTCATTCAGGTCACTACTTTTCTGGAAGACACTGATCCTAAAAGTAATGTAGCAAGGACATTCATCTCCTACATAATTGAAGTCGGTGATTGTGTAAAAGAATATTATTCTGCTACTCCCCTCCTCATCGTCCTTAGATCCCTTTGCTGCCACCCAACGTTATTTCACGCACCTAAAAAGCACTATCTGCCACAGACGATGGATAGCTGACCCAATAATTCCAAGTTCAAATAAGATTCAGGTGCTGAAGCGCTTCAGTGAGCGTGAAGAAACGGAACATCCTGCATGGCTCTACGGATACGACCGTTGAAAAAGTACAAAGGTATGGCAACAGATCCCAGGGCACAGAGAATGCCGCCAAAGAGGATGTAGGTGTCTCTAAAGCCTATTCCGCTCATCCAAGAATTGAATGAGTGACTGTAACCGAACGAGAGAGCATTTCTCCCTCCACATGTCATGACAATAGCAGGGCCTGACATGTGCGGAAGTAGCTCACCCAGCCAGACGCCCGTCACAGCGGATATGGCACAGAAGCCAAAGTAGAAGAGTGCAAAGGCAGCATATAGCCCAACCCAGCTATACTTCTCAGGGCTTGCGCCGACAATGCCGTAGATTATCATGCCTGCGAAGCAGACTATCGTGGGTAGGATGAAGTTGGGCAGAACGTGTTCAGGTTCACGGATGCCATGGTTGCGGCGGGTCAAATAACGACTGATGGGCTCTGCCACATGTCCGTAAGCCAGTCCGAACGTTGCTCCGATGGCGGCTGCGACTTGAATGGTCCCGACTGCAGACGGAGAAAAATGCCATGGCATCATCTCGAGACGCTGGGTATACGTGAGACTTAACACGACGAGACCACCAAAGACAAAGCTGTTGAATAGTAGGGCCCATAGAGTACCCGGTACAAGGATGGAGAGTAAGATGTCCCTGTAGGCTCCTACAAATGGCGCAAGGTAGCGCATATAGGATGTATCTCTGGGCACTTCGTCTGACTGGACACTGTCAATATCAAAACCAGCGTTCCGAGCAGCCTCAGCCGTATCAAAGACTCGGTGAGTTCCATATGCATCGGTGGCATGAATCCTTCCGTCATGTTCAGCGGCACGGCGGGAGAAGAGGGTTTCGGGCACACAGAACACAACAGCCATCAAGGATAACAAGGCAAAGGCCAGCCAGAACCAATAGACTAGCCTCCAGTTATTGCCGGCGTGCTGAACAATGAACGGTACGGGTACCAGTAGCAGCGACGAGCCAATGGCGGTTATAGCCCAGTATGCCACAAGGCGAGCACTGCGCTTGTAGAGAAAGGACATGTCCAAGACGATGATTGGTAGCTTCCACTAAGTTAGCCCTATTCATGTTTCAAAGAGAGAGAAAGCACGTACAAGACAATCGGATACCCCTGCAGTGAGTCCTTGTAGGCATCGAGCGCCAAGATGCGACTTAAAAAACTGTGACTTTGCGGCCCAGATGATAGATGCTACCAGAATGACATTGCTGAGAATGAAGGCAGGCCGTCGGCCCAGCGCCATGGATAAGGGAACAAAGAAGAAGTTCCCCAAGCCCATACAAAGGGATGGATAGCTCGAAAGGTCTACGATGCGAGCTGGGTCGAACGTCTGAGTTATCCATTATATTAGCCAACGTCACATATACTTGTTAAAAGGGACCTTGTCGACTTACACCGCGAGTCTGCGTCTTGTATTCACCAATGAGATTCCCAAAGACCAGCGGAGTGACCTGTATCACACCAAAGCCTGTGATGCCATAGATGCACACCGCCGCCAGGACGACACGCTGTCGCCAGACTCCAAAGTTGAGGGGATCATTGGGGTCGGAGGATGGGACAGGCAAGTTAATGGCTTGGCCGTCTTCCTGGTAGAGAAGTACGCCGTCGCCAGGAGGCGTGGCGTCTTCGACGTTGTGGGCTTTGCCGATGGCGTCGTTGCCGTCTTTTTCCATGATGTGCAAGTGAGATAGATTGCTCGATTAGTAGATCTCGGTTGTTGCTGAGATCGACAAGACTAGCACGACGAACGAACATAACCTGGCAGGCTGCTTATTTAAACATGAAATGATAGAAGCTAATACTACAGCCGAGTTGAAGGCCTGTCTGGGGCCCCGGAAACTCTAATCAGTAGCCCCTGGATCCCCGCCATTCGCGACTACTAACGTTAAACTAGTGCCACATTTAACACTTAGACTGACTCCAAGATCCAATCAGTGAAGCTCGGATAATTCATACCATCGGGCCGAATGTCCATACGGCCCGTACTTGATTGTTCCAGGCCTCTCTTCTCTTATCATCTCACGCGTCTTAAGCTTTGTTCTTCCTCCACGTCTGGGCCGAACATCTCATACCGCCGATGCCCGAATGATATCTATCGGCTTTTTGGAGGTCAATGCATCAACAACAGGAGCCCCCAGCCGTGGCATGTCTACGCTGTCGCAGACAAAAGGTCCGATCTCCGGTATCCCCTTTGGCATTGCCGTTGCAACTGCCGACCTCAAGTACAGTATTACTAACGATCCCTACAGCTCAGATGCACGCGTGAGCGGCCGGAATGTCGTCGCTGCCAACGACTCCAGTCCCCATGCTGCTACCCATCGCCACCAGACCGGAAACGTCTCGCCCTTCAGCGGGCCCAACAAAGAAGCTCACATCTCGATGCTAACGGACTGGTGTCACGCACCCAAACCTCGCTGACTCTTCCCCTGCCAGAGACGCCTGTTCGGCGGGACCAAGATTCAGAATCGCAGAGAACCTTGGCCGCCACGCCGGTTACTCTTCCCAGGCCGTTGAGTCATGATGAAGATCTGTCTAGGCCAGGACCCTATGACCGACCGGAGGAACCGGCTCTTCCGACCATCACGGGGTCCCTTGCCAGCCAAACAGCTCCAGTCCAAGAAAGCCTTGCAGCTGCCCAAGTGCCAATGGAAGTAGCTCTCTTCCTGTTCGAGATCTACTTTGAACGACACTATCAAGCCCATCTGCTCTTCCGAAAAGATGATCTTATCGAGAGTTACAAGGCAGGGAATTCTTGTCGTTATGTTATTCTTGCCACGTTTGCCTTCGCGTCCTTGTAGGTTAACATTCGTCTCACTTCGACTTTGTGACACCATATTGACCTCTGGGCATAGGTTTCTCCATTCTGTTCCGGGAGGCATCTTCCAGGGCGAGATTGGCATCGCCGAGGTTTCTCTAGCCGATTGGCAGGTCATCGGCCAAAGATGGGGAGAAGAGGCAAGCCAGCAAGCTCTGATGAGAGCCGATGAGCCATGCCTAGAACTTGTACAGGCATGTCAGGTTTTGGCACTCTTCTGGTTCGCTAAAGCGCGTGCCACGAGAACAAATATGCACACAGGTACCACTCAGTGTTTCACCCTGCTTTATAATCATCAAGACTAACCTTCTCTGCTGCCATTGCTTACCGGGCCTCCCGACTACTGCATTTCGATCGCATCCACCCTAGAGCCACCATGCTCGACCTTACAGCTGAGGAGAAGCTGGGTTCAAAGTGCTTCTGGGCATGTTGGCTTACTAAGTGTGCTAGTTCGGAGAATTCACGGTTCTACGTCGATTGCTGGGCGAGTGTCGAGGGCCGACAACTCCCCGCCGACAACGATGACACAGTACAGGGACCTCCGTATTACTTGGATAAGACTGGAACTCTTATGTCAAGTGGAGAAGGCGCCGAACTAAGCTTCAACTCTGTCTCGATCGTGGTCCAAGAGCTATGGTAAGTCGATCCTAGTACCTGATCCAGGATCCATCTTATCCAGTCTTAGGTGGGAAGTTCAGCAATTTGTAGGCTTGATTCACGGGCATCAGGGCAGTCAGTCAGAATGGGCCTCAAAATACTGCTCCCTAGACCAAAGACTGCAGGATCTCCCCAGCCACCTAGCCAGCTACAAGCAGAATGTTTTGACTTGTGACCCAATTATGGCGCCAACCCACGACTTTGCCCGTGTTCTTTCCCTGAGGAGTATCTATGAGCTATGCCTTGTCTATCTATACTCTTCTGTTGTTCCTGCTTTGTCTTGCCGCAGAGAGACACCTCGCTTCTCGCAGCTAATGCTACAGCAAGCGGCCGAACAGGCTTATGAGCATTCTCTGACAATAACAAGCATGGCCAAGCAATATTTGTCGTCGAGGGAATCTGCTTCGAAACTATGGCCTATTGTTGGGTACAGTGCTTATGTGTGCGCTGCCGTCCAACTGCGTCGATGCCTTGCTATTGGCACACTTGACGAAGCGTGGTATGAGCGCAATAAAACAAATCTGCAAATCACGGGTGAGCTCGGGAAATACTGGATGACTTTACAACCACTTGTGAGTTCGCTCTGGTTCTTGGTTGTTAAGATTGTTTATTAACAAGGTAAAAACTAGCACGACGACATGGAACGGCAGTTCTTCCATGCTCGCAGACTTATTAACTCTCGTTCAGTAGCTCTGTCACAGTGTGATACAGAATTTGCGTCAGATGGGGCTCCCTTGACTGATGATAGGCCTGCGGAACTTTCAACCCATATCCGTATCTATGCCGCAAGCAATGATAGCATACCAGGCTCAGGTGCACAGGAAGGGCAATCCACCGCGGATGGTGTAATAGTGACACCACCAGTCTCAGACGCTCAGAATGCTTCTATTCCCTCATCAGGGTTCTCGGGCCCTATAGCTTTCACAACTACGGATCAGCCATCAGTGAGTTCTGGGGACGAAATCCCTGTGGGGAGTAGTCTAGATTTGAGAGTTGAGCCTATATGGTGGAACCAAAGTCCTGATATTCTAGGTGACATGTTTAGTTATGACTTCTTTCTCCCAAACAGTATTAGCTCTTCTCAGAATATATACTAGTCAGGCTCAATTAAATTAATTAGGTTATTTTACTAATATTTCTTTTCGGTCTGTGTAGGGACCCCCATTGTTGACTTTTCTGTGGATTCTGTTAGGATAGCTAGATCTCTTTTTCAAAGGATGCTACCAGACTCAACATTGCTGTTGTCTCGTAAATCTGGTAACTAGACTCATTGTAGGTTGGACTCTGTGGCAGTAGCGTAACTATGCGCACAGATCAGCTGTCATCCCATGCATACTCAATCAAGGTTTTAAACAACCCACATCAACCACGGTTAACGTTGGGTTGTTTGATGCGCATCAATTAGATCTGACGAAACTGAGCAGCGGTCTGAGAGGATTGACATATATACTTCCTCATTGGGAGTGTCTCCCCGTGGGGACGGTAAAGCACCTGGGAAATCGTCTACCAAGGATGTTCCGATTGGGCCGCATGATGAACTCTCCACTAAATAGGGCTTGGCATTCGGGTGCTAACATGGGATCGGGGAAGATAGCTCCGTCATTGTATGGGGGCAAATATTCATGTGAGCAAATACAATAATATATATACTGGACAAGTCACTGCTGTAAGGAACCATCGACTGCTCCCTTACATTACTCTGCAAATAGTAACAATGAAGCTTCTTTCAGTCTTCACCACATTTGTTCTCACTCTGGCCACTGGCACTTCAGCTAAGCCAACTCCCTCCTTTGGGGTGAGCAACAACTCTACCGATGCAGCAGCTGGTTATGTCTTTGCTTACTTCGTCGGAGATAACAACGATGGAGAAAGCATATTCTTGGCTGCCAGCAACGGCAACAATGCTCTTTCTTGGAAGGAGTTGAACGACGGCAAGCCGATCCTCAAGTCCACCAAGGGCACAAAAGGACTCCGCGATCCCTTCTTGATGCGATCCCATGACGGAGACAAGTTCTTCCTTATTGCCACAGATCTAAAGATCAACGATATTGGCTGGGAAAAGGCCCTACGAGTCGGCAGTCTGTATCTCGAAATCTGGGAGAGTACCGATCTGGTCAACTGGTCTGAGCAGCGACATACTCTTGTCTCCCTCCCCACCGCTGGCATGACCTGGGCGCCTGAGGCGTACTACGATGAGTCCATTGGCAAATACGTCGTGTACTGGGCTTCTCGTATATATTCCGAGGACGACCCAGACCATGAGATTGAGACGTACGCCAAGATCCTGTATTCTACAACCAGCGACTTCAAGACCTTCAGCGAACCTGTGGTCTGGCAAGGCTCCAACGACCGAATTGACACGACTGTGATCAAGGATGGCGATACATACCACCGCTTCACAAAAGACTTTGGCGGAGTGTCAGGCAAGGAATGCATTGACATCATTCAAGAGAGCTCGCCTCACCTACGAGATGGCCAAGATGGATGGACGCACGTTGCAAGCTGCATCGGCACAAAGGCTGGGCTCGACGTAGTGGAGGGCCCCAGCATTTTCAAGTCGAATATTGACGATGTTCACGGTCAGAAGTTTTATCTGTTTGTTGATGAATTTGCTGGACGTGGATATATACCGCTTGAGACAGATGACATCGCAAACCCGGACTGGAAGGTTTCTGAGAACTATAGCTTGCCAACCAGTCCCCGTCATGGGAGCGTTGTGCCGGTGACCAAGAAGGAACTCGAGGGTGTACTGGCAGCGTATTCTACATGAAGGAACTTGTATTGTAGAGATAAATAACAAGAGGCTATTTTCACTCTATGAAGGCACCTGTCCACAACTTGTCACATTATCAAAAAGACTTTCCCACTCAACCCTTGGAGGAGAATGATGCCTTCTCATATTCCAAAGCCGCCAACATGAAAGCACCTGCGCCCCGAAGATCATTCTTCCTGGTCTTGATACTAGCATAATACTGTACACAAAGAGGTTAGCATCTGTTTATAAAGAACATGGGGTGTAGTAGCTTCTGTCTTACCTGGAATGTCGCATTACTCCCTAGGCTTCCAACCTCGACTGTTCCCTCGAAGTTGATGGTGCCGTCAGCATTTTTGGTGATGAACTTGTTGACCAGGCCCTCGTATGCCTTGACCGCCACACCAGAGTAGTCTTCAGCTGATAGCAAACCTCGGTTAAGGCCACGCAGCCAGCCGAATGTGAACATTGCGCTAGCGCTCGCCTCGATGTAATTGCCCTTGACGCCCTCATACTTCTCGTCCATGATGTTATACCAGCCACCACTTGTCTCGTCTTGTGCCCCCTTAAGACCCTCTGCCAGACTAGTAAAGTATCCAATAAGTCTCGCACGGCCTGGGTGGTCCTTGGGGAAAGCCTCAATCGCCTCGAGGAGCGACATGAAATACCAACCAACAGCACGAGCCCAGACAAGTGGTGCAGCGCCAGTCTTTGGGTCGGCCCAAACCGCGCGTTTGCTTTCATCAAAGCCGTGGACAAGGAGATTGTTAGAGCGACGCGTCACCTTGTCGATTTTATCGTACTGGAGGATGATATCATCCCAGGCCGTGGCATTGTTGGGCTGGAACAGACGCACGTACTTGGCGTAAAGGTTGTCGGCCATGTAGATGCCATCAAGCCACATCTGGTTGGGATAAATGACATCTCGGTGCCAGAGACCACCAGTAGGTGTGCGCGGATGATTGTTCAAGGTCTTCTTGATGTCATCAGCTGCAGTCTTGAACTTTTCCTCCCCGGTCTTTTGGTACCACCAAAGCAGATTGTTGCCGAAGCGGTAGTGATCCAAAGAGTAGTAGGTGTAGTTGAAGCCAGCGATTGCGCCATCCTTGAGCACCACTGCATCCATTTGACTGCGGAAGAAGTCATAATACGTTTTGTTCTTGGTATAATCGTACATATCCTCAAAAGACGTGTATAGTGTCGCTTGATCGTAGTTATACGAGGGTTTCGCATTAAGTCTGATCATTGAGTCTGTCATGAGCTGTGAATAAGAAGTTTTGGTGTTTGAGGGAGCCGCGACAGTGCTGCCAGCCAACATAGTGGCAGCGAGGAGTAGTGACGCTCTCATGGTCGGTGCATGGATCTGGCAAGGACGTGATAGTGGCGTCGAAGTATGCACGAGATGCGTAGCGTAGAAGGTGATCAAGCTTAATTTTAGCTTAAAACCCTTGAACTTTGTTCCCAAGTCTCTTGGGGAGACGAGGCTTCTTATTAGTCCCATACAGCATTATGCACTGTACCCATACATCCTAGTATTATTTCATATGATCCAATTTGAGATATTGTCCGAATTGTCTTGCCTAATCGAGGTCGTCTAACTGTATCTAATGATAAGGCTTGGTGGAAAATAATCCTCCAGACGGCCTCGACAAGGGTATGAGTTTGCTCTATACTGATTGGCGGAGAGATGATTTACCGGGACTAAGATCAGCAAAGAGTCTGCGGGGAATTGATTAATGCCTGGGATCTTCATTACAATTAGGCTGAGCCCTAAACCGTGTCTAGGGTTATCCAGACCTGTGCTCTATTTCAACAACTTCAAATCATACACATGATACCCCTGAGCGATTTTAAAATATAGTTAAAGTCTTCCATAAGTAACTTAGTAAGTATTTTCAAAGATAGAAGCCTGGTATTGTCAACCATCAAGGATAGTGGCTAGTTTGTACTGGTGTGTAGAGAATTTACCGGGAAATATCTGTGTAAGCGGCGCCGAAAACGCAATTTGTTCCTGGGCTTCACAACGCAAGCAAAAATACATTAAAACGATACTCATACTCTCCCGCGTACTACTACTCAATATTTAGATTGTCCTGCTTCCAATAGTGGTAAGTGAGTGTTGACCGATCATCTATCATTATGAGGTACCAATTGATCTTGACTCAGTGACGTCTGACGCGCCATTGACGGCTTTTCGAGGAAAGTATTAACGATAAAGATCGCAACCTAGGCAGGCTTGTCTTGGGCAATGCGTAACTATAGATGTCATGATTCTCCTGGAAATTTCTAAAATATGCTTACTAGTGAGAAGTACCTTGATTATAACCCAATATCGTCAGACTATGACTTTAAGACAGTTACGAACTTTTAGCTTCATCTCAATCTAGGCCTTCTTCACAGTACCCTTCAACTTGAGTCCCGACTTCCTGATTTTGCCGATATTCATCAACGAGATCATGCACACCCTCCATAGCTTCAGTGAATTCCATCTCATCCATATTTGCACTCCACATAAACAGGTAGGCCTTCTTCCTGAACAAGACATGGAATTCATCTCCGATACGTTTGAACGGCCCTTGAATCGCGGTCGAGTTACCAACAAAGGTTGACGAGACCTCCTGTTCAGAAGACGGAACAGAACAAAACGTAGTCTGGATATCATTGGGAATCCAGTCTGAACTTTTGCTTTGTATACTATCGATTTGTTCTCCGACCTCTTTCATGTCTACCTCGCCACGACTATTCAGCTATTAGTAGATGGAAACATACTAGTAGTTCAATATTCTGCAAGGCTAGAGGCACTTACAAAACTGCTAAATAATTTAGAAATCGGCCGTTCCGTAAATCAGAAGCAGACATAGAATTCTGGGGATCGAACAGTTGCTGTGTGAGCTCTGGGATAGTGATTACTCGAGAAGCAGTCGTCAAAGGGGCAAAGCCCACTGTGAAGAAGTGCAAGCGTGGAAATGGCACCATGTCCAAAGCCATCTTGCGCAGGTCTGAATTCAACTGCCCGGGAAATCGAAAGCAGGTAGTAAGACCAGACATGACCTTCGAAATGTGATGATTGAGGTCTTCGTAAGACGGGAATTCTTGAGTGCGTTTGCAAATATCGTACAGGGTATGGTTGTCGATGCAGAAAGTCTCATCTGCGTGTTCAATCAACTGATGGATGGATAACGTAGCGTCGTAGGGTTCGACAAGAGATTCCGAGATACTCGGGTATGCTGAAGGTAAGATGGAGAAGGTAGCTATCATGCGATCAGGAAATTCGTCGCGTAGTTTTGAAGTTAGTAGTGTACCCATGCCGCCGCCAGTTCCACCGCCTAGGGAATGGGTGATTTGGAACCCTGAGAGACAATCACATTCCTCTGCTTCACGTCGTACCACATCGAGGACTTCATTCGCTAGCTCTGCGCCTTCCTCATAGTAACCTTTCGCCCAGTTTTTGCCAGCCGTTAACTGGCCAAAAACGAAGTTGTCGGGACAAAAGAGTTGACCCATAGGGCCAGACCGAATGATATCTCTGGTGTTTGGGTCCAGATCCGTCAAGACTGCACGAGGAACAAACTTGTTGCCGGGATTCTGGTGGACTATGAGTCAGCTTTACGCCATATGGAGACGTTACTTGGACATACTTCTTTAAAATAAACCTCTAGACGTTCCTGTTGAACGCTGGCTGTCCCCCGGAAGCTACTAGGCTTAGCGATCATGAAACTCTTGTCAAACACCACACTTACATGCCATCACTGTCTAGGCCATGTTCATTGTGAATGTTCTCCCTATTGTGATCATTAATGACTTTGGCCTGATCGACAAATCGAAGGTAGGCGTACCAAAATGCAGAGCCAATTTGATTTCCCTACAACATCAGAACGAACCAACTGAGATGAACAGGGAGTACATACACATTGACCAACTTGCAAATGGATCTGTTTCTTTATTAATACATGGCCCTTGCTGTGACGCATAATAAACGGCTTACAATTTCGCGCATCTTTGCTGGGAACGATGGTCCAGTACTGGAAAGTTGGACGAGTTAATGTATGAGTCTAGAAGTACCGGTCACGTTGGTACCTCTCCTCATATTCATGTAGGAAATGTTGCATATACGTAATGATTGTGATGCGGAATTATGCTTCTATTCTTTTCTAAGCGAAAATTAATGCATGACTGCCCCGCTTCACCGCCCTTGCCACAAAGTTTCAAATAATCTGAGTTATAGAAGACAGCCTGCAAAGAGCTGTGCCTTGCGATTCAACATCTTGCGTCTTGAGGCTGCGAACATCACTAGGGAGGGTGATAGTAAGGCGTCTTTGGGCCAAGCAACAACTTCCGATTTGAAACCATCGAGTCCATTCCCTATCCAGTCCCTGCTTAACCATGTAGCCCCCGATGCAACACTCCAATGCCTACTTTGTAACTGGTATCCCGGTACCGCAGTAGTCGGCATACTGCTCCCTGCTGGACTTGGGGTTTCCCCACCACTTAACAAGGACATTTGTGTTAGAAAGCGCCCGTTCAAAAACTGAGAAAGATGGTGAATTGGACTTACTGTAGGAAATGGGACCTCATTCCCAGAGCCGCCGGCCACGGCAAAGGTGAGAATGAACATGGCAATCTTGGCCCCTGCATCAAGTCCGCCACCAACAATATAGTTGTATTTTCCAAACCATGTAGGATTGCGCAAACGCATGTACCACTGCGACCATAGGCCAGTAGCGATCTGTGACCAGAGAACTGAGGTTGTTCCAGCCGTGGTTGTGGAGGCGTTATGGAAGATGACAGGCGCTATAAGCTTATGGACTTCCCAACCTCCAACAGTCTTGTATCTACGGGAGACGAACCAAACCAGGACAGGAATTGCAGCGCCGATGAGCAAGGATAATGGGATCCTGTGAAATAGTTAGTCATTGCGGCCAATATGGGCTTGTAGTCAAAGCAAACTTACCATCCATATCCATCAGGACCGAAGCCGTAGATGTATTTGGCAAGAGACCATGTTACAGCTGTAGTGTTCAGCGACTGGATCTTCTGGCCACTCCACTTTGAAAGGATTAGCCTGGCTAACAACTCTTCAATCACTGTCGTCACTTACCACCTGGTTGCCAATGGGATCCAATAGGATGTCACGACGGTTTCGGGTGATAGTATCCATTATAACCTGTAATGCGAAGCGTTAGGTGATGGGCATTCTCCATGAAGAAATTAAGTTTGTCGGATGTACTCACGTAGTTAAGTGCGGTACCGAAGAGGCTACCCCATGTTTGTAAGAGAAACATGGTTCTCCAAGGAATCTTGAGGTATTGAGCCATTTTCAAATCTGTTGACAAAAAGACTGAGAGAACCGTGACCTCATGACTGAACATGGAAAAGTACAAATTCGCAATAGGCTTTCCGGGCTGGAGTACGCCGCTCAGCATTTTAGACAAGTTGTTCGTTGAAACGCTGGTGCCAAGGAGACCGTATAGACAGAGAGAAAAGGGTGCGACAATGCATCCTAGGAGCTGCAAGATTTTAGTAACCGCTTGAAGGTTTTATAGTTACTGGACAAGCTTACAATGGCGACCACATAGGCCCACAGGTCCAGGGTTGTCTGACCTTGAGCGACTGCACCGAGGCCTAAGAAAAAACCAACCAGCAAGACGACTATGTACCACCATAGAGGTACTTGTTTGTAGTTCTTTTCCATGGCTTGATAGTGCGGGTCTGGCTGCGTGTTCTTCCAGGCTTGCTTGAGTGATCTTTTTATTCTTTTCAGGTAGTTAGTGATGGTAACCATTAACTGTTTGAGACGTGGCTTTACTTACAATGAACCATGGAACAACGATATGTGGGTAATCAGAGCACCGATCGCAGCCATGGCAGCCATGTTAGCCCATACGTTTGTAGCTGTAAGTCGTGGTAGGCCGTGCTCTTTCAGCGCGTCAGTGTTCAAAATAGCAGTCTGACCAAAGACGGCAGTTTGGTTGTATACACCACCCGTCTTGGCGTCAAACATAGCCGTCGACATGAACGGATACTTCTTGGCATCCCATGCACCGCCGTAGTAGAGTGCAAAGCACATGATATAAGACAAAACAATACCGACCCACGAGTTTGCCTGTTGTAGAAGAGGAAGTGACATGTAGCGTGAGGTGATGTACTGCCAATCAAGCGAGAAGCTGAAGAGTCCCTGGCCTTCATTCGAAGAGATGCCTCCAAAAATGGTCATGAGAATCCCTCGGGTTGGGGGAGAGGCCTTCATCGACGCCAGGCAAGGGATCGAGATACCGTTAAGCCAAGGCCAGATGTACGAGGCGATAGGTTCCCATATGAACATGGTAATGGCCGTGATGCCGAACATTTTAAGGCGCGGCTGGTTTTTGCCCTTTTGCTCACGATGGAATGTCTGGTAGATTGAGATCATTGGCAAACACTGCCACCAAACCATTTCGCTAGGGTGGATGATGACGGATCGTAAAATCCCGACCAGTCCATAGCCAAAGATGGATGCTGAGCAGACAGTCAAGATAGCTGTAGCAGCGTCTGTCTCACGGTCATAAAAACTGTTTATCATTTGTTAGACGCTTTGATTAGAGAGCCGGGGTGGGAGCTCACAGTCGCTTGGCGCCAAAAACCTGTACAATCGCGGCACCATTTCCACTGGATGTGGATAAAATGGAGGATATGGCGTGTTCCTTGAGACCGAAGTGGCCCGGGTTGATGAAATGTATAATCGGCCCAAGCCACTTGGCCTGGGAGGGAAGATACTTCTCAACATGATGGCGTCGAGGAAGGACAACAGACCATGTGACACCAATAACGTATGCCATGAGGCAGAGGAAACTGGAAACTGTGAGCCAATGGATGAACAAGATTGTGGGCGAAGCAGTAGAAAGGTGGATAAGTAGCTAGTCTTATCAGGAATTCCCATACGCAACGTTGAAGGGGAGTAATTACACTGAGGCAAAAGAAACGTCAACTGGCTTGTAAAAGTAACTAAAGGTGAAATGTCAGCATCCATTTGAATTGTTCGTGATGGACCAACTCACATCTGGTTAATACAAGCCGCAAGCGCCGTCAATCCTAGGACACAGTGTAAGCCTAATGTGATATTCTATGATCATAGCACAAACACTAACCAGTTCCGATAATGAAAGACCTCAAAGTGAGAGTAGGATCACCGTCATCTTGGAGACTAACAACATACTTGGCAACGTCGTTACCTGTCATGAATTCAGTTTGAAGTGTCTCGAGTCGCTTGCAGGTTTGAGAAACTTACCGTCACGGATAACAACCCCTCCTTTGATAAGCCTCTGATCGCCATCTTGGTCGCGCTGCTCCTCGTTGTCCTGCGAGCCGCTTCCGCCGTCTGCAACTAATACCTCTCTCGTGCTGTGATCAGACGGTTCAACCGCGATTTCCGAAGCGAGCTTGTTGTCACGATCAGCCATCTCGAGACAAATTTTCTCAGGGCAACATACTTGGGATTTGTATTGCGACACATTGTTTGAGTTTTATAAAATATTTACAATATCATCCATGTTTAGCGCATCCGTTCGCGTGGAAGGCGAATACACTGAGTCGGGTTATGATCGACAAGAGAACCGTTGAGGCGGTATGGATTTTGTGCATTAGCAGGAGAATTCTTGTCGGAGCAAATCCGACGTGTAGTATTCCCTCAAATCACGGTGCATTGAACCTTCTTGGCGCCTGTAGGAGTGGACTTGTTATAGTTGACGCTTTGCATGGGTTAGATGGCGCCATTCAATGCTCCCACAGTTCGGTTTCGGTTTGAGCCCTAGCGACATATGTATCTCCGCTGACTTCAATATTATGGCGATGGTCAGTATCACTAATCTGACAGTCGTTTCAATCAGCGTTTGAATTTTCGTGTGTTTTGCAGAGGTTTCGGGCAAAGGACAGGAGTGTGCTAAGGTGAGGCTTGATCCTATTGGCTGTTGTTTCGTGTCCCCTCTTAACGCGATTTGAAATGCCTTCCCAGATCTCGAGAGTTTCCTTCGATCTGTTGTAGCAAGCCAATCATTCCTTTTTGTCTTTGCGTTACACAGCACATTAGTCGTGATGGAGAAATAATTATTTGCTATTCGCTTATCCCTAGACGCGACCTTCTGGAAGCAGAGAAACGTCCGCTTGAGATTCTACAGATGCTTTACAGACTACCTAACCATGGCTGAGTCTTCCAACTGTTGTAATGTTCCTGGATACGTGGTTGAGAGATTGATTGGTTACGCTCGTTGCAACACCACACTAGGGTGTCCACAAGAGAAGGGATATTGGGGGTATTAACACCTAATGAATCACGCCCGTACACGGGTATTATAGGAGCAATCACACCAGCATTTAATCAGGCGAATAAAGATTTGTACAAGGGAAGCTAAAAGAGTTTCGTCAAGACTGAGACTTGGAATTCACTGATGTTAGAAGTGATAGTAAAAGCCTCTCCCAGGGCTAGGCTATTAAGAATCCAGGGCAATACATTAATATTCAGGACAAAGACCTAAGCGTTCCAGCAAATGATTAGTTCCGCTCAAGCTTTTAACTTGTGGCTGCCATGTTGAAGTGGCGCTTGTAAATGAAAAAGAACAAAACTGGCATCGAAATGTTAATTTAACTTCAGAGAAGAAAGGAAATAGGAAAGAAAAGGAATCCTTCCCCATAGTAACTTAAGAAGCTAATTGTTATTTATAACTTGAAAACTCCTGAAAGTTTATTATCCTACATTCTAGCTTTTCGATCTTGAGTTACTGGCAAGAATGCTATATAACGTTACACGTTTAATAGTATAAAGTCTAGATCTTCAATTAATAGAGGTTAAATATCGTGTACTACATGTCTGGGAGATTACTTATTAAAACAGTTAAGCACTATATGATTCCACTGGATCTGTAGATTGAGGATTAAATTTCGTATTGTTCGGTGGCTATAAGATAAGTCCATGTTGCGAATGCGTTAGGCCATATCCTTTCCCAAAGAACTGCAAAAGCCTAGAGGAGGACATTAAGGATGAGGATTTACTCTCAATTCACCTTTAAAGAGATATTCTACGCGGGCATTTAATTACACTGTATATCTCGTAAGGGCTTTAAGCAGAGGCAGCCTTGACCTTCTTGAAAAAGAAGAACAGAAGGGCAAAGAAAGCCATTTATAGCTAAGAGTAAGTAATGCAAAACAGTATTATAACATATAATACAATACAGTAGGTATAGAGCGTCTAGTATTACTAAAATACATTTTAAACATTAGCAGTAGATTTAAAAACTGCAATAGTTATAAATAAAGATTATTAGCTACCTATTTATTATAACTCTTTCTAACTACTCTTTTACTACTATTATATACTAAAAGAAGATATTATAGTTCAAGTTCGTTTTTAATGTAATTTGCAATAGCAAGATAATATTAACTGCTATATGATAACAGTAGTGACTTTTCTATTAATATCTTATCTTCGTTTTTACAAGCGATCTTATCACAAGGGGCGTACTACATAGTGTAGAGTGCTTGTAAAGGAAGGTACAAATACCCCTGCCATTCTTTACGAGCTTTTTGAAATTGTTAGGGAATAGATCAGCAGAGCTAGTATATGAAGTCAATTCAGCGATTGGGTAAAAGAATACGCCAAGACCTCCACGTTGTATTTTTATGTTCATACTCGTATAAATGCCATTGTTATCGGAACCTTTTTAATGAGGCAATTAATAACAACCTGCTTAGCAATTAGGAATTCTGATTATTTATATAAATGGTATTCCGCACTACTCTACCGGATTAAGTGTATGAATAATAACCAGGAAGAATTACATGTCCTTCACGATGCTTCTTTTCACTCTTATTGGACTTGTGCCTATTCTCGCTTGTGCTAGGGACGTTGCTCCCCAAGGCCGGGCCTGCCTTGTATCTGATGAACGTCCAGTACAGCGACCAGTTACTCGTGTATTGACGCAATCCCAAGACCTTCCAAGCGCCATCACTGTGGATGTCCATTTTCACATCTCTAGTACCAAAGAACACGAGGATCTCATCACTGATGCCATTGTCAACGCCCAATGGGACGTACTTCACCGCTCTTTTGCGAAACACGATATCAACCTTGTGTTAAACTCAACGGACCGAGTCGTCGACGACATCATCGGCAAATCATTCCTCGTCTACGAGGGCCCTGACAAAGGCTGGGTCAAATACACAGATGAAGAGAACAAGTTCTACAAGAGCACACGCCGAGGCGGCTACGATGCCCTGAATCTCTACTTCTTCAGTGACTATTCCCCTGGCGCGACCGGATACTGCAGCTGGCCAACCGTTATCGCAGAGGGTGATGACTTGAAATTTGCCCAGGACTCCTGCCAAGTCAGTGGGTTGACAATGCCGGGGATTACGCCAGAACAGGGCGCATTTGAAGATTGGAACTTAGGTCATCTTGCAGTGCACGAGGCTGGGCACTGGTTTGGCCTCAATCACACGTTTTCTGGTGGCTGCTCAGAGCCTGGCGACTTTGTTGATGATACGCCTTCTCAATTAACCCAGATCTTTGGGTGTCCCATCGGCTCAGATAGCTGCCCCGATAAACCTGGGCTGGATCCCATTCATAACTTTATGGGTTATACGCAGGACAATTGGTGAGTATCCACTCTAATGTCTTGCCCTTGCATAACTGACCAAGGCTGTAGCACTAATTCTTTTACACCCGGGCAGAAACGCCGCATGTTTGAGACATTCTTTGGCTTTAGGAGGAAGGTCTAGAGGAGATTTTATAGGTTATCTTGTGTATTGGCTTGAAGTACTTGCACACAACTACTTAGCTCTTGTTCAATGGAGTAGTGCCCAGTATTTGCAAGCAAAACGTTACCTTGGTGGTACGGAAACCAATCCATTAAAGTAGCCATGTCACCATAGGTATACAGTTGGTAAGTACATTATTAATGTTAAGTCGGGTATCACCTGAAAAAAGAGATCCAGCTGTCCCAAGATAATCTATAACAATATTAACATTTTTTAAGTATAGACCAATAGATATTTCTGCCTGCAAAGTGAACCCTTGTCACTAGTAGGGAGCTTTTAGCATCTAAGCCACACACACTAACTATTAGTGTGATTTTAGAAGTACTTTGCATTATGTGAGAAATACGTAGACTGGAAGGTATAGTGGCTGTGCAAGACTTACCCTTGCAGGTATACAGCCTCAATAAGCTGCCTCCGCTTTTCACATAAAATTGAGTTATTTCTCATCTATTTCATTTAAAATGACTATTTTTCTTTCTTGCACCAAATGCAAATTTAATCGAATGGCGACTTTTCAATATCTTAAACTAAAACGAAAGGAGATTCGATTGGTCGAGTTACAGCCTGGCTTACCCGATCATCCGCTCGCTGGTGTCATTCTGCACCGACTCTTCTCACCAGCCAAAGATGTAGTACCGTCTTTCGAAGCACTATCGTACGTCTGGGGCGACCAACTGAATCCAGTTTCAATAAGTCTCCTGATGGAGAGAGACGATAAGGCACTCCAAGGTTCTGAAACGGGCGATTTACACATTGGGCAGAACCTAGCTTCTGCTCTCAGATCCCTTCGAGACCCCCACGAGCCGCGTATAGTCTGGTGTGACTCGATATGCATCAACCAACACGACCTCGAGGAGCGTGCTACCCAAGTCCAACGTATGCATGAGATCTATCACGACGCCAGAAGCGTGATTGTATGGATGGGCCCTGAGACACAGTGGAGTGCTCTACTCATGGACACACTGAAATGGGTTGGGACTCACGTGGAGAAGGGATCTTATGACATGATTGTCCGAAAGCATCGGTTTACATTCACCGATATACCAGACCAGTGTTTCCGTGGTAACTACAATGACATGCCGCTCAGTACTGATCAATGGCAAGCCGTGGAGCAATTCTTGTCTTTGGACTGGATCAAGCGTTTATGGACATGTCAAGAGATTATTTTGGCGAATCAAAAGACAAGCATCGTCAGGATAGGAAGCGAAGAGATGCCATGGGCAAAGTTCAAAGACGTCATCACGTTCATTTGTTACTACGGAACTACACCGTCTGACTCACTATTAGATCCCCAAACCTATATCTCTAACGCTGATATGTTCCAAGTTAAGATTTCAATGTGCGGTTTTCGACTTTGGGATGAGTGGATAATCCCATTAAACATAATGAACGGATTTGAATGCACAGACGATCGAGACAGAGTTTTTGCTGTTTATGGGTTAGTAAACCCTGAGGTCTCGAAAGAGATCGAAGCAGATTACACCAAGACAACCAAAGAACTGTTCACATCAGTTTGCCTCAGTCATATCAAACAGCAGAATAATCTATCATTCCTTACTCTATGCAACGCGAGTAGTTCCCCAACCTGGGTGGCAGACTTGGACAGGAAAATAGGCGTTATGTCTATTGATAATCACGCCGGTGGAGGCTCACTCCTTACAGCCACTCTTAGTGAGCCTGGGGTATTGGAAGTAGCTGGAGTTGCATGCGATGGGGTATGCTACGACCCCATTCCTTTGCCCAGAATCGGTCTTACCGAGCCAGACGCCGAGTTTATTCAAAGAGTTGTCCATGTGTTCAACACAATGGCCAACAACGACCTGTTTCATGACAGCGAGTCTCTCGACAACTTTATCAAGATGTTAACGTTTGGCGGCGTTCAAGACCAATTTACTCAGGAGGCCCAGGGGGTTCCTTTTATGAAAGACTGGCGTGGGACTTTACGCCGATGGGTTATTGGCGCTTCAGAAGATGAAGTTCTCACAAATCACTTAGCCGCATCCGATAAATCACATATAGCTTCGGTGGCGGGAGAAAGCACTTCGACGGGCTGTTCAAAAACTACACGGGGGAGTTTCATTCGTGTTCCAAGGGAGAGCCGCAACGGCGACATGGTGGCCGTCATACTGGGCTCATCCAACCCAATGATTCTTCGGCCCCAGGAGAGACCTGGCTATTACAGCGTTATTGGGCCCTGCTATCACCCCGAGTTTGCCCACCGCGAAGCACTCCTCGGAAATGACTTCCATGGGTGGACGTGGCGATACGATCGCACCAAGCCTTTTATGGCTTTCAGCAAAGAGGGAGAACCCATGCGCAGGACTGATCCGCGGTTGGACAATGTCCCTTTGGACTTTAGCGAAGGCTTGGTCGAACAGTTGATCACTGAGGACGAAATACCGTGTTGGGGAGTTCCAGGTCGGGGGAAGTTTTCGTTATATGACCCACGAATGTCTGAAGAGCAGCTGAAAAGGAGGGGAGTGCCTATCCAGAGATTCAAGCTTGTGTAGTAGAGCGTCCATTTTCAACCTAAATATTTATAATACGTATACTTCAAAATATGTATCTGGGCATGGTGGCACTGTTTCCCGTTTGGCTAATGATATCCTCTATACGGTGGAAGGTAGCCTACATGCCTCGTGCGCAACCGCTTTTACACGCTGCGATGGCAAGAACAAGATCGATAAACATATAGTCCACAGGCTCTAGTAGTACAGAAGAAGTATTTATCTACCGGTGATTAGCAACTGAGGTCATATTAGGGAAGAAAGCAAGTCTGGCTTTACCCGGCGTTGAGAACCTTCAGATGACTTTCGATAAAAGTGCACTAGTTAATTTTGAGAACAGCATGGCTGCGCCATATATTTTAGTGCTGAATCTATCACACCTAGCGCTTACGGAAGTGACAAGTCTAAAAGCGGCTCGTGGGTTATGCTATCCAATTACACATGGAGGTAAATGGGAAAGAAGTAAAGAGAACACGCTAATCATAGGTCTAGAATGATGTTGGACGCCTGGAGGCTTTCTGTCAAAAATGATAACCTGAATCGTAATGAAACTTTGAAGCCCTATCTGCTGTCCCTTGTCTCACATCATGATTAGCGTCAGGCTAGCATAGGTCAAGGATCGGATACGGTGATAGAACATCCGGCCGTGATCTAGTGCGATAATAATCTTGGTATTGATCTATGGCTGGTCAAAATACCCAGTTAGCACAGAGCAATTTCACTTAGACCCCAGAATGATCCGTTAATCAATTATCTGGCGCATCTCCGCACGGTCTATGTGAGACAGCGCAAATCTTCAGCACAAGAACGTAGAAGATCAAAGCACAGGTGGACATGGTTAGCAAGCATGCTTCCGGGGCTATCATCCAGATCGTCATGTGTTCCCCTGACCATGTCGATCGGCAACACGGGCCTCAAGCCGCTGTATCAAGCCACCTGGAGACTAGTAAACCCTAAAGTCTCCAAACCGAAATCCTAACGCATTCCACATCCACTAGATAGCAATATCTAGCGATAAACGAGGTCGAGTGTTGCGAGTACGACACAGAGGCGTTGTGCCTTCCTTCTAGACCGCGGTGGCTACCACACACAAACCAATTAATCCCCTGACCTGTTATCTCCACGAGTCTTGTTCCCTGTAGCATTACCGCAAGCGTCCCATCATTCCAGCAGGTAGCTACTCAGATCTCGAGACTCAGGAGTTCCGGTTTACTCTCACGCCAATGACTGCACTAAGGCGTATGAAATTCAGCCCTGCGTGCTAACTTCTAAGTGTGTCCCTGTACCTGGTTTTCGATTGCTTTAAGAGTGCAGAAAGTCCGCTCGTTATTCCCCAGGATTTCTATCCACACCCAAACGGTTTTATCGCTTCTCAGCCTGATACCGCGACATGTCATCGGACGAGATCTTGGCGGGCAAAGCCCTCGAATCGAGAAAACCAACAATCCTAGCCATTGTGGTTTCAATCCCAATCCTAGCCTTCTCAGCTGTGTTGTTGCGAGTTTACACCCGCACAATCTTACTGAGAAACTTTGGTATCGACGATGGATGTGTTATCATTGCACTTGTGAGTGCTTAAGGCGCTGCGAATTGTCTTGTGTTCTTAATTAACAGATTCAGCTCTTCACATTAGCATGTGCCACTCTCGTTGGATACAGTAAGGTTTCCAAATTAAGTTTGTTTGACTTGAAGCTAAAATGTTCAAGATACCCGAAACGGCTTCGGTGCCCATCAATCCACTGTTTCCGATGATGAGTTTAGAGCTTTTATGAAGGTTTGTCTCGGAAGTGTCCAACGATACTACGCGAATCTAACGCCAATCTCAAGACATTCTACTTCTCTATTGTTACATACAATATCGCCCTAGCCGCCATCAAGACAACATTTCTCGTCCAGTATTACCGCGCCATAGGTGTCCGCCAGTACAAGAGAACATACCTGATAGCTCTTGTTATCGTCAGTGCATGGAGCGTTTCACAAATTTTGCTCAACACCCTTGCATGCACACCGGTATCAGCTTTCTGGGATCATTCGGCTGGCGGTTCATGCATCCCTAACAACCCATCATGGTATATCAACGCGGCTGGAAACATCGTAACGGACATTCTAATCATGCTGCTTCCGCTACCTATCCTTCGAGAACTGCGGCTTGGGCGACGTCAAAAGTGGATTCTCATCTCTATCTTCTGCTTAGGCTTCTTGTAAGTTCCATGGACATTAGCCTCTTCGTCGCTGACTCAACATAGCACTTGCATCATATCAATCATCCGGATCAAGTTCCTTAGTATAACCGAGGATATCACCTGGAACAACGTGGAAGCTGCGGCTTGGTCTGTGACTGAGCTCTGCTCCGGCATTATCTGCGCAAGTCTCCCAACTCTGCGGCCCCTGGTCTCCCGCCACTTCCCCTCTTTCTCTAGCCACAGTCGTTCTTACGCGATACATGAGGATTCAAGAGCCCAGATGAATAGCCATCAGTTACACCAGTCACGTGGCCTCGAGATGGATGGCTTCTCTGGCCAAAGTATTCACTCATCCGAGAGCAAGGAACAACTACATGTCTTGGAGTCGAGGATTATCATACATACCGATATCGACCAGCATGTACAAGCATCAGCGCCAGGAAATCATCAAACTTTACACCATACATCTATTGAAGGAGGGCCAGGTTCAGAAATTGTAGTTCTGGGGAAGTAGCATGCTTATAATCTTCTTAATTTGCGACCTAATATTGAGTTTATGTTCTTCCACCCGTTTGTTGCAAACGTAACCGTTCCGGAAGTTGACTAATAGGCACTATGATCACCGAGAACCATTATCATAGCTTATGAACTAGGTAGGCTACAGATAAAGGATTCCTCGCCACTCCTATTAAGTTATTCAAGAGTACTAAATCGCCTTATATTATTAAATGGTTCCAGCCCCTTAGCAAGCTTTACTGTAATTAGAAGGTCACTATTATTCAATCCAGGATAAGAATCCTATTCTTCCTACTGGTAGCCTGTCTCTGTATGCCAAGCCTGTTCATTACTACATCATCACGACTTAAATCTGCACTAATTCTTTCGGGTCCTAGGCGTAGTCGCACATCCTGATATCCGGAGAAACCTGCCTAAATGGGCAGGTTCTTAATCTGCCCAGTGAGAGACAATAAAATCTGGGGTTTTATCCTTTTTTGGATTCACCCTCGAGATACCTTCCCCATATGTCTAGTTTAGAATCCCACATGGAATAGAACTGCAGGACTATAATTTCCATCCTTATCTTTTATATAGCAACTAAAATCCCTGGTGGGGAACTTGTCAAGGCTCTATAGAAACTGTATAAATATGCCGTCTGTCTCGTATTGACTCTAATTGGAAGTATCCATTTTATCTATATTCTTTTTCTGCATAACAATAATTTCAATATGCATTTCACTCTTGTTGTTACAGCTCTTCTAAGCTTGGTCGACTTGTCATTTGGATGGGCCCAGGCAGACAACGGGGTATGGGTTGCAAATAACACCTATCACACAATTCGCGGCGGTAAGTCAATTCATAGCATTCATTTCAAAGATGAATAGCCCTTCAGATTCTAACATACATCATAGATAACGTGCATGAGGCATGCACAGTAATGAACACACAGCAAATCCATGGAGGTGCTTGTGCTTACTGGGTTGATGGAAACGGTAAAATTTTCAATGGACGTGAGTACTAAAACACCTTATAATAAAAAACATCCGGCATTATAACTTTCTACCGTGTTTGCAAAGACATTACTAATTGAAATACTATAGACTGTGCAGTTATCATGGGACAGGATGCTACTACGATCATGTGCAAGTAATTCATTCATGTAGCACTATAAAGAAGGGATTACATAGGAGCAGGGTACCAGAGAGGGAGTATTGAATGTTTTGCCTTTTTATTATCCACCTCAGAGCACGTCATCCACGGCCCCTTATACGCTTTTGATTTATCTGTGACTTTAGGCTATCCACTATTTTGTCATTATTCTTGATCAGACCGTCGAGGCAATGTTGGAAGGATAGTAATCGAATATTGCTATCGCTTCTTTTGCTAGAGATGGACGTTGTGTCGCTTTGGGGGCTAGCTGGTCTCCTTGTTGGCGAACATGACGTTAATGTCGTAGCATTATAAGGGTAGCAGTAGGAGCTACTAGGCGAAGGGTTGTATACGTCTTGATACTTTGGGTTCCATTGAGTATTAGTACCAGAGTCAATCGAAAATTCAAAGCACTCGAGCTTACCGGCTGAAAGGTTATGGGGTCCTGCCATGATGTTGGTTGAGGTTGGAAACAATCGTTAGAAATGTTTAGTGGAAGTGTTGTATAGTCTTGCATCTGACCCTCCGAACTGCCCGTAATGGCATCTTGACAAGTCTCAAACATGCCCCAGAAGGTACAGAACCATTCGTATAAAAGAGCAGGCTCTTCGCAAGGTCTCAACATATTTTCTGGGGCTTCAGAACCTGCCCCAAGACCTGGCGAGGAGTATGAAGTGCCAAGCCCTGAGTCTGGTATGGATGGACTACAAGGAGGTGGCATTGTGGCGGCGTGCTGGCGCTGGCCAGGCATGACCTTGTGTCGTAAGTTGCTGTCGGATTCGAGAAGAGATTGTGCACAATTGAACATGCCCATGGAGAGGAAATAGTCGTAAATCTGCGTATGCAGCAGGGTGTGATAGCCACCATTGGGAGGCAGCTGGCCAGGAAACAGTACTTGATCTGAGGACATGATGTGATAGTGGATGGGGTAGTCAACCTTGGAAATACGTGCAGGACTAAAAGGGCAGACAGATGGGTATGTGAAAGTACTAATGCAGGTCAACAACTTCTAATACTTCTTAGATATTAATATGGTAAGACATCTAATTATACCACCACTAGACCGTTGGAAAAAGGAGTCTGTGGCGCTGGCCAGACACTGTGACTGCAGGATGGAACATTCTATAACTGCCCACATTCCGTCATGTACCGGTCGTATAGACCACCCACCCAAGAGAAACACAGACAAGATCTGCGACTTCTCTAGTGCTCCAAGTGTTAGGTGGGCGCTATGCATTGCCGAGACGGTTCGGTATGTTTACCGGGAGGAGCTACCGAATGTCATGTAGTGTAGGCCCACAATGTCTAAGCGACCTTCCTAGAGTTCTTTAGTCTTAGGATGTAGATATACCTCGGGGCGTAGAAAAGTGCGAGACCCGATGAGCACTTAATGGAATCTCTTAAGCAGTGGCTGCGCAGTGTAGCCCGCGAAATGGTCAACTATTTTTAGTACCTAACTTTCACATCCCACGTTTTGCTTCATGCCTTGGGTTATTGGGTAAACAAAAAGGAGCTTATCGCTTGCTAATTTTAGAGTAATGGTCTTAACAGTACTAACGCAGTTTCTGGTAACATTACCGACCAGTCTAACAGCGGTCATTATTCTTAAAGCTTGGCAGGTTGGTTTAGAAAGTAGCTAAAGGATAAATAAAACACTAAAGCTACGGCGAAATTCCGCTCGTTGCCTATGGGGGACATTTCCTACAACACCGAAGACGTCATAATGGTATTGTTAAATTGCCCTTGCTTGGCGATCCAAGGATTCAGAAACGCTCCGGGGAAGAAGCCCCGACAAGCTGTTTACTCCAGGGGCACGGATGTTTTAGCTGCCAATCAAATTGGCAGCTAAAACAAATGTTGGTTCCGAGACCCGGCAGTGCTTTTGAATACTATTTTGGGTTGTCTACATCATACGATTCAGGGGCCAATCACTCTTGGCTTTGACGCTACCGTGTAGATAGCTTGTCGGCGCGATATCCATGCTGCCATGCTGCTATGATATCCCGCAATAGGCTGCCGGCGTCGATCACTAGGGGCGGTTCGGGTTGAGGCTGAACTTTGGCGTCGATCTATCCCCACTGTGGCAGGCTAAGTTTCCCAACTACTGCAAGCGAAGCACAGTAACAATCCAAGCGCGACAGAACATGACAATACTCTTTGCTTTTATTACGGCTATAGACACATGTTTGTATATATATGTAATAGAGTTTGTTAACTAAACTGGTTGGACTTTACAAGCAAATTATTGGATTAGTGGCGAGTTCAAGAGAAAGAAATTAAGGACCTGGTAATATACGTCAGCCAGAGGGAGGGAAGTGAGACCTTCGCCACGCTAAAGTAGCAGGCAGGGGACATGGCATCTTATTAGTGCGCTAAAGTTCGACAGAACTCAAATAATAACTAAAGTTGACTGGCTGGATAAGTATCTAGCACTTTGCCACATGCCAGAACTCTAAGTGACATCTGCAGGGGGCAAAGTGTAATAATCTTCTCACCGTTAAAACATTCTTACTAATTAATTTGCTCACTGTAAAATCATCACACTTTCAAATTCTGCAAAGGGTATTAGGGAGTGTTAATTCCGTCGACTAATTTAGGCTTCGAAGGCACTGCATTTTATAATACCCAATTCGTAAAACCAGTACGATTAATTAACTCCTGTGTTTGGATTCAAGTGACCAGGCCAACCCAAGCATCTGGCCGTTGACTCGTAATTGACTCAAGTATCTTTTACTCTCCACTGGGAGGCTGCAAAATAGCTGAAAGTGGCTGTGGAATTCCAAAGTCAGGCACGTTTCCGGACTTAAAAGTAACCTTCTGTGCAAGAGTGAATCTGTCTGTGCCACAAGACCCCTTAGGATTATTGGTGGCGTGGAAAGCATTCTGAATTTGTGTCAGCTTGGATCATGATACTATTGAAGATGAGGACTCACCCAGGTCTCTTTTCCATCTGGAGATGTGAAGAAGCAGTTGTGGCCAGTTCCGTAGTTGCCGTTGGCTTGTGAGAAAACAGGACCGTTCTTAACCCATGATGAAGCCTTTAACGGATCGCCTCCGTTGTAACGCAGGAGTCCGAGCGAGTAGTTGGGAGTCCCACAGTATGAAGCTGAATACGCGAGCCAGATTTCACCATTGTGGTAGAGAGGCTATGACGTCAGTATCAATCTGGAAAATTGATATAATTCAACTCACATGAGGGGCCTCATTGACAGCAGTGATACTGTTGGGATTTGAGTTGGTTGTGTTCTTTTCCCAAGGCTGGTCAGGAACCGAAATGACATGCCAACCGTCGACGGTCCATTTCTTAGTGTCAAGTTTAGTAATAGCGATGGACTGCAGCTCATCCTTGTTGATTATGCTCAATACATGGTATCTTCCCTTTCCTGGGATTTCGAGATACGTTCCGTCAATACTAAAGGCAAAATCAGACTTGGGGCCACCCAGTGAGCCTGTCGGAGGAACAAGATCTGCCAAGTGCGTTTAAGTACAGTCGAATGGTGTTGCTTTGTTGCACCCTCGAAGAACACGAGTATGGCAGCTGTCGCAGCAGGGCAAAGCTGAGTCGCAGCTCGAATAGAACATGTGCCAAATGTTATCAATCTTGTGGATTTCTGGGGCCCACATATTGGCATTGCGAGTAGTGTTCGTGTCAGACCATATTGTCTTCGTTTCTCCAGTTAACAAGCCTCCCAGCGTCTTGGACCGGGTGATCTCAATATGGTCATAGGAGGTATATGTTCTGGAATTATTGTTAGCTTAGGGATTGTAGAAAGACGACGTGGTGGTTTCCAAGTTGGACGCGCTATCCAGCTGGCCCATATGAGAGTGTGTGGATATGACTGACAGGTGATAGAAGCCATTGGCAAAAACGACAGACGGATCAGGACCAGGTTTACGAATAGGGTTCTGGAAGGCTGCAACGCCAACCGCATAGATTGAGCCCAGGAAGACTCCAAAGTTGATGAGTGATTTCATTGTGGAGGGGTAATGATTTGGTTGATGGAGAATGTTTGGACGAGCACTAACATATATAATAAATCGACACAGCATGATACGTAGGTCTACCTCGTAAATCAATCTTATCCTTGTTGATGCTTGAGCTGACTAGGATTATATATGGAGCGTTAATGGTGCGCTTCGAATAGAATGAGCTTAGTGATGTCTCCCTGGCGGAGGATGATCGTTTTCGGCTTGTCGTCCAAGGTGAATTGGAGCAGTGTTCAATTTCTATTGGGGCGCATCCTGGTTGCCGGAACTTCTTCCCTGTAAATGCTCACGCGGGGCCCCGTAAAGAGAATTAACCAGGGTGTTAACCGGATCGACAAAGGCTGTAAACGGTATTGATTTCCATCATGGAAGAATTAAGCATTATTAACTATTTACCGCACCATTGATATGCTAGTATATACTGCCGGAAAAGCGCTTGTTTAGTGTATCTAGACGAGACATTACGGAAATCACACCTTTAGAAGACCCGCGGGTTTGAGCAATTGTATGCCCTCCCCTCTGAGTGAAGAATGTAATAACTGGTGACTGTGTGAAAACCATATCTTTTTATCACCATAGTGAAATTATATTAACTAAACGAAATAGTAGGTCTCTAAAGAAATAAGAAACAATAATATGTCTACTGTGTATTAGTATTTCTATCTAGTTGATAACTACGCATATTATTTACTTTAGGGTAGCTTAATTATGGTTTTTACACAATTATACATTATTACATCCCCTCTTTAAGGGAGTTACGTCTAGCTACCTAAGTCCCTAGGTACTTACTAATTATATTAAACTGTAAGATAGAAGGACTACAGGCTTTTAAATAGTAAAGTCCGTAAAATTTAAAAAATTTAAACCACATACTTTTTTTCTACGGTGATCTGCTTGGGTCAGCAAAATCAAGTCATGTCATTCCTTACCAATTAGAAGAGATTTCTAATAAGACAGCTCCTAGGTACTTCCGCTGTAGTAGAAATTCATATTTTATAGCGGAATTTAACATTTCTAGTCCTTGCTGACTGTAAATCGAATCATCATATTCCAAATCCAGCTTAGCCTCATGCTAGTCCTGTCATGGAATGGTACTGTATCAAGATTTCATTACACTGTTTTACTCCACAGCTGTCATATTACATAATCGTGACTTTTTTAAATGGACCAGCACCAAGACAATTTAAGATTGTATCAGTAAAACTTTGAAGTTAGGCTTATCTTGATTACCCCACGAGATTGAGGCTCGAGGCCCCCTATTCCCCCCTCCTTCCTATCCGCAACTACCGAACGGCAGCAAGCCACTCAGTACTTCACTGAGCTCTCCTGCTGTACCTTTTGTATCCTTAACTCTAGAGTGAGATTGTCTAGATCTGGTAAGTATCTTCACATAATAGTACCCACATCTATTTCTTATGATGTCTTGGGACCCTAACCTCTACCAATAGTTCTTCCATACTCATGAATTAGGCGTTCTTTAATTGAGCTGCTGGCAGCCATAATTTGAGTACGCCCGTCTTGATAATACTTGACACTATGTCTACTATCACTGCAGAAGCCGGCAAGGTTACTATGAACGCGACGCGACACGAAAAAGCCCTTGGAGAACTACGCCTTTGTGATCCAGAAACAGACAGCATCATCCTCATTCCGACCCCGACAAACGACCCCAATGATCCTCTCAATTGGTCTGCAACCTACATTCAATCTTTTGCCGCCAGAAATATCTAGCTAACCCTTGTCGCGTTAATAGGCCCAAACCCTATCGCGTCTACATTGCTGTGCTTGTCTCATTCGCCATCTTTTTTGGTAACTTTCTAGCCGCGGGTCCTACTGTAGCCATTATGAACGTTACCACCGATTATTTTGGCTCTGCAAGCTCAGACCTTGACAGTAATATCGCGATGGCCGCATACTTCTTCACCACTACCGCGCTTCTCCAGGGCGTGTCCAACTTAATGTGGTTGCCTCTCATTGTGAAATTTGGTCGCCGCCCGGTATATGTCGCTTCTTTCACGCTTTATACGGCCGTCGTGGCTTGGGCGGGCGGTGCTACTTCGTTCAATAGTGAGTTGGGTGCGCGTATCATGATGGGAGTCGCTTCGGGTGCAGCTGAGTGCCTGGCACCATTGACAATCTCGGATCTCTTCTTTGTGCATGAGAGAGGCACTATAATGGCGTAAGTTCTTAATCCAGGTGTTGAAGAAATTCACCTAATTGAGCTACAGGATCTACACTACAGCTTTGTCAGCTGGGGTTGGCTGTGGCATTGTGATTGCTGGACTAATCACCAAGGACCTACACTGGCGATACATCTATTGGGTCAGCCTCATCTTGATTGGCTCCTGCACTATCCTGATCATATTCACCTTTCCAGAGACTAGATACGATCGAGCTGAAGGTCCAGGAGACGGTCGAACAATTACCGAGCATGAGGGGATTATCAGCCAAAACTCCAAAGCAGAAGGGATAGATTCGGACTCAACAAGACAAGGTTATTTCTCGTTTTCCCCAAAGCGAACCTATCGCCAAAATCTGGCGCTTTTCAGCGGCATTCACACCCAAGAGTCTTTCATGAAGCTCGTTATCCGTCCTATTATTCTCCTTACTCTTCCTCCAGTTCTATGTGCTACTCTGACGATGGCCGTCACTATTGGTTTTCTTGTTGCAATCACCTCCAACTTCGCTGTCGCTTTTGATGCAGTGTACGAGTTTGAACCGTGGCAATCCGGTCTCTGCTTCATTGCTAGCCCAGTAGGAGCCGGAATTGGCGCCTTCTTTGGTGGTCGGTTCAGCGACATAGTGGCTGATTGGTTCACTCGACGTAATGATGGTATACGATGCCCAGAGATGCGTCTACCAGCCATCTCCATCTCTCTTGTCACCGCTCCACTTGCCCTTACTCTCTATGGAGTTGGGATCGACAAAGAATGGCATTGGATCGTGCCTACCATAGGTCTTGGTCTTTGTGAGTTAAATCTAGACCAAAAGGAAAAACGCTGACAAATTTTGATAGTGAGCTTCTCTATCGTCCAATCCACCAATATCAGCTTGGTCTATACTATCGACAGCTATCGTCCAATAGCAGGGGAACTGGCTGTTACACAGCACGCATTCAAGTGTTAGTTATATCCATCTCGACGAATAGATGGTAATACAGTACTAACTCCTTTATTCTAGCTGTATTTGGCTTTCTTCTTTCCTTTTATACCAATCCGTGGATCTCCCAGTCTGGGTATGCAAATGCATTTGGTGCAATGGCTGGGATATCGGGATGCATCATTCTGATGTGGATTCCCATGTATATTTGGGGTGGTCGAATTCGGCAGGTTACCTGGGGCTGGCCTTTTATTAGGCGCTTGGCTCACTGGCATCAAGATCGTGAAGTTGGTGAATAGGTCTATAGGAGGATATATCTTCTGGCTATAATGACAGGCCTTATAGTAAAGTAGAAGCCGTCGTCTTGGACTATAGTCGTGATTAATGTATCGGTCTCAACTTCTGAATCCGTCAAGGTGTTCTTTTAAGTCGGCTATATGAGATTAGCCTATGGCTTTCTAAAGATAAGTGTATCAAATGACATCGGCAACCTTTCCATGGGCAACATACTGATCGACACTGAGAGACAATGTCGACACACCGAAGTCATCCCCGACTGCTATGTTGCCGCTACCATTCCGTGTTGATGTCGGTCGTTTTGAGTTGGAGCATGATACTGACCTGATCGACTAACTCATTATCAACAGCGAAGATGAGCAGCGTGCCGTTAGATTACGTATAACTCTAAACTATTAGAAAAGGAATATAAAACCTTAACACAAACATTATTACACATGTTAAGTGATATACCTCACTATCTTCTGACATATTACAGCATGCTTTACTCTGCCTCATTTAGCGCCTTTAATGCTTTCTGCCCAGCCATGGTCAGATCCTCATTTGAGAGAATCTCCTTGTTGAAACCATGCACAGTTGAATCCAGTAGTGCGGCTGCCATGTCAACGATCGAGATACGAGGAAAGCCGATGAGAGCGTTTCCGATCCCTTGGAAAGCCTGCCTTATCATTCCACTATTGGCAGGGTCAATTAGTCCAGGTCTCGCCACACATGCCTGCATTCTTCCATTCGACATGTGTGCACACTCAAGGACGCTCTTCTCTACGCGACCCTTCACGCACCGTCAGCTTTGACTTTGAAAATATAATAAAAAAGGATACACACTCGCATAACACAATAATCACCCAAAAACCAGGGCTTTTTGCTAGGGTCTTGTGTGGCATTGAAGCCGCTGACGTATAAGAATCGAAAAGGTGTATCCTTGCCGTCACGTGGAAATTTTGCAAAGGTGTCAGCTGCTGAAACAGCATAGTCGAAACAGATCTTATTGACTTCTTGCCAAGAGTAGGTCTTCGACCTAGCTGGCGTGATCGCAATAACCCTGTGCAGCATTAGACGATATCTATAACCGAAGCCAATATGTATGTACCAAATACAAGCATCTGCGTCAGAAATTTCAGCTCTCACGTCCTGAGGATAATCTTTGAAATCGGAACAAGTGAGAGACTTGAATTTGGACTGCGCAATCTGAGGGTCTACTCCTTTTGGAATGTGGGTTTCGCGACGTGCCAGAGCCACAACTGACGTAATGAGTGGGTGGTTCAGCGCTTGGTGCACAACTTCGGCACCTAGATAGCCAGTCGAACCGCCTATGACAAGCTTCATAAGGGCGAGATATTCAGAATGAGCTGCGAGTCTTGGGTGGTGTTGTCGAAAAGATCGTGATGAAGTTAATGCAAAGTGTTCCGGTTATGGTTTACGAGTTGTATTGCCGCCCAAATGACGTCAGATGGTAAGAAATGCTGACTGCTATTCTTCTGTACCTTATAGGCCATTTGTGGCTCTGGAAGTAAGCAGAATGACGTAGTTATCTACTTGGAATCCTTCTCAATTCTCACACATAATAGTTGCTAGTTAGCGATTAAAGATTAGTAGGATTTATATCCCTGCTAAGGTCGTCGGACTTAAGAACGCAGCACTGGGGATTAGAAAATGTCCACTTTTCTTGAATTTAAATGAATCTATAAAGATTTATGCTTTCATTAGTCTTAGACAAGAATTGCATATATATAGAGAGTGGCCAGTTCCTGAAGCAATACTCTTACCATCAATGGGCCTCAAGATGTACATATCCAAAACTCTCGTCTATTTCTTGCATATCCCTCCTCTCTCGGGAGCAAGGCCAATGGGAGATTGCCACCCCCCTTGGACGAAGCTCTCGACTTAACCAATGCCGATAGTTTGTATTTTAGCAGACACACAGGGTCTTCCAACCTTGGCCAGGGTGAAGCAGACGATGCCTCGATACATGCGATCACCAAGCACAGCCGCGCCATCCCAAGACTTCAAATACGTGGTCAATGCCAAAAGTTCAAACATATACTCCCAGCAGTCTAGGAACAGCAGCCCGGCCTTTCAAGGCTACCGAGCCGCTACTTCCGCGGCCAACACCAGCAAAGCCTTCCAGCAATAATCGTGTAGATGAAAGCGGGTTTCAGCAAAAAGCTAGACACTATATCCACTACAGCGAAGAAGTAGAATAAAAAGATCATGAAAAGGAGCATTTACATTAAAGGACCTTTCGTAGACTAGGATATTCGTATAAGAAAAGTTATCCGCGTATATTTGTCGGGATTGCGGGGTATGTAAGATATAAATCCCACTCCTCAGCTCAGACTTGGTCGGTGTAACCCATTTGAAACAAGGGGCAACTGGGGCTAGTGCTGTTGTGTGCCACTCACTGCCGTTTCCATCGACGGAGCAAGTTGTTTCTATCCGTATTCTACTCCGTAGTTCGCCTCATTACTGCGGCCCAGCCTGAGACAGCAAGTCAGGGTTATTTCGGAGAATATCTCCACCTACAATCCACCATCCGAAGTGCATTGATGAACAGACGCGGTATGGAGCCTGGTATTTGTCCGCCAATCATAATGGATGTTTGTTTGTATCTGTCGATGTTTTGTGTTGCTACAAAGAGGCTGAACTGCCCAGACATCTAGTCACTGTTACAATTCTGTTCAACCAGTAAAACAACAATCCCTCAAAATGCCTTCTTCCAGCCAGATCTTCTCCGTCCTTGCGGCTATTGCCGTCGCCTCTGTCAACGCCGCCATGGGCCCTTCCTTCAGCACTGGTCCCGTTGGCTCTGGATCATGGATCCGTGAGGCCACCTCGACTCTCATCCTTCCCGATATCCCCCAAGGATCTACTGGTGTTGCCTCTCTTTGGGTTGGAATGGGCACCGACAAGGGCGACTTGATTCAGTCCATTGCCGACAACTGGGACTCCAAGGAGTGGAGCATCTTTGCTTACACTCTCACCAAGACCGGAGAGAACTCTCAGCTCCCTGTTCAGGATGAGAACCCTACTCCCGCCAAGAAGGGTGACCGCATCACCATGCATTGTACGAAGCGTTCTATATCTGAATGAATAATGAAACTGACCACATACCGCAGACAAGTATGACGAGTCCACCCAGGAGTATGTCCAGTACGTCTCCATCAACGGCGAGCAAGTCTCTACACTCTCCACCTCCAAGGGCCACGAGGCTATGGGCTTTGGTAGCTCCGTTGAGTGCGGTGCCGAGGACTGCGGAACCATTGGTGCTCACCGTAAGTCACGCAAAACATCCAATACATGACCACATACTAACAGATATCCCAGAGTGGGTTGACACCAAGATCACCCTTGACACTGCCGATCCCGACTACATCAACACTTTCGGGAAGGGTGAGGGCGTCACTGGCGAGATGACCACTGAGGACGGTGGCAAGACCTGGGTTATTAGCGACGTTGACATCCCTTCGTACACCTTTTAAGCGTTGAGCTTCTGTTGTACATATGTAAACACTTGTATATATCTGCGCAATCGTCTATACTTTGATAAACAAATAGTGTAGTGATACACACCTTCTATCTAGCTAGAAGAAAAAGTCTTAGGTTCAAAAGTGTATGTCTACTTGTTAATCAGAGGCTATCTAAAATGGTCTTAACAGTTGAATAGTGTTTACTGTGAGCCTTACGCAGTCTATTATCTCCCCTCGTACTATTCAGGGTGCCTGAATTATTTTGTTTTTTGTATTTTAGCCATTTTAAATAGTTATTTACTAATTAAATACTGAATTATGTTTTACTTTAGGATACCTTCTTACATATTGGAATTGATATCTTAGCTCAGGCTACTTCGCTAATTGCACTTGAATTACAAAGTGTTATACTTTTCAGTAATTATCCAGACACCGTATCCCGTATGTGATCCACGAAAGTACGCATACCAAACAAATATTGTTGTCTCTTAATATTTTCCACGTCCTCTATAGAGTGTCTTAGAGTTAACCAGACTTTTAGTAATTTAGAAACTTGTCTCGCTGTATAAATGATAAATCTTTCTATGTACAAGGAAGAAGTACGTTCTGCGGGTACAAGACTCGCAAATTGTTTTCTAGATACTAACCGACGCAGGGTAGTAGATTTTACACTCTATGATTAGGACATATCTATATTATTCCACCTCCCTGGCATCCCCTAGATGTTAAGACCCTTGTCCTAGCCTTTTACACTATGTCCATTCCTTTTTACTTTCATCTTTAAATTTATTAAGCCTAGAGCTATTTAAAAGGATGATAATACTACTCATCCCCATTCCTAAACTAGCAAGCACCCTAGAAACTTTATTAGCATAGATTATATACAACGAATTAGTAACACTGTATACTCACGATGATGATAGGTGTATTTGGTTAAAGGTGCCAGATGCCAACAGGAGAGAAACCGTATTGTAAACCGCCGCCCACCAAAGATTTTGAGTGGTAATACGCGCGGTTTGTTGCGATAGATGTATGAGAAATAATACGCGAGTCAAGATCCTATCAGATTTTTGATCCAATAGTGTCTGTGTTAAAGTCGCATCGGCGAGACGAAGGTTTTCTGAGGACCAGGCATCTGGATTAGGGGTGCATATACTGAAAGATGCTGATTTAAAAGATGGGATATCGTTCAGGTTGTCGCCGACAAAAATAGTAGCTCCATGGCGGCGGAAGTCCTTGACGATCCCAGCCTTGGAATTAGGCGAACAGCCCGCAAAGACCATGTCAGTATCAATGCCAACTTCGCGAGAGGTGGTAATAGCACAACTATAGTCGTCGCCCGTGACCATGCCAACCTTTATGCCCATATTCTTCAGATCCTGAATCACAGTGACAGCATCCGGACGAATGGTATCCTGGAGGACGAAAATTCCGACTTGGATTCCGTCAACAGCCACAATGACAGGAGTCATCATAGCAAGTCTTTGCTCTGTCGGAATCTGAGCTAGGGTGACCTCAATACCTAGTGACTTGATGTAGGCTGGGCTGCCGATAGCCAAGGTCCATGAATTTGACTCGCATCCGGAGATTGATACTGTTACACGTCCTTGAACTCCACGGCCAAGCTCGTGTATAATGTCAGTTACCATGACTCGTTTGGACAAGCCAACGTCGACCTTGTATTCGCGATCCTTCATTTGTTCTGAAGCCTCAGTGGCAATGGCCGAGGCCACGGGGTGGTGCATAGACATCTCCAAGTCTCGGATCGAACTCCACAGCATAGCGCTCCAATGTTCACTTTGAATCACTTGCGCAACTCGTAGGACACCACGTGTCAGGGTACCAGTCTTATCAAAGAGTATAGTATTAGCAGTGGCGGCATTCTTGAGTCGTCCACCGCTAGTTGTGAGCCGAATACCTGCTTTTGAAGCACTGACTGAAGAATAATAGTGAGTGAAAAGGCCGAGTACCGATGGAGAGAGGGACAGGGTTGCACTAACCTGTAGCCGACAGCTTCGCAGCTGGGTTACTGAGGCTGAACGTGCAAGGGCATGCGGCCAGCAGCATTGAAGAAGTACGCTGCATTGCACCCGCGAAGCTGATATCGGGGACAAGCAATAGCAGCAGTATGCAAGATATGGAGATGAATATGATGGCAACCGTGACGAAGTGCGGAGTGAAATCTTCATCAACGTTCTCAGAACTCATTTCTGCATCAATGACAGCTTCCAAAACCTTGCCGAGCTCGGTGGAACGTCCGCACGATAAGGCTTTCAAAACCAATAGTCCATTCTCGACGCGACTACCAGCAAGTACATTATCGCCACGCTTGACTACTCTTGGGACTGTAGAACCATTAATCCAGTTCTCGAGCACAGAACCTTGATTGTCGCTGACAAGCATGCCATCGCATGGAATTCGATCTCCTTGACAAATGAGTAGGCGGTCCCCAGGAGTAATCAGTTCCGTGGGGACTTCAACCGTACATCCCTCATCGCTGCCCGGGAAAACAGAAGCGGTGCTGGGAATAAGATTAATCAATGGCGTTCCGAAGTCAAAAGTACCCTTAGAAACTATGGCCTTCAATAGCCGGCCGCTAAGCAAAGTTGTGGATAGCATTGGTATGACTTCCAGCTCTGATCGACAGAGCCAATCTTCCTTTCTTCCATCATTGATGAAAATGGCTTGCACCAAAGCTAGAAAAATACCTAGAGAGCCAAGGGTAGACATGTTGGGTTTGCGGCGGAACCATATGGAACGAGCTGTTTCAAAGTGAATCCTACATCCAGCCACCAAGCTGAGGGCAACGGCTACTTTTATAATCAGGCCAATTGCTCCAGATTCATGCAGTGCTTGGAATCTTGACAGATACCTAGCAGATGCAGCTGTCGAAGAGCACAAGGCTGAGAGAAACAAAGCAGAACGCCAAGTATGAATCTCGCGATCGCGGTCAATACCAGACTCCCGGATGACGGGCATCACACTACCCCAGGCGTTCGAGTCTATGCTCGGCGATGGAGAGGCTTCATATCCAGCGTCATGGATGGCGTCGATAATAGCCTGTAGTGACGTGACAGTAGTGAAGGAGATGTGTGCACGCAGCAAACTAAGGGAAACACACGCTTTTACAACACCAGGAATATCTTTGATGATGCCCTGGAGCTCGGATACACATGAACCACATGTGAGACCTCCTAAAGTCAACACGCATTCTTGGGTGTGATTCTCGGGGGTTGATGATTGAAGATGTTCATCCCTACCCCATGGTTCGTGCTCATTGTCTGTGACAGCCGGTTGCCGTTTCATTAAAAAAGGACCCACAGCCCATTGATGGAGTGCAAGATATCGATAGACGATGTAAGCGGCAACAGCACAGCAGGCCATAATGCAACTAGTTTGTTTGAGGTAAATAGGAATCGATTAACTCAGAGATGGTTGGCTATCTTGACGTCTATTTCTAAGAAGTGATGGGCACCCGCTGAAAAGCACTATCCTGGTTGAGGTCTGTCAAGCCTAGTCACGCTATAATGAGTCCACATTTTCTGACTGGGATTTTTCTGACCGTGGTTTCTTGGCTTTCTCCACTAAAATTAGTCCATGTAATGATTAGGCATGTCATGCTTTTCTGACCAGGCCAGTCTACCAATGAAAGACGGTAGAAGAAGGTGCCAGGTCACAAGTAGATACAGCTAACGCGGCTCCAGTTAGTCTGACTGTGCGCAAAAGCGGGCGGATTGAAGGGGTAGCGTCCTACCTGTAGAACAGTCTAGGAAAGAGTACTTCGCTGCAAACTCCTTGCTCAACTTCCACTCTACCATGTTGTCCAGTCCAAAGTAAAGGGCGACTTCATTCCCATGGCTGATTCCAGCTATTGGCGAGGATGGCGTGTTATAGCCACATCTGGCTGATGATATTGTTTCCACCCGTCGCTGTAGCTCCGAGATTAGAGCAGCTTCGACGGGATCGATCATGGGCATATCGAAGCTTTGAGCTTCCGGCGTGACCTCAAATAAGACCCACGATGAATCACTAAGGAAAGTTTTCACACAAGCGGTCTGAGCCTGGCGTGCTTTATCCTTACGTAGGATCTGGTTCTGGAAGATGTCATGCACTCCGACGGCAACGCCTTGGTTGGTTTGTTCAATGACTGAGTGAAGGATGACGTCCCTGATCATGGCATCCAGATCAACCGAGTCTTGTTCTAGTACCAACTGGTCACGCACATCTGGCCAATTGAACAAATCAATAGCCCAGAAATGATTGGGTCGTCTGGACTGCAGAGGTGTTGGCTTAAATGGCGATGGTACGCCATTCTTATTCTCGAGACCGAGCCGCCAGCTCAACACTTTTTCGATATACCGCGCTCCATTCTGTTGAATGATATCACATGTGAGCATATTGCACGGCGAACGTTTGGAATTGGTATACTCACCACCCCGTATATGTAAGACTCCAGTCCAAGGCAATGCGCCACGAGATCAGTAGCAGCGAGGATGAGCTTTTTGTGGAATAAACCAAGAGTCTCTGGAGTCGAGAGTGAGGGATCACTCGCTCGATCGATGCACTGGCGGCATGCGCTGAGTAGTTTAGTGCCGAATGCTGTTGGTGACGTGATGCTAATTTTCTGGCGCATCAAGATATGAGGATTCGGGGAAATGGGAAGGAATAGGTCTGATACCGTGTCCATATCTAACAGCCTCATTTCGGAGAGTGAGGTGCTTGGTAGGGTATGTTGTCCGTCTGGTTCGTAGGTATTTGGGTCAAAGTCGAAAAACGGTGCAGTGGCATCGTCCTCGAAAGCGCTGTTCTGTGCAACGGTCTCACTATGGGTGCCGTCGCATCCATCATCCGGGTCTCGTGCGAAAGAAATGGCAGAGGCTGGCTCATCGCAACTCACCTGGTTGATGCGATGTTGACGGCTGTGAGGTTCCGGACAATTCTGAGAGCTTTTGCGAGCGCTTTGGTGCTGATCATCGTCCCCCCGGCGCAAAATTGAGTCAAAAATCACATCATCTATAACACACGAGTCAGTCAAAACGAGGACAGGAGTGAGGACGGGAATTGGAGAATGGACTAGGTACCAGAAGCGGTGGCAGCGGAATTGCTTAGGCTCAAAAGCTTCTTCCGGAGGCGGAATAAGGCCTCTTCTAAACGACGGTTCTCCTTGACCAGCTTCAGATGCGCTTCGACTAGCGTAGCGTAACGATCTTCCCTTCTTTCGCCGCCGTCAGTGTCGTAGCTGGCGGCCTTTTCAAGTAATTCAATGGTACTCTCAAGACTACGAATGTACGCAGTATTTTTCTCGCGGTGGCATTGTTGCGAGATACGATTTTGAGCTCGTTTGCGCACTAAAGGCTCTGCATCAGGACTCAACTTTCTCTTTTGTCGGGCACGAGATGATTCGGTATCAGGAGGGGACATGTTTCAGGTCAGGTGAGCGTGGGTGAATGTGGATGGCGTGAAGCAATGCGGATGCCCGGGAAGTAGGAGACTAGGAGTGGAGGAATAATTGTTAAATTCGAGCTTGATTTATTATTAAACCTATTTACTATTTAAGTTACCCCGCAGTCTCGGAACGGACGGATGCCTCGGCATTGAACCCCACGCACGCTTAGAACCTATGAAATAAGTATATATTAAGAGTCTAGTCAAAAGGACTGAGTCAGTTTATATGACATCACCTTTTGCGGGCGCTCGCCGATCCAAGTTAAAGTAACAGTAAAAGGGAATAGGTTCACCTTGCTAGGCAGAACAGCACCAGCTTAGTAGGTACAGTAATTGAGTGGAGTTCCATTATTGCGTACTGGTGGCCCTAACCTCGTCTGGGCCTGAATTCAGTGGCTTCATCAATTTCGATCGGATTAGACCTTTGCATGCAGCATCTACATACCGCTAGACTTGGACCTTTGCGCAACTTCATCACGCGGTTTCAAGCTGCTAAAAGCGGTTGCAGAAAGATCCTGGACCAACACTCGTATCCAATCAGGAAGTGCCCTGATCAAGGTGGAGATTCCTACAGAGCTGGGTACGGTGAGGTTGTGGGCCCGGCCGCTCTTAAGAATGCTTTCAATCGTCGCTGCCAAAGTCTGAGGCGTGATACTTGCCATGCCCGGTACATTCTTGATTCCAGTGAACATGGCAGTCTGAACATGACTTGGGCAAACGCACGACACCCGAACAGCAGGTGACTTATACACATGCTTGACTTCAGAATGCAATCCCTCGTAAATGGCCAATGCTGCTGCCTTACTGGCACAGTAGTCGGTCGCGCCAGCTGTGGCCAAGTAGCTGGTTTGCGAAGCTACTATCAGGAAGTGGCCATGGTTGTGCGAGGCGAGAGACGGGAGGAAGGTCTTGGCTGTCCAAAGAAGACCCAATGTATTCACGCCAAAGGTACTGGAGGGAAAATGGTCAGAATAACACAATTACGTGGCCGGGAGAGGGGGCAAAGCAAACAGTTCAATATCCCTTTCCTCAGCATTAAGAATTGGCTTCCCACGGCATATACCAGCATTGGCGACGATTATAGTTGGCTCACCAACTTCACTAGAATATGGTTATCAGCCTTTGACCACTTTTGACCAAACTGTGGGGAAAATCATCTAACATTCGAAGTTTTGCAGCCACAGCTTTAAGCTCTTCAAAACTCGTTAGGTCACACTTGTAGTAGTGAACGTTACTTGCTGCAAAAATTAGTTTCAGCTCCCTAATATTGCCAGATTATCTCACGTTTTTGGAAAGAGAGAGGGAGGATATCCAGAACGACTACTGTCGTTCCTGCGGCAGCGAGACGCTTGACTGTTTCGCCTCCGATGCCCCCCGATCCGCCAGTGACGATGACGATCTCTTGAGACCAGTCGAAAGAGGCCTTCGTTCCATGATTTAGGGCTCTGTCGTTCAAGAATCTGTTCACAGCGCGAACAGACAACGCAGCAGCCGAAACCATGAGGCCAGCACGGACAACTGGTCCATATTGGTTACTACGACCAATTGCGTTAGCAAAATCGAAGATCTTGCGGGCTTTATCGGTCAGACTGTCGAAAAGGAGTGTAGAATTCATTATTTGTCAAGAATCATATGTGAGTTGTCGTAGCGATACCAGACGGGCAAAACTACCGGATTCGACGATCGATATATAAGTACGATGTCGCTAGAATGAGACTGATATTACTCTGTCAGACAAATATGATTGATAAAACCACTATAAAAAAGACTTTGAGTGTACAAGCGTAGAGTCTATGGACGACAAGCGCATTCTCGATTTGAACGATTGTGTCAGGTTTTTCTGACTAGTGGTTTTCTCCCTGCAGGGACTACCGCTAAAACCTTGGCTTGTGTTTTGAGAAAACATCCTATGTAACTATATAAATGTTGCTGTTAATCTCTTTTTTCTTTTTAATAATACGAATCAAACTCTGTTCGATTAAAGATCTTTTCTTTTTTTGAATCTACCTAAAGCTCTTTAAACAGTCAAATCGCACACGATGGCGGCATCGTAAGTCTTGGACTACGTCAACAACTTGTGTTACTGGATTGTATTGATAATGTGTGATAGGGCAGTAGAACGTTTCAACGATCTTATCAAAGTCAAAGGATCTGTCAATGAGTCCGATGTTGCTCAAGTCTTCGATTCACTTCCTGCAGTTTCTCCTGAGGCCCTTATTGGGAAGTGGAAAGGCGGCAGTTTCGACACCGGCCACTCAACTCATAAACAACTGACTATATTCAAATGGGCCGGAAAAGACTTCCACTCTGTCAATGAAGTCGATCCCATCATGCTTTGGGATGAGCAGGGTAATCGTAACTGGTTTCCTGATTTTGGGCATGCACAGGTTAGTAATGGGTCTGACACTTTTTGTACTGAGAGGGGCTCATTGATGATTTTTAGCTTCGAGAGGTTAAATTTCGGGATGTTATATCTGCCGCTATGATTTATGACAAATTCCCCATCATTGATTCGTTTCGTTACGTGTCAGAAGGGGTTGTGATAGGCGCGATGGAAAACAAGGATCTACGTGACGAGGGTACTTACTACTTTTACCTCACTAGACTTGAGTGAATAAAGAAAGAAGGAGGACGTCATAAGTAAAATATGTATACAGGTATCGGTACCATAGACTAATATTTGTGTTGAATTACTCCCATATTATGCTGTAATTCTTAGTCTACTGAAGTATTGCTACAGCTTGATCGGGGAGGCATTGCGCTTAGTGAGTTTTAATCTAGAATGAACCGTAACAGGGGACATCAAAGTATCAAAGGGAATGATTGTAGAGAGAAGGTAGAGGTGAAAGTGGAAGAAAAAGGCCATAATGCTACAATCTTACTAGTTTCATACTATAGTACTCACCACTGTCATAGGCGACTGATACAAAGTCCATTAAAGATACAACTGGGATTTGCCTTTTGAGTAGCACCGGAATTATGATGTCTGAGTCGTCCCACGAGAATCTACATCCAATAAGCAACGTCAAATAAGATAGTCGGTGGCAAGAGAAGCCAAGACAACTTACGTCATGATGCTGGAATTAATCACGCAATGTCATGGATTTCCTTGTCATTGACTACAATTAGTATAGTGGCTGGGCAAGGGCGGAAGGATTTATCTGACACGCGACATGTACATAGGTCGTCTAATGTAAAATTATAATATAGTTATTCTGACGTGCTTTCGGTTTCCATATATGTTTCCCAGTTGCTGCTGAACCATAGGCTCAAGCGGATTCCGTGCTTCGACAACGACCAAGTCATGCCTTCTCCAACAAAATGCGAACAAAATGCCGATTTGTCGCGCCGTGACAAGTGCCTGCCAAACCATAATTCAGCTGTTGGTGTCAAAGGTATAGTAAATCTAGGCTCTATCTCCAGGGCGCTAGTGGTGTGTTTTTCTCTAAAACCTTTATACTCGTTTAGGTCCATACATTCGTGAATTAATTCCCCCCAATGTCGGCACTGGGCCACATCGAAAAAACATACAGGCAGCCGTGCTTTTAATCTGGAGCTCAGTTGTTCTGATTAGCGTCACCACATTCTTTCAACCGTGGTACAATCTCAGTCACAGCATGAGAGCCGCTTTTCTTGGGCTTGTCTTTCCAGGGGCCGGATATCTAGCCAGCCCGAACATAGCAAGTGCCTTATTCTTCCTTCTTACGTGGCTAGCCATTCCACCTTCACTTTTTGCCGTAAGTACTCGCGCGAATTTCCCAATATCGCTTACTGATTCGTTTATCTCATAGTGGTTTGGCGCAGGTGCCATCGTTTTTCCATTGTCTGTTTGGATTATTTCCATCCCAGGCGCTTACTCTGTCGCTGGAGTCGCTTTCTGGGAGCCTGCAGGAATATTGGCCCCGGCTATCGTCTTTACCGGATTCCTTTTAGCAAACACATACTCAGCGAAAGAACGAATCAAAGCGTCTAAGAAACGGATCGATAGAAATTGCTTCATACCCCATCAACTCGCACGACTCGATAAAGTCACTGCCGAAACAGCCGTTCAAAAAGACAGCGATGAGCTTGACTTGGAGGCCCTCAGGAAATTACAATTCCTTTTCGACCAGGCGTTTCAAAGCCTCGACGACTGGTCTGGATTTACTCGAATCGATCAATTCCAGACGGCTTCGCTGCGATACCAAATCTATCAGATGATGTATTGCCTCGGACTATATCAGTCAACCTACGCCCCCAATGCTCATGGTTACATCAACGAAGCATTTCGCAGAGTGATAGAGAGGTCCTTAACACCAGATGTCCTTAATTTCTGGAAGTGGGAACGGCTTGCAGGGAAATTCTCATTCGACTCCGACCCTGTTCAGAAAGACAATATCATGGTCACCGGCTTTCTTCTGCAGGGCGTCATGCTCTACACGGCAAACACGGGCGATATGAGATACACCAAGCCAGATAGCTTGGGATTTCGAATCGAGGAGGGCGTGACCTACAAGTACGGTCTGCACGACCTACAAGCCACTCTCCTACGGCAATGGTCAACAAATCCTTACTGTCTGATACCATGCGAACCAAATTGGATCTACGTGATGTGCAATTTACAGGGAATGGCCGGGGCTGTTGTGTATGATCGAGTCTTTGGCACGAAGTCCACAGATATTATACTTCCTATTTTTGAAGAGTCACTGAACACTAATTTCACGGACTTTGATGGCAGTGTCCTGCCCATTCGGTCTGAACTGACAGGATTCACCATTCCTGGCCTTTGTGGTGCTTCTGGGGATTTAGCGGCCACAATCATGTCCTCTGGGCCCTTGCGAAATCTCTCCCGCCGCCTCTGGGCGATTACACGCGAAGAGACCATTCAGTTCAATAAGGAAACTCGTGAAATCACATTGACAGGCCTACTTGGGGCGGATGTGATTGACCAGGGTAATTACCAGAAGAATGAGCTAGCTTTGCTACCATACACGGCATTAGCTGCGGCAGAACATGGTGATGAAGAGTTAAAAGAGGCGGCATTACAAAAGATCGAACAAGGCTGGGGCTACGTAACAGCGCCATCGGGGGCTCATAGCCTCGATCTGTCCAAAGCATCTACGTTGATGAATTATGTCTGTTTGACAGCTACTTTAGTTCGACCGGGTGCCTATCACAAAATGATCCAAAAGGTAGGATTATTACAAGGTTTCCGAAGTTTTCATGTTACTAACCTTTGCTCTCAATAGGGCCCAGCCAAGACTGCATTGAACGGTCCGATCCTTTCGGAAGTACCGTACCCTGGCGTACTTGTTGCAAAAGCCATTTCAAACTCGTCCAGGGATTTGGAACTTGTCCTGTATCCATCTGCGGACCCAGGCACCTTCAAGCTTGGTCTGTCTCGCTTGAAGCCAGGAAACGAGTATATCTATGGAGATAAGACGCAGGTAGCTGATGAGCAAGGTAACTTATCGATCTTTATCCTTATTGATGGAAGAACATACTTGCATATCTATCCAGTTAATGAGTAGGAGTTGGAGAGTTAATATAGGTTGCTGAATAGTCTACATTAAACCTTTATCAAATACTTAAGTATTAAGAAGCTATGTATATTAGGCCAAGTATCATTTTTATCTTAATAAACATACTTGCCCCATGGTATAGCTGCGTGTCCAATAGCAATTCAATTCTACAAGAATAGATTCTGTCATTGCTTACCAGGAAGAAAAGCCCCTAAAGACCCGCAAAGAAATTCTAGTCTATAGTGCTACATCACTCAACTTCCCTTCTAGCCCAAAGCCTCCCCTCTACGCGCCAACATCGGCTATCTTTCGTTCTCGCCAGTACCACAGCCCGGCCCACGTAGCACCTGATCCCACAAGCCACTGTCCCGCCAGAGTAGTGACGCCAGCTTTGATTGCCTCATCAGTCTTGATATAGCCGAGACGTCTCAAGTCCCAGATTGAATAGAGTTGACTTCCAAGATATCCGACCGTTGCAAAGGCCTGGCCGAACTTGAGCATGGTTGCAACCTTGGCTGACAAAGAGGGCAAAGACCAGTCCGCGTTGAATATGTTGGGGAAGTCCAGGAAAGTTTTGAAAAGAGAAACATCCGGGTGGCTCCATCCGTAAGCCAGGGATGCTATGTGCGCCGTAGCCTGTACTGAAAATGCAAAGGTGTACACAGATTGGAGAGCACTGACATCCTTGGCCTCATAGCGGCTCATATCTCGCTCGCCATCCCGCTTCTCTTCACCCTTCCACTTCTTAATGCCTGCCGAAATACCAACCACAAGCACACTGAAAAGCAGTGGTGAAAACTGCCAGAGAGCACACCAATTCTCCCAAGCTTGTACCCGAGGAGTCGGTGTCAGGGCCATGATAGTTGGGATGAGGAAGCCCACGGTGATGGCGGGAATCAGTGACTTAGCCACATGTAAAGGGACGGCACGGCTGGGAGGGTTCTCGAAACCGGAGAAAGAGCTCAGGATTGCGTAGACGGGTGCTACACGAGCGATAGTCTCGCCGCTTTTCATAGCCACTGAAAATAAGGAAGGTATGGATAGAATAGTGCCCTGGTTCCCAAGTCGATGTCCCTCAATAGCGTAGATTAGTAGAGGGGAGATAAGCTGAGGGAGAAAATTGAACAACTGCACTCGTGGTGAAGGGTCTTTGTCGAAGATGGGTATACCAAAAAGAGACACCACCGTGTTCAGGATCTCGGAGGCGGGACTATCTCCAAACCATCTGATTTGTACTAGAGACTTGCTCAAAGCACTGACTTCTTCGATTGGCAGGCGGAATGCTTTGTTAGTAGCAAGTACTGCAAGGCCCATGCCGCCAATAAATCCGTATCGAACATAGTTGGAGATCGTCTTGCTCACAGGCTTGGCTGGAAGCTCGTCATGGAAGGGAATAGCTCGGGGTCGAAAGGGAACGGGAAGTTGTTTCAGTGTCGTGCCACCTAGGTAAGAAGGGGCCATTTGATTGAGTGTGCCTTCATCCCCACCCAATGAGCCAAGCAGATCCCAAACGACTGTAGACACGACTGGGTTCTCGTACGCGAAAAGAGACTGCATAAAATGAGAGCGGTTGACGATAGCGTTGGCTTTCTCATATCTCGCTGACTGGACTTCACTAAAGATCTTGTGGACATCTCCATCTGGAAGAGTAGACAAGCTACCTTCTCGTGCATCCTTGAGTTGAAGTATGGAGTTAACCAACTCGGCACAAGACTCAATGGCGCCGTTTGCACCTTGACCTCCAATAGGGTTAGGCTAGCTGCGTCAGTGACATGGTCGTCTAAGTAAAAGGGCTGGATGTACGTACCTTGTGCACAGAATCTCCCAGTGTGATGACCCTCTTGAAGAACCACTTTTTGTAGACTACCTCATGCAAAGGCGTCAGGGTGGAAACAGTCGCTTTGCAAAGACTTGACCGAATGTGACCTCTGGGGTGATGGCAACGTTGTGGTTTCACTTCACAAACTCTACCTCATCTTCTTTTGTATATCGGGGGATATCCTTGCCGTATTTGATCTCAGGAAGTTTCTCGAATAAGAACCAGTAGACACGATTGTCAGGTCCAGACACTACGAGCTGGGACTGTCCCTTGCCCGTCACCATGCTCTGCTGACCAACAAGCCAGTTTGGTACGTGTTGGGCGATACCAAAGCTTCAGGCATAGTAGCACGGAACTTTGTCTTCTTCGTCAAGGTCGAAGTAACCGGGCTCGAGTGTGTGGCCAAGCCTATGCATCGATTTTCGGACCTGGCTGTGAATACCGTCTGCGGCGACAAGGAAAGTTCCAGAGACAACAGAGCCATCTGAGCAGGTGACCTCAACTCCCTTCTCGACGAGACTAACTTCAGTGACTTTCTTTCGGAGATGGACTCTGTCCTTGTGTTGAATATGCTCGTATAGGATCTGAAGTAGTTTTTGACGATCGAAGAAGAATAAACCGTAGCCATGCCTAAGGTTGTTAGAAGCCACCGAGGACAGCGGGACACAAGACTCACCGTCTTTCCAGGTGGTCAAAGATTCCGTCAACGTGAGAAATGACCTCTCCCTTCTCGTTGCGTGTGTTTGTGACATTGTACGGCACCTGATCACCAAAGATGTCCTGGATGGGCTGATAGCAACCTATCTGGTCCAGAATTCGCAGACCGTTGGGGAACATGCCGATGCTGGCTCCGACTGGAGGGGCGATGTCTGAGTGGGCTTCGAGGAGGACGTAGTCGAGGTCAAATTGCTCAAGCATGTTTGCAAGCACGAGGCCTGCAATGCCGCCGCCTGCGATGACGACTTTGAAGTGGTTTGATGCCATTCTGAGGGATGTGATTGTGTTGGTTCTTCATGAGTAAGTATGAACAAAAAGAGATGTCCATGACATTTAAATCAGTCAGAACACCAAGTACTGGGCATCTTTAACGGACTACAGATCAGTCCGAAGATTATGGTGAGACTCATGCTGGGGAGGGCGGGTAATATTAGCAGGCCGAACTACCGCATGATTTACAGCACTTCAAGATAAGATTTAACCCATCATTTAAATCAATCATCACGAATTTCCCCTGTTCAAGGGTTCTACTAAACCGGTCTAAGCTCGGGTTTATAATACTTAATTTCGTATTCTCGGTTTAGCGGGTAAAAGCAGGTCTGTCTCACCGCTTATATAATCGGAGCTTGGAGGTTAGGGTCTGATAGAGAGGTGGATGTGTGCAGGTGAATTCATTGGTGCACTCTGTAAAAATCTGTACCGTGCTCTATCAAGTGGAGTGATGTTTCAGTATACCTATATATAATGATTCAAGATTAATCATTTTGGCGTCCAGTATGAACATAATAGTCTAGGATTTGAGCTGCATGTTTTGAAGTCTTTCTGTCCTTACCTTGATTTTGCCAGAGGTGTTGTAGTTTTCCTAGCTTCGTACTTATATTTTAGTTGTAATAGAACTGTGAAGCTTGGTCGAAATTGGTAAAATGTGCAGTTATATAAGCGGAACATAGCTAAGCAGGGTACGACCGAACCTTCAAATCCGTGTGGACCGGTAACTCGGCTCCACGTAAGTACGTGGACACCTACTGACTAGTGTTAACTACTTTGGCTGATTTGGAAATGATTAATGAATGAATTATCTTACTACTCGCGATGCCCCAGCATGTTGTTCCGGAACGCTTATTACTTATTAATCTTGTGTATAAATAATATGTGAAACCAATGTCAACTGGCGGTTTACACCTATATCAAAGTCAACATGACAGCCCTACTTCTGCTACTGCCGCTGGTCTTCGTGGCTTCAGCCATCATCTATAAGGCGGTGTCAATTCTGTACAATGTCTTTTGTTCTCCTCTCAAGAATGTTCCAGGCCCTATCCTTGCACGTTTCACTGATCTGTGGTACATAAACCGGATTCGAAAAGGCCATTTTGAGCACGACAATATCTCACTCCATCGCAAATACGGCCCTATCGTGCGCTATGGTCCCAACAGATACAGCTTTGACCACCCTGAAGCCGCCCAGATAATCTACGGCGTCGGGAAAGCAGACAAGTTTGCCAAATCCTCTTTCTACAGAGCTTTTACTACGCCAGATCGGAATCAGCCGTCCATCTTCGCCCACGAGCACATCAAAGAGCATGCTCAATTGCGCCGGCTCTATCAGAGCACGCACGCCATGTCAGCGCTTATGTCGTATGAGGATTTTGTCGACGAGTGCTCAGACCTATTTGATCAACGACTTCGAGAAATGGCTGGCGGTCGAGCATTCGCAAGTGTTCAGCCACTTGTTGACCTGGGCAAATGGTTCCAGTGTTACGCGTTTGATGTCATCAGTTTGATAACCTACTCTACAAGATTAGGATTTCTCGACCAAGGGGTTGACATAGCAGGTATTATAGCGTCTCTGGAAGGATTTCTTTCTTATGCCAGTGTAATTGGTGTTTATTCTTGGCTTCATCCTTTCCTCTTTCACATGCGCAACTCCCTTGCCGGTAATACTGGCACCGGAATCCAATACGTCATCCAATTCACCGAAAAGCTCATGAGAGAGCACCGGGCTAAGCCCAAGAACCTTGATCTTGAGGACGAAGATAAGCAACGCATGGACTTCTTATCCAAGTATGCTGCTCGACACCGCAAAGATCCATTAACATACAATGGCTGGTATGTCCTTAGCGGTTGCGCGTCTAACATGACAGCTGGATCCGACACGACTGGCATCAGTCTTTCGGCCATTATGCACTTTCTCATGATGCATCCCAAAGTTGCAGATAACCTTCGTGAAGAGGTGATTGAGCACCAGCCACGAGCAGCGCATCCTCTCCACTTCAGCTTCAAGGAGACACAAGAGATGCAATATCTACAGGCTGTAATCAAGGAAGGGTTGAGGCTGCATCCAGCCGTCGGTCAACCCTTAGAACGGGTCGTCCCTGCAGGCGGGGCAACAATTGCTGGTCAATTCTTCCCAGAAGGAGTAAGCTACCAATATGCCACCAATTATTTTGACTGAGCGAGTTAACATTTCTAATCAGACAATTGTGGGAATCAACTGCTGGGTAGAACACCATAGCTCAATTTTCGGCCCCGACCCACAAGCATTCCGACCAGAGCGCTGGCTCGACAGCAGTAGAGATAGGCTTGATGCAATGAATCGTCACTGGATGCCGGTAAGCAATACCCCTCCTAGATAGATATTAGACTACTAACTACCTCAAGTTTGGCGTGGGTGCTAGAACATGTATTGGGCGACACGTCTCCATGTTGGAGATTTCCAAACTCATACCGCGCCTCATTCGCGACTTCGACTTCACCTTCCCCAGTGGCAATCATGAGACTAAGGAACTGAAAACAAACAATCGCTGGTTTGTAAAGCCGAAGGGTTTCAATGTACAAATCCAAGCTCGGGACTAGGCTGTTGTTTACGGAATTTGCATACCCCTGGGTAAACTTCGACCAATGCTTTTTAGGCTTACATAGCTTTGGGTTCCAATGTCAGCGCGTTAGTTACGGTCACTGATTAATTTACTGGTCAAAGCAACACATGCTTCTACTATTGTTTAACAACTCGTTGAACGCCGGTTCAATATGAACAATTGTAGTTATGATAACCGATATTGTAGGATGTGTATGGAGCTCACGGGGAAAGGCTGGACTTTCAACGTACCATACACCATCACTCTGGATCCCTGATGCAGATCTCGCCGTGCTATCGGCAGTACAACGTGACACAGGTAGGATACTTAGGGAAAGAGGCCCTCACTCCTTCTCAATAATCCCAGTAAATTTGAATGCATTCAAGTCGAGTCAGTTCGAACTAGAAATTTTGCAGTTCACATGGGAGCAATCCCGTTTCTGTCTTTGTTGTATTCAATTGAATTATGGGGTTTTGTTTTACTTTGAAACAAATGATTGATTTTCTTTCTATAAATTTGAATCACTTGAGAGCAATCTATCTCAAACTATGACTTTGGGTTTCTTAATTATATTATTATGATATTAAATGTAACGTAGTTCAAGGGATGCAATTGATTTTATTATAGGGTAGTTATTTTCTTTTCAGGAGATAATAGAGACATGTTCTACTCTTATTTATCTACTCTTCTATCTTATTGATAAGATCCGAACCAAGTCAATAGCAATTCAATTCCACTCTGTAAATTAAATATGCAGGTCGTCAGATTAATTTCCGAAAAGTCTATTGGAGATTAATTTACAAAAAGCGCTTATCCATCTTTAAGACCTAACTTTAAGTTGACATTTCACTCGAATTTATATCGAAGATGTTGGAAAATAGGTAAGATTAGTTTTGTCTTACCCAAGACTTGTAGAACCAAGATCTCTACCCATATACCTTTTACATGTTAAGTTATGTTCAAAATGGGATGTTCTGTCTGTAGGTACGAAACTGATATCATTACAAAACTTTTGGTACGTCTTTATCATTTGCCTATTAAGTGTCGGGTGAGATACCAATGCCGCTCCTGTGAAATGCGCTTTCGAGGTGGGAAGTGTGGTCCCGAGCCGAATGAGTGTCCAGACAACTGGACCGGGCACACCGGGCCCACAGTGCCTGGTTAGCTCACTGAGATTGGTGATGTAGTATCTGTAAGAGCCATAGTGCTACCGAAACACATAGTTATAAGTTGAATATTCTTTGAATTTTGAAGGCTCGAAATTATTTCATGCTTTATCGAAACATAAATATTATATAAAATCAATCCCCGCAATGTCGCTCAAGATCAATGGTTTCAACGTTGAAGTGGCCCCAGCTATCACGCCCGGGGCCAAGGAGAGTGGTCCCTACGATCCTCTGAACCCTTCAGTCACGGAACTGCCAAAGGGCCACAAACGTGCTCCTGCAAGCAGGGCTTTCGAGGCTGATACCCTTTTCGAGAAGGATATCGCCATTCCCCTGCGTGATGGCCTGAAGCTATACGTAGATGTGTTTCGTCCCAAAACCGACAGCAAGGTTCCAGCGATCCTGATCTGGAGCCCCTACGGCAAGACCGGAAATGGTAGGCGTCATATTATGGGCCAAACTCGGTGCTTGCTAACTCCAAAAATAGGTCCTCACGGACTTGGGATGATTCCTGGTAGATTCGGGGTTCCCGAGAGCCAAGTTAGCGGTTACGAGAAATTTGAAGGTCTTGACCCTGCGGTTTGGACCGCCAGGGGCTACGCTATCGTCAACGCTGATTTACGAGGGTCTTGGGACTCTGAAGGAATCGTCCCGTAAGTAGTGTCTGTCAGCATTGGAACTGGGGATCCTTTCTCACGAGAAGAGTTTAAGCTAACTGAACCAGCTGGGTTGGCAAGCAAGACGGCCAAGACGGTTACGATGCCATTGAGCATATTGCGAAACTTCCCTGGTGCACAGGTAAGGTAGCGATGGGAGGAAACAGTTGGCTCGCCATGGTTCAATGGCAGATTGCATCCCAGAATCCTCCGTCCCTGGTTGCTATTGCGCCCTGGGAGGGTAACGCGGATTTCTACCGCGATACCCTTGCCCGCGGTGGAGTGCCATATCCTTATGACGCCATGTGGAAAGTGCTCCAAGATTCCATGGTCGGACGACAAGGCGCTGAGGCTTCCATCAGCATGTTGAAACAGTATCCCCTGTACAATGAATATTGGGACGACAAGAACGTCAAGCTTGACAAGATCAAAGTTCCCGCCTACGTTCTTGCTAGTTTCTCGTCTGCACTTCATACCACTGGTTCCGTGCGAGGCTATCACGATATCTCTTCCAAAGACAAGTGGTATGTCGCATCTAACCCAAACTACTCGAACAAGACTACATATACTAATATAACAGGCTTCGTATCCACGCCAGACAAGAGTGGTCTGACTTGTACCACCCGGATAACGTGGATGATTTGACCAAATTCTATGACTACTTCGTCAAGGGCATTAAGAACGACTGGAAGAACACAGAGAGAGTGAGAGGCTCTCTCGTTGGTTTCAACCAGGTAAGTCTGTAATAGTCCCAGCTTCAATCTCATATCTTCTAACCCATTATGTGCTAGCCAAATCTCGTCAACATCCCCCTCGAGTCTTACCCCATCCCAAACACCAAAAACACTAAGCTTTACCTAGGTTCTGGCGAGAAACTTGTATCATCCCCCCAGAAAGAAGCAGAAGCTCTGTCGTATGACGCTGCATACATTCCAAAGCATCCGCTCCAGGGCGGCGAGGAGCTACTTTTCAGATACAAGATTCCCAAGAAAACATGGCTTGTCGGCTACTCATGGCTTAACATTAGCATCTCTAATGACAGCGATGACGATATTGATGTTTTCGCCCAAGTCGGTAAGCAAGACGCTTCTGGCGAGCAGCTGGTCAACATGAACGTTCCTCTGAAGGAGCTCATCCCTCCTGTTGGCCATCACACAGAGGCTGCCGACACATGCTTCCTCAAGTACTTGGGACCTACTGGATCTCTGAGAGGAAGCCACGCCATCACAAAGGTTGATCCCAAGCCTGGGAAATTCACTGGCGAGTGGCCTGAGTACACCAACACTGCCCGCAAGGCCATTCCTGCTGGTACTGTGACGAAGCTAGAGGTGCCAATCTGGCCGACAGGAATCGTCTTTGAGGAGGGCGAGTACCTGACATTGAAGGTGTCTGGCCATTACATGAGCTTTATGGAGTTTGACTTCTTGCAAGGAGCTTCCCACGCCAACAAGGGCCGTCATACTGTTCATATCGGAGATGTCTCGGATAGCTACCTGGTCGTCCCTCTCTTAGATCCCCTCGTCTAGAAGAGGAAGCAGATAGATATTCAATTGCATTCACCTTGAGCCATCTCTTACCGAAATACTAGTTATGAGAAGAATCTGACAAGTGCATTTCAAGGACAAGAGTAAGAATTAAAGTATATTTCCAAAAGCGCCTCTTGTGAACCACGAAGTGAGAGGGACTGACCCCCATACCATTTATCACTACGAACATACTGAACTCAGAACCTATTCGCTTGAACAAGTACATGACAATAATAAGAGGTATCTACTTCTGAAAAGTAATAACTACCAGTTCAAGAAATAATATCATTTTTTGTTCTTTGCTTTCACCATTGCCTTTATCAAGGCAATGCTTTCCAAATTTCTCATTAATAAACAACATTATAAGAACTAATATATAACATGACCTGATATTGGTACGGAGCATTACAGAACACTGGAAATGAATACAAGTCTAGGCTAAGTTATAAAAAGTGGATTAAATGCAGAAACCAAATATAAAACTAAGAGGCTTTAGAGAGTGCGTGTTCCATAGCCTAATATGCAATGTATGCTATAACTGCCTATTTCTTATCCATGCTCGATAACTCCTCTACTTTCCTAAAATTGCTGCAAGTCCACCTATCAACTTCTGCTCATGGCCATCCTCTGCCCTTGCACCACGCCAAGCGATGAAGCCATCAGGTCGCACCAGAATTGCTTCACCTCGCTGGAGGCGGCACTTCTTCTCCACATCCCCCACAGGGTCCTTGTACGGAGATGATTCCGCATTGAGAGTGTACACATCGAGTGTAACGGGGCTTTGGCTGGCTGCACGAGTCCAAGGCGAGTCAGCGTCAACCGTAATGAGCAAGAAGTTCTGCTTGACTAGATCAATTGTAGAAATTGTTTTGCCGGATCCTGCAGTTTCTTGGATATAAGAATGGGGAAACCTGGATCCAGAAACTGCGCTGGGAGAAGCAGGGTCATCGTAAACCTCCTTGGAAGCTGTGTAATTATCGTCGGGAACAAACGCTCCACCGTTAGGATACCTGAAACCAAGTTCGATAGATTCGTCTGGGGCTTCTGGAGCTGGCGGGTGTTGCATAACGATACGGTTTTGGAAGCGGTTGTAGGCCTGGTTGACAGTAAACTCATCAATAGGTTGCCGTTCGACGTTGTATGAAGCCAGAAGAGAATGCGAGGCTTTTCCAGACAAAACATAGGAAAGCTTCCAGGCAAGGTTGTGCGCATCCTAGTACAAGATTAGCTATTGGTGAGTCTGTCAAGGTAGCAGAGTGACCTACGGCTATACCGGTATTTCCACCCAAGCCTCCAGTCGGTGGCATTGTGTGGGCAGAGTCTCCAGCCAAGAAGACCCTGCCGCCCTTGCTCTCGAGTCTACCAGCAGTGTATGCTGCCATAGTCCAGTAGTTCATTGACACGATCTCAGGATCGACCTGGTCGCGAGTCAGGCCAGATAGTTGGTGGAAATAGTCCTTGGCGTCGTCCACAGTAACGGATCCTGGTTCAAAGCTAGTCCGTGGGCCGACATTGTTGACCATGATGATGCCTTGTCTCCCCTCATTTTCTAAGCGGAAGCCGCCTCCAATGTCTTTGTTTGCGACATAAACAACGCCGTGCACCATTCTCTTACCGATGAATGGGCTCAAGTCCGACTTGAAGGCTACACCAAGACTGTTGCGGAGGACACCAGGTCCCTCCCAGCTGATGCCTTCTTTTTGACGAGTTGGGCTGCGATTTCCGTCGCAAGCAACCACATACGGTGTCTTGTATTTCTTGATGTCTCCAGTGGTCAGATCCTTCACAACCATAATGACATGATCCTCTTGTTCATCGTACATGAGAACCTCATGCCCGTGCCGTTGCTCGCTGTTGAACTTGTCTGCATATGCGCCCAAGATGGGCTCAAACATGCGCTGTGAAATCCACACCCAATTCGAAGGGGTGAAGCTTTTGACATGCTCCGGATCGTGTTCTTGTAGATGCTTGATCACCTTGCCCCCGATAAGCTTCTCGACAAGCAGCATACCGGCGTTGAGGTCAAACTCTTTCCCGCTCTGCTCCAGAGTAAAGTCTTCTAGGCCAAGTTGGCGGAGAATCTCGCTTGTTCGGAAGTTTATTCCGGCAGCTCTAGGATGAGCGCCTGCCTTGGAATGACGATCAAAAGACACAGATTTAATACTGCGGGTTGTTAACTTCAATATCTAGTAGGATCAACTGACATTCGTCCGTAGCACTTACCCATGATAGCCGAGGAGAAGACCGAGAGTCTTGCCTACCATACTGGAACCAATGATAATGACGGACCATTCTTCCTTCTCGAGAGGTATGTTGGAATGGTCAAATGGAGTGAACTTGTCCTTGGCCAGATTGGCTGTCGACAAAGTTTCATCGATCTGTCGCGCTGTGGCAGTCATTTTGTTCAAGGAATGCAGTGATCTGTTTATGGAACGTGATATTACATCTGGAGGCTCGTCTTATTATCAGGTGTCCCATAAGACATTTAACTTTGGTATTCGACTGAAAAAGAGGTCCAACTCCAGACTCTCTCACAAAGATTGAGGCAGTTCCGGTGGGGATGGTCCCGAGAATGAGGTGGCGCGGGTGCCCATTCGGCATGTGTCAGCACGGAGTAACTGATGAGAAAAGGTCCGTGAGCTCGGCCTTTGAGCTCAGCGCGAGTGATTGAAACGCGACAGCGAGGACCTGTTTCCTGCCTCCTGTCAGAACGTGGTTAAGCCTTTTTGACAAATATCGTTCATTGAGATAGGACACGCAAACTACATACGTTTCCAGCATCTCATTCACGATATCTTGGATATCAGGCAGAGTAGTCACCAGCATTAGAACCAATCGGTTAAGTATTTAACGAGCGTAAATGGTCATTATAGTGTGAAATGTAGTTCAAGGTAGGAGAGAAGTGGAATGGGCTATGATGAACCACCAACGCATGTCACTTTTGCAAACATTGAAACAACTCTTGTAACATCAATATCCTACTACCACTGGCTCCACTCATAACACATAAAAGCTACTCTACAGCTGCGCCAGAGTACTACGCTGCTCCCGTACAAGTGCATTTTGCGCATCTTGAATGACATAATCGTTCCACAAATACGGAAACATATCCGGAGGCAGTTCCGCGTCGGGTACAAACTTGCGAAGATCCTCCATCATCGTCCCGCGTCTCTCATCATTGACCTTGGACATAAACATGACAGTGACTGCTCGCGTGTATCGAAGCTGGTTGTAGAGCTCCAGGCGCCTAGGTATATCCTCGAGGGTTATATCAGCTGGGAACAAGATCCCGAGGGCGGCAGCATCCTCAAACGATTGCCCTCCGCCTTGTCCCTGATCTGCATATCTCTTAGTTCAGTCAAGGTCAAATTTTGTATAGAGAATCCTTACGTGGAAGCATGGGGTGAGCAGCATCACCTATCAAGACAGTATTGCCCTTGTAGAACTTGGACGGAGGATCCCTCGTAGCTAGGCTCCACAGCTTCAAGTCCTCGGCAATTCTGCACAACTCGATGAGCACGGGGGAGAAACTCTTGTAGACTTCAAGGAGATCCTCCACATTACCCCCTTCTAACCAGGAGGATTCACCTCCGAGACCGTTATCTTCGGCTGGATGGACCGCGACGATGTTGAGCAACGTGCCTTTGCGACAAGGGTATATAACCATTCTTCGATCCTTGGTTGTGAAAACATGTTGGCAGTCGAATCCTAGGTCACCGAAGAAAGGCCCAGTGATTGGATTTGCCAGGACTTTGTCGATCGGAACCAAGAATCGAAAGGTGTTTTGTTTTGTGCTAACGCTCTGAGGCTGGGAGCCTGCAACAGCAACGACAACTTTGGACTGTGTCTCGCTATTAACCACGGGAACAATTTGATCAAGACGCAATTTGGCTTACGTGAACACCATCTGCCCCAATCAGGAGGTCACCCTTGTGCTTGGTTCCATCGCCAAGGGTGATCTCGGCAGTTTCCGCATCCTGATAAGGTGTCAGTCACTATTATCAAACCAGTATGAGGAGCAAGACATATACATACCGCCGAAATGACCTTGCTTGCAACGTGAAGCTTGATTCGATCTGCATAAGTTTTGTCTGTAGCCGCTTTGCGCAGGGTGTTGTGCAGGTCCACGCGATGTGTCAACAACCACTCGTCTTCAGAACCAATCTTCTTCTGGAGTTCGTCGGTCTTCTGTGTGGTGAAGGCGATATTAGAACGAATCGAGAAAGAAATATCACGCCGCAGGGACCTACCACAGGTACAAATATAAGCTTCCTATTATTATCGTAGACCTTGATGGCATTGCAGAAGACGGCTTGGAGATCTTCAAAGTCAATGCCCCAGGACTTCAAGATCCTGCTGGCATTGGGAGCAATGTGAATCGCGGCGCCAACTTCGTTCATGAATCTTGATTGTTCGAATACCTAAATGGATAAATGAGCCACATCTTCCTTTTTATCTGGGCCATCATTAGCCATACCTCAACATTGTGGCCAGCGCGTGCCAGAGCGATAGCAGCACCCAAGCCCCCCAAGCCTGCACCGGCAACAAGCACTTTGAGAGGCATATTGGTGAAGTCTAGAGATAAAAATGTTGTGAGTTTAATGCTTTTTGGCCAGTCCAGACACTACACTACGTTGAGGCAGCCGATGGGCAGCCACCGTTATAATAGGAATTAGCGATCAGCCTCATGACGCTCTGATGCCTCGTCTACTCTGTAAAAGCTCTAGCAACCATTCTCGACTCCCCTTTGTCATCTTGCAATTTCCAACTCGTACCTCCACGAGTCTAGTCTGTCTAGCCTCACTAGATCGTGGCCACTCAAAAAGGCCATCACACGACAAGACTGGCTCGGCTCCACCGGCTGTGGCTATGTCCATCTCCTCCTCCACGCTGAGGCGTTGTCCTTTTTTGCTCTGCTGTCTCCTCCACCTAATTCGGCTTCTCTCCACACGGCTACGACTCGGAGCTGTTGATCTACCGATCGAAAGCTAGCCCGATGTGAACACATGGAGAGGAAAGCTACCCCGCAACTTCAATCCACGGGCGTTCAACCCCACATTGTAGTTTTGACTTAGTTATTTAACTTAATAGCATGATTTCCGTACATGTTTGACGACCCAAACGCAGAAAGACACCACCAAAAGATATTCACCTTACTGCCTTGAACGATTTCATAATGGTTACTCACGAGCACGTCCGATCAATTTTTGATGGTCCCGCCAAAGGCGACATGTCGAGCTTCTGGCCCCATGTTGAACCAAACGTTGACTGGATTGTGAAGGGTAATTAATGCCAGGGTTTTACAAGGCTGGACATAGCTAACTAAACTTGCAGGTGCCCACTGCAAGATCGCAGGCCACTACCACTCCATCGAAGAGTTCCAGCAAGGTACCAGAGCTCTGTCATCAACCTGGGCAGGTCCTCTGCACCTTGTGGTCCAGAATGTTATTATTGAGGGCAATCAGGCGGCTGTGGAGCTCAAAGCTGTTGATGTCAAGACCAAGAGCGGTGACCCCTTTCCAAATGAATATACCTGGGTCCTTGGCTTCAACGACAGCGGCAAGATTGCCACAGTCAGGGCATACATGGATACGTGGGTTGTCCTTAATTCAATTTGTTCTCTGAGTATTGAACTGACAGTCGCAGGGACCTTGTTACACGCGTTATTGAAAAGAATCCTAGTTAGACAGTTGAGTAAATGGGACCAAGGTCAATTGAGTCCTACTGACGTTAAAATATTGTCTCGCACATTGCCGGTGTTAGCGGCCGGGTAGTACAATAGAATTAAGAAAAGATCAAATTCAAGCTTTAAAAATAAGACTCCCAAGTTCAGATTAAAACAGAAATTATTTGATCGTTTTATTTAAGGTGTTCCGCCAAACATCCTCATACTGCCCTTTACCCCACATGTCATCATTTTAGATGGAGTCCGAGCGGAGTGCCTGTACATTTAATAATGTAAAGCTGAGGTATGGGAGCAGCTTAAGTTAATAAAAACGGCTTTAGTACCTTCTAAATAACTATAGTTATGCCCGATTATAGTGGGTAGTAGATAGACTTAACCCTTGTGGATTGAAAGGCTTAGACACAGCATGCATATGAGTGGATGAAATAGAACGCCGTTGAGTAAAAACATGCAATAACAGACTGGTGGAGTGATTCGTAAGTCGAACAATACAATCACGACATTTAAATCCTACGAATATTCGCTGTTTTTGATTTGGGTAGTTCCATGGCCTGATATCGATGTGTGTTCACTTATGGTGATGTCCAGATAGCATTATAAACAACAGTGTATGGTCTCCAAGCTAAAATGCATATCATGTAACACAGTTAAGCCTCGGGAAGATATTTCTCTGGAACTCCAGTCTCCGTTACGTCAACTCCGGCAACAGTCTTCTGAGATGGCAGCAGCACAAAAATAACACGAGCCGGTTTATCTGTCAGGTTGTTCCACTGGTGCAGTGTCTAGTATAGTTGTCAGTAAAGACATGATGCAGTCTAGAAAGCAGCACTCCCTACCGCTTGTTGAATAACAACGTCGCCCGCACGGACAATGGTCTTTGAACCGTCTGCAAGGGCCATCTCCAACTCCCCCTGAGTAACAATTCCATAGTCAAGCGAGGCTGTTCTATGATTATGCCCGGAAGAGTTTGCGGGGAAGTCCACGACTCGAATAAGAGATCCTTGTGTATAGATGACGGGGTCGCTGCTGACGGGATCTTTATCGACGAGTTCGGCAGGATACTTGTCGTTTCTCCATATAGTGACAGCATTGCTGCCGAAGCCGGACGAGGGCGTGATTTCTTGGTCGAATAGAATCGATGAATTCTCACCCTTGTGGTGAGTGGCCACGCGTCGCAGGGGTGTTCCAGCATCAAGACCCATGATTATTGGAGTTTATAATTCGATATAATTTGATATTCGTAACCTTGTTGGAGGGACAGTTTACAGTGGGTTTAAGCTATCGCCTTGACTATTATTTATACTGCATGAACATCAATTCATACACATCTGTAGTAGTTAATATGCCATGTGCTATGACAGCCGGACTCATTGACGGCTCGCCCACACGGCTCCACAGAATTCTTAGCACGGACCGTTTAGCGTGGTTCCTTCTGCAATGGTGCTGTGGTCAGATGCAAGACTCTTCGTTGAGCTGGAAGATTGTTAGACTTTAGATAAGCCAAAGGAATTTAACGATATATTCCAGAAACAACAGGCTTACAAACCACACTCTTAATCACGGGAAAGTTGTTAATGATCAGCAAACAACGAACGATAGTGATTGGGTTTATAGATTTAATCTGTCCTGAATGCTTGATATCTATGATAATTACAGATAGTACACAGGCTCAAGCACTAAGGAAACAAAACACGGCGAATGCCAAATCCAGTACCCGTGATGGCAAACAGTGAAAGTGCCAGGCCAACAATCAAGCCGCGCTCAAAGTAGCTCAGTCTTCCACCCTTTGGCTGCTTAATCTTTGCCAGATGTATAGTCTGTGACAAAAACGGCCACACGGACTTGGCACCAGCTGCGAGTGCTTGTGCCGGTTTGAGAGACTCCTGAAGAATAGGCTTGTTGACAGAAAAGTCTTCTCTGCGGTATAGCAATCGATCTGCGACGTAAGGTGTGGAGGGGGCGATGACGGCTGTGCGAAGAAGAGCTATTAGTCTACAAGATTGGACTGTGGATGGATTCAAGGGATTACCTAGTGACCATCGAGGGATGGTGTTGATGAACACTTGAAGTGTGTTGGTGAATAAGGCAACGTATGAGGACGCTTTAGGTGACGCGAATATGTATACTGATTGGGAAAGCTTGTTTGTGTTTCTATTCTCAGTTAGTGACATTGGAACAGAGTGGAACACCTTTCAATCCTACGTCTTGTTCAAAATGTCAATTCCATGGTCCAAACTCCTTGTAGAGACGAGCAGTAGACCATTGGTACTATGTGCAAGTAGTTCTGCCGCCTTCTCTACATTCTCAGCGGTGACTTCCCTAATTAAATTGTCAACGAATGAACAAGTTGAAAGTGATGGGGCATACACATACTTGGAATCCGCCATCGTGATGACGGCGGGAAGGCCATCACGTTTCGTGGACAGTTTCCACATTGAAGATGGGAATTTCGAATGAACCAGCTCGCCAAAAGCTTGAGCCTTGTCTTGGTCTTGCCCAAATGATAGTAGGGTATTCGCGCCAGCATCTGCACGTACCAGTTTATCCAACTGCTCGATATGTATTTCATCCACAAAGACCAGGCGAGGTATCCGGAGCAGGTTGCGGCGCGGTGCCCTGGGCCCAGCGTGGACGAGATGGCTCGCGACAGCCTCAAGATCCTGAGCAGAGCGATCGACAAATGCAGCAGGGGTCCCGGAAGGTGGTGAGAGCACTTTGACCAGCGGATTCGCCTTATATAGCGCCGTGAAGAGAGTATCTCGTTCAGGCAGGTTTTGCAGCACAACAGCACCAAAGTGCTTTGCGCCCAATTCCCGACGAGTGCTAGCCGAGTCATCTTCGGTTACGGCGAACGCTTCGAAGTCAAGGCTTTTGGTCATGAGCGTGCGCAACTCGGTGTTAAGGTTGGGAGTTTTGGACGATGCCAGCACGATCGCAGCTCCTCCGGCCGCAACAGTAGCAGCAAGAGGCGCGAGTATGCTTGCGAAAGGCGAGTAGGGAGACGGATCAATCAAGACAACACCCAACGGAACCAGATTGTCGAGTGAGCTGGCGCCTTTCCCGACGAGCTTCTCTTTGGCCAAGGTCTCTGGGAAGTCGAGGCTGTCGTAGAGTGTTTTGATCGAGTCGAGCGTCAATTGAAGCTCGTCGGCTGCGCTCGCGTCTGATATCTGCACATCTATCAAATAGCGTTAGTTCGGGGGCGAATTGTGTTGGTCCTCTCTCGGTTGTATTGTACTCACCTTGCGATATGGCTCTGATCAGGTCCGAAGATGATTTTCTAATGTTCGCATGCAACAATGCAAGCTCCTTTTGACGTTGAAGGACATTGTCCAAGCGCCCCTCGGTCCACGCCGCGTTGACAATGCGATACTGCTCTAAAACAGAAGCCATGTTGTTCTTTTCCGGTACTGCCTGTCAGCAAAAGTTAGATGGGTCGATTGTGATTCAATGAGGGCTCTAGGCATATCAAAAGAAAAAGAACTTCTTTTCAAAAGAGTTTACGTGACGCGTTATCGTCGTGTCTTGTTGTAGACATGTCCGACGTTTCCGTGGCTTCGGCTCGGCTCCACAGCAAGGGCCGGTCGCAGCATCAAGCAAGTTCAACTGCGAACCCTTCTGCTTTTTTAAAATTCGAGACATGAAGAAATAAAAATAATCATCTTCAAGAAGCGTCGTATATCCGTTTCGTATCCATTCGAGTTTGATATTAAACCACCATCAACATATTCACCATGGGCAGCTTACCGACAGAGAAGAAGAGTAATTCTATTCCCGATACCTGACGGTAATGGCAATAACAGTGCTAACAATGTCGCATCAGAACCAACACCCGTATTCCTTTTTGCGCATGGATCTACCATGATGCTGGGAGAGGAGTCTGAGCCTGCACGTATCTGGGAAAATACTGGCAATGAATGTCTACGGCGCGGCGTCAAGCGTATTGTCATGATGGTTCGTACAAATAAGCTCTTGAAAGATGATTGGGAAATTGCATTGACTCAAACTCACAGGGCGCTCATTGGGACTCGCCCTACGATACCGTCCGCGTCAGTATGAATCCAGATGCAAAGAAAGACCCAGTGGGAAGCGTCACAGAAGCTCGATACATGCCGTACAAGATGGTAGCGGATCTTGAGGGCGGCGAACGTGTCATCAACATGCTACAAGCCGCGGGGATTAACGCCCAAGCCGACCGCAAGTTCGAATGGATACACGACACATTTCTCATCGTCATCCGCATGTTTCCCCACTGTGTTCCGCTTCCCACAACAATCGTGTCCATGAACGCTCGATACGACCCGCATCTCCATGCCAAAATCGGAGCTGCTCTGCGGCCATTGCGCTTCGAAGATACACTCATCATCGGAAGCGGGGGGTCTGTCCACAACCTATACCAAAACCATTGGTATCAAATGCTTACGTACCGGGACAACTTTGCCCAGCCTGTGCCTCCGGGCGATTGGGCTCTGGAGTTCCGGCAGTCAGTGGAGGATGCTGTGACACAGAATACGGGCCCAGCCCTGCGACGCGCTGCGACGAGACTTATGAAGCATCCTCGATATAAGGAGGCTCATGGTACCGATGATCACTTCATGGCTACCATGTTTGTTGCCGGTGCAGCTGGGGAGGAGGACGACCAGGGTCCGAACACGTTTTTGGGTGAGTGTTGGGAGCTAGTCAACATGTGCAATAGTCAGTATCAGCTTGGCAATTGGGACTAGGTCGCCATTGAGATAATATTGACGTAGCCTTGTGTGTTTGAGAGATGCATCTATGAGAGTTAATAGAGATACAGCTATGTGGGAATATTTCCAATCTAATTCGATTATTTTCATTATTTCCTACGGGTACTTCAAAGACTATCATTTCCTGCCAAAGCTTACGTCTAGTAAAGGCTCAAATACATTCATACCCGTTTCATACTCAAGTGCCATTCAGTGTTCAACAGGTGTATCACCACTCACCACCTACATGGGATTTACCAACATCAGAAAACCTTCCAGCTGTGTTCCTCCAAAGTTGCGCCCAGATCTACCAGAGGGAGTTAGCACGGACAAAAGGCCTACTTGTGAGACAACGTACCGAGATAAGCCAACACCCTCTAACCATGATACCGCCCACAACTGTAAACAAGAGCATTTGTCGTCGTTCGTTCAGATCCAGGCTCGTGTTGATGGGGCGGTAATCAGGAACGCGCCTAAACGTATCGGTCCACCAGTTGGGGTTGGAGACGGGATATGTAACCGTCGGATGGGGAGCCAGACTGGGGTCGAAGTCGTTGGGCTGGGCCTCGCGAGTAACACCAGCTACAACGACAGTGGTTCGGTCCCTATCTTGTTGCTGAGCTGGCGATGGTTGTTGGTGTGAGTGATGAATCTTGTAGTCCTGCAGCGCATCTTCGATCGAGGCATCGAGCCTAAGTCGTGCGTTGTTACCGCTGGCGCTGGCGGTGTTGGTATGAGTTGTTGTCATTTTAGCTATAGATGCTGTGCTTCGCAGCTTGTCGGTTGGTAATTCGTCGAGGAGCGAAAGAATCAATCATCACCACACAATAATACTCGTTCAAGGGCGTCAGTTAGGGGACATGTGACATGCCGGAATTGTCGGTTTAAAGGTTCTCCATGACACGCGGCTAATTCGTGGTCAGCATTCGGCTCGGGACCACACCTCCCCTGCAAACGCGTGCTCAATTCTGGGATGGCACACAAGCGATTGGGACAATAGAAGCTCCGGAGGGTGAGCTATGGAGTAGCATATTAAGGACCCTGGACTAAATAACTGTTGGCAGGGTAATTCTACTCACCTCGCATCCACGTCATACCTCAACCAAAGCACACGACTAGCAAACATGGCAGAGAACAAATTCAAAACTATTGACAAGGATAGCTTTCCCTACATCTTTATTAAAAATATCGACATTCCACTAAAGACCTACGAGAACGGCACTCTCCGTGCCAATATCTTTTTACCCAAAGATGCAGCACCCTTTGGGAACAAGACTTATCCTGTCATTGCCACCTACGGCCCTTGTAAGTGAAATTCCTTGCGCACATGCGCATCTTGATTTTTCCAGATCAGACGCTTATTCACGTCGCACAGATGGAAAGGATGTTCCCTACGGCATCTTCTACAAAAAGAGCTGGGAGCAACTAAACCCCGACATGAAGTCTACGCACGCAGCATGGGAGACTCCAGATCCTGCTTATTGGACAAGCAAGGGGTTTATCGTGGTGAGAGCTGATGAGCGAGGAGCTGGTCAAAGTCCTGGACTTCTTGATACCATGTCCCGAGGCACCAGTGAAGCATTCTTTGATGTCATTGAGTGGGCTGCCGAGCAAGAGTGGTCTTCGGGCAAGGTTGGTCTACTTGGTATCAGCTACTACGCCGGCACCCAATGGCGAGTTGCCGCCCGCAAGCCCAAGGGATTAGCTGCTATTATCCCCTGGGAGGGTATGAGCGACTACTACCGCGATCGAGTGAGACACGGCGGTATTCTCTCGGACAAGTTCATCGGTAAGCTTCCGATTTCAGTCATGGCGTAATGATACTGATGTGCGAGTCCAGATTTCTGGTGGAACAACGGAGTCAGCCCAAACCAGTACGGAAAGCCGGGTCGTGCTGCTCGGAAATGGGGAGAGGATACACTTGAGGGTGATCTTGATGAGGAAGCTCTACTGAAGAACCGTCGAGACCAGACACTGGATACCGCTGTGCATAAGTTCCGGGACGAAGAATACTATCGTACTCGCGATTTTGATGTCGAGGCTATAGAGGTTCCCTTACTCAGCGTAGCCAACTGGGTAAGTACTGCGGCTCTCTGCACCTACCAGAGTCCCATCTAACTAACAGACGTAGGGTGGAATCCTACTTCATCTTCGAGGAAATGTGCTCGGTTGGACACGAGCGAGCTCCAAGTATAAGTTCCTCCACTTCATCGTCGGACGACATGACCTTCCGTTTTACTATCCAGAATCAGCCGAATTGCAACTCTCCTTCTTCAACTCCTTCTTGAAAGATGATGATGTTGACGGCTGGAAGTCCGGCAAGATGCCTCGAGTTCGTCTCACTCTACGCAAAGGGGAGGCTGGCGTGGACGATCCTGATCGTGAGCGAGGATTCCCCAGCAGAGATGAGGCAGATTGGCCACTGCCTGGAACTGAGTACAGAAAGTTCTACCTCACTCCCGAGAACACGTTAAGCGAGATATCAACTCCGTCCATCAACAACGTTGAGTACGACGCGCTAGAAGGGTACGTCCGGTTTCCTCATTGCAAACTATATCGCTAATTCGTTCTGGATAAAGAAAATCTCTGACCTTCCAGTACAAGACCTCATCCTCCCTCGAACTCACAGGCCACATTGTCGCTCATCTTACGGTGGCCGCGTCTCGCAAGTCTCCTGAGGCCCCTTCACCATCAGATATAGACCTGTTCCTCACCCTTCGCAAGATCAACGTCAGAGGCGAAGAGGTCTTCTACACAGGAACAATGGGCGACCCTGTACCAATCGTGAAGGGCTGGCAGAGAGTCTCGCTGCGCAAGATGGATGCCAGCAACGTTCTTCACAAGGACTACCTCCCGTTCCGCAATTACTTCTCGACCGAGGTGGAACCCGTTGAGGAGAACCGAAAGTATGAGGTAGATGTTGAAGTATGGCCCACGAATGTAGTCCTCGAGCCAGGGGAAACCTTGGTGCTAGAAATTGCAGGTCACGATACCCAGGGCGTAGGCAAGTTCTCCCACGAGCACCCGAATGACCGTGATCCCAAGGTATTTGATGGAAAGAATGCTATCACGGTGGGAGGAGAGGCAAGCTGGCTCAGTCTCCCTGTTATACCTTCTAGTACATAAGTAAATCGGCATGTTGAATAGAACTATTTGGTTACTTAGATACTTCGATATCTTTTTGTTCCACAGGAGCTTGCGCATTGTGTAACGGTTAAGTAGAATTTTGAAAACTTGGTGGAGACTTCATGTCAAGGTCTATTTGCATTATAGCTCTGGGATCCATAACATCTCCCAAGCCTTGTATACTGTTATCTGTGAATCAATATCGAGGAGCTGTCTAAGCAATGTTGGTCGGGGTGTGATTAAGGGTTGAAATTGAGTTCACTCCACAGGCCCGGGATATCCGGACAGACAATCCCGAGTTTGTGGGGAACCGGTCACATCTATCCCACACCATTCCCCGTTCCGTGGGGAAGCGTGTAGTTGTATCCCTGCCTGGACATTTAAAGAGATGAGGCAGGTCTGACAAGTCATGTGTAGTAGCAACTAGCTGATGTATTTGCTTTCCTCTAGCACAAGATTGAGCATACCTAACGCTACGGCAAATACCATCATTCCTAGAGCAACTGCGATTTGATCTATAGTATGGCGGTACTACAAGTGCTGTCCGACCATGGCTTTACTTTCGGGGCTGTCTTCCTCGTCATCTACGTAAGTTGTGATGCATCCCCAAAGCATGCATTTAGCTCCTTTCATTCTTCACATTTCTCTTTGATATATCTGTTCACACAATCTTTAGGTGATTTTCAAGATAAAAGCCGCCTTCTTCGGGCCACTTTCAAAAATTCCTGGTCCCTTCATAGGACGATGGACACCTATAGTACTAAAGTACTACACCTTATCGGGACGCCGCATTCAATATATCGACTCTCTCTTCACTAAATATGGTAAGTGAAACGCTAAAGAGCACACGTTGTGTATATAACCTGACACAATCTCCGGTCAGGCCCTGTAGTTCGTGTAAGTCCTACTACAGTCGGCATCAATCACCCCGATTCAGTCAAGGTCATTCAAAAGGTAGCAGGCGGTTTCAGCAAGTCTTCATGGTACGACAAAACCGGCCCTGGAATGCTTGGAATGAGAGATCGTGAGAAGCACTCCCGTCGTCGTAGACTGCTTGCGCACCCCTTGAGCAACTCTTCTCTACCGGCTTTTGAACAACTCATCTGGGCCAAGGTAGATCTAGCCATGGATCAGATGGAGAAGGAATACAGAAATCTGGGATACACCGACATTCACAAATGGTCGAGCTTGATGGCAACTGACATAATTGGTGACTTGACCTTTGGAAGCTCGTTCCGGATGTTGGAACAAGGCAAGGTGAGGTCATATTCTTACGTGGCTTCACGACGCTGACAATGTTTGTGATGCCAGAGAAACCAGTACGTTGAAGATCTGCAGGCTGTTATGCCTACGGTTCATAAAAGAATTGAGCTGGCGCCTTTCTTCGACCTCATGTTTTTGCTTCCACTGCCACAGGTCAAAAAGTTCTCGGAGAGGTTTCAGAGAATCATTACATATGGGGCAGAGTCGATCCATCGACTGCAACTAGACCAAAATTCAGGCTCGTTAACCACGCCCTTCTTTTTCGAAAAGATAATGAATCCAAAGGACAAGGAAAACGCTTTGAGTGATCTTGAAATGCAGCAGGAGGCTGCTGAGCTTATGATCACCGGGACAGACACGACCTCAAATACTCTAACCTATCTATTCTGGTCAGTGCTCAAGAACCCCGATATCAGGACAAAGCTTGAAGAAGAGGTTTCAACACTACCTGCGGACTTCAAAGATGCCAATCTTGTTAAGTTGCCATATTTGAATGCTGTTGTACGAGAGTCTCTAAGGATGTATGGTGCTGCTTCCGGATCCCATGAAAGAGACGTTCCAAGCGGCGGATGGGAGACCTGTGGCCACTTCATTCCGAACACTGCAACCGTTTTCACACAGGCTTTCTCACTACACCGTCTTCCTGACGTGTTTAAAAGTCCTTACAGGTACCCTTTCGCATACTGGTACATGAATAACAGTCTTGCTAACAAAATGTGCTTAGATTTAACCCGGATCGTTGGCTGAACCCTACTCCAGAGATGGAGGAAGCTTACATTCCTTTTGGAGGCGGGCCCCGAAGTAAGCTGATATCCTTGAATATGCGTGATTGTCTCTAAATCTGTCTAGTTTGCATTGGTATCCATCTCGCTTATATGGAGCTTCGCGTCACCACGGCGGCATTCTTCCGCAAGTTTCGCGGCGCTAGTGTTCATCCGTCTCTGACCGAGGATGATATGGAATTGGAAAATTACACTTTGATCGCCCCAAAGTCCCATAAATGCTTAATCAGCCTTTAGATAGTGAACATGGCAATATTTGAATTATGAGATCTGTACTGACGCAGTCTACACTGAATATCGTAGGTGTGTTGTTTTTACCTGTTCTTGTGGTTGACAGTCTTTCTGTGCAGGCACACATAGAAGCATTACTTAACTTGCCGCGATAGATCGTCCCTACGACTGAAGACAAACAAGTATTTGAGGCATGAAAATATGTTTAGCGGGTTTTTGATAACATATATCCGTGACTTGACAATGATGGCATCCTGGCAGGTCATTCGCATGGCATTTCTCAACACAGCTAAGTCATCTACAAAGAGAATCGGACGTCGTAGAGAGATAATGCATCAAAGTTCATATTAAAATCAGAAGGATCAACACGACTAGATAGGTACCCATAAGTTGACATGGTAGGTCTGTAATAGCTAGTCTGTCCCATTACAAGAATCTCTTGGCGCCATATCGCTGGTGAACAAACGAAGCCTTAGTCCGGATCCACGGTCCAAAAATAATAAGAATGAGCGACAGCCCAGCAAGCAATGCCCACTGAATGATGGCCATCTGCAAAAACATCTTCTCCACGCCTACTCTCATCAGCCAGTCCGATGCAGTCTCGGTCAGTCCGAAAGGGATCAGGTGAGTCACAGCATTTATCAACGCCACAACTTCGGATGAATCATACGGGTAACTGTCGATGGCGTAAGACAGGACAGCGGTAGGGATGAGCATAAGGCTGGCAGCCTGCATGGCGTATCCAACAGCCGGTCCTACATAAGAGCCCTTGACATAAGTGTATCCGAAAAGCAGGAGACCTGCAGAAGAGATCATGAAGGGGACAATAAGGGTATAGAGGCGATACTCAGGCATGTGTTTGCCCTTTCGACGCCCAATAAATGAGGACACCATATCCGTCAGAGGACCCGCGATAGGGAAGGCAATCAAGCAGCCGATCAAGCTGGTGCACGCCCAGTTTCCGAGTTCAGACGGACCCCAAAGAAAGGGTGGTGCAGCGAAAAGCTGGTTAGAAATAACTGAGATGGTAGCAACCCTAGAAAGTGTTGGCAGAGGTTCAAAGTGTCTTTGGAGAGGCGGCAACCTTACCAAGCCAGGACAATCCCCCACATACCCGCAGACAGGATCACGATGGGATCGAAAGTATACTCTATCTGCAACAGAAATGAGAGTGCCCATTGTCTAAGACCACCACCGCGGACGTGTGGGTGTCTTTTGTAGAACGAGTTCTGTCGCCAGGTCCTGATGGAGTTCTGACGACGCCCTAAGCCAGTGGTATGGTCAAGAATGTCAGCGTCCACATCTGCGCCGGTGGCACCCGTGTCGATGTGAATGTTGAAGGCTGTTTCGGGGCAGAAGAATAGAAGGGTGCAGAAGTTGACACCACTGAGAATAGCAAGGAGGATGAAGAACCATTGCCACCCCTTGGCCTCGACCAGATGGCCACCAATGAGAGGACCACCTTGAGCGCCAATACAGAGGCTGGCTGTATATGCTGACATGGCCTTGGAGTAGTTTTTCTCAAAGAAGATTTCTGAGGTGAAGAAAGAAAATGGTCAGAGAGGCTGGTGTATATTATAAACAGTGACACTGGACTCACCTCCAATCACTGCAGGACCAACAGCCTGAACCGCACCAGCACCCAAAGCTCCGAGGATCCGGGATCCAAGAAGGCTGTTCATCGAAGTAGCCTGCGTCGCCCATATACACCCGGCCATGAACATGACTTGCGAGGCCAAAAGGACTGGACGCTTTCCAATCACAACAGCAGTCGGAATCCATAGGAAGGCTCCCAGTCCCAAACAAAGGACGCAATAGGCAATGATCTTGCTCGCTTCGTGGAAGTCGCTATGGAAATCTTGGACTAGAGCGATAAGTCCAGAGGAGATGCCGGCCTGTTTGGATCGAGGGGTCAGTTATGGATGTAGTGCGAGTAGAGATGAGAGACCTTACCGCGTAAAGGTTGCCACTGAATACCATGAAGCAAAGATTAGCAAGCACCATTGCTTTTAGAGTCCGACTCCATGTCTAGATGCGTGTCAGTAAAGAATCGAGACAAGTCTTGTCCGAAGTGGAAAGTTACCTTGGGGTGATCCCTCAATCCATCATCAGCCGTGTTGTGGCTTGCATCCTCGACTCTGGAGACTTCTGCCTTTTCTGTGCTTGAATTGCCCATGTTTTGCATATTGGTCATTGCTAAGTTGACGGTGTATGCTGAAGCCAGAAAAGGGGAGAATAACGGGGACATGGATGGTGTATATATCACAGATTTGTCACCCGCCTTTCAAACCAAGGTATCTTTAATATCACGGAATCATGGAATCACTTCCCGATCAATGTATCCGGTGGGGATAACAATAGTTCAGTAGCTATCGACTATCACGATGGGCTTTGAGTTTGATTGCGAGCAGTAATTTCACACTTCCGGCCAAGGTCTAGGCCACTTAACCTTGATGCTTGTCACCCCGCACTAACTAGCTCGACCGCACGGACAAACACGTTATTAGACTGCTTGGCTCATTCCTGTAGTTACCCCGTACTGTTTGGATGGTAGCATTCTCCTCTCATACAACACTATATCCAGACTGGTAAGCCTGATGCTTATTAATAAGTTAAGTTAGCACATGTCTCTCGGCTCCACACCAAGGTTATTTGCGGGGGTGGGGAAGAGATCGACAGTTTCGGAAACGGCCCCGATATTTGCGAGTGCTCTCAACGTAGACTAGATAATTCCCCATCATTCTCGATACTCGAGCAAGTTAACGCAAGTCTGTTCAACAAAGCACTGCCTATCTCTCGACACTAAGCCAATATTACAGAGACGCTAAAATGGGTATCAACCGCGTAGTTCAATTTCAGTTCAAGTCAGATACTGGCGATGAAGCTGTCAAGAAGGCGTGTCTTCGGATCCTTTCCTCTTAACGAGCAGGCGATTATTAACTATCAAGGCTGCAGGTGTCTGCCAAAATCCAGGGACTCAAAGAGAAATGTGTGCATCCTGAATCCAACAAGTCGTACATCCGATCGATTCAAGGTGGCGCTGATAGTGCACCTGAAGGCCTGCAGGTATGATCACTCCTACACCCAGTGCTTGGTCACCCTTGTGCCCATAATCCCAGTGTGAAGGACTAACGATTCATACTAGCAAGGCATCACTCACGCATTCGTCATCCAATTCGACAACACGGACGACCGAGATTACTACGCCCTCAAGGACCCCGCCCACCTCGCTGTCGTGGCAGAGCTGGGCCCTCTGGTAGAAAAGGTCCAAATTATCGATCTACCAAGGGACGACTAGGAAAGGTTGGATATGTTTTGTATGGACTCTACGTCTCTCTCCAACGGACGTGCAGTTGGTGTATCAAGATAGATACCGTAATTGTGGTAGTTGAACTGAAATATTACAACACTGCGCAAGACAATAGATCAATTGCACCATTCCAAGAGCCAGCTTAGGCAAACAAACCACATGCTGTTTTAGGCCTCTAGTTTGATATTACGCCCACCGACAGCATTGACACTCCGTTGATAACCAACCATTAATCTGTGAAACTAGACTAAATCTTATTCAGTATCAGTCTATGACTTCAAACCTGCAATGCTAGCAGAGTAGTTCGGGCAATGCTATTACTATGTCTATTCTATACCAAATGCCCGTGGGCTTTATAGATCTACTAAGTGCTGAGTCGCCTTTGCTGCAACTGCCTTTGATGCCGGACGCTGAGCGATGCGCTCCGCCCATGATGCTACGTTTTTCCTCGAATCGATGACCTCGCCAAGCTGTAAGCGGTCTCTCAGGAATCCAAGCCAAGGGACATGGAATAGGTCAACCAAGCTATAGTTCTGTCCAACTTATACAATTAGCATAAAAGCCATCATTCTGCACATCTGAGCAACGAACCTCGCCAGCAAGGTAGTCTTGCGTATCCAGAACTCGGTTGTAATAGTCCAGAGTCGTATTGAGCAGGGCCTTTTGCTGATCAACAGTCGCCTGGTTGGTCTCTCCGAGGTTGAAAAGCCTATTTCACATCGATTATTAGTCCATGAGTCTGCTCTAGGTATCACAGCTGAATCTAACCTCTTAAAAATAAGCTCAAACGCAAGGGTGGAAACAGCTGGCTCAAAATAGGCGTACTCGACGCTGGCAAGTTGCTCAAAAGCCGCCAAAGCCTTGGCATCGCCATAATGAGGGATGAGAGGAGAGTCGTTCTTCACGGCTAGGTAGCGTGAAATGGCCCTGGACTCGAAGATTTCGAAGCCCGAGTCTTGAAAAACGGGAACCTTGGCAAAGGGATGGTGCTCCTTTACGTATTCGGGGTCCTGTATTTTTATGGTGAGCCGGAACTTTCATCGTGTGGATTTGCTTTGTATCTTGACTGACATGGTGCTGTCCCTTACCAAGATCGACGTTCTTCAACTCATACTCGATGCCGAGTTCTTCAAGAGTCAATAAGACTCTTTGAGTACGAGTTGAGGGAGGTGTTCCAAGGACTGTAGGCGACATGTTCGCTGTGTCAAGGTCAAGGTAGTGTGGGTGAATGGGTATGACAATTAGTTCAAAGAAGATGCAGGGACTTGATCTAAGTACAAGTTAGATCCGGAATTTAGTGCCTTTATGAGAAGAGTGCGAAGACATGGACGATTACCCAACCTTGTCCCTCGAGGCGTGGAGCCGATGGAGCCGAGTGCCATCACAAGCCACCGTCACCACCAAAAATAGTTTAATACGCTTGAACTATAATGGCATGCTTTACAGGGACAGGGCGTTGATATTTAGCAAATTCTCTGCTAGGGGAGGGGTTTAGTACTTGATGGAAAGGTGGGTGCCACATCAGTTGCTGTGGGCGCAAGAAAGGCATTAAGAAGCTGTGGGTTATGAACAGAATATACGCTTTAAAGATAGAAATTTCTTAACAGTATCTATAGATTTCCAAGTTATAGCCACCGTTGCTGTATACCAGGCCTTGATCATTATTCGGCGGGCGATTATCCTCAACCGTAGCTTAGCGGAAACTATTATTTACCCTACCCGCTCACTGACCTTCAGCCATACAAGTCGCCTCTCTCGCTCGGAGACGAAGCAGGATCTGTACATATGTAGTACTGATCCCCCAGGCTTTCAACGATTTCATAAGCACTACTGCCTCATCTAGCAGCTTGCCTCGGCCCTCTGCACACAACAAGTTACCGATCCCCGGCAGCTTGACTCGGCTCCACCCGCCTTCGATCCAGTCGTTATTCTCCATGTTATCTAGGGCCTTTGGCCCCAGTACCACAGTCGTGGCGGTCGGGGAGTACAAAAACCCGTCTTGAACGCGCTCTGCAAGTGCCGAGTAGAGCCAGAGAACCAGCACGGCCCGCAGCAACGACACAGGCGTACCAAAGTGTGAGCATCGACTCGACCGCACAAGGTGAAGAATGCGCGCTGCGTAGAAGCATCCGAGCCTTCCCTGGCCTGGCGCACTTCTCCACCGGTTTCGGATCTGCTCCCGGTGTGAGTCGTCCAGCTTCCCGTATATGTATCTCACAACCGTAGGAAGGGGATTCTGGATGGGAGTGTGATGGGTCATCAAAGCAGTCAAAGCCATAATCTTATGCGTTGTTGACGCCTTGACCTCGTCGAGAGACTGCTCTGCCTGGTCATTCTCAATAAGTGCAAGGAATTCTGTCAGGACATTTGAAGCCTTCAGCTTATCGTGACAAGAAAAGCCGCTTGTGCCAGGCTGGCTTGCGCTTTGGTCCTTGATGATATTGGACAGATGCTGAAGCATGACCTGCTTGCCCAGAGTGTTGGTTTTCGACCAGACGAATCGCCAGCTATCGTCTACAATCACGCGCTCCATGGTGGGAAGCCCGCCAACACTCGAATTTCCTACGCTTTTTAGTACACGTACACTCCCCTCAAACTGGATACTATCGGGTTTGTACTTACCGACAGCAGGATAATTCGCCCAGCACTGCGCTGTTGAAGCGCCCCAGCGATCATCGGGCTGAGGGAGCGATATTTGCAGCTCAGAAAGCCTCATGAGTCGCGGAAGGTCAAAATGCGCATCAAAGACCGAGTCCAACAGCTACAAACAAGGTCAACAAAACTACATCTGGTGCAATGGCAATTCGATTCGACTCGACTTACCCAAATTGCAAATCCGCTCCTTCGACGCTCTTCATCGAGCAGCCAGATCTGCCATTTCTGCGTCCGCGGCAACTGAAGCTGGGCAAACTTGTCCATTGGAAACATATTCGTAAAAAGACGCTTACGCCTTCCGAGGGTCACAGGTAACGCCTGTAGGAACTCTGCAATTTCCAAGGACCTGCGTTCACCGCCGTATCGAAGTCCTATTTGGTTGAGAAGAATGGTCTGAGACATCCAGAGCTCTCGGCCGTTGGAGTTCTGTAGTTCACACTACCCACTGAGATCAGTGACCAAGAAAAACTCATACAAGCATAATATTTACCATAGTTGAGGTCTGTCGACGAATAAGCTCGTGCATTGCTCTGGAGCACGCTTGAGCTTCCTTGATACTCGAGAAATGTGCTCCAATAGCAGCGACAGTGAAAACAAGCAACCAATGTCTCTTGGATGAAGAAAATGTCGACTTGTGCAAAATGGGCAGCACGGGATGGAAATACTCAAAGTACAGCTGCACCCAGGCATTCAACACTGGCGTTGGAGGAATAGCCAAGTGCCTAAAACGAGGATAGTTGCTACTGTTCTGCATCTCTATAGCTGCCTGAGTGACTTTTCTGCAAATGTCGTCGGGAATCTCCTCCACGTGGGCCAGGTTCTCCCCATCAACATCCTCTGCGACAAGATGGGACAAATCAGGGAACGTGAGTTGCGCATCGATCTCGATCGAGACGGGAACATATTCTCTCGGCTCAACAGCGTCTCTATCAATGGTTGGAGAGTGGCTGCGACTGTAGAGCTCTGCGACCGCTGATTGATCGATCATTGAAGAAGCCGGTGTAGGTAGTGATGCGACGGGTTGTTGTTGTTGTAGTTGGGGCATCCTGTAACTGGCCTGATCGAACCAGGCTTCGTTGATGGTATCAAAGGTTAGGTCGTTCTGCAGGAAGAGAGACGAAAAAGATTGGTCGCTACTGGAATTGAGCCAGTCTGTGGTTTCGAACGGATTTCCAAAGATCATGGAGGGGGTGGGTAAAGCATTTGTAATATCAAAGTCCATGAACATGCTATTGTCACCAAAAGCAATGCCAGTTTGTTCTACCACTTCGGCGGATGTAGCTTGGTGCACTTCCAGAAGGGGATCGAGAGGCTGAACGTTGGTGTTCGGATCTTCGGTCTGGGAGGGCTCATTGAAAGGATCCTGATGCGGGATGTAGACATCAGCGTGAGCGACCTCGTTAGAGCCATTATCGTGGACGGTTGCAGGAGGCGAAATTGGCGAGTTATCGGTGACAAGGCTGGTATCGACATTGATTGTCTCAACAACGTCGGCACTAACAGTACTGTCGGCTCTGTCTCGTTTAGCGCTGGACCTGTCGGAGCCGGCCTCAGACATCTTTCGTTTTGCATGGGGCTCGTAGTAGCAGTGAATATCCTGTCGTCGACACCGTTGACACGGGCGCTCGCCGTCGCATCTCACCTTGGATGCACCGCATGGTTTACAAGCCTGAGATACGCGACGGCGCTCACTCTGACGGCTGCGGCTGTCTTGACCCTCGGTGCCAAGGTGGAGGGCTGTGTGATGACGGGCAAGTGAGTCGCTACAGGGCGGTCAAATATCAGCGTCAGTGTCTAGTTCTATATCTTCCAGCGTCAACAAACCCCTTCACTTACACCCTACCGAAGCTCTGTCCACATTCGGAGCACGAGAAAGGCTTTTCTTTTGTATGAGTGCGCAGATGTCGCTGATAATGCTCTTTGCGGTGAAAGGGAAGATTGCACGTTTCGCAGAAAAAGGCTGCCTGGGTAGTCATGGTGGTGATCTGTTTAGCGATGCAACGACTCAAATCATCAAGGAGCAGTAGCAACAGCAGCAGCATACAGCTTTGGAGAAACGAGTTGTTCAAGGGGAAAACATGCCACGGAGGACAATAAATCGACCCCTGTTCTACCCCGCATCTCCAGACATTTGATCTGGGGTGCAACCTCTAACTAACTTCCCCAGACTCCAGACTTTAGCGCAACCTACCTCGAACTAGTTAGAAAGGCCAATAAGGTTGTTATGATTTGATGAGATTAATCATATACTGTAGCGGTCTTGTTCTGTGAGTTGACAAACGGAAATCTCCACAGAAGGATCGGATAGAATAGTAATAACGGTGCATTCTATCAGTATAGCACCTTTGAGAAATCACTTCACTCCCGGCAGTTGAATTCATTCTTTTCTTTGCCCCGTAAGCGGCAGTCGGCACTTTGTAAACCTCCGAAATGACTTGATCCGCTCTCGGAATACGGAACCCCCTTCTGATTGACGGCGTGGATCCCTGCATTTTCAGGCGCCTCGTACTAATCTCAAGGACCACGATCTAGTACAACCTTCTTTTCAAGGCGTTACTTTAGTGGAGCCGATGGCGGTCTGAGCACGCTTACAAACCTGTTGGTGACTTTCTCTTACAACTTGGCTAGGAGAAGTAGCATACCCTATACAGTCGAGCAAAAGGTCTATAGACATGCCTTAGAAGAATTTCATCAGGGATAACGCTCTTCTACTGGGTGCATGCTTTGCTCACTACAACTCAGTTGCTTACAAGAGTGCTGATTATTAAATCGGAACAGTTCCGACTTCAAAATCGTGTCTTGCGACTGAACGAGTTACCCCACACCGGCTTCTCGGCATCAGGATTATGAGTGAGTAAACATCGATCAAGGTCATACTTATTGTAACCTTGAGAGCCTTCGCCATACGTCTACCCTTAAGCATAGCATCCCACGTTCTTGCCCTTCATTTTTTCTTGTCACATTCAAGATGATTATCGACTATCTTACGCAACACCCCTGGGCGTGTCTCATCGCCATCTCAGCTAGCTTGCTGATCACAAGGCTATTCACTAATAAATATGCAAACGGCTTGAACCAAGTACCTGGTCCAGCCTTAGCAGCTTTTACTGACTTCTGGCGTTTTTTTGATGTCTACAGAAGACGACCAGACTTGACACACATAGCCCTGCACGAAAAGTACGGTAGCATTGTCAGACTAGGTCCCAGTACTGTGTCTATATCGGATCCAGCTGTCGTGCCAACAATCTATGGACCAAACTCAGGCTATACCAAGTCCGATTTCTAGTAAGCTCTCCAGTCGAACCCTATCACCTAAGGTAGGTGTTTCAAGCTTACCCCTTATAGCAAGGCCCAGCAAACTCTTAACAGTAGTGGAAAGCCGCTCTTGACTCTTTTTACTTCGCAAGACGAGAGATTCCACTCAAAACTGCGCAGGGCTGTATCTAATGCCTATGCTATGAGCACGCTGGTGTAATTTGAGCCCTTTGTCGACTCCACAACCACCGAGTTCTTCCGACAGCTGGACCAGCGATACGCCAACGAAAATGCCGTGCTGGACTTCGGCACCTGGCTGCAGTACTATGCGTTCGATGTTATAGGCGAGCTTACCTACTCCAAGAGACTGGGCTTTGTGGACCAAGGCAAGGATATAGACAACGTCATTGGTAGTCTCGAATGGCTGCTCAACTATGCTGCACCCGTACGTCTCCCGTCGTCGCCACAAGCTTTACTGACGTGGCCATATTATAGGTTGGTCAATTGCCGATTCTTGACAGGCTCCTGCTCAAGAATCCTCTGAGGCTACAGTTGGCAAAATGGAGATTTTCCACCTCGGCGTCGCCTGTCGCCGTCTTTGCTCGCAATCGTATGCAGGCTCGAGTTGATCCGGAGAAACTAGAAGCTATGACCTTTGACGACAACGAAGGTCGACGTGACTTCCTTTCGCGCTTTCTTGAGGCTCATCAAAAGGACCCCGAGTTTATCAGCAACGACCGCGTCCTGGCCTTGACGGTCGCCAACATGTTTGCAGGATCTGACACAACAGCCATCACTTTGCGGGCTATCTTCTACTATCTCATGAAGCACCTAGACGATATGAGTACTCTCATCGGTGAACTTGCCGAGGAGGAAAAGGCAGGAAGGTTTACTCGTGAAGATGGTCTGTTACTCTGGAACGAGGTCCGGGACCTCCCTTTTCTCAATGCCGTCATCAAGGAAGCTTTGCGCTGTCATCCGGCCGCCGGCCTCATGCTTGAGCGTATAGTCCCTGCCAGAGGTCTTCAGACAACCGGATATCATATTCCTGCTGGTTCGATCGTGGGTGTTAATGCCTGGGTCCTGCATCGAAACAAAGAGATATTCGGTCAAGATGCTGATCGCTGGCGGCCTTCACGATGGACTGAAGCCTCCGTTGAAGGGCAAAAACTGATGGAGAAGTCCTTGTTCTCATTTGGAGCAGGCTCTCGAACTTGCATTGGAAAGAACATCAGTTTACTTGAGATGTACAAGTTGGTACCTGCCCTTTTACGGAGATATAAGGTAAGATGAAATCAGTTGACACGCAAGTAACCATTAACTTACAAGCTGCATCAAGCTCGAATTCCCATCTTCGGATAACAACTGGTGCTTGAATAATGGTAAGTCTTGATTTAATTATATACTTCGATCTGGACTAGTGAACACTGACGGATGATAGCGTGGTTCGTTAAGCAAAGTAACTTTAATGTGCGGTTACAACGTAAGACGAAAGTCTCATTCATACCAGAGGAATAAGACAAGTCTTGACCAAGTAATTATATCTATTTAACTCTGGCCAAAAGGCTCGATGGGCAATCAGGTCGCCTTCCAGGTGCTGAAGAGGGCCACACTTGCGAGAGATAAAGATGACAATAAGTGAGTGCGTGTACAACAACCACCGAGGGGTTCAATGAGGAATGTAGAAGGATTGTTCTAAGCCGTGATGTATATTCTTAGCAAGAGACAGGCGAACAACAAGGGCAGCTCTTATTTCGCCACAGTGTATCTACTACGTTCAATCTTGACCAGAGTCAGATTTAACTGGCAACTATTCACGTTTATAAGCAGACATAAGTTTGCATTGTCTTAAATACCTACTGGGCGGAGTGAAGACATTGGCGCTGTTAGAGAGATAAGTCTTTTGTAAACTTCGTGCTATTCTCATTTTCAACGGAGATAAGCCGTGGCAAAATATTGCAAGTACATCCAGACACAGAACAGCATTATCAGGTGATCTATTCCGGTAAGACTTAAAGTATCCACCATACTGACTTTCATAGATGTATTACTGCAACTACATAGCTGCTGCTACTTAATTAGAGCAATAGCTTTTATCATTCTATGCCTGAAAGTAGTACCAGAGTAGGATAGGTAATTGATACTCTGTTCAATTTATCCAAAGAACTACACAAGAAAAATAAAAGCAGTTTAGACAGTGTAAATATAAGCTTCTTTTTGGTTGGTGGGGAAATTGATGCGAGAGATTCAAAGGGGTTCCTGTGCGTTTCACCCAAAACGGACTGGAGCGAAGATCATTCCTCTAAGAACAAGATACTCCAGTTATATAACAGGACCCCTTGTATGGTGAAAGAGTAGAAAAGAGCTAGGCTTGGCTTCTTTTGTTAAATGTCACTCCTCCTCAATTACACGTATCTCGAATCGAGTCTCGCTGGTAATACCCCTCGGCACCATGAGGTCTCTCTTCGCAATCATAGCTCTAGCGGCTTGCACAGTTGTAGCTTCTGCTCCCCAGAACTCTTCGGCAATTCCAACTCGCCTCAATCTTCATCCTACGCAGATCAGGAAAGGAAGCAATCCAGACAATGATCATATCTGGGTCATCGAGGAAGCAAATTCCGCCAACACCACCATCAACGATGTCACTTTCACTCTTTCGGGGCCGAAGGATGTCACACTCAACGGCGACTGGAATAAAATTGTGTATGCCAAGTTTCTAGCCACGATGGGTGAGAGACTCGTCGGCACTGGTATTTCATCAAATGAGGAAACTGGTGGATCAATTACTCTAACTTTTGATGGCCTTTCTTCTGGCAACCATTCACTTCTGGCGTGGCATAACGCTTGGGATGGTGGTAATGCAAAGCTAGCCACTGTTTCGGTCACAGTAGACGACAAGGAACTCGTCTCGGTATGTCTGGCGAAACCAATGCACATCTTCAACTAACGATTGTCTAGAACATACAGCAATCGCGTCAGGTGAACAATGTGTGGGAGGCAGCCGCTTCGTTTGTGGAGTTCTCCGTTGCAAATGATGCTGCTGTAAAGGTGGTATTCAGCCCAACCGGCGGCGATGAACATGTCTACCTTAATGGCTTCGAACTTGATGGTCCATCTCCCAAGGCTCAGATCGCTTTTCCCTTCCCCGAGAGCCACAACATGCACCTTGAGCCTGAGCAGAGCGGCTCTCTCCAAGCATCGTGGCGTGCTCCGAATGGCACTTCCGATGTCAAGTACGATGTTTACCTGGGCACGTCGGCTGACAAGCTCGCCAATGTCGGCAAGGGCTTAGCAAAAGCTTTTGTTACTTTTACTGGTAAGAGACATCCTTTAAGAGCAGGCTTCATATCTACTAACCATATTATCAAGAGCTCGATGCCGCCAAAACCTATTATTGGAGAGTTGATGTTGTTACCGTTGATAAAACCCACGTTGGTCATACGTGGACTTTCCAACTTGCGCAATTAGCATTCCCTGGCGCCGAGGGTTGGGGGTAAGTGAGTAACTCCCTCGACTCGTATCGTTGTTAACCCTGTGTAGTCGCTTTGCACGCGGAGGCCGTGGTGGTAAAGTGGTCAAGGTCACTACTCTCGAGGACAGCGAAGAGCCTGGAACTCTCCGGCACGCACTCACCATCGCAACCGGACCACGCATCGTCGTCTTTGATGTCGGTGGAGTTATCACCACAAAGTCTCGCATTTCCGTCAATGACCAGTACATCACGCTTGCTGGCCAGACTGCTCCAGGGAAGGGTATTGTTATTCAAGGTAATCCTCTTGGTCTTACAGGAGCTTCGGATGTCATTTTTAGACACATTCGCGTGAGACCGGGAACAGTTTCAGGCAACACCATCGATGGTATGGGCATGCAAGGGTCTAACCATGCAATCTTCGATCGATGCTCAATGGTGAGATGAACGACTTGAACTGCCTACGACTGTTTGTTAACTTTGCTTAGGGCTGGACTATAGACGAGGCCTTCTCTTCCCGATCGTCGTATAACATCACATTTCAACGAAGCATAATCTCTGAACCCCTCAACGTGGCCGGCCACAAGAACTACCCCAAGGGAACCGCACATGGCTACTCAGCGACGATCGGTGGAGATGTTGGATCCTTCCATCACAACCTTCTTGCCCATGCAGAGGGTCGTTCGTGGTCTATGGGTGGCGGCGTCGATAACCGCGGCAACTTTGCTGGTAGATTGGATATTCGAAACAACGTAGTCTACAACTTTGGTTCGTTACTAACTTTCGTACACTCTGTGTAGCATATACAGCTGACATTATGGCGACAGGTTCTCGTGTCACAGACGGTGGAGCTCATCAGGTCAATTTTGTCGGCAATTACTACAAGCCTGGACCAGCAAGTAAGCTCACTTATGCTTTGAGGGCACAGGTTAGACCCAAAATATTCGATGTGGATGGAACATTACTAATTCTCTTCCCAGTATGAGGATGGCCTCCCTGGAACCCAGACCTATTATTGTTCTGGGAACTCTATGCCCGGTCATTTTGATCAAGACTCGGTGCAGTACAGCTCCAACGATGGAACCTCTGTTAGCAAGGATATCGCCTGCTGGGCTGATGTCTCTATCGACCCTGCGCCTACATACCAGAAGTTTTACAATGACGAGTAAGTATCGTGCCTCACCATATTCACGCTGCGTCTAACAAGTCACCCAGATTCTTCCCCTCATTCGTTGAGACCCAAAAGTCCACCGAAGCATACAAACGTGTGCTCTCTGACTCAGGTGCTAGCCAGCCCACTCTTGACGATCACGACAAGCGTATAATCCAGGAGACCCTTGCAGGGTCATACAACTACACTGGATCTGTAAGCGGTAAAAAGGGACTCATCGACAATTCTAAGGATGCAGGAGGCCTTGAGGACTTCCCAGAGGTTCATCGTGCAAGTACTTGGGATGCCGATGACGATGGCATTGCAGATTGGTGGGATGGCTCAACTGGCGGTGAAGGATATACCGTTATCGAGGGTTACCTTGCCTTCATGGCCGAGCCTCACTCCTTTGTTGAGCCATCTGGCTCGCTTGAAATTGACCTTGGCGTTTTAGCTACAGGTTTTAACAAGCCAAGCTTTACAGTCACAGGCGCTAAGCTGGGTAGTATTAAAGTCAATGGGTCTATTGCGTTGTACTCAGCTAGAGAAGCGGGAGTAGAACGGCTGCAGATCACAGTCGTAGATCAAAATGGGAGTGAATGGGTTCGACCATACGGTATTGGAGTCTACGCTGGGGTTAAGCAAACCACGTAGGATCACGTCGGTCAGGGATGCCACGCTGAATATAAACAAACTAAGAGGCAATTTGTAAATAAATGACAATCTCTTAGTTCTTAACTGCAAATTCCGCCGATGAGTTAGTGTCCAATAACAAGATTATTCTGTGGACGGCCAATGTTCTTAACTCCCACGAGACTAGCCACCATGCCTACGCCAGCAAGACCAACACAACACCATAAGCCCGTGCTGTACTGATGAAGCAAACCGTGACCCTTACTTGTCTCGACGGCTTGTACAACTGCACTTGAAAGCGCAAGACCTACACCGCTACCGATCTGGAACGCTGTGTTGATCATGCCTCCGCACAACGACTTGACACCGTTCGGCACAGATTCCAAAAGAACGACTGTAATGGTGCAATAGACTATAGTCACGCCAAACACACCAATAACAGTGGTTGGAAATACGTGCTTCCAGAAATCCTTGTCCTCGTCCTTGATAAGGGCTGATGATATTGGAGCGACGGCGCAGATTGCCATTCCAACGACCAAGAGACTTTTTGTATTGAAGCGTGATACAACCTTGGACATTGCAAGGCTTGTGACGAAACCAGTAGCGCCCATTGGTAGGAATCGAATGGCAGTTTGGCCTGCGCTGAGATGGTTGACTTCTTGCGCCACAAGTGTCGTATAGTAGATGACAGTTTGATAACCACCGTATGAAACTGAGGTCTTGTTAGTGACATCCTGCAATACCCTTCACATTACTTACCAAAACCACTAATCCACAAAGCGGCAAAGTTCTCGAGCTTCCACAGCGACAGGGGCATAACAGGGTTAGGCACCTTTTTCTCGACGTAGGCAAAGAGTGCAATCATGGAAACGCTAAGAACCAACAAGACAATAATGAAAGGCTTGCTCCATCCATACTCGCCTCCACTTGACAACACAAAGCTCAGCAAGATTAGACCAGCAGTAGACAGGCCTGCTCCTGCGAAATCGAGCTTCGGTCGAGCCAGCGAATCAACTCTGTCCTTGGGCAAAACGAACCATCCGAGAATGCCTAGCGAGCTTGTAACACACATGGGAATGTAGAATATGTATCGCCAACCAAGTGATGAAGTGAGAAAGCCACCAAAAATAAGACCCAGACAGAAACCGACGGCTCCAGATGCTGCAAAGATTGTCAAGGCGGTCGTGCGATCGCGTGTGACGAAGTAATTGCTGATGATGCCAACGGCTGATGGTACCGTGACAGCAGCCCCAACACCTTGCAGCGCGCGAAAGATGGCCACCTGGATGAAAGACGTAGAAAGAGCATTTGCCAATGTCCACACACTGAGGACAAGCATTCCGGTGCAAAATGCGAGTCTTCTTCCGTACCTGTCTGCCAGCACACCCGAAAGGAGCAGGAAACCACCAAAGGTGAGTGTATAGGCCGAGATGAGCCACTGCAGATCACCGTTGGGTACGTCAAACTCCTTCTGAATGGCTGGAAGCGCTATGTTCACACCCGTCATGAAAACGTTGTCCATGAGTTGGGCTCCGCAGGTGCACAGCAGAATCATTGCTCCTCGCATTGAGGCAATGGTTCCTACATCCGGATATATCTGCCCGACGCCCATTTCGTGCTCAGCGGGAGTTTGCATCCCTGAAGGTAGTTCAGAGTCTGATGGTGTACTTCCAAAAACTGGAGAAGATGGACGTGTCGCTACGGGTGTGGTAAGAGTTGACGGGACCTCGCGAATAGTGCTTTCAGGCCCTGGCTTGACGGCGCGGGGTCTTTGAATGGTCGGCAATTCGAAAACATGATCTTGAGATTCTCGTCTATCCCGCGATTGATAGCGACTAATTGCTGAAGCTGTTCGGACCAAGGATGCGAGATCCTCTGGCTGTGCATCATCAGCCGCTGTGGCGTGCGATGCTGTGCTTCTCCTCCGGGTTACTGGCATACCGGGATAACCAGCAGGAGGCACTAGCGTGGGAACCTCCTCTAAAGCCGATGTCCGGCGACCGAGGGGTTCTCCATCTTCGTAGATGGCATTGTCGTGAGAGGTTCGAGAGTCTCCCTTGTCGGGCATGATAATTAACAATTCCAGATACAAGTTGAAGATCAGTTTCAGCCCTGTAAAGATTGATGCGTTTTGTCCACGCCATAAAGTAACATGAAGTGAAACAGCAGCCTTTTTAACTAAATTCTTCTTTTTTCGAATTCCATTTTTCTATCCAGTTTTTCTTAAGCTTATCAGTGGATCTCCTTGTCAAAGTCTTCTCGGTTGACCGACTGTATCCACAATAACGCCAATCAGACCATGATTGCAATTTTTAGCAGCGGTAAAGAACCACAAGCCTACATGAAAGTGGAAACTGTATGAGTCGAATGCAGTAAATTTCTCGGTAGAGATCACTATTGGCTCGCATACAGAGAGGAAAAATCCAATCACCTCTTATAGCAACTTTTTGCGAATTCTCAATTGCCTTTTTTGGAAAATTTGGGCGAATTTTATCACAACTGCGATTTTATAAAAAGCGGTATAAGTGTCGCTTATTGAATAGTACCTATTAATTTCTTCCACTATTCTAGCCCTTTCATACTCTCTTTTTCTCTTGTTTATTTTCTACGGGATTCGCTCATCTCTAGCTTCCCTAATTGCAAAATCAAGATGACGATTACTACTAGTAACAACCGTGCCTTCTTCATCGATGACTCGGTCAAACTACTTCGTAGCACCGACATATTACTTATTCGACACGGCCTAGAGTATGCCAAGTACACAGTGGAAGCCTGCAAGTTAGAACCAAGTGAGTGTTAATGACTCCTGTCAGAATCTGTGGCAGTATTAGGTAAGGACAACTTCACTGGCTGTGATCGATTTCGTCGGTGCTACGGCAGTTCTTGTTATCTATACCGCCGCATACTATGGGCTTCATGGCCTGGCGCGCTTACAAGCCGGCGAGAGCATTCTCATCCACTAAGGTCCATGTGGCGTCGGACAGGCTGTAATCCAATTAGCAAAAGTAGTGAGAGCTGAGTTATACGTCACTATAGGCTCAATCTATAGACGGGACTTTATGCACGAGCACTATAGTGTGCCATTGGATCACGTTCTTTCTAGTCGTGATCTAACCCTCGTGCACGGCATCAAGAAATTAACCCAAAGGAGATGGTGTTAATGCTATCCTCAACTCTACTGCGGGACAGACTTTGCATGCCAGTTGAAATTCATTGTCTCGGACAACTGATAGATTCAGATGTAAGGTTGATATATTTTCCAACGCTAGTCTCGATGGGATAGTTGAAAAATATTGCCACCTTTCGCCTGTGTCCTTCAGGATGTCGTGCATCTGCTTGAAAAGGGATTGGCTACCCTACCACAACCTCTGGCATAAGCACTGCTACTTGGACATCTAGGAATCATTCAGAATCATGCAGGCATGTTCTCAAACTTGAAAACTTGTCTTGAAGCCTTGACAGGACGATGTTGTTATAGTCAGTCTTTATCCTATCCATTGCTTGAGAAAGACCTCTGATGTTGTAGTTTTCAAGATTATGAGTGGACAGTGCTTGGAAGAGCTAGCTGAGTTGGCAGTAAGAACATTATTTGCTAGTTTTGACGAAGACAAAGAGGAAGAATAAGATATGACTATATAGAATCATAGGTTTCAAATGACCAGGACTATTCAATAACCATTGTTTGTAAACCCCCAAGGTTCAAGCACAAATTATCTATCCCTTAGGGAGGAACGTCGCAGGTGGCCTTGCCATCGCAAAGCGTGCAAGTGTGAACGCCTTCAACACAGAGATCAGATGTCCAAGAACAAGATTCGAAATAGGTATCTTCCAGCTTGCATGCAGTGTCACCCATCACTCCACACGCAGTCCACGTCTTTGTTTCCTGCATGGTCATTTCATAATCGATAGTGACCTCGCCAGCGCCATTGATCTCTATTGGAAGGTAATAAGTTAGTAATGCACTCATAACCAGATACATGGAAAAAGGCAAGATTTACCTTGAACATGGACTTGTTTTCCATTTTCCCTAGATTGAATGCGCCATTTGTACTCCGGAACAAAGAGATCGGTGCAATCCCATTGGTAGTAATCTTCATTATCGGCGAAGAATTCCGAGGCGCGTTGATGGCAAACCTTTTGACCATCATTCCAGAACTCCATGGTCAAGACATCGTTCATAAGAGGCCTCGAGTGTTGGTAAGTACGGATAGCAAGGCATTGGGCATAAGCGACAGAGGGGAGAGTAATCAGGCCGGCCGCAATGGCTGTAAGAGTTCGAGTTGAGAAAAACATTGTAGTGAAAGAGAGTTGTTAGGTCGAGTTTGGGTCTTAAGAGTTGTTGTTCTAGATTCAAAGTGTCTGAAGGCTGAGCAGATGAGAAGAAGGGTTTATTAAAATTTAGCTGGACATGTCTCAGCCTTTATATACTTAATTGAAGGCTTCTCAACAGGAGCTACTTACCAGCAAACAACAATAGGGCAAGGATGATATAATTCATGATGTCACCAGTTGTAGATGTACTGGATAGAAAAGTATTGAGCAGAAGGATGAGTGCCAAGACCATTGTTAATGTTCTCTAATAGGAAGCTGCGAAGCGGTTCTCTGTGATAGAATCCTAGAGGAATGAGGATTGCGGCACAACTTTCCTTATGTGGGCGACGTCATAGATAATATGCACTGCCTCGTTTAAGTTGTGTCTACATTGACTGCTAAGCGAAAATGTTAACGGATAAAGGATCGAAGGATTGAGATACTACGTCTTGGTATTTAAGCTTGAATCCTAATTCTCTAATTTGAGGTTGCAATATGAAGACCACCTGGTAGTCTAGCCGTTATTGGAGAAAAGGCAAGCATGGGTATAATAGCTAATCACATAACTATAAGCATAAGATTATACTTATTTTCAACGAGGCAGGAGTCATAACCTTGTTGTCAGCTCACTACGTCATAGGCCCAAAAGTAAAAATATCTTCTCTACAAGTGTGGGCTAGCAGGCTATATTATACTTGTTATTATGAAATGGGACTGTATATTGTAGAGTCATTACGATAGAAAGATTCATTTAACGCATTTACCAAGTTTGGAAGATGAGTTTCTTACTTGAATTTAGTGCGAAAGCGATACTTCAAAACGTTAGTAGATGTTTCCTGTCTACATGAATGGTTTTATAATTGAATGAACTTTTTGTAATACGAGGATAAAATTGCATGACAAGTGCTAGATTAAAAGAGTGAATTGAAACTCTTATATAGGCTTATATGAAATCTAGAGTAGAGCTAGATATCTGAACCTTTACTTACCTACCGTATGGTTGTCTAATAACTCAGACAGACTTTGGCCTTTGAATAGGGTAGGCTGAGTCCGGACAAGCTCGGCCGGAACTTGAAAATCCGGGCTGCAACAACCGGCGCCACGCATACTCCACTGTGGTGGTGTTGATCGACCATTAGCACTATAGCCGTCTTTTCTGGTTCCAAATTTGAGACAGCCACGTTGTAATTCTCTCACTTCTCTCCGCACGCTACGGGTCATCATCATGGCCCTGACTGACGACAAAACCCCTTTATTTTAGAGATTTAATGAACTGGGCAATAATATATTCGGCCTTCTCTCTAATCGCGACATTAAGAATCTGCGTCTGACATGTCGTTATCTCAGTCACGCGCCTCTGCGATTCGACCGCGCTTTTATCTCTGCAAATCCACTTAATATCAAGGCGTTCCTTGCGGTGGCGAATCATGAGACTTTTAGGCAGCAAGTTAAGGAAGTCATTTGGGATGATGCTACCCTCACGTCCTTGGGAAGTAGTGGCAATGATTCGGATTTCGACTATGGCTCGGATGAGGATGAAACCGATGACAACCATTATCAGGGTTCGTCGCGGTTCTAGCAACGCTGCAGAGAAGCAATTGAAGACCTGGAGTCGCGACTAGTGGATAAAGAAGATGGCAACAAGCAACAAACACAGCTCAACAATCTCATGCCCTCGCGAGAATCACTACAGTATTACACACAACTTGTTAAAGAGCAAGATCATACATTTAATGATAATTCTAATTTAGTCCCCTTAATATCCCAAACACTTTAATCTTTCCAGAATATAAATAATCTAAAAAGGATTAATGTCTTGTTTTACAAAAAACTATTAGGTATACTTTAATCTATTCAATTTATCTTTCTTTTTATTGTTAAGGAAATTGATAATTATATTAACATCCTAGCCGATATTTATATTAAGGTAGAACAGAAATATCACCAAACTATCCTTCACAACTTTGCAAGCCAAATCATGTGGTAAGTTCCTTCAAGTAGGTCTTATCTAACCACTTAATGGCTAGGTCACTTCTCATTCCTATTCTCACGGAAGAAATCCTCCAAATTGGTCCACGTCAGGTCGGGATATCGGCTATTATCTAGTGGCTCCAGTTTGCCAGCTCCAGACATCATGTTCACCATGTATTGCATGCCTTGCCAAGCAGGGAAAATGTCTGTTTCGCCCCCGAAAAGGCGCATTGTCCAGATCATGAATTCCATGGTCCCCACCGTGCCCATCCAAGAGGGCTTGTACCTTACGCCCTCCACGGTTGTCTGTGCATCGGCAATATCTTGCACAGAGACAGTAACACTGGCAATGCGAAGAAAGTTGGGAGCAGGGTTCGGATCCACAGCCACAGCAGCAGTGTATGCGGCGGTGTCCACCATAGTGGTGAAATCAAGCAGTTGAGATGGCTTCCCGACGTATGGAACCGTCCGGCTCTTGTGGTTGATCATTGGCGAGTCACCAGCCATCAAATCCATAAAGCCGCCGTTAAGGATACTGGTCCAGCTAATGCCCGACTTGTTCAGCTTCGCGTGGAATTCACGGCGCAGATCCAGGTTGCGGTTAGATCCCGGTTTCGTCTTCGTGAAGTCAAGGGAGAAGTCAGAAGGAATAAACCGTGGCACCTTGGCGGCGACTGAGGCGTCAAGGAGCGTGCCCTGGGCGACATGGATGACATCTTTCAATCCCTGAATTGTTGACACCACGCAAATTGCCCCGGTAAGTTCACGGGTGAGAGCCGGCACATTGGACAGGTCGACTGGAACGATGGTCGCCCCAGCATCGAGAAGGTCGTTCGTACGCGATGCGTCAGTGTTGGGACGCACGAGGGCCTTCACGGTCACGCCTCGTTTTATCAGCGCATTTGTAACAAGCTTGCCCAGCTTACCAGAGGCGCCTGCAACTGCAACGAATGGTATAGCCATTATATAGATGGATTTGAGATAAAAGAGACTAACGGTCGTGTGGGGTCGCGAGAGAAAGATAGCCCCTAGTAGAGGAATGTGGAATGTGTAATGTTTCCGGAATGAAGAAGATATCTATTACTTCAGCCAACTTCAATTTTTAAAGTCTGTACTTACTTATATGTTGAAATCCTCTTCCACGATTAGCGTAATCTCGGGCAAAGGCGAAATACCGACTGCCGAGTCTAGCCCCGCTAAACCCCATAATCTGGTATTGTACCGGTAATTCTATTGTACCGATTGCATTGTAAAGAGCCACTATGCCAGTCAGCTAGTAAGCCCTCTATCCTGGAAGGCAAGGCAAAAAGAAAAAGTTTCTTTTTCTCCTATTTTAATTAGAAATTGGGTTTTAATACCAACCATACCTCTCTGTCAATCTGACTCTACCTTCTGCCTAAGTCTTTAGGGGAACCCTATCTGTTTACTAATTTTTCTCCCCATTCTAGTGTTGTATAGAAATAAAATTTTGGTGGGTAATCTTATTGAATTTGAGATACTGTTGCTTTTCGGTCTGTGTAGAGACCTCTATTGTTAATATTCCTGTAGGTTTTATTGGGACAGCTAGATGTCTTTTTTAGAGGTGCTACCAGACTTCACCTAAATAGAAATTAAATTCCGCTGAAAAATCCGCATTCATGTCCTGATAAGCAAATTGACTGGCAAATACATAGAACATCAAATGTTTATAGCATCTTGGGCGCTTCTGACCTGGCACCTAGGCTTGTGATGACATCAGGGCGGGTCTTCAGATTGCCCAGCCATGCATGAACATTGGGAAAGCTCTTCTCCAAATCAAACTCTTTGCCTACCACCCATGGCATGATTTCAAACCAGCAGACAAACACAATATCGGCATGACTGTACTTGGCATTCATCAGGTAGTAATGTTCTTCTAGGACTCTGTCCAAGACCACTGCCACACGACGAATTTCGTTGGTGTATCGACGAACAGCACTAGGAAGAAATTCCCTATCTATGGTGTGATCCCGAACCACACGGTCTGCCTAAAGTAGGGACCTTGCCCCGACCTTTAGAAATGGAGGCACTACTTGGCATGCTAAAATCTCGGGCTCCCAGGTTATAAAGCAACTTCGATGACTTAATATACGCATGTCTTCAAACGCAATAACCATAGTATTTCATCATCTAATGATAATTGTAATCTAACCCCCTCGGGCTGGCCCCTTCTAATGTTTTACGGGAGGACCATTCTCAACATCTTGCACAGCAGCCAGACATTTCACTGCACCTCCTGCGATCAAGCCCGAGTCTTGCTGACATAACATGAAACGCACACCCAACGAATGAATCGCCCAGTCGTGGATGTCTGCCTGATCATATATGCCCGCGAGACCCATGACCTTACCATACTTCTTACAGGCTTTACTGACTTCAGTCAAAGCACCACGAAGGATTTCGCTACGAAACTCTCCAGGGACGCCGAGCTCAATTGCCAGATCATTGGATCCTACCAGAACCACATCGACTCCGTCGACTGCTGCAATTTCGTCGATCTTCTCAACGGCAGACTTGTTTTCTATCATAACAAAGACGGTCGATGCTGATGTGTTGATCTCGTTGATCACTTGGGGTTGAGGGAATGTCTTGAGGGATATCACAGGTAGTTGGCCTGTCATTGATCGGCATCCCTGTGGTGGATATTTAGATATAGCTACCGCGGCCTTTGCTTCCGCTTATCGGATTGACATGGATCAGTCAACTGACATTTGGTCTATTGAGTTGATGCTTACCTGCACTGGTTACATGTGGAAAGATAATGCCCATCGAACCTCCGTCAAGGACCTTTTGTACGAAGCCATTACCGCATTGGTGTGGCACTCTGACAAAAGGCGTTATGCCTATGTTGAGCCCTGCAATGCATAGATTACTCGCATCGTTGAGGGATAGTGTTGAATGTTCCAAGTCGATGAAGACGCTATCATATCCTGCATTTTTGGCCAACTGGACAACTTGAGGATTTGCAACAAGCCGCACCCCTAAAGCCTGTTGTAACCACCAGAAAGTTAATAATCTGGCATGTTGAGAGACTCGATGCGAGTCAAGTGTGATGAAATAGATCAGAGAGGCAAAAGCAGAGTGCGCCGTGGACTCACCTTGCAGACCTGACCAGCGGCAAATCTTGCCATGAGAGCATTTTGGCAAGCGAGCATTTTAGAAGGTATGTGGATGAAGTGAGGCAAACTTGGAATTGTTGGTTTGATTTGTTGATTAGATTGCTACAATTCGTTGCATTATATCAGGTATTCCCCAGACCTCAAGCTCGGTGACGCTAACCGAGCGAAGTGTGAGTGGCGAGCTCGGTATGGCCCACCGAGCTTACCTCCTCGGCAACACTAGTCATGGTGGTAGGGAAGCTCGGTCTCGGCGCCCGCAAAGTCTCAATCACTTTCAATGAGGAATCTCATTTGTAATTTTTAATCGGCTTAAAAGTAAGGGTTGATAAGCTTTAGAATTACATTGCGTACCCAGCTTTACCGATCACACCAAACAACAAACTCCTCACCATGTTTTCATCATTTCAAAAGGGTCCTGTCGACCCCATGTACCTTCTCAAAACCGCTGCCGACAACGACGTATCCCCCCAAAAAGCTGATCTTGGTGTTGGTATTTACCGGAACGAGAGTGGCCTCTATAGTGAGCTCAAGACTGTTACAAAGGTACGTTTGGTCAGTCTTGGTGGAGATGAAGGCGAGAAATGCTGACTCCTATTCATGACATCAGGCGAAGAAAGTCTTGGCCAAGAATGATCCAGGCCATGACGTAAGTTTACTCACCAGGTGTAATTCTCTTCATACCACTGACTATCATCATTTAGTATGAGATCACCATCGGCAATGAGAAATTCCTGAACAATGCTGCACGCGTCATGTTTGGGCAAGATTGTCAACTACTGAATTCTGGCAACGTATGTCTTCATGACACCCTGTACTAACGAAGGTCTTTTAACACATTTTAGATGGCATCAGTCCGGACCGTATCCGGTACAGGGGCATGCCATATCGCTGCTTTAGCCTTGAGCGAGTCCATCTCGCCTCGTCCAAAGGTGTTCGTTGGTACCCCGACCTGGGGTAACTATAAGCCAATATTTGAACTAGTCGGCATGAAAGTGACAGAGTATTCGTATCTCGATGCCAATACGCGAACTATCGACTTCTCCTCTATCATCTCGGCAGCAGAGTCGGCCCCTCCCCGAAGCGTTTTCATCCTCCAAGCCTGTTGTCACAACCCTACAGGCGTCGATCCCACGAAAGAACAATGGCAAGAACTTGGGTCAGTCATGAAAGAACATAGCCACTTTGTGTTCTTTGACATTGCCTATCAAGGCTTGGGTAATGGAGTTGATGAAGACGCCTATGCTGTCCGGCTGTTCGCGAGTCTCGGCCTTGAGATGTTTGTATGCCAATCATTTTCCAAGAACTTTGCTTTGTACGGCGAGCGATGCGGTGTTCTCCACGCTGTATGCCCTGATCGTGAGACAGCAGCAAATGTTCGCGACCGCCTTAGATGCTTGATACGATGGGAGTTCTCGTCTTCTCCTGCGTATGGAAGCCGCTTGGTCACTATTGTACTGGGATCGAATCAACTTGCTGATGAATGGTGAGTACTCAGAATATGTAGAGAATAACAACGTGGCCATTTACTGATATTGCCATAAATGCAAAGGGCACAAGAGTTACATGACATACAGCATCGATTAAAAAGCCTTCGTAAACAACTTCACTACACATTAACAGAAGTCTTGCACGTAAGTAGAAACTCTGACTGAAGCGGTTCCGACGATTGACCTGTCGCAGACACCAGGTAGTTGGGATCATATCTTATTAGAGACTGGTCTTTTCTCGTAAGTTCACCTTTTCTTCTGCCATTGATCACCCCTGACCACACGTTACAGGTACCTCAACCTCACGCCGCAACAATGTCAATCACTCATCGACAAGTTCCACATATATCTTCCATCGAACGGCCGAATTAATATCTCGGGTCTCAACCAAGATAACATTTTGAGAGTGGCGAAGTCTTTTGATCAGGTCGTTCGCGAGGAGATCAGCAAGGAATCTCAACCCAGAGCGTCTCTGTAAAAGCTTGTAAGGGCTAAGACATGTTCTTGATAGATTTTCTATATAGCTTGTATCATGAATGTTTAAAGAAATAGTAAAATATAAGGCTCTCATGGACAGCAATCCATCATTAGGTTAAAAGACTGGCATCAACATATATACGCACAGAGTCCTGTTAAGAAAGGAGACTATTTTTCTATCGCCAATGATGCCACCAAGAGTAAGTTATAGAAACTTGCAAAGTAAGCGCCATGATGGCTAGCGTTAGTCAAAGACCTGATTGACTTTCTCACGTTAGAGATTGAGTGAAATCCTCCGAAGGCATGTGGTGGTCAAAAACATAAACCCCAGCTAGCGAGCTGGAAAGCTTCCCATAGAGTTTCAATTTCTGGCTAGTAAATAAAAGATAATCTACTCCATGCAGCCTAATGGTTATGTGGTTTCGAGGCTAGCTTGCAGTTGTATCATAGTATATAATCTTGTAATGCTCTTTATTATAGTGACGATCACATTGCTGATATCATTGAGAGATTTGGAAAGCCTGGGCTTGATGAAGATGGAGGTTAAAGCAAAAAAGAAAATAGTAACGATCATTATATCAGGTCTACCCAAAAATGTCTAAATTTTCCTTTAATGCCATGTATTAACTTATAGCATGAACAACTATAATCATTTAGATCTTGATACCCCATCCTTCGTGAGCATTGTTATTGAAGATGCAATACATGTTTAGCTAGTAAATTTCTTAAAAGCCCGCTTAAACCAACCGCTGTTCCATTCAGCATCATTCTTGCTCTCTGTCTCCTCCCACTGTCGCCTACCAGTGGTAAGGTCTATCTCTTTAGCCGACCAGAACTTGGTTTTATGTGCAATCTTCCACCACGCAATGTTGAAAACGAAAATTGCAGTACCAAGATATTTCAAGACAAACGTCTCCGGCTTGAAGTGGGGAATGAAAGCATCGTAGCCTAGCAGTGGTCATTAGTATTTTTAATATGCGGTTGTTCCATTTTAGAATAGCTTACCATTGAAAATGATAACCAAAAGCGAAATGAACAGCGAAAAGTATGAGCCGTAGGGCTGGAGGAACCCAACGTATGGAAGATCGGCCACAGCAATTCCCTGTGCCTTTAGCGCTTGACGGAAGCGAATATGGGTGATCAAGATTGCAACCCAATTGAGAACAGCAAAGACTGTTACCAGGCTGACAAAATAGCTAAACACTGTTGATGAAGACTTGCTCGCATTGAGATAACCCAGAAGAATGAACAAGCAAGTGAAGCCGACTGCGAAGATGGGATTACCATTCTCACGAGCCTTTGCGAATAGTCGTGGCGCCTGGTGATCTTTGGCAAGGCCGTAAAGCGACCGAGAAGCGCAATAGATATCTAGTGCAATTAGTTGAGAAGCAAGAATACGTAGTAAATGTTAAATACCTGAGCTTGCTGCACTAAGTGTAAAGACCAGAAGACAGCCGTTGATGATGTCGGCAAAAACATGTACTCCAGCCAGACTAACTGAAACAACAAATGGGGATGCAGCTATCCCTCTCTGTTAGAGTCAAACAATTACAAATATGTGAACCTAGTTACTTACCACCACTGGTAGATTGTTTAGTAGCTCCAATAAGCTGCTCGTTGTCATACGGGACAGCCATTCCAAGAACCAAGACGCCAAGGATGTAGAAACAAGCAATTCTCCAAAAGGTCTGCTTGACGGCTCGTGGAACATTCTTTCGGGGGTTTGGGGTCTCGCCAAAGGTCATACCCACGACCTCAGTTCCCTGTTGACACGGTTAGAAGCCGAATTCCATCTTTCGGGGGTGACATACGGTAAATCCAAAACAAGCTTGACAGCAGCAAGCCCAGAAGCCGAGAAATCTTCCTGTTGGGCCCTCAAGTAGATACTCAGCGAATGCTCCAGGATCTCTCCAGTATCGGAAACCCGATCGATCGTGGTTTGGCCCACCACCTAACGCAACCACGAGGGTGCTGAGGATTAGAACAGTCATGATGAGAACTTTGGCAATGCCTAGCCAGAATTCGGTTTCACCAAAACTGTTGACATGCAACAACTTCCGGATTGTTAGCCGAACCAATAGTCACAGGGAATGAATGGACGTACGTTGATAGTCACGATAGCAACGCCAAAGACTGTAATCCAGATTGCGACATTGAGGTCTGGTCTCCAGTACTGTATTACAAGCCCTGCGGCCGTGAGGTTTGTTGGCGTGGCGATGATATACTTGAGGAAATAATTCCATCCGGTTGCGAATCTGAACTAAAAGTAAGCATATATGAAATAACACTAACAAGAAGCATTATTTACCCGAAAGCCGGGTCAACCATACGAGTTGCATAACCGCCGAACCCTTTGTTCATTGGGAGAAATGTCGCCATCTCTCCAATAGCCGTCATGACAAAGAAGACGGTGCATCCAATGAGGAGGTAGGCAATCAAGAGACTTCCAGGGCCACCTCTGGACAATGCACCCCCAGTACCAATAACAAGTCCCGTTCCAATCGCACACGCAATTGAGAACATGAAGACCTGGCGTGGCTTGAAGTCCCGCCGGAGATCATTGACCTGTTCCATCTCTCCAGGTGAGTTGGACTCGACACGCCCGATGCTATCGGCGACCTCTTTCTCGATCGGCTTGGACATTTTGGAGGAATAGAAGTCAATGAGTTGGTAGGACAACTTGAGATATCTTGTAAAAACTGTTGTGACTGACACTGACCTTATATCAGGTTGACTCGTTCAGCTCAACACTAGCCTCTTTTAGACTCGGTGGGCCTGGCCGAGGCTTATCTGGGCTCGGTTCCCCAGACCGAGTGATATCTCAGGGGTTGATTACATTGCACCCCAACGAGTTTATTTTGTACTCCAACAAGTGCTATTTAGACCCCAAGCTCTGGCTAATAGACAAAGTGGCCCGATTCCATAGCCGACCTATAATTGACTATGAGGGATATAATACAGGTCCCATTAGCTTATCAATTTTATTTAAATGCTTAAATGTTTAAATAGTACCCCACGTTTCTGGGTCACTCGGGGGGCCATGCCTGCAATCTGTGTTTATCGGTGTCAGTACTAGCAACCGAGATAAGTGGTGTTTTCCAGGCGACATTATCCGGGCTGGCCGACCGACTGAGAAGTCTACTGCAATTAGTACTCTATTCTCGGTGGAGACGATTGAAGAAGTGGATCGTCCATATTTTGCTTTGGCGTTAGATTATGCTATAGTACCGCAATGAGCATGCTTTTGAACTTAAAGGGTGTGATTGTTATGATGTAACTATTTATGCAATATATTTGTGCCTGACAACTGTCGAGGAGAAAGTACATTTCTCCCACAGTATCAATCTCTTCGTTGGAATTTTAAATGGGTATAGCCCCCAATGTTAGGCGTTGGTTAAAGTGATGGTAATCCTTCAAAGTCAGTGGCTTCCCATAACCAGCTACTAACATCACCAAGATCAACGTTCAGATGTTGATGGCCATCTAACATGCTTGCAACATTGAGTAACTGATTCGGCGAAATACCCTGTTCTTCCGAAACGGGGATATTGTTGTTGTCCTGGCCCTCTAATTGCGGCACATCGCCATGTTGGTCAATCAAAAGCAACATGTCGTGTAGCCGCTCAAGTTCTTGGCGTCGAAAGCATGCAGGGAGATTTCCACCTGCTATCAAAGCGCCGAGGAGATGCGTAATGGTCTCGAAATAAGAGTCTCCAACTACATCCGGAAAAGGTTGGATGGCAGATATAAGAGCGAGGACGAAACCTGCCGAGAATGCGTGGTCTAGGTCAAATGGTAGAAAGAGTTCTTGATATCGTCAGCAAGAAGAAATGAGCCCCTCTGATTGAACGTCGTAGCATCATACCTAGAAGATCCTGGGATTGCAGCTTGGTCAGAATACGAAGAGATTTATGCGCCGAGTCGTAGCAGGTTCTCAACAAAGCTTTGATTGGTTCGACAATCTCACAGGTGGAGTCGTTGCCTGCTCTACCCATTTCTAGTTTGTCCCGAAGGAGACACATAAGAAGAGGCCTTGTAGCAAGAACGATACACTGCAGTACTCACTTAGTTATCAGATCTGATGAGAGAGACTTGGCACAACATACCTGGTGGTAGCAGAGGTTCAGCGTTGCTGAAACCCGTGATACTGGACTTTGGTTATCGAGTTTGAAATCCGACGAGTTCAGTTCAGCTGCCAATGGAGCGAGCTCTGTTAATATAGATAAAGTATTCTTTGGAAATGAGGCATCGAGTCTTCCATCTATTCCGTATACAGCTGTTCTTTGCATTAGCTCACTATTGCATTGCATTCTTCAGAGTGTGACAAACTATCGAGAATCTTGGCCTTGAGTCTAGACAACTTGTTGTGCATATCAAGAGCGCTTGACTTTCGTGACGGCGTTTGATCTCCGGGGATTGGAACAGATATATCGCTGTCATGAATGGAACATGGAGCGCCCATCAAAGACGAAAGTTTGCGGTCGAGAATGTAAAGCGTCCACCAGGCATTGCGATATCGCGTTACCTCGGGGTCGTCTAGTACCCCGCTAACAATATCCCGGTGGAGTCCTTGGCTTAAAGCTATTCTCAAGGCCATTCCGAGCTGTTTGATACGAGTTAATGTCGGTTCTTTGTCATGCAACAAGATTGTACTTACATATAAATAGGCACTGTTACGGTGATCTACAGCCTGGAGGTACAGAGCGAGACCGCAGCATACCTCTATCGACAAGATCGGGTCTTGATAGAGCCCGTTGGCATTTGGGAATAGCTCCATGGCCCTCATGAAGTAGTCACCCCCTGGTAAGCCAGCTTTAGACATGCCTCGGGTGAGTAGTCCTTTGCCTAATGCCATAACAAGAAAGTACTGAACATACCACATTCTATTCTCAGCACTCAAAGGTGGTAAACCATCGTTGTAAAGAGACATAAGGTTTTGCATAAAGCTCTGCTCGTCGAATAGATGATATGTTTGGACAATATGGAACTTGACGGTGTTGGTGAGGTAAAGGGCGTAGTCTAATGAAGGGAGGCTCTCCATGCTGATGACATCATCAGATTGCTTCATGCTGGGAAGCTCGATGTTGAAAGCTGCTCCATCGTGGTTGAGTGGAACCTCAGGTGAGGCTTCTTGGTCCACGTACTAGCATTTGTCTCAGCATTGCAAAGAGGAGCGTTATGAGAGGATGGGAATACCTGTCTGATCATGCCCATGACATGACGACTGTATGCCCATGTTGATGAAGGACCTAGAAAGCCTGCACTACTTAGTCTAATGCTCCGTAAATAGTTGTTGTAAACCTACGTTTCCTGCCTTGATAGTCTACAACAAATTTAGATGGGGGCGCTACTAGAGGATTAATCATTTGAGGCAGGCCATCGTCGGTGGTGGGCCCAGGGTCAGGTGGTGCGGCCGATACATCTGTATTAGACTTGTGAGCAGATATGACGGGGTGCGGGGGTCGGAAAGATGCTGACTTGAACCTGTAGAAGGGTTTGTGGTCCTCTTAGTTGGCCTTTGTGCCTCGTCCCAATCCTCTGCTTTTCGCTTCAACTCTTTGAGCAAGCTGTGATGAATCTTAGCATTCACCATCGCCTTGTAGAGACCAACACTCACTTCTCGGATACGACAACCTTGCGATCATCCTGCTCAAATACACAGTCTGTTGAGCGACGCGTACAATTTGCACACGGACATGTGCCTGAGCAACGGACCTTTCGCTCACGACACTGCAAGCAACTGTAAGGGGTATATTAGAGGTTAGAAACAGTTTCATAACGATTGATAACATGCAAATGCATGATAAAATCGGGGCTGATTCTAGAGATGCTTACGCGACATTAGTTTTATTTCGTTTTGCCTGCCTGGGGGTTGGGTGGCCGTCGTATATTGAGGTTATCTCCATGGTTCGAGTCAATTGATAAGAGCCGGCCAGACAGCGAATCAAATTCGCGATGCAAGGCCTTGGATCCTTGATGAGCTGTAATGGAGTTCAGGATTCAAATTATTGCTGCATAAAGTTCCGACCTTGTTATCAAGCCTGTAGACGCTAGCTATTCCGAGTTTAGTAAGGTCATGCTCGCCCCTGAAATAGGACTAAAGAACCATGCGGATTAATATAGCTCCGTCTTGAACTCCTCAGACTTGGCGCTTTTGATTTTCTATCTGCAGCCTCCGCTGGTTGAATAGCATTCTACTGCTTGAAATTTGGGTTATTGTAGACCGACGTGTAAAGGGCAGATGTAGAACCGTTGGTTGGAGCCGCATCTGGTTACTAAACACAAACACCCATATGTTTTCTAATGCAACAGTGACAGTCAATAATAATCACATAAAATAAGTTAAATTGAATTGAATCGAAACAATATCAATTAAAATAGCGATTTGGGAATTTAAGCTCAATTACTTATACCCTTAGTTATTCATTTGGGTTTAGTTATAGGGTTTTATACAATCTTTTAAACACATGTAGGGTAGCTATTTCCCTTCCTAAAAACAAATACAAGATACCTTATCTAATCTCTTATCCACTCTGTCTCGAACTATTAGACTTATCGATAAGATAAGATCTATAATTCATTTTAAGTTAAATCTTCTAATTGATATTCATTTGACCGTCTCTAAATGAATTTGGAAGGTTGTCAAATCAAATCGCTAAGAGTCAAATCAATATTTGGTTTTTTTTAGGAGCCCTACTCTGATCACGACGACTAGAAGCAGGTCATTCATTACCTGGTTCGTGAAGTATCGGACCACCAGCTCATACAACACCGACAACGGACGCGGTTTTCATATCGATAGTAACTAGAGTTTCACCAGTGAAATCACGGAGATGATGCTTCATTGGCATCCCAGAGTAGTACACATCCTTCCTGCTCTGTCAACCAAAGCAGTTCCCGACGGACGCTCAAGGGGTCTTATCTGTAGGATTTTGCCGAGATTCGACAAGCGGTAAACAGGTTACAGCCTGCCTTTAATGAGGGCCGTTCCAACGAACAAAACCCTTTATGATTCAGGGCCGGAAACGCCCAGGTAAACCCTAAGATATTCCTTATCAAGTAGCAGGTTAGCCTTGAAAGGACCGGGATTAACTAGACGTCACGCAATATTCCGCTTCTCATAAAATTTCCCCTTTTGGGCATGACGATTGCGCCATCGAAAATGATAGTCGTGAGTGGATCGTCCCCATTTTACCTCTACTGTCTTAGATAGCTAGCTTTTGATCATGGCAGAAACAATAGCGGAGCTCCATCACTTTACCAGATAAACAACAGTTGACAGATGGTGTACATTTACTCAGTAATCATCCATGACAATTTTCCACTAAGAGATCTCTTCTAGACCATTTCAAAGAAACAACCAGCTCTCGTCTTGCTCCCAGATATAATCCAGCCAAGACCTATCTGCAAAATCATCTTGGCTTCGTCCCCAGATCACTTCAAGCATCCCAGCCGCTGTTCTCACGTTATAACAACACGAAGATACCCAAATATGTTTGATAATCATCTGCACTTTCTGCCTCAGATCGATATCTTGAGTCTCCGCGCCTGAAATAAAAGCCGGCCATACTAGGCTTTTGATGTGGAAATCATTAGCAGATATCTGTAACATGTGCGATACCCCAAGTTGTGTCAAGTGCAAGATGTGAGGTCCGCATAGAGATGGATGATCGGACGTTCGCTTGATAACATGAGAAGCGTAGATACCGATTGCTGCTTTGTACGCATGGGCAAGGTGATATCGTGACTGATAATGCTGAGGATCAGGAAAGTCGTGGGCCCATGCCGACGGCGAAAAGTCATTCAAGGCATCAAGAAGCGTCCTAACAATCTCATCTGACTGGCTTGACTTTGTTGGTATGGTACGTAAGGTGTTAATAAAATGAAGGAACGACAGCAGATCTGCCGGACAGCCAAGCCAAGTTTGATGCTCAGACCGTCGGAGGGTATCCAGAAAACAAAAATCGAAAGGCATGAACATTTGAGAGCCAAGAGAGTGCGACGGGGCAAGTGTGGCTCCCATTATCCCAAACCTATTATTATAGTCAGCAAAGCAGTACATATCCCAGGAGAGTTGCTCTCACGTTGTACAAGCTGTATCAAAGTACCGTAACCATTTTGCTGAATCTGAAGTTTCGTCTTTTAGCAGCGCTTTTCGGGTTTTAACAAGCTCTTGTGCGCCTCGTAGATGATGTTTCCAGCCTCGCCCTCCGAATTCAACAACATCCAGGTTAACGAATAACAGAACCGCGGCAATTACTGCATCACTGTTTTTCTCCGCATGAACTTGTAGCTCGTGTTTGAGACATTGTAGAGCTTTCTGTTTGGTGGATATTGCTGTACGCAGCGCTGTGCCATAGATTGTGTGGATCTTCTGCCAGTCATAGGTGTGACTTGAGTACCATGGTTCAGAAGACGGCGTGTTCTTGTACGGTACCTGGGACTGATTGATGATGAGTCGATGGATGTAGTGGAAGGCTGAAATGGAGACCATCAGATGAGATAAAGCCTGGCTCCACGGTATTAAGGGCATGAGGGCAAGGAACGGGTTGGCGGATGGATCGTTGTATACGACGCATTCTTTAGATAGCTCTTTGTCAACTGATGCAGTAATATGGGTCAGAAACTGAACCGAGAAGCGATTGGAAGAGCCTCACAGTAACGTATGTAGTCTCGACAGCTTTCAGGAATGTGTTGCAGACCCGGTTCTAATAGCGACCATCCAATGGCGGGAGAAATCGTGACAAGTTCATTGTGAGCTGTGTTATCGATAGAAGTCCCATGGCCTCGTGGACTCGCATTATGCTCTGATTCAGAGCGAGTATCGAAAGTCGCTTTACCCATCATCTTTCCCCTGCTAGCCATGCTGTTGGTCCATATAAGTCCCTTCTTCCGCTCATACCCTAAGCACCTTAGCTTCAGGGATGCGCAGCGTTGACAGGTGGGGAGCAGCCTATCGCACTTGACTCGCCTCTGCCGGCAGGTTCGGCACGAGTTGGGTGCATGCGATTCATTTTGTTGCATCGGGAGGGTCTTTGTTTGCTTTCTTGTGATGTAAAGGTTTGAACCTCTGGACCAGGTGGGGGGTCACAAAAATTACTCTCTGTAACCCTGGGAGAGCAGATTCACTAATGATGATGCGATCGGCGTTAAACCGTGTTGGGAAGTTGGGACGCGAACCCTGTCGAAACCCCAGATTCCGGTCTAATTCTGGACCTTGACGATTGAGATAAGGGTGAAACTTGTGTCGCTCACTCGCTCTTATGGGCTGTAAATAAAATTTCCCTCTTATGTCGCATCGATTTCTCTTCTTACGACATTTATAAACCGGATAGCACCATCATGCTTTGATTTCGCAAGCCTTACATGGGCGCGATTTCGCCATTTCTATCGACCTTGAGCACTCGGTGGCCATGGACGAGTCCCATATTACATGCGCTAAGAATTTGTATAAGATATTCATCAGGCCCAGGCTGATGAGAAGCCTCTCGATTCATTATATGATTCCTCGTCAACGTCATCATGAATCTCAATAAGCGCTCAGACGAGACTTCTGTAGTCCCCTCGCCACTACCGCAATCTGTTGGATATGGCGTCGTGGTGGTCGCTGGACTGGCATTCGCCTTTGGTCAGTCTCATACCGAATACATCATGAAAGACGGTGCGTGCTAACTGTTTGGCAATAGGCATGATGGGCGTGACTGCGATCCTGAAAAAGACACTACATGAGGACAATTCCAAAGTGGAAACGTAGGCAGTTTGGATGCTCGCCCAGGAGCTGTATAACTGACGAGTCAATTGCAGATTCATGGTTGCCAACAGAAGAGTACGGACCGGCCTTGTTGCATCAGCAGTTGTTTCGGTATGCTATTCCAATCCCTTCTAATCGACATGCTAACTAGAATCCAGTCATGGCTGTGGAGTACCGCACTATTGAGTTGTGTTTTAGTGACATACAGCTACGGAATAAGCGGCGCGTTTTGGTATGGTGCTGGCTGCTCAACAGTCATCGTCTTCTTTGGTTACTTGGGAACTGTATGCAAAGGGCGCGTTCCTGAAGCGCACACCATTTTAGAAGTCATTCGCATTCGATACGGTAAGTTGCTGTTGTGTCAAATAAGCCTATTGACATATTGAGGTTTTGTAGGGACCGTGGCACATCTGAGCTTCACATTCTTGGCTATTGTCAATAATCTTCTCAACACCATCAACATGATTCTGGGAGCATCGGCAGCAATCACATTTCTGTAAGCTCTTTATCTTGATGACGTGAGTACACAATTGATCGTTTGCATAGGACCGGGATGCACATTATGGCTTCTACTTTCTTGCTGCCTCTTGGTGTTGTCCTTTACACACTTGTCGGCGGTATCAAAGCTACGTACGTGATAACGAGCATGGAATCAAGGATATGTACTAACCAGAACCCCAGCTTTCTTACGGATTACATCCATACCTTCACCATCCTCATCCTAAGCTGTTGGCTGACAGCCAAGGTGATCACTTCAGAATCCGTCGGCTCAATCGGAGGCCTGTACGACCTGGTAGTGGCTGCTCAGGAAACTCATGTTGTGGAAGGCAATTATGAGGGTTCTCTCCTTACTATGACTTCTCAACAGGGTATCTATTTTGCTATCATTCTCCTCATCTCCAACCTCGGAGCTGTAATTGTACGTGATCTTTCGGCTGTCGCATGCTAGCAACTAACGTCAGTAGATGGACACTGGTTACTTTCTCAAAGCGTTCGCTGCATCGCCGAGCGCTGTGGTTCCGGGTTACGTTGTCGGAGGGATCTCTTACTTCAGCATACCCTGGTCACTCGGTACCATTGTGGGAATGGCTTCACTGGGACTCGAAGCACTTCCCATCTTCCCCACATATCCAAGGGTCAGTAATATTCCCACCACTGCTGACCAGAGGCCATATTGCTAACTTATTGTTAGCCCATGACTAGTGCTGAAATTACCAACGGCCTTGCTTTGCCTTATGTAGCAGTCGCAGTTGCTGGTAAAGGAGGCGCCGTTGCGGTACTTCTAATGACCTTCATGGCCGTCACGTCAACTCTGTCAGCACAGATTCTTGCCGTCTCTTCTATCTTGACCTTTGACATCTACCGCGTATACTTCAACAAAGAGTCCACCAACGAGCAAGTGATTCGTTGGGGTCATATTGGAGTCGTCTTCTTCGGCGTTGTGGCGGCGGGTTTCACAGCTATGTTCCATTACATCGGAGTAGATATGGGCTGGACACTCTACATGCTAGGTAAAACATGCCGACCTTCTTCTAATACCATTGGCTAACTGGAGACATTAGGCATTCTTACATGTCCTGGCGTTATACCACTCATCTTCACAATCATCTGGCGCAAGCAGAGTAAGCTCGCAGCCGTCAGCTCCGCATTCCTCGGGATGGCAACTGGTCTTGGAGTCTGGCTTGGCTCTGCGTATTCTTTCTCTGGAGAAGTAACAATCGTATCTACAGGAGGCACTTTACCCTGCATGTACGGCACCGTGGCCTCTCTATTCAGCCCGTTGCTCTACAGTGTTGTGGTCACATACATACGACCTGATAACTATAACTGGGAAAACTTCAAAGAACAAAGGCTGGCTATTGAATCGGACGAGAGCGCCAATCAGGCAGATAATTCTCAGAGTATCGATAAGACGACGGCGGACAGTACGACAACAGAAAGCACCGCAGCCGAGACTCCCAGCGACAACACTCAGCGCCGGTGGACGAAATATGCTCTATGGTGGTCTGTCGCCACGTTTCTCGGCCATTGGGTGCTTTGGCCGCTGCCTATGTATGCGGCAAGGTACATATTCAGCAAAGAGGTATGCAGTCGACTCTCCCATGCCTTGTTACTTATACTTTGACTGATTGACTCCGTCTTAGTTCTTTACCGCGTGGACGGTGGTATCTCTCATTTGGCTTTGGTGGACACTTCTTGCAGTTGGCTTTTACCCCATCTGGGATGGTCGTCACCAGATAGCGACAGTTGCGCGTAATATCTGGAGGTTATGGCGCTCATAGTCGTGAAACATGATGAACTTGTCAATTGTCTCGAGTACCATGGCCTCACTTTGACAAGATTACGGAAATAGATTGTTATAGGTAGAACTAAACATCACAGACTTTTCGTTGCTTGGTAAAAGGCTTCCAAATGTGTATTAATCAGCGAATCACAAGGTGGTCTGTTAAACAATAGGGCGCGATTTGGATCAATATTAATCCAGTGGTAAGCCGCATGCTGCAGCATGGCCCATTTCAAAAATAACTTGACTGTGCCGCGAACAAGGGTTTTTGTGGTGATATATCACTCGGGCTGAGAGGCTGACAGGCTGACAGGCATCAGGGTCCTTGAAACTGATGGCATGGATATAACTGTAACCATCCCGTATATTTCTTATTACTATCTTTGCATCTTTCACCGCAAGTATGGAGCACAAGTCGTACTTTATCTACGCAGTAACGCGGCCCTTCCCATTCCAATGGTTCACCCCAGTAGCCATAATCGGCGGCATCGTGTTTCTCGCCTTGTTCACCTTTATGAACTTTGCCTCTAGCAGCTACGAACTCATCGTCCAGGACTCGCTAGATCCGAATGCAACCGTTTCCGGGCGCGGCTGGCTGCATGCTTACCCATCCTTCCTGACCACCAAGGTCCGGCCTAAATGCCAACCCGCCAGTTTACCAGTCAACACCCCGTTTTTCACCAATAACACTGCTCTGACGTACACCTTGACAAGTGTGTGGCGGAATGGACATAACGGCGAGCAGATCATCTCGCCGACCCTCACGTACAGCAACAACGTCCTCCAGAACTGCTCTATCAACTCGGTGGAAATCAACTTCGAGTCCATAGACAGATTTGGAAACCAAATTGCTTTTCGCGAATGGGGCGCTGTGCTCCGATCTTATATCACCTGCCAGATAGACACTCCAGTTGGCAGCGTGTTTTTCGACCTCACACAAACCTATGACTATGTCCCTACCGGCATATCGTTTGATAAGCTCCACACGTTTCTGGGCAGTGGGTTTCTAAGCCGAAATCAAACAACACAGGCAAGCCTTTGGTGGGGCGAATCTCTAATGTCGACGTACTGGTCTATCACCACGTTAATGCTGAAGAACCCAGGGGGCGAATTCAGCAACGGCAAGGATACCGCGGAGCTGAGCAAAGGAACCATCTAATTCACTGTCGACAAGGCCTACCCCGATATTCAGGACCTGAACCTTTTTAGACTCGACTATCGCTTCGTCGGCACTACCATCGATGGGGTTTACTGTTGTCCAGACATACCGGGGCCGCTGACAGCAGAAAAGTTGAACAAGACGAATGAACGACCAATGATCTGGATTGAGGCAGATACTCTGGCAAAAGCTGCCTACTCGACTATTCTGGTAGACCTGGGCCAGACAAAACCGGAATCCAATATCCTCACAGACACCAAGCTGTTAACAGACTTTACATCCAGTTTCACAGGTCTTAAGTCGGCGGTGAATCTGTTTCCAGGACCGGCAAATGATAGCTATGCTGTTTTAGGGAAGTCTACAGGCCCACTAGGTATCAAACCATCGGTCATCTTGACATTTTATGTCTGTCAGGTGCCGCGACTCAAGCCAGCCGGCAACCTCATCGTTGCTGTCATCGTGGCTGACCTTGTGCTTCTCCAAGCCGTATGGCAGCTATATAAGCTTGCCACTGAAGCATATTTGTCGAGAGTGCGACCGGACATGAATCCTTCAGGAGCTGTCATTATTGAACAGCCAGTTGAGCCTGAAACACCACCCATACCAAGCAGCGAGAGCGGCGTTGAAAGTTTTCCGCTTATGCGCACGTCTCGGCGGGATGATAATCACTTTCAAGACGGGAGAGGGGGGCCTTAATGTTCTTATAAATGCCTTCTATTATTCTAAATAACTTTACTATTTGAGCGTCGAGTTGAGCCATCATACTTCCAAACTAGAACGTCCTCACGTACGAGGTAGCACTGGATTCAGTCCGACCACAGCCGAGGCTCAGGGTAATGGCTGCCAGATGGCACCAAGACGCACAAAATCACGCGAAATCCATTCTTTGTCCTCATTCGCGATATAATCATCAGGATTATTCTCATCCGCGCTGTAGCCGCAAGGGCCATCGCCGTCTATGCTGGGGATTTTCATCAAAACGGAGTTATCCTATAAAATCTCTTTTACGCGATGACGGAAAATGTTGTGGTTAGCGACTGCGAGTAAGACTTTGATATTGCGTGGATTGGGAGAGATGAAGACGCCGTCAAATCGCAGATACGACTTGTTTCTTAATGCCCGACAAGTCAGACGTAAGCTCTTGATGTCGCCATTGGAAAGCAGAGCGTAGATAGCACTAACTAACTCGCTTGGTAGTGTTTGGAAAGCAGGTGAGGGAGTTATATAGTCGGACAAGCCTATAGTTGCAATTAAAAACAGGCCAAGATTTAAGAATAAATTCTGGAGATGCCTAAGTTGGGACAGAAAAGACTTTTTACTGATCGCCAGGGGCTTAGCAGGTGGTGGGGTATTTTCAGCCTTACTTTAGAACTAACGAGTGTTTTCAAGCTAAGCGATTGGCCGACTTGATGTATTGGTTCTGTCCACCTGAGCCAGGCAGAGCTGAGTGTCCAAATCAAAACACCGATCTGAACAACAATTTCACCGAGACATACAACCGCTTGTGATTAGTTGCACTGACACTGATCTCGAGCTGCTGATAGACGTATCAAGTCTTGAGTGGAGCTGTCGTCCCAGTTTTAATGGTGTTAGTGCTCGCTACTACCTAATAGGGCTAGTGTTTCAGGGTCCAGACCTGTTCCTGCATGGGTGCAACTCGTTGAGGCTGCCAATAGTTAGCAATAGTAATATCTAACTAGCCCCAATGTTGCGAGAAGAGACGGCTATTAACCGCCAAGTGTCAAATAGTGCTAAATAGTTTACACAGCTGAGTTGAGTGAGACTTGCTCGGCCTTTAGGGGTCAGATACAAATAGCAAACCCGCCAGTTTAATTTCTCTCCAAGATATGAATCTATCCAGTCTTTGTAGAGACTCGTTCTGTGGTTTTCTTTACTGGCCTGTTTCGTAATGCGGTCCAACATTACTCTCGTCTGCCTGGCACTCGTTGGGCTCTCTGCTGGTGGTCCCTGCAAGCCTAGTAGCCGAGCCTCCGCGAGCAGCAATTCTGCTACATCATCCGCCGCGACAATCGGTGTTGCCGAGAGTTCCACGGGCAGCCAAACAATCTTCGAAAGTCTCACCATCACATCATCTGTCGAGAACACTCAAGTTCCTAGTTTGACTGTCCCCCAACCGTCAACAACAACTGCGGAGGAAGTCATCATCATCACCAATGCTATTTCAGGAGGCTCTTTCGCCAATCGCGACCCAAATAGCCCAAGCGGCCTCACAAACTTCGGCGCCTCTGGAAATGCCGAATTCCACCAAGGGGGGTGCTACCGTGCTGACGGTAGTGTTGATGACGGCTGCGCTGCTTTGAGTGCCAGTAGCAACGGCGGCACCAAGCGAAGCCTCTTTGGCTCTTTTGCCAGTATCTTCCAGACTGTGCGGTCGATCCCACGAAGGAAGTATACTATCCAGTTCTATTATCACATCAACTCAGCTGGGAGCCAAGGATGTGTTGCGAGTGCGAAGTTTGGCAATACACAGTTCTATTCTCAACCTGCCTCCATCCCAGGATCCTCGTGGGCCAGGGTGCTTCAGCAGGTTGAGGCTGTCTCTGACTCACCAACGTTTGCTATCTCCCTGACATGTTCTGGTGCTGGTACTTCTTCAATCCTGGTGGACTCGATCTTCATCTCCGACCAAGTAACCCCAGAGAATATCGACAACTTCAAGCTTGACTTGGGTGGGAGCCCTGCTATTGAAAGTACGACTGCGATCAGGGCTGAAGAGTCCCCTACCCTTACATCAATTGGCAACGGTGTTTTGGATAGCACAAGCATCGCAAAACCCATCTCAACAACCTCTCAAGAAGACACTTCTGCCACTGTTACTCACGCCAAGTCCACCGGCTCTGACCCCGAAAGAACCAGCACTGCGTCCGAGACCAGCGAGTTTAAAGCGGTTTCTTCAGTTGAACGCACTTCAGAAGGGAACACTGGTACTGCCGCTACCAGAACATCTTCGACCTCTTTAGCTGCTGGAGAGACTAGTAAGGCCGAATCAACTGGCCCAGTATCACAAGAGATTAGCTCTACTTCCCTATCCGTCACCACAACAGAACCTTCCCAACCCACCGATACTGCCTGCAAGCAAACATGCAACACTATTGAAGATTATTATCTACATATCGATGACTTCGGCTGCGATCTCAATGGTGTTTTCGTGAATAGTGATGCCATCTATACTCTTCCCGGGGAGGAAGTTGGTACCACTCAAACAAACTGGTACAGCAGTAACGACGAGTGTGCTCAGATCTGTAAGACTCTACCTGGATGCGTGTCAGCTGGCTTCCAGAGACTATCGGGACGGTGTTTCTACTCCAACACTCTAGTTACTCGAGACGATATACGTGATGGAAGAGACAGCCAGATGGTCCATTGGTTCGGCATGGAATGTTTCTCATGTAGGTGCAGTTCTGGTGATGTATTGACAACTTCGGAACCTACCACTACTATGATCCGCCGCGAACCAACGACACATATCACGACCACTAAAGCTGCCCAGTCAACAGGCGTTTGCCACAACAACCGAGGCCAGCAGTGTGAGATCAACCCATCAAATGTTGAGAACAACGACTATGTCTGCATTGGCGGAGGTGTCTTCACCGGACAAACCTGGACTGTGCCTCGATCACTGTATCCGATACAAGAGAGTGCAGAGCAGTGTGCGGCAATCTGCGATACCTTGGAGGACTGCGAATCATCTGGCTTCTTCGGAATGGAGAACCGCTGTCTCTTCACAACCACCAAGATCAAGACATCCGACTTTGCGGACCCTGATCCAAACTACGATGATCCTGGCCTAGACCCCAAAAACAGTGTTTGGAGCCATAGGTCCTGCTGGACGTGTCCAACCTGCGTTCTCAGTAACGCGCCTCTTCCCAAGAGTCCAACCTGCAACTACAAGCCTGGCGACTCTTGTACACGTGTAAGCGCAGATGGCGCTATGTGTAATTACTCGGGAATGTTGTCTGAATCTTTTGGAATCGATAGTAGTACTTATCCTGACCAGAGTTCATCTGGCAAATGTGCTGCCATCTGCAAGAAGATCAAGTGGTGTTTGGGTTCTGGTTACAGGAGCGGGCGATGTATGCTTTCAAGCAAGACTCTCACGCCAGATGGATTTATAGATAGGCATACGTATGATCTTGTCTGGGATGATCCGTCATGCTTTGATTGTCCTGGTTGTTCCACTTAGAAATAGATAATCCTAATATTACAGAGTCGAGAGTCTTGAATAATATGACAGCCATTCTATTATAACACGGCGATAGCCATGAAAGAATATAGGGATTAGTAGGCTGTGTGAGTCATATGTGTATCCGGTCTAGGTCTAATGCAGTTCCAATCAGGCCGTCTCGCCCAACGTGATCATACGGCGCCACAGAGGCCAGAGTAATTCTTCACTGAAACCGATTCTTTTGTATCAGAAGGGACATGAAGGAAAATTAGATATTAATAATCTTGCCTATAAACCTAGTTATTTTGTTAAACCTTACCGTAGCTGAGTGCATAGCCCTTGACTTTCTACATTTGTCCCTGCTCACAGCCAGGTTGGTACCACCCAGAGACGGCTAGGTCTGTAATAGGGTAGAGGGCTGTGCTATCTAAGGTGATAGCAAGCGATGACGAGATTTACTATCCAAGATTGAGTCTTGTAGCTGCACCTATCTGGCCTTGAGCTTAGGGCGACATTTAGTCTGTGTAAGCTATGAAGTCGAGACTCAGCCGCAAGATGTGATTGGCAAAGAAACTAGAGAGGTGGGCAGCATTTCAGCCACAAGTCTCAGCTGAGATATGATTTACCACAACAGGTGGCGAATTCATATCACTATAGCTGTAATCGATCTAGTGCAAACACTCTTGCCATCATATTACTCGCCGACAGGAAGCCACCAACGGCTGTATCTGTTCTAGATGCTCAGCGCCTAAAGCCATAAGAGCTTACTCCGCCAATTTAGAAGACACATAGCGTTAAGCATGCCCAGATAGATCTTTGTCAATCCTCTTTTCTAAATTTTGACAACAATAGACATTAACTAGACCACCTACGAGAGTCACGAAGCTATGGTCTCCCATACATCAGGATGGAGGCCCAGCCCCGTCACATGGACTGGTTGGAGACGTCTGGCAACATACCTTGCCATCCTAGTTTCTGCCCTGTCTATTTTACTCATTGTATTCCTCATTATATCTGTCAATGTAGGCAGATCCCAAGGAACAAGTTTCCAAGAAGAAACAGTGATCTGGGAAACAGACTGCACGACCACGGCACGAGCTAACCTCTGGATTCATCTTGCGATCAATCTATTCGCAACTGGTATTCTTGGTTCCTCTAATTTCTTCATGCAAGTTCTCGTCGCTCCTACCAGACGCGAGATCGATCAAGCTCATGCTTCAGGCCGGTGGGCTGAGATTGGATGTAACTCTATTCGCAACTTCCGCCTGTTACCACGACGAAAGACCTTCCTTTGGCTTTTATTCACCCTGAGTTCCGTTCCGCTGCATCTGGTCTTCAACAGTTGCGTGCTTGAATCCAAGGCTTCGAATGCTGTCCATGAGATCATTGCTTCAGAAGGATTTCTCGCTGATTCTCCTTGGAACTATCCTGGCATGGCACAACTATTCACAGACCCACTGAATGAGTATATATTGCCCGAGGATGATGAATCTATTATCGCCACGACCGCCAAGATCACCAAGATCCAGAAGGACGCAAAATCCATGGATAATTGGGAATCGATCGATTTTCAACAATGCAAAGACCGTTACGACCATGCAGGACGTGTTGTGTCCGATTACCGTGACGTTATCCTGGTGGTCAAGTTCCTTAATGGGACTCAAATCAATAGTTGGGATGAAGGCCGATTAGGCAATCGCAGCACTTCCTTTCACCGAATCAGTTCGCTATGGGATCACCAAGTATTCATGCGGACTGGGTCGATGGAGAATACATATTATCCGCGTTCAATCCTTGGAGCCCTCTACACTGATATCAATCCTCCCAACGACAAACTAGCATTATTGACAGACCAACCGTATGCTCAAATCCCAGACATGGTCGTCGATCGCTGCCTATCAAAAGTAACCAAGTCTTCCTGTAGGATACTTGTTGCCAACAAGCTTCTTCTTATTGTTTGCATTATGTGCTGCTTCAAATGCTTCCTCTGCATATTCACTCTTTTTAACCTGCGGCTTATGAATAACGAAGAGCCCTTGATAACGCCTGGAGATGCCATCGCTTCTTTCATCGCAAGACCAGGCGCTGATACAAAGGGTATGTGTACTTTAGGCTCACAGCGACAGGGCGCTCGTGCCCAGGATATTGATTATAACAACCTCGAAGGATTGTCGCCGTGGCTGCGCACAAAGCGTACTGCTGGGAAATCCATACCATGGAACATCTGGATCCTCTCATTCCTCCTCACTGGAAGCTGCTTAGCTACAGGCTTAGCTATGTGTATTCTTGCCACTCGCGACCAGCCAATGTAAGCCTACTAATAACCTGCCAATATTAATGCTCACACTAAACCATATAGCTCTGCATCTCAATTCCAACATAACCCTAACAACTATGTTGTCGAAACTAGCTGGTCGGGTGATATGTCGTTTCTTGGACTGACAATGATTGCCAATTTGCCCCAGCTCCTCCTTTCAATATGTTATCTGGCATTGAACGGACTTTGGACGCGCATGCTATTGGAGTTCGAATGGTCCCGATATAGCACAGTCTTCTCTTCACTTCGCGTTACGAATCCTACCGGCCAGCAACGATCAACATACCGCCTGCAACTACCTTACCATTGGTCTATACCCCTCCTATCATTCAGTGCTATCCTACACTGGGTATACTCTAACTGTATCTATGTTGACTCTTATGACTGTGAGTACTAGGACTGCCCTTGGCAAATGAAGTTTTCCTAACAATGAAATTAGATTATGGTCCAGATCCCCCATATTCTATTTTCCATTCAAGCCACGCAATGCATTACTCAACAGTAGCTATCCTGGTGGCACTAGTTCTGTCAACAATCCTCACAATCGCCCCTTTGGCCCTCTCCCAAGCTCGTTTGCCAGGGAATATTGTCCTCGGGGGCAATAACTCAAAGGTCATATCTGCTGCGTGCCACTGTATACCTCTAAGACCCGGCCTCAGGACTACCAAATCTTCAGCTGTTATTATTCAAGAAATGACGGTTATTGGTCCTGAGGAAGTAATGGAGAATCTTTTGAGATCCAAGTCAGAGGATAATGACGGTCAAATACTGCAGGAGATGGCGGAAAGCCAGTTGAAATGGGGAGAGGTCTTGGATAGAAATCGCCCAGACGGCATCGGTCACCTGGCGTTTGGTTTGGAAGAACAGGTTATGGCGGAGCCAATTGAGGGGAAACTCTATAAGTGAGAAGGCAAGTTAAAGCAGATTACTATATATATACAGAAAGTCTCAATTCTTATGCCTTTTGATTAGTTAAAAAGTAATTACCTCTGGCTACCTATATAGCACTATCACTAATAACCATGGTAGAGGCTTCTCTAGGAGCCGCTTTGGATAGCTAAGCACCGGAATCATTAACCGGGCACTGGAACCACGACCCGAGAGTCTCGGATATTGCCATATCAGGTTAGACCGGCCACACACTCGGATGCAGAGGCCGGTGTCGGCTATTCCTCTGACGCTCACTAATTCACTGCAGTCATTATAAACATATGCTGCTGCGAGCCATTCCATGCCGAGACTCATCAACCAATACCCCCTAAACCCAGAAAGAATGTCTCAGTCAATTGCAAGGGCACTGCCCCGCCTGACGCGTCCTTCCAACCTCTCGTTATGGCGAAGCCTATCACAGCACGCCAGCCGCTCATTCTCCGCCACCTGTTCGAGACACCTTATGGAAACAACTTCGTTCTCAGAGACGCAATTGACAGTCCGCGAAGCTGTCAGCCAGCTGTGCTCAAACTTTGCAAACACGTACTGGCAGGAGAGGGATCAAACCGAGACGGACCCTCACGACTTTCACGCTGCTCTAGCCCAGGATGGATGGCTGGGCATAGCTCTCCCAGAGGCCCTCGGGGGGTCGGGTTTGGGCATTTCTGAAGCCACTATGATGATGCACACAATCACGGAAAGCGGGGCGGGCATGGCGGGCGCCCAAGCCATCCACGCAAACGTTTATGCGACACAGCCCTTAGCAAGATTCGGCACCAAAGAACAGCTGGAGGGTATTATCCCGAATATCATCAAGGGCAAATGGCGTGTTTGCTTTGGAGTCACAGAACCGAACAGTGGTCTTGACACGCTACGGCTGTCCACAACAGCTACCAAGCAGTCCGATGGTTCATATGATATCAGTGGCCAAAAGATTTGGATCACCTGTGCTCAAGTGGCATCAAAAATGATTCTTTTGGCGCGGACAGCTCCATTGGACCCGAAGAAGCCAAGCAGCGGACTGTCATTATTCTGTATTGATCTCAACCGCGACCAGCCTGGTCTGGATTTGCGTAAGATCAGGAAGATGGGAGGAAAGGCTGTGGATGCAAATGAGGTCTTCTTCGATAAATATAATATCCCTGCCAATACCCTGATTGGAGAAGAGGGCCAAGGCTTTAAGATCATTCTTCATGGTATGAATGCCGAACGGTGCCTCCTGGCCGGGGAGGCTCTTGGACTTGGCTATGCAGCGTTGAAAAAGGCGGCTGAGTATGCCAAGGATCGAAAGGTCTTCCAGCGCCCGATCGGTCAGAACCAGGCTATAGCACATCCGTTGGCAGATGCGTATATGCAGCTCGAAAGCGCCAAGCTGGCCACATATCACGCAGCCAGGCTGTACGACGAGAGTAGCAGGGACCAGGGAGATTCTGACATCAAGGTCAGCCCAGCCTCGGTGGGAGTTGCATGCAACAGCGCCAAGTATCTAGCCGCCGAAGCAGCCTTTACTGCCTGTGAGCGGGCTGTCCTGGCACACGGTGGGATGGGGTATGCGGCTGAATATGATGTGGAAAGGTGGTTCAGGGAGTCACTCGTGCCGCGGATTGCACCTGTGAGCCGCGAGATGATTCTTAACTACATTAGCGAGAAGGTACTGGGCCTTCCTCGTAGCTATTAGGCCATGAAAAGTAACTATACTAGTGAGCTTCCTTGTAGAATACGTCCTGAATTGCTGTTAATGCTAAACCTTTTTGAGGTTCCCTGTCTCCAGGCTCGTCCAAGTGAAATACCAACCGCGCATATGTCCATTCCTCGAAACGAGTGAGACTCTATATGACTCCAACACTTATTGTTCTGTGTCTCTTCACCACGGAATAATGGTTTCTTCGGTTGGCGGCCTTGATAACCGACTCCGGAAAGTAAAGCCGGGCGTTATCATTTTGCACCTCGGGCTATAAGATTGCGTCGTGTTTCTTCCTAAGCTACTATCCACAAATCAGCTCTATTCATCATCTATCATGAGACCTCTACTAGCCCCCCATTTCTGTAGCACATTGCGTCTGGGCTATCGGTGCAGTCGTCAGGTGTCTACAACTGCAGGAAATTCAGCCTCGAATGCTGTCCTTCAGCTTTTGGATCAACACAAGGGTCGTACTACAACACGTCGACAAGTCCTGGACGGCAATCAGCTCCAGAAGCTAAGCCTTACTCTTAACCGACCACAGCTTCATCGCGATCTCGACGTTTCAGAAACGGCCCCGGCAAACGGCACTCCTCTTCCTCCAGGCTATCATCTGGTTTATTTCACCCCAAACGGAACAGAAATCGACTTAGGATCAGATGGAACCGATCGTAGCTTCAATGCCCCAGCACCCTTCACCCGGCGTATGTGGGCAGGAGGGCGTGTGAAATGGACCAAAGGTCATCCACTGCGGGTTGGGGAGGAGGTTGAAGAACGCACAGCTTTGCTTGCTGCGGAGCCAAAGAAGAGTCGAGACGGAGCCGAAATGATAGTAGTCACTGTCCAGAAAGAGTTCTGGGGTACACAAGGATTATCTCTGGTCGATGAAAGGTGATACACAATTCTTCATTGCTCCATTCCAACGCAGGTTGACAATTACTGTTAGGTCTTGGATATTCCGAACCGAACTTCCAGAGCCTTCCCAGAACACATCAGTGCTCACCATGTTAATTACAGAACCGACAAATGTCCAAACTATAGAGCCGTCGTCAAATGGTATGTTAACCGTCTCCTCAATACGATAAATCTGCTCACACTACGTAGGCTTTCCAGAGCGTCAGATGAAATGGTCTCCGATATCCCTCTTCCGTTTCTCAGCACTAACATTCAACGCTCACCGAATACACTACGATGCAGCTTGGAGTCAAGGCGTTGAGAATCATCCGGGCATTGTCGTCCATGGGCCTCTCAACCTAATCAATCTGCTCGACTACTGGCGCGACGTACATGGTGCAGAACCGAGCGAGATCAGATATAAACTACTGTCACCTATATACTCGGGAGAACCTTACAAGATCAAGACTCTTCCCGGCGAGCAGCCGGGCAAAGTCGACGTCTCGATCGTGAAGAATAGCACGGTATGCGTGAAGGCTCAGATCTCGGAATAGCAAACGAGCGGAGGCCATAAGCTGCAGATTCTTAGGGTAGACAAGCTTGAATATGCTAAATACTAAACAGTTTGAAAGTCCAGATTTTCCCAATCTAGTTGCTCTACACCAGTTAGTGAAAGTGATGTATTGTGATATATCCAGTACAAGTCGTCTTCTCCTTCGAGCATGATGTCGCTGAGATCGTCTACGCCAGCCATTGCCGTGTCTTCCCCACCGAATTCATTCCCATTAATCGCGTTCTGAGTAATAGCCGTCTGGCCTTGTGGTTGTCTCAATGCAGACTGGCTTGCTGAGCTGAGCGAGAATGGCTGCATGAGTGCTTGCGGCTCTCCAATGTGGGTGTTTGGCGTTTCGGTTTCCAGACCAAGGCTGGCACACATCTGATCAATCTCTGTCAAACGCTTTGTTGCTGCCTGATTCCCTAAATTTGAGAGATGCATAAGGATGCCTCGAACAGTCTCTATGCCTTCACCCGCATGTACTTTATCCGAGTTGATTATGACAGCGAGAGCAAAAGTGAAACCGGTAGAGAAAAGACAGTCTAGATCAAGGAACGCATGTCTGGCTTAATTGTCAAGATTGTCAGCTAAGACTAGGCCAGAGTGTAGTGTCAGATCACGAACCGATTATGTCCCGTTTACGCAATCCATGGAGAATGACCAAGCTCTTCCGGGCCGCTTCAACACATGTACCGGCAAGTCGACGGAGCTTGGGGCTCATGGATGTGCATATGTCACTTCCTCCACTGCTGCTGTGAGCCATGTATAACAGGATCGGTCGTACAGCATACATAACATTCTAACATGGTCAATGGGGTGTTTCATTATCTAGAAAGTTCCTCTTACCTGATTCACCGTCAAATGGAGAGATGCAATTGTCCTCGCTGCTGACAACTGAGAACTAGACAGGGATGCATCGTTAAGCAAGAGCTCAGTGGGATGAGATCCACCGGAGATCTCGGCAGGCATTTCGTTTTCGATTTTATGTAGCGAGTGTAGTATGTCCTGTACTTCTTTGATGAAAGTCCCCTCGGACTCATTGTTTTGCGAATAGATGGCTTATGGCAAGTCAGCGTGACGTATCTAGGGATGTACGGGGTGACCAACTTGTAGTAATGCGGCCGGTTATTTGCGCCAGTTTTACATTGACTTCAATAGCAGCAGCGGATGGGTAACCGATCTGATCCGATGGGTGCGCTGTTGTGATTGCTCTGTCTAAAATACTCACCGGAAATCCAACAGCAGCCGCAAGTCTCCTGGGATTGTATCAGCACATGACGACGATACAGCAGAGGGCTACCAACCGCTCCTGCATGTAAATGGACCACCAAAGTCGGTTTCGGTGAACTGCTTCGGAGCGTTTACTTTTTTGGTGAGATGCAGACTTGTGAAGAGAGAGGCTCAGTGACAAACGGAGGGCGGTGCTTGCCTACGAAGTAAACGTCAATGAGAAGGTTTCCGAGTTGGAATAATAACCCACGTAGAGATAGGCGTCTTCTTTGCGATCCGAAATCTGTAGGTAGAGGGCGCACAACCCCATGAGCTCGATTGCAAGGACCCCTTGCTTTCTCAAATCGCTCATATCTGGCAGGCGTTTAATCGCTTCTTGGAAGAACTCATCCCCTGGCAATTGGGATCTGTTATCCCACTTGGCCTGAAGAAGTCTTCCGATGGCGAAAACGAGGAGACACTCGGCATACCACAGCTCAGGAACTTTATCATCTGCTGTGTCATGGTCGAAGAGCAAGGAAAGATTGTCTGAGAATGCTCTCGCATCGAAAAGGTGCTGCGATATACCCACGTTCAGAACCACAATGCTCAACATGCTGTAGGCATCTTCCTCTGTAGGCCAGTGCTTGATCTTGTCAGAACCCAGTTGGCTGTGACGGCTGAGCCCTGGCGTAGCATTGTGTGCTTGACTGGACGCGAAAGGTGGATTGGGGCGTGACCGCTCGGCCAGGAGAGTGCGAATCTCGGAGCTGAAAGTCTCGCTGGAAGAGAGAGATGTTGCCGGCGCAAGGCCTATATAATAGTGGGCCAACCAGTTAGTATGTTGTCAACTTGTAACGAAGGCAGGATATGAGAGAAACCTACTTCGCGGTGTTAGGTTGGTCTTGGGGCTCGAGGTCGTTGCTTCAGGAGCAAGAGTTTGAGGATGTGGAGGGATTGGCGAAGGATGTACATCATTTCCTTCCACCTGGATTACCGATATTGGAGATGGTCCTGAAGCTTCAGATGATGATGGGCTGTTTGCGGAAGCAGGTGGTTCAGAGCCTCCTTGGACCTGGTCTTTGTCAAGGGCAAAGTCAGTGGGTGGAAGTCTGGGAGAAAGTAGATTGTGATATGCAGTACCGTCGATGTTAGTATTCTCGTATCGTGCCACCTTCTCTTCGAGATCCCGTATGTGACTGATTATATCGTAGTTAGCCAACTGGTACTGCGAACCTTGCAATAATACTTACGTGACCGAATAGAGTCTGCGTTTGTTCGGCCGCGTGAAGACGCAGTCAAGACTACGCTTGACGCAGTATACACAAGGTCTTGTGCCCGAACACTTGACCTTCTTGTCGCGGCAGACACGACAAGCCGTTGACGTACGCGGTCCTTCATCGCGTCTGACACGTTTTGATTGTCCCGATCCCGGTCCCGGAGCCGGAGCCGGAGCCGGACCTGTCTGCACGGCCTGACACTCGATTGTCGTATCATCCATGGGTCACCGCATCCGAAGCGTCAGCGTATAAAGGTCAAGACAGACTTGCCCACCGAGGACTCGGTGCGGTGCTTGAGAATCTCCGCTGAGGACAGTAAGGCAAATTTTCGGATCAATCGGATGTGGAATCCGAACTGAACTTACACGGTTAGGCAAATATATTCCATGGGCCCTACCCTGTAACTAGTTACGTACTTCGCGTGCACGAGATCTCATTACACTTTCTTGGCGAGATAAAAAGGTAGACATTTACCTTTAATTTGTTTTTAACTCCGATGATAGGTAATTAGCTTATCTTCCGTTATTATCTCTTGTCAGCAATGTCGCTTTCGACTTTTCTCCGACGAGCTCTTCTCTATGGTACGACAAACACCCTCCTTAGCAACGCTGCATTGTGTCTCTAACCTTGTCCCAGTGCCCGGGTCTTCTCAGAAAATGCTCACCAAGTCTAGCAACTTGGTTGTGGATTCAGTGATTTATGACCTCGAAGATTCAGTGACACCTGATTCAAAAGACCTGGCGAGGCGTCTTGTCGCGGATCACTTAGCTACGAAAAGATTGGGGCGAGGACCTAAGGAGGTAGCGGTGCGCATCAATGCAGTGGACACTGGGCTTGCACAACAAGACATCAGTCAGGTTGTATGAAGTCGAAACTAAGCATTGACGAAAGTATGTATGCTAACTCTCAGAGCAATAGGTCCTAGGTGGGGGAAATACTTTGGATACAATTGTTGTGCCCAAGGTCCAGTCTCCAGAAGATTTGCATTTTGTTGCAGATGTCATTCGGCATGTCTCTCCACAGAGAAGACTTTTCGAACCCACAGGGACGAATTCTGCTCAGCAGACGGCAAATACGACTGTTCCAAAGCCCATACATATTATCGCTTTAATCGAGTCCGCCATGGGCCTTGCCAATGTCTTAGAAATATGCCGTGCTGGCCGATCTCTCGGCTTAGCGGGACTAGGATTTGCCGCCGAAGATTTCATGGCAAGTGTCGGGCTTTCCAAGCTGCCAGATCGGAGAGAAGTCCTGCTAGCACGATCTACGATTGTTAATGCCTGCCGGGCATATAACCTTCCTTCGATCATCGACATGGTATCTGTTGATGTGAGCCAAAACACCAACGGCACATCACTGGCCGAGGAGTGCAACGAAGGCCGATGTCTTGGATTTACTGGAAAACAAGCTATCCATCCCTCCCAGGTCGACACCATACAGCGCGCGTTTGGGCCATCCGACGACGAGATAAAATGGGCAGTGGAGGTCTATGTTGGGGATATTGAATCCCAGAAAAAGGGACTGGGTTCTTGGAAGCTGAACGGTCGTATGGTTGATGCACCAGTGGTCAAGACAGCAATGGCTATCCTGCATAGAGCACGGAGGTGTGGCGTACAAGTTGACACAGATATTGCAAGTTCCAGGCTGGAGGCTTCAGAAGGGAGGTCAAAGAGCTTACTTTAATATGCTAGCATAAGAAAATGATGTATCTCAGGAGTTCATGCTTCATAGAAGTGGAAAATATTACACCGAGGTGAAGTGATAGACGTATTCTCCCGGGAGATAGCTTTTGGACGAAGTACGTTAAGTAATTTGAGCAGTTTTCACATCACAAGCAAGGCGTTGGAGGAGTCAGCAGGCGCGAAGGCTGACGAGCGTACGGTTAGACACTTAACGTTATCGATGGACTTGACTGTCATCACTGCATTTCCGACGTAGATCGATCGCACGATGGATTTATATGTCAGCCTTTATGTCTGATTCAAAGTCGCAACTCGGCAGAGCGGCCATACTGATCTTGGTGTACTTGTTGTTGTTGTTGAGCTAGATCGTCTGAAGAGAAGAAGAGTCATGAGAGTGCGGAACAATATTTCTTGCTATACACCTTGAAAATCTTAATTCCAGTGACTGTGTGAGCCTAGGGTTATCATAATTAAAGTAAACTAGAAAGGTATTCTTTTGCAAAATGGAAGCCAGGCCCTTGCATCTCATTTAAAGCTCTACAATTCGTCCCATGAAAAGTCTCCATCGCAGGTCTTTATAATAAGCAAAGTCAGGCCCTTAGACTTTCTTTAATACCCAGTATACATCAGTATATTACTTAGGGCTATCGAGTGTCAGGATTCTTATCATGTAATTGAATATTTATTACACTAGATGGCGCCGTTTCTAATCTGTAATCCTTATTTGGTACGTAAACCTTTTCTTATTCCCATAAGCTTGTCATTTTGTGATCACCCCCCCATCGCCCATATAACATCTCAAAATATTGGTCTTCAAGAGCCAGACTTTGTGCGTGTGTGTGGAAGTGAATCGGGACTTCTTCTGCAGTGCCCTTGATACCATTGCCTGGCTGTTCCTCTGCGGCTAAGCTTCCCGCAGCATCAGCAGTATCGTGTATTTGCGAAAGTTCATCCAGTCTCTGGGAAACTGACACGTCTAAATGCTCAAGAAATAAATCTAGTATGTTATTGTTAATCCTCCAGGACTTTTGTATCTCTTGTAAACCCAGAAGGCATATCTGCGCACGATGTTCAGCCAGATGCCGCGATATATCTGTACTTTCTTTCATGCTAGCTGTATTAATGCAAAGAGCGGCGAATAAGCTTGTGATCCTAGAATGGTGTCAGAAGAAGATCCTACTTGGAAGACTCTTACATATACTACATACAAGTGCATCTGCCCATAAAGGAGGGTTCCTTGAGTAAGCATATCCTCAGCGATTCTGCTAATCCTTGCGGCGGCTGTCACTGCGACATGTCTAGTGTTTTCAAATCGGGTCTGTTCATTAGACTTATGCCAATGTAGAAGAATCTTCAAATGGCTGTCTCAATTGTTAGTTTCGGCCATCATTCAGTGACAGATGCCAGCATACTTGTATGCCAAATGGAGCAGATAACCCCACACTGACGCCGTCCCGTTCTCAACACCAAGGCAGGTCTCGTGCGGAAGAGTTGTAATCCACTTTTCGAGATCATCATCTATATCATTTATTTGCTCAGGAGTGAACACTTTCCGACCAGGGGTAAATCGTAAGCCGATAACACGTTTAACTGCTGGCTGTCAGAGAATTCTTATCTTAGGTCGTTTTGCCCGTCTACTCACGTATTTGTATTAAGTCAATCATGCTAATGACATACGCGATGTGCTCTGGCGTACAAGGATCAAAGGGGGACGGGTCCAGAGTCTCCATCTCAGGTGTTAGATCCAACAAGTTCAAAGGCTCAACGTCGCAGTCGTCATCTTTGATCCTGCAAGGAAGGCCTAGAGGGGCAGCGGCTTGATATTCTCGAACCTACTGCGGTTAGTTAAGCGGCCTCATCAACTCGACGAGGACTTACATAAATAGACCACCAGATACGCTTTCTGATGCGTGTTTCATGAGGATCCGTGGTGGCTAATCTGACACTGGATAAGCTGTTAGCACGCCTTTTCTTCAATTTCTCGCATAAGTTATCACCTACGATCTGTGAAGTCCGTGTGACTCTGCTAATCCAATTGCTACTCCTAACCAATACCTGACATCTCGTATATCACCGGGGTCACCTCGCCAAAAGCTCATAAGAAACAAGGACTGAATTAAGGCAATTGGATCCTTTTCGCAGTCGGCATGGAACAGAAGTCTAGCCCGTGTATAAAGTGTAGCTTTGGCCTCTGCCCTGTTGCTGAAGCCCATCGAGGTTGTGATTGTGCTGTCACAGTACGTGGTTCCAATAAAGAGCATGGACTGTAATAAAATATGTGGAACCTGAGAAAGGAGTAGTTTATGTGTAAATTCTGCCCTATCCAAGATTGGGAAACACGGATGGAACCAGGTGAAGTATGCTTGTAACGCCGGAATGCAGGCTTGCGAGTCAGGTAGCTTTAATGCGCCCTCATCTCGTAGATAACGCGATACACCGATACTGACATGCTCGACACTAGTTGAAGGTCCGCCTTCTGATATTGGGCGAGGTGGAATATTAAGAGGGAAAAGAAGGCCGGCTTTTGTCTGGCTGCCATCGTTTTGTGAACCGGGTCTGCCCGGGACCAGCGTGAGAAGGTTAGATTCACCGAAGAACACTGTTGCCAAGGCTTTGGATTGTGTTGGTAGTGGCGGGCTCCTGATTAATGTTTCCCTGTCGGAGGCATCCTTGTCATTTCGAGGGCTACTGACAGGATTAACAGCAGCTGCCGACAGCTCTTGGGGAGACGAGGACAATGGGGTTCTAGCCGCTTCTTGCTCATTGTTATCTATGGCAGCTGGCCTGCACTGGCGCCCATTACCTCTTGGCCATCTGAGAAATGAATGTTAAAGCGGTACGTTCGTAGACGAAAAGAAAAATGACGGGTAGAAAAGGAAAAAGAAAAGTAAAAGTAAAATTAAAAGGGCGCTCACCTTCCGCGACGAGATGGGGACACTTTGCACTTGGTCCCGGCTGCATCGCAATTGGAACAAGGATTGGACTCTGCTACATTGCATCTAATTTTCTTAGCATAACATTGGCAACATGCATACTTTGCGCGGACACGGTTTCTGGTCTTCCTGGCTGTGGAAACTTTGTCTCTGGTTGTTTGGGACGTTTGGCTTGATGAAGACATGATTTTCGACACTGATCTCTTGCTCTCTATAGTCTCGGCCCGATTTTGGTCGTCCGGCGTGTTTTCCCATAACAAGGCAAGAGTTAGAATCTTTGTTTTCTACTTCTGTCTTTGTTTTGCAGTAGTCGAGACCGAGACCGAGAACGTCATTGGAAGAGAGATCGGCAGTCTAATCGTGATGAGGTCGGTTAGTGGGGACCGAGAAGTGCGGCACATCCTTCCGGTTAAGAATGAATATCCGATGACCTCAAGAATATCTGCACAACAACCCAGGCCTGAATTGGTATGGCTTGTCCGAAGGTCGGTCGGGTTTCCTAACTATGCAACTGGGAAACGCCGATGCTTCAAAGTTCTAAATAACTGTGTCAGCCACAAGTGATTATGTATCAGTCAGCATCATGTGTAATTAGGTCAGTACCGGAGAAGCATCAGCAAAGGCATATTTGGTATTAAGTGAAATTGGATGGATTCCTGCAGAGCATGGCTCTTCTGATTGCGATTTCGGAATGATTACCCTCCATATCTTACAATCTACATGAAAAAGTGGGCAAGGCTAGAAAACGTTATTGGTAATTCTATGATGTGGCACGGGCAGGGACCCAACCGGCTTTCTCAAGTTCTTTGACTGCCATGTCTCCTTGAAGGATTAGTTCGAGACGATGACAACAGACCTTATAGAGCCTGCTCCTTTCAATCAGTGACTTGGACAATCTTAACATGGAATACAGGTTCGGCATCGAATATCTGCTGGCGTCCTTTCCGAAGACACGTATATACACATCATTCCTGAACCGTGAATGCATGATCTACCAAGTTCTCCTCTTCAGCCTGATGAATCTTCTTCAAGCCAGTAGCCGGACTCGCGCTGGGCCCTCTACCCGAATATAGTAGCCTTCTAGATGAGAGATGTGCAGACTTCCGAAGGAGAGCATCTATTCGGTCACGAACATAGTGCCAAGCTCCACCATTATAAGGCTCCTCCTGCGTCCACACGATATTATTTACATTGGGGTACTTTTGCAGGTTGGCCTCGACCTCGCGCCATGGAAAAGGATGGAGCTCTTCTATCCGCGTGATAGCGGTGTCGCGAAGACCTCGATCTTCTCTACGCTTGACCAAAGAGGCATAGACTTGGCCAGAGCAAAGAATCACTCGCGAAATGTTTTCTGGGCTATCGATGTCTCTGGTTCCATGTGCAGGATCTGCAAGAACGGGTTGGAAAGACGCTGTGGGATCAGTAAATAGTGAGATGTCGGATCTCGCAATCGGATGACGGAGAAGGGACTTGGAGAAGAAGATAATCAAGGCTATGTAGAAGTGTCAGCTGACTGTTGTCAACAATGGTAGTCTGGTGCAAACTTACGCTTGCGATATTCCCTCTTTAGATGGCGGCGCAGAACATGGAAGTAATTCGCTGGCGAGGTCATGTAAACAACCTCCATGTTGCAATACTGATGCGCTCTGTCAAGGACCTCCTCACTAGGCCAAGTCCGTCCATCTTCGTTGCACATGGACAAGAAACGCTCCAATCGAGCTGACGAATGCTCAGCGCCTTGACCGTCGTAACCGTGAGGTAGCGAGAGGATGAGACCTGACCGGTCTAGCCACTTAGACTCTCCACTAGCAATGAAGTTATCGATTGTAACTTGGGCATTGTTGGCAAAATCGCCGAATTGTGCCTCCCAGATAACGAGAGGATTCGGATCTGCTAGTGTGGCGCCGTATTCGAAGCCAAGTGCACCGAATTCGCTTAGGGGTGAGTTAATGGCCTCGTAGGCGGCTTGGCTTGGCGAGAGGTTATTCAGCGGTGTCCAGGTCTGGCCTGTTACCTGGTTGTGCAAAACAGAATGCCGCTGTGAGAAAGTACCACGCTGAACGTCTTGGCCAGTCAAACGAACGGGGTGGCCCTCCATGCAGAGAGTTCCAAAGGCCAAAGCTTCTGCCGTGGACCAGTCGACAGATCCTTGCTCGAAGTTGCTCAGTCTTCCAGCCAGGATGCGCTGAAGGTTTGGGTGAAGCTCAAAGCCCTCCGGTACGCTGCTAACCTTGTCTGCTATGGACTTGAGGGTGCTGTGATCAACAGCTGTTGCGTCAATGCTGTAGGTTTCGGCAGCTAGGGACGCGGGTGAAGGGAGTGAGTCCCAGCCTGGAGGGAAATTCTCCCTCTGGGAGATGAGTCCCTTACTGGCCTCAAATTCATTGTTCAGCTTGTTCCATACCCACCTCTGCTGTTCCTCAATCTCAGAGGCCGTGAATGTACCTTGTTCGACTAGTTTATTGATATACAGCTCCATGGTTGGCGTTTGAGTTCCCACCTGCTGATACATGACTGGTTGAGTGAAGTTGGGCTGGTCAAACTCGTTGTGGCCAAACTTCCGGTAACAAACAAGGTCTATAACGATATCCTCTTTAAATCGGGCTCTCCAGTCAGCTGCGAGTTGGAAAAGGAAGGTGACAGCCTCGACATCATCGGCATTGACGTGGAGAATAGGAGCGTCGATATACTTGGCCAAGTCTGACGGGTAGGGAGTGGACCTTGAGCACTCTGCGTCAGTCGTAAACCCAATCTGGTTATTGACGATGGCGCGAACCGTGCCTCCTACTTGATAACCATCGAGCTTTGAGAGACCAAGCGTTTCGTAGACCACTCCTTGGCCGGCAAAGGCGGCATCTCCATGCAAAGCGATGCACATAGTACGGTTTCCTTCCGGATCATTTCGCCTCTTCTTTGTAGCATACGTGAAGCCTGTCGCAACAGGATCCACGGCTTCGAGATGGGATGGATTGGCGAGCAGAGTGACAGAGGCGGAATTCCCGCTGCCAGTGACGCGATGGCCATCGTGTCCAAGATGGTATTTTACGTCACCAGCCATACCGGGAAGATCAGCCGCCACCCCTCCAGCGAATTCCGCCAAGATAGCCTCACGGCGTTTGCCATAGACCGTTCCTAACATGGTCAGTCTGCCTCGATGGCAGCTACCAACCACTATGTCCTTGATACCGTGGGCGTCAATACTCTGATCCATCAGGGATGCCACACCCGGAGCAAGGCCCTCGGCACCATCAAGACCGAATCGCTTCTCGGTAGGGAATTTTGTCGCGATGAACTTTTCGAAGCTCGTGCTCCATATCAAGTTATCCAAGATCCTCTTCTTCTCGTCGCGTGAGAAGCGAAATGGGTCAGGTCTTTCGAGCCGTTCGCGTAACCACTCTCGTTTCTCGGCACTTGAAATATGCTGATACTCAATCCCATAGCTTCCGCAGTAGACAGATTCGCACGCAGCTACAATTTCTCTTAATGACATTGACTTATGACCTTGTGACGCGAAGTGAGGCAGAATATCGCTTCCGAGTGCAAATTCTCGGTCCATGTCCTTGGTGGTGAAGCCATGGTAGCTAGGACTCAAATCTGGAGGACGCTCTGCATGCGGTGGTTGGCCATTTCGCTGCAAGCCGAGAGGATCGAGATTAGCGATGCGGTGGCCCATGGATCGATAGGCCGAAACAAGCTTTGTGAGCCTTATTGCGTCTGCGGTCTGGGTCGTTGATGAATGTGTAGTAGATTGCAAAGCAGGGTCCCTTGATGATAAATAACCAGGTGGAAATTGAATAGCTTCGGTGGGTGACTGTTGTTTTTCTTCAATGTTCCGGAAATAGGTCCTCCACGAAACGTGGACTGAATCCGGCGAGACTTTCCAGGATCTATACATCTCGTCGATGTATGAGGCAGCACTTCCTTGAAGAAACGATTCCGTGTGTATCTGAGGCATAAGCAATAAAGTCTTGTATGCTAGAGTTTGATATGCTTACTTGTGATTCGGAAATACTTCTTGCTTCCACCTGCGCTGTGACATAGTACCTCGCTCCTCCATGATAGTTAGAGTTCTTGATAGCGCTCTTCCCAAGCAACGGACCCTTAGTCAGGCGAGCCCCTCCTCTAGTAGCAAGAGAATACCTTGCAAGGCGTAACATGATCGCAGTTACAAAGAGAAAGCAGAAAGACTGAAAGGGCAGAATATGGAGAGTTCGATCAACTGGGAGAACTCTACCAGGGGATCTGAGCTAGAACGACAGAACGTGATGAAGTCGTGTCTAAATCAGGACCCTATGTTAAAATAAGAGTCTAGCCCCGGGTAATGGTCTGTGCATTGGGAGTGGAAGTATGGGAGAGCAGAACATTCTCGGATATGACATCCGAGGAAATTCAAAAGCTGTAAATCTTTGTACATCAGATATTACCATTGACAACACCGAATTTAATTACCAAATTAATCAATAACTGCGAAATATTAACAGAAGAAAAAATAAATGCGAGGGCTCTTTTCCCTCTTTTTTTCTTCCAGCGCTCGGCCGCTCTTCTCATTTGGAAAGTGTGCATCAGGTAGTTTCGCTACTTTCATTGACCAGATTGAGGAAATAAATTGCCTCCAGACCTTCAAAGATTTATGTACAGTCTGGTAACGCCTTAAAAAAGAGATCCAGCTGTCTCGATAAAGTCCATAGAAATATTGATAATAAAGGTCTCTACATAGACCGCAAAGCAGTAATACCTCAAAATTCAATAAGCTTACCTATGATGTCAGTGCCAGGGTTGATAGCGGATGTTTCACCCTCTGGCTTGAGGTCGTCCCAGCCATCACGGTAGGCTGGCCAACCCCCACGCAAACTCTTTGGCTGAGCCACTAGTAAGAGGATTCTGATTCCCTCGGGATTAGAAATGTAGTGGGCCCCGTTCTAGTAGTCAATCCGTACTCCGTGCAGTCTACTGTTATCTTCCCTTTCTCGAAGCCCGGAAGGGCATTCCAGTCGAAGCGCTTGGATGGGACTAGGCTGAAATCACCAAAGAGGGCTAGAGCAGCCGGTGCGGAATGAGACTCCGTTTAGTGGATGCCAAGTCCGAGAGATATTGTGAGGGTATGTATGCATCTAAAGTATTTTAAGGCCAACAAATGCAAAGAAAATCGTCTGAAAGTATCATTTGGACTTATCTTCCCAGCCGCTTTCATAATTAGATTCTGGAATAATGTTGCGCCCTTTCAACGTATCTCGTCACGTTCGAGCGTCCTTCCACCAAAGAGCTATAACCGCAAGGGTGGACCGGAGGCAACTGTCCCTCTTGCATCCTCCTAAGTTTACCAACGAAAAGTTTGTAAGCGCATTCACCTGCTTCTAATATCTTATTATTTAAATCATCTAACTTGAAAGCTTAATTATTCGAAAGGTTCTCCCGAAAGAGCTGGTGTTCAGGATGCTATAAAGCAACTGAAGAGCCAGATGCCAGTCCAGGTTCCAATTTCTATCAATGGCGTCAAGGTAGCATCTATTTGCGGAAACAGAGTGATATCAGCTAATAGTGAGAATCTAGGTACAATCTGATGACTTTCGTTCCCAAGCGAACCCTTCAAACCACCGCGAGTCTATTGCCCAGTATGCTTGCGCCTCGCCGGATCAGGTGAATGCCGCAATAGACGCTGCACTAAAGGCTAAACCTGCTTGGGAGGCGCTCCCTTTTGAAGATCGTGCTGCTATCTTCTTGAGGGCATCCGAACTCATTGCTGGTAAATACCGGGCTCAGATTGTTGCATCTACCATGTTGGGGCAAGGCAAGAATGTCTGGCAGGCCGAGATTGAGGCCCCCAGTGAGACTGTCGACTTCTTCCGCTACTATGTCCAAGAAGCCTGGAAGCTCTTCTCCTACCAACCAACTGAGCAGCCCGATGGAACCTGGAACAAGATGGAATACCGTCCCTTGGAGGGTTTCGTTTATTCGATCGCTCCATTTAACTTTACAGCTCTCGCCGCAACACTGGTTGGGCCTGCAGCGTTACTCGGCAATGTCGTCATCTGGAAACCTTCTGACTCGGCATTGCATTCAGCATATCTTATTCATCAGATCCTTCTCGAGGCTGGACTTCCTAAAGATGTCATCCAATTCCTCCCTGGTGATGCCGAACAGATCACAAACACGGTCTTGAAGAGACCCGAATTTGCTGCTATTAGCTTCATAGGCTCTACGCAAGTCTTCAAAGGAATACAGAAGAAGATTGGCGACGCCGTGGGCAAGAATACCTACAACTCGTACCCTCGAGTTGTTGGTGAAACCGGCGGCAAGAATTGGGGGCTGGTGCATTCCTCAGCCGACGTCAAGAGCGCAGCTTTCCAAACCATTCGGGCTTCTTTCGAATACCAAGGCCAAAAATGCTCTGCATGCTCTCGAGTGTACGTTGCAGAATCCGTCTGGCCCGAATTCAAGAAGCACCTCCAAGAGCAACTTTCCCAGCTCAAGATTGGTGATGTGGAGGAGTTCGACAACTTTATTACCCCCGTCATACATGAAGCTTCTTTTGATAAGCTGAATAAGGTCATTCAAGATGCAAAAGATGATCCAGATCTCGAACTTATCGCAGGAGGGAAGGCATCCAAAGAGGAAGGCTACTTCGTCCATCCTACAGTTTACAAGACAACTGATCCGCGACATGACATTATGTCTCGTGAGCTATTCGGTCCTATATTGGGCGTTTATGTCTACCCAGATGCTGAGTGGGAAAAGACCCTCGAATTGGTCGACACCACATCACGTTATGGTCTTACGGGGAGTATTTTCTCCATGGATCCATATGCAACACTACAAGCAAAGACTAAGCTGAAGCACGCTGCGGGCATGTTATATATCAACACCAAGTGTACTGGTTCTATTGTTGCTCAGCAGCCCTTTGGCGGTAGCCGAGATTCTGGTACTAACGACAAAACCGGTACCGTAGCTCATCTTCAACGATTCACCAGTGTCAGGTCCATCAAGGAGGAGTACAATCCTTTGGACAAGGTCCAGTACGCCTCTAATGAGGTATGACTGTGTTGATTCAGCCAGACACCTATCAAAATCATTTAAGGTTGTTTGAAGTGCTTTCCTTCTACAATAGCCATGAGCCATAAATAAACAAACTACATTCAAAGGTGTACTGCTTAATTAAGCGTTACTTGCATAATTCTTGGGTTTGATGAAATGTACGATTGTGTGCGATTGATGCTCAGCAGCTATCCCTCCTAACCCTATATGGTCTCGAGTCCAATATGCGGAAAATAACCTCGCTCTGATGCACACAGACACTATAATGTCGGTGATTTAAAACTTGGAAGTTGAGGGATTGGACCTATTTGATACTACGATTTCTGATGAAGCATGGATTTGGAATCTAAATGACTTGTAAGAGGTCGAGGAGGATGTCAGTACATGAGCTCACTTTCCCAACACAAGGATGGTATCTTTTTCGATATTCAGAGTACTAGTTTATATTCAAACAGTGAATAATTTCTATTGCATGTCGCCTCTTATCTTGATCACAGGCGCTACCCTCTTGACCAAACTATCCACCGTCTTGTAGACATTCAAAAAGTCTTGTGTTATAGCAAGTCTGATACTTATTTCTGTAGAGGAATCTTCATTGAGTTGTTGCATACGCCAGAGCCAATCTTGTTTGGTGCTCCTTCTCATGCGGCCTTCGTTTTAGACCACGACCAGCTTCATGACGGAATAAAGCCCAGAATAAAATTGCAGTGAATCATCATAGAAATAGGTATTGATTACAGTCGCCACAGGTGGTGAGAACGTCGATGACCAAGCAGAATATTTTAATAACTTATATCGCCCTGATAGCAGATGCATTACATTTTCCCAAGATTCCACTATCTAGGATATGCTTCAGCAGTCGTGCCACAGGCTTGAAATAAAGCCATTCACTTTTGAAGAGGTTCACGCACCGCGGCAACATACTAAAATACAGGCGAGGTTAGCTTGATAGTACCAAACAGACCCAAATTAAACACATATGAGACCTACCGCGATGATTTGCATTTTCTCAAGATCCCATACGCCACTGGTAGCATAGATGTCGTTCTCGATAATTTTGCGGACTTCAGCCTCACTGTCACCAGCGTACACAACCACACTTCCACGAAACAAAGCAGGTTCACCGTCAACGGGATGTTTCTCGAATATCGCCCCTACAATGTCCAGATTATCAATATCACATACCTAGTAAACCATAACATAGGATTAGTCAGAAAATATGTTCACACGACTTACCTCCAGCGGGGAGTTTCCCAGATGCGATCAGTGGTTGGATACCCTTATAATGGCCCCTTTCTAAAGTTTAGCGTCTTTATCTACATCTTGGTGAGTAGCGACTCACGCTTTGACACTCTTTCTTAGCTCTAAAACATCAGGCTTGTCCGGGAGAATGCAAAGAAACTCTTTCCTTTGAGTTCCAGTCGCTAATGTGCGGCGACTAATAGTCGCAAATGAAAGTCCCAAGTTAGATGTCCTAGGAGTTGGACGAGTGACTGAGCGAAGCATGAATGTACTCATAGTTACGAAGTGGTGGCTTGTCCTCGACGTGTGGCAAAACAGATAAGGATGTTATTCAACCTTTCCTAGGCAATGTCGTCTACTTTTAATATTCTACATCTGACTCACGGATCCTTTTCCGCTTTGGCGACTGGACTTCTCAGGATTGGGTATGAGGCCGGACCAGTCCTCCGTGCGAAAACGGGATCCCATTCCGGAACGCCACTTGGCTCCGGAATCCCTTTCCAGTTTAGAACCATTTATCGCAAATCTCCATGCACTAAATACTGTTATCATGGTGACGCCGGCTCTGATATCGAATCATCAGAGGTCAAGGTACTCCTACTATCTCATTTCACCTGAGACAGCATTCTTGGTTCTCACCACACATATCCACAATGATCCTTACCCCCCGTACTTCCGTTGTTCGCTCTGTCGCTCGACGCTCGACAGCCATGACAGATCAATTCTGGCGAGCTGCGCGGCCTGTCGCTATTGTAGATGACTTGGATTATAGTTTTGCTCTGCTACCAGGTAGATCCCGTTCGTTCTCGACCACCCTTCCAATTCGAACCAAGATGCAATCAGTTTTCTCACCAAAGGGGGTAAAACGTGAGTAGTCAACCACAGCTGAATCTTCTCAATTGACTTAAATAACATTGTATTCCTATGCGTAGCTATCGGTCCCTATTCGCAAGCTATCAAGGCCAATGGGTTGGTCTTTGTGTCAGGGCAGATCCCTGCAGAAGTCACAGGAAAACTCATAGAAGGCACAATTGCAGAGAAAACACATAAGATGTGCCAGAATGCACGTGCTGTTCTGGAAGCTGCAGGTTCTAGCCTTGAAAAAGTGGTCAAGATAACAGTAAGCTTTAACCACATATACCGGGAAAATAATGAAGGGATTTGCTAAGCCTTTGTAGGTCTTCTTTCAGAACCTGGATGACTTCAAGGAGATGAACGATGTATATGCTGAGTACTTCCCTCACAAACCGGCCCGAAGCTCCTGTGAAGCCACTAGACTTCCTGCGGGCGCAAGTATCGAGATGGATATCATCGCTCTACAGTAGGAGGGTCAGTTAGTTCTACGATAGGATTGGGTATTTTACTTTTTCTTTTGCTTTAACCTTCAACTTTATCAAGCCCAGGCTTTCCAAATCTCCGTATGAGAACAACCATAGTATTTGAGGTTTCGCTCGTATATCCAATCGAGATATTTACCCTATGGTATGATTATGCATGTAGCATGCATTCAAGCTTACTAGTAAAAGATTTCTAAAGTTAGAGACCTATAACAGTAATATTTCCACTATCTTGTAATAGTGTATTGACGGCAAAATTAACCACAACCTACGGCTCCTCTTTGTTAGAAACTCTACTTTAAAGCCCTGATAATATGTTTATAAATCGTAAAATCCTAACCGAAGGCTTTAAATTACCGCACATGGATTTACGAGTTAAAGAGAGTTTTTCCAGTGGATAGGGCAGTTTTTGGTATGCCTAAGAGTGTTATTAAACTTATGAAATTAAAACAAGTATTCGCGTAATGTATGGTTCAAGTTATATGCCTCTCAAAGCACTTTCACAATGTACTTATATAATCGAGGTAAAAGTATATCACAGCGTTGTATCTGACGTATAATTGATGTTCTCCATCTGTGTTGTAATCCAGTCCTTCTTGCCTCTATCCACAGTTTATCCAAAGACCCGCCGGTAGAACTCCTTCTTTAGCGCAAGAATCATATGACTAGTCCGCTCTACCGCCCCTCGATTCTCAATCGCACGACGATGAAGGTAACCCATACACTCTGAAACTGATCCCCAGGCTAAGAATTTGTAGACTCCCGGCGCTGTAGCCGTTGTCAATCCTTTGGTTGTGGCACATTGTTGGAAGTTGTCGATGAGCTCGCAGCTAAGCTCGTCTGCCATGCCCCAAATCTGACCGCACTCTAGAACCGTCGTTGGTAGACCGCTTTCCAATCTTCTGTTATGTAAAGCAATGGCTTTCCAGACACTAGCTGCATTATGACTGGCAATGAATAGGGAAGAATAAGGGAACTTTAGGCCAATAGCCTCATTGGGAACTTTCTGAGATATAAGCATATCTGCAATATCATCGTACGAGCGGTCGGTATCTTCCTTGGTGTTATGAATTAATGAGCGAACTTCGTGCTCAATATACGCACCACGAACTAGCTTTAGTCCAAGGCACCAACCTTCTCGAGCGGCAAGTGTGATATGTCGCTCTGCATTCTGCCGAGCACCTTTTAGATAACCCTGGATGGTATTGTATACCAAAACCTTGTTGCGGTTGTACTTCCGCATAAGCTCGATTGTCCACTCGTCTAGACAAACCTGAAGAATCTGCTGCTCTGCATCAATCCAGAGACGGCAGCCTCGACTTTCGGTAGCAAGGCAAATTTCTTCAAGAGCCTTGGCAATATGATCGGGCATAGGCTGGTGTGCTTGTAGCGCGTCCAAGCAAATTGGACCAGCACCGGTGAGCCTGCGTGGACAGCGTTAGATAAAAGAAACCCTGTAGGAGATATCTTGGAGTTGTCTTTGGGAGCAACGTACTTGACAGCGAGGAAATCTCCCGCCTGGAGGTTTTCAAGCGTCTGTAGAGTCCCATTTTTCCATTCTTCAATCATTTTGTAACAGCCAGAACTATATCTGGAAGTATCTGTATAAACTTCACCCTCTGCAGGATCAAGAACGAATTCCTTGGCATATCCCAGAATTATTCCTTGATATCCCATTCCTTTTACCAAAGCAGTGGAACGTGCAACTTGTTCGGCGTTAGATCCCGCACAGAAGTGATTGTAGATAGTCCACCTCAGAAGTTTGTTCAGCAAGGGGTTGCGATCAGCGGACAGCAATATAGATTTCGATTTAACAATCCGCTCGATGATAGCAAGAGAGGGGCGAAGGATCCAGTCGCGGGACATAAGCGAAGTCAAAATCAGTGATCGCAAAAGTGTTATTGTTGGTAGCTTAGCTAGCGCCGTGCTGTTCGTATTGGAAGGCCTATCGGCTTCCATCACTTTTGTACTCGCAAGACGCATTCCAAGCTGGACATGATGTCGCAATGGTGAAACTCGCGCTTTCATGACTGCCAAAGCTTTTGTGGACATACTGGGGCTAATATGACGAGTATCGTTGACATCTGCTGAAGAAGTAAGGGGAGGTTCGGGTTGGGCGCAGCAAGTCAGTCACCGTGATCTTAAATGATCATGTCTTATCAATTACTCAAAAGCCGTTGCTATACCAAGGAAGTTCGTTATCTGGCAACGCGGAACGTTCTGGTTCACTTGGCCTGTCTACGGAGCTAGCATCCGAAGAATCGGTCCAGACCAAGACCTAATGCTGTAGGGCGCGTAACTCGGCTCCGGAAAGACTTTCTCAGATAAGAACAGGTACTTTAGAGTTTGAGCTATGTGATAACCATTAGAAGTCGTAAGTAGCCACAGAGCGGGATCTTCGGTTGGCCTTCCGTCCATTGGCAAGTTACCTAGTCCAGGAGTGCTAGATGAGCCCGTCAGTTCGCGGAGACGATTTCCGCTATCCCACATTGCATTGGGATAGAGTCGTTCTGTGAGGAAGCATGTCTCGGAAGAAGATCCCGGGAGGGGTTTTATATTACGGACAAATTCTAGGTTTATATTATTTATTTTAAGATTCATACTTTTATTGTTTATTAGAGTGTTTTTAAATTTAGAATCAGTAATAGCCTTCGCTTAGGTACAAGTATTTATTGTATTATCTAGTTCTTATATAAAAAACAGGTTATACATTAATAGAGCTTACTTTAAAATAGGCACTATTTTTTAGTAGAGTGCTAAAAGTTTACAAGCTATCTTCAAATTAAATATTAACATAAATCAAGGCATAAGCTCAAGTATAAAAAGAATTCTTTTTTTGGCTTATACCTTATATAGGGTATAGTAGAAGAAAAGAAAGTTTTTACTACTCTTTAGCACATAACATTATTCGTTTATAATACCAAGTAGTATATTAGGGAAAGTTAAAAAGAATGATAATTATTTACATTTATAAAAGCTAGCTTCTCCTTATACTTCTTGGTCTAATCTATACCAGAAGCTAGTTATTTTACTTCTACCCTTTAGTTTATATTACTAAACTCTTTTACTTAAAGCCAGTCGCTCGCTCATTAAAAATAAGGGACATCTATTACAGCGTAAATATAGCCTAGCCAAGAGAGTGTAGGTTAGTCATTACCTAGCTATTAACGGATATCGTTAAGGGTCTGTGTGCCGTAAAGTTCCACAAGTAGCGTACAATAATTCAGCCAATCAGTGTGTAACACGTCATCCCTCTCTCGTTCTTATAATATTGGTTCCACCGTTGAAACTACACTCGCCAAGACTGCAACCCTCACAACCAAGCTTCCAAACTGCCGGTGTGAGTCTCTCCTCGGCGACACACCTTGTGTCTTCCCTTCGTCTTTCATTTCCGATCACAATGCACGATAACATCAAGCAGACCCCAGCGACAGAATGGAGCGAGCTATTTACCCATAATCCCTCGAACGAGCCGACCACGTACAAGGCACTAGACAATCTTGCGTCCAACGACGACCTCGCTTTTCTGCATCATCACTTCTGGCACGAGATCCGTGAATGGACCCGGAATGATATCACGGATATGACGCGCATTGTTCACCCAAATCTAATGGGATCCGGGAGCATATTTATCGGGGGTATGAACCACGCGCTTAACGAGAGGATCCTGGAAAAAAATGATATACAGGCGGTTATTGCTATTCATCCTAAGGACTCACTGGCGTGGGACAAGAACAACCCCTCCTCCGGGCTGCAAAGGTTCTTCCCTCACGAAAACGGCATGGCAAGCAGCAATAGTGTCGTGAAGTACCCACTCATCATTCCGCTCGAGGACCATGTCAATTCAAATCTAATCGACTACTTCGATGAGACTAATGCTTTTATCAGGCGGCATACTGTCGAGGGGAGGAATATCTTGATCCACTGTAAATCTGGGCGCTCACGCTCCGTCGCAGTGCTAATCGCATATCTGCAACAAAAGTTCTACTCCGAGAAGTTTATTGCGTCTCTGAAGGATAAGGTCGAGGCCAAAGAGCAGATGCGGTTACACCGCGAACATGTGACGGAGGCGATACGCAAGCAGCGCCTCCCTGTCGTCGTTATAATGGAACGTTTTGACGAGCTGTTAGCCCTCTACGACCTCCAACTCATCGATGCTTCAGCCTCCAAGAGCGAGAAGAGGAACAGGGCTCCCGCACCTGAGCCTGTGAAATCTACAGTTCTTGAGCCAGGCAAGAAGCCGGAGCCAGGAGCGAAGAAGAGGAGTAAAGTCGTGCAGACAAAGGGTGGCGCGGCAGTGCTCAAGATATGTGTTGCTTCGGTATTTTTCAAGAACAACCAGAAGCCAACAGAGGCCGTGATTCATCAATTCTTTGAAATCAATGAGGCCTACTTCTATGAGCTAGAAGCGCTAGAGTACAAGGGTAGGTCGTATGTTGGATCTGAACATGCATGTCGAGGTCTTGTGGAATTCTGCTTTAGTTACGCGCAAGATGAGTATGGCCTCGTGTTGCCAAAAGATATAGAAGAGCACGCTAAGAGAGTCATATCTAAATAGGATTAGGAAGACACTTTTACAATTTGTTTAGAGTATGTGTTCTGTACTATCAAGCCTCTACTCACTACTGAGACTAATAAAGTGGTTATCTAGTTTGAAACTCCTTTAGAGTATTTCCTGTTTATTAAGCCAGGAGAGGTATGGTTGTAGTATTTGTCAGTTGTGAGAATAAGACACCGACGAAGAAGAAACAGCTTATCTGAGCAGTCTTAGTGTCTCTAGAGCGGTTACTTCCAAATTATAAGAGACATAGTCATCATATGTAGAAGGTATAGGAATGAGATACTGATAAACAAGGAAGAGATAGACGTGGCTAGCCTTAGTCTATCTGGAATGGTTAATTTTGAATTATCCTTTTGGTAAATATTATGTATGGACATGAGGTGAGAAGAGACACAGTAATTATAGCTACAAGCAGAAGGAATGCCACCCCCCCTTTTGACCTTGACTTGAAAAAGTAACGACCCCCCCTGCCTAGTATGTGTCCTCTATGTTGAACTACAGATACTATACCATGAAGAGCTACATTGTTGTCAATGTTCTTCTCAATTTTCCAGGCAAAGCTTCAGCGGCCGACTATGGTTCAAATAACATTGATACATGGTGCATCACGTATTTATCTACGTATCTAACTCCAGTTTCTAGCCAGACTGGCCCATCGATATCAACATACAACAGCTCTATCCCAACCACCTTTGGTAGAAGATCCTCGATTTGAACGTGTTCGCAGAAACCATTATTAATAGTGTTACAGGCATAGGGAACCAGACCTCACTCTTTCCGGAATCCGCTGGAACATCTGCAGTTGGTCCTGGATCTTCAACGTTAGACTCGACATTGACCGAGGCGCAAAATGGATCTGGGCCATCCTCATTCAGCTCGACAACTGAGTCTTTTAGCAATACAACCATTACATCTACGATACCAACAACGACCTTGAACCCTACCGCCTTTCCAACTTCGAGCAGTATTGCCGAACCAACCGCGCGACTTATTATCTTACAAGTCCGGCAATCTAATAATCGGAAGCGCCAAACCGATGAAAGAGGAAGTGGGGTTTCGTTGGGTCGGGTGACGTCGAGGTTTGTACGTTTGCAACCGTCTTCAATCTGGCTGAAGGTCAGCTCTTCAATGGCGGTATACCTATCTACTACTCTGGTGAAGAGTATAAGCAGCTGAATGCGAAGGATGATGGTGGTTTCAATGACGGCTCTATAACGAAAACCTTTGAAACCAATGGCCGAACACTGGTGTTCAGAAACTCAGATGTGCCAAATGGTCAGGCAGGCTTCTGTCAGGATGCTAGCGGTCAAGTGTATCTTACTTTCACTGCTAGACCAGCAGGCTGTGCAGAGGTCACTTTGGCTGTTTATGACGGTAAGAGTCATGTTTACGCTTTCAAGATCACAGATGCTAAGTATGATGCAGTTTCACAATGTCAAGATGGTCAGCTCGTGGGCGTTAGCGCTTCGACTGTCTCCAGGACGGTCTCTGCGACAAGTACGGCCGAAAGGATCAGTTCTGAAAGTGTCATGAGACGCGCCATGGCGGTACACTCAGTGGTGGGTCATCGCGTTTCTTCCATAACGGGACAAAAAGGTCGCAGAACGACTGTGAGACGACAAAATAAAGTAGATATTTTTGGTGTCCAAATGATTGGCCTCTCTTTTCATTTTTAAAGTACGGATACTCTTTAGGAATTAACACTATTGTCCTAACCTCTCGTAAAAAGAAAAGCGGAATTTCGCATAGGTCCTCAAGCGAGACAACACCTGGCCTCGTCTAAGCTACTACCAGCCTAGCGGATTCTAATATCACAGTCTCGACGTCATATCTGTGATTGAAAGATGATTTGCTGTGTATTACCAAACTTGGTTCAATTCATACTAGTTCAACATTTCCATGTTAGCTGGCAAGTGCCATATTTGATTTTAGCCAGCCACGATTACAGCTCTATTCCTCATTCATATTCTCATGCATCAGAAACCCACTTTAACCTCAGTTAGCCTAACCTAGAGTTAACACGAGCCTGTAGATCTTTCTAGAGGGCCTCAATCTCAAGCCCAGATAAGCCCTGGTTCTTATCACCAATAACTGATACAATAGTCGCAAGATCGTTAGGTCGGGTAATCTGGTAAAGGGATCCTTCGATGGCGTTGTAGAGGTAGTGGTTGCCACTGAGCTCAAAGAGTGAAATGGCCTCTCCTGTGTAGGATTGCATGGCAAAGAGCGGCTTGACTGTGCCGTCGAGATCATAGCCCTTCACCACCTCGGCGACATCGCCGTATTCACCCCACAGCATATCACCACCTATGTCTTCGTAGTTGTTTGTCCAGTCTGCTGGGGGCTCAATCTTCACAGCTGGTCAGTCATATGGATGCGTCTTTGGGGTGTATATCAGATGCCTACATCGGTATTGGTCACAATTGTGCCATTCACCTCTTTGACTGTGTCGCTCATATTGGATTTTAAAGTGATACGTTTTTGCAGACTTCAAAGACACAGGAAGACGACACAGATGGACTCCTGCGTCGGTCAATATATACCACGCTGGCACGCAGTAAGCCACTGATGTCATCAAAGCTTAAGGGCTGAAGTAATATGGAGCAGCTTAGTGCTCGTCCTATCGACCGCTCTACACCTTGTGGGAATTGTGAGACATGCGTCAGCAAGGGGCTTCAACGAATCAGATACAAGAGGGATCGACAATGTCTTCTTTAACTAACAAATTAGCCAGTAGAAAAAGTACCGGTAATTTCCCTCTGTACATAATAATACCGCGCGTCATACAGAATAGTGACTTCAACGCATTGCGCTAGCTTTCCTATGCTAACTCTAGATAACATATCGCAACTAGTTCATGAACTCACTGCCTGGAAAGTCTCCCATTGTCGTTACATCCTTTAGTACCTGGACAATAATCTCCACTGCTTTGACCAAGTCCTCCTCAGAGATTGTCAGAGGAGGGCTGAATCGTAAACGATCAGCGCCAATGCCCACCAAAACACCGCGATGCATTGCCAAAGCTGACACGCGCCGAGGCGTCACCCCAGGAACATTACAGTCGAGGACTAGAGACTGGAAAAGTGCCGGACCTCGCAGTTCCTTCACATGAGGAGGGTTAAGGGATTTCACTGTCTTCCTCAAAACCTCTCCTAGTCTTTCGGATCTCTCAGAGATTTTGTCCTCTTCAAGAACGTCTAAGGAGGCCAGAGCGGCTGCACAGGCAATGGGGGAGGCCCCAAATGTAGACAGGATCTCGTTCTTTTGGATCAGATCCATGACACGCTTCTTTCCCATCACAACGGACATGGGATAGTAACCTAGTCACATCAGTACAACTTCCAGGCACGGGAACAGCTCATTGACTTACCGCCAGTAACAGCCTTGCCCATAATTACCATGTCTGGCTTTAGCTCTGGTTCGTGGTGGAATGATAGATCTTTGCCAGTTCGGCCGTATCCAGCTTGAATCTCATCACAGACCAGCAAAACATTATGCTTCCCACAGAGTTCTTGAGCAGCTTTCAGATATCCGGGAGGTGGGACAATAGTGCTATAAGCAAGTTAGCTACAATACTCTAATTATTATGAGAACGTTGAGAAACATACCCCGCCCAGCCTTGAACAGGCTCAACGATGAATGCGGCCAGGTTGTGGGCGTCTTGCTCGAAGCATTCTGTCAACGCTTCAATATCACCAAAGGGAACGAGTTTCCCGCTGGTAGGGGCATAGGGTCCAACATTGGGAAGGTGTTGTCCAAAGTCTGTCGTGGTGTGAGCATCACATTCCGCAAGCTTCATACATAGTGACACCTACGTTCAGCAGCAATAGTAGCCATAGGCATGGTAGAGAGTGTCAGGCCGTGGTAGCATTGGTCCACAGTTAAAACGTGAGCTTTGTCCTGAGGGATCCCTTTGTGCTTATATGCCCACTTTCGTGCAATCTTCACTGCAGACTCAACGGCTTCAGAGCCACTGAGCATGGTGACGATTGAGTCAAAGCCGAATTTCTTGAGACTATTAGCCATTAACTTTACTATTTTCCTCTGAACCTCAAATAGTTCTGTTCATTACCTTGGTCACACGTTTGGCAAACTCAGTGTACAGGGGGCTGATGTGGTATGTGTCAGTCAAAGGAAGCTTGATGGCCTGGTCCATGGCAGCTTTGGTGATCTTGGGGTTGGAATATCCAAAGTTCATGACTGCAAACTGTTCGATAAAGTCGATGTACTGCTTACCATCGACATCCGTAATCATGTGGCCATCGGCTGATTCAACGGCAATCTAAACACACAATGTTAGAAAGGCTGAACTTCGGAGAGAAACAATAGCTTACGGGTAGGGTAGGGAAGCCTCCTCTAACATATTGGCTCCAGTCATTGACATATGTCTGCGTCTTTTCAGAAAGCGTCGGCGTTGCTTTGCTTGACTCAGTGTTGTCAGTTTCTGTTGCAGAAGGAGCCATTGTTATCGATTTGTTGTCTTGCTGAGCCGAATTGAAGAGTTGACCCAAAATCTTGACTTGCTACCGAAAATGCCATGAACGTGAAATGGATCAACGACGATTTATAACATCAAAGTTGGGACGATAGTCTTACAGTTGGAGTAATTGTGTCACAACGGGGCAACTAACTAGTGGGGCCCGATAAGACCTTCCAGTGCGTCTCGAATTTCCGTTTTGGGAAATGCTAGACGCAACATTCTATTGTGGTGCATGGCGTAGTACACTGGGGTGGTCATGCCCACCAATCAGCAAGGTGGGTTTACCGGTGTCCTTGATACCTTTGAGATATGTGTTATTGGTGGGTAGTAGACTCTTCGAATGTATGAGTAAAGAGAGATGCTCTATGAAACTGATCTGCCCGTCTAATTGCGGCCGGTTTCCTGTCCTGTTTGAAAAGCCCGGTAACATTAATATTGCAACTACGATCTCTCTCTCTTTAGTGAAAGTGAAGTCAAAGTTATCACTCTGTAATAATAATCACTTAGGAACTTTAGGAGATACGCCCTGGTAGGCCTAGATGATTGATATGGAATGTGTGATAGGTGTCCCCCGTGCGGTATGCTCCAGTTCTGTATAAATATCATTTGAACTTCCTCGCTCTGATATTCGTGAAGCTCTACTGAGCATACCGGACTTTTACAAAATTTGGATTAATTTCTGAATAAATTCCATATTGCCCGTTAATACAACCAGTCACGGCATCTCAGAAAGCCAAATACTACAACTAGAGCTTTTATTACAAGCCAAAGAAAGACTTGGCGCTTTCTAGCTAATTTTATTTGAGTAATCGGACCAGTAAATGCAACCCTTATTGAACCGTCAAAGTTCCAGTCTTCTCAATTAGATACTCGGCGATAGCTACATCTTTTCCGCTCTCTTTACCATAGCCAGACTGCTTAATCCCACCGAATGGACTTTCAGCTGAAGCTCCGTCTCCAGTGTTCTACGCAATATATGTTAGCTCATCGTCAGCATGGTAAGAAAAGTATAAACTCACAAGACCGATCATGCCGGCCTGTAACTTTTCAAAAAGCCTCCAAAGCCTATCAGCATTTTTGGTAAATGCATAGCTTGCAAGGCCGAGACTTGTGTCATTGGCATACTTGATAGCCTGTTCTTCAGTCTCGAATTTGAAGAGGCCGATAACAGGACCGAAGGTCTCCTCGTGGCTCATCCTCATATTCTTTGCCATACCGGTAAGAACCACAGGTTCCATGAATTGCCCGTCGAATGGCTTCCCAGACCCCGCAGCTAACTGAGCACCGAGTTGCAAGGCATCACGAACTTGGGACTGTGCTTTCTCCAACCCAGCTGTGGTAGTCACAGCTCCCAAGGTCGTCGCAGGTTCCATACCATGTCCAACCTTAAGTTCTCGTGTCTTAGCAGCAAACATCTCAGCAAATCTGTCGTAAACTTGAGCTTGGACGTAGACTCTGTTGGCTGTGATACACGCCTGTCCTGCATTCCTCCACTTCAGAGCCATCAGTTGGTCCACGGCCTGATCAAGGTCTTCGTCATCAAAGACGATATATGGGCAATTCCCGCCAAGTTCCATCGTACACTTCTTGAGGTTTCTTGCACAAATGCCAGCTACAATCTTGCCAACCCTTGTACTTCCAGTAAAGGTGACCTTCTGCACATACTCGTGGGTGCACATAGCCTCGGACAGTGTTGGGGTGTTTTTCAGTGAAGTGGTCAACACGTTGAAGACACCAGGCGCAAAACCGGCACGGGTTGCTAGGTCCGCAAGGGCCAAGCATGTTAGAGGAGTTTCGGGTGAAGGTTTGACAATCATCGAGCAACCTGCTGCGAGAGCTGCACCAGCCTTCCTAAGAATCATAGCTATCGGGAAATTCCATGGAACGAGAGCAACTGTGACGCCGATGGGTTGTTTGATAACGAGGACTCGTCGATTTTGGACAGTTGACGAGCTTATTGAACCTGAAACACGCTCTGCCTCACCAGAAAACCACCATAAAAAGCCCAGGGAATAGTCAACTTCTCCGTAGGCTTCAGATAAGGGTTTCCCAGTCTCATATGTAAGAAGCTTGGCAAGGTCGTCGCGAGCCTCAGTCACCAAACGGTGCCACTCCATGAGTAGCTGGGCCCTCTTGCGAGCAGTCAAAGCTGAGTGCTCGAGGAAGCCACGTTGCGACGATTGAATGGCTCTGTCAACATCCTCGTGGCTGTTATCTGGGCAAGTGGCCCAAGCTCGACCTGTTCCAGGGTCTGTGACCTCGAGGTCTTGCCCGAAGCTGCTTGGAGCCACTCTCCATGGACATATGATGCTTGGTGGAAGAGGGAGTGGTCTTTGAGGTCTAGAAATTGACCGTTATACTCAGAAGCTTGCGACATCGTGGTAATGGTAACAATGAAGATAATAATGTCTACTTGAAAATGATAAGGTGATTTTATGTGAGTTTGGTTAAAGATCGTAAGTTGGTAGGTGGCTTGCAAGACAATATATTCGAAGCGTATCTATCTTCAGACGACTTTTTTATTACGGAATAATTGTCAGGAGCCACTTAACCTACGTTTTTCAAAAGCCCATTTATGCCCTTGTCTAACTTATTACGAGTTGGATAGCCTATGGCTTCTCACCAACTCACATTGTGCTCCTGGGCTCCACTGCGAGACGCACTTCCCCTTTGGGTTAATGCAAGTTTGGCGCCCGCTCCGGTGATACCTACAATACGCATTTTTGGCCTCTTTGCATAGATGTTGGCTTGTTTTGGTATGATTTACCAAGGGCCAGATGAAATGATACTTATTTTCAAACAAGTCAATCTAGGATTCTATCAAAATAAGAAGTGAGATGCCTGCGAGTCTAAAATCCCGATATAGACATCGTCGTCAACCCAAGAGAGAGCAGACAAGGAGTCCTGTGTCACAGCCGCAGCAACACAATCATTCTTCCTCCATATCTCCTCGGTCAGGCGCATCATAAGTTCCCTCGACTGATCAGGATATATGCTAAACATGTCAGCGTGTTTCTTGCGCACCCAATCTTTGTCTTGATTGCTTATGGCCTCTCTAGCAGCCATGTAAAACGGAAAAGGCAAAGATGAATCTGGTCCACAACCAGCAGGGAGTCGGTCCATGAGATTGAAGAGCTGTCGTCTGTATAGTTGCACTCGAGGTGACGTTGTAGGGTCCAAGAACACTCTTCGCGCTAGCAGTAGATGTGCAACCCAGTAAATGCATTCACTCAGCGTGTCAAGCTGCCTGTGAAAGTTTTCAGCGTCTGCATTATCTTGTGTCGCGTCCGATATGTTGAAACTTCCATGTACATGGTCCAAGCCAGGCCCAGGGTATCTAGAAGCAGCCCATAACCTCATCTCAGTCTCTAGTTGGTAGGCCTCTGCAAAATGTGCCGGGTCGTTCAAAACACTATCCGCAGCGAGTAGTGAGATCCGTGCTAGGAAAGAGAGAACTGGCTGATGACATCCAGTTAGTTCACGAAAACAGGGTTCTTGCTCATCTGCCCCTTCCATCGGTTGATACAGAGTAAAGTTTTGCGGTGCTAGTGGCCTGCGGCGTCGTAAGAAGGATAACACCACATCGATCATGGCGAATCTCTGAACGAGGAACCGAGAGTAAAATCCTTGCGGCAAGCGATCAACGTAGTCGAGCTCCACCATTAGGGAGAAAGCAGCTTGAAGATGAGTCTCAGTCTTTTGGCTACCGATCATGACATCGGCGACTATGTGCATCAGATAAGATACCAAAATTACCTCTTGTAGCGACAGTACAGAAAGTGACTGGTGTCTATCCATCCACTTCTGCCCATTACTTTGTCTTTGGGACTTTAGCAGCTCTGCGGCGTCCTCTAGTAACAACAAGGACCGAGTGCGGTGATTCGTGACAGTTCCACCATCTGCTTTGCCATGGCTGTGCATGCTAACTGTTGAAACATAAAGAATTGTGTGCAAAAGCAGGGGATATGAGATAGCAACCAAGCCAAGTTTCAGGTAGGGGTTTTTCGGTCCATCAAAAGCTGGTATACGGGTCGAGGCGTCAGTGTAATCTGCGGATCCATGAGATTGATTGTTCAGCAAATATAGGAGCGAAAGTTCATACTTACAGTGATTGAATGCTAACTCTTCGCTTGAAGATTCGAGAGTCGTGGAAAGCCACCATCCTAATTGGGGAGCTGCATCGCCGCGGAGCATGCATGGAGATGTAGGCCCTGCTTGATACCCAGGATGTTAGTGAAGAGACTTTCCAGCTGGCTAGGAGTTGAGCCAGGGATACCAAAATTAGTACCCGGTACCCACCTGTTGCTGTTGTTGACCAGATACGGTGTTACGAGCATTGCTGATTGGGACACAGCGGGGAGGACGCCGTCGACGAAGAACTTGACGTGACGCCAGAACTGGCCCGGGCGGGAAGCGACCATGGCGCCGTCGTCGAACTGCTCGCTGACGTTGCGTGCCTGGGCGGCTACAGCAGGAAAGTCGAGAGAACCAAAGAGGCCAAAAGCGTTGAAGACACGAGCAGTGAGAGTGTTGTTGCGCGATAGACTCTGCCAGGCATCTGTTCGGCCTGCCAGAGCGTTGAGGATGGTTGTGTAGCCCTGTCGACGGAGAACGGAGAGGCCAGCGGTTGCGGCCTCCAGGTCAGAAACACCGCGGTTGCCTGAAAGAGCACGAGCACCTCCAGCTGCATTTTCTTCAAGAAAGCCTGTAGGGAATCCACTTGCATCTTTACCGATACGTCCGCCATCGGGATCTGGCGTGGCCGCGGTGATGTTCAACAACTGCAGGCCGCGTCTGTTGACCCAGAAATTGTGCTGGTTGGTGGCAATCAACATGACAGGGCGGGTTGTGTTTAGTCGGTCTAGCATGGTTGCATTTCCCGGTCCGTTACGGTCGGTGAAACCCTCGCGGTCAAATTGACTGACAGTAAGCATTGCGTCGGGTGGCGCATTTGGCTCATTGTTGAGGCACTGATGGACAAGACCGAGCAGCTGCGATAGTTCAAGATGACGGTATTGAAGCGAGCAGCTCAACATAGCTCGGCCAGCATCGACCGGGTGGGCGTGCGCATCGATAAGACCTGGAATGACAGTCTTGCCTTGTAGGTTGATGATGCGGGTTGACGGTATCGCATCCGGACTGCACTCTCCTTTCCCTCCGATGCAAGTGATGGAGGCGTTGGCAAAGGATATCTCTCCGTGTTGAAAGACTTGGGATGTGGCATCTATGGAGTAGATTGTGCCGTTCACAAGCACTGTCTCGGGGGCGACGGTTTGAGAAAGACAACCAATTACCCCCAGAGTGAGGGAGATCAGAATTGACTTCATCGTGGGCGTTTAGAAAGAGCTCAAAATGAGGGAGACTGTCCAGAGTGATGAGCGAGTAGTCAGAAAAGAAGCTGGAGTTATAAGATAATGAAAGTCTGAGTCGAGATATTGGGGAGGCCAGTTTTATGCTCTGCGACTTGGACCTGATACCCATAATTCACCAGTTAATCACTACTCTTGTTCATATTTTCTTTGAAAGTCAACCGGGCATGACCGCTTACGCGAGCATGGTGCCAAGGGAGGCATCTACTGACAAATGTCATAGTAATGGCAACCTCGTCCGTTATTGCATGGGTCCCCGCATGGTGTTACGTCGAACTAGTAAAGGCTGTTTTTTATTTTAAAGGCCTTGGTAAATTTTATCTGTGTAAATGTAAGAAGGTTTGGCGTACGCGATTGGAAGTACGGAGAAAAAGTGAGGTTTAATACCCGCAAGGGGTGTGTACCGGCCGGCTTGTATGCTACATTAGTCTCGGATTAAAAACAATCCCCTGTTTTTACGGACTGGCGAATTATACTGTAGGTGGATAAGAGGATCTCGATAATCCGTCACCATGAAGATCGATTGTGCTTGATAACTAGACCCAAAGGAAACAGTCAAGACTTAGCGCCAAGCCCTCAAGTCGACGCTCGCATAAGTTGATTCCTATTTTACCGGCATCAGTCTAAGCATGGTAACAATAATAGCGCTAGCAAGTAGAAGCCACACCACAATCCCGAGCGTCTGAGCCCTTGCTCTCTGCCTCTCCAATAATGTTGGCCGCAAGAGATGGTCAAAATATCTACCTAGTGCTTCTATCAATGCATCCAACTTACTTATAACTATAGAACCGCGAAAGTTAATGACCTTTATGAGTGGATATTGGTAAATAGTAGACTGACCAACCTCGTATACACCGATCATTCTTTCACATTCTTTACTTGTGCTTCTACTTGATTCATGAGTATGTAAGACCTCGATTAACCGCACGGACGCTCTAAGCGACCTTTGCATTCCGCGGATCGATACTAGGAAAAGATAGGCATCCCTAATGTACTGTTCTTCTGGCTGTGTAAGAGCGTACAACTCTAAGGCCCTGGGCGTCTCTAAGCAATGCACTGCTATAGCCACACTTCTATCGAAAATGCCGTATGTGACAGCACTGAGCAGTGAGGGAAAATGAGGCATCTGACGGGAAGAACAGAATCTGCTAATCATGGCTTTGACAGAGGCGTCTACCCCATAGTGTGGAGTGCCAAGAAGGGTGATAACTTTATCGTCGCAGTTGCTAATGATATAGACGCAGGCTTGTATTATCTCCTTCTGTAGGGAGGAGATATTTCGGGGTTCGTTCCGGACATCGATAGGGGAGTCGAGGGACACCATCGGGAAAGGAACGCCGACGTATCCGTTACTACTTCTTAATGCAAGAAAAGGGCTGAGTTAATATACAAGCAATAGCGGATGCGAAAACTTACGAGTCCCATCGTAACAAGGCCTCGGATACCCTTTTTTGAATCCTAAAATTCTTCAATCCGGTGTGTTCTTGAAGAATGGAGACGACATCCGGAGAAGGTTGCTTGATATTGATCCATCGGCAGCAGCAATAGTCTGGCGGTAAGGGTTCTTCCAAGAGGTTAATGATTGTTTCGGAATGTGCTTTGCGTGTCTCAGATCACCAGTTCCGAAATCCAGAACCGTGATATCCATGATACGGTTGTTAATGTTCGCTGGAGTCTGCACTAGTATTAACATTACTTGCTGTAGTATAGAGGCCTTGTGATCAACTCCAACTTAAAGAAGATTTGCTGAAATTGATTCATACCTATCCGGTTGAAGGATGCTTGAACATGATGAAAACTACGTTGAAAGGAGAAAGTCAAAAGTGTGGGAGTGCCGTCAGTATGAGTCGAAACCTTGGAAAGTCAGAGCATCTACGGATACGTACTGAGCAACCTAAAAGGGCCTAAACACGAAACTGTAATTCCATCGTTGAACAAGGTATCTCGTGAGGCATTTTCATCAACATGAACGTATTACAACTATGTGGGTGAAAGGGGCAGTGCTGAAGGCGGTGCTTGTTAGCGCGCAAGAAAAGACGATGTTTTCAATTAGCCAAAGCCTAAAGGCATGTTGGTATTCATTTAGGCTAACCCCCCCTCCCCCTTTTCCGAACGGATGCCTGGTTTGGGGTTTCATTTTAGACGAGGTGAGACACTGACAGTGGCAGTGCCAACGAGACACCTGCTAGTCTGAGCCAAATTCCAATTCACGTGTTGCTAGATATTTCTTTTGTTTCGCCAAACACCCATATCTTGAGCTTTCAGAAGAAAGTGGTGCACTAGGTGTTAAGGGTAATGGTGACGATGATGACAGCCCACATAGTGAGCGCTGATTTGCCAGATCGTCAAGTCGAAGCTGAGAAAGGTAACGCTGATGGAGTTCTGGACCTGGAAAGCAAAGGTATAACAACTTCTGGCAAAGCTCGTAAGTCATCCAAGTATTGCAATCCAACTAGAGGCGGGTCTAGATGCATAGCCTTCCTAGACTGCTGCCTAAGGTCCATATCTCTAGCCTGTGCTGTCGGGAACCTTGTTCTCGGTCTAGTAAGCAGTGGAACTACGCTTCTTTTGACTTGACTTATCCCGAGTAAGAGACTCTGAGCTCATTTCGCTGCAAAATAAATGCTTGGTTTCGTCTTCTATAGAACCCTCCTCGCTCCTCACTCCTCTTCCTTTCACTCGGAGACACAACAGATCAATGATCCCTCTTGTCAGTTTAGAGACGTCTCTTTCGTTTTTGGTCAATCTAGCTATCGCCAATCTGCAGGCTCCACGTACGCTCCACAAAGCAGCCCTTATCGAAGGAGCTGCAAGGTCTCAAGCAACAGACTTGAATCCGTATAACTGCCTATCTGGGACCTGATCTTGTCAAGAGATCTGTGTCCAACGGCGTAGAAGAATGGGTCAGGGCGAACGAATAATGCTCTCATCGCAGAAAATGGAAAAAGAAACCAATCCAGCCCACGAACAGCGAACCGCCGAGGACATGATTCACCGAAGAATAAAGACTTGGCCTACCTGGCTTCGTCAGCTAGTCTGGGCCAGCTCAAGTTCCGGGCCACCATCGCAGTCTTGGCAGGCGAGCCCGGAGTCCTCAAGAGACATCCAACGATCAAATTGCAACCACGTACGTCCTCAAATGCGCGAGATATACTGTCGAAACAAACCCTAACCTAAGTCGAAGGACTCTGTCACCAGCCCGCGCGATTCCGCTCAACCGTAGCGATTGAGGGTGTGTCAAGATGCTGGAGACAGCACTTAGATCAGTCGTAGGAGGGCCCGTACAAGCAGGCCGACCCTTGCACTGATCTGTTAGACAGTCTTCTGTTTTCAAGGTAGTAGGGGAACATGACTGGAGACATCATTAAGGGCATCAAAGATGGACACGGCGATTTTCTTTTTTAGAAACAATATATAATAATACAATATAGACGAAGTCTCGAATTTAAACAAGTTTCATCAAGGGACCTATTTCCCATGTGATATCTCAACAATCCATTCCCTGCAGAAGTTTGCGGTAGCTAGTCTAGGGAACCTCCTATGTAGATAGCGTTTCGACATTCTTACTTTTGACCGATTTCCACGGAATGAAGAAAGCAGGGATCAAGTCCAGAACAGCCATTGCAACTGAGACGTACCAGGTATCGGTCAAAGCTTTGCTGTAGGCAGCCAAGACGGTACCAAGGACCTTTGTTGGCACACGGTCTCGTAACTCGGTCGCTCCGACCGCCAAAACAATTTTGGGGTCAACTCCAACACCACGCAGTTCAGCGGTCAGCTGGTTGGTAGATACGTTCTGGGCAACTTGCACGAAGACGCTGCCTCCAAGAGTCTGGGAGAACATCATGGTGGCCGTACCGATAGGGATATCATGCTCAGCCAAAGCAGTCTGCACTGCGACAAGAGGCAGCTGCATGCCCAAGCCAGCTCCAATGCCGTACAAGGCCTGATATCCTATCCATGCAGGCGACGTAGTGTCCAGGCGAAATGTGGTCAACAGACCAGCACCGATGCTCATCAAAACTGCAGATGCGATGATTAGAGGTGTGTAGTAGCCAAGAGCGCTGACTGCCCCCCCAGCCAGGACTGATACGATAACCAACCCAAGAATCATGGGTAGATTCATGATTCCAGACCGTACAGCGCTAGCACCCTTAATAGCCTGGAACCAAATGGGAATCTGAAGGGGAGTTAGTTGAGGGCCGTGACTGGGATAATATGAGTGACATACATAGTAAACGAGGAGAAAGAATGAACCACCGAAACAAACGGCGAACATGGCGCAGCTCCAGACAGTTCGATCAGATAGTATACTGGGAGGTACAGTTGCTTTGTCCTTCTTCTACCACTGAATGACGGCGAACAGCGAGATGAGGACGCCAAAAACAATGAAGAGACCGATAGTACGGCCATCAGACCAAGGATACCTCGAGCCGCCACATTGCAAAGCAAGAAGAAGGGAAACAATGGCAGGCAAGAAACAAACTGAGCCCTCAAGGTCGAAGCTGGAAAGTCGCTCCCTCCAGGAGGAGCTGTTCTTAGGTAAGCCACTTTGAGGAGGGCTAAAGAGTAAGGCAATAAATAAGAGAGTAAGAAAACCTAGAGGAAGGTTGATGTAAAAACACCACCGCCACGTAAGCTTATCCGTGAAAGCGCCACCCATAAACGGTCCTGCGACACTTGCAACGCCGTACATGGCCGCCAGTATGCCGATGTAGGTCGGTCTCTGTCGCATCGGGACGCTGAGGACTATGATCAGGACGGCTCCGGAAAAGATGCCGGCCGATCCAATACCGGCGATGGCACGACCGATGATCAGTGCGGTGGATGTTAGGGCCGCGCCGCATACGAGGGAGCCAAGCTCAAAGAAGCCTATGGCGATGAGGAAGACCCATTTGACCGAGTAGAAGGAATAGAGCTTGCCAAAGAAGAGCTGGAAGCTACAGGTGGTGAGAAGATAGGCTGAGCCGTACCTATTATGGGAAGTGATTAGTCTATTGTTCTTATACCAGACAAGGGCAAGTTCGCCTTACCAGCCCAGATCGTCCAAAGCACGAAACTCATCCGTAATTCGTGGGATTGCCGTAGCAATAATAGTATTATCCTAATCGGATATCAGCGTCACCGACCTTCAGATACATAAATGTTGAAAAGCCTACGAGTGCCATGCAAAAGACGGCTAGACAGAGGCCAATCATGACCAACGCCAACTTCCAGCCTGTCAGGCTTTGGTTTCCCAACTCAGAATATGAATCTTGAGGGTTAGATTCAGAGTCAGCCTCAAGCTTGTTCTGTTGTTCTGGTTCGCAGGAGACTGTAGGGCGTGCCATGATGTTCTGACGGCTATCAGGCGTCGAGGTATATAGATCGTGGTTCCGAACGCGCGAATGGGAATAGGTATGATATACTGTATGAGAATGTAAGCAAGTAAATGAAGAAATGAAGGTAAGAAAGAAAGAACAACGCAGTGTTATGATTTCGATATAAAATCAGAGACGGTAATATTTCCTTTTAATGGTTTATGGCCAGTGGAGTTCATGCGTGCACTGTTCGGTGGAGTCGATCTTTACGAGCTCGAGTTGTGCGAACGAGCCAATCAAAGCCAGCGAAAATTGATAATTTCAGTAAGCCACAACCTACTTCACATTAAGAACCATCACTTCGACGCTAACTTGGGCTAATGATCAGGTACCGTTTGTGAAACAATATTACCCACTAGCTAAAAGGAGAATCGGCAACGTGAAAAAGGCTGCAAAAATCAATGCGTGAGTCTATGGGATGCGAATAATGTAGTTTTAGGCTGCAACGTTCATTTCCCGAGATCCGTCTATTTCCACTATGGTTGGAATGGGTCCTGTTCTGAAAAGATTCACAACTGGTAATCTTTCCGTGAAAGGGGTAGAATGACAAGAATCGCCATCTTGCCATGTCAAAAGCGAGTCTGCATGTAGATGCTCGGTATGAAGACACCATTCTGGCTCAGGCCACTTCGGCTTTGAAAACAATTTGAGGAGGTAGATACCATCCGCTTCCGAAGAAAGCGGTTCGCAGACAAATTGATGGATACGGGCTTGCTCAGGCGGCAAAATATGCTGGCCAGACTGCTCGTTTAGGTGTTGTTTCATGTAGCCTTCTTCAATAGCCATAATCCGTGACAAGACGGCGTAGTATAGCCTCGAATCGTAAAGGCATTCTCGTCTCGAACTGGCGTGAAGCAATGCCAAGCCCTTTCGACGAAGAGACGGCCACCGGCACTTCCACGCCACGAGGTGTAACGGGGAAATGAGACCCATCTCGAAATGGAAGCGCTGCTGTGATCCCTGCGTATCGTTGATCAGCGACTCGACAAGCCGGATGATCATCTCATATGCCACTTTGTGCCCATCCCACGCTGTCTCATCAGCTTCTGGGCCAATTGAAAGTCCTACCTCGGTGGCTTGCCACATCACGCGGAGCATGCAAGCCCTGCCGCGATCCTGAGGCCCCCACAGACCTTCTTGTCGCAGAGCCAAGTCGTCAAACTGCACTTTCCAACGAGACAAGGCGGTACTGAGGTTTCCAGCCCTTCTCCCAAGAGGCATTCAAAACAGGCGAATACAATGCTTGCAGTAACCACCAACGGTATCGAAGTTGGCTCAGATGCATCTCTTAGTACAGTATTGATGGCTCGATTGTACGACTGCAGAGCTGTTTTCGAGCTGTCCTCCTGTCTGGGGCCGCAGTGTCCCTCATGAAGCGTTGCTAATGTGAAGCTGGCATGTCGTATTGAAGCTTCCGTTAAGCAGAACTGCAAGACAATGTCCCAAAATGGGCGACCAAAGAATCCCGATAACTGCGGGACAGTCTCATGATAAAAGACCTCCTTGGCTCTAGCCTCTATCAAACCCAGACGACCAAGTCTGGGGCCAGTAGCTGGGGGAGCCACATTCGGTAGCATGGACGCATAGCCATCGCATTTTCTCCCCGTGCGCGTGCATCTGAGATGTGGGCGTTAACTCGGGCTATCTAGTAGAAAGATTGACTACAGGCCTTGCCGATGACACGATGGCCGTAGTTCATCGCATTTTACTCTCCTGATTCTGTAATCTTTATTAACAATCTCAACGCGTAGGGTATTAAGTGCTTCTTTACATACTTGCAAGTAATGCAACCTGTTCTGACCTTTGCCTTGCTTGCACGGACTGATTTTGTAGAGTTATGCATGATCGCTTGAAAGAACTAACGGACCAGCAGCGATTCCCCATTCAAATAGACAGTGCCTACCAATACCATTTAAATCTCTTAGATGGCTTCTCAGATTACTAAAAGTGTAGAACAAAATAAATAAGCTTGGGTGGCTTTAAGCAGCAGCTGGTTATGATTGTGTTGCCGAACTTTAGCTTGTAGAGCCCTTGGAAATGGATCTGCAACCTAAGGGGATTTTAAAGTTTCGGGACGGAAGAACTAAACGCCGCTAGTTCACCGCTGACCAGCTAACCTATCCTAATAGAAAATTAACCAATTCACTTGTTGTTTATTAACCAGAATTAGACAACAACCCCTATACTAATATTACGTAGCACTTATAGAAAGGACAGGACCAGGCCAGCTTATATAACTTTATTTTACATCCTCACGGGTCTAGCCCCATAACGTAGGAGGAAGGAACGTTAGGCGTTTTGCTATTTAGAGTAAAAGTTGATGTTAAAGTAGCCCTTTAGACTAAAGAATTAAATTAGATTAACATCCTAGTGTACCATTATCATTTGATATATAATGGTATTAATAACATTATTAACTAGGTTCCTTAATCATACATATCCTTCCATTTACGTATGAGTTAAAATAACACTGCAAGGGGTCTACAGGACTTGAAAACCTAGGAGAAGTAAATAATTGTAAAAGTTATCTTATTTATCTAGTCCGTCCGTGGATAATACTTTTGCCAGGTGACTTCCAGTCAAACTATTCTGCCTTCCAGTAGCTTTGCATGAGCTCTTGTGCAGTGAGCGTTTTGATATCAGGGAACATTTCGTTCAAGGAGCCCTTATATTCCAAGTCACCATATCCTTCTGCCATCCATCGCTGGAAAATAGAGAGGAACGGCAAGAGTACTTCCTTGGGGAACTTGGAGTAATCCTTTTGGTGACCGGGCAATTCCGTGATTTCAAACCTTCTCAATTTCTCCAAGTCGTCATATGCAACTGTGAAATTTTCCCCTCGCGCCTTTTCACCAAGCTTGACCAGCTCATTAAAAGTCAACTTCGTGCCAATGATTCGCAACTCTTCTGGCCAGGCTTCGAGGTCGAGAGCCGCAACAACAAATTTCGCAACGTCGTAGGTGTATGTAAATACCATGGGCTCGTCGCCTGTGCCGGGAATGCCAGCAGCGTTGTTGAGCATATCGACCACAACGGTACCATGATTGTAATGTGTCTTAATGCCTGATGAAGGGAAGAAATAGTCGAGGAATGTCCCATTGTGGATAACAGTCCACTCTAAACTACTAGTACGTAGCATTTGCAGTGAGTCAAAATAGGACTGCAGGGGCGGGAGGATTTCAGGACCGCTATGCAAGGCGTCAGCGAATGTTATTAACAGGGGGCATAAGAAAATGCTTACTCTCGAGGGTACCTGATAGCGAAAGAGCTAGGGATGAAACGCTTGGTAACAGAAGATGCATCAGCTGCTTTGATCAGATTGGCCTGGGAGCGCGAGAGTGAGGTTGCGTTAATGCCGAAAGCACTGATGATAGTTTCAACTTTATGTTCTTCCAAGAACTTTATCAATGACGTGATGTCATCATAGTTAACAACAAATGAAGGCAGACCGAGATCTACGCTAGATGTCTGTTTAAGTGAGTACTTGATTCCTGAAATTACCTCTAAATTGTCATACCTTGCGAGTAAGGATAATTCCTTCATGCTTTGACTGACTTGCCAATATATCCACTAGAGATTGGCCAACAACGCCACTGCCACCAGCTATAGCAACTTTAGTCATTGTAAAGATTTTTCCCGTGTAAATAAAAGGGGTAGTTATCGGAAAAGCAAATAAAAAATGTTAATCCAGCCTCCATATATATAATGACACGCACCGGACATAAGGCTTACCGCCGTTGTAACATCTCGTAGTATTGTGGGTACGGTGATGTGTGGAACGATATTCGCCGTGGCTTGGACCAATTAGCTACCATAATGAGGTTAGCAAAATAGCTCACCTTAATAGTCACACCACTTACTATACGTAATTACACAGTCACTGCATACCAGTGCTAACTTAAATATTATAGTGTGAAAGTATTTAAATACCCTATAGTGACAGACATTAAAGCTTTAACTTTATACACGACATAGGGGTAACGGTTATAAGTAAATCACGTACTAGTTATAATTAGCTAGCTCTAGGATTATGGCTTAAAAGGTATTTTAGCTGTGGAACTCATTGCATTTAATAGAAAATGAGAATTAAATATCAGTAACAGATCGATTTAAGAAACTCACAGAGCCCTATAGGTTACGTTTCTGACTAAAATATACCTTTTAACGTACACATTAGATCTTTATTTTCAAATAAGCTAATCAGGACCTATAAATCATGGAGAAAGAATCCATACGACGTAGCGAATTTTTCAAGTCGATATGGTATCTGTCTTACTCAGCTAAAACTTCCACTAGGCTGCAAGAAATCTCACAACTACCAATCCTCTCTCGCCAATATAACCTCACCACCAGCGAGCAGACATGTCTCGAATGGAGTTGCTTCCACAGTGAACCTCTCCTCCATAATTATGGTGAGTGTTCCAGTCATCAATAAACTTAAGATTGAGTCCAAGCTTAGCGTACTTGGATTTAATCGCCTCCGCGATAATATCCTTGCCTTTGACAACAGGGCCCCAAGGGTTCGGAGCAACACAGGTACGGTAGCCAGTAAGGACCAAGTTATTGACAACACCTGGGAAGAAAGCGCCGACTTGAAGCTTTCTGTTGTCGGTACCAGGGAAGTCGCTGGTTTGGAATAATGCAGGAATACGGATAATATCCGCATCTGCAATACCGACTTCCTCCTTGAGAATCTTGATGTTGTCGTCAATCTTCTGCGCGCACTGCTCATTGATCTTCATCTTCTCCTGGTCGGCAAGAAGTTCGGCGATAGTAGAAGGGTTGACGGGGATGGGTCCGCAGGACCAGCTACTGCAGCTTTCTCCAGGAGTGGTGGTGTCATTCTTGCGTGAGATAGCCGGCAGCGACCCATAGCCGGCCTTGTGTACATCCTTCAGAAGCTTAATGGCGGCTCGGGGATCATCAATCACAGCAACCCATCCCTTTTTATTGTCAGCTGGTAAAAACTGAACAAACTCATCAACATGACCGATTGCGAGCCAAGACGTATCGAGCAAAATGGGTTTCTGCGACTCTTGAGCCTCTAGATATGGGAGAATGTGGTGTTTCTGCTTGCCGTGGTTGCCCAAGATGACTCGACCAGCAGGCCAGGACTTTCCCTTGTGAGTGTGAGGAGGGATAGTCTCGATGTTGCCGCCAGAGTTAATCTCGTCGCGTGCTCCACCGAGATGTTGAACCGCGCCAACACCAGCTTTGCGATAATACTCGAAAAGCTGTCGACCAGCCACGCGTTCGTCTTGAGGAGATCGAATCATGATGCGAATCGAGATAGGCCCTTCCGGCCCGGGAATACTTGCGTAGCCAGGCTCGACAAAGTCTTGAGTCCAGATATCATCGCTGGCGTTGAAAAGGTACAGGTCCTTTTTAATACCAGCCGCCTTAGTTATAGAAGAAAGGCTATCAGTAAAACCGACAAGGAAGGGTGAATCGTTTTTGTTTCCTTGAACGGCCAGTACTTGTTCAACCTTTTGAAGATGGTGATGAGTCAAGACAGGAGCGACACGCAGAGTCACCTCATCAGAAGACTTGACACTTCCGTCATGCAACTCAAACCGAACTGTGACACGCCCGTCCCAGCTATTTGGTCTTCGAGTGTCACGGCCGTCGATACCTAGTTCCAGCCCTTGCTTAAGTTCTGTTTGCGTAAAGACATGCTTATTGTCGACGTAGATCCAACCGCTCCCTTTCTTCTGGAAGATGCGCACATAAGGCCTCTGCTTGGGATCAGGGACCGATACAGTGCCCTTGATGTTCTTGGAAGCAGCAGGGAGGGGAACAGTCTTGAGAGGAGCCAAGTATCGAGGTGCTCGCTGTATGTTGTCCGAGGCATCATTGCAGTCGTCCAGCTTCTCGTTACTAAGAGCTGGGCCACTCAAAGCCTTCTTGGAGCATCTCCGGTCGGTGTCGCCAATATTCGGAAGAAAGATAGCACCGGTGGCTTCGGTCCATTTAACTTTGCCCACGAGGTCGGAAGAGCCTTTCAGGTCAACCTTTCCGTCGCGGTTGGCATCAGCACGAATGTCGGCTTTGATCTGAGCAACTCCGTAGGTTGTGGAAGCCACAGAAAGACCTGCAAGTGTTAGTAAAGCTTAAAAATAATGGGAAGCGACCTTGCCATAAAGGGCCAAAAGGGGCAGGTAACGCATCGAAGTGAATGTGTAATGATTGGTATGAGACGTGGTGATCGTTGGTGGCTAGTTTTTAATTGTACGGGATCTCGAAGGAGTAGGAAGGTTCTTTATATAATACTACTGTATCACAATATAAGTAGGCATTATACGCTGGCAAGGGACAATCATGCACTTTTATCACTAAAAAGGTTCCATAATATACGGTATGGCCAATTAAAATGAAGCTAAGTGGATAAGTTTGCGAATGTCTGGCTGTGCCACTTTATTAACTACCTAAATAAGAATATTCCCCAACTAGAATCATATTCGTATAAATGCCTGCACATGCCAGGGTCATAAACGCACACGCATCATTGGATAATTTCAATCTTAGGCTCTGGGGCAATTCTCATTTGCATGTAGGAAGTAAATGCCCCAATTAATGCTTTGTTAAGGGGATAGTGTGGCCACAAGTGGTAAGCATGACGCTTAAAAGTTAGGACTATGGGTACAATGCCCCGTCCTAGATTCGTGGAGCTTTTACGACAGACTCAACGTGTTATTTAGATAAAGAGAATAAGAATTTAGGCATTGCATAACAAGAGCTAAGTCAACATTGTGATTGGCCTGTCGTGAAGGGCGCAAAGGCGTACAATTAGGCTGTGACGACATGTCTTTCATCTCCATTCGATATGCTTGTTTATATGCTAGGAACACATGGAATTCAGGCTTGAAGGGTTGTGTGGCTATGCTTGGGCTACTGTAGTGTCTTTGATTGGTTCCGCCGTAAGAAGAAGTTAGCCCGTGCCTTAGCAGTGGTGGCTTAGCAGAACTTCACCTCGGCTGGCAAAAAAGCCACTAGCACATTAGACCAGAGACTTCAATATTATAGAGAGACTAGTATATTCATACCGATTTGGTCAGCTACAGGCCGGATGCCTAATAGCCGGGCAGCCAAGTTCAGCTGGCAGCACGAACATTTAGTGTGCGAGTCGGTTATAGAGAATTGTGGGACAGGCTCCATCGGACATAGTTACCATTGAAGTCATCGGACGAAACAGGGATGCGCCGGTGCCGGGTTTCTGGAAGTGATGGTCCCAGTAGGGATGTCGTAATGCTATACGATTGACTCCTCCGCAAGGGCTGACCGCAATGGCCCCAGAGTCTAAGGGGAGGGACCCTGGACAGTATACAGTATACAGTATACGGTTTGAGCGAAAGGGAGAGAAGTGATAAATGGCTGACCTGATTACGTCCGCTGAGGTTGGAGGTTGGAAGGATATGATGCGGGTGGTTCACAGGCTTTTGGTTCGGATCGAACGGAAATGTTCATGGTGGATTGGGTTGTTGTGAGGAGGCGTTTGAACCATTTGCTGTTCCCCTAGTCGGATCTATTGTCCTCGTCATCGCTTAGGCGTCGCATGTTTTATCCGATGAGATTGGCTGATAACCAGTCCCTCCAGCCCCTTCTTTTCGGTATCCGCCATGTCTTTGACTGTGGCATCAGATGACGGACAGGACAAACATACCGGAGATGTTAACAATGGGCGAGGAAAAAACAAACTTGCGAGGTAAGGATGAGTCGAAAAACTTCTACTAGCTCACAGGCCTAAAAGCAAAGACATCTTTCCTGTCGACGCAGGCTAGTTGGCTTTATCATAGAAAGCAACACGGCAATAATCGTCGGTATGGAAATTTACTCAATTCAACCGTATCTATAATGCCAAGATAGAAGCTTATCAGAATAGTGCTGAATGAGGTCAAGATCTACTAAAATGTAGTAGCTTAACTTGGACTTAGGTACTGTAATAGAAATGATCGGCAACACTTATCCGATATCGCTGTTAATAAAATGGCTATCAACATCCTTGTTCCAACATCTTTAGTTTGACCGCTATCTGTTAATACTATAAGAACTAGAGTTCCGCCCCGTAACTAAGAGTGTTCTGTTAAAATCCATCTACAGCTCAATACAGATCCTCATTAGCAGCTATGCGGTTCATATCGATAGTAACCCTGACTGTCTCAGTGGTTGCAGAGGTTCTCCGACCCAATGGCATATCCTTGAGCTTAAACGGGATTGACTATTTCTTATCGCCGTCAATTCAAGAAGCGTTACCAGCCAGCCTCATCCCATCCACTATCGCTACACAATCCTTTACGTTTGTGCCTGTTACAATCGTTGGCAATAATACCGCCCAAAATGATCTTTCTACAATCTTCTCCAGTTGGGCGCAAAAAGACGACGTTTGGCAACCTAGGTTTTCTAAGATGGTGGTGTTATTAAACTCCACTAGTTGCAAATCGACAAACACTACCTTCCATGCTGGTATTCAATCCGTCGTTTCTTGCTGGGAAGAAGCACCTGAAATCCCTTCAGGACCCTATTTCTTGGATACATACGGAGGGGGTTTACATCGAGTGTATCGGCTCTACGATGACTTCTCCGGTAGCTTTCTGGAATCTCTTATTCAGTCTCCAGATGGAACCTTTCAAACTCTACCGGCCCACATCTCTAGTAGCAGTTCTCTTACCATAGGGGTTCCGTCTCGTTTGTACTTCACTCGCACAAAGGAAAAACCTTTAGCAGGCATTCGAGTAGGAGTTAAAGACCTTTACGACCTCAACGGAGTAAGAAGCTCTCGAGGCAACCGTGCATGGTACAATCTATATCCAGCGGCGAATAAGACGGCACCAGCTATTCAGAGCCTGATCGATGCTGGAGCTGTTATTGTCGGGACACAGAAGCTTTCCCAGTTTGCCAATGGAGAGAATCCAACGGCAGATTGGGTCTCGTACCTTGCCCCGTTTAACCCCCGCGGAGACGGTTACCAGGGTCCATCTTCATCTTCAGCGGGTGCCGGAGCGTCCATAGCATCTTACCCATGGCTGGATCTTGCTGTTGGAAGTGACACGGGCGGTTCCATACGTGGACCTGCTGGGGTTACAGGAGTGTTTGGCAACAGGCCTACTCATAACCTAGTCAGTCTGGACCATGTGATGCCTCTGTCACCCACCCTGGACACGGCAGGCTTCCTTGCCCGCGACCCAGACATCTGGGGAGCAGCCCAAGCCGCCATGTACGGAGACAATTATACTGTCTTTTCTCAGGAGAACATGACGTACCCGCAAACCCTATATACCGTGGGTTTTCCGGCTAACAACACTCCTCAGGGTGCAGTGCTGCACCAATTTGCCAACGATCTGGCCGATCTCTTTGCCACCGATGTCCAGGAGTACAATATTACCCAGCAGTGGACTTCGACCGGGCCAGAGTCCGTTCGAGATCTTCCATTAACGGAATTTCTGAACTTGACCTATGCTGCTCTCATTACCAAGGAACAGATTGCCCTAGTCAAAGAACCATTCTTCAGAGACTATGCTGGTACGTATGAATGTGTAAGATGAGAAGGTTTACGACTAATTTGGCGAAACTTCATAGTCTCTCATGATGGCCGACTACCTTACATCAGTCCAGCCCCCAGTGTTCGCTGGGCCTGGGGTGAAAGCCAACCAGACTCCATTCTAAGCGACGCCATTAAGAACAAAACCACATTCATGAACTGGTTTAATCAGGAGGTTCTTCCAAGAGACGAGGACCCCCAAAGATGTTCCTCAGGCATATTGCTCCATGCTGAGAGTACCGGAAGTTTCGGCAGACGCGACGTCTACCGTGACCCTCCTAATGTTCCGTTTGGCTGGTCCCTGAGCAGAATGTCGATCTTCAGCGAAACACCAGACAGTGTTTATCCTCTTGGAGAGGTGCCGTATTTCAGTGATATAACCAACCACGAGGAGAGCTTGCCTGTTACGGTTGATATTATGGTAGCACGAGGGTGCGATGGTCTTATACCAAGGCTGGCTCGGGATCTTGTTGAACTCGGTATACTGAAAGTCCCAAAGACTGGTAGAAGTATTGGAGGAGGATCAGTCTTATTTTAGTTATTACAAACGATAATACGTTGCAATCAATTACACTTCTACTAGACTGTGGCATATAAGCAGGTTTAAAGTAAGTTCCACGAGTTGGCTAAGGAACCTTTAACACTATTATTACCCCAGTCTTAAGCACCAATTAGGATATGTTCTTAACCATTATAGCATAGATTGATGTTCTCTTCGTCTCCCTCACGATAAGCAACGTTCACTCTCTGCGTAATAGTTTTTCACGTTGACATTAACTATCTTTCACCTATTTCTTTCTGCCTTTTCTTAAAGCTTAGAGGTCCTTGCTCTCAAGAGGTCGTCAACCATTAATTGGCAGCAACCGAGGTATTGCGTTGGATCGACCAATGACGTTAGTTGCTCTGTGCTTAAATGTTTTGTCACTTGCTCAATCTTCTGCAGTGATTCTATCAAGGATAGATTACCCTCGATGGCAGATACGCACGCACCGTAGACGACTTCATGAGCCTCCTGTCGTCCTATAAACTCAGCGAGCTTCATCATGACAGCCTCAGCAACAATAAGTCCTCTTGTCGACTCAAGATTGGCCTTCATTGCCACAGAATTGACCTGTAAGCCTGATAGTGCAAAGTTCGCTTGATAAAGTGAGCCAACCACCGAGATAAACGCGACCGGAAGTGCAGCCCACTCTAGGTGCCAAGGTCCCGATGCACGTTCAAAGTCTGACACCATACCATCCAATACTAGCCCTGCTTGTGCCCGAAGAATCTTAGACTGTGCTAGAATAATCTCGCTCGAAATGGGGTTTCGTTTCTGAGGCATCGTTGACGATGCCCCTCGATGAGGCACAAAAGGCTCAGCAACCTAGGAAACGTTCGATATTAGTTCATATCCGTTGAGATAATGGCGATAGCAGCTTACCTCATTAAATTCATTAGACGACATAATCATCAGATCAAGCGCAATCTTTCCCAATGAGCCTCCAACCAATGCCAAGAAGTTAACAACCTCAGCAATGGTATCTCGAGCGACGTGCCAAGTGATAACAGGGTCTTTGAGACCCAAGATAGCAGCTAGCCTCTTTCGTACCCGAATACCGTCATCTGAGCTACCCAGCGAAGCCAAAGTACCAGCAGCGCCGCCGAATTGCACAAGAAGACACCGTTCCTTGATTTGTTGGAGACGCTCAGCGTGGCGTCGGAGGCCAGAGAGCCAAACACCACATTTGTAACCAAAAGTGATCGGTAGGGCGTGTTGTAGATGTGTTCGACCTGCCATCGGCGTATCGCGGTACTTGGAAGACATGGACTCGAGGGTCTTTATTGTTTCGTCGATGTGGCGCTCCACGATTGCGATGCCGCTTTTGATCTGTAGTTGCGAAGCCAAGTCCATGATGTCTTGTGTCGTAGCACCCCAATGGATATATCCGGCTTGTCTTTTTAGCTATGTAGTCTTCAATCCAGATGATGGTTGTGTACTTACATTGCTGATGAGGAACCCAAGTAGCCATTTGTTCGACGAGACCAAGGATGGGGTATCCAACAACCTCTGCCTTCTTTGCAAGCAAAGGCCAGTCGACTTTCGATACATCAGAGTGCTCACGGATTACTCTGGCAGTTCCTGAAGGAATCACGCCTTGGTCCTCCTCTGCTTGAGCCAAGGCGCATTCCGCGTCGATTAATTTCGAGACATATGATCGTTCAGAGAAGCACTCTCGAATCTCCTCAGTCCCGAAAGTGTCTCTGAATAGAGAGCTATCATGAACGGTAGCAGCAGCCATTGTTGTGCGATCGAGGTGCTAAAAGATTTTGAGACTAGAGAGAAACAAGCATGAAGCTTGGGTCTCATGACAAAGGACATGGAGGTTTATGTATGCACTCACTCATCATGACAGGTCCACAGAAAGACTGACACGGAAGATCAGTGGCCCACCGGAACATACCAATCACTATCCCTATCCCGATGTGGTGTTCCGATTTTCTACAAGAGTGGAGAACGGAATACGGGTTTTGGCTCGCTTAATGCGGGATAAGCATGACTCGCGCAGGCGGGATAACGGAATAGCGGGATAGCGGCGTAGAGGGTTACCCTACGATCATCGTAGGTTAATCATTAATTGTCTAACGGTTTGTCTTAGCGTTTCTCCGCATTCTCCCCGCGTTTCGTTCTTCTCCATAGGGTTTACAGCAGGACTTTTTAGCTTGACGGCTGGGGCCAGAAGCTGGCCCCAGAGAGTTATAAGAATGTGACAATGGCTCTCGATTTGATATCCATTTTCATGCCTTCCGAGCCCAAGTTCTTGGTCTTTCTTTACACCGACCTACTGCAACAAATCTTTCTGTCGTCAATCCTTCTACATACTCTGTTACATAGCCATGGCTCTCTCCTCAGAGCCCCAAATGTCCACCCCTTCGAAGGATGTAAAGTCTGACGCAGGCTTCGAGGCTGTTCACGATGAGAAAGTCCTCGAGCAGATCGGAGTAACCGATAATCGCGGAGACTACTCGGGTGCTGCAACCAAGACTGACCCTGCTGAGATTGCCTTGGTGCGCAAGCTCGACAGAATGATCATGGTAAGACTTGAATATAAAGACCACTGTGGCTTTGTGCAGAAATGCTGATTGAATAAGCCGATCCTCTGGGCCATGTACTTCCTGAACTACCTCGATCGAAACGCTCTACCCCAAGCCCGCCTAAACAGCCTCGAGAAAGACCTGAACCTCAAAGGCGTTCAGTACAACACCGCCATCTCGATTCTATTTGTTGGATATCTGTTGATGCAGAGTATGCTCTACGAATCTATCATGATGACTGCCAATGCTAACTCTGGCGTTGCACAGTTCCCTCAAACATGTTCATAACACGAACCCGACCGTCCATCTACCTCTCCTGCTGCATGATTGGTTGGGCCGCTGTCTCAGCCTGTACTGCTACTGTCAAGAGTTACTCTGGCCTCATTGCTTGTCGGTTCTTTTTAGGGTTCGTTGAGGCTGTAAGTTGTTAATAGCTTCCATTTAAATCGTCCAATGCTAAGACCTGAATCACAGCCATTCTATCCGGGTGCCCTCTATTTGCTATCGATCTACTACACTCGCAAAGAACTCGCTACGCGCATTTCGCTACTCTACACTGGCCAAGTCGTAAGCACTGGGTGTTCAGGGCTTATCGCGGCAGCTACTTTCTCTACACTTGATCAAGTCAAAGGAATTGCTGGTTGGCAATGGTACGTGGACAACTCCCAATCACTCACAAGGTTTGATGGTTAACGCTCAAGTTTTCAGGCTCTTTATCATCGAAGGCTCAGTGACTGCTCTTGTCGCTGTCTTCGGCTTCTTTCTACTCCCCGATGACCCTTCTGAGACTCGATGGCTCACTCCCGAAGAGCGCGAACTTTGTATCAAGCGAATCAGTCGAGATACTGTCGGTCAACAGACTCGAGGTACAACTTGGGAAGGTCTCAAGCAAGCCTGCAAGGATCCCCGAACCTGGCTTTTCTGTCTTATGCAGAACCTTCATATCAGGTGCGTTGCCTCCAGACGCTATTTTTACTGGCCAGTCATGCTAACTATACTCCAGTGCATGCTCCTTCAACAACTTTTTCCCAACCATCGTCCGTTCCATGGGATTCAAGTCTACTACAGCTTTGCTCCTCACAGCACCCCCGTATTTTGTTTCTGGCATTCTTGGTATCCCATTTGCATGGTCCTCTGGCCACTTCAACGAGCGAACCTGGCATGTCACCGCAGGCCTCTCTCTAGCTGTTGTCGGATTTGTGATGTCATGTGCGACTGTCAATGTAGCAGTGCGATATACAGCAACCTTTCTTTATGCTACTGGCGCTTACTCGGTCGGGTCTGTCATTCTGGGCTGGGTCAGCAATACCTTGTCTCAAACTCCTGAGAAAAAGTCGGTTGCTTATGCTTTGGTCAACGTTACAGCCAACTTAGCTTACATCTACTGTGCTTACCTCTGGCCTTCATCAGATGGCCCCGATTATCTTATGGGATTCTCTACTATGGTGGCCTTTGCTGCTACAAGTATCATGTGTGCCTGGGCTATGAGGTTCTGGTTGAAGAGACTCAACAGCAAGATTCTCGAGTCAGAGAACGAGACAGTGGCTCTTTATGCTTATTAGATAACTCTAGCCTTGAATAAATGGGGTGGAAAACTGGGCCTATCGTTAAATTGAAGCAATTAATGAACCTGTTTGTGTTCAATAAATATTCGATCCTGAAGGATTCATAGTACTGGTAGCGATATGAATAAAGCCCAAATGAGTTTATTTCCTCCTATACGTCGTCGAAGCTGAAAGAACTTTTAAGACCACATTATAGATAGCAGAAGGGTTTCTATTGGATTGCCTTTCAATTTGTAGTATATTGTTCCTCTTCCTCTACTCCTGATTTTGCTTAGTCAACCGACCCCGCACACGCGAACATTCTTTTGTCATTTTTCGGACAATGCAATTGGATTTCCATAACCTTCACAATGACTTCAGCTCAATACGAATCGCCCTCAGACTCGTCAACTAGTCGAGTTGCAGGTCAAGTATGGTATGTCGCCACCGCTGATTGTAATTTATAACCACCTTTTGGATGGTTAATGCTAATACGACTTGGATAGTGACCGTTGTCGACGGTATGTCCTGTATGGAGAGTCTGCAACTATCAATCCTCACTAATACGGAATTCAGAAGAAAGATTCGTTGTTATGGCCATGAACATGATGTAAGTAATATGCAGTTTCCCCCTGTCTGAGTGTTGCTGATCCCTTCTTATAGTGCTCTCCGTGTCTCCAAGCCAATGTTGTCTGTGTTACAACCGCCAAGCTAAAGAGAAACAGAAAGCGCAAAAGGCAAGGCATTAATCTCCCCTATATGCGACCCAGTGGCCTTCTAACATATTGTAGTTTCTATGAGGCCGAAGGCATTGAGCAGCGTCGGGCATCACCGCAGGACGTTTCTCAACATGCTACAGACACTGGTTATCCTCTACAAATTCCAGCAGTCGCAATCTCTCCGACAAGTACTATGGAGCCCCGACCACTTCCTTTCCAGTCACCTGCTCAAACAACAACATTCCCTACTACGTCCAGCTCATCGAGCAATCAAGCAAGCACCGCCCAAGTCCCCTCTCAGCCCGTTCCTCTAAATCCAATGAAGGAGCCTGTGATTGGCCATATGGGCCGTCTTGTTGCCGATGATCGACAAGCACCTATGTTTGGCGGTTCGACTACAGGCGTCCATTTCATTAGTCAAGCTGAACAGCAGCTTCAACTTCTCCATATGCACAAAGATGCACTCCCCAGCTGTGCATATGGCCTTTACCTACATAGTCCCTGGGTAGCTTCAATCCACAGTTTGACGTCTCCAGTGGCGGATATTGTCGCTCAACTTCCTCCAAACACCAATGAGATTGTGGAAGCTACAATAGACCGATGGACTCCGTTGTATCCTATTGTTCACAAGTCATCAACGATTGAGGCTATTCAACGACTAATAAGCTTGTGTCAAAGCTCAGACTTTGATATTATTATACTTTACCAAACAGTTACTTTACTTGCACTAGGAATGGTTGGCCTGGAAGGAAATTGTCTACAGCAGCACAATCACTTTATATGTGCATCGGAGCCTTTTTACATGATTTCCACTACTCTGTTAGACAGAGTAATTGGACAACCATGTCTTCAAAGCTTGCAGGGTTTAGTCATCACACAGATTTATGCTCAGCTGTCAGGGCGCTATTCAACAGCATCTCACATATCCGGTCTAGCCACCCGCCTGGCCCAGACTCTAGGGTTACATCGACATTCTGATCGGTTCAAGTTTGACCCCCTTGAGACGGAATTGAGAAGACGAGCATGGTGGTGTCAGTATTCCTTGGATGCGTATGTCAACAACTCAAATTCTTGCGCTGTTGCGTTATTACTGACTCAATATTCAGGTTCTCAAGCGCTTATCATGGAATGCCCCGTTTGATTCGCGATCAAGATGTTGATACAGATCTCCCGACAAGTGTTGATCATGACCTCTTGTCTCACACTCACGTCGAATTTCCGTTACCAGGTGAGCGATCACAAGTAGATACAGCAATTAGTCTGTTCAAGCTTGCTCGCATCATGGGCCGCACTCTAGAAGACCTCTACACTACAACCCGGCGCCGAGGGGGCGTAGCTAAAATATCGCGTCTGCAAGCTGAGCTTAGCATGTGGGAGAGGGTTGTTCTTGAACCTGAGGTTGACCCTGAGCCGCCCACGCCCGTGACTAGCAAGTCCTTAGAGGCCGTATTTTTGAGAGTTGCACATTGCGTTGCTACGATTCACATTCATCGACCGGCTTTGTCGTTTACAACAACAGATCCCCAATTCGTTTTATCTCTCAAGGCATGCGGACAGGCTTCCGCTAAACTTGTCGAGTTGTTGTGTTCTTGTATAGGCATTCTGGGAACAAGTCATGCCGCAGGTCAAGTCATGGCACTTGACTGGCCAGAGACTATGCTTGTGACACTTCTTTATCCGAATGGAATACACATGCTTTGGCAAGCAGGGTTAACAATTCTGTTCACGGGCTGGAAAGGGTATCCAGTAACAATTGACCAAGACGAGAACCTGATACGGTCTTGCATTGCAACCTTAAGGGAATTCCACGGTCATACGGATGATATTGGGAATCACATTGGCCAGTGTGCCGATGTTTTGGACCTACTACGCAAAAAAGTCTTCTCCGAGCTGGAAACGCTACCTGATCTTGAGCAGCTGCAGTGGAATATCTGGGACTGGCCAATAGAATCAGCGTTGGAACTTGTGAATACTCTTGATATAATACCCTTGGACTTGAACTTGAATCAATATTAATGGGTACTAAGGGGGGGTGAAATCTATTTATAACTACCAGTCTTCAGCCTAAACTTACTGAGCTTATTACCAACCCAGTAACGATATTTATTTACTAGTTTCATAACCGCCATTATAATAAGCCCTTCTACAATTAATCTTATAGGTCTTATTACCATTATTCTCAATAGTAAGCCTCTTACTTATACACTAGAAATATCTTTTGAATCATAATAGACTTAGCATACTTAACATCCCGAGGACAATCGGTTTTACTCTAGTTAAAAGTCCACCAGCAGTATAAGTGAAGATAAAAGCAGTTTTATATAAATCACATTGCTCTCATATTACTAGTATGGTGTCTAAAATGGATCCTAGTCCACATCAATAATAACCTTCAGTGCACCATGCTTGGAGGCTTCACCAAATGTCTCATACGCCTTTTCGATCTCGCTAAGCTTGAAACCTAGAAGAATCCTTATAAGTCTCGAAACATGTTGACGGGGACTATCGTTTACTTACGGTGTGTGATCAGTTGCGCAGGTTGCAATTTGCCAGACTGGACCAGCTTCAACAGCATTGGAGTGGTGACTGTATCGACCAGTTTCGTGGTGATAGCTAAGCGAGTCATGTCAGTAAGTGCACCATCTTATGGGGCATCGGGTTAGACTTGCAGATGTTTTTACCCCAGAGATCCTGAAGATGGAGATCCACCTTAGTACCATGTACACCAACGTTTGCCAACACCCCGCCGACAGCGAGGAGTTCCTGGCAAAGCTCGAAGGTGGCAGGAATACCAACTGCCTCAATGACAGAATCACAACCTTTGCCATCCGTCAAAGCCTTCACCTTTTCAACCACGCTGTCCTTGTCTTTAGTGCTCACTACCGTTTCAGTAGCACCAAGCTTCTTAGCGACCTCCAGTCTTGCAGTATCTGTGTCAACGGCAATAATTTGAGAGGGTGAGTACATCTGTGCAGTGATGATAGCGGCCAGTCCAACAGGCCCTGCGCCAACGACCACAACAGTACCTCCAGGCTGAACCTTGCCATTGAGAACCCCGCATTCAAGGCCTGTTGGGAAGATATCGCTGACCATTACCAGAGCCTCCTCATCGACACCCTGAGGAATCGCATGGAGACTAGAGTCGGCATGCGGAATGCGAACGTACTCAGCCTGAACTCCATTAATCGTGTGCCCAAGAATCCAACCACCAGAAGTGCAATGGCTGTACATGCTCCTGCGGCAGTATTCACAAGTTGCACAGCTGGAAATGCACGAAATGAGGACTCGGTCGCCTTCCTTAAAGCGCGAAACGGACGGACCAACTGAATGAACGATGCCAACGCCTTCGTGGCCCAACGTAGTACCGGTCTGGCACGTGGCTACATCGCCTTTGCGGATGTGCAGATCTGTGCCGCAAATGGTTGTTTTGGTCACTTTGATGATGGCGTCGGTTGGGGATGAAATGACGGGGAGTGGGCGGTCCTGGAGAGAGACATTGTTGTTTCCTGCGTAAGTGAGAGCTTTCATTGTGGGGAAAATTGTCGGAATTGATTGACAAGGAGAATTGATATGAACTAGTTCAGTTTGCTGGGTGGTTGACCTTTTATAGGTAGTACAAACAGCTGACTTTGGTAAGCAGACTGAAGAAAACTGACGTCAAAAACATTCGATAACATGGATACCTGAAGACATGATATCTTGCCTCATCTGATAAAAACTCTAATCCCCGCGTTCTGTTAGGTTCGGCAATAAACACAGCATGGAAACGTGTCACAAGACCAATAGTCTGCTATCAGTGCATTGAGGGGGTTGATCCCGTTTGCGGGGTTGACAAGGGTGGTCAGATTGCGGACTTCCATCCGCACGGTTGAAGGGGCGAACGTGACAGTAGACACTGATCTCAGTCAGAATGATAACGGGAGGTTTTTACCTGTCGTCCGATTACATTGAGATAAATTCAAAGGGCCATCAGGTAAAGTTGCCCTTCATCCGGCGATCAAACAGTTCATCTGGGCTCCATTAACTACTTTCTACCAGGTGCGGCAGCTTTCCCGCATGCTACCCTAGCAGCAATGACAACAACACTCTTGGAATACTGATTCCCGGAATCCTCTTTCCCTCACTATGTCTTTAGGCTGAATCGTAATGGTGTATGTTGAAGGATGCGAATTCGGAAGTCAGTTGTTACAGCAATGTGTTAAAAGTGTGAACACGGTAAGAAGAGAAGTATTTAGATATTAAATGAGTTGTAATTACACTCCATGTACCTAACTGGGTGTTGTGTCTGTATCACATTCTTCCTGTTCATATCTGCGTGGGTTAATCTTTGCAAATCTCAATGTATCATTATTGTAACGGCGATAAACCTTAAAAGCGATACGACTTTTCTTCTGCCCACAGCAAAATGAATGACTGCTTCGAGGTAGTTAAGATATTTTCTGCATATACATAAAAAAAAAGATACAGTTCAGCTACTTGAGTAACATACAATAAACTGTCTTCATAATCAAGATCAGTAATTATGTTCCTTCGCTTGCTAATAATGTTTTGTAGTCAGTAAGCATGTATAGGGTATGGGCTGTTGGCTGTTGGCTGGCCTGTGCCTTTATCCCAGTTCAACCAGATACCGGATTGGCTACTGGCCAGAAGGTCTTTACAAGGAGCGGGAAGCCCACTTAGTTATTGTTTTCCCTTGTCGGATTACCAAAATCCAAGTCTTTAGTTGGCTACATTGGCTCCGCCTTTAACCTAAAGGGGGCCCCACATTCAGAAATTCAGGGGTTGAGGTATACGAGCCCCGCTGTCATCCTTAATTTACAAACTTCCTATCCGCGCTGTTGAAATAGCATTTGCGTTCAATTGGTAACCAGCTCGCAACTACAAACTGTATTCTGCATCTATCAGCATTGTACACAGTCACAGGGTCGTGAATCGTCCGATCTTTTGCCACATATGGCAGTATTCTCGACGAATGATCATCATGCAAGGCTTCGGTCATACTGCGGCATCTGCGGCGACTCAATAAAGGTGTCTGAGCAATGTGAATTGCGTAAGTCAACTACCTTATCTTCCTGTCCAAGTCTTAAAACCATTCCCTGACCCACATCTAAGTTATTGGCAATGACAACTCAACCGCCTTTTCCCAACGACTTGGCCCATATAGCTTCCCTGATTATGGTCATGGAGTTCGAGATAAGAATGGCGTGCTCCTGTGTCGAAAGCCACGTTGCAGCATCTGTGCCGTTTCACCAGAGGCCTCGGTCACGCATTCTGACTGCTATAACTTTCTAACGCAAAGTTGCGATGTCAGTGATCATTTGGACTACTTGTGGATACTTACTGCCTGGCGAGCTCCATGGCGTCAAGCACCTTACTTTCATCTCAAAGATGCCGTCACAAAAACGGGTGAATCGGTATTTGAAGCCTTGAATATGTCTAGTATGAGAAGGCTTCCCGCAGAAATACTAAACATGATTCGCGACTATTCGGCCTCAAGTATGATCTGGCGGTTTCAAACGGCGTCTGGGATTGTTGAAAAATTCCCCACCGCTTCAACCGACCACCTTTTATCGCTTCCCCTACAGACAGTCTCAGCCTGGAAACGTGGCGGCCAGGTCACGACTACAGAGAGGGCAGATATGCTACCAGTGATGCGCTTGACTATAGACTCGTGGGGTATCCGAGACATCGAAAGACTTGTCGAGAGTCCAAATTTTGGAAGAAGGCGGACAGACGGTCTTGTGTTCGTTGTGTCAAACTATGAGAGCCTCGAAGGCATTAATGCGTATTTCAAGGTAAAGCTTCCACCTGTTCGAGATAACTATAAGAGCGATACGATGTTTGGCGATCCTAACTTTGCATTGTAGTTTGGAATTTTGCGTTTGGAGGTGCCTGAAAAATGCCGCGGGCTCCAGACTTGGGACACGCCGACGCCTCCGGATCTACACCAATGCCACTTTTACCCAGCAAAGATTACTTACTCCACGCAATTTAGAACGATAGATCTAAACCAAACAAGTGGGATCACATTTTTCTTTTCCAATGGTCAAATTTATGCAGTGCATGCTCACACTCGGACGACACCTTATGCCGAGATGACCTACCAACGCCTGCCTCGCCGACGTCAGCAGGCAGTCGCTTGGATCTACATCCCGGTTGCACAGCGGGACGCTGTTGTTGCCTTGGGGTCACGTGTGCCATCATCTGAGGCTACGTTCTCCAGTGGTACGTGCTTGCTGGTGAGTCCGATCTAATCAGAAGACATTCTATGACATTAAAGATACCTAACAAGTTTAGTTCCGCATGCAATTAGGAGGCGACGTATCAGTCGGCGTTGGTCTGTCCGAGGAATTCAGAGATGTGTTACTAAGTAAATCACCAACCACGATTATATACAATGAGCTCGAATTGCAACCTGTGTCTGTCTTTGGCGCCTACCCTACCGAGGTGCGAAAGGACAGTCGTCCCGCGACCCCATTCAGTCAACCATTGATCGAGCAACCCCAATTTCCATATGCCTACTTCTCACTGGCACCGTTAGAACGCGTCGATCGCATAAGGATTTTCAACGATGAACTTAGTGGCTTTTGTGTGGGTATCTTGTTTGGATACCAGAACGGCGCTCAACGATCAGTTGGGCAATGCAGAATAGGCAATGACCCTTTCAAAGATTGTGCGAAACCGAGTCGCATCTGTTTGCATCGACACAATTATGGCCGGTCCGGAACCCCGGCTCGCTTGCAAGCAACCATGGTAAAAAGCACCAGTGGACAAAAGCATGATCACGATGAGCAACAGGATTGGACGTGTTTCCAAATGCAGGGTCGATTAGATTTCTGGTTCAGCTTTAAAGAGACTAGTTTGGCGGTCATTCTAGATTGATAAGACAGGATAGAAGTAGAAATATCATGGTTTCGGACAAGTCAAATAGTACCTTCCGCGTCAATGCCTCCTCCTATTAGCCTGCCATTCCGGCTCCAATGACCAAGTGTAGTATTGCCGACTTGAATCCACCGTCCATGAGTGACCGAGGTAAAGATGCTTGGAGACATTAATGAAGTAGCCAGCCCTTGCACCATTAGGTACATGAATGCGAATGTTATCGGGGACTTTGTTGTAATTGTACATTCTTTTCTTGTGCTTGTCTATGACAACCTCCCGCCCGTCATTGGTGCTTAGTGTTTGAACCTGAGGTGCGTCTGAAGACTGAGACTGGCCACCATAAGCGTCCCTGGGCGGTCGGTTCCTGAATTGGCTAGTTTGAACCAGAAGCTGCATGAATCTGCGATGGTACCGCAGCGGTCATTTAGTTGACTTCATTGTCGTGCCGGTTTGGAGGAAGGCTAGGGGAGGCTGGCCTGAGCGATAGTGGCCTCTCGAAGACGCCCGGACCAGGCACTGGGCTTTTCTTGATGAGATTGAGCTTGTAATGAATTTCATTCTCATGGGTGGAATATTCAACGTACTCAGCTTGAGTTTATAATACGTCCCCAAAGGCCAGATAGCTGTCAAATAGTCGTTGTTAAACCTGTAGGTCCACAGCCTAGCTTTACCGCGTACAGGTGTCACGGCCCAAATGCATAACCTCATTGTCTGAAATTGAACCATTGAGCTTAGCGATGAAAGCGTAGCAGCCCCGACTACAAAGCAGCATGAATTCTGTGCCGAATGGTTTGATAACCCCTGATTTGAATACTTCCGATTTAAGTCTGTTACCAATACGTTACTCTCGATTACCTCAACTCAACATGCTCGCCTTGTCTCCTCCTCTCTTCCTTGCACCTGTCCTGTTCTCCACACCCAATCGGCGCCTCCTGCCTCCATCTTGCGTATTGAGCTGCCCCTCTAGCACTAGCAAAGACAGGATCAATTCCTGGTCCCCCCTCATGAACGAATGATATTTTCTCCCCATCGTCGCTTTCTCTCTGCAGATACCCGTTACCTACGAGCGCGCTTCGTAAGGCCGCAAGAAAATCCGGATGTGTCGCGTTCTCTCCTGTTAGCAAGATTGTGTTGAGGCGGAATCCTTTGGGAGCTGTGCCACAAAAATCCCCCAACCTTTTGGTCACACGCGCCCAGAAGTCGGGATTATCCTTCGAGGTAGCTAGACCTAGTTCAAGGTCTGTAAACGTCCGGTCATTAGGTCTAGGCTGGAATTGAGTGAATGCAGACCGAGTCCTAACAATGTTTCCACGCAAATCGGTGGGAGTGATTCCCACCACTAGGGTTGTCGCCAAGGGAACATTATCCTGCTCCTCCGCACATTGCCAGAAGCTTTTATAGTTTTTGCACAAACCCTTCCCATGTCCCGCGATAACAGCATATGACTCGAGAAGCCGACTTGGGTAACCGCCGGCAGCGGGCAAAGGAAGTACAACCTTTGGACGTGGCAGACCAGCCGCCACCCACGGTCGAATATGCGCATATTCGAGGGCGTCCCAGAGGTCTAGTTCTGCCAAACCTTGGATTCCGGGGTGCGACACAGCGACTCTATCTAATGGACTTGTGACTGCGGTAAAAGTCATGTCGCGTAGCGAGATAAGTAGGGAGGCAATAATGCCGATATCGGGTGTAGCTGGCCTCCCCATCTTTCTGTTGAAAGATCGTCGTAGCTTTTCCCATCTTGATAGTGGTGGAGGAGGTGGAGAATCAGCTAGACGCCTCATAAGTGCTGTATATTCTGGGCTTGCAGGAATAGTCGCAATGTTCTTTACAGTGCCATTGTAGAAGTGCGTAGCAGCGGTTCTAGCAATTGGCCTGTTAGTTTAATCATCGCTGACGAGAAAGGATAAGTGGAATGAGAGGTAAAGGATAGCGCACCCTGAAGACAATGAGAGACTGAACCCAATCCCAGGCGCGTCGTGAACAGTCGCAGGTAAACAATCAGCGCAAGTTGGAAAAGGCTCAAAATAGTCACTGGAAGCCTTTACGCTGCCGATCAGGCCAAAAAGAAGTGCTGATCGCATGGTTGTATTGGAAACGACAGGAAATCTGCGACAAATGTAATGGAAAAACAGATAAGTAAGTCGAGAGGTTTGACAAGTTTGAGCGGTTTCAGATGATGTGTCAAATAGTTAAAAGAGATCACATGACAGATTGTATTAGCCGTACACATAATAAATACAGGGGTTGAGGTATACTTGTAGCAGAATAACAGTCACACGAACGGCAATGCACTACAAGGACTCCAAATATGAAATCGTATAATCCTTCTACTGGGTTGAGTTCAGTAAAATCATATCCTAGTCTTCTATTGTCAAGCGGTATCTAGTCAGATATCTTCTGAATATTTCCGCTGTGGCAAAATGCTTATTTTATCGCCGACTTGAACAATTGGAGCCCTTATACGAACAGCCTATGACTTAAAATATGTAGTAAGCATAGATACATTCGAATTAAATCACGACTAAGCAGAATACTTATACTTATAGCTTACTAGACTATTTAAATAAGTTTTGCCACCACTTATTAACTATACTAAAGGCTAGATATTTACTAAGTATAAAGGTTTATATTATAAATTAATACTTAATATGTAGCTTAGCTATGTTATCATTAATAAATATAATATATTAATTATTCATAAACAAAATAGAAAGAGAACGTTATTAAAGGATAACATAATTAATTATAATACTACCTCTAAGATTAGTAATATAAATACGTAATTTTCATAAACTACCTGTAATAAGAATATATCTAACCTTAATCTTTAATGAGGTGAATGTCAATAATATAACCAGCGAATCCTTAGAAATTACTAGACGTTGCTAACAGGTACTCATTACGCCTTAGGTCCATTAGCAACACCACCTGTAAAACAATCGAGGATCGCAACCAGGCTTAGCAAATCGACAAGTCTCAACATGAAGATAAGAGAGTGGCAAGTATCTCCAATCTCTATTTCGCATGCTAGTCTGACATTATCGAAGAGTGTCTAGCAGATGCATGGGTGGACTCTGCTGGTATGATGTTATAGGTCGTGACCTAACCCCCAGTATCGCGAACAGATATCGATTGCCAGAGAACATACGTCGCTACAGAGCGGAAAGGTTTTATGTCAGATGGCGAGCGAAGGATTATAGATGGGCGAGAGCAATGGATCAAAGTGACAAAAGCAGTACACTTGACAGCACGAAAGATCAACATGGAGAACGAGCAGCTACATGACCTCCAAAATCTATAAATCAAGCAATAACTATTACCAGTGGCAACACCTTTATATTTGCCAATCGTGTCTTCTTTCTGTAGCTAATGTCTTCATACCGTATCCCGCCTAGTATGTATTGTATCCAGCCGCCTGAAGACCATGTTCGGGCTGTCTCAAACAGATTCGCAAGAACCGCCAGGATAAGAGACAGGGTCAGGAGATACCACCATCACACATCCATCACTACAAACGCATTGGAGATTTTCGCAGCTGACTTGGCATTCTTCAGAAACACCAATAATATCGGAGCACGTCCCGAGAATTGGGCAAATGGAATTTTCTTTTGGATCCAATGGTGCTGCGCTAGCTAGCCCGATACTAGCAGTGACCATCGCAGCGAAAATTGCAGCCTTCATTGTTGCGGGAAAGTAGGCGGATGATGTGACGGTAGATGTCTGATGTTTTAGTCGGGTGTTGAGGTGCAATGGTGGGTTAGGTACAGATTTGAGAATTTGTGTTGATTGTTTTGGGTGATTGTCAGATGGGGATGTAGAGATGGAATGTGGCCGATACAGGTAGGAGCGACAGGCAGCTATTTATATCTGTATCCTCAACATCTCACGGGACGTAACGCTCCCTCTGACCCAAACTCCTTGAGCCAACTCATCATAGCTTACATCTCAATCTTGATTTCTGTAACCCCTCTTGAGCCGTGTTGCATAGCCACGTCAACTGAGACAATCCATTTTATCAGAGCGCTATTGCTCCATATGGGTTTGTTTTCACCAAGTGTTGTATAGTTATCGAGTCGCTTACTTGGCCTAAAGGAAACTAAGACACGGACGCTGAAGTTGCCGACATATACTGTAGCCACTTCCGCAGTATAGGAAAAGATTATCGCTCAGATAACCTGTCTAGTGAAAAGTCTCCACTTTCTAACTACGCTAATGGCAACTAAGAGATTTCAGCAACCCTTTATTTCATTTGATACCCTCGACTATTCACACAGTTTTCCAAGCTACGAAACTCACTGCTGCCATTCCTCTGGATGTTATTGTCTCATAGACGGGCCGCGCTCTTGCGGGTCTCTACAACGTGATAGCCAGCCAGTATATCTACTTGTATTCACGGAGCGACTAGCAACATGCCCTGTCTCACATTTTAGCGTGAATCCATAAGCATCCGGTCCGTCTATGAGATATGGATCGACAGATGTAAGACATATTGGCTTAGCATATCTTCAAGACGAGTGACGAAAAGCAATCAAGAAAAAAGCCAAGAAGGGTAAGAAGAAGACCAATGGTGTCAATAGTGAGGCAGAGGTCCTTACTATACGGTTTACTGGCCAGAGGGTATGGAAGATTGGATACGACCTAAGAAGAGAGAAGTAAAGAAGACAAAGGATAAGAAAGACGGAAAGATGAATATGAAGGAAGAAGATAAGACGTAGTTCGTATCATAGGTCTTTATGTTTAGCGAAATTATGTGTATTTTCTATCGCTATTATAACATAATGACAAAAAATTGTCTATCAGTTTGTTAATTGATTTTGATTACATTGAGTTAATCAGTCAGCTTTTACAGAGGGTTGGTAAAACAACGACTGGAAATTTGCGTGAAATACCATAGAAGAAATAAACAAGTAAGACAAGAGAAGGTCACAAGACAAGTTGTGTCACCCAAGCGTATACCCCTACACTAATTTACTTACTGCCATTAAATAAAGCATACAATGAAGACTATCCTAGAAACAATGCTGCGTGACATCTGGCTTCCCCCCGGGTAGCATCATGCGGAACGGCCAGCCTTGAGAGTGATATACATCGGCGGCTACCTTCTCAAGCCATTTAGTAGGCGCAACTGGAATCCAGAATTCGCACTTTTCTCTCGCCAGAATCTTCAATCCAGTTGTCCATGAGCGGTGGCCACCGTCTTTATCCCCGAGAGAAAGCTCTGCATGAGCCAATGACAAATAGATCACCGCGGCTATAAATCCACCACTTGATCCGAGGGTATGCATGTTATTGACTTGTTCGAGTGCGATCCTCCAACGTAGCACGGCTTCCCCATGATCTAGCGATAGATGGGATATGCGTGCCGACGCCAGTAGCATCCGGATGTGTAGCTGCTGGTCGTTAATATCGTCGGGTCCATGAGGCATGTCATCCAACAGCCCCTGAAGTGTCGACTCAGCTATGTCTAATCTTGCCAATCCAATGTTGGCCTCAACCAACGCGAGCACAAGCCTTCGAAATCCACGACGCTCGCGGTCACACTTGTCAATACGATCAAGTTCTGGCTGGAGTATCTCAATGGCCTCGAGGTACTCACCCACTTCGCAGTACACATCAGCCAATCTACCTACTAAGACACGACGTGAGTTCGCACGTATCGGCTTGATCAGGGCTAGTGATATGAACTGCTCCAACGAAGATTTAGCTGCACCGAAGTCACCAATGGATTGAAAGTATCGTGCGGCCGTACTCTGTAGTCGAAAAGTAACTTCCATATCGAGAGTCGATAGTGGTTGCTCAGCTTCCCACTCATATGCAAATGAAGGCACGTCGTTGTCGTAACACTTGATCTTGTTCTCCATCTGAGAAATGTGAATACGTCCCTCAAGAGCATGATCCCGACGAGTGACTGGGCGTGGCCCACGCCATGAAAAGTCTCGTATGTGTGATTCCGACTTGGCAAGGTCTCCGTCAACCCGGAAGAGTATGCTGCGAAAAAGAACAACAGAAGCATGTAGATAATAAGGCATTGACTTTCGTAACAAGACCTTAGCCTGATTGACAGCGGCGTGACGGATGGCAACCGAGTCTCTCTCGCCAAAGTATAGGACGGCTTCGATAACTTGAGTCCTGAGCGATGCTGGCACCTTGCATGTTTTCAACAGCTTCTCAAATATCGACCACACTGCTTCTTTTAATGACGGCGACCTGAGAAATAAGCATAAGTTATAATACGTGCAGTGCGTGTATAGGTCCTACCAGTCCGTATTGCCTTCGTAGCATAATGGGCAGACGAAACAAAGAAGCTTCAAAGCTGTAGCCTTCAGTTGCTCTAATGTTGGTGGAAGCAAGGTATCGGCGAAAGTCGACGTGAGCTTGGGGCATAAAGACCAAGTTATTGAATTGTCGCTCTTGACGTGGCTTGTTATGCACGAATCTGCTGTGATAGCAGAGAATTTTGATTCATCGCATACGAGATCCACAAGGTCAGAAGGTAGTCCGAATTGAGCAGCATCGGTTTGTTGTATTTCTCCATCAGTATTCCATCGACGTTGGGGGATGCGAACACTCTTCAGTAGGACATCAGGTATGTCGGTACCACCAAGTGCATACATTACAAGCAATAATTGGTCTTTGGCTGGAATTAATGCAGGGTAGTCTTCAACAAGATTGTAGTATGATGTCGTCAACGAAGAATCTAGAGGCATGTGTTAGTAAAATGATGGAGGAATATTATATAATACGAGAGGGACTGACCGCGTATTTGGCTAAGAATCAGGCGTTGTACGAGGTCGTTGTAACTTTTAAATGCTGGATTGAGAGACACTAAATGACCGAACACTTCTTCGTCGTCTATACTGAGATATCTCTCGTAACTGCAAGGCATCAGCACTCTCGATTATCATGAGTCAAGGATGTGAGACTTTACGTTGAAGGCGGGATGTTCAGTGGAAGCCAAAAAATGGCGCCTATGCCACCAAGTTTCTGTGATATTTGAATATACTTCCTCCCAGGATTTCGCATGTCAGCCGGATCTTGCTGTCCATGGAACACGCCAGCCACTTGAGGAGACGCCAACGCCTGAGTGCCCAATTTGGATCGGAGAAATATTACGACGCAGGCAAGTCGCCGACGTAGTTCGGTGTGAACACGATCGTCTGAGCCTGCCCAGAAACCATCGACATCATTGGCAAACCTTTGGCTGACTTGATTGACAGGGGTGAGGTCAACCGAGTCTACAAAGAGGGCTTTGTCGGTACGTTGATTCCGCGGTGTGATTTGGAAGGGCACGTCGCGACTGAGTGATTTAGACTGCGCTAGAAAATGTCGCACATCTTTCAGGTGACGATTCAGTGCAGGGATTAATTCCCTGGCCTGAACCTCGTCGTACTCGTTGGCCAGGGTGTGGATTGCGCTGCAGAGACACGCTTCCATCGTGCATGAAGTTGAGAATCGTACGGAGTAAACATTTTCACTTATCAATCAGCAAATTTTAAACTGGGAGCTGCCATTGAGTTTTGGGTCCGCTTACCGGTGAGTACGCGTCCGACGTTATCTGATCCTGTGGGCTTACGAGCTAACAGGGGCCGTCGGCGTCTAGGCACAAAGCTAAATACTCGGTTCCCACTCAAGGGTGTGGATGTATTATCATGCCGAATGTGCTGAACCCACTCTGCATTAGTACCAACTCCAGTGGTTGACGAAATTCTTTTTTCTTTCTTTATCTCATATTCTACCTTGACACAGAAACACTGTTACTTTCACCGTCAACCATGAGTCGCTCATTGTCTAACGGACCTGGAAGAGCCAGTTCAATATCAGAAGCATCTGATCAAACACCTCTTTTACAAGAACAAGAGGACCGATCTGGTTCAGTAGAGGCTTCGACAAAACCTCGACCTATCTCGTGGAGGTCACTCCCCAATAAAGGGCAGCTCGCTGTCATCCTCCTTGCCCGCTTGGCGGAGCCATTGAGCGAGCGGTCCCTCGCGTCGTACCTATTCTACCAACTGCGATGGTTCAATCCTGACCTCAAGCCCTCTGAGATCCCCAAGCAGGTCGGCTATATAACCGCTGTCTTTGCTGCGGCACAATGTCTCACCTCTATGTGGTGGGGTCGTGCTGCCGACAATCCTCGCTTGGGACGCAAACGCGTCTTGTTGATTGGGCTTGGTGGTTCAGCCTTGTCGGCGTTGGGAATGGGCTTTTCAACATCATTGTCAGCGGCATTCTTCTTTCGCTTCTGTGCTGGTGCTCTCAATGGGAATATTGGCGTTCTTAGGACTATGGTATCTGAGATAGTTCCTGAGAAGCGGTATGTTGGTATTCTATTCTGCCATTTATACTATGCAATGGCTAACGCCGGTGTTACCAAAGACATCAGACTAGAGCCTTTCTCCTATTACCTATGTGCTTCAATGTTGGTGTCATAATTGGGCCACTTCTAACAGGATTCCTCGCCGATCCTGTCCACTCTCTCCCACGCATTTTTGGACCTGGCTCATTCTTGGGTGGCGCTGATGGTGTTCAATGGCTTCGAGACTTCCCATACGCGCTTCCAAACCTCTTTTGTTCTGTTATCCTGACTACAGCATTCTTTCTAATTATTCTTGGGCTCGACGAAACGCATCCGCAACTGCGCCACAGTCCGGATGCTGGGCGCAGACTTGGGAAGCTCTTGTTGCGTATCATCCTGCGAACAAAGACCGCAAGCTATCGCTATGATGCTGTCGGCACCGAGGTACCATCTGAACTGCTCATCAGTCAGTCTCCCGACCACGAGGCTGGAAAGATACCAGCAGAGCCTGGAAATAAGGTCCAGCCACCGTTCCGGGACGTCCTGACCAGGAATGTCTGCCTCAACATGTTGCAGCGTTTCTTACAGTCACTGCATGTTTCAGCCTTCAATTCCATCTTCTTCACTCTTCTACCTACACCTAAAGCTGACGGTCAAAACTTCCATTTGCCTTTCCGCTTCACTGGTGGTCTTGGACTTTCCAGCGAGAAAATGGGACTGGCTAACACAACCATTGGCATGATTGGGATACCTCTGCAGCTCTTTGTATACCCAAGACTCATTGGCAGCCTCGGTGTGAGACAGTCGTATCGTGTATTCTTGCCGCTTAGCATTGTCGCCTACTTTTTGCTGCCATATCTTGTCCTACTGCCTGACAACGAAGCTCTGGTCTGGACCTGTCTGTCGGCGGTGCTTACCTTGCAAGTTTTGTCACGAACCTTTGTCAACCCAGCGACTATGATGCTCGTCAACGACTCAGCACCAAGTCCGAGTCTTCTGGGTACAGTGCATGGTCTGGCGTCCAGCGTCTCGAGCGCTGCCCGAATCATGGGGCCAACCGTAGGCGGTATAATGCTCGGTTGGGGTCTTGCTAACAATATTGTCGGGTTGCCGTTGTGGTTATTGGGCATTTTGGCTGTGGCAAACTGGGCGATCCTCTGGTGGATTGAAGACGTGAACATGTCGCAGTGATGCATATGCCGTCACATTGCTTGGGGTGGCTGGGAAATGCCATCCATCTAGCAGGGATAAACGCAAATTGAAGCGATCGAGTTATATTAGCACAGTTATAGCAAGAAGTCGACATGGAAATAAAATGATGTTTTTGAAGAAGTTATTATGTATTGAAAACGTAGAGGAGTGACTTTAAAGCTAGGTACATATTAACCCCAAAATCTGATCAACTGATCATTTCTTTTCTAACATCCAACCGACTTAGTGCTACATACCCTATAGCACAGATACGGACAGACGAAACAAACTAGCTTTCCTATCTTAGCACAATTAGGAAAAATAAGGCTCAAAATATGTATTATATTTGGTTTTCAATTTGTTCTGTCAGTATAAAATTAGTCGCACTTGGGCGGCGTTGCAAGGATATCATGGAGGTGATGCATCGTTCTGAACTGTAGTTCTAGGGCAAAAATCAACCCAGCTAATCATCTAGGGGACGAGCTTCGGAGACCCATCAGAGGGGTGGCACGTAGGAACGATTGTCTCCTTGCCTGGGGTCAAGACAAGGGCTACTTTTCACTGTGAAAAAAACCAAAGGTTGACGACCCCTGCCAAACCCCACAATCCGTGCTGAGAAAGTATAGTCTAGCTTTTCCGGGACCTCGTCCGACGGCAAAACCGAGCAAGATTGATAACAGCCGAGCTAAAATGTTAAAATGGATCTAACGCGTGTGAAAATTGAGAGCACTAACAACACCCTCCCCACTGGATGTTCTACCAGTCAGAGCTTCCACAGCAGATCGGGAATATTCGTAGCTCAGCTGGCATGCGGTGTGACTAGGATCACGAGGTGGGTCTTAGTGGGCACGCGGAATGCCGCTTGACCGGAAGTCTGGTTAAACTTATCAATCAAAATTTGAGTTGATCTTATCAATCAGATCGTTTCATACCCATCTGTCATCCTTCATCCATCATACCATACTCGCCGTCGAAAATTCCCTATTCCAATATGCAGGGACTCAAACCACCTAGTCCTAGTCCTAAGCAGCTCAAGAATGAAGAGGCACTGACCAAATATGCGGTTTTCCTATGTGGCCTTATGCTTCTTGTTACTGCCGCTCGTTGGCTGCACAAGTTTTGCATCAAATCTCCGCATCTCAAAAAGCCCGCACCATCATCAAACTACGGGCACGAGACGTGTCTTGTGGTCTTCAAGTAGGTAGATTATACTAAAACCTCGATTAATAGTGTGCTCATAAGCTTTATAGAAATCTTCAAAAACGTGCTCCTTGGAATTGGTTTGGGCGACCATCTTTTGGCTTTATCATATTGACCAGCTTCTATCTTGTCGGCAACATCGCGTTCTGCTCAAACATGCTTGCAATGCCTCAACTCCTGAATCATTGGGCCTCTAGGTTTGGATGGTAAGATAAATCTTCTGCTCATGATTCCTGGCCTGCGATTGACACGTACCAGGATGGGTGCTGCCAACATGGTACTTTGCGTCTTCTTTGGACTCAAAAACACGCCGCTGGGTCCGTTAGCAGCCGTTTCGCATAGCCAGCTGAATGTTCTCCATCGAATAGTGGGCTATACAACTGTATTACTTGTGTTAATTCACGCTGCTGTGTACACGATACACTTTGGACGCCAAGGCCGCTTAATGCAGTTGCTCAAGATGGAGGACATCGCAGGCATAGGGGCTGGTGCTGCTATGCTGGTCTTGCTAATGGGTATTTTCAGACACAAGCGCTACGAGCTATTCTATGTCAGCCATATTATTGGATTTCTGTCCGTTGTCCTCTTAACAGCACTGCATAGGCCAAACTGGGCAAAAAAGATCCCAGTGGTTATGCTTGTTGTTTTTAGCATGTGGATGCTGGATCGTCTTATTCGATTGATCGTAATTCTAAGCAATCTTGTCAACAACTCGGCTACATTCCATCCCCTTGCTGATGGAGGAACACGAGTGATGCTTAAGAAACCTGGCACAGAAGCTGCTTTGCCGGGATCTCATTGCTTCTTTTGGATCCCAAGACTTCGAGCCTACGAGAGCCATCCATTTACTATTGTCAGTAACGATTCCTCTGGTCTGGAACTCGTGATGAAGTCGCACGAGGGCTTTACGAAAGCTGTTGAGAGCTTTGCAATTCAACATCCTGGTTCTACTCTGTGGGCCTCTATTGATGGTCCATATGGGTCACTACCAGACATGAACCACTACGATAAGTTGATCCTTGTTGCTGGTGGAAGCGGAGCTGCATTCACCTTTGGGTTTGTGAATCGGCTCATGATGCAGCCTCAGAGAGTAGCACTTCAATCTATTGAATTTATATGGGCTGTGAGGCGCAAAGGTACGTTCGAATCAAATCACGACCATGGAGAAGACTTGTACTGATACGTTACTAGAGCATTTAAACTGGTTTCACCGCCACTTGTTAAATATCACAAAGGCTGGATACCCTCTAAGCGTGAAGATTTATGTCACGGATGAAAAATCACGAGGTAGCTCAACTGCAATAACTCCTACAGCCACAGCATGCCAACCAGTTACAGGAGAAGTAGAGAGCGAAGGGTTACTAACAGATAGTGCACTTAATTATGGCACTGCTTCTGAGATGGGCAACACAGGTGATTTATTTCAACAAACCACCTCTGACGATCAGATATCCGACCTTAAATTTGAGAAGGTTGATATTGATGTTGTAATCAGCAAATCCTTGGAAGGGGCTGGACGTCACCAACGGGTACTCGTTGCGTCTTGTGGACCCAAGTCGCTCATGGACGACGTGGTGGATTCAGCACATAAATGGCAGAATAAGCGAGGTCTTAGAATAGATGTTCACTGTGAAGACTTCGACGGTTGATAGAACTAGATCAGAGAATTTTGTATAAGGCACTCATAAACAATAATGGTAGAAAGACCCGCTTCCTTCACGGTATGGAACATTCCAAAACTGTTTAATAGTCAAGCTAAATTTAACAACTGAGACGCCCAACAGTTAAACCTCCTGCTTGGGTTGGACCAGGATGACCCGAATGTACACATGATACGATTCATGGGTCGGCGTCGTGTTGGCTGCATCAACTAGGTGCCTAGTCCGAGGCGCTTATGCCTGTTGGGGGGGCGTGTGTTTGGCCTACTTTAGTGTACGTACCATGTTGCCGAGCACGGCCTTGGCGACCTTTTTATCTGATCGACAAACAAAATTTCATAAATACCCGAGGACTTGACTCCTCATCCAGAGCACATCGCCCGAACCGTCCATCAATATTCTCACATGGCTTCTCAGATACCAATGGCAGGACTCTCGACCACCACGGCCACATTGCCTGAATCTGACGAGAAGGGCAGCTCGCAAAAGACACAAGGTCCTGTAGAAGTCTCTGAACAGCACGATGACTTTCCTCTGTCGTGGAAGATCACGGCTCTCGTTTGCGGCGTTGCTCTTTCTTGGGGTTCATCATTCTCAGAGAATACACTGGGTCCCCTTAAGAGTACGTTGAAGAAGCAGCTTGATATCACCAACTCGCAGGTATGTACACCCCTCAAGACAACTCAACACTAGAGTCTAAATCACCTAGTACGGAGCCATCTCCTCAGCCACGTCTCTCGTCAACACAGTCCTCCCAATCATCGGTGGATGGGGACTTGATCATTATGGCGTTGAATGGTAAGATCTTTGTCTACCTTTTGACCCCTTGGAAATACTAGGGACCTTGATTACTTACTGGAATCTACCTTGCTAATTATTTCACTTATGGCTAGGGGTTCGATGGCATGTTCAGTCGCTATTTTTATCGGCGCAGTAGTATCGGCAGCTGGCTCGAACCAAGACTCCTTCACCCTTGTCGTGACTGGTCGGGTGATTATGGGATTCGGAAGCACAATCATCGAGACTTGTACATCCAAGGTATGCTCTTCAAAAAAGAGAAGTCATGGTGTAGCATTTCACTAACAAACACGACAAGATCTTAGCGCATTGGTTTCAACACCGAGGACTTGGCCTGGTATACGGTCTGGACTTGTCAATTGGTATGTTTCTTAACCATCGAGCTGAAAATGATTAGTTGCCTACTGACACTTGGGATTTTCAGGCAAGCTCATTGTGCTCATCGCCAAAGCTACAGCTGTTCCTATGAGAGATGCTTCATCGTTCTGGGGATGGGCCCTTTGGATTCCCGCCATTGTCTGCTTCGCGAACCTGCTGCAAAACATGTTTTATGTTTGGTGGGCGCGCAGTCGACCGAAATGGACACATATGCCCACTGGTCGAGAGCTTATGAAGGAGGCAAGAGAGCGAGGTGACGACGCATCTGTGCCCTCAAGCACAACCCGATCCAGGTTGCGATCTAGATGGGCCATTCTCACCTGTGTACCACGCTTCTTCTGGCTGGTGGCATGCGCTCAGATACTGCAGGCTGGTGTGGTAGGCGGCTTCAACGGGCTCAATGCCGACATTATCAAGCAGACTCGTGGCTCTACCGACCAGATTGCTGGCTACACATCAGCCGTGCAGCAGGTTATCCCCGTGGTCGGCGCACCACTCATAGGTGCTTTCTTCGACTTCTTCGGCTATAGAATGACCTTTGTCAGTTTAACTTCAGCCATCTGGGTTTTGGTGTATTGTCTTATTGGATTTACCCAAACGAATGCCCTCGGGTCTATGGTTATTGCTTCTGTTGCGTCAACCATGAATGCTTTACCCTTCTTGGCATCTATCCCATTGATAGTGCCGAATCAAATCGAGCTTGGCCTCGTATTCGGAATTTGGAAGGCATTCAACAATAGTGGTAGCGTTATCGTCGACATGATTGCTGGAAGGCTGCAGGACATAACACCCGGAGGCACATACGAGTGGGTGATTGCATTTTTTGTGGCTGTGAAAGGATTGGAGTTTTGCTTGGGTCTGTTCTACGGCATCCTTGATCGAAAGTAAGTCAACACCTGCTTCAAGAATCAAACTTGCGTGCCGTTGCTAATGACCTCTTCTTAGATACCTTGCAGGTATTCTCACCATGAGTGAGAAGAAACGTATGGACATCGAGCGAGAAGATAAGCTTGGAAAGCCAATTGGACGGAAACCTGCAAAGGTGGCAACCATCATTGGGATTTCTCTCGTTTGTGCTATGATTGTTATCGCTTGGGTACTTTTCATCAAGTACTCGATCTAATCTATAAGGAAGACGAAAAAGATAGATAGGTACACAGTCAAACAGGGCCGGTTGTGGCCACGGTCATTTAGAAAAAAGTTATATGCCAAGGATAAATCACATAAACTAATCATATTAGTATTAGAGTAGTTTTGTGTTGAATTAAACTCGGATCTGCAGTGTGTATTGCATCGGCATCTATGAGCTTGTACTGACTTCTGGAAAGAAACAAACCCCTTAACAGCTGACCCCCACATCCAAGTGATAAACTCGAGAGTTTATGTTCATGGGTTTAGTAACTATTTCCTAACACGTTCCCAGTACATATGAATAGCACTGCTAGCTCAGTTCACCACTCAAGCGACAAAGAGAGGATTCTTAAGACTAAATCGACTGATAAACTCGGATGCCTTGATTGCGAAACGCACCGTTGTGGTATTTTGTCTAATCTGAGGAAGTTCTTATCAATCACCTTATCTTTGAAGAACTGACGAGCTCTGTGTAAAAGCTTCATTTCCCAACCTGCGAAGAGTCACGACATTGATAATTTATATATCTGAGTTGCTGCGAGTCTAGTCGTTGTTTCCAGTAGCGACTCCCCAGAAGTATCCGCACCAGCTACCCAAAATCAAGATAACCAAAGCAGCGAAGCAAGCTAACGACAACCGCCTGTTCTTATTACCGTTTTCGCTCGTAAAGAGGAGTTTTCTTTCATTGAGTAAAGCTCCTTGCGCAATTCGCTTCTTTCGTGACCATTGAAGATGCCCAAGGTCAACTGACTTCCACGCTACAACAGCGAGAAGTAGGGATACGAGAACAGAGAGTCCAGCAAGAATGACGTACACGATTGTCACTTTGTCATACGAGTTGTTGTCAGCGTCTTGGATCTTTCCGGTGATAATTCGAACAATGATGTTCATCCTAGCGCGAACGTTAACGATGTGGATTTAGAAAGACGCAGTTTGGCTTGTCCTTACGCGTTGTTCATGGTGATTTTGATGGCATAGGCGGATCCGAAGACCGTGCTGTCCCACATCGATGTGCGTGTACTGTCGATGATCGTGGTCGGGCCAAAGCAATAAGCGAAGGCGAAGACGGCAAACGAGGCAGCGGTTCCCTTGACAGCCCCGGAAAAGCACACGAGAAGCATGGAAATGAACATGCCAATTCCACAGAAAACCACTGCAGGGTGTTAGCAACAAAACCCTTTGTATGCATTGCATGCTAGTCACTTACAGACGGAAATGCGACTTCCGTAAAGATCAAGAAATACGCCGAGCAAAGGGACAACAAAAAAGCCTGCAATAAGCCATTAGAACCAATGAGCCTCGTTTTGATAAGTGATCATACCAGAGTATTGTAGCACCGAACTGTACCATCCAGCTGCAATGGAATCAGTACCGAATCTCTGCTCAGCAAGCTCAGTAGCATTCTGTAGGAATACGATAGCAGCGCTCGTTTCAAATAAAGAGAAACTCATAACAGCCCAGAATGTCCACGGTAGCTCCAAGACCTTTCGGTACTCAAACTTCCGCGTCTTCTCAGTGAGCTTTTCGCCAGTGGCCGGATCATTGATCCCATGGTAGCGACGATTGGCAACCTTGGTGAAGTAATAAAAGACACCAGTCATGACGTTTGTGAAGATGTTCATTAGCACGGCGATCCAGAAAACCCAAGCAAAGCCTAGTTTCTTGGCGATGATGTTGGCTGAGGACTTGCCAGCGAAAGCACCAATCTTGCCAATCCCCAATTCGAAGCCTAGAGTCGAGGCGAAGCCATTTCCGGGTGCGAACCAAGACGAAAAGACCTTGTACTGGGCAACTTGGGTTGCGATGTCTCCAAGTGCTCGCACCACTCTGCCAGCCATCATGAACTTGTACGATCGAGTCTGCGCTGCTCCGGCTACCAAGATGGACCCAACCGAGTACAGGAGATTGCCATACAACATCGCTCCTGATGCTGGTCAGCGATAAATCCCTCTGTAGTTGAATTTGACATACCAGCTCCACCAATTCTGTCGGTGACGATACCACTGACAAGCATCAAAGCAGTGACCATGAAGTCCTCGCTGGCCTCCAGAAGGGAGAATTGGGTATTATTGATGTGTAACTCTTTTTTGATGGTGCTCTTCATAGCTGCGGTCACGCCCGAGCTCCATTGCGACCCAAAGCCTATCGCTGTGACTAGAACGATAGAAGCGAGTTTCCAACTCAGCGGTACTGGCTGACGACCGTCATTTCCTGGCTTCATAGATGGCTGAGACATCTGTGACTCTGCATGTTCCTCCTTAACCAGCACATGGGATGACACGAGTTTGCCCTCGTTGACGAGGTTCTCCGGGGGTTGTGGTTGAGCCATCAGTTTAAAGATTGACGAGAAAAGTACTTGATGGGTAAGATCAAGATGGTTATAGGCTGGGGTGGAATAGTCGGTAGGGTTTAATTCCAGACGTGAAAGTGCGCTTTATATATTCAAGTTCAGCAGAAGACTTTTCGACTAGTCAGGAGTTTTCCGCAAATCCTGAGCTAACCCGAGAAGGTGTCAGAGTGCCCGTAGTAATCAGATTGATAAGATGTTTATTGCCCACGTGTGGTTAAAAGCCTAAGCGAAAACTGGGTTAGTAAGGTTACATTTTGAAATTTGCTCACAGTGATAGACTAAGGCTCCACAACTTCTCTGCCAAGAAGACCCACTACGAGGGTAATTCTTCACTGTGAAAAGATGTGAAGTTTTGTGAACCCTGCCACCTGTAAACACCCACTAATCAGCAGCTATCAATTATACCAGAACTCAGACGCCGAAGTTAGCGACTCATGTTAAGAGATTCTTTCGATATAAAGCCTAGCATTACTTTACGTTTCTGTGCCTGATAAACAAAGTGTAGGGTAGTTTCTCTTTTTCAACAAATTATAGTTACTGTTAGTATTTAACTCAATTTCCTAAATGCTTATTTATAATTATCCCTCTGGCATGTTTTGCTAACTATCTCTATTATTATTCATTCTTAAATACCTAGTATGTAACCATAGCTGGTGAGAACCGTTATTGGAAATGTATTCAAAGATCTATTTTTACATGAATCTTCAGTAGTATACATCCTGCAATGCTACCCCATAAATAATTTAGTGATTTTATTACGAATAACGGCATTTTGTAGTATTGGAAATCAATTGAAGTTTATAAAAGTCTTATCTAAATAGCTAATTGCCCGATTGATCGTAGCCGCCGTTCTTAACAAGCCTTGTTCAGGATAAATAGCTGGCCTTCATTCTCAATTGATCGATTCACAGTTCCCCTCCGCTCTTGGCAGACTAAATCTTTGCCATGCCATCGTATCTACTGCGAGTTCTTTGATGACAATCCTTGCGCCTTCATATCATCCAAGCGCATATCTTGGAAAATCTGCCAGATTCGTCGCCGATTGGTAAATCCACCAGGAACATCCAGCCCAATATCATTGTAACTCCATATGCCCTCACTATTGTAACTGGCTGCATCGGGAGGTGGAGGATGCGGTGAGCTCATAACCGAATGGCCTCTGGTCGTTCGCTGATGCGTATCAAACCTTTATGGCCAGTAGATTTGATGGCACCGCATCGTGGTCTATCAACCACGCAGTCGACTAGGCAAAGACAAAGCTGATTGAGAAATTGGAGTCTGACCTGAGCGAGGCTTCTAATGTAGCTGCAGCAAATCAACAGGAGTGGAATGCCAAGGTTGAGCACTGGAAGCTAAGACTCAGCAAGATGACCGATTCCACCACATGGGCAGTGCCAGTACCGAGCTGGACTTGGCAGTCGGTCACCAAGCGAGATGGCGATGGACTCTCCTGCAAGCGTCCAGTTCCCACCTCTACTTCTTCCGAGGAGCCCACTACCTTTTCTACCATGACAAGATCAGAGGGTTCCAGCCAGCAGCCTTCCTCAGAAGAGATCCACCCCTCAACTAAAGCCGAGACTTCTACATCGTCACCTGAAGTGACTAGTTCCTCAACTAAAAAGCCAGGTCCCACCATTGGTCAACGCCCCGGTTGGTTAACAGATGCTCCCACTCTAACCGACCGTCTCTCCCCTACAATCTCGACTCCTGATGGTAGCTCTTGTACCAAGACGGTTACTGAGACCATGTGTAATCTGGGCACAGGTCGCCACGGGAAGGCTTGTGTAACCCATTCACGCTGCGAGTCATGGGTCAACACCAAGACCACTAGCAAGCCCAGTCCCAGCCCTACCTTGGCCAGTCCGCAGTTCACGAACAACATCCTCCGCTGCAATAAGGATAGCCAGGTTTCAAACCCCAATGCCATCTCGTACGCTGCTCAGTCCTTCTGTCGCGATGTCGTCGCTAAGAACAAGGATAACGCCTATTATTGGTCTAACGATAGGCTGGAAGGGAAGAAAGTGCCCTCGACAGGATATCACTTCAAGCTAAGCTTAGCTTCTCAGTTCGGAAGGACTGCTTGTGGAAGGCTAATTACGACCAGTGTATGCGTTACATGGACGTTGCCATCAATGGCTGTAATGGGGGGAAGAAGGACCAGAAATTAGGTGGATGGGTGCGAGACAATTGCATTGAAGCTATTATTAACCCTATGCGCGGTATTTAGACAGTCCTAATGCTCCTGCAGAGGATAATGGTTATCAGGTATATGGATTGTGTCATTAAGTAGAGATCTTTATAGGCTGTTAATTTATATGTATTACATCTTTCTTAATTACCTTATTTATATAGAAATCTAAGATTCAAGTTAAAGATGCTTGCTTTTAGTCTAATTTACCTGCTACAATGACTATCCTGAGGTTATGCACTTATCCCAAAGTTGAGTGGGATCTCATTTCTAACGGATCCACGAGTAAATTACTCAACTGACTAGCTAAATATCGCCCAGGCCCATTTCAGACTAATAATACTTCTAATCTCAGCGCAGACACCTTCTTTCCATCCTGTCATTATGAACGTCTCATCATTAGAACCATTCGCTAAGAAGCAACCATACGAAAATAACACAAGAGCTGCAGGTTCGTAGTTCTCAACTAGTTTTATAAAGTCCTTGCCAACAAGGCATGCCCACTGTAACGACGCTCTGTGTGCAGGGCACCACTCCGATGTCTGCGCTTTTCTCACCAACCACTTCATCAGATCCAGAGCTTCTTGACAGACCTTTCTAATAGCTGGGTCTGCTTCTTGGTCCAAGAATGTCAAAGAGTCAAGCAAATCCAGGACTGGGTCGAGAGGCCCATGGTCTGGTGGTTCAGCCTCTGTGACATATAGTATGAGCTCAGGACGCTCTGGTCGTACAACGCCAAAAGCATCTGCAATAGCTCTCACGCCCCTCGTAAGCCTCCAAGTAACGAGGAGGTCGCTCAACATGCTTGGTGGCTCATCCTTTCCCCGTACAAGCTCTTTAAGGGAGCCCTCGGCATAAGAGCTGATCATCATAAGAACTGAGGAAAGATGACACACGGCGCCGTTGTCACGGCTGGCTTGTGCCACTGCATGTCGCATCATCCCTGCAGCGGTCTGTGCATACTTGAATCCTATGGCGGCGTACATGTCTCGTCGCCGGTAATTTCCTGGCATGTCTGCCTGTGATCGGTGTGCTGTATAGGCTTGTTCGAACGAGGATATAGCCAGCGCCAGGTTCAAAACGACGGGATGATGGAAGGCGAGGTATGTTACTTCATGTTGCCAAAGGTCTTCCGACCCTCGTTGGTGAACGATAGCCTTGAAAGCTACTTTGTGCCAGTGGTATAGCAATTCCCTATCCTGTGCAGTCAAGCCATCCGCAGGTGAGGGGGCGATTCGTTGGAAACGTGTAACAGGCACGAGCTGTTCTGAGGTCGTATTACAAATTAATTGCGTTCTGCTCCGGGGTGATCTTGTTTCAGCCTGGGCCACGAGACTGCATGTTGAGTTTCGACGAATGCAAGCTGTGCATGGAACTGCTTCGTCACACTATCGTGGATGTGAGTGCTCATTCCCTACGTGGCTTTCGGTCTAGGTACATATGAATGATTTCATTACCTTTACTTTTCTGCCTTTGCACTGCAGACAACCGGTCCGCGTCTTTTTATAGGTCATTTTAATGGCTTTGAAACGAGATTGACAATTCAGTTCAGTGTTACCCTATCCACGATTATCAGGAATGTGCATTAATAAGATATCCGGTCTACAGCGCTGCTCACCATTGTGGGCCTTGATCACGCCATCCCATATCTCAGAACGCGTCTTCCACTAACCCCGTCTCGGCAACATATGTCGCCCAATGCACAAGCATTTCTTCCAGCATCTCAGGACGTTCCTTTGCCAGATCATGCTGCTCAGCTGGATCCTCCTCAACATTGAACAGCTCCCAATCACCTGCGCCCGCTTTCGCCAGCAACACTGCTTTCCAGTTCCCTCTACGGATGGCACGATTGCCGAATAATTCCCAGCCATGGATGTGATTCGCATCTTGGTGAACGGTAGGATTCTCGGTAGGAGATGAGAGATGGTTCACCCAGGATTTACCCCGTGGAATAACGACTTGACGGTCCCTGAAGGAGGTCCCTGGGTGTTGCACCTGCGCGAGGTCGAGGATTGTTGGCAAGATATCCATGACCGTTGTGAATGAATGCGAAATAGCTTCGGAAACCACTGAGAATGGCGGGAAGCGAATGAGGCAAGGGCAGCGTATCCCGCCCTCGGTAGACCATCCCTTGAACCCGCGAGAAGGGGCAGTGGCAGCACAAGCCCACCGTGAGCCATACCAGACGTACGAGTCGTGTCTACCAATATTCTCAAGACTGTTATCATAATATGCAGCTATCAGATCGCCTAGTGTTTTGAAGGACGATAAGAGCTAAACCACACGGCTCAGTCAGTATTTTTTGATACTCAATGGAGAGGAGTGACGTACGGGGGCTGCTTCTAGCGTAGATCCTTCTGCGCCGTTGTCTGACATGAACAAGATGAAAGTGTTATCCAGTTCACCTGACGCGTCAAGAGCATCAACAACCTTTCCGATGTTCTGGTCGAGCAGATCAACCATGGCAGCGTAGACTTCCATCTTCCTGGCGGATATAGCTCGCTCGTCATCTGTGAGATCTTCACACTTGATGCCGGCTTCGAAACCAACTGGAAGTGCAGCTTCAACGTCAAATGGCACAAGACCTAGTGCTTTCAATCTGGCCAGCCGGTCCAGTCTGAGTCTGTCTGGACCATTATCATATACGCCGCCTGCAAAAGTTAGCAGGTGAGATCAACGAAACAGGGTAGGCTGTGGACTTACGATATTTGTGGATGACTTCTTGTGGCGCTTGCATCGGCCAGTGCGGGGCCGTGTAAGCCAGGTAAGAAAAGAATGGCTGATCTTTCTCTTCCTCGGTTCTGTCAGCTAACATATCAATCAACTTATCCGTGAAGAAGTTGGTTGAGTAAAACTCGGCTGGCAAGTCCTTCTTTCTATCCACAGGCTTTCCATCCTCCAACCAGAAGCCATCAGAAGTCAACAGCATCGTGTCTTGATCTACCTCGAACTGCGGTTCGTAGTTGAAGTGGTTTCCGCAGCCAGGCAAGAACGCAAAGCTCTTCTTGAAGCCTCTTGCGCTTGGTGACACGTCGGGGGTCAAACCCAAATGCCACTTTCCTGACATAATAGTCAGGTAACCTGCATCGGAAAGAATCTCAGGCAGAGCAGCGACTTTCCAGTTGAGGTAGCCTTCGTAGCCCGGCTTATCAACGTAACTGGGGTATTTGCCAGTAAGGTTCTTCCTCATCTCTTTGAACTCGGCCATCTGACCGAGCCCAGCAATGTGGTTGTCGGTACCAGAGAGCAGCATGGATCGTGTAGGTGAGCATGCTTGTGCAGTATGGAAGTTGGTCATGCGTATTCCATCTTTGGACAGACGGTCTAGTACGGGAGTGTCTATCTCGGAGCCATATGGCTTGATGTCGCTGAAGCCAAGGTCATCAGCGACTATGACGAGGAAGTTTGGGCGTTTAGCAGCAACCATGATTGAAGTAAGTGCCCGTATGACAAGTCGAAGAGAGATTGGATTGCAGCACTATCAGATAGACAAAAAGTAGTATCTTGCTTGATTTTTATACCTGTACCAGGACAGTATTGTCGCCATATGTATTTATATTTCATCCACCATTGAGCAAACGTCTCCCAAATCTGACGAGCCACTTTCTCTGAATATTCTCGGACCCTCGGTGATATCAAAAGTGAGCTACTAGCACCAGACTCCACAATACCAAAAACCCCCACAAACCTTCAGTGCTAGTGTGCCTCGGATCATGCGCTTATTGGTTCCCCATTCAATACTTTTCAAGCACGCAAGATTCCGTGTTCAAGACGTTAGACAAATCGATGCTGGCTGTCATTCAAGACAAGCTCACTAGGCCCTAGGCTCATTACAGTCTGGTCTGGACGAACAAGTTGCCGCTCGGATCATGTCCTCATTGGTGGGGTTTATTCATCAACGCATTGACTTTTACTCCTTTACAATATTTTCAAGCTATCATATTCAGCTAATAGGTGAGTTCGGCAAAGGCTGAAGTGATAGAGGTGCAATAAACGAGAGGTTTGAGCAGAAATAGCGCATTGCGAAATAGCGCATTGCCATTGCGAGATCATAGGGAAAAGGCTGGCGAGAAGAGCATCAGAGATGTCTCCCAAGTTTTGTTCTATATATAAGGCCAAGTCTGGCTGTAGAAACTCCAACCTTGGTTATCGAGAGCCAGCTTTCTTCTTCCGTTTACGCCCTTCATCATGTTGATCGAAAAAGAATCACTTCCCTCCGCCGTGGGAGCTTGCAGTACGGGCCCAGACAAAGAGTCTATTGGCTCGGAGCAGGTTGCCCTCGATACTTGGTCAGAAGCCGAAGAAAGGGCCGTCGTCCGCAAGCTTGACTTCATTGTCATGCCCCTTCTTATCAGTGGCTTCTTTGTCCTTCAACTCGACCGCGGCAACATCGGCAACGCTCTTACAGATTTCTTCCTCACTGAAGTCGGCATCACTCAACTTCAATTCAACATAGGCAATCAACTCCTCAGTCTAGGCATCGTATTACTTGAGTTACCTAGTAACCTTGTTCTCTACCGCGTGGGCCCTCAGAAATGGATTAGCTGCCAAATCTTTTGCTGGGGTCTGGTAGCCACCTTTCAAGCCTTCATTAAAGGAAAAGGCGTAGGTGCATATTACGCCACGAGGCTATTGCTTGGCCTTCTTGAATCTGGCTTCATTCCTGCTGGTCTGTACACTTTGACACAGTGGTACAAGCGCAATGAGACGAGTAGACGCTTCACTGCCTTCTTCCTTGGCAACATGGCTGCCTCGGCAGCAAGTGGTCTTATTGCCTACGGTATTCTTCAAATGCGGGGAAAATCAGGGCTGTCAGGTTGGCAGTGGATGTTCCTGATTGAAGGCATTATAACGATAGCCATCGGCATCGTTTTCGTCCTTTTTATGCCTCACTCTCCAGAAAACCCGTCAAATGTTCTGGGCCACTCATACTTCACATCTCGAGAAATCCATATCCTTACCCACCGAATGGCCATCGACAATCCTGCTAAAAGCCCCAGACACAAATATGTCAAATGGGCAGACATCAAGGCAGCATTCTCTCGATGGTACATCTACCCCCAGCTTGTTGTCTCCTTCTGCTGCGTCGCTATCATCTCACCGCTTGGAACATATCAACCATCCATCATCGCAGGCTATGGCTACGATCGTCTCCAAGCAAACGCACTGTCTTCCGTCGGCAGTTGGATCGTGCTTGTGCTAAATGTGTCGTTGGGATGGATTGCGGACAAGACTCAGAAGCGAGGGCTCCTAATTCTTATTGCTGCAGTGTTGAGCTTTGCATTCTGTCTCGCGACTAGACAACTCGCTACTAGTTTGAATCGAGATCTCAAATACGGAATCCTGACTTGCACTACCCTCTGGGGATCTGTGATTCACCCTCTCAACGGGTCCTGGCTCGCGGTCAATATTCGCAATCCCGCAGAGCGCTCTATAACGATGGCTCTGCTCATTATGACTGCCAATACTGCTGGTTTAGCAGGTGCTCAGATCTTCCAGTCGTATGATGCGCCACTTTATAGAACGGGCTTTACAGTTATTCTCACCTTAGCATCAGTCGCTCTGGTCTTTTCGCTTACCTCTAATGCACGGTATCTATGGCTTAATAAGAAACTAGCTCGGAAGGAAGCGGCAGAGGAAGAAGTAGGAGAGATAATTGTTGAAAGGAGTGAATGGCGATTCTCTTTGTAAGAAGAGGTTTCCAAAATACTAATATGTAACCAAATGAACTGAGAGTATAGTAGGGGTAGTTAGAGTCAATGTGGAGGGAGAAATAGAAGAGAACGTAGCGAATCATTCTAAGTAGTATTTAACAGGAATAAACCCATATATCTATGCTGTACCATCCTCCCCTTGTTTAGTTGTCAGCAGAGCCAACCCTGAACTTAATATAGGGAATGTAATGGTCAGGCCAAGGGATCTGCTGGGGTCCAAACTTGCAGCTGTAAAACTGACGAGAGTCATAGAATGTCTTAAACCCGGAAAGCTCAAACTTGCTCCTTGCTTTTTTCATGCATGGAACATCCATAGAGAGTTCAGTCCATCGGTTATAGCTAACAATACCTGAGTCATATTGGAAGTTACCAGGCTTGACAGGAGAGCTCTCTGTAAGAACCTGTAAGTTGCTGACACCTGTGCTAATATCCTTGAGTGGCTTTTGTAGCTGACTTTTGAATAGAGTCTGAATCTCTACCAGTCGCTTTTTGAGCTTTCCAGAAGAGTCTGCCTGGAGCTCTTTGGCGTATTTGTTCCATGGGTAGGCAATAACCTCCTCGACAGCTGCAAGAGCTTTCTCCGACAAAGGTGAAAATCCACTGGCGAGCTCGGCTATAGGCGAGAGCAAGCCCCCAAGCTCTGTAACTGCTTCAGGTAAATCCGTGGTAAGTTGAATGGCCTGACCTATATCTTCAAGCTTAGAAAGCTTTCCACTCTTGATCAAGTTGACGAAGAAGCTCGCGTCTGGGATCGATTGGGAAGTTTTAATGACCCTCTTGGTTGTTTCAACCATCGCAAGGGTATTCTTTGCGGAATCAGAGGCGGCCTTTTGCATGTTCATTAAGGCCTGCGTTGTAGCAATAGCATTCGCAACTGCAACCAGTTAGTTGACATTTTGATGTAGTTGATCAGGCGATAAATACCCTTCTTGTTAAACCCTGAGATGCCAGGGCCGACACACAATTTTCCTGTGCAAGCAGCCTTCTGCGTAGTCCGCACCTTGCTGGAAACGCTTGCCACATTTGTCGCGACTGTTTGGGATGAGGATTTTATTGCGACGAGGATACTGTTCAGTTTCTCAAACAGCTTGATCCAATCTCGGAGCATCTTTGGAAGCTGGAGACCAAACTGCGTTGCTGTTTCTTTGAGATACCGAGTAAAGAAATATGAAATATTAGTTGGGTCACATATTCCAGAAAGACAAGGAGAGACGGCCGCAACCATCTCTGCATATGTCGCAATATCAATCTAGTTACATGTGAGAAGATATTTCAATGTTGAGATGGGGTGTTTTGCGGTACCTCTTTTGCACGAAGAACATCCCATCCGCCCTCACGCGTCAGTTGTTTCTCAATGACTTCATCGCGGTCATCCTTAACGCCTAATTTCTTGTCGATAATGCACTATCCGTATTAGTAGTGAAAGGGACCTTAGTTTTAAACAAGACTAACCTTTTGCAGCCGGATAACCTCAGTAATTATAACTGAGTCGATGTTTAAAAGTCCGCCGACGGTACCAATGCGGTCCCAAATTCCGTTTTTGATGAGGCTAAAGACCTTGGGAACGCAGCCACACATGGCACCGGACTTGTCAATGAATTCATTGCCAATATTGCCCAAGGTATCGCGGACGGCTTGACAGACACCGCGCTTCTCTGTGATAATATTAATCCCGCATGGTAGGTTAACTGTCTTTTCAACGGTACCTAGTATGGTCATTAGCTAGGGACAGCCGAACACTACACATCTTTTACCTACCAGGCACACAGGTCTCGCCATCGCACAGCTTAAACGGGTCATTCCAAGTTGGACATGGATATTTAAACGTCTTTTTAGTCTTGCAAGGGTCAACCTGTGGGATTTTATATCAGCTAAGGTTCCATGTAACCGGGAGATATGTCGGTTGCATACCTCGAAGACCTCTTGAGGACAGTATTTTAACTTGGCCTTAACAGGTACGTCAAACGAGCCTTTACAGTCGATAATTCCATCGACTCCCCCACAGATTTCGTCAATGGTATTAGCCAGGACCAGTTGGCTAAGCAGTGGAAGTAGCCCAAGTAGAGTAGAGAAATGCATAATGTTATGGCGTCAAGAGAGAGACAGGTAAAGAAGAGAAAAGTAAAGAACAGAAGAGTGAAGAACATATTACTGATTAAGATGAGAAAGCTGGAAAAGAGAATCAGGTTAAATAAATTGAAAGATAGTATGAAGAGTCTAGAACTACAATCTTTAGAATGAGGCAAGCTAGCCAGGCACCGAGTAACCACAACTAGTTTCAGCCTCATATTCAATAAGCATACCTTGTAGCGGCGATCAAACCAAAACTGGTAAGGTTCTGTATAAGGAGGGAATAAAGTTTAACTAGTTAGAGGTTCTAATGATCTAGTCCTGTCGGGGCAGCCACAAGAGAGACTTACTGACCTGGTCTGGAATAAATCGTGGCTGATACTGGAATGGCCGACTTAAGCCTTTATCCTCGTCCTGCACTAGTGGCCAAAGGATGTAAGGTACCAGATCCGGGCTTCTATTAAGCGGTGAGTATTAGCACGACAATTAATACTAGTGCGTTGACGGAAGTACCTTTTTCATGAGGGGCGGTGGCAATATTCCTCCTGCAATAAGACTGGCAAAGGGTCTGGAATCCTTTGGATCTTAGAGGCGGTTACCCCTTTTGGCTTTCGAAAGTAGGTGAAACGAGTTGAGCAAAAGGCCTTGCAATTCGACCATTAGCTCATTGAACCAATCTAGCACTGGTGCAATTCTCTCAATGTTCGTATGCTAGATGAACTTGATTACGTCCGGCCATTATGTTGAAGGTCTGGGCCACCCATCGTATCACACACAGTGGCTCATGCGACGAATTGATTTATCGACAAGGGATAAGGGTCAAGCCTGGGCAGTTTGGTGGCGTTAGGCTAGGCCTGGCTTGCAAGATGGACAATCTCAGTATCATGTGAACGTCCTCTAATGATTTTTAAGGTTCATGTTTAATTGCACCTGTCGATGCCCGGTAAACCAGATCCTTCAATAACAACAATCTACAGCTTATTATAGCGGCGAAGTTGCTACCTAACAAAACGATGTTTGTAGTCGGTGGCCCTGCAGGTTGTGGCAAGTCAACCGTTGCAGCCCACCTCTCTCAACAAGCCGTGAATCTGTCGTTACGTGCTCGTCAGTGTTACCGAAACACCGAATCACGATTCATTCGTGCAACTATGCTTCACCTACCTCAAGGATGACAAAGAGTACCTGCAGGCAAGAGTCGAGGCAGGTGTAGACCACTATATTAAGGAGCCGCTAACACGGAGCCAAAATCAGTGTCTTGAAGAACCTGCGTTGGTTCTTATCTGGCTAACGATCAATCCTCTGACAGCTTCCATGATCAGTTGGGTCATATTCTCTATCATCAGACTTGCGCGCGGGCAACTAATGACGCTTTTGTTGAAAGGGCATATGTGTATCGCACATCACAATACCATACGCTCATGCTCCGTATGGCCGTTCTTCATATCTTGGGTGCCTACATTTGGGAGGATATGAGTGATTGTGTAGGTGGACACTGTAACATAGCCACAGAATCCAGTACTCCAATGGAAATGAGGGAGGCTAGTTAGGTCGAGCATAGCCGAAGGGACATATACGGGGAGGGATGGGTCTATCAGAACGATGGTGATGGAGGAGTACACCGAACCTGCAGTACGAAGATCATAGGCTGCTACCTCATCTGCAATATTGATGGTCTCCTTTGCTGTAGTTGGGGCTGGAAGAAGTCGTGGGTAGACTGGACTGACGTTAGCGGCGTGGCTGTGTGTTAAACTACGCTTGATAATGAGATGTCGTCGACTGCTGTGAAGTCTGTGACAATATTCCAGGCAGTGCCACCGGTTGAACATGTAAGGGGTGCAAAGCATGCTACGAGGCCATCTCGCTTCCCAAGCATATCCCCTATCTTGACCGGAACCTCATACCGTTTGAGATCCTCATTCTCGGTTCCTTCAGACGGATCAGCAACGGGTGGAGGTGCTAGGTTTGACGCTTGGCTCCCCGAAATATGACTTGAAATTGTTTGTTCTTTTGTCTTTGTTGATGTTGGAGAGGCAGTTGCAGCTTTTGTATTTGCAGAACCAATGTTTGGCTAGTCAGCATAAGCTTAGCTATACAGGGTCGCTGCCGCAAGCTCGATGCCGAATTCAAGGTGGGCGGGAGCAAGCGGCCTTTCTACAAGTGCTAAGGGAAATCGGAGTACTATTTGGAAGGTGTCGATTAAACAAAGCCTTACCCAACAATTATTGTCACCCACCGAGGGATCAGAAACAGGGCTTGGGACATGGAGATGATCAGGCCTCCAAGCGACATCGGCATTGACGAAGAAACTGTTGAATTGCTGTCCGGAGGATCGCCAATCGCCATGGTCTTCAATAGTTGCGCTAGAATCGGAGTAGCTTCAGTTGGTGTGATATATAGTAGGGCTTCTGAGCCAATGTCTTTTCCTAAGAGTGATTGTCAGAATATAAGCTCCTTTGGTCCAGAGGTTAACACAAATTCTCCGCTAAACGAACCATGGTCATTGCATACTTGCGAAGATTGGTTATTATAGTTAAGAAGCAACCAAGCAAAGGCTCCAGACTCTCCTTCGTACATTGGTCTGTACGTTCCAGTATAGGTTTGTTTGCTGTTGGTGCAAGCTTGATTGCATATGCATTCAGCATGGATTCGAGCATCTTGATTGATACGAGTTGCTACCTGGAGTGACGTGTCTCGTATGATATGCTATTGCCAAATCTATGGATAGGATGGAGTATCTGGCTGGCCTGAACGGGTGTCTGTTCTACAGATGACTTATCTAAAGCGATCGATGAGGTTGAACTGTGTCAAACGCGCTTATCTGTGCATAATAGGTCGAAAGAAACGGGCACTTATAACTTAGGTGTCGTGGCCTTGCGATGCAGTAATTATCAGTCCTTTACAATCTATCCCATGGGGGGTAACATCCAAGTCACCAGTCGTTCCTAGATCATTAGTAACAGCATAAGCAAAACCTCTATAGGAAGTCTTTAAGTTTTCTCCTCTATCGTCAGAAAATATCTCTTTTCCAACCTCACACCTTCCTACCCTAGGCTTGATGATTGGGTTATCTGAGGCGCTCAGTGAAACCTGGGTTTTGGGAGGTAGTACGCGAACCCCGTAATAGAACGTTAAGAGATAGTCAGTAAAACTATTGAGCTAACCAAATTGTAGACTGAGATCGTTGAGAAACTGTTTGCTTCGAGCTCTGTTTTGATATTATAGTGGGAGTATTATGATAAACCGTTTTTGAAACTCTAATGAAAAGTAAAAGGGTTCTCAATATAAGAGTCGAGCGCTTTCAGAACGTGCAAGAGCCCTTTTAAATATGTTACAAGGCCAAATCGATAACAGAATAAAGGAAACCTACTAGTTTAATTGGTATAGGGTAGGCCAAATGTCGTGATCTCATTCTCTTTTGATGTAAAGTTCTTTTCACCAAAGAAGACAGGGAAGCACACCACATAAACCTTTGGACAAATACCAAAGGCCGATAGGCCGCACTTTGTTCGAATCATATGTTTCATTGAAAGGCGCCTTTCATTTAACATCTAAGATGCTAACGTAAAAAAAGCGATGTAATTTCTGGCCCTTGGGATATATTAGCAAGTCCCGTAACCCACCATCGAAGATGAAGGTGCATGGCTTTATCACAACCGTCATTGAGATAGAGCAAATCTTCAATCTCATAAGACAAGTCCGGTCGCGTTCTCGGTGCCACTATCAGGTAGAAACATAATTAAGATCGTATCCGTACACTTCTTCCTAACAACCAACAGACAGTTACACTCGGTTTTTAGAGCGGGTCCCTTCGCCACCGTCCGTGCTGGCTTGGCACTTAGAGTCCTATCATATTTCGGAAAGGAAATTAGACTGTCCCGTCCTCACTCCACCCACACCTTGCCGCTGTAATGGTACGATTTACAATTGTATTTATAAATATAGTAAAATCCTTTCATCTCCAAACTAACAATGTCTTGTTGCACTCAGCTTCTTTTATCCTCAACAATCAACATGACAATCATCAGCCTTATAATCGCTCTTGAACTGTCATTGTTTGCTAATGCCTTCCAAGTTCAGAGCGATGTACATATCGGCCAAGGCAATTTTGTTAACGGCTGCGCTAAGGCTTTAGCAGCCGAGGTTGAATGCAACAGATATACCTGGTCGTTGGGGCAGTATGGCTACATAGGATGGGTGGGAGATGCTAGGCTAGCCGATGCTATCTGTACGGCTACCTGCTCTGACTCCCTTCGAAGCTGGAATGAGACAGTGGCCAGGGAATGCGCCGAGGACAGCAACAGACCAGATCCCGACCGCTTGGATGGCTTAATCACACAAGCCAACCATATACAACAAATGTGGAACGCGACCTGCATTAAGGATACTAAATCGAGTTATTACTGCTTGGGTTAGTATTTGATTGTTATTTATAGGACGCAGCACTGACTTTGTTTCCAGAAATCATGGATAACTCCCCCGACAAAGTATATGGCGAGGAGATACCATACAAAGAACTATGCCATCCCTGCTACGGTATGGTTCTTACCGCGCTGTTGAATTCTTCATTAGAGGTCACTCTATGGGGCTTAGATGATGATTACTGGAAGGGTCAACTTGAACTTGTCCATAAGCAATGCGGCGGCCCGAGTAAAATTGAAGAGCATTTAAAAGAGGCGATAGCATTCAACGCTACTCACAATACTACTAGGGTATCGGAATCGGATAAAAACGACGCTGCTTTGCTTATGATCAATCTAGCAGGTGGAATCTGGGTTGTATTGTTAATTCATGGAGTGAGCATCTTTGTATTGTAGATTATTCAGGCGTTTCGCTATGAAGCTTTGCAAGACTGCCTAAAGAATAAACACCTTGATATGATTTCCGCGCTCACGCTGGCATCGTTTAGGCAATCATTGACAACGAAGGGGATGGGGCGATACTAAGATTATTTCTGCCGCGAGGTATATTAAACCTCTCTGTTACAAAGGGGATTCTGTGAAAACACACCATAGGGAAGATGGGCATATCTTGACGGAATTGCTTTCGCACTTTAGAGGTACCTATATTAACCCTCTGACTTCAGTGCTAGATAAGGAAGGGTGGGAGGATAGGGGGCGCTAATAATAATGAAAGATTGAATAAAAAGCTATGTCTTTCTCAACGTCCTACAGCTTTAACTAATCACTATTAAAATCTTTATCTTGGCATACACACTATATGTATTATTATAAAGCTGACATGCATAATTCTCTCACCGGCTTCTAGAGGATGTACACCAAGGCGGGCCGATCTAGACTAAGGAACTCAATCTTCGGAGGTGGCGAATGACAAGTTGTCTATTCTAACATTTCGGCTCCTGAGTTCTAACTCTTAGCTCCCGATCCCGCCTCTTATTTGCAACTAAGCCCTGTGATTAAGAGCTAATGGCAGCATCGATAGGAAGCCTAGAGACTCAAAGGTGTCAGGCGGTACAAGCCTTGGAATGAAGCTGGTGACTTTCCTACATGTTGCACTACCCCGCTCTGCCAGCAGCGCTCAACTCAAGATACGATTGGCAGTTTCGAAGACTCACATATTACAATTCGTAGATAACTACAGATCTGAGGCCCTTTTTCTTAACAAGGGTTTGGTGTATACAGCACATCCGTACTCATCCATGCTCGTTGCACCTATACAACCAATATTTATTTCTGCGTACATTAAATATGACCACTCAAGAAAAGAAGGGCCACACCATGACCATACAGAGCGGGGTCTCCCCACGGATGCATCCAATATTGCTTCTCGCCCCACTTGTTATCTATTATGACATATTGTTTTCTCGCAAACAGAAACCCCTCCGTTCACCTCAGATGGAGAGACCGGCCTACTCTTCCGACTTCGTAATAGCTAAAATTACATTCGCTCCGCCTCGTCGGCAGCATTGCTCCGGACTACAAGAGTAGAAAATGGCTTTTACTGAGCATGAACACAGAACAGGAAGGTGTCAGTGGGCGAGGTGATATAATGTAGATAGATGCATATGAGTGGCACACGATGGGGTTATCACATCTTCGGGCCAACCGGGGAAGACTCGAGCGGCCCGAGCCGTAAGGAATTAGCCTTTAGTACAAAAGCAGCTGCCATGTGTCGTAAAGATTGCCGCTATCACGATACATTGAGTATGAGTTGGAAATAGTGTGAAAGATATGGAATTTATTGCAGCTTGGCTCAACGTGGCGATGACTTCATAGTTGTACGAGAATCACGATCGTCGAAAGTAAGTAGATTGTGATGGGTCTTGGTAAGAGATAACTGATGATTAGCCACAGCTTTGTGTCTCCAATTACTTCCCGCGGTGTTTCATTGTTTTCCAACATACATGGCGGGTAATGCACTATTCGTTATGTCTGTAGATAATATGATACTGGCAGAGATTTTGGTTGGTCACAAGCTCAAGCGGACGCATGCAAGACAAACCGGGGAAACACGACCTTTACAACCATCCAGTCGCGTTCAGGAGCTTCAATTTAGGCTCTCGGAATTGGACAAACAGCAACTATTACCGTAAGGGAGTACGTAGCTTACCTAAAAATGGCATGCGCCATCAATGGAGGTGCCCAACCGCTCCCGCCCATTGCCGAGGATAGTACCCTCTTTTCTCATTACCTGCCTTGATCGACCTTCATAAAACGTGTGTGGGTGATGCGAGCGATAGCAGATACTTTTTACAGTAAGTCTTGCAACTGAGTACAACTGCGACCCTCTGATTCACGTATGATTTGCCTCATTAGGTATGCTAAGGAAGATCGAGACGTGGGTAATGCCATCTCAAGCCTCATGCAGGCTTGGCCTTGTCGGCAAGGTTTACATGAGTTGTGTCATAATGTCTCCTGAAGCAACGTGACAAGCACTCATCTCTTGCTCAAAGACAAACGTATATATCTATAGATCTCGCCCCTCTTTCATGGCCATGGCTTTTAACCCGTTGTCTGGACACTTGTGAACCTAGTATCTCCATTTTATCGCTATTATTAGTTCCAGAATACAAACCCATCATGCTGTCTCCCCTCTTCATTCTTGCAGGAGTTGTCTTCACAATTCTATATCTTCGTACCAGGCCTCGCAAGAATCTCCCACCTGGTCCCAAGCCCCTCCCTGTCCTCGGCAACATTAGGGACATGCCAGATGGGACGACCCCAGAATACCAACACTGGATCAAGTTCAAAGATCTTTACGGCCCCATCAGCCATGTCTCCGTTTTTGGCCAATCTCTCATAATACTCCACGATCGTGATGCTGCGAATGCTATCTTGGAGAAAACCTCCACAAAAACTTCAGGAAGAGCACAGTTCATCTTTGGAAATGAGATGTGCGGGTACAATCAAATCCTCAGCTTCAAACCATACGACAAGTCATTCAAACAACATCGCAAGTTGGTTCATCAACAGCTGGGCACTAAAGCTGCTGCATCGCGGTTCAGGGACGTTCAGGATGTGGAATCTCGTCGTCTGTTGTTTCGGATCCTGGAGAACCCCGATAAATTGACCTCGCATATCAAGACGTAAGTACCCCTCGCTATTTTCTAAAAGCTTCTTCCTGACTTTTTGCTTTCAGTGAGGCCAGCGCCATAATTCTGAAAATTACGTACGGCTACAACGTAAAACCGCACGAAGCCGACCCCTTGGCGCTCTTGATAGAGCAGATGATGCATAATTTCTCATTTGCATTCATCCCCATGAGTTGGGCGGTAGACCTCTTACCGATACTTAGGTATTTTCCTGACTCGCTACCGGGCATGTCGTTTAAAAGGATTGCGAGGGACTGGAACGCCAATATGCGCATGGTAGTTGAGGTGCCTTACGGCTTCGTGAGAAAGCAAATGGCAAAGCAGTCTCATCGACCATCTTATGTATCCTCGCTTATTAAGCAATATGATAGTGCTCTGGATACGGAGAGCGAGACAGCGATTAAGCAAACGGCCGCGGTTATGTACGCTGGAGGTGCTGATACCACCGTCTCATCTATTCGTGGCTTTATACTAGCTATGTTGCTCTTCCCAGACGTTCAGAGGAAGGCACAGCAAGAGATCGATTCCGTTGTTGGGTCTGATAGGCTTCCCAATTTCGAAGATCGCGACAACCTGCCATATGTCGATGCCTTGATCAAGGAAACACTGCGATGGATCCCCGTCGCTCCAATGGGAGTCCCTCATACGGCTGATGAGGACATTTACTACAAAGATTTTGTCATCCCAAAAGGAGCGTCCTTCCTACCGGCAACATGGTGGTTCCTCCACGATCCAGCGATCTATCGGGACCCGTCTTCTTTCGATCCGGATAGATACCTTGAACCTCGAAATGAACCGCATCCAAACTTCGCATCATTTGGGTTTGGTCGCAGAGTCTGTCCGGGGAGATTTCTTGCTGAAGAGAGCTTATTCATCAGCATTTCCCGTCTCTTGGCATCCTTCGACATAAAGAAAGCTGTTGATGGACGTGGCAATGAGATTGAACCAGAGATAAGCGTCACGCCAGGTATGATTGGTCATATACACGATTATCCTTATGACATCAAGCCGAGAAACGAGAATTACGCGGATATGATAAGAAAAGTTGAGATTGAGCATCCATGGGAGGAAGGCGATGCTCAGTTTCTGGAGGAGTAGGTATCTTTGGAGAAGGTTGGAGTTTGGATGGTTGGACTGAAGGGGCTAAAGTCATCCGGTCGTTAATTGCAGAGCTTTTATTCAGGTAACAGCGTTCCACTATAGGATTCACTTTCACTGAACAACTTAAATCACTCAAGACACTAGTATTCACTGTCTTTGGTTATGTGGAACATGTCTATTCATAGAGTGATGGAGGTAGTGGCAGTAGATCATAACTATGTCCTCATTGACTTGAAATATGTACAGGTATTTATGACAGGTCTCCAACCCTTAGTCAAGACAAAGCAGCTCGCCCTTCGCCAGGCTTGTAGTCTACTACTAGGAAGTCCCTCAGTTGTAATATATACTAGTGTATGATGCTTTTTGTAAATTCTCAAAGAATAGCAGCCCCTGAGAGTGCGAAAGAATAGTCCAGTCCTTGCTTAGCCTCTAAAGAAAGATCGAAAGGATCATAGAGGATCAAGCCTGGTGTATGAGCAACAACCAAACTTATTTCCTCACCACTCTCAATGCTGACCGTCGCGGAACCATAGCGAAACTTTACGTATCGCGTGGTATAGTCATTGTGAACGACAAGTGTAGCTCTGTACAAGCCTTTCGTGGTAATTTTGACGGTCACTCTGCCTCCAGTGGTTGTCAGGGGTATGATGTTGGCTCCCATGTACTGAGGTCTCCGTTCTGGTTTAACTGTATATATATTCTTTCCTTTTGAGTCCACGTTTGCATAATTGAAGTCTTGGCGGTGGTCAAGAAACGCTTGGTATGCTAACGTATGGCCGATATCAACATACGCCATTCGAGCCCAATAACTGCCAATGATATCTGCAACTGGTGTCTTGCTCGTGATACGTTGAAGTGTATGTAGAGGCGTTTCGTTGCTGTTGAGTTTGTACTTTGTCATCATGTTAAGAAGAGTCTTCGTGCCGAGCTTGGCGTATTTGTCAGGGTTATTCGTTAAATATGTGAAGAACGGAAAAGCCTCATAGTAATTCCCAGTACCCACAGATCCGTCAATAAGGGGCTGAAACGAGTCTCCAATGAGTTTCCAAAGGTTGATCTCAGTGGCTTCTATGGGCCTTTTATGAGACCTGCGGGCAGGCGCACATAGGTCAGAAGTCCCATAAGTATCCGCAACCCAGTTAGCAAAGGTTTCCCACCATGCTCCTGTGCGACTTTGTTCCACCCAAGTTCTTTGATGATAGTGTAAGACGTGTCCGTATTCATGCACTGTGACGCCAGAAGTGGCGACAAAGTCTTTCTGCACAATGAGCCAGCCGAGCCCGGCATCATGATCAGCCTGCATAACGCCTGCAGCTCCAGGAAGTTCATCAACTGAATATACATTGGTCTTTGTCCGTGGGCCTCCTGACGTAGAAGTATCCCAGAAGGAGATTCCTGTGGACCTGAAACCTAGAGTGCCGACGAAGCAGTCGTAAGCGGCTTCAAGCAATGACAAAGCCTGAGTAGCTTCTGTCCCGTTATTGCCGTAGACTCGGAAATGCGCTGAATCTTTGAAGACATCTCCACCTGGTCCAATTTTGGGGTTTGCGGAGTATCGTGGTGCTTTTCTTGCCATTAGTCTTGGTAGGTCTTGGGGGACGCCTCCGCTTGGGACAGCCGCCAGAAGAATGGCAAGGATAAGTCGCTTAAAGACGAACATGTTGAATTTGGTTTTGGATAATTAGATAATAAAGCAAAAGGGTAAGGGGTTTCTCACTTTCTATATTTACTCAGCCCCCTTTATAGGTCTTATCGTACATATCTATTCTTCTTATTTAAACTTTTATTCCAAATAGGAAGTCTTTCCAATTCTCATATCTGTTCTAGACTTACCTTATTCAGTATTGAGTTTTATAGAATTCCATGCCGTTAGTAGCTCCTGACTCGGTATGCGGCTCTGCTGTAATAATTGGAATGTTATAGTGTATTAAGCTCGCGACTAGCCATGTCCGGTTATCACGCCCCCTAATTATACTTTACTTTTCTACATTACGCCGGCATGATATAACCCCCTATGTCTTAGTAAAGTTTTATTATCCACTAGCTTATATAAAAGGTGCTATAAGATTTACACGAATCGCTTCGATTTAGTATGCCTACCTTATTACTGAAAGCAGTCTCCTGATCTAGAAGGAATGTTAGACTTCTAATGGTTTGGAAAACGTAGTTCCGCTATTATTTCACTTGCATTCTAGCCTAATCCTAATGCAAATGAGTTCCTATTGTCCAATTTGTAAAAGCAGCTCTTGTGATATATTAACCCTTTTAACTCTTTATATAATATCTGGTAGCACTATAAAAGAAAGAATTCTAACTGTCCTAATAGAATCTACAGAAATATCAATAATGGAGGTCTCTATACAGACCGAAAAGCAACAGTATCTTAATTTCAATAAGGTTACGCACTATAATAACCACCGCGACTCTATTTCTCAAAGGCATAAAAACCACTGCGAGAACTAAGATAGAGTTTAGTACTAAAGGTTAAAAAGTCCTTCGGCCACAAGGGAAGATAAAATTAATTGACCCAGATCGCGTGACCTAACAGACCTTTTCCACGGTGAGATAATAAGATAATTAAGATAACTAACCGTAATTCAACAGAATACAGCCAAGACACTTTTAAGTATAGCTTATTTTATATTAATTCAAATTAGGCTGACTTAAGTATTCCTTTCCTAGTTACTCTAATAATAGACCGACTAGTATAAGCATAAAATAAGTACTTTTAACTAAAATACATTTATTTTGGTAGAGTTTATATAAGAATACAGGTAGTTACTAGCAGGATAACCTAAACTCACCTACTTACTACCCACGTCCTAGTATTCTATTAAAAAGATATCAGCTTAAATAATAACTAAGAAGAAAGTTTAATATCCTAATTATTTAAGTTATAGGTTATACAAAAAGTATAGTCTAGAAGACTCGCTATTTATCTAATAGGGAAGACCTTTAGATACTAAAACGAGGCTGGTGCCGTAATAGAAAGCGACTTGTCTTTATACCGCCCGTTTCTTTTTTTGAAGCAAGTTTGGCCGGAGGCTTTAGGTTACAGCTAGCCGACGTATTGATGAGAGCCACCGATGCTCCGGATCGACTTTACATGCCACTGTGGATTTTCTTACGTGATAGCATTCCGCCATAGGGTTAAAAGTCTTTACCCATAGTTATTCAGGAGCCAGCTAATCTTCTATTTACTTCAGCGTAAATTGTCGCAAAGTGAACGATGCCGGTGTTTGTGACCTCCAGTCTACCACTGCCTCTCCAAACATGTATCCTGTAACATAGCACTCTCCGACAAAGTAAAATGTATCGTCACCCAAAGGTCGCAAGATATAAGGAACTGGGCCTCCTGCAACAACACAGACTACATCTTCCTCCCTAAGAAGATTTGGCCCGAGCCCTAGCAAGCGGTTTGTCACGGTAAATAATCGTCGTTCATCACATACATTTCCCATAGCCTGTCCGTATCTACCTGCATCTCCGTGATGAGGTACTTTGTTTAGGAAGTACTCGTGCTTCCACTTTTCAAACGATTCCGTATGCTCACATATCGCAGCTTGCTCTTTTAGGATGTTGCCGTACCAATCTTGACCAGCGGTTAAAACGAGAGGTAACTGCTTGTTGATGTCGTTATGGCTGCTCACGTTCTGATTCAACCAGCCATTAAGCTCTGCGTTATGCGCCACCATTTTCTTATGACGAGCTCGAGGATCCTTAGCGTTCATTTGAGGGAACACGCGGTGGGATGATGTGACAGCCCCGAGGACGAACCCTTGAAGAATCAAATGCCGCTCGTTGCTTTTCCAAACAAGTTTGGCCGGAGGCTTTGGGTTCCAGCCAGCCGACGCGTCAAACTTCATGCCAGCTCTATGAGAGCCACCGATACTCCGGATTGGCTTTACATGCCACTGTGGTATCCACGTAGGATAGTCGGGGTAGAGTAATGTTGTATGTTGGACAGCAGAGAGGATCTCGAGGGGATTCTTGTGACTTTGAAAAACCCAGTAAAAGACGCGGCTGTATAATCCATTTGGAAGTAGCCTATAGTCTGGGGGTATAGACTTGCTTCCTGGCCCTGTGTGTTGACTCGGAAGGCCGAGAACGGCATATATTCGATCAAGTCGTTCCGACACGTCGAAGTTTCGTGTTAGTCGAAGTACGTCCAAAAACGACATGGAGTCGCTTCGGAATTCGGCTGAAGGCATTCGGTACATGAGATAAGCGTTCATTAGACCGGTTCTAGCGTCCGAATTCCCCTGGAAAGGACTAGTAGACTGTTTCGACTTGTCCATGCGATTGAATATTGTCATCAACCTTTGGTCATTTCGGATCAGAGTTGTTGCGAGCCCCAATAAAGTCCACGATATCTCGGCGTCTCCCCATCGAATAATGGCACGACGGGAGGAAACCAGCTCTTGGACTACCCACAACCGCTTCCAATAACCACTCCGAAATATCTCAACAATCCTAGTCATAGCGTCTTCATCACTGCGATGAATTCTACCGGGAGTGTAAGAAATACTGTCCTCTTCACCGAAGCTCTTCCGAGCATTGAACCATGACGCAGTCAAAGCTTCAATAGCACTGAAGCACGTACCAGCGTGAAGGCAATCCTTGCCAACAAATCCAATAACTCTAAATGCTTCAGAATAGATCCTTTGCATTATGCTGACTTGTTGAAGGCGCTCCACATGATCTGCCTGGTTGATACAAATGGCATCGGCCCAAAGTATCCTAACATGTCGTTTGAGCCGAAGATGAAGAAGAATGCTTCGCAGATACGCGTTGATAAATATCTTTTCGCCTCCGAGATATATGGACGCTTTCTGACCACCGCCCTCACTCCACTGGTAAGAAACAGCTTCATGATGACAGTTTGCTGTGTTCAGGTCCAAGATCTCGAAAGAGGCCACCAGAATGTCGTCATTAACTCCAGGTTGAATTGCCAGAACGCGGATATGTGAAGGGGATGGCAAAGGGGTGTAAATCCATGGTCCACCAAATATACACCGAAGAGGCTCGCTAAAACAACCCAAAATACTTGTCTTGGTGGGGATATTGCCGGGTTGTTGATTGACTGTATTCGGCGTTGTTCCATAGTTTTGACCGCACCAAGGCATATTCAAATGATCGTGGCACATGTCACTATGAACCCTGTCTTCCAACGCCCGCACGGCGTCAGATACTTGACTTTTCTGCGACGTAGCCGTGTTTTCTTCTGAGGAAGTTGAGATTCTAAACGAAGGACCGGGTTGGGTGGGTGGCTTGTTCGCATGGGGTTTAGGAGCAATACTATTGCTATTTATATCACATCCGGTTTCTATGGCTAAGGTTAGTTAAAATTCAGTAAAGGTGTATAACAGTCGTCTCTGCATACGAGGGTTCTGAGCCATGGATTTATTGATGTTAACAGTCCATGCAAATGAGTCACCTGTGATACTAATACAAGGATTCTTTGCCGTGAGTATATTGGTGTTAATTGTCCGGACATTCGAGGTGACACCGGCGGCACTATTGTAAGTATTTTGAATTACTGGCCCATCACTCGTCTTATTGGTGCTGACAGGCCGGGCAATCGACGCAGCGAGACTTGCCCCAGTAAAGAATAGTACTGTATTGCATTAGGTTTCTCACTTCTCCGTGTAAGCCTGTAATTAATTATACATACCATTCGCAGCACTCTCGGTTCCCTCAAGGAATACAGACTCAGAGACCCGATTGCGGGCATTGGTATCAGAAAGCCGATCGTTGTTATCGTTGGACTCCATGTCTTCATCACCCCCAGATTCGACGTCACTGCTTACAATGTCCGAATCATCAGAGACCTCAACGCTACTGTCAGAGTCTGTATCATCTGAACTAGACATATCGGTTGCTACTGTTGGCGTATCTGAGGAAGGCTAGAAGAGAAATGCCGATAGGCCTATTGTCTTCATGGGCAGAGAAGGCTCTTTTATTTTCTTGTTAGGGTTGAAAGAGAAGCGGGGAAGTGTTTTATTCAGTTTTTAAAGAAGCTGAAACGCCGCTGTCTGCCTTATAGTGGTTCGCATATAAGCTGAACTAGGTAACAAGAAGCTGCATATCTCGCTTCGGAATAAACCGGCCCGACCTTCTCTTATTACACTTAGCCTTATTGTCTACCTTAAATAGTTAAATCCTATCTATTCCTTAACTATCTTACCTTTAAAATTATTATTTACCTTGAAAGCCTGCTATACTAATTACTACTGTGATTAATATTTAATAGAAAAATAATCTAAGTATTAACGTTATCAACCTTAGCCTTTCTAAATGTCTTGGCAATATTAATAATTAAAGTAACCTCTTTCAACTCAAATTTAATATATATAAGGGAGTTAAATTATATTCAGTAACTAAAATCTAATTAAGTAGACACGTAGACTACAACTTATAAAGCTGTTCATTAAAAGCTGGCTTCCCCCACACCTTCCTTAACCTATTCCACGCTCGACCTTTTCCATTATTTAAAAACCACGACTAGTGAGTCAACCAACCCCCCTCGGTCTATATCGCTAAACTCTTACGTAGCTACCACAAGACATTCAATATTCAATACCGGTTCAAGTGGCCTGTAATTATTTTCGAATTAAGAACAGTCGCAAAGTCGATTTTCTATCCACTCTAAAATGCATCTTGACCATAAGATTCAATGGCACTTAATTGCTCCCCACTTCTCTTTAACACCAGTCAATTAAGGTAATAACTATAACTTGGCCACACAGGGTTCGCCTGAAGAAGAAACAATTATCAGCCACTTTAAGCGCGTCTTTTTAGGAACTATCAGAGAATTTTCCAATACGGAGGCCATAAAAATTAAATCAGCACCAGTCGGCGCAAAGCTATTTTCTAATGATATACTTAATTACGCTAAACGCCACTTTAGCCTAACCGATAGGCCGGTAGTAATTTAGGCCAAACTACTAACCTTAGAAAACGGCATAGGCCAATAGGGATATAAAGAAACCCTGTCGGGTAGATTAGAGTTAATAATAATGGGGCTAAATTACTAACCCTAAATTACTAACTATATAAATAGCTAATTATAGACTTTTAATTAACCTTAAGTCTTTACTTTTATTTTTAAGGTAAACTAAGATAGGAAAAAAAAAAATAAAAAAAGTAAAAAAAAAAAAGAAAAATAAGAAAAAAAAAGAAAAGGCTAGGATAGTCTACCTATCTATTTATTTATTTATTTATTTATATTACCTCTCTCTCTCTTTCTATCTATTTTAATTTAAAAAGACTATAATTAATTAGCTTAACTTATCTAACTATATATATAATCTAATTAATTAATTATAGCTATAATAGCCTAATAAAACCTATTAGACTTACTACCTAGTAATATTAATAGTAATACCTAGGTAATAAAGAGAAAAATAAAAAGGTTAAAAAAAGGAAAGGATAAAAAAAGGTAGCTTTTTTATAATAAAAAATATTAATTATTAATCTATACCTTTTATAGCTATATAGTCTGCTTTTATAACCTAGAAGACTATTTAAAAAATTATTACCTAGATCTTAGCTATTAAGTCTATAATAATCTTATTTACTATTATAAAGGCTTACTATTAATATTATTAAAAAAGGGACTAAAAGAGAATTAACTAGCCTAATATAGCTTATCTAACCTAGCCAAGCCTATTAAAGGTCTTCCTATCTACCGGGGTTTTATATATACCTAGCCAGGCTATAAATACCTTATACCAAGCTAGAAATACCTATATATATACCTTAATAATAAGTATAATACTAAGGTAGCCTAGAGAAAGACCTAGATAGACCTTTAGGTTACTATATATTTATAGACTTTTTTTACCGGTTTAAAAAGGGTAATTTATTATTTTTATATTTATAAAGTAAGAAAAAAGGAAAGAAAGAGAGAAAAAAGGGAAGGAAATAAAAAAAAAAAAAAGAAAAAAAAGAAATAATAATAATAATTACCTAACTAGAAGACTAAATAATAATTATCTATATTATTAAAGGATAGTTATTATAATAAAAAAAATAAAAAGAAATATAAAAGGTTATAAATAAAGGTATCTTAAGGTATAAAATAACTAATTAGTTAAAATAAACTAGCTAGTTAGCCTACTTTATTAATAAGAACTTAATAAATATTTAGGCCTATAGTAAAATACCTAGCTAAGGTAATAAAAATAATAATAAGGTATTATAATATATAAATAAAGTTTTAAATTAACTTTTCTTTAATTATTATATTAATGAATTAAAAAGTATACCTTTAATAACCTAATTATTACTAACTAGTCTATATCTTTATAATACCTATAGCTAACTGTTTAGGCTATTATAGAAAAAGATTAATATAGACTAATATCTAGTCTATATAAAATAATTTCTATATTACTACCTTAATATATTATTATTAAAAAAAAAAAAATTCCTAACTAATTATAGCTTTTATTTTATATTAATATAAAAGGCTAGCCTTAAGATATTTTAGGCCTATCTATAAAGGAAGGTATTAAAGTTAAGGTTAGAGTTAAAAAGGGAGGTTAAGGGGGGCAGGCTATTATATAGCTACCGTCGCTGCCGTAGTTATAATAGCCTTAATAGTAAGAATAGCCTATAAAAGTAAATACTATAGGTATTAATAGGCTTTTAAATATAATAGCTCTTTAAAGACCTTTTTAATAGCCTACTATAATACTTTATTAATATACTAGGGATTAATACCGAGATAAGGTAGCTATAACCGGCCTACCTATTTACCTATATACTTATCGGTCTTATCTTTATAAAATAGATATTACTAGGGAAGTAGGCTATACCTACCTGGGAGTAGGATAATATAGAAAACCTTATTTAATAATTTACCTAGGTCTAGGATATATAGCTTTATAAGGTTATATACTTACCTATAGGTTATATACTTAACTTACTTTTATTTAAGAAAGAAATTATAAAGAAAATAAAAAATAGGCTTATAATATCTTAAAGTAAGTAAGGTAAGATAATATACTTTATAGATAGGCCTATTTTAATAAATAAACTTTAAACTATAATAACTAAAATAATAGTTAATATTAAGGATCTCCTCTAGGGTTAGTTAATATTTAAGGAAGGTAATAATAAGTATTTTATAATCTTTCTAGCCGGTATTAAAAATAATTTTATATAGATAAGGTAAGGATAATCTTTTATTTATTATAATAGTCTTATCGATAAGGAGGTTAAGATATTAAAGGACTTTATTATAAGCTTTTAAAAGACTAACCTCTTTAATTAAATAGGTAAGTAAAAGTAAATAGGTATTAAAAAATACCTTAAGCTAGTTAAGAAGTTTAAAAAGTTCTTATTACTTTTTATCTATATTATAGAAAGTTAACCTAGCTAAAGAAAGGAGATTATAAGGCTATATCTTATTAACGGTATTAATAGGGACTATAATATCTTTATTATTAACGGTAAGGTCGTCCTTATTATATAATACTATAAGTCCCTTACCTACTTTAACTTACCTAAGGTTATTCTTTATTTCTTACCTAGGCGGATTAGGTAGCTATTTATAATATATATAATCTATATCTAGCTATTAATAGATTACTAAAAGGCCGATAAGTAAGAATTATATAAAGAGAAAATAATACCGCTAAGTAACTTTATTTAGTATAATAAGGTAGTAAAAAAAATACCCTAGGAAAGTAATTAAATATTTATAGCTATAAAGAGGTAAATATCTTACTATATTAACTACCGGATTATACTTTATAATTAATACTATATTATTATTACTATTAATAAGAAATATATTTATAACTAAAAGGCCGGCCAGGCTAACTTTAAAGACAGTAAAGATAATAATTATAATAAATTAAAGTAATATAAAATACCTAATAACCTAGTTACCTTTTATACTAAATGGATAGCTATTAACTATAATATAATAATTAATATACTTAAATACTTAGTAGTTAAGTCCTTAAAGATCTTTAAGTAAGTAAGTTATTATTAATATAAATTCCTTAGCTATAATACTAGCTTATTATTATTACTATTATTACTATTAGGTAAGAAAGTTAAGCCTACCTTTATATAAAATAGAAAGGTAAAAGATAGTTATTCCCTTAGAAAGTAGGCTAAGATTATATCTTTTAAGGTATTATAGGTAGGTATAATAAAGATAAATAAAAAAGAGGAGTAAAAAAAAGAAAAAGAGGAGGAAAATATAATTATATAGGCACTATAAGTAATACTATATAATAATATTACCTAATTTTAATTACCTTAATAGGAAAAGGCTATAAGGCTAGCTATAACTAAATAAAGCCTACTTATAGTAATACTATTAATAGGTAACGATAAGAACTTAGTCTTTATAGTCCTGGCTATATTAATAAATATAGGTATTACTATTATAATAGCTTTATATACTAAGCTTAAAAGGTAGCTTATCTAGTACTATATTAATACCGGCCTAGATTATAAGCCCTGGCCTAAGGTATAGTTATTTTAGCCTAAGGTTATATTTATATTAACTAAGGTAGCTATAACTAATAACTTCCTATAATAGGTAGTTAATTTAAGTATTAATAAGAGGCTAGACTATATAGTTATCGATAAGTATTACCTAACCTTTATAACTACCGAAACCTATTACCTAAAGCTTTAAGACCTTATCCTTTTATAAAGCCTAGGTTATTTTTTTATTTTCCTTACCGGGACCTTACTGTCTTTTTAGTAATATAACTTTAAAAAGGCTATATAATTATAAAACCTATTTTATATATAGGCCTTAAATTACTAGCTAAATATATAATATACTATTCTTTATATTTATAATAAGTAAGGTATAATAAAAATAAAAAGATAGGTAAAGGTA